TGGTGGAAAGCCTATTAAGACTGCATTATGGTAATTCAGGTGTATATAGTCTCAATTAACTGATTTCTGGCCCCCTTATAATTTTGGTGGGGATGGCCTGTGCGCCACGAATTCGGGCAATTACTGGTGGGAGAGCTCGGCTGATTATGTCAGCGAGGCTGAAGATTATATTCGTTGATCGAGTGCGGAGAAGCTGGTCGCGTGTCTCACCAACAAATATATTTACGATAAATTGTTTGATTCCTTCGAAGAACTTTGCAGCGCCGCTTGTCGGACATCTCTGTGATGTCAAAATTTCCCTAAGAAACCCCAACGACAATGCCTCGCAATGGAAGATCTCCAACTGGAGGTCTTGCTTCTCGAACAGGTTGGATAGGATCCGTTGCCAGGTTTTGGGAAGTATGTTTCCTCATCTAGTACAGCAGAAGACATACTGATGATCTCTCTACAGAAAACTTATGCCCCGGATTATGTAGGGCTGGCGCTGCTTCTATCAGCATATATCCTGGTAAGATACATTAAGTGGCAAATGACGATGCCGATTCTGATCAAGCCATTACCAGCTCGTCTTCTTTGTTGAACCTTTCCATCGAATGTTCTTCATCAACAATATCAATATACAATATCCGCATGCTGCGGTAGAGCGTGTTCCAGTTCCCTGGAATATTGCGTACGCTGGAGGCCTACCTTTCATATGCTTGGTCGTTTGGCTTTCCGCTTCAAAAGCTTCACTTCACAAATTCCATGTGACAATTCTAGGTTTCTTGATAAGGTCAGCAAGCTCTAGAGTCTTACTAAAATCCAGAACTAACGACCTTTAGCATCTTCCTGACACTGTTCATTACAGATACCATCAAGAACGCAGTGGGACGACCTCGACCGGACTTGATATCTCGGTGCAAGCCAGCAGCTGGAACCCCAAAGGACGTCCTTGTCACCATCGATATATGCACAGAATCGGAGCATCACATACTACATGATGGATGGAGAAGTTTCCCATCGGGACATTCCTCCTTTGCATTCAGCGGTCTCGGGTTCCTGGCCTTGTTCTTTGCTGGACAGATGCACGTCCTGCGCCCTAGAACAGATCTTTCAAAAGCGTTGCTGGCTATCGCCCCTTTACTGGGAGCTGCTATGATCGCTATTAGTCGCTGCGAAGATTATCGGTTTGTGCTATCATTACAGATCTCATCATTATGCTAATCGTGACAGACATGATGTTTATGACGTTACTTGCGGCTCCATCCTCGGAATGGGTATCGCATACTTCTCATATCGAAGATACTACCCACGATTGCGAACACAAAAATGTGACCAGCCATATCAGTCTCGCGAAGCGAGTTTCAATGAGGGGTTTGGGAAGATAAAGAATGATGAGGAGAACACCAGGTCTCCTAGAGACTTTGAACTGAGCGACGAAGAGGATGCACAATAACCAGGAGCAACGAGTATACAGATTGCATGTACATCTTCCTTGCGCAAATGCAATTTGTCTATGGCACCATGTTCACTCGTGTGTTCTAGCGGATCTGACAGTGTATGGTGGCGATGTTAGTCGAAGCTTTTTGCTTTGCCTTGTGGCCACTGCTGCACTCACTCCTCGAGCAAACAATCCTATGTACCATTTCTTTATACCCTTCTCTTTCGTGGAAATTCCGCTATCGGCTAACGTCTACTTAGATTGTCGTGCATTCGTCCAAGATTTCTTTGTTTCCGGCCCCTGTTGTCAACCAGAACCTCTTTGTCCTCGAGACATTTGCATCACCAACACCAATTAGTCGAGCTGTCCATTTCCGCTATCGATGTATTAACTTAAGCTTCAACACTTCAAGGCTCAAACCAAAATACAAAACGATTCTGGCACACTGTGGAGGCAGCCCAAGCGTCTGGATTATGGACGACGTCCGGCCACCATTGCCTCTAGCCCGACATGGTCCCGCTTGGATTCGCAACGAAGTGCGCAGGTGGTGGATAGAGAGTTCAACTCATGCAATAGTTTTGTGTTCTCTATTCATCCTGTTCATCGGCTATTTTCTAAGCACCTTTTCGCTCAAGCTCTTTTCTGGCATTTGCCATTACATCATTGAATATCTCCGCGCGGCATTGTGGGACCAAGTAGTACAAGAGTCATGCGGCGCAATCAAGCGCGAACTTACGCCTTTCTGGTCGTTGACATTTTCTGAATATATGCGATTGAACAGATGCCTGGGGAACGAAGCTGGATTTGACCGACAGGGCAAACTTCTGCAGGCTCCGCGAGACTTCGTATTGTATCTTTTGAGACCTTTTGGAGCATCCCTTATACCGGTAAGCCAGGAAAAGACGAGCAATCTCTAAGCTAACACATTACAGGTACTGATTATTGTTATATGCATATATTTCGTTGGCCCATGGGGTTTTCGACAAGTGAGTAGCCCCTTTTCACCATGCCACATACTAACACATACTAATATCTTAACTAGATTCAAGACACTCTCATTTACCTCATCACAACTCCATGGACTATAGCACTAATGACAGTCTCTGCCCCTATCATTCTGTACATCATGGGGTTCTTCACCACTTTCGCCGTTGTGGTATTTGTTATTGTCGCCGGATCCATTCTTCTCTTCGCAATTGAGCTATGGCCAGCTAATGATGCGGCCCAAGGCTTACGGACTGCAGTCGAGAACCCAGCATTCTCGTTTGTTACTTCTCTCTATAGTTATATAGCGGCACAATCTATATCTACATGGCAAGCCCTGCACGATACCCCGTGGATGCAGCATCGGGAGTGTGTACATGCTCCGTTATGCCAATGCCAAGAAAGGCTGGATCGCACCCTCGCCCAAGCCGTACATGAACAACAGAATCTTGCAAGCCGTAATCAACAACTGAGAGAATTGCTCACGGAATCCGAGTTTCGAGTTGAGGGCTTGCAGACCACCGTCAGAGATTTGCAAGTTGATCGGGATAATTACAAATACATGGCCGAACTTCCTCCAAGATCCAACACCACTCGCGCCTCTGGAGGTTTTCATCCCTGGGGCTGGGGTGTTGCTCCAACGAATCCTGATCTCACTGCTGCCCTAGACGACGCAAGATCCAGGATTGGAATCTTGTTAGGAGAAGCAGACAATGCAAAGGCTTTAAGGCTGAGGGAGCTAGCTGCTCACGAGGCTAGTGTCAACAAACTTCAGGCTCAAATCAACTATTCTCAAGGCGCCGGACATGACATGTCTCACGTTCAGGGAGAGCTGGAAAATGCGAAAGCCAGGGTTAGGACACTAGACCGTGGACTCAAAGAATTAACATTAACGGCATCGGCATTACGGATGGAACTCGCTAAAGAGAGGGAGAATCATTCGGAGAAGTGCCAGAACCCGGCGATCTGTCAAAGGCAGATACTCGAACTGAAGGTTGATTGTGAGAAATATCGACTCTATCAGCTCGAGAACGACCTCCTAGCTCGCGCATCAGCTCAGAAACTGCGTGGGCTGACTGCTAAGGATGTCGTCCACATCACCATCAGATCCTACTTGCATGAGATGACGGTGAAGTTCTTAGAATTTCAGGCACAGGGAACTCCAGGCCTTAACACTACCAATCTGCAAGTCGAGCTGATCCGAAAAGACTATGCGGAGCAGACTGCGATCAAAGAAAGACTCGAGCGTGAATTAGAAAGACTTGGAGGAGATGTAGTGGCTGTGCGTATGGGAAGAGACACGACTCGACCTCAAGATTGGAGAACAGAGACACTCACATATGAACAAAATCATTATCGAGTGTTCCCCATATACGAAGAGCTTACACAGACCGTGATCAACCTTCATGATTTACTTGTAGCATTCTTCCCGAACAAAGTCCCAGCTTGGCAACCTGAACCAGCACGGAATGATGCAACACAATGGCCAGTTGGTAGACCACCAGAATCGATGCAGCTGCTGCTACAATACAGCACTACGAATGCATCCATTAACCCAACTGCATTGCACGAAGAGGCTTTGACAGAAAAGCTGGTGGTGTTAGAATGCCAACGATGGTACAATAGAGGCGTTCAACTGCTTGCGACCTTCGTCAGGTGCTGTCAAGAAACTTCTTCTCAGCAACTAGTCACCAAGGAACAGGCTGAGTATCTTGAAGGAATATCAACGGGAGCGGACCGAGTTCTCAAGCGAGTTCTCCATGCTGTTCTCATGGCTATGGTAATGCTCAAGAGAGATAAGACCGAGAGACAGCCGAATGCACGAGAGAAAAAGCGATTCGAAATCTATACCGCGATGCAGCACTCAATTACCGCACTAACAAACTCAATCATTGAAAATCAGAAAATAGTTCCTCGTTGGTCTATTCTGCTTCCGGCCAAAAGTCAACCAATCACCCGAGCAGACGACCTTGCAACGGCTCTTGTCATCCAAGAGATGATTACTCTTGAAAGCCGGATCATTCAGCTGAAGCGGTTCATGATCGACTTTCAGCTGCCCGGAACTATACATGGCCCTATGCAGAGTCAGATTCAAGGAGACAATGGCCGGTATAGCAAGGAATACAATACACGTGTTGCAGCGATCACATTTGCAGAGCTCACAATGGCTCACTGGATGGTCTGGAAAGCTCAGAAACCGGAACAGGTATATGGCGACAACGGCATACCACTGCTTAACGAGAAAAAGGAACCAGTATTCCGACCGAGGCCATCGACTGATGTTCAATTGCTGCCCTTGAAATGGGAAGACTTTATGGTTGCCATCAAAATGAAGAATGCGGAGGTCAAAGAGCAGGATAAAGACAAATGGCCAGAGGACCAGAGCCCAATGCTTGTCATTGATCCTCAGCTAGGTCCAAGGATCAAATTTGTGCCCAACTCGGAGTTGAAGGACCAGAAAAGCAACAATGGCAAATCTGTCAAAGATAAGGCTGATAAGGGTGACAAGAAGGGCAACGAGAATCAGAACGATACTGGGAGCGATGCTGACAAGCAAAAGGCAAGGCAAGAGTTCGAAACGAACAGAACCAGGATTCTACAGCTTTCAAATCATATCCAAGACTGGGGCATCAAAGGCAGCATAGCATTACCGCAGATAAAACAGCTCGCCAAAAATGCAGCACTTCAGACAATCAAGGCCCAAATCCTTACACAGAATTCGGAATTGGCAATGCTGAGTACAATTATCACATCAAACAACCGTCAAGTACCCAAGTGGCCCAAGAATGGTGGACCGATGAAACCAAAGTGAAGCTGAGGTTTGTCTTTGGGGGTTGAGTATTCTAGCAATTTCACGAGTTATCGTGGCGCATGGCGTTGAAGACTATTTTGAAACCCTTTAAGTTGTAATGCATGCATATCCTTTATCTTGTACAAGACCTACTTTCCCTGAGTCCGTTTGCAAACTACTCGCCTTTGTGCTTAAATATTGTCAGGTTACTCATTCTTTATCCGGTAGTAAAGTGACATGTTCCCATCAATGACCAGAAAAACTTCCAACGACGTCTTTGTCTGTCGAAGTTTCATTCAGCCTTTATTCTAACCTACAATATCCCCAGCTTCAAATCACCGAAAACAATTTGATCTCTCTTCAATATTTTCTCGAGTTCCCCAGTAACACCAATCAAAGGTTACTGACGCACGAGATTCTGAAAAACGACGGCACTTTTTGCCAACAGATACAACGTTGAAGATATGAATTCACGTGTCCAAACCGTTATTGCCTTCTTCGGGCTCTTATGTTTTCTGGTTCTCTGGAATCAACGGTGGATAGGTGGTTGGTGGCATTACCGGAACGAGTACAATCTTGCAGTCCATGGAGCGAGCAGCATAGGTCCAGTGTGCTATCATACTCTGAGAGAAGAGAATATCTGGAACAGAGTGCTGTCCAATGGAGACTGGTACTTCGTAACGGACTGCCGAGGAAACAGAGATGGACACGAAGTTCTCGTACCTGGCCTGAACAACTCGACTCCACCTATCAAGGAATCGAGTACACCTGTCAAGGTGCCTACTACACACATTAAGGAATCTACACCTGTCAAGAAATCCACTAATCCTGTCAAGAAACCGACTGCACCGATCAACGAACCTATACCTATCAAGGAATCGACGGCACCTGTCAAAGATCATACAGATGTCGAGGAACATACAGATGTCGAGGAACCTGTAGCCACGGGGAATAATCCGACCGATTCCATAGATAGCGCAACTGCAGCCGCCAAGGAACCTGTAGATCTAGTGGATGATTCGACTTGGGTTGGAGACAACTCAAAAGATCCAGAAAATGTAAGTGATTCTTATCAGAGCTTAGAGCAGAATCAAGGATGAAAGCTGAACTTTGCAACTGTAGCCTCGCCCAGTCAACCCAGACAGCTTATGGACGCTGATTCATGACTCCACTCGTAAATTCGCTGCTTTTCTGGGGAGCTACCTAGAGCCAGCAGCCGTGCGAGCATGGTTTACTCGTACTCGTGTCTCTTTCTCAGAAGGGTTCTCTCGTATAATCTATGACAAAAAGATCTGGGGAACATCCACTATCGCTGAAACTTTCACGGAGTATACAACTGGGTCCAATTACAACGTAGAGTGGTTTTCACGGGCTGCTAACTGGCTTCAAAGCCGATCAATGCCAGACTGGTTTCCAACTACATTCCCAGGTCTTCCCATGAGTCAGATCTGGGCACTTGTGGTCTCAATCATATCTTTCCTGCTACAGCGCCTTGGTCAGTTGCAATCGTATGAGTACAGCATTTTCGCAGGACCCTGGTTCCCAGTCTGTATCGCTGAGTTGTTGCCTTCACTTTATGCTGAACTTCCCGCTGAGGTGCAAACTTTCATGCACACTGTATCAATCTCTCTTCTCTCTCCGGTTCCATATCTTGGAATCAGCCTTTTGGCTGCAATCATCCTTGCTCTCCTTTTGGTCGGCTACAGTTATGTGAGTGTCCTCCGTGCTTTAATAGTGAGCCCAATCTAACATACCCAGTTTGCTTCTCACGTTATCGACCAAGCCTTCTATGGTGGAGGGCATGCTCGAGATAACTTGCTCTGGAGAACGCTGCCCAACTTACTCCACTTCGGTCGCGTCAATTATGCGCTTGTCCAATGGACTTGGATAGGCCTCATTCAAGGAATAGTTACCAGCCTCATCATGGGATTCTGGGGAATATTCCAGGGTACAGTCTGGCTTGGAAGGCTCCCTTCTATCTGGACAATAAATCTATCGACTCAAATTTGGGCCGTGGTAGCTGTTGGTTACTGCGTATTCTTTTTCATCTTTGCGCCAGTCGCCCTTCTGGTCTCAAGATATCCGGTAACCCCAGTAAACATACTCACCGGATTCGCGATTCCTCCAGCATTAATAATATTGAGTCTGTTGGTGAGTGGCAACCCGCAGTATCTAACATCATTTGCTAATTGATTTTAGATCATTGGTGCAGTCACTCAAGTTGGCTTTGTAGTCATCTGTATTTTGTACTTTGCCACCATACAACTTCCGCGACTCGTGTATTACACTTGGCCGCACGTTCTTATTGATCTACCTACTCGTCCACAGCAACAGATCTACGCAGGTAGAGTCACGAGGGTCTCTATTTATGTAGCTGGTGCCTACATTGCTGTTATGGTGATTCAAGCCCTATCGAATCTTTCCATCACGGTCCCATTACCATTCTTCATCTCAATTACCGGATTTATCATCTATGTTGGCATCAGACGCCAATTTCATGGCCGATGCCTTGGATTTGTACCTATGTCATTGGTTCTAGGCATGGCAGCGACTATCAATGGAGCTTTGGAAGCCTTGACAATCGTTTGTTTCGTTCTTCTCAACGTCTTTGGTCACGTTCTTATCGCAGCATTTCTCTCGAGAACGTTTTCGACATCTTTAATGTTCTTTGAAGCAAGAAGGAGCACCAGCTCAGCCATTGTATACAGTTCTCTGGCATGGCTGGGGCATCATGCTTTGAGAAGGCTGCCTAACCTTGGTACGATAGTGGTGGCACAGCTTTATCGTCTTACTGGAACCTCCTTCTACTTAGCTTTGTTACCTGATAGGATCCCTGAGAAAATCGCAACAAAGGTTGAGACAGATGTCGTTCCTCTTCAGCGGAACGCGGCTCGAATCACGCCTCTGATAGTCTGGATTGTGTTGTTGAATCGAATTTTCTACTGGGGTGCAGCTTCGTCGTTCATAACAAAGCTGTTTCTGTCGTGGGTGGCATTCTTTGTCATCAAAGCAAAGGGGGAAACTCCAATTCATCCCGCGATTCCCAGTTTGAATCGATTGGCCACAAAGATGATCCGAACCTGGGGTACAGTATTACTACTCAGCGAGGCCGAAACCTTAACCGCAGTGTTTTATCTTGCTAAGAACATAGCTGTGGATCTCTTGACGGCATTCGAAAGCAATACCAGTTTCTTCTCCAATGCCACGATAATATTCAGGGGTATCTTAACAACTTTCCCCACTTTCGTATATTACTTGGCATTTGGATCTGCAATTCTGGCACTATACTTGGTCTCCAGTAGCTCGATATGGAAACGCGCTCTAGGATATAGTTCTCTTCTTGGAGCTATTGTGTTTTCGGACCAGACAGATTTTAAGCTTACCATCATAAACACAGTAGGGTCTGTTGTAAGTGCGCCCTATTTCCGGTTCAAGCTTAAAATTTAATTAACCGTCCACAGTTTATGGTCAATATTATAACATACTTCTATCCATACTTACTGCCCAACCGCCCAAGCGCTGGAACAGTCATACTCGGCCTCGTCATGGCATCTCTAGCAGTACAGGACAAGTTAGATACCGCTAGTGCTTTTTACCGTCGAGCTATCAATTTCATCACCAGGCTCCCGGGACTGGTAATCCAACATGTGACAGCTGCTCTCAAATTCTTCATTGGGGTCTATTGGTGGCCATCCGCTCTATCTGCAATTGCAATTGGACTCCCTATGATTTACGTGGGACTAGAGGTTGTTAGCACGACGTCTCTTTTAAGTCTTTTTCTTAATGGATTAGGGCTAACGTTGGTAAGTTGCCTCTTATTTTGGTAAGATTACTGTTTAACGAATCATAGGTATGCAATGGAGTAGCTAGTATACTCTATCATGTCATAAAGGATTGGAGAACACGAAGAACACAAGCGGCCTAGCCAGACAATGCTGGGCCTGGTACGTAAAACATTCCGCATTCCGCTCTACTACTAGGAACCATCTCGGCGGTAGAGCAGTCGATGCGGTATTGTCACTTATTGTAGATAAGATCCAAATCGACACCAAAGCAGAGACCCTTATTATTTCTGTGGTCTTGCTATCATGCGTGTTCTCTTCGTGGTTGAGTTCTCCATTGCGCTCGTTGTGGCTTTAGCTAGCATTATTTACTTTTACACGAGCTTGTCATGGTGGATATTGTTTCTGGCGTTTTTCGTCCTTGCTTCCATTGGTTTTTATCTTTATACGTTAGAAAGTTTTGGTGTATTGGTGGCTTGTTTTAGCGAGTTTTGGAGCCATTCCTTACAATTTTGTGGATGGCTTGTAAAGAGAATCTTGAGTTCACTTTTTGATGCGTGGTTAAATGTAGACCAGTGTTTTGATCCTGCGGAGGATGGGAATGTTAATGCGGAGGACAATTTAGAGGCCTTGCAAGAAAGAGCCCGCAATGCTGAGACCAGTTTGAGGGACGTGGAACAAAGACTTGAGGATTGTAGGGCAAACAGGGATGTAAACAGTACAGAGGAAAGTGCATCAGATTCTACGGTAGAAGAACAACTGTTGTCTGAAAATCAGAGTTTACGAGATGAAATACAAAGGTTGCGGGACCAATCAGACCAAAACGACCCTGAATCCTCGAATGAGGCCGATCCCACAGATAAGGCGGCTCTAAGGCGGATACGGCAGCGTCTAATCCATGCAATGAAAGAAATCAAGGAATTAAAGACCAAGGTTTCTCCCGATTCTGATAGAATGATCATAGACGAGACTACTGCCGCCGGAATGTTAGCGAAAGTTCGTCTTGCAGTAGGAAACTGTCTTGGCGAGATGTCTGAGGCAGTCCCTGAGAATGAACTCAGTATCCAAAAAGCGGTGGAGTTTATTTACGAAGTTCTTCGAGGAATCCCAACTTTAGGGGAGAACCTCATGAGAGAGGAGACCAAGATGCGGAGAAGCCAACTCGAGTTGGGAAAGTCCAGAGAAAGGGTTTTGCAACTGGAGAGTGTGCTCCGTACATTGAATATGGAAGCACGCCTGGCCTCCTTCAGGGTGAACTCGAAGCAGTCGGCGTCCCACTACGACGCCGCAGAGTATATCAGGGACACCGCTGACCTTCTGATCGGTCTTAAGAAGCAATGCCAGGACTCTTACTTGGCCTTGGAAGGAGTGGGGCTGCATCCTGACATCGGGCCATTGCAATTCATTCAGCAGTGTACATCAAGGATCAAGCACTTGAATGATAAAGTTGACCAAAACTTCAAGTTCAGAAACACTATACTAGAGAATCGAGAAGTGATGCTAGCCTATCTCCAAGATGAAAATATCAAACTGCAGACCGAGATGGAACGGCCGACCCCAGAGCTCGAGCAGACTCGAAACGAAATTAGAATTCTGAGGCTAACTTCAATGGATGCAGCTATGAGGCATGGCTCGAGAGCTAAACTGACAGTCGAAGAGTCTGAAACCAGACGCTCCAGGTATAATTTCATGGTCTTGGCATTTACAAAACTCATCGAGTTCGTAAAAGCTATTCCTAAGCAGTACCCAAAAAGTATACTTCCTCAGTGGATAGAACGACAGGTTGTCCCCGAAACTTGTGAAAAAGACTCTCTAGTAGTGGGGCTGGAAGACATTCAAGAGCTTCGACTCAGATCCATTGAACTCCTTCTTTATGTTCAAGACAAGGATTGGCCGGGCTCGCGGCCAAATTGGATACCTTCTGGCGAGGCCAAGGAAGTTGATGATCATGGAAGACTTCTGCAGGAAATCTCGAAACAAGTTTCTGCTGCCCTTGTGGAAGCAGAAGTCGAGATGTCCGGGGCTGGTTATGAAGATCCAAAAACTCAACCTGCTGGGAGTAATGGGACGACAGCATCGCGGATGAGAGACCGGAGAAAGAAATTTGCTATTAGAGAGTCTTTGAAGTCTCGGACATCTAGGTCTTATCACATGAAGCCTTCACCTTCAGGGTTTATTCCTCCGGTCTCACGGGATCCGAGACCATATGGTGGTGTCTCGGCGGACTTTGGATTTACCAACCCTCATGAATTTTGGTCTACGTCCTTTTTGGATTTTCACCACCATCAACCGAAGTCCTCTTATTTCACAACGGTTGAGGACGATGATGATCTTTCCGACGAAGTAGACATTGCCATTGGCAGAAAGTGGAGAGTTGTTCCAGCTGCCATCAGCTACTACGATCGCATGGTCGCTCTTCATGTTTGTCTCAAAACAAACAATATCTCAATTTCCGACTGGAAATTACCTAGCCGAGGGACCATTGATAAGATTCGACCTCAAGCAGCAATATTCACTGATAAAGATATTATCCTCTCTCAGATTGACTTTATGAAAGAAAGGATTGTTCCTCTAGAAGTCATTTGGGAAGAAAATGAAGGGGTGCTTGGGAAATTGGAACGACCAATTTGGGAGCTTGAGACAGGAGACACTGATCTATCTTCTCGTGAAGAAATCAAGAGAGTTTCCCAGGAATGGCAAGACAATCCAGACGCGCAGCTACGCTACGTCCATATGAAATGGCTGCATGCAAGAATGAGCGATCAACTTACTCCGCCTCCAAAACGGGATCTACCTTCTTCCGAGGATGTTGATAAAGTCAGACCAGACAAAACACCATATTCCCCGGGCGACGTAGTACTCTCTCAAATCACGTTCCTGATAGTCGAGATTACATACTTAGAAGATCTGTGGCAACTTAACACGGGAATCCTTGGGGCATTGCCACGATCTGCATGGCAAGACGCGGATCAAGTTCTGGACCCGATTTCGAGTATAAGTAAAAACAAGCAATTGATCAAGCGCTGTCAAGAGCAGGAAGTAAAGATCCGGGGGCTAGAGCTGCTCTTGACGATCGATGGCATTGCAGGTTGGGCTGCCGCAGATCCACTCGATGCCTCCATATCTCCAATGTCAAGGACTTCCGAACTGGAAGCAAAGCTTCAGTCTTTAATTGCATTGAATTCCGATCGACAAGCGTTGCTTAATTCCAGCAGTGGAGGATCAAAAGCAGACACTCCGGTGGAGGAATGGAATAAAGCAAATGAAGATCCGTTGCAAAGAGGTATAATGTCGCGGTCAGAGCTTGTACTGCGTCGTCCAGTACTAGCAGGGTACATTGAACGTGTCAGTCGAGAGATTGTTGATAAAAATGCTTCGGCAGGTGCCGAAATAAACGAACATCGTAGAGTGTACTTGGTTGGGTATTTGGAACAGATAGAGAAGTTGAGAAAGATGGGCCCTAGCGAAAAAAAGGACGATGATGCGGGGTCGAATGATTCCGAGGAGCTTTGAAAAGAGACGAGGCCTAGTATTGGATGTACTGTACAATAGAATTCTGAGATTTGGCGTTTGGAGTCCATGTATTAACTCGTAGAGAGCAATTCCTTCAATCCGTCTGTGTGAAACAAACCATCCAGGTGAAAGAATTTTACCGCTCGTCGATATGCCTCCTCATTTCCCTGGTACTTGACTACGTCGCCTTAGTCTTGCTAATAAAACCTGGAGCTGGCAAGCTCAAGACCTCGATGCGAATACTTCGTCACCGGGGTATCAGTTGTAAAAACAGGGGTCAGTTCTTTTGAGTAGACTTTACCTAAGGAAGTAACGATTCACCGATTTATCAGATCTTATTGGAGAATTTCCCCCTGCCATCGAAGAAGTCTCTCGAAGGCTTGGCACAACTGATACGCCGGAGACCAAAGTACTTTTAAGTGGGGTTTCGTATCGGGGGCAGAAGGTCATAAGCTATCACTGCGCTGAGGGACCAGCCGAACGGCGTTGATAGAACTACTGTACATCTTGGCCAGTTCAGGATGCGGCGAGGGCCATTGAAAAGAATGTCTTGTCTTCAGGGTAGCAAAGCTCCCGGGGATAACAGGGCAAGCGGAGGGTGGATCGCGTGATGATTTGATGAAAGGTCGTCCTGTCTGGACTCTTCATGAGTGATGTTTATTGCTCATGAGCTGCAGAAACAGGCAGTTTAAGAGTTGAGAATTTGAGGCGCATGCACGGCACTACTGTAAATCCCGGATGACCCTGAAGTGTCCATGCACATGATGCACTCTCAGCGCCAAATCCAAGCGCCGCCTGCATCGCATCCTCACACTCCACTCCACTCTAACCACAACCCCACCTTCTTCCCCGAACATCCCCGCTGGCCGGAGAATCAACAACGAACATCACCGACTATAATACCTCCTCCTATATATGACACCATGGCTGAGCATCTTCAAGAGGACGGTGCCAGTGAGACTTCATCAATAGACTCGAACGGCTTTGTTCATTTGCGTTTTCCGGACACAGATATCCCCTCCCATCCAGCGAACTCAAAATCGAGCAACGTCAGCATGACCGAGACGCACACTTTTCCCAAGGAGCTGCCAGACTGGAGTAACTTGGAAGTCTTGCACAGAAACACCCTCCCACCAAGAGCGTCCTTCTTCCTGTACAACACGTATGAAGATGCGCTGACACGTGATATATCCAAGTCGAAAAGTCTCTCTTTGTCCGGGACATGGAAGTTCAGTCTTGCGAAGAGTCCTTTCGATGTTCCCCTCGACTTCTACAATCCCGAATATAATACTGCAGAATGGGGGAAGATGGAAGTTCCTGGTATGTGGCAATTGCAAGGCTATGGCAAGGGTCCACAGTGAGATTACCCCGCGATGTTGCTCTCGTGGTTCTGGGTGGTCCTGACATTCTCAGCTACACCAATATGATTTATCCATTCCCGATCGACCCTCCTCATGTACCGTATGATCAGAATGAGACCGGGTGTTATACTCGAACTTTTGAAGTCCCGGAATCGTTCAAGGACCAGCAGTTGAGATTGAGGTTCGAGGGTGTTGATTCTTCGTTCCATGTTTGGGTGAATGGAAAGGAAGTGGGCTACTCTCAAGGATCTCGCAATCCATCTGAGTTTGACATATCTTCCTTTGTCAAAGAGAAAGGAGAAAACACTCTGGCAGTGCAAGTGTATCAATTTTGTGACGGCAGCTACATTGAAGATCAGGTAGATCATCTTTATTCCAGACTTCTGCAATCACACACTAACAGAACGTAGGATCAGTGGTGGCTGAGTGGTATCTTCCGCGATGTCAACCTGCTTGCGTTTCCCAAGATTCATTTCCAAGACTTTCACGTACAAACTCACTTGGATTCCAAGTACGAAGACGCAACTCTATCAGTTGAAGTAGAGCTGAACACCCCGTCGCTTGTCAGCCTTGTGCTTCTTGATGCAGCTGGCGAAGTTGTAGCCAAGAACATGCAAATCGCGGTCCCCAGCATCACATTCAAGGTCCCCATAAAAGCGCCCAACAAGTGGACAGCGGAGACTCCGTACTTATACAAGCTGGTTTTGACAACTTCGAGCTGCGCTGTTCACCAACGGGTTGGTTTCCGAGTTTCCGAGCTAAAGAACGGCATCTTTCTAGTCAATGGCAAGCCAGTCAAGTTCCGTGGAGTCAATCGTCATGAGCATCATCCGGATCACGGACGAGCAGTACCATACGAGTTTCTTCGCAGAGATCTCCTGCTCATGAAGACGCACAACATTAATGCTATCAGAACTTCTCATCAATTGAATGACCCGCGACTATACGATTTGGCTGATGAGCTTGGACTCTGGATCATGGATGAATGCGATTTGGAATGCCACGGCTTTGGTGAGGTGGATGAGATTTCGATACCTGAAGAATTCCGTGAACTTCCAGATATCGAGAAGGCAGAGAAGAGATCAAGAAATCCAAATCGATGGGCTTCAGATAACCCTGCTTGGAAAGAGGCATATCTCGACAGAGCAAGGCAAGCGGTCTACCGAGATAAAAACCACCCTTGTGTGATTATATGGTCCTTGGGCAACGAATCTTTCTACGGCCGGAACCACCAAGCCATGTACGACCTGATTCATGCTTACGATCCTACAAGATTGATCCACTACGAGGCTGATTACTATGCAAAGACTGTCGATATTTTCAGTAGAATGTACTCATCTGTCGATGAGATCACAGCATTTGCGACACAAACTGAGACATGGGAGAAGCCGCTGGTAATGTGTGAGTATGTTCATGCCATGGGTAATGGTCCTGGAAACATCAGAGAATATATCGAAACATTCTACAAGTACCCTAGGCTCATGGGTGGATTCGTTTGGGAGTGGGCGAATCATGTGAGTGAATTGCTTCCTCGGAAAGCTCATAGCTGACAAGCGTAGGGACTCCGAACCAAGACAGCTGATGGAATAGAGTACTACGGATATGGTGGAGATTTTGGAGATGAGCCGAATGACGATCATTTCGTCTTGGACGGGGTCCTATTCTCAGACCATTCTCCAAACCCTGGCCTCATTGAGTACAGAAAGGCCATTGAGCCTATCCAGGTTTTAAGCGGTACCAAAGACAAGGTCAAAATCATCAGTCGATATGATCATACAACATTGGATCATCTCAAGTGTACTTGGAGTTTAGTAGGTGATAGCTTCAAGAAGGCTGGGAATGAGGTCAAAATACCATCAGGTTGGTAGCCTTGGAGACTCTTTGAAATCTGCTGACAGCATACAGGCGTCCAACCAAACCAGATCGTTGATCTAGAGATCGAGGGACTTCCGGATCTCACAGCTGATGAGACCTACCTTGAACTAAGCTTTACACTCCGCGAAGATACGAATTGGGCAAAATCCGGTCATGAAGTGGCTTTCGGTCAAGTACTTCTCGTTCCTACACCAGCAATGTCCACCATCAAATCATTACGCTCGCCTACGGCCCCAACTTATAAGCAACTCACTCCTCAGCTTCTTTCCATTGGTAGCTCTAGTGGAGTGCAGTGGCAGTTCAACATCGTCCATGGCACTTTAACATCATGGAAACGTCCCTCTGGCGAGGAGCTAATCCATACCCCTCCGGTGGTCGATTTCTATCGGGCAATAACGGACAACGATGGCCCTAAATTTGGCAAAATCTGGACAGCAACTTTCCTTCATCAGACAAAATGTCACGTGAGATCAGTGTCCTGGTCAAACACACCTGACAGCGTAGTAGTCGTTGTGAACACACGAATCGCTCCCCCTGTCTTGGAGTGGAGTGTTGATTCTATCTTCACGTATACCTTCACCTCAAAGCATGTCAGTTTGAAGATCAAAGGTGTGCCTCAAGGTGTAAATCTTCCACACACATTTGCCCGGATTGGTTTGACGATGAGCTTGAATGATATCGAATCCGCCACTTGGTTTGGACGAGGACCAGGAGAGTCATACCGAGATAAGAAGCTCTCGCAACGAATTGGGACATACAACTTGCCCATAGACGAGCTCTACACGAGTTACGAATTTCCACAGGAATCGGGGAACAGGACGGATACGAGATGGGTCCATTTCAAAGGCAATCACGGAGGCCTGAAAGCATACTTTGGGCTCTTGCAAGAGGCTAGTTTCTCCGCGCTGCATTATTCGACTGCCGATTTGGACGAGGCTCAGCATCCGTATGATTTGATCAGCAAGAAGAAGAAAGAGACAGTCGTGAGATTGGACTGGGCGCATCATGGAATCGGAACAGGAAGTTGTGGACCAGCGACCTTACCTGAATACTCTTTGGAAAGTAAAGAGTTTGAGTATGAAGTGCTGCTTGAATAAGTATCGTAGCTTTAATGTCAAAGGTTATTCAATTATTTTCCGCGACGTCTAAAACCTTTCCAAAAGCTTCGTCTTCAGCTTTTCCGAATTACACATTGCATTAATCTAGCCCGATAAAATCCCATTAATGTACGACCTCCTTAGTATGCACGACCCATCCTCAATGTCTCAAGGCTATCCTTGTTTCTCAGCCTAACCTCAATGTCCGTCTCAACGCGAATCTCATTGTCCCTCCTTTCTCTGGTGTCAGGCACCTCCGGAAATTCCATTCCCTCCCAAGGCAGAACCTCGTCAAGGTAGTCAAGGTTCCTCGAAATTCTTGACGGCTGGTAAGGCTGACGTTGAACACGGTTTGGGGAGACCGAGCTACCTGGGCTTGAAGGTATAAAGAGACGTGTGCGCAGCGGTGGTTGAAGACGTTTCTCGCCAGAGTTCTTAGATATTGCTCGAGCTTGAGACGGCGGTAACCTCTCCTCTGCAGTGATATCAGGAGAAGTTGCTCTGGAGAAAGAATCTGGTGTCAAAGCTCCAGTCCTGGCGTCAATAATCCTAGGTACAGGAGATGAATCATTTGCTTCATGCGAAAATATTGGATTTGAGGCTACAGGTGCTGACCTGCCGACTGTTTTGGGCGCCAGCGAATCCTTGCCACCTATCATCTTCTGAGAAGCACTGTTCCCATCATGGAGTTCTCGCACTTGATTTGCTGCTATTCTTCTAGGTCTTAAAATGAGACATGATATTGCGAGTGTGAGGAAGCTAGAGACCAAGACGCTTCCAATAATAATGAGAGCTGTTTGGGCTGGTGTGAGCAAGACGAAGTCTTTCTGCGCGGTCGGCCCAGGAGTCTGCGGAGTGGTTAGGCAAAGCTGTCTCGTTCAAGGAAACACTTACTGATTGGTTATCGGGAGCTGAAATAGCCGTTGTTGAGGCAGAAGCTATTGTTTGTCAGTCAGTGAAAAACAATCAGACTTGGAGAGATCAACCTGAAGCTGCAGCAGACTGAGCAGAAAGAACAGCACTAGAAGCAGAAGCCTTTCTTTTCATCAGCTATACATTCTTCTCTAGTGAATTATCACAAACATGTCTCAAACAAGCCGAGATATGTAATTACTAGTTCACGATCGAGTTTATTAGCACGTACCATCAAACTATCTATTGCAACACTTGCCGAACTCGCGGCATTCAATGCACTTTTTGTGACAGCAGCAATAGACTGTGATGCCAAAGCAGATGCTTGTTCCACTGCGGCAGAAGCGGAAATGGACGCTTCCATGATTGCTTGAGCAGCTGTTGCTTGGGCGTGTTGAATTGATCGAGAGGCAGCGACAGTCGCAGCATTAATGGCAGCTTGGGCACTGTTGGAACAATCGCCTGCATTTTGTCTGATGTTGATGAACCGGGCACGAGTGATTGAGGCTTGAGGCGCGGAGGAACTGGTGGAATGTTGACATGGAGTCTGCGTCTGGAGGCATGAGGGGCTCGACATGGCGTGGTAATAATTGAAGCTAGAAAGATGGAACGCAGAATTCAGTCATCGTAGTAGAACAGCATGGACTCGAGTATATGGGCCTGGGAAATATTCTTGGTGTTATGCATAAAGTAACAGTGGGCATTGATTGATTCTTGGTCGTGAACATGAACAATTCCATCTCCTTCAGATGAAATTCCATGATAGCATACGCACCATATTATTGGAGGAGGAAGGAACAAAGCAGCATAGTCGACGTGTTTGTCACGCAGGGTGTTTGGTATTCTTCTCGGAGCAAGAAAAGCAATTCTCGCGAGTGACTTTCCTTCGAGGGCAGACATGCGACTGGTTATCCGTGACGACGCAGGTCCCTCTTGAAGTCTGAAAACAGGACCTCTTCACACACCCCGAGGTAATTGACGCCACCTAGGTATAAACCTTTCACTGGAGAGTGAAGAGATCTCACGAAAGTAGATCAGTGAGGCGAGATTAATGGTGTTCTAGAGACCACGAGATCGCATAGGATAGAACTGAGGGGCAAGAACTGAAAGATTCGACGCTTTATTTTTGCATTCATCGTGATATGTACAAGGAGGTAAAGCAACAGAAGAGATCAATGATCCTAACTATCCAGTTCTGGTCATGACCTCGTGATGGTATCGTAAAAACCTGCATGCGCATCCATCCCCTACCGATTGAAAGAAAGAAATTTGATGAATGATGCTTCCATTGAAGCGCCTCGAAGTGAAAAGAAGATTAAATCAAACAGTCATAATGTACACATACCCTGTATCTAGTCACCTAAGCTCTCAATTGCTCTGCTGCGACTGGCTGTACTGCGACATCCGAACCTCGAGAACCTGACTCAGGTGTTGCAGATCAACCCGCGCCTTATCGTCTTCCTCCAAGATACCTCGAATAATTTGCCACTCGACCTCTCTCATTTGGAATGCCTGGGGCATGAGAAATGCGACAGTTGGAGCTTCAGCGAATGTGCCAAGGATCTTCAATGCATTGGTCTCGCCCTCTCGTTGAGCATGGGCTCGCTCTTGCTCTTGTTGGTATCGTCTTTGGGTGTCATCTGAGGGAAACTGTTGCTGAGGAATCGGAGGGGTGGGAAAGGTGCCCTGGCCTTGAGGTGCAATAGGAGACATTGCAGGACCAGCACCACCAATGGACATTTGACGCTGGGGATGGGCCTTGACGGTAGGAGAGTGCACATCACTAGTGCCATCAAAACTTCGTCCTAAATCAGGTCCTTCATTGCGAATGACCAAAGCGATGACAATCATAGGCTCAGAACGGTCTTCAGCGATCTTGTGTCCTTCGAGGTTGACGATGAAATCTGGCAGATTAGCTGGCGATGGTGGCACTGGAACGAGGTATGTATCTCGAATGTTTCCGATGCCTTTGTTGGCGAGAACACCATACCGATTCTTGCTCTGGAAGTAATCGTATAACTCTTGAAATCCTTGTGCGGCGTCATCTCCTGCCGGGGTGACATTGACCACAACAACGTCGGTAGGTGGGCTGTATCTGAGGCTGCAGAGGTATTCGTTTGCCTTCTCACGATCAATTCGACCTGCAACCTTGAGCTCCTTCTGAAGGACATCAGCCCAAGCCAAAGTCCGACTGATGTCTACACCGGCCACATGTTTGGCATCGGCAGGGAACTTGGCGATAGAGTCCATGACGACAGTTCCACGCCAGACGATGTCAGGATCGGATTTATATTCGGCAGGGGAGTAAGGTTCAGATTCGTTACCATCATCCTCCAACATCCTATCAATTTCTGGGTCGTTACCAGGGCCATTGGCTGGGGGTGCATTGCTGATAGATTGTGTTCGAGTATGATGTGCGCTGACAGGTGACTGGGACGGAACGTTCGAAAAGACCTTGTTGATGTCAAAGTCAGCTTGTCCAGAAGGCTTCCTCATCGGTAGACCAGTTTTCGTCTCGATATTGAGAGGATGCTTTGGAACGACGTGACCTCGAATGTCATCCTGAGACCGATAAGAGTTGATGTCAGGAAGCTCGACCTGTGTTCCGGGAGAGTTCTCTCGTGATCTGGCCGCCATATCCGCATTCGGGTCTAGCATGCTGCGTCTTCGAGAAGTAGACATCGTATTATCGTTTGCAACCGCAAAATTGTCACCCTCGATGACCTCTTCTCCCTTGTGTGTTCTGCGTACTCTAGGACCATCGTCGGAGACCATGATCGATTGCTTATCTGCTCGTGCCTTCATCTCTGCAGTTTCTCGCTTCAACTCCTTGCTAGCCATATCGTCTGTGGTCATTGTAGCCAGGTCATGTGGGGATAGGGTCCTGGTCAAGAGACCATTGCACAGCTCCTGGTTATGCTTGAGGTTGTTGAAGATGGCTCGAGACTGCTTACTATACGATCCTTTGTCAGGGTGAGTTGCGTGAATGGCATCTTCGACCTCAATGGCTAGGCGCTCCGCCTTCGCCTCAATGGTATCATTTTCTCTCAAGACATAGATTCCATTCTTCACAGCGATGGGCAGAGCGTGTGCCAATCCTTTGTTGACCAGCGTCGCTCCTGCTTGCCGAGCTGACTCGAGGTCAAGGATCTTAACCGTCAAACCAGTGATGGGTGAATCTTGTCTTGGAGTTGTGTGTGCAGCAGAGACTTTGCGGGACTTGGTAGGTGGGAGCTCCTGACATGGGTTAGTTTGGGTCTACAAGCGAATAATTATCACATACCTTTGCAGACTCTTTGTCCTGAGAATCGCCCCTGTTCTTACGCTTGGTACTAGAGCCCTTTGCCACCTCTTTCTTCTCCTTCTTTGCCTCTGCAGGCACTGGGGTCGAGGGAGATTTGGCCTTGCCGTTGGTTGTATGGCTGACTTCGGATTTCGGATCGCTGGGTCTCTTGCCCTTCTTTCCCTTTCCCTTCTTCTTCTCCTTCTCCTCATCTGCCTTCATCTTCTCGTACGTCTTACGGCGCTGCTCCCAAATCTTGACTCCATTCGCCACCGCGTCTAACAATTCCTTGTGGAATTCTGGATCGCATTCTTCGCACAGGTAGTTCTTCGGAATGTCTTCATCATATGTAGGCAAGCCCACGCAGACATTGTGTTGCCATACGTTGCAGTTGTCACAAGCAATCCATGGATCTTCGTCCCCATCCGGACTCTCCAGAGCTCCGCAGACACATCGAATAATCTCAGCTTCCTCTTCCTTCTCGACCTTCTTCGCCTTCTTTGTAGATTTCTTCTTCGGTTCAGGTGTAGCTTGATCGAGCACATCGTGACTCTTGGTGTGTTGACCTTTGGTGGCTCGCACCGATCTTCGAGGTTCATCTGTGATATGTTAGCTCTGCATTCCAATGGCGACGTGCGATCGAACCTTGCGGTCCTTCGCGTCTCGCGGGGATCTTCTCATACTTACCGGCCATGTTGGGTGACGGGCTCAAGGGCGATTCACAGATCGTGTTGTTGTGGAGCTTTACAAGGGTGGATGTTTTGTCGAGATGATTTCAAATAGAATTCGCGTGGTTTTACGCGCTCACGGGGCTCTACAAGACAAGCTATGATGTGATGATGCGGACAATGATAAAGAGAAGAGAGTGAAGCTATCCAGCGACCAAGGAGATCTCCTTGTAATGCCCAAACAGCGTGGTAGTCGCGCTCAACTCTGCCCCCGCCCGGGATCGCGTGCTGTGTTGATTCGGAGCGACTGGTCGATTGCAGGTATTCGCAGCTGGGGATCTGGTGTCGCGTACTGGGCGCGACGAGGATGAAGAAGTGTATCACCAACAGCAGAGGTTGTGGATGGATGCCGACGAGATGATGGAGTTGTTGAAGTTGACGATCCAAGCAGCGACGACGAGGCGAGAAAGAGCTTAGAAAGCCTCCAAAATTTTGGTCTTGCGGGCGTTCCTATGATTGGTGCTTATCCGCGCTAGTACAGAAGCGGAAATGGAAGCTGCCGTTGAGCTCGAAATTATCATCAGCTCTGATCAACATTTGGGCAGAGAGCGCAAGAACATTTTCTTCACTCGTCTAATCTTACAGCCATTATTCTTCTACCTCAAACAATGGCTGACGTCCGATCAATGCTCAAGAATGAGCGAGCTGCTCGGAGAATTCAACATAAACATGCCAGCTACTCGACCACCGGCACCCTCCTGTGCACCGTCTGTCACCTACAGCTGAAGAGCGAATCACTATGGGAGGGTCATCTACGATCTGCGGGACATATTATGCGACTCCAGAAGCTACAGGAAGAACCTCAAGCTACTTCTCAGCCTCCCTCGAAGAAGCGAAAAGCCAGTGACGATGAGGATGAAGGAACACTCCACAAGCGTAGCAAGCCTACCAATGGAATTCCTGAAGGTTTCTTTGATCTGGGACAAGGGGAGAGATCGCCTGTGATACCTCATGGTGCTGAAATGCAGATTCCATCGCGACCTGCCACCCCTTCCAAACCCGTCGAACTTCCAATACCCCCGAAATCAGAACCCCAGATTGACGAGGATGAATGGGCTGCTTTCGAGAACGAAATTGCAACGGCCGAGGCACAAATGCAAGCGGACAACGATGCAGTCATCTCAGCACCTGCCGTCTCTGCTGCAGATTTGGCGAAGAAGTCTGCCGAGGAGGAATATGCTACGAAGAAAGAGAGACAGGAGGCAGAGGTTCAGGGCGAGAAGGAGGATGCTGCTAGGAAAATGGAAGATGAACTGGAAGCGATGGAGGGATTTGAAGCACGGGTCAAGAGGTTAAGAGAGAAGAGGGAAGCTTTGAGGAAGAAAGAGGTGGTCAACCCTACAGTCGTCACGGCAGTGCCCGTGGAGATACCGGACGAGGAAGACGACGACGAAGACTACGAGGATGAGTGGGACAATTTCAGGATGAAGTGATACCAGGAGTACGTGTTCTATGTATTTGTTGCGCAGGATATACCCAAGGAATGATTATCAAGGCTCTACACTGCAGTGGTAGCCAATACTGATCTGAAGAGTCAATCTGGTGTACGCCAGGGGGGGGTGCATTGATGATTTCCAGCCATCAATTTGTCTTTACAAAAATCGATTGGACGGCTGTTTGATCGAGTGGCAAGCGTATCTCCGTATTGAGTGGACAACAAGATCCACAGCTTAGTCCCCATTTCAAGCCCTCTTTCATGTTGACCTATTTCTGGCTAATAGGTGAAGACCTTCAGGCCTCTCGTCGTTATGAGTTAAGGGCGTTCAGCTCAGCAGACGTCGCGCGGAAATCACAGACTCTGCATGTAGTACTCGTATTGCTCCAATTTCCACCTCCTAATCCAAGCACTTCTAAATACGGTGCAATACTTCTCATAATACTTTCAAACCAGGGCTGAGGAACCGGGTTCCCGGAATAGAGCCCCCCGTTGCTGAAGAGCCCGGATTTCTCATTGAGCTTTGACCGCCCTCCTGCATGCCATCCATTCTTGATCCAATCACAGAATAGGATACCTTCGAGAGCCCCCTTTCTTGGTGCGATGTGAGACTGGAAGCGAGGAAGTCATATTCCGGGTCCCGCAGCTTCAGAAACAGATCACGTCCGAGTAATCTTCTGGTGATGATCGCCACCATGATACAAGAAGGTTGCGCCAGCACGTTGTCTGTGAAATGCTGGGACATCGATGCTAATGTAGTACTCCATACTTTCTACCTTCTTCAAAGGATATACCCAGCATGTCTTTGGAGCCGCCGGACACCAACGTAGCTCCAAAGTACGTTATCTCTTGCGCAGTTTTAGCTGCTGTTGCTTTTGGTCTTTGCGCTGCACGCATCTATACCCGTGCTTTCCCTGTATCTCGGCTTGGCATAGATGATTATCTGATTGGGATAGCAGAGGTAAGTGAGGAGGGCATTTTGAATCACGTCGACGATGCTAAGTTGTCTAATAGATCTTGTCTCTTGCTGGGTATTGTGCTGCCGCTGCAGCAGCTGGCCATGGCTGGGGACACTTGAGTATCTATGTCTCCGCTCACAACCAAATGATTGCATACAAATGTCTATTTATCCTTCAGCTTCTTTGGATTATCGCCCTGCCGTTGGTCCGAATCTCCATTGCATTATCTCTCCTTCGATTCAGCAATGCTAGGTCATGGAGATGGACGTTGTGGGCTTTAATCTCCGTACAGGTGGTGATTACTACTGGCTGGCTTGTCGTATTATTCTTTAGCTGTCGCCCATTACGTTCAAACTGGGAAACTGTAGCAGATGTGGTCTGTTGGGACAGAAAGTACACAATTGTCTATGGATGGGTTTCTGCAGGTACGTGGTTCCTCGAAATATTCATCACATTGGACTCACGCTACAAAGCACTCCTTGTTCTCATAGACCTCACCCTCGCCCTTATGCCTATCAAGCTTATTCGAACACTAAATCGCCCATTTCGAGAGAAAGTCCTCGTGTCATGTCTCATGATGACTGGTCTCCTTGCCACAATCATCGCTTGCATCAAGATGACCACATTCAAAATCGTCGACCTAGGCGATCCCCTTCAAGCCACCGTCGAAGGCTCCTTGTGGGCCAAATTGGAGGAACTTGTAGGCATCATTGCTGCTTGTCTGCCATGCTTGAAGTCTCCTGCGGAGAGGCTCCTCCGTCGACTCGGGATCCTCTCCGATCGATATCTGCCAAATATACCAAGACCGAGCTTTGTGGTCTCCTTCAGCGGACCAATGTTTCCTCTGACCCCTGTTAGGGAAGAGATGAATCGTGATATCGAAGCCAGCGATTCGAATCTAGTTGGATCTCAAGCTACACGGTGGAAAAGTGGAACTTCAACTTCAGCCAGAACATTAACAGCGAATACCGAGCCGCATGAGAACAAGGCCTGATCTCTACTTGAAATGGAGTTGCATAGGTCTAGGTTGGGCGGCGTTAGGCAATGGAAAACTGGTTGGCAGAACCGATAGGATGTCCTCTCATGTCCACAGAAGATCAGTATTCCTTCCAGTGAACGCGATGATCCTGGAGAATGACTGTCATGTTCGAAATCTCTCGTCGAAATTACACAGAACACGAAAAAAGTCAGTTCGTGTAATCTGCCTTGCTTCATGGTCCTGCGATGCATTATTCGTATGCTCAGCGCACGCTCAGGACTGCCACAAGTCGTCCTGTTCCAAATATCTTTGTGACGACACTATCTAGCTTACCATGGATAGTTTGCGATGGTGGCAGCCGGAAAACTTTTGACAGCTGTCATTGTGGAAGTCTAACCTGAGTTAGGGAAAGCCGTCCAAGCGGCACCCGACGGAAACCACGGCTGCCACACACTTCATGGAGCCGCAACCCTCTGACTATTAGCTTTAAATGCACGAACTCTGTCTAGCCATGGTTTAGAGTGCAATTGCGGTTAAGCCATAGAAGTTCAGTATAGTTTTCGTCCGGTCCAAATCCAAACCTCTAAGATGCTAGGAGGTGAAAATTCCTCGTCACTATTCAAGCTTCTCGCCCTAGATTCTTCCTTTCTTTTTATTTATTCATCCAAACTCACAATCATTTCTTCTTCTTCGTCCCTACACAGAGAACTTCACACCCTTGAAAGTACACCAAATCGTCGAGCATCATGTTCTACAATCCTGGACGTCCACTCATAGTGATGCTTGCTAGTGCTGCCACTGCAAGTGCACTTATGATTCCCAATGGAAACATGCGAGGCCTCGCCAATAATTCGCTCTTGGTAAACCCAACTTACAAGAACGTCATCTATTTTGGCGATTGGTAAGAAAACGCACTTTGGAGCATGACAATTCGGAACGTTAACAATATACAGGAAGACTTATGACCACGGGAATGGAAAGTCACGCCCTAGCATGCTACCCGCTGAGGACTTGAGCCATGTTCTCTACTCATTTGCCAGTACCTATCCTAATGGAACTGTGTAAGTCTAGTTTTTTTGCCTAATGTGCCATGACTGATCGCAACAGGTTCATCCCAGATCTTGAAGCTGCCATAAGAATGTCCCTCGACGGTGTAACAGATAAGGCGCCCGCAGACATCGCACGTGGTTCCATTTTGGACTTGATGATTCTGAAACAAAAGAATCGAGGACTCAAGACACTGCTCAGCATCGGTGGATGGACGTTCGCTCACGAGAATAAAGTCTTCGACGTCCCTGCACACTCGGCGGAGGGACGAGCGGAATTTGCGATTTCTACAGTAGAGCTTGTCAAGGATCTCGGGTTCGATGGCATTGATATTGATTGGGAATATCCTCAGAACGAAGAGCAGGCCAAGGATTTCGTTCTCCTCTTGAAGGAAGTTCGTGTTGCATTGGATGCGTATGCAGAGAAGTCGGCCCTGGGCTACCACTTCCTCATCACCATTGCTTGCCCAGCAGGAGCCACCGAGTATGGTATCATGCACTTGAAAGAGATGGACCAGTACCTTGACTCCTGGCACCTGATGGGCTATGACTATTCGGGGGCGTGGTCTCCCGTTACGAGCCATGGCTCGAATGTATACAAGGACAAAGTACACGCGGATAACACGCAGTACTCCACGCACGATGCTGTCCAAGCCTATATTGCAGCAGGAGTTCCTGCCCAGAAAATCGTCATGGGCATGCCACTCTATGGAAGAACTTTCCAACAGACTGATGGCCTTGGTAGCAAGCACGGCGGTGTGAGCGACGCAGCTGACTATCGCGACCTTCCTAAGCCTGGAGCAGTCGAGCACTTCGACCCCGATACCGTTGCCACTTACAGCTACAATGAAGCCACACGGGAATTGACGACGTATCAGGGCAAGGACGAGACCAGAGTCAAGGCAGAATACCTCAAGACGAACGAGCTTGGTGGAGCCATGTTCTGGCAAGCATTCCAGGACAAACAAGGGGACGATAGTTTAGTTCATACCGTCCGCAAGAGTATGGGGTCGTTGGAAGACTCGAGGAATCTGCTACACTACCCGGAAAGTCAATACTCGAACATCAAGAATGTTCAGCCAGTGCAGGAGAGTGTGCAACAGACAGAAAGCGGGCAGAGACAGGAGCATTTGAATGCTGCTGGTAGTGCGCTTGCAGTAATCGGACATTGGCTTGGCCTATGGTGATCTTCTAGATCAAGGTCGGTCTGTGATTGAGGCGTTAGGAGGAGCATAGCGATGGCGCTGCGGTGTTTGCGTTGGTGTAAGGTTTACGTTTTTGCTTGCGTTTTTGTTTTTGCTTGAATTTGTATTTGGAGGATCCCTGCTTTTGGATTACCTGCATCTTCGTATTGAGGGACATTGGGATCTCCAGTGGCACATCACGATCTTGTATTGTAGAGTGAAAAGTAATACTCGTACATCTGCAACGCCCGTATGGGTGAATTGCGTGTATAATATCTGGAAATCGATTGGAAGATATATTTTATGCCGACACGACGTCAAAGTACAGGTGAGTTCCCACACGGCCCTTCCGCAATGCCTCGGTGTTGAACTCTCGGCCGCAAGATGGCGGAACAAAGTTAATCCTGATCGTCGTTGCATTCGGGCGGCAGTTGCCCCGAATTTGGTCCCGCCAGCGGCAGTCGCAGGCCCTTAAAGCCCGATGTCCCGTTGTCGCGCCTCAACAATTTGCTTCCCTTCTTCCCTGTACGCTGCGATTGCTGCCGCATCTGCAGAACATGTGAAACCAGCTGAACGAGAGCTGCAGCCATCATCGGGTCATCCGCTACGGTGAATAAATGGAAAACGGTAGGACACGCTGGTTATGTCATCAGCCCACATATGTAAGATTACCTAGGTAAGTGAAGGCAAGTTAATTTATGCTTGCTTGGGGTACGAAAGCTTGGTCGGGTCGGTACTGTATTGTCTACGCCGCGTCTGCTCCTCCAACAAGCACCAACACCAACATCAACAGCTCCTTCTTGTGGCAGGGCAAAGGCGAAGAGGTATAAGACATTCTCTTCTTCCTTCTGACTGCTAGCATTCTTCTTTTGCTTAATTAACTTCCTATTGTTGCACTCTGTCTCGCTCTTCTCTCTCAACTCTACTCTAATCACCCCTCAACATGACACAACCTATCCCTGGACCTCCTGGTCTGCCTATCTTGGGCAACATTCACGACATCGACCCTGCAGACTCCATTGCTAGCATAGGAAGACTGGCAGACACCTATGGTACGTATCTATTCCGTCTGCAGACGAGTTGAGTGCTAATGGTAGCAGGTGAGATCTTCAAGCTCAGCCTTGGCGGGGTCGAGCGACTCTTCATCTCCTCCCACGAATTAATGAACGAAGTCTGCGATGAGAAACGCTTTTCGAAGAAAGTCTCTGGTCCTTTGGAACAAATACGAAATGGAGTCAAGGATGGACTCTTCACGGCATATCCAGGAGAGCACAATTGGGAAATCGCCCACCGTGTGCTGATGCCAGGTAGGGACAAGAGGCAGATAGGAGCTTAGAGCTAATGTCTGTTAGCATTTGGGCCACTGTCGATTCGATCAATGTTTGACGAGATGCACGACATTGCCTCGCAACTGGTGGCCAAGTGGGCAAGATTTGGCCCGAAGGAGAAAATCAATGTTACAGAAGATTTCACACGATTGACACTGGATTCCATTGCATTGTAACCCCCACCAAACCCCACATTGTATTCTCATCTGACGAATGTACAGGTGTGCCATGGATACGCGTTTCAATAGCTTCTATCACGAAGAACTCCATCCGTTTGTCAATGCCATGGTGGGACTTTTGCAAGAATCTGGGGCCAGAGCCAGAAGACCAGCTGTAGCCAACTACTTCCTCCGATCAGCTCAACAGAAGTACGATTCAGACATTGCCTTGTTGAAAGAGGTAGCTACCGAAGTGGTGGCAGAACGAAAGGCGCACCCGAATGACAAGAAAGATCTTCTCAATGCTATGATCAAGGGTCGAGACGCCAAGACAGGCGAAGGGTTGACGGACGAGAGTATATTGAACAACATGATCACATTCTTGATTGCTGGTTCGTCTTATTTGCCGTGAGCTGTTTAATCTTGCTAATTGTCTTCAGGCCACGAGACGACCAGTGGCCTTCTCTCGTTCTTATTCTACTACCTGCTCAGAAATCCTTCTGCTTACCAGACAGCTCAACGACAAGTCGACGAAGTGGTTGGACGAGGACCTATTACCATTGACCACATGTCAAAGCTCCCTTACATAGAAGCATGCCTCAGGGAGACGCTGAGACTAAATCCTACCGCACCTTCATTCACATTACAACCTCGAGAAGACGGACCAGACGAATACGTTTACCTGAAAGGAGGAAAGTATAAGATCAAGAGGGGTCAGGGTATTCTTTGCCTGCTGCCCAAGATTCATCGAGATCCAGCTGTGTATGGATCCGATGCAGATATTTTCAAGCCGGAGAGAATGCTTGATGAGCCATTCAGCAAACTTCCACCAAATAGCTGGAAGCCTTTTGTAAGTACCATGAGAGGATGTACGCTTAAGATTTGAAATCTTTTACTGACATGGGTTATCAGGGAAACGGAATGCGAGGATGTATCGGTCGACCATTCGCATGGCAAGAAGCTATCCTCATCACAGGAATGCTTCTTCAAACATTTAACTTCCGTTTAGATGATCCATCCTATCAATTGCACATCAAGCAAACCCTAACCATCAAACCCAAGGATTTCTTCATGCATGCCACACTTCGAGATCATATCGATCCTGTGTATGTAGAGAAGATGCTTCACAATGGTCCTTCTAATTCTAAGGACTCCGAAAATCGTCGTTCCATGGAAGTCTCTTCTACTGAGAAGTCAAAGAAGCCAATGACTATCCTGTATGGGTCAAATGCTGGAACTTGCGAATCGTTGGCGCAGACTCTTGCGAGAACCGCTTCTGCACGTGGTTATCATGCTCAGGTCGATCCCCTTGACGCAGCAGTAGACAAGATACCTAAGGACCAGCCGGTGGTCTTGATCTCCTCAAGCTACGAAGGCCAACCTCCTGATAATGCTGCCCACTTTGTAGAGTGGCTTCAGAAACTCGAGGGCAGTTCAAAGCTCAAGGGCGTCAAGTTTGCGGTATACGGTTGCGGCAACCGTGGGTGATTTTCCGCTCTATTTCCATACACGAGCTAATATCTAGCAGATGATTGGGTCTCTACTTTTCATAAAGTCCCCAAATTGTTGAATACTGAATTGGAAGCACATGGGGCAACAAAGATCACGGACATTGGTCTTGGGGATGTGGGAGCAGGAGACATTTTCAATGATTTTGACAAGTGGCAAGATGAGCAATTGTGGGCTTCTTTGGGAGGAGATGCCGAGTTGGAAGAATCTGGTCTTGAGATTGAGATTGATACGGATTCTAGAAGATCAAAACTCCGACAAGACGTGCAAGAAGCTGTTGTCATCAGCAACACTCTCTTGACAGCTGAGAGCGAACCTGAGAAGCGTCACATCGAGTTGAAGCTGCCCACTGGTATGACGTATCAGTCTGGAGATTATCTGGCTGTACTCCCTATCAACAACACAAAGAATATCCGACGAGTCTTGAAATGGGCACATCTACCCTGGGATGCGATGATCACCATCAAGAGCGGTGCCAATACGACATTGCCCACCGGCCATCCCATTTCTATCATGGATGTCTTGAGTGCCTATGTCGAACTCAGCCAGCCAGCTACGAGAAAGGTATGATTTCCATAGAGTTTGACGGTCAGTGCTAACTTCAGTAGAACATTCTCAAGATTGCTTCAAGTGCACCAGATGACATCAAACCGAAACTTATCGCACTCGCTGGTCCCGACTTCGAAAAGGAGATTCTTAACAAACGTTGGTCTCCATTAGATCTCTTGGAAGAATTTCCTACCGCAGCCTTGCCACTCGGTGACTTCCTCGCCATGCTACCACCAATGCGCATTCGCCAATATTCCATCTCATCATCTCCACTGGTAAACCCAACAGTCGCTACGGTGACATGGTCAGTCCTTGATGCACCTTCAAAAGCAGTTGATTCGAAGAGATATCTTGGAGTTGCCTCAAATTATCTTCAGAGCCTTGAAGAAGGTGACAGAATTCACGTTGCAGTGAAGCCGAGTCACGGAAACTTCCACCCTCCCAACGACATTGAGAATACGCCTGTCATGATGTTTTGTGCTGGTACTGGTCTCGCTCCTTTCAGAGGCTTCGTCCAGGAACGAGCCATGCAGATTCAAGCTGGACGTAAGCTGGCCCCAGCGTATTTGTTCATCGGCTGTGCACATCCGGAGAAAGATGCTCTTTTCAAGGACGAGCTGCAACAATGGGAGAAGGAGGGTGCCGTCAAGCTGTTCTACGCCTATTCTAGAGCCAGCGAACAGAGCAAAGGGTGCCGACACGTCCAAGATCGACTTTGGGAAGAAAGAGATGAGATGGTCAAGGCCTTCCGAGACGGTGCTAAGTTGTACGTCTGTGGTAGCAGTATGGTTGGTGAAGGGGTTGCAAACATGACAAAGAGGATCTACCAAGATGCCGCAGAGGCGATGGGTAGGCCGAAGACCGACGACGACATTCAGAAATGGTTCTTGGATATCAAAAGCGATCGTTATTCGAGCGATGTTTTTGCTTAGTCTAGAGTTGAGACATTTGACAGAAGTAGTAAGCGAAGAAAAAAAGTTATCAATGCTTTCATTTAGGTCGTCCAGGTGGTCGCCGTGATGTTAAAAGAAAGTGAAGTACTGAATTTTGCGAATTTCCTTGGACGAAGCTCTTCTCTGAGCAAAGAGCTGAGATATTATTGGCCGAGCAATGTCTGGAACAATTCCGCATTGCTCTCCTTCGCCTTCTCTTGCACCCATCATAACTATTTGCAGTGTTCATCAGCCTAGGTACTCAAGTGGCACGGCTACATCGGTAAGTCAGCCGAACGGGTATCGTTCAAGTTCACTTCGGCTTCATCGGCCCACTCCCGAAGACAACCACAATGTTGCCCCACTCTCGACAGCGACCATGAAGTAAAGTATATGAAGCTTCCAGCTGTGTTGCAAGACTGCCATTGCAAGAGCCATCTACAGTATCATCACCATGCCTTCCGCTCAGCTAGAAACAGGCAAGATTGTTCGCCCGAAGAACAAGGATGACTCGCCCCTCTACCCAGAATACATGCGTAAGTCATCATAATTTGGAGCTCTTGGCAGAACTAACATGATCCAGCATTCTACGACCCCCTCGAAAAAGTCGAGGACATCGGAGAATTCGAGCACCATGATCCAGGCCACCGAGCTGACCCTTCCATGCCAAATTTATTAAAAGGCGCCAAGCTCTGGGACATCTCTCCCCACGTCGGTACAGAGATCACTGGCATCCAATTGTCGCAATTAAACGAAGCTGGACTTGATGAATTAGCACTCCTCGCAGCTCAGCGCGGCGCTCTGGTTTTCCGAAACCAGGATTTTGACGGGATTGGATTCGAGGCGCAGAAGAGGATCGTGAGGCATTTTGGGCCGTTGCATGTTCATGGGTGGGCGCCGCATCCGGTGGCGGGGAGTGATGAGCATATGATTATTTATGATCATAAGGAGTGAGTTTATTTCTTTTCCTCGAAAGTGTCCGGTTTGGATTGGGTTGGTAATAACGAAGCGAATAGTGATCTCCGCGTGAGGAAGTCGTGGGCGGGGAGAAGTCCTGTGCAGTGGCATACGGATCAGAGTCCGGAGGCTCAGACGCCTGGGACTACGTTTATCTGTATGCTAGAGTCGCCGTCGGCTGCGGGTGGGGATACGTTGGTCAGCTCTAGTGTGCAGGCGTATAAGAGTTTGAGCCCGAGGTTCAGGAAGAGGTTGGAGGGGTTGACGGCCATTCATTCTAATACTGATGGGGTGGTTGCTGAGAAGAAGAATGGGGAGAATGCTGTTATGCGGAGAGGGGTTTTGCAGTCTGAACATCCGATTGTGATTGTGCATCCTGTTACCAAGGAGAAGGCGTTGTGTATGTGGATCTTCCTTGCTCAGTAAACCATACTAATATTCCTAGATGTCAATCCCGTCTACACGAAGAAAATCGTCGGTTACGATCAAGAGGAATCGGATTGTATCCTGAGATTCCTATTCGACCACATTGCGAAGAGAGCAGATTTCCAGTGTCGAGTGAGGTATGAGGCTGGGACCGTTTTAGTTTGGGATCAGAGAGTTACGAATCATTCCCAGACGCTGGATTATCCTGTTGGTGAAAGGAGGCATGTGTTTAGGTTGACGCCGTTGGCTAATAAGCCGATCCCGGCTGCTGTTGAGGAGGATGATGATGGAGAGTGTCAGAGGGATGAAGCGAGGGTGCAGTTGAATCTTTGTTAGTTGAGGTAATTTTTTGCGTATAATGCCAATATTGGATCTACAGGGTTTGCGAGTACACTGTAGATATGGGAACCAATATCACAAACATCTCATGCATTGGTTACTGTATTATTACCTGTACTTAATGAGAAGTGAGCTAGCACTTTCGTCGTGTCCTTTAAACTCCTTTGCGGTTGTGAGCCTAAGCGAGGCCCCCAAATCTGGTGATCACTGCATGTCCAGATAGCTCTGAACTCATCCGCATCATCAAGTCTGATGATGATGGTTGGGAAGGAGAGAACTGAGGCGGGGTTTCGGAGATTGCAGTTGCAGGAATAAACCGTGGTTCAGGTTGGAGAGTCGCGGGGGCTGTGTCAGGAGAAAGCTGAAGCTATAATTCAAATCCGTTGTATTATCTTCGGACTAGTGACCATGTTGATGCGATGCCATTACACATCATTAATCAATTGCGGAAGTAATACACATTCATTCAACCAAGTCACAATCAACATCTTCTCTACTTGCTCTCAAGAACCTTCAATTTCTCCTCAGCCTTGGCCTTAGCCGCGTCCGACGTATTCGGGTTGCTAATCGCTCTAAACAATCACCCCGAGTAAGTATTGCACATTGCCAACAGAAGTTTGAACTCACGCTTTGAGTCCACTCTCGACGTTAGGAACGTGGTCTGCGTCGTTGTCCATACCGCCGACGGCCTTGTCACCGAGGACTTTCTCTTCTTTGCTGACTGTCTCAGCGAAAGTTGGGTTTTGACCCACTTGAGTTGCAGAACGGAGGTCTAGATTTTGACAGGTCAGCAAGTTCTCGATGGCACGGAGATGAGGATCCGAAATGGTACTTGAAAGACATATCGAGACTCGACTTACTATCAGCCATCTTGTTGAGTATCTGTTTATTTCTGAGTAGTTTTCTAGCTCAAGTTCTTGAGTTCTGATATGGAAATCTAAGAACTAAATCTTGGACCCCGAAGGAAGCTTTATTATAGACAACCACTCAAGCCCGTCGTTACGTCATCAGAGCTACAAACTTGCTTGCCTGGCCCAGAAGAAGCAAAACTGCCAGTAGTGGCAGACATGCTCTCGAAAACATGAAAAATAGGGGCCCGTCATGGGCTAAGCGAACCGCGATCCGCAGAGCGGGGTTCCGTCATGAACTAGCGATGACGAGCAGTTCTCTTGTAATTGGCTCGAAGGATCGAGAGAAGTTCTAGAACTGTGGCACTGTGGCGTACGCCAAGAAATACTTCTTCTGGGGAGTGGCTGCGTAAAAAGGTTAAATAAATTGAATCAATCAAATCGATCTACAATCACTTCCCGTTGGTGTCCCATCGAGTTGTGAGGACCCCGCGTCATCAGTGACGAAAGACGACCAACTTGTTTTGAATTTAGCTGTTTCACACAGATGGAATATCAATACCTGTGATATAGACTTGTGCAAAGTCAAAACTGCATCTGACAAGAGGAGCTGACAACTTGATAGACAGATCGAGGGATATATTCCTGGGAATAAAATGCCGCGACTGTCACGTGACCCATCAATGAGATGGCTTACTAGAAAAGAATCATGCAGACAACAACTACGCCGTCTTCACACTTGGTCAGATACACAATATTATCCTCGGTATGCTGATTCTCTCGGGGCGAGAGATAGAACATCTCGTGGACCTATCACAACTGTGTCTCACTCGCTACGAACACATGCATAAGGTAAAGAGGCGTCGGGCACAGTAGCGGCTGAACTCGAGGTGAGGCCTCACCGGACGAGGCTGGCATCAAGAAACATACATGAAATACTTTGCAATGCGTCAACCCTCGGAGTATCATTCAGCAATGACCATCTCTTCGTTGCGCACAAAAGTTCTTCAACTTTGTTACAGATAGGCTGAAGAATATCGATAAGTTGACGAAATCACGATCAGTGCGTCTGCAACACGATGCCTTCCAGGCATTTATCCGTCCTGGGAAAGGGGATAAGCAGCTCACGGCCAGTCTTGAGATCACTGGATGCCACCCATCGGCAGCATTCGCGAATCGCGACCAGATCGACTAAACTCGGCCACCGAGCAATCATTAGGATTGTTATTTCTTGCGTATTGTTGACGTTGTTCCTGCTATTCTTCTTGTGCATTTATTTTTGCCGTCGGTCAGCCAAGAACGATGGATAGCAGAATGAATCGGCTTCAGCAGCCTCTGAGCGGGCTTTTCGCGAACGCAACTCTGGGTTATACCGGCCGAGGACTCATGGACATGTCGCGGGAGCAAAGCTAGATGTTCCCTACCCCGCTACACCGGGGCACTTCGGAATTTGCGTTGCTAATGGCACGCTTATATCTGCAGAGACACACTTTGGTCTTACATACAGTCCAAGGGAGCTTTGGGCACCGTCACGACAGGAACGAGATCTTGAACTTGATGCTGGAATTACTGTGTCGAGGGCAATTGCTCAAGCTCCTCCTGCAATTGCGAAGGAGGATCGACTCGGAGCTCCTGAAAGGAGTCTCGGTGAGGCTGAAGGTACGTCCTGCTGCAAACAAAAACTCAGAAACATGCTCATTAAGCAAAGTGGAAATATCAAATGCAAGCACGCCTGCTGTCAACCAGCCCCGAGAAGCCGAACTTAGCGATAACAAGGAAAATGAAGTTCCCGGACCATCAGCATCACCACTAACATGTTGCGGCAACGATTTCCCCACAAAGGCTGATTACAAGTGAGGACTTCTTCGTTGCTTCCCTCATGAGCTGGTGACTAACAGATTCAAGTCGGCACAAGCGCTACCACGACAAGCCCGAATCTTGTCCTCATTGTCCTCGAGCTTTCGGAACGACGAAAGACCTCAATAGGCACATCAATGACAGACATCAGAGGACGAAGGTGTACCACTGCTTGGATTCAACGTGTGAACGCTCGGTAGCAGGAAACGGGGAGGGATTTCCGAGGAAGGATAACTGGAGGAGGCATATGAGGGATGTGCATGGCATTAACGCCAATTGAGGTTTCTGGTGTACCAAACTGGAAGAAAGCAGGACGGATCGAAATGGAATAAGGTCACATGATAGAGCATGTGCTAGAAATCAAAGCTTAAAAATTCAATCCATCCAGTAATCGAGAAGCATCGAGATGTAAACCTTGATTCTTGCTTGGAGATCAACGAAACTTCAAACAATCGTGGCTGCTTGTCACTGAACAACCAGCATTGATGTCTCATTCGTCAATCTCATGTTTCAAACACATCTTGTGGGGAAACACAAAAGTTTCGAGAGGCTGAGTCTGAGGAAAGGGGTTGAAGAAAAAGGAAGCTTAATGTTATGCATCGCCTCAACGCTGTGGAGAAGTGGTCTTGGAGTTGGTCTTGCGGTGGCTGTGAGACTCATGAGGTCATTGTCTCTCCTTTGCAGAATGAATGCGAGGAGGAGAAGTTCTGAATGGTAATCTTATGTTCAACAACTGGCTGAGGCATACCAAATTCTTTGTCTTTAGGTATGCTAAAATAAAGTGCGACGATGTTAAGATTAAATCGAAACGAGCTGACGAGGAGAGGTCATGGTTTCGTTTCAATAATACTGCAGTGATATTGAAGAGTGGAGGTTCCGCTGGTGGAAGGACAGCGGAATCAGGTGACTTCTTGGCTGTTTGGAGTTTCAAGAGAACGACCCCATGATTGGTTATCTTGATGAAGAATTTATGCGGTACTGTACCAATTATACCTTCATTTGTTTGGACGACATCTCGGGCATTGCCGCGTCGGCCAGCGACCAAACCGAGGCCAAGGACGATCAAGGATGAGCTTCCCTGAAACACCGACACAATTGATTGGAGTTTCGAGCTGGTACCTTGCAGCTGAATCAGGCATCCATAGACGCCAGGCCACTATTAGCCCCTGTCCAGTCCAATACAGTTCGGGAATAACTCAGGGACAATACACAGCTTCCCGCCAATCAGCAAGTCGAGCATGCAAGTTGTGGATCTCGGTTGTTCAATCTGACACTTGATCCGCCTCGTGTGGGACCGAAGAAGGAAGGAAGGGAAAGGAGAAGGAGAAGGAGAAGGAGCAGGAGCAGGAGCAGGAGCAGCACCAAATCTCACGATAGACGCGGCGTAGCTTTGAAGGAGACCGACAGTCCGAGACTCTTCGACAGCGACCACGAACTCAGACATTCGACACACCCGCACGCTCTTTCTCCCCCTCACACATCCACGGCCTCACCTTTGACCTCCCCCAGTCTTCATCCATCCAGTCATTCACCGCATATCCCTCCCTCCCTCCCACAGCCCCCGCCCGATCCAGGGAAACTTTACAATCATTACGAGACAATTCCAACGTCCAAACACACATCACAATCACAATCGCTGTCCTTCTTTCTCTTCACTCTTTTCAGCTGGTTCGAATCATCTTCCCCTCGACCTTGCCTGTCCGTATCTCGTCCGCCAGATCCTCGGATTGTCGCATTGTGCTATATCTCTGGCCGCAATAATCGACGCTCCTCTCATCCCAATCCGACCGGCTGCGACACCCCATCTGCAGCGATCAAACCGCGCGCGAGAAAAGCAACAGTGGCCGCAGAACAACAATAGCAGCAGACTCCATTCCCGTCAGGCGGTCTCCCATTGTTGGCGACGATCAGAATAGACAGACAGCCTGTCAGTGTCAGCGTGGAAAATGCATTGTCGTTGTCCTTGTGCTTGTCCACAATAGCAAGCAGGCAAGCGATTGCTGCTATTCTCGTGCTCGACCAACATCACCCAACGTCGACCACCACCACACTCCTTCGATCTCTTCCTTCTCCAATCCGCATTGCGACCGTCGATACCCAACTTCAATCCGCACAGTCGATAGCTTCGCAGGCGGAGAACGACGAGTGCGCGACTGATTGATTGAGCTCGCATTCCGATTCCATTCACAACGTGCCAGTCACCGGCCACCCACCCTCCTTCCTTCTCACGACCTCTTCACTTCTAGCCAGGTGCTCATATCGACTCGGCAGGGCCAGATATTTTCGATTTTAATATCATACATACACAATGGGTTGTTCAGGCAGAGTCAAGGTGGATGATCTCCGCCCGGAACAGAAATGGGACTTCATCGTACGTTCATCCTCATCCTCATCCCACGACTACAACAGAATGCTAATTGGTGGCAGAGTCTCAATGATTTCAAATCTAGTTCTTGTCTTAACATCTTCGCATACGGATACCTCTGGGTCAGTTTGTTGATCTCGGTTGCAGTTTATGGAGTCGATACCTTCACAGCCGTCAATCTTCTTGCGTTCGACAAATGGTCTGGAGAATTCAAACCAGTTGTCGCATTTGATGTACAAAAATGGATCTTCGCTGGTTGCATCATAGCTTCATGGGTCAATCTTGGGTTCGAACATCTTCGCGCTACTCGAGTTATCAGAAGAGGTGCGGTCGCGGAGAGTTTTCTGGATTCATTGGCCGTCAGAATTCAGAGCGTCCGAATTGGAAAAGGACGTGGATGGAGACGATTTTTGGTCTTTGCAGAATTGACCAAGTCGAAGAAGGGTGCAGAATATGTGGCTCTCTTTACCTATTTCGCCTTCCAATGTAAGTTTGTCGTCTTTTTCCTAGACAATTGCTAACAATTCCAGCTTGGATTCGAATCATCTTCTGCCAAGGTCCTCGACAGGTTCTCAATGCCCTGACCCTCTATTCCGTCTTCAAGCTGAACCTCAACAACACCGACACAAGCAATGTGGGAACAACTTTGGCCACCTTCTTTCAAAACATTGCCAAATTGGCTGAAGAGGATCATCAACAAGCTGTCATTTTGTCTGGTATGGTCTTCACATTGGTCATTTGGGTATTCGGTGCTTTGTCCCTCCTTTTGGCTATGCTTTTCTACGTCCTCTTCCTCTGGCACTACATCCCCAATGCCGACGGCGGTCTTTCTGGATATTGTGAGCGCAAGGTTAATCGTCGTTTGGCAAAGATCGTCAGCGTTAAAGTCAACAAGGCAATTGAGGATGAAGAAAGAAAGAGACTCAAAGCAGATGCCAAGGCACTCAAGAATGGAGAAAAGCCATCTGGACGCCAAGCTACACTACCAACTCTATTCGATGCCAAGTCCGACGACAAGCTTCCTCAGATGCCAATGTTGAACAGAAACGATACCATGGCTACCCTCCCTCTTTATTCCAGCAGACCAGGAACGCCGAGTGGTCAACCAACACTTCCAGGTTTCGAGCTCAACTCCTTGGATCAGAAGCGTCCATTCCCAAATCGTTCCGTCACAGGATCCTCGGCTACCAGTTACGCTTCCAATGCTCCTCTCATAGGCAATGCATCTGACATGGCATATGGTCGTTCTGCTTCTCCCGCTCCATCTCTACCTCCACTCGACACAAGCGCATACCCCGCTCAACCTCAACGTACTCTCACTTCCAACTCAAATGCCAGCAACTTTAGCCGTGGTCCCCTTGGCGGTCCTCCAAGAATGCCAAGTGCTATGGGTGATCGTGGATATACTGCCAGTCCAGTTTCTTATTCAAGTCCTTCCTCGGCTACTGGTAACTCTCCCGGCGTTGACAACTATGGCCGTCCAATGCCCAGAGCAGTCGATGAGCTGAGATCAAATACACCATCTGGTCCTGCACCAAGCATGGGACGACGCACACCATTCGACCAAGGCTTCGAAGGCCCACGAGCTGATAATTATGGAAGAAGCTCCCCAGCTCCTAGCAGAGGTCCTGGCGGCTCTCAAGGATCGATTGACGGATACGGTCGTGCTTCCCCAGCTCCCAGCCGTGGTCCTAACAGTCCAATGAATCCAGGCGGATATCAACCCTATAATCCCAATATGAGAAGTGCATCTTCTGCTTCTCCTGCTCCTTCAAATCCCAACTTTCCTTCCGATAATCGTGGTCCACCTCAACAGTACCGAAATATGACCGATCCTGGCCCACGGGGTCCACCTCAAGACGGCAACTACTTTGGTGGAGCGGCCGCACCTCCGATGCCAAGACCAGGCACTGCACAGAGCCAAGGTTCGCGTCTGGCACCACAGAACTTTGGTAACAACATCAACCGACTTGCTAGCCCGGCGCCTTATAACGCTGGTGGAACCCAATCTCCTAGCTTTGGTGGCCCAAGTACTCCTCCAATGGGAGGTCCTATGTACAGAAGATAGATGATGATGGATGGTGGACTTATACACGGTATATGGAGGAGAAATTCTTGATTTCATGACATGACGAACGTTCAGCGCGCAGGTGGATAATTTTCCTTTTGGCTCCGGCATTCTGTATTTATGGCGCGAAGGGTGAAGCCGTTGTGATCAAGCTAGACTTAGAGCTTGGCTCATTCTTGTGCTTAGATTAAATGAGCATGAGTGGTATTCTGAGATCATTTGCAGTAATTCCTTCGGTGTTGCGTTGTGAAGTGAAAATTATTCGTGCTCTTCCTCGATATTTGTATATTTGTGTTATCGACCTCCAGTGAGGACGTGGGTAGCACGACTGTCTACTAAAACTGCTTCTGTGTCTCAATTTGAAAGATGTTATAGAAGTCTGTCTCTCACTCACTCATCTTACTGTCCGTTTCTTTGCTTATCCTGCTGATGGTTTTCTCGTGTTTTTTTCATTCTGCAGACAATCCGAAAGTCTCCGTATGGAATCTCGTGAGGCTATGGCGGATGATATACTTTAGAATCATCACTCGCAAAGAGGTAGAAAATTCATCGCAGCCAGGTTATATTTCCAGCATTTCAGCCTACCGCGCTAATACAAGGTCTACACGATACAGCACCTCAATAGGCTTATCCCGATAAACCTCACCCAGCTCTCTCCACAGTTCATCTTCATACTTACGGCAATTCAGTTTTACTCGTTTTACATCCTTCCACAGATCTGGTTTCATCTTGATGCAGTCATATCCTGAATCCTGGCTAAGGACACTATATTCGAATAGGGACGGCACACCGTTCTTAACCATCAAGTCGATGCCATGGCAGAACCAGCCCAGCAGGAGACGTTGTGCGCGCTCGTCAAGCACGTCGGGAAAGCCGAATAGTGCCGCTGCAAATGTGCCGCCTGGTTTGAGTGTAGAGGCTATGGCTGGGAGACTTTTCTCCGGGTCCATCCAATGGAGCGAGTTGAATGCAATGACCACGTCGAAGTCCTTTGTCCCCTGATCTTCACCGCAGCCGAGGCGTTACGAGAATTTCGAAGCGTCTTCACGGCTAGCGAGACGTGTCTTGGCCATCTCGATATTAGAAGTCTCTGGATCAGTGAGAGTAACGTGCTCAACTGCTCAGCTAGAACCGGGGCGTGGATCTTTGGTCCAGAGCCAAGATCGTTTATGGATCAAAAATTGGAGTTTCCGTGGCTCTTGTGATAGGTCCGGATTCGCTGCCAGAAGGTGGTAGGTACTTTGGGTAGTCCTTTTTGATAGGTTTCCCAGAATGAGGCTGTGGTTGCTTTGTATGGGTGTTCGGTTGAGGTCATGATGTTTCGATTGCGGGGTGAAGGAGTTGAGCTGGTAGAACCATGATAGTTAAGTAATGTAAATGAATATGGTTCGTGGGGCAATATTGGATTACGCTTGTCAGCAATCGAAGGTGGATTGAGGCAGGGAACACCTCGTCCAATGATGCGATGTCAGCAATTACTTCACGTGTCTACAGGCTGTGTATACAGACTCGGCGTCCGCAGACTCTGCTTCAAGGTATTACAGGAGCCTTCAGTAAGTCACCGGATGCTGTTGGGGTTCAATTCTATGTGTCGGGAGAAGCTGCGATAGTGCTTAAGAGTGCACAAATTGAACGCAGCGGCAATGCGATTGGACGAATCAACTTGCGCTGCAGGCTTATTCTTCGTCACACTTCCAATCTACGGACCCAGCAGCAAAGATTTTATCGGCCTCGAATGTTGGGGCTTTCTCTGAATTATTCCGCTTATCTCGTGTTTGTTGGCATAGGGAAGGGCGACAAGGAGAATACTGTTCGCATTGGGCTCCAAAACCGAGACCTGCAAAGTACCCAACAACCATCATACATTTTTCAGTAAATCCGGCATTTCTCATTATAATAGACCTTACTCCAAAATCTCAACATGAATAACGACACTGCTCAGCCACCAGCGAATTGTGGGAAGAGGTTGATTCCAGCTTTGATCGACGAGCTTGCTGCGAACGATCCAGAACTTGTATTTTTTCCATTACTCGCAAAGCCCATGATGAGGATGGCTTTCAAGATGTAACTTCTGGAGAGCTGGCCCGCGCTGTCAACAAGTGTGCGTGGTGGATGGAACATACTATGCAACGGAGCGAGACCTTTGAGACTACGTGGATCCCCAGAATTTGCGCTATGTGATATTACTGTTTGCCGCCATCAAAGCCGGCTACAAGCTCTGGTGCTCAAAGCCTATTCTTCTTGGACGTTCATTAATTCATCCTATGCCGCTATTTTTCAGCTCTCCATGGAACAGCGCGGAATGCCACATTGCACTTCTCGAATCTCTGCAATGCAAGAAGATCTTGGTCCCGGAGCTCTTGCCACCCATTATTCAGACAATCTTGTCTAAGAGGGACTTAGACGCGATACCAATACCCAATCTACAAGACTTGATTACGACAGAATCGGTGCCTGTATATCCGTATGCGAAATCTTTCACGGAGGCTAGATCAACCCACTACCCATAGAAGGGTTTTTGAAAGCTCACCCTTAAATAGTATCCGCATTGCTTGTGGACGAAGTAGATCCCAACTTTCGCTTCTGCTGGAGGTGATACAACCCCCCAAGGACGAAAGCCTCCAGGTTAGGTCTAATTGACAATATCTAGCCAACTGTCGAACTTGCAAATCAGGATCAGCAAGTAACTGGAAGGATCACAAAAGATATCATTCTCTTTGCAAAGCCTGAGAAGCCCATGATCAGAGCAGGAAAGGGTACGGTACTACCGAAGATGAGTGAGGATTTGTACAGCGAGGAACTTGACAAGTTGCATGAATCGTTGCAGGTATAAAGAGTACGACCATGTGCAAGACTCTTATCTCACCCAATTGAGCCTATGAAGGACCTGGATCCAAATGCATAGAGAGAAGAAGTGGAGAAACGCAAAGGGGATCGAAAGTGTTTAAGAAGAAGAAATGGTTCGAAAATGGGATTGGCTGATCCAACTAAGGACGGACTTCGTTGCTAAACAAGAAGCATAATCTAGCGACTAATTCTACCCCAAAAGAATTTTCCATTGTCGGTCTTTCTACAGCCCGATAATAGATTGTGGTGTGCTATCCTAGACCTACCATTCAAAATTGTGTTTTCCAGGTTGTGTCCCCCCTAAGCGAATTATTCCAGGAAAAAGGTTATAGCGCGTTCAGCGCATTCGGCGCAGCCAGCGCAATTCACTCAAGCAGCGCTTTCCGTCGCTATACTCTAGAGCAGTTGGGTTGCCTCAAACCTCACCTAGACCTTCAATAACGTTGCTCAATCCCTCGACTGCATCGTTACAGAAGGATCTCGATAACTTTGTTGGAACCATCTTGCTTCGTCAGCTCCTATGTTAATCACAGATGGGTTGTCGAGACGCTCCTCTTCATATCAAGGAACTCATCTCTTGAAAATTGAGTCAGAATTATTGTCGGGACCAACCACTCCAAAGTGTGCAAGTCAATGCCAGATATACTACTGATAGGTCCAGCGATCAATATGTCGTTCAACGTGTTCGACGCGTTCAAGTCGCGTCGCGTTGTCGATTTTCCAGCCTCGCGACTTTTGAGGTTCTCGCTTGCCAATCACAATCGGCCCCCCTTTCGCGATGAAACGCCAACCGAGAAACCAGGGCCAGTGGCCCATCACGTGTTTTCGGTATTTGCAAACAATCGGAAGAGTCATCGACGCGCTCTGTAACAATGATACATTGTAATAAAAGGGTTTGAAATTGCTCAAGTGAGACTTTGAACTTAAATCTCAATCATATTCGACATGCGCTGCTTTCACTTCCTTCTTATACTATTCTCCGTTCCTTGACTATTCGACATTGGAATTTCCGCAGCTCCTCCATTCTCACGTTCATTGAAGCTATTGTTGTTGTTGTCTTATATATCCTCTTCATACGCTCCTTGAACGTGGTCTGAAAAGGTCACGTGGAAACGCTGTCATTTGACCATCCAACTTCCAAGACACGGTCATCTGTCCCACTCATGCTGCATCGACAACGCAGTACTCGTCCTCTTCGTCATCATAACACGTTTTCGGACATCTTGGAAGTCTTCCACTTGACGTGGGAAACCAAGACGGTAGCGAAGAATACGGAGTACATAAAACTACTTCCTCTTCACTCCTCGGACTCGTCTCGATCAGTACGTCCATCGCTCAAACCTCACTCTTCCTCTTCCGAGAAGACTTTTTTCTTCATACGTCGTCCCAGCCTTCTTTCCTGCGATCTTCTTGCAAATTATATCTTTGCTATCCATTCATTTAACTTCCCTTTCGACCAGACCAAAAGTACCTCCCATTACATCCACTTACTAACTCCATCAAGTCGTCACAAGATATGTCTCTCTCTTCGTCTTCACCCGTCAGCCCAACTTGCTCATCATCACGAACTCTCCTCACGATTCCACCCGAGCTCCTCCTACAAATCCTTACTCACCTCCCCTCTTCTTCCTCCCTCCACGCCCTATCCCTCACTTCCCGCACCCTCAACACATTCGTCCACACCCATGCAGCAACAATCACCAACTCACTCGTTTCATTTCATCACCCGAAATCGTCACAGATACTCAAGGCCCATCATACCGAGAACTCCGCCGGGTTCATCGTCCCAACCCATCCCTTAGTCCTCGCCGAAGAAAGAAGAATACAAAGAGACAAGATCCTAGCTTCGGGGTGCCACTGTCTACCTTGTCGACTTATGCTCCACGCCGGCACTTCATCATCATCGGACCTCTCACTGCGCTCATCGTCAGAACATGATGGCTTAGTAGGAGCATGCTTGCCAGCACAGTCAATGGTATCAACCAGAGGGAACGAATGCAAAGCTCGAGCAGCACTGGAGAAGACAGTCAAGCTTACGGAGCCCGGACCACAATTTCTTGTTTTTCTCGAACGGTATGGATGGGAGGTCGAAGCGAGATGGGACATCTTCGTGAAGCAACAACATCAGACCGTCAAGGAAGAGGAAGAAGATGTCGAAGAAACCCGAGCTGGAGACAATGGGGAGGAACAGAAGAAGAAAACTTTCGACTTCATGATCGGGAACTATTGCGTCCGTCGCTTCCTCGAAGATACAGAGAAGGAGTTGACGAACTTCTCGACCGCGACCAAAAAGGCAATCAGTCCCACTTTGACGATCAAGGAACGACTCAGAGCCAAGATGAACAAACATCATCAGGAGAAGAGAGAGAAGAGGAGGGGTGCCGAAGCCGCATCAAGACCGCCTGCAGCGAGAATGTTTGGGGAGATAGAGAAGACTCCCACCACGACTGCTGTTGAGAGAGACAGCTGGATGAAAGGGTTGACGTGGTATCATGGCTCGAAGTATATCTTGGATCATGAACAAGTGATGGCAGATCCGGTGACAGGATCTGACGAGGTATGCTGACGGTATTAACTTTATTCTTGAATGTTACTGACAACTCTCACAGACTATGAAGACCAAGAGCAAGCAGAAGACTCGGAACTGCATCGGTGGAGTAAAGCGGGGCATGAGAAGAGTGGGGTCAAGGATTGGAAGTATGTTCAGAAGATTACGTTGCGTCGGGGACTTTCAGTCACTTGATGATTGAGGTCGAGGGTTCAAGAACAAACGAGGAAGGCTTAGAAGGCAGAAGAAGACCAACATGTGCTGGCATCATGTATGTTTCCATCCTGGAATATTGTCGAATACTCACAATCCCATTCCCATTCAATGACCATCACTACTCGACTTCTCAATGTGTGTCTGTAAATCCGTCATGTCTCTGAGAATATCTGCGTGTCCAAGGACTGTGAAACATTGAGACTGGTACCAGGAACAATAAATCTGACGGAATTTGCCATCTTGAATTGAGCAGAATATCATGAAGTACTAAGCCACGTTTGTGTTTAACCAACATGAGGCGCAACGAGTGAAATTATGTTGCCTAAAGAGACGTCTTACCTCCAATTTCATAAATATATAGAGGATATAATTCTAGAGGTCATAGCAAAGTGATAATTAAGTGGATTGAGATATTTATCGCAAGATCAATGCATTCGTGAAGGAATCTTTACTACTTCTACAGATGCAAGCTTTCAAGGGCTGCGGAAATGAACGCTGGTGTAATGTCTTCTCCCAACTAATCACCCGCCCCCAAGGCCAAAGCGCTCCGGAAATATTGAAAATCCGAGTATATTTGTCACCAGCCCATGACCCTCTTGACCCAAGTCTTTCGCCGAGAAGATGCCGTGGGGTCAACTCTCATGAAGTTTAGGTTGACTTTATGCTCCCACCACTTCGACGAATCCACCAGTGCCTCCTTGTATAGGCGATCGAAACTCCCCGATATGCAATCCATGGTACCAATTTCTTCTGTGGTTCCACAGTCAGCTGGAAGCAGATTTTCAAGCTCCGGCTCCATTTTGTTGTCTAGAATGACCAAGATCTCTCTCAGCGCAGCGTATTGGACACAGAATTTTTGAGGTAAGAATCGCCAGGTATAGATCATACTACCAGTAGGTCCATGAAAGCACTTCCCATCGAAGGCGAGTCTCTGTCAATATCAGCATGTGTAGGTAAGAAGATCGTCCCTATGGCGACTAATCATAAAATATGACCATGTCTACAAAGCAAGCGACCAAAAAAAAGGGGGGGGGGCAACACTTACTTGGACGTCAGAAAGCCACATTGTGTATTCCTCTTTTGCTCTTTGAAGGGCTAATTCAATATAAGGGTAGCCGACCAAGTCTGCGAGGGGAATGCGGCCAATGTGATCCCGCATACGACCCAGAGGGCTGATGTAAGCGACGTCGACCTTGAAGTTGATAAAGAAACCAAAGTCTGGCAAAATCTCAAGTTGCCCTACATCAACCGGTGTCGCCCACGGCCTATCACAGTAGTTGATACATAGACGATAATGCTTCCGGATTTCCTGTAAAGCAGTCCAAAATTAGTTTACATGTCCTTACCCCAAATCGATAGAACCATGCTTAAAGACTTTATATATCTAAAAGCGATCGATCACCAGTAGATAAAATGGACGCTTACTCGACGAGATTCTCGGTTCGCATTCATTGCTCCAAGAGCCTTGCCTCCACCAGGTTCAAATCTGACCATTCGTGGCACCATAGTGAACTTCCAGATCCGAAGGCGCAACTCAAGGGGAAGCTTCGGGAACAACGGGAACTCTTGGCTATTCTCTGCAAGAGGTTCACCATCGAACATCCGAGCCCTATCTCCTGGCATGACTTCGAGACTGATGTATCTGCGGTTGATGGGTGGAAAGGTTGCCAAGAGAGTTTGAAAGTGAGTCAATTGTGGGTGTGGGTTGGCGGTGATAGTATCGGCCGCGTCGCTGTCGCTGGTTGTTTCAAGGATCTCTTGCGCCTTGCGCTCGAGAAGGCTTGGATAGATGATACTCGCGCGAGGGAAGGGCATGATGGGACTGTTGTCTGAAGTCGACGTCGTAGTTGCTAGAATGTTAGCCATGATGAAGCTGGCAACTGTGAGAATCGAAAGTTGCGTTGTCGAAGAACGATTCTTGAATACGAAGGTTGAAGGAAGAATGAAGAGAGTTATCTCTGACATTCAAAGCTTGCGACGCGATTGATATGAACTGCCGCAAAGGTAGCGGGTTCGATAAGGTGTAGTCTTGTGGTTCGGACAAAGCTAAGTCTTACCTGCTTGTTACGCCTTACCTTTCTAGGCGACTAATCCATGAGCGTTTTTTGCTGTTGATCTGCACCTTCCTAAAACGAACTACGTCACTATATTTCTGGTTCTTGAACCTTTGAGTAAGGTCATCGGCTGCCTAAGATATATGTTGGGAGATCAAGACAGGTGATGGGAGAGCTCAACTCCTCGAAGGAGGTGAAGAAGCCCGTGTGGAATCAATTAACATGGATGAGAACTGTAGTCAAACGTCAGATCAGAATGTCCTTGTAGCTTTATTCACAAAGCTTCATATATTGAAAGTGAATGCATTGATATGTTGTGTGTGATTACTCTCCCCAGCAACACCTTGCCACCAGCAAAAGTGCTTCCCACCAAACAGACCTCCATTTCTTCTCGATCCCTTGTATGCTAAGGCGCCGCAGGAAAAATCACAGTTCTGAAGAATACCCATGTTCCAAGTTTCCAATCCGCGACCCTTGTTTCCAAATCCGATTTGATACTACTCGTCTAACAAGCGGAGCCTACCTCCAGCGGTATCCTCGACCCCACCGCTCTCACTAAGTGTCGCGGATCTTCATGAATCTCAAAGTGATATTCTGCTTGAACCATGGCCACAAAAACTTAGAGTTGGGTAAGGCAGAGTTGCGGGCGGAGTGATCATGGGCACGTTCAAAAACATAAGTGACAGTATTCATGCATCCCAATTGACTCTTAGTGACGGATGTAGCTGGAACAAGTCGATCCAGATGAAGCTCCTCATCGTTATCGGCAAGAAGCCAGACTTCCTTTAGACGAGGGCACCAAGTCGTAATCGAGTCAGTACCCAATCTGAACGTGCATTTCCAGTCTATCATAACCGGGTAAGAACCAAATCGAGCTACGTCTTGACTCCTGTCGTTGAGGTTGAAAGCTATTCGTTGAGCCTGATTCAAGAGGTGTAGGTATTTGATTGCAGCATCCTGCAGGCCGGCTTGTACAGTCCATCTATGGAGGTCATCCTTAAACAATTTGATATAGACGATGTCGATATCGTAGTTGATGAGGACCCCGAATGAAACCGGCAAGATATCGTTCTGTGAAGGAACATCGGAGCTTTCATTGAGATACAGATGGTAGTACTTTCGAAGTTCATTCCGAGACTCTTGGTTGGCGTTCATAGCACCCAATGGCTTCCCTCCACCCGGTTTGAAAGTGATAATTCGTGGAACCATGGATTGCTTCCAGACTTGGAGTCTGAGCTCAATCGGTAGATTTGGGAAGCATTCGAAACTTTTTAATGTTTGGCCTGGCGTTGCACTGGTCCCAGGGTTGGCAGGAAGGCCCAGGAGTGGAGCATCGACATCTGAGGGAGAGCGAATGCCTCCAGTGCTAGAAGCGGCAGGGACGTTTTGGGCAGAAGAAAGGCTGTGCGTACGACCTGTCTGGATAGCTGTTCGAAAGTCATATTAGCTATTGGTCTCATAGTTCCAATGAACAGACTCCCGGGATGCGCGCATGAATCTGGTGGGACAAGTAATCCACTGCTGGGGAAAACTTACCTCGGAATTCAATGACTGCGTGAGCAGGAAAGACCTCTTCTGCTGCTGTATCAGAAGCCATGTTGGATCTGGAATATTTGCGGATGTTGTTGAAATTTGTAGTTGAAGAGCAGATATGCGACCCGGTTATCCTTCGAAGCCTCGAAGAGGAGCGGAAGAAACGGTCACGCTAACAACCTCAATCCATTTGTTTTTTCCTCCGGTCTCCTGAAGCGTGATCTAGAAACATAAATTTTCCCTAAGTCGACTCAAAGGACTAATGACCCCTGTCAGCGGCAGGAAAAGGCCAGGAGCGGTGCTTTCTGACTGGATGTCCTCCAAAAATTGGCACATACCAAACGAGGTCGACAAACGTTTGAGATTGGAGTGTTCTCTTGGAGTTTGTGAATTACTGTTGATCGTTAACGCTCTAAAGCGGTCAGCCGTAGGAATACACCTTTGGAGCAATAGTTTAGAATTCAAGATTAACAAGAGTGAGATGAGCAAAGAACAGGATCTGTCTCCTGTGCCAACGAAGCTTTGAATTATAATCTGCATCTACACCAGTAAAAAGCTTACAAAAGTCGAAAGCCTGTTTTAAATGAGTTCTGTTTCGGAACAATTTCGAATCGACTCTCCAGGCCTTTCTGCCACAGGTACCGCTTACATTCCTGCACGTTCAGATACATTTTGAAGTGTAGCTCTTGCACTTCCAATTTCTCAAACGACTTAGTGCAATTCACAGAGCATTTGAGAGCCGCGCTATGCCATCTCTTCAAATGGCATCTCTGAACGCAAACACCCCCGTATATTTCCAGTATATCTTGTAATGGCTCACTTGCCACCAGCTCAAGAAAACGTCCCCCAGGCCCACGGTAGCCAGGCTTGACGATGATGAGCTTCCGGAGATTTGGGCAAAATTTCGCGATTTTCGTGGGCTTGAGCAGCGACTGCCATGGGACTGAAAATTTCCATAGAATGATGATTGTTCGAAGATTTCGGAGATGAGTCCCGTAAGCAGAGCTACTTATTAGACTTGGAGAGGACTTTAGTGAATATTTCAGCGGTGGCAGGTAGACTGAATCGAGCTCGTAGTCGATAAAGCAGAAGTACGAGCGCATTCTCGGGGGGTATGCCCTTCGTCCATGTCCCTTCTTGTTTTCGGTCCACTCATATCGCTGTAATGCCAATGTACGAGAATCGTGACAAGTGTGGAGTAGAGCTGGGATATCGTTCAGTTCCGTTCCTCTTCGAAGCGCAACTACTCGAGCAGGGATCCCTTGAATTGCGTGCTCCCCTGTTGTCAAGATGTTGGAGTCAGTATACCCTGTTCATGTACCTGTCTTCAAGAGAGCACCAACTCTGGGGTGTGACCCCGGAGACAGCAAGAAAACTGGAAGTTATGTCTTGAGAACATGTCACTTACAGACGAGTAATTGGATATCAAGAGGAAATTCGGGGAACTTCTGGAATACCGCTGACGGTTTACTGCACCCATTACCCATTGTGCGCAAGCTTGAAAGTTGAGTATGAGAGACCGTTTGAAGGATTCCAGGGAAGAGAGTGCGAGTTTGAGAAAGCGAGAATATGCGGCGGTCAAGAAAATTAAATAGTATCGTTGTGGGATGTACTAGATATTAAAGAGGCGTATTTCAAGATACTCTATTGGCTATTAGTAGGTTGGTTCTTAGGGCCCGAAGGGTCCACTACTTTTAGACCTTCTCCCCAAACGTCTAGCTCCCGCTACTTGTCTCCACTCCCCACCCCTCCGTCTTCAATCGCTTTCTCTTATGGTTCTTGATACAGTACAGCGTACAAGGCTCTTGATCAGGAGCGAAGATGCCTCGGTAGAAATACTGGGGTATGAACTTCTTTTGGCAAGAGACAAGATGCGGGAGAAGCAGCAATTTAGAAACTAGTAATAGTGGGCGATGGTCCACTCCGCACTGAGCGGCATTGATGGTGGTACAATACAACCATTTCTAACTCCGACATTTTAGTCAAGGCTGTGGCTGTGCGCAGCAGCCTGAGGAGCGAAATAGTATCCCCACGAGGCTGATGCAGCGGACCTCTCAATCGATGGTCAAATGTTGGATCCGATAAAACATTGCGGTACCGAAATGTCTGTCAATATAAACTTTAAAGTTCAAAGTATAAAGACAATAACAGTGGGACTTGTGTGCCTTGCAGCAGACCCAGGCTGTCGGGATCGTGAGTGTTTACACGTGACTGGAGATATATTAAGAATTACCAATGCCTGCTTAGGTATATGAAGCGCGTTAAAAGTCAGTGACCGAGACTATGACGGAGATTGACCCGTGATGCAAAGAGTGTAATACGGCCGAGCATCTAGATAGTCATCAAGAGTCTCTGATCATGGATATTGTAACCTTTGCACTTGCAAACTGGATGGCCTGGCGTCAGGTAGCCATGCTGGCGAGAAAACAAAAATGGAGGAAATGCAGCTAATGAGGAACGAGGAAATGAAGATATTGAGCATGCCACACTGCAGAATTTCAGCCCAAATCTCAGAGACAGCAGATGCTTCTGACAAATTGTGAACATCTTCCAGAACCCCTAGATTCAAAGCAAGCTATGCCATATCGTACCAAAAAACCCATACCTGACTCCATCATGAAACGCCAATGCCATTGCCCGGAATGGTCTTCAACCTGCAGACACACTCCCATCTCTTCCCACCTTCTCCCAGAACCTCCTTAGACCCAGCACCTTTGCTCTGGTCGGAGCCTCTTTAACATCGACCCTTCTTCCCCACCTCGGAGTCTCTCTCAACCCGCCACTGCTTTCCCTCGCAAAGCGTCTCGCGATCCTCCTCACATCCGGCTTCTGTTCATCCCCTTTGCCTCTCAAATTTTCGTCTCCGCGTCTCCTCCACTCCTCTACCCAACCCCTCAACAAATCCTTAATTCTCTCCTTCTCAATCTTCCTCTTCGTCTCCACCAGGCCCGGTGCGAGCCCGCCGCCCCGCCGAAAGCACTCTGCGGGCAGAACCCCAAGTTCGACGAGCTCCTCTGCACTGGGACGCTTCAGTAGTTGTCTGTTGAGCTTTATTTTGATGAGGTTTCGGCCGAGGTTGCGGGCTGCGAGGGTCGTGCGTGTGATGTAGATTCTGTGTGCCATGAGGGTTGCGAGAGGAGGGCGGAGAGGAAGAGAGCGCTCGATGGTGAACGAGGCGCGATGCAGACGGAAGGAGTGCAGTAGAGGATCGAGTGAGAGCTGGCGGAAGAGATGCGAGGTTCGAGAGAGATTTAGGAGGTCGGGTATGTCGAGGTACGAGAGGATGTGGAGTAGGAGTTCGGATGGGAGGTTCGAAAGCGAGGATGGAGGGGTAATGAAGTAGGCTTGCGCGTTTGTTATTTCCATGTTTGTTGTGTGTTCGAGGGAGAATTCGAGGTGTTAGGTGTTCATGATGTTAAAGAGAAGGAGGAACAGCTATTGTTGAAGTTGTATTGTGACTTCGTCGTTGCCTGCGAGTCATGGGATGCAATGGAAGAGGTGGTGGAATGGACGAGACACGAGATGCGGATGGATGTCGTTTACGTAGCGGGGTGCCTTGGCTGCCTGTCGCTAGGTATCTGAGACATTTTGCTGAGGAACAAACAACAATGAAACTCAATCTCTCACACAAATATCAACATCAACATCAACATGAACAGCAGCATGAAAATCGTTTATTTACATTTCTTATCTGTTGCAGTTGGAATGGCAATGCTCGTTCTCTAAGCGCCTCAGTGGGCTCTGTTTACATCAATTTTCCATGTCTCATTTCCATTGTTTGGTCTCGGAATAGGGGGCCGCTCAAGTCACGTGCTGTCCCAGGTCCCGGCCAATTCATGACCACGACAAGTGTCAATGTCCAAGACCCTCTGGAAATCAAATGCTGCATATTTGCCAGGCACAATGCAACGTTATCGGTTATGATTACTGCTTATGATGTTTCCCCTTGCTCCGGTATTGACACGACTCTCTTTGACTTCACCGTGCGCATCCAACGCGGAGGTCTCTCTGAGCGCGTCCTCCTCCTCGAGCCTCAATTGAGGCCGCTCCACTTCCTCCCATTGGACATCACAACTCAGGGCTGGCCGCTCCCCTTGGCTTCGCCAACTCATCGATGGACGGAGCAGTGTGAAGAATGCAGCCCAACGAGCCAAAGGCTCTTCCCAGCCCTGAATTCGCAAGGACCCAAAACTTTCCCCCCTAGTATGACCGCCGGCTCATGTGTCTTCGCCGTCGTGCATCGACTACTCTACTGCTGCATCCTGCACTCTGCACGCGGTCTCTTTCGAAGCTACGGCGGCCATATCGGCAGCCAGCGGTGCTGCTGCACGCTTCTGCATGTCCTCTATAGCTGCCAAATCATATCCCCGCGACCACACACCAGCGGGGACTGCTGGACTGGCCTTCGCCCTGTCTCGGCCAGCGGAGCATCTGATATCTCATACCGCCTCTCCCGAATATGCCACCAATCGTGTCCCATGTACATGCCAATGGTGAGGCTGCACCGGCCGCTATACTTTAAAACTCTGCGCACATGCCAATTTGGCTTTTTCATTGGACACAGCGTGGAGGGCAGCACCCGCAACCACATCGCTACTTGAACACATGATTAATACCGTCCCGAAGAATGGGGAACACAGGCGATAAATTTAGACGTCGTCAGAATTGAGTTCACAGGTACCTTTGTATCGGAAATTGGGAGCGCTATCATCTAAGAAGGAATTGTTTGGATTTTGGAAAGATGGGCCAACCGTAACGCCACGCTTGGTCGACAAGAGGGCCGTGTTTACCCTCACGTCACCTCTGAACAAGTATGAAGGGGCCAAAGGGTTGTAAACACCGGCTAGGGGCACATTCTGCATCGTCCAACATATGATGCAGAGTATCAGGCAACCTCAACGTAGCTTCCTCAACTTCTTTCCAGCCCCAGCCCCCTCGTTGCGATCTGAAAAAAGGCCTCATCGATGGTTCGAGGCCGACTGAGTAAATCCTTGATCCAAGTCCCCATGAATCGAGTCTATCAGAGCTCCGCCTCGAGATGCAGGTTTGGTCATCCTCAGTCACTCAAGAGCGGTGTGTGACGAAGCCTGCATTTTGTGCATGCCCTTTGCCACCATGATGTTGCCATTAGGAAGGTCTGGGCTTCCGGTCAAGCAATAAGGAAGCATGGAACTCCCCATCCCGCCCTCAATATAACCCAAATTTCTGTCAAAACAGGCCCCCAATCGCGGTTGCAATCGGCAAATTTGCTTTTGAGCTCAACCTGTTGCTTCTCTCCAACGTGAATCCTCGCATATGATAGAACCAGGATGATCCAGAAGCCCCGTGTGATACCTAGCTTAAGTGGAGTGCGGGCGAAGGCTTAACAACACACGAGTAAGACTTCAAAGGTAGGGGAACCACATAAGCTTGACACGTCACTCTTCCTGGAAACTATCCTCCCATTTCTTAGCGAAACTCAGTTCGATCATAGTGCCGGGAGAGCGTGTTCGAGTGGCAACGTGGTGCAAAGATCTGCAAAGGGACCTATCCAGCTCGTGTTGCCCCCATGCACAGTGATGAAGCGGTTGATCTTGCCCCAAGCCATTGTGGCCAGCACATCTGTTGGAATCCTTGTACTTAATAGGAATAGGCACAGGAAGTCGGCTGCAGATTCGAACATTCTTGAATGAATGCATGCGGGGGCTTCGGCTGCAGATAGTCGATCCGTTTTCCCACGGTGGCTAACCATCACCAGACTTGGAGTCTTGGCCTTCAGAGACACCTTCTTGACCTAACGGCCACGGTAAAGGCTCGGTATGGGGCATTGGTCGAACTGCGTATGGAAATAAGTCGGAAGTTCCTTACTTCCTGCTGAGTTGTTGATCCAACACCGATGCTTGACAGCCTTTCCACGAAGTGCTCTCTGCTCGAGGCAGAATATGGCCACGGTGTTGCCGAGATGATGGTGACAGCAGACCAACGGCTCATAACTGCTCGTTCCGGTTGGATAGATTGTGTCAGGTTGAGGGATTTCTCTCTCAAGGCTGTGTCGTCCACTCTACATGAGCAATGGCTTGGCCGCTCTGGAGGTTTGCATCGTCCCGTGTTCAAATTGAACCTAGCAGGTCCACCATATCAACCATTGTTGGATGGGCTCAACGGTGGCGGGGCGAAGAAACATCCAGACTATGTATCAAGGATTTGTAACGTGATGGATAGCTTCCAGTCCTGCATGAGCCGAGATATGCATCTCTTTTCCTTAACTTGCAACATGTTGAATGTGCTGGCAACCGATCGTCTCTCGACTCCTCTATTGCAGCCAATTGACCTTCTGCAACATGGCTATCGTGGACCAGGACCAACACGGCAGAAATGAAGCGGACGAAGGGCGTGGATAAGGATTCGACAGGAGGGAATAGGAAGGCATGCCGGCCACATCTGCAGTCTCTCCTTCCAGGTTCCGGACTATCTTGCCAGGTTCGTGATAGCCGGCTTGCATGTGTACGTCGTATGTCGAGTTCAGAAGCGGGGATGCGTTGCGAAGTGATGTCTTGTTGAATATTCGCACTCGAGGTCGTCGAGCATCTCGTCCGTCGAAATTGAGCATAAATACTCTGGTCCTCGCCCTTCTTTCACAGTTCTACTCAGCATCAGCAACGAACATCCTCATCCATTCATCACTTCAATCTTCCTTGCCTCTCAAACATCAATCACTTCTATCAAACATACCTTGAAGACTTTCTTCACATCACACCTTCCAAACAACAAGGACAAACTCCCAATCAACGATCAACATTTGACAGCCAGTAAGATTCTCCAGAACAAGCACTTGTTTCATCTTCAGGACCTAGTAATGAGGACTGACAACTCGATTGTACAGACCAACACCATGTGCTACTACGAGCAATACTCCATGCCCTGCGGCGACTGGAAATGGGGTAACTTTCGAGCTCATTGCTCCAAGGAATACCGCACTGGTGAGACCTGTGGTATGAAACTTGTTTGGGAGAGCATTGGATTGCCAGACAACTGCAAGTATTGTATCAAGATCGAAACAAAGCGGGGAAAGATTCGCAAGGAGAAGGAGAGAATCAAGAGGTGGAGACAAGAGGGTAACCGCCGTGCTTCAATCTCTCAGTCAGAGGAAGCAATTGAGAACATGGAGCGGGAGATTTGGGATCTCAATGAGCAGCGTGCCTCTGTGAGACACCAGCGGAACATGTAATAGCCGACTGGGCTACACGCAACGGTAAGCATTGACAGACTCCTGACATCCTCGTCCGGCACGATGCTGATGGATCGTAAAGTCCCAACTCGTCGACGAGCATAAGTGCAACGGTGGAAAGGCCTTTGATTGAGTTTCATCCTATTGTAGTTGCCTCCTGTTCTTTCCTTGGTTCCGGGGTTATCGGCGATCTATGGGCAAATTGGCGATGCTTCTTATCCTTGCAGTGGTGGGGTGGACGGGCGATGATCCAGTGTATTTCCCTTGGTAGTGATAGTATGCAACGATGACACGGCCGGACAGCTCTTCATGGTTCTCTTCCTGATTCGTGACACCGTTCCCGGGCCTATCAGTGAAGCTATTGCCTCAACAATCGACAGATGAAGGCGGGGTCCCGGGCGCTTAGTTACTCAACCGAGCGGTTGGAGAAATTGTCGTGACAGCCAGTTGGATGGAGTAGACATTGTATTGGGATGGCAACATGGCATTGCAGCTGGTGAAGATCGTGTGATGATTGCGAAAGAAACTTCTGACGGGAGGTGGAGGTTGATGTGCTATGTGTTGTTGACAGGACATTCGGCTAAGCGCCTGCTCCAAATTAGCCTGACCCATAATGATGAGATGTCCATAGCACGACCGTACATTTGAGCACAACGCCTTTTCAACCAGGACGAAGAAGACATGAAGGGAAGAAATTGGAAGTGCATTCGAAAGTGATGTGGGAGCAGGCAGGCCTTTATGAGACGGCACTCTGAAGACCTCGCAGAAGTGCAATTCGGGAACGTGGCTAATGCTTAATGGACCTGAGTCGCAGCCTGACTGCAGAGCAAGAGAGCAATTTGGTTGGCTCTGCCAAATCATTGACCAGCCAGTGAACAGGCGCTCTTGACAAAGGAGATGCTTGAATGATACAACGCATAGACAAGTACGCTTAGCTGGTCCACTTAAAATCCAATATCCATCATTCGATCCTGACCAGTGCGGCGGATTTGGGGGAAAGGTCTGAGAAGGGTATTGCAACGGCCGTGGAACGCCCCGACGCCGTGGAACGAAAACATGCCAGCAGTCCTGAGCCCATGTCTATTCCATGGAGGTTTCTGCATCTGCGAAACCTCCCAGCAGCGGTCCCACGCCATCTGATTTGACAGGCTTCTGGCTCTGCATTTCTTCGAGGTCGTCTTCGTCGGAGATCCACCCTTCTGAGGGAGCGGGCGTGTTTTCTGCGAGGTACTGATTGGATTTACTGATAGCATCGGCTGAGGAAATCTTTGCAAGTACATCTTGGTACCGTAGGAGTCGGGCATCTGGGACGGGAAAGGCCAATGTGGCAGATTGGGGGACATTATTCTGGGGTACCATAGCAAATATATCCACGAGATGGCTGCAGAGAACGAATTAGCATGCATGTCCTTTGTTTACAACAGGGGATTGAGGGTGTGCGAGTTTCGAGTCTTGATCCCGAAAAGCACGTAGAAGCGCGCAATCTTACTTTGATGTCTGCATCACGACCTTCTGCAAGGCCTCCGTCTCTCTCTGAACTTCCTGGGGATCTGCCTGAATGGCTCCAGCACTATGATCTCCGAAACTGCCGTATTGATTCGTGTGGGAGTCGTCGAAGAGCAATCTTGATTGTTCGTCCTACGTGAGAACCGGTCAGTCAAGAGCTTTTGCCTGGGGGATACAACCCAATTCTCACCTCGTCGGACAAGTCGCGGTCACGGTCATGGCCAATGCAGGAGAAGCAGACGCCCATTCTGGCGACGGGGAGGAGATTGCCTGGCTGAATGAAGAAGAAAACACCTCAGCAACTCCGACGCAATCCAAACGCTCTATTCAGCCGTCATGAGAAGGGGACCCAGAGGGCAAACGAAGGGCGATGTAAGATCTATGCGCTGAATGAAAGGCAAGGAGGTGCGCAGAAGGGCAGACGAAGAAACATAATTGTTGTGAAGGAGAAGATGGGGGTGATGCGAGGTCGAATGTCGATAATTTCTGTGAGGGACCGAGCGGGCAGCTTGGGTGCCATTTGCGCTAAACCCAGAACAGGCACACCAGCCTTAAATCAACATATAATAATATATTCCCCTTTCTTCCTGTTCCTCTCCTTCTCATACATACTATGCAATACAATACCCAGCACCGCAGACCCTTTTCACGTTGGTCATATTGCTCAACTTCCCCTCGCTGTCCCGTGTTTGTCTATTGAAGGCTGCATCATGCCTGCAGGGACTCTTCCCTGGCAACGCAGCAAGACTCGTAACATCGTATCGTTTTCGACGCCCCTCACTACCTTAGGCCTCTGCGAGCTGCACGAGAGCACAAAGCAATTTTTAAGCTGCAGTCTACGTGTCAGCAATACAAGGATACTCGTCTTTTACGTGCCAATACCTTCTCTTTCCTCAGCCGTTCTCGTTATCGTATATGCTCATCACATGATGAACGTTGTATGCGCGGGAGGGTTTCATCGTGGCCGAGGTGGCCGCGACCAAGCAGTTCATGAGCCATCGGATCATCCCATAGGCGGAGAAGTCTTGTTGAATCCTGCTGCTTTCCTGCATTAATGCGTTGGTTGGCTTCTTTGGCTTGCTTGCATTCTCATCCCTTGCGTCCCTTGCTTTTTCCAGTCCCAAGGGCGACTTGAATCCTCTGTCTCCAGAAATTTAGTTACTTTAGATATCCCTCATTCAGTGGAACATTGGTAGTAGAAGGGAAGAAGTTGGATTGACAATAAGCTCTGGGTGGTACGCCAAGGACGAGCACTACTTGACTATGATGTCCTTCAGCATACCTCAGTAGATATTGAATATCGCTGCAATGAACAAGATTACATTGATCTGTACTTATAAGAAGTCTGTCTGACCATCGGCAATCTGAACCTAAAGAATCGCCAGTCATCAATCACATTCATTTGAACTTGAAGAGGACGTTTTTCACTCTTTAGATATCTCAGTTTGCAAATTCTGAAATCTATTCTCTTTAGCTATCACGTCCACGTAACTTTATGCCATCTCGTATTCAATGGCTTCTCGAATCCACCTAATGGCTGTTGCCATCCTCGGAATCTCCACGTCGATCATGGCAAACCCCCTCGCCCGAAGAGATCCAACCTGCCCCGCATCTTGCATCGTAACAACAACAGTAACCGTAGTCTCCACTCTCACACCTACGACACCTGCGACCGCTCCTTTTACAGTCATCACCGAAACCCCAATCACGTCTGTCGTGGTCGTTGGGCCTTCCACGGGCCAAGGAAGTGCTTCAAACCCTGCACCACCGCCTCCCGCCTCTACTCCGCTACAGACTCTAAGACACTGCAGTCACAACAATTGTCTTCGTCAATTCATTCGCCACCCTCAAGTTACAGCATTCTGTGCCACCTACACCACCGCAATCAACACGGCGACGACAGATCTACCCGATTTTGTATCACAATGTCATGCAGAGCCCACTCGAATCTCATCAGCTTGTTCTTGTATTGTCGGCGAAGTCAGTCCAGTTGGCCCAACCCTCCCAACTGGTAGTAGCGGAGGGGAAACCCAGACTGGAGGTGGAACCTTCACAGTTACCGGCTCCGGCCCCGCTCCGTCAACGACTTCAGACAATGGCATGTGCGCCGCAAGCATCATCTACGAGACTTTCACGCAAACCACCACGTACCTGGTCACCCTTACTGGATCATCGATGCCTTCTAGTAACGCCACTGCGATGGAGTCGATCACCTCAAGTTCTCTCCTCACCTTGGATGTAACCGGTGTTGCTACGGCTCCGTCCAGCTCAATCGCTCCCTAGGAAATTGTTTGGGCGTTTGGGAAGAATTTTGGGCTTGGAGTCGCTAGGATGGCATGGACCGATCCTGATCGATCATAGAATGCGTTTTGGGGTTGAGAACGATGCGTGAAAAAATAGACATATATCTTGTCCTTCCTCCATTTTTGCGTTCTTCATTCTTAGTTCGCATTCATACTATGGTAACTCTCACAAGTATCTGTTTTGATCGTCCTTCGGATCTTATGATTACTTCTGATTCAAAGGTTGGAGATTTCACCTGCTGTGATCGCATTGACGGGGTTGCTCCTCCGGCTGGAGCTTGCTGTGAGCTGAACTCCAACATAATCAACATTGCTTGAGCTTTTCACTTGAAAAGCACAAGTAAAAGGAGTAAAAATATGAGAAGACACACCTTTTACCAGCAAGAACCCGTCACGTTTGAGATCTCACGGCTTTCACATGTCAACTCAATTATTTATAGCATCTCTTCAAGCGATTGTCCCTCTGATTGTACATGCTACACGTGGTAGAGTTACCCCGCAACCACAATTGCATCCACCCATGGCTTCCCTTCAACCCAAAACATGGTAACCACGTTCCCACCAGCCAAGAAATCAACCTTGATCGTCATATTAGCAAGAACACCACCGGAGACTACTGTTGAATTAGTCAAAAAATTCATCTGAACAGCCAACGTCCCACTTCCACCTCCAATTATTGTCAAGTTCTTGCTTCCGCCGCTGTCGTCAGACGCTCTAACATCCGCAATCTCTGCCCAAGCACCATCTCCGAGCAAAACCCCTCCATTTTCGATAGTACAATTAAGTCCTGATTGCTTTCCTTCAAATCCACCAATGAATGTTCCTAACAAGCCGTCCTCGGCCTCGTATCTAGGTCCGGTGGTGGCAGGGACCCAAATCTGAATCTCGCTTACTGCAACTGCGTAGTGAATCTCATTCACCAGCGTAATGGACAGAAAGTCCGTCTCAATCTCTATCCCTGTCGCGGTTGTCGATGTATTGGATGAAGTAACGTTGCCAAGTAAGACCGTATTCAAGGCATTAGGCACACAGCCATTCCAAGGATCTCGATGCGTGAGCAGGGTCCCACTCCGATCATAGACATAAATCGCCGATGGACAAGCAATCACTCCTCCTCTATCGGTATCCGCATAAATTCCCAGCGAAACACTATCAAATTTCCGAGCTCGAGGTAGAGTGATGGACATAGTGTTGAAAGGGGTTGTGGATTGATTGTTCGTCCATCTGTTGTCGGGAGTTGTATCGTACCATAAGAGACCGTCGATCATCTTCCATGCTTCATAGGGAGAAATATCGCCATTACTGCTGAAAGTATAGTCCGCTGTCACGTTTGGGAGACCCCATGGCGCATTTGGGTTTGACAGGATATTGGAATAGCAGGGTTGGGAGGCGAGTTTGGAGATTGCTGTGGTTGAGCTATTGGAGAGTGTGATGTTGAAGGGTGTGAGAGAAGGTTGATTATGGATGAGGGTTCCTGATGAGTATATGGATAGACCTGGTTGGTGAGAGAAGTTTGAGTAGTGTGATCCTGCTTCATCCCACAAAATGGAAATGAGTGATCCTAGAGAATTTGTAAGAAGAGTGTACTCGTGCTCCTACAGCTTTTGATTTGCTCACCATGATAAGGAAGGTTCTCAATTGCGAAGTACGTCCAATTGCTTGGTATTAGAGGTCGCATTTCAAGCCTCTCGTCCAGGGTTGGGACAATACCGACGAGATTCGTGAATAGATTATCGATATATGTCGAGTGAAGATAGTTCTCACTGTGATTTGTCGTGTCTCCAGACCATTCATCGATTGTGGGATAATGGCATTCTGCAGTATAAGGGACGCCGTCTTTGTAGTTTGTGATTGTATATGCCTCAAATGCTTGTTGAAACACTTCAGCAGTGGCGATCGTGCTGACGTTCTCTCGTGCCAATCGCGCGAGAGTACCGAGATACATCGATGTACTGAATGGCCAAGATTGACCTTGCCAGATCTGTTTCTTTATCAGTCATAGCTCTGGAGGTTATGAGTGTACTTACACAGCAATATGTAGTGTTCTTGAAATCAGTATAATACTGATTAGTCTGCTCCAAAGTGGTAGGACCAAATTCGGTCAAGAACGCTTCCGGTGTTAGCCCTGCTTCGAGACCCATGATTGAGTCCTCATCCGTCCCCACATCCAATCTGTAAGGAAAGTAGCCAATCAATTCTCTGCCCCCTACCCTCAGATTTGTCCCTTCCACTACATCAATCCAGAATTTCAGATCTTCGTCCCACAACATGTTCCTCATATCAGTATACAAAGTATCGGCTCTCTCGCTCCATTGCTGGGCAAGAGATGTCTGATTAGCAAGGTGGGCTACCTCTGCAATCGCACGAGCTCCGGAAACCATGTAAGCATTGAAGTTAGGTCGGTAAGTTTCAGGTCCCAGCCAAATTGTTGCGAAGTTATTCCCAACTGCATTCCAGGTTTCTACCATTCCTCCGTTTGGACCTCCTGTCCAGTATCCTGGCAGGGAATACTCTTGAGCATCGGAAAGTGGTGTCCGATGATACAGTCCTGTGACATTGTTCTGCGTAACATTCCAAAGATTGAAAGTCTGGATCATGCCAGGCAGCTGAGAAACGAGGAAGTCGACATCACCAGTGGCCCATGCGTGCTCCAAGATTGCACGATGAATGTAGTGTGTATATGATATTCCTCCAAGTGCTTCAATCCCGGCACGCATGTACAAATTGACGATATCTTTCGTATAGCTCAGATCTCTGAGCCATCGACCTTCAAGGATCTGATGAGCGGCAGAGTCTGGGATAGTTTGAAGCTTGCTTGCCCATGATACTGGATGTATAAACTCAGTGAAGAGCCAGCCGTGTCCTTCGTGGGAATATTTGAGATGTCTTTTGAGCACTGAAGTTCGATAGTAATACACATCCCGAATGCTCTGATCGGGAAAGTCAACGAACGGGATGTTGTCGAGGTACCATTGCGGGTCGGCGAAAGAAGATATGTATGATTGGTGGTCGAGGATGGGAGTCGTTGGCAAATATTCATCTGCTAGCGGGTACGGACGGACTGGGTCTTGCCCTGAACCGAAGGGAAGAAATAATAGTACTATGGATATAACTTGCGGAAACCACATCTTGACAAGAATTTTTCCCACAAATCTGCAAAATTTCCATGTTTCCCAACACTCATACTTATTGTACTTTTAATTTCTGATTGTCCTATTTTGACCCCGCATCAACCTAGTAAAAATGGTGGGGTAATTGAGATCATCCCCCTGATGATCGCTTACTTTCAAGCGCACCAATGGATAAGGCATGAAAAAAGCTCTGAATCAGATTGAATGGCGCCCTGGTGGCAACTTTTGTTCATCTCGCTATGTTGCAACCTTACCATGTTTAATGGTTCATAAATCTCCCTGCTGGTGGGTCACAATCTATAGCAAATCGTATCCCCATCTTCCTTCCAATGCGCTGTAAAACGTCCTGCGACTCTTTCCTGTGCTCGGGTAGAGCCCACGGAACCCATGACACAAGGCCAAGTGGCCAGACAAGTCGCAACGCGCCAGCCCAATTTCCTGGCTTCTCGCTGCAGGTTCCGGTGGTTTCGCGGAGAGCGAGGGGTATGCTTTCGATGATTTCGCAGGAAAGGTTCTGCAGGATATGGATGGTGTGTTGCTGTCGAAAATCGAAGTTTGAAATTGGGGTCATGTCTGTATGAGAGACGAGGAGAAGTGTGAAGTATTGGAGCTTAAACAAAGCTGCTCGCAGAGTGTTGTGGACATATAGAGCGGTAAGGTCTGTAGGATCGAAAGTGAAACTGGAGTTCCAAATTTCAACATCGCTCTGAAGAATGTCTGATTCTCTGAGTATGCTTGTGATATCGGATGGTCGTCTGGCATCGGCAGGAAACTTATTGACGAACTCAATGATTCTTTTGCAGAGTAAAATGAGTCGATAGTTGTGGTTGGCGACTGCAAAAGCATGTTGATCATCCTTAGTCAGATGAGGCAACATGAGATCAAACCAGTCACAGGACTGTGGCGGACCACTGATGTTCGCTGCCATACAATGGACTAGCTATTCGACTCAGTAATTGCATAAACGTTGACTCAAAACCCTTACAATGAACATATAGACAGTCCAAAACACATTGCGTCCTCTTCTGGAGGAGAATTGGGCTGGACCTCGAATGGCGAGCAAAGATACTAGACCTTGGCAGTGCGCGATATATGCCTCTGGTACAGGTGCCGGTTCCTTCTTTGCAGAACTAATCAAAATCTGTTCATCCTCAGCGATTGATACAATGTAAATGGTAAATAGCATACTTCGTGAATCCCAAGCAGCCAGACCGCTATCAGAGTACTATCTTTCACTCTCTCGACTGGGTCTCGCAGAGCAGCGTTCGTCAAATTCAACGCATGTCCATACGTGTGTATTTGTTCCTTATCAGGTTGTTGCTGTGACAGATTCGTGATGTATGCCTTTGCAAAAGCCACCGTAGTTGCGCTGAGACACGACTCATCCTACTCGCGAATTAGTATACATTTTTAACACATATCCAGGAGTTGAAGAGCTTATCCGAAAAATTGGAACAGCTCATCTTTCTCGAGCAGCTCCGAGGAGAATCCCAAAGCTTTCTGTTTCTAGAAGGAAAACAGAACAAAGGCATAATTTGACGTACATTGATCTCCTTGTAAACATCTGGAAGAAAGTCAAGACTCCCACATGAGTGACTATCGTTGATAGAAGCCGAAAAATGGTTCAGAATAATGGGTACTGAGTACAACCGCCATTGTTCTGTGATCTGCGGGCAAATTGTTGATGTAGTCGTCCATGTTGGTCGCAAATGCTTCGGCTGTGCGGGGGTCCCTGAGTTGACACTAGTCGGGCCGGATTTAGATGACATGGAAAGGGTCTGCACCGGTCGAGGTGTCCTTGTACGGCCTGCAGCGCCAAGATCTGCATCGGCGATGTGTGCCGATGCCAGTGCTTTCTTTTTAGCAATCGAATCTTTGTCCTGATTTCGAAAGAGGAGATCTAGTTCGGGACGATAACCCGGGCAGATCTTTCCAATCTTTACACACCGGTGGCATCCTGGTTTAGTAAGATCGCACTAGATACTGTAAGGAGTTTTGAGCAATTATGCAGTGTGACGAAACAACTCACATTGACCCTTCGCTTCCTACATAGATGGCAGGCGGGGCTCGGTTTACCAGTATTCGGCATGATTCTGTGGGTCGTAAAAGTAGCCTGCCCCTTTGAGACTTTGAGCCCCCATGAAGCTTCTCGGCAAGCAGTAAATTGAAGAAAGAACATGTAACTGAGGATGTTACTCTTGAGCAGTGGTCGTAGGTGTGTGGCGTTGTAAGAGGCGTGAGACAAAGTTCAGCTCGAAAGGACTTCCTTTTTCGGTTAGCTCAGCTAATCTCTAGTCAGCACTTTAATGTGCGACTGACTAGCAGCGTCAATTTAGACAAACTTGAGAATTTTGCAGGAGACAATTTTATTTTCATTCTCTACGACACTATTCTGTGCTATCAAAAATGCACTTCACATTTGATCAAGACGGTTCAAAATTTCAACGTCTGCCACCACGAACCATATACCCTGCAGCCGGAAGAACGTTGTTTTGGTTTGCGCTCCTTTCCTGGTAACTGTCTGCTGCCATGGTTAATGCAAACATGATAGCCTTTATAGTCTCCCACGGATTCAAAGCCCTGATCCAGGCTCGACCGCCCAGAAAGCCCCCTTGATAGCGTTGCAACCTTCGCGCTCCGGTCTCGTCCGCAGGAATTGCATTTCGAGAGATTATATATGGTCCCAAGGAGTTTACGTAATGAAAGAAAATACACGGTGGAACCATAAGGACACAGATGATCATGTTCGGGAGGCCAATGTTGAGATCGGCATATGTGAGTGTCGAATTTCCATTGAGAACTTTGGCATCTTTGAGAATCCAAAAAACGATCTGTAGCAAGCTTCAGTAACCTCTTTCTTACGAGCTAAGAACAAAGACACTTACGGTCAAAACGAATGTCGTAATAACAACAAGCTTGAATGCCAGCAATTTTGCCAAGGGTTTATGCTGCGTCAGATGCTTCCGAAGTCCGAAGTAGAATTTCAACACTGATACCATGGCTGCCGCAAGAGAGACGTCTTTAACCAAGTTGAGCTTCAGTAAGTCAGTAAATCAAAGGTTACGTTGAATTCATGTTCTACTGACAGTAGACACCAGCTGCCTGCGTAATGTCTGTAAGGATGGCGACCAGTATTGCAACCACTGGTTACTGAAAGATCATAATCCAGCGACTCTGAGAAAGGCATTAGCACGATGCATAGACATTAAACTTAAAGAGCTGGCATACCCTGTACCAAGCTAAACCTCCACCTTTCCCGCTGGGAGACTTCTTGTCGCGCACGACCAGCGCAGCGAAGAACAGATCTCTCTGTGAGGGATTCTCGGAAACAAATTCGCACATCAGTAGGAAGAAGGAACCCAAAGCCACTGATTGTACAAGATCTAGCCAAGGCGTAATGTCGACAGCACCCTTCGGGAAGCATATAGACAGCAGTGAGAGGATCGAGTAAAATGGTATGAGGAGACCGATCTTCATAATTCTAGGGGAGAATTAGAATCCATAAAGCGTATCAGCATTATCAAGGAACTCACTTGATCTGCTCGTTTGGTTTGCTAAGGTGAGTCGCATGCATAGATAGTAAACCAACAATGACCAAGCTGGCGAATGTAGCACAGCTTCCAGATAGAGTCATGTTGAAGCGGTGAAAGGACATGTGGCTCGCAAAATATGTTGTGGCAACTATATGCTGAAGTTAATCCTACCATGATGAGCCCGTTGTTGGAGTTGTGGTAAGAGCTGAGGCCACCGGGAATGGCCCACTTAAGCGAGACGCGGTAACGCGTAAAAATTCTACACCCCATTTTAAAACCCTTACCACACAACAACCCTCTTAGGAATCAGTCCATAATTCAAGATGGAGACACCTCTTATCCTAAGTGATCCTATCGAGAAAGAGAATAATGAATGGCCTACCCCTGCACGTGCAGTCATTCGATCCCTACAGCGCCAGGGAAAGTCGCAACGCGAGATTGTCTCAGAGACCCATATCCCTCGAAGAACAGTACGCCGCATTCTTAAGCAGGAATCTAGTCGGAGAGAGCGCAAAAGAAAGCTCTCTAGACACCATCTCATGTCTATACGCGACATACGTTATTGCATTCGAACCATTTCCAAAAACTGGAGCTCTAGGCGCATGACTTTTGAGGCTCTCAAAAAGCAACTACCCTACCTACCCTCGGTGCGCACCATTCGTCGAGAATTAGCCCGGGCTGGCTACCGCCGCTGCATTGCATGCCCTCGACCATATATTACCCTCAAACAAGCTAGGAAGAGATATGTATTTGCCAAGGAGCATAGATGGTGGGGGACATCAGACTATGCAGCTCATAGAGATGATGGCAAGCAAGGAGGGGACTGGAGGAAGGTTGTATGGTCTGATGAGGCTATATTTGAGACTGGGAAGAATGGCAGGATATATGTGACTAGGAGGGTAGATGAGAGGAGGTGCCCTGACTGCATTAAGTCAGTCTACAGGTCAGGGAGGACAACGGTCATGATATGGGGGGCATTAGGTTGGGATTACAAGTCGCCATTAGTCTTCCTAGAGAAGCTTCCAGAACGCAAGGGCATATGTTCTAAAGCCTATCTACAGCAAGTTCTTCAGCCTATAATCTTCCCTCTCTTTGATGATCTAGGGCCGGAGTATCTTCATGGAAGACGGGTCTAAGGTGCATAAAGGGCATGCCAGATTACCTAGACTACAGCACAATATCCGAGGGTTTAATTGGCCTCCTTCTTCACCAGATTTGAACCCTATTGAGAAGGTCTGGAGGTGGATGAAGGAGGAATTGAAAAACTTGGACTATGTGCCCAAAAATAAGGTGGATTTGAAGAGGGAGTTGCAAAAGCTATGGGACCGAGTTGACCCACGTGACTTTCGCCACTACACTGAGCAATTGACTTGTAAGATTGAGGATGTAATTAAGTACAAGGGTATGGCTACTATTAATTAATAATAAGTTCCATTTTCACAGAGATTCATAAGAAGACTAAAAAATTATGATTTTTGGTAAATAAGGTCTCATTTGTTGAGTTTCGCTTAAGTGGGCCATTCCCGGTGGCCTCAGCTCTTACATACCTTGACTGAGATCATGAATAGGACAGACATGATCGCTGTTTTTGCTTGAATGGTTGCCCACTGAAGAGGCAAAATTTGTACGAAGTGTAAAGGTATGATTAGCAGTAGCAGAGGATAGCAATTTCCTGATGTGAATACAGAGAGTCAGAACCAGGAAGCCTTAAGCTTGGATGGCACAATTATAGATCAGAAAGTGATTAAAAAAAAGGAATCAAAGAAACCTCTGCTTAGAGAATACTACTTTCGTCGTCCGGATGCGCCGCCCAGCAAATTTGCAACGTTTGTTTATGGGTATCATGATATGGGTAGGACTCGAGAGACTCCGAATTAAGCTGTTTTGCCAGCTCGAATGAATTGCTATGAAAGGCTAGCGTGGACGCTGTGGTAAGCACTAGGGCTCCGCCCACAACCAATACATCCGCAATATGCATTACGCCGCTCAGCTCGAAAGGATTCCTTGTCTGGTACTTCATGTTGTCCGCGAGAATGCATATCATACTCCGCCTCCCCTTTTGCCTTATAGAAGTCAAACTTGTTCGCTATCTTGCTGTACCAACCGGCTTACATTTGATCATGGAGAACCCGTCTCCAATTGAAAGTCCATTTAAAATCGCGATCATTGGCGGCGGACTAGCTGGCATTCTCCTCGCTATCGGTCTGTCAAGTCGAGACATATCCGTACAGATTTACGAAGCAGCACCAACTTTCGCAGAGACTAGCGCAGGTATAGGCTTTGGGCCAAATGCTGTGCGAGCCATGACATTGCTCGACCCAAGAATTCGGGCTGCCTACGAGTCCTTGAAGACAGAAAATAGTTGGGAAAGCAAAAGGAACATATGGTTTGACTTTCGGAGAGGATGGGGCCAAATACCAGAGTTGTTGACGGAGCTGAAGATGGGACATGAGAGCGAGGGTGGTGGAAATGTTCTTCGAGCAAGGTTTATGGAGGAATTGGTCAAACTCCTTCCAGTAAAAACTGCTGAATTTGGGAAGAATTTGTCCAGAGTAGATGATGAAGGCGATTCTGTGAGGCTATGGTTTCAGGATGGGACACAAAGAACTACAGACGCCGTGGTCGGATGTGATGGCATACGCTCGGTTGTACGAAAATTCCTTCTCGGCCAGGACAATCCCGCCTCTCAAGCAGTCTTCTCTGGGGTTTATGCGTATAGAGGATTGATACAAATGGATACTGCAATTGATGCAGTCGGAGAAGAATTGGCTCTGAACAGTCAAGTATATGTGGGCAATGATGGAGATCTGGTTACATATCCCATCGAAGGTGGCTCTCTTCTCAATGTAGTTGCATTTCGGAAACATGACGTTGATACATGGAATCATCCAAAATGGATCGTAGATTATCCCCAGGGAAAGTTGATGAAGGATTTTGAAGGATGGGGAAGTATACCATTGAGTCTGTTAAAGGTCAGTTTGGTTATTATCTAGTGCTAAGGGCAGATTGTGTTAATATGTCTTTCGCGTAGTTACTGGACAAGCCACAAGCTTGGGCTCTATTTGAAATGCCCTCAATATCAAGCTACTCGATGGGACGCATAACACTTCTTGGAGATGCTGCGCATGGCAGCACATCTCATGCAGGTGCTGGGGCGGGAATGGCCGTTGAAGACGCCCTTGTTCTGACCAACATGCTGGCTGATCCTCGCGTCCATCTTTTCAGTGACATTGCTCAAGTGTTCGCGGTTTATAGTATGGTAAGACACCCTCGGACCCAGAGACTGGTGAGACACAGCCGGGAAAGCGGAATGTTATTTCAGCTGAGAAAACCGGGTGTTGAAGATGATCTTAGGAAATTGAAAGAAGATTTGCAAAACAGGCAACTCTGGATCTGGGACATTAATCTGAAAAATCACTTGGAGCGTGCAAAAATTGAATTGTCAAAGGTTCTCAATGAAAAGCGAAAAGTTTAGCAATTGTCCTCCTTACACTAAGCGCAGGACCACCACAGTGCATAATTCTTGGATACTAGAAAATAGATGTGAAAACTTTTGAATGGTTCATAGGAACATGTCCCGACTTAAAAAGTATTCAACTTTGGTTGGACATTCTTGCTTTAAATAGCCCCTAAGTACGACTGACCCATAGGTGACATGCTCGTTTCTTGTGATTCGTCTAACAGTAAGTTAAACTATGACTTGTCTATTATCAAGTGAAAAAAAGGTATGTTTCTAGCGATTGTATCTAATTTATTTCACCCAGCCTATTCTATAAGCCTCAATGTTGTTTACTCAATACTATCAGTTTGGTACCCTTAGCCTCGCTACTCCTAATTCAGCACACTCCACCTTGGCACACTTCACCATAGTACTCCCTCTTTCAGAATTTTTATTCAAATTCTTTGTTGGTAAATTTCCCTGAAATGCTACAGCGAATGCGTAAGTAAGGGAAAGAGAAATGGACGAAGGATAGTGAATGAGTAACAACAAAGAAAAGTAAGGAAGCCACCGAACATTATCCCTTAAGCTGCGGCTCTCAGCCGGAGAAAAAGGTTGCCGTTTTTAACACACGAAGAATATCAAAATCTAATAGTTTGAATTATTTACTTTTCGACACTCGACATTTTAAAAATAAATTCGTCTTGAGAATTTGTAAACAAATACCTGAAAGAGATTTAAGGTTAAAAACATTTGCGATATTATCAGATAATTGCTAATAGTTTTGTTGATTAGCTGGAAATTGCATACTTGGTCAAAACGGCCACTTTTTTCTCCGGCTGAGAGCTGCGGTTCAGAACGCCATCAGCGCGGCCGCTAGCTTTGCTTAGCGATCCAGTCAAATATCCAGGATTCGCCAGCACAGCAAATCACAGAAAGCAGAGTGGGGCGGTGCCGGGGGGGTGGTGTTTACCGCAGCTTAAGGGATAGAGGCGTGAAGAACTCAAACAAGGCTAAACACAATTCTACTTTAATTCTCTAGAAGCTCTCCTCCTCTTTTCTCTCCTTCTTCTTCACTCTCCCTCTATCACTCACTTTGACGCTTCTGTTCACTCCACTTCACTAGTGGGTGGAGGTAAGCTTTAGTGAACTTCAGTTACCTTTAGTGAGGTGGGCAGCAATATATTAGGCTGTAGTGAGGTGAGATGAAGTAAAGTAGATTCTAGTGATGTAGGCCGCAGTGAAATTAAGCATAATTACTAAGTAAGCTACTCTTTTTCTTGAACTGTGAGACAAATAACCCTTTTTCTCTTATAGCCGGACAAAACACAAAAAATAACATTCAGATTGACTGTCAACTATATAAGAGAGAACGTGTCTCGATTTGAGCGAAGCAGAAGTACTAAAATTCGTTCCTTTCATGTTCTCTTGTGTCACATGGCAGAGTGCAACTTTCCACAATGTAAATCAATACAGAGCGCAATCCCACCGTAGAGCGCAAACTCAATTATCACAGAATAAGTCTCTGTGTCATGTTTATGACTGAGGTCAGGCAACTACAAGCTACTTCCGTAGGATTCAGCGGAAGTCGTCTCGGCATCAGTCGCATACGTCGGTGGCAAGCAGAATCTTTACAAGCGACCAGTTTTCTTTCCACATACAGTTATCTCTCACCGCCCACTACAATAGGCTAGCCCCATAAATAATATCATTTGTTTACCTAGGTATACGGTAGAGAGTATTCGATCTCTCCTCCTCTCCAGCTCTTCTACCGCATTGTCTGCGCAACACTCTCTCGCAGAGTACAACTTTGTCCCACAACGCAGACCGCTCTCGAACCTCATAAAGCGTGATTCTGTCACAGAGCGAACACCTCTATCATGGACAACAACTCTCTGTCGAAGCTCATGGAGCGCGACTCTTTGGTTCGCGACTCTATCCCAGAGCCCCGCTTTTTCGTAGAGGGCAACTCTAATGACGCCTACATCTCTCCGGTAATGCATAACTACTGTGTCCCTTGTATTATTTCTGTTAACTCGATACAAGTACTCTGCGGCATTCTCCTATCCGGAGCTGGATGATGGCGAGTACGTTCCGTACCCTCATCCTGGCCCTGAGTACGACTACCCGAACCCTTCGTCCTACGCGGAAGAGGCTAGCGGCAGCTATACACCATACTCATCTCAACTTGTCGAAGAACCGAGTGGCTCTGAGCCAGGTTATTCCATCCAACGTCGTCAAGAACATACCAGCAGCGGTAATGAAGCCGTCATGAATGAAGGCGATGCGGTAGGACTCACTTTCACTTTTGCATTTTCTTTTTGCATTCTGATCTGATGCTAATTCACCTTATTCTCTTCAGGTCTTCCCTGCCGTCTCTGAATCGACTCCTGCCTACCGATACGTAGCCTACGTCCCGACCTTGCCTCGCGCGAAGAGGACTCCCAAAGGCACCCCAAAGACTCGGTAAGTCGCTTTTAATCTTCTCTTTATGAATGAATAAAGAGCTAATTTGACTCTTTCAACACAGAGCTCACCCTTATTACGGTCTTATTCAAGCTTACGTAACTCGATCTGAGATGGAAGTAATTCGAAAACACTACGACCATATTCCCCTACCATGCCTTCAAAATATTGGTGAGGACGTTACGACAGCTGTTCGATTGACCTTGAACGAGTTTAAAAACTTGCAAGTCTTTCGCCGTTACAAGAACGGTCTGGTTCCTACCTCCCAATTTGTGACCGACCCTGAGATGATCCAAATCGCTCAGAAGGCACAAGACCGTCACGAGAAGTCTATGGCAAAGCACGTTGTTAAAGCTACGAAGCGAAACATCGATGAGGTCTACAACGAGATCAAGGGTCATCAACTCGCTTGAATGACAAATGAGTCGATGGAAGTTGGGTCTTCTCATAATAGCAGTGGCCGCAAAGTTTTCTTTTTCCTTTGCAAATAATTTTCAATGGTATCAGCATACGGAGATACCTAGGGAAACTAGCGTTGTTTGATGATTTTACAGTATTGCGTTGTCTCACAGAGCTCAATCATGGCGAGGGCAGGCTGATAGAGGCAGAGCAGAAGTAAATAAATCGCGTTTGTGGCCGTCAACAGTCCATGTGATATGTCCGCTGTCCCTTTACTCACAAGTGATAATGTACATTCTCCGTCCCCAAGAAGGATTTAACTCATGTTCTGATCTTGTGGTGATGGAGTTGCGCCTTGTGACAGTGTGGTTCTATAGGGAGTGGCACTCCATGGAATTAGAATTGCGCCGTCTCACAAGCTTTGGAACAATATTATTTAATGTCTCGACGTTTACGGTATCTTACAGTAGCTTTCCAAAGCAAGTTCTCCCAAGCAAGGAGCGAGCTGCCCTGCGTTGAACTTCTGGGTCGCTGTGGTGATCGAAAGCGGCTGCAAAGACCGGCAATCCAAGATAGGCATGCCTGCTCGCAGACAACGAAGGACAGTTATTTCTAACAGCGCTGGGCAGAGTACTAACAGTATTGAATTTGAATAACCTATGAGCTTTGTCAATCAATTGAGGTGGTCACAAAGGAGGCTGCATAAGTTAGTTGATGCGAAAAGTGCCAAAGAAGTACCTAGGTATTTGGGAACGAATGGTCACGTGAGCCCTCTTTACGCTTCACCGTTGTTGTCACAGCCTTGCCACCAAATAACAATTCAGTGGTGTACTACTGAATCATTTGTCTACTCATAAAAACTCTTGTAGACCCCTTTCCAAACTGAGCCCCTTTGGAGCATTAGTTGTCGTGCTGCTAGACCAATCTTTGCCAATAATATTGCCATTCGAGATAGCTTCGAACACTCAATAACAAGAAATGAATCTAGACTGGTTTGGATATTTCACTGACCAACGGATAGATAAGAATTTACAAGCAGGACAATGACTGTGTTGCTAACGACATGAAACCTAGGTCGGGACGATAGCAGATTTATTCACTTTTTGGTTACGTAGACGCAAGTGACCCTGCGACCTATCTGATGTGTGATTCACAAAGCTTCAGATATGAGCAGTGAACAACGATACATGGTGGGCTGGGAGTCACAGTTCAACGATAACCTCTGATGAATCTTGGAACAAGGTGACGTCCTTACTCTCAATCACCTTTTCCTTGTTTATAAAAGAAAATGAAATTTCCTTCCAAGTTCCATCTAATTTTCTTTCAACATCATACTTCAACAATACAGTCATACGAAACCAACACATCACAGCTCTTGACAGAAGATGTCGGATATCAACTCCACCACACCCGAAACGGCTCACGAAATTGAAGAAGAGCCTCTAGCTACGAGTAAGGTTCTAGAAGTTGCTGCATCAACCACCGATGACACAACAGTCAAGACCAACGAGATTAGTATCAATGAGGCTACCACAACTGCAGAAGAGTAAGAAGATGACAGTGACCATGAATTCAACACTCCTTATCTTGCTCACGTGGAGGAGGACAGTGATAAGACTCAGATCGAAAGAAGAATCAATACGAATCAGTTGGGTCCGGACAGTCTGTCTAGCGCCAAACACGTCGAAGTGAGTTCAACACCTGCGCTCAAAGGACTCCTCAAAAACGTTCCACCGGAGTATTTATCGGAGTTGAAGATACTAAACCTCGACTTGGGACGTCCTTTGATCAGTGGCAATAACAAAAAAATACAAGAGAACCTACACAAGTTCTTAGAACAACTCAAAGAACCTGGATCATCTCTTGATTACATGCGGGCTGTTTGAGGTGATACTTAACATTGACACTGTATGTATGCTTGGAGAAAATCTTCGTCACCTCCAGCTTCTTGATCCTTTACCTTGGGGTCGCGATCCCATTTCAGTTCGAGACCTGGAGAAGATGCGAGTCAGCTGTCCTAACCTCGAGACATTGAGAATCAATCTTCCTATGTTCGAGTACCAAGACCTCGAGGAATATGACAACCGATAAGGCTTCGAGGCAGAAAGTTTCTTGGCTCTCCTTTCTAAGTTCGAGAACTTGAAAAACTTGTACCTCAGTGCGGAACACAGCTTGGGAACTGTGTACCCTAGGAGATCTGCCAGCACCGATCCGGACTATGATGACGCTGTGAGAATCATGAACAGGCTTCGCGCTGAGAAGGTTGGCGTTCCATTTGATGATCTCAAGATCACGTTGGACGGGGCTTTTAGGCCTGGAAATTGGAGATCTCCCAAGATACCTGAAGTTGATAACAGCCATAACCCACTCAACTATTGGTCCCCGAGGCGCATATTTCTCTCTAGCATTGGAGAAGATGGATCTCCCCAGATGTCGGTCCTAAGAGGAAGCGAAAGGGTGGGTGATGTTCACGAGACCGAGGATGAGAAAGAAGAGGCAAGAAAGGCAAATGAGAAATATTGGAACGCAAATGGCGATGGAGAGACAAGAGGGAAGCGCCGAAGATTCAGTCCTGGTATGCCAGCTATGGTAAGAAGATAAATCCGGCAAATTACTGTACAGTACATAGAACCATAGCACGACAGAATGTCAGATGCGTTGCGTTATAGTCTTATGTCAGACGCGTGAAGCAATAACAAGCTTTTATAACGAGCATGCAGTGAATTTGTCAGTTGCAAGATTTACGATTCCCAACCTTCAATCCCTGGTCTTGACTTCTTCCCCGTGAATCCATACTCTCACCATATCCTTCGTACATCCAATGCTCTCCGCCGGATTCCCATTCACAAGCACCAGATCAGCTCGTTTTCCAACAGCGATGACACCTCTATCATAAAGCCTAAAAGCCTCTGCCGATGCACTCGTCGCGCCTCTCAACACCTCCAAATTGGACATCCCAGCATCAACAAGAAGTTTCAACTCTTCATGAATAGCATCACCATGCCTGACACCCGCTCTAGGAGACTGATTCGCATCCGTCCCTACCACAATACTCACACCCGCCTTATGAAGCCGACTCACGGACTCTCTTGCAGCAGTATAGTCCAAACCCGGAAAGATTCCAGCCTTAGCTAATCCTTGCTCCATGATCAGCGTTGGAACACAAACACGCCCTTCGTCCTTCATCTTCTTCGCCTCATCCTCATCGAGCGGGAAATCAAGTGGGACATGAGTGACGATATCAACCTTCCCCTCCTGTGCCATAGCAAACGATCCCTTCCTCGCCGCATGAGCGACGCTCAATTTCCCAGCCTTTCGTGCTTCCGCGGCGAGAGTATCCACCACCTCCTGACTCGGTCCTGGAATATCCGCCACGATCTTGATATACTCAGCATCCTCCGCTATCCTTGTTTGAACAAAGCTGATTGCCAGCTCGGAGCTATCCACAAGGCTTTCTTTCGAAATGTGGGGGAATCGGCTGTGTGTGCTGCCAGTGCTGGTTGCATAGTTCCCTGCTGCGCGGATGTCCGTCATTCCTGGCTGGTCTCGAACAGCGTCCCGGATTGGCTTGGGCAGATATCCCATGTCCAGTGCGGTGGTGATGCCGGCTCTTGCCATTTGTGTGAGGAGGTGACAGGTGTTCTCGAGGTCGGCGGTAAGGTGAACGTGAGCGTCGATGAGGCCTGGGAGAAGTGTCTGTCCGGTTGCGTCTATGATGGTGGTGTAGGATGTATCTGGCACATTGCCCAGATTGCTGATAACGCCATTCTCGATGGCGACGGCGAGATTTTGATGGAGCTCATGACCATCGAAGACGAGCCCGTTGATAATCACCGTCTTCTTTTGGGACATTTTGAATTACTTGGACCAGCAGGGAGATCACAAATTAGAGTTGAAGATTGAGGCAGGTCTGGAAAGGTTTGTTCTGTTCTCATATCTTTAACTTTATACCTCGAGACGGCTGTGGTTCTATCTGTTGTTTCCGTCAAGCATTGGCACGAAATCAATGTAGGTGCCAAGTTCAGACAAGCATACTCGCACAATGGCCCGGAAGGGGATTAGCGCCTATCAGAAGCGAGACCTCCTTTTCGTGATCTCGGGAGATAGAAAAGTCCGACATCTCATCCTTTCCAGACCAAATCTCTCCTGACTCCAAGATATGCCGCCAAAGACAATGCAAAAGAATGGTCAACACAGGAGGAAGATCCAGAGGCTGCTCAACTTGTCGTCGACGACGAGTGAAGTGTGGTATGATTTACCCCGCCAGAATCATCCCGCGCTTGGCTGATATAATTCGAGACGAAACAAGACCGATATGCAAGCGATGCGAAAGATGTGGTCTTGAATGTAGCGGGGCAAAGGAAGTTAGATTTGTCAATCAGGGTGCAGTCTCGAAGTTTAAGCGAGCGCATATCTCTGCGAGACACGACAGGGCAGCCGTCATCCCATCGTCACCAGATCTGAGAGGCTTCGATATTCAGGTCTACATCTCCTACACCAGCCGAGTCCTACTTCGTGGTGGACCAGTTGATTTAGCTCTTCAAGAGCTTCACCTCAGTGATATCGAAGCTGCGAGTGACAGCACGTCCGATCAGTTCATTCTCCACCGTGCCATTCTCAGCCTCGCCATCATTTTCTTCGGCACTCATCAACATGTGCTACATATCCAAGATCGCGGCTACGCTCTATACGGGAAGACATTGAAGCAACTCAACGAAGTTCTATCAAGTCCCCTGTGCCATCTGCGGGACGATGTCCTCATCTCCGTCGTCACTTTAGTTCTATTGGAATTCTTCGTCCCAACAGGTCCAAAGTACTACATCAAGCATATTTTGGGCTTGGAAAAGCTGCTTGAACTTCGAGGCTCTCGAATGTGGTCTTGTAAGGAATACATCCCAATCTGTGGTGGGATCCGGAGACTACTTTTGTTCTCATCGCTCAACATGAGAAGGCCTTCAATTCTGGCCACGGCAGAGTGGAGGCAGATTCCTTGGAACGAAAACACAGAATGGGACCAGGACGAGAGCTTTCTTTTCAATGCCCTAGCAGATATTACAGTCTTTCAAGCTGAGCATGATCACGTCCAACAAACATTTTGCGCTCAGCTCGGATCCTTTTCACCTCAACGAGATATTCTCGTACAAAAAGCTCGACGACTCTTAGACGAACTTTGGGCGTTTAAGAGAGGTTGGAATGAACGAAATCAAAGATGTTCCAATCGAGGACTCATGTCCATTATTCCAATATTATATCACACCGCATTAGTCTACGACCTTCAAATCCTGGCATCGCTTTCAACATTACCTGAATGGAGGGAGAACTTCTCATTTGCAGCACGTCGTGCTGCTTTGAACATCTGTCACTATATCCCGTATCTCCTATCTCACAAAGAGAAGCTTGACACAGCAACATTGACAATTGTTCACTTGGCTGTGAAAAGCGCTGTGAGCACATTTCCTGGCAAGAGCAGCTTTGCACGGGCATGTATTGTTAGCTTAATCAAGTCAAGGGACAAAGGCGTTGTTGCGAAAGGTCTCTGGATAGATTAATTTGAGGCAGAACTGTAAGAAGCACTGAAAGCACCAACCTGAGGAGAAGCTAGGACCTGGGTCTGGACAACGCAGAGAATGTATCACGTGCAATACCATTTTCCTGTTCAGTGTTTCTCGTGAATTTTTGAAAATTTGAAGTTTCTCAAAGCTACGAGCTAAGCAAAACGAGATCGAATCACCAAATAGCTGCTAACTTCAACCACATACATCCCAGCTTTATATCATCACGTGCAACGGTTTTCGCTTAGCGTTAGAGGGCTGAATAACAAGCTTTTTAGCGTTGCGCCCAGGGGCAATTAAAGTTGGAGAAGCCTCAGCCACAACACCACACCGCATCTTGGCTTGGGTCGCATAGTGACCGCATGAAGATATATCCCAATTCCCGCGGTTTTGGAGATTGGGAACATCCATTGGTTGAACAAGGATTCATCATCTTATCTTTATTGAAAACCTGCTTCAACACGAAGTCGCAACCTGGACTGCGGATACACCTTCCGGCAGGAAGCTTAGAGCTTACTCCAACCCCTCACCGGACAGCTGCGGCGCAGGCACAAACGTCTTCCCGATCGACCCAATGCCAGGACACAATTGGCCCCGATGGACCTCATTTCCGCTCGTACCAGCGCCCACAATGATCAATCAGCGTCACATCTTCCTGCACCTTCCTATAGAGGAAGGTCGCTCATGTACACAGCCGAACTAGAGCAGTAAAGACAAAGTAAGCGGGCCGGATGAGGTATTATTGAGAGAGCATCGGGAGCCGCATGACGGCTATATATATAAAGATGAAGCTGCCAAGCAAGGTTTCCGATTGCTTTCGTTCCACTGCATCGATCTTTTGGGAATTGAGCCTGAACACCATGCGTTCTTCAATCCTCCTCGCTGCAGCTGCGAGCTTCGCGGTCTGCTTTGCTGCACCGACCGCGGACAGTCGTTTTGAGCTTCATGAGAAACGTGATGGAGCTCCCCATCAATGGTCGAAAAGATCTCGCGCACATCCTGATGAGGTCCTCCCCGTCAGAATTGGTCTCGTACAGAGCAATCTGCACAAGGCCGAGGAGTATATCCTTGATGTCTCGGACCCCACATCGCCTAATTTTGGTACGACCTCTTGGTAGAACCATATTGTGTCATTGTATACTTATATCGTTCTAGGTAAGCATTGGTCAGCGGAGAAGGTTGCCAATGTTTTTGCACCAGCGAAGAAGACGCAAGAAGGAGTAGCAGAATGGCTCGAAAAGTCTGGCATTCATGGTTCTCGACACTCTTATTCCACTGGTACGTTGATATTTACGCTTTTCTCGTCCGTTCAACTCGAACCTGCCAATGGGCGCAGAGGGGTAAGCCGGCAGTGAGCCGGCTATGATTTTAGTCTGTGCTTCGGGACGACCTTTTCTGAACTTGCCCCGGAGTTCAAATTCGGCGTATATCTCTTCTCAACGTCGTCGTGTGAACATGCGGCGGTGTGTGGAGGTTTGTGCGTCTCTAGCAAAAAGTTTATCCCACTGAGTTGTGGTTACGCATTTCAGATCACATTATTTTGCCTTCATGACGATGTTTTTTGCTGGAATTTCTATCCCACTCTGGGGGGCTTGCAAGTGGAGAATAATATCTAACCGAAACAGGCCGCAACTGGATCCAATTCAATGCGACAGTGGCCGAGACAGAGCGTCTGCTGAATACTGAATATCACTACTACGAACACGACATCTCTGGAGGCTATCGCATTGCTTGCGATGAGTACCATCTTCCCCAGAGCGTGCGCGAGCACGTTGACTTTGCTGTAAGATGAAGTACATTCTGTCAAGGAAAACTACTAACAACCACAAAAGATGCCAACAATTCAGCTCGAAGGAATGCGCCCCATTCCCAACTTGCTCCCCAAGATTGGCGCCCAAAGGACTCCTCAGTACGGCCTGACAGGAACTGAAAACTGCGGTAACCTCGTGACCATCGACTGCTTACGTGCTCTCTACCATTTCGGCCAAGGGAACACCAGTGCAGCTGGTAACGAGATGGGTATCGGCGAATGGGCGGATTTCCTCTACTTGCCCGATTTGCCACTATTCTTCAAGAACTGGACCACTCAGCCAATTCCCGCTGACACAACCCCTGACTTCATCTCCATTGATGGAGGTCAGACCGCCAACTTCACGTACGACAATAGTACTGGAGCTGGAGTGGAATCGGCTCTAGATTTCCAGACATCGTACTCTATCATCTATCCTCAAAAGCTGAGACTGTACCAAGTTGGAGATGGTGTCAACATTGACAGTGTTGGTACTTTCAACATCTTCTTGGACGCCCTAGATGCTTCCTACTGCACTTACCTCGGAGGTGATCAACCATACGTCGATCCAGCATACCCAGATCCCAATGAGGGCGGATACACCGGACCATTGCAATGCGGTGGTGCTCCCAAGAGCAACGTTTTCTCGTTTTCCTACAACCAAATCGAAGCAGCTCTCCCTGTTTCCTACCAAACTCGACAATGCCACGAATGGATGAAGTTGGGTCTTCAAGGAGTTAGTGTCCTGTTCGCTTCCGGTGATTCTGGTGTTGCCAACCGATACAATGCTGGTTACGAGAACAGCTGTCTCACTTCCCCTGACGTGGGACCATATGTTGACATCAACGGCACCCGCTTCTCTCCTTCATTCCCAACTAACTGCCCTTGGATCACAGCTGGTAAGTTTCCCTCCTTCATCAATCTGGCAAGCAATTAACATTCCTTAGTCGGCGCCACAACTATCAAAGGCGGCGTCAACGCAACCGTCTCCAACGGCGAAGAAGCCGTGGCAGACCCCGACCCCGACGACCCAAAGAACGACTACTACTCTGGCGGTGGCTTCTCCAACGTCTTCGCCCTGCCCTCCTACCAATCCGCAGCCGTAACCAACTACCTCACCAAATACAACCCCCACTACCCGTCCCACATCTACAACAACAGCGGCAACAGCCGCGCCTACCCGGACGTCTCAGCCATCGGTCTCAACATCCCGACCGTCTATCTCGGGACCACTTACGGTGTCGGAGGAACCAGTGCCTCGACGCCTATTTGGGGCAGTATCGTGACGTTGTTGAATGAGGCGAGAATCGCGGCTGGGAAGGGCCCGATTGGGTTCTTGAATCCGACGTTCTATGCGCATCCGGAGGTCTTTAATGATATTACTGAGGGATCTAATCCAGGGTGTGGACAGCCGGGATTCCAGGCTCAGCCGGGTTGGGATCCGGTGACGGGGATGGGGACTCCTAATTATCCTGCGTTGGAGAAGTTGTTTGTGAGCTTACCTTGAGGTAGGGGACGTGTAGATGAGAGGATATATCTGGTATAGACAGCTTTAATTCATAATCAGATGACTGAGGTCACTTTTGAAAGCTCAAACTCGAAGGTTTTTGAAGCACTTAATATGAACGTAGGTGTGAAGCTTGCAAATTTCAAACTGCATAGATTATTTCTCTAATTGTTTCTCTTCTGAATGTATGGGTATCAAGTGATCTATCAAAAGGCCGCAACCGGGTATCGAATCGAAAAACAGCTAAGCCATCCTCTCGTCTAGCCATATATCCATATCTCAGTTCCTCATATCTCAGTTCCCATGGTCATCACTCGTTCTTGTCTTCGTCCTCGCTTTCTCAGCCTCCCTCTCCTGCCACAGATCCACCTCCGTCGGCCACCATCTTTTCCTCACAACCTCGATTATGATCTCAATGACCATCACCACCATGACAACGATAAGCAACACAGCCCACCACAACAGATCTTCACCAAAATGATACGTGAACGCATCACGAACGTAATAAGGACCAGGAGCGCGAGCATATATTCCGGAGAGGAAGAAATTCCACGCCCACCATCCTGTAATGGTGGCAAGGAGCGAGGCGAGCGGGATCCAGGTCAAGTGGTGATAAACCAAAAACCTAGCCGGTCAGTCAGTGATCCAAAACAACGAAGGGAATTCAACTTACAACAGCTTCGCATTAATAAACACCACACAAACCGAAAACAGCAAATCCCCAAAAGCAAACAAACCCTCATCCCCCTTCATCATAACCCTCCCATACAACCCATACACCAAAAAATACACAACCACCGCCTCCACAGCCGCCACTCCCATCCAGGCCCCATAACTGCGCATATTAAACTCCCTCCCCTCCTGCCCCACCCTGTACAGTTCCGGGACCTCCAGCAGCGTCTCGGCACTAAGATCCTTCTCGAAGATCCCCGGTATAATGACACACAGACTCGAAAACAACGTATTCCACACCGTCAAACTATCGCTCTCAAACAGACTGGTGCCCGTGTATCCGTTCCAGCGCTGATACAGCAACTGCACGCAGTAGAACAGCATTTCCTTCCAGAACGTATACAAGATGAATTTTGCCGTGCGGATGTAATTCCAGTGCCCGTGCACCAGCAGAAGGCGTTGCAGGAACCGGAATTGGGCGATCGAGTAGTCGGCTACGCGGGCAGCTTGCAGTCCTTCTTTTCCCGAGATGCCGATCCCGACGTGGGCTTCGGTTATCATGGCGATGTCGTTGCCGCCGTCGCCGATGGCGAGGGTGAGGTGTGTCGGTTGCAGGTGCCGGATGGAGCGGACCATAGAGGCTTTTTGGGAGGGGGAGGCGCGGCAGACGATTACGGAGGTGGCGGTGAGGAGGAGGGTGTAGAAGGTTGTTGATAGTTGTTTGTTTTGGTCTATTGAGACGAGAGTTTGGCCGTCGATGACGATTACGGAGCGGGATGTTGTGGCAGCGGTGAGTTCTGATGCTGCTGAAGAAATTTGCGCGTCGATAGGATCGGGTTTGTGGTGATCGAGGATGATGAATTTGGAGTCTGGTCTACAGATGTGTGCTGAATGGGCTATGTTGATGGCTGTTTCCCGTTTATCTCCTGTGAGCATCCAGATTTTGATGTTGGCTTTTCGTAGCTTCTCGATCGTTTCCGGGACGCCCTTTTGGAGCTTATCTTCGATGGCTGTTGCTCCTCCGAGAACAAGGTCTTTCTCAATGAGCTCGCCTGCCGCTTCGATCATTGCTTGGCGATTGGTGAGAGAGGTTGTTGCTGCTTGGTAGATCGATGACCATTCCGCGTATTCGGATTCTGGGATGAAGCGGTGGCCGTAGACGAGGGTGCGAAGTCCTTCAGAGGCGAAAGAGTTGATATGCTGGTGACAGAGATCGAAGACTTCTGATGCAACTTTGTCATGTACTTCGTCCTGACCAAGCTCCTTTGATTCTAGAGGAGCCTGAGTTGCGAACCTCGGTTGCATGATAGAATCTGCCCCTTTACAGAACAGACATATTCGACCATCAGGAAACCTGACGACAATTGACATGCGTTTCCTGTGAGTGCTGAACTCAATGACATCGAGCACTTCGTAAGTCTCTTGGGACATGCCTTCTGTCTCAACTGACGATATTTCCAGGGTGATGAGATGTGAATCGCGTGATAAGAGGCTGTATCCCATTTCGTGTGCTGCCTCGACGAGAGCATATTCATCCGGTGATGCTGCTTGATAGGTAATCTTCCCATCTTCCTGGAGTTCTGGGAAGCAAGTATGGCATAACGCTACAGATAACAGAAACATCTTGATTGCATCCGAGCTGGGTCCTGGTTCAGTAAGAATATGGTGTTGTAACGCAGATGTAGGCTGCTCAGTATTGGAACTTCTATCAGGCATTGAATTTCTCATCACAAGAGATGATGAGTGATCTCTGCTTTGGTGTGATGTGAGAATCTCGTCTTCGTCGACCAAGGAAGGAATCACTGAGCTCCTGCCCAGTGCCGCATTCTGTTGGACCCGAAATAAAGCTTTCTCTTCCTTGGTCTTCGAGTCCATGTGGTGCAGATCTGCCCTATCGTCCGAATTGTGCGTCCAAATGGTCCCAGCAACACTCATCTTGCGAAATCGCATTACATTCTCTGTCAATGTCCCAGTCTTATCAGAGAAAATATAGCTAATTTGTCCCAGATTCTCATATATAGTTTGAGTATTTGAGACCATCGGCGTATTTGAAACTTCGTCATACATCTCAATATCTTGCAGAAGCAAGAATTGACAGAGCTTGACGATTTCCAAGCTGACATACAAAGCCAACGGAATCAGGTTGTTATACATGATCGCGAACGCAATGAAAATGTCTGCAAATCTGATGTGCGAGTGGGCCAAGTACCATGCTTTGTTCTCATAGACCTTAGTCCAAATCAGGTAGCCTGCTGAACAACCTATCGAAAGCAAGATAACAAATGCAGAGAGGTAGATGACAACGTGATTTGTCGTGGACTGAATTACTGGCGCTTTTGCTTGAGGATTCTTATTGGAGTTCATGCGGATCTTACACTCTTCGCCGGTATTTATAACCATGCCGATCATTCGAGTCGTATTTCGGAGGGTGCTACCCCGATAGACGACGTTCGCAAGAGTCAGCGGTACGGTCTTACCATCGAGAGACACTTTGCCGTTGAATTCGTACAGATCGAGATTTGGATCCTCCAGAACAAATTCGGCATGGCAAGTTGATATTTCGATCATGGTCTTGCATCCTTTGCTCAACATGCTAGGAGGCTGTCTGGTTTTCAAATTTGTTTCTCCGTCAAGAGCCATGGTTTCGATGTATGCTAATCCGTCGCGGCCTTCAGCTGAGAGAAGCACGATATCGGCAGGGACTTGTTCGTCTCTCTGAGTTTCGATAATGTCTCCAACTCTAAGATCGATCCACTTGACCTTGGTCCAATGGCTAGCTTCGGGATCTTCTGAGTTTACGGTAGTCGTTGTCGTCGAAAACTCTTTCCCATATGGTTCAGCTGGAACACCCGCAGTTCCTGTGCCTTGTCCTCGATTTGCACTGTTGAATTTGGCCCAATGCCTTTCGATAATGGATCTTAGAGAGTCTTGTCCTCCAGATTTAGCCCCGTCTCCTACTCGAAAGCCGTGGAGAACTCGTGCTAGCCTTCGATTTTCAATCCTGTCGAGTCGATATCGACGAAAATCATCCCATCCCTCCCGAAAGATACTAAAACTAAGGAATACCAGTAAAGGGACGATAGTGGTGAAGCTTCCGGTCGTACTCAGCCCAGGTATTAGTTGGATGATACCAGTGATGAGGAAGTAAAAATTGGCGATCTTTGTGAATTGGAACCAGAGTTGAGCAGGAAAGAAACTCCAGATGGTATATCGACTACTTCGGATGTGATTATCGATATATGGATGACCTCTTCGCTCATCTATCAAAGGCGTTGTTCTGGAAACATTGAGCTCGATATGTCGTCCGTCTTTGCTGTGAGGTAATGGTCGTTGACGAAAGACGCCGTGTAAGATATATTCTTTGAACCAGGAGTTGGCTTTCTGGATAACTGCGTGTTCATGCCACCGTCCCCACGAACTATAGTCAACTAGGGTAAAAGTTGTAGTCAGTGTTACGCTCTCACTTTCAACAGCATACGAGTCACCTTCTGTGCCTGTTTTGCCTTTCTCGTCCCAAGATGATCCGTTGTGATTGACAAACTCTTTCGCATTCGTCCCAGCAAGGTCCCTCGGACTCAAAACACGAGTGGGAGTTGGCTCTTCAACCAGCTCAATCACATCAGGACGAGATAAAGTGCGCTTTCTGTGAGAGAAGAAGGCGGTAGTCGAAGTTGAAGAATCAACTCTCCCTCTTCCCATCGTGATTTCTGTCTCTGGACCTACGACATCGGTAGCCCAAAATCCACTCTCGGAATCTTCTGGAAAAGAACAATTTCTCTGCTCCTCTGTCCCAGCCATCGTGCAGGATAGTGACGCAGCTCGGTAACTCAGTCTTTGAGCTCAAGCGAGGGGTTCGGAGATAAGTCGCACTTGATTCCTGTCGGTCGAAGTTCTGCCCTGCAATATATCCTCGCCATCATTCTCTTCTGACAACGGGGTAAAACAGAGATAGTTGTTTATAGATTGGTGAAAAGAGTGTTCATGATCTTAAAAGTCATGAGGTCGGCATATGTCTCTCGTCGCATGCTTCCAAAGCTGGCCAATCGCGTCGTCTTGTAAATACACGGGCAATTCCTGATCTTCACACGGGTTGCAGCCAGTGATCGTGAAGCAAAACGCCACCAATATCCGGCTTGGCGAGGATTGTGAGATTGGAGATTCAATTCATGTGAATGAGTGAGAACAAAGGATGAGCTTGAAAATGCGATGGAAATGATTAGATTCCAAGGCACTAATTACTAAGGAATACGATGTCGCAAGACCCACCTCCTCCACCCAATAAGATCAAACCACCGGGAGCCTCGGAACGAATCCACGTGAGCTGCTTCCAGGTGCAGATTGACAGATTGACAGAGGGAACTTTACACCTCTGTCAGGAAAGAATGCACTTGCACAGAAAAAACAACCATGGACCAAGGATTGCAATGATGGAGGAACAATATGGCTATGCATTGAGAAAGGTTTTGGAAGCAGAAGGAAGATGGACAAGACCCGGCACGAAGAGTCCAACCAAGATCCAGTTGACGACCAAGAGAATCAGTTCAAGTCCCTAGCACAGCGCACTATAGTCCAGAAGTGGAGCACCTCCTGCGCTGTATCTCTACTCTTTGAGATAGAAGCTGCAAGATTTGAGGAATGCATTTGTGGTAGGCCTTGAGGATGATCGTGAGTATCCTAGTCCAATCTCCCAGCTTCCACCACATTTTTTAAATGCTTGATGGGAATTGCCAAAAAGTCTACTCACTAACGTCTTTTAGAACTCTTGCAACTGCTCCCATGCCTTTTGAAGATGCAGGGATATCTCTGTAAAACATTGGTGTTTCATTGCTGACGATGTTCGACCATCCAGATTTGGCGTAATCTTGAATGGGCAAGATCAACAATCAGTCTGACGGACGGACTCGAGTCACCCAAAAGTATGGACAACTTAAGACAATCCTGCGCCTAAATACCCATACTCAAAGTGTCGGCAAAGCCAAGTTCTCAAACGACACTCGGAGAATGGTTGGATGCATCAATCTTTGATAATGGAGGCTGGAAGCTAGTCGCAGATCACGACAACGGCTGCACATTCACTTGGCAACATGCAACATATCGGATCTTCCTCTAGGCAACGATTCTTTGTACTTCTCGACGAGATAACGCGAGACTATATGAATTTGTAAGAAAAATGTTGAAGCGGCGCTTCGATAATCGCCGCCTCCTGCATTGCTCAAATGGCCGTCCGAAATCCCGGTCCCGTCTCCGTTCCGACCTATCACAACACACCTCAAAATGTAGAGCCGGGTCATTTACGAATGTCAACACCCGACTTAAACAATATAATTCTTTACTTTCTTCCCTCTTAGAAATGTATTTAGCTACAGGTCCCACCGCTCGTTTTGTGTTCCTGTCCTTCAATTCAACATCGCAATCGCAACTTCCTGCCCGCGCATAAGCTCTCCCTTTGCGAAAATGAGTATCACCACTCAAGAACTAGAAAAGCACAGCAAAGAGATCGATCCGGAAGATCAGACTTCAATCGAGGCTCTACAAGATGCAGAGCCGCGCCTCGAATCAAAAGATGGCCTTCAATCCACCATTGCTGCAGAGCCAAAAACTTCTAGTGCTCCCGACAACGAGGATGCGGATCCTGAGTACATCAAAGGCTTAAAGTTGGCAATTGTGATCGGAGTCGTGGCTCTTGCTTCATTCACCATGTTGCTAGATACCTCTATTGTTGTAACGGTCAGTCTCCTGCAGCGGAAATCTTGGACAATATTGATATCGGTGCAGGCCATCCCTCGAATCACCAGCGATTTCCATTCTTTGGATGACGTTGGCTGGTACGGAAGTGCATATCTACTTTCAAAGTATTCAATCTCTCTCACCTCTCTTGAGTATACTGACAATCGTCCAGTTCATCTTTGCAGCCACTGACCGGCAAATTCTACCGTCAATTTAGCTCCAAGGTAAATCCAGCCACTTGCTCTGATAGGAAGCTCCTAACCCTTGTGATCAGTGGACATTTCTCGTCTTCTTAGGTATCTTTGAGCTTGGTTCTCTGATATGCGGTGTCGCTCAATCGTCGAAGATGCTCATTGTAGGAAGAGCTGTTGCTGGTATGGGTGGGTCGGGACTGATGAATGGAGGCTTGACAATTCTAGCTGCTTGCTCTCCGCCTGAAAGAAGACCTAGTATGTACCACACAGGAAAAGTGTTCGCAATGCTGACTTCGTATGATTGTAGCTCTGATGGGTTTCCTCCTGGGCTGTGAGTATTCTACCTTAAAATAATAAACTCTTGCTGATATCTGCAGTTGCACAACTCGGCATCCTGCTTGGACCTTTGCTTGGAGGCGTATTGACACAGTACACTACCTGGAGATGGTGTACGTTCCTCCACCGAACCCTTCAGAGCCATTGCTAAAATTTCGCAGGCTTCTTCATCAATCTCCCCATCGGCGCCGTAGTCGCAGGTATCCTCCTCTTGATTCAAGTCCCTACTCGACTAGCCGGAAAGGTACCCCTTACAGCAACCTTCCGCTCCATCTTCCACGTCTTCGACATCGGTGGCTTCCTCCTCTTCGCACCTAGCATTATCATGTGCCTTCTGGCTCTCGAATGGGGCGGTTCAACCTACCCATGGGATAGCGCGAAGATCATTGGACTGTTCTGTGGTGCGGCAGGGAACTTTGCATTATTCTTGTACTGGGAGCATAGGAAGGGAGAGGGAGCCATGATACCATTGGCCATGTTCAAAAACAGGATCGTGTGGACGTCTGTCGTCGTTGCGTTCTTCCTTGGTGCTACGATGCTGATTACTTCGTACTATATGGCGATATACTTCCAGGCCGTCAGAGGGAGAAGCCCAACGATGAGCGGTGTTGATGTTGTAGTTGGTATCGTTACAACGTTGATTTGTGCTGTTGGATCAGGCATTCTAGGTATGCTAGGCTTTATCTCCATGATGGCAGATGCTAACAAGAAGCAGTTGGTCGCATTGGCTATTATCTACCCTTCGCAATCGGTGGTGCCGCTCTCAACGCGATTGGTTGCGGCTTGATATCAACATGGACTCCGACCACCAGCACAGGAAAGTGGATTGGCTACCAAATCATCGCAGGCATTGGTCGAGGATCTGGTATGCAAATGGTACGTCTCCTCACCCTTCTCAACGGAAAATACTAATATCTCTCACAGGGTCTCGTTGCAATCAGTGGCGCTCTAAGCGCAGCAGAAAATTCTATCGGCATGGCACTTCTCATCTTCGCTCAACAATTCGGAGGCTCGGTCTGGCTGGCCGTCGCTTCTACAATATTCACCAATGGTCTTAACAAATCCCTCGCAAAATACGCACCAGAAGTCGACCCAAAGGTTGTTGTCAATGCTGGAGCTACTGGTTATCGATCCGTTGTCCCGGCTTCAGCAGTACCGGGAGTGATTCAGGCGTACAGTCAGGCTGTAAATTATGCGTTCTATCTTGCAGCTGCGTGTGGAGTTGCCTATTTTGTTTTTAGTTGGGGCATGGGATGGAAGAGTGTGAAGAAGCCCAAGAAAGTGGAGCCAGCTGTGTAAGATATGGTGTTGTCGGAATGTTAATAGGAGGTGCTGATTTGGTGTATGATGCCGCTTGACGATGGTCGGTTGGGAGCAGCCACCGAAAAGTATACTTTGTAATTATAGCATAGATTCTCAATGGAGATGCATCTCACAAGGGATCCGGAATCTTTGATCTGCTCTTGGATAATGACGAGTGCTATTTCAGTCTCCAATGTCTGCGCCAAGCACGGTAACGTACGGATACGGAGTTCGTCGACCCCACATCCACCGACATCGCCCATCAGGAACTTCAAGTCTAAGCAATGAATGGTAGTCATAGTCAGAATGACTAGTAAGTGCCTGCATAATCCAAACTGGAGATCATCATCTTCCGAAGTCAAAGGTGGGAAGGTCAGAGCTAATGAGCCGGAATACCGTACCCCACTTTAGATGATTTTCGCAATGGAGATTTTTAAAGAACGGTGAGAATTGTTCAAAAGCATTTGATACATCTGAAGTACTATATGGCTCGTCATTTTCAGACTCTCCTTTCTTTTCCTTGTTTCAGTCATTATTCGAGATCATACATTATAGATGGTTGAGTTGAGGATATACATTCTACCCCGCACTTCATAATGAGAGACGCCCAGACAGAACTACAAACAGTGTCCGTCAATGAAGAACCTCCCATAACACCACAGCCACTGTTCGACATCGATCCACCACCAGATGGAGGTTATGGCTGGGTACAAGTAGGCGTGGCATTCACAATCAACACATTCACATGGGGCCAAACAGCCGTAAGAACTCTCCCCAAATCCCCAACACAAAATCTAACAAAACAAAGTCCTACTCAATCTACCTCGCTCACTACCTCTCCTCCAACCTCTTTCCAACCGCCACCTCCCTCGACTATGCCTTCATCGGCGGTCTCCAATTCGCCATCTCCCTCCTCATCGCTCCCGCCGTAACAGTCCTCTCCCGAAAACTCTCCACCCAACCCCCCATGCTCTTCGGGATCTTCCTCCAAACCCTCGGCTTCGTGACCGCTTCCTACGCCTCAAAGATCTGGCATCTATACCTCTCCCAAGGCCTTCTGATCGGTCTCGGCCTAGGCTTCATTTTCGTGCCCAGTACACCCATCCTCTCGCAATGGTTCAGCAAGAAACGCTCCCTCGCGATCGGGATCTCGTCTGCGGGCTCAGGAGTCGGGGGACTGCTATTCTCGTTCGGGATTCAGGCCATGATTGATTCTATCTCTTTAGCTTGGTCGTTTAGGATTACTGCTATTGTGTGCGGGGTCATGAATCTGCTTGCCGTGGCTCTGATACGGAACCGGAATGCGGCTGTGAAACCGCCGCAGTTGGGATTCGATACTAAGCTTTTGTTGAGATATGATGTTTTGTTGATGTTGGGTTGGGGATTTTTGTCCATGTTGGGTTATATCACTCTTCTTTACTCGTTGCCGAATTTCTCGGAGAGTATTGGGTTAAATAAGAATCAAGCTGCTGCGATTTCCGCGTACCTGAATCTGGGAGTCGCTATTGGGAGGCCTATGATTGGGTTGACGAGTGATAGGTTGGGCAGGATCGAGGTTGCGGGGTTCATGACTTTCTTTTGTGGGGTGACCTGTTTTGCGATTTGGATTCCGGCGAAGGTTTATGGCGTTACGATATTCTTTGCTATTATCAGCGGTGCTGTTGTAGGTGTGTTTTGGATGGTGAGTCTTGCTTATCGCTGGGTATGGATGGGCTCTACTAAAATGTTTGCAGACTGTCGCTCCTATTGCTGTTGAAGTGGCGGGGTTGAGCCAAGTCCCGTCTTTGCTATCGCTGATGTGGATAACGATATTCTTGCCTATTCTATGTAAGCTCAAGGGAGATCGATCTCGAAATAATCACAATTTACTAATCAAGCTTCAGTTGCTGAAATTATAGCTCTCAAACTTCGGAGAGAGGGGTCGACGAACGAGTATTTATACCCTCAAATATTCGCAGGATTATCCATGATTATTGCAAGTGTTTGCATACTTGAACTCTGGCGTTACAAGCACGCGAATAATTTCTTGAAATGTGGATTGCTCAGTCGGAGAAGACGGAAGTAGCGATCAGAAGTTGGGAGATGATTCCGCAATGTAGGTACATCCATGTCGAAAATCATATTGGCCATGAAAGTGGAAAAGGTTTTGGAAAAGGGGGAAGGAGATGAGGTACTTATATTGGGACGGCATATTCTTTGTACACATTCAAGAGACTTGTGTATATATTTTCCTGTGTGAAAGTTCAAGATAAGATCTTACAAAGCCATCTACATCACTTGGCGATCCTCTCCAAACATGAACGACAACCTTCAGCGCCGGAACTTCGAGATTATTTTCGTAGCAAACGACACAGTTTTCTCTTCTTCCTTGTCCTCTAGCTTCACCAATCGATCCGAGAAATCCATCTCACTAGTCCTCACCCTAATACAAATTAGCACCATCCTCACTTATTTACTTCCGAGAACACTTACCAATGCGTGTTATGATACCATTTATACCCGACAAACAACAATATTGTAGCTGGAATGGTGATATAACTTGCGATAAAATTCCTCCAATTAAACGGATTCTCAAAAGCCGTGAAACCTTGAATAAGCAAGATGAAGATATTCAAGAACAAATTAAATCTGTAAATCCAAATTGTCCCCCAGGCTTTGAAAGGATAGCTCGATTGAGAGATGCCTTGTTTGTCCATCCCTTTTCGAACGCGGAGGTGAGTGAAGACGATTCCTGCCCAGGCGATATAGGCTGCTGAGCCACCGACGGAGGTCATGTAAGCGAAGACTTGGCCTGCTGTGACTTTGAGATTCATGAGTGCGAGGAGGCCCCACGTGCATGACGTGAGGATGGAGACGTATGGAACTAATTTTTATCAGCATTTTTTCTAGGTCTCGAAGCATGGATACTGACCTCCTTTCTTCGAAGTGATGGCGAAGAACTTTGGCGCACGCCCTGTCAGTGCCAAGGAGTACAGAGCTCGAGACTGTACATAGATACAGCCATTCCCAGCAGAGATGAAAGCGATGATGATCAGCACATTTACAAAATCAGCTGAAGATTTCCAGCCTGCATTCTGGAAGGCGATGGTGAAAGGTGACGAAGCGGTTTTGGAGGTTGCGTTGAGCAGGAGAGGAGAATCGGATGAACAGATGATTCCTTGGAAGAAGATGATACCCATGTAGACGAAAAGGATGCGGTAAACGACGGTGTTGACACCCTCCAGAGGTTAGCTTTGAGTGCGTTTCTTGAATGGAGCGCTGCTGACTCTTGGAATAGATTTCCTTGGATCTTTCGTCTCTCCTGCCGCGAGGGAAATAATCTCCGTTCCAACGTAGTATGCTGAAGCGAGAACGAAGACTTGACCGAATCCGTTGATACCATTCACAACAGGACCTGGTTAACATTTAGCAACTCTCTTACCAAAGAATAAAACATCATTTACCTTCCGGCGGCGTCCAATAACGGAACCCGATATATCCATTTCCAAAAGCTCCAACATTAACCAAGAAGGAGATGAAGAAGCAGACAGCAAGCGAGATAATCTTGAACCACCCAAGATAGTATTCCAGCTCACCATAGACCACTATGCCAAGCGTTGATAGCACTGAGAAGAAGCCCCAGAAGATGAGAACCCACGCCCACATAGGCATCTTCTCGTCGGGGACCCAGTATTGAAGGATGAGAATTGCGCCATTCCATTCTGTCGGATATCAGAAGCTGTTTTTTGGCCAGGCAGTGGCTGTTTTTCTTACCACTTCCCAGGAAGACACTCCACATAAAGTAGTACATCCAAGCCATTGAGAAGGAGAATGCGGGGTCGACAAATCGATTTGCTTGCTATATCGCAGTCAGGATCTTGTCATGGATTCTCGTCTGGACGTACTGACCTCGATAAAGCCGCCCGCAATTGGGAAAGCCGTTGTGACTTCACCAATACTCTGCATCAATGCCCAAACCATGAAGCCTATATTCCGTCAATCTTTCCCTTCCTAATCTGCTTTTAATTTACCTACCAATAATTCCGAAGCCAATCAATGCTCCCAGCGGACCAGAGAGATAAAGCGCATAACCAAATCCATAGAAACAACTCGCACCGATGACACTTGCCAATGAGATCAACGTAACATGTCGACCCAACAGACCTCTCCGCAACCCATCTTCAAGAATAATGCCATTCTGAACATCGGTCTGTTCCGTCGTCTCAATTGGCACATTTTTCTCGATGGAGACGTCCTTTCCCGACGATGTCGAGCCTCCAGCTTCGAATTCCTTCGACATCTTGAACGAGTTCTCACAATTGGCGACGAGAACAAGAATCTAGATTGGGTCAGATCAGTGTCCAGGATGTGTGTATATATCTATCTCTCTTATCAGAGTTCGCACAGATCGGCTAAGCCCACTATTGTTGCCCGTCAATGCCTGCTCGTACTAGGTGCTCGCCACGTGCAACTGGAGTTTTCCGATGATAACAGAGATAACGCCGCAGCGCATCAGAAGTCTAGATGTGTTAGCAGGAGATAAACGTGTATGGATACCAGACTCGCGGATTGCTCCGGAGCCTCGAAAGCTCTGGGACGGTCGATACTCTGTCTGGAAGTTATTCGCGACCATCCCCGGCTAGATAGAGAAGTGATCCACGATATGATATCCAGAGCGAAGAAGCACGACCAATCACGTAGAATTCTAATCACGCTCTAGAACTCTGAGAACTCGCAATGGGAAGCCATTGAATCACGCTCGAGAAGTTTGAGATCTCGTAATTGGGAACCGTCCACTTGGGTTTGCTCAAGAAGTTCTTGGGAACGATGGGGCGAAACTGTAAAGGTGGGGATAAATGGAGCGGGCCGCCGTCACCCCATCTTTGCAATCTATTGCATAGAATTGCCGCTTTCGATACAACATGAACTTCTACTCGGGGGTATTCCTGATGAACGAAAACACGCAATTGATACTGCACCTATTTCTGGCGAACAATTTTATCTTCCAGACTCTGGCCTCTAGCATTCGACCAGTAGATCATTCCTCGCAGCTTTTGAGATAGATTCAAGCCTTTCTCTCATGTGGGTTGGTCCGAAAGTTCGATAGGTCCTAGGCCAAGAGCCTGGACCTTGAGCGAGCTCTTCGTCCATTGCGAAAGCATATGTCACCGTTTGAAACTCGACGCCTGCTTGCGAGAAATAGACTGCATTCTACCACGATCAGATGACTTCGCGACACTGTCTACACAATAGCATTATAATACCACGCCTCTGAAAAGGCCAACTGTAGCCAACAGCTGATTGTTCGTCCTCCACCACACATTAATATCGCCTAAAACCAATCTCAACAAAACAACTACTATCAGGTGTGTCAAAGTGCAGCACCAATCTCATCTCTACTTCCTTTTCTAGAAGCTATGGTGCGCATAGCTCGAATGGGCGATATGCGCTTTGAGGTGGTTCCTTTCTCTTCGTTCTCTTTTTGTGACGACTCTTCATCAAGTGCTTGCGTCAATGGCGAAGTCCCTGTCCTTGATGGAGAGGGATCTTCAGCAAGCAGAGGGCCAAAGGCCGACACTGTACCTGCTGATCCCTCCAGCCATCGTTCAATTTGATCAAATGGCGCTTGGTCATACTTCGCCAGGGTCTCAAGTGAACATTCTGGGGATTCACACTTCGGAACTGGAGATTTCGGAGATCGAGGTGATTTCGGCGATCTCGGAAGAGGGGGCGTAGGAGATCGTGGGGGTTGATGTGGAAATCTTAGAGGTGGAGAGTATGGCATGGGTGGGAATTCAACTGCCGTTGATGTGGTGCCCATGTTCAGATGAAACTTGGGCAATGTGCTTGGCTCGAGAGTTGGCGAGTCGTCTCGATCAAGAGCGAAGAGGGGACACTTGCCTGGTTCTTGCGGCGGGGCTTGTGGTGATGGGGTTTGGTTTGGTGAGTGCTGTACAGGAGAATCGTGAGGTGTTGGAGGTGGCCTTAGAGATGTTTGTGATTGATTGATAGTAGGTGATCGTGGTGAGCAGACGCTAGGTGAAGTGGGCGCAATGCTAACCGTTGGAGAGATCGACCAGAATGATCTGATCTGACGACGAGTAAAAGGGTCTAGAGACTCACTTCTTCGGATTGGTGTGATAGAATACAGGGGCTCTGGTGTCTGTGGCCGCCTGGTTTGCATCGTATTCTGGGCAGTCATGGGCCTTGATTCCGACCTCGTGTATGAGAGTTCAGAGAATGGTACTCGTGGAGATTCGAGGTGGTTTACTTGGCCGTTGATGATATGAGGATATGACACGGCAGGTCGAGAGAGGGGGTATTGCACCGGACGGATACTTGGCAGAGTTCGTGAGCGCTGAATGGAAGGATGATAGAGAGGGTGCGCTCCAACAAGTGCGGCCCGTGAAGGAGGTTGCGGCATGGAAGGGCTGAGCGACTGGAAACTTCTGGTAGAGTAGGAGCCATCTTTCAGATTGTCGTCAATCGGCCACATAGCTCTAGCTTCTCTGACTTCCACCTTGCCTTCCTCCAACTGCTGTTCTCGCTTTCTACACATCCGCCGAGATCGCCGAAAGAGGTAGAAGCTGGTGGCAAAGCAGAGCAACAGCAGAATTACAGACATCAAGACCAAAATTATAACATGTTCTCGGTGCGTCTGCCAAGACAATTCAGTTGGAACCGTAGATGAGGACTCAAAAACCTAGGTACTATTAGGACATCAAAGAGCTGTTATAGGGACGCTTCAAGAGCTTACACCTGCTTGAGAGAATGTAGGACTGACTGAGGTCATCCCGGCGTCTACTTGTTTGTTGTTGGTAGATGGTGTAGTTGATTTGATTGATGTTGATAGAGTTGTGGATGGCGATATCGATACATGTATCATTGATGTTGTTTGTGAGGATATCGGTGCCGAGGAAGTCGATGCTAAAGATGTTGAGGATAACCGAGAAGAAGATGGAGCTGTGGTGGCTACTGCAAGGCAGTCTGTAAATGATAAAAGAGTGTGATGGCTTTCGAGCGTGCCGTGTTGTGACATTCTGATGGAGTCTGGTGGTGTATTAAAGAATAGTGTGATATTGTTGCTGTGTCGAGCAACACATGTCCGATGTAGACTGACAGCTCTATGAGTTGGTTTCCAAGAATGAGTTGACGGACATTGAGCTGGACTTTTAAAGTCTTCGATCGTCCTGAAAAGATTGTAACTTCTATGTGGTCGAAAGCCGTGAAAATTTGGCCAGGGTTTATATCATCTGCTCGGCGACCTGCAGTGTCTTTAACAGACGGACGAACTCAACGGATATAACAGTGGTGGAGGTCTAGACCGAGCAGCCTGCATGCAGAATCAGAGTTTCCTCAGAACAAAACAGCATGGCCATGTTGATCAGGCCAGCAGGGCCTAATGGTATGTATTGGTTAGTTGCTGGCCAAACAAGACTTCAGTCCTCAATAGTGCATAAGATTTCCTCTACATCTCAGGAACATGCAGGGGGAAAAGTGAACCCCAGGCAGGTTCGTCCGGGTCAGCGAACGAGATCCGAAGTGGGCCGAGTACGACACTTGACGTTGATGACGTCCTCTTCATGGGATTGGATCTTCACTGGGGTTTGGTCATAGCTTTGAACGCAGCAAGGAGCATAAGATGCTCCGGAGGTACTTCCCGTGAAGCTTGGGCAGTTGACACCGTCCGCAAATTCTGCTCATGGTGAGACCAAAATGCAAGCCTGCACCCTGTACTATACAATTTCTCGCTCAATAGTAAGAACGGAAGGACCATCTGACAAACTCAAAAATCCGGACCTCTGATCATAGAGGTGGACGCTTGCTCTTGTCCCTTCATGCTCAACTTTGCGAGCAACTGGGGCACCCTCGAAGCGCCCTGCAGCGGGCGTATGTTGGCCAATTAAGGAATTCGTCCATATCATTAAGCTTTCTGGATTCCACCGGGCACCACACTGGCCTGGCAAGTTTTGATCGCCGGCCGGTTCGCTTCATCCCTTGGCACGGAGTCGCTAAATAGAGTTTGTCTCAAGGGAAGCACGAACCAAAACAACTCGCGCCTCCGCAAACAGTCCTTGGCTAAAGCTTCCCCAGATACGTTTCAGAATCGCACTCGACGCTTGCACAGTCGTGAAGAATCACGTGAAAAGGCACAAGCATGCTCCATGCAAGCAGCCTTATTTCATCCGTAATATTCAGGACCGGCATCGAACAGAAAGAGAACGAAGAGCGCGTACGTGAGTGGAAGTTGGTGCCAAGAGAATTTCATTGCAGCCTCAGTCTCAATTCTAACATGTCCTCTTCAGCGTTCCCCTTTGACGCATACCGAGCCAAGAGTGAAATCGTCTGAAATCGGGAAAGACGGTATGCAATCCAAAGCAGTAGACTCTTATTTCTAATCGCCGGTGGTATCTGACCTTGACTTTCACGGGTCCTTGCCGTGGTCGAGAGGGCTTCGCATGAGTCTTCGTCTTCACACTCGAGAATTCCACCAAAACTTCATTTCATTGAGGCGATCACAATAAGTTGGTAGGAACATGTAATATTAGCCGATCCGAGTGTGACAGGCATGCTCGAGCACCACTGAGTAATTGCAGTGGCTCACGTGATCACCGAGGGGTTCGTTTCGAAACAGTCTCGGATCAAGGCGGATCGACCGAACTACCACGTATGTAGGTGTGCTTTTACGGGTACGCGAGTACAGATCAGAGACCGAACTTCAAGGCGTTCGTGCAAAGGGCATCAACGGTTCGTTGGGCATCAACCAATTGACGGTGACAAACGTCCGCTGCTCATTTCATTCTGTTGATAGTCGCAAACGATCAGGAGCTTCTACGAAAGCTTGATGCGAACAGTTTGAGTACTAGCAAGTTCGGACTCATCGAAAAGCTTTCAAGTGTCGAAGGCTCATTAGTTTCCGAACAGTTCTTCGGGCTTTCGAACTATCGTGCACCAATGCATGTCTCAAAAGACCCTAACCCTCGCTCCAACCCGATGTCAAGGAAAGTTTAGACCGTGTAAATCTAAGCCCAAATCGAATCGTTCATCGGGCAAAAGAGCCTGATCAAGAATTCAGTCCGCTGACCGACTGAACTCTATTGTAGGTCACCATGGATCCCCAGCCAAAGCTTTTGTCCTTCCAATGGAGCGAAGCTTGCGGAAAAGAAAGCCTTTGATTCGAGCAGAGAAGTATGCAGGGCGTCTTTTTGGATTTTCATGTGCAGAAACAGCCCAATCATAGTGCGGTCCGCCGTTCTAGCTGGCTGCGCTAACCTTGCTCAAGGTCGCTGCACGTTCGCAAGGGTTGGAACACAACCGTGCTTCGAGTAAAAGGCTGTTGTTAAGCTGTTGTACACACCTATAATGCTCTGTGCTAACAAAATCCGAAAGAGCCGACATTGAAGAACAGGTTCTGCCACATCTCGCGGTTTTGAGCTCTGCATCACGAAGACTCCCCATGTGGCAACCTGATCAGGTGCCTTGTCTCGAAATATACTGTCGTTGAGCTAAACTTGAGGTTGGGGTCATCAGAACTCGCGATAAAGTGCAAACGGGTCAAGTAAAAGCATCATCGATGCTCGTGATTGCAACCAGAGGTTCTCTGTCCAATGAGAGGCATTCGTCCCAATAATTCAAAACCGATTGCCATAGTTGGACATAAACCGTAGATGTTGAGCTAAAGTCTCGTCTCCAAGTCTACACATCTCGATGCCCCAAGAAAATTCCTTATCAAGAGACTCCACAACACTTGAGCGCGGAGGACGATACCAGATGAAGAAAGAGCAGCCGATGAGATGGACTGGCAGATCTTTGTTGCAAGTCGCCGGTTCTGCACAAGGTATTCTTGCATCATACCAAGATTGTCAACACCAGTGACATTCCACCATGCATATACTATGCTAGCTTCCCAGCTTCCAGAAAGTCTTTCTCGCCACTGATCACCAATGAGAAGCCATATTTCGAGTCAGTGAGGGTTTGTTGCACGTCACGATCCTGCACAAGGTGTTCATGCATCGTAGCAAGATTGAAGGCGTTGTGTGATTGTGCCGGCATGCATGTTTATCCGTCAATTGGCTGGTATGTGGCTTTTCGAGCTTCGTCCCCACGGCAGAGTCCCAATCGAAGGCCCGACATGGAGACCAATCTGTCTAGAGAATGAATTTGTTGCACGTCGCGATCCTGCACAACGTGTTCCTGCTTCTCTGAGATTCGTGGTGGAGGTTCATGCAGCGGTATCACACGTCCTGCCCTCCTGTTGGTGGCTCTTGCCCACGTCATTCGAGTCTAACTGCCATCGAAGCCAGTGAGAAGCCATGTTGGTGACTCGTGAACCGCTGCAGAAGTTTGTTGCATGTCGCGATCCTGCAGAACGTGGGATCTCTTCTTCGCGAGGATGTTATCTGTTACTGTGCAAGGCAAAGCACATGGTGTGGGATCCTGATTCGCTACCAGAAGATCTTGAAGGCTGGCATGCAGTTTCCAGCGACCGGGAAAGAGTATGCGAGCATGCAGCAAAGAGGTGTGTGATGAGTCCTTGGATAGGCTGGAAGAACGCAAATGTCGGTGAGGTTTGAAAAGTCTTGGGATGGAATAATGTTTCTCCGCAGACCCGATGTTCATCCACTCGGCAGGTAAGGTAAGATTGTATTATTACTCCAGCCTCCCTCTCCTTTTTAAATATAGAACTTCTCATTTTGTATTGTTCATAACTTCTTTGACTTACTCAATTTCAAAGTCTTACTAACGAGAATCGGCCGAAATCCAATGGCAACTTTCAATCGACCGAAGAACCTGGGTGAGACTGCGGGGTAGTTTGGTATGTCACCGACCATCACTCTGGCCAAGTAGCAATCTGCGCTCTTTGAAAAGAAAGTCCACTTTGTCCACCCTAGATATGTGGGTTCGGCCTTCCTGACAGTATTTAGCCAGTACAACAGGCAGATGCAAGTACGTGCAGCCGTCGGGGTCGACGGTGCTACCTGTAGACAGGGAACGGGAACTACCCCGCAAAACGATGTACAACTCGGAACGGGAATACAAGACGGCATTCGAAAGCAAGGTACAAATTGACATGAGTGATAGTGAACAATTGACTAAGAAAATATCTACGGCCCTCTGGTTTTCACAAACTAGAGCTTTTCATTCAGAAGCTCAACCACCAATAGTCACTTTCAAAAGTGTCACTCTATTCATCTTTTTCTTTATTTATTCCGAGACCACATATCAAGATGCTCGGCTCTGCATTATTCCTCGGCCTTTGCGTTGTTACTAGTGCTTTTGCTGGGCACACTGCCACACCAAAACCCCCGACTTTCACATATCTCTACTCTAGCAACGTAACGCTGGGTCCGACAATTGACTATGGCGCCGGTCCCAGAGGTCATCGTGTCGCTATACCTATCACAGGCGGTACTCTATCTGGACCAAGGATCAAAGGTTAGTCCTAATGATCTAATCATCCTGTCTCTTCTAAAGTCCATGAAGGCAACTTTATTAATCTCGGCGCTGACTGGGGCGCGATCGACAATTTGGGTGTCTTCAATCCAGATACACGATACGGTATCTTGACTGATGATGGAGCAAATATCTATATTCAGACAAGCGGGCCGACTCAGAAAGATGGGCATACCCACCTGCGCATGATCTTCGAGACAGCAGCGAATTCTACATACTCGTGGCTGAACGAGATTGTGGCCGTCGGGATCTTGACTGGAGGGAGCGGATACGTCTCCATTGATGCGTGGCAGGTGGAGAGTCCATAATCGAAAGGCAGGACTTGGCGTTTCGTCTGTTGCTGGTTACAAAAAACTCGGCGTCGTTCACTCTGGAAGATGTATCATGCATTGGGACAGAACAGGTCAAAATTTGAAGGGAAGCCACTTCTACTACTTGGAGTTCTTTTCTTGGGCATTGGCAGCGTTCTGTACTTGTGAATATATACTGGATGACAGCACCATCCAATGCAGAGAACATAAATCGTGGGATGCTAGGCATTCTCTTTCTCTCTCTGTCGTGCTACTGGAATTTTTTCATGACAAATTTCAAGTTCAAGGAACTATCAAATGAGTTCGAGTTGCATTTAATTTGTTAAACCAATTAGTGGTGCTAAGGCTGCAGGAAAAACCTTTGTGTTTTAATTGGCGAGATTTCTGGAAACGAAGAAAACGAGTAGTGAAGAGGTCGGCGAGTTTCTAAATCTCCTGCAGAGTGTCGAAAGACGACTCTGGCCTTATTTTCAGCCTATTGCAGCCTGATCTACTCTAAAAATCTATCATAGTTGATTAATTGTCCTCGGTGAGCTGGTGTAGCTACGCACAGGTGCACCTCAGCCTCACGACGCAAATTCCTCTTTGTAGCCCTTTCCGGGTTTTGCCGTTGTAACACCTGCCTATCTTGGGGAGTTTATATTACTCGCCATGCTTAATCATTGTTGTTTAAACTTTTGTGTGAGCCTCACCTAAAGACAATTCACAGACGCTTAGGTGACAGTGGCTTCCTTCTGGGTTGAAATCACAAGCTACTAGTTTATATTGTGATACGGCCTTCCAAGAGGTAGGATCCTCCAGCTCCTACCAAGGATTTCTTCATGTAAAAGGACCCCTCTCACACCAGTCCTACTTTTTGATCAATCATTCTGATCTGGTTTTGTTCGGCATCCTGCTATCCACAACGATATATAGAGCATATTTTAGACAGTGTCTTTGGCTTCACCTACGGACATTCCAATCGCAAAATTACATCCAACATCTATTACTTTTTTCACGTTACCATGCGCTTCCTCGCTGCTCTTCTGCAATTCAGCGCCTTGTGGCCTGGACTTACAGCAGCCTACACAGTCTCAATTCGATGCGCAGCACTCGGGCCGACACAAACCTCAGCATCTACCAGCATTTACAACGGCATCAACAGATGGTTTGCATCCTCCCTCACCGGCCCAACCTGCAACCAGCACGACAGCTGGATATCTGGCTGTTACGCCAATCACCACGTCAATACCGTGTGCCAACTCGACGGCAACTATGCCGTTTGAAATTCCACCAAAATGACCTGTACCTCGTACGAAGCACTACGTTCCACAGCACTGGCCAATTGTGGTGCTGGAAGCGGATATGCCGACTGTGCATGCGGTGTATACGCCGTTTCGACTGCGGGACGTACTTGCCTCATCGCCACCTATTCATATCACGCGTCTGGTCCTGGCGTGATTGCGCCGGATGGTAACCCAGCCGAATTTTTTGAGCCTGGTTTTACCTACAATGGTCATAATGAGTTGCGACGAGAGACTATGGAACTTGTAGAGATTAGCAACGACACATATGTTCCGGGCGAGGTGGGGATTGTACAACTTGGTACTGATTCTCAGGACAACGCAGCTTCAGATACACCTTCTTCTCCTAAGCTTCCATATCCTTATGTTGCTAAGACAAATGCCGAAGGCTCTGCCACAACTTGGTCGCTTGGATATCTGGGCAGCTGTTCATCTGTTTCTTAGAGCGGTTCTGATGGGTGAGCCTTCCGCTCCTTGCCCCCGTGGAACTCACTTAAGATTATCATATCATGTTATCTTTGCGTTGCTATTTCTAGTTTAGTTTATGTTTGGCAGACAAAGGCTTCCCTTTGGTATCACTGAAGGACTGGGCTCCCAAGCACGTGAATTTACATCATAACGGAGTCCATTGTACTCGTGTATCTTTTTCTTTGCGCGACGTCAATAAAATGAGCTCTTCTTCCTCACTGTGCAGCTTTCCACTCCCCGCCAAATCGTGCATTTCCATTTCAGTGCTGGCGAGTGGTTCGAAAATCTTGATGCACGATTGGGTCGACCCTCATTCACGAACAGACGCATCTCCACCAGCTCAACTCCCTGTTTTCTCAGCCGCATCTCCTTGAACAATACCAGTACTTTAGCATGATTCATATATTTAATTGATCGATCCTCATCTTCCTTTTCGAACGACTCCTGCTCCATCTCACCATACTGCACAGATGACTCATCATCTGGAGATGGAAATCTGAGCGTGAGATTTCTCAATGAGGGAGCTTTGACGATTGCTTCGAGTACTGTACTGTCTATGGACATATTGACTCTGCTACTAAGCCTAATGTCTAGCTCCTCAAGCTGAGATGCTGAAAGAACAAACTTCGAGACTAGATCGTCGCGAATGAAGCCAGCACTTTTATCGCTATCTTGACATGAGAGGTGGCGCAGCTCTTTTGCGAGATCTGGAAAAGCGACCAGAGTTTCGAATAAAAGGATACTGGCGCTCATTTGTTCGTCTTCGAGTGACAGATACTGGAGAGGTTGTGATGTGTTCGTTATGAAGGAGATAACCTCTCCTGGTTGTGCGTTTCCATGTCCAACTTTGACGGTTAGTGAAAGGTTTGTTAACGCAGGAAGAGTTGCTCCTTTCAATTTCTCCAGAGTCGTGTTCCATGGGTATGCCAGTTCCAAAGTATGGAGATGACTCCAGTCCATGACCTCTAACCAGGTTTCTAGGTTCGCCTTTCCATCGTCTTCAGGTCTATCTGCATAAAATGGATGCACTTGATCGTAAATATTTCTTCCTTCTTCATCCAACATCCGGCAATCACCTTCCCGATATTGTTTATATGGGCGCCGAGTCCAAGCATCTCCTCCATCAGCTCCACTATCGAAGCAATACCCCTTCACCCTCAAAACATCCAAAGGTTGGAACTTCATGTGAGGATAATATGCGAATGGAAACGCCAACGGTGTACCACCAAGTGGCATGCAATCCAAACGAGTTGGTTCGAAATGGCTTGATATGTCCAGATGAGTTGGCAGTTCGAGATTCAACTCTCTCAAATTAGTTGCATTCGCCATAGCTACGAGATGAATTCCATTTCCTCATAGTACTGAGCCCAAGTGTAGTCCAACTTTCCGTGCAGACTGTACAGCAGGGGCGAGGTCATGATCGTCGAATCTACACTACTCAACGAGTAAAATGAGTAATAAAGCCTAACTGTGTTCTTCATCTCCTCCAAATATTTCAAAATTGGCTCGGGAATGGCCTCCCAACTTTCCCATCTCACGATCTCCAAGCCTCCTAGTTTCGAGAAGACATGTTCAATCAGAGGCAGTTGTCCGAACCATTTGCGATCACCAGACCCCTTAATCGTAATTTCTTTGACGTCGTTCCTGTCAAATAAGCCCTTCGTTGGACTTGCTCTATCACTGATCAAGAAGTTCAGCCAAAGTCTGCTCTCTTCTGCTGTTTGATGCTCCGAGAAGTCGAATGACATAACTGCTATCGGTGAAGCCCCATCGCCAATGTGAGGGACTGGCCCTTCGAAGCCACAATCCTCCCAGATACCGTCGATTATGGGGTTCAAGAAGGATTTGGGAGGCAGGCAACGGATGATTGCGGCGCAAGCACGAGGGCGCGGGAACGGCAGAGAGCAGAGGAGCGTTGAGAGTCGAAGCAAGGAAAACATCTCTGCTGCAAGTAAGACTACTCCTGCTGGAAACAATATGAATTTGAAGATTGATTAATATTAATTGAGAATTGATGAAGGCGAGAATGTTGGATCTTTCTGCTGCGCCCCAAAATGTTGGAGAGCAGACCATGTGACTTGTCCTGCATGACAACAAAGGTGCTAGAATCAGGCTCTATCATGTTTCTCGGGTATTCTAATTGCCAGACTAATGGCGCATCTCCAACATTGTCCGTCCTTTCAACTCTTGATTCCCCATTTCACTCTTCCACCAAATTGTTTTGATCGCTGTATTGCTCGTTAGTAAAGCGTAAAAGAGAACAATCAAAGACTTACGGTAATTCATTATTTGGCATGAACCAAGCCATGAAAAAACTAGGAACAGAAGCTCCGATCGCCGCATAAGTGAAGAATCGCATCACATTCGTGTAAGCATTATCGATCGCAGTTCTCTCCGACGTTCCCCATGCAGGAAGAACCCCAGTGATAGAATTGAATAGCTGGTCCACCAAAGCTCCATTCGCAGCAGTCCCACCAAGTTGGTCTCTCAATTGATCTTTGAAAGTGCCAGTATAGACTCCGCCGGCAATGCAAGCACCGATACTGGATCCCAAGAACGAGAAGCAGATAATCAAAGCTGTCATCTGCGCTAATTGACTGTGAGGAACTTGGATCTGAGCGCCGACAAAAACAGAGGTTTGGATGATACCGCTCCCAATGCCTTGGATAAGCTGCACTACTACTAGCTCTCCAATCGAGTTTTCGGCTCCTCGAAGGCGAAGCATGATTCCGTAGCCGATGATTCTGATTGTCACACCTGCCATGACCAGCCACTTGTATCTTCGGGTCTTCAGCATGATCCAACCCGCAATGATGCCAGTAAAGCACTGCATCACTCCGTTGACGTAAATGTAAAAGGTAGCGATTTTGACAGAGAAGTTGTGAGCCACCGTCGACCACGCATACAGATAGGTGTGCGTAACTGCAAAACCCATGGAGTCCGTTGCAATGAGAAGAATCGAGGTGACGATTGCAAGATTCTTGAAATAGTGGATCGGAACAAGAGGATGTTTCGCCAAGAACTTCTCATACCACGGGAGAGCGAGAAGGAACATTCCACCAATAGCCATCAAAGCATCGAGATATGGCGTTCTCCACCGCGAAGTGGTGGTTGATGCCAGCGTGAGAGGTAGCAGGAGCATTGCAAAGCCTCCACAGAAGAGAATAGAGCCACCTAGATCGATCTGCGAGCAGAACTCGTAAACAGTCATTTTCTGTTTCGTAACGATCCCTGCTTTCTTTGCCATTCGCTGATAATAGAGAAGAGTGCCGATGATCAAACTTCCTGCAATTGGCATGAGAATGGCGAACATCCCAATACCCCACCTCCATCCGATCCCATCCACTACACTTTCTGTGATGAATGCCGCGATCCATGGCATGAGAAGGAATGGAAAGAAAGAGACTCCAATGCCAAGACCTCTCCATCTTGCTGTAGTAATATCTGAGATGATGATATCATTCATGATATTAGTGCCTGACTGGCCAATATTGTAGATGATGTAACCAGCAGCATAGGAGTTAATAGATTTCGATGAGGCGCAGAGGATGTAAGAAAGGATGTAACAAGATATTGTAAGGACGTAGGTTTCGCCTCGACCAATGATATTTGAGAGCTTTGCGATAGGAGGCTTGATGACTGCGAAGACGATGACTCCTGCCGTTCCTAGGGTTCCAAGAAGAGATATTTCATTAAATGCAGATGTAGCATAATTCTGATAGATGTATACTGTCGAATTGTCTAACTCGCTGAGTCAAAGTTAGATCAAATAAATAGATGAAAGAGATAGAAGATGTACTTACTACATAATCATCATGACTGCTAGTCTATTAAATGGTTAGTTTACGCCGTTGTAATATCAATGTCGAATTCTCTTACCCCGCGATAATCATATATCTACCTCTCTTTCCCCAAACTGCTTGAACAGCCTCGACTCGAGCAACTCCGGACTCTACATTGGATTGAGGATTAAAGACGGGCTTTTGTATTGCTTCCACGTCGACATCCCCATCATTCTTGTCTTCAGTATTTTGAGCATGTCCTGTCTGGGGCATCTCGTGAACCTCCTCTGAGTCGAAGACCTCAGGAACCGGCCTCAACTGAGCGGTGACCGATTTCATGAAACCCATTTTAGCGTTCGTTGATGGGAGTTGTCGTCAGTAGGTCGTGGAAACTCGTCAATTAATGTATAAAGCTGTACCTGCTGCGAGAGTGCCCAATTGAAAGCTTGATAGCAGCTGATGTCCCCATTGGGTGAGCCTTGAGCCGGTGTTGATATGCACTTCCGGTTCCAATACACAACTGTGCACCGTGCTGTCTACGAATCATCTGCGAGCTATTGGCATACAATCCTCGAAGTGACCAACCAGAAGGGGATCATTTGTTATTCTCGCTCGACGAACGAGGCTAAGAAAGTTAGCCATGCTATCTGGCATGGAATTGGAGACTGTAGCCAGTCTGTCGGGAACACCTGGACATTGGAAACGTTACAGTGCCTACCATCTTCTCGCCTCGATAAGAATCATGTGTGAGCCAAAATCTTACGAACTTGATAGCATAGATATGAGATATTGGTTCTCGTATCAATCTGGGGAAACTACTCCTCAATGTGGCTGCGGAACCGACGGGTGAAGATCAAGAGTGGGGTAGCCGCTTGAGCGGGGTGCTGATACAGCGAATAGAACTTTGTTTGTCGACCAAAAAGGAAGGACCTCAAGACTTTCAAGGTCTCGGGGTGATAAGATAAATACAGTACTTATCGCTGATCAAGGCGATTCGAGCCAGAAGAGTTTCCCTACACGTGATGTGCTGCCTGTGATTACTTGGTTCAATTGTGAAGCTCGCCTGATACCTGCACTAAAAATCTTAAGAGGATTACTGTTGGCCACGAGCTTGAACCCCAGCGTCAGGAAGTTCATTCCGCCGTTCTCAGGATCACAAACATGTCCCAAAATCTAGACTGGCAATGTAGCTCTAAAAAAGTCAGCCGAGGACAATTTCAAACATTCAAGTGATGTTCCTGTCCAAGCTCGGAAAATATTCTCGTCCAAACTTCTGCAAGCTGAACATCCGAGGGTTGATGAGAACTCGCATAGTCATCAAGCAGTAGAGTCGACAGAAGAGTATGAAAATGATACTGATCTAAGGAGTTTCAACCCCTTCGCAAAACAAATTAACCATCTGCTGCGTCCTCTACGCTTATACATAAAAAGTAGGAATGAAAAAGGCTTTGAGTCTTTAAAGTTTTCAGACGAAGAAAGCCACGGAAACCTAGCAAGTTTTGGATACTTTGCGATGTCTTCGTACTTTCATAGGATCTGCAAATCTCCTCCCAAGCTAGAAAGAATCATTATATAGACTAAAGGCTCAAACGGCGACGTCATTTGACTTCCTCGTCATCACCATGATCTTCGCCTGCCCAGCCCTCGAACGTGTCGTGTCGCACGGACTCCCGAAACAAACGAACCGGCTCCGTCGTTTCTAACCTGTGAGCTGTACGGAAGAGCCTCCGGTATTCGATTTTCGCAAGGGCTGCGGAGATTTCTGAAACGAGATCTACATGGACAACTTGACAGCTGCGGGGGAAAAATTCAGCAAACGGATGAACCGTGGGCACGGGAGTATCTAAATGAGCATTGGCTACAGCATGAAGCAATAAGTCTCTCCACCATCCATCTTCCCCCACCATAGGTTCTGTAGACCTTTCCAACTGACCTAATATATCGCTGGACAGAAATTGCGTTTCCTATAAATTTCCAAATTTTAAATCAAACCTCAGTCGCAAGAGCTGACTTGCCAAGAACAGAGAAATGCCTCTATCCCGGCAATAACCTTCAAAATACTCGGACAATTCTTCAAATTACAGTTTAACTCAAATACTGGACAACGACCTCTCTTCTCCGGATCCACGAAAGGAAATATCGCATCACGTGAGGATCGGCTCAGCCCCAATTTGGCGAACACCTTGCCGCTTTGGGAAATCAATGCGATGCGAAGCACAGGGCTGAGTGCTTGGACTGACAAATATCGATCGAGTGAGATCAGTTTGTTACCTAGATAGGTGACGACACCGGGCTATGTCATCTGCTCAAGGTCTAGATATAAGGTGAGAGTATCGTGCCGACGGACGAATTGGTCTTGTCAACAAGTAACCTTATTGACACTCCTTCCGAATACTCGTTCATTATTCTTGAACGGCCACCATCGTCAAAATGGTTCTCATCCTTGCAGCCACGATCGGGAAAATGATCTACGATGAAGTGAAGGACCACAAGGGAAAGAAGAACGGCACGCACAAACGATCGAAATCAGATCCATCACAGAGCAGACGACTCTCAATGGACAAACCTCTTCCTTCCACCCCATTACAAACGAGTAATATCGAGCCCTCAACAGCATTGCAAACCAACAATACCGATCCCTCGCCCACGAGCCTTTACGAAGTGAGCCCGGTAGAAGGAGTGTACGAGATGGACGTTGCACCTCCACCATACCAGGCCACAAGTCCAGTAATACCTGAGCGGAGTCCTTTGAGAGTCAAGGTGGGCAACGATGTGGTCCCATGGTCGCCAGATGATATTGTGAGGCCGTCAATTGAAGAAGTAAGAGCATCGGACGTGCGACGGAAACCATCACCACAAGTGTTTGAGTTGGAATAAATGGAATATAACCTCGTTGAGCTAGACTCGATCGGTCAGGAGTGGGCGGTATGATGCGTGGAGTTTGTAACCCGGGACATGCGGCGATTTGCAGGGCGCACCTTTTTCTCCGCGTTTTTCTTTAGTACATATACCATTTACTATTGCTTGCCGTAACTTTAGCGTCTATGAAATCAATGCACGATTGACATTATTCAAGTTTCCTGGGCAGGCAAAGGTGGGGTTGCTCAATTAGACTTCCAATTTGTTCATGCTTTTCGTCCGACTTCGGCCGCGAGGTAAGCGCTTCACGTGTGCTGTGACTAATTACATAGAGGATGTGACTGAAGTAATTTCATGTCCGGTTTTAAGTTTTCATATTCATCACATCTTCTCGAGCCCATCGACATGGATCTAGAAGTGAACACAGCAACGGAGCGTGGACATGAGCTAAATGACTTTCGCAATGAGCCACCCACTTCGCTCGTCGGCACGGAGCACAATGACTCGGACGCTATCAACGAGTCTTTCAAACGCCGACAACAGATATTTATTGTCATCTCAGCTACTATGCTGACGTTCACGGGATGCGGTCTCAACTTTGCTTTTGGTGTCTATCAAGAATTATACGAATCTTTGGATGGTCCATTCAAAAATGCCAGTGCGGCAGAAATCGACCTCATCGGGACACTTTCGATGTCCCTGATGACTCTTGGGGCTCCTTTCGCCAGTGCATGGACGAAGCAATACAGTCCTAGGACTGTGACAATCCTGGGAGGTGCTTTATTTTTGGTTGCCAATCTAGCCGCCTCTTTTGGAACACAGCTTTGGCATTTCATCCTCACTCAAGGCTTGCTTCTTGGTTGTGCTTCATGTCTGACTTACATACCAGCTGTCACCATTGCACCTAGTTGGTACGATGCCAGAAGGGGATTGGCAATGGGGATCATCTTGAGCGGAACAGGTCTTGGTGGTGTCGCTTGGGCACCTCTGTTGCGATACATGAACTCAGCAATTGGGTTTCGCAACACTCTCCGCATAACTGGAGTCATAGCTGTTGCAATAAACACAATCTCGGCTCTTGCATTGAAATGGGAACCAGGTGCACTTGCTCGAAATCGTCAAGAAGCCCAGGGAAGAAGGCGGGGTATGAATTTGCCTCGAGCGAACTGGAACATTGTTCGAACTCGACCATTTGTCGCCCACGCTATAGGCGCAACTCTTCAAGCGGCAGCATATACTACGCCAACATACTTCTTCTCCACCTATGCAAGGTCGCTAGGTTACAGCTCAGCAACCGGAGCGAACTTCATTGCTCTGAGCAATGCTTGCAACTCGATAGGGAAAATCGTTATTGGATCTTTGTCAGACCGTTTCGGGCATCTGAATGCCTTGGTACTCTCGACCCTTCTCAGCGGTATGGTCACAATTGGGCTTTGGCTTCCATCTAGCTCCTCACTACCAGAGAGTACGAGACGTGGCCTGTTCGTCTCTTTCGCATGCCTGTATAGCTTCACAGCCAGTCCATATGTCGCTTTATTTCCCTCAGCACTTGCAGAGCAATTCGGTATTCAAAACTTTGCCAGTATCAATGGCCTTTTGTATATGATTCGTGGCATCGGGACGCTGGTCGGAACTCCCGTTGCAGGAGCTCTCATCCACACTCGCAAAATGGAAATTATGGGGACCGTTGTAAGTTTCGAGAAAACTATTGTGCTGGTAGGTGTTCTGTTGTTGAGTGCGACGATATTCGTTCTCTGGGCTCGCATCGAGAATGCTTTGAAGAATGGCTGGAAATGGCGCAATTGAGAGACTTGTGACGGGTCGATTTGCAGGTGATCGTGTAGGCACTAGTGTAGGAGAATGGCAGAAGACTGAATTGAGATTGTGCTTCCGAAGGGTGAGAGGAAGAATGAAGTTCCAGGCCCAGGCCTGGGATATTGGCCCCTGCTGAGTCATGCACCGAAATTGTCCTTAACGTGTTGGCGGCGTCCCATCTCTCAATCCTCCTTTTCGGGATCTTTACTCCACGATCAGATCTGAAATCATACTGTGTATTGCAATATCTTTCTCTGCATACGACCCCTCGATGCGTTCGCCCGAGGGCCATGAGCCTCCATGAGATGAAGGTCATCTAAGACCGACCTCGATATTGCGACCGTGAGATTACAGGCATCCTTAACTCTCCCACATCCCTAGCACTTTCAGACGCTCCCAAGTCACTCCCGGGTCATTATGCCCTGCGTTCTTTGCTACTACTTCTTATCTTGTCTTTGTCGAAAGTATTTGGCCCTTGAGCTTTTGGAAGTGCTTCGTCAATTCTCACCAGTCGCGTGCGTTGTACGCACTGCGTACCAGTGGAGCCAGCAGCTCCTTTTCTCACACTTCCGTATGGCTTCACCTTGTCTCGAAGGAATCGTCCAGATCTCTTGTTGGCCTCTCAGGTGCTCTCTATATGCAAAAGAAGTTGATACTCATCTCAACTTGAGCTATGCTTTCCAAAGTACATCTCTTGAAGCATGAATGGTAGCACATCTTGTACAGTTCACGCAGAATTGATACTGTTGGTCTTCCACAGCGCCACAGTGTAAATATGCAAGGCTGAGATTTAGCCACGCGCACTCAAAGTAACACATGTGTGTCATGACATTCTTCCGTTCCTGACCTGTGACGAGATGGCAGGACGCATTGGCTTTGGTTGAAGTTGGATAAATGCCACAGGCTCAATTGGGAGCCGGGGAGCCGGGGAACAGGGGCATCACGTACCGCCTTCACCTCATCTGGGGCGATCATTGCGGAAGATCTGCACTAGCTTCGGACCAGATCATTGAATGAACGCTACTACTTCGAGATGAAATATATTGCTTTCGCAAGCCTTCAAAAGCTCCCTCTCAGCTGTTTTCTGTCTTTCTTCAAGATCGCATCGTTGAGAACTTTCTGTGCTCATTTGAAATATTTCAAGGACCCCAAATTTGCGATTGTTTCACCTGTTCACACGGTATAGCATATTGTCACTGTTCGCAGGCTGATATGCAAAGCGATCTTATTTCTGCTCCTAAGATTATGATCAACCTTAATTACTGTTGATTGATGCAGGGGAGATGATTTTCCTTCCGTTCATGTAGGATCACTACCGCAAAATTTCCCATTGGCTCCTTCCAGATTATCGGGTCCCTCTTGAGAATATCATTCATGCTTTCCAAACTTTCCAGCCTTCTTCAATGCTTCTAGAAAACCGTCTCCTCCTCATAGAGTGTGGTTCTCCGCTTTTTTGATAGCCTTTTCTTCCCATCTTCTTAGTCTTGCTTTCTCTCGATGATATTTGGATAACGTCGCAGTAATGGGTTGGACGTACAACGTCGTTGACCCTAATGTTGCCACGAACGCGCCCACCGTTGCTGGAGTGGGCATCACCTTCACGATTCTGTCCTTTTCAATAGTTTGTCTTCGTCTGTATGTTCGGAAATATATTGTAAAAGCTATCAATATCGGTTTGTAATCCATATTCAATCCAGTTTGGCAAATAGCTGATTCTTTGTCATGCAGATGACTGGCTTATCGTTGTGACTTGGGTAAGCCAACAACAAACACGTTAGGTGTGGCTTCCTAACATACAACAGTTTTTCTCGTTCATCTTTGTTTGCATAACACTCGCTCGTGGGTTTAGCTTTACTAGGGCTTCACTTCATTGGACTAACATTGGACAGAAACACGATGGGGTCTTGGGCTGCGAAATGTGGAAGACATGCCACCTCAAGATGTTTATGAATTTGGTTATGTAAGACAAACTTTGCAAACATACATTGAGATCATCTTCGCTGACTATTACAAAGCTTCAGTATATCGGCGCACCTTTGTAAGTGGCCTAGAGGGCTTCGACGATCAGCCTTGCTGACCCATAAATAGCTACATATGCGCCATTTTGGGGTTCAAGCTCAGTATAATATTCGCTTTTCTTCGAATTGCTGTCGATCGTACATATCGCATTGGGATTATATGTATCTCGATCACTTGTTCGGCATTCTACTTTTGTTTCTTTGTGGCACAGCTCAATTTCTGCTTTCCAGTAAGTCTTCCACTTGTTGCTAGATGACTTTCGCTCACCAGATCAGGTCTCAAAATCTTGGGATCCGACAATTACAACAGGATCTTGTTTTTCAGCTGTGCTATTCTATACGGCAATGGGGTCTCTTACATTCATTTTCGACATCCTGACGTATGCCCCTCTGTTTCACTATCTTCACAAGAATTTCTCCTTCGCCACCTCTTCTCGTGTAACCTCGCCTCGCTTTTCAACCGAGCTGACGTCCAACAGTATGCTCACACCCATCCCCATCTTACTGCATTCTTGCTTCTCGCCGTGTAAAAACTTCATGATCGCCTTCCTCTACCTCCTCGGAATCTTCCTCTCCCTGATTCAAATCCTCCGCATCACCTCCCTACGATCTGCTCGCTCTTACCTCGACACCTCGACTGTTCTTACCTGGTCCCTCGTCGAAGTCAACCTCGGCATAATACTCTCGAGTCTGATCCCACTCGCTCCTCTCCCAGTTCTTCAGTCTTTCCTTGAAAAGGGCTCGCCACAATCACTAGCCCAGTCATTGGCTTCTTTCGATACGAGACGGACGATTGATAAAGTGAGAGATGGGTTCAAGAAGAGATTTGGGAGGGAAAGCGAGTTGAGGAATAGAGTGGTGTTGTTCTTGGGGTATGGGGAGCTGAGACCCGATTTGGAGAGAGAACAGAGACCTGGGAGTAGGCTGGGAGCTAGTACGGAAGAATTGAATTTTCCAATGGGGATCTTGAAGACGACTGAAGTTATCATTAGTCGGGAAGGAAGTTCCTGGGGTGAACTAAAGGAAGAGGATGTTTGAGTGTTATTTGAGAAAGTATGTAGGATATGATTATAATTGTATGATATCAAAAGTTCGACGGTCTCGATTTCGGTTTTGGGAAGGATCTCTTTGGATATTGGGAACGGTGTGGGAGTATTGGGTAGTCTTGTGCAGATTCAATTGATGGAAGTTTTTTGATTGTAGTCCCTGGTGCAAGTGTCCCTTGAATCTCAGCTAAAGGGAGCACTAGTCTTTTTTCCTTATGCTATGTTAAATCTGTTTTCGCCCAACTTTGTTGAAAGTTTGTCAAGATATTAAAGTCCGTTATAATGTATATTCAAGGCAACATCTCAATACCTTCGATCAACCTTAGCGTAACAATCAGTTTATCGTCTAGAGTGTTGAAAGGCTACAACGAGAATTTACCCGACGAAACCTGGATTTGCATAATCCTAGCAGCGCGCACAGCTTCTCTTTCCAATTTCGGTTGGTTGTAGTTTATGTCTCCACACTTGTGTCGATACTTGAGTATCTCCATGTTTCTGAGTAAGGCTGCGATGTACCTCCGTACCCCAAAGTTAATGGGCCATCTCTCACGGGTCAGCGATTACAAATGACCAAAAATCAATAGATGGTTGAAAGCAAGATATGCTCTGATTGGCTGTCGATGCGAGCAGTACAGTTTGATACGGTGAGTTCTTTCTGACTTGAATGATGCATCTGTGCTTTCTCGGCAGGCAAGAGAGGCACTCACAGAAGAGGCTGAGAAAATTATAAAGTGCTGCCCAAGGAGGCTGGCAATGCAATGGCAACGAGAAACAAATGATCGAAAATGACAACTACTGACTCTCAGACGTTCAAAATATACAACATCGGCCAACTTTATGTGTTTAAATCAGCCAATAGAAAGTATGAACTGTCACGTCCGGCAAATTTTGAATTCCTCGACAGGGGAAGGGACATTTTCTCGAGCACAAATGGCGCAGAAGAGGTAAACTGTCAAATGGTCCCTACATTCAAATCTCAATTATCCCCTGAACGCCATGGTTCTTCTTTCCCCTTTTCCTCGTCGCTAATGCTTCCAGCTTCGATAGTTATGGTCCTCTCATGTAAGATGATGTGTTTTGTACTGGAATTATCGTCACCAAGACGTTTCCACTTGCCGGCAGAGACAGTGGTCTTTCCTGTCGGAGACAAGCTATCCAACGGCGTAGACAAATGACTGCTGACATTGTTTCGACTTCCAGGGGTATACTGCTTGCTCCTGGGATTTGATCCGTTGCGACTGCCATCGAAAAATCCGGAAAACAGTTTGCGGAGTGCTGGAAGGCATGCGGCAACGAGACCGATGCCGCTCTCAAGCTGACACCAGAGAGTGATATAGCCGTTCCAGTCTAACATTCGTTAGTAAGGTTAGAGGTTTCAAGAAAGTTTAGAGAAAGCAGCCACTTACAAAGTCGGTTTGCCGTGACTAAGTAATACTGTAAGTAGGGCGCGCGGACAATGGTCGCTGTACTGGCGATAGCAGCGAGTCCTAAAATAACCATAACGGTTGTCTTGTTGCGTCGAGACATCTGCAACTTGCGTACTATCAGGAATGGAATGACAGCGCATGCCCAATCGGTGAAGATGCCCACAGCTGTCCAAGCATAGCCAATTTTTACCACTACCATAAAGTCACCACATTTACCAAGCAATGGATTCCAGTAAGCTTTGACTGGCTTGCAGTAGAGTAGTGATGCCAGGATGCCAATGATAGCCATGACTGTTGCAACGAATTGCATTGCGTAGAGTGACCAGCGATATTTCTTTTCTCTCGTTATGCGCAATAGTGTGAACACGACTGAAGCCTTAATGAGCGGCATCGAAACACCATAGATGACATTTGAATATAGCAGATACTCGGCGCATCGTACCTCGAGGAAAGTGTTCAAGCCGGTGTCTCGAGTCCCGAGCCCATAGTAAGCGGCCTTGATGGCAAAGACGCTAGAGCTAAGGAACGCAACCTATACAATAAAACACCAATCAGCACAGTGATCAGAAGATATGAGGAACCATCAGATTCGTTCAGAATAGTCAACGCTCTCTCCAACCAGAATGGTAATAGTGTTCTTCATGGCTTCTTTCGTACCGTAAAGAAATCAGACTTACATAGCCCAGCACTGCAAACGTATCTTCCCAGCCCCAAACTCTCGCTCTTCTCAACATCCAAGCCCTCACATATATTCTCAAGCCAACAACTATCGTGGCGATGATAGCAGTGATCCAGATAACGACTGTCAGCCTGAGAGCAAGACCTTCTGGTTTGATAGGTGGCTGAGCGTACGCGGCAGCAGAAAGCACGGCCCCCATCTCCGCCTGGGAGGGTTGAGAGGAATTTGTGCTCATATCAGCGAATGTATGGAAAGAGAGTGGTGTGTAAGTGAATGTGTCTTTGTCGTTTGAAGAAGCTCGAGAGGTTGCCAACGATTTCGTTACAGCACCTTCAACCATTTGACCAAAGTTGAATTGGAGCTAAAGTCACATTCGGAACCTAGTCATTCCGCTGGCTGGAGTTGCGTGGAGGAGATTGCGACCGACAGCAACATGTTTGAAGTTTAGCATAGTGAACATGGGATATTTTTCATTCCCCCTTTTCGTGTCGAGTGGAAGAGTAAATGTGAAGATCTACAATGGTCTGGGTACAATAAGGAAGGACGCGAAACAGCACATTTCGGGTTGCGTGGGTACAACAAATGCAGGTCGACATGACGGGTTATACAAGCGAATACACCCTGTAAACTTAAGGTGCCCATGCTCTGAAGATCTATGCTACTCGACACTCAGCCACATTTTTGGGGGTTCTCTTGAGCCGGGGAACTCCAGCGTCACATCGCCAAATTTAAGATCATTACAGGGACCTGCATAAAGCAAACCAGTCAACGCCGCTTTCGGAATGAGAGCGAGACTTTTTCAGTGCTCCTACCTCCTGCATCCTCCAAACTTTCAAGGGTGGTAGGGTTCCATTATTGGTCAAAGAGATCCACCAAGCAAGAAGAATGGTACTCTCATGTTCTTGGAGTGAAAATTCGGAATGCAACGTCACGAGGGCCCTGGGCATAAATGAGCCAACCAGAAAGCTTCAGATCATCCTAGAAGTTTTCGCGGTGGAACATCGTCTCGGAATCATACCTCCGTACTCTCCCCCCCCCTAATTACTTGTAATAGTGGGCCCCCTGGTCGTAGGGCTATTTTCTATGGGAGACCAGGGGGTCCACTATTACAAGTAATTAGGGGGGGAGAGTAACAAACAGTAAGACATTTTGAGTTGGACTGTTGATACCCTCTCCAACATGCTTGACTTACACTCGTTTCCAATTTCTAGATCAGCAGGGTCTAGAATGCGGCCAAATTCAAGAGGTTGGAAAGGGCCTAAAAGTAGTAATGGAGATCTTGCGTGTCTTCTCTTTTTGGAGAAGATAAGAGTGGAATGTTCTAATCAGGGATAACAGCGTAGCACTGGAAGACTGGGCGAACACATTGAAGAGCCTCCAGAATGTTGCTTATAATTTACCGAGTGAATAGGGCCTCTGAGAGTACACCATGCACGGAAGGCGGGGCTCTAACGATCAACGCCTTTTCGTTTTGTCCGTTCTTCTTCACATGTCTTCGCTTCAAACGATCTTCCCCAAGCCTTCAACCAAACAACTCTCCATGCACTCCAATCTGTAGACAGAAAGCATAGTCTCAGATACTCAACATGTTCAAGACGGCGGCACCGGCAAGAGTGCCGACTGACACTGTTATCCCTCTCCACTTCTTTGACGACACCCCCCTTTGGAGAGCTTTCATCCTCTATTCTATGTTCGTATTCGATGATGTTTTGGACTCTCAAAAGCTTCGGCACAGTCTTGAAGCATTGGCATTGAAAGATGGATGGCGCAAACTTGGCGCTCGCCTGCGAAGTAATGTATGGTGATTTCACGAAGGAACAAAAACCCTCTCACATGAGACATTGCTGATTTTGAAGGTGAGCAGGCTAAAGGACAGCTCGAATACCATGTTCCGGTCAAATTCTCTGCTGAACGCCAAGTATTGGCATATTCTCATGCTACACACAACATAAATGCCGCAGACCACCCTATTGCTGCACATTTACCGAAGCCTTCACCACGGCCAGCCACAGTCTGCGATCCCGATGAGTTTCGCAGCTTGTTCCAGCGCGACGGTGCTCCATCAAAGCTCGATGATTATCTCAAAGGTGATATCCCTCAGCTAGGCCTTCACATTGTATCTTTCAAGGATAAAACTCTGGTCTGCCTGTATTGGCCGCATACTCTGATGGACGCAATGGGAAAGAGCACTCTTCTCGAGGCTTGGTCTTTAATGCTTCAGGGACGAGCAGATGAGATTGTCACCCCTCAAGGCACTGATATCGACCCTCTAGCAGATCTAGGCAAGAATCCTACAGAGTCACACAAGCTGGTAAACCAGCGCTTATCGATGTTTGGTTTGGCACAATATGGTGTTTCCAATATCTTAGACTTCTTCCATAAGCAGGAGAACCGCATGGTCTGCGTCCCTGGATCTTTCATGGCGAAAATCCGTAAAGAAGCCATGGCTGAGCTCGAGATGGCTGCGAACTCTGACCAGGGCACATTCTTGAGCGAAGGGGACGTCCTTTGCGCTTGGTGGACTCGACTCGCAATTTCTCAACTACCACGAACTTCCAAAAGAACAGTCGTCCTCAACAATGCCTACTCTCTGCGTAAACCACTTTCAAAAGACTTGCTACCCAGCAACGGTGGCCCTTACATTTCGAATGCCATTGGATTCCTGAACGTTTTGCTGCCGGTAAATGAGATCTTCAGCAAGCCTCTCAGTTATGTTGCGCTTGCTATTCGGAATGCTATCAATCAGCTTGGTACACGGGCACAGGTCGAAGCATTTGCCTCTATGTGGCGCGAGTCAAGTAGTACGAAACTGCCGCCCTTCTTCGGTAATAGTGGAATGCACATGATCACTTTCTCGAATTGGAGCAAGGCGAGACTATTTGAGACGGATTTTTCTGCCGCTGTAATCACGCCTGGAAATGGATCTGGGAGGAAACCTGGAAGGCCATCGTATATACAGAACAATCAGTTTGGACTTGTGCTTCCGAACGGATTCCCCATCATCGGTAAAGATGCTGAAGGCAATTATTGGTTATCTGGATACATGAATAAAGGCCAATGGGCGAAAATTGAAGAGCAACTGGCTCAAGAGCGTTTGGTTTGATATTGTGGGACACTGGAAATGTCGACCAACGGAAGAGTGGAATAGCATGGGAATAGACTTTGGAACTAGATTAATTTGATGAGTGTGGATCTTTCCCATGTAGCTTCTTTGCATATTAGCAATTTCACGGCAGATGTCTTGAAACCTTGTTCTGACAAAAGAACTTTCAACATTCTGCTTTCAAAGACGCGGTTTAGAACCACATCTCGTCAGAAAACTTAATCCTTTAGGGGAACCAGTTAAGCCAAGACGACCAGAGCGGGGGAATCTTGTTTGGAATAGTCACAGCCAATTCTTATCTCTTCTTGCCTGGTTACTCCTTGGCCTGCCAATTCCCAGGTGTGGAAGTATTTTGCGGCGAATGTCTCAGTCCTCAAGGGTTGCTTCCTACTTGATGCTCATTTTGTCACCCGTTTCCGGAAGTTGGGCCTAACAATGTCTACATCACTTGGAAGTGGTGTTCTCGTACCTGAAGCTGCGAATCCTACCCGGATGTTAGGGCAAGATCTGCCTCGCAACCGGTGAGTTACGGGAATCAGGGACGTCAACCGAGTATCAACTTGCATCCTGCGGCTGGGGACCCCTACAAGCTGTTTTCTCTTGACCCTGACTGGGTTTCAATGGAACGGTTGGATCAATTGCATGCCCCTGCTGGAAAGTCCTTCCGAGCGAGTTCGCTCTGTACTGCTCGCCCAACGATGCACTTGTGACCATTGTTCTGGATGTGGAAATTACCAAGAGCAAGTGTCGGATATCGTCACTTACATTTCTAGTAATCCTGGAAAGATTGAACGGTCCCAAGGAGGATTTGTGCCGCACAGACTCGACGATCCCCAAACCAAGGATTCGGTACCATAGATACTGGGATGTTTGAGAACTGGTGACTGGCGATCAGAGTCACATTAACTCTCAATGGCATCATGAGGTCACCGTTCAATATATGTGAACCAACTGCCAAGCAGCTGATCGAATTCTTCAATATAAAAGGTACTTCCTGCATCGTCTCTGTCTGAACTCATACTTGTTCAAGACTATTAAACCTCTCTAACCGACTCCATAATGGCTTCCAGAATTTTCTTTCCAGACTTGGAGGCGAATTGGATGTGGCCTCGCCGTGTGAACCCCCACACGCCAGAAATCAAGCAGGAATGCCTGGAATGGGTTGGTCGATTTGGCGCTTTCACGCCAGCCGCGCAAAAGGCTTTCGATAAGTGTGATTTCAGTGAGTCTAGAAGCTACACTGGAGATTCTTTTCTCCTTTGGCGTCAAAGGAATCGATGCTGATTGGTGAAACAGATCTGTTGACAGGCTTGTCGTATCCGTGGGTGACAAAGGGTGAGTGATACTCTCTCCACCTCGTTGGTTGCGTGGGAGGAATCTCCCCAACGCGGCGTGATGGCTTCCCAAGATACCCAGAGACCAAAGTGTCGTCATTGGGTATTGTGGACTACATGCTCATTATTGAGAATGTTCTAAGCTAACCTTCTTGTAATGAGCTAGATCAATTAAGGAGTGCATGCGACTTGATGAACTTGTTCTTCATATTCGACGAGCACTCTGATAAATGCAACGGAGATGAAGTTTGGAACCAGGTAGACATCATTATGGATGCTTTTCACTTTCCAGAGAAACCTCGTCCGGAAGGTGAATGGATTGGTGGCGAAGTTGCACGACAGTGAGTTGACCCCTCTTTCTAGCTGAAATCAAGGACCTCCTAACCAGAACAATAGATTTTGGTCTCGCATCATCGGAATTTCCACTCCAACCTTCCAGAAAAGGTTCCTCGATACATGGGAGGAGTATCTGCAGGGAACCGCACAACAGGCAGAAGACCGCTGCAGGTCGAAGAAGGTAATCTGCGACATTGCCACTTACCTCACAGTCAGGAGACGTACCATTGGCGCAAGACCGTCTTTCAATATCATCGAGATAGACATGGATCTGCCAGATGAGGTCGTTGGCCATCCTACAATCAGAGAGCTGGAGCTGCTTGCTACTGATCTCACTATTATTGCCAATGTAAGTGGTTTTTGAAACCAACATTTTATTCCTATGCTTCAGATGACTTTACTAATGCTCACCTCCCTAGGACATCCTGTCGTACAATAAAGAGCAAGCTTCCGGTGACGATGAACATAACCTCATCACTATTGTTATGAAGGAACAGAATACCGATGTTCAAGGAGCAATCGACTGGACTGCGAAGCTACATGCTGAGATGATTCATCGTTTCAACAAGCTCTATCTCTTCGAGATTCCCAAATGGGGCGGTCCACTCGATTTGGATGTTCAGTCGTATGTGAATGGGATGGCTCAGTGGGTGGGCGCTTATGTCCAATGGAGTTATGAGAGTGAGAGGTACTTTGGGAAGCGGGGCCTTGAAGTTAAGAAGACGAGAATGCTGTCTTTGTTGCCAAAGAATTCGAAGGTGAATGGGCAAGGGGAGATTGGGCCTGTGGTACTTGATGATCTTTCACTGTAGCATCTATCAGGTATTTGAGGAGAATTGCAGACAGCTGTGGTCAGAGTTCTTGGTGATGAGCCATAGCTACTGGACTTAGAATAAGGAGTCAGTCCTGTTTTTGATAGATTTTAGAGCAATGTTACGCAAGTAAAGGTTCCTGCAAAGAGGATGCTGCTGGTCAGACGTCACATAACTATGGATAAACTTGAATAACAAATATAATAGACATTAATTATTTTCAGCTCAAAGTGCAACCGTGGCATTCATTACCACAACGCTCTCCAGAATCCTCAATATGCTCCGCTCAGGAAACTTGTCTTTTCCAGTCATCTCATTAGTATTCATCACCACCCTTCAAACACCAGGAAGCGAGAACCCAGATAAATTCGGCCAATTTCCAAGACTAGCAGGATCACCACCAATCCTCACATACTGCCCAACCGAAGGTGTAGGGCCATTAAGAACAAACATCATATACCACCCTGGCGGACAAACATGCGCATTCGGCGGAGCCGTAACAGTGCAACTCGTCCCCGTACACGTGACAGCTGGAAACAGCGTTCTCTGCCCCATGCTATTTCCATGCGTCGAACTCACGCTGCCTAGCAGACTTACTTTTATTCCGGAGACGGAACTAGTGAAGGTCACGGCGGAGCCGTATTTCCAGTCCTTGTTGGTTATTGTGAAGGTTGGGCGAGCGAGGCCGGAGAGGAGGTAAGGTGGTGTGAAAACTTCTACCCGATACTCTTCTGGGAAGGAACCGGCCGGGTTGGTGTAATCACCTGTAGGGTCGGAGCCAGAAATCATCACGCGGCCGTCAAGGAGAACGATCGCTTCGCTGTGGTAGAGGCGAGCTACGGTTGTATTGGCCATTACGGACATGCGTTGGTTGACGGGCTTCGTGGGGTCATAGATTATGGCATTGTAATTGGGAGAGCCTCCTAGACCGAATCCTGCTACGCCATCTGGAAAGAATCAGCATATTTGTTGAGAGACTTGGGAGTGGGGTTGGCCTCACGTTGACCACCATTTGCAATGAGATAAGTGCCGTCTGGGAGACCAGCCATACAAGGCATAACTCTTCGTGAGGGCTATACACATGTTATTGTCATATCCTTCAAGAATCAATAGATTAGAACTCACCATTCTCTCAATAGTCCAAGCAGGATTCGCAGCCTCCGGCGTTGTCGACACACAATTATCAATCGAATACCCGCCATTCTGAGTCGAGCCCCCACAAGCCATGATACTCAACGGATCGGTGAAAGGCGCATATTGCGGTAACGCAATCATAGAACCTTGCAACTGGTATGTCCTTCCTCCAGTAGGATCATTGACAGCTCCGGGCATATTCGGCAGAGTCTTAATCGTAGCAAAGGTCTTCTCATCCAGAATTCTAGCTTCGTTGTAGTACAGGATGAAGATCCCAGTGGGCACAACCATGATAAAGGGGTATAGATTGAAAGGAGCAGTGCGTTGGAGGAAATCGAGGTTCACGGTACCACCACCTGTTCTGGGGAGGATTTCAAGATTAGGTTGCTCTGCTGCATTCTGTCCGACTTCACCACCGACGACCAGAATAGAACCGTTGGCCATGATCATAGCCGAGGGGTACCATCTTGGGACCAAGAGCTGCAAGTTGTTGGGGTCTTCGGTCCATTGGTTTTGTCCTTTCACACCAGCTGAGCCATCTGGCCAGTACAGTCTGATTCCGTAGTTGCTCTCTCCAGACCACCCACCGACAGTGATTTGTCGACCGGCCTTATCAGGAAGTGTAAGTCCAGCGGCACAGAAAACATCGGTTTTCAATCCTGCCATGGTTCTCCAAGCATTATTGAAGTTAGAGATCTGAGTCAAATCGAGCTCATAAGCGCCAGTCCCATTGGGTTCTCCTGTGCCTGACTTCTCGACGAAGGTCACCTTGCCGGTGATGGCTTGAGAAGTAATGAGGGGCACGACAACGCCACCGATGAGGAGGGAATATGTTCCCGCGGAATTGCCAGTGGGGAAACTCCATTTCACCGGAGATGTCGTGTAGGTGTACCACGTGAGACGATTGCCTGAACCGCAATAGTAGTTACTGTTGCCCGTACAGGCGGCGTTACATTGCGAGTCATCGTATGAAGCTGGCTTTGCGCTGTAAGTATACTGTTGCGGCTTGCTGGGGTCTGTCGAAGTGCCAGGAGCAGACGCTACATTGATGTTTTGGACATCTCCACAGACTAGGCGATGTCAGTGTCAAATCGGGCTCAAGTCATGTGAGATACTAACAGCATTGAGAAGCATATTCTAGTCCTGCAGCATTAAAACCAAACTGTTGACAGCGTTGAATGCAAGACACTGCTTCATTGGTCTGCGTATCCCAAACTTTGTAGGGGAAGACAGGAATTTGCACATTCGCGTCCTCCTTCGAAACAATGTTGTCCCTGGTACAACATGATTAGTTCCATGTAGGAAACAAAAGTCACGAGGGACACTCACTGCAAGCAACCAGAATATACCCAACCAGCCGGTAAGCCCGTTTTCTGAGGACCAGGCCCCGCTGGTTGGGCAGTGGTAGTTGTTGTTGCAACTTTGGTCGAGGTCGTTGACCCAGGCTTACTCGTTGTTGTACCTGGCTTGCTCGTTGTACCTGAAGCAGCGCCCAATTTGTAAACGGACAGCCGATTCCCGGCACCGCATCTCTCGGCCGAATTACCTGCGCAAGCGAAACTGCAATCCGACGAGGGAGCAGCTGTTGAGCCGGCGGCAAAGCTATTTCCACAATAGCCTGTTGGTTTTTATTAGCATGAATTTGAAGAGACGGACAGAGTTTTCGAACATTCTCGTCCGTACTCTACGCCGAAGTAGGTATAGCCAGCACAGTCGGAGGCACACGATTCTACTGTCATTGTATCATATGCCGTGGATTTCGAGCCAAGAGCTCTGGCATTGGTAGCTTCTGTTTGACAGCCATAGAATGTCCAGGACCCTGTTGAGACCGGGGTTTGTCTGCGTTCAATGATCCCGGCGTATGACGTTGTGAACTGTCAAATTGTGAGTGAAAAGATAAAATAAAACCTCTCAAATATGAGCACTCACCCATGATGCAACCGCCAATGCTTTGAGCGCAGCCTCGAGCTTTAGACCCATGGCTATAATCTTGCAAACGAGAGTTAAAGGTTATGAGAGGGCAAAATAAAATCAGGAGTATTTGAAACGACAGAGGAATGGATAACGACTGTTTGTTCTTGAAGAATATTATGAGTTTGAGAAAAAGAAGGGAGGGATCAAAAAGTATCGCCCAGGAACAGCTTATTCAGGGTCCTCAATGTCATCCCATCTCACTCGAGGGTCGGCTACCGTCAGGGAGGGTCAATATGCATGCCAAGAGCTTACCGCCAACCTTCCTCGTATTCACTTAGAAATCCTCGGTTAGCAGATAAATGACTCGAGTGATATATTCCGAAGGGCGAGGCTGGGAAAAGAATGGGTGCTCATGTAGCCTTGAGTTATGTCGATAGAATAAGCTATGACTTGGAGTGAGGTTTTAGTGCATTCCATACTGAAGGAGAGATAGAGTTTTGCCGATATATTGCAGCTGATTCGTCCCACGCTGTCAGCCTCAACATGGTCACGAGCAGATCTGCATTAGTGCATCTTGGCTTTCGTACCGCAACGGGAGCCAGACGTCAAAACTAGAGTTTAAGTAAGTTAAGGATTGAGTTTGAGCCGATCTTTGCTCGATATGCACATGTCAAATTGAGATCTCCCCGCACTTCACACGATGAGGCGCATCTGCCGCTTCAGTTTGCGGCTTGCGCTCTGATGATGATTTGTCTGTCGGTGTGAGATTTCGGAGAAGCCTTGATCCGCAGACTGGATTGGTTGCTTGAACACACCTGGAATGCTCTCTTGCATTAGTCAGTGCATATATCGAATCCTTGGCCTACTCAAATCAAGCTTAACTTCACGACGAGACACCCTCAAACCATTCCTCGTGATAACTTCGCAAGTCGATATCTCTTGGCAACTTCAGATACGGTGTCAGATCCCCTTCCCCATCTTTTTCTTTTTGCGTCCACCCGTTTCCAAGCCACGCGAAACGGTTCCCGCTCTCGTTCTTGTACGTCCATTCCCAGTCTTCCCATCGTGGATCTCTTCTTACGAGATTCGCATGAGTCGCACTTCCTGGCCAATGACCGTGGATTCTCCCGCCGGGTTTTCCACCATTTGCCCAACTGCTACAGTTCTCGCTGAAGACGGTGCGAGGGAAAAAGGAGTCGCAGTAAGCTATGAAATCATCTGTGGCTGCTTGCGACGGCACGAAGGATTTAATTCCTTGTGACGCCACCTTGCGGAGCAGTTTCGACATGTATGTAACTTGCGTTTCCATCTGATTAGGGACCGTCCCGCCTGGACCCACGCTGTTGGGTCCTTGAAGAATCAATAGATTGGGGAAGTCAGGCGAGGCGAGACCGAGATATGTGATCGGGGAGGGTGTCCATGCGTCACGTAGGTCCTTTCCGTTTGCTATGATGGGAAATGGTGGGCGCATATCGATATTGGCACCTGTCGCACAGATCACTGCATCGACTTTTCGCTCAATTCCATCTGTCGTCACGATTCCAAATTCAGTGAAGTGGCTGATGGGCGTTGTGATAAAGTGGACGTTGTCTTCCGTCAATGCTTCGAGGTAACCAGGACCTGGGGTTAGGCGTCGACAATTAGGAGAAAAATCTGGGATGATCGAGTCAAGTAGTTCTGGCTTCTTGACTAGTCGTGAGCTCATCAACTCCTTGAATTCTTCCCTCAAAGAATCAATTTTTCCCGTGCCTTTGAAGACATTCCCAAAGTTCTGGTAGAGTTTCCCCTCGAGTTCTTTTCGGAAGCGAAGATATGTTTCGGGGTCTTCGAATGATTTCAACTGCTCCTCTGGGTAATAGTTGGGCTCGAGCCTTCTGCCTGGACCCTCGCCACCAAAGCTGCCTGCGATCCAAGCTTTGCTCCTAGCGTAGTGGTCTAGCTGTTTGACTACTTTTTGGATGTTTGGCACAACTTGTAGGCCGCTTGCCCCATTTCCGATGACTGCCACCACTTTGTCTTTCGGATCAAGGCTCTTGTCCCATGCTGAAGAATGGCGAAGATGTCCTTTGTATTCAGAGATTCCTGGATAGTCAGGGAGCTTCCAAGCATTGAATCGTCCGATAGCACTGATGATGACATCGAAAGATTCGTTGCGCGACTCTTCCGATTCCAAATTCTTGATGTCCAGCAGCCATTGCGCCTTTGACTCGTCCCATGATGCTTTGAGAACATTTTGCCCGAACCTCAGGTATTTGTACACGTTGTATTTTCGCGCGACCTTCTTCCAGTACTCGAGGATCTCTGCACCCTGTGCATATTCTTCAGTCCATTGTGTGTTAGGTTCGAATGTTGATTGATAGACGTTCGCAGGTATGTCACATCTCACTCCAGGATAGACGTTCTCGAACCAAGTTCCGCCCACTTCGGTATTCTTTTCGAAGATCTGCAGGTCGATTCCTGGGACTTTGATCGGTAACAGAACCCCAGCCGTAACTCCTGCAATGCCTGCTCCGATCACTGCGACCTGTAGAAGTCAGTGATGCGCGGGTGAGAACGTGAAAGCAGCAGCTTACCCGAATACGTTTCTTCGAATCAATTGGATGGTCTTCAAACTGGAAGAGAGCTCTGGGTACTTCTGGAGCTGAAGTAGGGAGTGTTTTTTGCGATAAGTGAACAGAATCCGAAGCGCCCTGCTTTCCATCTACCCGTACATCGGAGGCTGTTGCGTCCAAGTCCTCCAGAGACGGCGCCATATCTCTATTTTTTGGCAAATCTTAGGCAGTGGAATGCAGTGATGCAAAATAAGAAGAAGGAGAAATATTCTCTGTATGCTTGCAGGAGCTGTCGATAAAGGCTTGATAGCGACGAAATGTCTTGCACGAACCCTACTTCACTTCGTACTCCGACGCAAATATACCGTGAATGTGGACAGAGCCTCGAGGACGTACACCCAATGAAAAAAGTACTTAGCTATCACAATACGAACAGACAGTGGGATGATTCAAGACACGAGAAACGTGCTTGAAAGTTGTCTGTGGACCATATCTCCCAACGAACCACTCAGGCAAGCTCTTCAACGTTGACAGCAATGATGGCATCGGAACTCTCAATTGCGAATCTGGACTTCAGATCTTCGCACTGCATGATACCATACGACTACACTTGTCCGTCGCAGCATCACCCCCATTCTTGAAGATGGATAGTGGAGGAGTTTGCAGTGAAGGTCGATTTAAGCTCCGTCGCTAGCCTGAAGCGGCCCCTCAGTGGTGCTTTTTGCGAATTTGCTGGGGTAGCAAACGCCATCAACGTTCAATCACCGTCCGACAACCTTCAATTACATGTGAACAGCACTGCAGCAGTATACGGAGGTACATCCATCATGCATATCATCGAGGTTGGCTGCGGAGCGCGGCGCATCGTGCAGATACTGGGCCAGGTAAGTTGATTTCTTTGTGTTCGAATTGCTTCACTGGCAAAATAGCTTCAAGACTCTCCTCGACGACCTCACGAATAGCTATCATGGCTCCCGAAAAGAAACAATTCATCCTCAATGCGTTTGTTATGCAAGCACCAGGACATCTGAATCCAGGTCTTTTCAAATACCCGAACGATAAAGGTCGAAGCTATAACGATGTGAAGCATTGGATGTCTCTGGCACAGAAGCTGGAGAAGGCGAAATTTCATGCCATGTTCTTCGCAGATGTTTTAGGAGGCTACGACGTCTATAACGGACCTGCGAACCTCGATGCTACGATTCCGGCAGCATCTCAGTTCCCAATCAACGATCCTCTTTACAGCGTTCCGGCAATGGCTGCCGTGACAGAGAGCATTGGATTTGGTGTCACGGCTTCGACCACCTACGAATCTCCATACGCAATGGCGAGGAAGTTTTCGACGGTCGATCATCTGAGCAATGGTCGAGTGGCATGGAACATCGTCACCTCCTACCTCGATTCGGCGGCACGAAATTTTGGGCTCGATACTCAGATCGAGCACGACAAACGATACGAAATCGCCCACGAATATCTAGACGTCACATACAAATTATGGGAAGGTTCTTGGAGAGACGATGCGGTCACCAACGCGCCGAAGGATTCATACGCAGATTCGAGAGGAGTGAGGCAGATCAATCACAAGGGAGAACATTTCAATGTGCCTGGACCACATATCTGCGAGCCTTCGAGACAGAGAACTCCATTTCTGTTCCAAGCTGGAACATCGAGTGCTGGGAGGAAGTTTGCTGCTACCCATGCTGAAGCTATCTTCTTGAATGGTCATACAGCAGAATTGGTCAGACCATCAGTCGACTCAATACGCGCACAAGCAAAGGAGTTTGGACGAGATCCTCAAAGCATAAAGATCGTTGCTGGCCTGCTGGTAGTCGTTGGTGAAACAGACGAGAAGGCAAAAGAGAAGTATGAGCTTCTGGCTAGCTATGGTGATCGAGAAGGTGCTTTGGCATTGTTTGGTGGCTGGTCGGGATATGACCTCGGGAGATATGGAGATGATGAGGATTTCCGCTTTCTGGATACTGCTCCGCCTGCTGTTAGAAGCATGGTCAACCATTGGGCATCTTCATCGCCTCAAGGAACCAAGTGGAACAAGAAGACCATTGCAGAACATCTCATCATTGGGGGCAATGGCGCAAAGATCATTGGCAGTGCAAAAACGTGTGCTGATGAATTGGAAAGATGGATGGAAGTTGCAGACGTCGATGGGTTTAATCTCAGCTACGCGAGTATACCCGAGACATTTGATGATATCATAGAATTCTTGATTCCGGAGTTGAGACGGAGAGGCCTCTTTCATGAGGACTACGCTGTTCCTGGTGGGACACTCAGAGAGAATTATCTTGGTGCCAAAGGAAGGTCGAGGCTAGATGAAACACATCCTGGAGCTAAGTACTTCTGGAAGGCTGGCGAAGATGTACCTGCATATGCACGAGTGGAAGCCAAAGTCAATGGCTCTGACGGTGCCAATGGCCATGATACCAACGGCAAGTCCAAGAAGAGACGGCTTGAGTAGTGTTGCTAGCCTCGACAGAGGAGGTAAAAAGTACCCAAAAGAGTTCATTTGCTTGATTTTGGATGATTGACAGGCTGTATCTCAGACTTCTTGAGCTTAAGCCATGACCCTCTAATGCTCGAATCTCCCAATGTCGATCCACGTGATCCACAATCTGTGCTTCTCAACTGTTCTGGCCTTTCTGATCGCCCTCCTATCCACTATTGATAGTCTTCTGTACTCAATGCTCGTCAATTTATCACGTGGGAAATGTCCCCTTCCGAAGCCGTTGATAAATTGACAAGCTCTAAGTGGGTCCGCTGCAGGTCGTGATTACAAGGGGATTTGAGCGTGCTCGCACGCCATCAACTAGTCACAACAACTCGATATGGATCGCACGCTTTATACTTTCTTGAACAGCAAAAGATTGATAGGCGGAACCAATGAATAAACTTAGGGTGCCAAAGGGTTTTGTACATAAGTCTCCACCATTTCCTGTGTAACGATGTTCCAGATCTTGTCTCTTTTATTCTTCTTCTCTCGCATCAACCTACAAGTTCACTGAATCAGACTTGAGCAATTAAGCAGCAATGGCTGAACCAGAGCAAAAGTCAGCTGCCATAGATACATCTCAATCTTCAGACAATGAAGCCCAGCCCACCGCTCACCAACCAATCCTCAAACGTAAGCCTCCCTATTCCTCTCTTGAATATCCACTAAACACAGCACCCAGCAAAATGGCACCGCAGCACCTTCTACAACGCCCTCATCCTCGGCCTCTGCAACTTCCTCGCTCCCGGAATCTGGGGAGCTATGAACAGCCTCGGAGCTGGCGGCGAAGAAAAACCCTACCTCGTCAACGGCGCCAACGCACTAACCTTCTGCCTCATGGTCGTCTCCTGCTACTTCTCACCCATCCTCGTGAAACGAATTGGCATCAAATACGCCCTCATTTTCGGCACCATGGGATACGCTCCCTACGCCGCTGGTCTGTACACCAATAACCGCTTCGGCACGGAGTGGTTTGTCCTCTTTGGTGCGGCGCTTTGCGGGATTAGCGCAGGTGTCTTTTGGATGGCGGAAGCTGCTATTGCTCTCTCGTACCCGGAACCGCAGAATCAGGGCAGGTTCTTGGGGTTTTGGCTAAGTTTCAGGGTTGGAGGACAGGTGTTGGGTGGTGCTATTAATTTGGGACTGAATGCCAGAAACAATAACGCGGGGAAAGTTAGCTATGATGTGTATCTGGCTTTCATTGCACTGCAGGCCTTGGGACCGTTTGTGGGTTTACTGCTCAATAAGCCGGAGAAGGTGCAGAGGACGGATGGAGTTCCTGTCAAACTCGCTATTACGGGGAGTGCGGGCGCAGAACTTAAGGCGAATCTGAAGTTGTTCTTTAGTAAGAATTTCTTGCTTATTGTGCCGTTGATTGCCCAGGGAGTTTATACAGAGGCAGTCATGTTTACGTTTGAGAGTTTGTGGTTTTCTGTTAGAGCGAGGGCGTTGGGGAGCTTTTTGAGTGGGATTGTGGCTATTATTGTAGGGAATCTTTTGGGGGCTTGGTTGGATGGGAAGAGGGTTTCGTTGAAGACAAGAGCGAGGGGGGCATTTTTTGTGATTTTGGGATTGCAGGTGAGTCGTTTCCTAGGAGGGCGGAAGAAGAGATAATGACTCAAGTTTTCGTCAGGGCATCTGGTGGATTTGGGCCACTGTCTTGGTCACTGATTTCAGAAAGACGAAGCCGACTTATGATTGGGTGGATGCTGGATTCGGCAAAGGCTTCGCACTATTCTTGCTCTGGGTCGCAGGTTTTCAATTAAACTATATGTATTTGTAAGTTGTCTCGCTCTGCCTCGCCTTCCACTCGCTAAGCCAGATAGATATTTCGTCGTTGGAGAACTCGCAAGAACTGATGCGGAGGTGATTCGAATTGCGGGGTTACTGCGCGGTACGGAATCTGCCGTTCAGGCTGTCAGTGTAAGTCAATTTTCTGATATTTTCACGATTGAAGCTGATCCTGATGACGTGAAGTACGGCCTCAACAGCATTCCGATCATTGCGGATGTTGGTGGAGTATATCTTAATTTCGGGTTGTGGGCTTTGGCACTGCTACCAGGGTGGCTTGTGGTCAAAGAGATTGGCGTTACGTTGGGAGATAGGAAATTGGAAAGAGAGAGCCTGGCTGGGAGGGCAGAGGCGAGGAGGGATGATGACAAAAATTGATTTTGGCTCTGGTCAACGTACGGTGGACGGTCGTAGAGGCCCGTCTGAGACCATTGATAGAAGGTGTAGGTTTAATCTGATGGTCTTGAAACATGCAGAAAGGAGACGATAAAGCAAAATTTAGAGTTATGTGCCCTTGTCAATTTGTCAGAGTAAGAGCTGAGGCCACGACACACGGCCCACTTAAGCGAGACGCGGTACGCGTCCTCTTTTCAGCACCTCCTTTTTAAAACTTTAATAACTCAACAACTACTTATTCAATTCTTCTGCAATTTAACATGGAAATACCTGTAATACTCAGCTCACTCTTCGAGAAAGATAAGGGAGAATGGCCTACCCTTGCGCGCGCAATTATCCGCAGCTTACAACGATAAGGAAAATCTCAGCGCGAGATCGTCCAAGAGACACAGGTGCCTAGGAGGACTGTACGTCGCATTCTTAAACAAGAACATAGCCGCAAAGAGCGTAAAAAGAAGCACCCGAAACCTCATTTAATGTCTATAAGAACGATATGCCAATGCATTCGCACTATCTCAAAAGATTAGTCCTTTCGCAGGATGAACTTTTCGAGCCTTAAAACCTTACTACGGCTCGCTCCTTTTGTTCGAACTATACGCTGAGAACTAGCCCGCGTAGGCTACCGTTGCTGCATTGCATGCCCTTGACCCTATATATTAAGAGTATAAGCTAAGAAAAGGTTGCGCTTTGCGCGGGATTATAGGTGGTGGGGCATATTAGACTATGTAGCTTATAAGGATGATGGCAGGCAAGGAGAGCACATTGATCAAGGTTAGTCTGCTATTCCTTGCGTGAGAGTGAAGGCGGCAGTCTGACTTGACTATCAAAAATCAAGATAAAATTTGTTTCTTAGCTCCACCAAACGGAACAGTATTGTCTTTGTCGAAGTATGTCGCCAACCTTTAAATTCAACAGGTCCTTCCAAAAATTCGATGCAAAAGCAGTATGGGATAAAACTAGAAGTATCGATCTCTGCCACGAACACTCCCTCACATCCTACCTCGCCGTGGAATAACGCTCCCCTTTGAGTATCTCCTAAGACATATATATTAGCACCCGTCTTGTACAGCATAGTTGTACAAACTTAAGCCTATTTAGGTTATCAAACAAGGATATAATAGAGCTTGGCTCGAGCGATCTATCTTTCCGATCTAGATACTTCGTCACCTTTCTTGGATTAAACTAATGGCTATAACTAATGGCTATAGTCTGTCTAGTATGTACCCTTCGCTCTAAAGCCTTCGTGATCAGTAAAGGATGTTGAATGTGAAACCCGGTATAGTTTCAGTAGTGTAAACCTCTTGATTATTATTCGTAGAAGGCAGCGATACGAAGTTTTAGTAGAGGAGCTGAAGAAGGATTAGAAGGACGTATGCATAGGCAATCCCGAATAAGTGGTGGTGTGCCGAGCTGAATGCATGGTCTTGTGACGACCTTCCTTGTCCAATCCTCGTCCCAAGAAGCAAAAGGCTCAAAATCCAAGCAAATCGCTCCTGCAAATGACGGTCACAATCTCACTGCTGCATTGAGCCCAAAGGTTGGTGCTAAATGCTAAACGAATGCTTAGAAAAGATCTCTGGGATTAACTGTTCCAGCGCCTTGACCATAAGCAGTCCATGCCATCATACAGTCGGTTATTCCTTCATTTTGCCAAGTATCAACAAAAGCTCAGGAATTTATATCGGGCTCAGTAGCCGTTGAGGCCCGCGGCACATCGACAAGTTGCGCAAGTAAATCTAGACCTCGAGACTAACTTGGGGATAGAGATACAACGCTAGGTGTATTTTGGGGAAAATAGTTGATAATCGAATCCAAGTCAGAGAATGCTACATCACTTGGACCTGATCGCTGCAAGGCACTACCTTGGGGGTTCAGGAATACTCCCTCGTAAGCAGACGGCTGTTGTGCACGCCAATCAATGTCCTGACAATAATAGTCTTGGGGGTTGAGAAATCCTCCACTATGATCTAGCTGCAGTTGTGCAGACTAATGAAAAGAAGAGAAATCTTCCATATAACTGCTGAACTCCTGGTCAAGCGCTTGGTAACGATTGGATTAAAATGCCGATAGCTATGCGAACTCGTTGCAGTTTGTAGTAGGATTAGATAGATTTCCGTCCTCAGTATCAACGCTGAGGGATCGCGACTAAAAGCCTCCAGAAATACATTCTAAACGGGTAATTTAGACTAACTCTATAGTGTCTTGGGGCATAGAATGACTATTCATTAGCGTGCTCCTGAGGTCGCCGAGATGAGTCGCGATAATCATTAAACTGAAATAGCTCCTCGAAGGGATGATCTAACAATTCGTGATACGAGATTGTCTCGATCACTAGCCGTTTTGATAAGAGCTCAGATGCAACTATACCTAGAAAGGGAAGGATAGATTACTAATCTACTCTTTCAACCCTGGATAACATAAGTCGATATAGTCAACGACATCTTAATCCTGACCCTTTCGGAATGAAAGTGCACAAAGACTAATCATTAGCGAACCAAAGTAACGAATTATATCCGTACCAAAGAAGCCAAAACCTACCTCGTTTCTGTCACCTCCTCAGGTAGTACGAATAGGATGGTGAGACCGTAGTGCTCAAACATTCTCCATAGTGGCTTCCCTAACCGTATCCAATACTCGAATGTATCCTCTCCTTTGTCACGCACCTCTTCATCTCTTACTTTTTGACCTTTTTGACGCCTCACCTTCTTGCCTTTCTTCCCCTTCCTGTTTTTCTTCCCCTCACTAGCCTTCTTCCTCTTATACTTGATCGTGTGGGGGAAGAGGAGGTCAGTAAATATCTCCTTAACAGATGGTCGTTGTCTTTTTTTTAGGCGCGGCTTATGATCGCACACTTAATTCTTCAGAGCTAGGTCTGCCAGCAAGCTTTGAGCAAATGGCAGCACACGTGACCTGAACTACAAGTCAAAAATGTAGGGGGCAGGACATGGAAGAGAAATGTCTAAGTAAATATTATAAATTGTAAACTAATATTTGAACAAAGCTTAAAACGCGTCTCTTTGCAGGCAAAGAAAAATTGGATACCTGAGAAATTCAAACGCAATGTGCTTTGTGTGAGGGGATTTGGCTACAACGACAGAGGTTTGTGTTAGATCCTCTGTACGTCAAAATGCACAGTGCCGGCGGAGAATCATTTCTAAGAACGGATCGAATAGGCTAGATGAGGCATTATTGCTGAGTGGCTAGTCTGCCTGGCCGTCAACTCTGATGCGCACATGATTTAACCGAGCTAGAAAGGGGCTGTGCCAACGATCGCGTAGCTCCCGAACAGCCACTGCCAAGGATCTAGCCACTCATATACCTTCGACTTCCTCCGAAATAATGGGCTTTGATGAGGACAAATCGTTAAAACTTTCGCGACTTTTTAATATGACGACAATCACACCCCCAACCACGAGCTACAAGCCCCTCAGCGAGTTGACACTCTCCTTACCAAATACGCTCTCATTCAAAGCGTTCACTTCTCACGGCCGCGATGTAGCCTTCCACTCTTACGCGAATGAGCCCCCTTTGTTCACCATTGAAGTCCCTGACAGCTATCCTTCACCCGTCAGACTCCTCCTCCGCTCACCAGAGAAGGCCACCCTTGCGAATTGCGAACCAGCTCATACGCCAGGGTCTAGACCAGAGCGATGGGAACTCGTCATACCCTCGGAGACTTATCAACATATGGGAACAGAAGGAAAGGGGAAAGTTACGGGAGAGATTCAACAACTGAATGCTGAGTCTCGGACTGTGATGGAGAAGATCGGAAAAGACACATACCAAGTCGCAGCTCTATGGCTTACGCAATCCCATTATCAAACTTCAGCACCAAAAATGCCATTGCAAACGACCTATAGGTGGCAAAAACAGGAACAACAATCCGCGGCGTCGACAACTTTCTCAAATCCTGATTGGAAGCTCACTAATCCGACGACTGGAGAAGTACATGCTGTATTCTTCGAGCGTTGGAGTGCAACGGAGAGAGGACAGATGCAATTCAGAAGAAGCTTTGGGCGCGAGTGGGAGTTGACTGTCGTGCTCAGTGTTGGTATGATAGTTGAAGAAGGGAGGAGGAGGAAGCGAACGAGGGGTAATTTCGCGATGGGGTTTGCCAAGGGACATGGTGGTGCTAGTTTTTGAATTGACGACCATCATCCGTCTACTTTCACATGTTGCGTTGTGATCTGCATGCTATGTATTATTACCAAATCAAGCATCAACCTTCATGTTTCTTGATTGACTTGAACGAGATTCTAAAAGGATTAAAACTGGTAGGTACATAGCACCTGAAGTGATAGCCTTAGCACAAGACTTGTCAAGGCTTAATGCCATGAACCCGCAAGACGTCGTGAGCTTTTAGAGCAATCGAGCAGTATATGAACAGAATCTAATGCAGCTGCTACATGTAGAGAACGTCACGATTAACGGTCATAAAGTAAATAGAGTACTAGTTGCTGATATCAGAGAATTCTGGGACCGGACATTCCTGGGGAAGAAGAATATGTCCTTGTTGGAGCATTAGCTTAGGTAGTATTGACGGGTGCAGTTGGATCATTCGGATCATAGTGTGCCTGGATATGGGTGTGGGCAATATTCATAGTACAATTCAAGCATTTGGATCATAGTGTCTGGAACTGGATACCTCACATAGGAGCTGTTGTGAGAGCTTAAACTGAGAACAAGATAAATCCACGCTTCAAGTTGCTCCCCTTGGTCCTACCCCTGTGCTGAGTCTGTTTTGGGATTGTGTACCATTGTTCTTTCCTGCCAGCACATCTCGACTGTTCAGCGATGGCCTCGACGGCATTATAAGTCTATAAGGCACTCGAAAATTCCAACCAACCACGCGGATCGCATTAAGAATTCACCAATCTTGGCCCGTAGACCATAGATCTGCTCCTCTTGCAATCCTGTCATCCACAACTTCACTTTTCATTGACATACCGTCTCTATGCCACAGCAATTGCTCCTCGTCGCCACGATCCAATTCCGCTACCCGACGATCCAATACCAGCGCGTCTAGTTGTACCCTCCAACAAACACCTTCTCCAGCGCCGCGAGACTTCTAGGGCTTTGATCCACCAACGTGTCCACTTGTACCATTCAGCAAACAAAGGATACGAAAATGTCTTCCAAGTCTGATCTCATTGCAAAACCTGCGCAAGCCGCTGCCACCTCCGCTTCTTCCTCAACCACCTCCGCAGCTCGTCCGTTCTGCCTCGTCATCCCAATTGGTGTTGGCAATTGGCCTGATCCGTCAGAAATTACCGAGGTCAACGACAACTCAAAGGCCCTGTATAAGAATCATTTCGCTTGTAAGTTTCCCTGAAAATCCAAGCCCTGGATACAACTACTAATCGAAAGAACGCAGGGCTTTGTGCCGTCTGGAGAATCAATCAGCTGGTACCAGGCTGGGACACTACCGGTAAACTGACCCAGCCACGTGCTGAAGCCATCTTTCATACATACAATGCGGAGATCTTGAGGGATGGAACGGGCGCAAGAAGACGTCAGAGAGGCTTGAAGGACGCGCGGGGTTTGTCAACCCAGATTTGTCGTGCTAGACAGCAGATGCTTGATGTAATTGATGAGCATGTCCGGCAAACCATCGAAAATGAGGAGGCGGATTTGAGGCTGGTTGACTTTTTCTTTGGTTAAGAAGAAAGGGTCAGCGAGCAGACTGCATTCTCTCTTGAGAGGATAGGGACGGCGGGCGATAATAATGGAATGGTGGTTCTGGACGACAAGTTTCCCTTGATGCTGAATATGACCAGTCTAATAAAGAACCTGTGCTGTGCCAGAACTCATGGCTAGTAGCATTAGGAATGTTGTCCGCGATGCATTACTGAAATAACTGTCTAAATTAGAGGTGACATTTACGAGTGCAATACGGCTTATCTCTTTCTTTCTCCAGATTTATCACATGCCTTCCCGATCTCAGTACTCTGTGCTGAGGAAGTATGAAAGTATCAAGCCAGAAGGAGTTGCTTGTCTTCAAATCGTACACGGAGTGCATAAAGTTCGCATTAATGAGCGAATCAACGCACCTCTCGCTACACATACTCAACCATCTCCATTTCTTACCTCGCTTTCGCATATAAAAACGGAGATCTCCTTGATCGAGTATAGCAGCCCGCAATTAGAGTTCGAAATCTCGCACTAAACTCGAATTGAGACATTTAGTTCGCGCCACCCTGATACTGAGCCGCAATCCGTGCCCCTGCTGGTCCTTAATCTTGCTGCGCTCATTGGGGGCGTTTCCGTTCCTATATATTGTCATCTCTTCCCCATGTTATGTTGATCTTCTTTGGTTTCGCATCTGTCACTCTTTTGATCCAAATTTTTTTATTGAACCTTATAATATGGCAAACGCGTCTTCGTGCTGGTTTCCAGATGGGCAAACGAATGGAGCTTCCGGCTCGCCTGAATTCGTACCCTGCAATCCGTCTGCCGCTCAGAGTGCTTGCTGCGCCGTGGGAGAAACTTGTGTTGGGAATAATCTCTGCTTGAGTGGTAATGGATTGATGTATCGTGGGGGATGTACGGATAAGACGTTCAGCAATGGCGCATGTCCTTCGTTATGTACAGATGATACTGGAAGGAATGCTGGTAAGTTCATTCTTGGGGAGGGGCGAATAGATGGAAGCTGACGAGAAATTTCAGGACCTCAGGATAGCTGGATATTCATGAAACCTTGTGATGCATCGACGGGAAAGTTACAATGGGTGTGCGATTTGGCAGCGGATTGTACGAACTCGAGTCTGCGGTTCGATTTAATTGTTGGTGGGCCGCAGGAGGTCAATATCACTGGAACACTCAGCACTTCTTCTTCGACGACATCACCTACCACATCGACTTCCTCATCCTTGCCATCGAGCTCGAGTACGAATGATTGTACAAGTAAGAGAACATCCTCCGTCGCCATCGACGGAGTAGGAGCAGGAGTTGGTGCATCGCTTGGCGTCTTGTTTTTACTCGCATTAGTCTGGGGATTTTGGGAACGACGGAAAAGGATTATGACTCCATCAATTCAGCAACAGCAGCAGCAACAACAGGATTATTCCACGATTACTGCGACGGAAAACAAATACCCAATACCTCAGGAAGCGCCGGACAATGTGGTGAGGTCAGAACTTGCACCTATGCCGCCGCAGTATGTGGTGCGGAATGAGCTTGCTTAGACGTCCATATCACCATTTTGTCATTTTACTTCGCTTATGAATACCTAATGTATAAAATGTCTTTGCGCATGAGTTCGAATTCTCCTTTCTTGTACAGTACTTGTCTGTCGAGGGAAAAGCAAGAGCCGTCCATCATTCCCAATCTCCGAGCTAATACAAGCTAAAGCATGCATATATTGAAGCTTGATCTCAAGGCCTTCCCGGGTAGATCGGATGACCCGGAGATCTGGTTTCTTTGATGGCTCGTATATTCCGGCTGCGGGGAAACCTCGTCTGCGCGAATACTACTGGTGCTGCTAAGTATGGGAAGGTTGATACGGAGCAGATCTTGACGATGGGGCATAGCTGTGGTGGTTTGGAAGCGATGTCTGTTGCGTATCATAATCCGAACGTTAAGCATATCGTCATGTTCGACATTTCGGTAATAAGAGGTTTTTGCTGCAGCAGATCAATGTGCCTGTTGCTTGGTTTGTTGGTATGCCGAAGGATATGGGGTATACGAATGTAAAAATTGACCTCAGAATGAAGGGTGTTGCTAATTGATTCCATAGTCTGAGCAGGATTATGCTTGCTAAATCCTGGACTTCTTGCTTTCAAAGCTGATCTCGATACCGGACATCAGGACACATATTCTGCCACGAATGGAGGGAAGTTCGATAAATCTGTGACGGCATGCTTGGAATGGATCTTGAGGGGAGATACGCAGTCAAAGCCAGTCTGCAAGGATTCAAAGTCTGAAGGCAGCCTTGTGTCAGATCACTGGAACGTGACATACAAGAATTGGTGTTGAATGTTCAGCTTAGGGTTAGGAATTAGCCTTCGCTTAAGTCTTTAACTTCAACTCATTGACCTCTTGCATGAAAGCATTCAAGCATATCCCGAGAGGAATAGCTCCTTATCAAAATCTTCTGGTAGGTTCATCTCTGGAGGTCTTGACGGTCATTTACCAGTATGGCATTGGCTCCAGGGCTGCAGAATTGAGAGGACAAGAAAGTGATATCTGGGAGTGGGTGTAATTGGTGCCCTAATAGCAATGAATGTTTAGAGTTCATCCTACATCGATTCACCTTGAAATTCCACTAGTAACTACGTCAATGGCGCAGATACGTTGAAAGATTTTGACTGCAGCCTGGCAATTATCAGATCAAAGTAGGACAAAAGCAGTGCCATCATCCAATGTATGACAAAACGCAGTTGAATTACCGCCTGTTCGAGATCTCCTTCAACTCAACTTCACCAAATCGTCCGATATCGCCACACTTAAAACTATCTCCGACATTTTCCTCTTCACAAACTCACAATCCAAATCTCCCAAATTCCTAAATCACTTTTAATTTCTAATTCCTCTCAACGGGCTTTGCACCATCACCAGCCGGACCCCCGCATAAACCTTGCGCTACCTCACCGTCACCTCCCAATCCCAACTCTCTACCGGCTCGGGACCCTGCATGAACCCTCGATACAGTGGTCAGCCCTTGCACACGAAAGGGATCTCGCATCGTGGGACGAAGTCAACCAGTCGCGTGAATATAATCACTTGCTTGGATCGCAACTCCGCTCAATTTCAGCCTTGAGCGCAAAACTCATCCTCCATCTCGTCTTTAAAGATATACAGAAACCAAAGGGAAAAATGAAGCCCCCGATACTTGCTGCTCTCACGACCATGGCTCTCGCCTCTATCCATCCTCGAACAACCCTCACCTCGACATCCACGCCAAGTATACTCATCGCGCCCCCACCGTCCCCGACACTCAGCACATGTGACCCAACGCCATACGCAGACTGCACACCCTACTCAAACTCAACCTTGTACGTCTTCCTCTCCTCCTTCTCCTCCTCCTCCTCTTCTCATTCACCTCTCGAAACTCAACTAATAAAAAAAACCCCCCAGCTCCCCACCAACAGCCCACTTCGGCCCAACCTCCCCCGCAACCCTGCGCGTCGACTCCGGCGCCGAGTCCGCCGCTCTAGCAGCCCTCTCGTCCGTAACAGCAACCTGGACCAACGGCCCGCTGTATCCGGGATTGAAGAGTGTTGTTTACGGTACCTATTTCCCTCCTTCCCCTTCCCCTTCCTCTTCTTTCTCCATTTATTCACCTTAAGTTTAATTCAAATAAAAGTGACTAACAAAACCAAAAACAGAAGCAGCACCAACCTCAATCCAACTCTCGCTCGCGGTAAACGGATACAACTGGGACGCGATCGTGCGATCTGATTGGTACACCTCGGTCCCTGTTGCGTGGCAGGAGGTTGTGACGCGGCAGGAGAGGGCGCTGCAGAGTGTTTATGATAATGTTACTGGGGAGCATTTGTTGTCTTCGGCTGCTAGGTTGGGTGGAGGATGGATGGTATGGGGCTTGGTTGTCGTGGGTGGGATTTGGGTGGGTGGTTGGTTGTGGGGATGAGACAGGAGTTGGATGGAATGAGGGGACTGGATAGTGTGTTTTGTAGGTATGACATTAAGTGCTAGTCACAAGAAAGCTGTTCTGCAAAAAGCTCGGGTATCTATTGAATATGCTCGTTCAACCCCATGCATGCCTTAAACCCCTTCTCGGCCTTCACTATATATTATCTTTCGGCCTCATCTTCAAATTTCTTAGCCTTAAATCCCACGCCAGGAATCTTACTCCTCAAAGCCAAACTCGAGCAAACAACACTAATACTACTCAACGCCATACTCAAACTTGCCCACACAGGATCCAGTCGAACATGCTTTCCCCCACTGACAACGGGATACAACACTCCAGCAGCAAATGGTAACATGATCATATTGTAAATCAATGCCCATCCGAAGTTGAACTTGATCCTCCTGAACACCACCTTACTGAGATCCAGCAATGTGAGTAATGTGTTCAGATTGCTCGACACAAGCACGAACTCTGCAGACGATATTGCGATGTCTGAGCCAGAGCCAATGGCAATACCGACATCCGCTGTTGTAAGAGCAGGTGAGTCATTGATTCCATCGCCAACCATTGCGACCAGCGCTCGTTTCTCAGTGTACTCCTTGCCTGAGCCGTTGCGAGCTTTGAGGGATTTCTGCAGGTATTGAATCTTCTCTGCTTTTTGACTAGGAAGAACACCCGCAATGATGTTTGTGGACGAAATCCCGACTTGAGATCCAATGGCATTGGCGGTGATTTGATTGTCACCAGAGAGCATCCAAACTTCCGTACCCCGCTTTTGGAGAGCGGCGATGATGCGTGGAGCTTCGGGACGAATGGGATCGGAGATGGCGAAGATAGCTGCTAATTGGTAGGTGCTGGATGAATTTTTGGAGGCGGCCAGAGCAACAGAACGTCCTTCGGACTTCCACTTGTCGAGTGAAGACAGAGCCGATTCGGGAATTGTGACTTTGTTGTCTGATATGAGTAACTCATTGCCAATAATCATTTCAAGTTGAGCATCTGTGGAGCTTTGAAACAGACCCTTCATGCCCTTTCCTGCAACCTCTCCAACATTAACAACATTGATCGAAGTCGTCTCTTGGGTCGAACAGAACGAAACCAAAGCCTTGGCGACTGTATGACTGCTGTTTCCCTCAATTGAGGTAACCATTCCAAGAACAGTTTTAGAAGATAAGTCATTGCTCTCATTCATGGACAGTACTTCGAAATCGGTCACCACAGGCTCGCCTCCAACTGTAAGAGTTCCTGTCTTATCAAAGACGACACAATCAAGCTTGCTAGCTTTCTCGAACGCTTCGCCACCACCCTTGACCAAGATTCCGTACTTTGCAGCAAGGCCACCACCAACAAATAGTGCAGTTGGAGCTGCCAAAGCAAGGCCACACGGACAAGCGACAACGAAGACTGCAATGGCGAACTGCAATGACCACGCTACCCAGCTTCCAGAACCTGAGTCTAGATAGTCACGTGGCAATGTTCCAGAAGTACCCATCGCAAGCCAGAAGATCCATGTACCGATAGCGATGAGAGTGACAACTGGGACAAAGTAGCTCGTCAAGGTATCGGCGATACGCTCCATGGGTGCGCGATGTGTTTGTCCTTCCCTGACTGCCTTAACGATCTGGTCAAGCATTGAGGATCCTGCAACACCAGTGATCTTGATGGAAACAGCAGAGTCCTTGTTTACGGTGCCAGAGTAGACTTCATCACCTATGGTCTTCTTGATGAGCCTCGATTCTCCAGTTAGACTGGACTCGTCGAATTTTGTCTCGCCTTGAATGACAGTTCCGTCACAAGGCGGTGAACCTCCGTGCAAGATCTTGACGATGTCTCCATACTCGAGGAGATCCACATTGACGGATTTGAGGCTTTCGTGGGGACCATTGACAATCTCTTCAACAATCTTTGAACTAGTCTCCACAAGAAGTGCTTCTGTAGGTCTCAGCTTCCCAAGCATGGTGACTGCATCTCCAGTCTTTGACTTGCTGTATGATTCGATGAGGCGACCAATAAGAAGGAAGAGTGTCAAAAACACAACCGAGTCGAAATAGAACGAGCTGTTATCTGGCATCGATGGTGGATGAACGCCAGCTGCAATCAACTGGGCCAAAGACGATACATAGGCGATAGTCGTACCAAGAGACATCAGCATGTTCATGCTTCCGAATCGGTAGAATCTTTGGAGGAAGGGCGTGGTACTTCCAGGCTTCCACATGTAGACAAGCTCTTTCAGTGCCCTGACGTGAAAGACATCGGCGCAGAGAAAGTAGACTGGTGTTGCCAAAACGAATAATGCCCATTGCGCTCTGCTGATGCCAGCGCGTAATGGTGCCATGAGGAATTTCTTGCCAGCATTATTGTCAGACACCAGACTCATGTAGATGATGCCCATTATCAGAGTGGGTATGGCGATGACGAATGTGAGAAGCACTCGGATCAGAATACGTAGCTGTTCCTTCCTGTGGATTTTTCGAGATCGCTCTTCCAAAGTGGGCGGATGGTATATCGATGGCCTCATAGACGGGTCGACGGCGGCGATTCCAGAAATGATGGTCCTGATGGTGAAGTTGGGTAGTTGAGGAACGTAGGTAATTCTCAGAATCGGATCCTTGAGGTCTGGAGACTTCTCAATCTCAACTCCATTGCCAAGCTCTTTCACCGCTGCGACTACCCGTCCAGGACAATGCTCGCAGAACATCCCATCGATCTGTATACTGACTGTCCGTGGTGTATTTGCGTTTCTAGACGATACTTTCTGAAGTGTACTGAGATCCACAATCGTATCGATGGTGGCATCAAATCCCATATCCTCAATGCTTTCCACGAGCTTATCCTTGTGCTCGCCGCCAATAAAGTCGATTGTTGCACTGTTCGAGATGAGATTGACTACGACTTTCTTCACCCAGTCTTTCTTCTCCATTTCTTCTGTAATCGTCCCCGCACATGCAGCACATGTCATCCCCCCGATGGCCAGAGAGGCTCTCCATGTTTCCGCCGAGTCTGCCGAGTCGACCGTTACAAAAGGAAGAAGGACCTTCTCGTCATCAAAGGCTTCGGACGCCATGGCTGCCTTTCCGTTCGCAGCTGCTGGCAAGGGAGATTGTGGGGTCTTTGTATCGCCATTCTTCTTCCCTAGTGCATCGAGACGACATACCTCGCAATTCTGGAGGTGTCGGTTGGAGAGTTTGCCGTCAGATGCGCACTCTTTCTGGGACCGAAAGGTGTGCAGTAAACGATCCAAATATCCAATTTCCCCATCTGAGGCTGTATGCGAAGTGCCGGCGGGATGGTGGCCGTCGGCGCTCTCGGATGTCACGTCAGAGATCTCGAACCCTGCATTCTCCAACGCATCGCAGATATCTATCAACGACAGCGATTCGTCATGTCGGACGGTTACCCACGACGTTACGAGCGAAGGTGACACGGAACTGGGCCGAGGATCCAAGGCAAAGAGAGTATCCTGAATGTGAGAGACGCACGATGGACAATGGAGATTGGATATGAGGAATGAGCTTGTGATCAAATTTGGTCGCATCCTGCTGCTGGATGGTTGTGCCATATTGATGAAATTATTTAGAAGAAGGAAGCGTGCTTCCGTGAAAAGTGTTGATCGCGACAAAGTTGTGGCAAAATAGGTAGGAGCGCGAACGCGATATTTGAATGAAAGGGAAAGAGCTGGAGAAGATGCGAGAAGTAGAGTAGAAATACGCAGAAGAGATGAAAGTTCACTTGCCTACATGATTTGCAAGGCGGGTCTTGACAATCTGCGGTATTGGTTGGTCATGATGTCGATATTTGGGTGGCAATCAAGTTTCAACGCGAAAAAATCGCAAAATCCGCACAAACCGCGCAGAGCCATATCCCTGCCAGTATCACGTGGACGTGACTCGACCGATGGGTCATAAAGAAGAAAATGGAAATGGGATGAGTTGGACAATGTGTTTGTGATACTCAAAAGGTGCACGAACGATCTTATATGTAAGTTGAGATGACTTGAGAGAATTTGAGAACATTCTTCGTGGTTGCCGAAGCCCCTTTTGTTCGCTTATTGCTGTGGCGTTGTGAGATATAATTGATGCCTTGTGAATGAGGCTCTAAGCTTGAAGCCTCATCCATCACGCTAGCACCTTTCGATTCCTCCCGCTCATCATCTTCGAAATACTGTACAAGCACGTCTTTTCTTTCTCTTTCTGTGCTTCAATTCTACGATGATCCCATACGAAGTAGTATCGCATTCAGTCGACCACAAACTCCATAGATCATGTACCTCTCACGTGTCTGATCACGTTCATCAGTTTCTCCAATTGCTATACCTTATTTGCTATCGTCTTTCGGCCTGTGTCGATAGACAAAACTCGGCAGGAAATACCGTGTCTTCTCATTTGTGAGCGGGATGATCATTCATACTTCCAGAATCGATGACGAGCCTAGTAGATATGTCTACATTCTACACTTTAGCCCTGCGTTGAATTAATTACCGGATACATGCAAACATCTTTGGCAAAGCTTGTTTGAAGGACATGTGGGTGTTGTTTCATTTACATCAAAGTTGTTGTTAACTTGAAAAGTCATGAGAAGTACTCTATGGCGGTCCGAAGCAAGTCTGGGGAAACGTTTCATCTGAGAAGAACCTGAAGCAGGTCATTTGACTGGCACGTGATAAATCTTCGTTCCTGCGAACGCTGAAGTTCTCGATCCTAAGAGATGACGCTGTCCTCCCTCTTGAAAGTTCTCTCGATAGTCACTTCGCTCAGCTATGTATTATGTTGTGTGTTATATTCTGGGGACCTCGGTAGCAAGGAACAGATTCTTCGATAGATGGATGCCCTTCCAAGCTTTCTCATCTCCATTTCTCAACAATACACAAGAATCAAGACCTCCCATAGTATGTATGATCGAAGAAAACCATCTGAATATCTCTCAGCACTTTGTTGCAAGCTGGGAACCCAACTGGCCGTCACAAGAATTCCCGGAAGTGCACCAAGTGGTCATTTACAGTCACGTGGTACCGATACCATCGAAAAGGGTGAACATAGCCTAAACAATTCAACCTTATTTCCCCACATATCGGCCGATCACCTCAATGATTCATCTAACTCCATATTGCGTCAGGTACTAAGTACCACCGTACCTGAAATGTACACGTTTCCATATTTTCACTTATTCTCAAGCTGTTTCTCTGTTGCTCATCACTTGGAAAAGTTCTGTTTCGTTTGATATTTGGAGCCATTAACCAATCATGGGAAAACTGGCTTTCATGTCATTCGCTACTCTGGCAGCAGTAGTAGCTGCTCAGAAATGCCCTCTACAGTTCGATGGACGTATACCCAAAGACGCTACTCTTGATTCCTTCGACACGAGCTCAAGTCCTTTCAATGACGCCTATGTCATTGGTGGCAGTGAGTCTTCTCTCCCCAACTCAATATACCATACACTAATTCCATCTCAGACCAAAAATGGAGCAGCATCCTCCAATTCCCCACCGTAAACTCCTCTCTCGTAAGCTTCCCTCCCTGATAGTTGGTTTATCTCCTCCTAACAATCCCCAAGTTCGACGCAAACGGAACCAAAGCCCTCGAAGTAACCATCTCCTCCTCTTCCATCTTCCAATCCCAAACCGGCTTCCGGCGCTCCGAACTGCTTCCCGCCTCGAACAGCGGCACCGACCCATCCACCGCGGGCGTGAAAACGATCCACTTCTCCGTGCAAAAAGACACCTCTCGCCCTCTCAACACATCACACGAATACCAGCTCTTCTTCCTGGAATCCAACGATTATTCGACCAACCAGGTCGTGTTGAAGTATGGGAGCATCATTGGAGGGAATCCGAGTGGAGTCAGTAGTGATAGTTTGATGGTGATGGGGAATGTGAATGCGAAGCCGGTGGTGAATTTGTATTCGACGAAGTTCACGCCGGGAACGTGGCATAACTTTGCGATTACGTTGAATTTTAATGCGGGGTAAGTTTAAGGCTGTTCCCGAGGGCGCGATCTGCGCGAATTGCGCTGTAGGCCCTTGCAATTTCGAAGTGAAAGCTGACTTTGAAAAATTAGCACAACTCAGGTATACTACTCAACAAACAACGCGCCTCTAGCTTCGGTCAGCAAGGCGGTTAAGAATGATGTCAGTGGACAAGGCGAATACCATTTTGGGATCTTGAAGAAGCCAACGGGCGGTGGAAGCGATATTACCAAGAGTGGGTTTCAAGAAGCTGGAATAAATGAGGGGATTATCTTTGGAGGTATCTTTGAGGAGGATAGTAGCTCGTCTGGGTGCATTAGTCTCAAGCCATGAGTCGATATGACTTTCAAGCAGTGCCATTGAGTTACTTTAGGAACGAAGAAATGTAAATAGGGAGACGTGGAAATGGGGGTGTATATATGAGAATTTTACGGAACTTAGAAAACGACATTGTTTTCGTCCTACCAAGACGCCGCTTTTTGTTCATAATTCTCTTACCAAACAGCAACGCCCGCTACTGAACGCTTTCTCCTCTTGCAGAACACCGTAAGAACGTTCATCATATCCAATTCGAGGACTCAAGTTCATAAACACTCCTCCCTTTCCCACTCATCTCCTGGGGTTTCTCCAAAGTTCCCAATTCCTGCAGGCCCTGCTCACTCATCTCATGCGGTCTCTCCCACCCGCCAACTTCTTGAATACCCAATCCAGTCAGTCTCTCAGGTCGTTCGCCCACTTCCGGCAAGTCCGTAAACCCTTCTGTGTCAGAACTCTTGCCTTCCCTAGATTCCGAATGCTTGCGCCGCCAATAAATACAGAGACCAGCTGTGACGAGGAAGAGTGCTGCAACTCCAATGACGATACCTGCTATCATAGCATCTCCCGATATATTGACAGTGCTCGGTGCCTGGGCATTAGACGAGGTGGAAGCAGCGCTCGAGATCGTTGGCGAAGACGTCGACAAGCTGACTTGGGATGTCGCTGCTGAGCTTGGGGAAGCGGACGTCGTTGTAGTTGCTGAACCGTTGAATCGAGCCGCGGCAGAGATATACTGTCCAAGAAGAGTGTCATTCGCGTTGATGACTCCCACCAGCCCTTCTTTGCACTCATTTGTTTGACTGGAATAATAGATTATAGGATCACTATCCGTGACGTCAATCTCGTAGAAAGGGGTTGATCCGTTCTATACAGGGAATCAGTATATCGTCGAAACGAGATTGTAAGACAGAGTGGGACCATACAAAGTCAGCAAAAACAGTCACAAATCCAGAGTCAAAACCTCCTGGTTTTGGTTGGCACGGATTTCTGGAGATCGCCTTCCACGATACTGTGATTTCCTCCTTGAAAGGAGAATCGCACGACGGCAGGTGGGACGACAGTCAAGTTCTGAGGCGAGACGGACACAAACGAGGAGTCACCTATGAGGATTGTGAGATTTGCTGCGGTGATAAGATGGCATAATTGAACGAGGATATACGCAACGGAGAACTTGAAGAAAGAAAACATTATAAGAGTATGTACTGTACGTGCAACAACGTAAATGAAGAAGAGATTTGAATACTAAAGAGAGTAAAACGCACAAGATCTGGGGCAAGGTGACCTAGGCGCGGCCTGTTTTGATCGAAACCAACATTCCGGTCAGCAATAAATTTAGAGCGTCATCGTTTAGAAACATCGCTAGAACCGAATGGCTGACTTCCTAGAAGGATCAATTGATTCCAAATGTTGGAACCATCAAATTGCTCTCACTCGATCCATCTAGAGAAGGATTCGGACGGGAACTCTTCTTCAAGACTAAACATACATCTGAATGAATCGCCATGATCCAGAGCTCTTGGTTCTCTTCGATATGTCTTGGACCTTCTTCGCGTAGTATGTAGTCAGCAAAGAAAGGCAGCTCAAGATGCGCAATCTGCAAATTTTATTAGAGTTTATCGACTTCTCGACTATCGTGGGTGTGCTGATTGAAGCCTCGACGGATGAATACATATCTCAGGCGCGCGGATTGAATATATCGTTTCAAAGCGAGTATTCCCGATGATACGGAACCAAAGATATTCTTTCCAGCTGCTCCGAAAGTAATTACGTTGTTTATAAGGCCGGTTGCTTCACGAATACAGCTAACGGTACCCTCTCTTGTTCCCCAGAGACAACTGGATTACCAAACGTTGACTTTGTGGCTGTGACTTGGAACTCGGGCCAAACAAGCTGTTACATAATCGCACAGTTTCACATCACAGTCGGTGTAGTTCTCTGCCAAGAGGCCACCGTGCTAGCAGAGTCTGTGATAGAATGTTGGGACTCTGCTTCTGATATTGTTGCAGATCTGCTGGCAGACTACTCGCTCACGGCCGGCGCAGTGACTATATCTGCCTTGGACGGATTGAGCGTGACAACCGCATTCAACTACGGAGATGATCCGGCCCTTCACGCCCAGAACATCTTGAAGCTCGCGTATCAAGGGATTTGGAGTTCCATGACCAACTTCCTGGGTGGAGCTAAATCCTCACCCACGCCGGTCAATGACCAAGTGCCAGCAATCGTCGCTCGAGTCTCCTCTTGGAGAGTTGGCCTTTGGATAGGAATGAATGTCTTGTTGACTTTGGCAAGTATCATTCTTTTGACAGTTCAGTCTGGCTGTACAAGAGATATTGTAGAGGATCCGGTCCTAGCCCGTGAGTTGCAAGGTGCAATATAACGTTTCGTGGTTTGTACTAACTGTACAAGCAATCCTGCTCGACTCATCAGAAGTCATTGGTGCAGGTCACACGGGACTCTGCAATCTCAACGTTCTGACGAAAGAAGCTGATCGGCAAGGGAAACTTCGGTTGCGATGCTTGAACCGGTCTGTTCCCCATTGGCATCATGACAAGTTAGAATTGGAGGGAGAATCAAGTGGACATGAACAGTAGCGGAAGCAGAGCACGAGGACATATTAATGGTAGCTTCACCTATTGTACCATGCAAAGTAAAGAACTAGCAGGTTCGTTGAATGATTAGCCTCGGATGCTAAGCGAGATGGGAAAGGAGGCGGGGTTAAAAATGGGAAGTCTTCTAGCATCCTCGAAGTCTGCCTACTTGTCAGGAACTCAGCACACAATCTTATAATAGATAGTAGGTGCGCAAACACCTCATCCCTACTGCGTAGCAACATTCCTCCCACTCCCCGTCTCCACAACCTTAACCTCCATCCCCTCCTTAACACCAACCTCCACCTCGCCTCTAATAACACCCAACAGCACCGGCGCATCACTGTGATACTCCCCATCAATCAACTCATCCACCTCCTCCAACGTCTTCCCGCTCGTCTCTACCCAATACCAAATGATAAAGGCAATCTCAAGCACATCCCAACTAGCATTGATCATGTAAGTCTTCCAGCCTATCTTAGCTAAAGCGTACGGAAACGCGAACGTGACCACTGTTGCAGCGGCGTTGGAAACGAAGGTGTAGATTGACATGCCGTTCGCGCGGAGGCTGTAGTTAAGGACTTCGGGCGGGTACATGACGAGGAGGGTACTCCAGCCGAAAGCGTACGAGCCTTGGTAGAGGAAGATGCAGGCTACGGTTCCGTAGACGCCTGATTTGGTGGAGCCGTCGCCGTAGACTTAATCTCGTTAGTTGAAACGGTAGGGAGAGGTAGATCGAAACTCACGTTTGGTGAAAGCCCCGACCAGGAACAGAAAGACCATTGATACCGTCAATGTCCCTGCTCCCAGTCTCTTTCGCCCAATCTTGTCAGCGAGTGAGGTGCCAAGAATAGCAGTGAACAGACACCAGACCGAGAGATAGATATTGATCTCCAACTGCGTCGTCGTATTCGTGACTCCCGCTTGAGTGAGAATCGTGCCAAGATAGTATCTACTCACACCCTTTATTAGCACTTTCCCCCTCTCCACACGCTTCAGATGTACAGTTGACTTACGAAATAATCCCACTCCCACTCATATTTCCAAAAATGGCACAAGAACACGCCAAAATCATCCTCCTCCTACTCTGCGGCGTCCGGAAAGCATCCAACCAATTAATACTCGGCTTATTCGCCTTCTCCCACGCAATCGTATCTGCAATCTGATGATACTGCGTCACCACCACCGCATCGCTCGTATCTCCATTCGCCGCCATAATCGCCAAAACTTCCAGTGCCTCATCTTGACGATCTTGATACATCAACCATCTCGGACTTTCCGGGATAAATGGCAAGATGACCAGACAGAGAAGACTAGGCACGACTTGAATAATCGAAGGAATTCTCCAAGCCCACGAACTATCAATCTTGGCAGTTCCATACGTGATAGCTGAAGCGATAATACCGCCTCCATACCAAAAGTCGTAATAAAAGCCAAGTGAAAAAGCCCTCCATTTCAGCTGTGAGACTTCAGAGACGTAAGTTGGACACGCAACGGAACTTAGTCCAACACCGATACCGACTATGAGACGGCCAACGAGAAACATCGCGGGGTTCTGGGCGGAGGATTGCAAGATGATACCAATGGAGGTCATATATACGGCCCAGGCCATGCCGGCTTTGCGACCGTAACGGTCGAGTATAAAGCCAGAGAAGAAGCCGGCGACGCAGCCGCCAACCCATATGATGCCCGTATTTGCAGACTCGCCTGCCGTGTTGAGGTTGATGGTGTTGTAGAATGACGGGAGGATATTTAACCCGTTCCTGGTGAAATTAGCATCGTGAGTTTCAAACACAACTAGCTTGTCGAGAGTTTGGGGTCATACATCATGTTTCCATCATACCCCATAGTCATCGAATTCACCAAACAGGAAAGCACAGTAAGGACCACCAACGCGGCAGAACTATGAGGGACAAATCGTCCAACATGGCGAATGGGAGAATCCATCGTGCTTGGATCTTGGAGGAGAGGAACCAGATCCATGGAATCGGGACACTACATTCTACTTATACACGATCTGAAATCATATCTTGCTGTGCTTGATACATCTAGAGCGGATGAAGGCACTCAAGCGAAGGGGTGATAAGAAGATAAGAGCAGGGGCCGGGAATCAAAAGTGGAGGCCGGAACAACATCAGAGTTTTGGGCATATCAGATAAATAAATGACGAAGCCAAATACCTGACGAGCAAGGCGAAATATTCACTAAAAGGCCAGACTCGCTGAGCTCAGATAGAGGCGGAATGTGAAGTGCAGAAGATAGAACAGAGAAGCCGCGGCTTCCACTCAGAAGTCTTGGATTTCACTTAAGCCGTCTCAGTCCTGGGTCCCATCTTGTTCTAGGTCTCTCAAATTCTTGGTATACAGGAATCGCAGATGGACCCATCATCCACACTGAAGATAAAGATAACAAAAGGCTCAAGATTGGAGGTAATGTTGAGAGTGGAGAGTTCGAGCTAACCGAATCAAGCAAGGAAATGGAGAACTAAACCCATCTCGCAAAGGTGGGGGCTTGACTTCCGTCTCCGCCGATACAAGGTTCTCCAGCTCTGATCCTTGTTTAATATCAAACGGAGACTTCGGTGCCAGTCGAAACGGTTAAGATTCATGTACGGCATCGATGTTGGAGAATGAAGCTCGAATAGGGTTTGTTTTCCTGGTAGCCAGAAAGTTGCTTTTCTTTTGAGCAGCTTTCACATGCTGGAGAAGGTGGTAGGACGACGAATAGAGCTCATTACTACTCGATTTCTCCTTTCTCTTGCCAATCTGGGCTTCGTGGCAGCTGCCCATTGGTATGGATGTTGGGTATCCATGTGGACCTTAGAAGAAGCTTGTGATATAAGTAAGAAGTAGACGTTTAATTTCATCCCGACGTGAACGAAACACTCGATTATTTCTCACCATCCATCAGTTCCAGGATCTCATTATCCGCGAAAAGCTCGGCAACCAATATGGCACCTTCAGCACTTGACCCCGAGCCCATCGTCGAGAAGTCGACAACTCCTACCCCACAAATCGCACGTTTCGACGCGAACGACCCCACCACAACAGCGGATGCACTGATCGAAGTGCTGCACCGTGACGGAGGAGTCATAGTTGAGAACCTTTTCAGCAAAGATCTCGCCGCACAAATTAAATCCGAGCTCAAGCCTTATTTCGACACAGATCGCGTTGACAAGACCGGATTCTTTCCAGAGACTACTCAGCGAGCGTCTGGGCTCATCAGTATCTCGGAGGGATGTGTTGAGTACTTGACTACGCCGTTGTTGATCGATATCGTGAACAAAGTCCTCAGCTCGACTTATAGCTTTTGGGTTGGGGAGAAGATCAGGACTGTGACTTCGAAGCCACAGATCAGCTCCACGGCGGCCTTTAGAGTGAAGCCAGGCGGCAGACAGCAGGCTTTGCATAGAGATGATGCGTAAGAAGAAACACAGACAGTGAGAGCAAAGTGATTGACGGATGCATCTAGCGACTTACACACCCGAAATGTCGACTTTCCAGTCCTCCTGGGCTGCGTTGCTGCCATCACAAAAACGACCAAGGAGAATGGTGCGACAGTAGTAATCCCTGGAAGCCATACCTGGGGCCCAGAACGAGGGCCAAAGGAGCACGAAGCTGTCCCCGCTGAGCTTGATATTGGTGGCGCCCTGATCTTCTTCGGCAACACGTATCATGCTGGTGGCAAGAACACAACCGTGTAAGTTCTTTCATTTTCGGTACCAAATCTGTTTCGAGGCATCTGACGCACCATCCAGAGATGAAGCTCGGGAGACAGTTGGTTTGTTCTTCACCAAGGGCTTCTATCGTCAATCTGAGAACCAGTATCTCATGGTACCGGTGGAAAAAGCGAGAGGAATGTCGACACAAGTGAAGAGATTGCTGGGATACGGCATCAGCCCACCTGGTGTTGGCTTTTATGAGTACCAAGACCCGATGCGTGTCCTCTATGGAGTTGAGGACGAGGAGACTGTAGAGCTTTGAAGCGTCACCGAAGGTTGAATAGGCGTGATAGTTGTAGGTTTAGGGGCAATTTGGCCAGACTACCAAATCAAGAAACTGTCTCCTCTTTGTGCCCAAGTCTTCGCGAGTTGTATCCAAGTAATCCCCGAAGCATGGCTTTGTGATGTCCAGAACTCTTTCAGGAATCGTAGTGCTTTCATTCGATCCAGTGTTCCTGTCAATCTTACCATCTCGTTCATTCTGCTCTCAATGTACTGCTGCTCCTCAATTCGACCACCGCACTCGGTGCCGGCAATGAAGAGTGGCCAGGGCAAGTCTTGAGCGAACAAAGAAGTGTCAGCGAGTTGGTGCAAGTGACCCATTAGACGAGAATGGGACTGTCTGATCTCCGCTGCAGCATTATCTGGCGACGACAGAGTTTGGAAAGTATAGATATATCCTGTCTCGTAGTACATGTTGACCATATGTTCAAAGTCAAGCTGAGACTGGCTGGAACGAAATGTCAACCCTAGACCGACCGCAAAGGCATGTTGTTTTGCTCGTTCAAGTCCCTGGAAGAAATGGCCAACGTCCATAAGGCAGATCGAAACATTTGGCGCATGAAGTTCTTTGCGCGCAGCCAAAGAAACAGCCTGAACAATATGAAGGAAGCCTAAGAATGGGGCTCTGTGGTCGTTTGGAACTCTGACGCGAACTGGTTCCTCATCCATAAAACTCGTGACTGAAGCCATAGCCTGAGTAGCAGACAACTCTTGAATCAAGAATGATCTAGTAGTATCGGAGGTGGGACTGATAAAATCTGTGGTCGACCATCTTCGTATCATCGTCCTTGCAGCTCGAAGATGCACTTTCCACAAGCCAGACGAAGGCCATTTGATTTCATGATAACACAAGACGACGATGCTGGCCAGGATGTGATTATTTGCCTGAGATTGAAGATTACTGGCATTCGAGACTGCTAAATCTTGTCTGAGGTGCTCGGCCAGGAGCTCCAGAGCTTTATTGCGATTCCGTGTGAAGCCGTAGACAGTGTCGGCAGCCATGTGAGCACATCCGTAGTATCGATCAGATATGTCACCAGCTGCCATAGCTAATAACGAGTGCAACAATGGAGGAGACTCGATTGCCAGTGGCAAAATTATATTTTGCCACGGATTATCAGTGCTGTCTACCCAGGCAAGTAGAGGTGCGAGGATTTGATTGAAGTGATGCAGCAGCTGACGAGATACTGGATCTTGAATGCTTTCCGGCAGACTTGGGGCCGAGGAAACTCTCGTCTCGGAAGAAATGCTTTGGTCTTGATTGATAGACGTTCTTCCATTTTGATTGGGAGTTGACTGATCACCTGTAGGGAAGATGGTATTTTCTGGAGATATACGGGAAGGCACAGGTCGATTTGAAAGCAGTCGCGCCTTGGTCGCCTCTTTCCATCGAAAATTAACTCCATATCCCGGACATTCCAGATTCCGGCTTTTGCACTTTTGGCAAGTAGGGAGTGAACGATCACATCTTATCCTTCGTCTATTGCACGTTCGGCAGTCTGTTTGAAGCATCAGTATATACTCGGCTTGAGGACCACGTACTGACCTTTCAAGGGTGGGGTAGCAGATTGATTGACAGCCATTTCGACATTTTGGACTCCTCTACCTGCTTCAAACTGAAAATTAATGTCGATGTCATCAGAAGGAAAGAGAGGATCTTTTTGAGTCCCAGATTCGTTATCAACACCTCCTTATCTCTGCGGAGAGATACACGTGATATGGTCATAAATTTCTACCTATCCAACATGGATCTCTTGATCCGTGATATAATACAGGACTCCCAGAAATGCCTAGCCCGTAAGAACACACATAATGCCGCTTGAGGTAACTACCTTTGCTCTAAGGACAATTAACGCAGTCTTTCGAGACTTCTACCCTCCTTTCGTCTCCCCCTCATGAACCATGCACAACTCGCCCAACACATAACAAACCCAACCCAGCTATAAGCAGGCATCTTCCAGCCAGCCATGATTGGCAATAAGAAAGCCGCTCTAGGGAGGAACAGGAATGTCGTGGTCAGTGGACTTGTAGCTCTCGTCAAAGCCATTGTTGACCAGAACACAGCCCAGGATCCGAGACCACCACAAACAACCATCAGCCAATGGAAGAAGACGTCTAGGAAGTAGCAATTTCTCCAGATGTTCGTAACTTCCCCAGAAAGGAAGACGATGGGCGTGAAAAGGAGGATGCTGAGCAGCGAGGTATAATGCAAAAGACGCCAGTAAGCACGAGCTTCTTCTCTCGATCCAGAAAAGTCCGTAGGAGAATTGGAGGGTGGGAATGTGCCTAGAAGATCTCCTTGAGGAACAAGCTGCGCGACCAAGGATTTGTACGTCCTCTGCAATTGCACCGGGTACAGTGCCACGAAGATAGAAGAGAAAACTCCAGCAACAATGCTTTCCCAGGTAACTCGTACGTTCGCCCTCGCTACCGCAACAAGAAGAGCAAGAGTCGCTGTCAGAGCAGCGGATACAGTGGAAACGCTATGCGGCGTCTGACCGAGGAAGTATGTGAAGAAAAGGGACAATGGTACAATGCCAATTCGAGCAAGGGTATATATCTGGATTTGCGCCCAACCGAAGGAGAGATTCGAGAGGCAGACTTTGGCGACAAAGATGATGGCGCAAGGTAAGACTGTCTTCACAACTTGCAAATCAAATTCGAAGAAGCCACCTCCTGCAATGCCTCCAGTATGGTACGATGCCCACCGAGACAAATTCCCAAGAAAGCCATGATTCTTGCCTTGTCCTCTGAAACCTGGTGCCGAGGAAGATTGGAGCGGTCTCGATGGAGCGATTCCTCCTGAGCATCCCGAGCTGATCAACCAAGGACTAACCCATCTTGTGATATATGCTGAGAGAATAATCCAACAATGCGTCATAAGCATCTCGATTAGTGTTGTCGTGAGAGGGTAGGGAAATTTATACACTCCGGCTATTAAGGTCATCAGTTTCGTATGCGCGGTGTAGTTGTTTTGGAGGTACCCACTCCAGAGAATGATCCTATTCATGATCGTGAGTCCTATTTGGCAGCCTCCGAGCCATATGATAAGTATGCCAATATAGAGCTGCCATCCTAACGGGGTATTGAAGAAGAAATTGCCAAAGCCTCCGCCATATAATAGATGCCTCCATCCCGTCAACCTGGAGGCATCTGGAGGCAAAAAAGGCTGTCGAGAGGAATTGGGATAGTCTCCCCAGTCATCATCGTCTGTTTCTGAGGCTGGGTTTGAGTCGGAGTGCCGCCGGCGAAAGGGGGAAGGGGATCGTGAGATACTGATCAGAGGAATTGAGGATTGTTGGCGGAACTCGTTCGAGGACTTCGGATTGTAGGACATTCTGGAGCGGGTACCCTCTCCGTCAGAGTCAAGACTTCCAGACGAATTGCTCTGACGGTGCTTGGATGGATTTTTACCAGCTGAGATGAGATATTGGAGAGCTGGTTTGAATGGGTTGGAGGATTCGGTATTTCGGGGGGAGAACATGGAGTCTTCCTGAGCAGAATATCGTCGCAGATTGTCAACGTGAAATCATTTCCTCGGTCGTGTTCGTGAGAGAATGTTATGTTGATTTCACGTCAATTGCTGTCAACAGCTTGCGTGGACTTGAACTGGACCCCTAAGCCACAAAATTAGAGGCCTCGATGGTAAGACGGAAACTTTCAAGGCCAAACGCCGCGATTCTGCCACCAGCCAATAAGAGCGACTTTATTGCTGAGCTAATACTCGGAAAGTCGAGGGACAATATCACCAGATATCGTCAACTTTTTTCTATACTTCTCTCCAGGAGTCAACCCCTTCTCAATGGCATCAATTCTTCCTGGGCTGCGACGAGCAGCTCCGCGCCTATCTCGCGACTTTTTCATATGTCACCAATGCCGCAAACAATCCATTCCTTTAGGTCGTCTGAAGCTTCCCATCAAGGCGAATATAAATCGAACCATCCGATTCAATAGCAGCGCTGCAGCTTTTCCTGAAGCAAATACGATCAAAAACTCGCCATTAACTTCGCTGAGTAAGACAATATCGAATGGCGAGAAGGAAAAGGCAATACCGAAGAAGGGATTCTTCCCAGAGACATCTTCGAACGGAGTCGCATACTGGCTCTTGGGCTCAGCAGCCAGTGTATTTGGAATCGTCGTCTTCGGAGGTCTAACAAGATTAACAGAGTCGGGGTAAGTTTCATTATCCTCTTGCGAACATTTCTAACCTCTCCGCAGACTCAGCATAACAGAATGGCGGCCAGTAACTGGTTCCCTTCCGCCCCTCTCTGCAGCAGACTGGGACTCCGAGTTCTCCAAATACCGCGCCTCGCCTGAGTTCAAGCTCCTCAACCCACACATGACGCTCGAGGAGTTCAAGAAGATCTACTACATGGAATGGGGCCACCGACTCTGGGGCCGCTTCGTCGGCCTCTCCTTTGTGATCCCCGCCGTCTACTTCGTCGCCAGACGAAAAGTCGCTGCCAATATGTCGTTACGCTTGCTAGGAATCAGCGGCCTGATAGCTTTCCAAGGAGCATTGGGATGGTATATGGTAAAGAGCGGACTAAAAGATGATTTATTCGCGCCAGGAAGCCATCCTAGAGTTAGCCAGTACCGATTAACTGCCCATCTAGGCGCAGCTTTCGTGTGCTATACCGCCATGCTGTGGAATGGCCTTGCGATCCTCCGCCAAAACACCGCTCTCTCACATCCCGTTCGCGCACTGGCACAACTAACCCACCTTTCCGGCCCAACATTATCATTCTTCCGGAAATCCGTAGCCGGACTCGCGATCCTAGTCTTCATCACAGCCATGTCTGGCGGCTTAGTAGCAGGCCTCGACGCCGGATTGATATACAACGAATTCCCGCGCATGGGAACCGGTTTCCACCCCCCAGCATCCGAGCTCTTCGACCCCTTCTACTCCCGCAAAGAAGACAAAAGTGATCTGTGGTGGCGAAACATGCTCGAGAACCCATCTACCGTGCAACTGGACCATCGAGCCCTTGCCACCACGACATTCACCGCTATTTTAACTCTATGGGCATACACGCGTTTCAACAAGCGCGTCAAGGGCGCTATGCCGAATTCTGCACGGAAGGGCATGCTGGGCGTTGTGCATTTACTGATGTTCCAAGTCGCGCTGGGGATTAGCACGTTGATTTATCTTGTTCCTACGCCGTTGGCGGCTGCGCATCAGGCGGGCAGTTTGGCGTTGTTGACGGGGGTGTTGGTGCTGGGGAGTAGGGTGTGGATTCCGAAGAGGACGATGAGGTTGGTGCAGCAGAGGGTTAAGCAGGCTGCTGTTGTGCCGGTTGGACAGGCGAGGGTGGGGTTGAGTAAGGAGGCTTTTAAGGCTGATTTGAGTGCGTTGAAGAGGCATGGGCCGCCGGCTGCTAAGTCATGAGAGTGAAATTGTTGTACAATATGAGAGGGATGGTAGAAGTGGGCATTTTCTAGCGGCATAGATGGCGTCGATCACGTTAGATCAAGCATGATAATGAAACTCAGCTCTGTACATATCTAACACTTTTTTTTCATTTTTTTTTCATTTCATCTATTCATCGCAGTGCTTGACAAGATATGGTATCAAGTAACGCCTGCTTTATCTCCTATCGACTCAACCTTTCATCTCAGACGTCTACTTATGAGCTACAATCGCACGAGTTAGCCAAAAGCTCCCGAGAGTAATAACACCCACCCCCAACCCAAGTGTCAAAAGAGAAAAGGAGAATGGGGACGCACGAATACCCTCTTCTTCTAGAGGCTTGATCCCTACTTCTTCCGCCGCCAACTTATCCTTCTTCATACTGACATCTTCCTTCATGAACGGGAACGCCAACACCTCCTTGATACTGTAGTTATCCGTCAAGAACATAACCAGACGATCAATACCCATTCCCCAGCCTCCCGTCGGCGGTAAACCGAACTCTAGCGACTGGCAGAAATTCTCGTCGATCATCTGGGCCTCGTCGTCACCTTGGTCCTTCTGTCTAGCCTGCTCCTCGAAACGAAGTCTTTGGTCGAAGGGGTCATTCAACTCCGTGTAGGCGTTGACGATTTCCTTCTTACAAACAAAAGCCTCGAATCGTTCGCAGAGACCGGGGTTGGAGCGGTGATACTTGGCGAGGGGAGACATCATTTGAGGGTGGCCTGTAATGAAGGTGGGGTTGACGCAGGTCTCTTCGATGAATTCACCCACTAGCTTATCGAGCATGCGGGCATTGGTGAGAGGTGGTGAGCACTCGACCTTCATCTTCTTGAGGACACGCTTGAAGAATTCGTTTGTCTCTTGGGTATGCAGTTGGTCTCCTGGGGGAAACTTCTCGCCGGTTGCTTCTTCGAGAGCAGGGATCATTTCGACTCGTCGCCATGGGGCAGCCCAGTTGACTTCATATTCTTCGCCGTGCTGCGTGTGGAACTTGGTGACAGTGCCGCCAGTGACGTGCTTGACGAGACCAGACACGAGCTCTTCGGTCATGTCCATGATATCGTAGACATCAGCATATGCCATATAGAACTCACAGGTTGTGAATTCGGGGTTGTGGGTAAGATCAATGCCTTCGTTTCGGAATTGACGTCCCATCTCGTAGACACGGTTCAGACCACCGACCACCAGCATCTTGAGGTATAATTCGGGTGCAACACGCATGAACATGTCCATATTCAGGTCATTGTGGTGAGTAACGAAGGGCTTGGCAGTTGCTCCTCCAGCAATTGGGTTCATCATTGGGGTCTCGACCTCGACGAAATCTTGCTCATCGAAGTATCGGCGGATATAGCTGACCATCTTGGACCGGGTAACAAAGACGTTTCGGGTTGGCTCGTTCATGATCAAATCCAAATAACGCTTACGATGTCTCTGCTCTTGATCCTTGAACCCATAGTACTCATCTGGAAGTTGGTGTAAGCAAGGAGTCAGGAGAATGATTTCCGTCGCAAAGATGGAAAGTTCTCCCTCCTCGCCCTTCTCAATCTTGTTCTTAGGTGCGGTTCGTCCTGGATAGCCCACTATGCCAATAATGTCTCCTCGACGAAGATGCTCGTGTTGCTCCTCGAATGGTACACCATCTGACTTTGCTTCTTGCATTTGGCACATCACCTGGACCTTGGTACCCTCAGTGCGTACATCATAGAAGACCAACTTGTTTCCTGACGCGCGCTTGTTGTAAATTCTGGCACCAATTCTGACCTCGACATCCTTCTTGTGTTCGCCCGACTTGAGAGAACCGTATTCCTTGACGAAATTTCGGATGTCATAGTTAACATGGAACTTGTGTGGGTATGGGTTTGGGTTCTTGGTTTGGCGGAGCTTGTTGATGTTGCGGGATCGAATCTCGAAATATTGCTACCCCGCTATCAGTATAAAATTGATGTTAAGGACGTAGGATTGGATATACATTTGGATTCAACTCTTTCTCATCGGCCTCTGCATTCGACTTCTTTGCTGCGACAGGCTTGGGTGGAGCTGCAGCCTCCTTCTTCTTCTTTTCCTCCTCCTTCTGTCTTTGCTTCTGGCGCTTCTTCAATTCGGACTTGGAAACCTTTTCACCAGTGACTTCGTCAAGATGAAGGTTTGCCACGGCCTCGGTGGGCGCTGACGAGCTTGCTTCGTCCGCCATGATTGCGTTGTTTAATGTTTGAGAAGAAAAGAACGATCGTGGTGGGGGAAGTCTTGTGCGTTTAAGAAATAATTTTGGCGGGGTTGACTCACGATTGAATCCTGACATCTAAGGCATAAAATTTAAGACTCATCTTCAAACTGCTTCTGTCTCTCCTTGAATCTCGTTCTCCTTCCTAGTGGGAATAATTTTTTAATCCATCCATTGAAGTAAGAAATAACCATTCCAACCGTTTATTACAACATTTTACAATCCAAGCTTGTTTTCTTCATTTGGTATTCTTCTCAAAGCTGTCCTCATGCCATCAACGCAGCCACACCGAGACCTCCCATCACAACCCCAAGCATGACTGACAGATCCGTGTTCTTTCCCCCTCCACTAGGCGTTGAAGTTGCCGCAACGCCACTAGAAGTACTAGAGCTTTTGCTGGTGGTCGCAGCTGATACTGAAGTTCCTGTCGAAGTCGGCATCGTGGTCTCGACACTGAGACCTGGCACGGACGCCGATAACGAACTTAAACTCGAGACCGGCATCGAAGTCACGCTTCCGCTCCCAGATGTAGATGAAGAGGTAGAGGTAGATGCAGATCCAGATCCAGAAGTCATTGTTGTAAGAACACCGCCTTGCAAAGCTGCTGGTGCAGAAGCTTGTTTTCCCGAAGCATTCTCGACGTAGTCCGAGACAGTCTGTCCAGATGGTGGATTTACGACTCCAACCATACCATCCATACAATGAGCTTCGAGAGAACAATAGAACCAGATTGGGTCTGTTGAATTTATAGTGACGATGAACGTCATATCCTGATCAACGTCAGTCTCGTCATTCGGCGAATTAAGAGGGTGCATACTCCAACGAGATCTCCCTTGATATAACCCGAGAAGAAAGCATCAGTAGCTGGTTCACACGGGCTCGAAAATGGTCCAGACACAACACTATGACCTCCCGATCCACTGTAGAAGTGGAAGTTCAGACTGTTCCTTGTTAGCTATCATTCTCAATCCACAGATGAAGATTACGCACGTGTCACCGACAGCAGCAGTGAGTGTATCCGGCGCAAACGACAAACTCGCCCCCTTGCCAACATCGATATCATGGACCACAGCAATAACAGCCGTCGCCAACACAAGAACGTTTGCTAGGAAGCGAAACATCGCTTCTTGCAGATGAGGTAGTTTGAGATAAATATTGTGTTCGAGAGAATCAGGGTTCAGGTGACACCCCGGAATATATAACCCCGCCTCATCCGCACCACAGAAACCTTACCTGCCTAAGGTTACCTGTGCAAAGTGATATCACAGTCAGCCACAGACGAACCAGTCACCAAACAACATTCACTTCACAGCGTCAGCAGCATTCCAGTTCATACGAAGCAAGTATCCAGGTATTTCTATATCCGTCATCGTTGTCGGGACATTCGAGATCCATTCCTCGTTCCCTCAAGCCCGGGTCCGGGATCGACCAATCCAGAGCTCCCAAGAGCGTCGTACAAACGGTGAAAAAGCACACAGCCTCCTCCACGCAGATCAATCACAAATCGGAATGATCGGATTGCGACGTACACCGCATCCAGCAGAGAAAGGAATGAGCATTATTCCGTCTGCAACATCTCATGCTACCGAGAAAATTGAGAACGTGTCTCGGCTCCTGTCGATCCGGGGAAGACCTATCACGTGCAAAAAACATCCACGGCTGGGATTGGACGTGTTCCTATCGGAACCGGTAGACTATTGGGATCTTGCAGTTCACGATCGGGAAGCCGGTGCATAGGGCGAAGAAGTCGACGTGCAACAGAAGCCGCGGACTTCGACGTGGCGATGTATGTGGCTTGCCGTGCGAACGGGAGTGAGTTCTCAGTAGTTGGTATGACGGGAAGGCGCGGGAAGCAGTGTATCCATCTCAAGATAAGAGCACGATAAGTCAGAGCAGTGTGTGTGGATGGTGAGTTTTAATCAAGTGATGATGATGATGATGATGATGGGATATATTGCTTTGTTTTGCAGGATGCTGCTATGCTGCTATGCTAAGTCATCATCAATGAGAAGAGAGCCCAAACGCCACATCCGATCCGGGGGTCAAGATCTACGCAGAAGAAGCAGAAGCAGGCTGGACGAGTTCTCGACGGTGGAACGTCGTGTTGAAATTCAGTTGGCGAACAAACCATGCGTTATGCAACGTCCAGTCCTTCGATGGGTCTTCGAGACGAACCTATTGGATCATCAGCCTCCTTTATACTTAGGAAGGAAATAAGTATACGTACCTCGAATCTCCTCAACACAGTAGGAACCAACTTATAAATCTCCAACAAACTAATATTCTTCCCAATACACGTCCTGGCCCCCATCCCAAACTGCAACATCGTCCCCGTCATCTCCTTAATCCTTTTCTCCTCCTCCTCCCTCCCCTTCCCCTCATCAACCAACCACCGTTCCGGCCTAAACACCTCGACATCCTCCCCGAAAATCTCCTTATTCCGATGCAGAACCCAAGCCGAACACCCCACAATCGTGCCTCCCTTGACAAAATGCCCCGCGATCTCCGCCCCCTGCGGCGGCACAATCCTCTCCATCGGCAGGCCCGGCGCGGGATGCAAGCGGAACGCTTCCTTGATACACGCATCCAGGTACGGCAAATTCTGGCTCTCGCTCCACGTCACCAATCCATGCTGCGTATCCTTAAAAAACCCCTCCTTCGCCTTGGCATCGAGCTCTTCGTTCAATCTTGCCATGCACCGCTGGTTCTTCAACAGGTAGTAGAACACGGCGCTCAGGGAGATGGCCGTCGTTTCGCTGCCGGCGAACGCCATGCTGACGGCCATCGTCATGACGAGGGAGTCGGTCATGAATTCCGGGCGGTCGGTCTTCGCTTGCACGAACTTGGAGAGGAGGTCTGGTTGCGACATGGGCTTGACGGGCTCGGTGGACGGGAGGACCGAGGACTTGTCTTTGCTGGTTTTGGATTTGGGGTAGCGTTCCGCCATGCGGTCTTGGGCGAAGCGGGCGACGGGCATGGTGGCGTCGATGAGGCCGTATTTGGAGAGCATGAGGTAGATGGGGTTTTTGAGGAGGAGGAGGTCGAGGATGGGGATTTGTCCGATCTGGGAGTTTTTTGTTAGGAGAGGTTTTGCGGAGATGGGGGAAGGGGAGGGGGACTTACAGGTGCAACGTAGTCGAAGAGACTGGCGATGTAGCTGATGATTCCGTCTACATCTTTGTTGTCTTCTAAGAATCCGTGGCGTTTCGAGTAGGTCATTTCTCCAATGACATCGAATGCGTAGAACTGGAGCCATCGGGAGAAGTTACACGCGGCGCCTGTTTTGGCGTAGAGGTTTTCTGTTTGGGCGAGGAAGAGCTCGGTGGTGGAATCTACGAATGGCTCGTATTGGATCAGGGTTGACATGGAAAAGGCGCTGTTGACGGATCTTCGGAGCTGGGCGTGGAATGCTTCGGAAGTGGTGCTGAAGAGTGATGGGAGACGATGGCCTCCTGCAACGGATTGTTGGACAGGGTAGAATTCGGACTTTGCTGTTAGCATTCATTCATCTGTTTTGGGGATATTACAGACCTTCACAAATCCCTTGTTGAGTCCATAAATGGTCTTCAAAGCTTTCGGGTCCGCAAATGAGAGATCATTGGGTCCTAATCGTACAACATCTCCATGCTTCTCGTGTAACTTGATGTGCTCAACTTCTGGTCGTCGCTTGTACACAATCCAGAATCTCCACCAGTCCGTGAATGCTGCCAACCATGGTCCTGGATATTTATGCAGACCATGATTATACTTGTTGCTGAATGCGTATGCCACAATTGCAACGCCAAGGACTACTCCCCAATGTCGTATCAACACCTCCACTAACGACTCTGAAGCCATGATTGCTTTCTCAGAATTAGAGAGAAATGCTGTTTCTCACGACACGTATTTTGGAATCGTTGACTCTTGACTCGTGGAATTGAAGTGTCGGCAAAGCAATAAGATTATGTGCGTAAGCAGCGGCCGTCCTGACTCAACAGTGAGCACTTGCGCGAGAAGAAGAAAAGAGCAATCCAGGGACGGTCGTCGTTTTTAGCTCAATACCCCTCCAAAGCCCTCTGTACTTTGGCGGGACACGAATATATTAAAGAGCCAAGAAGAGGGTGTCCCGCAGCGGCACAGCATCGTTCACGGCGGGAAGCATTCATCCAGCCTCCACATCCACATCCACATCCACAATCCACACAGCGTGACACAACACAACGTAGCTCAGAAGGGAAGGGCAAAAAAACACGACCAACAGAGCAACAGGAAACGCATCTGATACTTTGGGCCAGCACGGGCTTGGCTGCCCTCCCCGAAGGCACGAACGAGCGTATAAGAGAGCTGCCGACAATTTCTAGGTGGTGCAGCACGCTCACCTCACCACGCAACGACGCGGCACGCGGAGAAAAGTTTCTAACGTCCATAGTACGGGACATGTTCCCTGAGGTAAGTGACGCAAAGGCCCATCTGCTTACTCCGGCTTGACAAGGGCATCGCTCCTCCAAACGTGGTCCAGAGGGGGGTCTAAACGCCATGAGGAAGTAGCGTCCGCTGTCACTGGGCTGCTCGACCAGAAACCCAAAAGATGCGGCAGATGAACTCGGAGATGGAACCCAGATTTGGGGATCCGAAGCAGCATCAGACCAAAGGGATGCTCACCAGAATAGAAAACTTGGCGTGGTGGGAGGGATGTGGATGACCCCGCCTGCGTGCGTGCAGGCTTCGAGGGGAATCTGGGATGGTGGAAGGGAAGGGTGAGAAAGAGAGAGGGAGAGAGAGAGAGTGGGAAAGTCTCGCGTCGCTGTGCCGAAGACACCGGAACCCCGCCATTTGTGGCTGCTTCTGTGGCGTCTGGCAGTGTTGTGATAGGGCGGATATATCCATGTCTCTCAGGGATAATGATTGTTATGCAGGCATCATCAATAATGCATACGATCTGGTGGGTGGGCGTTGTCTGGATTGTTGCGCTCTGGCGGGCCAGGTGCATGAAGGATGATGCGGGATTGAAGTCGAGGAGGAGGTTCTCGGATGGGGAGGGATGTCGTTGTGGGGATTTTGGGGCTTTCGTCTCATCAAGCACGCATCACGGGACATGGAATTCTTCTCACTCGGCAAAATTCGGCAGTTCGAGTCTCGACACTTGCCGAACGAACTCTCTCATCTCACCAAGACAACGCAAGACATACCTACCTTAAGGGGCGTTACACTTTTGATCGGATTGATCCTCCCGCATTGATTCGACGCCTCCGACTCGACGTTAATACGATACTCACCTTCACGGCAGTTGTAACTCGAGCTGATCTTTGTCGACCAGAGTTTCTGCTTGTGTTTCGTTGCGAGGTCGAGAGCGAGAGCGAGAGCGAGCGAGGTCCGATAAAATGGACTCGGATTTCCCCCCAACCCAACCTAAGGGGAGACGGACACACACGGCACGATCCAACACCCAAGATCTCACAGTTGGCCTAGCCTAGGTCTAGAGTCCAGATTGACTTTGACCACGGGCATTTGACCAGAGCCACTGAAGAGTCGGGAATGTGGGGTTGGGAACCCCATCGTGTGGGACGAGACGAGTACCAAGATCTTCGTGTGACGGCGTCGATTAATGATTGGAATAGCTTGACTCTCAGCTTTCTCCGGAACGCGAACATGTTTCGGGCTCGGAGTTTTTGATGTTGACATTTGTGATCTAGTTGATTATGGATGATTGAGTGAGCAGGACTAACGGCTTGTGCCGTGTCTTTACGGTAGCAGATTTCGGCTATTGTGAGAAGAGTCCCAACAGGTCCCAAAGGGTGGAGAGAAAAAGGAGGTCCACGTGATCCGCTCGCTGTTCTTACTTTTCTTGTGGCCTTCTGATTACAGACTTTCCAACATTGGACAGTTCCAATTAATATTCAGAGCTCTCATAAGAGCGCTCAAAACCACATGCCACTTGACTTCGCATGTCGTAGGTCTCCTGGACGGAGGTGAGGAATCAATTGCAGGTTGCAAAGGAACTGATTCTCTATCTAGGAGCTGCAGCTAGAAGTAGTGAAGAGAAGGTGAGAAGTACTTTTTTCCTCACAACAGAACCATGCAATCCTGTCTCTAGACATGTGAGACTCCAGTAAGTATATCAAATTCGAGCAACCGATTCCTCTGTAAGAGTTACCCCCCTCCTCTCCTCCATCTCAAACATCTCCCCACCAACAGACTCCTGCGCAACAAAGATATCCTCACTACCCTGCTGCCCTTCATGCACCTCCCTAAGATGTTCCTGGACCTGTCTCACAAGGTCATCAGCCTCTTGATGACCAATATTAGCCTTCATCTTATGCCTAACATATATCTTCAAAACCGGGACCCTCAACAAGAACCCCAGAATCTTCGTCTTCAACGGCAACGGCCCCCAGCGTTCCTCATACAGCAAACTGCCAACCAACAAGATGATGAACAACCAATAGACATTGTACACAATCACCGAGCCATACGTAGCCGTATTCTGCCACCCCAACAGCGCATTAAAGACATCCCACCCGCGGCCCGTCTCAGGATTACAGCAATCGACATGCCACACCGTCTGCCTTACATCGTAGGATCCCGGCCCATCACCTGCCTCCGCGACATCGCTGCCGACTTTCTTCTGGAAGTGCTGGTATTGGAGACTCCACACGGATTTGGAGAGCATGCCAGCGGCGATCAGGTACAGGAAGCTGGTTGAGATGATCAGGAAGATTTGGATCGAGAGCCGGTTGCCGCCTTTGTACATGAGGAAGCCGATGGCGACGGCGGCGAGGAGGCCAGCGAGGAAGGGGAGCGGGTAGGATGAGGCGGGGGAGCCGAGGGAGACGCCGCCGACGAAGACGACGCATTCGACTCCTTCTCTCACGACTGTCATGAGAGGGACGACAAACATGACCTGTACGATTATCAGAGCCAGAATTCTTGCAAGTGTAGAATCGAGAGTTGCAACGAGACGTTAACTTCAAGTCATTCGGAATGAGACGATGGTCCAAAGGTATCGAGAAACCCACATATCTCGCGGCCCAACTGCCCAACCATGCCCACACCCCCTTCTTCCTCTTCTGATCCACCAGAGCCTTAGAAATCTTAACCCTCCACTTCTCCTGCGACTTATTGAGTCTCAGAAACCCCAAGCCCATAATGGTAATAAAGAAGGTCGCAATAGCATAAAAAATGCCCTCCCAGAGATCCTCAGCCTTGGCCCACAGGTTTTTGCCGAAACGATGGAAGATGACGGCGAAAGTAACGCCAATGATGATGGAGAGCACGATTCCGGCGACGACTCCCGCCCATAGTTGCTTGACGATGCGACAGTGGATACGGCGGTCTTGACCCGGTTGCCCTAGGCTTTGCTTGAGGAGGGAGAGGAGGGTCGAGATGATTATGATGGCTTCGATGCATTCGCGGAAGACGATGAAGAAGATTGTTAGGGCGAAATACTTGTGCATTCCGGATGCTATGTTTTCTTGATTAGGATCGCAACAGTGATGGTTTGCTTGAAGGGGTTGAGGGGATCTTACAGGAAGTTATGACTGATGAAGAGTTTGTTTATTGCGCTTGATAGCTAGATTGACGAGGTATCGAGACTGGAATATGGAAAGATGAGGCAGGATGCTCGGCCAGATGTGGTTGTCAATGGAAAAGAAAAGTCATAAAGAAGGAAGAAGTCGGAAAGATAGAAAATCTGTCTACAGTAACGCTAGGTAGGGAGTCATAATCGATGCTACGTTCCCATAAAGTCCACTAACCTTGAACACCTTCGGAGTTAGTGAACAAATTTGGTTTCGGAAGCAATGTCGATGCATATAAAATGAAGGTAACAACGCTTATCCTTCTTCTTTAAATTTTGACAACTGCGAATTCCACTGCACTTAGTCCCCACAGAAGAAATTGATTCCAATTGCCTCTCCTTTATTCTAAGAAAGCTAATTGAGACATTCACGCCTATCCAAAACACTCTCCTCTACGGCATCATTCGTCATGAATCTTCAAACACTCATCAGCATACGCAACATTTGCGCTATTGCTCTTTGCCTCTGGGAAAGCAGTGCGAAGACCGTCACTTACGACTTCAACGTCACCTGGGTCACCGCAAATCCCGATGGATTGGCCGAGCGGAAAGTGATTGGGATTAATGGCCACTGGCCACTTCCTATCATCGAGGTCGACAAGAACGACCGCCTGGTGGTCAACATGTATAACGGTTTAGGCGACAAAGATACCAGTGTACATTTCCACGGCATGTATCAGAATGGCACCAATAGCATGGACGGCCTGAGTATGGTCACGCAATGCCCTGTCCCGCCTGGCTCGAGCATCACTTACAACTTCACGGTTCCGCAGAATGGCACGTATTGGTATCATTGCCACACTGACTACTGCTATCCTGATGGTTATCGTCAAGCCCTGATTGTCAATGATGCGAATGCCTATTTTTACGATCAGTACGACGAACAGTTCACGATTACTTTGAGCGACTGGTACCACGAGATGATGACAGAGATTGCACCAGACTTTATCTCTCCATACAACCCAGCTGGCGCAGAGCCCATCCCGAACGCCTTCCTTTTCAATGACACTATGAATACAAGCATCCCGGTCCAGCCGGGGAAGACATATTTGGTGCGTCTGATCAACACTTCTGCGTTTGTGGCTCAATACTTCTATATCGAGGATCACACCTTCGACATTGTCGAAATCGATGGCATTTATACCGAGCCAACCCAAGCCAGTACACTCTACATCCACGTTGCTCAGAGATACTCTATTCTCCTAAGAACCAAAAACGCAACCGACCAAAACTACAACATCGTGACCGTTGCCGATCAAGTGCTGCTTGATGTCGTACCAAGCCATCTAGTCCTGAACCACACCAATTGGCTGGAATACAATTCTTCAGCCCCCAAGACCCAAGCGAACGTCACTCTAGATATCGTTAGCGGCCTTCCAGCTTTCGACGACTTCACCCTAGTCCCATACGACAAACAGCCACTTCTCCCAGACCCCGACTACACCATCAATCTGCAAGTAGCCATGCGAGAACTAGCCAACGGTCTCCCATACGCCTTCTTCAACAACATAACCTACACCCGACCCGACGTTCCCACTCTCTACACCGTCCTCTCTTCCGGCGACCTCGCCACCAACGCAGCCATCTACTCACAATACACCAACCCGTTCATCCTCCCCAAGAACGCCGTCGTAGACGTAATCGTCAACAACGCCGACACCGGCTCCCACCCCTTCCACCTCCACGGCCACAACTTCCAAGTCCTCGCCCGCTTCCCCTCCTACGGGCCCTCCTTCTACGCCTACAAATCCCCCACCTCTTCAGGCGTCTCATACGATCCTAACAACCACCCCGCCTTCCCCTCCTTCCCCGCCCGAAGAGATACCCTCGTCATGCCTCCACGGGGCTACTTCGTGATCCGCTTCATAGCCGACAATCCCGGCGTCTGGATGTTCCACTGTCACATCGACTGGCACCTAGAGCAGGGCCTGGCTGCTACATTCATCGAAGCTCCGCTCGAACTCCAGGCTCAGCTTTCGATTCCGGCGGACCATCTCGCGGCGTGCGAGGCGCGCGGTATTAAGACTACTGGCAACGCGGCGGGGAATGTAGAGGATTTTTTGGATTTGAGGGGTGAGAATAAGCAGGCGGGGTTCATTCCGTATGGGAAGTTTACGGCGAAGGGGTATGTGGCGATGGGGGTTTCGGTTTCTTCGGCGTGTGCGGGGATTTTGTGTTTGGCGGTTTATGGGATGTCGGATGGGAAGGGTGGGAAGAAGAGTGGCGGTGGTGGTGGTGAGGAGTCTGGGGAGTTGGAGGGAGGAGTTGTTTCGAGTGGGGAGTGTTCTGGGGGTCATGTTGTTGATGCTGCGGTGGTGGTTTAGAGATTGGTTGGTCCTGTGTGTATAATGTATTGCTGTATTTCTGAATGCTCTGCTATATGATGCCGTGAAGCCGGAGCTCTCGTAACGAGTAGGGAGAAACTGACGTAGTTGTTAAACTTTGAATTTTCAGATGCCGTAGAGAATTGCAAGTGTAATATGAAGAGAGTCGCGCTATGATAAAGTCAAAGAGAGACTTCAGTCTCTGCATAAATTCCGACTTCTTAAACAGGCAAGCCTCGTGAGCAGGTGATCAATGATATTTATCTTCCATTTCTGGAAAGTATCTCTGCATTCCTAGTTGTGGTTTGTGATGTTAATAATATATCCTCTGTTTTGATCGGTTGTTAGCCCATTTCGCGCACTCCGCGCGTTCTGCGCGAAATGCGCATTTTGCGGGATTAGCGCGATCTGTAAATCCAATTTCACTTAAACATAATTTCCAGCTTGACCTGCTTTGACTTATTTATCCTGAACACTTAAAACAGGGTTAGAAATTCTCATAAAACATTAGGTTTTCTAGGAATTCAACTCTTCCTGGCTATGATCCCCAAACTAAACCTACCAATCAACCTATCGACTCACTCTAAGAAGAAACTCATATCAGCCCTCATACGGAGTAACGAAGACCTTCAGAACAGCCAAACTACTAGTCCCAGGACTGAATTCATCGCTCGAGCATACAAAGTCCTTCGCGCTGGCTCCTTCGAATTCAAAGTTGAATTGTTGCACCAGAGTGGCGAGAACCAAATACATTTCGGCCCACGCAAGACTTACATCATATAATTAGCCAGGCTGGAAGATCATCAAATGAAGAGTATATACGATGGAAGGGGTTAGAACTTACTACATGCCAATGCACATCCTAGTTCCTTTCGAGAACGGCGCAAACACCTTGTCCGCCCTCTTCCGCACCTCAAGATCCATCCAACGATCAGGGTCAAAATGTCTTGGGTCCGGATACAACGTCTTGTCCATATGCAAAGTTAAAACGGACATCCCGACAGGTGTACCAGCAGGTATAACCCATTCTTTGTACATAATGTCTCTATCTGGAGCGATGCGTGCCAGGCGTGAAACGACACCGGGACTCATGCGCAGGCCTTCCATCAATACTGAAGTCAGATAGGATAGCTGTTCTAGTCTTCTCCACTCGAATTTATCTGCAGAACCAAGCGTTGCAAGCTCGGTTCGGAGTCGCTGAAGGATGTCGGGCTTGCTGAAAACGTGGTAGATGATTAATCGCAAAGCGGAGGAAGTTGTCTCGAAACCGGCGCTGGTCACGGTGGCTACGTCCCCGGCAACGCGTTCGAAGGACTTGTCTGAGGTAGGCAGGCTGGAGTCCATTATTTCGTGGACTATGGTACGTTGGGCCTTCTCATCTGGGCTAGGTGAGGTTGCGGCTGCCATGAGTTCCTTTGTGTCCTGTTCACTGGTCTATAGCTGCGTATCAGTAGAGAAGAAAACAATTGCACACTGGCTACGGTGACTTACTCTTAACATACTGAGGAAGGCTTTGGTATCGTCGTTTGAAAGTTTCATCGCCCAGTCGAAGGGTATAGCTTTCATTGCGGGACCAAACCAAGTTATATGCTTGGTCATGCGCCAGATGAAACCAAAGCCTGTTGTCGTCATATTCGTCAAGGCGATGTTGAAGTCCTCATGGTCAAGATCATTGTAGCTTTTACCAATCATGAACTCGGTCGACACATCTCTGGTAAAGGCGCTGAGGGCAGCTCCGAGATTGATGGGTTTTCTTGAACCGGAAACCTTGGAAAGCCGGCTACAAAGCTTTTCCAGATTCCGCAGGATTAGTGCTTGTTGGTTAGCTACTTTCGTCTTGGAGAAATAGGCATCCAGTGGCTGCCGCCGGGCTTTATGCAACTCGTGGTTCGCAGTGGATATGATTGAATCTTTTACTCCAAAGGCATCATAAGCCCAGGAGTACTTCTCCCAGCGTCCTTCCTGGCAATATAGCTTCTCGTAGAAGGCCGAGTCTAGGATGTGAAGTTCGTACGGACTGATTCGGATGATTGGGCCTTCGCTCCAAGGTCAGATAGAGCTTGTTCTTGGTATTGAGAAGAGCGATAACACACCATATTTCTTGTGCAGCTCTTGGATTCTGAAGATGTACTGGCCATTCTGGACGATGTCGTAATAAGCTTCATAATATCGAGTTATGGCTGCTACTTTTGGACCTGGGAATTTGGCTAGAGGATGGAGGAACAAACGGTAGAAAATGAGAGTTGTGAAATACACGGTCGCTGACCCCACGATGTACGGCCATGAGAGCAGGAGGGCCGTTAGGATTTCCATGGCTGCTGTGATAGAGGTGGAATAATTCTGCAAAGAAAATCATTGCCCGGCCTTCTTAATCTGCTAATCGTGTCCACTACCTATGGTCGTGGTTTGTTGGTTTTCTCAGGCACTGACCGTGACCCGGTTGCAGACCCCCCTGCCCTTTCTCGGCACCCCCTTATGCAGCCCTTGCGGACCATCCGATAAGCCATCCAACATGCAGGCCTATATGATTGAGTTGGATCGAGTGGAAATAACCCATTTGCGGCTTTTCGAGATGTTGGCAATTGTTTTAACAGGGTCTGGCGATCATGTCTCCATTCCTCCATGCCTATGGGAAAGCTGCAAGAATCAGAGCATTGAGCCACGTGCAGTAATATTAATTTACGTGGTGCTACTTGAACCTTCATGGGCTTCGTAAGGCTGATGGCGTTTCGGAACTTGCTATTCTAGGTGGTAAATGAGCTGCAGAAGGCCCTATTCGTGTCTCATTTGTTGGATTTGAATTAGGCAGATATCATCAAAGCGTGCCGGTATGCCGTTTATGGGGAAATAGATACCGAGCAAACGTGTGTCTTTCTCCTCCTTTCAAACCTTTATCATTTGATGTTCCACTCATGATCACTATTCTTGATCAAGAATATTGAGTCAAAAGGATGGGGGACAACAGCCACAATGCAGAGACCACAGCTGGAACTAACTTTGATCCTTCGTTCTCGACTCTCCAAAAGTCTATGGCCGAAACTCAACGAGAGACTGATTCGGACGCATCGAGGGTGTCAAAGACCCGCCTAGACGGCACCCACGACGAGTATGTCACTGGCCTCAAGCTGGCAATAATTGTTGCTAGTGTGTCTATGGCATGGTTCCTCGTGTTGCTAGACACCATGATAATAGGCACAATAAGTTCTGACCTAGTTGAACAACCAATTCCCTTCGTGAACCTGTACCTGATTGTGACGTAACTTTAGGCAATCCCGCGCATTACAGATCATTTCAAATCCCTCGCAGATGTCGGATGGTACGCTAGTGCTTATCAGTTCGGAAGGTACTTGAACTCTTTCATCGGACTCGATTTACTCAGCGAACAAGTCGCTGATCTATCTTTCAGTGCCGCTCGGCAGCCTTTGACCGGAAAGGTTTACACCCACTTCAAGAACAAAATTCGTGTGTAATCTTTATGCCTGCTACGCGCGCGAGGATAGTTATGATAACAATAGTACTTATAGTGGTCCTTCCTATTCTTTTTTGGAATATTCGAACTCGGATCTTTGCTTTGTGGTGTGTTGTCACGACTCTCTCCTTACCCTGGTAAGGTCACGTGGGTTGGTATGGTGAATGAAGTAAGATAAGGCAATGATATTGTAGTTAGGAAAACTTAATCAAGTTGAGCACGAAGCTCCTATCTAACGGGTGACAACCCAGGGTTATATAGAACCTGAGTGTCGTGGAGTAAAACCCCCTCCTGGAGTTTTACTGTACCTTGGAGTTTTACGGGAGAGTAAAACTCCATCACGTGACCCACCGTGCGGCCTGAGGCCCACTAGTCCCGTGATCGTGACATGTGTCTATCAACTCAATCATACTAACAGTCGGACGTGCTGTTGCCGGAGTTGGTACTGCTGGAGTTATCAATGGAGCCATCACTATAATTTCAAGCTGCGTGCCCTTACGGAAACGTCCAGGTATGTGGCGGAGATTCACTACAATTATGATACGTCTGGCTGATAAGTGTCGATAGCTCTGATCGGACTAACCATAGGAGGTGAGTGTTGTTTTGAGAGGCAGTGCATTATAAATCTTGCGAGATTAACATTGGTGATGCAGTCAACCAGCTTGGCATTGTCCTCGGACAGTTGCTTGGAGGAGTGTTTTCTTCGTTCGTGTCATGGCGATGGTGTATGCGTCCTCCATTCTTGAATTCACCTATGCTATGTGCTAACGGAACGCCTAGGCTTTTACATTAACTTGCCTTTTGGCGCTCTGATGGCCACTTCTCTTACTTTCCTCCGAATTCCCGAGCAAACACCTAAGGCAAGAGCTATAGGCTATGGCCATCTTGCCGAAGCTAACACCACTTTCTCGATTTGCTAGGGTTCTCCCTCTTTGCTCTAGCAGTAATACAGCTACTTCTTGCTCTTCAATACGGAGGGAACCTTTTCGCATGAAACTCCTCACAAGTTATTGGCCTCTTTTGCGGCTCTATTGCAACCTTTATTATCTGGTTATTGTGGAATCGCTATAAGGGAGAGGATGCTTTACTTCCTGTTTCTGTTATTGGTCAGCGAATTTCGGAAAAGGGATGGGCAGGAACCGGTGCTCGATGCAGTTCCAAATACCATGGATGAGGGCTAGGAAGGAGTTTGCCAATACCATCCTTGTATCATATACGTTCATACAAATGTAATTTACTGCGATTCCGAGATCCTGTCGACTTCGTAAATTTCAAATGCTGGTGGGTACACTCTAGTGGAAACCATCTACACGTCATTAAGCTAAAGTTTTAATGTGGCCAAGATCAGTTGAGGTTGAACTCACACCAATTCCATATACGCTTCGGACGGAAGATGCGAATTGCATCAATGCCGCAGCGATTGCGTGGATTTGATGTCCTCACACCGCGGGATGAGATCGTGAAGATTTCCTGGTTGTGACATCATGGAATGGAGGAAAATCCGGCACATCATGTAGGGACTTTACCCTCATTTATCTAAGTAGCATTTCGACTGCGAGAAAAGAAAACACTAAGTCATTCTAAGATTATGTCAGTAGCCGTATTACGTTCAAGCTAATCCATTCCTTTGCTAGCTGCTCGCTAATTAATTGTTCTATGATGCATTCTTTGAGTGACTTAGCGTGCCCGACAAAAGCCACCCATTTAGACTATTTACGGTTATAGATTTTAAAAAGTTGTTAGCTTATTAGTTAGTCACGGTTTTAAGTTCTTTGAAACTATTAAGAATCGTTTACCCTTTTGTTATTAATAAAGCTTAAAAATTATGGAGATTAAAAAAAAATTAAAAGTATTAAATTCTTTAAAACTTTAAAAATTAAAGTTAAAGCTTAAGTTTTGAAACTTAAAACTAAAAATATATCATTAATAGATTTTATTTGCTTTGGCAATTAAAACCGTCTAAAACCATCTAAAACCTAAACAGTCATGGTTATCAGTTTCCCCTAAACCGTACTAGTAAAGTCAGTTACGGTTTAGGGTCAAAAACGGACCAAACCACCCATTGGCGCTGCTTCTGTTAGCGTGTTGGTGAAATTGATGCAATTTCATGTTCAAGTGACTCGTCGATATCTTGCTGCTCTAAATGTCAGACTCTTTTTCAATATCATTTTGTCCGAAGCAATTTTGGATCTAGCTTACAAGACATGGCGCCCATGAACCTCGAGGATGTTTTGAGGCTCGCTGCGAGTGAGGATGAAGAACGCGGCATCACGATATATCCACTCGGAGCACCAGGCAATCTGAAGATATCGTAAGCCGATCTAGAGCTGCAGGCAAAGGAAAATGCCAATATAATTTCTAGATTGCCAAGCTTTGAGGCTAGGTCGATTGTGCTTCTCCACTTTACCGAGCATGTTGATAATATTGTCTGGTTTTGGTCTGTGATACTTGCTGGTGGCATTCCTGCAATGTCACCACCAATCAGTAATATCCCCAGTCAGCGACAAAAGGTACGTATGAATCTGGATCTTTGTATCTTACTGCCAATCGTTCGGCAGGTGCTTGCATGTAGTCTTGCCCATCTAGTTCCGAAACATGAGAACCTTGCTTTTGGAAGCCTTTCGGATTAAGCAGAAACTAATTATTATTGGTCCACAGCATCTTGAACATCTTTTCGGTCTCCTGGATAGTCCTATGTGCATCACGAGACTAGCATTATTGGACCAGTTCGTGGGACAAGATTTACTCAACCCTTACACTGTCGAAAGCCTCTCCTTGATTCAGTCCCATGAAAATGGCAATTCAACAGAGCATCAGAATGCAAGACGAACATCATATCCCAAGGACTTGGCTTCTCTGATGCTTACATCGGGTAGCACTGGGAATGCCAAGGCCGTCTGCTTGGACCAACGTCAAGTTTTGGCCGCCATCGCCGGAAAATCCACTATCCGAGAGATCCCTCGGGAATTCTCAGCATTGAACTGGATAGGTCTCGACCACGTGGGTAGCCTGATTGAGATACATCTTAAAGCAATGTATCTTGGTATTGAACAAGTACACGTCCAAGCTCAAGACGTGATTTCGGATCCTGCGCTTTTCCTGAATCTGATTGGCAGGCACCGTGTCGGAAGAACTTTCGCGCCCAACTTCTTCTTGGCAAAGTTGAGGCTACTGTTAGAAAGTAAAGATGTGGCCAGGCTGGACCAAGACCTTGATCTCAGTTGTCTTCGCCTTTTGATCTCAGGGGGAGAGTCCAATGTTATAGAAACATGTGGAGCACTGGCCACGCTTTTGGGTGATTACGGCGCGCCGCCAAATGTGATTGTTCCAGGCTTTGGGATGACCGAAACCTGCGCAGGGTCTTTCTACAACGTAGACTGCCCATCGTATGATATACAAAATGGGTACCAGTTTGCCTCTCTTGGCCGCTGCATGCCAGGCCTTCAGATGCGCGTTACAGTTCCAGGAAGTAAAGCTGAGCTGCCAACAATAGCTTCTACCAATGAACCAGGCCTCCTTGAGCTTCGTGGATCAGTCCTATTCAGGGGATATCTCAATAATACATCTGCAACAAACCTAGCTTTTAGCCCTGATGGCTGGTTCAAAACAGGTGACCAAGCATTTCTCGACTCCGCTGGCAACCTCAACATCGTTGGACGAAACAATGAAAGCATCAATATAAATGGTGTCAAGCACCTCCCAAACGAGCTCGAGACGGCCATCGAAGAGTCTTCACTCGAGGGTATCACGCAGAATCATACCGTGTGCTTCTCCTTCCGCCCACCAAGGGCTCAAACAGAGCAAATATTTATAGTTTATCTGCCATCTTTTGATCCCGACAACATCGCTGCTAGGATTTCAACTCGTGACGCGATCATACAAGTCACGTTCTTTCAGACTGGGTCACGACCTTGTGTGCTGCCGTTAAACAGCTTATTTCTGCAAAAGTCGACGCTAGGCAAACTTTCTCGTTTCAAAATCCGTGCTGCACTTGAGCGCGGCGACTACAAGATGTGCGAGGACTTTGATAGGGCTCAGATAATGGATTACAACTCATCCAACATGAGTCAACCTGCTCATGAAACTGAACGCCTTCTCCGGGAAGAATTTTGCGAAGAGCTAGGTCTTTCCCAAGAATGCTCCGGTGTAAACACGCCTATCTTCGATATGGGTGTGAGCTCAATACATCTGATTCGACTGAAGAAAAGGCTCCAGATGCGTCTGTCCATCCCGGAAATTCCGATTCTGACAATGATGAGAAATTTGACGATACGATCATTATCAGCAGCTCTGAAAAATCTCAACAAAGCGGAAGAATACAACTCTGTTGTGATACTTCAACCAAATGGCCACAAAGCTCCAATATGGCTCTTTCATCCAGGTGTTGGAGAAATACTTGTTTTTCTGAATCTCGCGAAATTCCTCCCAGACCGTCCAGTTTACGCTCTTCGTGCTCGAGGCTTCGAAGCAGGCGAGACGTATTTCGCGAATATCCAAGAAGCAGTAACAATATACCATGCAGCTATAAAGACCAAACAACGAACTGGCCCTTATGCCCTCGCTGGTTATTCTTATGGCACCATGCTCGCATTTGAGACGGCAAAGCTGTTAGAAACCAACGACGACCGAGTAGCCTTCCTGGGCTGTATGAATTTGCCTCCACACATCAAATTTAGAATGCAACAGCTCGACTGGATAGAATGTCTCCTCCACCTTTCATACTTTCTCGGTCTTATCACTGCCGAGCATGGCGAGATGATGGCGCCGCGACTTCGAGGACATTCCAAAGAACAAGCGGTCAATTATATCCGCGAAGTCGCAAATCCAGACCGCCTACTCGAACTTGCTCTCAGCGCGGATGCACTTGCAAATTGGGCCGACCTAGCATATGGTCTCCAGAGTATGGCGAGAGAGTATGAACCTTCAGGAGCAGTAGCCGTGATCGATGTATTTTTTGCAGAGCCGTTAAAGATTGTGGCTTCCAGTAAAGAAGCTTGGGTCAAAGGTTGGCTGAGTAAGTGGGCAGACTTCTGTGATTCGGAGCCGAGGTTTCATGAGGTCATGGGTGAACATTATACGATGATTGGGGAAACCCATATTTCGAGCTTTCAAATAGTTTTCCGAGAAGCTTTGAAAACACGAAAGTTATAGATTTGACAAATATATACAGCAGCCGGTGATAGTCTGATCCACCAGGTCGAACCCAAGTATCTTGAAGCCGGCTAATCTTCGGCTGCAGCGCAAATTCGAGGTCCCCGCGCAGGTGATTCATGATCACGTGAATCTCTGCATATCGATCAATGTCCAGTCTCTTTTCTCTCTTCTTATTCCGATTCTTGCGAACAGTTTTGATAAATCTCTCTCATTAAAGGCCGCAAGTTTGAAGAAGTTCTTGGATTCGGATCGGGTCGACGGCCGGCCTGGTATTTCGCACCTGATGTCAGCCCTAAAACTTGGGAAAGGGACCCGTTTCCGTTCGCGTTCGTGTTGCGCAACTCTCACCAGCCTATCATACATCGAGCCTCGTACTTTCCAGGTATTTCGAACCAGCCGCATTTACAGTTGCAAGAGTTGATTGAGCTCTTCAGCTAGTCTCAAATATCTGGAAGTATTGAGTGATAATTCCCGACGGCCCCATCTTACCGTTTCTCCCGTGTCCTTCTGTCTTCTGTCTTCAATATAAAGATAGCTATTAGACAGCCATTAGACACCAGTGCTCTCCGAACATCCTCAATGGCGACCCCACCACCCAACCTCGAGTTCTCACAACTCAGCAAAGCCGTCTCGCTCTACACCCCTCCCTCAGAACCAAGCACCCCCAACCCAGACACTGACCCAACAACAATCATCATCTGTCAATGGATGGGCGCGTCCCCCCGCTCTCGAGGCCTAAACACCATCTACCACCAACATCATTCCTTATTTCCCCACGCTCGAATCATCACCATCCGCTCGCTCCCCGAATTCTTCATGATCACCAGCACCACCTCACGACTAGCAATGATCAAGCCCGCCATCGCAGCCATCGAAGCTGATCCCGTCGCCGGGCCCAGGATACTGGTTCATCTATTCAGCAACGGCGGCTCGCTGGAATTCGTAGACGTCTGCACGCTTTACAAGAAAGCTACAGGTCAAATTCTACCCGTGAAAGCTATAGTGCTGGATAGTTCGCCCGGACAGCCGACACTGATGGAGGGCTGGACCGCGATGAGTATCTCGTTGCCGAAGGGGTTGATGTGGTACCCTGGCGCGGCGGTCATTATTACGCTTTTGGGCATTACTTCTATTAGCAAGAATGTTTTCGGGATAGAGAATATTATCGAGAAGACGAGGAGGTGGCTGAATGATTGGACGACGGTGGATAAGAGGGCAAAGAGACTGTATGTTTATAGTGAGAATGATAAGTTGGTGGGGTGGAGGGATGTGGAGAGGCATGCTGAGGAGGCGAGGAGGGAGGGCGTGGATGTGAGTTTGTTGAGGGAGACGGAGACGCCGCATGTGCAGCATGCGTTTAAGGATTCGGAGAGGTATTGGTTGAGGGTTAAGGAGCTTTGGGATAGTGTTAGAGGGTGAGTGGGATGTTGTGAAGTTACTTCATCAGAGTCTAGATATGATTGCGTATAGACTGTTTTCGTTGCGAGCCTATTGTCTGTCTTTTGCCCCTCGGCAACTGTACTGGCTTATTTTCACACATCTCAATAACCAGAAGATATATCCTGTACAATTCGAACGTTTTCCTTGCTTACTCAATTCCTCTTAGTTATTTCAATGATCAATGATATCGAAGCTCTAGTTGAGTAGCAAGTGCTCCTTGAACGCGAAGTTTGAGAAAGCCCCATCTGCTGCCCAATGGGTAACAAGGTTCTCGCCTACCTAACTCAAGATTTTTGGCTCCTTCCCTTATTCCTCACATTGTATTGTACTAATCTTTATACTCTGTCTTTGGAGAATTGGATTGCTGCGGATGTATTTTTAGCTTTGGACATGAGAGGGAATTGCGGAAGTTTTGACGAAAAAACATAATTTCAAGTATTTGTTTGCATCGAGTAGTTATTCCTTTGAAGGTCAAGAGCGAGATGTCGAACTGATCTGGACTTGCTACCCGTATGCATGGTGTTTTTATCTTGAAAGGAGATTCGGAGAATAAGAAAAGAGAGGGGGTGTCAAATAGAGAGCTTGTGATTGGAGTTCGGAAGTCTGGTCAAGTAGTTGTCTCTGGCCTCACAATTCTCGACTTTCTTCACTTCCTATTCAATGCGCTCCTCTTTATCGCCGTCTATACCCCTGTCTCAAACAGTATTACCACAACATCTCCTAATCTCCTAATCAGATATTCAACATCCTTGCCCCATCAATCTCCGATCCGCATTCCGAGACATAAAATCCGATTCCCGAGCTGCGTACCCAAGTACTGTACCGGCATGCACGCATCCCTCCTTCTCCACAACCTCGCCTCGACTCGCTTCAACTCACCTCTCGTCTCCAATCCAACAAACCCAAGAACCAAGAAAAAAGGGCCCATCTCATCTCACGTCCCACTCAAAAACCTTCACCTCGCCGACCAAGCCCCAGATAAAAAAACCCCCCAAAAAGCTTATCACACTGCGCCGTCACCCATCATTATCAATCTCTTACAGCGCGGCGCATGCGCACGACAGACACATCGCCGACCTCGTGGATCGCGCTATTCGCCGCTGAACAAAAGCCACGCTCGCACGTCATTTTTCGCGGCGAGGATGCGGGCCGCCGACTAAGGTTACGCTGGCTGGTTGAGGCGGGAGTGACACAAGAACGGCGACCACGCGGTGCGGGTGGAGGAACATAAATTTTTTTGGGGCTTCTTCTTGTTGTGTCTCGGATGGGATGCCGAGGACGTGATGGACGATATATTTTTTGGCGTTTCGGGGTTTTATAATGAATGGGATTGTTTGCTCGCTCTTGTGCGCGAGAGAGATTTCGGTGACTGGATTGTCTGTCTTCTCGGGTTTGTCGCTCGTTTCGTTTACGTCGCGCTTGCCAAGTGAATATCTTTCTAAAGTGAATCTAGATCGTTGCAAACATGGACCTTCAGCTTCAGATCTGATCCACTGCACGCGTCTGGCAGGTACGAATAATATCCCACGATGTCATCGCCCTTTCGATCTTTCGGTATCATCTATCGCTCTTCATCACCACAACAACAACAACACCGTGAAGGCAAGAGCAAACACGAAACCATGGCACCAACACCAATCCTCAACTCCCTCGCAGCAGGCGCTGTATTCGGCGCCGCCTTGACGGCAGCGGGCGTATACTCCCCCTCCGTCATAGTAGGACAAATGCAACTTTCCGACTTCCACATGCTGAAAGCGTTCCTAGCGGCCAGCGCCAGCAGCGCGTACGTCTTCCTTCCTTCTCTCCTCCCTTCTTTCCCACAAGAACTAACCAAGAAACAGGATAGCAATAATAATCAGCCAACGTCTCCAGCTCACCAACTGCAAGCCCCGCACCCCCAATACGCTGAACCTCTTCTCGCCCTACGACGGCAACATCCTCGGCGGCGGCCTCCTCGGTATCGGTATGGCTCTCTCGGGCGCCTGTCCAGGGACTCTGCTCCCTCAGATCGCGACCGGCGTCCGGTCCGGTCCGTTCGTTCTCCTCGGTGGTATCTTAGGCGGGATCCTCTTCTCTGGGTACGGGAAACGGTATCTGGGCATGGTGTCGGATGGGGAAACGATAGCCAAGCCAACGGTGTATCAGAAAATGGGAGGAGATCGGACGAATGCCGTGGCAGTGTATGAGGTGATGTGTTTGAGCGGTATTGAAGCAGTGAGGAAGTTTTATCCTGAGAAAGTGGGTGTGTTGTTGCCTGCTGCTGTGGGGGGACTGTGGATTGGGTTTAGTCAGTTTATGAGTTTGTTCTTGACCGGGTCTACGTTGGGGGTATCGACTGCGTACGAACAGTTAGGAGATCTGTATTGGTGGCTCTCAGGCCGAGTACTCGAGGGGAAGAAAGGGCCTATGCCATCGATTCGAGGGACAGTGTTCGCGGCTGGGACGATGATTGGGGCTTTGGTATTGTCGATGCTCATAGAGATCCCCAGTCCGAACGAGAATATCGAAGTCAGCGCCGCAAGAGCGGTGATGGGAGGGATACTGCTAGTTGTGGGTGCGAGATTCGCGGGGGGTTGTACGAGTGGGCATGGGATTAGTGGGATGTCGCAGTTATCGGTGGCGAGTATCTTGACGTCCGCGTCGATGTTTGCGGGTGGGATTGCGTTCAATGGTTTGTTGCGTGCTTTTTAGCGGCTTCGTTCCTGTGTAGATGATCATTGTAGCGAATCTTTAGAATGAGTACCGAAATGGGAAGGCAAAAGCTGTGTCCTTTCAGTAGCAGGTCGATTTACAGCGGGTTGTATAGTACATGACACTCAGCAGCATAGCATGGAAACAGAAACGCAAGCAAGAACTAAATAGAAGGACGATGCATAGACCTCAGATTCAAAACTTAAAGTAAAGTTAGAGTTGTCCCTGCCGAAACTAGGAATCCCGTACCTGAGGTACTGTACAGGACGTGCTCGGTCATGGAGTCATCACTTGATCACAGCAACATAATCTACAGTAGCGCTGGATAGCTCTGTGCAGTGAATAGAGAGTTAAAGGTAGTCTGGACTTTCTCAGAGCTACTCTTCTTGGTAATTACCTGTGTTGCATTCGCTAGTTCTTAATACCTACCAAGGTAGGCGCTTAGCTATGTGATACGTGACTGGCCTTGCAGAACCGCAACGCCTCAAAGTAGCCACCATTTCTAAGGCGTGTAATAGAGTAACTTTGCTTAGCGAGTGAAAGATAATTGGATGAGTGAATTTCAGAGCGACGAAGATCGAGAGAAATCAGAAGAGTAGCCGAGATTCGAGAGCTAGGAGAGGTAGAGAAGTAGCATCTGGATATCATGACAACTCAGTTACACATTAAGGCTCTGAGAGCTGAGTGAGGAATAAAAATTGGGTAAGAGACTTGAATAATGAAGTAGGAGCGAAGCCGTGAGCTAGCTAAGCTGCAGTGGCAAGGCTTAATGGAGTGAGCAGTTTGGCTTTTTAGAAGCTGGAGCAATCATCAAGAGTAGACATAGTAGCTGGAAGGGAAAGATTTAAGCAACTTGAAGTTTACTTTCTTTGAGCCAACACCCAGGGGCAAGGGCTGTGAAGTTTATCAGTTTCTCGTTCTGTTGTATCATGACTCAATCTGTACAGTGAGATTATCATCGCGATAGTCATAAAAGAAGTCAAACGTACAATCATAGTTCACATGAGCAAAAACACCAAAACTGCCATACAGTGCAGTAAGGGCCAAATTTAACGCACTATTAGCATCTTCGATAACTTCTCTCGTTTTCAGCTATTAACAAACTCTATGAAGCTAGAAAGTGTACACAAAGTTCCTCTGTGATCTCTCAAAACGGAGTGGAGTTTGAATTTAGACAAACTAAAGGTTGAGAGGGTAATGAATTTGCTGCACGGTCACGAGGATGTGTTTTAAGATAACACGACGGCAAGCACACGAAGCAATGAAGAGCCCAAACGAGTACCTGAGCGAAGTGTAACGTTACAGAGACCAGCTCTATGGAGTTCTGGATGGGGTTAGACTCACCCAAACGACGCTTGCCTCTGGGACTCTAAGCTCTTTGCTATTTTCTACATCTCCAGATCGAAATGCACCCAGACAGTGTGTAAGGCACGAAACAGGGGTTAGCATAATAGAGTAGCAATTTCTGGGTATGAACCGAATTGATATTGCCTCGGTATGAATAATATCCCGAGTAATGAGCGGAGGTAAGAATAGGTATGTCGTCAATCCATAGCTCCGTGGACTTTAATCGATTGGCACTGTCGTTGTTTAATCGACTTCCTCGAACTGGCGGGGTTCACTTAAAGATCGTCAGCTTTTAATTGGGGCGCATAGTTTCCAATGCCTATTCCTAATGTTGTTCGTCGTGGGCGAAGATCATGATAGGAATATATTCACCCATGTGAAGCTACGCTCAGTCACTTTGCTATTGACGTGTTCTGGCAGCGGCTCGTCTATGCGGAAGGATCTCCAGATTGTATTGTGATTGGTGGCTAGAATGTCTGTCTGCTGGTTAGCGTTAGCCACGCAATGCATTCCTTCGGTAGGGGCCGATGCACATGCACGAACCCTTGAATACCCACCGCTCAACCGAGAAATGCGACACCGCCAACAAAAAGGCTTAAAGAACGAGATAGCGTTTAAATTCCATCAATTGCAATTTTAGTAGGCATATCAAATTCAAAGAGCTCCTGTCGGAAGCCTAACCATCCATGCTCGGCTGTAGATCCCAGATCCACCATGCTGCCCTAAATCTATGTCATACCGTTGCACAATCTTCCATCCATTCTTCTCATATGCGGTAGCAGCCTGTGGGGTACTCGTCAACCAGATCTTGGCATTTAATTCATCCGCCTTCTTCAAACCCCATTGCAAGAGCAAAGTCCCCACTCCCTGGCGCTGATAGTCGGGATGCACAAAGAAGAACGACAACGCTGCAGAACGTTGGCTCAATTAATTCTTAAAGAGGAAGTCTGAAAGTGCAACAAACACATATCTTTCCCAGGCTCCACATCTCGATCAGCAACATCCTTCAGCCCCTCGACCTTCTCACTCCACAGCGACACATTAACCCCTGGGATATTCGGCAGTCCTCCCTTCTCCACCTTACGCCTCACAGCTGCATTCCCTTTCGGCATGTTCCAAGTAGCGAACCCCACTACCCTTTCCCCATCCACAGCCTTGAACGTCAAGCGATCTTCCTTCTGCACTGGAGAGAAGAGGCCTTTCACCGCAACTATGTCGTGAATCCCATCTGGCGCTGTTGGTCCCGCCCAGATTAGTGGGTAGGCTGCATCCGAGGCCGAGAATGCAGATGTCATTATTGAGGCGAGGGTCTGCGCGTCTTCTTCGGTGGCAAGAGTAGTGGTTATGGCCGGAGAAACCATTTCGAGGATGCCGAGTATTAATTTATGAGATTGTCACGAAAGTTGTGGTGAGCGGTGTGTCAGTGATCTTTAAATGGTAATTGGGCTGAATAAGTCCCATGTGGGGTGTATACAAGATGATTTACAAGTAGCGGTATCTGCAAAAGCTTCGGATCCCAGAATTTGGATAACTTTTCTTTTAACCGCACTATTAAATTGGTGATAAGCTTGTGAAGATGTGGTATTCACAATCAAACAGCATGTTAAGGAATGAGTCACTAAACATCTCAATTAGGAAGGTGGATAGATTTTGCTATCACGCAATACCTATAGTGCTCCAAGTGCAACTCCTCTACCAAGTCAACAATGTGAGAGTAAGCAACTTTTGCAGGGCAGATGAATTCAGTGGGATCTTGCGAGCAGCATTTCTAGAACCAAAATCATTTGCTCAGGGTTAGAGCTAAAGAAGATCATAAGATACAATCCAGAACTCCTATGTTATGCTGTGATATACATCTAAGCTCTCCGTGGCACCAAGTCCATACCAAGATTTCTGTCACCGAATAACCCAAGTTACTTGCCAGGTGCCACCTCAAAATCGGTTTCTTTGCTTGCATACCCATACCTGGAACTTGGTCCATAGTGCCTCACTAACTCATAGATTGGTTTTGTGTCACGGCAGTATCTCAGCTCCTCGCCACCATCAATGACCTCCACAAATGTTCCATCATCAACTGGTCCTGGCTGACGTGACACACTTTCTAGTGTCCCATCGGCGTAGCACATTATTGACTATTTACGAGTAAGCATTGCTCGTTTGAAAGAAGTTTGAAAACATACAGATCGTAGATAATCGAAACAGTGTGGCCAATGCGCATCGTCTTTCCAGTCTTCTCCGATGTCCTCCCCTTCTCGGGCTCGTTGCAACGTCATACGCATTTTGGCAAGGCAGTGCATTTGATGAAACCTGTAAACAGAAAAGTGAGCCTTATGCAACAGCATCATTGATCTCAAACTTACATGCTAATGCTCTTCAAAGTAGCATTGGTGCTTCCATCCTCGGCAGCTGGCAAGATGATATTCCCACTTAACATATCGAGGTGTTCTTTCCAAAGCCAATCCGAATCGTGGTTAAGTGTCATGTATCTCAAGTCTCGATAGTAGTGAGTTTCCACCAAGTTCTCTTTCTTCCAACTTTCAACAACGGCATCGCCCGAGTTGTAAGTTTCTTCCGTGGGTGTCTTCATATCGGAAGCGGAACAGAGAGACACATCGTGAACGGAAGTCTTGTGAGAGCCAACGGCTACGAGGATGAGTGTGATAATGGTCATGGCTATTGACCAAAACTTCCAGAAAGGACTTCTATCAGCAGGCCATCGAAAGTTGAATTTTCTCCGTTGCTCTTTGAGAGGAAGGTGGTTTTCATCGCCGGTTAACGGGCAATCTTCGAGGTCTGAGACGGAGTTGCGAGAGTCATTGCTGTCTACAACGTCTTTCTCTAGATTGTAAGACATGTCTTAGACTGTGGTTATGATACCAAAAGATTTGCTGAGGCACTTGGGGAAATTGCTCGTGTTGGAAAAAGTGAGACTGAAATTTCGTAGATTTGCTGAGCGGGGGAATAGCTTTGCCTTCGGTTTCGATCATCGGGTACAATTGTTCCGCTCATGGTTGTAAAGTCATATATCACGACCTTGTTCACAGCCAAGATCCCTGAACAACTGTGAATTGCATTGATTGCGCTGCAAAACTTCTTGACTCCTGAATCCATGTCCAACCCCGCAGTGGCACAGCTCCACTCCACATACCGTTTCAATATTTCTGACGATGCCAAGTGACAGTTCCACTGTAAGGATTCATGCCTCTATCTAATAGAACTGATAGCAAGCATTTCCCGAGCAACGCTAAAATCGGGCCGGCTTACAAGTCTCCGCTGCTGTAACCTGGTTGCATATGCAGGTTTATCCGGTAGATGGTCGATCCTAGACGCCTTATCTGTGGGAGCCAGTATCCGAAGTTCATTGCGGGGTAGGGTTACGTCGCGGCCGGAATGGCCTAGTTGTGCGAGTACGAAGGGTTTCTTGCATTGCATGAACTCCATACCGTGGGTATCTTTTTCCTGGCAATTGTCAGGAATGAACTATACGATGGGCATCCTGTCATTGGTCTAACGAGAAGTCGAATGGATTCTGAAAATGGTTTTCTTGGCTTATCATGAATTAAGTACACGATTGGCATGCTTTCATTGGCTTAAGGAGCAGTCGAATCAAGTTCTTTTGACGAGTCACGAGGGTGAGTCCGTGATTTCGAGAGGGGACTCTTCTCGATCGCTGTTGACAACTCTGACCAATTTCCCTTCACAGTTAACAAAGGCTGAACTCCAATATTGCGCGAAAGAAAGTATTGCCATATCGTTACGCCGTGATAGGCTTCCCATAACCAGAATACCAAATCTAGCCTCCATATATGGTATTCTGGACATCCCAGCAACGATGTCTTCATGCCAACTCGCCAAATACACAAGCAGCTATCTACTACAGTCTTCGCCAATCATATATCTGTGCCACATCATCTCTGTCCTTTCTTCTCGTGGATTTACGGTGGTCCATCCCAAACAGCACCATGCTTCCAAGGACCTCTTCTCTCACCCTGCTTCACCCCATCATATCCACCATCGCAGTAGCCAAAGTGATCTCCAAAGGGAAACGTAGATTGATCAACACCCTTGGGAGTATCTCGATAGCAAGCCGTATTGTCAGTTGCAAACTGTCTCAGCGCATCCCAACTATTGCACTTGCGATACTGTTCGTCACCTGCTGTATCGTCTCCAAAGACGTACAGAGGCGTGGTATCTGCTTTGCAAACGATGTATTGACGAAGCATATCGAGGCAATGGCCAGAATGTGGGGGATTGAAAGTGTAGTGGTCTGCACGATTGACGGCTTCCCAAAACGTCTTTCGAATAACACCCTGATATGAAAGTTAGCGATCTACATAGATCTGATAGTTAGTTTGAGCCAGTGAACTTACCACGCAGTGAAGGAGATGATATGCTTCCAGGAGATAGACATTCTTACTGTTGTCACTTGGAAAGTGCATGCTGTCTGGCCAATGTCGCTCTTTTGCCCAGGTTCGGTCCATGGCAATGAAGCCATGAGCAGTATTCATGTTATCCCAGAGCATATCACCTTCCGTGAAGTTCTTGTCGCTATACTCAGTCCACCAGTTTAATCTATTGTACTGGGTGGGAAGTTCATCTATGCGAGCTAGGAAACATGCTGTCAGTTTCTGATATTCATTTCAGGTAGAAAAGCTTACCCCAAGAATTTGGAGCGTAGTCCAAGTCCAGGGCAGCATGGGAGTTCACCCTTTTGGTAAGGTGTTTGACTGCAAACAATCCGACAAATGTTGTGATATTTGTGACAAGAAGTAAAGCAATAACAGAGAGCTTCCAAAAACGTGGAGATCTGCCTGCTGGTGCGGTGTAGGACATCGGCTTCTCGTCACGGTCACCCTCGTCGCTACTTGAGGAGCGCCCATCTTGGAGAGGAGCATAGACTGTCTTGTCTTTCTCCATATAGGGTAAACTTTGCTTGCCAAACTTGAAGCCGAACATCTTTGACATTCAGATAGATATTTGGAAGGAAGTGATGAAAGGTTTCGAGTTCTAAGGTTTGGAGGAGTTGAGAGTAGGAAGGAGACAAGATGAAAGAAGTGGAAAGTAGGAATCTCGGTAATACACCAAGACCGAGAAGGCGAGGGGAGCGACAGAGCAGCATACACCCAGGCTTTGATGCATGAGTCGTGGCACACATGGTTGCTCGAGAATGAGCGAAGGCTCATCCTCATTCCTTCGCATTATCTGACCAATGTCCTCCCACGAGGACAAGCAAGACTGCGGGCAGGGACTGTGACCTGATCCTTTGCATATCTTCTGCACGTTCAGCAGCTAAGGCCCTACATCTTGTGAAGTGGGGCAAGCTCATCTTCCCCTCGGATGCCTGCTACCTAGGACCAAGTGAGCATGGTAACTAGACCAGGAGTCTTGCATTTGCAATGATGGATGCTATCTAGGTGGGGATATACCTGATGCTTGAAGCCGAAACTCTTTTACGTACATTGATGCTTGCAACCTCCTCATCACTATGCACTTGCGGTTTTTAATTTGCTCGGGTTGTGGCAGATCTCGATTTTGAGGAATAAGGCACCGAGCGAGTCCATATCAAGCCATATACAAATTGTACCGCTGCCACAAAACCATCGACATCGGAGTATTCTCATTCTCAGATATCTTTCGTGCCAACATCGACTCTTTCGAAGAAAACCAGACTCCAAACACCAAAGCCAAAATGAAGTTCTCTAGCATCGCATTCCTTCTTGCCTCAGCAGCTCTTGCTGTTGCTGCTCCTATTGAGGGTAAGGCAGGAAGCATCTTGCATTGGTGCACAAACTGATTTCTCACAGAGAAGCGTGCTGGTACTTACGACATCATGGCCGAGAACCCAACTCAAGTCACATCTGATGACGGAGTCGATCTTCTCGCACCTCGTATCGGATATAAGAAGGACAAGCGTGCCGGAACTTACGATATCATGGCTGAGAACCCTACCCAAGTGACATCCGACGATGGTGTTGACCTTCTTGCCCCTCGTATTGGGTACAAGAAGCGTGCTGGAGAAGCATACGACATTATGGCTGAGAACCCTACTCAAGTTACATCTGATGATGGTGTTGACCTTCTTGCACCCCGAATTGGATACAAGGACTAAGCCATGACAGTCAAACCCTTTGTATGAGAACTCCACCCGATGTTCAGAATAACGATTGATGCTAAATTTACCCAGGCTACCAAGCCTGAAAAGACAATGGCTACTCGCGACCAATTCAGGGAAGGCAGACGGATACGACGAGCGAGGGGCCTTGGCTTTTTTTCTTTGTTCTTGGGTTATACTTTCATTTTGTTGAATTGAGTTGATGGCGGCTGAGGGGTGCTTGCGCTTTCTGCGATCATGTCAATTCTACGTAGAGTAGTCAGCCTGAAATGCAGTATCCGCTCTTTTGGTAAATTGTGCTGTACTTGAAACACTGCTTCCATGTCATATCTCCGTTGGAATCCAAATGCAGAGATAGTGATGAGTTTGTGACTCTGTGCAGTCGGTGTGAGAAAGGGAGTGGTCGTTGAATTAGGCGCTTTCCCTCGCTTAACCCTAATTGTCCTACCTGCCGGTGTTACCAATGTTTAATAACGAGCTGGCCAATACAATAGTCGCCTGTTAACACCATTGCCGGAAGAGACTTACGCCGCAAAGACACATAGGATAATTGCATCAACACTACTCGGTAAGTGGGCACTCCCTCGGCATAATTCCCGATAGCGATGCAGAGGAAAGAATCTAGAGGGGTGAGGATCGGGATATGAAAGATAACGACTGGGAAGCAAATCCTTCCGAGGCCCACCAGGCCTTCCCGCTCGCACCCGCTCCCTTGTCTTTGCGTCCCACGCTAGTAGACATGTCGCTTAATAGGTATGTTCGTTTGTCAATCGCTCCCAGAATCCCCACAACTTTGGTTCCAGAAAGTAGTTGACTCGTAACCCCTCCCAATATATTCTCGGTCTCATTCAGTCTCGCTTCATAGACGCAATCAAGGACAACTCTTGTTTAATGCTCTTTTTTGTCCCACAATATCAATCACCACCAGCACCCTGCTGCATGTGCAGAACAAGTGGACGCAACGTTCCTTCATTGCGCCGGCGTTTAAACAACTCATATTGCAGAAGCCGCTACAGGGTGCGAAGTGCGAAAGGTTGACCTCATAGAGGTCGAGTCCGAATCCTATGTGCTTGGCAGTGGTGATCTTGGGAAACTCTCAAATCGTCATTGATCATGTGAACTCTTAATGAGGGGTCAAGTTTCGAAGTGATCGAAAGCCTCCAATGCCAATCGGCGCGCCACTGGAACTCGAGGAAGACTATCTCCCCCAACCGGTTTGACCACTTCGGTGTCGGTGAGACTTGACTTTGTTCTCCATCACAATGCCATCTAACTATGACTATCAAGATGTCGGTAGCGACGACCATGAAAATTCTTCTACAGACGTAGAAGACTCTGCCTTGGATGGCAAAGAAGTATGGACAAAGCCGTCACGGAAATCGTGGGTGCGTCGTCTGTTGGAAGGCATTCGATCTGTCTGGTGGGTAGTGAACACTTCGCTACTTCTCATCATTCTTGCATTGCTGCTCGAATCGCGATGGAGATCAGACAAAGCAAGACTCGAGTTTGGAGGTGACTTAACTGGATTTGTTCCTCATTGTAAGTGAGGCTTCGACATTTCCTATCGGTGGCACTAAAGTCTGATATTTGATAGTCTCACAGCAAATAACCACCTTTAGGCCAGACTTGTCTTTCGTCCCAAAACGGGCCGAGGATTTCTGGCTTGATAGTACCCAAGAAAGATGGCTTAGCATTGTACCAAGTATGAATTCTCTCTAAAACTTTCGAAAAGTATTGTACTGATTAAACATCAGGAGGTTTGGGATACGTTCACGTCGACAATCCATCGGATTACGACAATCTCCCACAACCTATTCATGATTACACGAACATGACAGTCTTTACAACAGCCATGCCACATCAACTACATTGCCTGGTAACCCATACCGTCCTCTTGACCATGATACAAAACTGACTAACATAATAATACAGTACAACATTCTAGAAGTCTACTATGCGGTGGTGGGAGACAACCCACGCCATATCCCTACAAGCATGACCTTTCACCTTCAACACTGCTTCGAGTATCTCAGATTGAGTATCATGTGTTCAGGAGATGTCGCGCTGGAGGGTGCTGAAACTACATTCCCTAAAGGGTTTGGTGGTAGTGATGGTTGGGACTCGAAACATGTGTGCAAGAATTATGGTGAAATCTTTGATTTCTTGGATGAGAAGCGGGCGAACGATCGGGTATGGATAGGACTATGAGTTATTCTGACGTATATGCGGACAGATAAGTGTGACACCAGGTACGTCTGTGGACTCCCAGATGCAAGTCACGCGGGAATAGGTCACGAGCTACCTATGGTATATATGGATATCCGCAATTGCTTTGCTTATGCAAGCTTTCCTGATACATTAGTACACTACGCCCCGACATTTGCGCAACTAGAAGTTAAGATTACCCAGTTATATTCAGCACATGATTTGGACAAAACCCATGACACTAGCCTTCACGTAATTCATTCCTCGATCACATCTCAGGGATCCAGCAACTACAAACCGAACGAAATATACGTACGAATACAAACAGCAGTAGTATTTTGATAAGTCTATCACACTGAGACTGAAATTCTTCAGCTTCTCATTCAACAATTCAACTTCCATTGCCTGTGACCTTACACTTGAAAATAAACATGTAATAAAAAAGCTGCGCATGATGTTCTCGATTACTGGGGCAAACTACCAACTACTCCTTGATAATAGGAAGCAAAACATAAGACTTATACTCCCCACCCGTATAGACCATCGTCTTCCCTGCAAACACACTCTCAGGCCGATCTTTCTTATGCGTATGCAAGAAAGGTCCCGAACCTCTAAACACCCCTCCCTCTTTGTTCCCCCTCTCAAAGTCCTTCCCGCCAATCTGCAACGCAAGTGTAAACCCCTTCGGAAGAATTATGGCCGTTGGCCAGATCTCCACATCAACTTCGTACACCTTCCTTCGTTCGAGCGGTTGAAGCTCGTCATGACTATGGTATGGACGATAAGGAAGGCTGAGCTGGGTGTCAAGCTTGCGGTGAGAAGCTCGGAGCCAGCCTTGAGCAAGAGGCGTGTTGGGATCTTGAGCTCCTTGGAATGTCACTTCGCGGCCGTCGGGCGAGAAAGCTTGAAGAGTCAAGAAGAGATCTGCGTCTGTGGTTGAGGAAGAGATGAAGAGTTTTGCTGCCAATGGGCCCGTGATTTCGGTTTCCTGTTCCAGAGGTGCGGAAGTGAAAGTTACAGGCTCGCCTGCTGCATCGAAGCTGACGTTGGTCTGTTTTCCGGCTGTTTGCCAGGAAAGAGCTTTGCTTGATGAGTCGAGGTAAGCTTTTGTCCATTCCGTTCGTTTCAACGGCCATTCCGTCTCTTTGCGAAGCTCGAAGGTGGTGGAAAATGGCCTTCGCGTGTTGAGTAGGACAGGAGATTCCTTGTCCCAACCGTTGTTGATCTCCTTCAGGAAGTGGTCAAAGAAGCGCTGCTGAAGTTCGATGTTATCATTTAGATAGAACCACTCTTCGTGTCGTCCAGGATGGAGTTGCAACCATTTCTGGGTTGACGCCGCAAACTTGAAAGCCTCGTGGTTGCCACGATCATGAAGGCCAAACCCAGCAAGATTGCTAGCGCTCAGGAAAGGTACCTTGATCTTAGACAAATCTGCTGTGCGGTCTTTGTAAAACTGATTGTCCAGAGGATGATCCACAATATCTTGAACTGGATCACAACGATTTGCGCGCAATTCTTGGTCCGAGAGTTCAGCTGGGCCAGTCGCCCGTTCCTTGAGCCAAGGGTCTGTCTTTCCTGAAGGATTGCCGTGTTGGTTTGACACAACTTGACGATGATACCAAGCTTCAAGGAATCCGTTCGAAACAATTCCTCCATGGCGTGCGGTGTCACGGTAATAATCGGCAGCGCCCTCCCACGGGATGATCGCAGCGAGGTGAGGTGGTTGAAGTGCCGCAACCAGCCATTGAGTGATTGCATAGTAAGAAATTCCTAACAATCCTACTTTGCCATTGCTCCAATTCTGCACACCAGCCCACTCAATAGCATCGTAGAAATCTTTGATTTCGCGAGGAGCAAAGATGTCAAGGTGACCAGGCGATCGTCCTGTTCCTCGAGAATCGACTCGAATGCAGATATATCCCGCTTTTGTCCACAGCTCGGGGTCAACGGTTTCCCAAGTTTCGAAGGACTTTGTCGAGCCTGGAAGAATATTGGGATGAGCGTTCAGAAGCCAATCCCATTTGTCTTTGTAGCCGTCCTTGTACTCAACTCCCTTTCCGTAAGGGCCCAGGGTCATAATCACGGGTGCGGGCTTCTCATCGTCAGGTCTGAAGACATCGGCTCGAAGTACGAGTCCATCATCTGCTGTGATAGGTACGTCGCGTTCGACAATCATTTTGTTGTTTGATTGCTGTGGATTTGATATGGGTAGCTTTCACATGGGCTGACTTCGCTGACTTCGCCGGTTTCGCCGAGGCTCAAATGGTGAAAAGCGCTGCTCTTTCTTCAAGAAAATTCGATCTCCGCAGTGTTGAACGCAAGGTCTTGTACAAAGGCTCTCTACCCAGGTTTATATACCTCATTATCTCGGGCTCTGCGGAAGACGTACTTGGAATTCGGCATTGCGTGAGGAGCGAAACTTGCGATGTCTACGGACATCGCCCCTTTTTGGTTTCAAAACTTGTTCGACTCATGTCATCCTCTTAGGCTAAAGGTATGCTATGCACTTAGGCTGGATTCGTATTCGAGTTTGAAGTCTCGTTAGACTCGAAATCTTGTCTGATTTTCGTACTAGATAATCATCTCCCGTTACTTGTCGATTACACATTGCTAGAGTTCCCCGCCCGATTTGTCCGACATGTCGGCCGATGACCCGAAGCCGATGCTGATCTGCGGGGACCGAAGCTTTAACAACCCTAATCATTAAACCTACACAATTTCTGGAGCATGTGTCAGCAGGTGTGCGTCAATTATTGTCAGCTCCTTGGTCATGACTGAATTAATCTTGGCCAGTTCAACTATTCTACCTACCTAGATATTGCTCGAACTTCCAAGCCCAAAGGTACAACACCAGAACGATGTCAAAGCACACTTAGGGGCTTCCATTAAGCGAGTCTTGGTGACCCCGCTCAACCCCGCACAACAGCATGCGCAAGCATGACAGTTGCAAAAATTGGAGAGCACAATCAATGAGCAGCAAGCCCCTAAAGTGAGCCTCGACCTAACAAGGCCCATAAGAAGAGAAGTAAGTGATTCAAGTGCAATAGCTCTGGAACCTCGCTAGGTTGTTCAGGGGAAGTGCCCACAATGCTTAAGCAGAAAGCTCTATTCCTAAGCTCTCAAACCTGAATCGTGCAGCTATTGTCTTCATCAATACATGCTGGACACTTAATAGTAGCTCTTCATAGCTGAGACTTTAATAGAAACCATTGTCTTGATGAAAAGCCGCTAGTCCTAAAGCCGTTACTCAGGTCGGAACGCACGGACCAAGTCGGAGCAGGTCGCGCTTTGTTTCCTGCTGTGAAATTTTGTTTTCTAGACCTGATAACACACAACGATTTCAACGATCCTTTATAGAGATGGGAATACCTACCGATCTTACTGAAGTTGCGATTCGACTGAAAAGTGTCTCCTTAGTCTTACGATCCTCGCTCTCCGGTACATACAATTCTGAACTCGAACTCTTAGACGTCACGATGTCGCGTCCTCCTACCTTGCCAAACACATATCCGCTAGATCGATGGGATACAGGGCTATAACCAGCTTCTTCAACTATCTGATAAGCCTCTTCAGCCACCGACTTATTGGCCTCGACCTTCGTCTCTCTCTATTGTCAGCCCCAGCTCTCAGAACCACCCACCTATCCTCTCCAAAAAGGCAGCAAATCGACTTGATACCCAACGATTCAAATACCCGAAGACGCACACATACTCTACCTATTGAGCGAATATCACCTATACCTTATAGCAACTACCAACACACTGTTGCGAATCTGCTGTTGTACTTGGCTACAATCACCTCGGTATGTCATCTCTGGTCTGATAAGGGGGTACGGAAGATGAGTCTGAACTTCTCGACTTTTGGTGTGCGTCATTACTGCTGTCTATGAATTGCGAACTGCAATTGCCCTTGGTGTGTTTAATTATGGTTTGCTCTGGAGTCTTTGGCGCGCGTGCGCAATACCCGATGATCTTCTCTGGTCACTTTCCACATTGGCTCTAGGAGCTAAGAGCACTGCTCTAACAATGAGAAAGGTTTCCAGTTTTTCAAGTACTCTGTTTGGCGCATCCTCTACATGCAGTGAGTTTTCAGATGTAAAAGCAAGCAACGGAAAACTCCATGTTTCAGACATGTACATGTTCGTGTGGGGAGAAAAGCAATTCTGGCCTCTAAGTTGTCTACATCATGCCTGTATAGTCTATGTCAAGGCTCTTTTCAATCCTGACTGAAAAACAAAAAGTTGAAGTCAACTTATGCAAAGGACTTCTTTATGACGACCAACAAAACATCACCAAGCCCAATATCCGCAAACTCTCTTGTCCGTGCTTCTCCAGAAACTCCAGCTCTCAAGTTCTTTGTGACTATCTTCTCCAAGTTCTTCTCCAAGCCGGTATTCAAGTCTATCCACCTCGTTTTCGCCCCTTCAGCAACTTTTCAATATCTTCTCTCGGGACCCCACGATCTTCCATGAACTCTTGCAAGTTCTCATTGCTGACATTAGGTCTACCCTCTATCCATCGGTCCCATCCTGCATACCATTTCTCCGGATCCTCTCTTCGCTCTTCTTCACGTCGACGTGCATCATTTATACCCGATATAATCGGCGTTTTCTTGAACTTCGGAGCCTCTGCATGGCCTTCATTATCGCTTACCAGATCAGGAATATCACTGTCTTGACATGGTACTTCGTCTTGACCATGTTCAGGTCTTGGAGTGTCTGTCCCTGCCTCGTTCTGATCGCTGCGACTTCCTTCATTGGCATTCTCGGGGACCTCATTCTCTTCATCATTTGCATGGGAGTCTCGTGGTAGTAGTCGAGCGTGCTGTCCACCCTTAGCAGCTGAAGACTCGAATCCCCGACGATTGAAGTTTCGTCCCATGGTGGTTGCCCCTGCTCTTCTCATTCGCGCCTCTGCGGCCTTAACACGTTGCTCTTTCATCGCGGGGGAGTCTGGTGGGTGAAGGCCGTTTTTGGCATCTCCTCCAACCACATACCCAATCGAGGTCTTTCCCCACTTGCGCTGGTTCTCCTTGAACAAAGTCTGAACTCTGTCACCAAGGTCTTGAGCATGTCCAGCTCCTGTAACAACCTGGTATTCCAGATCTGTTACCTCCCCAACTGACCCAACCGGTGCTTGCTCCCAGTCCCCGCAGCTGATGTCACCCATGCTGTCCCAACCTTCAAAACCGTTTCGCCAATTCGTCTCTCTGTATGGATCTTCTTTCGATTCACCTGGACATTCAGTATCACTTGAGCTAGTGTTCACTTGATACTCACTTGCCCTCTTCTCAGGAAGACTGGTCGTTTTTGGATGTTGACAAGTGCTTATCATCAGGCATTTCCGCAACTCCTCGAGTTTGTTATGCATGGTAATCATATAATCATGTGTGGAATGCATCCAATTCCGTACTGCAGATCCTAGATTGTTCATGTTCGATGGAAGTTCAGGCGGATGTTCGAGTGCTTTGATATATTCGGAAATCGTTCTTCCTCTAATGTTGTGTTGGTGATTTGGCTCAACTAACATTCATATTAGCACTTATTCCGGTGCAGGACTGGACATGAGCCAATCTTTCTTGTCGCATAGACTCACCAGTTTCTATGTCTGATAGGATAGCTGCCATTTTGCGTTCACGCCCCTCAGCCTCCTTACCAGACCATTCCTCAGGACGTCGAGTTTCCGGAGTTTCCAACTGCACTTTGAGAGAGCCAACAACACGAGCGACAGCTTCATCGACAACACGGTTTCGTTTGGGACTATCAGATGTCTTCGAATTCTCAGAAGGCTTGCTAGCAACCTTGATGCTTACAGCCGTGCCAGTCTTGGTGATCTTCTGGTCATTCTGGTCGCTCTTCTCTATAGCAGCGCTTCGTTGCTCTCGTTCTCCAATCGATCCAGCCGTCGTACCTGGTCTTTCTCTTCCATCAGGGATCGTTTCTGACCCTTCCAAACCACGAATCGTCTTCTCCCAAGCCAACTGGACCTCCTTCCTACTCCACCACCTCTCAAACTCCTCCTCGGACCCTTCGCTTGAGGTCTTGATTTTATGTTCTGTCTCCCACGCTGTCACCATGATAGCTCTCTTGTTGATCTGCGGGTAGTACTTCTCCTTCGACTTTCGCATTCGTCGCTCAATCTCGGACTGCAGACTCTCATGGATGGCAAGGATCATGTGGATATGGTCCTCTGCCGATGTCCTTGGTGCCGGTTGAGTAACCAGTTTGTCGCGGGGATTGAAGGTCGTGGGGATGTCTCGACCATAGCTTCTGAATGTCCACTCTCCTCCATGAAGTACACCGAATCCTGGGGGCGCTCTTTCTGCTATTGTTCCAGCTGGCTCGCTTGGAATAGGGTTCGACTCCGGTGTATGCACAATAGCTCCATATCCAACTAACTTCTCCCCCAGAGTCTGGTGGACAACATTGCCTCGAACCTTCAGGCCATTGGTATTGGATGCATGAGGTTGTGATGCGCCAACTGAGACACTGGCATTCGTCTTGTGTTTGCTATTCTTATCACCGAGATGACTTTGCTGAGAATGTCTCGCATCGGGTGGAGGTTTGGGAACCATCTTCTGTGGATGATTTAGAAATAGGCAAGTAGGTACCACCAGTGCCTATATAGATGCTGTTGTCCTTTATCTAACATTTGCCTAGGAAATATCTCTCAATGTCCTTTGACTTTCTACAAAACAATCTTGCAAAAAGGGTCTGAAAGAAAAAGAAACTCTGTCTGCGTTTTAAGCTCTGGATGTCACTAGAATCTCAACTGTACCTATCAACTCCAAAAGCGATGCTGGAAAGTGGGATGATGCATTCAATTCTTCAAAGAGCTTGGTCTGACTTTCTATTGTAGTGTCGGGTTAATGCCATCATGGTGTCAAAGTACTTCATCTCTAGTCAAGACTAACGAATTCCAAATATCCTATTGCGAGGTGAGATAATAGCTTACACTCCTCAATGGACATTGGCTAACTTGCTATAGTATCTATTATACTGGATAGTGTGAAATTATCCTGAACCGGGTCAAAGGCTCCACAAGTCCTCCTTCGAGTAGGGGCTTCAGTCCATACTCCTCGAAAGATATCGACTAGCTTGCTTTTCGAGCTTTGGCAACCTCGGACTATTATGGTACTTCCATTCTGGCCCCGACTTATGGGTCCCAAAAGTGCTCTGGCAAGTAGAGACCTCGATTCGCTTTCCCATCCTAACCGACCCGAGCTGACTTATTGTAAAGATATATTTACTATGGTATCAAGATATTTGAGCCCTTGTTGCAGCTATCTGAGCCGTTGCTGTAGCTCGAAAGCTTTGGTACCTGTTGGGACAATGGCCGGAAGCCCTAACTTTGAATGCAGGACGAAGGAGATTCGACTGGCTGTTATCGGTACACCGCTCCTCGCTGTGATTGCTGATTTCCTCCAGTAGGTCTGACGTTGACGAATAGTCAGTTATTGAAGTGTTCGAATGGCAAGATAAGATGGTCCCTACATCTGTGTCGGTTGCGCAGGGCTGGCCGACGACCGAGCCAATATCTTTGTGCTTACCACATGTGGGCATTCCTATGTGCCACATGCGCCACTAGCCAATATTTCTCCGATAAATGTTCAGCGAGCGACAGTGGAGCCCTCAATAAGCATTACTAGGGGTTGAACGGCGCTTCCCTGGCTGGCAATTCAACTGCGGATGATACTTCTTGCTTCGGCACAAAGCTGGATACTGTGGTGGATCTTATCAACAGCTTTGACAAAGATGAGAAGGTCTTGATTGATCTTCATCCAATTTGAAAAGACAGAGTCCAAGCTTAAAGAGGCTCCAGCGGCGGCTAATATCGCGTTGTGAAGAATGGAGAAGAGGCAAGATGGAATACGACAAGAGACAAGAAGCATTCTCGATCGCTGTACTGCGATTTAGATATCGGAAGAATCACGGACCGACTGTGCAAGCTTGGAGAGAAACTCGGTGAAGAAGGTGGCCGATCGGAAGAAAACCTTCTCCGATTGCCGGGAATCCGACTTGTTTTGATTCTGATTTTGAAAATCTTGACTGTGAGTTCTCCGATCAGCGACATCGACATCTTCGAACCACAGCATCTTCTTCGGACTACAGAACCCTCTTCGGACCAGCAATCTCTTCGGAATTCATCACCAGCTTCGTACGGCAGTACATCTTCAGACGATACCAATCTCCTAAGCCAGCAAGAGCTAATTCGAGCACCGACGCGTCACCTTTCGACCGACAATAGACACTCTACATATCTACAATAGTATCAACAGCGACAACAGCGCGAACATGTCCCACGCAGAGAACGTCAAGAAGATCGAAGAGGCTCGTGCCCTTTTGGGCGATGATCTTTACGAGAAGATGCTGGACATCAGCACGGAGTATGTGGGCAATGAGAAGTACAAGGGGGAGATGGTGGTAAGTCTTATTCTTATTGTTCTTCGCTGTGATAGAGCTTCTTCGAGCCATAAGTCGATATAACTGCTAACCTGACAAATAGATCGTCAAGAATAACCGATTCGACACATTGATCAAGCGCTGGGCCGAACATATGGCCCAGGAATTGGAGCCCAATGAAGTTGCTTTCTTCGGCAATCTTACCGTCGATCAGAGGCTTAAATGTTATAAGACATTTGCCTATTTCGCCCGCCTCCCCTTACCACTACTACTACAGCCACGGCAGAAAGATCGACAAGGACTACGGACAATTCACGGAGGAGGATTACGAACGACGGAAGAGAGCCCAGCGACCTTAAGAGCAAGGGAAAGAAGTAAAGACTGGGCTTTGGAGTTTGGGAAGAGCTTGTTTGTCGTCGTCCTACGGGATATTCTTGATCAATTGAAGTGCGGGGCCTACCAAATGCTGACTTCCAGTGACAAAAGTCCTCATCGTACCACCGTGCTTTTCGCCAATTCTTCTCGCAGCTTCCAATGCTCCTTCTACATTCTCCTCAATGACGATATCAGCGTCGGGTTGAACCTTCTTCCAAACCTCTGTATACCCCCCGTGCAATTGGGCCATATCAAAGTCCTTTTCCTCCGTCCTCACTTCTAAATCCTTGTTTTTACGATACGTTGTGAAGATTACGTGCTTAATATATCCTCCCAAAGCTCTAGCCAGACACTCTACCACAGGTCCCCCTTCTCTAACCTTTGTGATCTGGGCGAATATCAGGATGTTGGCTCCAATAGCTGTGTCAGGTTGGGCAGTCTCAATGAACCATTCAGCAGCTTTCGTCAGGCTAATCTCGTTGTGTGCTCCATCCAGATACCAAGTATTCGACCCCTCGACCTCGATCTGGAATCGTCCAGGCCACGACCATTGTTTTATACCCTCGACAATATCCTCATCACTGAGCGGGGAAGGCTCTCCGCGGGTGGTTTGCTCGAGAAAGGCTCTCGCGGCGGAGATGGCTACACTACAATTGGTTCGGAGAATGTCGGGCTTCAGTGGTATCGTGCCTTCCGGGAGGACAGGATCTTGCTTCACGAATTCTAGCGAGACCCCTTTCTCTTCGGCTCGGGCCCGGATCATCGATTTTGCGTCCCCGGCGGACGGCGCGGAGACAGCGCGGGCACCGGGCTTAAAGATTCCGGCTTTGTGCCATGCTACACTCTCCAGGGACGAACCGAGTTGCTGGATATGGTCGAGTCCTAAGGTGGTGATGCAGGTGACGACTGGTTTCTCAATGATGTTTGTTGAGTCGTATTCTCCGCCGTGGTGAGTCTCGATGATTGCTGCGTCTACACCTTCTCGGATGAATGCATGGAGGGCGAATATGAAATACAGTTGGAGGTGTCGCGGTCTTCTGCCCTTGCCTTTAGATAGGATTTCTTCTACCTCGAAGAAATACTGGGCGAATAGGTCTCGCGATATGGGGTGGAAGTTGATTCGTATTCTTTCTTCTGGGTGGATTAGGTGGGGTGAGGTATAGAGTCCGGTCTTTCTAGGGAATCCAGTTCTCCTTCCATGGCTCCGTAGAAATGACTCGATGAACGCACACGTACTCCCTTTGCCCTTGGTTCCAGCTACGTGAACTATGTTCAGTCGATTTATATCCTCAGGCTGGAAATATCAACATCAGTTCTCCAAGGATGCGAGGAATATTTACTGAATGGCCAAGTTCTCTCAACCACTCCTTCATACCAGATATGCTGGGTACTCCAGTCAATTGAGCCTCGCCGTTCAAGGTTGGCTTCGGCCCTGTAGTAAGAGTAGCTGGAACGTTTGATCTCTGTGGCCGTATTCGAGCATTGAGGAGCTCCACTGCTCTCTATCTGGGTCAGATAACTCTCCACTGCGTGGATAAAATCTTACCGTATAACTTTTATCCATTATGGGCATTCTTAGAGCTCGCTCTAATTTCTAGGAATGTCCACTGTCCTTTGTCACGAACATGGAAAGAGAATGGCAGGAGGTGGTTTTATACAGGTGCAATTGGTGTGCGCTTAATCACGCTTAAAGAACTAAACTTAGGGACATCCATTCCTCTCATCGAGTAGCTGAGCGTGGTGTATTTCCATGATCCTCTGACATTGATGCTACATCAGAGGGAATTCAAGCTGCACCACTTCTGACGTTCCAATGCCAAGCCATGTGGCTGAAGATGCGGGAGTGGCGCCCTCTATCCCCGATGCGGAGAGCGGTCAGACTTGCACTTCCGGCAGAATATCCTCTAATTTTACGATGAGGTAAAGAAAACCATTAACCTTATAACACTCCATGGGTTATCGAAGAGAGCGCCTCGAAAAGAGACTACAAAGATGATCCAGGCTGGAGCAACGCTTCTCTCTGGCAAAAGCACTTGTCAAGACCACCACTCACTCGATACAACATCAAAGAGCCACCCCCCTCAGAACGATGAACAGTCCCATTGCCGTTCGGAAATCGTGTATCGTTATAATCGCAATCATAAGGTACCTATGGTGAAGATCTGAGTTCCGTCGTACAGGACAGTATGCTGAAACAGAATAGAGCAAATCTACGACCTCTTTTCGCACCGACAACATGCCCGCAGCCCTTTACGATCCCGGCTCGATTCGAAATATATCCTCCCACTACCTCTCCTTCTTCACTGCCAAAGCAGTCCCCAAGGCTCTTCGCACAAGCTCTGTGCGGCCTATACGTACGAGTGGAGCATTGTTTACAGTGATCGATGACACAAGCTGCCTTGACGCTCTATATCCGAAAGAAGCATCAAGGATAGAAAGACGGATCGGAGAAAGTTCTCAGCATCAGTATCATCCTCATGCAGCTTAAGGCTATCATTTATGGCAGTCCATTCCATGTTCGCGCTGATACATGATTGTTTTATCCACAATGAAGGGCAAAATTCTGGAAGGACCCTCTTCTACACCTTAAGATCTGACATTCTGAGTATGGGTTCTTCGAGGTCCACCGCCGTGAGACTCATCGAGCTGCATGTTCTCTGTACGCAATGCTCCAGTCATTTCCAAAAGTTGCTCCCTCCATGCAGTCCCAACTCTTTTCTCCGGGCATCTTATCTGCGCGCAGCTTGTATGTGAGGAATATTATGCGGCTTACGAAATGCGATGCGGCGCTGCTGCTGAGCCGCATTGAGGTTACACAACCGCATAGTGGGTCACTTTTTGGTAAAAGCCTCAATATTTACAGTTAAGTTGCCACAAAATATGTTTTAAACTGGTCATTTCATTCTAGCGGAGAAGAGAATAGCTCTTCAAGCCTGTGATTTCTTTCCTCTATCCGAAGACTGATAGGCATTGATACTGGAAAGATGAATATCAACTAGCCTCAACGTTGACCATGAATTGCAACGCAATCGAAAGAGAGGATGAGCAGGGTAAGGCGCTGGAACCTTCGAGTTCAAGTCAACCTAGCCTCCAGTCTGCACTGGCACAGAATGCTGTGTATTTGTGAGAAGATACATCAAGACTTCCTCAATGAAAATAGAACATTAGAAGAAGCAGACGTGTTCATTCTTCGAAGTGAGAGGAAGTTGGACATGAACGCGTATTTGATTCTCCATCACCATTGATTTGGCTCCACTTTTTATATCATCCTTTAAGCCTCGGCTTAGGTAGCGCTGACGATCAACACATGGTGAGCTTCTCACGCTCAAACATCTGGACATCTTCCACGATCATCTACCAATTCTCCCCTTCTAACTATAATGACTGGCCCCAAAGAACCGCACTTCAGGGTCATCATCGTCGGCGGAGGCGTCGCTGGCCTAGCAGCATCTATCGGTCTCCGCCAAAAAGGCCACCACGTGACAATCCTTGAAAGCACATCAACTCTCCAAACCCTAGGCGGAAGTCTCTTAATCCCTCCCAGCGCGGCGCGGGTCCTTGATAGCTATGGATTGTGGGACACGTTCAAGGAATCGGAGAATATACCGCCGGGAAATACAACGTATTGGTATCAAGATGGGAAAGTGCTTGAAGAGATCAGCTATGGAGCGATGGAGGGAGCTTTTGGATTTCCGTATGTTAGGTAAAGGTTGAGAAAGGCAATTAGTGTTAATCAGGTCATAGGATTATGGGAACTCCAAGAGCGAGGTATCAGAGGTTGCTTTTTGAAGCTGCGGTGAAGCGGGGCGTTGAGGTTAGACTTTCGTGTCGGATACAGAGCGTGGATGAGGATGCCCCTGCTGTGGTATTGAAGGGTGGCGAAAGAGTTGAGGGTGATCTGATCATTGGTGCTGATGGCGAGTAGTCCAAAAGTTGCCCAAGATGAATAGATATTAATGACAGGGTTTGGCAGGCATCAAGTCCGCTGTTCGCACTACAGTCTTGGGTGGGAAGGACGTCCAACCAATACCAGAGAGTATAGCATACCAATGCAATATCTCAGGAGACGCTATGAGAAGCAATCACTTGACAGCTCCGCTCATGGAAGGAGGAGGTATACACAGTACGTCCAACTTACTTTCCCAAACTACCGCTTCTGTACTTTCTAGTCCTTTTCTTGCGATTCCTTCTGTCTATGATTACTAAATCGAAGACTAACAAAACACCAGGTTGGTACGGTCCAGGAAGTCAAATGATATGCGGCTCAGACAGTGAAAAGTCATCCTATCGAGTAACCCTAATATTCTACCCCTCACCCTCCAACAAAACAGCAGAATCTCTTGACGTCCTAGCCGCCAACTCAAGCAGTTCATACAGAAAAGGTTCCGTAGAATCAATGCGCAATGTCCTGAGAGATTTCGAGCCTCGAGTGCGGAAGTTCGCAGAGTTGACCCAAGCAGAGGATTGTTTTCTCTGGAAGATCGCTCATTTACCTCCTTTGTCGTCGTGGGTTAGTCGGAGCGGGAAGGTGGCACTTCTGGGAGATGCGGCTCATGCTATGGTGCCGCATTTGGGGATGGTAAAACTCTCCTGAAGATCCTTTTCTCCACATGCTCATATCGTGACTAGGGAGCAGCAACAGCAGTCGAAGACGGAGGAATCCTCGCCGAATGTCTCTCTCGCGCTACTTCCGCATCAGATATTCCAGCAGCCCTCAAAGCATACGAACGGATCCGTAAACCACGAGCAGAGCGCATACAAGCCGCTGCTCTTGTGACTGGGAAGTATAAAGCGATGCCTGATGGGCCGGAGCAGGAGAAGCGAGATCGTAAGATGGCGGAGAGGATGGATGTCAGGAATCCGAAATATGAATATTGGAAGGCGGGTGGTGGATTGGAGTGGTTGTATGGATATGATTTTAGGAAAGCTGTGAGTTAGCAGATTTTTCGTTCGAGACTGGGAGAGTGCTGATGTTGAATAGGCGAGGGAGGAACTTGATAAGGTTTTTGGAGTGGAAGTGGAGAGTAGGGCTAAACTGTAGGCCTTACGTGCCAGTTGTTATCACAAAGATATTACAAACTCGAGGACTTCCGTGGCATTCTACAGCCAAGTTTTCGTCTCTTTCTTGAAAGTTGAACCCATACCCCAAAGCTTCGGGAACGCATTACAGTGTACAAACTCCTTGGCCAACGAAATGAAACACAATGATAAGAAGGTCAATTAGATTAACTCCTCTTTCCGTAAGTGGTCATTGGCCTGACCCAAAAAGTCCTCTTCATAAGTCTATTCTGTTATGCATCTGAGCTCATTTATTAAAATACACGAGTGCCTCCCCTTTGGCTTCAACGCGGCCGATCTTTGCGACATCAAGCAAGTGTGTCACCCGAGTCTCCACGCGCAACACGCTCAAAATGCCCCTCGATCCTCTCCATCTGCCATCCATTCTTCACCGCGTTCCCTCCCCTCATCAAAGCATTAACTTCACTCGGATGCACCACATTAAAGATCACCATAACAGCAAACATCAGCACCGAATCAAAAAGATACAGAAATACCTCATGCGACAAAATATAACCATCGAAACCCTGGACATATTCCACCACCCTGAAAATCGATCGAATCATGATAAGCAGACTTGCCACGTATAATGCGATCAGGTGCTTGCGCCAAGGTACATGAGGGCTCTGGGATCGAGGGGTGGGGTTTTTGTGGATGGCGCGATCGAAATGTACGGCGACAATGATGAAGAAGCCGAAGAATAGGAGTTGGATGACTAGGCCGCCGGTGATGATGTGCGACCCGGTTGTGACACTTGATGCTTTTCCCGAGGATTGGATTCCGCCACCTGGATTGTAAGAGTTAGCGATAGTCGGAACAAGGTGCCAACTTATGAAGCAAAGAATGGTGGGACATACCTCCGGCTTGCAGAAGAAAGGACAAGATGTCTCCGGCTACGAAGATCTTTGTAAGCCACCGCTTCTTGATCCAAGAGTGTGCTTCGCCATCAACCAAGAGAATTATTCGACCCAGCTCCATATAGATGCTTGCTGCGAAGAGTGCTGGTGCCACGAGAAGCAGGAGGACTTGGACGATGTAAGGACCCAGAGTCCAGTTCGGTGATTGTTGGGAGGAGACAGCACGTCCGACATATCCAATCCATTCGACTAAGATTTTCCATTAGTATCTGAAAGTAGGTAAGGGTTGGATCATCATACAGAGGCCTCCCACGACGAATGGGATCATGAACCAAATCCGTGTCCGCAAAAGCTGATACGAGTGAAGTGAGGTAGTTGCGATAAACAGGACGATGAAGATTATCGCACCCACCAAGGTGGGATCGTAATGGTAGTATTTGAAATCGGATATCGGCATTTTCGTCTTGCTTGAGAAACAATCGGATCTTATTGCGTATATTCAGAAGCAGTTGCGAGAGCGAGCCAATGAAATAGGGACAAGTGAAATGCTAGACGAAGAGAACGTTAAATTTCTTTCAAGACAAGAAACTTGAGCGAGATGAATAGTTCTTTAAAAGCGTTTTATCGTAGCACTGGCTACTTATGCACTTGTAGGCTCGACGTCGAGGCATATTAAGAGTTCGTATTGTTTGGCGCACGCTTGCCGTCGTTCAGCGTACTCTATTCCTGATTGGATCTAAGCAGGGTCCTCAGCCTCAACGTAACAGATAGGACAGGGCAAAGAACGCTGCTGAGTGGTGGTCAACGGGGCTTGACTTCTAGGCAACGCAAATGCAAAATTCCAAATGAGCGAAATAGTGAAAGATGGATGCGCGTCAAGAAAGTCTCGGTATCGCTATCGTACCCGTCGTACGCTATCCCGAATTATCTCTAGCCGGGGCTGAGCTCATCGTACCGTCCGTACACTATCCCTCTCCCGGCTAGCGTATTATGACGAGGGTAAGCTTCGGTCAGGGGAAACTTCACAATATGCCATAATTCTCATGTCGTACCTACATTTCTCGAATTATTTCTAGAAGGATACTTCATGTGGCATTATTTGTTTTGTCTGCAATTAGCCTGCAAGAGTGTCACACAGAGTCTACCTTGAGCCTTGTCAACCATGCCCTTAAGACGATTTCATACCAAGTCACGGCATGGGTGCTCACAATGCAAATTGGCTCACGTGAAAGTATGTAACCTTCAATCTCGGAACTGATGTCCTTTCGACTAAACATGTAGTGTGACATTACTCGTCCGAAGTGTAGCAGATGTACGAAACTGCAAAAGACCTGCTCGTTTCAAAACCTATACAAAGCTCCGTCAGAATCCTCAGGCTCTTCACCAAACGCGGGCACTTCAATCACAACAATCAATCACCTGTCCGAGACAGACACCCTCTCGTGGGAAGATCTTGATCTCTTCCACCACTACTTAACCGTCACCTGCGAAACACTTGACGATCGAGAAGACGTCCGTCAAATGTGGAAGATCCAGATTCCACAAATGGCTACGAAGCAAAAGTTCCTGATGTATGGCATCTTCAGCATCACCGCCATGCACATCGCGAGTTCCAATCCAGAAAACCAATCTTCATACATCAACAGAGCCATCCGAGATCACAACATCGCTCTCCGAGACTACACTTCCCTGCTTCACAACATCACTCGAGAAAATGCCACAGCACTCTTCGCCTGTGGGTCTCTCATTGCTGTAGTTGCTCTGACTCTAGGGATCTTGCGGCCGCAGCAGGAGTCTACAGGGCCTGTGGAGGAGATCTTGGGGATCTTCAACCTGTTGCGAGGTATACCTTTGGTGGCAGGCAAAATGTGGGCATCCCTTAGAAGCAGCCAGATCGCGCCTCTGTTCGTGCACAGAGACCACGATGGGAGGGAAGTGGATTTAACAGCATCTACGCGCTTGCCAGAGCGTGTCACAAATGCTCTGGCGTTGCTCGAGGAGCGAGCTCAAACATTATCGACCCCAGAGCAAAAAGAGGCGTACATTATAGCTATTCAAGACTTGAAAGAGGCTTTTAATCTTCGATCGGCTGTGAGATACGAAAAGAGCATGTCGTTCAGGTGGCCAGTTACAGTAAATCAAGAGTACGTCGCGCTATTAGGCTTGCGAGAGCCGATGGCCTTAGTGGTTCTAGCTCACTATGCTGTCATGCTGCATGAGATGAGGGATAAGTGGTGGGCGCTCGGATGGGGCAGCCAACTGGTTCATGAAATTTATCAAGTTGTTGATGAAGACTGGAGGGGTTTGATGGCATGGCCGATGAGGGAGATTAGTCCAAACCATGAACACGATTGATAAAGCAGAGTCGATTCTACCTCACCAATACGTCGAACGGCAATGACAATTATCGATGAAAGTCATAGTCTGAGACTTGAGGGGTTCTGAGGGGGAAGCTCTGCTCGTGCTCGACGACGAGCACGAGCAGCAGCGCAACCCATATCCTCATTGTTACACAACAACAAGCATACAGTGAACGCCCTTTTGTAGGGCTATTCAGTGCGTTCTTTTTGCTGTCGAGATGTTCACTGCATGGTTTAGCAAATAAAAGCAGAAGCCCAACCATGACGGAGCGAAATCCAGAGCTGATTCACAAAGAGGCTCTAAGAATCTTGAAGACAGAGATTCTGTTTCCCATATTCATCTCTTCAAGAGATTCCACACTTATGCCCGCTGAAGAGAAGTATCTTGGTATAGCCACGTGACTCACAGGTCGTCTTAGATTTTTCTCGAACCTACCTAGCTACCCAATGCCACTTCTATCGTCATTCGCTCATATATAGCAACCTTGGAGTCTTGACTATTCCTCATCCTCAATCCCAAGTATTCGGACCGAGACTCGGCCTCACTGGCCTCCTCCGCGGGTCTCTTCAAACCCCGCGTTCAGCCGAACAATTGGAACATCTGAATGCGTGCGGCACAGCTTTCCCACAAACCATAAGATAGCCTGAATATACCTTACCTTGACCGTCAGCATCTCATCTCACGCTGTGACACGACAGCAGCGCAGCATGGCCAGCGATCGTGATCCAGGTACCAAGGATCTGGAACCTTCATCCTCAGGGTTAGGGTCAGGGTCTGATCAGCATGCAGCCGCACCGGCGCCGATCGAGCATCAGGTGTTCCAGGATCCGATCGTGTCTGCGTTTCCGAACGAGCTGGAGATAGGTACCGATTCTTCGGATGTGAGTTTGCGGAACAATTTATTGAGAATATATGAGCTCATGGTATGAAAGCAAAGTAGTCGTGATGATGATTCGGCGTTGGGGGTGTCCATTGCGTGAGTGGTGTTGGCGGGTAAGGCGTAGGGAGCGACTGACGGGGTTGCTAGGGACTCTACCATGTCGTTGAGGTCGAGTATCTATGATTACATGGAAGAGAATGGGCGGACTTATCATGCGTTCAATTCTGGGAGTGAGAGGAAATGGGATTTTCACGTGACGAGGAGTGCTGACGCTTGCAGAATATATGTTGCCGAACGATGAGCGAGAACAGGATAGATTAGGTGGGCTTTTACTTCACGAACAAGTCAAATAAACACTAACTGGTATTCTCTATCAGATCTTCAACACCACTCATTCAGGATAATGCTTGATGGAAAGTTGCACTTAGCGCCTCTTGCCAATCCTCAACGAGTCCTTGACATAGCTACAGGGACTGGTATTTGGGCGATTGAGTTTGGTAGGTTTGTTCACAAATTTGAAAGACTATAAGCTCATAATATCCAGCTCAAGAATATCCAGAAGCCGTGGTCATCGGAACGGACCTTTCACCCATCCAACCTGGCTAGTAAGTCACAACCACCACCTCTTCTCTACTTTGGCTAACAGCTTGTACAGCGTCCCACCAAACTGCCAATTCCAAGTCGATGATGCAGAAGAAGAATGGACGTTTCGAGAACCCTTCGATTATATCCATGCAAGAGCAATTGTTACGTGCTTCAAGAACAACAAAACTATGGCGCAGAAAATCTTTGACGGTCTAGCGCCAGGAGGATACTTTGAGTTGCAGGATCCGAGTTTTCCGATGAAGTGTGATGATGGGACGCTTGAGGGCACGGCTTTAGAGGAGTAGGTCTTTCTTTACTTGAGATGTCTCGCCTAAGAGTTGCTTCGAGGAGAGAAGTCTCTCCTCCGAGAACCATCTGCATGCTCACTTATCAACACACTCACAACTTCCCTTAGCACTAGCACTCACACTAACACACTACAGATGGAACACCCTCCTAATCGAAAGCATGACCCGCATCGGCCGCAACCTCCTCGACACGCACAACTGGGCGCAGCACCTCCACGACGCGGGCTTCATCGACATCGTGGAGCACAAACTGCTCGTCCCCGTGAACCCCTGGGCGCGCGGCAAGAAAAACAAACTGCTTGGAGCGATCTCGCTGCAGAATATGACGGAGGGAGTCGCGAGCATGAGTACGGCTGCTTTTACGAGGATCTTGGGATGGTCCCAGGAGCGGTTGGAGGTCTTTCTCGTGAGGGTTAGGGATGATTTGAGGAGTAAGGGGGTCCATGCTTATGGGGTGGTTTATTTTATTACGGCGAGGAAACCATTGGAGTGAGGATGAGGGAGGGGAGAGGGGAGCGATGGGCTCTTTCGATAGAGTTCTGATGCGGGAATGTGGTATAGATCCTCTTGACTTTGTACTTGGGCATTTACTGTAAATCTTGTCCCTTATTCACTGAACAGACACAAAAGGTCTTTTATGTAAGGAGCGGCTAGAACTGCAACAGTTGTGTCAGTGGGAATTGTCTACCAGCAGTGCCGCCAACAGAGCATCGAGTCTGAATGCAAAGCTCAAATATGAAGTAGCTTCATGAAAAAAGACCAGGGAAATCTGGTTACAGGGTCCGTGAGAATGATGAAAGTTCTTATAAAAATTTTTATTTGTATCAATATGAATCTTACAAATCTGTCTGCGTTTGACGCGATTTAATGACAACGCACGTGAGCACGTGAGAGTATTCGGAGCGGTGACCATATCGGGAAGGTTCTCCTGTGGCAGAATTGAGTCGCGTCTCGCGACCAGATGCCGCAATCTTTCACCGTTCACTTTTCTGCATTCACCTTTCTACATTGATCAGCGTGCGTATTCAGGCCATGCCACACTCCGGTGACTCTATCAGTACGTAATCGATGCAAGACACGGTTACTAATTTTTCCTGAATTCATCATGCCTTACAGATGCTGATTTGACTTCATAGATCTCGCAAGATGTCTGAACTTGCACAACCGGTCCTCAAGACTGGTCTGGACCTCGAGACAATCGATGTCATACATTCTCGAGGCACCGATACGTCAGCCACGCTCGCAGATGCCGCGAAGGAGGAACCACATATCAAGAAGGAGAACTCTGGAGCGGGAGCGCCGGATGGAAGGCTAGTGGTTTCGGTGACACTTTCTACCAATCTTGATTCTGGGCTGGACCAAGCCCATGCTCCCGTAGTCAAATCGAACATCAGGAACCTGCAGGCCTGCTGGAGACATCCAAAACAGCGCCAGATGTCGGCGCAACGAATCTTCCAAATCCTGCAGATAGCCAAGGGCTAATACCTGGAGCCATACTTCAAGACAATGTTCGGCACGAATCATCTGGCATGATCTCATCCTCCTTGGGCAACAAAGACATGATCAATGCGGTTGGCGATTTACTTGGAGAGAATCGTGATACTATTGAGGAGAACACAACGCCCGAGAACGTAGTGCAAGAAATCGAAGCAGGATTGGCAAGCAAACGCGTCCCGACCGAGAGGGTTATACAGGCCTTCCAAGTCGAAAATCCCATTCAACCAAGAGAGGTTAAGAAGCGACTGTATGAACATTTCGAGGATTATTTCAGGGGAAACTGTCATCGACGCAAATTTGCCTTTCACGAGCGACTCAGACATACCCCGAACCCTGGGCTAGAAATTGTTGGTTCGGGATCAATCGGATTCCCGTTGGACGACGATGATATAACCAAGATCAAAGCCGCCAGTAAATCCCTATCAACCGAGTCTCCAATTAGTAGCCTAAGAACTCTCTGGGAAGTGCCGAAAGACATGTGGCAGACAAAAAAATCCTGCTTGGCTGAAAGCACTCAAGTCGTCCGTTGTCAAAGTTACCCACGGATTAGAAATTGATTCCAAAGCGAAAGTGGAATTCGTCCGAGAGTCATTGTGGCTATTCGAACCTGGAAGCACGCTGAATGATGTTCAAAGGCACGAGGATTGCTGTATACATACCTACTACGGCAGAATGCGCTAATGCTTTCATAGGCCCGTACTGGCGTCTCCAAAATTTGCAACTCTCGACATTACTCTGCCTTCCGAGCGCAATGAGCTCGAATACAAATTAATCCACGACGGCAAGGAAGTTTCCTTTTCCTCGAAGGCCGAGACACAATATGATGCGTCGGCCACTGCTTGGGTGCGTGGAAGAAAATGGAAATGCATCCCGTACTAATTGTAGCCGCAGTTCTCAGGCGTTGAGGCATTCTCCTCGCCCCTTACTTCGGGCAAGCGGCTCGTCCTTCGATATTCTCTCAAAGAAAATACGAAACCGACAATGATTCGCGTGCCCCTTTCCATGACGCAAGTGTCAGAAAACCTTAAGCTGATATTCAAGAGCTGGGCTCTGAAACCCGCGGCGGTACCTTTCCCGGGTTTGGGATTCGTGTTGGACCAGTATCAAGAGTCTCTGTACGAGACTAAGTTTAAAGGAAGAGATCAATTTGTGATTGCCGAGCTTACGAAAGCTTGCGAGGCTGTGGATTTCTGCCTTTATCTAGCAGACTTGGAGAGGAAAACAGTCATCGAGCAAGTGCTTTCTGATGAGAGCGACGCCGACGACAACAGTGAAGGGGGCGACGACAAAGGAACCGCTCCTGGCACACCAAAAGACGACACATCCATTGAAACCACTACTTTTACTGCCTCTAGTTTTCTATCTATTAATGGCGAAGATGATTTTTGGTCATTGAAACTGCCGCTGAAGCCCGATGAGCTATTTAAAGACTTCGATTTTTCCGAGGCTGGGTTCGAAACAAAGTCTGGGTGGTTGGGTAGCACACCAGTCATGGAGAAGTACTCAGACCACACTGCAAGTTGCCATTCCCGCACAGAATCTGCTCACTAAACGGTCCCAGGTGGCAATAGTTATGCCCAGGAAAGCCCGAATGCTATTCTTTTCTAAGAATTGCAGCGCTACTATAGACGAGTATGTCGTGAGAGAAGCTTGTCGACAAGTCCAGCTGAACGAAGTCACTTCTGCCGGTCAAGATGATATTCGATGCTTATGCAACTTGTTCTTGAAAGATATCTCTTGGGATACATATAAACAAGACATCGATATATCGCATTTTTCTGGACCTGCTACGTCTAGTCGCATTCCTCAACGACAAAGCCTTGCTCGAGTGTGCATTGCCCCTCCTTGTCCTCGATGGCGCCTTTCCAATTTTGGGAGGCTTTATTCATGCATGCGGGAACGATTGGCTGGAGTCAATGTAAGTCGGCATCATCTGATTTTCCCACTGCTTGGAATCCAGCACTAACGAACAATTTCGTCGACTAGCTTGGGCGTACAGCTGTCTCAAGTAGAAGACTTCGGTTCTCTTTACCAGGGTATCTTAACGGCGCAGTTGTTGCATCTAGACCATGGCTGGATCAGTGAACAATGGAAGTTAGCTTTGACTTTGCAAAGCTTTTCTCCGATGCGTCACGGTTATCGTATTGTGACTATAGCCGAATTCTGGACTACTGATGAAGAATTGCGCACATGGTGAGCTCCCCGCCAATCTTCATGTATCCTATCGGTTTTCAGAGATTAATAATATATCCTAGTCTCCTCCCATTCATCCAAAGCCACGGCAGTAACAGCAAACTCGTTGTGCAGGTCCTGTCGGATCTAGCCCAGAACTACGACATCCCCTCGTGGCTATACAAGGAGCTGCTGCCATTGGCATTCGACGTTTTAGACCCAGAACAAATGAACAGCGGACAAATCAGCAATGTTATATGTCAGATGCATAAGCTCGGCATGAGGGCCGAGTGTGAATATTTTATTTCCAGGATCACCATGAAGGCGGTACTTGGGTGGGCCATTGACCCAGCCGCAGACTCTAACTCCGATGAGGAAGCAGACGAGGCAGAACAGGACAGCGATGGAAGCATCCGAGGCGAGGAACAAAATGGAGAAAGCTCTGGATCGGATGACTCAGAGGCTGTAGATCTGGAAGATGATGACAATGATGGCACCGATAGCAACGACGACCACGCGGATGAAGACAAGCAAAGCCAACAAGAAGACGACAATGATGTCGCAGAGGAGAGAGTACTCACGAAGAAAGACCGCAAGGACGCCTATACTTCCTTTCTCTCAACACTAACTAAATGTGTGAGCATGGACTCATTGTCCAAGGCACCATTTACAAAGACGATGTACCGAAGGATCCTGAGTCTATTTGTTGCCGATCACCAAAACAACAAACCCCAAGATCATCACTTTAGCTACATTTCAGTCGGATGCAAGCCAAATGTTACAGAGCTCGAAGACGGGACTACAGTCATAAAGCAAAACTGTCCTCAGTGCCGAACGCTTGATTTGTCTTCCTTGAATACTTTCTTGAATCAACATTCACCAACAGAAGTGTCGTTGGATTTGCAACTCGGGCAAAAAGGGGGCAGCATACGCGCCGAGAGAGACCATTTGCGGAAGTGGCTCGTGCGCGATAACCCCACTGGGCCACACATCAAGATATCGACCAGAATGAGCCAGATCAAAAATGGCATGCTGATTACGAAATGCGATCCTGTCTACGACACCAAAGTGCGAGAGTGGCAGATTGCGGGCGCTGAGCTTAAGAAACAGTTTTCCGAGATTGGTGAAGAGCTATTGAGGCATTTGCTCGGCAAACACTTCGACGCTATCATGGCTCTCAAGCCAATTGTCCTGTCAGATCCAGTGACAGTGCCGAAGCGGCCATTGCAGATATCGAATCAAGTTTTCGAGGATGAGGAACCTACGAGGAAAAGACTCAAGACTTCTTTGTAATGAGATAGTGGAACTCCTGCAACAGGATCATCAAGAAGCAGCACGGCTAACAGGACTTCGAGTGTGTCTAGGCGAGAGACACAAAGCTGAGAAGAGAATTGGCCAGGTCACGAAGTAATGAAGAAAGAAATGGCTGAGCACGTATGCACTTTGTACATTGCTGTAACACAACCTAGACAAAATATCATGCTCCCACGAGCTTCTTCCTCACATTAACTATGAACTTTAAATGTATAGCAATTTGCGCTATTTGCGCTATTCGCGCTGCTCGCGCAATCTACGCGATCTGGCGACCCCTTTTCCTTCGCTACCTCAAGCGAGGTCAGCGGTGATCGAATCGGGAAATGCCATTTGGCAGAAACCAACCGCGTTTCTCTCGACGCACTACTGTAAATAGACTCTGCAATGAGTGCAGGTCTTCTAGGAGATATACTGTCAGGTACGTAGCTATCACTCTCATCATAATTTCCCAGGAAGCTTGCAAATATGTGTCGATTGCGGACCGTAGAAGCTGACTGCTTCCTAGGAGATGCATCTGTATCTGAGACAATGATCGAAGCCGACTCAGCCCAAGCAGCAAAGGGTTGCTGAGACCTACAAAAAACAAACTTCCCAATCCCAAATTGCGCCCGCATCCGGTCATCAAAGGCTGCGCATTCAGAAACACAGGCCCGATCGATACCAGAACACACAGACACATACGCACACACACATTCTAGCTGGCAGTACTCATTCACCCAACCTTCTCCCCAGCACTAACGTGAAATCTCGTCGCCGTAAGCGGGACTCTCGCCGAGATATAATCATTGTACACCCTATCCTCGGGTTTCAACTCATTCGGTCTCATGTTATCGAATCTCCTGAACATATTTCCTAGCACGACATACAATTCTGCATATGCCAGACTTTGTTCCTTTAGCAGTTGCCTCGCAGCTTCAACTGAATTTAGAGTAAAGGAGAAAAAGAGACTTACTTAATGCCGATACACATCCTGGTCCCTCTCCCAAACGGCACATAGGCTTTTTCCATATGTTTTACGTTAGCGGGGTCGGCCCATCGGTCCGGATCAAACTTTGTGGCGTTGGGGAAGTATGTTTCGTTGTGGTGAAGTTCCCATGTTCCCATCGAGACGAAAGACTGAGTAATGTTAGCAGTTCCCATTTGAGTGGACATGAATCGCTTACTCCGGCTGGGAGGAAGTGCCCATTGAAAGTTGCGCCTCCTTCTGGAACCACTCTCGAAAGTTTCCCAGGAGAGCCGAAAGAAAGTCGGAATGCTTCTTTGATCACTCCCGTCTACCATTTCTCAGTCAACATGCCTCTTTCTTGTAAGACTAAGCAGACATACCAAGAAAGGCAACTTCTCCAAAGTCAGAAAGTCGGGCTTAGCATTCGGATTAGGAAACGCTTCCCTCAATTCATCACAGAGTCGCTTGTACATGACCGGATCATTAGTGACTTCAATAGTAGCAAAATTCATCGCATTCCCCGTCGTATCAGCAGCCGCTCCCAAGATAGCAAAAGCCTCATCACGAAGATGGACTTCTGGTGGTACAACCCATCCTTGTTCTGGATCTGGAGTCAGAAGATCATGGAAAATCGTTTGTCGAGCGGCAGACTTATTTCCCGCAGCGATATCTACCTCGACGCTGGCAATTGCTTCGCTGCAATGCTATTTAACATTAGCTCAATCTTCCTGAGGTGAAGTTTCAAGGTCAATTCACATTCTGAATTCGAAATACCTGCGCCAGCGGTCCACTCATCTTCGCACCCCATTTCGGCGGCAATGATTCTGCCATCCTCATGAAAAATGGCCACTGTTGAAATACCCACATCGTAGACCCCATTTTCTCGAACAGGGTGAAAAACTCCTCGCCGATATCCTTCCTATCGAGTAAATTATAACACTGATTGAACGCAATATCGGTAATGACATCCACAGATACAGCTCTATACCCATGATGCAAATCCATCTCTTCTCCTTCCTCGAATTTGCGCGCTACGAGATCACACAGTTTCTTAGCGTTGGATTGAATGATAGATTCGAATTCGATGATTTTCTTCTTAGAGAAGAAGGGGTTGAGACGTGCGCGCTTGATGCGGTGAGCTTCATTGGACATGGTGGTGAAGCTGGAGTAGCCGCATGACATGCTTGCATAGTATTGTTCTACTTTGGCGTATTTGGATCCGATGTAGTATATAGAGTCATAGTTCTCGGGGTCGCTGAGGTGGACTTCGTCTGGCGTTATTCGGACGACAGGTCCTGTTTTGTTAGTACTTCTCATACCTTTGGGGGTTGGGCTCTGAATAACCGTATTGCTCATGCAGCTTTCCGATCTGGATGTAAAATCTACTCCCTCCAACGAAGAGACTGTAGTATGTTTGATATAGGTAGGTAATCGCAGCGAGTTTTGGTCCCGGAATTCCAGTCAAGGGATGAAAATATAAATCATAGAATGCTCTGAAGATTCGATAACCGATCGCAAAGAACACAATCCTGCCAATTAGGAACATAGTTGAATACTCCTCAAAAGCTGCCATCTTGACAGCTTAGGTTTTGCACATTCACGTCGCAAAAACAGAATGAGAGAAGAAGAAGAAGAGCGTCAAATTCTGGGGAAAGCGATAATTGATAAGAAACTCGGTACTTTTATCTGCCACTCACACACCACGAGTAGATTCAGCGTAACTTCTTCCTGCTGTTTGCTCCGGGTAGACTTGGCAGTGGGTGCATTATTGGTGTCCGCACAACCCTGTAAACTAGTCCCAATTCAAATTCGAAAGCGACGACTTGCATATGCATGGGCTAAACGATCTCTACCTATCATATGATCGGTGTCGTAAAGGGAATAGTGGTTCATGGTCTTTTGTACTCTGGTAAATATATGTGCATCATTGACGTCTGTGAAGGGTATCGTCTTAGTCGAAGCTCTTTTCTAAGGTTTGTCACGCTGCACTTGGCGAAGCTCAAGATGTTTGTCCTGGACAAAGAACAACCCGACTTAGAAATACGCTCTCTGGCCTACTTTCATGCACGAGTTTCAAAAGATATTTCGGGGTTATAGAGTTGTAATGTTATCACGTGACTACCAACTATCTACCTGGTTAGTCTCGACGCTTCGGCGAGATAAGTTGGCATTTATGAAATTCAAATATTTAAGGGAATCCATGTCATACTCTTCTCTCAGTAGTCTCTCCAAAGCATCGAACATAAATAGTCCGAGCGATCATGTCACGAGTCAATCCTTTTTGCCTCGCTTAGAGTTTGACTTGCAAGAGTCCGTTGCGTTTCGTCACCAACTTTAAAATTCGTTGTGTATAAAGCTGTGCATTATTTCAAAGTTAAGCTCAATCCCAACGTCTTTATGAAAGATATATAAAGATATAGTTAGAAAATGGTGTTTAGTGTTAAAAGATGATTATTGAATTATGGCTATCTGTTAACCTCTGGATGTCTTGTATGCTGAGCATGAGTGTACGATGGGTAGTTTTGTCTATCGCTGGTCAGAAGGACGGTCGAGTTCCGGATTCTATACTGTATTCACCTACCGAATTTGGGGATTGTGACATTCTGTGCTGACATTTTCAACTGCTGAATGAATGCCGTGCTGTCGGGTGTATCCTCCGATGGTGCCCAACGATACACAGAGCCTGTCACCTCAGCATCAGTCCGCTGGGGACTCTCATTCTCTTGGCGACTCTCATGTTCCTCGACCTTAAAGGTCCATAAGTCTTGGCCGGTATCCTCTTCGACGAAGTAAATTCTATCTCCAACGGCGACATCAGATCCGCCTAGGTAAATGTTACCTTCCGTGCTGATGAAGGCGCGACAGGTACTATCAATGGTAAGAAAATGCTGTGGGATACTTCGTGACCGGAGCTGGCGGTATACTACCCAAGCGCTATTGAGAACTTCCGACTCATGAGGATCAAAAGACATTGTACTCGAGGTTTCGGGTATAAGCTCCTGTGGCCGTAGATCCCTGTCTGTGTGTAGTTCTAGATATTTCCCATCTTGGGATTGCTGCACTTGCATCGAAGGTCCGACGAATTGAACCAAGTCAATAATTTGGTCGGGCTTCATCCAAAACTCGCACCTCATATTTGATACGTCCAAACTCGGGGTGGTCTCGAGACCTCTTTGGAAAGGACGTTCCAATGCCCCCTGGAGTACTTGACTCATTTCCAAAACAACATTGCCGTATATTTCGGCTTTCAGGTTGTCGTTTTCGTTTTCCACATACCATTCCATAACATCGATATATAGCTGCTGCAGGCCCGTAGAATAATCGGCTTGTAGAGATCGGCCTCCGAGCGGCTGATGAACAAGACCCAACAAACCGAACACTCGGTCTTAGATGTCCCAGCATTGGAGGTGCCGGCTTACTTTCAGCAAGTTCAACATACTGCTGAAGCATGTGCGGCGATGCATCATGTCCATGAGCATTTCCAGACCTTCCGGGATTGCGTACGATGCTCCAGGACCTGAAGGGTGGTCAGGATTCACGCCAGGAGATCGTCGAAAATGGATCCAGAAGTGATCGAATTGTTCCCAGCTGACTGACTTTGTTCCGCAGTGCAGTGAGAGCTTTCTCGCGAGACAAACCTCCTGCAGTATCCATAATCTGCTCCAATAGGGACGATTATAGAAGGATAAAATCGCGTGATGTCTTTCGACTAGGATATCCGCCTCTGAACGTAGATCGACTTCTGCTTCTGCCTCTGCCTCGGCCACTGAATAGTCTTTCGTACTTCTCTCAATAGCTTTCATTGCGAGGTTGCTCTTATCATATACTTCGCCGAGCCAGACAATGACTTCTGATCCACGGTTGAAAATAGCGTACATGATGGCCACTTGATCAGAGCGCTCGGCGAGGTCATCCTGATTGATACATATAGCATCAGTCCAGAGAATCCGTTTCTTGCCACCGGAAGGATACCTGAGATAGTGAAGAGCGGTCCAAAGACCTCGCCGCACAGGCACTTGATGGCCATTGACATCGATTGAGTCGTAAATCACGTTAGGACCCCAGCAATACGACAGCGCTTCGTAGCCTGGTTGTCCAATTGATTTCCATCGTCGAAGCGTCCGTTGCGTTTTTGATCTGGATAAGGTTTCTTGAACTCTCCAGTACTGTATATCGCGAGCGGATTCGATCTGCAAGGTGGCATGTTTTAAAGCGCATTGTATGGTCCGGTCTTGCGAGTCGCCAGGTAGAAGCGTCAGGAGTCTGATTTGCGACGGGCCAAGCGGAGAGTACAATGACCTATTTATTGGCTTATCCATAATGCATTGGATAGGTGCATATCTTTTTCTCTTCTTCTATTACCTAGGTATCCTCAACCAACTCGTGAATTTGTTGTCCAGAATTAGTGCTGACGACTGCAGATATCGAGCTGCACCAGGTGCATCGCACTAAGTGCGTACATTATCCCTGCACGTGCATATCAAAGAGCCCAGCGAGCCCAGTTGACCTTTATTGCTCGGCCTTAACCATATACTTCAGACGTGGCACCAAACAGTGCTTGAGAGAGGTTCCAGATTATCATAAGGAATGGCATAGATAGGTAAAGTTTTAAGTGGATCATGATGAGAAGCCATTCCCAATTTTCGCAGATCTCGTTTCTTGAGGATCGAAGTTCAGCCATGCTCTCAACTCAGAGCTCCTAGGCTAGGCTCGCTGCTAAGGCAATTCTGTCAAATAACTTTGTATAAGCTGCATGACTCTTTTTATACCCATCCAATACCATGCCCACCCGCCCGAGTATCAGTGTGGTGCATGGCAAGGCTAACTCGGAGGCTCAATAGCGCAATTTTCAGCACGCTGCACAGCCTCACTCGTCGCAATCCCAACAGACCACAAAGGAAAATGATCCAAACTTCTGTCACGACTAGCACTTTTAACACGGCTCATAGAATCAAGTGCTGTATTGGACCATTTCATTTTCAATCTGTTGTGATAGGTCCATTGATGACGCCTCCGAAAGATGTCCGGCCTCGAGGTTATCGGCTCTGTCGCGAGCGTCCTACAATTAGCCGCCACAATCTATAGCATTTCGAAGACTCTTTACGAAGTCGGCGATGCATTATCCAATGCTTCATCGGATATCAAAGACCTAGCTGGAGATTTGGAGACATTTTCCCAAGAACTCGAATTATTATCTACCCTTCTCGATGGCAAAAGCACCCACTATTCTGATCAAGTCTATCGACTCACTGCTAAGATCATTGGGGATTGTGCAATGATATGTGAGAAGATTAATCGCGTTCTAAAGAAGTTACGAAGCAGGAGTGTTTGGGCCAAAATGAAATGGCTATACAAGGAGAAAGAGATTGAAAAGCTTCGGGCAAGGCTGAGAGATCTCAAACTAAGCTTGATGATCATCCTCAGCCATTTCAGTATCCTCAAGGCTGATCGAATGATGGATGCCATGGGTATAGGAAGCTCGAGTTTATTGGAGGGGCCCAGAAATGAAGCTGCTGCAAAGGAGACTGTCAAGGATTTAGAGAAAGCAAGAAAGAAGCTTGCAGGCATTACAATGGATCAGAATCAAACTACTGTGGCACCTAGCAGAAGCACGAGTACTCAGTTCTCTTGGTTGCAGGAATCTTCAGAATCGACGACGGCGGCTTCTAATGCTCTTTCTAAGAGTTCTCTGAGGGCAAGTTCGACTGCTCTCTCAGAACTTGATCCCGAAAGCCCTCCACCAACCCCAGGACCTCAAATACCATGTTTTGCCGTCCCATCTGAGGACTTCTCAGAAGTCAAGGCAATTATGATGAATAGTGCCGCCATGTATTCCGTGCAGTCTTTCCAAACGGCAGCTTCTCGATTCGAATACGACGAATGCGATGATAATTCCGAGAGACATCACTTTCAAGAAGTCCCTATCAACAGCCCTTTTAGATCGGAAACAGGTCCACGCTATCAGGGTTGGAATGAAGATAAGACAGCATCAGAGCCTGCGGCTGATTTGCCTAGCAAAAAAACGCCAGTTACTGGACTTTTGAACCAACCAACGAAAGGTAATTGGGATTGGGCTCACACATGTGAAATTTGTCGACCAGTCAAGGTATCTATCTACAATCTCTCACTCTTTTCCAGCTATCTAATTGACCAATTTTAATGTAGACATTTGCAAGAGCTGAGCATTTGAGGTGAGACAATATTATCAATTATCAAAGACTTGCTCTAATCGATATACAGGCGCCATCAATTGAGCCACTAAGAGCCAGCTTATTAATGCACGTTTGAAGATTGCCAAAGGTCTTTTCATCGACCAGATCTCTTAGCCAGGCATTTGCACCGACAGTAAGTAGCGGGATTATCTCAACACGAGACAAGTCTAATTTTCGCCATGCCCCCCCCTATCTGACGAGTATGATAGAAAGAAGCTTACGCAATGCAGCGAAACGCAAGATGAAAAAGCCTACAAAGCTGGAGTCCAAGGAGTCGTGCATCATCAAGTGCATCAGAGAGTAGGACGCCTTCTCTGAAAGTGGATCTATCTTCCATGGGAGCCTATTCCTCTGGGCCACAAGAATTTTCCGACGCATTGACGCCCCCCGGGTTTTGGAACTTTGTAGAGCCATTAGCAACTTCTAGTAATTTCCGTGCCATCAATTTCCAGGGCTCGGCAGATTCAAAGAGAACTGCTAGCCAAGCTCAACTACCAGAATCAGATTTGGATCTCGCCCCATCTTGTAGAGCAGAGTCATCGCGAATGCTCGATCTAATGACGACCCCGAATTCGCTCGGGTCATCAAGTCAATCCGGAATCGCCGAATCGTATGCGGAGGGAGGGATGAACTACACCACGACCCAGCAGCTCCCACTTCTTAGTATTTCAGAGGATAATTGGAACACTAGCCAATCTTGCAATAATTCATCATGCTGCTCATCGACGTCAAGTCCTGATCACTCTCCTGAGTCTGATACTTCTCCCCGGATGTCTACCCCTGTCTCGGCTCGAGCACATCTATTGAGTATCCCTACATCAATGGTCGACTCTGATTCCCATAAGACTTTTCATCACTCATCAAATGGAAATATGCATATAGCAGGCTATAGTGGATTTGACGCGGCTGAACCAACGTCCGGGCACCTTCGTTCTGAGCAATTATCCCAACTCTGGTGGCGAGCATCCGCAAAGCTTGAGGAGAATGATCCTTTTCTTTCAACCGCTCTAAACGTGGCATGGGAAGGTGCGAGATAGGTGTCGCAAGATGGCTCGGATGCACAAATAGCATATATTACTATGGGATCCATGATTCACAAACTTTCTCGGGTATCTCTCACTATCACACTCGCAACAATGAGTTCGATAAAGCGGATACATGGTCTCATGAAAATGATACAAGATGTATTGCAGAGCAAGACTGGAGCTTGTGTCTGGGTCTATCTCTCAAAAGCTCTCGATGTAAGTCCCTATCTTCAGCACTTCGTTCGTCTTGCTCATGAAACAAAACAGATTCTTTGTCAACATACGGATATAAACCAATATACCGATATCTTGGAGTCACTCGCAGACGTCGTTGCTTTGATCGCAAGATATAACGTGATGGAAAGCATGTATCAACAATTGCCTGGTATGGATCTCGAACCAGATTATGAGGATGCACTTGTATCTCTGTGCACTCATGTGCTTGAGTATCTCGGCCAAGTCATAACTTTGTCATTGGAAACGGGCCAGCATGCTTCGATGTCAGAAATCTTGACGCAAACCATAAATAAGATCAACCAAGCAGATACAAACTGCCGGCAATTTACAGTCACTTTCATGGACACGGCTTTAGATCGGGATATCAAAGATGTGTCGGACGAGGACTCTGATTCTGACAGCGCCAATTGCGAACCTCGAGGTACCAAGAGAGGATTCGAAGAGATCTCCGTAGCCATTGTTCATGCACGTAGTACACAGGCTGAGATGTCGGGCAGTGCTTCACTAGAATTTCAAGAAATGGGAAAGCGGCCAAGGGTTTGAAGCTTCGCTGAGATAATTTCGAGAATGTCCCTAAATTCAAAACTTGACGTCATGTTTATCAGAGAAATGCTCCTTTGCATACTGCTCACATGCCTACGATATTGTCAAATTCTGCAGTGCTTGAAGATCAAACACTAGACATACCTTTGCTGGCTTGCCTATCATTTTCCCAATGACCTTCCATCTGTCTTCCTCGTGTTCTTTGATTGCTTTCAGAAGTGCTTGGGACTATACAGCACATCGTTCATTAGATTTCAGACATTCCTGCAAAGGTGATTTGAACCGACCTCGTCCTCAACAAAAGCGGCGGAATGCATATCCTGCTAAAATTAGCAACAATCTTTTTAAATTAAATGAGGACTCTACCTTGTACCAATGTTTCTTGACGCTTCCTTCAGTCCTTGATGGAAATGTCTTCATGAATTCAGCATATTTCTCCCTGTTGTAACATCATAACACACCTTGGCTATATCAGCCCAGCTATGGCCGACATCTCTCATAGTCCTGAGTCTCTGCTCCTCTGCCGGAGTCCACGGAGTGTTTGTGCGAGACTTCTTAGCAGGCGGTGGAGAAGAGGATTGCATTAGCGGCTCTGCCGATCCCCGCCAAGACAAAGCTTTATTCTCGCTGCCAACACTAGGTGCAAAAAGGAAATCTCCGGACGAAAGACTGGGGAACCGTAAGGCATTGCCAGTCACAGGAGACATGCTTCTCCTCGAGCCTACGCTCATTGCGACTGATGTCGACCTCGAAGTTTTCCGTGAGCATGCCTCTTGTCTTGGCTCTCTATTGGGCTAGTTGGTGGAATAGTTGCCTCTAGTGCCGCTAATTCTGAATCGCTTACGGTTTCTTGAGTATCGGCTTCTCGGATTTTCAGACTATCTTCGGAGAGTATGTCGCCTGAGCGAACATAGCCGATGAAGTTGCAAGCAAGATCATCTGGAAGCAAATCCCAGAGAATGACAGGTACAGAAATGATTATCAACGTCGAATAACTTCGATAGATGCTTCGCACCTTGACATACTCAGCCAAAGCAGGGAATGATGCAAGCCAAGCAGCGCAGGCGTCGGCATCTAACACCTGGTTTTCTGCTAAGGCTATCGAAATCAAGACGTGTGGGATTTTGAGCAACCCATCAGAATCCCTGCCAAAGAGTGCTTCTTTGTTGATATGATATTCTTTTGGAGGCGAGGGTAATCGCGCTTCACCGTGGACCCGTTCAGGACCATTTGGCTCAGTAGCCATTTTCGAGGTCTTTGGCATGGTGTCTACCTCTTCATCCTGAGAACCAGCTCGTTCTTTACCCTTGCTGTGTTTTCCTCGTTTAATTCTTCTTGAAGTTCTCTCCCCTGTAATGCCTGGATCCGAATCGTGTGATCTTGCGCGCTTCTGCGATGCACCCGCTTGGACCGCAGTGCGATCGACTTGTATTCGATTCAGCACTATGCTGGGTATACTTGGGTCTTCTGTCGTTACAATATATACAGGAGTAGTTCGACATTCAACGCGCCGGTTCCCACCTAGCCGCTCCGGACGTTCGTGCTTAAGAACCGAAAGAATCTGGCTATGTAGCATCGCAACAAAGAATTTTCGATTGATCTATTCCTCAAGGACTTCGATAAGCGCGGATGTGAACGAAAACCGCCCTGGTTCCGCTGCAATGCTCTCCCAGCCGCAGGCTGCAATTGTCTCTGTTATTGTCTTACCGCCCTTTGGCGCTGAGCTTGCTGCAGCACAACAATCCAGGAGAAGCAAGACATCGGAGGTTGCAGATTCGAAAAGGGTCTGGACGGCAGACCAATCCAAAGTAGAGAATGATCTACTACGTGTGCTAAGCAAAATTAATTTGGAGACTTCAAGACCATACGAGATTGAACAAGACTTACCATGACCAAGTTGACTGGCGAGCTTCATTGATGTAGGCATGGCCAGCATAGTAGACAATCATAAGGCAGTCTTTGCGATCATGTGCGTCGACAAACTGCCCCACCTTCAACATTAGCCTTCGATGCGCGTTTTCTGCCGGAATAAGCCAAGGCGTTGTGCTGAAGCCATAACTCTCGAACACCCTGCTCAGATCTGCCAGCTCTGGCTCCACGTTCAATTCATCTTTCGCCCACCTCAGTAGGAGTACCTGTACACTTTGGTACCTAGACACAGAGCGAGCTAAATTCGGGAATGCACGCTTGGCAGTCTATGTGCTCTTAGAAATGTTTTGATCGGACTTTGGAGTATGTACTTGATCAAGTGCTTCAACAAAGTGGGACAGACTGTTCATATGACAATCCGATCGCGAGGTATCATGAGTGGATGGAAACGTCAATGGAGACTGCTTTGTTTTATGCTTTGAAAGTCATTCATCGTCCAAATGTGCCCTCGAGAATGGTAGAACTCACTTCAAAATTAAATGCGCTGTCTTTCACTCGGTCCGGCTGATTCGAAGATAGAGTGTAGAAGCTAGATTGAGCCATGCTGCCATCATCAATCGTGGTTGCGCAGCTGAGGTCGAGCGGCGATGGCAAAACAGAGTATGCTTTCTACACTTCTAAGAAGTCAAGGGAATCAAAAGATTTCAATGTAGGCAAGGCTCGAGGACATGATAATGGGCATTCCGAGCCGTAAGGCTGGACCGGTAACACAAAGAACGACCTGCAGCAACCCCTGTCTCTCTCCACCAATCTGATCCGGTCAATATCTTCACACTCATGAAGCTGAGAACATGACAGAAAAAGCATGGCATATCCATTCAATCAATCGAGCAGGCATAAAGTAGCAGCAATCGTCTCGTGATTCAATTTATCAATTTCATAGGGTATAACACTCGCAACTCTAGACAGCAGTAGGATACTTCCTCACATATTCCGTCTCTTCTTGCTCGATAACAGGACTCATCCCAGACTGCGGCGTCTCCTCATTCCCACTATTCGCTCTCCTCAACGCCCTCCAGAATCCCAACATTAACTCCAGGATCGCAATCACTGCATAAACTCCCGCCATAACAGCAACATCAGTCACTTGATCACTGATAGGGTATTTGGAGCCTTTTCTCCCATTTATACCCTCCTTACTCAGCCCGACGACCTTAACAGCACACATGGCTACTCCTCCAATCCATATTATCCCATTCACAGTCTGCCAACCTCTTATTCTGCCCTTCACGCCTTCGGTGTAGTGGAGGAATGCGCCGATGAGCAAGCCGACGTACACAAATGGTAAGAGGGAGATTCCGAAGTGTATAAGTTCTAATCGGACGATTTCGAGGGTTTGCATGAGGATATTGCAGACGATGAGGATATAGTAGATGATGGAAATGGTGTTGAATGCGCAGTTGCGTCGGGGCTTAGAGCGTAGGTAGGCTGTTGAAGGATCGAAGTTCGATTTTCGATGATGCATGGAGAGGAGATATAAAAGTGGAAGGAAGAGGAGGGCGAGCCATATTGGAAGTGGTATGAGGATAGTGTCGGTGAAGCAGGATGTTGGGAGAGGAGAGGAGAGAGTTGAGTGAGGGCCCTGAGCAGGGAGTCAGTGAGCTTCTTCGCGGAAGGAGATGAGAGAGACGAAGAACTTACAAAGCCTTCTAGTCGGTTGGTGCAAAGCTGCATTTTGATATCCAATCTTCTTTCCAAGAGTTAAGTTTCAACAGCCAACAAGCAGCGCAAGGAGCAGAGCACAATCAGTGGATATGTACTCTCTTGTTCCTAGTAACTCAAGCTTACTCGGAAGACACAACAGCACCACCGTATTTCCCACAGGCTGAATTTGTCTCTAGTCGCAGCTCTTCGTCGTCGTCTGAATCCCAGGTTCCGTTCGTCACAATCACAAGTCAGCAGTTCTCCAGATCCCAGACCCCACAGTTGTCGCAATATGCTGGTTGCGCTCCTTGTCTCGAGACAGTTTCAGGAGCCGTGCTCAGCACAAGGTTCACTCAACACCAAACGAATTCCTCAATCGCGAACGTCCAACCAGGCTCCGCCGTGAGAGAGAAACGTGCGGTGCGAGTGTGCATTCCATTGTATATTTGCCGCAAGCCTGGGCGCGTCGCGTCTTTATGTATTCGTATTGTTACGCTTGCTGAGATGATTTGATTTGATTGCAGCGGTGGTTTGTGAGTCCGAGGTGATGCTCGAGTCGGATTGGCGGCGATTGGCGCTGCCAGCTTCTCGGAATCCTCAATTCCCGGGGCGTGACAGGGTCGAGATCGACCGCTACTGACCTCTTGGTGCCTGCATTGGGGAAGGTCGGCGGTAGCTCATTAAGCTTATTACGCCCAGATGATGCTAGAGAAATTGGGGGACGGGACACAGGAAGAGTGTCACTTTGAGATTTCGAGGAAGATTCGGAGGAGAGAAGTGAGGAAGAAAGGCAAAAGAGAGTTGAAAACGGCACTTAAGGACAATAATTAGAGGATGGGTGAAGGAAAGAAGGTGGTAGCAACAAAGATTTTGTAGAGATGCACGTTACAAAAGAGACGCAAGATAATCTGGGGAAGGATGATATGTGGATTTTGAGAAGGAAGGAGCTGTCATGAATCCTCCTATTCGAGCATACATAAATCTCCGAGTGAAGAAACGGCATCATTGTTACCGCATTTTCTTGACCCTCAAATCACTATGTACTCTATACAAAAGGACTTGAAGCGAACTTGCTCAAGTCAGAAAAGGGGACGATATACATCACGTGACTACTGCTTCATACCACGATGATACCGACCTCTTTTGTATCAAAATTAAGCATAAAGCGATTTTTTGAGTGCTTAGAGAGCCGTTAAAAGTGGTAAGCAGTTAAGACTCGCACCATGAAATAAGCACATCATGTGATCACGTCCCTAGCTTTAACAGATACCTATCACAGCTTTACACGACTGGCCCGTTACCACCCGTTCATGTAGACATCTTCACTGAGCTTCATTTCAATTCTGCCAGTATTGTGAGAAATTTTGTTTATGTTTCTTTTGCGATACCCATCATGGAAAATCCCAATCTCGTTTTTGGAATCATCCCCAAACCCCCACAATCAGAATGTTCAATACCGGTATGACATGACACTCTTCTCTCAGTCGCGGAATTTGCCTTTCTTTTGTCCAATCACTTAGCCCCTCCCAATTGACGCAACAATGCGGACGCTTTGATATAACTAGGAGGGAGGTCTGCTGAAGCAGATGCGAAAAATACAAATCATGTGCCTCTGCTTCTCAATGGTGATCGATCGGATTCATATCCGTCAGTCGTAATGGTCTGTGTTTTGATTTTGCTTCAGAGAAGTTGGAAACGTGTGTGGTTGGTGACATATTGGGGTTTTCAAGATTGGAGGAACATTAAGATAGTAGAGCGGTAGAATAAGTCTTGAGAAGCCGCCTGTTGATACACTTATGGTTCCCTGGACGCACATTCTTCTGTGAGTATTTCAAGCGCACAAATATGAGCTCAATTCGATTCTGGCTGCTTCAAGATGAAGCCATCGCAGATCAATCTTGCTTGTCTCATGCAGATCAGGTTGACATTCAAGGTCCATGTGACAGACAATAATGTAGAAAGGAGAAGGAGTTGAATTCATGAGCTAAATTCGCTTGAGCAACAAAGCGAGCCATAAAGGGGCTGGCCACCATGATTACCACGTGATACCTTGGGAAACGCTGATAGACGAGGAGCTGGCAATCTTTGCAGGCTATTTGATTATGGCTTCCTCCATTGAAATTTCGTGGAATTTTGGTTGTTAGAAAGTTCTGGCCAGAATAGAGTGTTGTGTTGGAATTGTATAGCCGGTTTTGCGGGATTATATGTCGACCAGGGTTTGCAAAACCAACATTAGGCCTGCACAACTATCAACTTCCTGAATCAACATTTTCGTGTGGGGAATATTGAATCTTACGTGCATAACAACATTTGTATTGGCAGCGATGGAGACTACATGTAGTCCAATTGCAAGCTAGTCGATATTGATCTTCCGAACTTACCGCATTACTTGTCTTCTGAGATCTGATCTTATGGCCGACTTTTTCTTCCCAGCTGTCTAAATTAAGATATTCTGACTGTATTCCTTATTCCAAAACCAGATTATAGAAACCAATTATTACGGTATCCAATATTTACTCTCATTCGGATCTGAGTTGCTTTCGAGACTCCATTATCTTGACTTTCGCTCCGACAAAACATGGCCGAGGAAGCGCAGCCATCGACTTCGAGAACCGCACCGAGACACGGCTGGAGATTCTGGGCCATATTCCCAGGCCTTTGCGTCACTTCCATCCTCTGTGCTCTTGACTCGACCATTCTTTCCACTGTGCTCCCAACCATCACTTCCGACTTACATTCTTCATCCGAATACGTATGGATAATCAACGCTTACACTTTGACTTTCACTGCAATACAACCACTCTATGGTCAAGTAGCCGACATCTTCGGACGCAAAGCCGCCATTGTGGTTGCCATTTCACTGTTTCTCCTGGGTAGCGGTATCTGTGGTGGAGCGCAATCCACGGATATGCTCATCGGCGGACGTGCTATTCAAGGGCTCGGCGGAGGGGGCCTGAGTATTCTGCCAGCGATGGTGGTTTGCGACTTAGTTCCCCTGAGAGAACGGCAGAAATATACTGGTCTAGTCTACGGTGCTTTTGCAATCGGCACCTTCATCGGACCTGTTGTCGGTGGAGTGATGGTTGATCATATTCCTTGGCGGTTCATCTTTTGGTTGAATCTTCCACCGGCTGGGCTGGCACTTGGTTTGGTGGTAGCATTCCTCAAAGTTTCCCACAATCGATCGGGCTCTGTCTGGAAGCAGTTGGCACGGATTGATTATTTCGGGAATCTCTTCTTGATGGGCGCCGTCACTTCAATCTTACTTGCGCTTGCCGGAGCTGGAGTATCGCGGCCTTGGAGCTCTTGGCACACGCTTGTGCCACTGCTGTTAGGTCTTGTAGCTTTGCCATTATTCGTACTTTTCGAAGCTTCATCACTTTGCCTCCTCCCCACAGTCCCGCTTCGACTATTTTCCAACAGGACATCGGCACTCGCCTTCTTACTCACCTTTCTCCACGGAGTCATGCTGTACTGGGGAAGTTACTTCTTGCCTGTATACTTCCAAGCAGTCCTGAAAGCGACTCCGCAGTAGTCGGGAATAAATACCCTCCCAGCAGCTCTATCCTCAGTTCCATTCGGTATTGCGGGAGGCTTCATGATCGCAAAGACGGGTCGTTACAGACTAAATCAGATCGTAGGCTTTGCCTTAGCCGCCATCGGTATCGAATGCTGCAGCGTATTGAATCAAAATTCGTTGGCTGGCGTATGGGCGACACTTGAGATTATATCTGCGGCCGGGGCAGGCAGTATCCTGACTGCGACACTACCAGCAATGCAAGCACTTCTTGCAGAAGCAGATGTTGCTAGCTCGACTGCAACCTGGGGCTTTATTCAAAGTCTCGGATTCGTCTGGGGTGTAGCTATTCCGTCCAGTATCTTTGAGACCAAGTTCAGAAGTTTGTTGCCTCGTATAAGCGATCTGGTGGTACGAAACAACTTGAGCATGCTTCGAGAGCTTTCATTGTATCCTTACACGGTCAAGTGCAGAGAGAGGTGATTGATGTCTTTGTGGCAAGTCTTAAATTGGTTTGGGAGATGGGATCTGCTTTTGCGATATTGGGGTTTTTGATTTCGTTGGGGGTCAAAGACATGGAGTTGAGAGAGACATTGGAGACTAGCTACGGCTATTACGGAGAATTATCAAGAAAAGATAACCTAGCGAGTTCCAAAGAATGAAAGACCGATTACGTTCGTCAGTGTCTTTTACTTGGCTCCTTCAGCCCAAGTCGACATTTTCTGCTGAGTCTGTGGAGAAGGAATCTCTCCAAGATTCGGATCCCTCTTTGCACTGTCCCGCTTCCTGAACAACATATAGAACTCTCTCAATTTCTCATACTTCTGTTCCACCATTCTTCCATAAACATCTTTGACCACCTCGCCAGATCCGATTGTCAAATCAACACCATAACAATCATCAATGAACTCGATAACTTGGTACAATACAATCTCCGCAATTGTAGGTCCTCGCCCCTCCTTCCCCAGATGAGAGAATTCGACGTCTTTGAGATAAGTTTCTAGAGTCCACAGAGTCCCATACACCAGTCACAGCATCTCTTTAGCCGCAGCAGGAATTGGCATAGTTCCTGCTCCCGTCCCAAAGGTTCGAACTGGATTCCAGGAAGCGAGGATTTCATCAGCTAGACCAAGGATTTCAGTGTTTCGGGCTCGAGCGAGCAAATTCTCTCCACGAATGGAATACTTGGACTTCGGAAAGCCGTCGGCTCCGGCATCGCAGAGCTCGTCGAGGTAATTCATGATGGCGACGGATTGGCGAATGTGTGTATCGCTTCGTTCCGACCGCATGACCAGGACGGGAAGACTTCCTTGCGGTCGTGGAGGGAAGTTGGGCGGCGCAGCGTTGCCGTCACCTGGATCAGAGACGCGAACAACTTGCACAAGGGAGGATGGGATACCCTTCTCACGAAGGTAAATTATGATCCTGCGTGGATAGGGCATCCAAGGGTAGGCGTACAAGAGGTATTGTCGGGCGGCCATGGTGAGAAGATAATTTGCTTAGAAGAATATTTTTTGAGTGCCAGAAACAGTCTTCGCAAAACAAGGACGTGATGTATATTGCAAGAGATTTCGAGGTGAAGTCGTACATCGATAGATATATATGCTCGAGAGCATGCGTCTATAATGTTAAGGTCTGACTAACATCTCAAGCTATTACAGAAACATGCTCGCGAATGTCTCCGAGCAAGTTTGCGAATGCTCATACATCAAGTATTGAAGAGCTGGTTGTTCTCGTTCGACGCGTCCAATCAGGAGGGATGTCTCCGAAAAGTTTCCGGCACCTTGTGAGGCTCGCCAAACTAGAATGGCGTAAGATGAGGTAATTGTGTTCAAACAATCCGAATTCTTTCAGTGCGAGCGCCCTCAAATAACTTCAAGTCTTCGTCTGATCGTTCTTCGTTCTTCACTTTGTCAATCCTTCCCAAGCCGACTCTTTCCCAGGCAAGACCTTTCGTTGAATCTGCACGTTGCAACACTAGGAACCAGATCCATTCATAATCGTGAAGCTTTCGAGTTGCCACCTTTAGACACCAGAAGTCAGAATTGCGTTCCATTCCGAAATGGCATTTTTCACACTGAGCGTCAGGTCCTGAACGAAGAGGGCAGGTTCCACGAACCCAACAGTCGTAACCAGGATCACCTTTTCGAAGTTCGATCTCTCTCGGAACATCGCATGATATTTCGATGATGGCGCCAAATCTTGAGCGCACGACGCTAGTTCGGCCTATCCAGTTGTCTGACACATCCCATAACCGTCTCTTGACCCTCCTCTCGGCTGTAAGAACCTTCACTGGCGCAAGCACTCCTTCCAATAACAGTTCACCATCTCGGACAGGTCCAGAAGGGTGAAAGTCATCTTTGGGAGTACAGAAGGTGCCAATCTCGTCTATTAAGACATGGGACTCAAATGTTCCTTTCGACTCATATTGTATGGCACCATCTAAGGAAGCCCATGACCAGGTAGGCGCGCGATACGGAGTTGGACGAGCAGAGGTCGGTATCGGCATATCAGCATCAGGAATCTCCGTCTTCCGGTCCTGAGAATACCAAAGAAGTTGTTGTGGGAGGAAGGTACGGATCAATCCAGCAAGATATACAGGCCACAGCGACTTTGGTCCATTCTGCGTCCAGTGGCCATAGGCTAAAGTTGCGTTCGATTCAGAAGGCTTACTCTGGAGTGACAAAGCTAGTCCAGAAAGAGCTACCAGCCTATCTGATGCTCGGGTTAGACCTCGACCTGAGTATTCCATTACAAATTCCATCCAGTCACACGTTTCGACGGCGGGTTCTAATGCTGGATACAGATCCGTCGGTATAGACAACCTCTTTGGCTTGATAACAGGGTTGACTGACGGAAGTTCGCCTAGCCATGTCTTCGTCATCGGATTCGATTTACCGCCAAACCCTTCGACATGACTACACTCACAGAAATGATCTTTCGAGCATTCCCACACCATTTCGAAGCCAGTGAAGTGTATGATTCGGCGTGGTAGGATACATTCCTGGAATGCCCATCCTCGCTTCATCAATGGTGTTGGTTCTGCACATAGCCATGCTGGCTTTTCTCTCGTGCGGATGAACATCTTTTTCTGGGTATCAGAGCCCCGAGGAGTCATGAATCCCCTTTGCCAATCAGCTTGGCCGTACTCCTGCTTCCCGAGAAAGCCTTCCTTGCACGAAGACGCCGAGTGCGCAGCCAAGGTAACGTGTGAGTTCGAGTACACATGTCGCATCTGAGCCGCCTCTCTTCGCCAATCCTTGTCGTCGTCTTGCACAATGCACAGAGCGTCGATCCATAGATGTCTTATCCCCATTCCTCGACATAAGATGATTGCATCTTGCAGGCTCTTGGGTAAAGAAGCCACAGCGATGCTCTGACAGTGTTTGTCAATGGTTTCCTTAACCGTAGTAATAACCCCTTCGAGGTCACCACCCCAACAATAACTCAGAGCTGCGTACATGAAAGGCTCTCGATACTTCTTTCTAGCTTCAATGAGGCGGACTCTAGAAGATCCCGCATCGGGCGACTGATGATGTTCTTCACGTCTCTGTTTATCTGGGGTCGACCTCATCCCATTTCCGTGATATTCTGAAGGTATCACTTCGAGAAGTCTGGATGGGATGAACTTCGAATCTGGGTCCTCTTTGGGATGATCGTGGTACTTGACGCAATTTCCTAGCCAGTCAGAAGCACGTTTGAAGGCCTCTCGTGAGTTGGTGTCGGTGACGATGTCGAGGCTAGAGAGGAAAGGCTCTGTCAATTTGCCTTCACTGTTCTTTTCTGAATCGATCAGCGACTGTAGCACTCATACGCCTACCCTCTTCTTATGCTGTGCATGAGGATAAAAGAAACACAAAATGTGTTAGGACATCAAAGCAAGAGAATTGACATATCAGAACGAAATGGACCGACCTTGATGCTGCCACAGAGTGAACTTTCCACTTTTACCTCTCAGCTTTGGATCATCAACAGGGTCCACCGACACATTCAGAACACGAAACTGCAAACTCAATTCGATTGTTCCATCATCAACGTGGTCGTCAATCCAACCTTGATGCCACTCTTCCACAGCCTTAACGATCATAGTACAATCCAGGCAGCCCCCTGCCTTGGCACTTAGAAACCTTGTTACAGGTTCCACGATCTGAGATGACCACCCATCTGAAGACAGGATTGGCGAGCAGATTGGACATGGTTTTGTCATGGTAATAGGATACCTGCATGGTGGTGGTTCCAAAGTTGCGGGAGGGAGGGTCCGTCGCGATGTTAGGCTGAAGCCTGTAAGATTACCCCGCTATCCCCGATGAGATCTCAACTCGTGAGCCAAAAATAGATACGGTAATCACGTGCATCTTCGCTTTCTTAAGCCTCGTTCTTCTTTGATCTGTCCAGGTCAGAATAGTTTTTCATGAACAAGCAATGGCTTTCATGGGTATATGTTTTGGGAGAAAGTCCGGCATTTGTATTAGATATTTAATATACACTCATCCCTAGTCTGGCAATCTTACTTTCGTAAACCCTTATATTCACTATTTGGCATTTATCTATCTATTGTTAGCCAAGCCAAACGTAAACGTACCATCTTCACCTCTCTCATTACATACAGCTCTGAGGACTTCTTAAGTCTCACCACAATTTGGGCTACTGGTTGTTGGCCCGCCTATACTCTCAACTCCCTTCGGCTTTGATTCAAATCAAGATTATTCCGGGAAACAACAGCTGCCAAATCGATCAATCATTGATATCAAAACTAGTGAAGCGATCCACCCCCCTAAAACCTAAGCGAGGCCCTAAATGTTGGCTAAGCTCTTGAATAATGTCACACTGCGCAATGACTTCTAACTCAGATACCGGAGAAACACGATTCTACTTCCATTCATTTCCTAGGGGAAAATGAATCTCAAAAATTCAAAGAAGTACCCGTGCGATGGCGCAAAGTTCTTTAGACAGTGGGGGTTTTGACAGGCTTGTTAGCTGATATCTAATGTCATCTAAGCAAAAGACGCAACAATCAGAGTGAGCTGTCTTCGGATAATTAAAAACATTGACAACTCCACGGCACTCAATTGTAGAGCACCTAGTCTTGACATTCAACGACACGGATTGTAATGTAGATGCAGTGCCGATTTTAGACCATGCTTACTCGTTAGCAGAGGGAGCGAGTCAGAAGAGAATGTGCTGTTTGAGGAAACTTATAAGCAGCTGACAGTGTTATGACAATCCAGAAGAAGAGAAGTCTTGAAGTTTATGTTTGACAACGGAATATTGAGAAACATCTCAGAAGCCAAGTTTTGGGACCCCTGTTATTGCTCTTCCCGTATGATTGGTAACAAACCGAGTCCAAATAAAGCTCGCATTCACGGCTAATGACATCACCGCACACGATTACTGAACACCTCGCTTACGATTCTCCCAAACTGGAAATAAACCTTTCTCAAACTAGAGCGGTTGATTTCTAAGCAAAATGTCACATAATCTACCTATGAACGTTCAACCAACTCATGCGATGCAAGCCATCACCACGAGCCAGAGCTGAACAATCATTCGATGCGCGTCATTGACTGAGTTGTGATTCCATCTTCGCCTAATTTGGATGCGTATTTTACCTTCTCTGGGTAAAGCTCCCGTTGTTTCATGAGCCTGCTCGGTACATATTCCAATCAGAGGAATATGATAAGGCAGAGTCGCGTTATTCACCATTGTTCTTTTAGTTCTGTGGATTGGAAATGGAGATAGGTATGATGAGGAGTGGAGAGGAGAAGTTGTGGAAGAGGGCGAAGAGGGTATATATTGGAGGTTGAGGACGGGAGAGTTTAAGATCACCAGAACATCAACCACATCAACTGCAACGAAGAATTAACTCCAAGAATCTACTTAATCTTCAAGCTCGTCTCTATCCATCATCTCTCAGCACTAGCAACATCCAACAAGTTACTTGAATCCGACAACGATATCAAGCACTCCTCAACCAATCAACAGTCCACACCAAGCATCAATCACATCCGAAATGTCAGGACTCACATACCTCATCACCGGCGCGAGCCGAGGAATCGGCAAAGGTCTCCTCTCTGCCTTCGTTCTCCGACCAAACACCACAGTCATCGCAGGAGTCCGTGACACCGCTTCCGCCGCCGAATCTCTGAAGTCCGTCCCCGTGGGCGAAGGCAGCAAGATCGTAATCGTCAAGATCGACTCCTCAGTCGACACTGACGCCGCTGCCGCCGTCGAAGAGCTCAAGTCCAAACACGGCATCACACACATCGACGTCTTACTCTCCAACGCTGGACTCCTCGGCATCGTTGCGCCCGTCCTCGAAACACCCGCCGACCAACTTCGGAAGCACATCGAAATAAACACCGTCGCACCTCTCATCCTCCTGCAAGCCTTCAAGCCTCTTCTCGATGCCTCTTCTTCGCCAAAGTTTTTCGTGATCACCAGTAAAATCGGCACCCTTAGCGACATGCAAAATGTTCCCGTCCCGTTCTTCGCGTACGGAGTCTCGAAAGCGGCTGCGAACTACTTCGTGCGTAAAGTATCGTTTGAGAACCCGAAGCTGATTTCGATCGCGTTGAATCCCGGATGGGTTCAGACTGATATGGGAACTTGGGGTGCGAAGTCGGTGGGGATGGATGAGGCGCCAATGTCGTTGGAGGATAGTATCAAGGGTACGGTGAAGAATATTGACGAGGCTAGCCTTGAGAAGACGGGATCCTTTATTGAGGTTACCGGGGAGCCGATTCCTTGGTAGATAGAATAACTGGTGTATGATGCAAGGTTTTGAAAATCAAGATTCAAGGTCTAGGTCGGGAATTTGGGGGGCTGGACTATGATGACTTGTGGGGAGGACAGAGCGCGGTAGATGAGAAGAGGACGGTAGTAGAGGAGCACGGTGAAACGTATAGAGGAATGAAACACATTTGTCCGCAATTTGATTTGTACTCTCAACCGTGGTGCGGCCTTTTGAGTCAGTCGAACTCCTTGCAGTTAGGGTGCGATGTTGAATTGCTTATCATATTTCTATGTGCACACAGAAACCAATCAACAGCCATTTCCCAACCCCAGTTTTCATGGGATCCTTTTTGCTCTAGCATATCCCATTCGAATCAGATGCACAACAAGTGGAACCCTGAGTAGAAACAAAGCGTCAATAACACGATTGACCGTTCCACATGATTGTACTTACAATGCAGATAGCGCCATCCTTGACTGTGTTAGCACATTCTACAGAAGTACAACAGATGAGAACTTACAGGACATGGAAGACCCAAGGGACACTGTTCAACATCACAATATCCTTTTGGACAATCTGATGCTAGGGCGCTGTAACTAAAGCCACGAGAGGAAGATGGAAAGTGGTAAAACGCATTTTGCAGATAGAAGATTGGGCTAGTGTGATCGTGGTATAGTAATTAGCTTGATTTGTGCTTGTGCAGAAAGACAGTGTAGAGGAAACGTATCTTTATAGGTTTCAGAGAGGAGAGATCTACATAGCCATCTTTTGGTCAAGTGATCCATGATGGCATGATTCAAGTTTTCCTTTTGGAAGCGAGAACGAGTATGCGAGTGTGTTTTCCTTATTGGCTGGATCGCACAGTATAAGAACTAAATAATTGAAACTTTCTCGCCGCATGAGTAAGCTGATCTTTGTTACACAATTCATGTAACTCATCATATGTTATTTCATTACTATATAACACATTTCATACGTTCCGTGATTGGAAGAAGCCGTTGTTCACTGGCGGCATGGTTCTGCGTCACAAAAAAAGCATTTCCCACTTGGAAAACTATGCAAGGTCCCGTAAAACTTCGGCTGAATGTGTGAACAAAACCAAAATCTACACCGATGTGGCTCGCATGGTTGCCAAATTGAGGTGGGGACGGATTATGAGAAATTTACCCCGCAACGGTATCAATTGCCCGTACTACAAGCTCGGCCTAAAGACGATAGCATCTTGCGTATGAAATAACTTCAAATGTAAATTTTCACATCAGCATGACCCTCAGCTAAAGTTTACGCCCATCGTGAAACTATACTGGGGTATATGAACGAGAGCGAGACTACTCTGTGCTGTCATGTGAACTAGCATTGCGGAGATCCATGCAATGGTTGACGACGATGCTTACGAAGATGACTTCTCCACAAGCCAGTATATGATCACTCTTCTAACACTGTGTCTTATCAATATGTAATTGCAGTGATATTGCGCAGAAATGAGAAATTTGAAGAGAAAACGCAAGTCTGAGGAGGAAAAAGTCGCTTAAGAAAATTGCTTTGCCAAACCTGAATTACTTGCCAGTCCACTGGGAATGATCACTGAGCCAGAAGTGGGGTCAGAGGCTTCTGCGCTCACCACTATGTTCATGTTGTGCTTCGCCTTGACAAAGTATATGTGCCTCTTCAGATATGCTGCAAGTTGATTTCTAAAAACAATACATACTGCCCATCTCGAATTATTTTCTCGTCATATATGGACGATGGGAGTATCCCTGTAGTCACAAGGCGTTGGAACAGAGGAGAGGGAAAGAAAAAATGATGAAGAAGAAGAAGCAGAAGAAGCGTTGAGATTGCCAGCTGATGAGGTTATTCTGCCACCGCTTTCAAATGAGAGAAAGTCGAAGGTCACATGCCTTCGCGTTTTGTTTGATCTCCGCAGGAGTCGCGTCCTCCAGGGGCTTTCAACATCTCACGAATATACAATTGTGCAACACATCCCCACTATCAAAAGCTCATCTTGTGCCATGTCAGCTCTCGTAAATTCCCGCGATCCCTCCTATGGGCAACTCGAAAGAGTTCTCACAGCTCAGAAGACCGCGGCTCAGAATGCAGTTCGACGGAAAGGAGAAAGACCCAGGGACCTACAGCCCCGCTCACGATGTGTCGATGAGTATACAATGGCCGCCTTGAGTAACAAAATGAACAACATGGAGTCTGGACACATGATGATGACGACTGTCATTGGCAATCCGTATCCACCGTCTGTGACCCCTCTCAAAGATCTCGAAAAGGTCATGATCAAGGATCTAACGTTGGAGACTCACCACCGAGGTACTTATCTTCTGTTACGCTTCATCTGTCCAGCTATGAGAATGTCTGCGGTTATGAACGTTGCTGAAGACGAAGCTGGGACGGCCATCCCATTTGCTGTGTATATGCAAGAGCCCGAAAGTGTGAGAACAGCAGAAAGCATTCTCAAAGACAAACGTGTCATCATTCTCAAAGAGCCTTATTTCAAACTGGGTACCAATGGGCAATATGCCGTCCAAGTCGACCATCCTTCTGACATCACCTGGCTCTCCGAAGATGATACTAGAATTCCAACAAAATGGAAAGCGTCAGATGCCAACACCGTCAAGTCCGCGGAGTATTGGAAAAAGAAAGGGAACGTTATGGTCAGCGATGGAATATTTTGAAGCTATCGAACTGTGAGTAATGGGTCTCATTATGGACGCTGGTCTGACACTTTTCAGGTACTCGAGAGCGATGCGATCTTCTCTTACGGCGGAGGAAGCAGAAATTCTGCACAACAATAGAGCGCTCGCGAATCTTCGAATCGATGCCTTTGAAGCCGCACTCAACGATATCTCATTCGTTTCGAACCGGGAACACAGGTTAGAAAAAGGTCTATATCGTGAGGCTCTGGCACTTTATGGCCTTGAGAGATATACAGAAGCAGTTGAAGTTCTGGAACTCCTTGTCTGCAAGTATCCAGAGAGCACTTCTGGGAAGCATGAGCTCGCCAGAAGTCGTCTTCGTCTCGCAGAACAAGAGACTGGATCATACGATTTCAAAGCGCTTTATAAAGCTACGAAACTCAGGCCGCCCCGAATGGACAATGCAACTTACAAGGGACCGATTGAGATTCGAGAATCAAAGGGACGTGGGCGAGGGTTGTTCACCACTTTGCCAGTCAAGGCTGGTGATTTGCTGCTCTGCGAGAAAGCTTTCGCGTATTGCTTCACCACTCCGCAAGAAGAGAAGGCCAAGACGTCCTCAAAGACATTATCACGATCGTCTTACTTGATGGACATCCCACACAATAGAATCACTGTTGGTACACACGCAGATCTTATCCCGGCTATCTCAAATAAATTGTATCGCAATCCTTCACTGGCACCCACATTCGAAGACCTGTTCCATGATGACTACGAGGGTGCGAAATGTGTTCTCATTGATGGTGCACCTGTGATTGATACGTAAGTCAGATTGCAAACTTCCATTAGAGATATTGACCGTCTGCAGTTTCTTGTGGCAAGAACGATGCTCCCCAATGCATTTGGTAGCCCATTGACTTCCAAGCATATGATTGACAACCCAGGAAGCTACAACAGAGATTCTGGCATTGGTCTAGGCACCTTGGGAATCTGGACACTGGCCTCGTACGTCAATCATTCTTGCTACTCGAATTGTAGACGCGCCTTTATCGGCGACTTGCAGATCATCAGAGCTGCCCGGGACATGCCAGCCGATACAGAGTTAACCTTCAGCTACGTTACTCATCAAGAACCTGCAGAGCTGAACAAGATACTGTTGAAAGGTTGGGGATTCCAATGCGACTGTATCATATGCGTTGATGACCGTGAAACACCACTTGCTCAGAAGATCCAGAGGCAGAAACTCATCAGAGCCACCTCAGGTACTAGTACTAAAAAGAAGCTAGAGCTCATCGAGCAGCTTAATTCGACATACCAACGACCATCGACCGAAGTGCCACGACTACAGACGTGGGACTTCCACTTTTCTCTAGTTGAGGAATTTGCTGAGCGCTCTGAGACGAATAAGGAAGTGATTGAGCAAGTTCTAGCTTGTTTTGAAAGCGTGGGTTTCGTTATCCAAGGAGCGAGGCTCTCCCCTATTACGAGCTCAACAATTACTATAGAGAGATGGGGATTGCCTCATGATAAGGCGACGAGGGCTTGGTTGACACTTCGCAATGTGTACAACCTACTTGGGAAGCATGATCTGGCTGACCAAGCAAAAGAGTTCGCTAGGATGAACTGGATGCTGATTACAGGAGAGGACATGACGTTTGTCTACGACAATCCAACGAGAACTTAGCTACCTTCATATCAAAGGAAATCATCCAGAATCGTCAATTACCTAGAACGTCTCTTTCTCTGGACATGAGCATCCGGGACAAGAATCATCGTTCAGCGCATATTACAGTGGTGCCTAACACACACGATCTCTCGTAGCTTCATCTGTCTACAAGCTTCGAAAATTGGGATCCGTGTCCCGTGATCCTTCATCGAAGACGGAAATACCGACTGAGCACAAGTCATTTGATCGCGTTATGTTCAAGTATTCCTAACTTCTTCTATCCACATGTTTTTAACATACTACGCGTGGGCCAACGCCACGCGTCCCAGGATGTCAATCTACAATACCCAAAGCCGTCAAGTGATAGCTTGCACACCACTTTGAAGTATTTCAAATTGAAACTGATGCCACCTTCAGAGGTCCTGATCACCTATTCCAAAATGCTAATTTTTCAATCCAAATTCACTCCCAGCATTAAATTTCCTGTCCAAATATCAGCCATCAATCTCATTATGGGAAAATAGCACATCTTACCTCGCTCTCTCCATCCTCTTCTCCTTACTCCAACAATCAGATTCATCTGAATCCGCCCTGTCACAATGCGGAGCCGGAGACCACTTCCTCTTCAAGCTCTCCTCAAGCTCAGATACAGTCGGGTACCGAACTCCTTCCTTCGCCGCAATCCTCGCCATTACTTTTCGAGGACTCGGTTTTGATCGTTTGGACGATGTATCGATACCAGTTGCTGATGATAGGGAGGCTGATAAGGACGGGGGCGTTCGATAATTCAAGGATAGGTGGTGAACTTTCGCTGACTCCTGTGATGTGACTTTCTGAGAACTTGGCCTCGACGTCGCTGTAGAGAAGACTTGTGTTTCTGAGATAGATGATACTGAACGTGGGATAGGACGGGGCTGATATTTCGATGGTGATGCTAGTCTAGGAGTTTTTATCTCCAACACTTCCTCACAGACCTCCACTGACTCCATCAAATCCATTTCAGCAGGCCTCGACCCTTGGAGCACCGTGCCATAGTTCCGTACAGCTTTCGCCGCTACGGTCTTCCTCCTCGACGAAGGCACAGAGGTGAAGTGGCGGATCTTAAAAGTAGGCGAGCTAACGATAGGAGGGGGCAGAAAAAGCAATGAGGAGAGGAGTTTGGCAGCTTCTGGCATTTGCATGCAGAGTTTTGTTATAGCGGTCCGCATCTCGACCGGGCGGATTGCTTTTATGGTTTCGCGGAGCTGGTATTGTGCGAAGCGGGGTTTGGTTTTGGAGAATGATGGTTTGTTTGTGGAGGCCATGGTGAAGATTGATATCGTGGAAGGATGCAGGTGAAGAAAACCTTGAAAAGCAACTTTAGATATTTGCACCCAGTGGTGCGGGAAGGGTGACGCGACGTGTGCCTGTGTTCGCGTAAAGTGGTCGCGAGATCCCTTCTTTGTGGCGTCCCTGGAATGTGATCTATCACCCCTTTGCTTGTGTCCTTACTAAAGCAAGAATCTCCTCAAACTTTGCCCTTTTCTTCACGCTCTGTCTCGAATAGTATTCATTAGTAATATCGGGTCTTGCCCTTGCTCCATTGGTATCCGCTCGCGGCTGACGCAAACCATCAAGGGAGGAGTCTTTTCTGGTTGTCAAGGATTCCCCTTGTGTATAGTCACATGGGAAGGGTCACCGGTAGAGGAAGTAAGGAAAAAGAAATCTTTCCAGTTTGAGAGGGTAATTTGGTTCGCTTTGCTATTGAAACCCGGATTCTGTATTCAGCTTCCCTAATATTTGTTCAGAGCACTATGAACTCGAATCTGCCTCTAAATTCAAAGTCTAGTCCGAAAGTACTCCTCTTCAACCGCTTCTATTCTGCAAGGAAATCGTCAGCCATGACACAAGTGAGCGGGAGGATACTCTAGACTTGCTTATAGTTATCCATGCGACCAAACTTGCAACATCCATCGTCTCCAGTATCCGCATCGCCACCGCCATATTCGCATTCTCTGACTGTCCTCTGCTTCTTCCTCTCATTCTCCTCCTCGCTCTCATCATCGCTGTCATACACGGGAGGCCCTGATGAGGGCGCACTTTTCCGTGCACCTTTGGACGCAAGCTGCCGAAGTCTCGAAGATCGAACTGGTGCATGTCGGATCTCTCGTTGAGGCGGTGGCGTTTCAGAGATAAGGATTGGCTCAAGTATCTTGACTGCTTCTGGCATTTGTTTGCACAGCTCCAATATAGCGGTCCGAAGCTTGAAGAGACTTGCTTTTGCGACTGCACTTCTGAATTTCGGGTCTAACTCTTCAGGCAAGTTCGAATTTGGAATTGGGCTGGTTGAGGGTGAATCAGAATCATTGGTTAGGTCAATGACCTTTCTCTTCAAGGGTGGTGTTGCTTCCGCCATTGCTGTAACGGGAGTAGGTACGCAAAAGGGGTATTGAAAACAAGTTGTTGACTCTGGTTACTGCAAAGTGGAAAAGCACAAATGAAGAGAGACCGATCTTAGAATAGACCTTTACTGCAATATGCTTTCCCTCTCGGAGATTGGACTGATTACGCGACGCGACACTTTCGCGTTGAGGTGTAATATAATTTAGAGGTTGAAAAGGGCTTGATTTAGAGCACCAGTGGGTGTCAGAATTCGTGAACCACGCTAAAATTAGCGAATAACACGAAAATCGCGCCCCGCCATTCCTACCACTACAACAGCAATTATGGCACTTACGGCACCCAGAACGCGCGCAAATGACCGTCTTACCCCTCCCCCAGACCCAGCGTATAATTACCCAGCTTCAACTCGCAAGCGTACACGATTCTACGACGCGTACGATAAGCAACACCACTTAAAGTCCTTCCGCCAGCTATATCGCGATGAAGGTGTTGACCATACTACTGGGCTGCGTTGGAAGCGTTAGAGAGAGACAATGGGCCATCTAGCAATGAGAACAACACGTGGAATATCTAAAAAGCCACTCGGGAGGAAGTCTAAAGTCACATTAGCTATGTGCCAAATGCTAGTCGATCCTACACGAAACCCCGTTTGCGACTAAGACCTTAACGCGCAAATTCAGTACTATAAACTCCCAATAAAGAGGCGCTAGTTGCAAAGGAAATTGAAGGAGCTTGTAAAGGCACGATGGTTCAAAATGGCATTTGTAAACAAGCAGGTTTCAGAAAAAAACTTAGAGGAACGTGTTGCTTTTGGAAAAGAGCACGTAGGCAAGATAATTGAGGATTACTAGAGCTTGATTACATATACGGACGAGGCACACCACGATCCTAGCGCCTAGCCTGTTGGCTATATATTAAGATAAGAAGGAGGCGGCCGACGTTATGCGGACGAGAATATTATAGAACAGAAAGAAATAAAAGGCATAGTATTCCATATTGCTGCTTGGATCAATTAGTGGGGGAAATCAGAAAAGCTAGAGTTCTATAATAACAAAGAAGACACTATAGAATACCCTCCTATACCTCCAAAACCTCGTCGTCGCCCAACAACAGAGTCTCAAAAGGAATATAAAGCTAGAGTGGAAGAATGGGAGGCTACTAAACCTCACAAAGTAGAGAAAAAGGTTGTAAGCAACTATATAACCCAAAAGTACTATACAGAGCGTCTCTTGCCTATATACATCAAAGCTGTCTAAGAATAGCGTTTACAATATACAAATCAAGTGTATCTTTAAGAAGATGGGGACCCCTCTTATAGTATGCGTAAAGAAAGCCTTGCGTATTAGCTAAAAGTAGTCAATTAGGTAGTTAATATCAAGCACCTTGCGCAGTCACTAGATCTAAATCCAATTGAGGGTATTTGGAATATTATTAAGCAATATGTGCGCCAGAGAGTCTTTTATTCTAACGAGGAGGTAAAATAAGCTCTTTAAGAGGAATGGGACAAAATCACATTAGAAGAGATACGCTCACGCATCGCTAATATGCCTGGGAGATACAGACGCCTTATTAAAAATAGGGGGAAAGCTATTAAAACTACAAAATGGTGATTTATTTTGTAATAATATTAGCAATTGACTGTTGACCCCCTTTGAAATTCTGGCGTTCTCGCCTAATTTTAGCGTGGTTCACGAATTCTGACACCCACTGGTGGAGTCTCCGAAGGAGCTGACTAATCTACTCGTGACCGAAGGTCACGTGCTCCGATGACAGAGGGGTCAAGATGATCCGCTCTTTTTCTGGGCTTCAGAACAATACATTTCCAACGCGATCTTCTGACAATTTGCTAAAACTTATCAGCAACTCAGATAAGAGTCTTTGATATGGCATCCGATTCATAGCAAGGAGTCGTGAATGCGACGCGCAAACTTTAAGGATAAAGCAATCTTACTTGACTTCTGCTGAAATTGAAGCATGTTGGGAAACTTCAAGAGCTTCATCTCTTTAGGATAGTAATCTATCATACTAGTCAAACGGAAGAACTTCGATCTCTCGCAATATCTCTAGAAATGCCGCACAAACACGGCGACTACCTTTTGAGTGAGAGAAACCAATCTTCACTCTTACCTTGTGATATTACTCGACAGCCTCGGGTTCAATATCGAGAGAAAGAAAGCCTTGTTGCATGCAAAGAAGCAAGGCTTTCAACCTGGCCACCGAGACTTTTCGAGGCTACTGTGCTGAGGTCAGCATCCTCAGCAAGCAAAACAACCCGAAATCCCCGATAACATCAGACCGACCATATGCACAACCATTAAGCTTAAAGAACGTTCCTGTGAGCACATTGGCGACAAATCTATTTTCATTCCCACCAGAGCTGAACTATTCGCTAAGTCTGCTGCGATTGAGGCGGATGCTTACCCTAAGGAAAAAGTGCTGCCTCAGCCACCCCGCCTTTCTGCGCGGCCGACAAACACGTGAATTGAGTTCCCGCCCACAGCCTCCACTATACCTTTTATGGGTGTTCGAGTCCAGATGAAAGCTCCTGATGGCGTTCAAGTAAGCAGCTGTGCGCCGCGCCGAGGAAGCAAAGCCCGTGATCTGAGACCACCTGATAATAGCTTCAGTGAAGAATTGTGCCTCCTCCCTCTTGGCGTCCCTCGGCATCTCACGATTCTCACGAGATCCTTCAGCCGCTGTAAAGGGCTGAAGATAGAACACAACGTTGCAGCTCGGCACGGCGCCATGGCGTCCTCTGAGTCGCGCTGGTGGTGGAGCAGTGCCTCGATCTCACGATGGACTCTTGGTGTTGTTGAAGTATAAGTATTGAAGGACTTCCCGTCGAGAGTATTTCCTCATCACACACTCACAACTCAAAACAACAAGCAATACATTTCCTAGGTCTTTTTCCTTCCAAGTTTTTGCACATTCACTCAATTTCCTCTTCATCATTCAACAATCAATAATCACTTCTCCTCAACCAACAAAACCAACAACTCAAAATGTATACCTCAAGCATCATCGCCGCTTTCACCACCGTCTTGGCTCTTGCCTCCGCTGTCCCAGCACCAGCTCGTCAAATCCAGGCTCGCGCAGCTCCAGTCGTCGATGTCCTCGTTCAAACCTCTCCATTGAACTCGGCCAATGTCCAAGCCAGCGCCGTTCAAGTCATTCTCGGGGAAGTCAAAGTGGTTATTGGCAACTCGGGATTCTCTCCAAGCCAAGCCTCCAAGTTGAGCATCTCGCCTTTCGGTGCCACTACCGATATCACCACGGTTGAGTGCCAGGCCTTCAGCGATACCAAGGGAGAGATTCCAGTTTCAGGCATCTTCAGCAGTGCTTACCCCGCCATACTTTCATCCACTGCGACTGTGCCTGTTGGGTCTATTATTTGCGAGTATATCTAGATGAACATTGGATGTGGTGTTGAGGGTAATAGGGCAGGTGTTGGGGATCTGATGGTTTGCATAGCGAGGTGTATGGGGTTGTTTTTGCATAGCGTTTGATTTTGGTCACTCTTTTGGGATAGATGGGTAATAAAATGGAATATTTTCCGCCAAATTCTGCTTTTCATCCATGTCTGTGAAATTTGAGCCTTGAAAAGAACCGTCTCGTGGGCCGATAGACTAATAAGCTTGAAACAAGGAAATCTTGAATTAGATCTGACAACATTCCGCACTGATTAACAACTCTCCCCAGCTTCCAACTTTGGACATTGGTGGGCTGCGCAGGGACAGAAGCAAAACAATTGATTGGAATGAAACCCCCGTCAGGGATGATTCGTGTTGGAGCTGTAATAATTATTATCACATTCGTGAGAAAGGTGAAGAGGATGAGAGATGATTTCAGAGACTGAGGATACTTTTAAGCTTAAACCTTTAGTGTATCCTAGCGCCTCGGACACTGAGCTCCACTGAAACTTCTTTCAAACCTCAACGATCATCAACTTTCTCTGCAAATCGTATACAAGCATACAACGCAAGCTCGAACCAAGCTGGCATACCATTTGATATCCTATTCCGGTCAAGCCAACGTCCTCGGATCCAAACCCACATCGAAAGTTATCATCTACTCTCGCAGAGAACCACGCGATGCGACGAACGGGCCGAACAACTCTTTCGAGACATAGCGTACAATGGACTAGCTCACGGTACGAAATATATCGATGGGTTTTCGCATGTGCCAATATCGCAAGCGTGGTAGATATGGCAGATTCGAGGACCAAACTTTGTCGAACTTTCAGGTCGCAATATCGGTGCAGCAATCCATCGAAGCCAGCGCTCGTGTTGGACTCCCACCGCACGAGGCATATGAAAACAACAACGATATTGTCTGAGACTTTTTACCCTGGGCTTGGAGTACACGCTATCACGACTGAGCTCATGTCGAGAAGAACGGCTTCGTCCTATCCTGTGACAATTTCTCTCCCTCACACACATAATTGCAAAGACTTTGGTTTCACATATTTGTGTCGATGAACTGGCACGAATATGCTTGGCAGAGGTGAAACTTGCTTAATTGAAGTCTCAATACTTGTAGAGGAGTAGCAGCCAGGAGTCTCCATCGTCTGACTGTGCGAACACATTTCCCACTGTTGCCGTGCAAGAGCCAATTGCTATGATGAGTATCAGCACGATTGAGTCGATTAAGGTTTTGTCTTAATATCCACGACTATCAATGTGCTGAACACTGTGAATCGTGATTTACGGGGTAGTCTCGGCCAAAGTCACCCATACGTTTTGTTTCACCTCTCTGCAGTGCTAATGTACTGTCCCTGGATCTTTTTCAGTACTGGGCTCAATGAGATCCAAGCGTATCTTAATAATCCAAAATACAAATTCAGAAAGAGGTTTACACCAGTGTGGAAGACGGGCAAAAGTTTGCTCTGAAGATCAGCTCTAGATTTCGTGCATGTTCATGCAAGGCTCGCACAGGATACCCCTCCAAGTGACATTCTGCGGCTTGCTGAAGGAAGCTTCGAAGGCCGACCCGTGCACGAACGACTGGACGAGAAATCAGCATACACACACGAGATATGGAACTTGTATTCCAGAAGATGGAAAAGAAGCCTGCATCAACTGGGATTCTGCAGCTCCTACTTAATTGAGTAGTTCCGTGATGTCCCGTCCATATCCTTGCCTACGTAAAGTAACACTCTTTCTTGGAACTCATCAAATCAATGGGCACGCGACCACAACGTTTCCTTCCAGGTACGACGTTCCTGACGCCAACTACCGTACAACCCGGAGAGGGACACTGCTAACATGGAGAATATCCAATCTCCAGGTTCCAGTGACAGATTGGCGTTGTGCTTCCTTGAGCCTCGACGGCTGAGGAAATGTATCGCGGGGCACGTGGGATCGAGGTCTTTGAAAGGCAACAGCACCAGCGACATCCGCAATAATCAACACTCCCTCGTAAAGACGTGTCGTCCGGATTATTTGCCAGCGTCGGCCATCAGCAAATTTCCCTGTTTTCATTGACTCTGTCCAATCTCAAAATGCTGTCCGCTTTCCAAGCTACGGCTATCTTAGCCTTCGCCTCCTCCGTTCTCGCAGCTCCTGCTCAGGTCTGCAATGACGCTACCTACCCTACGCAGATTAGATTGGCGTATTCCAATGACCGAGCAATGGCAGTATCTTGGAACACCAAGATCAAGATGACCAAACCCACTGTTGCATGGGGCCCAGACACCCACATGCGAGATTCTGCTGACTCCGACGTCTCCACCACCTACCAGTCATCAACGACCTGGAATAATCATGTTGTAATCGAAGGGCTTAATCCAGACACCAAGTACTACTACTCCCCTGAATGCGGAAATGTCACATACACTTTCACGACTGCGCGTACGGAAGGAAGGGGAACTCCATATCAATTTGCCATGATTGGAGATATGGGTACATTCGGACCTGATGGTCTCTCTACAACTGTCGGAAAGGGTGCTGCGAACCCTCTCGCACCCGGAGATTTGACCACTATCCAGTCACTTAGCGCAAGAATCGACGACTTTGATCTAGTCTGGCATGGTCCGTTACATTCCGCCTCTGACTTTGTTAGCTAACGTATTCTAGTCGGAGATATCGCATATGCTGATGCATGGCTCAAAGAGGAGAACGGAGGTTACGCTGCCCCTTTGAACACCAGTGATTTTGGAATGGAGTATGAAAAGATTCTCAATGACTTCTACGTCGAAATTCAACCAATATCTGCTGTTAAGCCATATATGGTTGCTGTCGGTTAGTTGCCTGATCATCTTGAACTGTCATTTGAACTAATTCTCAATTACAGGAAATCACGAGGCCAACTGGTGAGGCTCTTGTATATCTTGCCTGTCTCTCTTTGGATGAAAAACAATTGTCTTTGTGAAACGCGATCTCGTGAAATTTCATCGTCTGCTATGCTTTGCTACACAGGACTAGAGCTAACATTCTGGGTATCTAGTGATAATGGTGCCAACTTTACGATCTGTCCACAAGGGTGAGCAAAAATGCTCTCATTATAGATTATCAATCCTTTGCACGAGAGCGCCGCAGGTAGGGAGTAGTCTGAGAGCGCAGACGTCAAAGCGGATTGCACCTCTCCAGAGCTTCCAGAGCTCTCTAATAACTTTACAATATGTTACGATGCTAACTCCAGAGTTTAGACAATTGAATTTCACCGGATATCGCGCACATTGGAAGTATGTTGCATCGACTCCACTTCCCAAAATTTGTGTCTAATTGTCCATAGCATGCCATTTTATAAGTCAGGTGGCCTTGAGAACTTCTGGTACAGCTGGAACCATGGCATGGTCCACTACATCACCTTCAACACCGAGACAGACTTTCTGAATGCCCCCGATCAACCAGGTGGAGAGGGTGTCGAGGATGCTGGTCCTTTTGCCCCCTTCGGTGCCCAACTCGCCTGGCTCAAAGCAGATCTTGCAGCGGTTGACCGCAAGAGAACTCCTTGGGTTATCGCTGCAGGGCATCGCCCATGGTACGTCAGCACAACCGAGTACATCGAATGTCAAGTTGCCTTCGAGCCACTTCTCCTGGAATACGGCGTCGATCTTGTTCTCCATGGTCACAAGCATTTCTACGAACGTCACTCCGCCATCGACAATGGTACGGCGCAAGATCTCAACAACCCAACCGCACCATGGTACAGTATGTCAAACTCTGCCCCCATCCTAGGAGTTGAAATCTTTGGGCTCATCCTTTGGGGGTGTTCATCGAAGGAGTCGTATTTCAACTCCTCGGCTCCCAACCCTTTTGAAACAAAAAGCATACTGATTTGCCTATAGTCGTTAATGGCGCTGCTGGACATTATGATGGTCTTGATACCCCTACCTTACCGTTGGTTCCAACTTCCAGAGATATCATTGTTGCCTATGGATGGAGTTTGTTCACTGTGCACAACTGCACACATTTGACAACCGAGTTCATCGCTAGTGGCAACAACACTATTCTCGATACTGCCACATTGTACAAAGATCGCACCTGTGCTCTCAACTAAGCGATTTGGTGCGATGAATTACGATCAGCATATATTTAGACCAAGCAAAGATGGCGTCTATATGTCGAGGTGCAGTTGTATATAATCATAACTTCTAATTACAACCCGTTTCTTCACCAGTTGATCCACTTCTCATCCTCAATCTGTCCAAACTTCAGTCAGTCCAGTCCGCAAATCGAACCTTCTTCTTCGGATTCTTGGGCTTCGTATCCCAATTCTCCGTCCCCCAAGCAGCCTTCCCATTATAAAAATTATACGGCCAAGCCCCAAACGCAGGCGGACTCTTCGGGCCCCCCTGATCAGGAGCCGTATTCCCCTTCCCCTCCCTCCTCGACGCCGGAATCTCCAACGCCCCCAAATTAGACTCCAACAAAAACGCCGCGTTCCTCCGGAAATTTCCTTCCTCTTCCCTGCTTAGAGCCTTCCAATCCGGTCTCCTATGGTCCATCAGATCTAATGTGTTCCGGATAGTGTATATACTGCAACTACTCAAATTGTTCTGTGTCGCACATCTATCGTCCACTTCAAACCTAAATGGTCCTGTCCCTTGAAAGAAAAGTTCGAACCTCTCGAAGAACGCATGCATCACCTCCTCCGCTCTCCGGCTTCCCCAACTAGGTAGAGAGTTGAAATATATAGCTCCCCTAGCCTCGAGATTGACATAGATGGTAGTCCAATGCCCGTTATCCTCGTTAAACGGGATTGCGAGACCGACGGGCCGGTGGCCACCTTGGTTGCGGCCAGTGAGGAAGGCAGGTAGAGGGTCGGGGAGGACTCTACCCATGCGTTCCCACGTTCCTAGCCAGGTGGGATTTACGAATGTTATATGGGAGCTGGGAGAGGTGTTGCCGTAGTAGTTGATTATGGTGCGGATGGCGGTATCTGTTAGCCAGCCGCGGGGATTAAGGGTGTCTTCTACGTCCTCGCGTTCGATGCGTGTGATAAGGGGGGTTGCCATTGCGCGGCGTGGGATTGTTATGGTTGTCGATCTTGAATCTGGTGCTGGTGTTGAATTTGAGACAAAGGAAATAGACTTACAATTTGTTTGGGGAGAAGGAGATGTCGAGGAGAAACAGTACGCTGGGGGTGCGGAGAGCAAGATGAGAACTTTGGAGTCAAGAAAATGCACACTGAATTATCCTTTACACTGTACCGTAACGTTGAACATGCTAGTAGCAAAGGAACCAAGCAAAGAAAAAGAACCATTGAGGAGCAAAGGTCTTTCAGGAATAAGACTTCCTCCGAAGATGTAGAAAGAAATCATGGAAAAGACTCGAAAACCCCCATTGTCTCTATATCGAGTCCGCATTTGGTAACGTCGAAGACAAAGGAAAATGACGCCGCCAGTTCAATCTTAGTATAGTTCTCTTAGTGAAAGCCTTAGAAACTTGTGGAACTCTTTCCAAAGTCTTCAGACCTCAAGTGCAATAAAACTTGCTAATGAGTACCTAACAGAGAGCCGTTCACTTGAATGCCATACAAATGGCAATCTGTAGAGTATCACACAATAAAATAGACAAACGAATTTCCAAATCAACTAGTGCGCATATGCATCTTCCCTTTCATCCCCACTCCACACACCTAAGCGCAACTTCCAGCCACCTATAGATTCAAATAAGCACTTTAGTTTCCACAATCCAACAAAAGGCCCCGTGGTGTAAGTGAGTAACACACTCTAGTAAAAGGTCCTACCTTTCTTAGACGCTATTGGACCCCCCGTCTTCTCGAGCGATCGATATAGACGGGACATGAGAGCTGCAGATGCGACTTCTGTCGGGACCGAATTCACTTTTTTTTTTTTCCAAAAAAATGTTTCTGGAGTTTTTATTTGTGTGTGTGTGTGTGTTTCATTCTTTTATTGCGCTTAATGGCCAAATTTGGGTTCTTGAAGCGCAATGTACAAAGAGTTTGGAGGACTTGGCAAGGGTATCTTGGCCGCGGCGGGAGATCGACAGCAAGTCCAGGGGTTTCTTATCGTGATAACCCCACCTTTTCGGAGCTCGTCTCCTTATCCCGAAGTGAGATCCCACTTTGGATTGCCCGCGTTCGAATACCATGATCACTTACGGTGAGGATCCAGGAACGCGTCGGGCAATGAGCTTTACTTATATGCATGAGGTGGATGTCAGAGAAGTGGGGTAGCTTTTTATTTCCTGAGCTGCTAATTTATATCTTTCTTCTCTTGTTTCAAGTTTCATTTGTTACTTCTTTCTCCTTTTTCAATTCATTGTTCTATCTTTACTGGACTTTTCGATTTATCATCTCGGTCTTGACCAGGAACCTCATCATGGTAATCACAGACCCCCGCTACGAGCTCCCCCGCGACCTCGAAGGCAAGCCTCCTCCCCATCCCCTCCACTTCCCATCTAACTCCCATACCAGGCTACGGCGAACACTCCCTCAACCCCCAATGGCCCAACAACGCCAAAATCTGCCTCTCCTTCCTCCTCAACTACGAAGAAGGCGGCGAACGCACTGTCCTGAACGGAGACGCACACTCAGAACCGTACCTCTGGGAAAAAGGCGTCTCGTCAACCTACCTCACCGGCCACCGCCACATCTCCGCCGAATCGGAGTACGAGTACGGATCTCGTTCAGGAGCGTGGCGGCTCCTCCGTCTGTTTAAGGAGATGGGGTGGCATTTTACGTCTTGGGCCGTGGCGCAGGCTATGGAGAAGAATCCTAGTTTTGCGAGAGCGTGTGTCAGGGATGGACATGAGATCGCGGCGCATGGGTTGCGATGGTTGGATATTAGCGAGTATAGTGTTGAACAGGAGAGGGAGTATATCCGGGAGAATGCGTTGAGTTTGGAGAGGAGCACGGGTGTGTTTCCGAAGGGGTATTTTTATGGGCGAGCAAGTCCGAATATTCGAGGACTATATCCTGAGGTTATGAAGGAGATGGGGAGGAAGTTGTTGTACTCGAGTGAGAGTTGTTTTAATGATGATGTGCCGTATTGGGTGGATTTGCCGTGGGAGAAAGAGTTGAAAGAGGAAGAGCGGGAAGGGTTACTGATTATTCCTTATAATTACGATTGTAACGGTAAGTGTCCTTTTCAGATTTCTATTAGGTGGAAGGTGGGAGCTGACATTCGTGGAAGACGGAAAGTTCTACATGTCGCCAGGATTCACCGGAACGACGTATCTCGAGTATCTGAAGAGCACTTTCGACATGCTGTACCGCGAGGGGTGTAACGGCAGCCCGAAACTGATGAATGTCCCAATGCATTCCCGGATTCTCGGCAAGCCCGGCAGAGCTGAAGATTTGAGGAAATTCATGCTGTATGTGAAGGAGAAAGCGGGAGATGACTGTTGGGTTGCAACGAGAGAGGACATTGCAAATCATTTTAAGAGCAGATTTCCCTACGTGCCTGGGCATCTTGCTCCAGGACACCCCAATGGACTTCAAACATAACCAAAGCGCGTGGGTTGCCGTCCAGCATTTTAGAAGCTTACCTAGGCAGGCTTCTCGAAGTTGGGGACTAAAGCTCCATCAGACAGTAAAAGATGTACGGATGCAATTGCATTTTCAAATGGGACAGTGAGATATGTACCAGCTGAGAGATCAAAGGATATGCTGTAATGGAGCTGGGGAAAATTATCCTGTCACGAACAGCTTTTGATGTTGACTTTTGCATTCAACAGAAAAGCGCCTACTCCGTCCACTATGTGTTAAAACAAATTGAATCCGATTCCGCCATGAAGAGAACGTCCCCCATGCCCCTGAATATCCTATGGACTCCAAACTTGGCCAGATCTTTCGGCTGTTAATAGTGACTTATCAGCTTGACCACGGAACCATGGACGGTGCGGACTCGATTCCGAGAGATCAGCATCTACTCCCAACCCAGACCTGGAAACACACCCAAATTGTGGAAAGTGCAGACCATAAGATCATGGATTCGGACGTCGTAACCAGTGCGACCAGGTGATGGTTTCGGTTATTCCAAACTGCAGAGGGGCTCTGGCTTCTGGTCTAACGCTTGCGTCGTCGAAACGGAACCATTTTGATCCAGTACCACTTGGGTTTGGAACCTTCCCAAGTGTTACATAGTGACCAGAGTCCAAACTCGTACCTTTGTGTATTACCATCGACACAACATCGTAGATGAATGGCCCCCTATAAGCTGCCTCGCTTCCAGCAGGTCCTTGAAAAAACACTCCATCCAAGTTTATCGTCTCCCCCCATGTTACCACTCTGGTGTCTTTCGCACCAAATTGGGTGCGTGGCAGGCCGAGGCTCAAAACCTCAGGTGCGCGTACGGCTCTCTCGGCTTTATAAGTTGTATCCACTTGCTTACATTTAAGACATCGGAACCCTGGTGACTCTTCCTCTGCCCCCGCATATGTTCTCCTTAACAAGGCTTCAAGCGTAATGGGTGTGGGTACATCCGCCGGAATCGTCACTGACAGAAAGACATTATTCTGGGGGTTTCTGCTTAGCTGGCCGCATCCAGGGTAACGGCATCTCATTTCCGTTACAACCATAGTACCCATAGTATGTGTCAAAAAGGAGGACCTAGTTGTCGTGAAATCTGTCCAGCTTTGTAGAGCGGCCGCAATGTCACTTAGTTCACCCAGCTGTGCTGAGTAGTCCGCTGGTAAAGCAGGCTGTCTATGACGAACAGGGTTCGTTTCATCTTCCAATATGTCAAGTAGCCATACAAGAAATTCGCCTGAGTCGTGCTGCCTGAGCCGGCCACCAAATGCACGATCTCGGATCCGCTCACCAAAGCGGACTGTGCAATGAACAGCATTGATATACCCCTTAGATTGTTAGAATTTTCCATTCAAGATCACAGAGCACTTACGCGCAATGTCCGTGGGTTCAGAAAATTATAGTGGCCGGACCACATGTGTTCTAGCAAGTTACCTAAGGTCCTCGCCATCAACTGCAACGGAGGAGCCGATTCACCCGCAAAGGAGCCAAAGGCTGCTTTCGCAGGTACGGGCACAGAGCCTGGGGTCAAACCCTTCAGAAACTCTCGCAGCTGAGGCGTCATACTTATAAGTTGAATGGCAGCACTCATGTAACAAACATTCCCGGAATTCTGTAGACCTGTAGCACCAGGCCACACAATTTTCGGGCTAAGTGACGGCTGGCCACCATGTGCATATTGCTGCGTCAGTCCCCGGTCCGTGATACCATTGGACCTTTGCCGTGGCAGCGCTGGAGCAGGGCGAGCCGGAGGTCTGGGCATGATATTCTCGAGCTCATCTTGAATCCGTTTGAACGGTACCGTTGCGGCTGGTGAAACCATTGATTCTTGCACAGGAGGAAGTTCAGGAAATCGGCGAAGGAAATCCTCCTGGGTCCGCGCATAAACGAGCTCGTCGGCATCAGTGACAGCACCCTTTCCTTCACGGAGTATGTTGCTTTCTTCTTTAAGAATCTGATCCCATCTCTTCTGTTCCTCGTTGGATTGCACACGAGCAGGCCGTATCCGTCTTTTGGATAGATTCAAAGCCTGTGAGCGTGCTCCTTGGGACCTAGGCGATATTATCATGGGGGCGGAAGTAGCATCGTGAGAACCCGCTGATAATGTTGCCAATGAATTAGGACCCAGAAGGTCTACCCAAGAGTCCAACCCACCAGCAAGTAGGACAGGGCGTCGCTTTAGCCGCTTATCGTAGCCATAGTCATAAACAGCAGCCGCAAAGTCTCTTAGAATGTTGTCCTTTTCCGTTCTGGAACCAAGATTCTTGAAAGAAGTGGACGATTGATCATAGAAAACAAGCATATCAAACTCATGGCGTTGGTCAAACAAATTTTGCTCATAAGTAGGTGCTATGATCATGCTGTCTTCTAGTTCCTCCCCCGACAAGCCAGAGCGCAGGGTGAGTGGCTCCACGCAGATTGTAGCTTGAGACATGATATGGCCACCCGCAAAGTCATCGCGGTCACGCAGGTCGACGATTAATAGCTTTAATTTCTGCTGCCCTTGTTGAAGGTATCCTACAAGTTCTTCTGCGGTGATAGTAACGGAATCCGGTGGACACAAAACTTTAGTTCCACCCCGTGCAGGCATGACGTTTTCTGAGCTTGAGTGTGTAGGACTAACAAAATATTCTGACCTGCCCTCAAAGACATAGGGCGAAGGGCCAACTGTAGAAATCGGAGGAGCTGAATCTCTCTGGCCATTCCCCAAGAAGGATGGATTTCGAGAGACACTAGAAGGGAGATTTGTTGCATCTGGGTTGTCGACCGCACGTAGTGGGCTGTGATGTATGGCATCTGGGGGTCGTGGCATACCAGGAATTGTGACATCTAAAGGTATTTTCGTGGCTCGCGGGTGTGTGTCTGGCACAGAGGGCAGTTCTCTGGGCCCGTTGGGTCGAATCATGGTGGATCTGCTTTCGGGCTTGTTAGGAAGAATCGAATTTGATTCTGGCGGGTTTGAAATGGAGATGGGTCGTGTTTTGATGCGCGGATCCTGGACAGGTCCGCCGTTTTGCAGACGGGCAAATCGTGCAGCCAGATCAGATACATTTTTGGTCCCATTTGCATTAGGAACAGCTCTCCCATGAAGAGCATCAGGTTTTGGTTGTACTGCTGGCGCTGTCTTTTTCTGTAACGGGACTGATGTGACATGACTATTCATGGCTTCAACGCCGGCTCCTGGTATTTGCGAGTGAACTCCAGATGTATTTTGTTTTCCAGATGTCGGTTTAACGCCGCTCTTAGCATTGTCTTCTTTAATCATCTCCTTCACCTCCGCAAACTTCTTGTGCTGTGAATTGATCCTCTTATTGAGGCCAAGGTAAAGTCGGTGCAGATCACCCCGATCTCTTTGAAGAGCGAGATAATCTGGGTGACGAGGCACAATCTCCACTGCAATAACTGAGGCACTAACATATTCCTGGAGCGCTATGTCTGGGCGTCGAAAATCAAGATGTGTATCTGCTTGTTTGGCCAGCAGTTCTCCTTGCAGTAGGATTGTTCGGAGTGGTGAGTTGATGTCCACATTTGGTTTTGCGATCACCAGATCGTCAAGATGTGGGAAGACACGCACGGCGCCGTGCTGGTGCTGGCCAGCACTGCCATTCGAGATTGAGCCATTCAGTGGCATATTGACTGGCCCTCCACGCTCGACGGCAGATGCTCGAGTAGAAGGTTTCCCCACTGCTGCCGGACTCATTGCAGGTTCAAGACGCTATGTAGCCTCCTTTCCAAATCAAGGCTGTCGAATCTGATTCGAGGTCGACCGGGGCGAGTGAATGGGAGGGAGATGGGAGACTGTCAAGAAGCCTAAATTCTCTGGAGAGTAGATTGAGATGGGGATAGAAGAGGTGGCGAATCGGGTCCGAGTCGTGTGATGCGGTGTTGCGAAGTTGCGGAGGAGGATCTGAACGTCTCAAGGACGGGTGGTAGAAAGAGCGCAACAAGTCTTAGAACAGTATCAAGCAGTGTTCAAATGATACGGCGCATTGTGACGATTTCTGCTCAGCGAGACGAGGCAGAAAGGAAGCATGAGGGGGGAGAAGGGTGAAGGTGTGTGTTGCTGTGTTTATTGTCTCGGTCGTGGTATGGACTAAGAGCATTCCAAAGGGGAGAGGGAGGATTAATTCATTCATCCATTCATTCCAGACTCGGCGTCGGCGCCTCGCCTCGTCTCGCATCGTCAGTCACTTGGCTGAGCTGAGGCTGAGCTTCCGGGATGGAGAAACTTTATTCCAGCGGGCATCGCGGCCGTGTGAAGGCGCAAGAGCTCACTTCAACCATTTAGCCTTTCGAGAGCCGCCACTGCTACCTTTCAAAGAGAGGCTAAGCTTAATCTAGTGCCCAACCCAGCTCCAGCCTTCAAAGCTCTCTGCCTGCTCCTCGCACTCGACCTACGACAACACCATCCTACAGCCATCCATCTTCACAACAACATCATCCTCCTGCCACGAAACAAGACTTTACCGGCCATCTGCTGCGCGAGTAAATTACGACCCGTTTGAGCGTTTCCGAAGCCCTTCGAACTGAGGTCATCTTCCGCCTTGCCTTCTCTCCGCCCACCACAAACGGGCTTTGCCAGTGCGACCAAGCCAAAGCCCGACACATTCTAGCCCTCCTCCTCCCTCACGATCGTGACCGATCTTAGTTTGGATAGACCTTTATCATTTGCTCCCCCGTAGCCGGCACGATGATGGCGGGTTGGTTCGCATCGTCATCTCAAATTGACCAGCAGGTGGAGGAGGCAACAAAGGATTCACTGTAAGCACGTATGTTACGAGACTAGAGCGACATGACACTAAATTCAAAAAGGGAGAACATTGCCCTCAATCTTGAGATTTCCGATGTCATCAGATCCAAGACAGTTGTGTCCAAGGAGGCGATGCGCTCTCTGAAGAGACGCATAGGCAACAAGAATCCCAACATACAGCTCAGTGCTCTGAATGTGGGTCAGTCCTGTCAAAGGGAATGACATATGCTGACCTTGTGCAATGCAGCTCACGGATACCTGTGTAAAAAATGGAGGGTCCCATTTTCTCGTCGAGATCGCTTCACGCGAGTTTATGGACAACCTTGTATCACTACTCAAGGCTTACGGTGGGGCTGCAGTGAATGAAGATGTCAAGGCGAAGATCTTAGAGCTGATCCAGACTTGGGCCACTGCATCAGAAGGACAATACGAGCTATCATACATTGGTGAGACATACAGAAGTCTACAAAGAGACGGATTCCACTTTCCACCAAAGGTCGAAATCTCCAAAAGCATGCTAGTCAGCAGCGCTGTAAGTATTTCAATGTTATCCTTTTGCACAATACTCACATCTCTTCCAGCCGCCTGAATGGACTGACTCAGACGTTTGTATGCGGTGCAGAACTGCCTTCAGCTTCACAAACCGAAAGCATCATTGCCGAAACTGTGGGAATGTTTTTGACCAGCAGTGTTCTAGCAAAGTTCTTCCCCTGCCACATCTAGGAATAGTCCAGCCAGTCCGAGTAGATGATGGGTGTTACATCAAATTGACGGACAAATCCTCAAAGGGCGGCACATTCTCCACTGAACGCTCTCCTACCCATAAACAACATCGACCACATAGCTCTATGCAACCTCGAAGTGCGCGTGTGGATGACGGTTTTGACGAGGATTTGAAGAGAGCCTTGGCAATGAGCTTGGAAGAAGTGAATGGGCATGCTGGGTCCGGATACGTTCCACAATCAAAACAACAGCCATCAGCTGCGCCAGCAATCACCAATGGCACTTCTAAAGTGTCAACTAAACCGGCAGAGGAAGAAGACGATGACCTCAAAGCTGCAATCGCTGCGTCTCTAGCAGACATGGAAGAACAGAAGAAGAGACACGCAGCCACTATCAAAGAGCAAGCTGCGAATAGTGATACTAAAGCATCAGGTCCAATTGTATTGCCAAAGAACGACTATGAACTAACGCCTGTTGAGGCAGAAAACATCAATTTGTTTTCCACGTTGGTTGACAGGTTACAGACCCAGCCTCCAGGAACCATTCTCAGAGAACCACAAATCCAAGAACTTTATGAAAGCATTGGAAAGCTCCGACCGAAGCTCGCGCGAACCTATGGAGAAACAATGAGCAAACACGGTAAGACTGCCCCTCGCCGTTAACAAATATTGAACCGTGTACTGACCAAATCAGATGCCTTACTCGATCTTCATGCTAAACTATCAACGGTTGTCCGATATTATGACCGAATGTTGGAGGAGCGCTTATCAAACACATATAACCAGCACAGTCTTGGTGGTTATAACCTTCCTCCCCAAAGACCAACTTCAACCATGTACCCTTCTATCGCTGCCAATACGGCAGGCCCAACGACTGCAGCTGAAAGCTTTTACACTGGATCTGCCCAACAAGAACCCTACGGAAGGCCTCAATCCACCTACTCATACGGCGCCCAACAACAACCATACCAGCAGCAACATCATCCACAATATGACAAGCTCGAATCTGTTGCCAGTCCCGGATATCGAAACCCCGAACAACGCGTCGAGAATTACAATCAATATCCTCCCCAAGCGCAGGCTCAGATTCGTCCGACTTGGAAGCCCCAAGAAACACCGGCAACTCCGTATGCCGTACCGACACAGACGTATCCCCCAGGCCCCCTCACGCAGCACTCACAGTCCCCTCCACAACCATTGCCGACCACGAACTCGCTATCTCAAGCGCCAAACAGCTACGTGCCTTCAGATCCAGCTGCAACTCCACTCGCTGACCCAAGTCCCTCTTTCTATTATGGCTCGGCACAAGTACCCCCTCAACAATCTGCTCCAGATCAGACCCAATCACAACATCCTCCGGGTCACCAGTCCCCACAGCAGTATCACAACACAGCTCCACAACCCGGATCGCCCGTCCAATCTGTCCATCCAGTTCAGAACACGCAAGAGCAATTCGCATCACCTCAACAACACGCAGCGCCTCCACGCCAATATGCTCCGCCTCAACAGCAGCAGCAGATTCCACCCTGGCAAACGCAGCAACAGACATTATTGCCACAGCCATGGCAAAATCCTGGAGCTACGTACAATGGTTATACACAAGAGTCTTTCCCTGTAGCACCTCAGCATTCCTTGCAACCGAAAGTGGTGGAGGAGAGTCTGATTGAACTTTGATACAATAGCATACAAGCGCGGCGTTTGGGGAATTGTCGAAATTGTAATCTTACAACTTCTTGAATGAAGAGGCAGGTCTAGCGGTGATTTCTCACCTAGGATGAGTCTAGGAGGAATGATCTTCGATCAACTTTGCTTTAGTCCTTTATACGACCATCAAAGAATGAAATTTGACTATTTTGTCACTCTTGCCATTTGATTCGCGGTGCTGTAACCGTGACATAGTGATTGCTATGCGCGCACAAGTGGATTAGGAATGAAAGCAAGGATTTATCACACTGTGCAATTCTGTTGGGCAAAAAATGCGTACATAAAATGTTGCAAGCAGAGAATCTTTTTAATCCCATAACATGCTCAAAAGGACAAAAGCTATTGCTTGGAGCTTCCCCCAGGTTGTAATCTGGGCCAAGGCCGCTCAGGTTGGAATCCTGTTCCAGGATCCCTTTTGTGCAGGTCAAATGGCGTAAAGGGAAAAGCAAAAAGCAGACAGATGCGTGAAGTTTGCATACATGTATATATATATAAATGTTTTAATGCTGAACTAAGAGCGGCAAGTGGGTCATTAATGCCATCTTCTGATTGGCTCTTTGTTTTGCAACTTCAAGGTTATTTTGGTCGAAATCGAAATGACGCTATGACGGCTCCCAGCACCAACATAAATATCTGGAAATATCCTGTCAGTTTTCACCCAAGACTTTCCAGCAAAGCATATCCTTCCGATCAAATCGAGTTTACAATCTGATAATTCTCAAAGCAAGTGTATTCCACAATGTCGCGACACCAGAATTTGCGCAACCTGGATCTGGACGACGAACTGGATGATTTCGATGGTGGTGAAGACTACGAGTACGATGGACTCGGAGACGGTGCAGAAGGTACGGTCATATTCATTCCTAGGACAGAATGAGCAAGTTACTAAATGCTTCTTTGTGTTTAGAGCTTAGTGAAGAAGATCAAGGTCGGCCTCCATACCCCGCCAGCTACCCCTCCACCCCACCTAGACTCAAGCAAACCTGACTGGCAGTAGAAAACATGAGAGTAGGAACGATAGCCGTCCGAGAAGAACTGCCTCCGCAAGCAAGTCATGTCACAGACAAGCAAATACGAGAAGCTTTGTGGCACTACTACTACGACATCGAGAAATCTGTTGGATACCTAGTCAGCACGTACGCCGCCAAACCGAAGGCCCAAAAGAAGTCAAAGGCACAAGAAGTCAAGAAGATACCAGGTAGGTTATATTTTCCTCTAGATGGCATGGTGCTCGAGCATAATTGCGCCTCTGGTGGAGCTGAAGATGTGTCTGCTGCTGCTGGCCTCGACGACCGGCTTGGACTTGGGCTGATGGGCGCTGAAGTGGACGAGATATGCTCCAAGCCTTTTTCCTTCGCGGACTTCTTCAAGGATACTCCATGGTTGAACGTTCCGATCGAGCGACAAGCAATTTTGATACCACCGCTCTGCCCTAAGGGTGGCCTGCTTGGCGGTTCCTCCGATGGAGCGCCAAAGATATCCAAACTTCAAGCTCTTGCAGCTGCAAGGAAGAAGAAGGCCCTGGAGCAGAAGTCGAGCAATACTGGAATTGAGCAACCCATGGCAAGCCTCTCACTTGACCAGAGCGCCTCCGGCAGCTCTTCAGAAAAGACAACCACAGGCTCCTCGTCTACTACGACGTTTGGTACACGTGCCTTTCCCATTCGGAAACGCAAAGATTCGAATCCGCACGAGAAAGTCCCCAAAGCACCGCATGATAGGGAGCCCGATCTACCCCCTGCTGATGTGCAGATGGAAATGGAACCAATTGATCAAGCTGAGCCATCGGCCTTCGCCAATACTATGTTCAGCAACGCATCTTCACCACCACCAAGGCGCTTCGAGAGCTTCTTCACGCTCCCATACATGAATGCTGCTACTCCAACATCCACTGACCCGTTCGCAGGACCTAGTCCAGATGATGTTGTCATTGCAGCACAGGCGAAAGGTTCGGCGAAATCTGTTCGACCCAAGAAGTGATACTAATCCTTGGGCAGCGGCTGGAAAGGGTGGCAAAGGCCCACCAAAGACTAATGGTCAGAAAAAAGTCGATCAAATTGCCAACGGTGTTGAGGCTTTGAAAGTCGATGACACTCCCAAAGCCACCAGCAAGAATCTTGACGTTCTAGCTGAATTCAAAAAATCAAAGTCGAAGAATGCAGCAAATTTTGTCGTTATTGGTAGGCGACGTTCCTCTTGCATCTGAATCTATCTGACATTGGTAGGCCATGTCGATGCGGGCAAAAGCACGTTAATGGGACGATTGTTATACGACCTTAAAGTTGTAGATCAGAGAACCATCGATCGCTATCGAAAAGAGGCAGAGAGTATGGGCAAATCTTCATTCGCGCTAGCATGGGTTCTGGACCAGGGCTTCGAAGAACGAAGTCGCGGCGTGACGATTGATATCGCCATGAACAAATTCGAGACAGAGAAGACATCTTTCACTATCCTGGACGCTCCGGGTCATCGAGACTTCATCCCGAACATGATTGCAGGAGCTGCTCAAGCAGATTTTGCAGTTCTCGTCATCGATGCAAGCACAGGCTCATTCGAATCCGGATTGAAAGGCCAAACGAAAGAACACGCTCTGCTTGTGAGAAGTATGGGTGTTCAGAGGATCATCATTGTGGTTAATAAGCTCGATACGGTCAACTGGTCGGAAGAACGATTCATGGAAATCCAACATCAAGTGTCGTCATTCCTTACAACTGCCGGATTCCAAGCAAAGAACATAGCTTTCATTCCCTGCTCTGGGTTACTCGGAGACAACATTGCTCGTCGATCAACGGAAGCCGCAGCATCATGGTACACAGGCCCGACCCTCATCGAAGAACTAGACAATTCGGAGCCAATAGCCAGAGCACTCGACAAACCTCTCCGCTTAACGATCGGCGATATTTTCCGCGGCGGAGTCCAGAACCCACTTTCCATCAGCGGCAGAATCGAAGCAGGAAGTCTCCAAACAGGAGACGCACTACTCGCCCAACCAGCCGGCCAAAAATGCTTCATCAAAGGCCTCGAAATCGACAGCGAGCCTGTAGACTGGGCCATCGCCGGCCAAAACGTCACAGTCCACCTCTCCGGCATCGAGGAACAATACCTCAAGATCGGAGACGTACTTTCCAGCCCCTCGAGCCCGATCCAGAATATCAAGCAGTTCACGGCAAAGGTGCTCGCGTTCGAGTTCTTGACGCCGATGCAGGTCGATGTTCATAGAGGCCGACTACACGCTCCGGGGACTATCAAGGAGATTGTCGCGGTGTTGGATAAGGGGACGGGGACAGCGGTGGGAGGGAAGAAGAAACCGCGGATTGTGAAGCCGGGGCAGGTTGTTAGGGTGGTGGTTGAGTTGGATGTCGTGGTGCCGCTGGAGGCGCCGGCGAGGGTGGTGTTGAGGAGTAATGGGGAGACGGTTGCTGCTGGTTTGTTAGAGTGAGTAGATGGAGGAAATGGGATTCGGGCATAGCGTGGGGTTGGGAGCATTGCATTGCATTTGATTTGTGAGAAATACGGGTCATGCATCATAGAAATGAAGGTCATTTCTTGTTTTTGTTCACCATTTCCACCGATTGCTACCCCGCCGTACGCAAGAACTTCAACGCAGACTGCACACTGAAATAAGTAACAAGCTTTGCTTCTGCCGACCTATGTGCAAAACCTGGACCCTTGTAAGTCAACACCTCTTTCTCCTTACTAGTATCAAAAGCAACCTACTCTACCAGCTTCTGTACCAAAACCCACACCGGCAAGATGTCTCTGTCATTCTCCAATTAAGAAAGAAGAAGAAAATGTATGTGATAAATCAGAAAACATGGCTACCGTAAATAGGGAGTCACCTACCGAGCTATTGTATTGGGAAGTCACTCAGGATGCTATTGTTTTAAGGGGAGTCACTTAGTGTCGGTTGCCACGCAACAAGACAGCTGTAGAGAACCTGGGAAATCTGGTACGGGGCTAGCACGTGACCTCGGCAGGGGTATACAATGAGGGGTTGTATGGATCATGTTGCCGTTGTGCAGGGAAGTTGTAATTCAAGGTAGTGATTGTTTGCATTGGAGAGAGAGAGGTTACAGTCTAGTATGAAGCAAGAAGGAGTATTTGGAAGGAGAGTACAAGTGGACATTCGGGAAAAGATAAAGAGATTATGTGGCTGATTGTGAAGGGTAATTTGTGGGATCAGATACCTGATTTTGTTGTGTGCACGCCAGGATAATAGAACACACGACCAGATATTGCCTGCTCGATTGTCTATAATGCGCCACAATGCAGACCCCAAAAAATAGTTCCTCCCGTACTGAGACCAAGATTGTAGTTCGCCAGATTGAACGAAGGCACTCCTAAGTGCAGCAGACCCAACAGAGAAAGAATACTTGTTCAAATCTTTCCGATACGTCACAACTGAGATCCAAAGAAGCTCCTCCAGTTTCTAAGACCAGATTGCAAGATACCTTCTTAGGTACTCCAAGAATAGGTAGCCTTGCTTTGCCACTCACGTGCACTCAGCCTCAATGATCCGTGCGCGGGATATCTGGCCAGCAAGACAACTATGTCGAAATGCAACAGAGCAGAGCATTGAGGAACCAAATTGATTCCGTGTATTGTTGAGATGAAGGCTCCTTCATGCATGAGATGGCAGTTTCCAATAAACTAGGCGGCTCCTCATTCGTGGAGTTGCGGAGAGCCCCCTTTTCGCCTTTGGATGAAAAATTGGTTAGGGGATTAAGGTTTAGGTGTCCTCAACGCTAAGCCCTGTTAGCGCATTTTATCTGGCAGAGGACAACCTGTCTTCCACAATCGGTTGTGATAAAGACGCAGCCGAGAACTTTTGGTACTTCCATCGTTCTTTTACTTTCGACATATCTGCAACAACACGACCTCCTCTCCCCCAACACCACTTTGATCCATAATACCGATCATCATGGCGCGAGGAAACAGTTCTCAGTTCTGGACTCTTCTCTGCCTAATTTTCCTCTTAGCAGCTCCTTTGACTTTCATTTCCACAGCACAAGCACAGTCCGATCAAGAGCCATTACAAGAAAACTATGGCACTGGTAAGTCTCCGCACCATCTGCGAAGCTGAAATCCAATTGCTAACAGCTCTGCGATAGTCATCGGTATCGATCTGGGAACCACCTACTCCTGTGTCGGTGTGATGCAGAAGGGCAAAGTCGAAATTCTAGTAAACGACCAAGGACACCGAATAACACCTTCATACGTGGCATTCACCGATGAGGAGCGACTGGTTGGAGACGCAGCAAAGAACCAAGCTGCCGCAAACCCCAAGCGAACAATTTTCGATATTAAGTAAGTTGTGATTCTGCCAAAACGTGGCATCTTCGAAGCTAACGAGTGTCCCTTTAGGCGTATGATCGGTCGCAAGTTCTCAGATAAGGATGTTCAGGGTGACATGAAGCACTTCCCCTTCGACGTTGTCGAGAAGGATGGCAAGCCATCTGTCAAGGTTGAGGTCAATGGATCCCCAAAGACCTTCACCCCTGAGGAGATCTCGGCCATGATTCTTGGAAAGATGAAGGATGTAGCCGAATCATATCTCGGAAACAAGGTTACCCACGCAGTTGTTACTGTTCCAGCCTACTTCAACGACAACCAGAGACAAGCTACCAAGGATGCCGGTATCATTGCCGGTTTGAACGTCCTCCGTATCGTCAACGAACCTACCGCCGCAGCTATCGCATACGGCTTGGACAAGAACGACGGTGAACGTCAAATCATTGTCTACGATCTTGGTGGAGGAACCTTCGATGTTTCTCTCCTCTCCATCGACCGTGGTGTTTTCGAGGTTCTGTCTACAGCCGGTGATACCCACTTGGGAGGAGAAGATTTCGATCAGAGAGTCATCAACTACTTCGCCAAGAAGTACAACAAGGAGAATGATGTCGATATCACCAAGGATCTCAAGACCATGGGTAAGCTGAAGCGTGAGGCTGAGAAGGCCAAGCGAACTCTGTCTTCCCAAAAGACCACCCGTATCGAAATCGAAGCTTTCCACAATGGCAATGATTTCTCCGAGACCCTTACCCGAGCCAAGTTCGAGGAATTGAACATGGATCTCTTCAAGAAGACTCTCAAGCCTGTTGAGCAGGTCTTGAAGGATGCCAAGGTCAAGAAGACTGAGGTTGACGATATCGTCTTGGTCGGTGGTTCTACACGTATTCCCAAGGTCGTTGAGCTCATTGAGGAGTATTTCGGAGGTAAGAAGGCTAGCAAGGGTATCAACCCCGATGAAGCTGTTGCTTTCGGTGCCGCCGTTCAAGGTGGTGTCTTGTCTGGTGAGGAGGGTACTGAGGAACTTGTTCTCATGGACGTCAACCCATTGACCCTTGGTATCGAGACCACCGGAGGTGTTATGACCAAGTTGATTCCCCGCAACACTGTCATCCCAACCCGCAAGTCCCAAATCTTCTCCACCGCCGCCGATAACCAGCCAGTTGTCTTAATCCAGGTCTTCGAGGGAGAGCGCACAATGACTAAGGATAACAACCAACTTGGAAAGTTCGAGCTTACCGGTATCCCACCTGCGCCTCGCGGTGTTCCTCAAATCGAAGTCAGCTTCGAGCTTGACGCCAACGGAATCCTCAAGGTCTCAGCCTCGGACAAGGGTACGGGCAAGATTGAGTCCATCACTATTACCAACGACAAGGGACGTCTCACTCAAGAGGAAATTGACCGTATGGTTCAAGAAGCTGAGAAGTACGCCGACGAGGACAAGGCAACCAAGGAGCGCATCGAGGCTAGAAACGGCCTTGAGAACTATGCCTTCAGCTTGAAGAACCAAGTCAACGATGAGGAAGGTCTCGGAGGCAAGATTGACGAGGATGACAAGGAGACTGTAAGCTCTTCCCTTCCCAAATCACGATGATCAATTACTAATTCGCAACAGATCCTCGAAGCAGTCAAGGAAGCAACCGACTGGCTCGAAGAGAACCAAGCCACCGCCAACGCAGAAGATTTCGAAGAGCAAAAAGAGAAGCTCTCAAACGTCGCCTACCCAATCACCAGCAAACTGTACTCAGGAGCCGGAGGACCAGGTGGAGCCGATGATGACGAGCCCGATTCCCACGATGAGTTGTAGAAGAGAGGATTTTTTTACTTTTTTTATTACCATTGCGTGCGTTGGCTTCTTTGCCTGGGGGGTTAGAGAATGGGCTCTGGTGTAAAATAAAAGCATTATAGGAGTGCCAATGCATACCCGGTTTTCGATAGATATGACTTCTACTGTGCTGGTGATTTATGTGTGTGATGTGACGACTTGTGATGAAGAAGAGGGGTCCTGGAGATGTCGGACATTGAGGGGTAGTGGGGTAGTTCTTCTCGGTGGAGGAGTGTCACGTGCCTCATTCAACTCCAACTTCAACTTATCCCTCTGTTTCTTGCTGGCCCACATGGATCTAGTGATTACAAACACTATCCTCTCTATTTCATTGTCAGACATTCACTGTTAGTATCGCCACAGTTGAACATTGTATATATATATATATATAAAGTCCCCCTTCTTACCACATCCACTTGCTAGCCTAAAAACACTTACAGTCGATCCGACATTTTATTCTCATGAATCGATATCTTGATATCTTATGCTATTTCTTATTTGAAACCTTGAAATCAGTCTGCTTACTTTAACAAAGAAAATGGGGTGGTAACAAAATTGTATCATCGGCAGTAGAGATAACTTGACAACAACAGCACTTTTCCCTGAACTTGCAGAATACCAACGCCAAAACTTCTTTGCAGAAGAGCATCAGCAGCCATGTAGTTGTATATTCCACTCCATCAACCATGATTACGGAAAACGGTCTTTGTGTCCGAGATTCTGGGTGGTTTATATCCCCCGCATCTGCCGACTTGGGCTTGCTAGGACCAAAATTCACTTTTTGACTGTTGTGTGTGAAGGGTGCATGTGATGACTAGATGAGTTCACTTTAATCACTTCTAAGTTTCTGGCGAAAAATAGTGCATGCAGCTATTCACTTCATAGTAATTAAATTCAAGAAAAACGTAGATAACTAGAGCACGACTTATATAAACAAATAAAAGGCGGGAGTTGCGACCGTGATCATCCTCTCTTGAACTTAGGAACTCACTTTACCCGAAGCCAAATTTCGTTTATCCTAACTTGACTCTGGGGTAATCCAACATCTATATAAGCACATGTTCTCTATACTGTGAAAAATTTGAAGCTTCCAAAGAAATTCTATGAGACTACAGACTTTGAGCTCAACTTATTGTCTTTGTGATTTTCGATGTATGTAAGAAGTGCACATTTCGACACAAGTCATCCCTTTCTCCCTTATAAGTTTATCTGGTCATTTGTTGTCAACAAATCTATGCTGTCGATCTCCTCGCATTTTCTCTTTAATTGTGCTTGCAATCTTTCCCATCTTCACGCAACCCAAGCTTATCTACCACTTGGACGCCTGGACGCCTGGACGCCTGGACGCCTGGACGCCTGGACACGTGGACACGTGGACACCCGGCACCCAATCCACCACATCAACCAGCCCAGCTAAAATTACCGTGTCCGCCCTTCCTAGAAGCGTTAGATGGGGCAGATTATATACCTTTCTACTCCCTAAGGTCGCTTCTTCCTTGCCATAGGGAGTGAATTTCAATTCTAGAGTTTCGCTGAGAGTGAAAGTCGGATCCTATGCTCGTATCTGTTCATTTCTCGAGAGTGAGTGTGTAGAGTGAATATGAAGATAAAGTACAAAGAAATGAGTACAGGAGTGAATGTGTAGAGTGAATATGAAAAAAGAGTAGGCGGTGAGTCGACTTGTGCCTATGAACGGCCTCGTTAAGAATCTTTTACAGGTATATAAACCCCCAAATTTGACGTTTTTTTCTTTACTTGCAGAATAATGGAAACAGGTTCATTACGCCTGGCGTCCCGACGTGGGTGGTGTGTGTTACGGTATCTAATGAGTTGTTCGGAGTTCAGTTTAGTGGAATAAGTATCGATGTAATTATCTTTGGAAGCATGTTGTTCCTGCTATCAAGTCTTTTGTTGTTGTCAATTGTTCAGTATTACTTTGCTTGCAACAGTCGACAGACGAGTCGTGTATTCACACGTGTAAAACAATCGGTAAAGGGAAAATACCACCGATGGAGGAAGTGCCGAATATCACGGAGCTGGGTGAGTGAGTATTTGGGAATATTTTATTGTAGTGGTATTAGAGTACGAGATCTCTTTTATAATTTAATTCAGAAATTTGATCTACCGCCGACTCCCAACTCACTGTCTTAACATCGGTATGTTGGATTCACTTGAAGGATCGCATTCACCCCTTTCCTCTTTGTAATGTCCTTGTTTTACAAAGTCAAAGGCTTATCACGTGACAGCAACTATTTAACGGACTGGTTGTCTCCCCTATGGATCATCCATCAACCTGTCTTCTCCCCAGAACAATATCGTACTGTTTCTGGGCTGGGCGACTAACTGTTGTTGGGTCTGTAGTATGCTTCGTATTGGTAGATAAAGATAATGACAAATCGGCGGTAAGTTGACATAAAATCGACAACAAGATATGAGTCGACGGCAACAGGGCTCTATTACTTTCATCTGATCTTCATAGATACTATCATCTGCAAGTTGGTTCCTTTATTCTGATACATGTGCTCCATTGAAGTCGGGACTGGCTGTGATGACTTTGGGCTGGAGATATGGGAGTTCTTTCATTCTGATCATTTTGCCGCTTTTAAAGTTGGGATAGGTTGTGGCGACTCTAGACCAGATGTAAGTGAGTTCAAACCAAAGAGCATTTGAAAATAAAAGCTTTAAAATAAATATTTGAGATTGTCTGATGACTACAAAGTGGCACGAGTCGCAGATTGGGCTCAGACAATGCAAGAACTCAGAAGCTGCAGGAAGAAAAAAATCATTCAAAGCTACATTGTTGGGGTTTGCTCTGTTTAACACTTGCTAGAACTATAATATTATCCTAGACCCTCAAAATCTCCGAAATCATCTTAAGCAATGGCAACTTCAAATGCGCAAAAGCTTGCGCAAGCTGAGCAAGCAATTGACACCTTTCTCCTAGCTTTCCCACGTATCTTGTCCCCTCCAGGTTTCCCTGATCTACAATTTCACGGACCAGGCGAGATACACGGGATCGTCATCCTACCTCTCTGGCAGCAGACCGCAGAGTTCAATACCAATTGCCCACACTGGCCACACTTCAACACATTCCTCGACGGGCTTGCTCCTCTGATGAAACTCATCACAAGTCGCATATCAGATGTATTATCGAATCCTAATAATCTATTACCCGATCAGTATGCGCATTATCCCAACAACTTCGGCAAAGCAATTCAAGCGTGGAACATCCGCCAAAGCACTGTTCTAGCCGGACAGCTAATCCAACCTCGCATACTCAGCAATATGAATTGCTTTGAAACTGTCCGCTTAAGTGCTATGCTGGCGAGTGATGACCCGAGGCGGCCCTCGACCAGTCGTTCCAGCGACACGGTTGTGATTACCACTGTGGGGGATTATTTGTATGGAGATATGTGGCGCCATGCTGGAGATATCTACAAAACAATGGATGAGTTGATCACTTTACCCGGAAAGGTAGAGATCCTGAATACTCGATTTGGGGTGCAGAATAATCGATTTACTGGTAGGAGGTTCCAGCTTGAATTCTTTTTGCCAGATATCTCCACAGTCTAGCTTGTTGTAAAAAGGGATATGGAGCCGAAGTGTAGACTGAACATCAAAGTTGTTGGGGTATTACAGCATTCGAGAATGGGCTTGAAATGCTGGGATGGTCTGAAGAAGGTAGTCAAAAGCAATCGCGTTTCTGAAAGAGGGTTGTGACTCTTGACGTTATGTAACAAAATATTTCCTTGAATGAACAATCCATTGACTCATCCTTTACAAAAGGAAATCTTTTCTTCTTGTAGTGGAAATCCAGCGTGGCATTTTGCCATTGGATTGCATAATAGTGATTGGCCGCCCCACTGTGGCTGACTTGAGGCCTCAGGCATGGTAATCCTTCACCACCCCTACCTGCATACGATAAATATCTTTCAATCGAAACACAGTCTTCTGGGACGAGCATAGCTCTATCTCAAGACAGAACACCAAGCAAAAATATCGCAAACAGCATGAGACTCATCAATACCGTAACCGGCGCTTTCGAAGAGTTCATCGGGGACAACATCCCACCATATGCGATACTTTCCCATACATGGGAAGGACGGGAAGTCTCTTTCAAGGACACGAGTGACCCATCTTGCAAACACCAAAAGGCCTACCATAAGATTGAAAAGACATGCCAGTTGGCAGCTCAGAGGGACATTAAGTATGCATGGGTGGATACTTGCTGCATCGACAAATCTAGCAGCGCCGAGCTCACTGAAGCTATCAATTCCATGTACCGATGGTATCAGAGGAGCAATGTTTGTTTTGTATACCTTTCAGACCTTTGTGCAACTGCAGTCTTGAAAACGGCACTCAGAGATTGCAGATGGTTCACTCGAGGTTGGACGTTACAGGAATTGATCGCTCCGTCGAATGTCTACTTTTTTGATCAAGACTGGAACGAAAGAGGATCGAAACAAGAACTGGTCGGGGAGCTTTCGAATATTACTGGTATCAAAATCGATATTCTGCGTCTTGCGCTACCGCTCTCATCGATAGCCATAGCTCAGAGAATGTCGTGGGCCGCAAATCGGACGACGACTCGAATGCAAGATATGGCATACTGCCTGCTCGGGATCTTTGACGTTAACATGCCGCTATTATATGGTGAAGAGGAGAAGGCGTTCCGGCGTTTGCAAGAAGAGATAATCAGATCTAATTCCGATTTGAGTATTTTTGCCTGGACATATCCTCGAGTCTCCAAAAAGGTTCAAACTCTAGATAGCCCTGTATATTCTGGAATACTAGCCAAGTCTCCTTCCGTATTTCTCGACTGTGTCGGATTGGAGAAACGATTGGGACATGACTGGCGCGAGGTTTCGAGTTTGAATGGAGGCATTAAAACGCAGGTACAGATACTGTCTGAGCCGATCCCAGGGAAAAGAGGAACCCGCTACTTATTCCCACTCGACTATTCTCGAGAGCCCGGTCAGTTACTTGCGGTGCGGCTGAGGAAGTGTGGTCCCGACAAATTCATTAGAGACGACCCTTGGACCCTCGTGGAATATGCGGAAGATCTCTGGGCAAACGCTCGGAAGGATCGATGTCTCTTATTCGAGCTCCCTCAGGTTTCGCGGTCACCACAAACGCCGTATTCCTCCATGAGCTCTCTGATAAGCCAAACGAGAGCGCACGTACTGCAAATACAGCTCCCGCCTGAAATAGAGATACACGACACTTGGCCATGGGATCGATGCTTCGATGCTCAGGACCAATTGTTCTTTGGATCTGGAGACGTAAGATGGGATTCTGGAGCAATGAGATTAATGACGGAGTTTATCTTTGAAAGTGTTCGGCGTGAGACCAAAGTCCAGTTTGAGTGCATGCTGTACGCAGTAGGTTGGTCGTCGCCAGAAATCGGTGACCTTCAGTGCACGATAATGCTCTACGATGCACACGCGGCAGCATTGAAAGACCTGCAGTCTCGAATCGCGGCTTGGGACCATACTAGACCGCAAGTTGTGGCTCAGCTGGTATACTACAATATTCCAAAGACTTCTGCAGCAGTGTTTAAGATCCCCAAAAGTACAGCCAGTGTCGTCATTTCGTTCACTCCAAAGTATGTGAGTGATAAGAAAATCTGCCAAAACAAGTTCTGGAGGCTCGAATTGTCATGCGAAGTTTATAAAAATAATGATCTTCCTGAAGTTCAACAGGAGGAGTGGCTTGAGTAGACAGCAGCGCTGGTAGACAGTAGCGAAAGAAAATATAAAAAAACAAAGTATAAGACGCGAGTAATGAATGGTTAGAGGCACTTGCCGAATAGTTTGAGTGAAGTTTCATGCATGCACCAGAGAGACCAAGGGAGAAGAGTATAGTTTTAAAGTTTTTTTTTGTATCTTTATATATGAAGTATAAACCCAAGCATTATAACACATCAACCAACAAATCTATAAGCTAGCTCATACTCCATACGGGTCGAGCACCATACTCTTGCTTCAATCTCCGGTCCCGACTCCATCGACTTCAACTCAAGCATGGTGCCCTCCCTAACAGTTCAATTCCAGACACGACAGATAAAAGCAAAAGATAAGAAATAAGATGTTTTCCTCCACCAAAGTTTCAACCAATATATGAAAAAGGAAAAGTAGGAAAAGAAAAAGAACATTTTTGAGGACCCCGCTAAGAACAAACTCCAACCATTATATGCACCATCATGATATAGACAACGATGTAAAGGAAAGCTAACAAGAGATCATCTATCAAGATAGACCCCTTAAAAGCGCTTCCTGCTCAGCGTCTTCAAGCTGGCAGTTCCACCCTCATTTCTCAACACCTCACGGATGAGAGAAGCGAGACCCGCGTTCAGACCAGCCTTAGCGGCCTCCTCGATCCATTGATCAAGCTCGATCATCACCAAGCTGGTACCATACTTCCTGTCGAGGAAGTCACCGAGCTCTCTTAGTCGGATATTGTCGTCACCGCAGTGGTTCTTGACGACAGCGCCTTGCGAACGAGCGAATAGAGAGTTGCAGATCATGTATCCAACTTCCTCGACCTCGACGAATTGGATGTAGCCATCAAGGCCAGGTGTGTGGGGAACAGCCCCGATGCGCATTGAGTACTCCATGATGTTGGCAGTCATGTTGACGGTTCCGGCACCCTCACCCAAGATGTTGGATGGACGGTGGACAAAGACTGGGAGGCCGAGCTGGTCGGCGCAAGATTGGAGGTACTTCTCGCCAGCCCATTTCGAAGCGGCGTATCCCATTGATCCATCAACGGGTGGTGAGAATTCTGGGATGAATCGCTCGCCGAGGTCAGTCTCTGGGACGAAAGAGGCGACACCGGCTGTGGAAACGAAGTGGAAGGGTGTCTTTCGGACCATGGCCATGCGGACCAACTCCTTAGTTGAGCCAACGTTGGAGGCTTGGAGAGACTTGTATGACTTGAGGAAAGAGACGTCGCAACCGTTGTGGATGATACGGTCAGCCTTCTTGGAAAGCTCAGCGAATTGGTTCTCTGACAAGCCAAGGCGCTCTGAGGTCAGATCACCGTAGTACTTGATGATCTTGGAGGACTCGACAGGCAGAGTACGTGATGCCTTGCCTTCTGGGAGACGGATGGCAACACAGTGGATCTTGCCAACACGCTCATCGGCAACGAGCTCACGGAGGATCTGGGTACCGAGGAAACCGGTGGCACCAGAGAGGACGACCTCGACATATGATCTTGAGACAGGTCGGAGGCCGAGGGAGAGAGGAGAGGTTTCGAAGAGGGATTGGTCGAGGGCAGTCTCAGCTTCCCAATCGATCTTGGATGCTCCTGAAACATCAACAACAGTGACAGCCTCAATTTGAGCTGCCATTGATTCGATGGTGGAGGACTGGAAGAGAGTGTAAAGGGCGATGGTGGCCTTCAGGTTGTCGCGAATCATTGCTTGGACATTGACGAGAAGCATGGAGTTACCACCGAGGACGAAGAAGTCTGATGTCTTGCGGATACCCTTGACATTTGATCCTGGTGGTAGGCACTTGGACCAGATGCTCTTCAACTCAGCTTCGACAGGGTTGAGCTCAATTGGAGAATCATCTTGCTCTTCTTGGAATTGTGGGATCTCAAGAGTGGCCAATGCCCTGTTGTCAATCTTGCCGTTGGGTGTTCGTGGCAGAGAGGCAACAGAAACAAGCATGCTTGGGATATAGGCAGATGGCATTGGCAGGCTGGTGAGGAACTTGCGGTGGTCGGCAATCTCCTTGGCGAAAACAGCGAAAGCGACCATGAAGGCTTGCTCACCCTCGCCACGGAGGCAGACAGCAGCTTCAGTGATGGCTCCCCTGGACTCGCGAACGATGGTGTTCTTGACTTCGTCGAGTTCGATACGAACACCACGAAGCTTGACTTGGTTGTCGCCATTGATACGGCCCAAGAAGACGAAGCGTCCATCTGGGAGCATCTTGGCTCTGTCACCGGTTCTGTACATACGGTTCCATCCCTTGGCGAGGTCGTCGTTGGATGCGAATGGATCAGCGACCCACTTGGCGGCAGACATCTCCTTCTGATGGAGATAGCATTGCGAGATGCTTGCACCACCGCAGACCATCTCACCAGGGAAGCCGACAGGAACGGGGTTGAGGTTCTCGTCGAGGATGTAGGTAGAGTAGTTGGGAAGGGAGCGACCAACGATCATGTTCTGTTCGCTGGCAGTAGGGTCGCTGAGAGGAATCTCCCAGGCGGAGTTGATGATTGTGATTTCGGTAGGACCGCAAGAGTTGATGAGTCTCAACTTAGGCAGAGCGGCCTTTTGGAATTCCTTGACGATGGAGCTTGTCAATGGCTCACCGCAAGAGAATGCGGAGCGCCATTCGGTCAATTGAGAGATAAGTGCGGGTGATTGGCGGAGAATGAGAGAGTAGACGGAAGGAGTAACGATGGTGTAGGTAACTTGGTGCTCAACCATGAGCTTGACGAGTTCGGTGGGATCGGTTCTGGTTTGGACAGAGGCAACGACCATCTTACCCTGAGAAGCAAGGAATTGCATCATCTGAGCAAGAGAAAGATCGAAACCCAAGTTGGTTGGTTGCAGGATAACTTCCTTGCCAAGGCCAATGTCCCAGGCCTTGTTGACACCGTAGATGTGGTTGACAAAGTTGGAGTTGGTGAGCATTGTTCCCTTGGGCTTTCCGGTGGTACCAGAGGTGTAGATAACACAGGCAGTGTCCAATGGCTTAGACATATCCTCAACAAAGTGAGATCGGATGTGGGGAATGTCAGCGAGCTTAAAGATGTGGCGATCAGCGGCACCGAAGGCCTTCTGAGCAGCTCCGATTGTGATATCATCGCAGATGATGGCAGCAGGGTTGCAGTCTTCGACGATCAGCTCGAGACGTCCCATGGGGTTGGAAACATCCAATGGCACATAGATGGCGCCGATTCGGAGGACAGCGAGCCAGTAGCAGACGGACATCACTGATGGCTCACAGTTGACACCAATGAATGATTGAGGCTTGACACCCAGAGTAAGGAGGTGAGTGGAGATGGTGCTGACCCATTCGGCCATATCGGTCCAGCTGAGCGAGCCGCCATAGTTGTCAACAACTGCGACATTGTTGGAACGAGCTTTGACAGCCCAGTCGAACATCTTGTTGATGGTAACGGACTGGTCGAGGTCGATTCTGGGGCCAGTACCGATTTGAAGAGCAGTGTGAGAAGCCTTGGTGGTGAAGAGGTTCTGGTCCTTGATGGGGAGAGATGGCTTGGATGAGAGGGTCTTGAGGAGGTGAGTGTAGGTGTTGAGGACAGTGGACAGGTCCTCCTCAGAGTAGAGGTAGGATTGAGTGGTGACAGTGACCAATGTAGTACCGTCAACAGATTGCTCAACATCGAATTGGAGATCGTATGGGTTGCTGGCATCAGCGAAGTCAATGACCTCACCAGTGCACTCTCCAATAGGAACATCGCGGAGAGAACCCATCTTGTAGTTCATGAGAACCTGGAAGAGAGGGTTGGAAGTGGTGGATCTTGGCACCTCCAATTTGTCGAGGAGAACGTTGTAAGGTGTTGCAGAGTGCTCCAAAGCAGCAAGGGTCTTGTCCTTGGCCTGCTTAGCGAGTCTGGCGAATGAACGAGCACCTTCGACCTTGAAGCGGAGAGGGAGCAAGTTGACGAAGAAACCCAGAGTGTCGACGTGGTCTGGGTCGTTCTTGTTGGCATCGGTGATACCAATGCAGATGTCGTCAATGTTCAGGAGTCGGTGGAGCATGACCTGAAGGGTAGCCAAGTGAACGTGGAAAGGAGTGACTTGAAGCTTCTGAGCGGCAGCCTTGAGGTTGGAAGAGAATCCGGCATCAAGTCTGGTCTCTTGGATGCGGAGGTTGTACTCAGTCAATGGCTTCCTTGACTTGACAGTTCCGAAGTCGAAGAGAGGTAGAGTCTCAGGGATATCTGTGAACTCAGCCTTCCAGTAATCAACATCGGTAGTCATGGATTGCTCAACAAGCTTGCGTTGCTTGTTGGCATAGTCGATGTATTGGTACTTCAATGGTTGAAGCTGTTGACCACTGTAGATGGCAGCAATGTCGCGGACCAAGATAGAGGATGAAGTGGCATCAACGGCAATGTGGTGGAAACCCATGATCAAGACATAGGACTCAGCGTTCTCGATCAGGAGAGTAGCCTTCATGGACTCAGCATTCTCGAGATCATAGTGATGCTCGTTAGTGCGTCTGAACTCCTCCTTGATCTGCTCTTCGCCAGTGTATGCCTTCTGCTCCATAACGAAAGGAGTGTGCTCCACGGCGCCCAAGTATCCAAGGTAGTTGGTCTTGTCAGTGAAGAAAGCAGTGCGGAGAGTCTCGTGTCGGTCAATAAGCTCATAGAAAGCTTGGTCGAAGTCGGCGACACGGAAAGGACCCTTGATGCGATAAGCGAGGGTGATGTTGTAGGTGGCGGGGTTGGTAAGGAAGGATTGCAAGAACCAGAGACGCTCTTGAGAGAAGGACATGCGTCCGACTCGCTCCATGCCAGGCATGAGTTCAACGCCATCGTACTCGTTGGCCTCAGATTCAGCGCGAGAAATCCAGGTGAAGTCTTCTGAGAGCATGCCAGGAGTGGTTGGTCGGCTGTCGAGGAGATCAGGTGTCATTGATCGGGAAGGAGCAGAGGACATAGAAGCCTCAGATGGGATAGACTCGGGCTTCTCGGGCTCTGGCTCAGAGAAGCTCTTGACGAGAGCAGCAGCCTCAGCGCAAAGAGTGGAAACGCTTCCACCGCCGAGAACCTTCAGGACAGGCATGTCAACCTCGATCTGGCCCAAGAACCAGGATCGGATCTCCATAGCCATCAAGGAGTCGACACCGAGAGCGAGGAGGGGTTGAGAGATGTCAATGTTCTCAACTGCGGCTTGCAAGATACGGCTCATCTTGAGAAGGAAGTCACCGCGAATAATCTCAGAGCGTTGCTCAACGGTAGTAGCAGCTGCGAGACGCTGCTTGATTGGCAGAGAAGCACCGCCAGCAGAAGAGTCCTCACCCTCCTCCTTCTTGAGGACGTAGTGGGAGAATCTGTGGTTGGCAGCGTACCATGGGTTGTCGTCAGCGTTGAGAGTGCTGTTTCTTGGAAGACCAGTGATGATATCGTTGGAGTGACCTGAGTTGGGACGACCAACCAAGATACACTCAGCGAACATATCAAGGAAGGCAGGCTCAGAGATAGCCATCCATTTCTGTCTCTTGAGGGAAGTCTCAAGAGCAGCATCTTGGGACACAACTCCGATACCGATAACCATACCAATGTGCATGACTGAAGCAGTCAAGCCACGAGCACGACGTTGAGCGGCGACGGTTTGCATGTAACCGTTGGCAGCGAGGTAGTTGGATTGACCACGGTTACCGACAGTGTTGGCGAGGGAAGAGAATAGGATGAAGAAGTCGAGATCACTGTTCTCACCGAAAAGCTCGTCGAGTTGATCAGTACCGTCAACCTTTGGCTTCAAGCACTTCTGGAAGTCCTCGAGGGTGATGTCGTTGAAGAGACGATCAGCCAACACCATTGCAGCGTTGGCAACACCGGCAATCTTTGGCATGATCTTGCAGATCTCATCGTGAGTCTTGCGGAGAGATGTGCCATCAGTGACATCGCAAGCGAAGACTTGAACATTTGCGCCAGCGCGAACCATCTCGTTGTACCAGACCTGGTTGACTGATTTGGGGTTTCTGGTAGTAAGAGCAAGGTGCTTAGCGCCATTCTGTACCATCCATCGGCAAAGTGCTTGACCAAGACCACCAGTGCATCCAACAAGGAGGTAAGTCTTGTCATCACGGAACAGGTTCTCAGTTCGGATTGGTGCAACCTGAACGGAAACCTCAGTGTCCTTGGTGAAGTCCAAGACAGCTGGGTACACGCGGGCCTCTGAGGAGCTGGTGAGTTCCTTGAGGGTGACAACTTCGGGTGTGGCAGAGCGATCGACGAAGTTAGCAGCAACGAAGTGGGCCTTGAGGAGCTCATTCTTGACACTCTCAGCAACCTTGTTGGTGCTAGCATGCTTGCCGAAAAGGTCGTGGATCTTGGTGTTGATGCACTCATCAGAGTTCTGCAGAGACAGAATCTTAGATGGTTGATCAACAGATGAGAAGTCCAAGAGCATGTCGATCTTCTTTGGCAGAATATTGCGGAGGGCGCGCTCAGAGGTGTGGGGGTTGATGTAAACGACCTCAGGATCATTGGTAGGGATGGTAGAGGCGCTGAAGACCTTCAATCCAACGGAATCAGCAGTGTTGCGGAAAGAGGCAGCGAGGCTGTTGTTGGGGCCCAAGAAGAGAACAGTCGATCCGTGGCGAAGTTGGGAGAAAAGAGCGGAAGAAACGAAGGTAGTAGCGACTGATTCGATAAACTTGGGAGGAGAGTCGACCTTGACGTAGATGGGGACAACTTGAGAAGCTGGGACACTGATGATTGAGGCATTGACGTGAGAGAATGCAAGAACATCCTTTCCGGCAGTCAAGTCTCCGCCCTCAATGACCTTTCCGATGGTCAAGAACATGTTCTGGTTCTCGCCAACCTTGATGGCAGAGAGCAGAGAGTGAGTAACTTGAATCTTGATGTCGGTCTTGCTCTCGGAGGCGAGCATAGTAAGGTGGGGCTCAGCCACGACATAGTTACCCTCGTGTTGAGAGATGAGAACCTGGGTCTCAGCAGGGTTGACTTGCTTCTCAATAGCACGGCGGCGGGCGTTGAGGCGGTCGTTCAAGACTTGGTCGGCAGTGATACGAGGAATCAAGAACTTGCCGCCCTTGATGATCATCTCCTCTTCAGCAGACCAGAGGATGTTGGGTGAGATAGCGCGAACGTCCTCGTCAGCGAACAATCGGATGGCAGCAGCAGCCAACAAATCGTTGCTAGTCTCAACCTCAGATGGCTCGACATCGAGAAGTTGGATTTGTACGTGAGCATATTCGGATTGCAATCCACGACCAACTCCGAGGGACATGTTGGCGTAGGCGTTCTCGAGTCTGCATCCAGAAGTAACCCATAGGACTTGCTTGGAGCGGTCGACAATGTTCTGAAGACCGGTGATGGTGTCTTGAGTCAGGTTCTTCCAGATTGGCTCATCGAGATCTTGCAAGAAGATAACGGAGGAGAATGGAGTCTTGAACTCAGCAAGCTTCTCCACACGAGGAACGAACGAGATCTTTGGAAGCTCGCTTCCGAGTTGCTTGCAAGATTCTTCGATGTATGCGGTAATCTCGGCATTGCGTGCAGAGTTGTTACCAATGATGCAGAGATCCTTGATGGTGACTGGGAGCTCTGCTGGTGGGCACAATGGTTCTCTCAAGAAGTGGACCTCATCCGTAACGGCTTGAGAGAGCACAACTGAAGTCATGTACATCGGACGATCAGCAAGATCATTGGTGACTTGGTCGACACCAGAGAATCCGGTGTCCTTGAGGAGCGATGTCCATTGAGAGATGGAAGCAGCAGGGCCGAATCGGCGGCTATCTTCATCACCCATCCACCAAGCTGGAAGACCAAGAGTCATGAACTTGACACGGAGGACATCTGGAACACTGATCTCCTGGAGGACAACGTATCCACCAGGCTTGAGGAGTGATCGGATGTTCTCCATGGTCTTTTGAAGGTTCTGGGAAGTCTGGACAACGTTGGAAGCAATGATCAAGTCATAGGAGTTCTCCTCGAATCCTTGGTCCACAACGTCTCCCTCGATCTCCAAAGGCTGGAACTTCATCTTACCAGTCCACTGGAAGAGATTCTCCTTGGCCTTGTCGAAAGATTTCTCGGTCGCGTCGGTGAAGGTGTAGCTCTTGAACAGATGTCCAATCTCGCCGATGACACCCTTGGTAACGGCACCGCTTCCAGCGCCAACTTCGAGAATCTTCATGCCAGCGTATCTGTGGACAATTTGTCCGACAGTGCGGCTCAAAGAGTCGTTCGACTCCTTGATCTGTTGTCCGAGAGCGTAGTATCGGTTGAGCATGTCATCCTTCATCATGCACTCCAAAAGGTTGGTCTGGCCACGGACGACAGAGAGCAAGTTTTGGCCAACAGTGGTGATGAGTTGGATGTCAACTTGGTCCATGTGCTTAGCAGCTTGCTCCTCAAGCCACTCGGAGTCATCTTCAGCCCACTCAGCCTTGAGAGTTGGGTGTTGTCCATTCTCAACGACAGGGAAGAGGTGGTCGATGAATTGGAAGATACGCTGGTGGTTCCATGAGAACTCCTCAACTTCTCTTCTTGAAACAGCGCTGTTGAGTTTGCGAAGGTACATGTATGCAAGGCGTTCGCAGAGGTCAACCATGCTGAGCTGAGTCGAAGACTCCTCGACCTCTTCAATCTCGGTTGCTGACTTGGAGATTTCAGGGCGGTAGACAGTCTGAGCATAGAGCTCGATATCATTGTCCTCGGTAGCGCGGTCGAGCGCTGTGCAGGATAGACCTTCGATTTGCATTCTTGGAGCACCAGTAGCACTGCTGAACATCTCGATATCGGCGCAGATCTTCATGTTCTCGTTGCTGGTAACAAAGGTGTCAATGGTCACCTCGGCCTCAGGTCCGAACTCATCACGGTCAGTGCTGATTCGGAGGCACTTGATACCAGTTGGGAGGTATGGGCAGCTCATTCCACCGTCACCTGGGAAGTGCAGAGCAGCGAAACAGGTCTGGAACGAAGCATCCATCAAAGCAGGGTGCATCATGACTGGCATCTCTGGGTCTTCTGGGTACTCGGTAGCAGTGGCGGTGGCTCTGTTCATGCGTCTGTCGATGGTCTCAAGACGACGGAAGAGACCTTGGTAGTTGAAGCCAATGTTCTCGAGGGTGTTGTAGAAGGTCTCCACGTGCAGCTTGCTGAGGAGGAGAGGAGCGTTGTCACGAGCAGGGAGGATGATGTCTGGGGTGTTCGAGTCGGCAAGGATGATGCGCATGCGTCCCTTCATGTTGATGTCCCAGCTTTCTGCGTCAACTCCAACAGCGGAGAAGATGGCGAATTCAGCCTCGATGAAGTTCTCTCCGTTCAATGGTCCTTCGTGGGTCTTCTTCAGGGTAAGAAGAGTGTCGGCGCCGTTGGAACCTTCCTCGAGACCAATGGCACGAGTCAGTTCAATGTCCAAAAGCTCAACCATCTTGGTTGGCAGATCGGCAGCGAGATCCTTAGACGCTTCCAAAGCCATGGCGATGTAGGCAGCACCGGGGTAGACAATTTGGCCCTGAACCTTGTGGCCAGCGAGCCAAGGAGTCTCGGAAACACGGACGGTGTTTCTGTATCGGAGATCGTGCTCGAGATCATCTGGGAGTTGAGCACCGAGGAGATCGTGTCGGGGCTTGCTGCGAGTGCGGTACTTCTTGGAGTGACGAGATTCTCCCCAGTATGTTTGAGAGTGATCCCATGGGTAGCATGGAAGACCGCTGACTAGAGCGGGGGTGACACCAGCTTGGTAAGATTGAACATACTCCTCAGTGCGGAAGTCACAAGGAGCGCGGAAGTTCATGAGACCAGCGATGGATGTGGCCATAGATCCAATGTCTTCGGAGTGACGAGTGAGAGTTCCGCCGTATGGAAGAGTTCCACCCATAGCAGCCTTGTATGTTTGGAGGAAAGGACCCTTCAGGGCAGTGTGTGGGCCGACTTCCATAACATAGTCAAAAGGCTCTTGTCCGAAAACAGCTTGCTCAACGGCAGTTGAGAACAAGACAGGCTTGAGCATGTTATCCTTCCAGTAAACACTGGTCAATGCTCTGAGATCCATCTCATCCTCGATTGGGTCACCAGTCACGGAAGAAACCCACTTGCATCCCTCGAATGGAAGCTTGGGTTGGATGCGTTGAGCACGGAGAGACTCGACATATGGTGGGGAGACGGGGTTCATGTGTACAGAGTGGTAAGCCTTGTTGACTTTCAAAGCTCTGGCGAAGATTCCTCTGTCGTCGAGCATTTGCTTGGCTTCCTTCACAGCATCAACATCACCAGAAAGTGTGACACTCTCTGGAGCATTGCTGGCTGCGACGGAGATACGGCCAGCAAGTTGAGGTTGAGAGCAGAACTCGTCAGCATCTTCGTGAGAGAGACCAGCAGCCAACATAGTACCCTGCTTTCCAGTAGGGCCTTGAGCGAGCTTGGTGTGGAAACCACGGTAATAAGCAATCTTGATAGCCTCAGAAGCGTTAACCACACCAGCAGCATAGGCTGCACCGATTTCACCAGATGAGTGACCGACAACGGCACTGAATTTGTGGCCAACAGAGCGGAGAATGTCAACGAGCATGATTTGAACTGCTGTGCAGACTGGTTGAGAGAATTCAGCCTCGTCGATGCGCTTTCCCTTCTCTTTGTCGCAGATGACTTCCTCAAGAGTCCACTTTGGCCTGTCAGTCTCTGGGAGTGCGGCAAGAGCCGCATCCATGTTCTTCAGAGACTCCTTTGCCATGGTGGAGTTCATGAGAATCTCACGGCCCATGTTGGGCCATTGAGCACCTTGTCCAGTGAAGACACCGAAGATGCGGGGTGCCTTGGTTCGGTTGTCGCGACGAGTACCAATGTTGGAAGGAGGAGAGTTCTTGGTCTTTTGCAGAACCTTGCTCATGTTCTCAAGGAGGGCTTCTCGGGTTGCACCAGCGAAGGTAACCTTGAGAGCGAGCTCAGAACGACGGTTGGCAAGAGTCCATGCGAGATCGTTGAGGTTGATCGATTCATCTTGCTCAATGATATCGTAGTAGTTTTGAACCATCTTTGCCAAAGAGGATTCGTTGTTGGCAGAGAGGACGAGAGGAATTGCCATTGGAGCTTGAGCTGGAAGAATCATCTTGCGAGAGACAGTGTGTGGTGATGGCTCGTAAGATTCAACGATAGCGTGGGAGTTGGTTCCACCTTTGAGGACGTTAGTATGCTAATTTTGCCAGAAGAGATATTGGGACTTACCGAAACCGAAGCAGTTGACACTGGCTCGTCTTGGTGCTCCAGGAAGTGGTGCGGGCCATGCTTGAGTCTCCTTGGCGAGTGCGAGGTGGTCGAGGAGAGGGAGGATCTTGGGGTTGTAGCTCTTGAAGAGCAGGTTACCAGGGATGGTAGCTCTCTTAATAGCTTGAGCAACCTTGATCAGACCAGCAAGACCAGCAGTACCCTCGGTGTGACCGACGGAGGTCTTGACTGATCCAACAATCAATCTCTCACCCTCTCGCTGAACATCCTCGAAGAAGAATGCATCGCGGATACCGTTGGCTTCAATTGGGTCACCGGCAGGGGTTCCAGTGCCGTGAGCTTCGAAGTATTGGGGTCTGTCAATAGCGGAGTAGGAGTCCAGACCAGCCTTTTGGTACACTTGTTTGATAAGGGTGGTCTGAGCATCGCCACTTGGCAATGTTATACCTTTGGTGCGACCATCGGAGTTGACACCGGTCTCACGGATGATGCAGGTGATGTCGTCACCGTCAGCGATAGCATCCGAGAGCTTCTTCAAGATGACGGCGGCAAAACCTTCACCACGAGCATATCCGTTCGCACCAGCATCCCACATGCGAGATCGTCCTTCGGCAGACAACATGTGAAGGTTGGCCTCGGAAGCCATGAACTCAGGGTTCAGGATCAAGTTGGCACCACCTGCAATAGCCATTCGAGATTCTCCATTACGAAGCGATTGAACGCAGTGGTGAACAGCGACCAATGAGGATGAGCAGGCAGTGTTGATGGTCTCAGAAGGTCCCTTCAAATCGAAGAAGTAGGAGACACGGTTGGACAGGATAGATGAGTTGGTACCGGTAGCGAAGTAGGTGGGCAAGTTTTCAGGACCACGGAGAAGCATTTCAGAGTAATCAGCAGTCATTGTACCAACGTACACAGCAGTGTCGGTACCCTGCATGTGCTCCATGGAGAAACCACCAGCTTCCATAGCCTCGTAGACAGTCTCGAGAAGGATACGGTGCTGGGGATCAACGGCTTCAGCCTCACGAGGGTTGATACCGAAGAAAGAAGCATCCCAGGTCTTGACATCCTCCTGGAGAAGGTAGGCATTCTTGACGTTGAGAGCACCAGAGCGCTCGCCATTTGTGTGGTGGAACCCATCAGTGCTCCAGCGGTCGATATCCCTCAAAGCATCACGTCTCTCGATGAGCATGTCCCAGAGCTTGGACGGGCTGCTGGAGCCGCCTGGGAAGCGACATCCTGTGCCAACGACGGCAATGGGCTCATTGATGTAAGAATCGTATCTGTTGGCAGAAGCCTCGGTGGCTGCTGCGGTCTTGCGGGAAACCATGTCGACTGTAGGGTTGAGTGAAATAAGGTAGATGTTGTCGATGTCAAATTAGCGAGAGCGAGGAGGTAAGCGAGGAAGGAAGAATCCAAAAGATTGAGAATTCTTGACTTAGTCGAGTCGAAAGGTTGAAGGAGGAAGAATCGAGTTCAAGGATCTTCAAAGTTCGGGGCAATGAAGATTGATTGTCGTCGAAGAGAAGGATGATAGGAGGAAGGTCGAGTCAAAAAGTTCTTAGAGTCGGGATTTCTAAAAACGAGTTGAGACGAAGATGTCTTGAGGAAGATGTCGAGTCGAATAGTCTCAAAGTCGGGATACTTGAGATGGTTTCGAGTCGAGATACTCAAGAATGAAGAGAGATGATGGTGGTGGTGGTGCTGAGAGTCGATCCCAAGCGTGATATACCAGTCTGATATGTGAAAGTCGGATAGCCACAAACGTGTGCGGGAGCAAGGATAGAGCGGCTGGCTCCCATCAGCCGGAGCCCCCATCACGAGAAAACCCCACTCGGGCGAGTTCCGATTTAGCAAAGTGGCCGTCAGTGTCGGGGTTTCGAGGGGCACAGCTATTGTAAGCTATACCATCGGTTTGTTTCGTGACAAGGAGCTTGACATAGGTTGATGACAAGTTGGTCTGAACTTTGATCTGAGCTGATCTTGTCCTGCAGCTCACGTGTGTGGCGCTGTAGTCTTGTTAGTAGTGTAAGGATTCCTCCCGAATCGGGTCGACTCAGCCCCATTTGGGAAACCCCCCGACCTCACGTGACAGCTCCGAATGACATGACCGGCGCCGAAATGCAGCCAATTACTATTAAGTTACATGTTCCTACCATCCTGGGATAGATGAGAAAAGAAAGGGTTCTCGCTTCTCATCCGTGCTTCTGGAAATTGTCAATTCAGCCATCCATCTGCACGTGCTAGAAGTCGTATCTCAAGCCGGAATACCAGATCAACACTTCGAGTGCCTTTCACCATGGGCGCCAATATGTTCAAGTTTTTCAAGTCTGGGTTCTTCGACTTCGAATTCCTCAGAGTTCTTGGATCAACTCCTTTCCAAGGCGCTGAAATCGCAGAATGCCTCGATGCAAGAACGAAATTGAAGGATGATGATCCAGAGGCGTGGTACAGGACATGGGATGCTTGGGGCGATCAAGCATCAAAGCTGGGAGAAGAGGCACTTGCCACCGGGGACAGAGTTTCTGCGAGATGGGCTTTCTTCAGAGCATCGAACTATTACCGTTCCAGCGAATTCTTCTTGCACATCAACAACGAAGATCCTCGCCTCCTGCATTCGATCCAAAAGAGCGCATACGCTCACGACAGAGCATGCGCGCTTCTCGACTCCGAAGTTATCTCATTCAACATCCCATACGATAATGGTCTCGAGCTTCCAGCACGATTGTACATGCCAGCACCCGATGCTCGTGTGCCTGGACGCGTGCCTATAATCTTGCAAACTGGTGGACTGGACTCTACCGCTGAAGAGCTGTACTTCTACGGTGCTTCAGGAGCGACTCCTCGAGGATACGCAGTTTTGAGCTTCGACGGTCCAGGTCAGGGACTGTCCATCCGACGAGACAAGACTACTCTTCGCCCAGATTGGGAGTACGTGACGAGCCGAGTTCTTAACTACCTCTTCGATGTGTTCGAGCCAAAATACGAGCGATTGGGGCTTGACTTGGACCGTATTGCAGTGCTTGGAGCAAGTTTGGGAGGATACTTCGCTCTCCGTGCAGCTTGCGATCTTCGAATCAAGGCAGCCATCTCCTGCGATGGCTTTTACAACATGTTCGATATTGTCAGCAGCCGAATGCCACAATTCTTCATTAATGGATGGTTGAGCGGCTCGATCAGCGACGGCTGGTTCAACAGCGTCTGCCGATTCCTCGCCAAGTACAACTTCCAGCTCAAATGGGAATTTGCGCAGAACGAATGGTGCTACGGAGTCAAGAACCCGGCCGAGATGATGCGATTCATGCAGACCATGACTCTGAAATCTCAGACGGGAGCTGAGTACTTGGACAGAGTTCGATGCCCAGTCTTTGTAACTGGTGCCGAGCAAGCCATCTACTTCGAGCCTGAGATGAATGCACGGAAGATCATGACAAAGCTCGGCCACCTGGATGAGGCTGACAAGACGCTGTTCGTTGGTGACGGAGCCGCTCACGGCGGTCTGCAGGCCAAGATTGGATGCCTGAGCATCATGAACCAGAAGCAGTTCGAGTTCTTGGACCGACAATTCGGAATTGAGCGATCAGTGCCTTGCAAGCACATCTGATGGAATAATTGGGCGGCATGGTATCGCAGAGTGGAGTGAAAAGATGAGATGATGGAGTTGAGAGAAGATTGAAGGAACGCGCTGACAACGCGCCGAATGTTTTGGATGTTGCCGTCTATCGCTTATCTTAGTGCGGCTATTTTTGGATGCATATAATTACACTTATTCTACATGTAACGAGTCTCTTTTGGAGTTGGCAGATTGGTTAGGAGGTGTTCATAGTATAGTCAATATGAGATTTAAAAGTTAAAACGGTTCTTCAAAAATCTGAGATATTTTGCTGCTAAAAGTTGTGATTTGATGCTAAACTTTGAGAGGCAGCTGTTCCCCGGAATGCTGACAAAGGCTAATCGCGATTGAGCTCAAATGCTAAGATTGATTGATCATTCTGTCCTGTGTCCTAGAAACATGTCAAACTTTCTGTATCATCTGCTGTATGAACTTCGACGTTTGCAGGCTATGACGCATGTTGTTGGTGAATTCTTGTCCCTCTCTCAAGAACTTAGGAACTCATCCAAAATTATGTAATCAAGATGCACCTAGCACCGCGCCAGTCGCTACTTGCATCATCACTCCTCCTCACCAGCCACCCCCGAGTCTAAACCTGAACAAACGACCCGAGTCGGCCTGCCGCAGGTACAGCACATGGCGATCGAAGGAACAGGGGAAAACACCCGAAACCAGAGCCATGGAACAGTAACCATGCAAGGAAGGAAGATAGTTTCTATTTAGTCTCTTCGGGGTCAGGTGTGGCGCCATTTGCGGTGCTTGTTGCAACGCGCCGATGGACAGTGTGCCCGGCTTCTTTGTTCTAGCTTCGATCGTCAATGTTTCAGGATCTCAGAGTGGCTAAGCTGCATGTGAAAGAGCATCTCGAGCTTCTGATTGAGTGCTTTGTAAATGGGTTTGAGAAGGAAGAGCATGCTGCTGACATCACGTGGGATTTCTATTAATATTCGCTTGGAACGTACGATTTGTGCATATTTCATTCATACTGCTTGACTTGGGAAGTCCTGAATGACAAGATGTTCAATCATTTTAGCTCATGGCATTGTTGTTAGTAAAGAGCTACAATTGCTTGCGAAAAGTGAAGCTACATTCTTCACAACTCCTCCGAATCACAAAGCTCACGATGCTATAGAATTTTTTGATGGGAGTTCTAAAGAAGCTCACCATGTAGCTGAAGAGATCCTCAACGATTGATCCACATGTTTGCTACCTCTTGTCTGCGCTCGCACATTCTCTCCCTCTTCATCAACAACCCTCCTAGTCAGACGTTGTAAGATCTGGCAAGAAAAACTCCACTTGATATCTCTCACCTACGAATGGCGTTGAACCAGTCTTGAACGCCGTACACAAAATGGTAGAAGTTCCAGGTCGCATCGGAAGTGTCTGGTTCAACATCGGCAAATCAAGATCTCCCCCCGTGAAATACCCAAATGTCATGATCGATACAGTGCGACTTGGGTGGCTAGTAGTCAGGAATTCTAGGTCATATGAAAGGTTTGCACTCAGTCGAAAGGATTCGAAGCAGTCGCTCGCGATCCTGGGCGCGATACCTTGATATGGCCCGTCAGCCAATCGCTTTGCACGGCAGATCTCCGTCGCCTTCCGAAAATCATCTTTCATTGAGACTTCCAAAAACAATGCAGCACCAGACCAGGCGATAGCTAACGTATCGAGAAAGGTATTGAAGGCTTGCCAATGTAGGCTACTCGAGTTCATGACTGCATTTTGCTTCAACAGAGGTAGAACTATGGTGCCGCGCTTCTCTTGGGGGTCTGGGTGTGGCTGGATATCGGGGACATGAGGTGGATCGAGAGGACAAGCTTGTAAGAAGGTTTTGATGGCTTGGAGCACGATCGGCTCCGCTGCCGGCCGTTGACCTGCCGGCATCGCAAGATATTGGGAAAGATTCAGGGTCGCCATGAGTGGATCCGGAAGCACATATTTTGGGAAGCAAGGTGCTGCGATGGTTCTTATATCTCCAGTTCAAACAAATTTCATGGTCGCAAGTCTTTATCTTTTGGCACACCAAAAACACAATGCCCCAGACATGGGCTACAAGAACAAAGTTGGATTCTTTGTATTTGCATTAGCTTCCATTGTCTACCAGTCACCCTCAGCTGTTGATGCCCAAACTGACAAACACAGCAATTCCATGGATTTTGCAAGCATTGTGACCATGCTCATCCTCATCTGGTCTTCTAGCCACCAATTAGTACAGAAATCATGACCAAGTATAGTCCGTGACAACTGGGCCCGAACTATATCTTCAAAGACCCTCAGCCAACATAAAACAAATGTTAGAATGTCAAATTATATACTGACTGGTAGTTCTTCTTTAGCACGTATTTAATCTGAGGTTACCTACCGATTTACATAGAAGGTCAGTGAACGTGGAAGACATGAAGTTTATAAATTCTTACCTTTCTGCGACACCGATATCGAAGAAGACTCGAACAATATCCTATGGATCTTTTTCGGAAGGATTTCTGATCTAAACATAAGGATGAAGAATGTTATCAACCAGGAGCGGCAGCTTCATGAGCACGTGATGTCATGTAAGAGTCTCTCAGCAGCACTCATTAAAACCTAAATTCTTCGATAATTAACCTCGGTACATCTAGATCTAGACCAAACACTTGACCCTAGAGCTCACAACACATGAGCTTCTTGTGGTTCAAATGTCCATGTTGGTGTTGGACAGGGGGCACATATTCCCGCTAGCGTCAACACCGGCTATTAATAAAGCTTCTGACGGCAACTTTCCAACATCAATCGATCGATCTTGACGATTTCATTCTTATTCAATGAAAGAATAACTGTCTACGAGATGGTGTTCCCCGCTTCGTCGAATTACCGTCAGAATTGCAAGACGAAGTCGTGCGGAACTGCACCCCGAGCGATCAGCTGGCATTCGGTAAACCTCATATTCCCATCCTCATATACCTGCTGATACTAAAAAGCCCGTACGTCCAAGGACTGTCACCAGCAAACTATTCCGCTGCTTTATCACCAAGTTGACTGCAGTGTGCACAATCGGCCAGGTCTTTTTCCGGGTCGACACTGCAAACTGGTCTCCGCCGACAATCCACTCCTGGATGACAATGATTTGCGACTCGCATGTGAGCATAGACAGCAGCTGTTTCTTGCTGCACTCAATTCAAACGACACATATGGGCAGTACGTGGTGCGATTTTCCTGGACGCTTTTCTCACGCCTTGATTGTGATGACAACCAAGTCAGCGAGGAACCTACCTGGTCCGCGTTCAGCTACTTCCTAATGTGAAATTTCTGGACTTTGCTTCTCTTGCATTCAAACGGCAATGTCTTGCTCCGCCATCTCTGTTTCCTTGTGTCACGCACCTTCGCCTCTTGGGTCAAATGACTTTCGCGGTCGTGCGAGCTTTCACAGACTTCACCGATCCTGCTCAGCTCATTTCACTGGAATTCGATAATCTGCAGGACTTCGGACAATTGAATGAAAACGAAAAATTACCGGCACTCGCCGACTTAGCTAAAATCAGAGAATCGAAAGACAAGGAAGGGAATTCGATAGTACGTCATCCAGGGGTGATGAGGGGACACCTTCAACATCTTGAAGGGAAATGCTCGAACCTGCGTTCTTTATGTCTCCGCAGCGTTGGAAATGACCGTCAACTAGATTCTCGATGGTCACCTACCATAGACGCAGCACGCTACAAAGAGTGGGCAACATTTATCATCTCCGTCAGTCCCACGCTGGAAAACCTTGTCATTGAGCAAGGAGTAGAAGTTGACGATACAGATGTTCTGCATTGCCGGCCTCAGCCAGTACAAGTGGGCCGACCCATGGACTCAGGTTCCTTGAACACCTTTTGCCTGTTCTGCAACAAGGGAATTGGCCTTCTCTGAGGCGGTTGAGCATTCTAGGGCTTGGGTCTCGGCACCGAGGACTTGTGCGAGACGATTTGCCAGAAGATCGTGCCGTGGCTCCTTACGTGAAGAGAGAACTCTCAGCAGCTTTGGGGTCTCGTGGAGCCTCGTTGAACGTTCAGGAGACGGCCACGAAAGCCTTCTTCTATCGCGAGAATGGGCCTTACTATAAATCTTAACTTCGGAGTCACACATTGTTGCATACAGTATATTCGTGTACAGAATGATAATGATGAATTTGGATCAAGCAAAACGCTGCTATCGTCACAATCGACACTCTGCGGCGGCCTTGGACTCACTGCCCTTTCCACACAACATTCCCAAGAGAAAGTTATTGCACTTTTGGTCTACACTCGCTCAGTTACTACCTGTTGATTTTACCACGTTAGCGCGTCTGTTGGCATGGAAATATTTGCTCTTACCAGGCCAGCTATTCCAAGTGGTTTTGACAGGTTTCAGGGCATCTTGAGGCCAGACATCCGCATTGCAAGTGCTTGGCCCTTGGTTCTCGCCGGTGTAACGAATTCCAGCGCATTTGTCCAGAGAGTTGAAATAATTATAAATCTGAATGCTGTTTAGTCCCTGCCAGTTCCAAGTCCATATTCCATCACTTACTGCCATCCATGCATAGTTATCAGCGTTCAGCGCGCGGAATGTTTTTGTGTTCGGTGTTTGTGCTGAGCTTTGCTTATCAACATCGACAGCAAAGGTGATGACCTCGAACCATCCTCGTTTATCTTTTGGCTCATCATTCAGATTGGTGTTCAGTGTCCAAGGCAAGCTGTTAGATTGTTAGCTATTTATCGCAACGTCCATTCCTTGCAAACTCACTGCGTGAGCTCGTGCAGCAGACATCTTGCTGTTGAGTCCAACTTATCTAGACTGAAGCTGCTCTCTTCCGTTTGAAATTCCATTCTCCCAAGCTGATTTATGTCAAAGAAGGCAGGGCAAAAATGAAGCATCTGTGCGTTTTGAGGCAAGCCTGCAGCCTCCACCACTATACTAGCTGGGATAACCATTGCTGATTACAGCGTTAGTTGCTTTCCTGTGCGCAGCGTAAAGGCCAATCTCGAAGGTCAGGGGGACACTGTTAAAGCGACAATGACGAGAACTGTTGGTATTAATCCCAAAATTCCTTGAAAAAAGCCGACAAGAGCCGACAAGAGCCCGAGGGAGTGTGCTGTAGGGATTCATCTCCCTTCTGCCTTGGAGAATGCAACTACATGAGATACCACCGTTGGACTCGTTGGGGTTTCACTTATAGTTGGATGATGTATGTATGCTCGTCTATTTCCTTTCTTTCTATCATGGTTTTGGACCAAAAAAGACTACAGCCTCGCTTGATCTGGCATGTAACGTTATAATTCCAACCATTTCTTCAGACATATCAACCAAATTCACTTTCTTCACTTGAATCTCTCCTCGTTAAATCACAGTTTTTCATAGCAACTGTCTCATGATGAAGTCTTCAAAAGCGCTTTTATCGACTTCACTGTTCGCCGGTCTTTTCTGGCACATGAATTACTGCGACGGTTTCCAGGCCAGGGAAACATCACATCCAAGAGTAAGCAAAGTCCAATTCTCTCATAAAGGAGCAGTGAAGAATGTGTGCTGATTCTGCGGAACCCAGATCCAAGGCCGTACGTCTCCATCCGTAACACCTATCACAGTTGCTCCTCAGACTGTAAAGGCCAATGGATCGTTCTCCACTGTATATCTTTCGTACTCAGTCGTCACAGTCAGTCATGATCCGTTTAGCTGAAACAGATGCATACTCAAAAGGAATATAGCAAAATTCGGCTGCCACAGAAGTAATCGATGGGACAACTACTATTTTACCCCTGTGGTATTGTGATCCAAATCTCAGTGCTCCTGCCTGCGAAGATTGCCCATCAACCACCGCCTCGGCTGACTCTTCTTGTCCCACTGACTTCAACATGATACTACTCCTTCCGGCTGTCGCTGTTGTTGGAGCGTTCATCCCCCCTCCAGACGGTCTTCCAACAATTACGATTGGATCCGACGGGGTTGCTACGCCTGAAACGACACCGTCACCAACTGAAATCTCACCGAGTATGCTTCCGTCGGATACCTCTGAACCTCTGATAACTATAGTTCCGCCCTGCACAGTACCACCTATGAAAGCTTCCAATGTAGCTTTGTCCATCATTCCAACGCCTTCAGTCTGGATACCACCGACGGGGTCATATGCACCTGCTCCGACTGATGCACTTCCTGTCCTCCCGGTTACTGTCAATGAAGCAGCACCTACAGCATGGCTTGGATGTGGTGCGGGGGTGGCAAACCCATACAGCCCGGGAGGTTTTTATCAATTCAGCGACTCTTTCAGTCGAAACGACGGCCTCTACGCCATAGATGCCTTCTGCAACGAGCAAATAGCAGCTAACTTACTCATTAGTCCTTCAGGAGAGACAGTTTCCGGCATGCCCAAGCCTGCTATCTCAGCATTCTCAAAGACATACTTAACACCTGGTGGAAGTGGGAAAGTCATAGTGGTGATCGACAGCGATGTTGATAACAAGAATACTGCAGGACAAACCTGCCCCGATAAATGGACTTATTCTTTTGCGCAATATGCTCAATGCAGGCAGTACTTTGGACAAGTAGGTTCAACCTCCACAGTGAACATAATTCTCACGTGTTGCAGACAATCGACTACTGTGATACTGGCACAACACTTGCAAACTCCGATATCACTTGGTAAGCTTCTCTGATGCTTCAAATCATCGATTCTGAATGTCTGTAAAGAGTTATTCGTACTGATTGTAACCCAGGAAACATGGAGGGACATTCTTCTCGCATTGCATTTTCTTTTCGGTGCTGAAAGCCCCTGCAGGGCAAGACTAGGAGCTCTCATCTATCTATTTCTCGTAATAACAAACTGCAAAACTCTCACTTTCCCTGTAAGGTAATCAGTATCCTCAGTCACAAAACCGAGTTCCGCAAAAGTTTTCAACTGCGCATCACTTTTCCATTTCGTCCCCGTTTCCTCCCCAACGATCTTCCACATCTCAGCCCAGGATTCTAGATCTTGTTGCATTTCCCATTGCGTATCGTCCTCTTTTATCTTCTTGGCTCCTTCACTAGTTCCGATCTGAAGACCAACGACCAAAGTTCCAGATTTGGACAAAGCGTTCAATTGCTTAGCTGCCACTATTTGAGTTTTCCAATCCCATTGATGCAAAACATGCGTGACAGAGATGATGTCGATTTTCCCCACCAACGCACGCAACTCTTCATTCGGATTCAGGATATCTGTGTCAATAAAACGAGCCTCAAATTTCTTCTTGTCTTGGAAAAACTCATATCCCAAGTCCCAGTGGTTGACAATATCGACGCCATGAAGTCTATCGGAGGAGACACCATCAAAGACCAGTTTTTTGAGATCTTGGCTAAGGTAGCAACCCACGTCCAGAAATGAGTCTCCGCTTTGAAGTCGAGAAATGATCGTGGAGTAAGCGGGAGATTTTGAGATCGTGGGTTGGAGAAATGTTCCTAGACCGGTGCATGGGTATGGACGTATATCCCAGGCTTTGTCACGCTGGTTGGTGGTGTCAGTGAAGGTGTTTCCAATAGAAGTGTGAATTTGAGGTCTTGGAAGTTCCTTTCATTTCAAACACTTACCACTTCGTGTATATGTTGCAAAACATCGGCAGAAGGTATCTTACTGTACTCTTCCAGCAGACGGCGAATCCGAATTTCGAATTAGCAATACATTTTGGATCGAGTTCATTTTTCTTCACATCTGATGCTACTCTTTTTTCAAGGGATGAAATATACCAGGGAAAGTCTTTGCTCGGTGCTACTTCTTTCCAGGGATCTGAAGATGACATTCTGAAGGATGACAGAGCAGGATATAATAGAGTGAGAAGCTACGAGGAGTCAATGTATGTTGAGAGATGCTACATACTTTACGAGCATTCTCATGCCGGTTTGTTGGTTTCTATTTACCCAGTCGGCACATCTGTTCCAACAGCTGAACAGTGTCTCAACAATTGCCTGAAGGCTAAATCTATGACCAGTATACTTAACGACAAGGTAAACTGTTCGAATTTATGGAACTGATCATAAGGAGCATGCAGGTGGATCTGTTTATCATACACGTGACCATTCATCTGAATCTGTCTGTATAGCAGTATCACTGTCCTAGCTCCAGCAAAAGCTAATACATATACTAAAGAGCCTTCAAATCAAGACTTGAATAAGGAGAAGAGTCCAAAGTGAGAGAGTTGAGATCAGTCACATGATTCTTTGAGTGGAGCTCGATCCAATCGGGTTTCGCGCCGGACGCCAATAATTTCTTCAATCGCAACCTCCATTCACGTCCAGTCGACAACACCACTTTCCACTTAACAAAGACATACGGAGTATCTTCCAAAATCTTCAAAAATGGCCAACCTCTCAACTCTCCCCGACGAAATCCTCCTCCAAATCCTCACCTACCTAACCCCCGCACCCCTCACCCTCTCCTCAAAACCCCACGCCTACTGGCCCGCCTACCTCTCAAAACACCGCGAATCCACCCTCCCCCAAACCAAAGACATCGCTTCTCTCGCCCACACTTCTTCGCACCTATACTCGATCCTCTACGCCTCCCTCCATTCAACCCTGCATCTCAGTAACGCGTCCTCCCCCGCCAAACTTTGGGACAGCATAACCCTCAACGGACGTCTCGGCCTCTCCATCACCAGCGCCCACATCTCTTCCATCTCCCCCGAAAACTGCGTATTCATCTTCTTCTTGCCGAATATCCGATCCATCTACCTAAGCGGATGGTCAGACTGGGAGACTTTTGATCCAGAAGATGATTCGCTCAATGGAGATTCGCCGATCACGCATCTATATCTGAGTAACTGCGGCGCATTCGAGGCGCCGTTGAAACAGGTTCTTAGCTGGCCGAGGGAATTGAAGGAGCTTTGGTTTGAGGCGTCGCAAGGGGAGTGGGAGGGGCATCTAGAGGGCGAGGAAGCGGTGGGTTTTACGTGCTCTGCTATCTCGCGGGCATTGGAGCCGCTTGCGGCGAGTTTGGAGAAATTGGTGTTTACGAGGGTGGATCCGGGGCATGAGGGGTTGTTTATCACTGATGGGATTGATTTGCGGAAGTTTGAGAAGTTGAGGGAACTGAAGACTTTTGAGATGTTGTTGGTCGGGTATGATTCGCAGCATGGTATGTGGAAGAACTTACCGAGCGGGTTGGAGAGCTTGGAGGTCTGGTATGATGATCCGGGATATTCGGAATTTTTGACTGGGGGGTTGCCGGAGTGGTTGCTGGGGATTTTGAGGAGGAAGAAAGAGCGTTTTCCGAAGTTAGGGAGGGTAAGGGGTTGTGTCGCAAGAGTGGTGGGGTGAAGAACAGGATGAGGATATAGGTCTCAGTACAGATGGAAGCGAGATACGACTCCCTAAGGACTTGAGACGTGCGTTCAAGGATGCGAGAGTTAGTTATAGCGTGCATCTGAATGAGGAGAGATGGTTCAAGGAAGTTGTTGAAGGTGGTTCAACGTTCGATGAGGATTGGGATGAAAAGGAAATCGACAATCCCTACCATTCGGGCTAAGAGTACGGTAGCACATTGTATTGAAGGTTCATCCATTGTATCAATGCTCTAATCTCTTCTCACTGAAGATTAAGAGGTTTATGAGTGACTTCGAACTTCCTCGTAGAATCAATAGCCGCAGGCGCATGCTCTAATCTCTCACTAAACCTTGATAGGTTTATGAGTGACATTGAACCTCCCAGTAGAACCAACAGCCGCAGGCGCATTCTCAGCCGACGTCGAACTCGGCGCCAAGAAAGTCAAACTAGCAACATAGCATTGACACTGCCCATTCACGACCGTAGCCACAGGTTGCGTATTCTTGTAGGTAAATGAACCCGAGTATACTGGGCTGCAACTTGATCAGTTTTTGGCAAGAAAATAGATAGCGAGGACTGACTTGCTGCACCAAGCTGTGCTTGTGGTGTTTGCAGTCATGATGATACTCGTGAAGGTGAGAGGACCGAAGTTCCACGTTGCTGCTCCTTGAAGTTCGATTACGAAGAGGAACTATGAGGTCGTTAATGCCAAGCTTCAATGTGAGCTCGGACAGGGTTACCTGAGTAAGAATTGCAGCATTGTTTGCTGTTGCATGTATTTTAGCAAGGTATAACTCCAAAGATAGGTATACTCACGAAAGTTCTTGAAAGCAACGTTTATGGTAGCTGCTGAAGGTGACTCTCCTGCAGTTGTACCACTCGCACCTGGCTCGATGATCTGGGTTTCTGTCCAAGTTCCTGATGGCATGTGGAATTGGAAGTCCGTGGTTATGGAATCGCCGACAGTGACTTGGGAAAATATATCAGTGGCGTACAATAACATACATAGAGACAAATTACCAGGGTATGTTTGATATTCCACGTAATCACCTCTGTAGTGTTCTAATCAGTTCGTGTTCATAAACGTGATTGGAGAAAACTTTACGCGGCATCATCTGGCCCGTACCAAGTGGAGACATCCCATCTGAGGTTCTTCTGAGAAGGATACCAGTCGTCTACCACATTTTGATAGACGAAACTATCGTCTGTGGGTTGCATCCCCGGCCATAAGGCATGGTAAGATGAATCGCCTGAGGCCTCGACTGGAAATGGAGGTACAATCATGGTGCTTACAAACTTTCGAACAACGCGGTTAGTATTGGAAAAGACAGAAATTAAATAATAGAAGGGGAGATCAACTCTCGTGATTTGGGCTCCAGGTTGGAAGAAGATAGATTGGCTATAAGTGCTGCCTGCGAACAGGGCTAAAACGATAACAGAGAGAGCTAAAAGCATCCTCATGTTTGATTTGGGGATGAAGGGAAGGAATCAGAATATTTTTGACTTCAGCAAAGTCACGGTTCGTAGAGTCATGGGGGGAAGTATTGTAGTTTTATTGTCTATCTAAAAGGAAGCAAATCTAGCCCTGAGAATCTGCTAATGGGGCCATATGCCATCAACTAATGTATCACGTGTACGGCCGGTTGTCTACTGCCCATTTCTGTGGGAAATCTCGATTCACTTGAAAGATTCTCATGAAAAGTCATGCCATGTGAGCAGATCGCGTCCGTAGAAATTTCGATAAGGCGCAGCTTAGCAAGTTCTTTGAAGATGTTTGTCAGCCTATTCTCGCATTCATTTGGGCAAGTAGTACATGTGAGGAAGGAGCTAAGTGGGAATGTAAACGATATTATAGGTGCGTAGGAACGATCGTCAGCACTCAGTACATGAAGATGTTGTTTGGTGTGCCACTTGACTTCCAAAAGCGCTCTGTGAGCAACCACAACTCGACCAATGGATAGCAGAAAACATGTTGGAACTGCTGCATTAGTAGATTTTCGAAGAAAAGTTCGTAGAATTGTTGCATTCCGAACTCGCTCAGTGATTGGGGCAATGGACAGAGGATTGAGGATGCAACGAGATTGGACAGTAAGCGCACGGGTAAATGCTGGACATGAGGACGGTGCCTTACGGATGCATGCAGAACAGGAATGATGAGACGGAAAAGGAAGCTCCAGACTCGTCAACGTATATGCCGGAATATTGACATCCTGCAGGCAGGTCTTGGCTTGGGGTCCGAGAACTGTCATTTGGAACAGTTTTCGAGACCGCAGCCTAGAAGGATTGTCCAACACTTGTTTGTCGCCTAGACTCGAATTGAGAAGACAACTGACCTGAAAAGAATCTTCTGGGAGATGGTTTAACACCAGAGGAGTGTATGCTCTTGGTTGTCGCTGTGAAATATGAAGAACTTCGCAGCTCCAAATGAAGAAGCTGGGTAGATGTTGTGTGGCGAATGCCCGATTTAGCAGACGGTCACCTGCCATTCAGGCGGATAATCCTTTTAAGTATTGATTTGCAAATCACATAAGTTGCTCGTTTTCCATTAGAGCAAAGAGAAGTTCCGACTCAGCCATTTGCGTTCTCCAGTCAATGGCAATCTCTGCAATCGCAGTGCAAAATCCATAGAACACCCATCTGGTGCATTGCACGCACGAATAAGGTCCAATCTCAAAAGCCGAAGGAAATTACTTCTCAAATAGTTCTCCTCTTGAGCTGTAACATGGGTCCATCCTTGGTGCCGAGATACGCATCCTCAATAACGAAGTGACTCTTGCTTCTGCTGCCCCACCCAAGCTCTGATGAGCCAGCCCCAAGCAAATTGTCTGGTGCTGGAGGTGCTTTCACATCAACCATAAACAGAGTTCTGGCCGTGGCAAGAAGCAACTCCTTCATAGCAAGATTCTTTCCCGCGCAATTGCCAACTCCCGCTGAAAATGGATAGAAGGCACGCTGGGCTCGAGTGACATCTTCTGTGGTAACGCCTGAAGCTTCATCGGCGATCCAACGCTCAGGTCGGTATACCCACGGGTCCCCGTATACCTCATCATGGTGCATCAGTGACCAGCCACTCGTCCCGACATTCACTCCTTGAGGTATTTGTTGGCCGTCGATGACAAGACCACCAGAGAGGACCTCGCGAGGAAGCTCTGATGGAAGTGGAGGGCACATTCGTAATGCTTCATCGATACAAGCAGATAGATAACGGCACGATGAAAGCTTCGGGCCACTTTTTATCTCGTCCAAATTGCCGAACGTTTCTCGAATCTCCTTCGTAAGTCGCCGGTAAGCTCGCGGATTGCGTGTGATGTAGAAGAAGAAAGCACAAAGTACAACAGCTGAGGTGTCAGTCCCTGCAATGATCAAGAGGCTGGCTTCTGAGAATAATTCGATTGGCGTATATGCGGGACCGCCAGTCTTCGGATCCTTGGCTTGGAAAAGGTAGTGAAACATGTCTGTTCGCACTTCCGCCCCTTCTGCTCGTTCCTTCTGTAGCTTTTGTTCTTGCTTTGTCCGCTGCATAACACTGTCCATTACAAACTGGCCGTATTGCTTTGATGCCGCGGGTTTGATACGATTGAGAACAAAGTCTAAACCTCTAGGCTTGAGCCAGACCCAGAGTTGCAAGATTGGAGATTTCGTGAACTGTTTATGTTTAGTTACAGATTCTCTTCAGCGCGACTGCAATTCGGGAGTGAAACTAACGGGGTATACGCCTTTAAAGAACATCGTTGTGGTGTGTGGGATGCTTTTCAAGGGATTTTCTTGCTTCTCTTTACTCTCGAAGGACCTCCCAAAACACAGATCTCCAAGTATGTCGAAAAAGAGCCAGTTTATCAGAGGAGATATATCCTTGGGCTCTGTCCAAACTTCTGGCTCGTTGTCCTCCACAAGCAGCTCGACCCAACGATCTACATGACTAATGATGAAGGTCTCCGCAGAGCGCAAAGCAGTCTCGGAAAACACGGCATTCAAGACTCGTCGTTTGTGCGCGTGAATAACTCTATCGACAGTGTTGAGGGTGTTTCTTGAGTGTTTGTTTCTAGGGAAGACCTCGTAGAATTTTCCTTTCTTGACGTTTGCTTTGGTGCCATATATGCTTTGGTATCCCGTTGGTGAATTCACCATGATCCCGTTTGGTTGAAAGCGAAAGACATCACCTCGTGCAATGTCAATAACTTTTCTGGGCGACATATAGTTCAATCTAGATATACATACCGTAGATTTGATGGCATTGCCAAATCCAGACATGCCGGTGTCCGGTGAGCGCATGGTAGAACGACGGAATGCCAGACACTTTGGCGAAGAAAGGGCCTGGATACTTTGCGAGAGGGCTGAAATAGACATTGTAGATGGCCGATCCAACGAACTATGGGAGACAGGTCAGTAAAGCCACAGCAGAATGGTGAGGAAATTGCCTACGTAGGTGATGATAGCGGAGAAACCAACGAGCAGCCAGTGGCATGCGATCTGGCGTACAAGGCCTTGAATATCCATCGACTCAGGTGCGACCTTTCGAATGTCACGAAAATTGTTGTTCTGTCAGGAGGAGATGACTGCAAAGTTTGAAAGTTATTTTCAGTCAAATAATGGTCAAGGAAGAGAAGTAGTCGTACGGCACAGTTATCATTGAACTCGAGCGTTTGCTTTCCAACAATGAAGTCAAGCAGGTGATGTCCAACGACCATATTGGGTGGATATTACAAAGTCCATTTAGCGGAGGACTATGATTCAAGGGGATGGCGACCCTGTTGTTGGAGGCTTGTTGTATGTCATAGATTTACGGAGTGAATGTGTCGGCGAGTTGAGGCCGAAACCCATGCCGACCCTGGCGCTATCACCCCTCCTCGTGGACGTGAAGGCAACCATTGAGGAGATTGCGGTGATGCCATTACTTGTAATCTAAAGATAGGAAATTGTTGCAATGAGGCGTGAAATATAAAAGAAAAGTTTGTCTTCCATGGAGGGATGTGCGGATAGGTATCTCTCAGAACGAGCCTTCAAAGTTAGTGAATACTCGCTAAACCTTCGGGGGACGAGCTACAGTACCGATTTGGGTTGGTCTCTAGACTTCCCGAGCCGTCCTCTTTTCGTCGCGTCCCTTGTCAACGCAATCAACAACAATACACCTCCAGCAATGCCTCCACTACGACACGATTCCATAACCAAAGGGTCCCTCAAAAGAAAGTGCAGAGAGTACAAATCTGCGACCACGCAGAGAACAAAGCTCAGACTCAATGAGGATGTACACACAGCAGACGGTAAAGATGGGCAACCTTCGAGTCGACCTGCACTGTTACCTGCCCACGAAGCGTGTTTGAGCTGCAAAGAGACTGGCACTGAAGTATACTTTCCCAAAGCCGAACTGGAATCTTGCTGACTCTGTGCTCAGTGTATCGCTTCTCCTGGGCGACCTTGTGCGGCATGTTTTCTCAAGGTAGGAGAGGGTACCCCCTGTTTACGGAACAGTATCCATGATATCTTTGCCAGTGGAATTCCTGGTACGTCAATTCCAAATCTTGTTTGGTCATGGCATGGCTAATGAGAGCTGCCAAACATGCCAGGGCTAGGTTCTGAAGAATGGCTCCTCCCAACGACTGGTGGTGTCCCACTCCAGATCCGAATGAAATACTTAGACGATGCACGACGAATTCGAGACCTTGACGACTTCACCTCCGAGCACGACAGTATTGTGAATCGGAAAGACGCGATAGCCGCTTTTGTTGAACAATTTCAAAACATTGACGAACGGTGGCATAATTCTTTGGATCCCACAACGGTGGACATAATTAAAGCCTGCGTTACTATACAATGCAGCATACTGGAGGATGATGGGAGAACTTGGTGTCTGCTGGCCGACTCTAATACTGTCATTGCTACTGCACTTTGGACTCTTGCTATGGCAAGACAAATCACTGAAGTAGAAGGCACCGTCACAACGGTCTCGGTGAGAAAATTCTGCGAAAACAAGTCCTTGGAACCAGATATTGAGGAGTGGGATGGCCTTGTGCTCGAAATATCACGAGCCGAGACTGAAGCTGGGCAAACCAAACCCAAAGAGAGCAAATTGCCAGCTTTAGTGGCAGAAATCCATCGCATCACCCTAAAGATGTTTCTCCAACGCCGCCTACAAGACTTGCCCGTCATACTCTGCGTTCTATGCCTTATGAGATTGATCTTGACTTGTTTCCACGGTGCCTGTTTCTACCACCCCTTGGTCAAGAATTGGGACAAGAGCGCGTATGAAGAAGCGCTGGGAGAAGAAAATGCTATCTCGGTATCTTATTTCGAAATCTTGCATGTGGCATGGATAGAAAGTGGTACGTTCCCAGATCCACAGGTTTTCTAGTCTACAAAGAAACTAACGTTCAGGTCAGGGTTCGAGCATCATTGTAATACTGAACCCCTTGCCAGCCGACTTGAAGCTTTCGTTTTTGCTGATTTATTCTTCTTAAAAGAGGACTCCGACTGACGTAGTCTATCATCTGAGAAGTACCTTCCTAGCTGGGATTTGAGCACTGCAATTCGCTCCACAGAGCAGATTCTTATATTGTCAAATCAAGAAGCAAGCTTCTTCGCTCGGGGCTTGCAATCTGAGAGGAAAGAGCGACCCATAGCACTCCACTTGCAAATGGTATTAGCATCCAGAGGGCGACTTGCAGCCACAGGGAACACAGCATACAAATTTATAGGTAGGCAGCCAGTCATCTGTACGAACGAGCCGTGCGAATGGGCGCGTGGATTCGCAAATTCCGAGGGCATCCACTTGAGTCGAGCACTGTTACGAGATCCGACTTAGCGGGCTTGCTGTGTGTAACGGCAACTTCCTTTTTTGAGAGAGTTCTTATCCTCAAAGCTAAGATTGCGATCACGGCCCTTTTCTCTTTTTGATTCCGCTTTCACACACAAAAATCATACAATTTTTCGAGCTGTTTCGATTCTTGAGTTGCATTCCAGAACCCAAGCAAGGATGGAGCCACGTAGCCTCCTCATTTCGACTCTTTGTCAGCACTCTATTTTACTTGGACTTCTTATCCTGTTCGCAGGCGCGTTTTTCGTACGAGTTATTTGGTCCTATCGCCGCTTGCAAGCCTTCAAAGGTCCGTTCTGGGCAAGCATCAGTCCGATATGGCTTGCTATGCATACGATGTCTGGTAAACTTCATTTACGTCTAGGAGAGGTGAATAGGCAGTACGGTAAGCATCCAGTTTCCTTTGCAAATGAATTCATATTGTTTGGAGAGATCAGTGTAGTCTTAACATCATCCCATTCTAGGTTCTTTGGCTAGAATCGCTCCCAACTTTCTCCTTACAAATGATCCGTTTTTTCTGCGACGCATGAGTTCAGTTCGATCCCCATACACCAAGGGCAAATCGTATGATGGCATGAAGTTGGATCCTGATGCTCAGAATACATTATCAGAGAAGGACGAGCAGAAGCACACGGCAATGCGTGCCAAGGTCGCCAATGGTGTACGTGCAGCATATGCAGCTTTGAGTGCTCGTGCTAATTCGTACTGCAGTATGCCGGCAAAGACAATATGTCTCTGGAATCCTCCATCGATGTTCATGTCATGGATATGGTGCACCTCATCGAGAACCATTTCCTTTCGATCCACGGAGCGTACCGTCCTATGGACCTAGCTCGCATTGCACAATACTTCACCGTCGATGTACTCACAGACATTGCGTTCTCAAGGCCTTTCAACATGCTCAAGAATAATGATGACATCCACGATTACATCGAGACTGTCAGATCAAGTCTCCCAGTCCTGCAAGCTCGAGCCAACATTCCCTTCATCAAAACATTCCTCGAGATTGGTTTTCTAAGGAGGATATTACCCACTACGACACAGGACAAGTTCGGCATGGGGACTATGTTGGCCGTTGCGAAAGAAGCTGCTGCAGAGAGATTTCGTCCGGATGCCAAACCACAAAATGATATGCTTGGAAGCTTTGTCCGAAACGGCCTCACCCAAGCACAAACAGCCGCGGAAGCTCTTCTTCAAATGTTTGTGTCTTCTTACCTTCTTTTAGCATCATGCTAATCACCAACCTGCAGAATCGTAGGAGTAGACTCCACCGCAACCGCCGTCCGCACAATCATGTATCACATCATGACCAATCCACGCATCCTTCAGAAACTGCACGCTGAGCTCGATAACGCAGTCCTAACACGACCTGTCCTTCTCGATTCTGAAGCTGCATCACTTCCCTACCTCCAAGCCTGTATCCAGGAAGGCCTTCGCCATTGGCCCCCCATCGCAGCCCTGACGCTCAAAGTGGTACCGGCAGGAGGAGATACCTACAACGGCGTCTTCATACCAGGAGGTACAGAAATTGCATACTCAGCTTGGGCTCTCCACCACAGCAAAGCCATCTTCGGACAGGATGCAGATATATACAGACCGGAGCGCTGGCTTGAAGCCGAAGGCGAAGAATTACGGGAGATGAAGGGTACTGTAGATCTGGTGTTCGGAAGCGGGAAGTATAGATGTCTTGGGAAGAAGATCGCTGGTCTGGAATTGAACAAGATTTTCGCTGAGGTAAATTGCACGTCTCTTTAATCAATAGAGGGAAGCTAATGGATTGGATGCAGATGTTCCTCAGATTCGATTTCGCAGTTATAGATCCGCAGAAGGGATTCAAGAGTAGGTTTCATGGATTGTTCATGCAGTCGGATATGAATGTTGTTGTTTACCCTCGAAATCAGGTATAGATAGAGACTTTTGGGTTGAGGAAGTTGAGCTTCTTGGAGCTCAGAATAGCTATATCCGTTTCTGCGCTTGGCTTCATATTGTATTAGTTTAGTGTATGCTTTTAGCTATAGATTGTAGTGTAATAGCATTGTTTTGTACAACTTCAGTTCAGATGCTGTTTGTGAACAGAGTGAGGGAGAGATTCTTGGTTCGTTCCCTCCCGACTGATGTTGAAGGTACACTCACGAGTTCATCGAGCGACAGTAGAGACTCTAACATATGATGAATTGGTCTTGGTGCTAGGCTGAGAGCTGTGAAGGGAGGACCGATCTGCAATGTATGTACAGTCCGTGATAGGTTACCGGCTTCAGCCCGGTCCTTCTCGACACGAAAGTTTCTTTGCCCCACTACTCTGAGGTATTTTGAAGAACGTCAAACTTGAAGGCACTCCTAGGATGCAACGGCCTCAACCTTGAAGCACCTCTAGTCCCACCTGGAACAGAATATTTTTCCTCCATTCCAACCAATCCGCCCCTCTTCTCCGAAACCGAAATCAAAATGTCAATAACATCATCAACCCAAGCTTGCGGTGCAACAACATGACCAGCATTAAACCCATCAACATCAGAAATCCTAATCCATCGCTCCATCTCATCAGCAACAGTCTCTCCACTTCTAATCTGCAACGCTGAACTCCCTCCAATAGCACTATACTCTCCCAGAAACTCAGCTCTTGTACCCATCTGGTCGATTGATCAAAGTATGCTCCTACTTTGTATTCAAATGATTCGGGGAAGGAGGGTTCGGATCAGTAGGGGATTCGTCATCCAGTTCCCTTTGGGCAAGATCGATGCTAGAGATCCGGCGGAGTTTCGCTAGAGAACTGTCGAAGATGGAGTATCTCATATACTTTGCGTGTGCTTATTGATCAGTGGCGGCGAGGACTGGCGCGAATGAGATGAGGAATTTAAGGTCATAGGGATCTCGTTCTTGAGATGTTGCTAGAGCGTGCCTCTTTTTGAAAGTTTCGGCCAGGAAGGAAGGGCTGAGATCGCGGATAAAGATATATTTCACGTCCTTGGATTCTGGAAATTCATCTAAGCTCATCGCTCTCGCTGCGCTATCAGCCCAAGACGACACGATATTCTATCCCATTAGCCATGGGTCGTAAAAACAAAACAAAAGGGAAGCTTACCCAAGCGATCCTTCCTTGGGTCAAACGATCTAGAGTGGAGAAAGGCTTAGCGAGCAGAAAAGGGGTTTTGAATGTCGTGCATGAAGTCATTCGAATCTTAGATTTTTCGTCACAGGAGCCATTGCCGAAACGATCTATCACTAATGAGAAGTGTCAGGACTCTCAATCGCAAGACTGGCCACGAATAGATCGTACAATCGCCACCACTCGTTGGCTATTCAAAGCTTTATTAAACTTGTGGCCGACTCGTCTATTTTCAAACGAGTCGCAGACTCGTCTCCACTTTTTTTGATACCCAAAAATTTTTAACAAAACATTAACAACTCACCATGATGAGACGGGTCATGACGAGCTACTTAGTACAAGGGCGAAAACCATTGTTTATCCTTAGCGGGGCCTCTTTTCGGAAGATCATTGTTAACCATTCCTACTTCCGGCCTTTGCCTTGTTTCGAGCGGATTACTGTCTCTTAAATCCTTTATGCTCTAACTCGGCTGCTAATTCTTGGGGGTAAAAAAATGCTTACTTGGATCTATAAGGGAGTTGGGAGTTAGCGAGGGTAGAGGGAGCTAGCGAGTTACATAGGAAAGTGGTGGTGAAGGTGAATGGATGGATGGATGGGGCGAGGCTGTGGAGCTTGGAGTCTATTTTGATGTACCTTGTGAGAACCGAAGATATCTGCTAAGAACAAGGCATTGGATTTCCTTTTCTTTAACTGCCATCTGAGATTGATCGAGTAGTCTGGAATGGTTTTACTCTTGCTGTCATCGATTAATGCGTTCTGCTATGGGCCAACACTATATTTGTGAGCAAGCGAATGTCGTAGGTCGAGGTTCATGTATCTGGTTAGTCCGATGACATTCACATAAAATTCCATAGAAGAATTCTCTTCTTCTCTCCAGTGAGAATGTATCCATATGGACTTGTCTAAGTACCGATATCTGCCTTCTTTGTTTTGTCGAGTTTGACCAGCTTGGGTACAGAAATACTCTTTTTTGGTATTCCTTCTCCCATTTTTTTTCTCTTGCCTTCGAAGTATCTATACTTAGCCACTAGATTTCGTATGCTAGTTATTCCTCTTCAATCTAGGCTCGATAGTCTTTGTAGAAAGACTTCTGGCGGAGCAGTTGCCACATTCCATCTCCGCTTACGAATCGCCCCCTCCCTTCTAACCCGCCTTAGACGTGACGCATACTTGGAGAGATCTCGACTTTTGATGCAAGATAAACTGTCAACACTATTGCAGGATATAAAACCGTATAGCGTCAAACACAAATAGTCAATGATGGTAGAACTCTCATCACCGTCTTGCAAGCCATTCCTCCGCTAAGTATATATCTAGCCAACTTTCCCAGATTTTTCTTTGTAGCAGGTTGGCTCAGGAACTGAATCCTATGGATGAATACTTGGAATCAGTACCTCCACGTGGATTACAAGCACAATCATAGACCACAGAAAGCTCCCACAATACAGAAGTTTCGTTGCGAGGTTTCAGGGGTAGCGAGTTTTTCCTCAAAGAAACACCCAAGCGAGGACCGTCATCTCCACATGGAGCATTTCATCCCCCATCCTTCAGAAACATCAATCGATCGTTGATCATGACCCTCTTTCGCATCAACTGCGATATCAAGGATCATGAAGACAAGCCATCATCCTACACTCAAGGTAAGTCAGCAGGCATATCATCAAGACGTAGCCATCAAAGCTATGAACCTGCATCTGTGAAAGTTTGAATATGGCTGTGATATCCTTCTTCCAACTGTCATAGTTATCACTGTTACTTGTACCGACAATCACTGTCCCAATAGCTTCAAGACCGCAGACAAGGATCGGATTCGGACTCCATAAAAACCACAACACAAGACAATGGATTGATACCCAATGAATTGGCTAATTCGCCTCCTAACGAGAGGCTACCTATCTCACCCCTTACTCTTCACGATAAGTAACGCGCCTCTCGAAGTCTACGCCAAAGGGATCTAACACGCGTACTGTAATTATCATTAACCTGTTTACAAACCCGAAGAAACGCCATCTACCCCCCCTCACATTTCTCCCATCCTCAGACCCACTTTTCTAGAAAAACTTTACTTCCTCCCAATTCTAGGCTTGGACGTCCTCTTCCTCCTTTTAAACCTCGCTTATCTTACAACTCAACAAAGAGAGATCTTCGACAAGCTTTCATGCTCGCATTTCCAACATCCGTCACGTTGTGCAAGCAAGCGGGGTAACTTATCATAGGCCTAAAATAGCTATAAGACGTTCTTATCGTCGTAGGACTTGCATAGCATACGTGGAGCGGGGAATGGGATGTTCGTTTGTGGCATTGAGAGGGAGGGAAAGATCGAGATCAATATCAAGGCGGGGAATAGTGGGAGGTTGGATGAAGTTAACTTGAAGTTGTTGAGAGAGAGGGAGAGGGAGAGAGAGGGAGAGAGAGAGAGAGAGAGAGAGAGAGAGAGAGATCTACTTCTCTAGGAGTTTGAGGAAAAGTAGGTTGTGGAAGTGAGGGAGATGGATACGTATGTAGACAAGTGGTATTGCGTTCTAATACGTCCCACGGCGAAAGGCATGTCATAAGCAACACAGCACGCGTATGTGTCGACGGTATTGAATTCAGATCATGCGTCTCATCCTCGAATGAGTTAGTATATATGTACGTATGTGTATTTATTACCAAGCTCACTCACGGCGAATTCACTTACTCGTGCACAAACTCAAAACTCATCATTAAACACTTTAATATTCCACACCACTACCTCCCAAAACACCTATGCCATCCATCCATTCATTCTCCATTCTGAAGAAGATACATACTCCAACCCCCCTCCTATTTATATGCAAACTCCTTCGCTGTGAATAGTGTCGTAATCTGATTGTCGCTACCCAAAAAAACTCCCTGCATGAAAAAAAGACTCGTCAGTAAGGAAAGTTAAATCCCGCCTGGCTTCGCTTGCTCGCTGTGGATACTCTCCTTTTGTGGTGAAAAACTTTGTTACACGGGCGCACCCCTTCTCTCTTTCGTTGCCCTTGGTCTCCAAACGTTCCGCACGCTCGCTCGCTTGCCTCCTGAATATTCGCGTATGTGTTCCGCTCCCTACACCATCCCCCCCTCCACCTTCTTCTTATCCTCGATCCCAAACTCACTCACATACTCATCCGTCAGCGTGAGACTCCGCACCAACAAACTAATCGGCAGCCCCAGCACCGCGAACGCGATGGCGACGAACCATACCGTCCGTAGCGAACTCACAAAGATGCCGATGACGATATTCTGCGTCGGCTGCGCCAGCGAGTTGATGAACGCCGCCGTCGCATGCTGATACGCTTCTCCATTCTTCAGCAGCGCTTGCGTCGCCAGATCGCCTGCCAGCCGGGTGCTGGACAGGGAATTGATCTTCTCGTTGAATATCGCGGACGGGATGGCGATGCCCCAGATGGAGCCGAAGGAGCGCATGAATGTCCACGTAGCAGTCGCGGTCGCGACTTCAGATGGAGGCAGCGAGGCGAGCAAGGGCGGGATCATGGCGTTGAACACCATGCCGTTTCCGAGGCCGAAGAGCGCTTGGTAGCCTACCCAAGCGGCGGTCGTGGAGTTGCGGTCGAGCAGAGGGAAGAGGCCTACGCCGATGATCATTAGGGTCCAGCCGAGGAAGTGGAGGGGGCGGTAGCGGCCTGTGATGGTTATTACGGCGCCTGCTGCTGCGGCAGCGGGGGCGATGGTTGTAGCGGTTGGGAAGAGCATGACGCCTGCGCGGATGGGAGACGCTTTCAGGACGGCCTGGCTGTAGACGGGGAAGAAGTAGATGACGTAGAGAAGTAAGAGGCCGTGGACGAACGCCATAGCGAAGATAGCGACGGCGGTGCGGTTGGAGAAGAGTTGGGGAGGCATGGTAGGTTCAGCTACCAATCCGGAATTTTGGATCCAGGCGAAGAGGACGAGGCCGATGAAGCCGAAGACTAAGGGGAGGATGATGTGCCAGGAGGTCCAGACGTATTTGGTGCCGCCATAGGAGAGAGCGAAGAGGATGGATGCTACGGCTGCGACGAGGACGAAGTTGCCAATCCAGTCGACGCGCTTGAGACGGTCTGAGACGGTGCCTACGCGGTTGTATGTGAGTTTGAGGAAGGGGATGACGATTGCCAAAGCGATGGCGCAGATGGGGATGTTGATGTAGAAGACCCAGCGCCAGGTAGCTTGTTCGACAAAGACACCACCTAGGACAGCTTGGAAAGGAAAAGTTAGCGAGTGATAAGGTTGAGAAGGGGAGTAGACTTACGACCAATGATGGTTCCGATGGCGTAGGTTCCGGCGATGAGACCTGTGTATTGACCTCTTTCTCTGAGGGGCAAGAGATCGCAGACGATGATTTCACCTAGAGTAATGATTCCTCCTCCACCTATTCCCTGGATGGTTCGTGCTGCAATCATCATCATGACAGTTTGTGAGACTCCTGCGAAGATGGAACCTGCCATGAAAAGAACTGTAGACATGATCATCAAGGAACGACGACCAAAGATATTTGCTGCCTGGCCAAAGAGAGGTTGAACTGAGGTTGAAGCCAGTACATAGGCATTGGCTACCCAGACGTATAGCTCGCCTGCTTTCAGGTCCTCGGAGATAGTGGGAAGTGCAGTTGAGACGATTGACAAGTCAATGGCCACAAGGAGGGTCGTAATACATACCGCAAAGAAGATCATCCAGAATGTGAAATCTTTCGCGGGACTCTCGCTCTTGGTTGATGATATTGACTCTTTCGACAACAATATGGTCGTTGAGTCGTTGCCGAATAATGGCTTGGGGAGAGGGTTGTTGTGTAGAGTACAGCAACATGTTGCTGTAGATGGTGCTGAAGCAAGATAGGCTTGTTGGATATGATTCCGAGCAGCTGGAGAATAGTGCAGAGAGCAGCAAACATCTGCTGGTCCCGCATGCTCCCTGTAGGGTAGCGAAAGCGTACTCATTGCGGCAGAGATGCAACAAACGCAAAATTGAAGATATTTTTGGTTTGTACAGCTGAAAACTGGAAAGAAAGATGATTCTCAAACAAAACACTATGAAAACTTGCCGATCCCAAACCTATATACAAACGTCCTAATCGGTGTCTTTCTCGAGGATTCATGATCCGAATCAACATCTGGAGGGATTCTGAGAGTGACTGTTGTCGGTGGTCACGCTTTCTGGGCAGTATCGTGAAGATACGTCCGTAGAGTCACGGGGGAGGAGAGCCTCCACTGAAGAATTCCATTCATCTGAGAGAAAAGTCAGCAGACCTGTAGTCAAGCAACAAAAAAGCAGTTGAGCTCAGGACCTTACCTCCGACAGGGAGTTTCTTGCTCCGATCCAAGACTTCGGTGGGTTCCCAGTGAGTATTATTAGAGTCTGCTGGATGACACTAACTCTGGATCTGGAAAAGTTCTGGATAAAGGTAAGGAAGGATTTAGCTGTCGACTCGGTTCCTCTAACCTCTGTTTCGACGTTTCAGATAGCAACAGCGTGACATTGGACAAGTGGTGGAAGAGAGGGACTCTATTTCCAGCGGCTCAGCCATGGTGATGATCGGCACTCGCCGGTAACAGGATGCACTACCAAGCACTACCCAATGCTCGTCACGCTCCTCCTGATGGTGAGAGCCAGTGTCGCTCGTGTTCATCAACGAGAAGGACGAATTGAAATCTCACGAAATCATCGTGGGTGGGAAATAGAAGAGATGGCGTCGGCCGTGCCACAGGAGTACCGTTGACGGGCTGGCTGCTACTGCTACTGCACGCAACGGGCACCTTGCGGGAGGTGAGTTGTCGGCCGTGGGTGGTCGACTGGTGTGTAATTGTACGACCATTCTCAAATCTCAGACGGGTTTGATGGCACGCCCATGGATGCACGGCGAGCACGGGAACCAGAATAACACCTTCCGAGAGGATTCTAGTGGTTCGAAGGGCCCTTCTTTTGTTTCTAGTTTCACGTCCAGCACATGGTAGGCATGGCTCTGATCGAAGCCAAGATACTGTAATGACAGATGTGGATGGGGATGATGCTGCACGGGTGCCACGATAGAGCCAGCCAGCCAGTCACAGCCGTGATGCGTCGCACTGCACTGTGCCCGATAGGACAGAAGACGCTGTGGAATCCTTCTGGAATAAACAAGCGCACGACGATCAGCTTCTGGCGTGCTGATAGTCGTTGATAGTCGCTGATAGTCCAAGCTTTCCCCCTAACGGCGAGGGAAGCAGAGTAGAGCCCAAGCCAAGACAGCCAAGATCGACAAGTGCCGTAGGGTTACCGACGTTGAGGGGAGAGGGAGGGAGGGTTCGCACTGAAGGCCCACTGCTGCCTTTCCCACCTCACGGGCTGGAGATCTTCAGCCCAGCTGTCCCGCGACCGTTCGTCTGGCGGTCTGTGTCCATGTCCACGTCCACGGTACGGCCTCGCACGACGGTCATAAATCGAAACTGGCACAATATGCTGTATATAGAATTGTGGAGGTGATTCCGTGATCCTGAAGGCTGAATGCAAAGGATGTGTGTGATATGATGGGATGGAATGACGAAAGTTGAGCCGCATAGCCCCCAACCACGGTCAGGGTGGCACAGGCTTCAGTGGAGCGAATAGGGAAGGCGGTGCGTTGGTTGGGCAAGGGTTTTACCAAGGAAATACCAGGGGAGACAGGAACGACGACTACGAATTACAGCACGTAGGATTAGATTGTGTCCCTAATCTGGTACCTGAGCTACACTCATTTTGGGTGCTCGAGTTGCGAGAGCAAAGTACCTAGGTACTGCACCCAGGTATTCGTAGGCTTATTCAGTTTAGGGTAACTACTGCGAGATGCTGCTCATTGACAAATAAGCCTACTGTACTGTACTGGACTGACAAACTACCGAGAACCAACACGAGCAGCAAGAGTTACCAAGAAAAAAAAAACAATGCCAAATCAAACAATGTCAAATCAGCCCCGACTACACGCATTTTAGTGTACCACCTCCGAGCTCTCCACTGAAGTGAGAAGTGCTGACTTCATGACGATGCAGCGAGAGCAAAGGAAGCCAAATTGACCCCAAAGGGCCCAAAGGGTGTCCTTACGGGTCTGCCCTGCTTTGCTATGCTATCGTATCCTGCTGTTCTGCTACTACTGCAATGCATGCTGTGCTGCCAGTGCTGAGCTGAGCTGAGCTGGGAAGGTCGGATAGGGAGTGATTGTAATAGGCAAGGATGCGCTGTAATCGCTGATGGGCTCACTAACTCACTAACTCACTAACCAGCAGATCTGCTCACGGCTCACTTCACTTACGGGCTCATTACTGCTCACTCGGGTTTAGTGATCAGTCCATCACCACACCGGCCAAAATATATGATTGGCCTGCTGTTGACTATTCCCCTGCGGCATCCCTGCCCTGGTCTCCTGTGGCTGCCGCCCGCTGAAGGTTAGTGCTACGCATGGAACGACTGCAATATTTCCATTGGTGGGCTCGGCCATCACACTGCAGCAGCACTGCAGCGACACTCTCAAGCCCGCAGCACAATCTACAGTACAGGACGACGGTTTCCCGGACAGGCATCACCATTGGGCACTGAAACACACTAACCCAGCCTGTCGGAAGTTAAATCTGGGTTAATCGGACGCTACTCCAGCCTACCCATCATCCCACGGCTGTGGCTTGAGTCCTGAGAGACACCAGGACCTGCACTGACTGTGCGTTGCCCTCTGCTGCACGGGACCTCAGAGGATCTCATCCCCACCCACAACAACTGCACCACGACCACGACCACCTGCTATAATCCCGGTAGGACTACCAGAGACCACCACCAAGGCCCGCGCTGCTTAACGCACCTCCTCCAGCACCAACGGTGGGATAATTACGTGATCCTACCCTACCATCCCTGGCCCTCTGCTACCCTAGACAGCTAGCCCTCTAATCTCTCTCCTCCCTCGACCACCACCAATTCAGTCCTCCAAGACGCTCCTCACTTTCCCCCAAAGGACAAGCACCGCAAGCAACATCCCAAGGTGACGGTGACGGTCAAGCTCTCATCTCAAGCCTTCCTGATCTCCACTGGATCCTGGCCCTGTGAGATTTACGAGCTTAAACTCACTTGGGTTCCACCCACATCTCCTACTACTGCTATTCTCCTCCTCCCTCCGCTATCAATTTTCCCTCCTCCTAGCAAGACGGCTGGCTCCTTCCCAGCAAACGTGGCACTTCAACTGGACTGGCTCCTCCTCATTGACGCACCGTCTCATCTGTTGTGGATCCTGCCGAACTCGTCTTCCTTCTACTTCCCACTGCACCTAAACAGGGAGTCGGATGCTACAGAAGCGTGATTCCTGACCTCCGGTTCAACCATTCCTAAACAGGGAGCCGAAGGCGCGAGGCGCCATCTTACACGCCGGCTGACTTAAGGCTGAGCAACGACGTGAGGAGAGACCTCTTAGCTTCGAGTCTCCACGTGAAACTTAATCTGGGACCGACATGAGGGGACCCTTCTTTTCCATCCCAAATTCTATATAGAGATTGTCCTCCTAGTCCGATCACCAGTTCCCTCGAATCCAGCCGCAGATCTCAGAACCATATCAGTCGTTATCTCACCGGTTCCAGGTCGGCGGTACGCACGCAACAGTTGTAGCTTTGTATATACACTATACAGAAGATACATATCGACATTCCTTCCTTCCTCATCCTCCCAACATGTGGTCAACAACTTCAACAACACAGGAGGAGACCTCCACCCAGGCAAAGAGGTTTGCCTGTGATCGATGCCACGACCAGAAGCTTCGATGTACGAGACCTCAAGAGAACGAGCCATGTGTACGATGTGCCAAGGCAGGTGTGGTTTGCAATGTCAGTGCTGCACAACGGACGGGACGACCCAGGAAATCCTCAGGACCTCGACATGGAGGATCTGAGAAGGGGAGGAAGAGTCCACCAACACAATATACAAATGAGATTGTTCCAGATGGAGGGGCTTCAGACAATGGCAGTAGTAAGGGATCAGAATTGGTTCGAGCTCAGAGCTCCGAGTCAAGACAACTCTCGATTTCGCCCTCACTTCGACAGACCCCAGATTTCTCGACACACATGGCCGGCTGGGACACATTTGCTTCTAGTTCAGGCTCCTCGATCTCCTCATTGTCAATTGCCCCTCCTGAGTACAGCCAGCCCATATCAACAGAAGACTATGCCGACCTCCTAGACTGCATAACCGATCAATCATATTTCGACAGTATGGACATTTCAGAATTCCCTGATTGTATGCAACTCGATCCGACCGACTTCTTACAGAACAGCTTAGCTGACCTCGACGGAATAGCTACATATCTACCCAATATGCAGGCGGAACCCAACCCAAAGAAGAGGAAATCGAACGGCCACGGCGCCCCCTACTACACCAATCAAATGTCCCTTTCACCACCCATTCTCGACGCTCAAGCTTCAGCTCGGATATCTTCGTTCCAAGAGATGGACATGCCAATCATGACCCCTGGCTTCAATTCGTCTGATATTGGGACACCAGACTTGGGTATGATTCATCAGAGTGAACAAGGCCATGTCCAGACCTTGGCAAAGCTTCAATCTGAGATCGATGTCTGCTCTGAGAGAATCATGCAACAGGCAAGAAGGATGCACACCCCATCAAGCTCCTACACGACCGAGAGTCAAAAGTTGTCAGAAGCATTGGGTGTCCTCCTCTCTACAGCTGAGCGATTCATCGAACTCATCTCATGTATCTGCCGTACATTCGACACCATCACAACCAGCACATCCACCACATCCAGTCGAACCGCCTCCCCATCCGGGTCTCCCTGGAACTCGCCCTTCACTCCACCCGCACAAATGGAGCTCCAACAAAGCTACTTCAGCAACAAAATGTACACCAGCAACAACACCACCCCCGGCAGCTTAGACCCGAATCTCCTGACAGGAAACCGCCAACTCAGCACCTCGACCTTTTACACCATGCTCAAATGCCACGTTCGCCTCCTCTCCGCCTACGACACCACCCTGGACACCATGTCCTCCCGACTCCTCGAGCTCGAGAACCTCGACGCCGTGCAATCCCTCACCAGCGCCCTCTCCATCGGCTCCTTCGTCGTGCCCTACGGCGCCATCATCGAGACCCTGCTACACCTCCAGGTCATCTCCCACCAGCTCGACCGCCTCAAGACCGCTTTACACGGAAACTTGCTGAAGATCCAACCCCAGCGCAGCGGACCCATCCCCAACACCCGCTCGCTGCCCGCGAGGCTGGGCTTGTGCAAGCAGGGCCAGAACCGCTCGCCATCCGTCTCGATGGTGGATTTCAAACTCGAAGAGATCCAGGAGCGGGAGCGGGCTTTGCAGACTAAATTACTGCGCATCGAGGCCCTGGCCGAGAGCTCGAAGCAGGGCCAGATTGATGGGGGGAGCTTCCAACAGTGGATGTGAAGTTGGGGGCAAAATGTTTAATGTTTATTCTCTTTTGTTACTGTTGTTGCTGTTGTTGCTGTTGCATGGGTGGTGTTTTTGGGAATCATCATTCATATCATTGGGGTGTGGGTGGAAATTTGTGTGTGTGTCTGTGTGTGGAATAACCTACCTACCTACCTACCTACCTACCTGCCTATCTAACGAGTTTTCTTTTCTTGGACATACCCGTGTTACGTTGTTGTATATACAAATTACTAGCTATCTAGATAGAGGAAAAAATTACTTTGTATATCGCGAACCTCATTTCTCAGTCTTCTCACTTCCTCACTGCCTCTCGAATTCTGCCTCGTCACATCCATCAAGGTGATCACCACGCAGCTCGCAGCCTTCTCGTCATCATACCTCCAGTACCTTCCTACATACAAAAGATCATCAAGCCAAATACCACCTAACCTAACAACCCTTCTCCCATGCACCACACACCACAGCCTTGCCCTCCTCTCCTCTCCACTCACTCTGTATCCACTCCTGTACCTACCTCCACCACTCCCACCTAATCCAACCTAGCGTAGGATTTCGCACAAGCGCCACATTACAGGGATCCGGTTGAACTTCACTTTCGCTGAGCAGGGGCCGGTGCGCGGGGCAGGGGTCTGGTGGGCAGGGGTGCGGTGGGTGCGGTGTGCTATTTTTGCCCACTCTTTCTGTTCTCTTATCGCTCGCGGAGAGGGAGGATGGAGGGGAGGATGGAAGTTTGTGTCACCTACCTTCCTTCTTTCTTTCTTCTAAAGTTGTTTTGTTTCTTTGAGGCACGGCGAGGTTTTGTGTTTCATGTTTTTCGTCAGGTGGTTTCTTTTGTTTATCTGTGCTGGACATGGGAGGGAAGGGAGAGGGACAGTGAGGTGGGATGTGGTGATTGACAAGGGATGGTTGGTGATGTGATGTGATGGGATGGTGCTACTGTAGGAGGGAAGCAAGGCTCACTTTGAAAGGTCCCTACCTAATTCAAATGACGATCTCGTTGTCTGTCTTTCATTCAGGGTGTTGCTTGCGTGCAGTAGTAGCAGTAGTTTGCAGGTACGAAACCGCCAACTTCTACCTACCTACCTACCCAGTTTTTGGAATTTGATCAGCCAAGCAAGACAACCTCGTAAACGCAGCCTCGGGTATACCTAGGTAAAGATCATCCAAACCTCACCTCACCTCGCACCAATTCCCCATCGCAGCACGTGTCTTGTCCTCTGTCCAAGGAAATGATCTCCGGTACTTGGACTGGTGAGAGGTGTTACATCGTCCCTTTCTCTTTCTCTTTCCTTCCTGTGTAGATACGTGCGTGCGTGCATGGGTGGCTTGTTCGATTTCCTTGGATATGTACCCTCCTCTGCGTCTGTGTGCGTGCGTGCGTGGACATTTCAGATGATGATCCATACCGTCAATCACCCAGGGCTACGATGCTGTGATTGGAGAGCAGCAGGAACCGCGGAGATGGGTACGGTGCGAGACGATCATCACTGTTCTGTCCAGGTGTTCTTCAGCGAGGCAGGCAGGCAAGGGTCAAAATGGCCTGGACCCCAATCCGAATCCGATGACGGTCGAAAAGAGGAGGATCGTCGGGGAGTGATGGTTTGGGTTTGGCGTGGATCTCATCAGAGTGGTGCGCGGACGGTTAGGGTGAGGAAGGTGAGATTGTGGAGAAAGAGCTGAAAGAGGAAGATGCGTGGAAGGTTGGGATCCCTGTATGGAAGGCTGGTGGAAGGCCGGGTGAGGTTAGGTGAGATGGGGCCTGCATGGAAGGCCGGGTAAGCGGGCTAGAAGGATAGAGGAAGGAAAAGTCGCCGATGTCACGGTTCTCTTTGTTTACTTACATGGAGGGACGCCTGAGGGTGATGATGAGAGAGCTAGAAGGGTAGGGTACGGTAGGGTAGGGTTCGACGCATGCATGCACGCTCGATTTGGAGGCGGCTTGATCTTGGGCTAGAAGGAAAGGAATGAGAGCTAGAAGGAAAGTAGAAGAAGGGGCCGAGAAGGTAAACAGAGATCCAGGGACGCCATTCGAGAGCTAGAAACAGAGGAATGAGAGCTAGAAGCAAAGTAGAAGAAGCCTCCGAGATGTGCTGATCCCCTGGACGAGATGTTGACTTGTCTGAACCCTGCCCTGGAGCAAGCAAGCAAGCAAAAAACGTGCGAGCCATGCAATTGGGGAATAGGATCGAAGCCACCGAGTTCCGTTCCTGAGGAGGTACTACGCAGGTATTGGACGAGAAGGGAATGGCACAGCAAGTGGTTCCTGTTTCAGATTTCGGTGCCTCAGGAGTACAGTCAGTCAGTCAATCAGGGAAGGAAAGTGAGGTACATACAGTACAACACAGGTACATCATCTGAGCGTCATGTACCGGGTTCTTTGGAAGAGAGCTCCACATAGGTACTGTAGGCGTAGAAGGGAAATAGAACATGCATGGAAGGACACCGGGTTCTCCGTTTAATCTCAGAAGGTACAGTAGCTTGTTAGTGATGGTCTCAACGTCAAGCTCGTTTGGAGAGCTCATTTCGAGGATCCAAGATCACAAAAGATGAGTTCCACAAAAGCATGGAAGGGAAATAGAACACGCATGGAAGGTTCCCAGGTTCTCGCCATCTCCGTAGCTTTCAACGTCAAGCTTATTTGGGTAGATCAATCCGCTCCACAAAAGCATGGAAGGGAAATAGAACACTCATGGAAGGATACTATCCCGGATTCCCCATTTAAATGACAATATCAACGTCAAGCTTATTTGGGAAGATTATTCCGAAGGAAAGGTAAGGTAAGAGCAGCTCCACAAAAGCATAGAAGGGAAATAGAAACACGCCAGAAGCACACCACGGCACAGCAAGCCAGACCGTGACAAACAGATCCTTCCATCGGCCTCTCCTCCTCCATCGTCTTGTTTCGTTTCATCAGGGAGATCCACCACGCCCGCCACTCGAGCACATGGGAGCTCAGAAACAATCTTTTTACGCGTATACGAACAACCAAATAACCCTTTCTTTCTTTCAGCGAGCCTCAATCAACAGCGGCCGACCTTTTCCAATTTTCCGGTATTACGGTTCTCGGGGCTTACCTTACCTACCTGACCTGACATGACGGGGCAGACACGAGGATGACCGCATACATATCACATCACTCACTTACTAACTCCCTCACTTTTTTTTTTTCCTCTTCGTGGATCAATCAATCAATCAATTCAGCTCTCAATTTTCACCACACAACACGAAATACGAGATAGAAAAATACCAAGCTTTTTTTCTTTCCTTTCTTTTTCTACGCAATCTGGCACTAACAGTAGCGGGATCTGAGAAGCTTCACTGCCGTGCCGCGCTGGACAGGACTGGACAGGAGCCTCTTAGCGAACAGTGAGGTCTGAGGTTCGGGGGGTTTCTTTTGCCGAGGAAAAGAAAGGAATGACTAAGGCTAGGTAGGTACCTAGGTATGAAAGGATGCGATTTGGAGTTTGGCATGAAGGAATGCCATGTTGGAGGATTGTCCAATGGCAAGTTGGATTTAATTTATTCCTGACGATCGTCTGCGGAGTCTGGGTGTTTGCTTGTTCTCCTCTGCGTTGTCGATGATGGGAAAAGTTTCCAAGGTTGGGATACCTTACACCACAAAGCAGTCCGGCAATGATCAGCCACAACCGCTGTGAAAGGAAGTTTTCGCACGCACGGGAGGGCTCATGAATCGCAATTCTTGCCTATCGCAGTAGTGCGGGGGATAAGAGAGTCCACGAGCGGACCAATGATTACGGAGGAGGAGAATGGTGATCAGCGTCGTCGTAGTTCACGATAACATTGGATGCATCGTTGTTTATCAAGATCACCACCACCAGAAACGCAATCATTGCATGAGATTGACAAGAACGAGATCAACAACTTCCACCATTTCAAATAAATTTATACCACAAGAATTATAGTCTAAGATTTTCCTTCCGTTCCATTCCATTCCATTCCCCACATGCCCCGCCGCCCGCCCCCAAAAACGCAATGACAAAACACCAAACATTATGCTATGCATACCCGCTCCCACTCTCCCCTCTTCCCCCTCCCTCCTCACCAATAGTCTGATATCGGAAGCGATCACCCACCCCTCTATTCATAGAGATTCGAGTTCAAAGGCGAGATCCCAATCATGTTCGTCTCAAAGTTAAACTCCAAATGCGTCCGGCTCAGAATCGTCAACCCAAAGAACGTCTGCGCGCCCTCAATCGCACGATCCCAGGGCCTGGCATTCAACAAACACTGTCCGGGGTACATCGAGGTATCGATGTACATCGCCGGGACCACCGTGATGTTTTGGAGATGCGAGAACTCGTACGTGAGAGTCGGGAAGGTCGACACCTTGCTGCAGTCCACGGCCCAGACGCTGGCGTTGCCGCTGTTGACGGCGAAGAGGCCGGGCGTGTTGTTGTTGTAGGCGATGTGGGCGTCGGTGAGCGAAACCAACGTGTCGAAGGCCGAGAACGGCATCGCGGCGCCGTAGCCGAATTTGTCCTGGTCCCAGACGGCGATGGCGTCGATGCCGTCACATTCCGGGTCCGCGGTCGTGGCGTTGTAGCTCAGGGAGTCCTTGGCGCGCAACGAGAAGCTCTCTTGGCCGATGAAGAAGTTGGTCCATTCCGTGGACCAGTAGTTGTAGCGGGGCGGCGAGAGCGTCAAGTGCGGGCCCGAGTTTAGGCATTTGGAGAAGGACGTCGGGTGGTGGTGCGTCTTGCCCGTGTCGTAGACGGTGGTATCGGTGCCGCCTAGGATGGTCAGGTATTTCTTGCCGTAGCAGGTGCTGAGGTCTTTGAGGCCGCCGCACATGTGCCAGCCGTTGTTGGGGCCGAGCAGGCCTTGCTTCCACATCTGATATGCGGTGGGCATGAATGTGTCGTTGTAGCCGGGAGCCACGGGAGCGAAGCCGAAGACTCCTCCGACGTCGAAGATGACGGGCAGCTCAGAGGTGAAGTTCGAGACGGAGATTTCGACGCTGTTGGAGCAGAGATCCGCGTTGTTGGCGTCCGAGTGGAAGCATAACTTGTCGGCTCCGAAATCGTTTCTGAACTCCATGCCGGGCGTGTAATCCGTGCCCAAGAATTCTTGCGTCTGCTGGCTCTTGTCGTCGACGAACGAGGTGGAAGCCTGGTCGTTGAAGAAGTTCTGGCCCTTGGGGATGCAGTTGGCCACGGAGTAGTTTCCGTAGCAGTCGGGCGTGTCGACCCAGGTGATTTGCCAGGTCCAATCCGCGAGCAATGTCACGGTTTGGGGAGGCGTACCCAGACTGATGTTGAAGGCGGCGCCGTGGACGGAGTCGTCCATGGGCAGAATGATCTCGCCACAGCCAGCAGCATTTCTATTCCATGTCCCTGGGGAGCCGTGAGGAACTGCTGCAACAGCACTGGCGAGGAGTGCCAAGGTGAGAGTTGAGACGCTCATCTTGCGGACGATGACGACGAAGCTCGACTTTGATGTGTTTGAGACGCTGGCTGCTGAGCTGGTGGGAAAAGACGGAGGAAGAAGGATGCTTTTGCAGACTCTCTCAAGTCTTGAAGCTTTGCAGGAGGAGTGAAAGAACGTTGTCTATAGACTTGAAAGACTGGATGGATTGAGTGAGGATCTGCAACCCTTCTTTCCCTTGGTTTAAGTATCCTCCTCTTCCATCGCGAGTTTCAAAAGCCGCCGCAGGTCCAAGATCCCAAGAACAGAGGAAGAGGCCGATAGCGTGAGTGTCATCTTTCTTGGTGAGTGATACCGGTATCCTGGTGTACCGTCTGTCATGGTCTTCTCTGGTGAGTGAGGTGAAGGTTTGCTGGTGAGGTTCCGAGACCGAAAGCCTGGGACTGCGCCTTGGTAGTCGGGGTGGTTGGCTACCCCTAATGCTAACCGAGAATCCTGACCGAAAGCCTCCGAGCCCCACACTCTGCTTCCAATTAAGAGATGAGATGCTATGTATAGGTCGATGATTAATTAAACACGTGAGCCCGTGTCGATGAAAATCGGAGTCGGCCACGTTTTGTTTGTGGGGATAGGATCCTTGGTGTTGATGTGGTACTGAGTGACATGCTGAAGTATGCTGTATCTTGGGTACTGCCAATTAACCGAAGAGACGCTATTCTTGCAGCGGATGGGCGGGAAGGCTGCTGTAACCTCCGAGCCTTTAGGCTGATGACAGCCTGGGCCCGATCTTGGGAGCACGTTTTTGTGCCTGAAATTCCAGCGATGAAGACGACACAGCCAGCCTTGTCTGGCATTCGGTCCAAGTTTCCGACATGCGGCTTACCATGATAATAATAGCTGAGAAGGATGGAGAGTTCATCTGATAAGATCCATGCCATCCTCACACGTGACAGTCCTTAAGGCTTATTAAAAGCGTCTGCTCTTTCTATTAATACTTGCTGCATTTTCTAAGAACTTGATTTCAGCCATATCAAGTACAATTCTTGCTCTCAAATATCGGCTCATCACGTGCCATCGAAGGATTGATTACCTCTGGTCTCGCCGTCATAGACTCTCTCACAAATAGGAAAGGATTCGTATATCCGTCACACAACATACCACGAAAATATGACACCGCAACCCGAACCCGGTATTACCTTTCTCAGAACCTTAAAGTCAGCAAGCTAGAACGGTTGTCCCTCAAGCCGTCTCTAAAAGCAGAGTGGCTGGATCCCTCGACGTGGAAAGTAGCACTATAACGACGTCAATCAAATTCCTTGGCGCCAAGATCTGCAGCGGAGCGGAATTCGATGATGATACTCTTGGCAAGGAAGAAAACAATTGGCTGCGTCCGTGGTAAGGAGCTTCGTGGGCTCATGTAGGTTGATGTGTAACTCAGCCCATGAGGATCGAGCGTGCAAGCACAAGGCAAAGCTGCCAGGAGTCAGGTAATCCCTTGAGCTCCAATTGACGAATCAAAATATTCAATTGACCTTACCGGGAACCCTCCATCCTTGCGCAGACCAACCGGGACGGAACATCACTCGCCCCATATTATATCTGGTCTCTGGTCTCTGGTTACGACGCGGATCCGACCATAGGGCAGGAGGGTGTGACAAATTTGGGGTCGAATCGACACGGCTCACCGGCTATCTCCTGTGTATATGGTGAGATGAGGAAGTTTGGGTTGAAGGTCAAGGTCAGTGTTGTGATGTGACAGGTCAGTGAGAAGAAGGAAGGAAGCTGAACCTCGTAAGCGCATAAGCGAGATCCAGGGGGCTCGCTTATCATGGTGTCTAACTCTATTAGTCGACACCTTTCCGGCAAAAATCCATCATTGGATGAGATTACGATCAGCCTTGTTGGCGTGTTCTCGTTTGGGCCTGTAATTAATCAGTCTACCTGAGCTGATTTACAGACACGAGTGCAAACAAGGTTGTGGCAAAATCATTGGGCGTCGGAGTCAACGCCCAGTAGAAATCGATGTGCTCATGCAAGGTAAACCTTTCAAGATCAGGTACATATCCGGATGATAAGTCACATCTGCAGGCTTTCGATACTCCCTCCCTTCTACGTAATTCGTGTCATAGCCTTCGCGGAGTGATGCCCTTTTTTGGGAGTTCTTGAGCTCGCAAGGCCAAGCTACGTAAACTAGGGCTTACTCAACCGCGCCTACTGCGTCTGAGTTGGGCGCTCGGACTCAGATTACGCTTTGGAAGCGCGCTGACTGCATCTCCTGGAGATTAATCACCATTCAATCATTGGGGGCCGTGATAAGGCTTGATCTTACTTTTGAGACACGGGACGTGTTCTCGACCAATTGACTGAGAAGACTGAACCATGTACCACCTCAAACGTGCTTAGTTGGGCACAGAAAGCTGGGGATAGATCTGCAGTCAGTCAGGAGCGTTTGTAGCCGTCATAAGATTGGAAGAGAAGGTGGAAACTTGGTTGGTGGTGGTGCGCATCATCATTTTCCCGGGATCCAACATCCTTTGAGTTTATCAACAAAGAAGGCGTAGTAGATCACTTCCTTGCACGATAGGATTCTGCTGCTGTAGATTTCTTGAAGCAGACAGATAAGTCTTGGCCGTCCATACTATCCATGTAACCGCAAAGCCTGGGATGTTGATCTGATGTTGATCTGATGTTGGATTTGCTTCGCCGCACTTTTCGATAGGCGCGCCAATTGTTCAAAATCGAAGAGCCCTACGTGCACACACACCTCGCAACTTTGTATCTTGAAAAGAATGCAAGGAAACGAAACATCGAATCAGCATCGTGTGCGAGATTTCGAGGTTACCAGAAGCGAACGGGTCTGTGCCGTTAAACGCCTCCAGGCCACATTCCCAACCACACGTCCGCACACCTTCTACACTTCTTCCATACAGGCATTTGGCAACACCAGATTCGACACTTGATGGTAAATCATCTCTTCTCTCAGGTTTCAAACCCCGGCGGGCACAGTCCACTCTCGACCCTATTTGCCCGAGTTTTACGACGACGATCTAGACATCCCATTTCCCACACCGAGCATCCATGTATCCAACATCTAGCCCGTCCGTCTCTAGGTATCTCATTTTCATCTCATCATTGTGATAACCCTAGCAAGTGCTCTGTCTTTACAAAGAACGTCCCCGCTCCGTTACTCAGCACAGGGTACCATCAAGTCCGTCACATATCATTTGGGTTTCAGCTTATGCCGAGTCTCCCGCAACCCGCCCCGCCTTCTGTCAGCCCATGCCGTGCCGCCAAAGTACCGCAGCCACCCATTCTTTAACGAGCAACGATCCCGAGGAGGAGAACGCTCTATGTACACCATTACATATACGAACAACGCCACTCGATGCAAGAGCAGATTAAAATGAGATGTGAGGATGTGTTTCAGGTGGGACAACAAAAAAACCAACATTTTGGGGTCATCTGATGAGTATGTATCCATCCCGCCTGCATGCATGGAATCGTCGGCTCCATGGAGATAAATAAAGATTGCGTGTGCGGCCGTGGTCAGAGTTTAGAAGCGGATGGAGGCACGATGATTCCGAATCCTGTTTTTTCTTTTTTGGTTTGTGTCACACTCAGATGATGGGGGTCAGAGGATGAATGATGATAAACGCGGGCGCGGACGTTGCATGCGGACAATTGCTAAGAAACCCGAGCCTTCCCCCCATACGAACATGTTGTTGGATATTTTCGACGAGACAGACCACCACCTCGATGCACGTCAGTACGTGAAAACCCTTGAGAAGAGGAGGGAGGGAGGCTTGTGCAGTGAGAGTTCTAGCTGCAGAGTTATTAGCGACGTAAAGAATTACCGGATTGGTGTGAGAGGAAATGAGGTGATCATCATTATTTCGAGTGAGATGATGGTGGTGGTTCTGGATCCACGACAGCAGAATGAATTTGTGGTCATTATGCACATCAGCAGCGAAATGAAGCAATTTTCGCGGAAAGATTGATGTTGGGGGATGCTTCCAAAGAGGGTTGCATGTTGCGAGATGCAGGTATCTGTCAATTTTGGGAAACTGGCCCGCGCTTCCGCTTTCAGAAGCCACAAAGGTTGACGGATCGTGATGGATATGCAGAGAGCATTTCATAAGTATGTAAAATTTCATTACTGGATCACAACAGGACAGATGCAAAGTAGTGCTTTCGCACTTCACTCAGGTGGCGAGCCTTAACTCCGATGTTCGATGCTTCACGAGGATGCAACGAGCTCAATCAACTGTGGTATCGACTCGCCAGAGAGTCAAGTCCTCTCAAGCTTCCTTGACAAGATATCTTCATCCCCTCCTTCACCCGCCTTCATCTTGCCACTCAAGCCACATCACGTGGTGGCGTCCAATTCTATAGACGTTTGATCACTTAATCACTTAAATCTTGTGAAAATTCCCAATACGTAGCAAATCGTACTCACTATGCTTTGTTATCCTCCGTTCATGTGCGCTTTTTGCTTTTAAGCCTCTAACGAAAGTTCCTCTACATCTTAAAGAACAGCGCCTTCCATTTTATCTTCATCTTCAATTATCGACATGAGTTAACCGCAGCAACGAGATGATTAACTCGACGACTTATTGACCAGATAAGTCATATGTTTAATTAGAAATAGAACTGTTTGAGAGATTCATGGCAACTTGCTTCATCCCGAGTGCTGAATTTTAACACCATCCCATCCTCAATCACTTCGCCTACACAGATATCAATCCCTTGTACTTCTCTCAAATCTATGTCTCGCAACGCTTGAAATCCTTTCGACTTGCTTCCCTGTACTATTGTTTCTTATAGTCATATTTGCCCTTATCCTGGCATGACCTCGAAGCATTGTGCATGTCGATTAGAAAGTTCCATTGAGACTTCAATCTGCACTTAGCCATTTAAGAGCTCAACTAACCTCTCCAGAATGTTGTTCTCGCCTCGAACCCTATCTTCGTCGTAAAACGTCTTGGAAGGATAGACTTAAGGGCAGCCACGAGCTCACAGGCTCTTCCTCTTCAAACTGCTATGAGCTCCTGTACGCTAAGGACAAGATCAAAAGAGATGATTTGTTGAATCGTCTGTTAGCAGCTAGTGTCCAACTCTTTCCTTAGCGTTTTGTGAACCGCGAGTGGCTCACAAGATTCAATATAAAACTCCGCTCTCGACCCGTCATCTGCTTTTCCTTTTCCACGTCTCCATATCATCAACTCTTCTACTCGCCCTGCGACATTGCGCTTCACCGTCGCAACACGAGCTATAGGTAAAGGTATGTTCTGTCCTCTATCCTACTAATACTGACCAGAGTCATCTTTTGGCTTCCAAAAGTTTGGGGTGGTGCAGGCGCGTAACCTCAATTCGCAGTTTTTCCTACTATTACTGGGTCATCCTTTGGCTTTCAAGATAGAAGATCAGGTGGAGCACAGGCGCATATTCACATTCGCAGTTTTTCCCACTATTACCAAGCCATCCTTTGACTTCCAAACAATGGGGTAGTGCAGGCGTGCGCAATCATAATTCGTAAGAGCAGCAGCTGAGGCTCTTTCTCTAAACCAATTTTCCTTTTCTGGACGTTGTCCCGTGTCACTAGTATTACACTACTTCTAGATGATGCAAACATTCTTTCGTTGCATATTCAACTTGGGGCTGGGATGCAAAGAAGGGGTGGGAAGTTTGGAAAGGAGGGATAGTATGAGAAGGAAGCAATAGTCATTAAACCAGGAAGAGCTTTCAAGGCTAAGATGAGGAAGGGTAAAAAGAGATGGCGTCGGATGAGTAGCAGATGAAAGCGTGGTCTAAGGTGGAAGCAAGGCTTACAGAGCAGGAACTGAGCATATATTTGTTGAGGACCAATGGGTCTCTACTATTTGCACAGCTTGTACAGTAGGTTGTGCGTACAGTCTCAGTATATTCCACTCATTGGGAGCTCTTCAATGGACTCATCTGTTATTCGCTGCACTTCCGTTCCAGTAATATAAAACAGTCTCTAGTGGCCTGAAGAATCGAGTGGAAAGTTCTACTGGGATAGCAACCGAAAGCTTTAGTCTGTAATTGCTAGTGATTAGTCATTGAGGGAGATAGATGTGCAGCCGTTGACTTTCAGAAATACATTCGAACCTTTCAATGCGTTTTATTAGAAGTTAAAAGTGTAAAAGCATCTTGGATGAATGGGCTAGAAGATTGGTCTTAGTGTGTGTCCTCTGATACTTCCTCTATCACAAAGACGACCTGTTCTGACATGCGAGGCATGGCAAAGTACCAATGCTGGATCATTCTTCAAAGAACGCGCAAACTTTATTTGCCAGCCAGATGCTTTTGTAAAATTTGACTTCCGTGAAATCCTTTTGTCTCCAAGCTCCCAAAATATCCGTTGTCGACCACAATCTTCCAGATTCGTTTTGGCTCCTAGAATACGCTCTTGAAATATCCATAATATAATCCCTGTACTATCCCTCCACCTTTCCACAGATTCGATCCCAAGACAACTCCGTCATGGCTATGCCGAACATGGCGTTCACGGTCACCGACTACCTCGATTACAAGCCCAACTTCATCAGCTCCTTCTACCAAAATGTTTACTCTCCAGGCTTTGTCGAAAGGCAAGCCATAACTGCGATCGAAGAATTCCTCTCGGTCCTCACTCCGCTGGTACCAGACAACGTTACGTTGCAACCTCCAGGAATCTCCATAGCGGGAAACGTCACCTTGCCTCTGGTTGTACAGACACCTCGGTTCAACGTTGGGTGCAACCTCTACCCAGCATATCGAAGGCTCATTATTGGGCTCAGCGACGTGATCAGATCGTGCCATTTCTGCTTCCGTAATGCTCATCCCAAAGAATTTGATCTTGCAACAGACTTCTTGAAAAAGGTCTGGGAGAATACACCTTCGGAGCAATTGATTGATACGGCTGAGACCAGCTGCTTTTATTCCATGCGACTGACGTCTAATTTGGCGGTAGAATCAAGGCCGTTGATGAGCGATCATCAAAGTCCGTGGTGTGTGCTCACTTCCGTGGGTGATTGGACAAATGGGCGGACTCTGATTCCTAGATTGTACACATTCCCGCGTTTGACCGTGTATGGGACGCCGGGAGATACGATCATTGTTTCTGATGGAGTGGAGGTTGGCAACGAGAGCCATACAGGAAACAGATTCCAGCTGGAGTTCTTCCTACCACCCAGTGTTTATGGAGGAGACGGAGAAGAATGAAACACTGGCGGTATTGGAAGGCCAATGTTATTGGCAACCGGAGGAGGATAGCCACAAGGAACAGCTTAAAGAAAGCAAGCGCAAGCCTATTCCTGCATAGGTCCAAGACTTTGTTGGTCAAAGGTAGAACAATAACCTTGAAAGCGATAGGGTGCAAGTTCCTGAAATCTTATCCCTGGATTTCATAAAGCAATGGATGGTGGATTTACGATAGAATATGTCAAGTTGGAACTCATACGTGAGCAGACAGATATCTGCACTATCATTCTCTCTGTCTCTGTGCTATTCTGCAAAATATATATGTAATCGAAGAAGCATGCAAACAGTACAATATGAACCATGAGTTGCCCAAGTCTCATCCTGAAAGCGCAAGCATTTGTGATACAGACGCGGGGTAAAATAGCGGGTAAACTGAGAGTCTTTTGGCACTTGCAGACAATCACTTGGGCTTACGAAAATACGGCCCGTCATATACATCGCATCATCCACAAATAATATCTTTATTGGGGTTGATGGGCATAAGAAGAGGTTGCATTAGGGGATAATTGATGCGGTGTCCTGAATCTGAGGTGAAGTTGAGAACGGAAGAGCGCTAAAATTTAGCGAGACACAAGCCCCTGAACGCTCTGAACGCCCTTTAGAGCCCTGGAACAAGACACTCCATCACCAACTTTGGACTTTCTTTGTTATCCTATCTTAAATTTGCTATCTACCCAATTACAATACACAATCGAGACTCCGTCAAATTGTCTGATGAGATCTGAGTGATGACCATCAACGATTTACTCGAAAAATAAGAATGATGCATTAGACTTTCGGCACAAAGGCAAAGGTAGGATTTCCTCGAGACACATTGTTCAACGACGACATCTCCTCTCAAGGAAAGGTCTGCAAGCACGGCTACAAGCTTTATTGACAACGAAAGACTACCTTCGCTGATTTATGGTTGATATAATATCTACCTGAAGCCTTCACTTCGTTCTCTTGTCAACATGGGCGGCATCTTGTCAAGCCTGCGGGCCACGTCCTCAAACGGCGACCTCATAGCAGAGCAGTCATTCTTCCACCCCACCAAACGACAAGACATCACGAAACGCAATGTCCTTGAGCGGTTTGAGAGTGCAGCATTCCGGGACCTCATTGCAGAACGATTATCGATCGCTGTCAAGATCCCAACAGTCACGTATGATGAGATGGGTCGTGTTGGAGAGGATCCACGATGGGATGTATTCTATGAGTTCTCGAAGTATTTGAAGAAAACTTTCCCCAAAGTGTGAGTAGAGAAAACGAGATTGAAAGAACTGCGTTGACTTGATCAATAGGTATGAGAACCTAGATATCACGACGATCAACCAGCATGCCTTTCTGTATACATGGAAAGGTTCGGATAATTCCCTAAAACCTTTAGTGTTCATGGCACATTCAGATGTCAGTCTTATTGTTACGTCATGGCACTTGTCTCATTATGCATAGGTCGTTCCAGCATCAGACTCTACTTCGGACAGATGGACTCATCCACCCTTTTCAGGCCACTATGATGGGAAGTTCATCTGGGGTCGAGGATCAGCAGACGACAAATGCAACGTCATCGCCAAACTCTCAGCGTTCGAAGCACTACTGGAAGTCGATTTCAAGCCTAGCAGAACCGTTATTCTGGCTCTGGGATTTGACGAAGAAGGTGGAGCGGAGGGCGGCTATGGTGCTCGATGTCTGGCAGATCGTTTGCTACAAGTCTATGGAGAGAATGGAGTTGAGATGATTGTACGTCTACATGCATGCTTACAGTGGGTTACTGACGAATCTAGCTCGATGAAGGGAATGTCGCCATCAGGAATCAGTGGGGTACTAGTTTCGCTACGCCTGGTTCTGCAGAAAAGGGCTACGTTGATATATCTGTGACCATCGACGTGGACGGCGGGCATTCTTCCACACCTCCAGATCATACAAGCAGTATGCAAGACTCTCTTTAATAGGAACTCGTCACATCTAATATAAGAACAGTCGGTTATCTCGCACAAGTGATCCAGAAAATTGAGGAAAATCAATTCCCTTCCCGCCTTACGAGCAAGAATCCCACTAAAGCCTTTCTTCAAACAGCAGCTCACCACGCCAAAACCATGGACAAGAACTTACGAGACGCTATTCTAGATCCCAAGTCCGTTGACAAGGTAATTGTGTACCTCAATAGTGACTTTCAGACGAGAGCCTTGGTCCGGACTTCAACGGCCGTGGACGTGATTGAAGGAGGAGTTAAATGTAAGCGCGACGGCAGTTTAAACCCATGAATTATGTTGATTAAGTATCCCAGCAAACGCATTACCCGAAACAGCAACAGTCCTCGTCAACCACCGCATAGCCGTCGAAGAATCCGTCCAAACGGTAAAAGACCACTACTCACTAATCCTAACCCCACTAGCCAAGAAATGGGGCCTCTCATCCCAGAACAACCCCGAGAACGAAAAGCAGTCCACAGACACACTAGCTTGGAAATCAGACAAAATGAAGATCTCGGTCACCCCACACAGCTCGCTAGAACCCTCGCCAGTTTCTGATATCAAGGACGAGAGATTCTCGTGGCTAGCTGGTACATTGAGAGGCGTGTTTGGTGAAGATGTCGTTGTTGCTCCTATACTCGGCGTCGGTAAGCTTTTTCGAACCACTGAGTCGAGGAGATGAAATGACTAACTGAGATAGGAAACACGGACACGAAGTTCTACTGGAAACTTACGCCTCAGATCTATAGGATTAATCCATATTCGGAGAAGTGGGATCCGAGGGAGTTGATGATCCATACAGTGGATGAACGGATGCCTATTGAGGGGATGCTGGAGTCGATCAAGTTTTATCATGAGTTTATTCGAGTTGTTGATGAGAGGAGGTTATGATTTTCCGCTTCGCAAATCTTAGGTACCATGTACACTACTTGCTCGTCCAATTCACCTGTGTCAGAAAAAAGGAGATGTATATGAATTGTACTGAAGTGATTCGTAGCATTATTCAACAGTGTTGAAGTCTAATCTCTTGATATTTGCTCAGTGCTGAAAGCCGTTATTCTTTGCAAGCTTTCCCAGACCGCTATTCATTAAACGAGAAATTGAATCGCCAAATGCCTGTGTATAATCCAAACTCCGTCCTCATTCGATCAGAAGTAAAGAAAACGAAACAGCAATGCCAAAGGACAATTAAACCCCGACGTTCACTGCTCCCTTCGCTTCGTAACGAGCAGCGCCATCAAGCTCAACATAACCATCTTCTCAAACTCCTCTCCACCCTCACTCCTAACCTGCAAACAGCTCCGTCCCTTCCACCCTCTATACGACGGATCCTTCTTCAGATACTGCGCAACCAGCAACTCCTCTTCATCATCATTCCGATCCGTCACCAGCTCCATATCATCCCAATTCCCATTCGTCGTCCCATGGCCCCCATTATCATGAAACTTCTCCCCCTTATGCCTCCAAATAAACGTCTCCCTCTCCGCACCCCCAAACGAGAACGCAAACTGGTGCCGCGACGACCATCCCTTGACTCGATCCAGCCTCTCCAGTATCACCGGGCCGTGGACATAATCGCCAATCTCAACCGTATAGTGACCCGAGAACGTCTTGAGATCCGCGTCGCCCAGTATCTCGCCCTTGGCGTCGGGTCCCCGATGCAGGATCACATCTCGTTTCTTCGGATTGTAGAGCGAGATCTCGCCTCGGTATTCTGAGTCGTCGGATGAGGACGAGATCTGGAAGTCGCCGAGCCCGGCTTTCGTTATCCGGTAGGATTTGAAGTAATTGCTGTCTTCGGGTCGAGTGATAGATTTCTTTAACTCGAGGGATTGGGATGAGGATGTGAGGGTCGTGACCGTGGTCTGCGGCGAAGCTTCCATGGTCGGCATTCTTGCTGTTTACTGTACTGTGCAGGTAGTAAGGTTACAAAAGTGGGGAACTGTCTGCGAGCGAGGTGATAATTATGGAAACAGTGCAAGGAATAATAACGAACGAGGGGGAAAGCCAAGAGCGGGACCTGGGACCTTTATCCCCTCTTCAACTGTAGCGGGGTACAATCACCGCCGAAAACCGAACAGCAGCTAAAGAAGAACAGAAATCCCATCCCGTGCGCAGAAAGAGATTGAAAACGTGCCTTGCGAGAAATTGTTGCAGCTGCGTCATACACTGTTGGTGGCCTCCAATTGCAACACGGTTCTGGGCCGCTGGTTACTGAGTACCCTTGAATCAGCCACTTTTTTGCTTTTCCGTGGACGCCACAGGGTTCGAGACTGGACAGCGAAATTCTTTTTGCGGGTGGTGACCTGGCGGCACCTCAGCGGGAGAGAAGAAGACGCTTCACTTTTTGGCAAGTGAATTGCACGAAAGGCTGCGCTGTCAATGCCGAGCTCATCTCGGGTTTATTTGTTGTAAACGTAATTTATGTCTCGGGAGGAGACTAGGGAGAGTCTGGCTTGTTGAAATTTTTGTTTTCACTTCTGTCTCGTGCTCGTGGAGATCAGGTGCGACAACCTTAATTACGAGAGAGAAACTAGATTTGCCTGATCGTGGCTCGATGTCGTAAGCAGTTCAATTGGTGGACAGGCTGTGAGATGAGGAGTACGGCTTCATCTTGGGGTATCGTTGCGTGCTGCCCCATTACCCAATCTGATTCATGAAGGCCAGAGTAACAGTTTGTCAATATGATGCTACTTGGATCGTGTCCTAGCTTTGAAGACGGAAGAGTTGCCGATTGTCGGACGTTGCCGAGGAGCGAACATCAGTCAATTTCTGCTAAATAGCTCGTCAAATTCCGAGTGCAAGACATTGGTGTTGATGGGAGAATAGAATCCGGCCTTATCATCTGAAGATCTCGGATAGAATTTGCTCTTGTGAAGAAATGTTCACTAGCATGTAGACTAAGAATGAAAAGTAGACATTTCGCACTCTTGACAGTCTGAACCAGGTTCAGACTTCAAATAGAGGACAACAGCGAAAGTGAGTCAAAGTCTGTCCTAGACAGTCACTCGTCTCGAGCCAAGTCCAAAAGTCTGGTCCCTTGTCCTTGACAGCGAAATGCAACAAACCTTCTCCACTATCCTAGACATCAAGCTCAGAATTATGACTTGGAATGTTCAAGTGTCCATTGCTAGACACAATCAAACACCAACTATGAAAGCAATGGACACTTGAACATTCCAACACCTTCCTCTCAGCAGAAGGCTGGTAAAGCAGATTTCCCACCCTTATTCGTCAGTCAAGCATTGTCGTGGCCATAACTTCAAAGCCTTCTCGATTCCGAACTCGTCATCGCAGCCCTCATCACATCGCATTGTTGCGCATCGCAAAATCAATTGTCCACCTGAGGACCTCCCTTTCTAAGCCCATCAATCCTACATCCAATCCTTTCCCCAATATACTAACCCCAAAGGACATACAACCCATCACTGTTGCAAATCGCAAAAACCACTATCCACATGAACGAACAACAAACTGTTCCACAAAACGACACTCGCTCCCAAAATTTCGGTCCCTACCTTTGATTCAACACGACAAACTCCTCATTGTTGCACGTCGCAAAAACGATTGTCCACCCGAAATCACAAAGAATTATCCACTTGGTGCTCCCATTCTACTTGAAAGCGTTGACGACGACGAAGGAAAGGTGATTGTGGATGTGGGGCTGTGGAACCCCTGTTTTAGCGGTGGAGACTGTGGGGGAGAGTCCGAGGTGGTCTGTGAGTACCATTTTTTGGAGAGTGTAAAGAGATGGAAATAGAATCGGACGGTTTGAAAGGAATCGAATGGTTTGAGCTGTTGGGGATTGATTACGTGTGCGCTTGCACATGCAGGAAGTAATCAGAGAAAGACGGAAAGTGTGAGTGAAAACGAGGTCGAGTCTTTGAAAATGAAATTCGACGCTAAAAACTGGTTTCATTTTCATACTCAAGCTCCTATCAATGCTCTTCCATAATCGCCCCTGTTCGGAAGTCGGTTCGTCGTGTGGATATGGCATCTCGCTGGAGTTGTGTTGGTCAAGAAAACTGTTCCTGTCAGCTACATTATCTTCACGTGTACGGGACTTTGAACTTACTTCCGCAATGGAAATCCAATTCCATGAATCCTACCGGACTATGTATTCGGTAGTAGTACGGATCCTCGTCACCAAATTCTCCAATCCAGGCAAAATATGTTTCTGGGAGATGTTTCTTGAAAAGTGCTAATCGGTGCTGCAGAACTGATTCGGGATAGTATTCGTTGAAGGCGAGGAAGAGGTTGATGATTGACTCTTGCTTATCTGCGGGGAATTCGGAGACTGGGCAGCCCTCTACAAACTAGATCAGCAATATGTCAAAAATGGAAGCGGAGAACCTACCGAATGGCACAATCCTATTGTCCTGTCTCGCACCAGCTAGATGCCTTTCATCAAAAGGATTCCATCTATCAGCTGGCAGACTATTTCCGTCCATGCCCTTGCTCAGAGTAGCTTTTTCCTGCAATTCTTTTGGCAGTCCTTGCATCAGCTTCAAGCTCTCCAATTCCTCAGTCCTGAACAATCTCAGCCCAGCGTGTGGTCCCTCGTCAATTCGATCTGGCTCAGCACCCATAAAGGTTGGTCCAATGACCATTCTCTTTCCCAAGAACACGACATTGAGACACAAGTGATGTCCAAAGAATGTATAGCCCCACGGCGAGTTAAGAGATGGTGTGCCAAAGAGCCGGAAGTTGTAGGAATGTTCGTTTAGAATCTTCTTGCCGTTCACGAGATGGCCTAGGAAGTCGTTTGTGAGGCAACAACCAAGAATCTTTTCGTAACCTTGTTTCGAGGAGGAAGCTTTGAGGATTGCGTGGATTGCGGTTTGGATTTCCGAGGAGCATTCGTCGAGGCGGAGTCCACCTGTGGTGCAGTCAGTACCTCATCTGCGAGTATGGGCATTGCACATGGCATACCTGGGTTCATGTAGAGTTCAGGATTTGACCATAATCTGAACTCATCATCTGTCACATCCCCACAATGAACAGCTTTCTTTTGCTCCTCACTCAGAATCTTCATCAATGCTTCCGTTTTCGCAATTGCCTCCTCAGTTGGGGCTCCCTCATCCTCAGCATATTCATATAGCCCCTCTCTGACCTTTCCATCTGAAGTGAAGCCCTTATATGGTCTCTCCAGATTCTTCTTCTCCAGACGATTGATCAGCCAAGCTGGAGCTTCAATCTGCCTGCGCGACTCGCACCAACTCAATGCATCGTGATCTACTATTCCCGCAATTCGAGGATGTGTCGGCGCAGGAATGATATCGCGAAAGGGCACTGCAGCGTCGGAGCGAGGCTTAGTGGGGTCGTTGGTCTGAAGGTATCCGGAATTGACTGGAGCTGCCATGTTTGCTATTGTGTCAGCAGATTCCAAAAGAGAGTAAGTATCACGTTGGATGCAGAAGTAGAAAGACTGGAGATGAAATAAGGAGATCTGTATTGTTTCTAGAATACATTGTGGTGTGAGCTTGCTCGAGGAGAGTGGACGCGTGGAGACATTTGGGGATCGGATGTGCTTTTCGGGACGAATCTGAGTGTGAAATGGCTGTTCCGATGTGGGGAAGCTGGATCACGTGCAGTGCGGGGTCCAATCTGCCCCGCCGGCAAAGGTCGATTTTCCACTCAGACATTGGGTCAGAGCCGTAATGTATTGCCGCTATGTCGAGAACGCTTGGTAAAGGACGGTCAACGAAGGTGGGAGAGGCAAAGTTTCGTTTTGATTGAACCTCGTCTCCTTCCCTTGTTCCTATTCTCATACGATCTTATTAAATCCTGATCTCATATTTGCATTTTCATCATGTCTTTCAGTCGTAAGTCTCACGAGAACATTTATACATGATTGTGGGGACTTACATCATCTAGGTCTGGTGAGATTCATCCCCAAATCCGGAACAGAAGCGTGCATCGGTCAACCCACCGACTCAGAATTAGATGTTGGAGCAGCTATTCGAGCGGGAAAAGATGTCGAGGTCGAGGTATTCAGCGGCTCGTCAGCTTTGAGCCCTGGAAGTTTGACGGGCAAGAAAGAAGTGATTGGAAAGCTTCTTTCTCCTCTAGCTGAGTCGGAAGTGGGAACCATTCGATGTATCGGACTGAACGTAAGTCTTCCTTTGTAGTAGATCAGAAACTTCAAGCTGAATATCCCAGTATGTGCAACATGCACGCGAAGCCAAAATGGCCATTCCCGAAATTCCCGTGGTATTCATGAAGCCATCGACATCTCTAGCAGATCCATACCCAGCACCAACAATCATCCCAAAATCCCAGCTCAGCACTGATTCTTGTGATTATGAATCAGAGCTGGTCATCGTCATTGGCAAGAAATGCAAAGATATTTCAGAAGCTCAGGCTCTGGACTATGTTCTTGGCTACACTGCATCGAACGATGTAAGCAGTCGAGCAGCTCAATTTGCTCAGAGCCAGTGGAGTTACAGCAAAGGATTCGATGGCGCTTGCCCAATAGGTCCCGTGCTTGTATCTAGAGATCTGGTTCCAGATCCCGCAAAGTTGAAATTGAGAGGGTTGAAGAATGGAAAGGTGATGCAAAATTGTGGCCTTGAGTAATATTTATCCTGTCATATCCACATGCCTGATAATTCGCTAACACGCGGCAGCGACCTCATCTTCTCTGTACCGAAAATCGTGTCTTTCCTTTCTCAAGGAACCACTTTGAATCCAGGTACCATCATTCTGACAGGAACGCCAGCAGGTGTTGGATTCAGCTTTGATCCAAAGGAGTACTTGAGAGATGGGGACGAGTTCGCGGTTGAGATTCTGCCTTATATCGGAACTCTCGTCACGAATTTCGAGGCCGAAAAATAGATATTGCACGTAGCATTGATAAAATGTTCCAAATCACTCCCTCTACCCCGCCTCTTCTGCAGTACGTAGTCCCAGCTCAACCAGTCAACTTTCAACCTATCTCTTAAAACACAACTTTATTTGCAATCTGTGCCCGCGCACCTAACCTTCCGGAACCTCGCGTCTGTCTCGTAAATTTCTGCTTTTGTAGACTACCTACCTTGATGAGGTACGTTCAGGTACACGACCCTTCCTGGTTTAGCGCACCTTCCTCGCTTACATACCCGCTGCTCTTGACTTCTCTTCTACAAAGAAATTTTTTTTCCCTTCTCTCCGCTCCATTCGTATCAACCCAAAATCCATCCATCAAACTCAAGGAGTCATCTGCACATGTATCCCGCTCGATATTTACCCTAGTCCTCTTCGAGATTATTCCAGCTTGATTTCGCCAAACGCCAATACTCCCATGTCCTGTTTGACACCCATCGTCGGCCGATTCATGCAAGTGCCTCCGTTTTGTACCTACCTCGGCCTCTGTAGTAGCCCCTATACTGATGGTCTTTTCCTTCCTGTATTTCAAGACCTCTTCATTCAAAACAGCATTGGCGTGATCGAACACAATTTTACCGTTGATTTTGGAATCTGTATACGGAAGTGTCTGTACAATACCTTGCACAAAGACTTCAGGATAAAACTTAAAGTCACTTGGTACTTGGTTTGAGACATTCGTTGGATCGATGCCTGCCGCCAGAAAAGCCTCCAGGATGGAAAACAGGCTTTCCAGAAACTTTTGTATCGTGTCGGCTTCAAGGGGGTAGTCTACCCAGCTGCGAGGAGTTATTGGCCAGCATACACCCTTTGAAAACTTGGGCAGATTGTAGGGTATGCAGAATCTAGAAGGAGCCTCAACCAACTTCAAGAGAGTTCGAGCCATCTTGGCAGTTGGGTATGGAAGCTTGGGCCATTCGAGATGTGTAGCACTGCAGAGCGAATGCAAAAGAGCTTCGGCAATTTGGCTTCTCTCTGTTCTATATTTTTGGGACAGTATTTCTCGAACGTATCCGGATAGACAAAACAGTGTTGCCTATTCCAAAAAGAATTTGTCCTTGAAGGCTGTTCCCGCTATCCGACCAGTGCCCAACCAGAATGACTTCCAACTGAAAAACCTCTTGAGAAAGTGTCTCTGGAGGGCACGAGCGCCAGTATGGTTGTCAGCATAATGGGCGTATATCATGACATCGTGCGCAAGGTCCATGGTAGAATGCATATGGACAGGGGCTCCACGCTTGGTATACCCCGTAGCGGTTATGAGGCCATTACGGGAACCTTCGCTACGACCACTCTCACACCGGTCTTGGATCTGAAGTAAGATTATAGAGGCCCTCATCATTGCGAAATCTGCAGAAAACTCTATGGGGTCAGCCCACGAAAGGATGTTCGCCCATTGAGACTTCTGTTGTAAGAAGTCCCGAGCTGTCCGATGCATGTAGATCACTCGGTCTCCAACCGAGATACCAGCACTCTTATGGAATGTTGCGACTTCTAGGAGGCCTGCACAACGTGCTGCTAGGTGTATTTGAGTATCCTTACATGCGTTAACTAGAGCAGCGTTTGACATTGGCTGTGAGCTGTGTGAGTCACTTTCGTCTTGCAAGGCAAGATACAGGCTCTCAACACGCAGCTCGCTGGCTCCACTTTGGTTCTCAGCCCTTTTGCTCTTGGGGTCCAGCTTTTGAAAGGGATCAGATCCTAACTGAATAGATCTTCTCATTATCTGGAAAGCTCTCGATGCCCATTCGAGATATATAGGCTCGATCTGCAATAGCATCGCGGTGTATAAGGGATACAAGTCCCTTGGAAATGACCTTAGGCGCTGCCAAAGTTGTGCCATTGAATCCCGGTTTGCCACACCGGTGAGTAGTAGTCGGACCACTACTTGCACCCAGAGAAATACACCTTCCGCCTTTTCGACGATCTCTTCTATAATTGCTGCAGCATCTTCAGGCCCGTTGACCTCGAGCTTTAGGAAGCCTGGATCTCGATGAAATTTTTCATCGACATATATTTTTATATCATCAAATGTCATATCTTGTAGTCTCAGCGTTGCGCAACCCTCAAAACTGTTTTGGAACTCCACCCAAGGTCGACTCGAGACGCAGAATTTAGCATTATTTGGATTCAAGCGAGAGAGTTCTCGCAGGAAATAACACAGCTCCATAGTATTGCCACCAAACTCGTCCAGGCCATCAATAAAGAAACAAAGCCTCATCGGAATTTCTTTCTGGCAGACCAATCGGCGAAACGCATCGGTGAGCTGCGGAAGAGTCCAAGGATCAGCAGCAATTTCCTCGCCCAGGTCCAAAGATCCCGAGTATTGCTTAGCCCATCGGTTTGGGAGACAAATGGGGATGAGACCTCGATGTTTTCCAAGAATTTGGAAAAGCAGCGAACGAAGGAGACCTTGATGACTCTTTTGGATTTCAGTGCCACTATTCCAAAAGAAGAATGTTGCGACCGCAATCGGGACTTGTGGTTGCAATCTTGATTGAGACTGGCCCCATTGCTGCAAAAACGTCTTCGTACGTGGATCGTCGAATATATGCTTCATCAGCGTTGATTTTCCAGAGCCTGCTTTCCCGTTGATCCAGTAAACACCACCTTCACTCCGTAGCCACTTAGTAAAGTCGCTCCATGGTAAATCTTTTGTTGTCTTGCTTGCATAGATCCAATCGAAAGTCTTCGGATGAGGCTGTAGCACATCCTCATAGCGATATGTCATGGCGGGGTATATCAGATGCTCAAGTATCTTTTTGTCGACCGAGAGACGCAGTTCTTCTTCTTCCGTGTCTTCTACATCAAGCATTTCGATCCTAGCCGTTATATCGCTCAGTTCAACAGTATTCGAATGAGCATTTCGCAACTCGATGATCATCTGACGTGTCGTGTGATGCTCGTCTTGATTCAAAGCCTGAAGTCGGCAAAGCAAGTTCGAGATTGGGTTTATGATTTGCTGCGGGAAATCGCGATGAGTTTCCAATACAGACGCGACGATCTGTTTTGTCTGGATATCAAGAGCATCAAATCGAGTGGACGAACGTACAGCCTCGGCGTCGAGCTTTCGACTAGAATTGTTAGAATGACTACAAAGATATAGGACTTCCAGGAGTCTATAGTACCTCAAAGAGAAGATGAGTCGGGAGTTTAGCGACTCCTTGAACGCGGAGAGTCGCTGAAGCAGGGACTTAATCTCCTCCTTCGACCACGCGGCTCTGAACGCAGCACGAATGCTTTGCTGCATACGTTTCATTTTCCCGTCTCCGTCCTTGAGTTCGATCTGCAACTTTTCGAGTCTTTTGAGCAACTGCTCGGCAAGTTGGAGGGCCTCGTCGCATATCTGATGGAACGCAGCCTCCTCACCTTGGTCCTCTTCAGAGAATGGCCTTTCGGCTGCTCCCAAAGCTGTACCTGAGCTTTCTCGTAACTTGGAAACGACATTCTTGAGATCGCTAATAATGAGTATTAGTTCCTCGTGCGGCTTGATCCTCCCAGAGCCCGATCTGTAAAGCTGGAAAGTCTCTTGAAACAGCTTCGATCCAAAGTCAACGAGTTGTATGACCGTTCCAGCGACGGACAGTGCTGATAATGGATCCATAATGGTGTAAAATCAGATACGCTCACACATGTCCAATCTTCAGGCCAATCGCAGTATTCAAGGTATAGATGGAGCGTAAGGCTGTGAGCTTGTGATTAATTGTCGACCCCAGCCACGACAGAGAGGATATGTATACTCCTGGACCAACGCTTATGCAGATTTCGAATGAGACATATGAGTGAAATCGGAAATTTTAAAATGAAAAATCGAAACGCATCGATTGAGGGAGGTGAAATTAATTCACTAGTTGAGAGATCTTGGGTGCGTGGCGCAGTCCTGCAAGGCTCTTGCCTCGCACCCAATGATCCCCTTCAGGCTTTCAGATTGGCAGATTTGCCCAACTCCCGTAACGGCTGCCAATGACACGTCTGTAGATGTGTGAGGTAAAGAGGGAGTGAGGGAAGCCGGTGGTTATGAGTATCTAGGTAGGTAGGGGTTCGGACCTCATGTCACGAGTCTCGGGGCATGGTTGAGGAGCAGAAAGTTGTCAAGCTTTAAACAGTCTCCTATTGTGAGCAAAGTCTATGCTAGGAACTATCAGAAGTATAGTTTTCAAATTTTCTTCAAGCCAATGTGTGCATATCACGTAGAACAGCCCCCACCATCGGATTAAGAAATAAGCGGTCAGCAGAAGACTTGGAATGTTTCGATTATGCTTAATCGCAGATCTTAAATTTTTCACTTAACATGCTTTGATCATATCCGCAGCTCCGAATCTGTCGCAATTTAAATCGAAGGATTTTTCCTGAAACCCTATTTATTAAGCAGAGCCAAGCAAGTAGCAGCCCCGCTGAACTACAGCTGACAGTTCTCGCCCACAACATCGATATTCGGTTGAATAAAGATCTTTCACCTCATCAGTCCGGAGAATTGCTAAGTACAATTAGAAGATGACTGAGGGTATCGCCGATTTTGCTGTTCCGGGGCTATCTGTACCCTGCAAGACGTGGTACAAAGTATTCGGCGACTTGAAAACATCAACACAGACACCGCTGATAGTACTCCACGGCGGCCCCGGAGCGTGTCATGACTACCTCCTTCCATTAACAGACCTCGCACCCTTCATTCCTCTCATCTTCTATGACCAAATCGGAAATGGTCGATCAACTCACCTACCCGAAAAAGTCGGCGATGAAGCTTTCTGGACAGTAGACTTATTTCAAAACGAGCTCGACAATCTAGTTTCTCACCTAGGACTGAGGGACCGTCCTATCGATGTATTTGGACACTCTTGGGGCGGAATGCTCACCGCTGTCTGGGCAGCAACTCCGTCGCGTGCCGCGAATCTCAGACGGCTGGTGATATCGAGCAGTCTTGCAAGTATGGACGTATGGCGAATTGGTATCACGGCTTTGACGGAAAAACTCCCCGAAGATGTCCAGGAAGTACTTCGTCGGGCTAAGGAAACCAAGGACTTTAAAAGTCCGGAGTATGAGGCCGCCGTGGAGGTGTTCTACAAACGACATCTAAGTCTCGCAAGACCTTGGCCTTCGGAAGAGGTCCAGGCTGCACTGGGATGGTTTGCGGAGGATTCGACTACTTATAGTACCATGTGAGTCGGCTCTGCTACGTTGTGTCTTTGACTGATGGTTGGAGTAGGTACGGAGCGAGCGAGCTTGAGATTTCTGGTTCCCTTCGTGACTGGAGCTCGATACCGGTATTGGGTAAGATCAAAGCACCGACTCTGTTGCTGAATGGAACGGAAGATGAAGCGCAGGACGTGGCAATGCAACCATTCTTCGATCATATCAAGAAGGTGAAGTGGATCACGCTGGAGAATGCTGCACACTTCGCGCATGTCGATCAAAGGGAAAGGTTTATGAAACATTTGAAAGACTTTTTGGTGGAATCATGAATTCAAGGGGCTTGTTAATGAGATTGAGTGGAGTTGTCTCCCTAACTTGCTAGGCCTCAGTACGCGTCTGTTGAAGAGGGGTAGCAAGCGTGGATGCTGGCGGCTGATCATGATAAATCGCACCTCGCACTCTTTACCGATCGAGAAATGTATCATCAAGTGTGTAGGTATATTTAAGTTTTAACGCTGACTTTAATCCAAAGTAATTTTTCCTACCAGCTCCTAGTCTTCAATTTGCGTCGCCATCAACGACCCCTTTGACCATCGTGCACTCGGGCTGAGTGGCCCAGACACAGATGCAGATGGAGAAACGGGACCAGATACAGAACCGCTTCTGCTGCTAGTTCTGTGTCTTCTCTTTAGCTTCTCCTTCGCATTCTCCATTATTTCTCGCTGGCGAGCTTCCTCTTGTTCCTCCTCATATTTGCCTCGAATCACCAAAGCAGACGATTCAGGGAGTCCAATTCCAGGGTGTATGATAGTCTCTGTCACAATATAGTCCTGTTGAGATGTTGAAAAACTGCCAGGGATATGAGGGACAGACTCAGCTGCAACAGATGGGGTTTGAACAATGATCCGAGGAAAGAGAGTGAAGACGCGGGGACGTGTAGACGACTTGATGACCATGTCAGTGGAGGCCTCTTCCGAGGATGGAAGAGGATCGAACTGGGCAGAACGCCATGTATCCCGATCAGCAATGTTGAGTGCAATGTAAGCCTCAACCTTCAATTTGTCTTTCTGTGCAACATTCCACACTTCGACAGCAGATTGGGCAAGCCGAAGCAATTTCTCTTGTATTTCGACTTTTTGTGCTGGATCCACCAATGGCGTCAGTTTCCCGATAATTTCCTGGACAGCTTGGCTGGCTCGAGATGAGAACTGAGAGACTTGGTGCGATGTTGCTGGTGATGTTGGGCTGAGGGGCAACTCTTGATCCGCAGACTGCAGGCTGCGCATGGTCAGGACTTTCCAAACCATTGCTGCACGTCCATTCTTCCCGCCAAGTTCGTTTTTAGCAAGTCTCGTATAGATTGTATTGAGCCAGTTGGCTAAATTCGTATCTGGAGAAGTTTCGTCGGAAGAGAATGGTTGCCAGATGTTATCATATAGGGCTCGAGACATGATCCGCTGGACATGGGCAATCCGTAATTCTGCGGAAGTGTCTTCTTCAAAGATTGGGACTGATCTAAAGCAATCATCGATGGATTTGAGATCTTTATGAATCTTCTCGAAATCCTACATCTAGTCAGTTGTGTGCAGTGCGAAAGAGGGAATGTTGCATACATCATGAGGCAAAAGTCTGAAGTATTCAGAAGATATCGTCTCGATGTTGCTAGCTATATCTGCAAACTTTCTTTTGCTGTTTATGAAATCAGAACTCTCCTTGATGGAAAATCGGAAATGTGTCAAATGCTTACTAGAAATCTGCATCTTGTCTAGTCAAATCAAACTCGTTCTGAATTTCCTTCAACGTCGCTTCCAGCTCCTCCTTTTGCTGCTTGTATAAAATCTTGGCCGCCCTATTGTCGTCAAGATCTGCTTGTACTGTCCTCAATTTCTTTTGTTCTTGCGCAAGGTTGTCGGACTGCTTTTTCTTCTCTGCCTCCAGATTGGATAGTTTTTTCTTCCTCTCGTCCTCTCGTGAGGTCATCTTTGCTTCCAACTGCTGCGTACGGCTTGCCAACTCCTTTTCCATCTCCAGATCCAAAGTAGCCTTCAGAGCTACAAGGCTCTTGTCAGCTTTTTCGGCCTTCGCAACTTGCTTTTCCTTCTCTGCCTTCAACTTATCCCTATCTTGTTGAAGCTCCTCTCGAATCTTACCAAGTCTCTGTTCTTCCTCTCTACTCTCGGATTTCAATTCAGCGATCTCTCTTTTCTGTCGACGGATCTTCTCATTTTTGTACTCGCACTCGGTTCGGAGAGTGTCCCGTTCCCGGTGGACTTTTGGGATCTGTTGGATGCGGTCGGCATGCTTGATGTAGAGTTCATTGAGTCTCTCCAGATTTTTCTGCACTACTGCGATGGATTGAGTTGTCTCGAAGACAGTTTTGGTGTATGGCTGAAGCGTGAATTCTGGCTCATCCGCGGTGGAAACTTGCCCAGAATCATGATATTGCGACCTGCTGGCATTCTCTCTTCCGTTGACTTCTCCTATATCATTGCTCTCTTGCGCCTGACAGCCATTGTCACTTTCGTTGGCCCCTTCCGGAACCCCTTCGTCGCGATTACCTCGTTTACCTTTCTTGCCCATCGTATGAGATATCCTCTACCAGTGCGAATACTTTTTCAGCCAGGCTTTTCATGACAATCCGAGTTCATAATCATGCCTCTTACCGGTGATGTTTCTCGGACGTTCCTCTCACTACCACTGTGCCTCCGCCAGTCGAGAGACTTCGGGAAACGCCTCTTTATCGAATCGAGTCTCGACGTCTGGAAAGACTCTTCAAAGTCCCTTTCTTCCGGAGCCTTGTGGTTTTGCAGGCGAACCAACATAAATGAGTCCAGTTGCAGACAAACAAATGAGGAGATCAAAAATATTGACTGAGGATGAGGTTAAGGTGCACTGTAGAAATAAGTTGTGAACAATGCATGGTACGAAGCACATCTCGAGGAGGCCCTCAATCGCTTTGTTTCTCGAATCTTCTTCGTCACAATGGAATCCTCGATCCGATGCGCGCTGCTCTGCACCGATGTCTGAAACGGCGGTCACTGCAGCAGCCAGCCGGTTCTAGCCAGCGGCATATGTACTCTCATTCGCTACTGGCCATCACATATGTCGTGTTCCGCTCACTAGAGGTCCATTGCATAGAACTCGAGGAATTGCTCGTCCCAAATGGTTGAGTTTAACATCCAACATGATATGGCAACCTGCACTTCGTCGCATGAGATACGTGGGGGCGGCAAACAAGACTTTGTTGCCGTACACCCACTCAGGAAACGAAGAGCCTCAGTGGGTAGCCTCTTCCTGCAGGGTGGCATGATTCAGAAGATGCGGGGTCATTGATGCAAAAAGTCGTACCGAGAGCCTTGTTCTCTTCATTGGATACGCATCCAACAAAGACGCTTCGATGCTCAGCAGCGCCGGCTAGCGGCGCAAGGCACCAGAGCCATGGATATATTTCCAAAAGCCATCTGCATAATTTGCAGCAGGAGATAAAGATCTTCGCTGTACCTTTATTGGCTCAGCTTCAGTAGCTTGATATGCAACGAGAGAGGAATGTTTGTGCCAGCTAGGTGTTGTGCATTACTAGTGGTGGAAGACATTGTCCGAGAAGCAAAAACCCGCTCGATGAAAGAGTTTCAAGCCTTCCTTCCTGAAGTTCTGACGTACATGTCGATAAGGAACTGCACGTGCCTGCCTGCCGTTGCTGAGCTTTGTTGGGAGCAGTTCTCCTCCTGTGTCTATGTACCTATTCGAAATGCCAATGCCGATGATTCATGTCTTTACCATTGTTCTTTCTTCTCCTTTTCTCAGACTAGAGTGTGCAGTGTACTTACTGACTATAAGAAGACTATTCCCCAGAATGTCTTCTGCTCCTTCCTCTTTTCTCTATTCAGGGGGGAAACTGCGGATATGAGTGCGCGCCTGCACCTCACCCCAAGTTTTTGAAATCAAAAGAATGGCTCTGGTACTATACTGCTTCCGGTTGATGTCCGAAACTTCCTTTCATTGAGTTCTCGGCTTTTGCTGAATCTTGAAGAAGACTGATATCGTTTAGTTGGTAGTTGGATTTGTGGAGGGTGGGTCGAAGATCATTCGGGTTGTTGCCTGGTGTACATGGACCTTGTGTTGAGGAATTGGATTCTGGTGTAGATTAGTTTTGAATGTATATTACAACTTAATTTGGCCAATACTACGTCGCGTTTTCTCAAATTCGTCAAGTGGAGTCATGATCTGCAGGTCCGAAGTGAATGCCTGTTTCCCTCGAATGTAGGAGAAATTTTTGTGTCAAGACATATATTTCAACACAATATCGAAGCACGATCAAGAAGAGAAACTTAGATGAGGTACTGCATTTATCAACTTTAGATCCTTCAATGAATGATCAATTCTCATGCAGCCATAAGCGGAACCAAGCAACCATACTACCCTTGGCTCTCTTCACTGCACTGTACTCAGCAATTTTACTCTCATCTCCTTTAGTCGCGAACCCATGCTCAATCCCAGGAAAGTACTGATAGTCGTAAGGCACCCCCAACGTAGGAATAATCGAGTTGGCAAGCTCCTTGAGCCCTGGTGTAAACTGCGGGTCAATTTCTGGAGCAATGATCTGAACTGGCACCTTGACATTCTCGATCTCGCTCTTCTCTAGTAACGAAGGATGTGCAGTCGATATGCAATTCACTAGGTTTGCATGCTCTTTTGCACCGAGACGGAAGACGGCCCAGCCTCCGAAGCAGAAACCAGCTGCTCCTACTCGCTTGTATTGCGAGCGGAGAGCTTGCGCGCATGCGAGAATCTCCTGCTCTCTGACTGACTTTGAGTTGCGAGCCATGAAACCTGGGAAATCCAAGGTGTGCCATTGAGAAGGATCGTCTAAGATCTCGGGCGGAAGCACTTCCCCTCCAAAGCTAGAAGCGTTTCAGTAAGACTCTCACTGATTCCTACGCCACGACTCAAACATTGAAGAGTACTTCAAGGGCGAGGGAGGACTTACAAATCGGGTACATAGACCGTAGCATCAACTTCTTTTGCATATGCATCTGCCAGAATTCTTATGTTTCGAAAGGTCCAGCCATACGCGTCATGAATGAAGAGAATTGTAACGTCTTTGTTGGAACCGGTGCGATAAGATTTATTCTTGGAGAGGGTTGTCTCTCGCCCGGAGGGGGTACCTTGCCAAAGAGAACCTCGAACGCAACACTCAGACATGATAGATAAATATTACGATTGAAAATTGCAACCGAACGATCGATTCAAGCAGAGGTTGGAAGATAGAATGGGCTATGACACTTTATGGGTAAGTAGATATGCTAAGCAAATACCCCACCTCATCGTTCCAGTTATGATTGACACTAGATCTGATATATTCCAAGAATCAAGGTGCTTGTGGATTTCAAAGCATCATGTTGCGAGTTAGAGAAGTTTGGTGGAGCCCAACTTGCATCCACATTCCACGCTAACCTTATCTCGTATTTGCATCGCTCTCATTTGCCAACTTTACACTTTGAACCCAAACGCCAATTGAACCAAGAGGCTTGTTACCGGCAGCTTGCCAGGCAGGAAATTCTACCTCTTCAATCGTACATATTATTACATAATATCTCATTGACATGCTCTAAATATTAAATACAAGTAGAAGGGACAATGCGGTCAACATCCCCAGGGAAAAGTCTACCCTAAACCCCTTTCTGGAACCCGATTTCGTCGTTGTCCCGCTTGCAACTGATGCCGAACTTGTCGAACTTGTCGTGCTCCCCGAAGTCGTCTTAGGAATAGACGTCCCGGACGAGGTGTAGGTAGCATCGACCTTTGTCGTTTGGTACACAAGGCCCATTTCAGTCGTCGAGGAAGTAACGGTGACCCAACTCGTGGAGCCTGCAGAAGTGACCGTGACTGCTCTTGCAATTGTATTCTTGAGTCCAATACGGCGTCCAAGGTGAAGGGCTGACACGGTCGTCACATAGTTGATGTCTGAAACTGTCGAGGTTGTTGTGTGGTGAACTGTGATCCATTCGGTAGTGGTGAGAATCACGACGCTTTGCTGGATTGTTGTCGTGGTCTCTGAAGAAGTGATAGATGATGATGATAATGACGAGGCTGAAGAGCTTGGGGCTGACGATGAAGAGGCCGCTGCTGATGATGCCGATGAGGATTCCGACGATGTTGTCTTGTGGAAGTGTTAGAACCGTCACATAATACCACGGATCAAAAACTTACGTCCAAATTGCAATTGCACCCGTTGTAAGCTCCCGCTGTACACTTCCCTGAACCGGTGGTAGGATCTAGGACACCCTCACAACCTCCTGCACTACACAATCCATTGACCGTTCCGCAAATATTGGAGCAGAAGCAGCCATTGTATTTTCCTGCAGTACATTTTCCATAGCCGCCGGGATTATTAATACCAGCACAGGACCCAAGATTGCAGGCGCCGTTCGTGGTACCACAGACGTTGGTACATGGACATCCGGTGTATGTACCATTTGTACATTGACCAACACCTCCAGGATTATTTACACCAGCGCATCCGTTTGAGCTGCAGGCCCCATTTGTTGACCCGCATTGACTCTGACAGGCAACGCTCTGAAGCAGCGCGATGAATACACAAAACGTAAAGAAAAGCATTTCGAGAGCGGCGAAATAGAAATGACGAAAATCGAAATTAGAGAAATAGTAATTCTAGAGAAACTTTTTCTTGATGTTCATCCAAAGTATATCATCCTTCGCCAAGCATTTGACCAAGTCCCTGCATCAGCAGCTGAAAATTTAAGATTGCACTGCTTATGCGCCACAAAGTTACATCTGAAGATCGCCCCAATCAATTGGCCCAATTCAGGCGCCTAAATCTCGTTGGACGGACCGTAACGTGAAACACATTATTAGGCGACGTTGAGTGAAGCTTGGGGGCGTAATGAGGTCTAGTTCATTTGAGGCGAGGTTTACTCGAGAACAAGGCGCAAAATTGCAATCTTAACGCTGTGCCGCAAGAAGTAAGCAAGCTAACAGCGGAAGGTTTTTGGTGGTGGGATTTTGATAGGTTTATCAAAATAGCAGGACTGGAATAGAATCTTCAGTAGTGATTAAGTTTGCATCCGGGTATCGAAAGAAACGCCCGCCTCTAGTGCCCATAACGCCTGAAAATATGCAACTGTACAAAGTTCGCATCTCTGGAGCGGATACTCCGCCGTTTTTGATCATCTTTGAGCAATGTTCCGAACTGATCAACATTCCTCAGGAATCAGAAACTCTTCCACTCTCCTCCTACATCTCACCTCTCCTCCACACCCTTTGACCTCCACCAACACCTCTTCCAGCATCTCCCTTGGCAACCAATCGTAAGCACACTCCCCATCCTGATCCCTGGTCAAGTCCCCATTCTGCATCTTCCTCACAAACCCATCCACCAAGAAATTCCGCATCTTGCTCCCCCTCTCCGTCTGCTCAAACACCTCCCAGAAAGTCTCTCGAATGATGTATCCCGAGAACGATTTATCGAAGATCATAGCCATGATTTGGTTCTGTAGTTTTGATACGAGGAAGTGGTCTGCGAGGAGCCAGAGGGAGATCAGGACGTTGATATCTGGGTGCGATAATTGGTGAGGTTGTGAAATGGTTTGTGTGTAGAGCCATGAGATGAAGATGTTGAATGTTGACGGCGAAATATTGGCAATTGTGAGGTGGTCGGACGTAGAGAAGTGAGAAGCGAAAAATGGTGAGTAGTGAGTTATGAAGTTTTTATGTACGGGAATGTTGGTTGTCTCTGCTGGACTTTGGAGCTCGATTGTGACAATCGTTTGGTCGCCACTTGGAAATCATTAGCATTGAGATGGATACCTGAAGATAGAGAAACTTACAGGAATGATGGTGCTGGTTTCGATTTCGTGGGAATGTGCACGAGTCGAATGCGGGGGCTTCTAGGACTCTTGATGGGTTTCGTGTCGTCTGAGAGCTCGCTGCTCGCTGTACGCTTCCGGGTCATGACTGCCATTGTGTATGTTTGAGCTAACGACAAGCGGAGTTTCGATCATGAATTGAAGAAAGTATAAATGTGGACAGTATTCGAGACCTCGTTGGACTTTACGGCGGAGCGAATGTAGAAGAAGCGTCGACCAAAGATATCAATTGCTCAACTACTACTTTATCAGACTCAGACATGTCAACGGGAGTCTTATATGAAAGCTTCTCCGATTAGTAGTCTCATCTCAGATCACGCAGTCTGACAATTTCTGTTGAGGCTGATGAGCTACCGGTGACCGAGCATTTAGCACTTGCGTGAGCACTTCGAGTCGGTCACTTCAGCCACGTGTGTGGGGAAGTTCCGGAAAGAACGATAAATAACCTTAATCAGAAACCTGGAAAAAGAGTGTATTTTTGGGTGACTTTCTTCGAATGGTACCTGAGCAGCTTATTTTCGTACGTGAATTGGCAGCACCATTGGTTGACGCCAGACACAGCCATCTCTGAAAACCCGCCGAAGAATTTAGCGAGTCAACGGACGGCAATGCGTCGCGAACATAAATCCCCAAACCGTCTCTTTTCATCTTAGAGCTTTGTCGGAGTGGGTTATACAAGTGGTTACTGACGGACTGAGCTCCGAGTACAATCATTTTGCACGTCTAGGGAGGTTTGGAAGAGATCTCGATCTGATATGATTGTTCTCGCTTAGCCCCTGAGAATGCGCCGAGAGGGCATACCCATAGTTTGCAGCATGAGATTTTGGGACAAGAAAAGTCTTTCGAGGTATCTAAAACACCTGCTGTCAGGGTCGCCGGGAAGCCCATTCCTTTCACACCAAGCCTAAGTATATTCCCAATAGTTCTCTCATCTCCTCAGTCCAAACCGCCCTTGTTAACCTCCTCAAGCCACAGTACAACTCTGGCTCGTAACACAACTATTCACACTCTCATTACTAACGGCAGCCACACATCCACTCCCAACCAGCAGATCGGCCGAGCCAGCTTTCTTCGATTTGTCCTCGCCTGTGAGACCAATAGTGGAGTTGACCGTCGCTTTGGCGATTGATTGCGCGGCTTTGTTACCGAAGACTACTGTGCAGGTGCAGGCTTGCGTTTTTGGTGGTGGAAGTGCGGATGTCGTTTGGGTGAGGAGAATGAGGAGGAGGAGGAGATGAGGAGCTTGCATGGTGGTTGACTTCATCGAGAATGAGAGGATTTAAGTGTGAGTTTTGCTTCCGATGTGGTAGTTTGGAAGGACAAATTAAGATGAGAGTCGGTGGGGAAGGAAAGTGGTATATATGAAATCCATCGATAGAAGAAAAGCTTACTACACGAGAGACTTACATCGCAAGCAAGAAGAATTGGAAGCATTGTTGCGATGGCGTCTCAAAAGTCCCACGGGGCTTGGACATTTGTATATCTCCAATGCTAATTAGACCAATTGACATTAAAACGCACAAGCCTCTCCTCACATGTCGCACGTCTCCATTCGCATCACCAGCATCATCTGACGTTTTACCATCCGAAATGTTGGGATATGGAAAGAATTTGTCCAAACATCGCATCGCATGACGGTGTTCGTCTAATCGCAAGGCTGGAAATTCGGCTATTATTAGGTTTGGAGACTCGTTACAAGTTATGCCTCAAAGACACTGAATTATCATGATCATCGTACTGACCATAGATGATCGAGAGCTTTAAGTTCGACTTCCTTTCAAAATCCATGTGTAACAAGCAAGAGCAATAGCCATGCATACTCTTCCATCTCAGTCGTCGAAAGACCCAGTGGTGCTCAACATCTCAAGTCGATATGCTCACCGCACTTGCACATAGCCCTTTAACTCGAACAAGAAACCAAACACGACCACTTACAAGCCTGCCGAGTCCTCTCAATATCAGTGCTGAATAAGAAGGAAAAGAACGCTGACATCGTCCATCACCGCTTAACCCCTGAAAAGCACCGAGGCGGCACGCCAGAGAAAAATCCGCCGACGCGGTCAGCTAGCCCACTTGACGGCCGCTCAGAAACTAATCTTAGAGCAATCCTCTCTCTGTCACCGATTCTCTGAGCAGGAAGGTAGAAGTTTTGTTGCACATCGTCTACACGTGATGGTCATTGCTCGTGTGCTCAGTGGCTGTTTGAAGAAAAAGCTGCGCCGTCGTCGTTCCCATTGCTACCTATGCTACTATCTCCAAGGGTATCTATCTATTCATCCAAAGTAACACCGCGTTAATGCATCCTCATCCGTTTTGAGTCGAGATTATTTCTTCACGGTTTTGTTCTCACCGCTCCCCTCCCCGACCTCCAGGCTTGTATCGAGCCCTGCATCTAAGGCACTTGCGATATCTTCTCTGATTCGCATCGCCTTCATGTTCTTTTCCAGCTCCTGTCTCTTAGCCTCCAATTCAGCAGAAGCTCCACTAATACTCGCACTTCTATTCTGCTTAACTCCTCTGGCGTTCTGTCTGCCTTCCGCTTGCAGTCTAGCAGCAGCTTGTTGTTGAGCCTGTTGCTGGGCTTGTTTGACTGGTACCAACTCCTTGACAAAATCCTGAGCCTCCTTGCAGCCATCCATGAGAAACTTGATGACCAGCGTAGCGCGCTCTTTCAAGTACTCGTTATGGCCATCATAGACGCAGCAGTTGAGCAAAGGCATGATTCCATGGTGAGCCAGCAGCTGCTTTTGCACGATCGGGTTGCCGAGCTTGCTTTGCGGGACTGGATTAACAGCTCCTTCGCGTCGTGCATGGGTAGGTGCGATGAGTGAAGTCAGGATGATGAGAATTTGGATCTTGATTCCTGACCACGGGAACAGATGAGGTGTATCGTGCAGAGGCGGTGCGTTAGGCGATGCATGTGAACCAGTTTTACCATTGGAAGGATCAGCTGCTTGACCAGGACGTCGAGCTGGACCTGGCATGGGAGCCGGGACCAGTTGCTTTTTTGCCACTCCAGCTTCCAAGGCTTGGAGCAAAGCTACCATTTCATAGACTGTCTCCCACTCTATGAGGAGATGCCGCATTTCTGGGATCTCAGCAATCACCGAGATGAAGTCTAGGTACTGGGAAAGCCCGTCCTTAGCTCGTTCCATGTCCCATAAATCGACAGGAAAGTCGCTGTGATGCTTCTTTTTCTCCTTGATCTGAGTTTGTGCATCGATCAAAGCCAGACAATCTGGTACTACTCGACACCTAAAATAGTTGTAGAGAAAGTGAATCAGCTTAGCATCGCGGTTGTAGTCCTTGACATCGTCATATATTGGACTATCTTTGCGAGCACGGAACATGTAGTTGATCAGACGCAGGAGAACAGTCTGAGCCGGAGACACGATATCCTTGAGAATTCGGAGAGAATTCCAAGCGTACGGTAGTAGCGCATTGTGATGAAATGACTCGATGATTTGAGCAGTGATCTGGAAAATGAACTGTTGGTCTGTCTGTTCCCAGACTGCAATGAAGACCAACAATTCTCGAAGCAGATTTTTTCCGCAATCGAGTGCCAAGAACATCTTGCATCTTGTCTTTTGCAGGTTTTCGCCTGCTTGGGTAAGACCAGAGCCCATTGAGTCCACGATACAGGCTTTGACAGTCATGTGTAAAGCTTCAATCTGCTTTGTGTCCAAGATATTGGGTATCTCCGTCAATAATCCTCGTAACGGACCTTCGACATAAGAATCGTCATCTTCTTCCTCATCTTCCTCATCCTCTCCATTGTCGTCTTGAATCGATCGATCATCCATATCGTCAGGGACCACAATATCATTCTCAGGCTGGTGATCGTATTGCTCCTCTTGCTCATAATGGTCGTGATCTTGACTTCGAGGCATATATCGGTGCATGGCATTGTCTTTGCATGCTCTCGCGCGGGCCTCTGCACCCTCAACGGTCTCCATTGGCACGATCCAGCCATCGAAATTTGCGTCTCGGACTTTCTTCCACCAGATGTCTATCTCGTGAGAGACTCTTGCATAGAGTCTATCTTGCTCAAATTTTTTATCTGCAAGGTCTGGCTTCCACACAGGCGTAGACTCCTCCGCAATCTCAGGTATATCATCGAACTCGCTCTCAGGTAGCTGACCGGGGGTGTAACCAGTAGAGACCTCAGAAGTATAAGCATCGAGGAGCTTCGCAGCTGCAGGATCCTTCTTGTTGTGCCTCCTCAACCAGTTTCTAACTTCTTCGTGTACCTTCACAACATCCAGGTCGTCTGGAGGTAGCTCATGGATAGCGTCGTTTTTCAAATCATCGTCGAACAGCATCTCGAACCAAAAGGACATCTTGAATCGATCGTTTCCCATAGTCCAATTATGCGTATGCTGCAGGCACGTAACTAAGAGCTTCTTGTCTATTTCTGTCAGGACATTGCTCCACTAGGTGTTGTTGGAGACTCACAAAGCTCTGTGATCTCGTTCAACTTTCCCCTCCTTGCCTCATCTACCGTCTCCCCATCATAACCCTTGCTAGTGACATTGACACAGAGCACAATAAGCTTCTGCACTGCCTTGTCGAACTGTACTGCTGCGCAAAGCTCCTGTGCTGTTTCCTTGATTGCCAGCATGTTCCTACTAATCACTAGCAGGCTATTCAAATAATGTAGGTCCTCCCTCAGCGAGTCGTACGACGCCAGTATCAGATTAGCAGGATCGGGCACGTCTTGACTGGCACTCTCTGAAGGAGGAGATTGAGGTAACGATCGTTCGTCTAGAGAGCCGACTGCCAAGTTAAAGATCTTCTGCAGGTGCATCCAGATATCGACGTTCTTCGCAAGCTTTTCCCTAATGTAGCACAAGCATCAGTCCAGTCTCCCACGCTCAGAGCTCCAACAGAGCAATTGAGAAGAGAACAAGCAAGCCCTACCTAACCTCCGCTCTATTCAAGCTCAAATCCAACGTCTTCCCCACCATCTTCTTGACCTCCCCCATCGTCTTAACCAGATACGTCTTCTTCGGCCTCTCAAAATGCCCCTCTAACAGCACCAACGCAGCATTAAACACCCTCTCCTCCTCACTCTGATTATTCCTCCTCCGCTTCATCTTCTCTCTCTCATCAGCATCAACCACTACACCCGCCATACCGACGCCCAGTCCGTTCGAGTAAGGAGGTTTATAGTCGGGCAGGATGGATTCGCGGTTCGTGCGATAGGTGGACGAGGTTTCGTCCCACCAGGTCGCGAGAGGAGTTTTGCATTTGCTGCAGATGGTGGAAGGAGTACGGTTGGCGGGGAGGGGATGCCCGCACTCGATGCAATGCATGGTGTGAGTCAAGGTGAGGTTTGTTGGGAGGTCGTGGTTGCTGCTTTGTTTTGGTGTGGGAGATTTTTTGTTCGGGTGTGACGTCCACAGCACACTACCTCCGTACTAAGGGGCTGAGATAGCCTAGTCCAGGTTCTTGTCCGACCACTATTGGAACTTTTGATATACGAGTTCTCTTTCACACCTATGATTCGAATTATGTCCAGTGAAAATGTTTAGGGATTTAAGAAGCTGGGAAAAGATTGCTAAGTAATTTAACGGTAGCACTGGAGTCACGTGTCTATGAAGCTTCAGGAGCACCTGCAGCAGTCTGAAGTAGGTATTACATTGCATGTTTTGTTCTGCGGAAGAAAAAACGCATTACGCAGCTAGAGACTGCCATACAATCCATTCCAGTCGTCTCCTAGCCTCATCCCATTTCGTGCCAAACCCCATAGTAATGCATAATGTACAATAAGCCAGTTGATGCCGCAAAAAACGCTCCAAGCAGCAATCAAACTTTTTACAAGAACCATACCGTTTACTGGCCTGTTGATCCTTCCTCGGTCGTACTGTTGCCGTTGTTCTTCTTGCGGCGGACACGTCTCCGCTTCTTCTTCGATGTTTCTCCTCCAGCTTCGTGTTGCTCGTCATGGTCGTCTGGGGAGCTATCTGGACCAGGGTTTGATGGCCCTGACGTCGGTGAGCTCTCACCGCTGCCATCTCTTTCATCTCCTGATGTGCCATTTGCTTCTAGGACAACTTTTCGAACTCCGCCCGAGTCAATATGTGTTTCTGTGATACTTCCACTTCGAGCTGGACCCTTTTTTCTCGTTGATGGAGTACGTCCAAGCGAAACTAGGGAGCCGACAGTATCGCTACTCCTTGAACTGCCCTGACTTGGTTGTCTATCGAAAGCCCATGGTCGGGGGCTAGTCTTAACAGTCGGACTTTTCGAGGCTCCATCTGTGGTAATCATCTGCGATAGATTACTCATTCCATTTGGTCCGAACGATCCATAGCCCTGCTGAACAGCTTGGACGCCGTCCTTGGCATCCTGGCCTGCAGACTTGAGTAATCCGGCTCCTTCTCCACCTTGAGGCGCTGGATTGTCTTGATAGGGCTCTTCCACGATCGAGTCGGAGCGGATAGGTTTATTAGTCGAACTCTTGATCTTCACCGTGTTGTAGCGAGTCGTCTTTGGTCGGCTCGCCAGGTTAGACGGTCCGAGATGCTTCAGATGTTCTCGCATGTCATGGACATTACCTCGAACGGAAACAGTAGCATTTTCTCCACCGCTAGAGCTTCTTCGGAGAAAAGTTGCCTTCGGACTTGAGCCAAGAAGACCCATGCTGTCGGTTCTCGTCTCTGAAGTTCGGCTTCGACTTCTTATGATAAGGGGTTCTTCGCCCTCGGTAAGATCGATCAAGTGGTCTTCTGGCGCGTGAAGAGATGCGGCATCTGGATTAGTCACGAACTGGCCTCTTTGCACGCGTGCCTTCGGAGCCGGTGCCATACGTCGAATGGCTTTATGGACATCAATGTAGACATCAGATTCGTCAATAATTTCCCTATGAAACGTTAGGCCAAGCATTGGAGGTTTTGGTTGTTATACGTACTCGCCAATAAGCTCCTCAATCACGTCTTCCAGCGTCACTACACCAATAGCACCATAGTCTTCGCCTGGGAACTCAGAAACGAGTACCATATGAGACTTGCCTTCTTGGAAAAAGTTGACAATATCGAGGCAGCTTGTCTCAGGTCGGGTCTCAGGCAGAGTTGCTAATGCAAATTCGCTGACCTTTTTGCAATCCTCAGGATCATAGGTGATCAGAATCTTAACTAATAACATGCCAACAAAGTTGTGCTCGTTTCCAGGTTCGTAGATTGGTATGCGAGAGTATCCAGCGCTGAGGATGATGTTCATCGTGTGTTCGTCGAGCACAGTGTCTGCAGACATCGTGAAAACATCATCCATTGGCGTCATGATATCACCCACTGCCTTCTCCTTCAAATCGAGGACGGCGCTGATGATCGTAACTTCATCTTGGTTGAGACGTTCCGTAGGACTGGATCCCAAAGTCTTATGCAGTGTAACCAATGTCTTCAGCCCCGACTTCTTGTATACGGTTCCATGATCTTCACCGAGAAGCTTGTCGAGGAGTTTCGCTGTAGGCCATGCCACTGGAGCCATGAGCCACATGAGGCAGAGGACGCAAGGTGCCATGTAAGAGCCGATTGAAAGGCCATATCGGACGCAGATAGATTGAGGAATGACTTCTCCAAAGATAACTACAGAAGTTAGAATTTCTACAGTAGCGCTGGGGATCTATATATACCGATCAAAACAGTACTGCCCAGAACGGCGGGCCAGCCTCCACCTAGGGAACGATCGAGTACAATTGGGAGAGTTTCATTGACAATGACGTTGCTGAGAAGCAAGGTTACCAAGACCCAATGTTTTCCTTTCTTCAACAAGTTGAAGACCTTCTGAGCATGTTTTTGTTCCTTTCCTTCTCCTGATTGTGCAATAACTTGTAAATAGATACTGTCCTGTCCCATCAACCTGTTTGGAAATCTCGTCAGTGTCCATGTTTACCAAAAAGCTGAAAATCTTCCTTACGCGATGGTCAAGCCAGCAAATGCCCCTCCTAATAGAACCAGAGCCAATGCAACGCTCATGTACAACACCAAGCCTCCTCCCTCCGCCGGCTCTGGCTCCTCCAGCTTCAGCAGGTGAATGTATTTCTTCAATGGCGCGGCTGCCACATGTGTAATCTGTGCGAGAACGAGGAGAAGGATCTTGGTGATCCCATTGGAACCCGGTCGATGGGCATTGTAGCCATTCGAGCTCGACCGACCTACTGCGACCGCCGAATTTGAGTTCATCGCCGCACTGGAGCTTCGAGTTGACCGCTACAAAGACAGCAGTTCAATTGGCCGTGATTTACCGATCTGCCTGTCGAGCAGCTATCGATATCCGACTCGAGAAGGATGTTCCTGGACAGCCACGAGGGATGGCAGCAGAAGAAAGGCGACGTGCAAGCACGAGAGGCGACTTAACAGAGCTGCAATGATACTATGTCGAGGGATCGAACAGGGTCTTCACCTGGAGAGGTGGTTAGTGGCACCGTGTGGCCGTGTGTTGATGCTGTGTGTGCTGGGATTAATTAACCTTTAGACGAAAATGACGACGATTTGCTGCTTCCACACCTCAACTTGGTTAAAGAGCGGATAAGTTGTCAGCTGTTGTCGAGAACCTCGCTCGAATCAAAGCACACAACAAACAAACGAACACTTTCGAGAGACGACACGAACGTTCGTGAACAAAGAGGAAGAGGTCTTGTGTTATGAGAGATCTTGAGAAAGTATCAGGAAAAAGCAAGCCGATGTCTTTGGTTCAGCAGCACCTTCGTAAGCTGTGTCACCAAGATGCGAAGAGACAGTGTTCACAACGTCAATTATAGGGGTTAGGTTTCATTGCAGCCTTATCACAGCATTCTCTCGAGGGCCTATCCGCTGCTCTGTATCGAGTCCATACAGTCCTTTACCTCGGTGAAGGAGCTGAGGAAGCGCCGTTATCTTCGTTGAGCTACCTTGTATTACACACCACGAAGTACTAGATAGCTATGGCAGACGCGATGTAGTACACGGTCTTGCGCAGCTCTCGATTGGCAAGGTCTCCAGACGAATGTCCTGTGTTTAACATTCAACACGTGGCATCATCACGTGTTGCTCAATGTACCCAGACATGTTTTCTTCTTATTCCCATTCAGCCTTGCATTGAACACTCTTGGACCTTCCGTACAGAGTAATCTTACGACCAACCATTCAAGTCTTCCATTCAAGAGTGAGTATCTGTAATCTTAGTCTTAGATCTCCTTGCAGAAGCGCCTCCATGTCTTGAAGCAAAAATTCTTCTCATTGGCGACCGCCATTGTCTCCGTTATCAATCTGTTTAGTACCCACTCACTCGACCGAGCGGTATTGGCTGAGACAAGAGCTATCAAGATCTACGGGAAGGGCCGACAAACGCAAGCCGCTGAGAGCCTCATTAAACAAGTTTCATTGCGATCTCGGATCGGCATTCCGTCCAAGACATTTTGCAAAAGAACAATGCAACAATTGCCTATTTCCGAACGCCATGCATTTGCTGGTCTTTGATCATCAAGGTCAAACCTTACATATAAGAATTAATGATGAACACTTATGCCTTTAAATTCGAAGCTTCCAGTATTCTTTGAAGAGAGATCAGCAGATATTGAAGGCTGGCAACATTGTCATTTCATTTCCGCTTGAGTTTCAATGGGCAATCTTCATGTGACATCAAGTCGCTAAATTAAGTTCAGTTCTCTTGAATCCTTTGTCTTCGGGGGCACCCGGTCTGAGACCAAGGATTCAAAGCCCGATCTCATGATTCCCGTTGCTGCATTGTCGTTGGGTGCTCCCTTCACCGATGAACCGATGATTTGTAACATGTGATATCTGTGCAGTTAATTTTGTGCATATGCATGCAAGGACGAATGCACATAAGTCCGATCTGCTTCACTGGTAGCCATGAAGAATTGATGGCCTCTTCGCTACTCGACCCCCAATGAAAATTGTCCCATGTGATCACACGATCCTCAAGTGACTCGAATTCCATCTATTGTTCAGTTTTACAGCGATATGATTCAGCCGTTTTATGTTTGCTGCATAATTTGGCTTTAAATCAACCAGGCTACACTGGCATTTTATTTTGATGGCTTTCCTATTCGAGGCATCCACTCAAGACTCTTGCCCTCATTTTGCGCCGTGGGCTAGGACGTGTGCCACCCAAGGAGGGACCACACTCTGGGCTTTACTTCCCCCAACTTCTCCATCATCGTACCTATCTCCTTTATCCTCCCTCTTTGGCCTTCCCTTCTCCTCCGCCGATGGCTCCTCCACGCCCTCTCCTTTCTCACCAACAGGTGGCACAAATAACTCCAATTGATATCTCGTCCCAGTAAAAGCACTTTGCCCAATCGGGATCCAATCCACGACAAACAATACATCATCAGGGACTCCAAGCACACGACCCATCAAGCCAATGTCATCTAACAACGGACTTTTGATTTTTCCGCCCACATAGTCCCCCACGAAGGTGACGGCGGTCCAAGGGCTTTCATGACTTGTCATGAGACGTGCTGGTGCATTTCGGGTGTTGACTGAAAGTCGCATGGTGAGGAAGCAGTTCATATCATTGGCTCCCGTCATGCCTGGTATGATGTTCGAACCGTTCCCCAAGTTCACCAAGTACCGTTTCGCGCTCGCGTAGACATCGGGTTGGTCCGCACAAAACCAGGTTGAGAGTGAGGTAACAGTGCTTCGTAAGGCCGGGATGAGTTGCTGGTATGCGGCCCAGTGTGGACTTCCCGGGTGGAACAGAGCGGTGTGTTGGCATAGGGGGATAATGATTGTTCCCCTGGGTGTTGGTGGATGGTTGCCGTGTTGGGCATTTGGGAAGGGGTAGAGAGGAATGTTTTGCGTGAGGAAGTGGGTGATGTGGAGGCGGAGTTCGTTTGATATCATGTCCAGCGAAAAGCTGGGCGTTCCGCGGAAGAACTCGCTGAGCATGCGGTGTGTGTAGAGGAAGGTATCTGGGACCCGGAAACTCCTCATTTTGAAGGAGTGGTGGTGGTGGCGGTGGTGTTGGGATGGAGAGAAATGTAATTGGAGATTCAAGAGATATTATATTAGATCCAGAAGACCAAGATAAAGTGGAATAAAAATGTTCTAATTAAAGCTTTTGTCATTTTCCTTAGAGGTGTTAAAGCGAACTTCAAAAGGCATCACTTACCCTGAAAAGCGACAGTTTACTTGCTCTTGAAAGAGGCATTCAGAAATCTACAGAAATCAGGGAAATGCCAGGAGTGCAAGACAATTGTTGAATGAAGAAACCAAAGAAATTAAAACTGTAGATTGAATCAATCGTCTTGCTCAACGCTTTAACCCTGATATTTTTAATCTTTTGGTAGCTTCATCGTGCCATTTCCAGTAAACATCTCGATATTCTTCTCCATTCCCTAGCTTCACTATTGGATAAATTGATTCCAGGACGGAGCATCTTTCAGCAATCCACATCTCAAACGACAATCTCTGCATAACCTTCAGCCCAAGCCCCATTCGGTTGCGAATCCACAACAATAGTCTCCTCACAATCATCCATTTCATCCGATTCATCCTGAGACTCCAGCACTAGCTCCCTAACCTCCTCTTTCACAACACTCTTACTCTCCTCACTCGAAACCGAAGACCTATGCGTCCTCGAGATACAAGGCGGTAGAACGGCCAACCAGACTTCATCCCTCAACACAGCCGTTGGCGGCATCGCAACATTCTTCTGCAACTCTCCTACCGTCTCTCGACTCAGCCTATGTTCTTCCTGAAGATGCTTTCGCCAATGATCTTTTCGCTTGAAGCCATTGCCCCAATCATCACTACCTAAAATCTCACCGTTGCTCAAGGGACCCATTGAATCTCGACACTTCTCATACGGACAGAAATACTTGATTGTGAGCTTGTGTCTGCTGTTGAAGTGGCGCTCGCGGTCTTTGGGTGACGGGAAACCACGAGTACAGTGACTGCATTTGAACGCACGTCCGTGGTTCTTCTCGTGTCGGCTAGGCGGATGTTAGTGATGGAAGTGAGAAATGGATGTTGGTACATACCGAAGATCGCATTGACGAATGAACTTTTTGTTGCATACTTTGTTGCTGGTGGTAAAAGTGCAAGTGTACGAGAACGCCGCAGATGAGTGAGCTGTTGGGAAAGATTTCGCCCAGCGAACGTTGAGAGGCTTGGTGGGAGCCATTATGTATACGAGTCGAGATTTCTTGCTTGTAGCTTAAGGTGCAGGTTGCTGCAAGATATCCCAAAGTTCCAAGATCTTCTTAAAACAGATCTGTCCTTCTTTAAATTCCAACAAATACTTCACAACAAACATGAACACAATGAGGGGTAACATCCACAACCCAACAAACGCCCAGAATATAACAGGGCATGACAGGGGAGCCTAATTTCGGAGAGGGCGTTTAGCTCCATGTTAGGTTACACATCATGCAAGAGACGTGGGCGAAGCGAGGCCGAGGCCGTCACCCATTATAAAGTCATGCCCTTCCTTCCCTCGTCTTCCTTTTCTCTCTTTTTTTTTGCATTTTCTTCTCCTGAATCGCCCGTACTCGGCATCTTTGTCGCTTCAAGTTTCAAGCCTCATGTGTCTTGTTCGGATCTCATTCGTTGTTGGTATCATGCAGTTGCCCGGAATTCGCGCCCTCGCTTATGCGGGTCAGGGGTTCTGTAGGCAGCCTCGAGCTCCGCCTCAAGCCATGACGACCCTCCAACTTTTAGTAATGTTGGAGACTCTTGCACTGTGTACACATACATATGGGCTTGTTAGATATACATGTAGTAAGGAAGCGGGTGCACTTTAGCGCCATTCTTCTACATGGAAGTCACTCGAATAAAATATATTAAGCCTTGCTTTGGTAAAAGACTATGCCCAAAAGTACCTAGGTAGATGACACTGACTGATATCGTGAGAATATGATCTCATGTTACGATGGATACAGTAAGTGGCAACTTTGGATCTTGGCCACAATTCAAGTATCTGATCTAATGATAGAATAACTGTCAAAAAAATTCTTCAGGTGGGGATCCAGATTGTCTAAAAAGAACAGCACATAAAGATGCTTGTTCTTCTGTTTGCGATTGTGATCGCTAGTTTTAGATATCCAAGGCTACATCAGGGTTTCCGGCCTTGCCAACCTCAGCTCCCATAGTTCCAACATAAAACTGCCTTCGGTATATCACACGTCTCTCTTAAGTTCTCTCTTGTAACCCTTGCATAATAGTCTATAAACGACTCTGTAGTGAGAAACTTTGAGGTTTTAGAGCTCATGAGATTTTGTCTATTTGTAGCATCACAAAGTCATGTACTAGAGTAGAATCAACATTTATGATCAAGCAGGTAATATTCAGCCGTCTGTATATCTCAGTAGGGACCTAATGACAAGGTCACTTGAAGGTTGACCAGTAAACGTCTTCACTGAAGGAAAGGTTCAAGAGGTAGCTCTCGCTTTGTTTACATTGTGCGGCCGCAAAAATAGGGGTCCATAGCACCTGATCCACTTAATCTCATAGCGTTACACTCTCACCTTCGAAGTCCTAAAACTCGCGTTACGCGTTCAAGGGCGAATCGAAGGCCGGGATATCTTCAACCTCTAACCCAGACTCGCTACGAGAACGCGGTACCAAATTCACGCAACAGTTGAACACCAGCGACACGCTTCTACCTTTCGATACATCGCCGAACATGTCGTCCTCAAAGTCGACCCAGGCAGCACCATTCTTGATGAACAAAATGACCAGAGAGGATGGAAGCAAAAGCGTCAAGGCATTCCTGGAAAGAATTGTGCATGGTGGCCAGGTAGAAGGATTTGTCTTGGTCAAGAAAGTCTACGTTCTTGGGCTTACGTGAGTAAATCGTCAAATCTGCACCAACTCGGTTTCCATCCCCTCCTGCCTGCTCCCTCTCTTCTGAAGCTTCCATATCTCAGTTCTTCTTGCACAAGTGGTCACCTCTGATGTTAACAAAAAAGTCTCGCTCATAGTCTTCCGACGCCAGAACTCGAGGCGAAAACCGCAGATGGCGAACTCAAAGTTTATGAATGTCAGGCATCGACAGCGCACCCTGGTGTATACACCATTGCTTCGAAGGAACTCGATGACGGTCGTTGTTGGGTTGAAAATGCCGAATGCATTGCCAAAACCCTCAGCGATGACACTAGAGAAAAATCGGGGATGCCGAAGATCTTGACTAGCGAGAACCTTTTTGGTTCCTCTGCTCCAGACATTTCAGGCACGTACCGTTAAGTTATTGGAATGTAGACTTCCGGCTAACAAGTGACAACAGCTGGAAAACACGGAGTTCGAGAACTCTTGAGGATCGCCAAATTCCCTATGAAGTTCAGAGACGACCACCTTCAGAGTTTAATAGCAGGACTCAAACAGCACAAGAAGAGCCACCTAACACCCCAGACATTAGATATAGCGACAACCTTTGCGCCTATCGTGGCTCATATATCGATCGCAGGTCTCATGACAGCGTACTACCATCATGGCGGAGCTGATAGGGTTTGGTATATCGTTCGGCCTTCCCACAAGAGGCTCTTTGAAACGCACTTCAAGGAGCTCTTTGCTGATAGAATTGGGCGATACACATGTTCCCAGTTTGTCAGCCATGTGTCGCTGTGGCTCGATCTCCATGTTTCGCAACTTGGACCTTTGGGAATTCGCTGTGCAGAAGTTCACCAAGGCCCTGGACAAGTGCTCTTCGTTCTTCCAGACTCCTATGTATGGGGATACAGCCGGGGTTACAACATCGTCGAACGCAGACTGCTTGCTCCTCCAGGTTGGACTTCTACTCCTGAGCACTACAAACCTTGTTTTGATGGGGAGATTCTCTGTCGTGGTGATCCGTGTAGAAACAAATATGTCAAAGCAGGCAATGCTCCTGAACCGGAAGTGAAGGGCCAAGTTGATGACGGCAGCATATGAACCGATGGCATTCAAGAGAGTTTGGGCAACGAACTTAAGAATGGCTCGAACCTGAAAGAAACGCATGAGGTGGCTGATGTCAAAGAGGGTTTGGAGGGGTCGGCTTTTGAGTCTGGCTTGATGATCGACGCCGTATCCAAGTCAGACGATGCAATTACCAAGTCTGGTGATGCACATAAAGTAATTGGTGCCAAGAGGATACGACCTGCCAGCCCCTCTTCCTCTGCCAAGGTCCTTAATCTCGCCGAAGAAGACTCCTCACCAGAAACAGAAACGAGCCCAAGCAAGAAGCAGAAGTCATCGTCCGGCAAGTCTACGGTGGACCAAGAAAGCTCTGAAAACGCAGAGGCACGCGCAGCACGTTTTGAGCGAATGTATAATGAGATGAGAAGAATGTACGATGAGATGAGAGGAAAGTATGAGGCTGTTTGCGAGGAACGGGATGCGGGCGAAGCGGAGATCAAGAGATTGAAGGAAAGACTCTTGGATCGGGAAGATTAAGTGTACGGATACGAAAAGAACTTGGGAACGAGTGGCAGCAGACTGGAACATGTTAGGGGTATTGCAGAAGTCTCTATGAGACTCGTTTGTGATGGATAAAGAAAGAGTACTTGGAGGCAGTGAAGTTCTCGGAGGTTGTTAAGTAGATGCATATTATACCATAGTCGTGGTTGTGTAAATGAATACAACTGTTGCACACTTTCCTTTCATTGTCATATCAGGCTTAAGAATGCTGCCTCTGTACAAAATGTTTCTATACAGAGATAAGAAAAAGGTACTAGCGCCAAATTACGGATAAGAAAAAAGTACTAGCGCTCGATATGCAACAAAAGATTTTTGTATAAGAGATAAGAAAAAGGTACTAGCTCCAAATTATTGGTAAGAAAAAAGTACTAGCGCTCGACGTGCAACAAAAGATTTTTGTATAAAAGTTAAGAAAAAGGTACTAGCGCCAAATTACTGATAAGAAAATCTGTCTAGCGCGCGATGTGCAACAAGACCTCAAAGGCAAGGACTTCTCACCTTCAGACATCTTGACCTACATCATCAAATTCGTCTTGACACAAAGCACAAGTATTTTCATCTTCCTTCAAAGCTTCGGAGACCAGGTCTGATTCAACAATCATTTTACGTATAAGCTGACAATATCTCCAGCTAGCTCCCATCACCTAGCAATACAAGCCTTAACCAAAGACTGATCCGTCCAAACCCCATTACTCTCCGTGGGCGTTTCCGTCAACGCATACGTCGTGGCCGAGAAGCTCCCCGCCGCCCACCCAACATAGCCCAGATACACATTCGAATTCGCACTATATATCATTAGCCCTTCCTCTCCATCTCCTTCCTCCAGGTCAAGAACACTCACTTCAAAAACGCAATCTCCTGACACAAATAAGTAGCACAATTACTCGTATTCGGGCCCCCGGTCTCAGACAACAACGCCTGTCTCCCCACGCTATTCAGCCAATCGGCCAACGGCTGGAACGCGTCGGCGATGTTGTTTGTTACGCAGTCGGCGCCGCTGCCGCTGTTGTCCGAGTCGAGATACTTATGCACGTCGAAGATCAGGTTGGTGGTTGAGCCGTCCGGGTTCGTGACGCCGACCAGAGCGGCGGCGGAACCGTCGTTGATGAATGCTCCTGCGGAGGTGTATTGGGTACCGGGGAGGAGGATCATTTGCGATGTTGCGCCGGCTTGCCGGATGGCTGTTACGGCTGCTTGGACGGAGGTGGCCCAGGTTGTGATGGTTACTGAGGGGTGTTAGTGGTTGTTTTGAAAGGAAAGGGGGTGGAACTTGCAGTCGTGAGGTTCATTCATGACGCCGAAGAGGATCTTGGATTCGCTAGCGTAGTAGGTGGCGAGTTGGCTCCATAAGTTGGCAAACTGGTCGTTTGTTGGTCCACCTTGACCGATGATACCTCCATCCCATCGTGCATCTATGAACTACAGTTAGTGGCTAATCAATGATCACTTCGCTTCTCTTACAGTTGTGGATCTAAGTATCGGTTAGCAATCGGATCAAATCGTCTTGGACGACATTGTGAACTTACATCAATAATACAATAAGCACCAGTACTCAAGCAAGCTTGAACCAAAGTGTTGTATTGTGCCAAGTTCGCAGGATTCAAAGTTCCACCAAGCACGCCGTTGACCAGAAATTGCCAACCAACAGGTAAGCGGAAAAGGTTCAAATTATCGTCTTTGACAAAATGGCTCATCTGGCCAGGACCGTCAGGATAGCTGCCACCGATGGCAGGATATGGGCCATTGGTTCCTGTAATTACACAAGTTCCATCGGTGCCACAGCCGAAATCGAACCCAGCGATGTTCACACCAGCTAGAGACGAGGTAAGCGAGAGTCTTTCCAATAGGCATGAAAATCTTACCAAATTGGACCTTGCCCGAGGAAGAGCTAGTTGGCGATGCCACTCCTGAACTCGTGGAAGAGACGACCTTAATTGTGGAGGTAGCAAGTGTAGTGGCTGATGAGCCACCTGATCCCGTACCAGGCAGGCATTGAGAGTAATAAGAGTTCGAAAATGTACATGTGTAACCCGAAACACACGACGTTGAGCCAGTCCATCCAGTGCCTCCGCCTACATTGGATCAGCTTCTTGTTCGGCATGCTCTTCCTACGTTGGAATCATCTCACATTGAGCATAAGCGGCTCCCTGGGCAGACACAGTGCCAGCAAACAATACAGACAATGCAGAAGTGGTCTTCATGATGGAAAGGAAAATCTTGAAAATATGTACAAGAAAGTATAGAGAAAAGATAGACAACGTGAATGAAAAGGATCTCAAAGCACGACTGTAGCTATATACATACCCACACGCCAGAGCCTACATAGTGGCTAGCTACTGTAAAGAAGATTGACATCAGTCCTTAATATTCTCGTGACAAGAGCTGGCAGATGACCCTACACAATTAATCACGGGCCGCAGGACCGCCGCAATCATCACTACCTGCTAGCAGAGAAATATGGCATGGTAGGTAGTGTACCCCACCATCTAGGAGCTACCTCGGCCAGGCATGTACTCGCAATAAACGGAGCAAGGATCTCCCAAGCCATCCAATTCCCCAGAAACAAGACTAAGGATGCGCTGTTCCTGGCCAGCAAACATGGCATTCAATGCCGTGACTCCGACTTGCAGCACTGATTGGGGGAAGATCTGGGGTATTGCATAGACAAGGGGGAGTGGTAGGCGAAATCGGGAGCAACCGATCTTAAAGGAGGGGCGGACAACTTTAATATATTCTCGGAGACAGACTTCCGGGATATATAAACGGACAAAAGAAATTTCGTTCCGTGGTATGGGGTATTTATCCAAAACGAAAGCCGACGAGGGAAGCGTGATGTGACCGTTGAAGGGGATAGATTGCCTCGCTTGAGTGAGTGGTGATTGCGTTGATGCATCGTTCCTAGCTTCTTGAAAGCAGGAGAGCTTGCGCTGGTCCAGAAGTCTTCAGCCATGTACGGAATAGTGTTGCTGGTGGTCGTAAAGATTGACTCGTGAGCAGCATTAATTGTTAGCATAAGTTGAGCTCAGAGCTGTGGAAATGCTTGAGCTTGATGATTGGAGTGTGAAGAGGATGAGGAAGGACGACCTCCGAAATTATCGGATGAAAATGAAACGGGTTAGCGAATCGAGGTTTCCGCCCCGCCCCGCCCCGGCCTCGGCCACCACTCATGAATGTTCACAACTTGAGTTGGCCTTACGGATCTGATATAAGTTTCTCAATTTGGTCATCATGTTACTACACAGAACCTCCTATTCATAACTCACGCTCCAGGACGCCACGCTAAATTGCAATACCCAATCTGAATGATCCCGAATCCTAGCACATTGAACCTGCAAGCCCGTGCAAGCCCGCTCAAAGAATCTTGACCTTCGTCCACTCACTAACCCCGACTCCCAAATTCAACCCATTCTGCGCCCACCACCTCTTCACCTCAAACGCCGTCCCCTCACTCCCAATACTATCCTCCAACGCCTCCTCAATATCACAAGTCTTATATTCGACCTTCGGTCCCGCTCTCCCATCTACGCCTCTGCTGAGATTCTTCCACCATTCCAGGACATTGACGTGTCCGTTCTTCGTGGGCTCCACGAGGACTTTACTATCGAATTGCATTTTCTCGCCCTTGATTTCGCGCCAGGCGTCAAGGACTTCGACGTGGCCGTGAGCGGAAGCGATCTTGGCGACGGATTCAGAGCACGAGATTGGAATACCGGAGTTATCCCACCAGCGGAGGACGAGAGCCTGGTTGTTTTGTGCAGCAGCCAGGAGAGATTTTCCTGGCTTAAGGCGGAGGGCAGGTTGGACTTCGGGAGGCGTGGCAGTTCCGTCTCGGTCGTTGGAGGTTGAGGCACCGTGGGCGTAGCTGGCTTGTTTCCACCATTCTAGCACTACAATGTGACCTTTGGAAGAAGCTTGCTCCAGAGCGGACTCGGTGTACTTGAGCGGTAGCCCAGAGCGTCGCCACCAATCGAGGACATGGACAAAGCCAGATTTAGAAGCTCCATCAATAGCTTCTGCAGTGTAGTCTTTCGAGAGAAATGTCGGAGACGTTCGCCACCACTCCAAAATTTCGGTTCGCCCATAAACAGCTGATGCTTTTGTCGGTAGGAGTTTCTGCCCAAAGGAGGACCAGAAAACATCCTTGAAATTAACTTCCAAGTGGTTCAGAATGTCAATGAGACAAAACTTTATGACCAACTTTACACATAGACTTGAAAGAAACCTCATGTTTTTGGGTGCTCCTTTTAACTTCTCGATGATATGCTCGGTCGATTGTGTCAGGATTGTCCATTCCAAAGAACACATAAAGGTTTGTAATTCATCCTTCGTCTCATTCGGTCGATCGTGCCATTCAGGAGGTACAGGAAGGCTCGTATAGACATGAAGGGCTTTCGCAATTTCCCAATCTCCAACTCGCTCAAATATCAACGTCCACAGTTCTGGAGGAAGCAGGGCATCCGTCTGCATGTTGTGCCGTGCCATTGTCGCAGCTCCAGCAGTTGCCACATCCACATCATGGCCAATTGACATCAGCTCCGCCTGATTCTTGATCACATCCACCAATTCGTTAAACCCATCCCAAGCCATGAGTACTTTCGAGGGGCCTTTGTCGTCGTAGTGCCATAAAATAGGCTGCATAACTCGAACCCATTGCCACTTCCTCCGCACCTTGCTCAACTGCTTCTTTGTCATTGGATTCTCCCACATGGCCGTCGTCATCCCCGGAACCAGCAATATCTTCTTCGATACGTCCCATCCTCGCAGTATTTCCAGAAGCAAGCAGTCGGTGATACCATGTAGCATCTTTGCAAACGTATCCGCATCAATGGGCGCCAGAACCAGCATATCCGCCCAGTCACATAACTCGTACGCCTGCTGCTTGTAGAACTCGACCTGCGAACGTTCGATACTCTTTTGCGCTTCGTCTGTCTCCTGACTCGGTCTGAAGCTTCTATTCTGCAACGCAAGCGTCTCCTGCGACAGACGGTGAGCCGGCCATGATTCCTCGTCTACTATTGCTCGGGTTTCAATCTTGGGGTTCTTCGACAATCGTACAACAAGCGCGAGAGCTTTTGCTACATCTTTGGACCCATTTGCCGCCACCAAGACTCGAAGCTTCTGCGGATCGTTGACCCTCATATCCGCGATCGATGAGGAAGAGGAAGTCTTGGGCAGACTGTGAAGAAAGCGTGCTTGTAAGGAATGTGCGTGTTCTGCCATTGTGAATGTGCTACCCTTGCGCTGGCACGCGATGAGCTGTCTCGATTTGTCTGTCTCGAGTAGAAGCGCTACAAAAGCGGTGGAGGGGCGTCACCGAATTGAATGTGTGCAGCTCTGAATCACACACCGCCACTGATGCAGTGAATTGGAATTGATTGAAAGAGGCGTTCGTCGTTCGATGAGAATACAAGAAGGAGAGAATGAGTAGATTAGTGCTTGAGATTCATGCATGGATCAGATCATATCATGAATTTCTCCCAGGTTTCGAGATTGATCAACATCAACCTGTCCGGTGGGGCTAAAAAGCGGTGCCACAGCACAGCTTCCCGAAACCTTAAACCGAGCTGTGCGTAGCGAATGAACCGCTGCTTATTACAATTAAATGTCCAAGTTAATGCATTATGATTGACTGATCTCTCTTGTGCAATCCAAGAACGAATATCCCATTCCTCCAAATCTCTATCACTGGTTCAGGATAGGCAACGCCAGCTATTGACCGATTCACCTGCTCTCTCCAATTATGCCGGAGTTGCCTCCGCTCGCTATTGTCTCGATAAAATTCTACAAGACAAGGAAATGGGTATTCGCATAGTGACTATAAACAAAACTCCGCTCAAGAACGCCAGATTGCTATTCCTTGGTAATGTGGGGGCATCTGCTATCCGTCATTCAGCCCTAATGGCCCTAACGTCTAAGCTCAACTAAGAGTTTCCAGAAGCCACAAACTCGTCAGCCTTCTTCTGTTTTCTTAAGAACTTTTTCCTCTTTATAACTCCTTTGATGCCATGTTTCCTTACTACTTTCTCGAATTCTGAACTTTCTTTTCTCTTGTAGATAGCTTGGTCATCGGACCAAGTCCACACACCAGGTAAGTTTTCGGGAATGCCTTCGCCACTGTAAAGACTTTCCATGACGAAAGCGGCATGGGTAAATTCATTGCATGTGCTCTCGAGAGCGGCAAGCACGTTATCTTGAGTATTGCCCATCGAAATGTGTTGGTCAATGAATGTCTCTATCTCTGCATTACGTTGCTCATCCGTCTGGGACTGAGTGGATGATTCATCATTTCTGTTTGAAGAACCTGGTGTTCCGTGTGTGGCTGCGATACTGGATCTATGGCGGTCTGGAAGTTCGGGGCTGCTTCGTCGCGGTGAAGGCGTCAGATCATCAAGAGCTCCGTGGAAACTCTCTTCGGGGTTAGGGATGAAATGAAAATCTTGAGTTTCAGGCTCCAGTATGCGAGAGGGAAGAGAAGGCCGTTGAAACGAGGATGCTGCTGGTCGCTGTTTTGTGGGCTGGACAAAGAGACCGTCAAGAGATTCATTATCTTCGTGATGGTTGAGTTCTGGATAATGTACATCCGATGAATTGAAAGAGGATCCGGGTATGTGCTCTCCATTGATAACATCCTCGGGCGTGGATGGGATTTTGGGCTCTTTCCCTTTCCCTTTATCGGACCGAAGCCGTTTATTCAACAGGAAGTCTTGACCTGAGTTGTCAAACCTTCGCTTGCTTGGGCGCAAAATCTGTCTTGGCGTGGACTGTGGCCGATCAAGATCATCGTCCTCGTCATCATCTTCTATGGCCTCTGGGTTCGCGAGATTTTGGGTCTCCCTCGCGGCAGTTTGGCGAAGCTGATCATTGATCATGGCCCTCTCTTGCGACTCGGTCATGCTCACGTCTTCCTCTATCTCTTCCGTGTTTTTCTCGATGTCTTCATAATCAGCGAGAATCTCGCGGAAGCAGTCCCTGATTTCTGCGTCGGCATTCTTGTGTTTGAACTCATTAAAGTTGAGCTTTTTGGCGACTTTATACCACAGATTGCGCTCGTTGACTTCATGATATCCACCAAGTTCATCCGACTCGACAATTTGCCAAAGTCTAAAAAGTGGTATCGGTCTTCCACAAATGATTGGGTTGAAATTTACATCAAGACCGAGTTGCTCTGCTAGATGAAGTATATTGCGCTTGAAAGTTGCTTCATCAGCTATGGTGTCATCAACTGTAGTTGTGTCCTGTTTCGGTGAGTGGAATGCTTCACCTGACGACCCTTGCGAGTCTTTGACTTCAAGAGCTTGTTGTTTGCCATGCTTCGATCCGCTTGGGCCAGGGATCGTCTGAACGGTGTAAGTTGCTTTCACTGGGGGCTTTGCTTTTTTTCGCTTTTCGTCTGCGATCACTTTCGGCACCACGTACTCATTGAAATAATTCCGCCATTCTTGAGCTGTATGGTTGGAATGCTTAAGACTGGTTAGCAACTTTTAGCAGGTGTCGGAAACGTAGGGACACCTACTACGGAAGACCAAGCAATCCAAGCGTCAATAACTTGATCATCCCCAATATTCATAATTTCGTCATAGTTCTCAAGTAATAATTGCGTCTCAACATCCGAAAAGACACTCCCTCCCTTGGACCTACGGATGACAGGAGTAGTGTTAGACGAGCGTGATATTGGAGAGCTTTTCACTTTCTGGCTTGGTGCAGGCTCAATTGGCGCTCTTCTTGCTGCCACCCTAGCAGGGGGAGGTGCACGGCTTGGCGCTGGCTGAGGTGTCGGTCGTGGAACTGCTGGGCGTGGCAGAGCTTGACGAACAGGACTTGGTCCGTCCTCCTCCTCTTCAGCCTCATGATCATCATTGTCTTGTAATTCTTGGGGTCTAGGCTGCTCCGATACATATTTGACCCAACGATCCCTCCACGACTGGTAAGTGTGCCTATTATTCTGACAGGAGAAGTCAGTGCAATACTTTGCTTATGAAAGTCCCTGAACTTACTACAGCCTCTAGCTGCTGAAATATGATGTTGCCTCTCAATGATTGCCCCTGACGTTCTGCCTTTGCACACCAATTCATAAGGATGCGATCGTCCTCCGCAGTGAACTTCGTTCTACCAGTCTTCGCAGGTTGTGAAGAACCAACAGGTCGGATGGTGGCAGTAGCAGGTCCAGCACTGTGCTCTTCTGGATTTACAAGCTCCCCCTTCTTAAGCGAGGCTTCTATGAAAGTCCATGATATAGATCCGACTGGTTGGTCTTTTCGTGCATGGTCTGCGATAACTATGTCGGCGCGCTCTTCCAGGGGCACAACTTCCCCGCCGTTTGCCTGATTTGATGTTAGCAGATAATTGGATGTCGCCGTCACTCCTACGTACCAATATGGCATCTCTCCATTGATTCCTCGAAGGTATGCGCTGCAGAAGAAAGAACCTGTTTCCCCGAAAAAGACTTCCGCCGCCGCCCACGCCCTCGTAGACAATTGTTGCCATCCTGAAGTTGTTGCGGGATCCGGGGTCGTCGCAGGGAAAGCTCACATATTATGTAGAAGTAAAGAGCAAGCTTGCCAGGGCTTTGTCATCGTTTGTCGGAATCGCCAGAAACAGAGTATCTTGGTTCGAGAGGTGTGGTACCGCGAAACCGCGTGGGCTTTCGCGATTTGCAATTTAACACGCGCCTGGTCACATGCTCTAACCTTACGTCGGCTTTTAGATTTCACATTCACCGACCACCATCGTGATACAAACAACGACGAGGCAACATCCGACAATTTCACGTTTCAATGGTCTGTTAATATGGATCCTTCACTTGCTCGTATTCGCTCTTCTTCCCACTTTGTATTGTGAAAGTTCTCTAGCCCCTTCATGATGGGCCCTTTGAAGATTATTGCACTGGTCATCCTAGTCATTTCCTTCTTTACGTTTGTGACCTTCTTCGGAAGGCTACCAGCATTAAGGTGCCCCTCCATGCCCCTCCAGATAATTTTGACTCTTGTACGAAGCTCATATGATATAGAAACACCCCTATTGGGACCCTACATCGCATTTTATGGCTTCACATTCCGGGTAGCATAAGGTCTCTGGACCAGAGGTTGACACAAGGTCGTCTCAGTGCTTGGACCGCGAAGATAGCACACACCCTATGGAATGACAGACATCCACTGGTAATGGTAAGACATTTCGATTCCGTTAGAGTTTATGCATTCACTGTCACGTGTGGTGTTGGAAACATCTCTGTCTTCGATTTCTTTGTTGTCTGCGAGACTCCAGGATTTGTCTGGTATCAGATCCATTCATTCAATGAGACGGACTGTATTGAAGTCCTGCAAAGTTCTTCTGACTGTAGTCCTTCACAGTGTCTCTTGTGCTACGTTGTTGCCCTTCTTTCGAATATTGTTTCATTTTGTAGCTCATTCTTTACGCTGACATTCTCCCAGATATTCTTCATTCTGCTATTATCCGTCTCAGAATTCTTATTCCTGCCTCCTGCATGGCCTCTTTTAAATACCTCGCAAACAGCCATCGCAATCACATTGGTACTGCTCCCATACATATTCTTGTATGCATCAGCAGCGAGCGATCCTGGCTACATAACGCAAGAAAATCATTCACATCAGATGACCCTATACCCGTATGACTTCACTATATTCTATCCAGGGCAGTCATGTCATACATGCCGTCAACTGAAACCCGCACGATCTAAGCACTGCAGCATTTGCAAGCACTGCATAGCTAAAATGGATCATCATTGTATTTTTATCAACAATTGTGTTGGCTACCGGAACCAACACTACTTTCTACTTCTTCTCTTCACCACGGCCAGTTTGACGACTTATGCAACTTATCTCGGCTTCAGTCTTCTTTCTGGACAAATTCGAAAAGAGATTCCAGCTTGGAAGATCTGGGGGCCAGGCTTCTCTTGGTCTGAATATGGCAACATCTGGGCGTGGGTACTTCAAGAATACACTCGTATAGGCGCAGTCACGCTACTATGTGGCCTGACCACGCCTCTCATTTGGGGTTTGCTCGGCTATCACCTCTACCTCATCTGGGCAGGTACCACAACAAACGAGTCCATGAAGTGGGGAGATTGGGCATATGAGATGGCGGACGGCTACGCATTCAAACGAGAATTATCTTCAGATCGACATAAAGACGAGACGATTGAACCAGTCTGGACACGATGGCCTGTTGAGAGTGAGCAAATTGTTCTTCGTACCGATGATGGCATGCCCCCAACTGGTCCAGATGCTATAGGGGAGGGAACATGGGAACGAGTTTGGAAATTGAAAGACGTGGAGAATTTGTATGATCTTGGATTCTGGGACAATTTGACCGATGTCTTCAGACCTAGATATGGCTTCCGCCGTCGGGAACATAGTTCCAGTGGTTCAGGGAGCAGGAGTCGTCCTTCATCGGGAGATGTCACTAGTGTAGCTCCGCCATAGATCATTTGTACTGGAACGTTTAATGAATTTTCGATGAACTTGATACCTCTCTCTTCCTTTGTAGTCTTGGTAGCTTATGGCTTCAGATCGTTCAGAGTTGCATATTGTTCAAGGTGAGGGCCTCCGTACTGTCGAGCAGGCTTGTCCGATTCTACGACATCATCGCAATATGTAGCTCCTCGGAGCCAAAGGTGTCTTCCTTCTCAATCGAGACTTTGCACCTCTTCTTACTTCACTGGAAATTGGTTCTCTCTAGCTACGTCAATGTCTAACGGTGAATAGAATACCTCGAAAAGTATACCATTGAGCATTCATTCATGATTTCCAAGAACATACTCTACATACGATCATACTCGACATCCCAAAGCTCCGATCGCTCAGGTACAACCTCCATCAGCCACTCATCCATCCTCCCCGTCCAAGGCCACGTCGCATTCACCATCTTGTCTTCAACCCGTGTAACATTCGCCTTCGTTCCTCCAATCGTAAAGCTCTTCAAACGGGGCAAAGTCTCTACCACAATATTCCCTCCTTTCTCCGTTGCCTCGGCCCCCTGTCTGGTGACTTGACGCAAGTACTTCCTGCCCCCCTTGCCGAAATAGGCATTTCCGCAACCCGGCCCACCATCAAAGCCACGATCCAGGTCCGACGAGGGACCAAGGTCGAGATGTGTTAGGTTTTGGAGTTCGGACAGAATCTCTAATGCGACCTAAGTTTGGGTTGATCAGTGCCAGTTTCAATGGCACATTTGGTAATTCTGATGACAGAATATACTTACTTTCAATTTTCCACTATCTCCAGTGTCATATCCAGTATAATCGTGCCATCTCCCCAGAGATCCAAGCAATCCGAGACTTTCTATTTGGGGTATACATTTTACAACCTCTGCAAAGACTCGTCAGTTCCACGTTGTCATCTCCTTGGACTAGCAAGAGAAATTTATACCAGAAATTCGTTCTGGAGTCCATCCATCGTGTCCACCCACCATAGCAAACCGCTTAAGTTTCGGTGTCGATGTCGCAGCTTGAATAAGCATCATTGCCCAGTCACGGCCATCAGGCATATATCCATGATACCACATAAATCCACCACCATTCTCGAGTCTCTCCAGATTCGGACACATACTGACCAGATAATGACTCGAAGGTCCAGGTTCGAGGTGCTTGATAGACGGCAGACTTAAATTCCTCGCAGTAAATGCCTCCTCAAAAGAGTGTGTGTACTCCTTGGGAATTTTCCATTTAAGTGTCTCGAGGTTCGTCATAGACTCTAGGACGTCTCCAAAAAGAGTCAACAGCGCTTCTGGTGTTTCGAAATGCTCGAGGATCTTCAAATATTGGGCCGAGTATTTCTCGCGGTGGACAAAAATGTCGACTTCCAGCGTCTTGACTTGATTGAGTGCTCGCTGGCATCGCTTCATCTCGCCAAGTCTTTCGAGAGCGTTCGGCCAGCCGGGTCGCGAGATTCCTGCTCGGTTGTTGTCGATTTCAAGGTTGTCGAAGATATCAGATGGTATTTCTAGCTCTGTTGTACATGTTTGGGGTTCTTTCTCTGTTTCTTCCTTCGAATCGGAGTCAGGGTTAGAGCACAGGAAAGCCTCTGCGTTTGGGAGTCTTTCAAGCTTGCGTTGGTTAGCAAGAATCCATGGGTGTCTTGCATCGAGAATGAATTGAGGTATTGTGGATCTTCGAAGTGGATTGTCAATGAGGCTCTTCAAGGGTTGTTGGAAGCTGGCTAGCCAGGTCTGAATAGAGGATAAGTAAGGCACTGCCATTGTGGTGGTGATTAGTAGGATAAACACAACAAGCTTCATTATGCTAAAACTTGTTCTAAAGCTTGTGTATCTGGACGTTTGGAGATTCTGAGAACGAATTGTTCTGTGATAGAAGGTCTGAGTTGTTGAAACCTGGCATCTGTTGAGAAGGATCCCGCTGCTGGTGCCTGCTCAACACGTGGTTTCAAAGTCACGTGTGTTGACTTTGACCTCTCTCCTCTGCTATAATGGCTTCGCACTTCCTGTGTCGTTGACTAAGTGAAGAACGTGGATATTCAATTTTGTGATTGAAACATTGAGACGCTTGTCTCTGTTCAGGTCAAGCTTTAGTCAAGTTTAGAATCAAGATCTAGTGGAAAGGAAGGTTGCATTGGTCCCTTGAGTACTAAGAGAACGATAAGATAATAGAAACCCAATTGGAATTTGAAGTACATCTTAATCTTCCCGTTAAGCACTTGGCTTGGAGTTCAAGAAATTAGAGACTGTTAGTGACTGCTTTGATGACATTCGAGCAGAAGCGGGTATAAAGAGCGAAAAAGAAGGGAGGGAAATCATATCTTCTAAAGGCCAATCAGATCAGTGCTGGATCAAGAATTTACAACCCTATGTATGATACCAGGACCGCAGAAACAAAAGTATGCGACGACAACTTACGCCAGTCTAGCTTTGGTCTGCTCAACTCAGCATCTTCTGTAACAAAAGACAGTAATTCGCTGGAGACGACGATCATTTGAAGCGTGGAAAAGAAGCGAGATAACAGTTTACAATAAGATGAGAGATTTTCCCTTTACAAGCATGACTTTCTGATGCCACAACGTTTCGTTTCCCAACACCGGACATATCCCCATCATATATCAAAAGAAGTCGAAATCAAACCCTCCACCCACATCAATCTCACCTCCTGAACCTACATCTACGCCAGAACCTCCTTCCCCACCAGTTGGCATCTGCTCTCTAAAGACCACCTCTCCGTCCGGTCCCCAAACCTTTTCGTCTTTCGGAATCATCTCCCTCGGAACAGGCTGCCATCCGCCATAAGGCTGTATACCGCATCCAATACCCGTGCTCGTAGCTCCAGTCCCATATGTCCAAATATCCTCCCCTCCGCCCTCGAATCCTCCAACTTCAGTCGCCGGAAACGTCTGAGCGCCTGGCTCTGCTCTGCTGCGTGGGAAAGGGAGGCTCATTTCGGGACCCGGTAGTATACAGGGTAGGTTCCAAGGGGTAGTTGCTTCTGTCGTTTTGTTCTTCTTCGTAGGCGAAGAAGCTCTGCACTTTGAGAATGTTTGGAACTTAGCTTTCTTGCCTTGTTTGGAGCCTTGTACTGCTGTGCGAATCATGGCGTTAATGGGGCGGGGAAGCTTCATTGCGTATGAAAGTTGTTCAGAAGTTCCGTAACGAAGCAGATTGAAGATTGCAAGGTGATCACTTGAATACTCAGTAAGGAATGTGAGCAGTCGTTTCTCGAGCTGAAACCTTCCGCGAATCAAAGGCCCTTGTAGTTCCGCCAGGAACATAAAAAACCGAACCACGAAATTTGAAGACCACGATCATATAGACTTCAGCAACTTTGCGCATATATCTCGTCATTGCGAGCGTTGTAAGAACATAAAGAAAATGCCCCTTTACCCCTGAGTTTCGCTAAAGTACCCCGCGGTCCCACCCACCCCGCTCTAAACCTCAAGCATCACAATACGATCATTCATCATGATCATCCGAAACTTGTCTCTTTCCATCAACAGACTCAAGAACATTACCTATTACGACTTTAGAGCATGCCCTGCCTTCTCTTGTCGAACTCGAACATTCAGTGTTTCCTCTACTACGAGACAACAAGACAAACAACCAAGATTTCCCAGAGAAAACAAAGAGAGCAAGGTCGACAGGAGGGCCATCCTCAGAATAGTCTTAAGAAGGGGTGCTTTACGTCCATCGAGTGTTATTAGGACCTTCAAAAAGATACGAACTGAACTGTTGCGCCAAGGGCGTGGGGATGTCATCAGAAAATTTGTAAAGGCGATCATCGTGACATACATCGTCCTATGTGCTTTGTAATTTTATGGATTGTGGAAAGGTATTACTGGATCTGGAAAGCGCAATATGAAGAAGGGGAGAATCAAGGACCATAGTTTGGGTCGAAGGTATTAAAGAGTGTTGTTCATCTAACACATTTGCGAGGAAAGCTGTCAACGCGGCAAGGACGAGTGACCACCGATGAAGAAATTAGTGCTGAAGTATGGGCAGACTGAAAACTACGGCAAAATCTATTAATCTATATATTCATAATATCATACGCATGGCAGCAAATCATTACTCTAAAATATTCATAGCATCATTCTTTCGCTCTCCGTCATTAAACATTGCTACCTTTCCTTTTCTTCGCTTAACTCCTTCTTCTCTTCTCTGGGTTATATCTCGACATACCCCTCAGCTTCGGGCCGAACACATAAAACAGCACTGGAATGGGAATCAAAGCTACAGCAATGAATCCAAGCAAATAGCTCGCCCAGTCCACACCCAGATTCTTGAACATAGGCGTAGCAAAAAGCGAGAATCCAGCACCTGCTAAACTTCGCAGAAAAGTGTTTGCTGCTTGAGCTGAGGCTGCGTGGACTGTAAATGCATCAATGAGGTAATTGACTGCATTCTGGAAGATCAGAATAAATCCTGCTCCAATACATCCAGCGCCTACAATACCAATTGCCGGTGACTTGTCTGTGCCGGCACCACCACCGACCCAGAATAACGCCGCTGCAAAAAGGACGGCTCCGAGCATCATGGGAGGTAATCGTGCTTCTGGGTCGTTTTTTAAGCCTTTGTCATGAGCTTTGTCGAGTTGCTTCCAGAAGAAGGGTTGGTATGAAGCTTGGATGCATCCAGAGACCAAGACACCAACAAGGACAGCGAGGAATACAAGGGAGCCTTGAACTGGAGTCCACCCACGAATTTCTTCATACTCAATAGGAAAAGCTTCGAAGAGAAGGTAAAGAATACCGTACACGAAAGCATTGTAAATTGCGAGGCAAAGAATGATAGGTTCGGATACGAGCATCATGAGCGGCATTGAAAGATGCTTCTCCACAATTGATTTTGCGGTTAGCTCTTCTTCGTCGATGCGTGCGTGCAGCGCCCAATTGCCAGTTTCATAGCCTATTTAACATTAGCAATGGAAGTACCATTCTTGGAACCAAGTACATACGAAGATGTTTGGCTTTCCGCTGTAGGAGTACGGGCTGAACTATGGTTAGTTCGGTTTTTCCCTAATTCTCATGAACACTTTGTCAGGGGAAGAACTTACAGCATAGGTTTCAGGGAGGAAGAAGAGATCTATAGCAAAAATGAGGAAGATCAAAATCGCAGTAATGTATTCAGTCCACCTCCAACCAAGGTAACTCGTAGTGATGGCTGACCCAACCAAAGGCCCAACTGTAGGCCCACCAATTACAGCGACAGAATATCTAGAAGTTTATCAACTCTATCTTCGACCGTCAATCCAGACAGGGCTTACCCAACAACAGCCAAAGCACGATCGTGGTCATTCCATAAATCGGCAAGAGCACCAGCCACATTCGAAATGGGAGCCGATGCCATCAATCCTGCAAAGAAGCGACATATCATAATTGTTTGCAGATTTTCGGCCGTAGCTACTCCGATCAAGAAGATTCCGAAGATAAAGTACGCAGGCAGGAATGACAATTTTCTGCCATAGAGCTCGGAGACTGGAGCAAAGATCTAATGCACGTTAGAACAAAATATGTACTGTAACTAGAAAAGCAAGAGCATACCAATGGTCCAAAAGCAAATCCGAGAACGAAGAGTGATAGAGAAAGAGTGGTGACTTCAGTGCTAACACCGAATTCTGCTGCAACTTGATCGAATGTGGGACTGAATGAAGAGGAAGCAAAAGCAGCACCCATTGTCGTAAATCCAAGCATGACAGTAATTCTGATCTTACTCCTCACAGGCCAGTTCATGGGATTTTCGGGGTCCTTCTCTCCATGCCATGTTACAATATTGTTGGGCCATTTGCCTAGATCTTCCGGCTCATGACTCTCATATCTCGAGTCTATATGCTCCATTCGATCCATTTTGAGAATCACAATATAACAAAGAAAAATTAGAATACAAAGTTGAAGGGCGGAGAAGGAACAGATACAAACAAACCGCGACCAGGAAAATACACTTATAACTTTTTCCTTGAGGCGCATCTGAGCCCTCGATACTGTATGTCGTCACTTGGCATTGACGGTCGAGACCCCAGAGAACGCTACCTTCACGCGACACTATGGGCTCTGCGGTAAAGCTAAGAAGCTTAGATGATATAGCGCAGGATAGGGCAACGCCAGCAACACTAGGACTCATTCCAACGCTTGCCTCCCTTTCGTGCAACTCTTGCGGCTGCATCCTAATCAAGGCAAATTGCATCATCGACAAGCCTTCTTTTTAATCGATCTCATCGAGGCCTCTTGTCTTCGTCCGTGAAATCACTCCTCTCACAATGTTGTACTCGCCATGCACAATACGAAGGACGCCATTCTGTGGCTTCAGAACAAACTTTCTGTGATGGAGAAACCACAAGTCCCATTTTGGCACCCATCAGTAAGTGCTCCAGGTCCTGCGGCAGCGTCCAAGTTCCGATTCTAGCGGCGGGACTGTTTGAACGAGCCTTCTCCATAGAACAGAATTCCTCATAATCTTTTCCTACGTCCACCACGCACTCTTTTAGCTCTAGAAACTTGACTAGAGAGAAGAGGAAATCGATTCTTGCTTGGCTTGTCCAGTTCCACAACCTGCTACTGACAGCTACATTTCGTGCGTTTCCGACTTCCTGCGGAAATTGCTTGATGAAAACCTTAAGGGCACTGAGAGCTTTGCTGAAACAGGGTGCTGCGAACAAGATTTTGTCGATGTCTGGGTTCTCTATTGACAAATTAGTACACAACTTTGAGAGACATTCGTGAGTGGAGTAGCTCATCAAATGATTAAACCGCATCTTCTTAGATGATATACTCCCAAGGATGATCCAAAAAAGCTCGCCTCCTGGAATGAATTCAAGTCAAGGGAAGGGAAGAATTCGACGTACACATGAGGTTTTTGGATCCCCTGGACGGAATCTTGAATTTCCCTTGGTAAACGGGTTGGCACTCACCCAAGACCAACAAATTTTGCTATTTACGAATCGTCGTCCGTAGCTCTTCTGGGAGCAACTTAAAGGTCGAAATACGTACCGGCACTGTCGTTGCCATTATGTCGTGGTAGAAGATTTCCAGTGAAACTTGTTCTAGAAGGTCGAGGATTGCGACGAGATAACAGTGCCCAAATGGGCTAGTAGGGTGGCGTGCAATGCGCTCCGCTCCGCCTTTCTGAAGCCTGAATATATGTCTCAGAATCACAGATCACTGTCACATTTCCATTGTCCGCAATGCAAGAATCACACGAATTATTGCTCAGAAGAGATTCTATGAACATAGTCCTTCACAGATTCGACTTCCAACTATCCCCACCACGAGCAGTTTGGAGCAATCCTGCGACAGCTCACCCCCTTTTCCATCCCTTTGCTTTCCTTTGTCTAGAAAAGAACTCTGGCCACTCAGGCTTCTGTTCTGGAGAAACTTCTCCCTTCCCAGCTACCAAGGTCTCAGGCTTCTGAAATTTAGCCACTCGGTTTCTGCTCCACTCTGCGGCGGAGTCCTTCATCACTCCAAGGTGTTTCTGGCTCATCTCCATCACCGCTGAGGCTTTTCGTATCCCTTCGGCTGCGTTATCAAGCTATGTTTTCTGAGGTGGTTGTTGAGATCCATGTCCATCCAGCCCATAGGTAATACATCTGTGTAAGCGTCAGTACATCAGCCAAGAGCGCTTGGGAGGAAAGTGGACAATCTGCACGTACCACAACAAGTGTGGCGACTGCAAATACAGAACAGAGACTCTCGAAATCACCAAAATGGATGCACTAGGATATTTGTATATTTGTCTCTGATGGGAGATTCTATAAACAGACTTGCTCCGTGTGTCAGTCTCACGATCTATTTCCTGGCGTCAGTCCCGCTTTTGAGATCTGGTATGTGTGGAGTAGGTGCGCCATCACTCCTTCTGTTTAGGCCGGGAAGCTCAACAGATTTCTTCTCCTCTTTGCCAGCCTTCCTGCAGCCCCTCTCGGTTGGCTGAGTACTGGATTCCTTCGTCCATGGAAAGTATTGACCCAAATTGCTCATGCGATCAGCCCATCTCTCTTCGTCGAATGCACCCAAAGTCCAGCACACCTTTAAGGCACAAGTTAGAGAAGAGCACTAAGGACATTGCCTTTTCACGTACCACAGTGGCCCTACCAGCGACGGAAATTATACCCCCTACAACGAAAAGGCGCGAGTTGTCCTGCAGAGCATTATTCAGGAGTCTCCGAGAATCTTGAAATCTCCGCTGCTCATTTTGTCCCAGGCTCGACGTCGGTTTGAGGTTCAGTGATCTCTTCACGGATGTGGAGAAAGCATGCCGCCTCGAATGGAGAGGAGAAACTTGAAGCGCCGACAAGACTTGCGATTGTGGCCGACTTCGCGAAAGACGTACTTGAACTTGCAAAAGCTTGAGAAGTCCCTGTTGTGCGAGACGTGGACGAGTAAGTGAAAGCATGTTTGCTGCGTCTGAATGTCAAAAGCTCCGGAAGCATTGCGTTTTAGGGTCCGATGTTCTAAGTGGAATGTGATACATGATATTCCTCGCATAAGCCATACAACGCTCTTTCCGATCTCTTCCGATGTTTCTAAAGCGGAGATCTGCTTCCAGAGAATTTACGCAAATCAGATTCCTTCACGGGCCAAAAGACTGCCGTTTCTTCTTCTCGTTCGAGTTGTCCTTGACTTGAACCCTAGCCACAGCTAGGACTGGCTTTTCGGCTGGCTCTTCGACATCTCCACCGGTGCTTCGTTTCTCCGTCGAGCTGCCTCAAGCGTTTCTCTGATTCGAACAGAAGTTTCTTGGACCTTAGATCTCATTTCATTCATCAGGACGGGCTCCATTACTGTCGCTACCTGTACATCTAGCTCGGTATATGGGTAGCTCTTGTACAATGCGAGAAACTGTCTATGTCGCTCCGCCTGCTGATGCTGTCTACAGTGCTCCTTCCAGCATTTCAGCATCGGCCTTTGAGTCATATTCTGGGACGGAGGCGCAGCAGGACTTCCAGTTCCATTGGATCCCATCGCTGGATTATGGTCAGATATAGATCTTTGCTAAGGAGATTGTCCGTACCATAACCCGCAACTCCCCCAAGAATGAGCAACAAAAGTCCTACAAACGGAATTATGTTGTCCGAACCAGAATTCGCAGAACTAGCAACTCTTTTGTAGTCTTCCTTGTTACCCTCTTCAGCCCGTCTCGATGTTGTGGAAAATGCGTTCGATCTTCGCAATGGAGTTATCGGCCTGAATACGCTTGATGGGCGTGCGAGGCTAGCCTGGAATGACGCTCGAGACAGTTGTAGAAGTCTATGATATTCCCTTCGTGTTGTCGACAATGAGATTGATCTGAGAAGGGATCTGCCATGACTGTGAAACTTGAAGGATGGAGGATGGTTGAGTAGTCTCGAGCATACAAAGGAACCAGAGTATGCAAGAGACAACATCTTGGATAATTAAACTGTGAGGATGCTGATTTGGATAGAAATTGTTGAGAGGCTAGATGCACAGGGAAGGATAAGAAGGAGAGATCACTGAATGTTTCGCTGTCAGTCCCGATTCATTCCGGAGAGGCACGCAGAGCTCGTGACCTCGACATGTCTCATCCCCTTGCATACACTTAGAGCTCTATTCATTATGTGACCGTGTCGGATATTTGCTGCAGCACTTAGAGCGGAGCACCTCAAAACCAAGATTACAGCAGATTTCTGCCAGTATTTACGAATACATTCACGTATCTCGAACGAAGCACATAGGCATCCGACTACGATGTCCCAATATTTCCAAGTTCCTCTTTTCTTCACTGCCCATGGTATGCCAGAAATTCTCTAACGCCACGGACGATGTAAATAACATCAAACCAAAGCTTGCTTATGAACTCTTCCTCGCATGTAGAGAATCTATTTCTTGATTGGAATCGACCTTCTTTTCCTCTCCCACCTTGCTTGATATTCTAGTACATATGCTGGGTTGAATTGGGCCCGTTTTCGCATCCGAATCTGCAGCTTATCATGCTTTATCAGAATCATCGTTACTATACTACTAGCTTCACCCATCAACTTATCTTGACAGCCCTGACAAAACCCCGACTTGCCAACAAACTCGCCATATTGCTCCGCATGAGCTCGGATGATGTCACGATCGAGTCTCCTTTCCTCCAGATGTAACATCAGCCTCTTCCATTCGGACCATGTGATCTGTTGACGTATCATGAGTTGTCCTTCAATTTCCCCATCCCATCCACGGTTGTCGGGTCCACATTTCTGCTCGTACATGAACGTGGCGAACTTGTCTCTGAAATGTTATGCCTTTTCTTCCTCTCCATCTCCTCCACAGAAGCCAAGTCTCTCTATCCAGTCGTCGTATGAAGGTAAACCAAAAGCATCGGTCCAGTCCTCCATTTCACTTATTCTCATTTCCACCCAGAAGGCCGCAGTAGTAGTCAAAGCAATGCTGATGACTCCAGCGGAAACAGTAAACCTAAACCCATACATCGAGGATTGCTCTGGCGGCTTGGATGCTTTGTTCACAATGTCGTCTCTCGTCGAGGTCTTGGAGAATGTAGCCTTTCTTAAACGGTAGCGCTGGAATTTGAGTTTTTGTATACCCACGGAAGGGAGAAAGAGTCGAGATCGATGGTCTTGTATGGCTGAACGTTGCAGCTGGACGGAGAAACTGTCGAGGTCGAAGATTTTTTTTAACATGATGTAACAATAGTTGAAGAGAAGGAAGAACCAGGAAGATAAGATGTTGTCTACGAAATCAGTCCAGCCATCAAATGAAAAACTGTCCTAAGAATGTGATTTTTGATAATTTACTGTACAGTAAAGGATAAGCGAAGAGTAGTCACCATCTCTTATATCGCTCAACTTCTCTGTTCCGCCCTAAGCTCATCGTGGCAGAACAGAGACATCGCGCTATCCACCTTCCGAAGGATCCTCTTGGTTTTCCTAGGTAGCTTCGTCCTGTAGACAAACTCCCGGTATCGCTTTTCAGTATCCTTTCTGGCCTTTCGAGGTTCGGACGCGCGCCTCTCTTGCTCGCTAGGTCCTGCCAACAAAATCAAGCTGGGCAAGATAATTGCAAGACCCAGAAAACTCGTTATGACTAATGTAAGTATTATGACTATTGGTGTAACAATAACCTTCCAGCAAACCCAAATAATAGCGCACACGGCGACAGTGCTTGTCACACCTCCAACACCAGCGAATACTGTTGGGACTACTTTCGGAGGTGGGGAAGTAGGTGGGAATGAGGACGGCAGTCTCGGGGCACCAAGTCGCTTGGTCGACGTCGGGAAGCTCATTTGGGCGGATGGTGACACACAAGAAGAAGATGATGGCATCAAGACTGGCGAACGTATGCTGACGAGTAGACTACTGGATCTGCGAAGCTCGGTGGGAAGGCAACGAATCCGGCTTCTCGAGATGTGTGGCAGCGCCGACTGGCGAAGGATAGAAAGCATCCTGGACACGGAAGCGAAGGACGTATATGATTACAATACGGGAGCTGTTGTTGACAGAAAGTGGTCAGCTGCTGGACTGGGAAATATAGTAGGTATGCCTACCTCAGAGTTTCGAGGATACGGCTAATACCTTGAGAGCGAAGAGAAGATTCAAGTCCATGAATCACCTGGGAGGTTGTTGCGCTTCGCGAAGGCGAGCTAACTCCTCGTCTTTGAATCTGTACAAAAGCTGCAATATCTCTGGACCGTCCAAACTCGCACGTTCCTCGGCCGAAAGCCCTGCTCTATCCAAATACTTCTTCAAACCCCCTTCTCGTTTCTGTTGTGGTTTGTTCCCTTCCCGTACGAACGCCAACACTTGATAAAGAACGGCGCCTGAAAGACTGAATGACGTGAAGCACAGCGCGACTATGTCTTCCTTGTTGAGTCCTGTAGCCGGGGATGTACAAGTGCTCGTATGGCAGATGTTTTTGGTACTCGTCCAGGGAATCGACGTCTTGATATTCGTATGCGGGTTGCGAGTCTTTAGTCTGCTTAAAGTCAAGCAACGGCCGAGCATGCTGAAAACATAAGAAGTTGAGTATATTCATAAGGAAAGCGGTGAAGGATGACCTGAAAGAAGGGTTGCTGTGTCGAGAATGTGATTTGTGACAGCTTCATGCAATTATGCAGCCACGAAATGCCACCAACATTGATTCGGGAAGGGTCGGAAAGGGATAACGATGCTCTCATAGCTCCGTGACCCCCTCACTCGTAGGCTTCACATGAGACCAGCTTCTACATGGCAGAATCGCACCTGGTCTAACTTATCTAGATATTTTCTCTCCTCGTCCGAGAATTGCATACTATCCCGCCATTCTTGATGTCGTTCCTCTGTCCTATTCCTCTTTAAAACAGTGTGATATCAAACTTCTCAAGTCAATCGATATGCGAGTTTGTGTTGTTTGAGCAGAAAAAGTTCCAAAATATAAAATTAAGAAAGGAGGTGCTACAATTTCAGCCTGAGTTACAAGAGCATATGCAGCCACAAAGTAAGGAGAGCGACGAACTCGGGACTTTGACAAAAATGTAATTGATCAGGCTATACCACGTGCTTACCCAGAGCATCTCCAAGAATCTCCGTGATCGTAAGGATCTTCTCTTCCTGTAACCTGCGTCCAACGATCTGGACCGCGACATGCGCCCGGTCATAAAGCTCCGGATCATCTATACAGATCAGTAAACCACCTCGCTTCAAAGAGTACTTAACTTACAAGCCAAGAAAACCTTCTCATCTTGATCATTCAACGGCTTGTATCCCTCATCCACAACATCAATACTCTTATCTACCAACGTAACCGGTAGAACCGCCGACGTATAATCGACCATATTGACCCAGGTGCTCAATCCTGGCATAACACGTTTAGCCTTCAAAGTCCCACTTCCAAATTTTGCCCTGTCAAAATAGCATAAATCAGCATCACGCTCAGGACAACGTACCGTAGTAGCTATACATATCTGGTCTCGCAGCAGCAAATGGGGCTAAGGGTGCAATGACGGCGTCGATCGGACGACCTGTGCCTGTGAGTTCAGCAGTGCTATTCCAGTACTCCATGTACTCTTTCTGGTAGGCACGTTTGGCGACGTTGTTGGCTGCAATTTGAGAAGCTGTATATTCGTCTTTCAAAGTTCCGTAGGTCGAGGTGATTTGGCTAGCCATTGGCTCACCAGAGAGAGCGAATGCAGCATGGACATCAGCTCCTCCATCATAGATCCATGTTTTGAACTGCAATTGTAAGCATATATCTGCCTTCGAAGATGGATCAACGCACGGCAATCTCTAAGCAGCGTTTATGAGAAGGCGGGGCCCACTCGAAAACCTTGTGTCCCAGCTTTTCGGCAGTCTTGACAACGATATCAATTGCTCTTCGAACAGGTGGTTGACAATTGACGATTCCGTCCCCTTTCGAGATGCCGAAAGCCAATTGCCCGCCACCACTACCCTTGACAATGTCTAGCACAGCTTGCTCTTGCTCGTCCCGCCAAGGAATCTCAGCGACAAGAGGATCGTGCAACCACGGTTGCTGTTCCAGAAGACCTTTGATGACAAGTTTCAGAGCGCCAACAGAGGTTGCGATCGGGCCCACCACTGAAAGAATGGAGTTCTGCCCATCCATACTGTTTGCCATTCCTTCATACGGGAGTCTCCCACTTGATGGACGAATGCCATACAAGCCATTAAATGCAGCAGGAATACGGATGCTGCCGCCGATGTCAGTTCCAAAGCCGACTGGGCTTCCTTTCAATCCGATCAGAGCTCCTTCGCCTCCTGAGCTACCACCACAAGCGAGGTTACGGTTCTTGGGGTTCCATGTATAACCGATGATATTGTTCACGGTCTCGCCAGCCATCAATGTGTGTGGAACGCTAGTCTTGCAGTACAGAATTGCTCCAAGGTTTCGTAGCTCTCTGACCATCTCGCTTTCGAAGACTTTCTCTTTGTTGGTTCCTTTCTTCCCTTCAAAAGTACCGATCCACTGGAAGAAATTAGCTCGTGCCATTGCTCATATCCCGCGGATTTGATGAAGCTATCATAATCAAGTGTCTCTCACAAGAGAAATGACTTACTCCAACATATCCCATAGTTGTCTCGACATCTTTGACATGAAACTGGTCCTTCAGACTGACCGGCAAGCCGTGAAGCGGTCCGATCGGTTTCCCATGCTTTGCATAATATTCATCCAGGGCCTGCGCATCAGCTATTGCAGCATCAAAAAAAATCTCATGGAGACAGTTGACCTTTGAAAGTTAGAAAGTTTACTTCTCAAAAGAATCAACAGCTTGACACACCATCTGATGAGCTAAAGCGGCCCGGTGACAGAAAGCTTCGGCCACATCCCGAGCCTTCCACTTTGCCGAAATTGTGTTCTTGACAATACCAACTGCATCAGTTTCGGTAATTTCAATCTCAGCAGGAGAAAGAAACTGTTGGATATATTTTCCAGTGACGTCTCGCTGCTCCGTTGCAGGCGGAACAGGAGAGGGTAACAGCCAAGCTTTAGGGATTAGTCCAATAACGGATTCCCGTTTTTCTTTTGCCAAAGTTTGCCATTCAACCATTTTGTCGGTGCTGTCAAAAAGAAATTACTTTTCAGATTCAGATTGAATGAGACGAGTTCAACGCATTATCTGAACGAAATGCTGGTTTGTGTTTGTCATGATAGCCTTATCATGGAGGGGTAGCTTCGTGGCGCTATGCACCCCGGCATACGTTCAAAAGTGGGAGAACCTGCATTTAGCTGTCTTAATCGCCCAAGAACTTCATGGAAGCCACACTTGTTGATCCTCGCATTTGACGAACATTGAGATTGATTCTCTTATTTGACATCCAACCTTCCCATTTTGGGAATTCTTCCTCTGGCCAGTTCGAAAGATAGGCCGGGCATGTACCAGCAACAATCTTCGGAACTGCATGCCAGGCAAAGCGTGATTTCCCTGTCATGTAAAGTGCATCTCCGGATCGCAGTCGGAGGACTGCTGAATGTGTTTCCCCTGACTTCTCATCATGAAGTCCAACTAAAAAGATAGCATCGCAGCCTAAGCTCACGCCTACCAGTCCTTTATCAACCTCTTCGCTAACATCCCGATGCAAGCTCAAGGTGTCTCCTGGAGAATAAAGATTGACGATAGCTGCCTGAGGCTCCATATCCGTAAAGATATTTCTAATGAGCGCAGCGACATCTTGAGGGAACCTAGGAGGCTCTTCTGATGGATAGACCTTGTTGGTCCAGTCATACTGTCCCCCAAGAGTGACCCATCGGACTTTCTTTTCCAGAGCAGCTTTGACACTTAGTGGTTTGTGCACTTTCGCATCTTTAGGATGGAGAGCAATGCTGGCTGGAGGTGCAGAGAAGAACGAGGGGTTCTCAGTAGGATAAGAAACATCATAATGTAGATGCAAATTGGTTTTATGTCTCGGGTCTGATAGATCTCGATGCAATAAGCGTGAAAGCAGCTCTTTCTGAACAGAGGGAGGCAGCAACGAGGGTAGGACAAACAAGCCTAACAAAAGTCAGAACAATAGCAAAGCATATCGATTTTTCTAACAAACTACCACTCAGCAGGTATGTGGGGTAATAAATCAAAATACCTACCTGGCAGATCTTTAAACCCATAAATCGGTGTAAGTTCCAAATGTTGGTCGAGAGGGAGCCCGGAAAAGTCTTCAAATGCAGACTGGAGACGAGACTTCGGTACGCTTCCCAAAAACTCTGTCTCACCAGAAGCAATATCAAGTTGATTTATTGATTCTATAGATGATCTTTTCCATGATTTGAAGAGGTCTTTTAATGTTTGAGGGGGTGCTTCATGAGGGTCGAGATGGTTATGTTCCGAGGTGGCAAGATCCATCTCGAGTCCCAGAATCAGAAGGCGCGATTTGTATCACAGCCCAAAACAAAACAGAAAATTTCGAGCTTGAAATGTATTCTCATAAACAGAAGATGACGAAATGAAATCAAAAGAAAGTTGCAATCACCAATGTTGCGCGGCGGAGATGTGAGCCGGACTTCAGCCTTGAATTTTTTAGCGAGCCAGCATTTCGCGTTCTCCATGTTGACTTTCGCGCCAAACTTTTGTTTATTATTGACAACGCAGCGACACTTCGACCTTCAACCCCAGGACCTCGACGACAAAACCGTTTCGACTCTCGAGCACGACAATTCCATTTTCGACCTTCGACTCCTGTAACGATTCCCTTGCGACCTCGATGCCGATTTAGTCAACAAAGACTACCCCTCCTTAGGTTCACCGCCCCCACCACGACCCTCGAGAAGCAGATTTACCTGCATCCATTACTCCTCCACACTCCTTTGAATCTCAGCAATCGACATATTCCACCATGGAGAACTACCAGAAGTTGGAGAAGATTGGAGAAGGTTAGTCAATGCCTGCAGCCGAGCCGCATAGTCCCATGCACGACGCGGCCTCCCTTGCTTACTTTGTTCTGCGCAGGCACATACGGTGTCGTCTACAAGGCTCGAGATCTCCTTCATCCAGGACGAATTGTTGCGCTCAAGAAGATCCGTCTTGAGGCAGAGGATGAAGGAGTGCCTAGTACCGCCATTCGCGAGATCTCTCTCCTTAAGGAGATGAACGACCCGAACATCGTCCGCCTCTTCAACATCGTACATGCCGATGGCCACAAGCTATACCTAGTTTTCGAGTTCCTCGACCTCGACTTGAAGAAATATATGGAAGCTCTTCCTGTCAGTGATGGTGGCAGAGGCAAGGCACTGCCCGAGGGCTCTGGTCCAGACTTGGGACGTCTTGGGTTGGGAGACGCGATGGTTAAGAAGTTCATGAGCCAATTGTGTGAGGGTGTTAGGTATTGCCATAGCCATCGCATCTTGCACCGTGATCTCAAGCCGCAGAACCTTCTGATTGACCGTGAAGGCAATCTCAAGTTGGCTGATTTCGGTCTTGCGCGTGCCTTTGGTGTCCCCCTGCGCACATACACTCACGAGGTTGTTACTCTGTGGTATCGATCCCCAGAGATCTTGCTTGGTGGCCGACAATACTCTACTGGTGTTGATATGTGGTCTGTCGGATGTATTTTTGCTGAGATGTGCACCCGAAAACCTCTCTTCCCAGGAGATTCCGAGATTGACGAGATTTTCAAGATCTTCAAGTACGCACTCTACCCCCTTTTTTCGCAGACCTCTGTTAACGTTTTCAGGCTTCTAGGTACACCAACTGAAGCCGACTGGCCAGGAGTCAGTGACAAGACCTGCTTTCCCGATTTCAAGACATCGTTTCCTAAATGGATCCGTGACGAGTCAATCCCATTGTGCTCGAATCTTGACGAGAAGGGACTTGACCTCCTCGAACACATGCTCGTCTATGATCCTGCCGGCCGTATCTCTGCTAAGCAGGCATGCATGCACCCCTATTTCGAGGAAGGTAGCTCCGCATACTCTCGACGTGGCTTAGGACCAACTTATGAAGCCAGTAATGGCTACCACTAGATACCTCCAACGAGGAAGGATGATTTGATGGGGAACGAGTGACTATGAGACATAGCTTAGCACATCATGGCTTAAGCTTGGATAGAGACGAGGCGCAGAAAAACGGGTACGAAGAGCTTTGCCAGCTACTCATCTTGGAGTAGCTCTGGGAAACTCTGCCATTACATGCTTTCTTTTGTTAGGTGGGATGGATGGATGGATACATGGCTGGTGGGACCTGGTAGCATGGGGCGGATTGGCGTCTATCTGGGGATTTCTTCAATGCTCGGATTGTCATCATTGCTTGCCTCCTATACTTGTAGTGTACAGAAAACCTTGCGCTGCTTCTTTTTATTTCTTCATCGTACTACATTTTCCCGCTGTCTGTAATGGAATCGCAAAAACCCGAAATCATCATCCATGAGAATGTGTATGTATGTATGTATGTAATCTTTCATTCTTATCGAAATCGATACTCCTTCCAAGAGGATATCTACTGCTGTATAAACCAATCCTATCCACAACGCCATGCCATGCCACGTAATCTATATATACACCGAAAAATGCCCGCCCCATCTTTTCATATCAACAGTCATTATCTCATCTCGTCCAAACTTCCTTTTTCCCATTCCTCTCAAGAAGATCAATCATCAACCAAACTCCTCGAACTCCCGCTCCCGCTCCCGCTGCCGCTACTACTGCTCACGACGCTGCCGCGCGCGATGGACACCAGTCTGTAGATGGCGAAGGCGATCAGGGTGAGGATGACGAAGAGGACGACGATTATTATCGCTATCACGTCGTTTTCTTGTGTCATTTTCGCGGTCCGTGGGGTTTGGGTGTTATGTTGTGCGTGGAGGGATGTTGGCTGGTGAGATGGTGTTGGGCAGGTGGTTGTGAGGTGTGTGTGCTTGTGTGCTTGTGCGGTGAGGAAGATTCGTGTCGGGTGATGGAATAGATGGAATTGAGAAGTAGATAATATCTGCCAGCAAGTCAGCTCTCATCCTATCTCCTCTCATCATCGCATCGGGTTGGTTGACATACCTCTCTCTCTTCAATCGTCAACAACAACAAGGCTGAACCAAACAAACAACCTTCTCTCTGTCTGCTGAGTATTTCTCAAGTCGTAACTTTCGTCAATGGTAAAATCGTATGAAGAAGAAAGAGAACTCCTCCTACCTCGAGCACGAAGCTCTTGTAGTAGTGATCCTCGACCCAACCTCGCTGCTGTCCTGCCATCTTCTTTTTTTTCTGTCGATGCGTTGGTGGTGAGGGAAGGCTGGTCGCAGGGGTGGTTTTAGGGATGGCGGGTACGCTAGAGGGGCGTGCGTTTAGTGGGTCGGGTCGGGTTGGGTGTTTGGAACTTAGAACTTCGGTTTTTGGGTGAGTTTGGGATGGGGAATTTTGTATGCGATAAAGTTATTAATGAAGAAACATTTATTTTTATTGATGTATCCAATACTCCATCAGGTCGGCAGATCCAGATCCGTCAGGTTTTATCACGAAAAGTGCATCCAAACCTCACGATGCAAATCCTCGCTTAATCCTCCAGAACACCAACCCCCCCCCCTTTTCATGTCTCACTCACTCACTTGGTACTTCTTACAAACGCCTCCCAATCCCAATCCAGAATCCACAACACCTGCAACATCCCGATTCCCCTGTCCCGGCTGTCTGTCTTACCACAAATCCGGATCTCGATGCAGATGTATGTTCCCGCTGCTGCTGCTGCGGGGCCACGTGTAGTATTCTCCTTTTGTTTGTTGGTTTAGGGATTGAGGGGTGGTGAATCTGTGTCTGGGTGAGAGTGATTGAGTAAGTTCGTCCTGAATCAGGGTATATTTGTTGGTAAGTATTGTCCGTACATTGTAGATCGTCCAGAGATTAAGTATATCTATTGTTCGTACAGTGTAAGTTGTCTGGAAACTTGTTACATTTGTAGTAAATATTGTTCGTACAATATAAGTGATCCAGAGATTAAGTACATCTATTGTTCGTGTAGTCTAACTCGTCGGAAACATGGTATATTTGTGAATCTCGCCTCTTGAAAGTGAATACCGTCCCTAAAAAGCAGAAACTATCCCCAAAAAGTGAATATGGCTAGAAGGTGAATGAGAATCAGTCACAGCGGGCCGAGTCAGATCGGCGCGGAGTCTATATAAACTCCGTCTTCTACCCTCTTTGTCTTCTTCTTCATACCGATAACAACCATGTACAGTGAGCTACATCGGTTGGCCGTCTGTGTGGCCCTGTGTAGCCGGGTTCTCACGCGGCGCCGGGCTTGAGTATTTTCTTTGTCAGAATTTGGGAGTTGTGTAACTTTGCTCGATGTTGGGGTTGTCAATCTTTGTGTTATTGTCAATCATTGTGCTGTTGTCATCTATTGTGCTATTGCCAAGTCAAAAAGATGTCGTCTTGTTAATATTCTTGTTGTCGGGTTTTTGTTGCGTTTATAGATTGAAAATCAGATAGACAAAACGAGCATGTAGTCTGTGATAGTTACTCAACTTTGGACTATTATTTTACTCTCGCTAAACACTCTCTTCTTATTAGTTACTTTTTCTTGTTAATCACTCTCCTTTTTTTGATCACTCTCATCTTGTAGATTACTCTCCCCTTGCTAACTATTCTCCTTTTATTAGCCACTTTACTCTTCATAATCACTCTTCTTGTAACCCTATTTGAAATCTCCCCAAGTTTTCAAATCTTCTCAAGCTTTCAAACCACAACATCTCATTAAAAACAGACTTGCTTCAATTCCCAATAATCTATATCCCATTTCTCTATCCTTTCCACGCCAAACCACCAAAACCGCACACACACCCACCCTCCCTCATTTTCAAAGCACACTCTCCCCCCTCCCCTCTTCCTCCTCCCCCCACAACCACCCATCCACCCCCGCCTCCCTATTTCCCCACCTCTCCCTCCCCAAACTCCGTCCCGTAACCTCAATATCACACCCAATATCCTCGACCAACTTCCCCAAACTCTCATAATCATACTCGGGCCTAATGTACCCCAACACCACAACCCTCATCTCGCACCCATAAAAGTCCCTCCCGAACCCATGCATGACATGCACCTCTGCACTTCTCACCGTATTGCCATAGAACGGGTTGAACCCGATACTCATCACCATTGGGTAGATCCTCCATCCCTCCTTCTGCTTCGCGGGCGGGACCTGCACCGCTGCGGACGGGTACGGGACAGTGGTTGGGAAGGTGGTTGATGAGATTTCGGGCCCGGAGGGGGAGAGGGAGGGGTGGTCGGGCGGGAGTTGGATGGAGGACCAGCCGAAGTAGACGCCGGAGTCTGCGGAGGCGATCCAGGGCGCTGTGTCGACGGGGAGGTTTGCGGTGGGGATTCCGAGCTTTGGGGTGGTTAGCGTTCTGTTGAAAGGGGGAGGAGAGGAGAGGAGAGGAGAGGACGAACTTCTTTACTGCCGCGTCCGAAGCCTTGGACGACTTGCCCGCCCATGCGGAGGGGGAAGGGTTTCGTGGGTCCGCTGTCGTCGCCGATGATTTCTGGTCGAGGGGCGTCGGGGCGTCGCATTTTGGTGGATTACTTTTGAGGATGTTCGGGCTCTTCTGATCTAGAGTCTCTTAACAATTAATCGCTGAGGGAATGCCGATGAGGTGGTGAGTAATAAAGCGGATAGTGAGTTGTGTTGAAGATGGAGGGGTTGAAAGATAAATTGAAGGTGGGCTGGATTTCTGCAAGGCTGTCATACATCATTATTGCGGAAGGATGTTTGACCCGACCCGACAACGGGCGCGAGGCTGAACTCTTCCTCCCGTCACTCTCAAACCACCCCTCACAAATTCATAATCACAAACCTCACAATCACAACTCATTCACCAACCAAAATAATCTTTACAAGGCATCACATAATTTTGTATTGAAGAAAACAAGCATGTACGCGGCCCCCCTCCTTTCGGAAGAAGGACCAATGCAAATATCCACACCACGCAGCCATCTCATCGTATGGTCATTCTCTCCCATGCAATATGTGAGTGAAAACCCTCCAAAAAAGACACAAGAAAGCCAGAACGCCACCCAAGCTCATTGCAGAGCGTCATATCCTGTAAGTTTCCCATTTCCTTCCATGCATAACCCCCAGCCAAGCCTATGCCCAATTCAATATAAAAACGTCATCGGAAACCGTTCTTCGCCGTGCCCATGCAGTGTTTCTGTGTATGTCGTGTTGATTTTCCTTCTCTGGTTCGATTGAATCAGCTACGGGGTTTAGATGCAAGGTAGGAACTGTAGCATAGTTAGCATTGCATCTTGAGATGAAGCGCAGAGGAAGTACTCACGTTCATAACAATCAACATCGGGATATCAAAAACATCCCTCTTGACCGTCCAACAATAACTACAATCCATCTTCCCATCTTTCTCCAACCTGCCAATTCCATGTTCGCCATCAATCTCTCTTACTCTATTCCCCATTCCACCAATACCACCACTCACTTCTCTCTTCTTATTTCTATTGATCTCCTCTTGTTTCTGCTCTGGCGACTGGCTTTCTCCGTCTTTGGTCTGGTATTTGAGTAACCTACATCGTGTCGTAACGCTTCCTCTAGTATCTGCGAACGCCAATCGAGCAAAGTCTTCGTAGAACTCTATCACACTGTCATCATCTAATAGTTCGGCAAGGAATACCGGCTGAGGTCTTCCTTCCTTCGTCTGCTGTTCCGACAAGCTGAGTGGTCGCATCCTGGGAGTTGCCAGACCAGCTCGACCTGTATTGTTGAGACTATTCAGTCCAGAGCTCTCAGAACTACTCTTCCCGGTGTTGATATTCAGATTTGGTTCTTTGCCAAGTAAGACATCTTTCTTCCAGCCAGTCAAGAGTGTAAACTCCTTATTCACAGCTGCGACTTCGCCTGTTCGACGACATACTAGAGTCGGTGTACAGCAGTTGAGCATGAAGTCCTCGTACTCGAAAAGAGTCCGTTGGAAACACTTCTCCATGAAGATCAAATCTTGTCGATTCAGAGTCTTCGTACACGAGATGAATGATGGCCGGATAGAAGCTAGTGATTTGGCGATTCGAAGAGTCTTTGTGGCAGAAAAGCGGCGTTGGAGGAAAGCCGTGAGGCTATGAAAGCCAGACGTATAGGGATAGGGCTCATGGACGGTATCGTAGATTGATGAAGGATCTCGAGTACGTTTGCCAAGAACAGCGGCGGGCCCAAACTTGCCTGACATGGACTTTGTGTCTTGTCGCTTTGCAGGTCTTTGGGAGGCGCTAGAAGGATGTGGTGTTGTGCTTGGCGTGTAGTTCGTCGTTGTCGGTGAACTATCAAAACCCATGCCACTTGCCCCTGGACTTGCATCTGTGCTCGGACTGTGGTGACTCGTAGGACCAGCTGCAATAGCGTATGCATGCGGTAGACCGTGGTGAACGTATGGCATCTGGAAATCTTGCATCACATCCTGCCCATACAATCCTCCATACTGGTTCATGTTGTTGCCGAAGACGGCTCCATTATTGAAGCTCACATCGCCCATTCCTTGCGAAGAAATTGATCCAGACTGGTCTTTCGGTGGTGTTTCAGCAGATCCTGAAGCCATGTGTCCTAACATGCCAAACTCCAATGCACCGTAGTGGTTGCCAAAATTCAAGCCCTCGAGGTCAAAGTTGAATAGAGCCGGATTGCTGGGATCAAACAATGCCCCGCCAAATGGCTGTACATCATTGGATACTTGAGGCATTGATAAACTCTGCAATGAGTTCTGTCGATTCAGTTGCTGGAATGTTGGAGATATCGGAGACTGTTGACTGCCATAAGACAATCTCGACTGAAGTGGAGGAGGCATAGGATTCTGCTGAGTTGTGAAGATGGGATATGATGGTGAAGTATCGGCCTGCGTGAAGAACCCTCCACCGACGTTCGGTGAAGTTTCTGATGTAGTGGTATTGATTACGGTGGGCCCGTTGTTGCTTGTTCTGTTATTGCTGTTGACTTGATTGTAATTCGGGCCTAAAACAGGTCGAAGAGCTTCTGGAGGAGCATCGTGGAGATACTTTGCCTTCTTTCTGACACCATCTTGACAAGCATCAGCGAGACCACGCTTGATACAACGTTGACAAGGACGCTCATCACCTAGGCAGAACGTTAAAATTTATACTTCTGACAGAGAGCAAAGACCGCGGGGTGGTTGGAGAGGGTCCCAGCTGCAGGGAAAAGAAGCAAACATACCACATGTCAAGTGAGCTCTTTGACAGGCAAAGCAAGCTCGTCTTGCTTTCTTCCTCCTCGGCCTCAATGGATCTTTCGGATCAAGCTTTGGCTTTGTTGCTGTCGATCCGGCCGCCTTGCCATTCTCATCAACGTTGAACTTCTGCTCGGCCATATCCGAATTATCGTCCTCCTCTTTGCCTACAACATCGGGCTCTTGCTCATGATCACTATACTCATTCTCCGAGGCGCCATCCGAAACCTCAGGATCATCTACCTCAGTATCTCCCGACATGCTGTCTTATATTAACCCACTTTAGGGTTATCTTGTCCACGACTAGGTCGAGCCTGCGAAACCACACCTCGTCAACTCAAATCAATAAGAACCCCAGTCGATTTCTCCCTCGCCAATAGCCCAGGAAGGTGCCCTGCCGCAGGAGGCTCCGTCACACAAGACGCAGAGCAGGGAGGCAAGGGTTGGTGGGTGCCGTGAGCCGCTCGGTGGTGCACGAACAATGCACACCTTGTTTCCCTTCACCCACACACAGTTCAGCTTCCCAGAAGCGAAACCTCGAAATATCCCCCAATCTCTCAATCTGGAGTCCGGTTCCAGAGAATGTGTGATTTTCCCCACGGCGCTCAAACAAACGGTCTTACCCGTCTATCCCTAGCAACCCAACTGGCACTCGATTCTATCTTCCCGAAAATACCTTTTCAATGCGCCGCCACCCACAAGCGGATAACTCCCAGAAAAGGGCACCGCAAAAGCACGTACCCGCAAATATTCTGACTCCCACCCACGTTTCGCCGCGTGCCTACTTGCACACAGGCACGCGTTCGCATGCAGCTCCTCTCTGGTGGTGGTTCCTCCTATCCTCTTCCTGTTCCCTCTCTCAGCTTTCCCAAACCCTCACTCAGCTTAGTCCCACCCAACTCCCAATTGCCAATCACTTGTGTATTTCCCCAACTGAGAAGGTAGCAACGCAACCGCACGACGTCCCTCGCACGACACCAGAGAGCCACGTCTCTGATTGCCAATCGGCGATCAATACAGCCGGCTCCTCTGCTCCTCTTGCACCCCACTTCTACTCTCTCGAGAGCAGACCAGGGATCACGCGCCCCCAAGCCTCGAATCTTGGGTGACTCCGCCGCGGGCTGGGAGGGCTTGCGTAATTGGGAAGGAAAGGCTTCAATGCCTGCTGCGTCTGCGTCTATCTCTGCTGCTTCGGCCTTGCACCTCCTCAATGCTGTGCAACGCGATTCTGCTGCAGCTATCCGACACTAGTGTCCTTCTCTCGCTGCAAATATGGCATTGATGCCCAGTCAAGGATCTGGGGGTTCGTATCGTATCGTATCGTTTTGTTCCAATGGCCGAGAGCTGTAGCTGTATCTAGAGGTGGATTAGGGACTCGCAGGAATATTGTCCGACTAGTGACAGGAGTGGTAACTCGCTCTTCTCGACATAGGGTAGGAGGGTAGGATGGAGGAGGTCGTGAAAATAGGGGGGAAGGAATTTCGAGTGTTGCTGAGCAATTGAGAAAGGTCAATTAGAGCTGAGGATGTTGGAGGGTGGAGAGGCGGGGTTAGCGTCGAGGAGAAAGTTCAAATTTCGACTTGGGCGGATTATGCGCACAGCTTCCCTCTGATACTGTACTTGACGGCACGGGAAGGCCGCGCTTGGAAGATTTTTGGGAGACAAGAGGCGTAGGTAGTATCACGATTTGAAATTGAGAGATGTGTTTGGGAATGTCTCTTTGCGCGTGGCAGCACGTTGTGGTGGTTGCGCAAAGTGGAATAAATTTCTTTGCTCGCAGCAGAGGCAATTCAGGAAGAGTCTCAGTCAGAGCTTTGGGTTTGCCTCGCTCCGGGCGACAGGCTCCTTCCTCAGCCACACCTCTCCACCATCGCTTACACTTTCTGCATACAGGACCGCCAGGGTACCCAACGCAATCTTCTCTGTTGATGATTTGTTTACAGTTAAAAAAAAGTCGAGCAATAATGATCTCAGTAGCAGAAGGTAGAGAATGTGATACCCATTCCAATGGGACAATCCAGACCCAGCAGCAGCAGGTCGTCGTCGCACAAATATTACAAATGCGAGGTCACATGCCCTTCCCATCTCTCCTTGTCCTTGGTTCCAGGATGTGAGCATTGGGTTGTGAGTGAACGTGCAATCCTGGACAACCAGAACGCCACGATCGCCCATCCGCGACAGGAAAATTGATTGGGAGGAAAACGAGGGATGTTACTCGGCATCTCGGTAATGGTAACGAGAGACGAGGCATTTCTTGCTCTGCATGGAGGGACGGCATCGGAGTTGCTCTCTCTCTTGTGTTTGTGTGTTATGATTGCGGTATGGGGGTGTGAAGAGAAGCCACTGCGATTGGGACGCTTTGCGATCGAGGCGCAGAGTGAAAGGGGCAATCACGTTGTGGGGGATTTTTTGAGTTTCAGCAGTCATGGTTCGTGGCTTTTGTGTTTTGCTGTCAGATGACCGCTGGGACTGGAGTTGGTTATGCTGTGCGACGGTAACCTTCTGCAGGGACCTGGGGTCATGGTATTGGGATTTCGGTTGAATCGAAACAGGTCTCAAACAGATGATGGGTGGGGTGTGGACGATGGTAATGCGGTATAGATTCATTTTGGTTTCCTATAATTTCGCCCTTTTGATGTTGTATAAAATCTCGCTATGCCTGTCGAACATCTAGAAGTCTAGAAGTATCGCAAATCTAACATCTACCATATATATAGAAAGAAAATATTTAGATCAACCTGTCGCAAAGCGACTCTTTCCTCTAATCTTCTTCCCATATTTGAAAAAGAGATATGGGAAGGGCATCATGGCTACAGTCAAGAAAGCCAGAAGACTCGTAGCCCCTGAAGTTCACAAAGTCAGCAATTGCCTAATGAAGATCCTTCAACAGAGATGCTCACATTGATCGCCCAACTTGTGATACATTTGCACACCGAATAGGGGGAAGACGGCTATTGGATCATCAGCTTTCGAATCGTAGGGAACGTGACAAATCTTGAGGTTCTACATACCACCAAAGCTGGACCTCGCAAAGCTATTGGCGGCCAAGGCAGAGGCCGCATACAGCGGATAAGCATCAACCAAGAAGGTGAAAACGCCACTGAAGACCAGCAATGTCCTACGCGTTCCATGTTAGCCATCTGATGCCACTCTTGTGTGACGGCACGTGCATATGTAATGCATCATGTATGTGTGATATACAGAAAGTGCTCTGATTTCCAAGCCGTGATGAAAGGCTACAGTATGAGTGTGGAAGAAGAGTAAAACTTCTGCAAGGGAGTTGAAGCCATAATCATCGAAGCTGAGAGTCGAGATGCAGGTACGCCGCTCGTGTTGAACGCCACTTGCGCTCGAGCGTAGCCATCACGCCGCAGATCGAAAGCCTTGTCTGAAAGCGGGATGTTGAAGAAATGACTTACCCAATTCCAAAAATACACGAGCCGATAATAGGCACAATCCAGTGGACCGAACTGTAAGTCGTCCATGCGAACATGAAGAGACCTGTAGGTACGAGAATAGCGCCCGCGATCGCGGGCGGCAGTCGATACTCGGGCTCACTCCCGCCGATTTCGCCCGTCCTCTCTTCCCGCTGCTTGATTAGTCTCTGATAGTTCTTGTGCCAGATTGGATCTGTGAACGACCCCAGAACCATGCCAACAAAGATGCCCAGGAATGACATTCCTGTCTGGGACAAAGTAAAGCCATGGTTTCCCTCAAAGACAAGCGGGAAAGCTCCGAAGAACAAATACAATATGCCTAGAAGAATAGCTGAGAATAAGCAGAGGTTGAGTACCATTGGCTCAAATATGAGGAGCTGAGCTGGCCGAAGTAAGGAGTACGCAATGGTTCTGGGTATCGACTTGTTCATTTTCTCCATTGGAGCCTTCCATCGCTCATCTCCGGTCTCTTTGCGAAGCTTTCGAGCTTTATTTCGTAACAGCACAGGATGGTAAGTCTCAGGAACGAAGAGAGCAATCATAGCAAGATTTGTTCCTGACCAGATAAGCAGAACATAGTACGTCCATCTCCAGTACGTGTACTGGTTAATAAAGCCACCAATGAGCGGGCCGATCGATGGCCCGATGAACGGCGATCCCGTGTATATCAGCATGGGAAGCTGAAGCGTCTCCCGATTGAACATGTCTCCCACAGTTCCACCTGCAACGGAAAGGAACGCAGATCCTGAGAGTCCGTCAATGAAGCGTGCAATTAGCATCGTTTGGATGTTGTGGGCCACGGCTGAAGGGATGATCCAGATGATGAACATTGAAAACGAAACAAGATATATGGGACGACGGCCATAGAATTCTCTTTTGCGCAGTCAGTATCTGGATTTAGACGTCGATTGGTCAACTTACGAAAGAGGTCCCAGTAACATTGGGCCAATTCCCAAGCCCATAATGAAGAGGGAAAGACCCAATGTTGCAACTTCCCTCGAAATGTGGAAGTATTTCTCAGTTTGAGCATAAGTCGAAGTGTAAATAGAGGATGTGCATGTCCTGTAATGCAGTCAGCATCATTGAAATATCTCCAACCAATTCCCCAGTCCAGTTTCCTTTTGCAGCCTTTTGCTTATTCTGAGTCCAGCCTAAAACGCCTACCCCGGACGTCCGAACCACGATGCCGTTGAAAAGAACCTCAATCCCCCAACCACAAGAAAATTATATTTACTTACACGCAAAGCGAACTGGCGCTGACGATAATTACTATCAGCCATTTCCTCGCCAATGTCATACTCCTAGGGCACAGCGGATCATCATCACCATTATCCCAGTGAACTTCGAACGGGTCCTTCTCTGCAGCGCCTCCTTCTACATCCCCAGTCTCGCCTTCTGTGGTATCCTCATCGTCATTATCGTCGCATCCATACCCATTATGTGATCTCGTTCGACTGACTGAGCGCAGAGACATCGAGCCTCCTCTTGCGCGGGAATTCGAGCGACTATTTACCCTCGATCCTGTCCCAGATATGGGCGCCCATTCTTTGTTCGTAGGAAGATCGAGCGTCGAATCATCCGTTGGAGAGACCGTCTTGTCTTCATCGTACTTCTCGCTGATATCTGCCATTGTGTTTTTGTCCACCTCTTGGTGCCCTCGACTGGTGGGGTGAAGCTTCAATGTCGTTCGATATCCAAGATTTCCAGCAACAGCATACCATCCGTCCTTAAGCTCTTCATATATCCGTCCAAACGCGCTTGGTAATCTCCATACCACTCATTCAAAGAGAGGTGAGAAAGACATCTCTAAACCCTGCCGCAAAGAATTCCGCACGTTTCCCATGCTCTCCACTCGTCGTCGCCCCTGCTCGTCACTCTTAACTCGGCCGACGGCGACAGCTCTGGCTCCCGCCGCGTCAAGGGAAGACGAGAGGGGAACCACTCTTGACATTTCCGGGTCCAACTCCATGCTTCTGATTCGTCTCATTTGAAATCAAGCTTTGAAAGGGTGGGGTTGTCATGTCCTTAAACCCGATTTATGCCCGAAAGATCTCTTGGCCGACGGAATGTAAGCCCGAAAATGTGCCTCATCAACTCCTTTCTTCATCAGCACTCACAAATACGCCTCCAGCATCTCAATAGCCTATCAATTGGACATTACACTTTCCCAACATGTCTTTGCGCTCAATGTACGTATCATGACATTTCGATGCAAGTGCGTCACTCCAGCTGACCAAGCACAATTGCAGCTTTTCGTTTCTCTCGTGCATAGATTTTCTGCGGCTGCAAGCGAGCGAGCGAGCTCGGCGGCACCAGCCACAGCGCGTAATGGTTGATCCGGGGTGTCGGGAGTTTGAGGAAGGTGACTCGGGAGATGTCGGGTTGGTGCTTGAGGGACTTCTCGAAAGGGAGAGGTTGGAATAGAGTCAGATGTGAGTGATGCTTGGGAAGGCAGGTTCAAGCGAGGGTCTTGAGTGAGTAACAAACACATGTCGAGTGCGGGGTAGTGCCAACCCCTCGCTTGGACAGAGTTTCCCCCTTTTCTGTTTTGGTACTTGGGGTTCAGAAGCGAGGGGATAATGTACGAAGTTGCAATATGACCTATCTTCACCTCAGTGTCAGAGAAGTGGTGAGGACTTAGCAGGGTAGCAATGTTCTAGTTGAAACTAGCATTGCTAGTTTCTTTTTGAAATGGATAGTGGTTACATGCTCACTAAGGAGCACAGAAGCTGTGAGAATACATCTTGAATCTCCGAGGTCTTCTGGGATATTTGAATTTTGAGACAATGAAGTTCACTTATTGCCGACATTCACGACTTCATGATTGTTGATTGCATTTAGGAACTCCTGAGCTATGCTGAACATTCAGATTCTCAACTTTGAACCGCTTTCGTTCTATTCCCAACTTCGCTTCCTTAAGACTTGCTTTTGCTTCGCTCGCAGAGTCCATCCACCAACCCCGCCGTAGTAGTCCTGTTTCGCGCCATCCATCAACCTTTTCTTCTCTTTTCAACTAATCACCTCTGATGATGGATGGCGCGAGCTTCAGGATGATGCTAAGATGAGCTGTTAAGGTAAGTTCTCTTTCGCCCCTCCTCATCCATTGGAACATACCACCTCTGGTCTGCTAATGTTGTTCTTATTGTTTGGATCCACTTGACAAGGTATTTAAACGTAATATCTAACATGACCAGCACAGAACTGACTGTGGAACAGGTTCAGCGGCCAACAGATCATATCGAAGCCGGCCTTCGATTGGCGGTGCCGACTCGATCACATCAATCATGTCGAAACCTTACCGCAGCCGACTCTACCAGATAAAATGATCCGCAACGTCTCCTGTTCAAATACATCATACAAAAAGGCATATACGGGACCCAAAAATTGAGCCGAGTAGTCACCGCCCTGCATCAGTGTTCGTACAAGATTGTTTTGATGAGAAGTACGATATTTCATCCTCGATCCAATTCTGCCTCACTGACCTGGAAGACAGACGCTATGTCTTCCTCAGAAAACGCATCCAGTTGTGGAATCGACAACCAGTCAAAAAACAGATGTGCTTTCCATTCTTCGAAATCAGGCCCTTGCCCAAGATCTTTCCAGACAGTGATTGTGAGTTTCATAGTACAATCAACCTCATGCTTCACACTAGCTTGATATTCAGTCAGACAATATCGGCACCGAAAAAGCTCCCAGCAGATGTTCTCTCCGCAACGCAGTTTCACAGACCATTCCTGCAGTAAAAGATCCGAACACGATGTTTCTATCCAGAGCGTCCCCATTATGGATTCACATCTAAGATGCGGGCATATCCAGAACTCTGTTGAGTGTCGCTCGAAATCTCGACAGATGCCGAAGAAAGTTACGCGTTTTTCGGTGAAGAGGGAACTGTTCTTGATTCGACATCTTACTTCATATTCTCTGACCAAGGACCCGGCGCACCAAGGAAGGCTACTGGTTTTTTCCGACAAGAGATCCAAGAGCTGGCGGGTCCGAGCATCGAAACCAAAGTTGCGGTGATGTTTCATCGTCATCTTGAAGACAGTGCTGCTAAAGTTATCGTGGATATAATCTGTAACCATAGCTTCCCAGTCGCTTCCTAGACAATCCAGCTCAAGCTCCCGCCATCCGCTGCCCTCCATGTATTTCTTGGCATTTTTGATCTCGTGAAGCTTTCTGCAGGGAGTGCAAACAATTTGGCTCGGAAGATCGCATTCTAGAAGATTTAAGAATACTAATCGTTCGTGATCGCAGGTAGCAGTTGCTAGGTTTTCTAGATACTGAGTTCCGAGTAAGAGATAGACGTGTCGACAAGACAAAGAAAATGATACGGCTGATGCGAGAGGAAGATCGTTCGCGATTTGTTGTAGGAGTTCTGTGGGAAGCCTGGCCAGAACTGAATTTTCTAGTGCATTTGGCCTCTGGACATCCGGGCGAATTTGTCGAAAGAAGCGTTTTGTTCTTCGTTGAAGGAGGGTGGATGAATTCTTAGCGGACTCCATTTCGAATGAGGGCGGGTGTGGTATTCGTGATATCGCTGAAAGAAAATGATTAAGGTGTATATCATTAGAAATGTGGAAGGAGCTAAAGAGGCTAGTTAGTATAGTCACATGCTTGGATCGCGGAGAGTAGTACCTAGTGACATCATTGAGACGAGATAGATGAATATACTCGAGACATCAAATGAATATTGTAAGTTCAAAACTCATGGAGTTGCGGGGTTGGGGCGCGCAGAAAGCAGTCCTTTGCAATTGTTAGTTGAGCACATTCTCATGATCATGTAAAACAATGTTACATATAAAGCTCACCAAACTAGTTGCACTACCAAAGCAGAATGTCGAGCAAAAGTCCAAATCTGTGGCAGCAGCAAACACAAGTATGCAAAGTTTCCAGACATTGCGCAGAGCGCGCGGAATGCGCATTTCGCGCTAGTCGTGCGATACGCGCAAATCGCGCGGGATTTGCAAGGTGGTGAGTAAGAAAGGACTATAATTCTGAATGGAAGCATGAGGATAGGTAGGAATAGATCTGATATAATATGCGTGCAATGTCCAGCGAGCTAAGAATGTTTGACGAATGCAGAATGTTGGTGGAAGAGACAGGAAAGAGACAGCGCAGATTGCATTTTGCGCTGACCGCGCGACTAGCGGAGAATGTGTGGGATTTACAATGTCCCACGGCAGCATCAAAATCGATGAGAATAGAGACCACAACATGCAAGAAGTGTACAATGCCAAGCATAGTACGTGTGACGTTAAGCAAGTGGTCAATGTTCAGCTTAAGTTTGATCACTCATGGTAGCAAAAATCTTCAGGCTTAGTTGAATGTGAATGCTGATATATTTTTGAGTCCGGGCCGATCCACCATGTCAGAGAAACTCGTAGCTGGCAGATTCGAAGGCTGAGGTGGTGTCAGAGCATGTCGAGGAGCTGGGTTTGGTGGTGTTGGGGTTTTGCTGGCTGCTAAGTTTGATCAATAAAGTTTGGGGAATATCTGACTTCAGCACTTGCTATTTCGTCTTTGAGATGTCCGACCTCAGCTCGGATACTTTCAGGTCGGAAAAGGCTGTACGAACTCTCATCTACTCTCGTGCTCAAAAGTTATGATTCGAAGTCAAACCTGACAACACTCAAGGATAAATTATAACATGTCTGCACCATCATCACCAACCCAGCTCATAACTAACCACCTTCCCACCCTCCCTATACGTCCCATTGACCGGACTCTCAATGCCCCCCGTGGTAGTAACATAAATCCTCCCCTCCCCCGCGACGGCCACACTCGTCGGATTCGGAATCACCGTACTATTCAAACCCCCAAACACGTACTCTGGCGTACCACCCTCCAACGGAATGCGAAAGACCTGATTAATCGCCCCCGCAGCAACATACGCATATCCCCTCTCTGGATCGAGCGCAAAGTCATCAATAGAGATGTTGGAAGCGAGTTGTTGGACCGCAGCTGTAGCTTTGAGAGCAGAGAGCGAGATGGGAACCCGGTTGAAGGTCGCTTTGGCCGTGTTGTCGAAGTAGATCCATGCTGTGTCGTTGTTGTGGGCGGATGGAGGCAGGACTCGGATGCCATTGACGCTAAGTCCAGAAGGTTCGGGGCTCGTTGGTGCGAGGGCTGGGTCTTGAAAGAGGATGGAGTAGGCTCCTGTGTTGACGTTGATGAGCCATATGACACCTTTGAAGGAATCGGCGGCTACTATCAGACCTTTTTCTGGAGAGAGAGTTGAAAGACCGTTGAGGAGGTCGGATTCGGGGATTAGGACTACTTGGTGGATTTTGGCGCCCGTGTTGGTTTTGTGGTCGTAGGATGTTAGGTCCACTGTCCATATGGAGTCTGTTCCGTTGGCAATGGTGGGGGGCGTGAGGGTGAAATTTGAGGCGATCAGATGGAACATGTCGGGCGTCGTTTCAGTGAGTCCTAATACTGCGTGATCGGAGGAGAAGCTGTGGATAAGTGTTGCAGTAGAGTTTGGATGCGGATCGAGAAGATACATGTCGGGAGTTGTGACCAGGTCGACGAGAATCTGGCCGTTTGGACGTATAGCGATGTTCTCTACCCAGGTTGGGTCTGGAAACTGGTGAATAGTTTGTGGGTTCGTGAAGCCATGTTTAGTTGTGCGAGGATTAAGAGTGATAGCAGCCGTAAGACCAATGAGGCAAGCATACGTAGGATAAATTACTGAACGCATTATTGTTATAGAAGACGCGACAGTTACTGTATCCTCACAAAAGAACGAAAAACGAAGAAAGCATGAGAAGGCTGAACTTGATATTAAGGTTGGATAGATCCTGCGTGGCTTGGCAGTTTTTAAGTAACAGATTATCTCAGCCGCAGGGCTGACATGACGTATAACCACAGAGTAATGGTTGTTGATCAGTGATAGAGACGTGGAGGATACCAGAATCGGTGGACTCTAGTTTAGCTCCCGACCCTTGAGGTGAGCACTAATCACCGCGAGGTACCAACCTAACAATCTAAATGAAGAAACAATGTAGGGTAGTCGCAAGCTTACAACCGATTTCACAGCATGAGATTGAACTCAATGCTATGTGATCTTTGCAACACTGAGCTTGTCGCGGGCTCTACGTTCGAATCCCTGTACCAAAAAGTGGTTGTCAAGTCTAGAAATTAGACCATTACTGAGTATCCACGGAATTGAGAAACCCGGATCGGGTAATGTTCCGGGAGATGACTGCGGAGCTTCAACCAATCAAGACTTCTTTGCTTGTGGCTTCCCAGGAACCAAGGCTGAATTCGTAAATCGTATCTCGTAAGCCGCATAAAGGATTCATGAATGTGTGTTCGTCGAGGAAAGAGACATCAAAAACGAGCAATTCAATCCAAAAAGAAAGGGCCAACTTTGCCCAGTACTACCATATAATCTTCGATATGCGCTTATAGAAGATTTGCGATTGTGAACGCCACGCCAACGTAAAGGAGTATATCGCAAAGCTCGAATTAACAAGATCTCCACTTGAAAAGCAATTGGTGCGCCTCAGCACAACAGGAACAAGTCGTCGCAATCCTCCTGTTTCCAATTCCAACATCGTCTGGATTCAATGAGCACTGGATCCATAGCTCAGACTCATGTGAAGTATTTTCTTCCACGTGCTCGAATGCAACTGTGCGATGCAACACTGGATAAACTCAACGTCAAAACTCAGCACCAAAGAGGAATCACGAACTTCTCACACCACGCGACCAAGAGCAGCGCCGGTACTTTTATACTTTGCGGAACTCGCGCAGCCGTAGCTCTTCGGATCATTATATATCCTGATGCAAGGGAAGGGAGCCACGAGGCAATGTGAGCACGGCCATTCCATTTCTTGGGACCGGCAATGCTGCGACCGTGCAACAACAATATTCAGGTGGAAGTTTGAGGTCATTGTGTTATACGTTCTCGATGCTATAAGGTAGCATCGGCAGCGATTGTGTTCAACTGTGAAGCAATTGCACTGCAAGGTGTGCTTTGGGGACACCTTCCGGATTCGTCACTAGCGTCTGAGTGGAGGCACTGGCCTGGCCCAGGCTCAACCTTCTCTTCGCCTTTAATTTATATTTCCATGCTTTACAGATTATCCAATACGACGGCATAACACTCTTCCTTGTCGATAGTCCAGACGCAAGAGGATTCAAACATCCAGCATGTCTTTATTTATAATTGCCTATTCCATAACACAGTAAGATTGAGCGCAATCTCTCTTCTCGAACAGTACGCCTCAAAGTTCTGAAAGGAGCGTACGGGATCCCTCAATCGGAGAGCACGGCATGGAAAGCTTCGAGAAGATCTACGGCGTTGCACAGTTGGCCTTCGGTTGACCCGGCACAATCACTCGTTCCGCGAATGGCAATCTGGATGCTTCACCGTTCGCATTCGAAGCAAGTATCTTCCTTCAGATGAGAAAGGCCAGTGGGACGGTGATTCGTCAATGTCACGACGTGCAGTCCATTTTCCTGCAGGCGTCCAACTACACGTGATGTCGCAGTAAGGAATAGCCAATGGCCTGCTGTTACCTTCGTAGAGTGTCCTCGCCGCTTCAGCTAGGCTCTATCTCTAACAAATCCCACCACCAACTCAATACGCCGCCGCCGTTCTAGGGTCTAGGTTCTAAGTTCTAGGATGTCTGCCATCTCGCCTGCCGAAAGGTGGTGGGAACAAGGCAATGGCTCCATCTGATGCTGGCATTTTTTCTCCTTTTATCCAGAACAAGTGTGTTCTTGGCTCGCTCCAGCCGAGGCCCTGCACCAACATGAGCATGGTCATGACCTTACAGAAAGCGGAGAGACGACGATGTTGGTTCGCATTGGATTTGCAATCAGCGCACCAGTTGGCATTGTTCCATCTCCATGGGACACATCTATTCCCATCCAACTAGAGGAAGTCCCCAAAAGAGAATCATTTCGTCTAGACGGCTTGTTCGCTCCGTCTCAGATATGGTCTAAAAGCCCCAATTGTTGCGCATGACTTTCCAGTAGTGAACCTGATCATTCGCGAGAGGCAAAGAGTCTCTTTCCAATCTAAATTTTCTGAGGGGTAAATAAGCGGCGAGTCTTCATTTGTGGATTTCTCCTACGACCAAGTACGCAGGATGAGCGGCACCGCACTCTACCCCTGGTACCAAATATCGCATGGCACATTCGGCAGGGATCACAGTAAGGAGATGCTGCCCGAAAATCCGGGGGTCGTGAAGCTTAAGCCTCTTCGAGCGTGACAGCTTACGGCTCCGTGGGGCAAGTGCACTGATGGATGCACCACGGTGATTCACGCCAGGGTCCAGATTTGGGTGCATGCCACATTAAAGGTACGGGAGGCCCTGCGCGATGGGCCTGCCCCCGAGCGGTCCCATTGATCTCGAAAAGATATCCGTCAATTGGCAAGTACAACCGTGGCTCGAAGGCCATTTCGCATTCTTTGCGTCGCCCGTCATGAATTTCGACAAGTATGAGAACGACCATTACATGGTCGAGAATATCGGGCCACACAGTCTTGATCTGGTACGAGAAGGGTGGCCAATCCTGGTGGAGCGGACGCTGACATGGCGATCTAGCAAAAACATGCGGAAGTCGAGGTCAAGATTATCAGAGGAAATGAAGCCTTCAATGAGGCGATGATAAGGGAGCCACCGCGACCTTGGACATGGCGGACAATGCAATTATATGCAGCATGCTTCATTGGATTCTTTTGCGCGACCATGAACGGATACGATGGGTCTTTGATCAATAACTTACTGGCGAACAAAGCGTTTCTGAAGTACTACCATGGGGAGAACGCAGGTATATGGGCTGGACTTGTCACGTCGATGTACCAAATTGGGGGAGTCGTTTCGCTACCATTTATTGGACCCGCAGCAGATACATACGGAAGACGATTCGGAATGTGGATTGGATGCGTCTGCATTATTGTCGGGATTGTCATCCAAGGAGTCGCCAGTCAAGCTGAGGGCGTGAAGCAATTCATGGGAGGTCGATTCTTGCTTGGTTTTGGAGTCAACATCGCATCTGCAGCAGGACCGATGTACGTCGTTGAGGTCTCACATCCCGCCTATCGAGGTATCGTGACCGCTATCTTCAATACCTTTTGGTTCACTGGATCCATTGTCGCTAGTGGTGTCGCAAGAGGAGGCGCCGACCTTCCAGGAAATGTATCATGGAGACTGATCGTATGGATCCAAATGCTATTCGCATCCATCATTTTTGGTGCAGCATACTTTCTTCCCGAGTCGCCTCGATGGCTGTATGTCAACGGTAAGCAACAGCAGTCTAAGGACATGCTCACCAAGTTTCACGGTGAAGGAAATCCAGATAGCGAGTGGGTGAAGTTGCAGTTGAATGAATACGAGGAATTGCTTGAAATGGACGGAGCAGATAAGCGCTGGTGGGACTATAGAGCTCTGTTCAAGAACAAGTCAACTTGCTACAGATTATTCTGCAATGTCGCAGTAGTGGTCTTCGGTCAATGGGCAGGCAACGGTAAGCGCTCTTTTGGAATGTCCACAACATGGCTAATCATCTCACAGCTGTGCTCTCCTACTTCATGAGCAAAGTTCTCGACACCATTGGCATCGCCGGCGAGATCGGTCAAGCAAACGTCATCCTAATCAACAACTGCCAACAATTCGCCTGGGCATTACTGGGTGCCAACCTAGTCGACAGAATCGGAAGAAGACCTCTTCTCTTGTTCTCCAACGCTGGTTGCTGTGTTGTCTGGCTCGCCATGACCGTTTCTGCAGCCGCTTACCAAAAGTCCATTCCCGAGCCCACGGCCGACAATCCAAAACCAATTGGCACGGACAATGTTGCCGGTACTGTGTGTTTAGTGTTCATATTCATCTTTGGTGCTGTGTATTCGATCGGCTTTACGCCTTTACAGGCTCTCTACCCGGTTGAAGTTCTGTCTTTCGAAATGAGAGCCAAGGGAATGGGATTCGCGGGCTTCGCTACTGCTGCTGGTAAGCTTCTCCCCCTTCTTCACCTGTGGACGAATGAAAGACTAACGAAACAACAGCTCAAATGCTCAACCAATTCGCTTGGCCAGTCGCAATGGATAAGATAGGCTGGCATACGTACATCATATTCACGATATGGTGCGGTGTGCAAACAGCCGTGATATTCTTCTTCATCCCCGAAACGAAGAATAGAACAGTATGTCCCCTTCTCCCTCTCCTCTCTGGAGTCACAACTAACGTAGTCTCTAGCTCGAAGAACTAGACGAGATTTTCGGCTCCTCGCATCCGGTTAAGGCCTCGATAGCGAAGAAGAGGTTAGGGTTCGATGCTTATGGGGAGGTGGTCAATATCCAGGAGATCTGAACGTCCTCCATTCGTGTCAACCGAAAATGGACGTCCGACCAGTGACCGAAAGAAGTCGCTCCTGGGGACGAAGGAGCGAGGTACGAGGAGAATTCCCAGGGAACGGGGAATGGGGAAGAGGAAGAGGAAGTAAAAGCATGGGATGGGATGGGGTTTAATGTCATGTATGTAATTCATCACAGCGAGGAGCGTATGGGAGTCATCGGCGTGAGGTGTTTTCTTGGTTGGGTCGGGCTGGGAGGGGAGGGAAACTGCGGTGCATGGGTTTAGCGTGATGAATGAATGAACGAATGAAAGGCATTTTAGTTAGTTGGCTGCTGGAGGCATGTGAAGACAATCGTGGGTTTATGTCTTAGTGGACTTGTGAGAGGAGAGCAAGTTATGGCAAGTTGCCTGATTGGGATGTGGATGTGGATGTGGATGAGAGGATGGAGGGGTTGTCTAGTGACTTGTCTAGTGACGGTGGTCTTCAGACCACCATAGACAGTTTAAGTTGCGAAGTATTTCTTGCTTTGCGGGTCGGCTTTCAAGAGGGATTGGTACTGCTTGTCGAGATACATTGAGAGATTCAGTGTTACGATCATTATCTTTGCCCCGCCCCTCTTTTCCCCGGCGCTGAATGAGAAGTCTTGTTTTCAATCTAAATTATGCGAAAGCGCACGGCGTTGAAAATCGACCATTTTTGAGCGAGGATTTTGAATAGAATAAGTCTGCATTTGAAAAACTCACAGTCTATGCGATTGTGACCGGTTTAAGTTAAATTCAGCGATAGAAGAGGAATTTTGTCCTCTTCTCTGATTTGTTAGATAATTTGAAAAAAATTTGATGGTTAAGTTTTCGATTCTCAAAAGCTAATCTTTCGGTGTGCCTCACTATTTGAAAATCTTTGGAAAATGGATGGTTTTCAACGCTGGGCGCCTTCGTATTCTGTCTTGGTTCAGCATCGCGGGGTCGCAAGAACCGAGGCTTGCTACTTCAGAGATTGAAGTGTATTTTACAGAGTTTGCAGATGAATAAAATAATTTAAAAGCTGATTTTCTTGATCAACATAAGTTGAGAACTAGCTCTTTCCTGGGCATTTTAGATATTGTACAGATTTATATCTGTGGCTTAGGGAAGTTTTGGACGAGATGTCAACGGTGTTAGATGCCTCGAAGCCTTACTTTTGGTAAATTCTTGGGGGTTTTTGGTTTGCTTTTCTTGCTGAATCTCTCTATTCGCAGTCGAACGCAGCAGAAGCTTTTTCCTTCCTGGCTTTACAATTAGGATCAGTATCCTTCTTCAGGTATCTGATTGGTGACGGAATGCTACCAGACTGAGTCAGAAGCCTGATGACTGGAATGGGCTGAAACATGACGTTACACGACCGTTGAGCGAGGGCAGTGGGGGCTGAGAGCAGAGCGACGATGTCTTTAACGGAGCGACCGTAGGCGCGCTACGGTAGTCTCGCTCTTTCCATTTCTGATCGATTTTGTGTGGATTATTCCCGTTTTATCTCTAAGGTTTTGAGTCGGATGAGACAAGAGCGACGACATCCTTGCGCCAGCGACGAGGAGTTTGCACAACATCTCTTTCATTGGCCATCATCGTGCAGCTCGACCTCGCCGCCCAGAATTTGAGACAAGATCCTGGCAGCCACGAAGGGGCAGAAAACATGCCTTTTAGGAAAGTTGCACCTAAGAGCTCCAAATATGTAAAGCCCACAGTTCCTACTGCTCCTTCATTTCTCGGTCTTGTCCATTCTCCTCCCATCTGTATTACAGAACTCAGACATGGTGGACGCTGAGCTGAATACTTCCTGTCCGTCATTCACAGCGGGTCACAATCCCAGTGCAGCTAAATCATTCGCAATGAGCGTCCCGAACGAGAGCTACCTCGATTTTCGGAGCACGAATACAGGAACGCCAACTACTGATATGTTCGATGCCCAAACCCTGCAAGAACTTGCGACTTCTGTGACAGCTGGCACCAGTTCGTATCCTCTCATTCCGATCGATAGCATTGTTAGCTTCGTTGACGAGAGTTTGTATAGGGTAAAGACCTCTTGCTGTTCAGCCCCTATCGTCGCAAAAGTGATTTTGCTAATTTCCTGAACTCAAAACAGGATCCATCATATCGCCCACCTGCATTGGACTTTGCCAGACCCTCAACACCACCATTGAGTTATGAGCATGCCCGTGGAGCTTTAGCGGAGCTCGAAGAGCATACGCCAATAGCACCCCGACCAAGTTCATGGAGACGACTAGAACAGCCCCTTTATCATTACTATACACACTACACCCCAGATGCAGTTCTTACTATACCCCAGTCATCTGGACCGACCGCTACGAACGAAGAAAATGGATTTAAGAAGATCGTACCTTTCAAATGGACCCAGGATGAAACCATCCTTCCGCATTCGACTCTCTATCATACCCAAGACCCGGAGAAGCATATGCCCTCAACTGAAATAGTAGATACTGAGATCCAGAGTCCCGAGCAACGTGAAGGATGGATCGATTCTTCTTCCTCCAACGCCGCAAACGTCTCGAAGTTCGATGTTGCTAACCAGATAGTACACCATCCTCGTCCTTGTGTCGAATGTACATTTGCACGGGTGCCAGTAAGCCATAGAAAACATCACAGTCGTCTTCTTGTTACTTGTTATACGAAGCGCATGCTAATTTATACAGTGTTATGGCTGCCCAGGACATGCTTGCACTCGTTGCACAAAGCTTTTGTACGAGACTCGAACTTCCAAACCCGCTGCAATGCTTAATTACGACACCAAGGACTCACGTGCTTTCATTCTTCGAATTGTATTCTTTGACATAGGTAAGTCTAAAGCACTAAACAATTGATACATACTAAACATCTTTTCCTTGTACAGAAGCCGCGCAGGGTCAGCTGTCTAATCTGAGAGACGAGGTAGGAAAATTGAGCACATCGAGTAAAGGTGCAACACTGGAAACCCTTTGTCCAAATCCCATAATTTGTCACATAGTAAGTTCTGAAGTTGCATCGCACCATGGATGGACCGCCGGCGTCAAAGTGGTCATCAAGCACCTAGCAACTACCAGAGATGCTCATTCCCGTGCAATCTCATCCAAGCTGGACTTTCCAGAACCGGGACTTGACCCTTCTCAGCTAGACAGCTTTCTTGATATCGCATCTCGCATGAAGAAGCTTCAAAGTTTGAATCAAGCCGAAGTAAGTTCAGCAGAAAACTAGGGTCTAGTCTGACCAAGAACAGCAGGACATTATAGCAACCGCTATCAAAATCGCTGATTACCTCGGCATCTTGTTCAATTGGGATACAAATACTATGTGCTTCGAACAACGCCATGGTGGCTGCTCTCGAGCCGCAGCCAAGACTATTGTACTCGAAACGGTATATGCTATGGTACACAGGGTCCAAGACCTCATGGAGAAGATTCTGGTTGAGGTACACAAATCTTTGAAAGGTCGTCGAGACTTGAGTCACGACCCTGCAACAATATCCTGTGCACTCTGGATAATCTACTCGTCCCTGAACAAATTCCAGAAATTGAGCTGGGATGCCAAGACTCTCCAAAACTTGGTAAGCTTCGATACCCGCCCCATCACGCATATGGGCAATCTGATAGCAGGTGACAGAAGGTCTTTCTGAATTCTTTGCACGATCGAGCCTCGGGCGCAATTGCGTCAATCGAACATTATCGCAGAGAGGTTGCCTTCGTCGAATGCGGCAAAAGGAGTGTAAACCTCCAGGCGTACAAAGAGCTGGTTGTGGCGAAGAAAGTTCCTAGAACAGCCACAGCGTTCACGTACGAGCAATTTCGTCCAACTGCATACTCTATTGGAACGATGCCAACCTTGCAAGCAATCCAATATCTCCGTTTGAGTGTCTTGTCTGACAGGAGGCTAGTTCTCACAAGCAATCATACACTGATGTTCTTGAAGATGGAATCGCAGACAATGATCACCTGTATGATGAACCAGATCTTTGTGCTGATCGTGAGCCTAAGGACCTTGGGGCTTCTTTGGATCTTGCGTCCGGGTGTCTGAGGCTGATCCACCCGAGGAAGCTGACAATAACGCATCCTGACTCGGACTTTGACGACGCTGGGAGCTCTGTTTCTAGCCATCGTGAACAACCCGAAATGGAGCCAACACTGGCAATGCATCCTAGTGGCAACGATGCAGACTGTAGAAGCTCTGAATTTCTATTTATTGAAAGCTCGAAGGGCTACGCAGACACGAATCTCAGCCTCGCAGCTGAGATTCAACATGTTAGAGCCATATTGGCTCAATTGGAGGAACAGCAGAAAAAGACCAGTATGGTGGATGATACGCTCTGGTGCGGCCTCGAAGCACACGAAGATTGGCCTTCCACGCGACCACGTGTTGGACCCCCCCGGGACATAGAGCTTGCTGCATTGGAGGCGAAAGCTGCAGAGAGACTGCAGTCGTTGTCTGATGAGCCACGACGAAAGAAACAGAGAATATAGCAGTGCCAGGCTCGACACCCATGACTCCACCAGGATCTCGATATCCAGACTGCCCATTTCACTAGGACACTAGGTTAACAAAAGTCGAAGCTGAAGCAAAAGCACTCGAGATTGAACTACGAGCACCTTGTTTTCAGATGGAAACCTGTAGTCACTTGCCTCCCTACCTCAGAACCATTGCACCAGTAGCACCTTTCTTGCCAATGCACCAGCCTGCTTGCAACAAGGAGAATGTGCGAAACTTTCATGTAAGAGCTTCATCCCGAATTTGCGTTCAAATCCTAATCTAGCAGTCACCCCAGATATGTAGACGTCACTTGAATATCTGATTCAGCGTCAAATGTTTTCGTTTCGAGTCTTTTGCAGATAGAACAAAGTCTAGTAGAAAATTGCATGTGTAATGAAATGCGTATGGATCAAATGTCCCATGTCACTTGTTACAACGTCAAATGTTCTTGCCCCGTGGGAGATTCCACGATTACAACAACTACCTTGATCCTGGCCACTTAGCTCGAAGAAAACGGGCTGATCATCTAAGGTTCAGCACATTAAGTATCAATCACGCACCAGCCAATAAATCAAATCAGAGCAAAAAATCCTCATTCAATTACACTATATATCACTCAATCCCACCAAACCCTATTCCACCCAACCGAATTTTGATTTCTATAATACACAACGCCCATTAAAGTCATAAAAAGGTATCTCCTCTCCTGAAGGCGGAAGGAGAGAAGTAAAGCAACGCGATGCAAATGCCACATTGTACTGTACATGAAAAAGTCGTCGCTGCGTGAATGATTTATCTTAAACTTCCTTGGTGGCTTGGTTGGTGTTCATTAATCCTGGTGCTGATGCTGGATGGTGGGCATGTTGGTGGAGAGCATGTTCTTGGTTTGGTTGTTCGTGAGCCAGGAGAAGATGTGATGTGATGTGCTGTTGGCCATCATGGTATCGACGAGGAGAGTAGGTTCATGCCCCAATCCGCACATAACCTTGCTGGACGACTTGATTCTCGATTCCTTCCATGGCTCTCCCTTGCTGTCCATTCCCACCAGTATTCACGTTCCCATTTGCGAGGCGGAAGTTGGTGGATCCAGCCATCGGAGCTTCAGGTGCTCTGCCCTGTTCCTGTTGCGGAGCATAAGACATCTCGACAGCGTCATCATCTTCTTCCATATCGGCATCAGCATCGGCGTCTGCATCACTTCCCATACCGTCGCCTCCGCTCGTAACGCCATTCCCGTTCCCGTTCGTGCTCGCGTATTTCATGCTAATGGTTGGGGTGGGGTTTGATCCTGACGAGTTTGGAGGAGCAGCTGAGGACTCCCCACTGAGACTTCTTTGACCACTTAATCCGCCGCCACCTCTCGCTTCGCGGACGACTCCTTTCCATCGTCCAACGGCTCGCTCGATGGCGGTGTCAAGATCAACGTTCCGGTCAATCAGACTGAATCCTACTCCTTGGATCGACATTCTCATGTCTGCGAGTGTGGTGATAAGTTCTCTGTCGCAAGGAACGGTCGTAGGAGGACTGATCTTATACTCCCTTGGATGCTGTAATCGTGATAATTCCTCAACTTGTTGTTTCAGGTGTGTTGCCTCTTGCTGTGCATACTCCTTGTCTTTCTTGAGTTTTGACAGTTCTTCCGACTTTTTACCAACGCTGCGAGCCAATTCCAGTGTCCAGATTTCTGTACGCCTTTGTACGGGGAGGGAATTCCAATGTCCGAATACTGCGTGGAGATGTTCCGATATCTTGGTTTCTAGCTCGTTCGCTTGGGCTTCTGCTCGAGCAGTGATCTCAGCTAGGTCGCTTGTGTCGAATAGAGCCGGCTGAGGAGGGTACGAGAGGTCATCTGATCGAGTCGTGGTGGCTATAGCGCAGGAGATACGGTAGCGGTGGAATTCAGAGACAAAATGGGACCGCAGGGCTTGATACTGTCCGTCCGATGGTGGGAGAATAGACCATGATGTACTAGTTGGTATTGGAGAGGAGGTATGAAGAGTCGGAGGTGGTGGCAGGCAGTGCAGACAAAGAGCTGGAAAGTCGAGAGTCAGAGGGTCGTAGTCGAAAATCGAGGGACCTTCGATCCGTTGTCTATTAAATCAGAGTTAGTATATAGTTACTAATTTGGGGGCGGGGGTGAGATATACTTTGCTGCTCGCATGGACCCCAACAGTTCTCTCAAAGCCAGCTCAGCAGCTTTGGCATTGTCCAGTGCGTCCATCATCTTCTGCTTCTGCTCAAATGTTGTCTTTGCCAGCATTTGCTTGCTCACAGATCTGCTTCTGGGTTCCATTCTCCTGGCAGCTTCCCTATCTTCGCCATCCCAGCTCCGAGCATCACTATTGTTCCGAGGCGCTGGAATATGGTTCATGACACCAGTAGACTCCCATGTGCCCTTGTTTATAAAGAAACTTGGCTTGCCCCTAAAGTTGACCGTATCCACTGGACCATTATCCTCCCTCCTCAGACTTGGAGATCTGTTCCCTTGCCTGTCAGACTCAGGACGTGGACTCCTTCGTTCTTGAGCTCCAGGTGTGGCAGCAGGTGTAGAGTCCTCCCTCCTGGAGGTCGAGTTCCGAGGTTGTCTCCGTGTGATACCCCCTCGAAGTTTCCTAATCTCGACCACATCGTGTATCCCATCTGCCGGCTTGGGGTTCTTCTCCTTTATGTAGAGATCGAGATGCCGTCCGAGGGATGAGGAAGTGAATTGCTGATTGCAAAACGGACAAGCTTTGTCTTTCGGTGCAGACGTCTTGGATCCGTTCACTGAGGTGTCCGCATTGGATCCAGGGGTACCCATTTGCTCGGCCATCTCTTCAGCAGGCGGCTCTTTCGAGTATTTAATGTCGCATCAACGATTGTGGTTACTTGTAGAAAGCAAGTAAGCTTGTAGGCGCTCATCAATGGGGAGAAGATGAAGAGAAGATCGAAGAGATGAGGAATGAGGGGATCTGGAGGAAGTTTGGAGGTTCGCAGGTCGGGATGGACAATTCAAGCTTGCAGGCCCCTTAGAATTCCATCTGGGGACTTATTTCGGCTCAGGGATGGCGCCGCCAAATTGCTAATATCCTTGCCCCGGATCCTTCTCCCTAACAGCAACAATTACGATCGTCCACCCCAACATATAGACTTTGGAATATTAGTTGGACTTTCTTAAATGTCTAGGACACAGCCTTATGTCTTTGTAATACTTGTGCACTATGAAAAATCTAAGACATGATTTTGCTGCATCAAAAGTGTTTTTGCGGCACATTTATCCACGCATGCAGGGTTATTTTTGGACGTTAGTTTCGAGACTTGGGATATCTTAAATTTACGCTGTTCTATGGTCCGAACCCCATGCAACCGCATCCCAACTACAGGAAGACGTCTCAATAATCTATGCCTAACAGAAGTTTTGAAAGCTTGCCAAAACCACCAGAACACCCAAGGACTTCTCTGCTGCAATCATTGGAGGAGAGGATCCTGAAAAACATTAGTATGACCAGGGTTGAAACATTAAGCTGCAAACTTACCCTGAAATGCTTCTGGAAGTTGTTTTGCTTGTTGACGCCCCATTCGTACTTTCTGCGCTCTCTGCCCTCAATCTTTCTCGATCTCTTCTCGGCAGCCATGACTTCTTTCTTCTTTTCCGCACTGACACCAACCATCCCCAGTCCACCGTTTGCACGGCTAGTCAAAGCTCGGCCACGCTCTCTCTCGTTACGTCGTGCCACTCGCTCATCAACCTCTTCAGAGTCCGAGTCTGAACCAGCAGCTGCTTCGATCGCGAGTTGTTCCTGGCGTTCGGCTGGTGATGGATGATTATGAAGATTTTGGCGGAAGTACTTGTTCAGCGATCGATGACCAGCAGTACGTCCCGATGGGAGATGAAGCTCATAATCAGAATAGAAGACGGCATGAGCATGTTTGTGTGCATGAGAATGCCAACCGTCCTTGTTTCGATGAGGTCGAGGGTCTGAGTGCGTGTGATGTGGATGTTGGCTCAGCTTCTCATACGAATGTTCTCGTTGATCTAATGGAACAGCAGTGAGGTCGGCCGAGTCCAGAGAAGATGCGGAACTGTCAGTCTCCCAACCATCCCCTTCTTCCATTTCCTCATCACCATCTTGGTCTGTGGTCTTGGTATCTCGCTTTGCTCCCAGCTTGACTCCTCCACTGCGCTTCTTGCCTGGTAACTCGTCTTCTTCTGAATCTGACATTTCATCGGCATCTGAATAAGTGCTTCTGAAGTCATAGAATTCGCCAATCTCAAGTTGTTCTTCTTCTGTATCAAATCGAATTTTGCAATGTCCTTTGTCTCGCATGTGAGTCTGTAAACCAAAGACGGAAGGCTTCAGCTTGCCACAATAGAGACATTCGTGATACTCATGAATTTTCTCGTACAGAGAACCAACCAAGCCTTCCAGATCAACCAGATAAGTCCGCTCGGGTATAAACATGCCGTGAATTCTTTCCATGTGTGCCGCATTGAGGGGTACTGAAGGGGAATCAAAATTGCAGAATAGACAACGCTTTAGCGCTGCTTCCTCAGACAACTCCTCACCCCCAGCAGTAACAGAGGAAGCTGTCTTCACTGACCCTTCCTTCTCAACCTCAGGGCCGGCGGAATGGTGTGGTCGTGATGGTCGTCTAGTCACTGGTGGCATATCTTGCAAATTGGTCTTCTTGATTCCCTCGACAACTTCGTTGAACTCCTCCTCGGCATCTGAATCGATAGGCTCCTCATTGGTGATCATTGGTTCTCCAAGTGAGAATGTAGAGCTCATTACTGAGCTAGTACCGTCGTCCAGACTCTTGTTACCTGCCGTCGCAAGTTTTGCCTTGTGTTTCGCGCTCCCAATATGGTTTTGATACGCATTCGCGCTGAAGTATGTTCGAGCACAAACAGTGCATGTCTTTTCGTAGGCTGCTTTGGAAGCAGCGGCGGTTGTAGAGGCCTGGGCTTGGAGCACCTTTTCGGTGAAGACTTCGGAGGAGATTGGAGGTAGGGATGTAACACGACGCTTCAAGTTGTATCGACTAGGAAGTGCTTATCAGTACATATTTCACATCGAACAAAGAGGTGGCTTACTGCCAATCACTGCGCATATGCCCTCGTTGAAGCTCGCTGTTCCTGAACGCCACTTGACAAGTATTGCATGTATACGGATGCGTCGACGCAGAGTCTGGATTAGCTGCAGCTAATCCAGAAGTTCTGCTCGCAGTAATGGAAGCCATGATGATCGTGCGAGAAATGTGTGTATATTTGCAAGGAAGAAGTGTCTGGTCGAGTTGATAACAGTGCGGGACAACAGGAAACAGTGGATCGATAACACGGCCCTTTTTCACTGAAGAGACTGGTCTTGGTTGATGAATAATTCAAAGTGTCGATTACTCTAGAATTCGGAGATTCCGCAGAAGGAAATTCGACGCACGAACCGACTGTATGTGTATCGTGTATCGTGTGACGAGTGGGAAAATTGGGCGAATGCGATTTTTTCTTTGTTTGCATTCGAATTTCCAAGCCAAATCTTTCACGTCTGGTGGGGGTTTCTAAACCGAGAATTTGGCGGCGAATCGAGAATGACGCTTTCCTGACTCAGAAAGTAGAAGCTAATCTCCATTCGGGTTTACTGCTTGACAAGCATCACAGCGCGCGGCTGAAAGTACGTCTCACGAAACACAACGAGGCCACATCTCGTCCTCCTCTAAAGAACGACCTGACCGCGATTCCTCATCTTTCTGGAACATCCACTGCAAATGTCATGACTCGAGATACTCATAGAGTTCATGATGACCGAACCGTTGCCAGTGATGCCGATGCGTATGCAGCCTTATGGGCGACTGCGCAATTCCCACGACTACCAGATGATGCTCCACACGAGCTGAAGAAGATTACGATTGATATTGATGATCCGAGACGAGTATATGCCATCCATCGCGCAGCCCGAAGACACCAATTTCAGATTCTGGTTGAGAGGTCAGTACCCTTACTCACTTAGGCTATCTTTGTTGTCTTTCAAATCACTAACAGATCTCTAGGTATGTTCATCAAATTAGGTATGGCTGTCAATCGACAATCTGCCAAACATCAACCTGCTTCTCTTGCCGAAAACGCCTTGCCGCCGGCGCTCCCGTCCGAAGATACAATTCTACGAGTGCCCGAACTTTGGCTGTATATCTTGCCAGCCAGGACAATCCAGAGCAAGGCTTATGCCATCATAAAAGTGCCGAAGAGCCGCCTACTGGGGGAGACAAGCCACCGAAGTCAAAGCCATTATCGGAAGATGTGACAAGGGATTCCTCACCACTGCCAGGATTGAGTAGGAGAACATCAAGTCGTGATGCTCGGATACATGTATCCGTTGGCAGCAGCAGTAGCAGCAGCAACATTGATGAAAGCTCAATTCGAGACAAGACGAAGCGGCAGAAATTATATGAAGATGTGCTTAGACGAGCGAATGGGCCAGATTTGACCATATTAGAGGAACCAACCACATTGGATCATAAATCTTTCATTCAGAATGTTTTTGGAACCGTCGCTTTTAAAATGGTCGAATGGCTTACACCTCGAAATTTGGAGCTGCTTGTAAGGTCGCAAGAACCCCCAGGATCGTCAGAGGAGATCCCAGCCGCATCTTCTTCACCACGGCCGAAACAATCTGAAGGTGCTACTAGTCCCCGTAAGAATGACGATAGCGATGGAAGTTCGCCAAAATTGGAACGGAAGAATAGTGACAAGTCCAATCATCCGAGATCGAATAGTCGTTCATCTGGTCCCAATGACTTGTCACAGCTCCCACCATCTGCCAAACCACTTCCAAAGGCTGACACAGAACCAAAGTCCAACCTCTTCGGAACGAAGCCTTCAACGGAATCTATTCCGCGAGGAAGCCTGGATTCAAGTCGACATAGAAGATCTTATGAGTTGCCTGGAGCGCGAGGAATCCTCAACAAAACCTCGAGACTATCAGACGTTGCACCGGATGTGACGCCGTTTCCACCTCAAGGATTTATACCCACTCCAAAGCAAAGATTGTCAAGGCAATTAATCACAAGTCCGAAAGTGCAGATAGCTGAATTGCCACCTACTTTGCATGAAATACCTTTGCCAGCCGGCAGTGTGACAGAGCCCTCGGACTCCACTGAGCACACTCAAGAAGATACGATAAGCGAAGACCAACAGAAAGACAGTACGAAACTCTCAGTAACCGAACCTGACAATATGTCGTCTCCAAAGATCAGATCACGGGTGATATCAATGCCGCAGTCGTTATCGCGTCTGTCTATTGAGACCATAGAGTTTTTGTGCCGAATAATGGAGATGGAAGGACTTTCGGAACGGCACCTCCTTTCTCCTCTCACTATCCCACACAGACTTACATCTAACTCTCTTCGTCGTTCCTATAAATTAGGATTACAGACCATCGAAGAAATCATACACAGTGTCGAGCAATGGCAATCATTCATTAATCAAGTCTTATTCGACGTCCTCAGTAAGCCGGATTCTTTGATCAAATCTTTCAGCGACGATAACGCTGTCCTTTTGGATACGCAGACAATTTGGTATATGATGCTCAAATTGACAAGAGTAGCTCCGTCTATGGTCCTTGATAGCCTGTGGAACGCAGCCGGGACATTGTTTCGACCGCCAGAGACACTTGAGGAAGCTTATGACTGGCAGCAGGATGCGGAGCATCAGCAATTGCCCGCACAGCAATCTGTTTCAAATCACGATGCAGCTCAAGTCATAAACATCTGCCTCCACGCTTTGGTAGCAATACTCCCGCTTGTCATCGATGCGCGTCAGCTTGCCAATATGTCACGTATTCGGTCATATGGTCTGGCTATGCTTGGAAGAGAGTCTGCGTTTCTTGAACCTCTAACGCTGTGCCTTCAATATGAAGATGCTTTTACCAATGAACTTGCTGTTAGACTCGCTAGACGGATATTTTCAGTTATACCGATTCGACGACGTTTCACAGAGCTGCTTGAACTCCAGAAAGGCAGTCGCAGTGAATACAAGCGGGACTTGGATGTACTGGAAACAGTTTTGGGAACTCTGAAATACTTGGATTCGGGCTCGTCGCCAACAATCAATTTCACGGATCAAGAACGAGACATACACGAAAAGCGTGTCCCGACCTTACTTCTTGACTGGGCTAGAACAGTCATGTTGCAAGACTGGCAGGGTTCCGCAGAAGTACCAAGTGATGGGCCATTTGGGGGCGCGCTAGCAATGATGGCTGCGATCTGTAAGCATGTTTCCATGGTGTCTGAGAATGAAGCTAACGTTTGTGTAGACAAGAATCGAAAGTCATTGCTTTTGGGCGATATCCATTTTCGCACAGAGTACTTTGCGGAGCGGCTGGACCCTATTGACATGCCCCTCGAATGGCTCGAATTCTGCCCGAACAAGCGAACTGTTCACTTGCTTGATTATCCATATTTATTCAACCCCTCAACCCTGGTTACGTACTTCCGAGCAATCAATTATTCGCGCATGAATCAATTCTATGAAGAGGCCAAAGCTACCAATGGTCTGATGTACTCAACTGCGGCCGAAAATGCCTTGATGGTTGACAAGAATCGTCGAGACAGATTATACGCACGAATGCGTACGGCAACATCAAGATTCATGGTTCTCGAGATCCGTCGTACCAATGTGCTTGTTGACACTTTCAACTCTATCTGGAGGCGAGAAGAGCGAGAACTCATGCGGCCCCTAAAGATACGACTGGGTGAAGAAGGTGGCGAGGAAGGGCTAGACTCTGGTGGTGTTCAGCAAGAGTTCTTTCGACTTGCAATTGCAGAGGCTCTTGATCCCGATTATGGAACTTTTACGATCGACGCAAGGACCAAGATGACGTGGTTCCAACCTGGTTCTCCTGAACCATTATGGAAATTTGAGCTTATTGGAATGATTATCTCGCTAGCTGTATACAATGGCCTCACCCTACCTGTCACATTCCCGAAAGCATTATACCGGAAGCTTCTCGGAGAAAGCGTGGACGAATTGCATCACATCGCTGACGGCTGGCCTGACTTAACCAACGGCTTGACACAGCTTCTGGAGTGGGATGAAAAGGAGGGACTAGTGGAAGATGTGTTTGCACGAACATACGAATTTAGCGTGGAACAATTTGGAGAACCCGTGAGTCGCGAAATGGGTAAGACCGATCATTGGCCACAGTTTTCTGAGTCAAGTGAGACAGCAGAGTCTGCTGAGGCTCCAATGGTCACTCACGAGAATCGCAACAGCTATGTCAGCGACTACATCCGGTGGCTCACGGATATATCGGTACAACCGCAGTTCGATGCTTTCAAACGAGGCTTCTTCACCTGCGTAGACCGCCGCTCAATTACTCTTTTCGATCCCGATACCCTCCAATCAGTCGTCGAAGGAATCCAAGAAATCGACATCTCTGAAATGCGTCGTACCACCCGCTACATTGGCTGGGACGCTTCCCATCACTCTGTCCGAGATTTCTGGAGCATAGTCAAGCGTTACGATCTTGAACAGAAGCGCAAACTCCTCGAATTTGTGACGGCTAGTGATCGTGTGCCGGTGGGCGGGATGCGGAATCTGCAATTCACTCTGCAGAGGAACGGAGTGGATGATGGTCATTTACCTAGTAGTTACACATGCTACGGTATCTTGTTGCTGCCGGAGTATTCAAGCAAGGAGGTGCTGAGGGAGAAGTTGGCGATGGCGTTGGAGAATTCCAAGGGATTCGGATTTGCATAAGCTAATGGAATGGGGGTTCAATTTCGGGCAAAATGGCGGATATAGGTGGAAAGGCTAGGATAAAGAAAAGAAGGAGTTGGTGGCCATTGTCTAATGTAGATGAGTGATGAATGAAGATACCATCTCATGCATGTGGCTTAAAGTTTCGCTGGAACAGAAGTCTGGCTAGTCCTGATTGATTACCAAGACTTTCATGTGAGAAGAAACTTTCCTTACTCAAATAATAGCTTATAATGTTATTACTTGTTCAGCCTAAATTCTGTTATTCCGATATGATCGGTATTGCTACTTTATCTGGTTAGTTTATAGTTAGTCAATATCCACCTCCAGGTTCAGACGGGATTAGCCACCCCGTCGTGCCTGTTACGAATGTTGGTTAACCTGCAGTGGAACATGTAGCAGGATAGAACATTGTTATGTTAAATAAATTGAAGCGTTACTAAGCCTTCTTCCCGTTTTATACCAGTTTTGAGGAAATGAGGTCAAACCATTATCAGTATTGAAGAATTTCATCATTAATGCACGGCCTTAAATTGAAAAATTGGTATAAAACCACTTCTTCTTGTATCAAACTGAACCTTATCTCCTTAGCTTTGTATTCTATGTTACAAATTGACATTATGCTTCTTCCCTGAGCCTCTTCTCTCCTGCTGTCACGCAGACAGTCACTTGCAAAATCGTCCTCCACCTTAAGCACCTAGAGTTTCTAAACGAAGTTACACTGCCAAGATACTAGCTGACGATCATCCCTGCTTGCCAAGCCGACTTCTTTAGATTGCAGCATTATCCTTAGTGAGGCAAGTACTCATTCCCGCCGGTAAATAGAGCCTTATCAGAAAAATGCCAAGGAAGAGCAAGACGAGAGACGATTCTTCCAGTACGTGCTGTAATTCAAAGTTGGATTTTACAAAAGCCTCCAGTCGGACTTTGAAAATCCTGAGAGCTGTTTGTTGTCTACGCGGAGGAACACCGCCAGCTCTTACTACCCAGCATCTGCTATATAATTCAAGGAAGTAGACTAGGATCTCTCCTTGGGACAGTGTCCCAAGTACGGTCCCAAACAGGCTCTCGTAGGACTTCTCGCACCAGAAACAACGAGCAACCATGAATTGGAAAAAGTCGGGTAGAAGTCGTTGTCTTCGCCTATACTAACTCTTTCAAAGAGGTTACGAGCCATGTGCTGTTTTTAATGCTCGCGTCTACCAAGGGCCCGTTACCAGCAACCACTATTCCATATGCGTCAACTCTCTTTATTATTTATATATCGTTTAAGTAAACCTTTCTTCATACGACGGCAATAAAGAAATAATGTTCAAAGAAATCTCTCAGTTGCGTAATAAAGAGTTCTTTGTTCAAAGTATTTCCAAAATAATAAAGATTTTTATTTTTTATAATTTTTTTGGGAAATAATAAAGAATCTTTTTGTTCATTTAGAATTACGTAACGTGAAAGCATTTCTAAAGAAAACAAAAACCTTTATTAATTATAAATAATTTTTGTAAAATAATATAGAATTTCTTTGATTTTGTGATAAAGATTTATTTATTTATTTGAAATTACATAATATGAAAGTATTTCCCAAAAAAATAAAGACTCTTAAAAAGTAATAAATAAATAGTTTAGAAACAGTAAAATGACTAAACTTGAAAAAGTATAACTCAAAATACGCAATAATATGGCTCAGGCTGCTGTCGATCGCGAGGATTATACCCACCCAGAAAAGATCTACAAAGGTCTTATTTACTCACCTGATGTAAGAAAATCTGACGAACTTATGGAAAAGCTCAAAGGGCTTGAGATTATGGGCACTGATTGGGATGGCGTCGACCACGGGGACGAGGAGTTATGTTGGTCTTGCGGTTGGATCGTTTACAACTAGATGACTTCGTCGTACGGCTCACGCATTCGAATCATGCACACGCGCGGTAACATAGGAATATGGGAAGTTGGATCGAGATGGCTAATTCGAGATAAGCCAAACGATGCTACACTCGGAAATGATTTCATGACCCAGGAATTTCTACGTAATCAAACAAACTTGGACATCCCGCTTATAAAAGAAATGAGGGAACTCAGTGCACCTACGGATAAAATAGATCTTACATTAATGTCCAGAGCTCAAGGCGTAGGGTTGAACACAATTTGGAATGATATCTCTCTTGAGCAAATGGCAAACTATAAGGACCAGCTTGGTAATGCTATCAAATTATGGAGACAATTCACATCACCGGTAGCCAAGAAAGTTAATGACGACCCCCTCGACGATTGTATAATTGGAAATTGCCTTCGGCGCACTGCCCCTACATGTAAGAGAATGGGGGCTACAACAGACGAGTGGTTTGAGAATCTTGAAGAAGATCTCCGCTTTGGACTTTCCCTTCTTCATAAGACCAAGGATCCACTAGTAATCGAAGACAAATATCAAGAACTTAAGAGGAACTTTCCGAAATCAGACCCATACGTCCTCACGCACGGAGATCTAAACTTAACTAACATTATAGTAAAGGATGATAAAATAGAGGCGATTATTGACTGGGAATATTCTGGGTATCTCCCTTGGTGGGCGGAACGCTGGCTATCTTTGATAGGTGGCGACAATCAATCTGACGAACTCTTCGACCCACTTTGGGCAGATATCGGTTTAGAGATGGACGAGGCCACTTTTCAAACAGAGGTTATAGACAAGGTGGCGCCAGTTATCCAGGCTTGGGAAGAAGGCAGGTTCCATGTAGAACACCCAGATTCTCATATAGCGTGGGTGCGCCCTGGTTTTTGTAAATGTAAGCCGTGGGCGGGGACCATCAACTGGACCGAGCTTGGGAATCAACCTGAGCATAAGTTGAGAGATGATATAGTCGTAAAGAAATTGTTGTTGCTTTGATCAGATAATTGATAGAATTAGCTAATTTTTATGTCCTTTTTTAAATGCTAAGCGAATGTGAAAGAGAGCAAAAGAAACGCTACAGTAGAATCCAAACTTCCAACGGGATCCTCAAGCAAAATCCCGACCCTAAAATCAAAATCAAAATCAAAATCTTCTCTAGAAATCGAACTGTAGTCGTTGCCCAAAAAAGAAATTACGACATAAAGCATGTTGAAGTTCCTATATATACTTAGGTCAAAGGTTTGAAAAAGAATTCTGATAGATCTGACTTACTAATAGTTCCTTCGCTATTATCCAGATTCTCGCTACAAAACGAAAGAGTGACATTCGATCTATTTCATCGGCCTCGTGCCATCCGCTAGTTCTCGGTTCGCGGCCTATGTCCTGCACGGAATAAAGTGGCTCTTCATGTTGTGAGTGTCGGACTAATAGATACTTGATACGATCATTCCGAAGACGAATTGCAACTCTATCCTGCGTTCCCAAAACTTCCATTGCACTAGGGCAATTAGAGAAAGGGTTCCTGTCCAAGGCTGGACCAACTAGCCCAAACGAGAAGATAGTCCATTCGAGCTGCTCTCGGCTCCGGTCGCGCGTTGGTATTAGTGCTCCTTTGTATTTTTCACATTGGCGGGAGTATGAAGGATTGTTTTTGGGAACAGAATCAGCATTTGTGAGCCTCGGGAATTCGAGCGTTTCGTAACATCGTTGAATGAGGAAAGAAGTAGAATCTTGAAAGTATAAAGTGCTAATGGAGTTTTGCGAAGATATCGAGATTAGTATTTTGGGCATTTCGCTTCCTCTTATTAATATCACGTTGCTAGACATTTCATAAGGACCATTTTCTTTGATAATAGATACTTCAAGGATTGACTTGAGGTTTTTTCCGATTCGGGCCAGCGATATGCTCAAAGAAAGATTTTGGTAAACAAAGAAAGGTTTGGATATGTGTCTGAAATCGCATCGTAAACATCCTTTGTGGTGCAGGACCTTTTTCTCACTGGCTAGACATCTAGATGCATGCTTGTTTTTCACTGCGCTTTTGTTCTCTGGACTTTTAAGCTTCCACATGTTTCATGCTCTCGTTTGAAAATGGGCGAAGCTGTACTAACTATCGAAAATAGATCTGGGACAGACTCCAAGAAGAAGTCTTAGACTTGCAGAAACTAGAAATGACGTTCGAATCGTTGAAAACAACGAAACACGTGCAAGGTTTTATCAACGAAAGTGAGTCGCAGATTTCGTCCACCACACCCCTTGACTAATACTCTTTGTTTTAGCGTTGCGTCTTCTCAGCCCTGTTTCCAAAATCATCAGGACCTGTTTCGCTCCTTGCATCTAACCACACGGCAGCGGGGTATCCGGCAAATATCCGATCCCTTTTCAGCCCTGTGATGAGATTGACATGGCACTGAGTATGATGCACACGGACCCCGAAATCTGGGGTGAAGATGCTGAGCCATTTCGGCCTGAACGGTGGTATGGACTTAAGCAAAGCTGGGATTTCATTCCTTTCTCTGGAGGACGTCGCATTTGTCTAGCTCAGCAAAATGTGCTGACAGATATTTCGTATGTTCTAACGAGGTTGATGCTGGAATTCAGACCGTGCGAGAATCTAGATGAATGTTTGGAATATATTGAGGGACGAGTTTTTACTCCGCAGAGCAAGAACGGGATACAAGTTGCACTGATAGCTGCTCAATAGCTGGAGACGATTATTTGTTATAGCATCCGCAAGTGTGGGCGTGAAAGCGCATCGCCTTGCTTCTGAAGAAATTCCCGGGGGAGGTCACTAGTAAGATCCTTTGACCAGCTTTGGCATCAGCATTTTCTTGCACCCACAGGCGAAAGAATTTGGAACTAGTTCGATTAATAGTCTTTGGAAGCTGTGAACTCAGATATTGACTCAAAGGTAGCTCACAACTAGTTGTGCAAGTTATGTGTGAATGCAAAGCATCAAACAATGTCATTCTGAGAAACTCGACATATATCTCAAAAACAAAGAGATAGAGCTACCCACCATGCCTGACTCGCATACGCCTCTTATTCACAGAACCCACATCCTCCGGCACCCGGTCTCCGTTCCTCCGGGCCACGCGTGGTCCCCGGCGCCGTATCGTCGTATAGTGCACAGAACAATTGGCGAGACTTGCGTGGCGCCAAGAATTTTATTTCTCGGCCGGATCTGGAAGCGGAATACGAGGATACGGGAGCGAGGGGTAGTACAGAGTATATTTAGCTTTTTCATATCTGCTGGTTTTGGTTTTTAATTTTGGCTCAAAGGAAAGATAATCGATCGGAAGGGGGAAAAGAAAGAGATGGAACGTGAGATTGTTTATGATGTTGTGGTGTTTGATGAGGGGAGTGAGGTTGGGAAGTTAGTTGGGGAGGGTCTGAGGAAGGAGAAAGGGTTGAATTGGACTGTTACTCGGGTGAGCAGTGAGGAAGTTGGGATGAGTGAAGAAAATTCGTCTTCTGGTAAGTCACTTCCAGATCTCCTCTTTTGTACTTGTTGAAAAGTATTCAGTGCTTGAGATACGTTCGATCGAAGCAGAGAAGATTTCCGCATTGGTAAAGAAGACAAAAGTGGCAATCAGTCTTCTCGAACAGAATTCTGGCGCAGAATCGGTACTAGAAACTTGTGCGAAGAATGGAGTTCATTGTGTTACACCGTATGTGCATTGCTTTATTGTCTGGCAGTAACTGAGTAACCATAGATCATATAAAACTCCCTGGCTAGCGGATATCATCAGAAAGTATCATGATATTGCGCAAGAAAATCGAACCATGATCATCGTTGGGCTTGGAGCTGAAACTGCACCTCAGGACCTCCTCGCATATATCTCTGCTACAGAACTGAGGAGGAAGTTGCAGATTGATACAAGAGAAGTAGTTTTTTCACAACCCGAAACGAAAAGTTCTCGGTATCCAAGGACCGAGAAACGTGCAACACGCCTGGACCCATGGAGTCTCTCACCAGTTCGTGGCAACTTCGTCTCAGAGAGAACGAATGCCTTCGGAGCCCGCAAGGACTTGACACTTGGTCATCTCTCAACTTCAAAGAACCACTATGCACAGGCAATCGTGCACAGAAGCTGGGGCTTGCTAGACCCAAGGACCGAAAGCGTCTATGGACCAAATTTCTGCTTCAATGAGTTTGTTGAGAGAAACAGCTCAACGGCTACTTTGAAAAGAAAACTCTTTGGGACGTGCTGTGTGCCACGAGAATCGATTATATGGTATGCTCCCTCAAACAATCCGCAGATTTGAACAATGCTAATGATGTGTAGTGGCAATGATAGGACGGGAAGCGGGTTATCATTGGGAGCAGTCGCTATCGCACATCAAGAAGGTCCATATCCTGATAGAGCATTATCAGAGCTCAAGTGCGCCGGTACGACAGAGAATCTCACGGCTGTCCTACTCGTACAAGGCGCCATCACAATCTTGAACGGGCCCAAAGCCAAGGAGATTGTAGGAGATGGAATCGTGACTCCTGCTATGTTGGGTTTTCCTTTGATATCACAATTGAAAGAAGCAGGACTCGAAATCGAGAGCATGTTGGTCTGAGCCTTATATACCCATTTCATACTTCATTTGTCCTGCACTGTACATATGTATCCATTCTCAGCAAGCGATCGTCCTATTCAGGGGTAGCGCGCACATGTTCTTTTGATTCGCTTACATCTCCTCCTCACTTCCCTCGATCAAGGAAACAAAACTCATCACGAGGCAAGAAATTATTCTGAGATGATGAGGTGAGGCGAACAGTGACTTTGAGACATGCAGGTGCTGATTCTTCGCCACGATTTGCTTGTGGCTTGTGACCCTTTCTGCATGCATCCTAGAACGTCACACAGACACATGGTCGTGAGCAACGTCGTCACATCTCACCGCTGCCATGAAACCTCGTCGTGTCTTTAAATCTATCTCGGAAGATTGATACGAAAATCCTCTCTCCTTTTGATCTGTGAGTAATTCTCTAAGGGACTGAGTCCGAGTCGTGAAGTGCCGTTCCCCTCGGAGATGCTCGCCACTTTCATTTGTTGTTGCATACTGTGTAGCCTCGAAATGTTTTGTTAGGATATGAGGCTAAGCTATGAATAGATTCGAGTATAAGTGCTCTAGAATTGGGGCCGTCATATCTCGAGGTCGAATCGAGGGGTATCCTTGAATGGTGGCATCGAAGGGTTATGGACGATGAAGGCAACCCAAAGGACAACTTCTTGATCGGAGTTGTGCGTCAAACATTGCTGGTTCTAATTTTGTTGCTATGGATGTTATTGCATTTGGTTGTGGCTATGATGGTTGTGATTGTTTCAAGTCTTGGAAGAGCAGTCAGGTGGCTAGGCGGTTGGAGGACCGATCTGGGGATGGATTATGAACTCGTGGAGAGGACGGAGAAGGAGAAGTTGTGGCCACCGCATTCTGTTTGTGACGATGTTGAAGAATGAGCAAAGGGTAAGATGTATGGGACAACATGCTGAGGTTCAAGGCATCAAAAGTGCTGAGAGGTAGAAAGGCCCACAACTTCCAAGGTCACTCGACAGGAATGGAGGAAAGGGAGTCGAAACGACTTTCGAGGAAGATGTAGAACTTCATCTACGAGATTGGAAGCGAGATATGAATAAATGCATGAGGAGAGACATATTTTAATCCTTAGCCAAAATGCCATGCTACAACAATACTTGCGAGTTCTGAAGGTTTCCAGCCGTGTCTGATGTATAATCGCAGAAATTAGAGAATCAGAGAATTAAACTTTCGCTGCTAGTCAAGTGAAGGAATGCAGAATCTCAAAGTTCAATAATTTCGGATACGTGATTGATATGGAAAGATAAAAGCTTGAAGACGTACACGTGACAGCTCTCTAGATCTAGAAGTATATACATGATAGCTTGAACAACACACAAGAAATTCAAGCTTCCTCTTCAAGATCGGCTAAAGATTTCCGTTCCCAGTTCGCATAAATAACAACAAGCCCCAAAACAATACCAACTCCCCTAAAAACCACAACAGCAGCCAAAATCCTCGGTGAGTCCCTCCCAAAAATAATAGAAACGATAGCAGACAACAACAAGGCGACCACACAACACGCATACATAGCAGCAACAACTGATTTCGCAGCAGGGGCAGCTTCTTCTTCCTCCTTCTCAGGTTCGAGCATCCATCTCTCCTCTCCCGTAACGGGATCTTCGACCAACACAGCTACCCTCCTAGTCCCCACTTCCTCGCTGGTGGTTTTCTTCGTAGATTGCTTCTTCTTCTTCGCGCTGACGTTGGACATAGCGATGCCCATGGGTATGATGGTTAGCCATGAGGTGAAGAATGTTAATGGAAACAGTGGGAAGAGAGAGTGTGGTGCGTCGAGTAAGGGGAAGAAGATTGGTATGATATTGACGATCAACCCTGCGATTTGCGCGACGAAAATGTAGTCTCGGGGTGGTTTGGTTGTTGTAGGTGTGTATGGCGGAGGAGAGCTGGAATTGGAGCCTAACTCGTAATCTTCTAGTAGTGCTGTAGAAGCTTGACCTGGGTCTGCAAAGCCTGCGGATTCGTATGATGGCCTGGGAGATTTCATGGTTGCGGTGATCTCGAGACTCTGATTGTTTGGATAATTTCTGAAGAATTAGTAGAAAGAGAAGAGAACATGACAAGTATTTGAAGCTCGTTCAAGAAGGATCCGGGAGGTGAGCCTTGTGGCGAGGCGCAGTAACGTGGCTGAAGAAATGATGCGGCAAAGTCATTGGCTCAACTTGACGAGTAGCGAAACTTCGCTGACCACAAGGCATCCGTATTATGTTTGTAATGATATATGTAGGGATTGGTATTGAAGACGAACTTTGCTTTAATTCGGCAGCCTTGGCCGAGTATCAGTTTGGTAGGAAGCGCCGCCACACGTGACATGGTGTTGACTCAGGTATCTATAATGTCCTCAGAGAGCGGACAATGCATGATGGCAGTGTGGTATCAGTGAAATGATCGATCGATGCCGCTGGACGACCCAAGCTGCTGGTATACAACATCGAATAGAAATATCTTGCTTCATGTTCCATCCTTCCATGGTTCCTCATTTTCAGACAAACATAATGTACCACCTAGAGCACTTTCATGCTTCTGCCAAATATCCGTTCCTCCTTTCCCTGATGTCAATTCCATATGAGGTCACCGGGCAGCTGTCTCCTCTCCTCCCTCACTCTTCAGGACTTTCTCACCACGTGACTCACTCTTCACCGGAGGTGTCGAGTAGACCTCCATCAGCTTCTGCATGTCTGTCCCACATACATCCCTCGAAACGCATGGACCTTCTTCATCTTCCAATGAGTCCTGAAAGTATCTGCTCGCTTCATTGTCTGAACATCAAGATCGGTGACGTATGTTTTCTCATCACCAAGCTCTAGTCGAACCTCATAGTCCGAATTAAGCATCATGTCATCTTTCCACAACCTACGGGGCCCATCAAAGACAGCAAGGAATCGTTTTCGTTTTCATTTTCATTTGTGAAATTGGACTGCCCCAAGATAAGGGGTAATCTTTGCGCTTCTTACCTTGACTTAAAGTTTCGAGCGTGACGCCACCTTTGGTGTCTGTAAGTCCTTGGGTCATTTGATCAGAACGGGACGGTGGCGTAAGGTCGGAATCGTGGTCAGATTCCTCTTTATCCGAAATCAGTGTTGTGATAGAGCTAAGGAGAGCCTTCGCATCAAGTGTTTGGTGGACAGCGTGGTCATTTTCGACTTCTGCTAAGCGAGTAGCATCATTGGCTTCTGACGGTTCTTCCTGTTGGACAATTCGAAGGACACAATCGTCTAGATGCTCGTAAAACTCCTGGGCGTCATTGAATATCGTGTCGCAAATTGAACATCTGCCTGTGGCACTGGGTGCATAGCCCGACAAATTCTTAGTAGCATTGGCGTTTCCTGAAGGTGAAGTCTTTTTGCGGCTATTGGGTGGTGTCTGCTCTACGGCATGAACACTAGTGAGATGGCGTTTGAAGACATCTGCACGATTAAATGACTTCTCGGCCGGCGAACCCATACCTGGACAAAAGCCACAGATCATAGTTCCCTTGTAATGAGTTAAGGTATGCCGGTTCTTGTCATATTTTCGAGCAAAACCCTTTGTATGATACTCGCATGTCTCCAATGGGCACTTTTCGGGCCGCTCAATTGCATGCGTGAGCACATGAGCTTTGAGGTCTTTAAATACCCTGCCACAGTCCGGATATGTGCAACGACCTTTCTCTTTGTATTCCTCGCTGCTCAGGTTGTCGTTAACACTCTGCACGGAAGTTCGTCCTGATGGTAGATATGGATAGGAGTGTTCATATAGTTGACTTGATGGGGTTGGACGACTGGTGTATTGCAGATGAAGGATAGATGGGTCTAGACATAGAACGTGTTAGCTGCCTGATGAAGAGAACAGTATGAGGGGTGGATATAGAAGATGATCTACTTACCAACAAAGCCGTTAGGCTTCGATGAATGAAACGCATCTAATGCGAAGCCATCCATCCCCGAGGGTTGAAAGGTGTATTCTTTGCTGGGTCCAAAATTGTCATAACTATCAGTGCTCGGGGTCAGCCCGACACCATGGGGTGCCCATTCTGGAGGTGAGACAATATGTCCATGGATCGAATGCGGAGATCCCATTGTGGCGATGGACACCGAGGACATCGTGGAGGATGCAGACGCAGAGGAATAATGGAGTTCTGGCGGCTCCATCGAACATCGAGATGCGTCGATGAGGGAGGCATTCGAGCTGAAATTTGAAGGATCCGGCCAATATCCTCGTACATCATGGTATGGAAACATGCTTTGAGAGTTTGGATGCATAGGAAAGTCGACTTCTTCTCTACATGTACCTGTAGGACGAGATAGCATACTGTAAGATTTCTCGATTGTTGTTACACCAGTAGTCTCAATATCGTAGCGTTTCGTGCAACCGTCAGTCATATGCCTGCCAAGAGTCAGTACGTATTCCTACGTGGGCAGCAATATTCAGAGCCATACCTCCTCAGTGTGTCCCGTCTCGCAAACCAGCGGCTACAATATTCGCAACGATAATTCTGTTGCTTCATGTGGACACTCTGGTGATGTCTCTGCAAATCGGTCTTTCTCGTAAACTTTTTGTTACAGTCTTTGATAGCACACGGAAATGGATACTCGCGGGTTGTATCGTGAGTTTCCATATGAGCTGTGAAATTGTAGCTTCTACAAAAGAGCTTAGCGCATCCTTTGACGGGACATTGAAAGTTTGCGTCTTCTTTCGTAGTGAGTCTTCTCGGGGGTCTTCTGTGAGGTACTCCGGTTGGAAAGACGGCTCTCTTTACGCTCTCTGGTCTTCCATCGAATCCCGAACTTGGTACTGAGGAGAGAATGGAGGAGATACTCGGAAGTTCTGGGACATCTACATCTTCCATCTTTGGGCATCTGAAATCGAGGTGGTCCTTGGGAGGACTTTTATCAGTCGTTTGGTGATCGTCTGTGATGTCCAAATTGTCTTGATTGACTCGCTGAGCTGCATCATGACTGTGATTATGGTTGTTCGATTGGGAACTTAAGTTGTCGTTGCATGAACCGTCAGAATTACTTTTAGAAGAGTGTCCGTTCCCATCTTCATGATTTCCATGGATGTTGTTGGCGGGCCGAAAGTCAGATTTATCATTGCCTGAGTTGTCCGACTTGCTTTCACCGGAATCTTCATTCTTATCCTCATCGCCATCATTATCGCGGTCCTCATTGATCGATTCGTCCTCTGAAATTTGAGTTTTCCGATAGTGGATGCCGAGCTGTAGCCTGTGTTCGACGCCGCATTTTTCTTTCCAAAGTGAAACTCCAAAGTCCTCTGCGTGATTCGGTTCTTGAGACGCTTCTTTGATGTGGTTTTTGATGTGCTCTATGCTTTCATCTCGACTTCCCAAAGCCTTGTCGCAGAAACCACATGTTTTATGAAAGAAGTCCGTCACTTCATACTTGCAATTTTTCTTCAATTCAATCACCTCTGCTTCACAGCAGTCGTGCTCGGCTTTCAAGTGCGTTGAGAAGTTGTCATGTCGATATGATGGTCTGTAAGAAGGACTCGACGAACAAAGCTTCCCAGTTTGCCGATTGGTTTTGGGACACTCCCAAACATATTCAGGGAAGTGCTTTCGATTGATATGTTCAAGCCACCGCTCTAGGGCGACTAAGTTGCGGCAATCAGGACAGGGGTATCTAATTGAGGGCTTCCTGCGTTTTGCGTCCGGCAAGGACAGATCAGGTTCGATTTTGACTTGTGTCTTGGCAGGCCTACCGCGTTTCGGTTTGGGTGGCTCTGATTTATTTTGGTTCGTGGAAGATGGACAAGGCGAGGTTGTGTCCACTGGCTGCGATTGTGATGGGGTACCAGGAGACGTAACATTGTAAGACGAAGAAGCAGAACTGATTTCACCAGATGCTCTTGTGCTCTCCGGAGAAGGAGGAAATTGACATGTAGATTTTTGTCCTTCGTGCTGGATGCTGGCAAGAAGTTCTGTTCTTCTCGATTTCTCGTCCTTGAACCATGCAAGAACTTCTTCCATAAGGAGGCCTACTTTTTGAGCGACATAGCCCATCTCTTCCGCTGTCATCAACGCTGGGTCTTGGTGGGAACTGTAAACTCCATGCAAGTACTGGTGTCGCTGACGGAACGACATGGGTGGATCGCATAGCCCATTAAACATTCCATATTCCGAGAATTGAAAGCCTTGACCAAGTAAGTTCAAGCTTCACTAATCAGTTCTTTGGACTCTTACCGTGCGACGGCACCTGCGTAGGGAACTCGAGGGATCCCATTTCTTGAGAATTGTTTTGTGTTGCTTGTGGGGTTGGACACGTCCAAGGCGATTCTAGACACTACTGTCAATAATGCGCCTCGGAGCTTGTGGAACTAATTCTTACCACAGGCTGGAGTGAAACCCGGGGTCATTCCCAAGCAGCCGTCGGCCTCGAATGATGCATTTTCGGTGCCTCCGGCAACTTGTGTCTTCGGTTGTTGGTCAATCATTTCTCACGGTCGCATGCCTCTCCTGGCCGTCGGGTGGAGTGCTGGGTCTGCGGCTGGAGCATTCAATCAGCTCCAGCAAGCAATGATGAATCAAAAAGGGTGGATGCATCTTCAGCTCGGGGATTAGGCTGCTATTTGAAGCAGTGTTGGTGGTGGGTGGCTTAGGTGCAAGGCGAAACGAAAAGGCGAAAAGGCAACCAAAAGGCGGGAAGGAGAGCAAAATGCGAACCAAATCCTCATCATGTGACATGTACAATTGTATTGAATTGCTATGTTAGACATGCCATGAAGTATGTCTATGAGAAAGACTCCCAGAAATAGCTGGTAGCTCTGTACATGAGAAGACAGAGACAAATTGAGTCTCCAGTCACGTGTTGATGAACTCCCCTTTTTGCCCTCTCCTTTCGCCTAACGCCGTCGCCTCGCCTTGTACCCTTCCCCCTCCTTTTCGCAACACTGCCATTTCGTCCCTCCCCTCCGAAGTCCTCCTATTGCCACAAGATGATCCGACAAGGTGCCGCCCCAATAGAGATTCCCCTTTTGTCATAGAAGTTCCAAAGCCCTCAAGGCTTCCTCAATCTTCCCTTCTCGGCACCGAACACACATCGTCTTTCGAATGAACCTCGTGATCTTCAATTTTCGAGAGCATTGTCCGGTATACTGTGCTCGTTTGCACTTCCTAGGGTCTGTGGTGATGTGATCGCAACTCGAATAAATGACCTCGGTGACTTTGCACATTGTGTCGGTGGATGTCTTTGACCGAGAATTATATGATATAGGAGCACGACTTTCTTAGTCTGGCTTTGATCTGAAGATGGGTGCTTGAAGCACCGAGACATGGCGAAGAGTTGCCTTATTTATGGGCATATGGTAAGTGTAAGGCGTGAATGGAAAGGATCCGTATATATGGCGGAGGAGAAAATCCATTGTCGAGGCTTTGGTGCAAAAGGAGAGATGAAATGTTAGGGAAGGGGACACATGCATCGCTAACATTGAGAGAGGAGATGTGAAAAGGGGAGGGATAATTGCTAAGCGAGGAGGAAAAGGCGACGATCTGATGTTGGGCATGACAGTCACGTGTCGTTATCAAAAATCCGTACTTACCTATCCTTCTGTGAAAAGTGAAATATAAACAAAAGCTCTTCACTCAGAACAATGACTACGTTTACCCACATGTTTTTGACTGTGTCGAGGGCGACCCAGATGAAGACTCGGAACAGGTCACATGAGAGATATCCTCCGATTGGCTGAAACTTGTAGCATATACTTTAGTTTCAACTGTCAGTCTGTCACTCTTTGTTACCGCATCACACCATAGCGACCCCAGTTTCCACCAGCCGAGGCCTACGAAAATGTCAGATTCCGCTTCAATTATCTCCATAAGAAACAGTCTTGGGAGCTTCAAGGACAATGGGTTGATGATTGAGGGGCCTCCGTGGGACCTCGAAAAGATCCATGACTACGAAAGAGGAGGGCATCATCCTGTGCATCTAGAAGATATCCTAGATAAGCGCTACAAAGTCATTCATAAGCTGGGAAGCGGTGGCTACGCCAACGTCTGGCTCTGTCGCGACGTCACGAGCGAAATGCCTCGTTATGTAGCCGTGAAGATCATCATGGCTGAAGCATCTACGAAGGAGTGTCCAGAACTGCGTGTAAACAAGCTCGTGCAACTTGGTTTGGACAAAGATTTGTTGGCTGATCACTTCTGTCTTCCTCTGGACCAATTCGAGATCGATGGCCCAAATGACTTACACTATTGCCTTGTTTATCCAGTACTAGGTCCTCGTGTATCAAGGCTGCTGAATGTTGATAAGCTCAGAGATACTGGCAAGGCTTTGAGACAGATATGTTTCCAGGCGATTGAAGCTATGGCTGCTCTGCATTCTCATGGTATTTGTCATGGCGGTACGTACCCAACCTGGCTTCCCTACTTGATCATCTCTGACAAAAGCATATCAAAGACTTCCGGCCTACCAATATCTTAGCCCGGATCTCTGGACTTGACGGTCTGACAGAGGATGAAGTATTCGGCGCCCTTGGAAAACCTAAATCGACAAAGGTTGTGACAGTTTCTGGCGACAGTCACAACGAGTCCACAGCACCTCAACATCTCGTCTATCCTATCAGCTGGGATAATGTAGAGCTAAGCGATCTTGGGGCGAATTTCATCACCAACACAGCTTGTATTATCGACTTCGGCGAATCTTTTGAGGTCTCAGACCTACCCTCAGAACTGGGCATACCACAGATCTATTGTTCGCCGGAGTATACCTTAGACAACGATGTGGGCATCAGCAGCGATATCTGGGCTCTCGGCTGCACACTGTTCGAGATACGCACGGGTAGGAAATTATTCGACACCTTCGATGACGACCCAGATGAATATCTCTGCAAGGTGGCCACAATACTTGGCAGATTCCCTGAGCCGTGGTGGTCAACGACATGGAGAAGACGCAAGGAGCTTTTTGAAGACAGCCCTGATGAGAATCGCCGTGTCGTGGAGATTCGCAGGGATTCGAAGCCAGAAGATGCAAAAACAGATACAACACATGACGAGGACAAACCAAGAATCACTATTATGCATCCACCGGAGGCAAGGTCTTTGCAAGATGCTCTTGCGGCTGGGCTTTTCTACGAGAATAGAGGTGGCCCAGGAGGTATGCGATGGGGCATTTGCCAAGAGGAGATCGACCTCTTCTCCAATCTTCTGGCGATGATTTTCAACTTCAACCCGAGAGAACGTCTTACACCTCAAGCCGTGTTAAAGCATGCATGGTTTGAGCTATAGTTGATGAATATTCGAACGAGGTGGAGAACGAAGTGATTTTCGAGTCTCCGTAAGTGGAAACTGCCGAATCAAAGGATGGCGCAAGTGCGTCTTTCAAAGCCCTCGGTTCCGGCTGTTGCATAACAATGATCTCCGTTCTATCATCGCTATGAGCTGTATGTATCTCTGCGCGTAAACAAGCTCGTGAAACTTAGTTTTAGCAATAGCTGGGTTGGTGTGGGGAATGGAGGATTTGCTGATGCGGAAGCGTTGCGGAGCCGCGTTTGAATAGCGGGGTGAAAGGCCAAATGCAGACATCATGCAGTAAGAGCGGGGTTCCACGTCCATGTATCACGAATCGTCAGTTGGTGATATCATCAAAGTTGTGATATCCGTAGAGAAGATGTTCGGTCCTGGCAGCTTTCCTTTCCTGCGGAGCCGATTGAGCTCGTCATCAGTCGATCCTCGCTGCCACTGGAGCACGATCTTGTAATTAAGGAGGATAACTTGAGCCCCTCAGACATTTAGCAAGCCTGTTAAGTCTACTTAATGCCATCATATCCCCATTACTTTCCGCCTTGTTACAGATCGTTTACTCTTTACCTTTCAATTCCAACAAAATTTCAAGTCAAGCACAATATCTCATCCGAAAATGGCTACCTCGAGCCGCTTCCCAATCAAGTCGGAACTCAAAGAATATGCTCGTCGCCGCGCTTCCACCGGTCGCTACGCTGACACCATTACTCCTGACGTCCTCATCGTCGGCGCTGGTTTCGCTGGCGTCTACCTCCTCCACGAACTTCGAAAACGGGGTTTCGACACCGTAATCTACGAAGCCGGTGACGGTCTCGGCGGCACTTGGAGGTGGAACCGATACCCTGGAGCTCGAGTCGATTCTGAAGTTCCAGAATATGAGTTGAGCATTCCAGAAGTGTAAGTACCTTATTCCTGTACTAAATTGCTGGTCCTCTACCTATGGGAGCTCCGGAGCTGGGAGTTGCGTTAAGATGGTCACGTGCACAGCTCCCATCATTACACTTCCCTCTTGAGCCCTCTTCTCTCTTTAGACGCACCAAAAATAAAGACTAAACATACTTGAATGGCACATTCGAACTGTGCCTTTCATGCGGTGAGAGGTCTTACAAGCTGTCTCGGGAGCTAGGACTAAAAAGCAAACGAGCAAATTTCCTTCGCAGCTGCTTAGATAGATCCTAGTTCTCAGATCTCCCTTAACCTTTTCAGATTTTTACAGTGCTAATTTTCTCAGGTATAAAGATTGGACCTGGTCGACAAATTACCCAAATTATGAGGAGTTGAGGGCGTATTTTGATCACGTTGATAAGGTGCTGGATATCAAGAAGGATTGTGCATTTGAGAGTGTGGTTGTGGATGCACAGTTTCATGAAGATGAGGGAAAGTGGCATGTGAAAACGGAGGATGGAAGAGAGGCAATCGCCAAGTTTCTCATCGTTGCTGCTGGTTTTGCTGCCAAGCGCTATATTCCTGAGTGGAAGGGTTTGGAAACTTTCAAGGGGATCATGCATCACTCATCTTTTTGGCCGGATGAAGGGGTTGATGTGAAGGGAAAGAAGTGTGCAGTCATTGGCACTGGCGCCTCCGGCGTGCAGATCGCGCAGGAATGGGGTCCAGAAGCAGGCGAGCTCACCGTCTTCCAGCGGACTCCAAATCTTGCCATCCCTATGGGCAAACGCCCGTTGACCGCAGAAGAGCAGAACATTGGGAAACAGTGGTATCACCGACTCTTCGAGTTACGCGAAAAGTGCTTTGGAGGATTCTTCTTCACTTTCTCTGAGAAGAATACTTTTGATGACACGCCAGAGGAGCGCGAGGCTTTCTTCCACGAACTGTGGGATCATGGTGGATTCAGATACTGGCTGGGCAACTACAAGGATTACCTCTATGACGCCAAAGCCAATAGAGCCGTATACGACTTCTGGTGCAAGAATGTTCGAGCCCGAATTGGAGATCCCAGGCTTCGTGATCTACTTGCACCACTGGAGCCTCCCCACCCATTTGGTGTCAAACGACCCTGCTTGGAGCAGAACTACTACGAACAGTTCAATCGACCCAATGTTGATATCATTGATATCAAAGCAAACCCAATCGAGGAGTTCACTCCAGAGGGAATCAAGACAGCAGATGGAAAGGTTCACGCATTTGATGTTATCGCTATTGCTACTGGATTCGATATCACTACTGGTGGTATGACCAACATGGGGTTGAAGAGCATCAACGGAACCACTTTGAATGATGAGTGGAAATCCGCGGCAAACACTTATCTCGGGACCACTATCAGCGGCTATCCAAACATGTTTCACCTTTACGGACCACATGGCCCAACGCTCTTAAGCAATGGCCCTTCAACTATTGAAGTTCAGGGAAGATGGATCGTGGATACCATCATGAAGGCGGAGAGAGAAGGTTTGAAGTACATCAATCCAACGACGGAAGCGACGAAGGAGTGGAAGAAGAAAATCAATCACTTGTCTGATATCAGCCTGTTCCCGACTACTAAGTCGACATACATGGGAGGGAGTTTGCCAGGGAAGGCATTCGAGCAGGTGAACTATGCAGGTGGAATTCCGGCTTATGCGGTGGAGATCAGAAATGCCTTGCCTGAATGGAAGGGCTTCACAACTGTGAAAGTATGAAGTATCAGTCAAAGAAACTCTCTGCCCCCATCGTTGCGAGCATGAAGTGTTTGATTACAGATACAACCATGTTGTGCTTCAGATTCCCCAGGTGACAAGTTGATTTGTATGCCATGTTATCCCACAGTGAAGATGAAACATATAACATAATGCTTTTGCGGCAGACACCGACGCTCTGTAATGTGGTTTCAGAAAAATAGCGCATGACACGATTCCCAGTTTCAACATTTGATGGTTGTAAAATTCTCTTGCTGAATGACGGACAAACTTGTGTGTATTTTGGGTCGACCTGTGACGGCAATCACCAACTTGCCAACAAGCGAGTGAATGTTCTTAACAGGCTGTGCCAGTGACAGGAATCATGAAGCTGGATAAGGGACTGCGGAGAAGTTGAATGAAAAGGGATCATCGATGCCCAGATTCGGTTGTGCATATTGCTCATCGGCATCTAATTCCCAATCTTGGATGCCAATATCCAGATTCAAATTAGATGCCAGACCGGTGTAGCGGTGTGTTTCGTTCTTGAGAGCGGTGGATAGAGCAGTTGCTGCAATGTACGCCATGTCTGACTTCTTCCCCAAATTCCACAGTGCCTCAATACAGTATTCACATCGCGCCTTATTTTGCTCCCTCTCGTCATGCTCCCCAAGTTTCTGGTGATTTTGCGTCATCAAATCGAGGAGCAGTATTGCTGCTTTCGCAAATGATCGGATCAGCACAACGGTCCATGGCTCCGTGAGTAGAGCACCCTTGTTGACCGCGAAATGAAACTCGCGAAAATTAGGAAAACTTGCATTGCTGCGAGGACAGGAACATCTTCCTAGGTCTGCTACCGCATATGCGTTCTTTATATGTAGTCTTGTCACGAGGTGGGATGATTGACGACGCTGACGCCTGGAGGTAAGGCTCAGTTCTGCTTTATCTATGAACTCGATCATGTCTGCGAGAAGCATGGCACCGAGATGCCAATGACCTGCTAGGACGATATACCAAGATTGGATACGGGGTGGAAGGGCGTCATGGTTGGCAATACAATCGAGCATGAAGGGGCCATACGCATCGTTCCAATGTTGATAGACTCTTAGCGCAGCGCTAATGCCTTCCTCGAAGCTCGAATGTCTAGCTCGCCGGGAGAGTAGGATTTGGAGATGTGATACTTTGCGGAAAAGGAGGACTTTGATAGGTGCAGCATCGCTGAGTGCTGCTGCTGCTTTTTCATAGGGGCATGGCCATCGAACAATACTCTCGCGATCCTGCGTACGTTTCTGTTGAAAGAAGAATTGCCCCCACAAGTTCGAGCCTTGAGTCAAAGAACTTCCGTACGCTATTTCGTTATCGAATTCCTCCTCATACCCGTTCATTGCAGAAGGATCTGATGCCAGTTCTGGAATAACATCACTATCTTCATCTGAAATGACAAGAGGGCGTTTGTGGATTGCCGAGGACAGAGTATCGAACATAACCCCCAGCCAAAATAACATGTCGAATGTTTTCCGGTCATCAGCATTGAGAGGGTCTCTTTGGGTTTGGGTGCAGTTGGCATCTCTTCGTAGCATCCCCTTTTCTCTTTCCCAGGTGTCCAATTTGAAACGATATGAATGCAGCTGTCGAAGTGCTATTTCAAGAAATAGTGGTGGCCCATCAGATTGTACAACGTCATCTAATTCGTCCGCGATTGAGTTTCTGTTGTCTCTTTCGAAAGCTGCGGAATTTGCTCGAAGGGAGTTACTTGGTAAAGGAGACTGGTAATTTTGGAAGTCATCCAACGGCGAAGGTCGGTCCCGTCTCGCCGTTATCTGGCGCAAGTGCTGGTCAACACTAGATGTAGTTAGCAATTATCTCTATAGCTAGTTTTAGGCTCGGCAATTCGACACCATAGTCACGCAGAGGAAGACTTTACTCGAACCTATCTTGTTGGATATCGTTCACAGAGCAGTTTTGACGATCAATGTCTGGTCAAGAGAAAGACTCAGAGCTTACTCACTTCAAGGGCTTCTGAGTCAACGAGAAGATAATGTGCGCAAAAATAACTCTGAAAGATTGGATCCCTGCTGTTTCCTGCAACGCTTGACGAGCCCGGTACCAGGAGCTTTCTTGCATCAATCGGTCAAACTCGGTGGGCACAGATAGCGCAATGTCAGGTTCATCAAAGGCCGGCTCCTCGGGTGAAAACCCATTTAGCTGTGAGCCATATGCCACCCCTTCAAATTTCACGAAGGAGGAGTACTCTCTTTCACTTCTTTGACTTGATTGAGCCCATTGCGTTGCGAATGACATAATGACAGCCTGGAGAGCTCGAGATGCTGCCTTATCCTCCATTTTCGTCAGAGGACGATCTCGAGTTGTGGAAGCTACCCTGTCAAGTCGGCAAACGCGTGAGCAGATTCGATTTGACCAATTGGGGCCCCACTCCTCGGTCATAGACTTCAGAATGTTTGGTCTATTGTGCCGAGATGAAGAACTGATGCTATACGGACAGGTCGTCTCATTCAGCCAGCATGATAATGCATTTTCCATGCTATCATGATAGATTTGCATGAGACCGTCGGAAATGAGAGATTTGCAAGTTGAAGATGCCAGACGTTGTGGTAGGCTGTCTGATGAAGGGTCACTGATGAAGCTCAAACGTCGACTGAAGCTGTTGTCGGGTTGTCGTCGGTTTGAATCAAAAGATGATCGGTGACCTGACCGTGTCGTCATTTTTCCAACACTTGACTTGCGCTTACGTTTCCCGGACGTAACATCCCTCTCTACATCTCTTGCAGGCCTATTCTCGGAAGGTCCCAGCACCTGCTCTGGGTAGTTGTACTGCCCAACCTCATAGTCAGGGAGGAAGCACTCTTGAACAAAACTATCCTCGCTCTGGAGACTTGGAGCATTCACGTCACACGGAGAGCTATCGAGCCAATTTTGGGAAGAATTGAGTGGTTCGTGTTGATTAGGCGCCCCCTCCAACTGAGAGAATAATAACATGGGGTCTAGGTGGCCGATTTGCAGAGGACGAGGGTCATCCAAGAATTCGAAGCCATCTTGCGGCAAAGTTTGATCAAGGCTAGAGAAGGATAGATTTGGGTCTGAGGCTCTCTGGTCTTTGAGTTCTCGTCGCGCCAATTCTGTTGCGAAAGGTCTATTGACGGATCTTGTATGTTTAGGCTGCTTCTGTCCTTCAGTTTGGATCTCGTTGGACACCTGCTTTGAAGCACGTAGCCAATCGAAGGTGCACTCCTTTCCCGTTTTCTCGCAATTCGAACACATTCCCGTGACCTTTGGAGAGGTTCCATCTTGTTCTTCTAACGTACTGGTTCGTGAACTAGAGGAAGGAAGAGAAATGGGTTCTTCGGGTCTTCCTGCATTCGAAATTCCGAGAACAGCGGCATTGCAGGCTCGTTTGCCTTTCCGACATTGATCGCAGCTTCTATTCTGACGGCGCCCACTGGCAGAAAAGCTTGTGCGGCGATACTTCGGGGATGCTTGTGTTTCCATATTTGTTCAAGTGCGTAATTGTACCGTCACCTCTCTAGCTTCCAGATCCGTTGCAATTCTACCTCTTGTCGTGGAATATTCAGATGTAAGAAAATTATTTCGCAGACAACAACAGAGTATATCAGCGCCCTGCATGTCGCTGAATTGAGGGGATGTCAGAATGCGGGGAAGTGTGGGGTCCTTGGCCAATCCCAAGAATATGTGTGGCCGGCACGCCCGGAGGCCGATCTTGTCACTTTTGGAAGTGGCATCTTCCTTTGGAAGAGTTCATACATTTTCAAACGCAACCTGAGAGTAATATTTTGACATGATCGTTGTTGCCGGCTTACAGTAGAACAATCCTACAGCGCCAATAATGGTTTAGCGTATCCGCGTCGCTTAATTCAGGGGCAATTCCCGCTAAATTCCGAGCTATCACAGTGCACTAATACATTGTAGGAATGAACACATGGTAGTCGTGCAACTACTCGTTAGGTACCACGGTCCAGACGTCCTCAACCTACCTCGGAGAACCTAGTATCATTCTGGCTCTTTCTCTCGGCTTCATGTATGCTGAGAACGGAATCGGCCCAAAACGATTTACATACCTAAACGCACCTCACACCATGTCAAGCAAGCACCTCGCACGGCACGAGTACCGAATTCATAACAGCAAGTCTGATCATTATTTGTTCTCAGGTATGGAATACGAATATAAAGATAACGACATAGCAATTTCAATTGACTCCACCAATCCTCTTCACGTGAGTTACACCAACCCCTGGTAAATCCCTGCCTCTAACTCCGCCCAAAGCCCAAGTACCTTTGCATCAGCAAATGGCAATATCTGACTACAGACCAAGCCCGCGACTCCATGCTCTCTATCACACCACCACCACAGATTCGGTAAGCCTGCCCACCACGCCGTTCCTTTGCTCCTCCCAGTATATCCCCCACTTAACATAAACGTCAATCCCCACCCTTGCCCTTCCTCCTTTGGCGAAGGATACAAGTCTGGAAGCGGATTCGTAAGCCATGGTTTAGCGTCTGGGATACCTTGACGTCCGAATTGAGGGAACTCTGGGATTTGGTTTGTGAACATCAGGTCGACTGTGCTCTTTTGCAGGAGCTGTGCACCTGTCTTAGGGGATGTTCCATCGTTCAGTAACGCGGCGAGGATCTCTGCTCCATCATTTAGCAATTTTGAGGATGAGAATTGGGATAGGACGACTGGAATGGAAAACGCACGGCAATACTCCTGTGGCTTAGCGAAGCATCCTGCCCCACCACTATTAAAACACTGCTTAACCTGTTCCTCCGTGTCCACGATCAACGGTCGACGATGAATATGATCGAAGCGCGAGATCATGCCGTCGGTGTTGCGATTGTGCATGTGCACGAGCTTATCTTTCATATGCTGGGTTGGGAACATAGAGATATTTTCGAGGCCGAGTGGAGTGAAGATGAAGCGCTGCATATAAGCATTGAGCGACAGGCCGGTAGCCCGTTCAAGGAGGATACCAGCCCAGTCGATGTTGACCTGTTAAGCGAAGATATCAGCTAGGATAGATGAGATATTAAGTATGGGTGCGACAGACTCCGTATTCCCATCTTGTACCAGGCTGATTCACTAGTGGTTGTTTGATATCGTATAAGTGTCCAGAGAACTCGTCATACCCAATAGCTTTATTACAGTCTCGCAGCTTTTCGTTGAAGAAAGTATATCCAAATCCCGCTACAAGGTTCATCAGCCCCAGTATCCACTTCATGGGAAAGCCAAAAAAATACCAGTATGTGTCAATAACATCCTTAATGTAATGCCTCTCTCCTTCTCGACCAACTTCCCACCATCTCCCAAAACCTTGACGTCTCTCAACTCAGGACACAACTTCTCAGCCTGGGCAACATCATCCAGCGCCAACACATTCTGCTCGACAAGTTGCATACAGGCAATGCCAGTAATCATCTTCGTACAGGAAGCAATCCAGAATATATTGTCGAGAGTCATAGGCTCAGAGCTCTCAAATCCTCGTTTGCCTGCTGAATGCGCAAGGAGCTCTTGTCCATTTTTCCCGACAACGACGACGGTCATGCCTGGAATACCGTTCTTAGAGTCCGTGCAAGCATCTTCGATTATTTGTCGAAGATTATCAACAATTTCTGTGTTCAAGTTGGCCATTTTTGCTATGAGTTAGTGATGCTTGATGTTCGATAAGTCTAGAAAATAGCGTTGAAGTCAAATCTGAGGCTTGGAACATGCTGTAAGGTCTTCACTGAGTGAAATGCGGGGAAAGCATGCATGCACATATCCTCGTATGAAACGGACGAGAGGAATGGAAACGGAGAAGGTGTATTGTCGTAGGTGTTGATGCGGAGCCGCGTTCGCGGCTCCGCATTTGCGGGCCATTAACCAATAACCCTCCCCAGAACGAGAAGCCTTCCAGCCAATGAAAACAAATCTACATTGTACTCGGGAAATAGCACCCAGAAAGCAATCAGGTTGTTGCCACCTACCTTCATTCACTGGAAAGGCCGCCAGGATCTGATGGATAACGATTACTTCCAAACGCAGGAAGTCTGTGCCACGAGAAAATTTGAATGCGAAACAATTATAGAACAAGCAATTCCAAATAGTAAAAAAAGCTACATAACCCTGTAAGCGGCCATAGTAGTAGCGAATGCTGCAATTCTATTGAAAGGGTTTCGCAGTTAGTACCATTCTGAATGGACCAACACTTTCTCAACGACTTACTGAAATATTGTGCCCACAACACTCGCAGCGGCCCCAAGCCTATCGACGCAGGTATCCATTTTGTGACGCCGAATTGCCTGTCGTTCTTGGTACATTGCGATGACCTCCTTGCACCTGGCAGACTCGGCGGATGCTATTTCTGTTTCGTCGCTTATTGGGAACGACTTCTTCACAACCTGGATATCGTTGCTAGATACCCTTGGGAAGCATGTCGGAGGTTGAACTGCGCGCTCAGTGACGCTCCATGAGATGTACGAGTCGATATCGTTTGTTTGCATTGTCAGTTGTCCATTAATTCGGTTGACGACAGATCTATTTGACTCAAGTTTGTTGTTGAGATCTTTTAGGCGATTGTCAAGTCGTTCCAACTCATTTTCTCTTTCCGCAAGTAACAACCGGTCTCTCTGCTCTTCCAACTGTAGCTGATGTAGCTGATCTCGAAGTAGGCGCTCGCTCTGGGCTTGTAAATCCATTGTATTCCCATACATGGATTCTAACGCTCTTTCGGATGCAGTCAGCTGAGCTTGCAATAGAGCCTGAGTAACGGTCAACGATCTTGCAGCTTCATCATTGTTCATCAAGACTGCTCGTTGAGCCTCCAATCTAGCCTCTTCAATTTTGGAGTTGCAGATGTGGAGGGTGTAGCAAGACCTTTACTGTTTATGGGCCTGGAAAAGTGCACTGTCCGTATTGTAATAAGATTTGGAATAATCATGAGGCGTACTGGAACTCGACGCGTTGGAATACCACTCAGTGGTAGGAAGATGATTCGTTCGTAGTTCGTTTGTATGAAGTATGACGCTAGAAGCTTTTAGTGGGACTGCAATCACGTGATAGACCGGTCATGGCATTTAGGAGTTGCCGAACCATCCCCGGACCTACCTATGCTAGGTACCTAGGCAGAGCTTCTCCTCACAGTGTCCCGGTCAGCCTCCATCTTGACCCACGACTTTGGCCCGGACCAAGACTACCTAGGTAGAGTTTGTGGGCACTTGATTCCTCGATCTATGGAGCTCTACGCTCAGGAACGCGCGCGGCGCGTCGTGCGGGAAGAGAGACGGCGATACGAAGAGGAAAACGCCTTGGTTCGCCGTTGAAACAATCTTCTCCGATGCAGACCAAGCGCTCCTGATTTACATCACCAGCACTCAATACCAGAGAGTGTGTTTTCCACCATCAGCCCTGACTATCATCGAGATGTGGCTCTCGCGGGGTTTATTGCTCCTTACACTTGTGCAAACAGGTTTCGGATTGCAGAATTGGAATATCAGAAGGGAATCGGTGCTTCTTCAGAATATAGTCAGTGGACAAACAATGGCCTCACTGCACGAAACTCACATGTTTTAGGTGACTTATGATGAACATTCATTGCTTGTTCATGGACAGAGGATCTTTATTTTTGGTGGGGAGTTCCATCCTTTCCGTCTTCCAGTCCCAGATCTATGGCTTGATATCTTCCAGAAAATCAAAGCAATGGGCTACAATACTGTCTCATTTTACGTGAACTGGGCACTCATTGAAGGAGAGCCTGGGGTTTACCGAGCCGATGGGATCTTTGCACTGGAACCGTTCTTTGAGGCGGCAACTACCGCTGGTGTATATTTGATTGCACGGCCAGGTCCATACATCAATGCCGAAGCATCTGGAGGAGGGTGAGCCAACGGAAATACTATTCACATCAGAAACTATTCTGACCATGTTTTCCAGATACCCAGGATGGCTACAACGAGTTCCAGGTCTTCTTCGAACAAAAGCTACAACCTATGTTGAAGCCACGGCACTCTATATCAAGACCGTTGGTGAGATCATTGCCAAAGCACAAATCACGAATGGAGGGCCGGTGATCCTCTTCCAGCCTGAAAATGAGTACTATAATGCAAATTTGAATACTGGTACTTGCGACAACTATACCTCATATGATAGACCTTATAACGACTGCGATGCAGACTATATGCAAGGCCTTCTTGATATGTACCGAGCTGCTGGCATTGTCTTGCCTTTCATTGACAACGACTCAAGTGCTCCATCGAAAGGCGGGATCTTTGCTCCCGAATGGAGGATCGACAACTCTTCAAAGGGTGATGCCGACATCTGGGGACACGATTCGTACCCACTAGGGTTCAACTGTTCCAATCCAACTGTCTGGCCAGATGGATATCTATACACCATTGGATACGAACGGCAACAGACATTGAGTCCCTCAAGATTCGAGGCTATCACTGAATTTCAAGGAGGAACTTTTGATCAGTGGGGTGTGAGTTTCCCGCATTGAACCGGTCTTACGACACTCTAATTTGAAATAGGGTACAGGCTATGAGAAATGTATTCAGATGTACAACGAAGAGTTCGAAAGAGTGTTCATGAAGAACAACTTTGCTTCAGCCCCTGGCCTCATCAACGTTTACATGACTTTTGTAGAATTCTTTCTTGCTTTATCAACTATGTAACTGACCTTTAACTCTAGGGAGGTACTAGCTGGGGCAACATGGCATGGTCACAAGCCTACAGTTCCTACGACTATGCTTCAGCAATCGCTGAAGATAGGACCTTGACCAGAGAGAAGTACTCCGAGCTAAAACTAGAAGCAAACTTCTTGCGCGTCACCCCAGCGTATTCCAATTCTAGTGTTCAAAATCTCACGACAGAACTCTACACCAACAATGCAGCAGTCGCTGTTACCCCGCTAATCGGGAATGGAACGTCCACTAACTTGTACATCATGCGGCACTCGAACTACTCGGAAAACTCTTCTCTAGCCTACAAGTTTATAGCTAATACCACTGAAGGATACTTCACTGTGCCCAACTTAGGTGGAAATCTGACCCTGAGTGGACGAGATTCAAAATGGCACGTGACCAACTATCAATTTGGCTCTCACAGTTTGATATATTCTACCGCAGAGATTTTCACCTGGAAGGAATATAAGTCTTTGACTCTGCTTATTGTTTATGGTGGTCCTGGAGAGACTCATGAGATCGCAATTTCAACGAATCTGACAAGTAATCAATTAGAAGGTCCCAAAATCAGCACTACGTCTGGCAATGGTAGTTTGATCCTCAATTGGGAAACTTCTACCACGCGACGTGTCATTCAAATTGGCGATATATTTGTTTATATATTCGATCGAAATTCTGCGTACAATCTTTGGGTCATGGATTTTGAGAGCCTTGGGTTGTGGGGAAATTATAGTGCGAATGTTGGAAATACCACTTCTGCTGTCGTCGTCGACGCCGGCTACCTTATCAGAAATGCGGAGTTCGATCGAGCTGGGCTATATATCGAGGGAGACCTCAATTCTACCGTGCCACTGAAAATTATTGGGGCTCCGGAGTCCGCACAAAGCCTTTTCTTCAATGGCGCAGAGCTCGAATACTCCTCGAATCCGGTCACAAATGAGTGGTCCACAATTCTGAAATACGAGACTCCCACGATTGAAATCCTAGATCTTGACACCCTCGAATGGAAATTCATCGATAATCTGCCAGAACTCCAACCAGATTACGACGACTCTCTCTGGACACTCGCTGATCACACAACTACCAACAACACACGGCGTCCCCTCCTCACTCCCACCTGCATCTTCGCAAGCGATTACGGCTACAACAGCGGCGGGGTACTCATTTACCGTGGTCATTTCACAGCAAATGGGAATGAGACTTCCCTCTGGCTTGCAACTCAAGGCGGCATGGCATACGGCAGCTCCGTCTGGCTAAACAGCACTTACCTAGGATCAACTATCGATTCGCCTTCCTACACCCAACTCAACAATACCTACAATTTCACCACCTCTCCTGGTAAAAGCTACGTGTTCACTATTCTTGTCGTAAACATGGGTTTTGAAGAGAATCCCGATCCAGGAGCGGATCAAATGAAAGAACCACGTGGTATTCTAGACTACGAATTCCAGGGCCGGAATAAAACTACTATAACCTGGAAACTCACTGGTAATTTTGGGGGCGAGCAGTATCCAGACAAAGATCGAGGGCCAATGAACGAAGGCGGATTATTCGCGGAGCGGCAGGCCTTCACGCAGCCTTTCCCCCCAAGTGAGAGCTGGGAAGTCTCTGCTCGACTATTGGCATTGGTGAGGCTGGGGCTGGATTTTGGACTGCTGGGTTTGAGCTCGATCTGCCATATGGTTATGATATTCCTCTCTCATTTGATGTTGAGCCATCAGTCACGAATGGGACTCTGGATGCGTTTAGGGCTTGGATTTGGGTCAATGGGTATCAGTATGGGCGGTATATCAATCACATTGGTCCACAGACTAATTTCCCTGTGCCTCAAGGTTTGTTCGCCATTTGATATTGTGTTTATGGTTTTTCTGCTGATGTAGTATACAGGAATCTTGAATTATCATGGGATGAATTGGGTTTCGGTCGAGATATGGGCACAGCAGGAAACCGGGGCTAAACTTGCGAACTTTACGCTTACAGCTGGAGTTCCTGTTCTTACGAGCCTGAAGACTCCTAGGATGGCGCCTATGCCGAGCTTTACACCTCGGTTAGGGTCATATTGAGGAGGGACAACCTCTGGACAGCTATACATGACGAGAAAAAGAGCCTCAGATAAATTCTTAGTAGTCAAATGCCAGCCCACCCTTACCATTAAGTTCCCATGAGCTAAATGACGGGACCTTATCCCAGAGAACCCCGTAGCGTGCCAATTCAGGGATTCTCCCACTTTTGGCTTCCTGGCCACCACACCGCCCCAGCACCTTCCAGATCTGTATTATCGGCAATCCGTGACAGATATCTAGTATCTGCGAATTATTTGCAGCAACGTTACACGATCTAAACATGGTTCGTCAGATAAGCAATGTGCTGAATGATTGCCACCCTTGCAAAATTTGTAGTGTGATCACTTTTATATGCGTGCTCATCTTTGTTTTCAGCCTCTTATCAAACTTCTAGTTTCCCTGCCTTTCTGACTTTGGACCGGATTCTCGGGTCGTGATCATCCAAAAACTGAAAGCATGAAGCTCTCCTTTCCCCTCTCAGTCTTCAGCCTCTTGCCTCTAAACCTAGCCCGGCAACCAACTTCAAAGACGGATTACACGCAAGCATCGACAGAGGTCTTGTCAAAGTTGATGGAATACTACCACGCCTCCCCAAATGTTACAGCCGGACTCTTCGACCAATCTATCTCGCCGTGGTGGGAAAGCGGTAGTATTTTCGAGGTAAGTCTCCCTCATTCAATGATGTGGAATATACTAACCGAAAGAGGAAAATAGACATATATGGACTACGCCAAATACGCTGCCTCAAACCAGTTCGCGGTGCAGGTCGGAGAGGCACTAGTGATCAACTCTTATGATCAAGCACATGACTTCTTCGGCACGAATCACTCGTACGTGAGCTTAGTTGTGGGAAGATGGAACGACGATGTTGAATGGTACGCGCAAGCCGGTATGTTCACCTTCTATGTATTTTTATAAGCCGCACCCGATTAACAAAAAGGAAGTCGCGGCTGGCGGCGAGCTTTACGGACCTGAAAGCTTCATGCCTGGTCTCTCCAGACGGGGGAACGGGACATGGATTTCCCTAGTTCAACGAACAATCGAGGAAGTATACTCCTATCACACCTCCGATTGTGGAGGAGGAATCTATTGGGTTATATCTCCCACCTTCCCCTTCAATTTTCCTTATTTAATTAAGTGCACAGTCAACCGATCCTAGCCAATATCCTACTTACAAATCGGGCATCACGCAACTGGGCTTCATTTCTTTAGCTTCCAGAGCGTACTTGATGACACGAAATGAGACGCTCCTCGCTATCACAGAAGAGTTATTCAACTGGGTTGTTTCGTCCGGCATGGTGAATCTGACTTCGGGGTGGGTGGGTGACGGTGTAGATACGACGGGTTGTGCAGTACATACTGATCAGTGGAGCTACTCATATGGCGTTCGTATTCCTTGTCTCGTTTCTCTCGGCTGAGCTACTAATTTGATTTGGAATCCATAGCAATTACTCGGCGGTCTCTCATTCCTATACCGCGCCACAGGTAACACCTCGTATCTCGAGTACACAAAGCCAATCCTAGCTACGGCCATCAGCACATTCGCACCAGATGGCATAGCGACAGAGCTCTGCGAGGCGGATGGGAGCTGTAATCAAGACCAGCAAGGCTTTAAGGCGATCTTTTTGCGGCAACTGGCGTATCTGTATCGAACTACCGAAGACACCGCAGTGAAGGACTCGATAGCGGCGGTGGTGACTCAATCTGCAACAGCGGCATTGGCGACGTGTGATGGGTACTGGAATTGCACGGGTGGGTGGACGGCGAAAACGGTTGATTATCCGGCTTTTCGAAGTACGCATTTGGTGGCTGCTGCTTTGGTGGCTGCTGAAGGAATCTCTAGATAGCTGTGATTCAAGTTGTAGTAATGGAAATCAATTCAAACGCAGAAGCGGTTTTGAGGAAGGGTTTTTGACTTGCACTACGTGACCCTAGATCCACGAAAAAAAAAACTCACAGAAACCTGCGGCAATGCGTCCTTGACGTCTATGGGTCTGAAGGCTCTCTATTGGGATGGGAGCTGCAAGTACCGGAAACGTCAACTAAGGGGCAAGGCCCGTTAGATGGTGACATATGGATACGTGATCTAGAAGCCTGCCACAAATTTCATCATTCTAGAAATTGACCTTTGCACCTCTCGCCTGCGTGTAGGAAGTTAGCTTCAGGATATGGCGATACTAGAAAGCTAAAGTAAATAATAATCAAGTATATGTGGTATCAACTGCAAAAGGCTAGTCATATAGAAGGAGGTGGCAAACGAAAAGCTATTCCTCCGGCAGTTCAGCAGTTGTCAAATGGCTCCAGATACTGGAATTTCAGAGCTTCCGGAGAACTATTCCCAGCTATTGCATAAGATTGTTAAAATATAGTCGTAATTTCAAAATTTTATCCTATATATTTTCGAATAAAAAAGCGAATTCAACAATTTACTTGTTGAAAACACACAAGTGCTCTCTCCCTTATTTCCGTCTTAGCATTATTTTCGACAAGAGCCCGTCCAGATTAACGTATCGGAAAATTACAAATACAGTCGTATATGGGCTCTCCAACAACGCGGTCGTTCGTGTATTAAGTGCTATAACTTCAATCGCCTAGAAACGAATTTTTTTAAAGCTTTGCCAGTATCTTCGAATTTATTAATATTTAGTAGCTTCGATACACGAAGACCTAGGACTGGATAAACAAGGCAATAGTGTAAGTTATTTGGGCCGTTGATCTCGAACTAGTTTAGAAGAAAACAAACATGCTTAGATAACGACTTTTTATCAAAACCAAGTTCCACAAGCTTATTTACGCTCAGAGATACATATAACTTATAGCGATAATAGAACGGAGATCATTGTTATGCAACCGCCGGATCAGAGGTCTTTGAAAGACGCACTTGCGGCTGGACTCTTCTACGAGAATCGGCATAGGCCGGGAAGCGTTCGACGAAGCATCTCCCGAGAAGAGATTGAGTTCTTTTCGGAGCTTCTGATGATGTATCTCAAATTCACTCCTAAGGAGCGTCTGGCACCGCAAAATGCGTTAAGGCATGCATGGTTCGGGCTGTAGCTTGGATACAACGTACCACGGCACATTCGTCTGGCGCTGTAGATATCCCACAAAATGATGGTCAATCGGGTCATTCGAAAACATCGCATTGCTTCAAATGAATGGCGTACGTATGGGTCAGTTCTTGTGTTAAGATCTCTCAAGGTTGGCGAAGCAAGACCAGAGCTTCCGAGGGATGAGGATATCACGTGCGTATTGCATCGAAATTGGCCGCTGCCTGTGTCATGTACTTGCGATCAATCATTTCTACCATTTCTGTCTAGGCATCGACTACATGATACAAATATTTATTGCCGGGTTTTCGACTCTCGCGTAGTTGGGTTTACCGAAGCAAGGGATACGTTTCTTCCAACGGATAAGAAGACACCACGAAAGCTTCTCGAACTCAGAAACAACTCTGTCGTACACATCCTTCCAGGTGAGCTAGATCTAACATTTATATATGCTCCAGTATACTCTATAATGGATACTTGCTAACCTTGACACAGATTGCTCTCCTCGCTCTCCATCCACCCTTCACCACTCCAACCCAAGACCCGAACCATGAACCTTGTAGTCCGCCAACTCGCCTGCCTACCTTCCAGACGAATATTGCATACTTCAGTCAGAGCTACCACTGCTTCTTGCATATTCCCAACCTCTAGACCAAACCTTACCTTCACAAGCCCTCGACGCATTCGCAGTTTTCGCACAACCGCTAGACTAAGACAGAAAGACAAGGACGAACCAGAATGGCTTATGGAACTTAGAAGAGCAGCCGAAGTCATAACCTCCACGGACGTATCTGGTCTAGACACAGATGGAACGGTTGAAGCATGGGAGAAAGCGCTCCGAAAAGCTGGCTTGGGATCTGTCTACGATCGAATCGACCGGTTGGCCGATAGGATGCATCGCTGGGTCAGAAATGCTTTTCTCCTTGGAGTGGGCTTGTTCTTTGGTAGATGGATTGGAGGTCGTAACGATGCAAAGGAAACCAAAGCTCATGATGTTGGGATGTCGAAGACTTGGGATCTTGACTAGTACCGGAGAGCTCAATTCCAGAGCTGAAATGTACACAAAGCTACGGAAGTCCTCTCCTCAGCCAAAACACTTTTCATCTTTCAACGGTTTCTAGTTTCAACACCATGGGTGCAGTGAATTATCCTCAATCCCTTTGATTCCAACACCAGCACAGCACCTAAGCTCATCTACTCAAAACCACTCATCTTCATCTCCTCCGCCTCCATGATCTCCACTGCCCCCATATCCCCCGCTCTTCCCTCGACCTTTCAAAACCCCTCCTACTAATCTCCTCCGCCATCTCCTCAGACCTCCCCGCATCTTCATCAAGCAAATCCTCGCTGCCAGAACCCCCTTTACCATCTTCGTCGTCGGCTGCCTTGTCTTCCCCACGTCTGGTTAGGGATTCGATATCGGATGTAGCTGCAATCACAGCTACACCAGCGTGGGAAACTGTACTCTGAGACGGTCCCGAAGACTTCGATTTCTCTTTCTCTTTCGGGTTCGGCGCTTTGGAGGTAAATGAGATAGGTGAGGTTTTAGGAATCGCGGCTCGCGGTGCGGCGCGAGCGAGGGCGATGAGGGAGGGACGCATTGTGTGTTTAGGAGCGAGTGATGGGTCGGAGCTTGATTTAGAAGAAGGAAAAGAAGGTGTTTGGGGTTTATAGATGAAAGAGACAGCGAAATGTGATAGCTCGTCGAGGCCGAGTAGGGAGAGACATCTCTACATAAGCCAACAATATGATCGTCCCACTTACCACGCGACAAGGGTTGCAATCTGGAACAATCTCTGGAGAAGAATTAAGATTTTCTTAATGACATTAAACAATAGACCTTTCATCATGTGGTCATTACAACCCGGAATCAATCTGATCGACCACCGTCGAGTTCGTAAACGCCGCCCAGTCCCTACACGTCTGCGCCATAATACTCGGAATCTGCAACTTCGCAATATCGTCCGGTCGCTCCATAACACTAACATACAACCCCGCACTAACATGCCACGCAATATGGCAATGCAGCGGCCACACGCCTGGATTATCGGCCGTTAATTGAAGGACCAGGTATCCGCCCGCTTGTACGAGCTGGACATCTCGACGCTGAGGGTTCGAGGGATTAACGACTGTGGAACCATCCCAACTTCCGGTCCCTTCAGCGAGCACGAACATGTTGTGGCCGTGGAGATGGATGGGATGGGCGAGAAAGCCGGGATTGGTGATGAGGATGCGGACGGAGGAGTTGGAGCCGAAGTTGTAGACGTTCCATTGGGGATCGTTGGGGTAGGAGTTGTTGCCTACGTTGGAGAGGAGGAGGATGGGTTGGTTGTAGTTTGCGCGGAAACTTTGTCCGTTCATGGTCCACTGTTTAAGTGTCAGAGGGGATTGGGGGAAAGGAAGGAGGGGACTTACGACCCAGTGGCCAGTTTCATTTTGGCCGAATTCGATGTCGATGTCTTGGGTCACGGGTGGAGCTGGATCGGGGGTGATGGGGAACCAGGGGACGGTGTCGGTTAGAGCATCCTGTGCCAATGTCAGAAAAAGTTCAAGTTGACGAGAGGGGTTCAACTTACATTTGCGCAGATAGGAGCAATCGCCGAGGTCTTCCATGCAGGCCAGGCTGTGGAGTTATATACTCCCGCAGTGAGAGCGCCGTGGGTGTAGTAAACGATTGCTGTTGCGTCCGGTTGGGAACTGAACGAGCACGGGAATGATGCGATGGAAGAACGCATTGTATACGCCCCTGTAGCTCCTGGGAGTCCAGTGATTAGAACATCAGCTCTTTGGCCAACTGCTAACGTGACGACTGGTTCTTGGTCAGCCATGTTCGGGAAGAGATATTGACTTACATACCCTGTGTTGTATATGGTTGAATCGGAACGAAATCATTGGCGATTACAGTCATGTTGTGACCATCGAGCGAGAACTTTTGTATACCCTCAGCACCTGCGTTGATGAGACGTAGTCGATGGACTTTCCCAGGAGAAAACCGAAAGTTCGTGATGCCAGCATTGCTTTTACACGCCGTTGTATCTCCTGCTGCAACAGTAGAACAGTTGAAGTTATTCCGACCTTGAATGAGATTGTTATCCGACGTTGGGCCCTGTTTCTGATTAGCCTTTGCTCGTGCGAGGCATCGCACATCTACTTACAACTTTGCTGATATCTGTGCCGACAACGTCTTCAACAATGCTAAAGTAGTCACGATGAAACCAATCACTCAAGATGATTGGTCCCTTATCTGTTGTTGTCGTCAGAATTAGGAACATCTCGGGAAGGACAAGTGACCTTACCAATATCATATGGCACAGTTGTAGGTCCGTGAATAATCATCGGACCAACCGCTCCTCCTGCATACTGAGCAGAGTAATGCGAGTGATACCACTATAAGACATTAATAATTGATTTGGTTCCATAAGGGAAAAAATGGAGAAGCAACAAAGGTTGAGGGGACAAGAAAAAACAACTTACTGAAGTTCCATAGAGATCTGCCAAGAACGTATATGTGAAGCTTCCTCCAGGAGGAATAGGACATTGTTGGACGCCAGGCACTCCATCCATCCATCTAAGATATTTGTTAGAAGCTTGGTACCTCACAAAAACTTTGATGTAGTAGAGCAGAGGAGAGAATTGCCCAAGTCGAATCACAAAATGAGGCATAGTCACGTGGCAATCTGGGCAGTTGTGACCTTGATGCACTCGAGCTCTTGCCTCTCAATCTTTAACTCTTCTGATCCGACCGCCTCTTTTCGATTGCCGCTAGACCTCCAAAGAAAGGAAATAATAACTTACTGGGAATTTTTCTGCAGAATTCCATGCCAGTGCAAAGAAGTCCCTTCTTCCGGGCTGTCGATGGCATTATGAACAGTGACCTGAATGGTATCTCCCCTATAGCATATGAGCACAAGTTGTAATTCCTAAGATAGATAATTCTTACCAATTGGCTTCAATCAACGGGCCGGGGAACTGTCCGTTGATGATGAGTACATCCTTCTGGTACCCATCGGGAGACTTCTTCTCTCGCTTGATGGTAAAATCATATGATCTTATCACACTGCGTCCCATCAGACAAAGTCATAGCTCATCGCAAGGAAGTGACATACCCAGTATTTGGTGGATCTATGAGTCTTGTCAGTCACATGTGAGGTATATTGGAGGTGTGGTTGGCCTTACCGGCTGAGAAAGGAAGGTGTGTCAGCAGTGCTGTGATTAACAAATAGGTTGCAAAATGCCATGACACTTACTATCTGGAAAGGGGTCAGCGTTAAATCATATATTGGATGTCAGGAAGGGGATGCACTTACAAGTATTAGTATTATTTGCAGTTTTCAGCCCCCAAGGTGCACCATTTGGCAGCGGTGTGACGGGTGACTATCAGGAATCAGTTGAGCTTTCCATCAATTGAAATCACAATGCCGAACAAACAGATGAACAGAACTTTTGCATGTAGGAGAAAGGAGAAATCCCGAGGAGGAATTTTCCGACGTATAAAGTAGGTACGTGCAACACGTTGACTCCAAGAAGACAAAACTTATTAACATCCAGAACTTACGCTAGTAACTAAGAATGGTACTGGCAGCTCAGGATAATCAGCTGTAAGCATGTTTTAGCATATCAGCAGGAAATGGAGGAGTATTATCCAAGACATACTTTGTGCAGTAACGAGTGCGGCGAAAAATACTGCCAATGAATTAACGAGCCTCATCTTGAGCGATTGTGATCTCCTGTGGAGAGAAGAAACGAAACTGGTGTGAGATAGATTGAGATAGATTGAGGGGAATCAGAGGCTAAATACATTTCATGGGATCATGGTAGAGCTTCACCAATCGACAAAATTCTACACCGAAAGGCTGACCATCAATGACTGACCCGAGGGTGTGGATACCGCACTCGCTCTGGTTCCTAGTTTTTTCTAAATTGAGAACGCGGGAACAGACTTAGGCACGGCTGAGGAACATTTGAAAGACGGTGCGAAGCCTGAGCCTCACCTGATCAAACGACGGCTCGATGAGGCGAAGGTAAGCTCAGACGTGTGGCTTTCTGGGGTCGAGGCTAGATTGTTGGTCCAGCTATGAGGGTCAAATACTTACGAGGTAGAATGGCATTGGACGAAACTCATTCAAACAAGAGGATGGCTTGCAGAATCAATAAATGCACTCTTACTGTACTCGACAATGGGTGTTGTCATCTTGTCGAGCTGGCATTCTAGAATGGGAACGATGGAAGACTTGAAAGCATAACATTCGTGCTATCAGATACTAATCCGACGAGAGCACAGCAATTGGAGCGGATATTCAAGCGAGACTTGAGTGGAAATTTCATTGGCGGGTCTCCTGCGTATCACTCTTCCGCTCCGAGTGATGAGAATCTTAGAGTGGAGATATTGGGGTAAGCATTTCCGCAGAGACTCTGCAGTAAGTCTTAGGATCTTCCTTAGCTGCCAGGTTAGCGCGAATGCGAGATCTGATCGGAGCCATCAACCAGGAAAATGAGTAATGCCAAGGGGAACCGGCTATGAGGGCAAAATTAGCTTTGACATCGCAACGGGTAAGCTGACAAGGTTAATCGTTGATGGGATGATATAAGAATTTCCTACGGCGTGGGCACCCACCGAATTTTCTCTGGACTGGGAAAATAAGCATAATTGAACGGACTAAGAGAGGTCCCCGAGCTTGTTTTCCAACAACAAACAATGCGAACAATGCGTCCCAGCCGATGGGAGCGCTAAGGACTAACCTTGCAGCAGATCCTCATATTTTACGAGGTTGCTTCGCCCCAGTTGAAGAGGTAGGTGAACATAAGAGGTGTTCACGTGTCAATTTTGTCGTCCATGTCGTCGCAAGCACGGCCCGGAATAGGATCCGATGTAGCCCTAATCCTTCTGTGCCTCCCTAACGCATCTGAGGTGATATTTCTGGCGAGAACCTTCGTCGTCATCCAGTCGCATGAATCTGGAGGTCAATACCTGTCAGCCCAGATGCTGACATGGCCTTGACTCAAGGTTGGGAACACGAGAGGCCCCATGCGTAAGGTGGACGTTTGGACGCTTTGCTCGAATCAAGCGCCGCGTACTTGGAACGATGGCGTAGATGGTAGCGTTTGATAAACGCGGGCGAATGTGGACAGACATCGGATGAATAAATGATCCGATAATCTTCAGGATCCGTGAGGAGCTTTTATCACTTGCCTGCAGGTTGCCAATACTTGGCATTTGTTTAAGGCAAAGTTTGCATCCTCAAGACGTGGATGGTATGGCGGGGGAAGAGGCTGTCAGCCTTTTGTCGGAGGCGAAACGTCAAATCACATCTGCCGACCCACATCAGCTCCGAGACTTTGCGTACAGAATGCGGCTAACTTCGTGCACAGTTCGGGGCTTCGATAATACGAAATGTGGCGGTCTCGGCAGTTTCGCAATGAGGAATATGGTGCATCTCATTGAGTCGGTCTCTGTCGGGTCCAATCACCCAACGCCACATCCCGTGTGAGGGGTAAGAAAGAGTGAGATGCCAAGGATAGGGATGAAGGTATTCCCGTACCATCCGGTTTTGCTGATGATGAGTGTGCTGCAAGTTTGCTTTGACATACTTGTGACAAATAGGTCTACCACATTTCAAATGAAAGAATAGGATACTGATGAATGCATGAGCGAGTGCGAGCATGTCGTGGAAAGAAGCTCAGTATCCCTGGGTGATTTTTGCGGGGTAAGCTAGTCCGAAAGAGGATGTTACAAGAATCACGTGCATGTCTTGGGAAGCTTGGAAGCCATGTCAAAACTGGTGTTGACTGAAGATGGCGTGCTCGTGGAGCCGAGTATGCATTGTTACTTCAGGCAGAAGCGATGAGTGCCACCTGCAGCAGATATTAGTCTTGGTTGTGCAGCCCTATGATCAGAGCATCCAACCCTTCATGGATGTCCAGGTCGCAGAATACATGTTAGCCAACGAGATGATGATTATACATCTAAGCGCCCTGAGCTCAACTAGAAGATCGTATGATGCTACTTTATTACAACACATGTCGTAGACACTGACGATTTCTGATATCCTTGGCATTCTGATTACATAGCCTTTCCGCAATCACCAAACCTTATCAGATCTTGTTAGTGAGATCAAGTCAGCCCTTCAGCTCAACTACATACGGACGAACATCTTCGAACAGCGGAGAAAACGCCTTGTCAAGTCTTTATGATTCAGAGATAAGTTTTTTAAGCAAACCAGGGGGCGGCTTCGAGGTGAGCGACACTTCAATGTCAACGGCACGCCTCCTATCCGAGAGCGGTCCCATACATGATCGGACACCAACGAGCTCACATATAGCGAGATGATCACTGGCGAGGGCAAGAACTACATTGCAAGAGCTTCTCGCGCCAGCGAGCGTAGAATCACAAGCAGCTAAGCATTAAGACAGCACTGGAGCGAGTTCCAGGACGAGAGACAACAGTAAAGGAAGATCCAGTACTGTCTACTCGGAATTCTCCACACCTCTTTGCCACTAACATTTCGGCAAGTTGACTGGGAGTTGCAAGGGCAATCACCTGGGTACCTTCACTTACCTACCCCTGAAGGTCACGTGTAATACAAGAATTAGAACCTTTTGCTCTAGATGCAAGATGCGGTACATTTCTCTGCGGCTCGATTCTGCTTCTCAACTCCTTCAAAGGGTACAGGTGAACGACAGAGCCTATCAGTGCTCTTGTCTCGTCCCCATTGTCAGATTTTAGTACCTTGGCCTAGCTCATCCTCACAATCTCCAAGCGACATTCAACATATCTACAACCTCGAACTCTTCAATCCATCTCACCACCTCCAGATACGGTAAAATCTCCAACATGCCGCTTCCCGACAAACACAAATTCAAAGCCATAATAGTCGGCGGCTCCGTAGCGGGCCTAACACTAGCACACGCCTTCTCGCACGCCAACATCGATTATGTCCTCCTCGAAGCACGTGATACCATCTCGCCCCAAATCGGCGCCTCGATAGTCATAATGCCGAACGGAGCCCGGATCCTGGATCAGATGGGTCTGTACGATGAGCTGAGACGCGAGATCATGACGCCTATGACGCGGAGTTTCTTGCGGCAGGAGGACGACGGGAGGTTGGTTAGTAGTAATGAGTGGCCGAGGATGGTTGAGGAGAGGTAATTTCTTTCTTGGAACTTGATAAGAGAGGAGAGGTGCTAAAGTGGAGGCAGATTGGGGTATACTTGTGGGATCTCGGAAAGGATGCTGTTTCTGAGATCGATGTATGGACAGTTGAAGGATAAGTCGAAAGTTCGGCTGAGTAAGAAAGTTGTTTCTATTCAGCATGGTAGTGATTCTGTTACGGTGAAGTGTGAGGATGGGTCGGAGTTTACGGGCGATGTTGTTATTGGAGCAGATGGGATTCATAGTCGGACGAGGACAGAGATGCAGCGATACGCGAGGGAGACTGGTCCGCCGGGACTGATGGACAAGGATGAGAATTGTAAGTCAATCCCAAGAATGTTCTTTTCTAGGAAAGCTTTTTGCACAGTGAGCTATCCATAAAGTGGATGAACCGAAGCCCTTCCTCACCAGCGAACCTTCAGTATCTTCCTCCCCCCTTCATCGCTCATCTTATTTCCACCCCCTCTCCCACCACAAGTCCAAGCTAACACCCTCCAGGCATCACAGCAGAATACACCTGCATCTTCGGAATCTCCCGCCCCATCCCGACCCTCCACCCAGGCGACAACCACGTCTCCAGCTCGATCGACCACTCAGGCCTAATGTTCATCACCAGCGACCGCCTCCCGCAATGGTTCTTCATCTCCAAGATGCCATCGAAAACCATCGGGTCCTCGATCCCGCGCTTCACCGGCCCGCAAATGAGAGCCGAAGTCCAGAAATTCGCCGACTTCAAATTCACGGATACCGTGACGTTCGGGGATTTGACGGAGAGGGCGGAGAAAATGAGTTGGTTTGCGTTGGAGGAGGCGAATCATGAGGTGTGGACGTATGGACGGGTGGTTTGTTTGGGAGATGCGATTCATAAGATGACGCCTAATTTGGGGCAGGGTGGGAATCAGGCGATTGAGAGTGCGGCTGTTTTGACTAATTGTTTGGTGGAGATGTTGGATGGCCAGGAGGGGAATGTGGACTTGGGGGAGTTGCAGGGGGCGTTGAGGAAGTATCAGGATTTGAGGCAGAGGAGGGCGGAGAAGTTTATCCGGCTTTCGGGGATGATTACTCGGAATGAGGCGTTGGAGACGTTGCGGCATGTGTTGAGATTCTTGTACTTTGAGCCGTTGAGTGGGGAGATGTTGGCTGGTATGTTTGTGCGGCAGAAATGTGAGGGAAGAATAAAGAGCTGACCATGTAACAGACATTCAAACTGAGATGTATCACACGGCGCCATATCTCAATTTCCTGCCCTTGCCATCGAAAACCAGAGACAACGAGTTATGGATTGAAGGAATGAAGAGAGTGAAGGCTAGAAAAGATGTACCATTACCAAAGTATGCGTTGCCTGGAATTCTTTTCCAAACCCAACTAACAGCTTGCTAGGCTCTGAGAGTTGTTCCACTTCTCCATGTATTTGAAGCAATCCGATAGAAAGAGAATCTGTATATACATGACCTGTAAGAGAGAAAATATATACAGCGCAAGCAAGACATAGATACAGAAGAAATCTCATCACTTTCCCCTTCGCTTACTGTCCTGCTTTTCCTTTTCCAGACACCAGTTCCTCTTCAACGGAGTTCCTCATCCACCAAGCAGCGTGCTGGCCGGAGTAGCACCAGGAAAGAACGTTGTCGGCACAGCTGGAATCGGTATACTAGCCGTTAAAGCAAAGCCAGCTGTCAAATCATCCGGCATCTTCTGCGCCGCGTAACCGGATCTATAACTGTCAGCCTATTTCTCCGCATACTATCAAAGAATCTTACGGCGCAGCACTAATCGTCGAAGTAACAACCGCATATCCCGTCCCACTCCCACCCTTCAAACACGCTCCACTTCCATACGCATTCGCGCCTATTCCACACATCAGTTTTCTCCCTCCTCCCTCTCAAGGAAGGACACCAAACTCACATTTCCAAACAACACTACTCCCCGCCTCCGTCCACACCGCAAAATCCTCGACAACCAACCCCGTACACGGAACCTTATCCGGACAAACAATATTCACCGGCCCCCTCTGCACCCCATTCGAACACGTGCCCCTCCAATCCCGAAACGTGATATCCTGATACAGCACCCCGTCCCCAGTAGCTTCTTTCTGCGACGACCAGTCGGCGTTTAGGTCTAGTGTGTAGGCATTCGTGTGCCCGATGAAGGATTCGAAGGTGCAGTTCTTGACGGAGCCGCTTCCGCCCCGAGATTTGAGCATGTACATTTGGTTGGAGTTTTGGGAGTAGATGTTGCGGTAGTGGATGTTGGAGATTGCTGGGTTGGGTTGGTTAGTGGAAGTGAAGGAAGGGGAGAAAGGGGGGAGGGAGGGGTTACCGGTGTCGGAGCCGAGGGAGCCCATTGCGCAGCCGCCGGACCAGTTGCAGTAAATGTTTTCGATGAGCATGTTGCTCGCTGGACTCTGTTATAATGTCAGTATCATCTTTCCGGAGAGGTGTAAGGTTTACGTACTTTAACAGTAACACACTCATCTCGATTCGTAACCTCAACATCATGGACATGGATATTACTTCCCCAAATATCAATCCCATCCAATCCACCTTCATTTCCACCTCGGATAATCATATTATAGATTTCTCCATTAGTACAAGTATCCATAACAAGATGGAACGCTCCCGCATCAACCAACGCAATGTCATGGACCGAGAAATCCGAGACTTTGCCTAGACGAAGAATACGAGATCCATAGTTACCATCTACTCGATTGTCAATTTGATTGGATTTTTTGGGGGCGAGGAAGAGGATGTTACCTGCATGGAACGTGTACCCATATCCTTGAATAGCGCCTTTGGATGTACTGCTATACATCTCGAAATCACTCGTACTCCCCACAAAAATCATATTCCCACCACCAGTCCTACTCTCATCAGCACAAAACTCTCTCCAATCATGATAATACATACCCAACCCGATAAATCACCCCATCAAGCTGCAAAGCCCAACTCTTTCCGCCCGTCAAACTCACAAAAGTACTGATCCCAAAATCTCCTGGAGGCACATAAACTGTTTAATTCTCACTAGATTAGCCATCCTGCTTTCACTCCTATATCAGATCAAGTGCTCGCTTACCAGTCCCGCCATTCTTGCAAGCAGCAAAAGCAGAAGTCAACGGAGGCCCCACATCAGACGTCTTGCTCGCTACTCCGCCGTAATCCAGGACGTTGCAGACTTTTGTCCGTTTGGAGGCTCGGCTTGTGGTGGGACCTACTGGGCCGGAGAGTTGGGCTGAGATGAGGGGAAGGAGGTTGAGGAGTGTGAGGAGGAGCTTCATGGTGGAGAATGACACTCGGTTTGAGTGAAGACAGACACGAGTGAGCTGGTGAGCTAAAGAATGATCGAACAACCCTCAACTTATACTCTTCTCTTCAACAACGACGTTGCTCGAAAGATGCATCGTAGACAAACAAGCATATTTCACCGTCTTTATCCATATCAGCTGATGACTTATCCCTCCTTAATATATAGGAGCGCAAATCGGTACAGCTCCACGGTATTTATGCCGGACCTAGAGCCGGGTATCCGATGATACCGAATTGTCCCCCCGCGTTCCCCCACAATGAGAGCTGAGAAACATAACGAGGCGGTATCTAGACAGCAAGGAAGATATGATGCCTGTCGTCTCAATTAGAGTCGTCTCCGGGTTTATATACCATCACGTGATCATGAATAAAACAGAGCAATTTCCACGAATCAGTAGCCTGTGTGTGAGGCATCTGGTTCGCAGGAAGGCCATGGCTCCGCAGATCTTCTTGCGATAGAGCTCTACTCGGGTAGCGGAAGGACTGGACACTGGTCTGTCGGCACTTCCCAAGGAAGCACAATATACTACCCAGCGGCACCGGGATCATTACCCCAGAGCCTGAGCAAGATTCGGAATGCAAGGCTGCGAAACGAGAGCGAAATGTTCAAAGAGGAAATATCATCTGCAACTGAGGGACTACCCTGTATTCTTAAAAGAGATTCTCTCCGGCTTCCCCATATTGATGTCTTGTCCAAGCTGCTGTTTGACGGCAGAATAGGCAAACTTGCCTAGAGTGGACGAATGTAAGCAACATGAGACCATGAATTATCCCCAAGAATAGCATCAGATTGGCGAAGAGAAAAAGGTGATCAGCATAGGGTGGCATGATGGTGAAGAACGATGAGGTGAGACATAAAATTCCCAAACCTTAAATAGTTCGCTTGAAACCGCGATCCCGCCACAACCCTTCCTTCTCCGAACCTCGAACAAAACATCCTTTCAGTCCTATGGCAACATATACGAGCAAAGTACCTATAGCTCCTACATCTTCCAGAAGCCTGGCTGATTGAAGTCCCGTCACGATGCAGGATCACATGAATGCGGCCATGAGCCGTGACGTGATTGGCAAGTTGGCATGGTATACCATCTCTCGTTCATAACCAAGGAACAAAACTCACTTCAAAGAAACACCCCTTCCGGATCTACGGAACCCAGGAAATCAACATCCAATCCTCACGCTTTTCCTCCCCAAATCCTCATTGGGCGCATCCTTTTCCAAGGTTCCCTTTTCTGCGCTGCGATTACGGAAGCTAAAATGAAAAGAGCCATGTCATCGTTTCTTTTTCGCGTCTGTCTACGGACTGTACAAGTAGAGAGAGGATCTTGCTCTCAATTCCTTTTTGATTCTTTATAGACTTCTTTTGTTGATAGATAGATCTCCCTTTTCATATGTTTGTTTTTAAATTAGATTTTTCTTTTGGTTGATATAAACTAGAAGGGATCCACTTTACCCCACTACGAAGAACGAGAATTACCCCACTATCGATATTTTCTGGAGTCATGGATATTTTTCACCTCAGCCTTCTCTCTCCCTCTCTGTCGACATCCTCCAACCTTCACCTACCTCTCCTCCCTCCTCAACCCTCCTCACCATGCCCAAAATAACAATCCACTGCATCCGCCACGCCCAAGGATACCAGTACGTCTCCCTCCTCTTTCTCCCTCTATCCCTCTATCCCTCTATCCCCCCTCAAACCTCCAACTAACCTCCCTCTCCTAACAGCAACCTCTCCCTAACCTCCCACCTCCTCCCCGACCCCTCCCTCACCCCCCTCGGCACCACCCAATGTACAACCCTCTCCACCACATTCCCCTACACCACCCACCTCACCCACCTAATCTCCTCCCTCCTCCGCCGAACCCTCTACACCACCCTGCTCTCCTCTCCTTCCCTTCCCTTACCACCACCACTCCCACCACCACCAGTACCACCACCGCCAACAACCTCAAAATCCTCGCTTTGCCAGAAATCCAAGAAACGTCCTCCCTACCCTGCGATACGGGGTTCTGCTGGCTGTTGGGGTTTTGGAGAAAGAGTTTGACGGGAAGGGGATAGATTTCTCGCTCTTGGGGGGAGGATTGGAATGGGAAAAAGGGGGGAGATTCGCGCCGAGCGCGGGGGGGCGGGGGGGGGGCGATCGATGAGCGGGCTACTTGGGCGCGAGGAGGTTTTTTTGAGGGGGGTTAGGTGAGGGCTGGAAGGGAGGGAGAGGGGGAGGGAGATGGAGATGGAGAGGTGCATATAGCGGTCGTTACGCACGGGGGGATATTTTTGCATTATTTTACGGGGGGATTTTGAAGGGGGGCTGTTAATGATGGGACGGTGTGGGGGACGGGGTGGGGGAATACGGAGTGGCGGTCTTATACTTTTGTTGGGGGAAGTGAGGGGGCAGAAAGAGGATAGATAGAGCGAGTTTGAGTACGTCGAATTCTTTCCTTTCCTCGAAGAGGATGTTCTTTTGGCTTGTTGGGAAGGTATATACTGATTTGTCTATAGGGGAGACGGAAGAAAGCAGAAAAAGGCGGAGGGGCAGCGAGCTGCCTTTGACTCGGGAAGAACAGCTTCGGCTCCGTGATGCAGCGGAGCGGGAGTGGAGGGCGAGTGGGTTTCAGAGTGGGGGTGCGGGGGCGGGGGAGGAGAGTCGGTTGTAGGATTGTGATGTGGGGAGATATGGAGATATAGGAGATATAGAGAGGTTAGAGGTTAGAGATTTGGATAGAGAGTTTGGATAGAGAGATAAATGAGGGATGAGTGATAGTTTAGAACTTTGAATAGATAATACAAGAAGAAGACAGATAGAGAGATAAATAGACAACTTAGAATAATAGCATTCATCTACCATACAGATACCAAACCGGATGCCTACTTTACGTACCTAGGGACCAACACACTCCAAGGAGGAGGATTAGAGAGAAAATCTGTACGGAGGTAGGGTCTGTTGCCAAGGACTCATGGAAGTTGCGTGCTTTTCCCGCCTCTCGAAAAGTTCGCATTGCCTGTTTGCTCATCCTGGGTATAGACTAGTTGTTTATACAGTATATTTGAAGTAGTAGTTTGTATGGTAAGTACTTTACTTTTGAGGTTGAATCAAGAAAAAGAGGGAGAGGAAGAGAGAAAGGAAGCCAGTGTCACGGATTACCTGGATCACATGGCCAGAGATCACATGATCATCCCTGGGGACGAATCAGGCTTAGAGCTCAAGTATGTTTCACTCTGGTGTATATAAGCTCTGGCGCTCCCATCCTCTTCTTCTTTCCTTACCTTTAGATTCTAAGAGATAGCCGAATCGATTCTTCGTCTACGTACTAAGCTTCCCACCGTGCTGTCACAGCCAGTTTAAAGTTTGTTTGGTTCGCGAAACCCTACCTTTTTTTATATATATATATATATTTTTCTCTCGACTAAAAAGAAAATCGATATTAAAATAACAAAAATAAAATGAAAACCCGTCTCTCTATCTCATTTACTCTTCCTCTTCAAAATAATAAATTTTTATTCCACAATATACAACAAAATTATAAATATTTGTTTGGAATTAAATATTTATATATTTAATAATAAAAATCAAAAAAAGGTTTATTCGTACGAATAAAGCAAAGCTCGTTTTCGTAAAGAAATATATAATTCATATAATAATAAATTTATTCGTGAATAAAATTAAATGGAAGTTGAATAAGCTCTTGAAACGAAATCTAAGCAAAAAATTATTTAAAACGAATAGAATAGAACGTTTATAAATTTATTTTATTCATATTTTTTAAATAAGTCTATTCGCAAACTAAGCAAGCTTTTATTGAACTCCAGCACAGAACAAACCTGCCACGCTTCAGCCCTAATCTCAAGCTTCTGAGCACAAGATCGAAAGAAACACTTAGATGGTATATGATAAGCTCTCAGAAGAGAAAAGCGAGTATCACAGCAACAAAACGGAAATGGAGTTCTTGAGGATTGAGACATCATCTCAATTCAGGGTATATAGCCCTCTCTTTCTTTCATCTTCGGCCTTTCGTTCTCTCTTTACACACCTCTATTTCCCACATCCCTCCCATGCTCTTTCCTCGTTCCCTAGCCCTCATCCACCTCTTCTGAATACAAAACCCCTTGCTTTCCCCCTCTTTCTCACCCTCCCCTAAACATCACCCCACCAAGAAACCCATTTAAAACCCAAACCCAAACACCAACGCCGTTGGAACCTCTGCACGCACAGAAAAATCGGGGCAAGAGGCCATGTACTTAAAAAAAGAACGCCACCAGCAATGAGAAAAACTCCACCGTCTATCATCGAACCGACTGACCCAAAACCATCGAATCGAATCGAAGTCTCGTCGTAATTATGTAATTGTTGTTGCTGTTGTTGTTGTTGTATGTAATGTACCCAGAAGATGCATGTATGCGTCCGTCTCTATTTCTACACCCCACCCTATGTATACTCCCAACTAATCTCGTACTCCGGGATCGCGGGCCCGTCCCACTTCTCACCGTAGGGGTTTAACCTGCCGTGCGAGAAGAAGCCGTCTTGGGCGCGCTGAACGACGTTGAGCCATGATGAGGGTTCGGGGTTTTTGAGCCACTAAAAGAAATAAATCAGCGAAATGTAAAGGGATAGAGGGGAAGGGAATTAGCTTACCTGGTTATGAACATGATACGTCCACGCACCGCGGAAGAAATTCTCTAGCGTGCGGTTCGTGGGCGGGTAGTTATCCTGTTCAATCCTGTACTCGGCCTTGCTCAACGCGTCGCGGTCGATGGTGACTGCTGTTTGGGTGCTGATCTCAGTGGTGGTGGTTCGTTCGGAGATTTCTTCGTCTCTCTTGGTTTTGATTTCCCAGAAGTGGCCTCGGGACTTGGTTTCTGACGCCAATTTCAATTGCTCGCCTTCGTAGCTATCCCATTCGTCTTTCAAGGGGAAGGCGTTCTTTCCCTTGAAAACCTGTCCGTAGTCGTGGATGCAAGGAACGGTACAACGACCCAGGCGATCCCAGTTGAATTCCGTCCAGATGGGATCAAAAGCAGCTGTTTCCAACATGTGGAATTCTCGATTTCGGCGGTCCTTCACGGACATCACGCCAATAACTCTGGGGTGGAAATTGAGACCCATTCGAACACCACCTCGAAGCAAGTATGAAGAAAGCGAAGAGTTGGCCGTCAGAGACATAATGGCAGTGTTATAATCTCCCGGACTTGGATGACCTCCCCATCGCTCTGCAAATGAATGCTCGTCTCCGATTAACAAGGGTCGCATGTCTCGAAGCATAACAACGTCCATGTCAAAATATGCACCTCCGGAGAGGTGGAGAACCACGAATCGCACGGCATCCGATACGGCGACGGGGAGAAACGTCATTTGTTTCTCGGTCAGGACCAACCATTCCTGGTCATTCGCATCTCGAATCAATCCATCTGCGACTAGTGTTTCATTTTTCGAGTTTCGTTTCCCCGGTGTCTTGTAGTACCCCACTCCATCTGTATTGTCTCCTTTCGGGAGAGGGATTCTCGAAGGAAATTTCCAAGTCTTCAGAACGATGTCGCCGCGTTCGACGAAAGGTAGGAATTTCTCGAAGAGAGGATCGTGATTCAGCATCTTGTCCACCGCTTTCGGGTCCCGATCACCATCTAGCCAGAGCCATAATCGTACGCAAGGGATGTTTTGTGTGTAGAAGTGACTCTTGATGAACAATTCGACTCGCCAAGTTGCCGGTCCCGTCCAGTAGACATGATAAGGCACAATCGGGCCATTGCATTGTCCAATTGAGTCTTTCGAGGCCGATTTGTAGGATGGGTACTCGTCAAGTGAATTGTCTGCTCCATCTGAGTTGAGATACTCTGCGCGCCTTGGGGGTTGTTCGCTGGCTCGTTCCCCTCGTGCGGGAGTGTAGAAATATTCCTTCTCGCCCTCTTCCATGTATTTCAGACAATCGTATACATATGGCATCTTCTCAATGTTCTCATACGAACCTCTGCATTCTTCCACCAACTTCGTCAGGTTCGCAACCGTATCGACATTGGGCCTCTTCCCTAGATAGTCATCTCGGGGCACCACCAGACTTTCTGGTCTGTTGAACCAATTGGCCGCTGGATTGATCTTCTCAACTTTTAATTTTGACGAGGGTAACCTGAGACCCGGTTGTCCCACACTGTCTGAAGAGGGGGACCCAGGCCGCAGTGTCGGGGGGTTTTGAATGAGGTCTTTTGGTGAAGGCAGCGACCCCCTTTGAATTACCAGGACTCCCAGATATAAAAGACCATAGAGACCTGCCGCGGCAAACACACTCTGCAACACGCTGCAAAAGCTCTTTGCGCAACTCTTCTTCGCCATGGTGGGTTGTGGTGGTATCGAGGCTGAGGAGAAACCCCTTATGGTATGCGGGTCGCAACAGGATCGGTGGTGGTGGTGGTGGTAGTGTTATCGGTGTGCAGGCGCCATCCAAACAATGCGTATGGTATTATATTCGACGGGGAGGTATCGAGAGGGCGGCTCAAGTGTTTTTGTTCTTTTTTTGTTGCTGGTAAGGATTGTGTACCTTGCCTGTGTTCTCGCGTTAGTTTGATCGGCGGGTACACGTAAATTTCCCTCCACAGCCTCGATGCGTAGGGCATACACTTACGGCAAAAAGAGCTCACACCAATTAAGGTAGGCTGCTCTATGAATTAAAGGCTGCGATCATAAGAGAAAAGAAAATGGCGAACGTCAAGTAGGGGTGATAGAGGGGGAAGAGAGGAGGAGAGAGAGAGAGAGAGAGAGGAGGGAAGAAGTTGGAATGGGAAGAAGAGTGGTGGATTAGTAGGAAAGGAGGATCCGAGTTGGTTTGGGACAGGGACCCTCGATTAAAATGAATCGGCGACGGGCTGGCCCAGCCAAATTTACCAGGGAGCGCACACCATTCGTCCGCAGGCGGGAGGGAGCTGAACGAAACTGCAGTGGAGGACGGGGACGGGGACCGGGTCCAGAAATGAGAGATCTGCTTGTGCTTGTTGAACGCAAAATGAATGAACTTGGTCTGGTCGGATGGAGTATTGTACAATACGAGGATACGATACGGCGGGGGACATGCGATAGTCTTCTGGGTGTTGGCCGATGCGATGTTTCGCTCTCTTTCACAATCAGAGTAACAATAATATAAATCCCCAACATTCACACCTTGTTCATGTCTGGCAGGCGTTGCGACATCAGGCTGCTGCTACTGTACTGTACTGTACTATACTACTTTCCCGGTGGATTGTTTGCGATGATGGAGGCACAGCCCAGCCCAGCCCAGCCCAGCCCTAGTCAGCCCAGCACCGCGCAGCACGTACCGCAGTCAGTCAGTCAGTCAGTCAGTCAGTCTCAGTCTCAGTCTCAGTCTCAGTCTCACGAGCCGAAGATTATTCTTATGAGAGGCTTGGACGTCTTGGGCAAGCTGTGCGTACGGTACCATACTATATCTGCATGTTCCCTCCTGCTTCTAGATGACATTGCCCTCTCCTGACTGGTGTATTCTCCATCTGCATTACTCTCATCACCAATGAGGCACAGCCAGGAGAAACGGCAACGTACGTTGTGTCGATGTGGATTTATGTGGGTGTGGCCGTGGCCGTGGAGGGGTCAAGTGCTTCAACTTTCCCTCTAATACTTTACAGGGCTGTACAGTACCACGAGAGAAGCCTACAGTAGAAGCCCCAGAAAGGAAGGGAAGGGAAGGGAAGGGAAGGCCAGAGGAAAGGAGCTCGCGATACAGTACTGGATCTCCCTCCAAATCTTGGCATCGGCTGCATCTTGACTGCACTGCACTGCACTACACCCTGCTAACGGCGCTGGGGAAGCTGCATCGCTGCATCGCTGCATCGCTGCATCGCTCGTCCAATCTTGAAGCCATCCCGAGCTCCATCTCACCGAGAAGGGGAAAGCGTAGGGGACAGGACGATGGGAAAAATGGGAAATGTTTAAAATGGTGTTTGCACAGCCCCCCTGCGAGCTGCATTTCGCATCTCCTGTCAAAGTCAGCAGCCGTCGTCGTAACCCGCCTCGGATTCGCTGTATCGTACGCTATCCCCCCTTTTTCTTTTTTTCTCCCTTCTGGCGGGCTGCTGGAAATATACTTTACCTCACCCACTCTCCATTACCTCATGCCACCTCATACGCCTGCCTGCTCGCTTTACGCTGCACTACAGTACATACATGCCAAGCAGGCACCAAACATCAAATGTACCGACTGATCGGGGAATAGTAAGCACGCACGCTTTCTGCATCCGTGGGGCTGCATGAACGCAGAATTCCCCCAACTGGGACAAAAGACAACTGAGGAACGGATATCACTCTCCACTACTCACTCACTATCTCACTATCTTCAACAATCAGCCCGTTCGCCGCGTCCGCGTGGCCCCAGCTGTCAAAAAGCCCAGCCGAAACCGAAAACGCCAATCAATTCCAACGCCCCGTTTCATTCCCGGCCTTCTTCATTGGCGCGAAGCGAGGACCCTGCGAACGCCACGAATAGACTCGGGACCGGGGAAGGGAAGGACGGCCGTTTTGCAGCGCGTCGATTGCTTCTTTGGTCGGGCGGGAGAGCGAGATATCCAACCATGAGAGAGAGAGGTTACGGAATACGGCGACAGTGAGATGAGATGAGATGAGATGAGATGAGATGAGATGAGAATGTGAATGTTTAAGTGTGACTCGAAGCGATATCTTGAATCATGTTGTTGCGACCGCGGTGGGGATGTTGGAGCTTGCATAAAGTTACGTCGTTGTGCATAAGGCGATCAAGAGGGTTTTCGACACGTGAGAGGTGGGTGGAGAGGGATGTTGAGAGGTATCATGTTGCTTGTGGTTCTTCTGGGTCTATTACTGTAGAGTAGGTTTGATTTCTCTCTTTTTTGCTGGCTAGAAGAATAAGCTCGAAGTCGACTTGAGGCTTAAACCCACGTGATTCCCCTTTCCAAAGGCAAGCAGATGGTGAACACAACAGAGAGAACATCCAAGATCATCTAATAGCTTCTTCTCCTTCTCTTCAAATTACTCTACTATCTGCTTCTGATTCTCCTCAATCCCAAATCCCAAGAACCAAGCTAACAACCCCCAGTCTCCACAACCCACAAGTCCTCACCAATCCCACCACCCCTCTAATCCTCTACCTCCCACCCACAGGCACCCACCTCCGCTCCACCCACCGCTCCATACCCTCCTCCCTCCTCTCCTCCTTTCCGCTCTTACAAATAAACTACCGCTGGAACACCACCCCATCAGTTACCAAATACCTCGCCTCCCACCCCTCCTTCAAAAACCACGCATTCCCCACACCTCTCCACGACATCCACCACGCATACACCCACCTCACGACCACTATCCTGCCAAGATACACCTCATCTCCTCCTACCTCACCACTTCACAACTCCTACCGCTACTCACCGCCAGCGTTCCCACGCCTCAAGACCCCGCAACGGCCGTTGATAATCTACGGCTCCTTCCTCGGCGGCGCCCTAGCTACTTCGTTCGCTTTAACGGAGTCGCGAACCTCTCTCATTCCTCCCGTGCGGATTGCAGGCCTTGTTGTTAGGGACGGGGTTTTTGATTTCTCGCAGCTGGCTTTGTTGGAGGGTCCTTCTTCATCACCTGGTAGTTGTGGGAATCGAGGAGGGTGTTGGGATGGTGGAAACTGGGATTCACACCAGCTCCATAGAATGAAGAAAATCCTATTCGATAAGCCGGCGTCGACGTTCGATTCCTTCGCCTCGCCCATATTCTTCTTACGGACTCCAGGAGTGGAGATCCCTAAGTTTTGGCCGGGAGAAGATGATTCTTCTTCTTCTTCTGCCTTCAGTCAAGAGGAAGATATCTGGGTCGATGGGGACGGAGAATCTCTCTACGTTCCTTCTCCAGCTTCTCCAGCTTATTCTACTTCAACAGGAACCCAAACAGGAGACCAAATAGTAGACGGAGAGAACATCAATGGAGATGAAAAACCCAGCAATGGCAAAACCATCACAACACTAGAGACGCAGAAGCCGCCCGCAAAAGCACTCCTCAAATTCCCGCCCTCTTACACGGATCTCATTCTTCCTAGGTCGTTGTTTCTTTATACCTCTCCAACCTCATCTCCATCTCCCACCTCAACCTCAGCATCAAAACTCGCCTCCCTCACAGCACGCCGCAAACCAAAACCCACCTCCAACAACCAGACACCCACGGACCACAATCCCAATCTCAAAGCAGAACTCGGCCTAGGCCCCCTCCATCCAAAAGCCCAAACAACACAAATAACCACACTCCTGCGCCGGAGTATCGTGGTTCATGAATCGAAGACTTGGAGCGGCAGGGATGGGGATGGGGATGGAGATAGGGATCCGGGGGAAGTTGCCGAGGAACGGATCCAAGTTCTCGAGCTAGGCGGCGCCGATTCAGAGGCGCAGAAGAAGTCAGGAGAGGATGAAGCTGTAGGACGATGGATCGCTGATATATATCCTTGAGCATGCGGCGTAGATACCTAGGTTAAGTAGAGCCACGCGATTCCGGACTGAGGACACGAGGACACGAGGAAGGAATCATGCAACATCTCAGCTCAGCTCAGACTTGGCCAGTTAGCGAAAATGTAGGACGGAGTGTACAGTACACCCACCCACCACGCATCAATCATCATCATCAATCAAAACTAGGCTTGCAACGAGATGTAAAATAATAGATTGTCCCATCATAAAAACAGAAATCGTGAGACATGTTCTATGCGATCTTAAAAAATAAAAATAAAAATAAAAACACACCAGATAGAGAGAGCCCTCGTTAAAGTACAATACCAACCACCACCCTAACACCCACCAACTATTTTAAAATGAGGGAACCGATGCAAGTCCGGTCCGATTGATGAAAAATTGAAGAAAGACGCGTCAATTAAAGCCTACCTAAAACAGGGCAGGCACCCAGCTTACTTACTCACCCAGCACTGGATCTCCTTTCCGCTCCAAGCTAGACAGCAAGGAAGGAAGGAAGGAAGGAAGGAAGGAAGGGACGAAGGCAAGAAGTTTGGGTGTTTGCGGTGGGTCATTTTCTTCGGTACTGTGTCGATGTTTGGTTCGAGATGGAGTGGAGTGTATGTATGATGGAAGAGAAGAGGAGGATTGTGATTCCCGAAGAGAAGATGGGTAGTGGTGTGCTATCCGTCCGGGCTGTGGTTGCACGAGGAGATGAAAGAGAACGAGAGTACTGGAAGATGATACCCAGACCATCATCTTCGCCATTCACGATGAAAGGAAGCCAGGAAGTGGGATCAGAGAAGAGAGTTGTTTCATTCATAGCAAGTATTGTGAAGCAAGTAACGTAAAGCAAAGTAACTAAGCATACAGCCAAGTATAGGATCGATCATCGATCAAGGTATCATCCGAAACGCCACCAGGATGAACCAAATAACAAACTCCACGAAAGGAAACCATTTGATAAAGCTCTCCCGGAAGACAAGACCAGCTAATGATCAAAGAGCTATGATATCCATCCTGCAACCATCCAAGCCATCAAGTATTCATCGAAAGACAAGATCAGCCAAATGATGAAAACTGATATCCATCCACGATCCAATCCCGAGATTCTCAACGTCTTGGAATCCTGACCGTCTTAGGACCTTCATACCATCCCGAACCCATGTTCTCTCTAACTCTGTAACCAAGTCTGTCGAAGACCAAGGTGTTGTTGTCTTGACCAGCGAACCACTTCAAATCATCAATGCCATAGAAACGAGCATCAACTCCGTCGATGAGGCAATAGTCGATCTTTGGGACACCACGATCCAGGACCTTTGGTGCCGTTGCCCAGCGAAGCTCCCATTGGCTCTTCATCTCGTGTCGCCAGAGGGACATATACTTCATGTTCTGTGCGTACTTGGCGTCATCGGGAGAGTCACCGAGAAGCAGATCTACCTTGCGAAGATGCGACATCTTAGCGAGCTGGCGGAAGAAGTTTTGGTAGTCACCGTAAGCATGCTTGCAAGGAAGAGCTAGAAGCTTGATGCGAAGAAGATCTCTGCGTGACATCATTCCAAAAGCTGGGCGGAGCTGATGATGGCCATCAAGATTGATGAATACACGATCCTTGGCGAAGTTGACATATGTGCGAGCAGGAGCATATAGAGTGCCAAAGGCAAGTTCGTAGTAACCATTGCCGAGAAGGTATGAGCGTGCTTCGCTGCTGACATGAAGCATTGCTGGAGGGGCTCCCATTGATTTGAAGCCGTCGCCCGGTTGATAGATGTTATCTAGGGTGAGGGATTCCTTGCATTTGATTGTGACATTGTTGACCGTGCCAACCGCGATGTAGCCATAAATCTTGTTGCGTAACTCTCCAGGAAGATGTGGGAAGTAGTGGAAAACTCCATGGTCACCCTTGTTGAAGACATCTTCCTTGCCCTTGCTTGCAAGACCATATTGATGAAGCAAGCCGGCCGTGACTTGGTTGGCGAGGATATAAGGAGCGAAAAACTTGGCCTTGGTAGTAGCCTTCAGCTTGCCTGCCCACCATTTACCATCTGCAAACACATCCCAGGTCTTGATCGGAGTGATCTCTAAGTATGACACCTTTGAGGAAGCCACTGAGGCGGTCGAGATGTTTGATGCCTTCGAAACAGTGGTGGATGCAAGGCTGGAAACTGAAGAAGCCGGACTCGAGATGCTTGAAGTGGTGGACGTCTCTGTAACTGTGGTGGAAACCGAAGAAGCTGCGGAAGCTGATCGGGCATGCTGAGATGGCATCGGGTTGGCTGCATCGTTAGGCTTCATGGTAGAGTTCGGTGGATTATCGACTGATCGGAGACCCTTGGAGGCTGCTTGAGCGAAGGAGATGTGCTTCTTGACAGCGGCATTGGCGATAACTGGCTGAGGCTTTTGTTGGCCACCAGAGACAACGGAGGCGCCATGCTTGAGGATGTGATTGAATTGGCATTCTTCGCCGTTCTTGCATGTGCCTGATCGAGTGAATTGATGGCAGACTCCTCTCTTCTTCTTGTTGGTGACAGCAAGACCATCACTCTGAGCAGAGGTGGGCTTCTTGACATCGAGTGCAAGAGTGTTGGAGGTAGATGCGGTAGAGGGGGATGGCTGGTTCAAGGTGACTGGCTTCTCAACGTGCTTGTCGCGGCATTGAGCACCGAATTTGCAATGACCTGTCTTCCGGAATCGAGGACAGTTCTTTTGATGCTTGGTGGTAGCTGTAACACCATTGTTCTCCTTTGCTGCGGGCTCGTTGATGATGGATGGGCTAGCCATGCTGGTCGAAGCGAGCTTTTGCGTGGCAACGTTGGGGACAACCGGTGCGACAGAGGATGTTTGTGAAGTAGACGATTGCTGGGAGAGTGTTTGAATAGAAGATTCTTGCTTCTTGACGTGCTCGAACCTGCAGTGGGTGCCAAACTTGCAGGAACCTGTCTCTCGAAACTGAATGCAGACTTTGCCTTGCTTGAACATCTTCTGCTTGCTGACGACCGCAAGGTTAACGCTTTGGTTGGGGATTGTCATATTGACAGTGATGAGGGGATTTTGTGTAGGGGTAAGGTGTGAAGAAGTCTTTGAGTTGTTTGTGGATGAAGGAAAATTTGGAAGAAAGAAGTTGTGGTGGAAGGAAGGAAGGAAGGAAGGAGGGAGAGGCTGATATGGTGAAAAATTTCGTGGGTCGCTTAGTCGTCACAATAGTAAATCTGAACAATGTTAAGCACAGCCTGATGTGACAATAGCAAGAAATTACGCTAAAAGAGCACCCGCTACAGAATTTTATTCTTGACTAGTGCCGTTATGACATCAGTGGTCCTAGAGTCAGCATTTTGCTGCACCATGCCAAAGTTGAACATGTCGCATTTTGGAACATATTTTTGCAAATAGTTTGAGGAGATAAGCACGATCATGGGGCAAGTTTACTTGAAGTTGAATGCCTTCAGCCTTGCCACCTCAATCTCGAAATGACCAACAATGCAATCACGCTAGGACATAAAAACAAGGAGACATACAGAGTGCAGCCAGAGTGCAGCCAGCTTCCAGATCACAAGTACATCGTCGCAAATCAAACAAGTTGCTTTACACAGGGCAATGTAGCATCGACGGGCAAGATTGAAATTGGTTGGAACCAAGTCCTGCTCCACACTCGCAACATAAGAACATGCTTCAGCATCACCTCACAGCCAGGCAATATATGCCGGATTCGACATTTTCGAGATTATTCTAATGGACGTCTGTCAACTACAATAGTACAAATCGCCCTTAGAATTCGTTCTCGTCGCCTGCTATGATGACATTATTAACCTTCAACACCATACGACATAATTGAGTAGCCAGCATCAACTGCTGTCTCTTCCCAATTAGAGGATCAATGACGAAAGCATCCCTCATATCATTGCTGCCAGTCTGCATGCAATCAACACCTAATCTCGAGTTCTTCTCCGTAACTTGTCTACTCTTGATACTAGCAAGAGTCTCAATTGGCGACAGACCGGAGTTCTCTGCAAGTGCCATGGGTACGGCGTCAAGCGCATCAGCGAAGGCTCGCATAGCATATTGCTCCAAGCCTGGAGACTTGACGGCTGCATCCTCGACAGCCAGGGAGCATGCAATTTCAGCAGCTCCGCCACCATAAACAACACGATTATCTCTAACCAGGTTTCGAACAACGCAAAGGGCATCGTGGAGGGATCTCTTGGCCTCATCGATGATCTAGCAAAGTTAGCTTCTGTATAGCACACAGTATGAACGTTAGCTTACCATCTTGTTGCTACCTCTCACAAAGATGGTGACTGCTCTGGTATTTGCGCACTCTTCGATCACCAGCATCTTCTCTCTTGTCGTTCCGAAGCTCATCTCTCGCACAACTCCGGCCTTTCCAAGCTTTGCAGCTGACAAGTCCTCGAACCTTGGCACTATTCTTCCGTTGGTGGCAATAGCGATCAGCTCAATTTCAGGACCTCCAACCCATCTCACAGCAGGTAACTTGTTCTGTAGTAACAAGTGGTTTGCCTCATCATCGAATCCCCACTGACAAATGACAAGATTCGCACCAGTATCCTTGATTTGTTGTATCATCTCAGCGAACTTGTCCTTTTCGTAGTTCTGTAACTTCTTGAACTCCTCCACGGTTGTGATATCCAACTTATGCTTCGTCTTTGGCTTCGGTGGCTCGAACGCACATGTGAGAATTGCAATCTTGGCATCGCGAACTTCGGAGGGCATTTGGGGGTGGGAGAAATCTTTGTCGACGATGACACCTTGTACCAGTAGAGAATCCTCGAGTGACCCACCAACCTTGCCATCAACCTTGATCAAGTCGAAGTCGACATCTTTGCGCTCAAGATCGGCCACAGATAGAATAGCATCAACAGCAATGTTGGCAAATTGATCATGAGCCTTCGAGACGATCTTGCTTCCTAAACTCGTTCTCGCAACTTTGACTAAATTTGTTCTTTGTGTCTTGGTGAACTCGATAGTATCGGCGATCTTGTCCAACTCCGCAACAGCAATATCACAAGCCTGATCGTAACCATCTGCTATTCTGATGGGGTGAATTCCCTTGTCGATAAGTTCTGCTGCCTGCTCTAATAAAGCTCCTGCAAGAACCACGACACCAGTTGTTCCATCACCAATCTCGTCATCCTGCGATTTCGAGAGCTCAACCAGAAGCTTTGCAACATGGTTGGAAATCTCCATCTGTCCCAGAATCGTAGCCCCATCGTTCGTTACAGTGATATCGCCATCGGGAGAAATGAGGATTTTATCGAGGCCTCGGGGGCCTAAAGAGGTCTTGACGATATTGGCTACTGTTCTTGCGGCGATGATATGTGACTTGACTGCATCAGTACCATGTTGTCTCTTTTTCTTGCCTTGACTAAGGAAATTATTAGAAGATATTTGTCAAGTAGGATCAGATGTTCGTACTCTCGGACAACGATGAATGGTCTGCCTTGCTCGTCCTTGATGACAGAGGCTATAAAGCGTTGTTAGCATTTGCAGATGGTGATAGGGAAAGGATCCTCTGTATACCTTGTGACATATCAATATCTGAAGAGCGGCAAGTCAGCAAGAGCTCGTTGACGGCTGCAAGATTCGAGGTGGAACGTACTCATGGCCATATTTGCAGCAGGCACAGCCTATGAAGACTGTAAAGACTATCGGGAGAGATCTAGTAGGTATCAAAACAAACTTGAAAGAAGTTCTGCAGCTTGTCACAGCTTCTTGGTCGAAGAACGCGTTTCAATGTTGCAAGTCGCGTTGAGCAAGCTCTGAAAGTTTTAATGAGTACCGTAGAAATTAGGCATCAACGCAGCACACTAGCGCGAGAGGCACGTGATGCCTCTTCCTTGCTTTTGAGGACTTCAACTCTCTTAGACCCCAGGAGTACCAGCACACATTAGCTGCATAGCCAAGTCGGCAAACCTTCCATAGGAATACTGTGTCTTCAAGACCGAGTTCTTGACTCGAGCCGTTTGACACAATCTTATCCCCGTCAGGACATCTCTAGCTCGAATGTGGGGTGTGGGGTAAGGAGATCTTCGCTCCTCAAGTGAGGAGATGGTCACCGTTAATGCCGTCTGGCAGTAGTTCGCCATCTAGTATATCAAGCCTTTGCCCTGTAGATCATGATGACCCATTCTCAGTATCTTTTTTTCCGAGTTCATTTTTATTTCAACGATTATCAAGATCATGGGATTTTTACCAGAACTTCGAGGGAGATCCCTCTATGCACTGATGAAGTTCATCTGCGGATGTTCATTCATGATGTATGGTGTAAGTCTAGCCCTAATCCCTCACTCTTCCTGTCTAACCAAGTCCAGTATGACGCGGGTGTCCTAGGAGGGGTTTTACTTCACAAGCCGTTCTTGGATGCCATTGGAAACCCAACAGGCGTTTACATCATTCCTATGATATCATCTTCATATAGTCTTGCAGCATGTGTAACTTCCTTCTTCGTTGCATTCGTTGCCTTCAAGATAGGCAGAAGAGGGACTATTATACTCGGCTGTGTGGTTGCTGTCATTGGAAGTGTTATCCAAAGCAGTTCTTACAGCGTTGCACAACTCATTGTTGGAAGGATATGTACTGTAAGTCTCACGTATACGTATTTGGAGATTTGACGAGATACTGATTATTAGGGGTTCGCAATCGGTTGCATCTCAAGCGCTGTTCCTACGTATCTGGCGGAGACCGGCATAGAGATTGGAGACCGAGGGCCTGCCAACGCTCTTAACGCTATCATGCTGATATCTGGAGGTACGTCTGCTTCTTGATAGCAAACACCAAAAGACTAACATCTATATCTAGTTCCAATTGCGTGGGTCCAGCTCGATCTCCTTGTTTAATTCCTAGCTGATTCAGTCACAAGATATTGGATTGACTATGGCTTTACCAAGATGAACAATCAAGGTGTGAGCATGGGTTAAAAATGCCTTTCTTCTAGCTAACACTGGCACAGCGTCTTGGCGAATACCAATCGTGTTCCAATGCATCTTCGCAATTATCTCCGGTGTCTGCATGTTCTTCCTTCCAGACACACCTCGCTGGTACTATGCCCGCAACCGTCTCGAAGAAGGCGACGCTGTCCTCGCCCGCTTGAACGACCTCCCCGTATCATCGCCTGAAGTCCAACAAACAAGACAAGAAATCATGCTCGCCATTGAGGCAGAGCTAGAAGCCACTGCAAGCCTACACTGGAAGCAATTCCTGACCATGGGGATTACCGATCGTACGCCAATGAAGATCGTTCGGAGGCTTTGCATATGTTTCTGGCTGCCCATGATTAGGGAGTGGATGGGCAGTAGTTTGATGGCATACTATAGTACGTAGACTTTTCCTCCGCCCGGGTCTTTCACGGCATTAACACCACTCAGGCTCTGTCATTCTCTCAAGCATCGGCGCTCGCCCATCACTTGTCTCCCTCCTTTCCGGAATCCTCAACATCTTTTTTGCGCTTGGCTGCGTCCCCCTCTACTTTACAATCGAGCGCGTCGGACGCCGTTCCGTGCTCCTCTACGGTGCCATGACTATGACGATCCTAATAACCGTCTTCACGGTCCTCGTCGCTGTTCCTCCCTCGCCCTCAATACAATGGGCGTCCATCGGCGTAATCTTCATATTTCTCTTCGTGTTCGGATACGCATGGCAAGGTTGCGTGTGGCTATACTGCAGTGAAATCGCACCGTTGGAGTATAGGCATATAGGCGGAGCTGCAACAGCGACGGGAGAATGGCTCATGACGTTTCTCACTGTGTTTGCGGGGCCGATTGGGCTTGCTGATGTGGGGTGGAAGTTTTGGATTTGGGTTGTGAGTGGCAATATTGTTGCTGTGGTGTTTGTGTAAGTCCTTCACCGTCTTGTTGAATTCAGCGCTGATGGTCATAGGTTCTTCCTCTGCCCTGAGACTGGAGGCAAGACGCTGGAGCAGGTTGATTTCTTGTTCACGAATCAGAAACTTGCTTTCAAGAGCTTGGATGTTGGAGATGTGGAAGAGCATGGACATGGCCGTGGGGAAGGGGAGAAGGATGAAAATGTGGAAGTTGAACATATCAATTGAGAGTCACTGGAAGCCGCACCAACTCTAAGAGCTTTGAAAGTCGGGACGTGGAAGACCTGACATTTCAATTGTCAAGTATAAAGACCAAAACAGACTTTCTGATCAGTATAATCATTCTTGGATGTTCAGACATGATTTATTTTCTCCCAATTGTTACAACACTTATTCTTGTTGTCAACAACTATCTTATTGTCAATAACTATCATATTATCAATAATTGTCTTACTGTCAACACTTAATTTACTGTTAACCGCTCACCACCCTGCTTATCACCTCCACCACAACAAACACTTCTCATCACCTTCCCAAACACTACAAGCAACGCTCCTGTTGAACCGGGCCGAGCCGGGCCGAGCTACTCTTTCGGCACGCCCATGGAACATAAGCTTCGATGCCAGTAGCTGAAGAAAGTTTTTGGTCTAACGCTTTTAGGTATATATAGCCGGGGAGAAGTTGAGACGGACAGGAAAAGGTAGACCGAATTGTAATTCACTTTTCATGGAGGGTGAATCTGGGGAAATTGGTAGAGATGGGTAGCAATTTGAAGGTGAATCGTTACGTTTTGCTTTGGACGAACTGTGAATTGGAAAGGTGAATAGAGCTTGTGTTGAGTGTAGACGATATATTGTAAGGATACTTGATACTGTGGATGTGAGTGTTTAAAGCCTGGAATTGTGTGGCTTGAAGATGAGTATTTCTAGGTACTGAGTTGCTAGTAAACATTTTTGATGTTCTAAGAAATGGGAATGTGTGTCGAATGCAAAAGATACACGTGATAATGCTTGATAGTGCGGATTTGAGTGTTTCAAGTCTGTAATTGTGCGGCTACACAATGTGTACCTCAAGCTGATAAGTTGTCATTATATGTTTTGAATAGTCCCGGAAGTGAGAATGTTTGAACTAGAGTGAATCAATCTGAATACTAAAATAGTCAATAAGAAATATAATTACTCTAAGTATCGAAATGTTAGGGCAAAATATCTGGCCGGGCAAAAGTTATCTGAAAGAGCAAAGTGTTTGAACTTGAGCACGTACTTGATGAAGTGAAGAGTGATCAGTAAAGGCAGAGAGATCGAGGGCAGCACAGACTTTGGTAAAGCCAGAAGTATTGATCAGAGGAGAGTACTTGACAAAGGAAAGATAATCGAGTCGATAAATCAATAGAGTTTTGTCATATGAAGTCTATCTTTGTACATTCTATCTTCCTCTCGCATATTATATTTGTGTACTCCTACCCTTCATATCATAGCTAAGCCTCTTAAGTCGAGCCGGAGTTATCGGCACAAGAGAAGGCACTCCCTATCATCATAATTAGCTTGACCGCCTCCATCAGTCATTGGAGTAAGGAAGACTCACCAATCTCCTTATCAGCATAAGCATTAATAATCAACTGCACAGTCCCGTAAGTTCCTCCCACACATAGGAAAAGTCCCAGCAGGGGCAAGAAGCAATGAGCGTAATAGATCAACTTCTGTCCCAAATGTCCCTTCCTGTAAGAGCCATGATCGTAAAGCCACAAGAAGCCTGGCAAGGCAATTGCTAGTGGAGCAAAGCAGATCGATCCGGTCAGCGCGAGTAGGTAGTTGAAGATCGGAATAGCTTCCGCGAGGATGAACGAGATGGATGCAAGGCCGCATGTGCAAGAGAGCCAAGTGATCCAGTGAACAGCAGTGTTTTTTTGTAGGTGGGGAGAATTGCGGAGGATACGGACGAAGAGGTACTTGGCTGCGACGTGGAGATATAGGCATGCTGAGACAATCAGGCCGATGAGACCAATTCCGTACGAGACTTTCTTGATCGTTGGACCGGCAGAGCCAAGAGAGGGAGAAGCCACCCATTGGCCACACCATTTGTACACAATAAGAGAGAACGACAAGTAGGCAGCATTGACGATGGCCATGCATACAAATAGAGCCTTGTTATAATCCCTTGGGTTTCGCATCTCTGAGATGACAGGCAAGAAGGCGGAGGTTCCAGCTGAGGACACGAAGATGGTCGCCGATGCTGTGATGCCAGCGATGAACGTTGGATGGGCGATGACATAGTATCCAAGCTCGTAGTCGCCCGTCTGAGGAGCAGCTGCTGGACGGTCCAAGGTTGTGACTGCAACGACGACAATGAATACTGCTATGAAGATGCTGGTAAATCCAGCCCATGTGAGCCATCCGATTTGATGAAACTTTCGAACGGACGCTGTAGCTGCTATCACGACAGTGGCGATGAGTGACCACCAAACCGTGCAAGCGGCATGAGTTGAAAGTGCATTGAGACCAATGGAAACTCCAAGAATGCCTGAACCCGCGCAAAGAATGTAAGCGATGAGAAAGAGAGCTCCAACCAATTCTCGAAGGACGGTACCACCAAGCACGGCGGCCATGTCAGCAATGGAATGGCATCCTGGATGGGCATTTCGAAAGTTCCCTTGAACCATCGCAGTGTAGGTGTTCAGAGCACCCCAACCAATGACAGAAAGAGCACCACCAACAGCTCCCAATGAGTACATAGCTGTGGGAATGCTCAGAACACCGGTAGCAAAAATGACTAGAGATTTGTCAGCTGTGTGTATCACATTGCTCGGCCACCGAAGTCGTACCCTTCAGGAAGATGACAGAAGCTCGTGGCCATCCAACAGTTCGGAAATCCACTCCATCGTGTGTCTTTTTGAAAACCTCATTTTCTTCCAATGGATCCTCGACATCTGGGTAGTAGGGCTCTACAACACCTCTCCCACTCTCGGGATGAGCTTTCTCATCATCCGAGCTGGTGTTCTTGATGGACGCTGCTCTGAGAGACATGATGTTCAAGGATTGACGTCGATGTTAGAGATGAATACCAAAGAACATGCAGCAGAGCAAGAAGAGCAGACGACCAGAGATATAAAAATGAATAGTCAGGAGAGAAACATTCAGAGATACGAACAAGGGCTAGGAACGAACTCCGGGCTCTCGCCCAGATAAGGTCTTTAAACACTCATAGAACTGACTTTCCAAAAAGTAACAAAATAGATGATGTAAGAGATAAGGTTTGCTTCGGCAGGTAAGACGGGGTAGAGTATTCTGGCCAACATTGTCAAGGTTCCTGAGTGGTCCCCTCAATTCGACTGATGCTACGAACTCATCATGGTCGCATTCTTATCAAAAGTTGCAAGGGGAACCTCTGTTATCAGGCGCGTCGAAGCTCCAAAGGCATGGCAATTGCCCGTCTAGCGGAGATCCGATGGCCATGGTGCAAGAGTAGCAATGATTGACCTCAAAAGTGGGGAGGTCGAATCCCAACTGAACTCATGCACCTCGCACGATTCAGGAAACGGCATGCAATGGAGGATGTTCCACGTTCTTGGGAAAGTTTTCTTCCCGACCGGATGGAGTCTATTTGATCTAGAAGATCGATGTCTTGTGCATGGACAGATCAAGAATGTGGTTTCATGAAGTGTCGTGCAGCAAAAGTTTTGAATGCCCGTGCTTAGTCATCGAGTTGCCCGATCAATTTGACTATTCATGCACCACCAGCACCTTTCTGCTGTATGCATCCGAATATCAACTCTATCAGTTTTCGAACTCGGAAGTCTGGGGTTAAACTCAATATGCTGGGAGGCTCTCACGTTGCAGGTCGTGACGAAGTCGCACGAGATTCTTTCGCCGGGACAATCTGATTCTCTGAATCTCCAGTGGCGAAAAGATACACACACAACTGAAATCGATGCTCGGAGAACTGGCCCTTTCCTTTGGTTCTGAACCGTGAAGTCTTCCTCCTAGCTGATACCCATACAGAACTCATCCAGGAGGCTTCAAGAGAACAACATTCGGGCTCGAGTTGCATCAAACATATCTGCAACCATGCGAAGTCTGCGGTTGGTGCTTCCGCCGCAGCGACAAACGAAAGACGATCAAAGTAACTCGTTCACCCTCTGTCTATTGCAGAATGAGGAGGAATTCCCGTTGGTTTGGTAGTAAGCTGGACGCATGCCTTGGACCCGTGTCTCCAGTCAAGAGCGCCAGAATGTCAGCCGCAGCGGGAGCATCCGTTGTTTTTTACCTGCGTTGGGAACGGGGATTGCGATCAAGTGATCTGTTTCCCTTCCATCAAATGTATAAATGGCAGTTGAGAACTTCTGAGTGTCCTGCCCGGTGAATCTGTTCCCCACTTCATTAATTAACGTCAAATATTCTGCTCAAACACGCGCGCCAAGCCGGAAATATGGTCTGAACTCAACATCCAGAAAGCTTGGCTGGCTAGCAAGCCATATGAAACCCGGCATTTCTCATCGTCTTGCGCAAAAGTTCCCACCAGTATCCGCACCATAACTGCTAGCTGACCAGATGATTGAGGGCGAATGCGTTCTTTTGTCTCTTTCTTCTACCTATATGTTTCTCTCTTTTAGAATGTTGCGCAGCTGCATCACTTGAAATATTTTTTTCGAGGAGCGAATTGATTTTGCTTTGTGGAACAAGGATTCATTGCTGTTTTCAGGGCCAACATTCAAAATGATGCTCCCATGGCTTGACGACCCGGTGATGCTTCACTCTTCACGAGCAGACACTTGCAAACTTACCGCAGCACAATGTGAATACAGAAGCGGCTATTGGAGATACTGGTAAGACCAAATATTTTCCGGCATGCTCGCAACTAACTTGCTCCAGGTACCAAGCCGATCATGTCTACGGCCATGCAACAGTCTACTTTATGTGTGCGGTCATTGGCGTCTTTATGATTAGCAACATAATTTCCAAAGTCTCAAAACGTTCCGCTTCTGGAAATTCAATAGTGCAGCGAGGGTTGGCAGCAACAAGGTTACTTGCCTATAAAACTTTTCACGTTCGCGGGCTGGGATGGTATTCTCCTCCCCTGGGTGTTATTCTACTGGGACTTTGCGGAGTGATATACTTCTTCTGTGAGTGCCAATGCCGGAGAGATGAGGTACAAGTAACAAGTTCTGATTCTCACATCTAGCTCTGACATTGGGTCCCAAACCATACTACTGGCCAAACACAAAGACGCTCTCTTATGGAGGCTCGCCACCTATTGCGACCAGAAGTGGTTGGATGGCTCTCGGACTGTTGCCTTTTGTGATGTGAGTACATAAGACCAAAATTCAGCATCAAAAGCTCACCAAGACAAGGCTTTTGTCTCAGAAGACGAATTATATCACGCTTCTAACAGGAATCTCTCACGAAAAGCTACAGGTATACCATCGCTGGACTAGCTGGACTATGTTCGTACTGGCACTTGTACACACATTCCCCTTCATCGTCGTACACATCCAAAAAGGAGATATGGTCATGCAGTGGGACGTGGAAGTTACGTATTGGACTGGTGTAGCGGCCATCATTACTCAAGCATGGCTCAACATAATGTCCATTGGGCCCATTAGGTAGCTGATCTTATCATCTGTCTCAATAATTGACTAACATGGACAGAAACCGCTACTATGAATTCTTCAAAGCTACCCATTATCTTGCCATTGGCTTCTTTATTTTCTTTTTCTTCATCCACTGCGATTTCCGCCTCACATCCTGGGATTACTTTATCGCAGCCCTCTCGCTCTACGCCTTCACACTCATCGTCTCCTTCCTCCGCACCTCGATACAATCCCTCGACCTCCACGCCCTATTCCTCACCTTGCCTGATGGGACACTAAAGATCACGATTCCAACGAAAGTGTGCTGGGCGCCAGGCCAACATGTCTTCCTCCGCTTCTGGGCTCTGGGTTTACATGCCTATACCACACATCCATTTACGATTTGCAGTCTGCCCGATAGTGGTGAGATGGTGTTTTACATGAAGCCTCAAGGTGGCTTCACGGCTAGGTTGAAGAGCCTAGTACAGAGTCAAAAGGGTTGGATGCCCATGAGTGTCGATGGACCGTACGGAGACACAGATACAGCGTCTACGCTCGCTTCCCACGAGAAACCTCTAATAATTGCTGGAGGCTCAGGTGTGGGCTACTTACTTGGTGTTCTACGAGGTGTCCTGAAAGAGGCTGGAAGAGCGAAGGATATCAAAGCCATCATCGCAGTCCGGCACTCCTCCTCCGCGTCCTGGATCCTGGAGACCGTCGAATCGATACTCTCTGAAACAAAGTCCGGCGTCAGTGTCGAGCTTCACATCACAGATTCCGTGCCTGTTGAGCCATCTTCTTCATCTGACGACATTGAAAAAGTAGCAAGCAGGACGAGCTTACCGATCTCTTCATCTCATGCCGGGATCACGATCATACAAGGCCAAGGAAGACCGGATCTGAAGGAATTAATCAGGGGAGTGACGAGTGAGGGCAGTGGGAGCGTAGGCGTGGCGGCTTGTGGACCGAGTGGGATGATGAGCGATGTGGGGAATTCGTGCGCGGAAGCGCAGGGTAGGATATTGAGGGGTGGGAAGGGGCCGAGGAGTGTCTGGTTGCATACTGAGGCTTTCTCTTGGTAGTTGTAGGTGAGAATTATAGTGCTTTGAGATTGTTCATTCTCTGTTCTTGAGTGAGCGTCAAACTGGTGTATTGGGTGTGGTTCAAGTGGACGGCATCTTGTCTGTGTATCTTATTTTAATCGCAAAAGTCGACAACCATCATATATCTGACATCCTCTGGGTTTGGATTTAAAGAGACAGTTGACGCGCCTAAAAGGGGAAAAAAGAAAAGCTCTTGCACCTGCGCTGGTACGAGCCTAGTGTCTCCATAGACAAAACTAAAACGCCACGTTGTGTCGCTCAAACAATTGTGATATCCTGGAAAGCGAGATCATCAAAACCCATATCCAAATCAGCTTGAAAGAAGCCAATACGTCTGAATGTTTCGTCGTCAACTGGGAGAAGAACTAGACCGTAAGGCCCCTTCAAAGGCTCGACACCGTTCCAGAAGAAGCCTGTCGAGTCTCCGATTTGCAGAGCAAAAGCCGTAATCATTCTGCCCGAACCAAGCTGATCGTCTCGAGCATCAGGGAAGAATATTGCGTTCCCTGCAATGCCATTCACGTTCTGTACTTCAATATTACTGCTGCTGTAATCTAGTTGTATCCCTTCCTTCAGACGACCCCTCAGCTTCAATTCCCCAGAAGAGACTGCCCCGAATTCTTGAAGTGGAGATTTCAGGGTGATATCGTACGCTAATATCGTTGCATTAGTATTGTATGATGCAGTGTTTGTAGATTCATAGTAAAATATGGAGCCATCAACTGAGGCCCATGACCATGAGGGCGCTCGTGGAGAAAGGGGCCGGAACTCGGGCTGACCGTCCCATGGTCTCCACCAACAAAGAGCAAAGGGCATTTCATGCCTCCATAGACCAGCAACGTATGCCCTTGGGAGCGGCTGAATCTCCGAAGTTTGTTCCTGGAGGAGGGCTTGGTGGTGTTTCGACAGAGCGCCGCTTTGAACGCAATACGCCTGTGCTACCGCCGATATAGCAGTTAACTTGTCATCGGGACAGCTGAGCTTTCTCTCCGTGTAACGTGCAATAATATTTTCCCAGCTGTTGAGTATGGAGTTTTCCTGGCCGACTTTCTGTTCCTTAGACCATGCCGGTTGACTTCGCTCAATTGCCTCGCTTGTGCCTATCTTTTCTCGTGCTTTGCACTTCCAAACTATGTGAAAGGTGCAAAAGTGCAGCAAACGAGGTGAAAGTATTTGCTCTTGCATAGTCCACGCTCTTGAGTCTATTGCTCGAGTGTTTGGCCAATTGAAATCTTCACAGGACTCAGACAGCTTCAAAGTAACCAATCCCGATGCTCCTTTCGAAGAAAGATATGGTAGCTCTACCCACGAGAGTGATATTGCCTCATGGGTTTCTTTTCTTGTCTTCAGGAAGCCATCCTCGCTACTCTTCGCTGATGCTGCTGATATCGTAAGATATGCCATCGAATAAATTTGAGGCATCGCTGCAATCTCCCTAGCTTTATCCATCTCGTCGTCTTGAATGATACAAAGTCTGTCCACCCAGAGGTACCTGAGGCCTAGTTGTCGTGTGCACATGACCGCATCTTTCAGCGTTTTTGGGAGTAAGGAGAACTGGATTCCCTCAATCCAGTCTGTCAACATATCACTAGTCAACTTCATGGAATCATTATTGCCCCAACAATATGATAAAGCCAAATATCGCATATTATCTTTGGCAATGATTATGTGAACGTTGTCGTCCTCGGAAGTTCCAACATCAACCAATCGAGAAGGGCCAGGTCCACTCTCTAAAAGGCTGTGCGACTGGATAGTACATTCTGGATGGAGATCGCATTCTCGCAGAGACTCTTGAACGAATGTAAAGGTGGTTTCTGAGGCAACATACGGGTATCGTGGCTTTTGTTTGACCAATTCTGCTGCTGGATCCTCTGAACGAACCAGTTATTCTTATGATTGAAAGGTTATGATTTTTAAATACATTTCTTGTTATTACATACCTGGTTCAGAGCAAAGCTCGTATGTGAATTTGTCAATTGATCCAAAGCAAACTTGCCCATCTTTTGACTCATTGGCCCATTCCCATAGCCAAGATATGGCGCATGTGTAAGGTGGATCTTCATTTATAGCATCAAATATGCTAGGTTTGATCTCGAAATGCAGGAGAATCTTTCGATCAGGCTGGTTATCGGTGAACCATTGCACGTTAGGTGGAGGGTCTTCAAAGAAATCCTCTTCTAGATATCTCGCAATACGTTGGAAAAGAACACAGCTGCTCTCGCTAGCGTCTAAGACTTCTCTTAAGCTGAATTCGAAACTATTTATGAATGACTTGAATGGTGCGTCGTCCAAAATTGAAGCGGGAGGTGCAATAACGATTCTCTGGCAATGATGACATGACTGCCGCGAGCGAGAAAGGTCGTTGTAGGATATGTCCATTTATTTTATCAAAAATTTGTTCAGTCTTCGTGTGTTCCAGTTGACTCATTGAGGGAGTGCAGACTAGAAAGGAATTGAATAGAAGCCATTAGGTTGCCACGCTGTATGTGAGATGACTGCCTGCCGTGTGTGGGTAGCGCCTTGCAGAAAGCCTCACTTCAGCCCCTCGGCACCGCCAGCATCATTTTTCGCTTCACTCTCATTGCCAAACCAAAGGTAGCAAATCTCACTACAACCCGTTGTCTATCATCTTTACCACTGTTGCCTATCGAAATAATTCTTCTTTTCACTATAGTAAATAATGTGAACTTGTAAAGGCACTCTATCTCTACTTCCGTATCTCAAGGCTGCGGCTTAACCTTGCCGACGGTCCGCAACTCGCAACTCCAACCTCATCAACGATGGTATCACAGCAAACAAACACCGTCTCTTGGCAAAGCGCATTCCTCGGTCTCGTGCCCCTAGCACTAAACGCCATGACCCAACCCTCGACTCTCGACGCCAAGCTCCCAGAGTCCAGCATCCTTTTCGCGGCTCGGAGCTCACCATTCGTATGCGTCGCCGACGCTGTAGAAGTGTTGATTGAACTCTGCATCCATACGTACCAACGACGAAAGCTCCGCGAAGCTGCAAAACTGGTCAATTGGCGACGTGCACGTTTCCGCTTGGGCGTTGAATTATCTTCGCTCGAGGAAAGCGCAGCTGAGAAGCATCCGAGGTCGTTTCTTATCTTCTTTATTGCCACGCTCCTTCAAGCTGTCAAAATATTGGGTCTTGAGGGCCTGTTTTGGACTAAAGTCTGGGCTGGATGTTATATCTGCTCGTATGTTGTGCTGGCCGGGCTACAGTTCCTCGCACCGGGGGGCTGGCGAGATGATCCTCCCCCTAGGAACGCCACTGGAGATACGTCCTCCACTGGAGGGAATACCATCACGAGCGTAGTTCAACTTGTGTGGATGAGGTTTGCGCTGGGGGTCCACATTTGGGTTGCAAGTGGCGCGCTTTACCATGTCGTATACGCACCTATCGCAAGATTATCGCGCACCTCCAGCTTGGGGTACGGCCTTTCCCTCTTGATCGGCTTGATTCCTGCAGTAAGTATTGCTTCTAGCGGCATCTTACTGTTGTGGGCTATGTTGGACTTTTTCTTTCAATTACTGGAGCATGTTCGCCCTAGACCGCCGGCCTTCGAACGGATGCTCTCTATTCTGCGTGACCTAGGAAGCGGAAAGTTGCTAAATATACGTTGGACTGTCATCTTCTTCGCATGGTTCTCTATCTTAGTAGGACAATTGATAAAGTTCTTCGGGTGGGCAAGGTACGGTGAAGAGAACGTTTCCTCACTTGGGTACGGAGGTGGTTTTCTTATGCTCTGCTGCGGAGTTTTACTCTTCTTTCTTCACATTTCGTCTACCGTTTTGAAGAGAGTCCACTCTCTCCGCTGGCTGATGCCGGAGCCTGACGTCCCGCGAATGGTCCTTGTGTTTCCATTTTTGAACTTTCTTGTAGCTTTCTTGTATTATCGCTTTGCGTACGATCCCCACGGAACATATAAGCCGGCTTGGACAGAGAACTTGGGATAAAGAATGTGGAAAGATTTGTATCAACTATGATGTTCTGTACAAAGGAAATCTATTGGGAGGCTCACGTTATTCATGAATTTCATATGCTGCTCAAGATATATTAAGTGTTGAATGTGTAGCAAAGACGATTCTCATGGCTTAGGGTGTTTCGCTGGATAGTAAGCTTGGTAACATATCCTCGTTCCATTTGCCTTCAAAGCATGGAACTCCAGAAGGTCTCAGGCAAATATTTCCAGCTTTGAGATGTTCTTTGGTAGATAGCATGACACATAACCTCAGGAGCCATTCTAAGTCTCCTAAATCCTAAGCAAGCTCTATTAGGCAACTTGAATGTAGTACTCGCATGGTGCGATGTTGGGTTGCCTGTTAGACAGCCCTAAGGTCGCACCTTCTTTGTTTGCCAAAGTTGCCAAAATTGGCAAGTAGCCTCACCTCACCTAAGTTTTCATATTTATGCATTTCCTCTCCATTTCATTTTCTTTCCTTATACTCTTTCTCTCCCAGCCTTTCAAATCAATCTCTCATCATTTCGTCCCCGATATGATCGATTGTTGACTCCGGCCGAATACAAAACACAAGAGAATCATCGACCACCAACCAACCTCCCACAACAGCTATCCCTGATGGTATCTGACGAGCAGAGAGGGCAGACTTGCTGTTATCGGAGACGACTGCCGAGAGTGCCCGATCGACATTGGCAATTTATAAATTGCAAAATGCGTGGTGCTGAACGGAATTAAATGTTCGACAATGGAATCTACTGATTAAGAGGCTTGTTGAGATGCATTTTGGTGGGTTATAAGATTCCCTGAGCATGGTCATCCCTCCACAGATCTCTCCAGCTTATACAATACTAATCCTATAGAACGGAAGACCTAAGGTCGGGTCAACACCCAGTGCTTCTTCATATTCATCACTCCTCAGCGAATCGCGACGCATCAGATTGAAGTACTGCAACCATTTATCTCCCTTATAGCCATCGTAAGCACGAAAAAACCCACTTCGCCGATACCGTCCGGGTACTGCTTCATCTCGCTCAAGCACGATGCCCGTATCCACCCTCCGAATTTCACCAACCCTGATCAACAAGCAGAATACAGTTTGACCTTCAGTATACTTCCCATGATCAGGATATACATCTGCCACGCTGTTTCCTAGCAACCATTCAAAGCTGTGGTGGTACCCATTATCGTATGGTCGGATAGTTGTCTTCACTAACGGACCTTCGAGACGAAGAAATGCACCTGGCTCAATGTTTCCAAACGGGTCAGCGCCTTGCAATGTTGCATGCATTTCCAGAATTCGCACAGTAATCGTGATCTGACCCTCGTCGTACTCGTGGGGGACTTCGATCCAAGTTCTTCTATTTACGGCGGCCCAGGACCACGAAGGAAAGCCGGTGTTCGGAGGCATCATCTCAGGCTGGTCCAGATCAATGTGCCAAGTCAGCTGTTCAGCTAAGTTCTCTTTCCACAGGCCCGCAATATAGTCGTCTCCGTTGCCAACCAACTTCCTCGCAATACTGGATATAGCGACAAGCTTGTCTGTCTTTGGTCTCGATAATGCGCACTCGGAGTATCGAAAAGCAAGTTTCTCCCATAATTCGAAACGTTGGAACTTCTCAGAGCCGGCTCTCAGGATGTTCTGTCGCACCGAGTAAACATCCAGACCTGACCGGTTGCTTATGCCTTTGTTGTCTGGTACTCCGTAAGGGAATGTTTCGGATGCTTCCAACTCAAGACATTTCCACCAGATCTGTTTTGCAAAGTGAAGTGCCCTGGGAGCCAAGACCATTTCCTGGAGTACCCAAGCTCGCTTGTGAAGCGGACCATCCCAAGTCTCATCCGAACCTTTGAAGCTACAACAAAAGTACACTTGGCTTGACCTACCACGCCACCGGGCTTTGATCTTGCAGGAGCGAAAGGCAGTCTGCGGTCTCTTCACGAAACAGCCATCTCGTGCATCCTTGGCTACAGCTGCGGCTATGTTGCAATGGGAGTTCTGATATATGTCGCCCATGATGGCTGCTTGTTCCTGCCAGTCCTCGTCGGAATCCTGGATAATGCAGAGGCTGTCAATCCAGACGTACTTTACACCGATCTGCGAAGCAATCAACATTGTATCTTGAAAGGTTTTGGGCACGCTTTCCCATGGTATCGAATCTAAGAATCCTTCAGAATTTGAAGAGGTCAGAGTCAAAGGTTGGTAGTCTCCCCAACAGTGGGAGAGAGTCATGTATTTGGTATCTCTTGGAAGGCTGTTCGTGAGAATGAGTCTGGGCTTGAGTTCTGGTCCAGATCTAGATCCTATTTCGAGCAAGCGTGCTGGCAAGACCCTGGTCTCCAGTGGGGCCAAAGAACGTTTGCAATAAGTATGAGTCTCATTGCAAGTGCGAATCCACAAGTTTGCAAGCTCATTACTCCTCTCAGTGCTGTTGGATGATCTGTAAGAAAGCAGCTCTTTGATTGGTGAAGATGGAATTGCTTTTGATTTGTCAGCTGGCAGAGCCCTAAATCGAGAATTTTGAGCATACCGTCGAATGGTTTAAGTAGAACTGCAATAGTCAAGTACGGTTTCTCTATAACTGTGGGTGTGGGATAGTAGTATTCGAAGGTAATCCCTTCCCCAACATTACTTTTCCAGAAGCCATAGTTCGTGCTCTCTGAACCATACATCGCTTCCCGATCCTCGACTGTCAGGTCGTGCCAGCGAATGGAGCAGAGCTGACAGTCTCCTCGCTCTGCGGAATCTCGCAGCTCTTCAATAATCTGTGGGAAAGAATGCGTTGCCTTGATTCCGACAGGCTTCTCCCTTTGTTTGCCACGGAAGATGCTCGCACATGCCTGGCAAAGGGGTGACAGGTTTTCTGACCGATTTTGGCTGCTTTGTGGAGGCCGAAATGAACTTAAAAGTCCAAGCATCGAGCCTGCTTAAGCTCTTGAGGAATTCTGAAGATGGATCATGTAGCACGTCTGTACAGATGAGGCTGTGTTTCAGTGTGCGAACGTTAACCGCGAGCCTAAGGCTCCGCCAAATGAGGTCGTGGGGGTCACCATCCCGCACCTCGCTATTCCTTAAGCTGAGGGAAGCATCCTTCGGTGCCTGAGGCAACGGTAACCCCTCTAATGGTCCACTAAGTTCGCTGTAAGCGAAGCCCTGGAAAAGGGATGTTCTGAACGTCAGCTTAATTGACAAACCTACAAACGTACTCCTGTAAGCCCCTCCCTGACCTCTGATGCTTGTGCCGTTGCAGGCTGATAATCCGGCACTTCGACCTGCATAATGCCAAACGTATAACCTTCCTAATATAGTAAGCAACCGTAGCGAGGTTACCTGCATCTGGGGATCTACGCGGGATCCTTAAAAGCTTGGCCTCATCCCGCTGTCTCCATACACTTTCACAAACAAGCACGCTATCAAGATTTGTATCTTTCATCTTCCACGAATTCGTACCTTATTCTTGCTATGGCGTCCCAGCAGTTTTTCCTTAAAACCGCTCCTTTTCCAGGCGAAGAACCTTCCAAATATACGAACCTCTATCTCCGCCATTTCGGTTCCGGAATGGACTCGATCGTCCTCACTCCCGGACAACCCAAGTATATCAAAGGCCATATGGAAGGAAAACGCATCGCGTTCACCAGTGCTTCTCACGAAGGTCGGAAATGGGGTCTGGAGCTTCGCAAGGACGGAGAGCAGCATGCTGGGTGGGAGAAGGTGGAGATCGTCGAGCGTGAAGGGAGCGATGGTCTGCTGTTCACTACAGGAGAGGAAGGGGAGGTGTTGGAATATGAAGAAGAAGAACTTGCTGGGGAGAAAGTTTGGAAGGGGTGGATGGTCTGCGATTGGGCGCACGGGTATCCTCAGTTGTTTTGGGTCACGCATAAACTGAGCGGCGAGTTGCCCCCTTTCTGCCACCGAGTACAGATTGTTCGAGAGATGCTTTGAATTCAAAGATATCTTTGTTTGAGAGTTATGTTACTACATTTGATGATTCCATATTCTTTCTATTCTGAGAATTTGCGTCCATCCATTGATCTGTCTTTATAACTACTCTGCCTTGACATATATTCTAGCAAGTAGGATACTGCACCGTCGCCCTCGTCACGATCGCATCCAGAGGAACAACCGTATGATATCGTTCCATCCATCTCACCGCCTCTTTATCCCTATTTTGTAAAGACATAGCGCAGTGATTGGTATGATTGATACTTGCGAGTTTCCCTTGCACCTTCCCGCCTCTCTCCACGGCTCGATGGACCAGCTTCGCCGCAAAGATGCAGTGCATAGAATGGTACCTCCTGTCCGTCCACATCAATTCAAGATGGTCTCCCACTTGATCGTCGGGGATCACGCTCAGCATGTTGGACTCTGGAACTTCTGTGTCTGCTCGAGAACTGTGGTAGAAGGTCCACGGACCTAGCGCTTCGAATTCTTGGACCAATTCGGCGTCATAGCAGTCTGGGTGTTCCCATGCGAAGTTCATCTAGAACTTTAGAGTTAGACTCGTTCCTTATTTCTCGTGGTTAATCATTATATCAAAAGGATGATTGAAATGTGCGCCGATTTCATGCCCAGATATCGAAAACTCGGGGTCATTGACTGAAATAAACTCACGACATCCCATATGCAACCAAGAGCACGAGCTTCATCAGCATTTTCCCCACAAGTAAAAGGCCCTGTCTTCTGTAGACCAAAAGCCGTATGTCCCAAGTCCGCAACGGCTTCCGTCCCCGGAGCACAATGCGATTCTGCAGCAGGATAAATATGCGTAACAACGCTGCTCAAAATGAGCCCCACCACGATCAGAATGAGAAAAGTAGCGACGAGGATCCCAAGACAGAACCCCAGCCCGATAATCTTCAACCGGAGCGTTCGTCGATCACGAGGGAAATTGAATACTAGGGAATCTTGCTGTGTTGCTTCGTCGTCTTGTTGTCCGGTGAGGGGTTCGTATTTTTGTGGTAGTGCGCCCATTGTCTCTGCTGCTTTGGTGAAGAGGGCCATGTTGTGATGATACGAGAATTTAGTCGTTTCAGTAGAGTTAGAGCACAAGATGAATTGCCTGGGAGGAAACATGAGAGTGGGACGGGTTATGGGGTCCGAGTAGTGTGGTGGTTGATATTCCGGACTTAACTTCGGAGGGAGAGATGCTGCATCTCTATTGGTCAGACGTGTACATCCGATTAATTCTCAGGAAAGAATTCCATTTAGCAGTGCAAAAAGAATTAGATCTTGAGTGTATTATTTTCCAAATCCCCATCTGAACAATTTTAATAGTGCCAAAAACGATGTTTGGAGAGGAAGATTCAGCTTTATGGGGCCCGCCACAGGCCCTGTTGGAAAAGAAGCGTGGAGGAGGGCGGTCGATGAGACTTGCTTTTCTTTGTTTGATTCTCTGGATGGCATCTTCGGCCTCATTTGGAGGCTTGATAGCTTTGTGGGGTTTGAATAGTGGTTAGTCTTTGTCATCGAGTTGAATGTGGTTAAGCTGGGCTAATGGTTTATTTCAAGTCAATATGAACAGAGAAAGTTGTGGGGATAGCGCACTGGCGATGACTTTCTGGGATCCTTTGATCGCCAGTGAGTTTTGTTTCTGTAAACTTCAACGCTTTCTTGCTAATTGCAGTCCAGAATGATGGCTAGGCAGATGAATTGCCAGGTATGCGAATCTTATTTTAACTCCAGCATCACTGATGAGCAAATGTTAAGTAGGCAATGGATAATTAGACGATTGCATTGGAAACATTTGAAGTGTATGAAATTCGACAACTTGAGATTCGAGGCTCACTTTCTGTTACTGGAGTGTTCTGGAGTTTTGGAACAGGGGCATAGAATCATTCAATATTTTTTGATGCCATAAAGATATCCAAATATTGACTTTGTTAACACTTAAACTGTAAGCCGTGATAATAATAGTGAATTAGAATCATAATTCAAATCATTGGCCGAAATATCCCGAAGAGAAAATTGGGACAAAATATTGAGGGGGCAGGGTTCGGTAAAACATAAGTAAAATATATTGCAACGATACTAGGAAATTGCCTTGATTCATTCTGAGGTAGTAACCTCACTATTATATAGTGCTAATCTACAGTACTGAGATCGTGAAATACTGTGTCACATCATAATGGTGCTTAGATTAGGATGGGTGGATGACATCAGGACTGGTTTAGTGCTTGGTGCAGCAGCCTATGGTAAGCTATTAATTAGCTTACCACTTGCATCTGATGGTGATTTGCAACAGAATAGCTTAGTAGAGGGCTCCGGATTTCCTATTTCGGCCATCGTAAATCGTGCACGTCGCCATGTGGGGTTCAATGGACGCCGGAGGGTCCTACTGTTGAATCTACCTTCCAATTTCATAGCGTATAATTTGCACTCTTTTCAAGAAGGTGCACTCGAGTCGATTTGATCCTTGAAAATACTTCACGCCTCCTTGCTCATTGAAGAAATGTCTGAAGCGGCTACTTTGCCGAGATTCCTTCAATCGATGGACTCGTTGGAAGATCAACTTGATGGCTCAGAGGATGAGAAAGGCCCGCTGTCGCCGACAGACAGTGAAGATCCCATTTTATCGAAGAATAATTGTGATACGGTCTCGCTGGGATGGCCAAGTCTGTTTGCATTGACATGCGGTATTGGAGGGTAAGTATCAGTCCCGACTGCTCAGCAAGCCGTGGGTTAATGAAGCTGTACAGGTTGCAAGTGATATGGTCGGTCATTCTCTCGCAAGGGGCAGTAAGTTTGAAGTCCCCACTGTACCTATCCGTGTCTTGTGTAGAAAGAACTCATGTTTGACTAGCCGTTCCTTGTATCTCTTGGGCTTCCAAAATCTTTAACTGCCCTAGTATGGATAGCAGGGCCATTTTGCGGTGCATTCGTACAGCCCATTGTGGGCTATCTCAGCGATATGAGCAGGTACTCTTGGGGACAGAGAAGACCATTCATTGTGATCGGAGCCGTTAGCACCATTTTTTCGCTCTGGATGCTCGCGTGGACAGAAAGTGGTATCAAATGGGTTGTACAGACCTGTCACTTGGAGGTCCGGAAAGAGATTACAGCAAATGTTGTCATTGCTTTCGCAGTATTTTGGATCTACGCCCTCAATGTCTCAATACAACCGCTTCAAGTTGGTCTTCGGGCATTGGTAGTAGAGAATTGTCCGACGCACCAGCAAGCGCAAGCAAGCGCGTGGGCAAGTCTCATAACTGGAGGTGGAAACATCTTTGGTTATCTTGTGGGGTTTACTCCTCTCCCAGAGATTGCAAAACAGTTATATTTGACGCATTTTCAATGGTTGGGCATCATAGCCTCTCTGGCAGTCGCAATAACGGTCTCAATTACCTGTAGCTTCGTTCATGAGAGGAGCTCCGAAGCTTTGCTCCTTCCATCCGTTAGAGGTCCACAACAATTCCTTCGAACTTTCAGGACCATGCCACTGAAGATTCGGAGAGTCTTTCACATTCAGATCTTTGCTTGGATGGCGTGGTTTCCTTATCTCTTCTACGCAACGAGGTGAGTTTCTTTTGGAGATAACACCTTGACTATCTGCGCTAACCGATGAATAGCTACGTTGGTGATTTATGTATGTCATCACTGAATTCTCAAATTTTATTGATACTAATCAAGAAACAAGATTTCAATGCCATACCACTGAGCACTTCAGAGACGTATCAGCCTTCTACAAGTGCTATTCGTAGTGTTAGCACTCGGGTTGGCACATTTGCGACTTTTTTATCGGCAATTGTCGCCTTTCTCACCAATATGCTTCTCCAGTTCGTTATCCGACAAACTACTTGTAACGATTCGCATGACTCTAAGTCCCATGGGCGAAAGCACTTGTTCCGAAGTTTCACTATTGCTCAGGTTTGGACTTTTGCGCACATAGCTTTCGCCATCTTGATGTTCTCAACTTTTCTTGTAAAGACACATATTGGTGGCACTGTCTTGATTGCTATGAGCGGGATCTCATGGGCCATGACTTTGTGGGTTCCGTATGCCATCATTGGTCAAGAGTTAACAGCAAAGCAAGACAGACTGAGAGAAATCGGCACGGCAGAGTTAGAATCGCCGGACGAGAATCCAGCGGGTCTCATCATGAGTCTTCATAATATGGCAATTTCGCTACCACAAATTGCGGCGGCCCTAGTATGTAGTGTGATTCTCTGGCTATCAGATGGTCAAAACGGTCTTGCTTGGTGTCTACGAGCTGGTGGTTTGGCAGCTTTGGGGGCTGCATGGACATTGTTGTCTCTGGAGGATAGTTGAAGATACAATAGCGTGCAATCGTTCTCGCGATGAAGGGGGTTAGCGGCTACGTGTATCTTGACAATTCATATTTGGTATATACCATGTTTAAGCAAGGTTGCAGTGCAGCTGCTCGCAACGAATCTGATATCAAAAGTTTGTGCTTTCAGGGGCTGCAGGGGCTTCTCGCTAAAGCGAACACTGAAGCAAAATCTCGATTATTACATTAAAATACAAATCAATTCAAATAACGTATAAAAACATACTCCGAGTTCTTTCACATATAGACCGACTATCTAAAAGAGTTTACATCTGTACTTGCTTTGATCCTTTCAAGTGACGGCGCCGACTTTGACGCTTCTCGCAAAATGAAAAGAGGCTTGAGAACAGTGAGAAAATGACAGAGTTCTAGGTCGTAGGCTCGCAATATTGCTATACTGAGCTCTTCTAGCACGAAACAACCCTTTTGAAATGCGATTGGCTCGATGAACATGCATGATGTATTGCAGAAGCTTTTCAGCTCCTCGCTTGCATCTCGCTTACGGCGGAGCTTGGTCTATTTCCCCCTGTACCTCCGTCAGTAGCGCTCACAGAAATCACCTCCGTGGAAACCTCCTCCGAGCGCTAATGCTGATCTCGGAGACTGACAGAGAAAGTGGAGCTGACGATTAATTCGGAGGGCAATAAGGTTGATTGCGGGATGTCGAGCAGATACTTACGGATTACTCACAGAAATGTCGGCCGCTGCTACGAGAACCTTTGAAAAACTCCGGACCATAGTTGTGGCTACTCGGTGACCCGCAATTACTCAATGCCTGTAGCCGAACTTAGGAGTGATCCGTGAGTATTTTCCGCTGACTCTTGAGCATATGAGTTTGCCCGATTGCGTAATTCAAAATTCCGGAGTTCTTGAGATGAGAATAGTCGGATGTTGTTCTGAATGTTGTTATGATAGGATAAAGTTGGATTTAGAGATTACAGTAGCCTTCAAGCTGACTAGAAACACAACCTCTTGTCTCCCTCAGTTCCCATCATTCCGCTCTAAAATCCTCAATATGCCTCTATTTAGGAAGTGGTCAGATTGGCAATGGCGCAGGCAACAACAGCATATTCATTACGAGTCACTGATTCCAAGCAGCGAGAAACTTGACGATGATGAAAGTGAAATTCACTTAATTTTGCCTTCTTCAGTACAGATTCCTCGGAAATTGCGAGTACTCAAGCGAACTCTGGGACTTCTTCCATGGGCATTGTGTGTAATTTTATCGGTATCTCTGGCAGCTGTGAGTTCAGCTCATAGAAGGGCTCACCGCCATGGCTCTTACGAAACTGGGTTTGATACAGACTTGGGTAGGTTGGGCACTTATCTATGGTCCATCGAGGATCGAAAATCTACTAATCCAATCACAGGACCTGCAAAATCATCTCTCGGTCTAACCAAGGTCAAGTTCTATGGCGGCATTCAGGTCGATCCAAACGGCACATACTACCTGACGCACAATCCTGATGAACCCCACTATGTAGGGGAATCAAGCCCTGAAGTAGACGAAGCATGGGAGCGTATGCTACTGCATAGTAAGCCCTGCCTCGTTCTTGCATTCCGGTACACGCGTCTTCCTCGCCCCGGACTGTGCCACTAACAAGCTTTTCAGAGCGATATCTAGGTCTTACGTCCAAAGAGGCAGCTGAGACTGACTTCGAAATCGATGAGAAGGATTGGATTTTCGACCTTTACTGGGTTTCGTCAGTTGCCCCACTCAGATCCACCAAGGAGAATTAGGACGTCTTAGGATCTTTCACTAACATTTTGATAGGCCAAACACTTTCCATACGTTACATTGTCTGGTCGGTCTAGCCTTTCTTCACTTGAATTATAGCTCAGATATTAACTCTTATCTAGAATTATATCCGCAAATCTCTAGATAGGGATCACTATACCGATATCGAAGACCTTCCAGATCGACCCTTCAGAATGACACATAGGATGCATTTAGGTGAGTCCACTTCGTCTCAAGGCTCTTAATGGCAATTTCTGAAAGATTGCCGATCTAGATCATTGCATAGAAGCAATTCGCCAAACAGTGCAATGCTCACTAGACATGACTCCTGTTCCCCGGCCGTGGATTCCCCAGGCGGGAATATATCACGCTGATGTTGATCAGTGGCATACATGCCGGGATTTCAGTGCGGTGAGAAATTGGATGGACTGGAGGAATCGCGATGAGAACGATGATGACTTTATCAATGTGACACAGCGTTATAAAGATAGAAATGCTCCCTATGCGAAATGGAACCCTTGGTAGCGAGTCTTGTGCTGCATTTAAGGTAGTTAATAGAGGAGAGGAAGTAAGATTATTATTCAGCAGTGACCTTTTACTAGTTGGTATTGGATAAACCTTATTCATCTCACACCAATGCCGCACACACGTACTTTCAGCCAACTAAAGACCCCTCCTCGTAGAAACCCGGTCAATAAGCAGGAGCAGATCAACAGCACTGGCATGATGGCTAACATCGACACCGCTCGTGTTGCCCCGCCCCCACTATCGCCCCTCTTCTCTCCCCGCTTTAAGGTACTGTAAGCAAGATTACTTCGTCTGTGCTTACGGTACCCTGGGTAATACTGAGTTCTCATCAAATATAGCAGTTGGTAAGCTCTTACAAGATGCTAGAAACCCCAGTTTCAAAGCCAACTATCCAACAAATATAAGACTAATAGATTGCTACTTTACCGATTTTTGGGTTCTTGCGCGGTCTACGGTAGTACGCTTGAAAGATTTTCCGTATCCCATCTCAGCCATGAATGGAGCAGATTCATCCCAAAATCTTTGGGAAGCACAAAAGCAACAACGGCCGAGGTTGAGAAGGCGTGGCACGGGAGCAAATATGGCTACAGCGTGTGACCAATGCCATCGCTGCAAGGTCCGGTGCAATGGGGGCCGTCCATCGTGTGAGCGTTGTCAAAAAGATGACACTACGTGCACGTACAGTCTGGGTAAGCCTCTTGGCAAGCCACCAAAAAACGGACGAAGGCCCGTCCCGACCCCCTCGCAGCCGCAGCCGCAGCTGAATATGCCGGCCCTGGCTCCACAATTGCCAACATTTGGGCAATTGGGTTCGCATTCGCACTCAACTTCTCTTCCTGATAGCGGGCAGGATGGGGAATTCGGTTTGTGCTATCATTCATCATCAGAAAGCTTGGGACAACTGATACTGTGATTCGTTCAGACTATGTCATTAACGAGGCGCAAAATTCTACGTCTAAGTCAACAACAGTCAATGGCAATACGGTCTACAACGGGGAGGGAGTAGCTACGGTAAGTCCAAAGCCTCATGAAAGCGATTATTTTTCTAGCTTAATTATCCAATGCTAAATTTAAGATAGCAAGGAGGTGGAGGTGAAGATGGGGAACCGAATTCCGCATCTTCAATGGAGATAGAGCATGACTTTCCAGCCCCGAAAGCTGTTATGCCATCATTTGAACGTGCAGAACAATACTTCTCTCACGAAGAGAGTCAATCTCTACTTTGGACAACCGAGGACAGCTTCTTTGAGGGAGCTGAAAGCGTAGAGGGAATGAATCTGGACTTTCTAGTCAGTGACTTCAGTCCACCTTCTTGGGCGGTTTCAAAGAGTAATGAGAACAATTCCTCAACTCCTCTAACGCTTGAGATGACAATGGAAAAGACTGGTTGCTCCAAGTCACAACTCATCTCACCTCCAGAGTCACTTCCTTCAACGGCACTATCTCAGAGTCAAGGGTCATCAGCAGAACAATCAGCAGAACAACCACAGAAAGCAGTTTGCCTTAACATAGATAATCTAGAGACCGCATCTGCATCAGCTCCCTCTAAGGAAGTCACTAGAAACGAAAAGAGTTACCAGCATCTCCCATTACTCTTAGAAACAACACTCCGCTTCTACTTCAAAGCACCATCTGCCACTCAAGCACCTATCAGCGACGCACTCCGATTAGCTAAAGACGGACTTCAAGCAATACAATGCTGCCTCCGCGAATTTTATCTTTCATCTCGTGCACAAGCATCATCATCTGGGCTCTCCTCACACGATCCATCACCCCCAGAACCGGATTCCGAGTCTAGCAGCATCTTAGCTTGTATCATATTGATGGAAAAGGTCCTCTTCTGCTACGATTCACTTCTCAAGCGGCGCTCGGGACCCGGAGATGTATCGTCTCCTTATGCACCCTCTCCAGCGCCATCCTCGACCTCAACATCCAATCCTACAGCGTCCAGCTCATCCGGCCACCATTGCATGCAGCCAATTTTTATTGGCGATTTCGAGGTGGAAGACAAAGCCAGCTGGAAGATGATTCTCGATGCCGTTGTGGCAGCCCAGAAGCAGGAGGCGAGAAGCACAATATCGAAGCTAGAGGATTGGGCAAGTGATTTAGCAGGGAAAGGCAAGAATGAAGGGCGTCTTGCAATATCGTTTCTGGAGCAGTTAAAGCGGAAATTTCATGATTGAAGGGCCCTACTCGTGGTAGAGAGGTAACCGACAACAATAAGAAAGTATCACGTTAGGCATGGTGACATGGATAGAATCATATCACATTAAGGAAGAAAACTCCATGTAAGTAGATCAGGACAGCCGAAACTGAGTTCGTGATAGCCATATATATTGCGTGGAGCAAGAAATGTTTTCATTCAGGAGATCAATATTTTCAACATGAGAAACGTCACGCAATCTCCCAGCCCGACCCCCAGCTTACCTCAATTGTCCCAATTCTCGCTCCAAAAGTATTTGTCCTTGGGAACTACTAATACACTATCTCTGTCCCTGGTACCCCATCTACTCTGACACAATGCCCTATTACTCTCATTGCCCTGACATAGTCTGAGAACATTCCGTCTATATCATTCATCAACTTATTGCAGTGAACAACATGCTCCCAATCCGCGGCCTTGCTATAGACGTAAACCTCTCTCTCACCCGCGACTACTCTCCCTGCTGCCTTGTGCATGATTCGCCAAAGATACAAGCAGTGCGCGCGATGATAATACGTATTCGACCAAGGACCCTGGTAGTCTTTCAAGCCAGAATTCTGTTCTAGAGGCTCCGTACGATTCTCGTATCGCCACCATGGCCAAGTCCCGGCACCACGTGTTGGTGCCAGCTCGGAAAAATCGGAAAGAACGTCATTGTAGACCTCTTCGTCAAGGCAAGCGGGTGGAGTCCAAGCAAATGTCATGAGGTCGAAGGTGCATCCTGCTGCTTCCGCTTCTTCGAAATTCGATCCACAGGAGAGAAGCACACCAGTTGATGTATATTCGAAGCCCGAAAGCCGTCCCGGCGGAAGCGCTTTACTGCGACTGGAGAGGAATCCAAATAGTGAGACGCTAAAGAGACCAGCAGCGAAGAGTAACAGAGCAGAATAGATATAATTCTTCCTGGCTAACAGGTATTGACGGAACTTCATGGAGGCATCTTTGACCGAGGAGCACATAGCAAGTAGACCGCCAAGTGGATAATCGCGTTCAAGCACTGTGTAATGGTCTTCCTTCTGACGCATCTTCTCGATGTCGATTTGATCGAGGTCATCAATGGAGTCTCTTTCATACCCAATTTGTGTTGATTGGCGAGATGACAATGACATTTGTTCGTCCAAGAAAGGACGAGTATCCTCAGAAGCCATGGTGACAAGAGCTTCCCCGAATTGCAGTCACGATATTGTCGAAATGGTTAGACGAAGCAACGTGCTAGTAGAGACAGCAGCGACTTTGAGTGAAGAAAAACGACCTTCAGAGCTTGACCGAAAAGTTCAATAATACGGAAATAGTCTGCTTCCGGACATACTAAGCAGAGTTTACTGGTGTCACTTACTGTCAATTTCGGATTGTGTAACCAGAGCGTCTGAGGTTTGATGCTACCGAATTATGATGCTTAGGTCCGAAGTTAGAAATGAAACTTCAACTTATCATTCGGATAGCAGGTATCGGTGAGAATTAGTGGCAAAAGTTCGGAAGCAATACCGGATTAAGAGTTGTCGAAATCGAGGGTTCCGAAGTTCTTGAATCCAACGAGCTATAGATCATCGGCTACAGATGTCTTCATAGTTACCAATAAAAGCTAAAACAATCAACAAACACTCCTCTGCCATCATACAATTTCCGAACTTGACTTTCTAAGCCTATCTCTCAATCATGAAGCTCAGCATTATCTTGGCATTTTTGCCCTTCCTTTCTGCGGCTTTGGCACTGCCTCAACCATATGGTTCGTCTCCCAAGTTACACGTGACAAGCTGTAAAAATATTAAAGCTGATTATCTATAGCCGTTGCCCAACGTGACATCGAGTCAATCAAGAGAGATATCGAATCTATCAAGAAAAGAGAGCCTGAGCCGGTTGTCGGAAGAGACATCGAGTCAATTAAGAGGGACATCGAGTCGATCAAGAAGAGAGAGCCTGACATCGAGTCAATCAAGCGGGATATCGAATCCATCAAGAAGCGAGATATTGAGTCGATCAAGAGAGATATTGAGTCTATCAAGAAGCGCGACATTGAGTCTATCAAAGTCCGTGATATTGAGTCGATCAAGAGGGACATTGAGTCGATCAAGAAGCGTGACATTGAATCTATCAAGAAGAGAGACATCGAGTCGATCAAGAGGGACATTGAGTCCATCAAAAAGCGTGATATTGAGTCCATCAAGAAGCGCGATATCGAGTCGATCAAATAGATGGACTCAGAATGTCGACTACTGACAGAGCACTTGGACAATGGAGCATATGAATCGGCTTCGTTTTCTTGGGGGAGGTGTTTTCCTTCACTTTTTACAGTATGGTCAGCCGCTGGTTCAACAATCATATTATGAGCAGTTGAATGACTCAGCGGAGGAAAAGAGGGGACGGTTTCATAGCAATGTGTCTGGGTCAATCAATACGTTGCTTTCTAAGATTGTCGCAGCCTAGAAATTGCATCTCATGTGACGGTTCCCATCTCCAAGCAAGAGCATTCCTGTCTCGTACTTTGTATGACTAAAGCAAGGGAACGCACTCATACCCTAACGTTAAATACAAGTCTGGGAATAATTGAGACTGACCGGCATGACAAAGATTCACCAAAAACACTCTCGCTAATTATGCAGCATATGGAAAAGTTATTCAGGTTTTCTCAGAAGCTTGTCGGCTGACCGTACTGATAAACGTAAGTGTTCCCTTATCTGTCTGCCGGGTTTGCTTCCGTGTCTTCTGGGAACGCTCCAGATCTATCGCCCGATGGACAAAGAGAAAATCCGGAGCGGACCAAATGATACAACTAATAATAGCTCCGACGGCGAAAATAACTGACTCTTGCTGCTCAGAACTACCTTATAAGTTTTACAATTCAAGTCTGCAGATAGACAACACGTGATATGATAGTGGACGACAACAATTCAAGGGCTTCAAATGATCAATCAAATTCCAGGAATTCTCTATCTAAGTATGAACGATGTCCTCATATAGACCCCGCTTCTGTGAACGACCACCACGTAACATTCCGCCTAATCTCCGACAACAAGCTATTCAATAACTCGACTAATGTTCAATCCAACAGTTGACTTCAGAGCCCCATTTTCACTCCCAAACTTGATTACTGAATCCCAATCACGACACTGATGCGCAATACCCTCACCAGTAATCGGACCATCATCCATGAACCCTGTTTTCACGTAAGCCGGCCACTCGATAGTGGTGTCTCCCGCGCACATTAGGCCTTGGCGAATGTAATCAAGGCAGTGCTCGAGGTGGTTTGAACCTCCCCATATCCTTGCCGGTTGATCTGTATGCAGAGCACGTATGGTATCGCGGATTGCGCTTAAGCAATGCAGTTGATGGAACACCGATATTGCAAACCATGCAACGTCCGGATCTTCGGGATCAGCGTGGCCCGGCTGGAGATCGTATCTGTAAGGATCCTCAAGCCGGATGAGACCATGTTGAACTGAAAGTGTAAACTACAGAACCACAAAATTTGTCATTTTGAATGACACTTACTTGGTACCAGATCGTCCCAAGCCTCATTACTATGTTCCGTATAGCTCATGTACGTATCAGTCATGTGAAATGTCTTTGGGACGACAGGTACTATGGCCTTCGTTAGCTGAATTCGGGAATCTGCCGGCGGAGGCTGGGTACTTCGAGGGACCATTGTCTGCGGATGCCAGCGCCCATTTCTTAGATTGCTACGAGCCCAGATCAATGCGCATGCCCCTGTAGCTAGAAGAGATGCCAGTATGATAGTGTTTATTCTGGTAAAGATGTATCTTTGAAGGAAAGTACGCTTCTTTCGCGGGGTAAATTCCGAATAACTCCCTTCATTATCATCGATTTTGGCGTACTCTCCTTTACCAAGTTCAGGTGCCATGGAGATTAGTCCAGTCTTTCGGTTGAAGGTGCAATTTGGCGATGCTGAGTTGCTTGCTGACTTTGTGCAAAAGTTTGACAGCTGCGTGGACGACGTCGGTGTTGATTTCCAGTCTCAACTATACAACGGAACGATTTCGGCAGAAGTTACAGATAGCAACTTCATTAATTCATCCGGATTAAAGAATTCTTGTAAGTCTTACCGAGCTATCGTACTCATTATTCTGCCATTGATATTCCGGAGTGCACCAAGTAGCTCCGGAGGCCTGCGCCGGAATTCCTAAGCGAGAAGAACACAGGGGTTAAGCGAGTGTGCCAGTCACAAAGGGGTTCGGAGCGATTGATGTCCTGGAAAACCAAAATGTGACTTGCCGATGTTCTAAAGTTCCCCCTTCAGTTGCAAAATTCGGAAGCTTTTCTGTCCTATTCTCGTGGTGTCTTCTTCGTAGGTTTGCCCAAGAAAGCTTTGCGTTATCACAGCAAATATTCGGCATGGTTCTGGAATTGTATAGGAGGGAATTCATTGTGCGGTTTTCATTGTTCGGTACACGACTCGGAGATCTTGTCGTCAAATTGTCGGGAATTCGAGATGCTGCTTTTGATTACCAGGATATTCACCACAAGAATGGATGCAGGCGCACTGAGGGTTTACGTTCTTCACCTACGAAGCGCTTTTTACAGTGAGTGTCTAGAGTTTGCATGCACAAGGCACATTTATGTTCTTCGAGAGGGTCCAAAGTATCATTCGAAACAAAGCGTCTGGCAATAATGCAGAAGGCATTTACTGCTCTCAAGAAAGTAGCCACTCCGCGATCCACTTCTGCATCCAGCTACTGCTTACGCCGCCCAAAGATCTCAATGGCTCGCTCCTAGACAGTGTCTTTTCAAGAGCAAGAACGTTCACTTCTTCTGTCTCTGGAAAGCTGGACGAAAAGAAATCCAAGAGCTTGATAGCAGGATTCGCTTTCAGCAGCGTCTCAAGTTCTTCATCTGCAACTTTTTCTCCTTCGTTTCCCTCCTTGCTCTTTAATGTTGATTCAAAATCTTGTCGAATGTTTGCAAGCCAAGACTTGGCAGGTACAACAGCTATGTTCTTCGACGTTATAGAGTCGATGATAGATTTCACATCTGGCAGCAAGGCTTCCCATGTAGTCACCTTGAGATTTCGAAGGTGCAACACCTCAGCACCAGAGCAAACCAGATTTCCATCATGATGCAATGATATATCAACGATAATCTCCGCCAGTAAATCAACAGGTATCCAGTCCACTCTACTCATGCCGGCACCCAGGCTATCAGGCAGTGCATTGATGCGAATAGAGCTCATGACCAAACTGGGAAGCCACTCAGCGGGATTCCACAGCCCGGGCTGAAGGACAGGACCAGCGATCTGTCCAACTCGTGCAATAAAATCGGGATTCTCAAATCCTTCGATGCTTCATTGCATAGTAGCTCAGCATGGAATTTGCTCTCTGCGTAACCATTTGAGAAAGGAGCATCGGTGGTTGTCACGACTTCTTCAAAGGTCAATCTGGAAGGTGTGCGAAGACCAAGGACGGAGCTTATTGACGAGATGAAGAACAAGGCGGGCTTGTACCTGGCAGAAGCCGAGAAGGTGAAGAGATTTAAAAGTCCAGTCAACTGAGGACGGAAAGCGTCGAGTGAGAGATTGAAGTTTACGGGCCAAGCATTGTGGATGATCAATGTTGCAGATTCCAGGATAGAATTGTACGCCTCCGAATCGAGGCCCAAGTTGGACTGAGCCAGATCTACCTCGAGGAATGTAACTCTCGTATGGTTCTGTCTGGAAGTGAGTATGGTGGCATTGTGTCGATGAATCTTGGGGCTTCGATTGTCATTCTTCCGGTCGAGACAGTAGATATAATCTACACTTGGGTCATTGAGGAGAGCCTCCAGTAGGTAGCCACCGAGACTGCCAGTCGCTGCTCATGACATTCTTGCATTGGCTTCTGTTGTTTCTAACGCAGTCTAGTTTCACAATCTCCTCATAGGGGCGTCAAACTTACATCCTGTCAAGACAACAAAGTGCTTCTCGGGTCTTTTTACAACGCGGGTAGTAGGCTGGGAAATGTCGTGAACGCAATCTCGGTATTCTTCAAATATTGATGTTAGGGACTGAGCCCTAGCTTGCTTCTCCCGGGTTTGCAAATTTTGTTTGCTGATTTGAAGTGAGAGGATCGCATTGGAAAGCTGCGCGATAGACGGATGGTTGTAAACAGTTGCAATAGCCACGTCTGATATGCGAAGGCGTTGTCTCAACATTCGTGTTATCTTCAAACCATGTAACGAGTCGAGCCCGATTGCGAAAAAGTTGGTGTGATCGTCGAGCTCGGTATATCCTGTTGCCTCGATCACAATAGCCCTCACAGCTTGCGAGATGGACTTAATATCCTGTACACGGATAGTTATTCCAAAGTCATCTACATCTGAATTGATGTCTGCATTCTGGTAGACTCTGTCAAGTTCGGCTGAGTACTGCAGAATTGTAGCTACTCTTTGTATTGTGCCTTTACCCGCACGAATGACAGGCTTCTTGGAGCTGAGTGGCAAGACCATAAACTTCTCCACCCTTGTATATGCGGGAGCAAGCCTGTTAGCCTCTTCAATACTGGGCCAGATCCGCTCGATGAAAGTAGCCTCCCCAGCAATGCTTTGCGGCTGAGCAGTAGTAGCAGCCTCGATCATCAACGCCGCCTGGAATCGCTGGGTCCCAACAACGATTGCAGCCGAAACTTCGGGATTCCTAGCGACGATATGTTGCTCCATCGAGTTAGGATTTGTCTTTTCTCCATTTAGGAAAACAATAATATCATCGGCACGAGCACTCCAACTCCATAAGTTAGGAATGGTGGGATGTTGTTTGAAAAGATCACGACTTCCATATTCTTTCAGGTGAGGAAAAACAGTGAAAGTTGGTTGTTCGCTTTCTTTTTCCGGGTCATGCTTGACATATAGCTCATAGTTCCCATCAGCGATGTCTCTGAACTCGGTACCTAGGCAAGGATGGAAGAAGACATATTTCCAATCATATGGAGTCATCTCTTTTGGTAACAACTGCGGTGTCATCCCAATCTCAGACGCTCTGTACTGACATATTAGCGGCAATTTAGAAGCGACCTTGTCACCCACTGCCTGCGGAAGATCTCCACCAGCATAGAGACAACGTTCAAGATTCTGAGCACAATAATCAAGCAAGGCAGCATCTTGGTTCAACTCGTGGATGATTGAAGGGACGATAAGAGCGACGTGTGCGGAAGTATGATGAAGCGCGTCGACAATGCCTTGAGCAGTGGGGATTGTTCCAGCAAGAGGAGCTATCATGACCGTTCCAAAGGGGATGGCGGCAAATAAGTGGCTTGCAAGACAAGCGCCATGGAATGGAGGGAAACAGTTCAGAACTCGTTTACCTTGTACCAGTCTGTCCATAAATCCCAATCCCTCTGGAGGGTCCTTGGCTAACATGTTCATGTTCCGAGCCACACCCTCGTGCGAATAGATCAGTGCTTTTGGGAAACCAGTAGAACCAGAAGTATGTATAACCATCAAAGGCTCAGACATAGCTTCTTCGAACTTCTTGTCATATGGATAGACTGGGTATTCTATGCCTAGCAAGTCTTCGACGCTTGGCACGGCAAAATGTTGCATATAATGCGATTCGAGAATTGCACTAACAGAAGCCGGCTTAGGTTCTGGGTAGAGTAGCTTGGTACAGTTCAGTTGATGGAAGAGCTTGAGATGGGCTGCCAAGCTGTTGCGTGGAGAGGTCAGGAACAGTACGTATCCGACCTTAACTGCTGCCAAAACCAAGACGGTATATCGGAAGTCATTCGGTCCAACATAGGTGAGAACTTCGTGGTTCGTAGATGAACCAAGGGTTTCAAAGAGCTACCAAGCAGCCCCATTGATAGCATTTGAGAAGTCGTGGTACGTGATGCTCCGATAACCTTCGTCGTAAGTCGAGGGTGAGACTGGGTACTCGGCGTAAAGAGCCTCAGGAGTTTCACGTGCCAAGCGATCCACGATGTGGGGAAGAAGGTCGTTCTTCCACTGCGAGCGTCGGGCGTGTTCAGTCGCCATGAAGGGGTTTTTGAATGAACTACTTGATTGTGGCTGAAGTTAACGGATTTGCACGTTACATGCTTCAAAGAAATCAGAACGAAAAACAATAAACGATGTATTCCAAACAAAAGAGGATGGAGATTTCCTCAGTCCAGACTAATTATAGGGCACAGGTGTCTGACTGCGGGGCTTTGTTGGCTTTTCCGTTGGCTTCTATGTTGGCTCTTCATTTCGGCCAATCGAGGAACCTCACGAGAGTGATATGCAAAGTCGGGATGGAGACAAAGAGCCGAAGGAACCGGTTATTAGTCGAAATAGCCAAGGCAGAAGTCATTATGTGTAGTTATTGATAGACAGCGAAACACCAGGCGAATATTCCAGCTTTTGAGGATGATCACGATGAGACAAACTTCTCAAAACGGATTTTCAAAATGGAATCTCATCACCCATCAGAACAAGCTGATTTGACATTCGCATACCAAACCCCTATCACCAAAATTCTTCATCCCAAGCCAGGTTGTTCTTCTCAAGCGGCAATCTTGTTGGCAATGGATTATCACCGTACCCATGCAGAATATAATCATGGATCCTTGCCAGCGTCAAATCTTGATTCTCACTCCCGTAGAGATCAGACCAATGTCCAAATCCTTCGATGCCGCGAAGTACAAGTCTTTGTAACTTAAGCTGCCTCATGGTTTCGATGCATTGAACCCAATCGGGGTGAGCTGTCCATGTGCTTGTTGACCAGTCCCAAGCAACGTGGCTAGTTTTGATTTCGATAATAAATTTCAAGGTAAGGTCTTTGATCTTCGAGTGATTCTGTAGCAGATTTTGGATGCTTGCACCACAACTGCGAAATTGTGATAGCTTCAATCGCTCAAGGCGGGGGAAGGTGACGGGGTGGTTCCCAAAGAGTTCCCTGATGTCGTCGTGGAAGTAAGTGCAACTATGCTGCTGATCCACTGCTCTGTGATATTTCATATCCAGAGATAGGTCGACAATCTTAGTCATTGATTGTAGGATCGCAGGAAAATCGACCCAGTACGCTTTTGGCGTATCTTCGGGATCGACATAAAAACCCTGGAAAGGCACAGCAGTGTCGATGCCCAGATTAAGATGAGTGAGGTTTCCGAATATTGCTTTTGTCATCGACAGCTCATCCGCATTCAAGGTTAGAGTGGAGCCATGAATAAAGGGAATCTTCTCTTTTGTGTAAGTAGCAGTCTTGAAACCGGACCGAAGACAGTATTTGATCGAGCCTACTTTGTCGCCATCGTAACCGAAATCAACATTATCGAGAAGTCTGAATGGTTTCTGGATATTGTGGCCTTGAACTCCGATCTTGGTTATATTGGAACCAAGTGTACTTATGACTCGGAATAGGGTCATCATCTGGTTCCCACGTGCCCATCTGCGGGATATGGAGTTTTCTGAGAGAGCAAATTTGAATCTGTCGGAGCCCTTTATCGCTGTATTGCAAAGTATAATTGTAGACAGCTTGGGAAGTGAAGAAATAATCTGGCAGAGATGCTTTTCAAGACGTTCCAAGATCGCGTATTGCTCGTGGACGTATGCAGTGAACTCTGCGAGCGCCTTCATGCGAGTCTCTGGACCGCACTCGTGAACGAGAGTACAAGGGTCAGTCCGCACCCAGGTACCGGTGGTATTTTCCCAGCGCGGTCGGAATCTAGGGAAAGATTTCAACAAAGGGCCCTGTGCAGTATTGAGAGGCACAAATTGACTGGAACTGCCGTGGATAGATGAAGGACTTCCAAAACAGAATTAATGGAAAACTTCCACTTACTCGAAGGGATCAAGTTCATCTTTATATTCTGGTAGCCTGAAGATCGTGGTATCGTACCGCAAGATTCTAGTGTGGTAGGACAGAATGGGGTCCCGGGTGATTTTGCTGAGACGATCGAGATGCTCTTGATGCGGAGCAAAGGTAACAGCACGAAAAAGATACGGGCTTGACAATGAATGTAGATCTCTTCCAGCAAGTCTAGCTGACTGAATATCCTCAGTCTTTAGATAGTCTGCTAGAATGGCAAAGACATCCACGGAGAGCTTGGTGAAATGACAGCAGAACTCTGCTGGATGAGTGCTAGGAGAAGCCATAGGCAGTGGGATTGAAGCCATAGGCAGTGGGATTGAAAAGACAAAGCTGCAGGTACAGAAAATAAGTGAACGAAGAACGCACAAAAGAAAGTAAAAGGTGATACTCAAGTACCTAAGTATGGACGGACTCTCAGACCCTCTGGTACTCGGTGACAAGCGGCACAGCTGTCGCCTGTGATCAAGGGTTCCAAGTTGTCCTGCACTTAGGTAGGTAATCCCTGCTAGAGAAAGCTGTCACGTGGATGGCTAAAGAACGATCCCGCTCAATCGCATCCATCACGTCGCAGTCTATTCTTCTCCATCAACATCCTTTCGGACTCCTCAATAACACCGCAAAGCGTGTTTGTTCGTGGACATCTTCCTTGCGATTTCACATTTGCAATTTTGATTGCTGCGGAAGGCCGTCGGGATCTGTCAATCTACTTGGCGCACTTTGTGTTCACAAACCAGCCAGCTCGGTACCGCTCTCCTGCAAGCCGGAATGCCTCCTCGTAAGTCACACACCTCTGTATTTCTTCAGTTTCTTTATATTATACGTCGCTGAAGCTCTGCCAAGTCAAGATCATGGCTGGCATAGCTTCAATCTTAGGCATTGGCTCATCGCGTACACGTACAGAAATTTACGACGAAGAGGCCTCGGATTACATCAGTGATGCTGAGGAAGATCCAGCACCCGAGCCCGTCAAGGTGAAGCAAGAAAAGAGAGGCAAGACCAAGACAAGGATCGAGGAGCCAGAGCCCGAAGAGTCGCTGATGGTTGAATCTGAGAACGCGGAGGAAGATGAAGATGAAGAAATTGGTGAAGATGAGTACGTGGCTATATACTTTGTTGAGGCTGGGCTGATGGGTTTGCGTATAGATACGTCGTAGAGAAGATCACCAGTCATGCCATAGACGAAGTAAGTAAACATCGTCGCTTGACCCAGCGTACTATTTACTAATCTGCACACAGTCCGGTGTTCTGAGATTCCAGGTTAAATGGGAGGGATACGACAATAAGGAGGACCGAACATGGGAACCCGAAGACAACTTGTTGTGCCTATTCCCGTTCGACCAGCACGGCTTGACTGACATTCTTGCGCAGAGAGACCGCGGAAAAGATGGTGAACGAGTACCTCGCATCAGTCGGAGGCAGAGATCAAATCTTCACCCAATGGGAGGAGAAAAAGGCGGAGCTTGCTGAACCAAAGAAAGGAAAGAAACGTGGCCGAGCTAGTTCCGGCGTCGACACACCTACAAACGGCTCAAAGAGAGGTCGGAAGCCAAAATACGAGCACCCACTTGATACCACACCACCAGCCAGCGCATCGCGCGCAGAGTTCCAACCCCCGACTGGAAACTGGGAGAATGAGGTAGGGGCTATCGATGCATTCGAGGGTACTGATGGCAAACCTATGGTCTTTATTACTTGGAAGACAGGTCAAAAGTCACAACATCCTCTTGCCCAAGTTTATAAGCGATGCCCACAAAAGGTACATCAAGATCCTCAAAGTTAGTTCCGCTGATGCTAACGTGCACCTAACCCAGATGCTCCAATTCTACGAACGCCATCTGTAAGTTCTTCCAAATACCTTACTATACTGCCAGCGCTAACTCCCTCCAGAGTATTCAAAAGAAACGACCCCGAACCCAAGCAAGAATACGACGAAGCATAGACATCACCCTATCTATGCAACCGCCCCCCATTCGTTGTACACAAGTAACCAGCCCTTGCACATTCAAATCCCTCCTACCTACCTACCTATCTACCTGCACACTGCCGACCTCTCCGATGTTATGATACACACCTTCTGAACTTGAGCTTTGGGACACACGGCGTTGGATGGCAATGGGTGATATCTATGAAGCTCACGTTGAGTTTGGGGTTGACTGAATGCGATATGTATCATAAGAGCAAGTAAAAAGAAAAAGCAAGAAGAGGTTTCTTAGCTAGTTAATTGAGAACTTCTGACCGATTTGACATAACCGCAACTTGCTTTGCTATTCTGCTTCCATAATTGAAGGGCTACGAATGCTACTAGATAGAGTTACAGCACGCCGTCTGCCTAGGTATGTGCCGTAACAAACCTGGCATTCACACACTCATACCCAAGACCAATGTCCGTCAGCTATCTAGACTCACTTACTCTACCCCAACATACACCACAGACAAGAGGGAATTTTGATTTTGATTTAGGATCACTCACGAGTACTAGATAGGCAAGAAAGCTTTTAATACAACCCCACGCAAATGCATATGAACCATCGTCCTTTCATCCATCCATCCATCCCTCAATCAATCAACCAGAATCACAACCCGCTCTCCGCAAGAAAGAAGCAGAAAAAGAACGAAGACCAAAAAAGCTGCTCTCTTTATATCGCCAGGCACATTCTCTATCTACCTTAATCCCAGTTTCCGTTCCCGTTCGCCGTAGTGGCCGCGGTTCCATATCTGCCGTTCGCGCCACGGTTTCCGCCTCCGTTATTGTTGTTGTTGGAGCCGTCCTGCACGGCTTTCAGGATCAGTTGTCGGGCTTTCTCGACGCCTTCTGCGCTGCCGATGATTTCGATGGGTTGGTTGGCGGCTTGGTCGCGGGGGACGGTGATCTTGCAGCCAGTTGCCTTACGGATGCTGTTCACCTTGCTTCCGCCTTGGCCAATGACGTATCGGTATGTTGAGGGGTCTGGGAGGGTGAGGTGGCCCATTGTGTCGTTCTTGGACGCTTGTTCGATGGCTGCTGCTAGAAGGGTCTTGGCCTTTGCAATGCCTTCGGGAGAACCTCTGAATACCCATGGGATCTCGCCATCGTCGTTGGAGCCGGAGAGGCTGGTGGTCTTGAATTGATGGGCATCTGTCACATCTTCGTCGGTGATCAATGGCATGTCGCTAGCTAGAACCCAGGCAGGTGCTTCAGCAGATGGTCTCGGTGGGAGTTTAGCACCAGCGTGATCAACTGTGACCTGATGATCGTTGCGGAGCTTGCGGAAGAATTGGCCATTGTCTGAGACGGAATGATGGACTTTTCGGGGAACTTGGACAGTCTCTCCTGCCTGTTCCTTGGTGATATCGATAATATGTGCTTTGGCGGCCTCAACATCCTTTGGCTGACCTGTGATCTTGATACCAGACTGTTCACTTCCTTGTCTGGGAATATCGATTGCGACCTTGAATTTGGCCTCGAGGTCCTTCTTCGTCTCTCCTCCACGGCCGATGAGCGAGCGGTGCTTGTCTGTTGGCACGTCAATGGTTTCCGTAGTTTGGCTTTCACGATCGATGACAATCTGCTGCATAGCAGCGATGATCTTGTCCACGAGATCTTCCTTGCCACTGACTTTGATGGTGTTTCCATCAGCATCAGCTTTGGGGAACTGAACAGTCTTGGCAAGCTCTCGCTTGTCATCCGAACCTCCTGCATTACCCACGATGTCACGAAGAGCAGACCCTGCGTGAAGTTAGTAAGCCATAAAGATGTAGCGCGAGTGAAAACTAACCTCCTGCACCAATGAGTGCTCTGTGGTGCTTCTTGTCAACCTCAACGCTCTTTACCACGGTCGAGTCGTACACGGCTCTCTTCTCATCGATCATCTTCTTGGCTTGCTGAGCTTGAGCCTTAGTACCCTTGATCGAGATCTCAATGCGAGCAGATGGATCTTGATCCTTAGCAGCCTTGGGAATGTCGATTCTTGCACCGCTGACTTGTCTGATCTCATCCATTCCACTACCTCGCTGTCCAATCAAGGACGGAATCTGACTGGCTTGGACCGAAATCTTCTCTTCGTGAGAGTTGTCCTTGTAGTATTGCAAAAGGGACAAGATCTCTTCCCGGGCTTCATCAGCACCCTTCTTAGGTCCTTTTACGATGACCTCGTCAGGTGCTTGATCACGTCTACCACCCTTCACACTAGCAGCATCGGCACTCGATTGGTCGTCTCGGACAGGTTTGGCAGATCTTGGGAAGTGGATCTGAACCTTGTACTTGGTTTGAAGTCTGTTGATCAAAGCACCTTGAGCTCCAATCAGTTCGCTATGGAACTTGGGGTCGACCTTGAGCGTGTATGTAGTCTCATCGGCCCACTGTCTCGCAAGAGTCTGAATGTGGTGCTTGCAAGCTTCGGCCTTTGCCTTTGGTCCCTTGAGCTCTACTTGACCTTCGTTGACGTTGATTTCGACATCAAACTTGTCGCGGAGTTCACGGATGTGGCTGCCACCCTTTCCGATAAGTTGGTTGGCATGCTTTTGAGGGAAATCGAAGGCTGGCAAGACAAAGCCGCGCTCCTTCTCATCCGCAATTGCAGCTTCCACGAAGGCATTGACCTTAGCAGCAAGAGACTCAACAGCTGGAGCAGGACCGCGAAGTGTGACCAGAGTTCCGGCAGCACTGACTCGGACCGGAATCTCATCCTCGGCACGGCTGGCTTGCTCTTCTTTGATGAACTTCTTTAGCTTGTCATGGTGACTACTTACATTAGCGTGACCAAAACATCTTAAAGATACAACTTACACTCTAGGAACATCGATTGTGGTGCTGATGATCTCAGCTTGCTTGCTGATGATGTCTAGAATTCGAGTACGAGCGTCGGCAAGTCCTTGCTTGAAAGCAGATTTTTCTTGAGCCGTTGGTAAAGTCCGAGGAATTTCATAGCCAGTCTCAGCACTGCTTGGTCCCTCGAAAACAAGGAGAACGGGTGCGCCAGCTGGAGATCCATCCGGAATAACAATGTGTACACCGTGTTGCTGTCTAACCTCTGGGCTGATAGTTCGTCGGAGATGTGCGTGGAAGAATGGATCAACGTCAAGAGGAGCCATTCGCTCCTTGGGGTGCGCACGGAAGATTTCCTTCATCGAGTCCTTGGCTCTCTTGTTGTTTAGGCCGCTTTGTGACAGAATCTCGTATGTGATCTCTCCGTCTTCATCAACTGAGGTGACAATGTAAGCCTCGTGAGCTTTCTCCATTCTCTCAATCTCTTGCCGTTCCTTGAGATACTGAGCAAAGTTCCGTGCCACAACAGGGGGAAGCGAGAAGGAGAAGTCAGAGTTGCTGACAGCACTAGCTCTTTCTTCAGCAAAATCAATTCCTGCTGCCAAGCTAGCAGCTGGGCCTACGATAGTAACTTCATCGGTAGATGCATTAGGAGGCATGATGAGGGCACATTGTGTTTGAGCCAGGAAATCTTGTGGTGTCATGCCACGGTTGCCAACAACGAAATCACGTTGACCCCGCGAAAGAGAGAACTGGCGCATTGCAAGCTCAGTGCGCAGTTGCTCAGCTAATCTTTCAATCTCTGCGCGAGCCGCATGAACTGCGAGACGATCGCCATTCAAACTGATGTGGTTGTCGCCGCCTGCTGGGACGAACACGGGGGGTTGTCCTGCAGTTGCGGCGTCTGAAGACTGGGGTAACCATTGGCTGTGTGGGGGTATCTCGATTCGAACTTTATGCGAATCCTCAAGATCGCTTGCTGACCGCGAAATAAAGGGGTAAAATTCGGCAGGTATGGTTCGGAGCTTGGTGTTGACATTTGCACTTCGCTCGTTGGCAATGCTCTCAATGGCCTTCTTGGCCAGTAATACGGACATTGGGTTGCCCTCAACAACAATATCAATATCATCGTCCTCGTCAGCCGGCTCGTCGTCCATCTTCGGCATTTGTATGCGTGCACCAGTTGACTCTTGTAAAGACTTGATCATGGATCCACCCTTTCCAATGATATGAGCTCTCGCAGAGCGTGGGATGGCAACCTTAACTGAGGACTATTCCATTGTTAATGCAGCTTCTCCACGAAGAAAGTTGGATACGAACCTTAACTCCAATTTGTTGTCCTAAATCTCGGATTGCCTGTTGCTTCAGGGGTTCCTTCGCATTGCTAGTCTCCCTGAACTCTAGAACACCACCAGCTCCTTGAGTCATAGTCAAGTTTGTTCTTAACTTCTTGTTTATATCCTTCAGGATGTCTGACAGGGGCTTCTTCATTTGCGTCCTTGGAAGGACCTCGTGCTTCTGCAGAACGAGAAGTGGAGCCTGAATTTGGCTTGCCAGAGATTGTGGTGCGCCCCTGCTCAATGGTGGTGTAGGAGCATCAGATGTTGGAGTCGAAGCACCAGTGGTGGGTGTGCCATTGGATCTTCCATTGACTTGAACTGGGCCTTTGCCCCAAGATTTGTTAAAAGAGGGGGCTGCTGCAGGCTTAGAGCCTCCCAACCCAGGGAACAACTCTGAGGATTGGGTATCGAGGACAGGTCGCTTGTCTTTCGATGTGGGCTCCTCTGCCTTTCGCTTTCCTGCTGCTTTGGCCGATGGTGTAGCGGCCCATGTGGGCGCAACGGCAGCATCATCAACTGATTCGAGGGTTGTCTTCTCGCTTTGTGGATGCGGCTTTCCATTCAACTCGGACTCGTCCGGGACTTCCTCAACAGTAGGATTGTGAGCTTCGTGATGCGCCGGAGCTCCAGAGTCTGTGCCATTGACGCCATTTTGCGCCGTAGATGTAGTAGAAGCCATGATTTCCAATGGCCTTTATGAATGATCTCGAGGTCGTATGTTTTATGTGCAGGGTGGGAGTTTAGGGGAATGTGTGCAAAGACACCCAAAAGCGAGGATAACTATATGCGATTGGGCTGTCAGCATTGGGTTCGCAGATCAACCTGAGCAACAGCAAGGTCGGCTTGAATACATACCTAGAAGGCAGACGATAGGCGGGTGAATTGCAAAATCCAATTAGCCCGGGACGTAAGTGACGTTTTAAGGCCACGAAGACGAATTCAAAAGCACAGTTCCTATTCCCTAAGAAATTGCATAAGGGGCAGGGTAACAAGTGCTAAAAAGAAAGACCAAGGGACGCAGACAAGATGGAGGGATTAAGTAGGAGGCCGTCAAACGGGTCTGGACTGTGGTGATGGAATTGTGTGTGGTGAGGAACACTGGGCAACTTTCTAGAAGTATCAAGGAGCTTTCAAGGTGGAGAATATTAGACGAGGCCGCGAAAGTAGCGTTAACGCCTTGTGAGGCACCAACTCTGGAGGTTGAATAGGAGATTTTTCTTTCTTTTGAGGACGGATTAAAATTAAACAATTGGACTTGGAAGTATTGTCGAATTTTGTGTCTGATGGTGAATCGTCCCCAGCAGTTCGTTCAGCAGCTACCTGTCTGTGAAGGGCGATGATGGCAAGGATGTCGGTCCACGTGACCTGTCAGAACTGGACCTGACTGTCTCTAAAGTTTGTGCCCACTTCATTGCCAAGGAGTGAATTGTAAGGATATCAAGTTAGGTAGCGAGAAAATAGGGGTCGACGTTAAGCGGCAAGTGTTGCACGGTAGATGCTGTTATGGTATCTCTCTATTCTTCCCCTCGAGTTCTCAGCCGACTTTATACAAGCATCCCCTAAGTTACAGCAAGACTCACTTACATTTCAAGTATGACATTGTCTCCATCAGCTTTTATCAATCGAGTACTCGAGTCGAGCATCTAAATAATTTTCACAAATATATGTAGTCGTCGGACTTACAGCTCCCTGGACTTACTTGTGTAATTATTGAAGGTATATCAGGTAGCGGGATAATTAATATTCAAGCTATTCCGCACAAATGCACACAAATTCAATATATAGCAACGTGAATATGTCCAACTCCTCAACATGACAGGTCGACAATAGATAAGTGGTCAAGATACCCTCACTTGAAAAAGTCTTGTGTCATCGACGAGAACAGTGGAAAGAAAACCACGGCATAGTATACTTTTATAGTGTAGCTTAGCATCCCGAAAAAATGCAGCCGGCACTCACTTCCCGATTTTAGCCCTCATTCTCGTCGAGAGACTGGGCCGAGCAGAAATGTAGGCGGATTTTCATACTCGTCCATTGCACAGACGACTTTCTAGCATTCTCGGAACAGGTTGCTTTGAGCCCCGGAAGTGAGTCGATCCTAATCTCTGGAAAACTTTCGTGCTATCGTGCTGCATGGAATATCGTTGTTCTATGCTCGACATCTATTTCGGGGACACGAGCTGTGCGTGCGGATGGTGCCGTCATCGAAACAAAGTCTATTAGTCGAACTAAATCCTTCTTGAAGTGAACGGATGTTTCATGGCCATGATGTCTTTGCTTGAGAGCTTGGTCTAGGACATTTAAATTTTTAACTTTCGAGGAAAAAGGGAATGGTCCTGCGGGTTACAGACCGCCGTTGCTATCAAATAGGGCTGCTGAGTGGAAGCAACGTGTCAAGTGGCTGAAGAACAGACGAAAGCCGGCGCAATTCCCGACTTGGTCGTCGACGGGACTCGATGATGGACAAATGGGAGGAGGTTGGTGCTACAGCGTGAATTGAAAAAGCTCGAGTCGATAACGAGGTGCATACGAATGCTGTGTCCCCAATGTAGGTACAGTAAATCTTTCAGCCATCCCTCCATGCTGTGCAGCAGCCCACGTTTAGAAGGATCCGAGAATTAACACCCTTGGTGACACCCTCAACAAGCAATTGCGGTGTAAATTTCGTATTGAGTCTCAAATATGGTTGGGTTGGAACAGCGCAAACGAATGCGACCAATCTTGGATGCGCATTCCAGATCGAGAATGGAATCAAGGGTATCAAATGCTAAATCGGTGGAGTATGCAGTATACCTTGACTGGCCTTCATGCAGCAAGCGTTCGAGATATTCGGTAGCAGTACTTGTTGAGTTGTTATTGGAGAAGCGCGGGCAGACTTGCATCAATGACTTTGCCAACAAGCTGTGATCAGAAGCGCAGTGCATCTTCGGTTGGATTCAGAACAGTTCCAACGGTTGTACCGGTACTTATGCAGCCCAGCAGCTGCAGAAAGCCTGCCTGCAAGTGAAGTCATGATATACGGGTTCTATCGTCGTACCAAGCCAGCTCAGATGCAGAACTTGAGACAGCCATCTACCTCAGATACATGGAGGAGCCGATGAAATTTCTTGCTTGTCTCATCCCAAGATTAATCTTGCGGTAGGCCAGCAGAATAATGGCCGAGCTCGTTACCAATCGTCTTTCGTCTTACTTACTCGGAAGAGTCGAAGCTTACTTTTGCAAGAAAAGTAAATTCAAATGTAGACAGCATGGTGTAATCGTACAGGTACTATTAGCCGCGAGGTCGTTGTCGAGGACGACCGGGACCAGGAAGATGGCATTTGGACGATTGTGGAGAAGATTTGCCCCTTCCAGCAACCGCAATAGACCAGTTGCAAGATCCAGCCAATACCGGCAGACTGAACTCGTCCTGGTATGGCATGGCAGTGCTTTTGCGCAGTCGAGGAAATATTGGAGCTCCGGGGGAAGACGACGCGTAGCAGGTCAACCTGTCTTCCCTGCTAGAAGAAAAAAATCTACCAGGAGAAGTGTATCCAGCCAGAGGAGACCCATAGTTCTTTCTAATGTACTCATGATGCTGTCCAACCTCGCCCTGCCATGACTTAGACCGTTTGCACTGCTCTCCAACCTTCTACTCACCCTTCTAGCTTTCTCTTAGATCTCTCTAGCTCCTTTACCGTACAGTACAGTATCATCTGTAGTGGTCCTCCGTGATCGATAGCAATTCGGCTGTGCTGCACTGCACTGTGGTGTGTTGTACTGTACTGTAGCGTCCTTTACGGAATACTGTACTGCTGGCGAATGCATCCAGCGGAAACCCATTCCTGCCCGGTGCGTCTACTAGACCTTGTCTCTTGCTCTGGCATCTGATGGTCTGCTTTCTGCTGCACAGTTAGTAAGTTGTCCTCCTCGTCCCATACCAAACCTCGAGCTCAAAGTCAATTGCTGGCTGTCCTTCCTGTCCTGTCGTCCTGTCGTCCTATCCAGTCCTGTCCTGGTCTCTGGTGAATGAATTCTCCCGGTTCAGACCACAGCCGCCGCCGATTGAGAGACCAGACAAGTACGAGGCCGTGATTGGCGCGAAACGCAGCAGGACCAAGACCAAGACCAAGACCGGGTCCTCAAACGAAAGGCTCGAGAGTCTGAGTGTGCCGTCCTTACCCAACCCCAAAAATAATGGACGGAGCATCTGCATACTCGAATTCGAACTCGACCGCTTCCTCCCCCTACAAACATACCTCTCGAAAGTTGACCAAGAAGCCAAAAGCTGGGAGCGTTGCTGCTGCTGCCACGCAAGCGACGCCGCTCTCTGATGTTCACGTTCGCGGCAACGACCGACAATCTCTGCTGCGAAGCCAAACGAGTTCCTCAAGCCTCCGCCGAGCTCCCTCTGAAGCAACCCCTCCTACCCACAACTCCTCCTCCAGAACGCAACCCCCATACACTCATTCTCGAAGAATTACTTCCCCCAACCCCGGCGCATACACTTCCTCGACTTCCTCCATCGATCGCATCTCGGGTCCGTCACCGGTCCTCGCGAACGTCGATCAAGGTGGGGTGGTTTATCCAAACACAACGCGTCTTACCCTCACGGATCAATCCTCCCAAGAGCTCATCGGTGCACCTTTCGATGGCTCTGGCATTTTAAATCATATTGATTCAACAAAGGCCACCAACTACCAGAATTCTCTACGAAAGCCTCCTCCGCCTGCCGCAATCAATACCGAACAGATCGGAATGAGCCCCCCTCTGCGACAATCTGCCAGCTTCTCAGCAGGCGATAAGATGGCCGAGAAGACCACATCGCGATCCAGCGATGGAAACTCATCGGGAAAGCGCTATTCCGACGAGACAAAGGATCCCAAGACCGGTATGCTGCGAAAGAAGAGTGGTTTCTCGGGCATCATGTCCAATATCCTGGGAACACCTCGTACACCAAAGATATCTGCCCCAGAGAATCCGGTCCATGTAACTCATGTTGGCTACGATAATGAGACGGGTCAATTCACTGTAAGTCGCGCGCCCGATTGAACCAAGACGCGTTTGCTGATCAAACTAGGGACTTCCTCAAGAATGGGCACGTATGCTTGAGCAGGCTGGTATTACAAAGAAGGAACAAGACGAGCAAGATCAGGGCTTGCTGCGAAATGTAGTAGACTTCTACAAGGAGAACGCCGAAGGAGGAGATGATCAGATCTGGGAGAAGTTTCCACAGGCCCGTACGCCAGACCTTCGAATTGGTACATCGACTCCAGGACCTCTTTCGCCCGCATTGCTGAACACTCCAAACTATTCGACCCTCACGAGCCCTCCTGCAAGCCCCCGATTTCCCGCAAACCATGAGACTAGCTTTGAGAATCCTCGCTCGCCACCACCGGTTCCACGTCCTGGTCAGTCACCAATGCTGAACCAGTACAAGGATACAAATGGTATGGTCCCAACTCGTCCCGCCCCTAGACCTCCAGTTGCATACCCAACTCGGGCTGCACCCCCTCCTCCCCAGGGCAAAGACTCTGGTATCGATATGCCTCGTCAATCGGAGGACTTGCCGGCACTGGCCTACATCCCCCCACAACAAGATACAGCTGGTATGCTGCCAGAGGAGCATCGTTCCCGCTCCAATTCAAGAGCCAACGGTGTGTCTGGGCCATACAGCAACACGCTCGTCCAAGTCTCGTCTCCTCAAGCAACATATCAACAACAAATGGTACAGCAGCAACAAGCACAAGCCATGCAAATCGGACGTGCGCCAAGCAAGAAGGTGAATGGTGTTGAGAATGATGAAGTTAACATGAACAATCAGCAAGTTCGTGTTCGACAACAAGAAGCTCGTCCACGTCCTCGTCAGAGACCTGCACCCGGTACTGATATTGTCGCCCGATTGACCCGCATTTGCAGCCAAGGTGATCCCCGCCAAATATATTGCAATTTGGTAAAGATTGGTCAAGGTGCTTCCGGTGGTGTATATACGGGTCATGAGAAGGATAACTCACGACTTGTCGCCATCAAGCAGATGAACCTTGAACAACAGCCAAAGAAGGAGTTGATCATCAATGAAATCATCGTAATGAAGGAGAGTCGTCATCCCAACATCGTAAACTTCATCGACAGCTTTCTCATCCAAGGAGAGTTGTGGGTTATCATGGAGTATATGGAGGGTGGCAGCTTGACCGATGTGGTGACGTTCAACATCATGAGCGAGGGGCAAATTGCTGCTGTCTGTCGCGAGACTCTGCAGGGACTGCAACATCTCCATAGCAAGGGCGTTATTCATCGTGACATCAAGTCGGATAATATCCTGTTGTCCAATGATGGCAATATCAAGCTCAGTAAGTTGTCCAAACACGTGCGTTTCGAAGGAGAGCGGAGGACTAACTTTGTTTGCAGCTGATTTCGGATTCTGCGCTCAGATCAACGAGCACCAGTCCAAGAGATCCACGATGGTCGGAACCCCATATTGGATGGCACCAGAGGTCGTAACACGTAAGGAATACGGTCGAAAGGTTGACGTCTGGTCTCTTGGAATCATGGCAATTGAGATGATTGAGGGCGAGCCTCCATACCTCACCGAGTCGCCTCTGCGTGCCTTGTACCTCATTGCGACCAATGGTACTCCAGTCGTAAAGGAACCCCAAAATCTAACGGAGGTATTCCAAGACTTCTTGTCGTTTGCGTTGAAGGTCGATCCTGAGAAGCGCGCAAGCGCATATGACCTGCTGAGAGTAAGTCTCCGCTTTAAATCGTAGGAAAACGAAACTGACACGTCTGCAGCATGAATTCATGAAGAAGTGCACACCTCTCTCCGAATTGGCACCGCTTGTCCGCTCTGCTCGCACTGCTCGTGCTGCTGAGAAGCTCGGCAAGCCCAACTTCCACGGATGAACAACCATCTCCCCTTGTAAGAGTCACGTAAAAAGCTACCATCTTCTCCTCGGGAAGACGCATAATCACGCAAGCAAACAGTTTCCTCCTTGATTTTCCACAACAACCTGTTTCTCTGTTTATTAGGCGGTCCGCCATCATCGAAAAAAGCACACACAACTATAAAACAAAGTCACGTACAGAAACGTGATTTTACATCTCGCGAAAGAAAGCATAGGCGTTCAGGCAAAGGGCTCTGGTTTTGTTCGACGACATTTGGCACGGCGTTCACGGATGGCTCATAACTACATTGGGCCTCTTTTCTTTCTACCTCTCTACTTTCTCAATTGTACAGCTCCTATGAGAAGAAGAGATGATGAGAGAGATACAGCGGCCAAGTTCTTCATTTCTCCTCGACACAATAACTCGAACTTCCCCTTCTCTGGATTAGCGTGTTTGATTGGCAAATTTGGATGATCTCTCTTCCTTTTTTAGGGGGTCATGTGTCTGGGTATTAACAAACGAATGTGATGGATATGAAAGATTTGCATGCATGTGGTGGTGGTGGTGGTGGTCTGGGGATGACGAGATACACACAACAGAATTGGGGACGAGATAACGTTGGTGAGCGAGTGGTGAGAGAAGAGTGATTGAGTGGTGCGTGCGTGCTTGGTTGGAACGGGGGTTCTGTGCGATGCTGTCGTGATGTGAAGATGGGATATCAGGACATTGACAGTAGGATGGCATGGGCGTCGTTTCTTTCCTGATAAGGTAGAAGATCAATAAGATTTGTTCACCTGTCGAAATCTTGCTTGTTTGTTTGCTTGTGCGTGATTTCCTCTTGTGCTGGCTGGCTGGTCGTGGGAGGTGGGGCGAATTGGTGTGAGGGTCGTCGAAGGTGAGGAAGAATGGAAGGTATATTAAGATCTGTTTGCTAACTCCTAGTGATGGAAACCAGGCAATCATAGCACATTACAACCCCAGAAGCGTTCAGACCTGGAGGGTGATTCACAACCTCTGCTCTGGCATTCTAGGTTTGTCTTTCACACAAAATCCCAATTCATCTGATCCGTGATCTGTTTACTGGCCACATAGGGAAGGATGAGAAAAAAATGCAGTCACAGCACATTACAAGACCAGAGGCGTTCAGACGTGGAGGGAGATTAGGAATTGTTGATTGTGGAATTTTAGGTCTGACTTCCTCCAAGAATATATAGATGAATCTGCACATTGCAAGACCAAAAGCGTTTAGAACGGGAGGATAATTTAGAACTACAGATTCTAAGATTCTAAGTTTGTCTTCTTCCAGCAATGCAAATGATTTTGCTAACTTCTTTCATAGCTCAAGATCCATTCTACCTCTGGCCCCCAAACATTGCTAACGGTCAAAGAAAGGGTTTTTTCTTGAAGCTCGCACAAGGACGCCTATGTAATTTCCAGTACATAAAGCCTTCAGAGCATTTATTGGATCCATGGTCAATGATCCTTCACAATCCCAAGTGTGAATCTGACATCCAAGTAGTTTTCGAGTTCTTGACAGCAAACGTGAGCTTGACAACAGCTTCTCAGCTGAAAGAGATGCGGTAAGCAGAAGCCGATTGACTTGTAGAGTGTTGGTTGATAGAGGTGGTGGTGACGCGATTCTTGGGGGGGGAGGGGTATTTATAGACCGTTTTGGAGCGAAGCGTTCGAATGTGGTCAGTGACTAGGAGGAGGGGTCAGAGTGAATAGAGCCGCTTGCTGTGCCTGGGAGTAGTGAATATATATCTCGAAAGAAGCGGCTAGTGGTTTGGCGCTGGGTATATAAACGCTCGATCGATCTGTTCTTACTTCTTTTCAAACTGCAATTTCCGAGCACGATGGAATCCGACCGCAAGGATGTTTCTCGGGTTCGGGGCTTTGCTGTCTGTGGCCAGGCCCCCCTGGTAGCCCGGAGTTAAGTTGCTCTGCTCGATTTCGGTTGCGATATCAGTTGTCTTCGGTGTTGCCGTTGTGTTATAGTATGCTTGCTTTGTTGACAATTGGATGATAGTTGACAACAACCATTCCACACAAACACTTCAAAAGAAATAAAGCTAGACTACAAAGACAGAGATTTTAGAAGTTCTACAGCCCCGGGTGACTTTTGGATGTGACGAGCCGGGGTAAGGGAAGGAGAGGCCCGGCTCCAGAACCGTAAAGTGGGGTCTCCTGCTTGGTGTTATGGGACAGCTGAGGAGACAAGAAGGGGCGTTATATACGCACTAGCGTCGAGCTAGTAGTTTCGAGTTATGAGGAGGGCCTTGGAGTGAATGTTCTTGGGGAGTGGGTAGAGTGCGAGGATATCAATGTGGGGCGGAAACGAAGATTGACGATGGTATACAAAGTTGGTGCAAGAATGAGAAGTGACAATGATCATTCCCTATCCATACACCTCATAGGAGTAGAGCTGGAGAGTCTGTCGATACCAAGAAGATCTATAGCCGGGGCGATATCTGGACTTGACGACATTGGAGTGCCGGGCTCATCGTTCTCAGAAGGTTTAGATTCGGTGTTGTTGTAACTGGAGAAACAGAACACCACAACGGGTCGTTTTATGCTCACTAGCGTCGAGCTAGAGGCTCTGCATCATAAGAGGGAGGACGGGACTATGGTAGTTTGCTTGTGAAGTCAATGGAACAAGACTTAACGGTAGAGTAACAGTTGACAATGACTATTTTGCATCTAGATACCTCATAGGAGCAGATCCAATGTCTATCGATGTCAGGGAGCTCCATGACCCATGATTGTTAGATTTGAAGAGTTGTGGTATGGAGCTGGGGAGCTTCTGATACATATGTATCATAGCTTCTGTAGCTGAGGATGAGTAATGTGTGAAAGAGGCCGTTCCATGCTCACTATCGCCGAGCTGGTGAGCGTGAATTGTAGAAGAGAGGGTTTGGTAGGTCTCTTGGAAGTGTCTACTATCTGCAAATGGGGAATAAACGTATGAGGAAGTGCTGCTTAGAAACTTACATTTGAGCGGAGAGTATTCTTTGTGTCGAAATCACAAATGCTGGACCTCCAAAGAACTTTATGGTCTTCAAAATTATTGATCTGGTGTATGTTACTTTGAAATTTGTCTCAATATTATCACTCTAGTTTGAGGCGCTGGTTTTGCTGGCAATGGGATAATAGTTGACAACGCAATAAGCGTTAGCAACAATTGTTCTTCATTGAAACTTTCAGATCCACTAGCAGTGCGTATGTAGTAAATCTCACATCGTATGGTGGTCATTAGATTCGATTAACTGCGGTGGTAGATCAGGGCCCGGAGAGCTCCAGATACCTGTGCCTGGATGTTGTCGACAAAGTTGAGGAGGAGGTAATGCGAAGAGGGCGTTTTATGCTCACTAGCGTGGAGCCAGTGGCATTGAATTGTGAAGAGACTTGGAAGAGCTTTGGGGTGAATCCCTAGGAAAGGAAGATTGTCTGCACTGAGAGCTGAAAGAGGTATATAATGACCTGCCTCTGGTTACGAAATGGTGTGAGACGAGAGATTCTCTGAGCCACAATCACATCAGCTCGATCTCCAACTTCCAAGTTTCGGCGTAACGCCTTGTTTTTGAGAGTGCTGCGACTTTCATGATCTAGGGTATGTTCCTTCAGCAAGCGTTTGGTGTTAGCATTCGCATTCTTGCCATATTCTCAAATATCGGCATTATTAGCAATGTGAAATCGATTTATAGCAGAAGAATAGTTTCTATCTAACAATGCTGCCACGTCTAGAATGCTTAATATAAGTGTAAGGCAAGGCAAGAGCCTCCATGTAGGATATCCTACGACTGTTGGACCGGGAGGGCTCCAGAGACGTGGAAAGAGAGTGGTTCCTTTTGTTTGCCATCGTGATAACATTAGGAAAGGGGCGTTTTATGCTCACTAGCGTCAAATTAGTCGTTCTGAGTCGTAGAAGAGGAGGAGGATCGGGAGGTTAGAGTGAATTTCTTGAGGTTTTGTGAGGACAGAAAAGCAGATTATATAAATCAAAGCTTGAACTTCCTCTGCTTACCCAATCTCATACAAATAGTGCATCCTGAAATCACTGGATCTACATAGCCCACCAAAGCCGCATTCCGTTTAGAACTTTTCCATGTCTCCTCAGAGTACCGTCACATGAAGGAAAGGTCCTGATTCTGAAAAGCTTGACTCGTTCATCACCGTCATTGCCAATGAGGTTACCCAACGGAGTAATGATTGATACTCGAGTAAAAGTTCACAAGAGAGGTAAAGCTTGATGGTGACAAGATTTTGGTTGTTTCTTTCACCAACACAGCTAGTCCTTCGACGTCCTCTATCAAGAGAAACAATTGAATGTATATCAGAAGGGATTGCCAAGGAATGGGGACAGGAAGCTGTAGGTCGTCGATTGCTCTTCTTCTTCACCTATTTCTTCAGTGACATTCTTTATACGGCTGGGGTTTGAGAACAGCAGGAGTGAATGAAGACAAAATCTCTCTCAAAGCGACGTATATAAGCATGCGATCTTCCCTTACTCTTGATCATATTGCTGATCAACCTCATCACAACCCATGCGGCTCCTTTGGAAAGTCTTGACTTTAAGGATCTTGCTGTCTTGCTTGCTTTGCTCGGAGAATAGTTGCAACACTAGTGGACATCAGTGTCATTATCATCGTCTTGATCCAGTTTATTGGACTTGTTGAAGACAAAGGAAGAGTTGATAGTAGCGTAATAGGTGCTAATTGAAGAACTCTTGACAACAATCATTGCCTCTTTGAGAATGCACCAAAGGAGGATAATACAGAGGGCTGCGTTTGGGGAGCCCCGGTTGTAATCGCCAAAAAGATTATCCGGGCTCATCACTTGTAAAGTCCAGCTCGTTCGGATTCAGAACTCCGCCAGAGGAAGAGAAGAACGAGGATTGGGATATTTTATAACTACTAGCATGGAGCCCCTGTGACTCAGTTCCAAAACGGAGAATCGAGGTGAACTCCTTGAGAATTGAGCTGGGTCTTATGGCTATATGGGTGAATACATATGGAAGTGACATGTACTGCAAATTCAATCTTACTTTTACTGCAGATTAGTTCCAGCAGCTGGTTTGGATTGCAAGAGACATTGGGCAACAAGTAAAGCTATAAGAGTTTTCTAGACATATTGGACGACTTACCTAGCTTTGAAAAATAATTTTTTGATAGATATTTTGTTCTTTAGGAAATTGCTTTGATTAACTTAAGATAAAACGAGGCTTGACAACATTCACGATTTCCCTCTCTGCATGAAAGAAGAACAAAACAAATGATTGCTACCGATGAAGATATTTGGGGCTGTTGGACCTGGCTTTGCAGTGTTAGACTAGGAGCCGGGCACATGCTTGCTGCTGCTTGTGTACGGTCTTCTGTTCCCGGGACAGGTTGATAATAGAAGGAAGGGACAGAGCAAGAATCTCGGCGTTATATAGTTCCTAGCGCCAAGCTAACGTCGAGTCATAAAGAGAAAGGATTTGGAGAAATTTTGGAGAAATAAGTTAGTGTTCTTCAGGAGGATGCTGTGTAATATTGTAACGCAATGATTAGTACTTATGCCATATACTAGATGTGGAGCAGTTCAAGGACTTTGGGTGAGTTGGGATTTTTCTGGCCACGTAATGTTGCAACCTAACAATAGTACTTATACTAACTACTAGCTATGGTGCATTTCAAGGACTTTGGCTAAATAGATGATGACTTAGAATAGTGGCTTGGATAATGCTCGCTTGAGGTTTCCCGTTAAGGAACAAAGGTTAAAGTCGTGTGCTGCCTATCTAGTGTGTATTGTATGTAGATCTAATTGACAACAAAACAAGAGTTAACAACAACAACTACCACTTATTTCCCCCGGAAAGAAACGAAACCCACGAGAATATCAATATTGTAGATATCCACAAATCTTTTCCTGCTCGATTTGTTCGCTCCTCATTGCGTTCCTAAGAATATGTTGGTGAGAGAGCGGACAAGATAATGATAGAGTCGTTTTATGCTCACTAGCGCCAGATACCAATGTACTTGTCAGGCAACAAATACTTGAAAAGGCTGAAATAGAGAGGTGAATATATTTACAGAGCGGCAGCAGACAGGGAGAGGTCGCAAAATCTTCTTACAACGTGCTCATGTCAGGCCGAGATGGAGAGGTGAATGTTACAGAGTTAAAGAGACCTGGACAAAGAGAAGTCGGGGATAACTTCACAAACAAGTATAAAAACAACAAGACAGCGACCATGGACCTGCTGCTTGTTCCCTGATCGCGAAGCAAGAAAGCAGATGTGTTTCCTGTAAAGCCGAATAAACAGATTGGTTAGCTGGAGAAACCTTAGTGTTTTGGAATAAGACTTTAAGTCTAAATTACTTGAAAAATCACTTGAGACAGAATGCTGACAGTAAAAGATATCTTGGCAACAATCAACTTTGAATCCCATGGAGTTGCAGCACGAACCATTTTTCCTTCTTGGCCCAACGAAGATCTTTTGATAAAAAGAAAAGAAAAAGCGGTGGAGGCGGCCGCCTGTATTTATACACAAAGGATAGGAGATGATTTCCGGAGCCTGTGATTCACTTGTATATGATTTCGGAATCTTTTGTCCGTTATTCCAGAATTCACTAGATTGAAAATATTCACTACCGCGGATCTCGCAACATTCGTCCGTCATTGAGGATTTCTCCAAGTGAGCTGTCAAACAATGATCCAGTCCCAAAGAAGAAAACTTTCGATGCTTATTAACGACAACACCCAAGTTGACAACAACTGCATTTCTCGGATCTCGGATATGTAGAACCAGTATAACCGATTCTCGTGAAAAGGGGGAGACCAATCTGACAATCTGAGAATCAGACAGGGGCTAGGTCGGGTTGATGTGCGATTGACTGCTTACGTTTGACGTGTCATAGCTGAGGGGATAGTATCTATAGGTTGCTAGAGAATCTTCTACAGGGGAGAGCAAGTCGTTTCAAGGACAGAAGGGGTGGATTTGATGGATAAAGGAATTGGAATTGCCCAGGGGAAAGCACGGAAATGGTCTGAGGCCGAGAAACCATTTCAATCCGCAAACTTAGATTATGAAAACGTTGATTGATTGAGCTTCACCCTGTCATGACCTTATAGATCAGGCCTAATATCAAACCAGAAAACGGCGTCCGGAGGTTAAACTTCCGTGTCAAAACTATCAGTGAATCAGACATCAAACCTTAAAACCTCGTCCTTCGTCCAATAGCTCTCCCACAACCCATCCTCAAAGTCTATAAAAGCCCCGACCGGCCCGCCCATTCTCCGGATGCCGATCCAAGTCCACCTAAATCCGAAGTGTTCAGTGGTGCTGTGGGAGATATGGTAGGTTTCTTAGAAGCGCGCTGAGGAAGTGGAGTAGTGCCAACCTTGTGACTGTACGGCTTTACTGTTGTCAAGTCCACGTTTATTGTCAAGAATTCCGAGGCAAGCCCCCCCCTCCCCGCCCCCCGCCCCCCCAAATCTCTCTCGAATGTGTGTCTTCACCTTTATCCAAGTCTACAATCTTTGTTCAAGCACGAAGCTAAGTGCAACCCGGAGCCACAAAGCCAGCAAACACAGGACGCAATTGTACTGGGCGGTGAAGCTTTCTTGTTGATAAGAAAAGAAGAAGAAGAAGAAGATAGAGCTGGGTGGGCGACCGCTTGTATTTATAGGCGGAGGTCTGGTGGGAGAAAGGAAATTTCTCAGTTTATCTCGTACTCTCCTGTCCCGGGATTCACTAATAACTTTGACACGGAAGTTTAACCTCCGGACGCCGTTTTCTGGTTTAACGTCAGATTCACTAATAACTTTGTACTATATATTCGACAAACGGAATTCTCTAACATCTCATAGACGCCGAGCCGAGAAAGAGCAATCGAGATGACGCCCGATCACTGTCCGGGCTGCATGAATTCTGGTTAGCCTAATGTAACTCAACGTCAAGTCTAAGTCGGTTATTCTATGGGCTTGAGAATGCCGATCAACGAAGAGCCTTGTGCACAATTTCGCCACTTTTGTCCGTCATTAAAGAAATCTGATGATCTCTCGTTGAGTGAATCTAGAGCATTGTGCACTAGTTCAGTTTATCCTCCCCTTTTCTATTTATAAATACCGGCGGCCGCCCCGCCCGCTTTTTTTCTTCTTTTCTCAACAACAAAATCGCGATCAAGCTAGAGCCAGAGCTGGAGTGGGCGAAGTTGACAAATCTTTCCATTGGAGAAGTCTCACTGGAGCCATGCCTGGGTGTTGATTCAAACTTTCCTTTGAGCGAGATCTTTCTTGACAACACATAAATGTTGACAGCAATATTTGCTTCGTGACAACAAAATAAGAATAATCTCAAAACTTTTCAGCCCTTAGCTTCCCAAGCAATTGCACGCTGTCTAAAGCATCAAAGAAAATTCACAGAAGGAAGGGAAAATGCGGTTGGCTAGCGGTCGAGTGTGCAACAGCTCCTGGATCCTGCTGAGTTGAGTAACTTTCAGATCCCTGTAGTGCCTTTGTTGACAAAAGAAGGAAATGGGAGTAGGTGGTATTTATATACCTACCATATACTTACTTTGAAGGAGTGGATTGACTTGAACCTTCTCCTGAAGCGGGAATAAACTTAGCCTCGGACGTAGAAAAGAGAGAGAGAAAAAAGGAAAAAAAAAGAGATCCAGTTCACTAATACCAAAAATTCACTCTCTCTCCTTATATGTCGGGAAGAAGAAATTTCTCACTAGTATATATACTTCCAGGATCTAACGCTTTTGGGAAATCAACATTGGAGCATTGAACGGCACCCCTCGTCTAATTGGACCGTCCGATCAATCTGTCACCCAAGAGGTTGACGCGTTGATCATGATATGCTTTATGAACCTGGATTTGGATAGCGTGTTAACGAGTCTAAAAGTTGGGACATAAATATCTAGCTCAGACGAATTCGTGAAGATGGCTGACATGCAGGAAATTTGACAGCGCTAATATGTTGACAACAAAAACAAAGTAAAGTCATCAAATAAGAAGAGAAAGATGAGTAATATAAGCAAGAAATTTGGCTTACGGTAAGACGCAAATCGTCTCATCCCAACACCCAACACCATAGCTTCCAAATCTCGGTTCTCGTCTGAAGCTTATAATACTCTGGCCACTTCTTTGCGATCGCCTTGACAGCTCCAGAGAAAGAATTTCCTAAAAGAGTTAGATCCTACGCAATATATACCTGAGAGGAATTATTGAGGAGACTTGTGATTCAGTCCCATGATTCACTCTTTCAGACATGATTCAAAAAGTCTGCTTCTCAGTTGATTCATTGAAATTTCCAGAATACCCACTAAATTGAATCCTAGAAACACCATGACCTTAAAGTTCTGAAAGGACAAGAGTGAATTGCCACCGCAAGTAAATCTGCCGACTGCAGAAAGCAAGAAACAGACCAGAATCCCGGAGCTTGCAACATAAAAACCGATCCAACGCTTTTAGGACAAGCCGCAAATCGAGAAAGTAGGGGACAAACGTGTGTCTCCTGGAGCGAAAAGAATATAAAAAGCGCGGACCCAACAGTCTTCAAATACAAAGGCATATGCTAGCTATTCGAAAGGAGCATGCTTGGAAGAGGCGTGTAGAGTGTGGTGATTAGGTGGGTTACATAGATTATTGCAAGGTTTGACAACGACAATTGAAACTCGGCAAAGACATCATTATACTTGTTCGAATTAGCTCCGCCTCTCTCGTCCGAAGCAGAGTCTTAGCCACGGCAGTCAAAACAAGAAAGAGGAAGCGAATGAAGATGATGCAACGATGGCAGAGCGGGGAAAAAACAAACAAGAACCACCAAGCTTACAATTTCTCACGAACAAGTACCGACTTTGTATCTAAGCAAACTGTGAATTATCCCTGGTGCACTATTCACTCTTGCCCACAAGCTGGTAACGGAAACCCTGCCCGACTTACCATTTCTACCTTTTGTATATAAACATCAACCCGGAGGTCGGAGATAGTTTCTTCCGTGTCGACAAACTTGAAGAACTACAATCTCATGGTTGTGAGCCCAAGTATGAAAACCCAGAAGCTGATCTAATGCTTTTGGGAGCGGCGGCACAGGACCCATCCGAGTCTTAACGGTCAGCTTTCCCAGATACAGATCATTGCGGAGCTTGACAACGATAACTAAGTAGATGTTGACAACGCAATCAATTTGGGGGACAAGGAATGACAACAAGAATTTCATCCTTACAAAGATCAAGATTTCCTACATAAACTTTAGCTCAAAAAAGTCAAAACTATTGTGCGTGCCATCAGAAGGACTTGGCAGCCCAAAGGCACCGTGGATTGGAACTCTTGATCAAAGTCTTGTTCTGAGAAACGGATTTCTGGACGGTCTTCGGCCGTTATATATACCCGTCCCCGACTACAGATCTAGACGAGAATTGGCAATCTTTTCATGAGTGAATGAAAACAGGTGTGAGTCAAGCCCAAATCCAAATCCAAGCTAACAGCCATCTCCCAAGTATATAATCTCCCAACCTAACGCTTTTAGGGAAAATATCCGTCGTTTAGATACTTTAAGCTCGCACACCGGAGGCCGATGGGCGGGCGCGGTAAAGTCCCAACTTTTTTCATGACATTTGATCATGATATGTACTAAAGCTTTCCAGAGCTACTTTAGCATGTTTAGGATAGAGAAGTTGTTTAGTAATAAAGAAGTTGACAATAGGTGCCTAGGAATTACTGTCAGATCTCTTGTTGCTGTCAACAAACCCACCAATGCATGTAACAAAAATGTAGGAAGAAAACAAACTTTTACCGCATTGTACAACACATTTTTGATTCCTTGACCTGCTTCAAAGTCAGGACTTGATATCAGACAATAGCGGTTTTGTTGCACAACCCCGGGTTGGTCTTGGCAGTTAAGTGAGACCGTTGGACGAGAAGCTGGAGGAAGTGTTTCTGCAACATGCCTCCTAAATTCCATAATCACGACTTCTAATCGGAAAGAAGGTTTCTACAGCGGGGAAAAGGTTTCTTATCTCGAGGAATCAATTGTGATTAACACTTGATAAGCTCAAAAGTCAATCTCCAAAGATAGACAATACCTTATTCTTTTGTTGCACATCGGAATTGTCAATAGAATAAATGCTCGGAAAGTTTGTCTAGTTGACCGTACTTGACAAGCTTTAAAGTCAGTCTCTAAGGATAGACAATACCTTGTTCTTTTGTTACACATCCCGCCTTCCAACAAAACTTTTGCTTAGAAAGTCTGTCCAGTTGATCAGACTTGACAAGCTCTGAAATTAGTCATTGTGAACAAACAATACTCTGTTGCTAGAAGCACCACAAGCCATAAATCTCAGACAATCCATTGAACGGCGGCTTTCAAGACCTTTCAAAAGTTAACTCTAGCAAGATCTACTACCAGTAGCCTCTTGTAACATTCCTGGAGTCTGCCGTTGCGCTAGATTATATACTCGTGCTCCTCTGCGCAAAATTAGCAAAATAAAAAATCACATTCATTCACTCTGTCAAAGACTCAAAATCAAGAAACTTGAATCGATCACCAAAATTAAAGCCGTATACGACCACACTTCCAACCTAGCGAGCCAATCTTTTGTAGCACCCAAAAGTCAACACTCAGAACCATCGACCGAAATCGATAGTTCTTCCAAACGAGCAGCTGGTGCTAGATTTAAAGAGGAGGCTATAAGTCCATCTGGAAATCTGTCAACTGAGCTAACAATATATTAGATAACCTTGGGTTTTCCAGACTACATGGTAGAGGAATTGCTTATTTAACTTTATATACTAATCGAAACCTTTACACGTCATAAACAGATACCACACGGGATCACCGCTGGGCTTTGGCCTTTACGCTACTTCCACAGGAGCACAAGACACAGCGTTTAGACAACTACAAACTTATACCCCTCTGCCATGAACGCCTAGATTAGGCGTTACAAACCTGACTCAATCATCTTTAAACTCATCCCATGAGAACAAACAAAAGCATTGCTATTACACCCAACCCCCCAACAAAACCAGACTTGATGAGCTTCAAAGTCAAGCTCCAAAGAAGGACAATGAGAAACAACTTTCCCAACAATGGTTGAATGGCTAGGACAGACAATGTCCTACCCGTCATACATCGTATCTTCAAATCATATTTCAATACAAGCAAAAGCGAAAAGGGGGATGGTCAGTACTTAAGCACTTGCTAGACGGACCTTTATTAAGAAAGACTTTCGAGCAGAGATCGTAGGGAGATCATCCATACTTAATCGAAGGACACATACATACATGACATTGAACAAAACAACCAAGGTAATAGCTTATCCCTACTTCGGCACATCACAACTCGCAACCCCTCACCCCTCAACCCCCTCAAAGCCAACATTTCCTCCCAGAATAAAAACCCAACCCCTCGCCAGCAGCCACCAAATCCCAACAACACATTCTACCAATCTACCATTCTACCATTTTCATGACCACTCACTCACTCACTCACTCACTCACTCACTCACTCACTCACTCACTCCCTCCTTCCCCTCCCTCCAAGATCTTAAACCACTCACTCTCCTGCTGGTCTCATATTCTTTAACTGCATGAAACGACAACAACAGGAATTGGCAACAAAACGCTCCTTGACAACACCATCACCACCAACCATCACCACCGCCACCACCACCAAAGATAACCTGAGACCTGCAGAAAAGAAAACTCCCAGACGCCAGCCAAAAACAGAGAACCACAACCGGGCTCAGCAACCAGCCATGAATCAACAACAAAGATTGGGTTGAGGTTGAAGAAGAAAAAAGAGGAAGAAGAAGATGGGGGACAGGGGTATTTATAGATAGATCTATGGTTGGAGGAGGGAATAGAGGTGGGGGAAGTGAGAGGAGGGAAGAGGTGAGTTGGAAAGTGGGGTGAATATGGAATGGAATGAGGCTTGGGAGTGAATCTTTAGTTGTTGCAATCTGGAAGAGGGAAAGTGGGAAGAAAGAAGGTGAATAATAGCAAAGCATTCACAAAACACCATGAGATTGAATAGAGCAAGGCAGGCAGGCAGGCTACTTAGCCCCCAAACCTTCCACATTGCAGCGGGGTAATTCACCAAACCTCCTCCATAATTCAATGAAAGTCAAACAAACCCGTCATGTCACAGCACAAGATTTCACAGTCACGCACACAATTTGCAGAATCCGATCCGCCATTTGATTACCTCAAGCAAAAGCAACCGTCTAAAAACTCCCGCAAGCCAATCCTCGAGACCAGAAAAGAAACGCTCAACCACAACGAAGAAGAACCATAAGAAATCTACCCGCTTCACCTCCCCCGCAACCACCCGATTTTCTGCTACGCAATATGACGACGACCTGCAGAAATAGCTGCTATATACCCCCCAAAAATCCTCCAGCGAGGACACCCACCTCATTATCCTTCAGTAGAGGGTGTAGCCGCCGTCAATGATGACATTGCTGCCAGTCATGAAAGCGGAGGCGTCGGAAGCGAGGAGGACGGCGAGGCCGTTGAGGTCTTCGACGGCGCCGAGGCGGTTTTGAGGAGTCAAGGAGCGCCAGATCTTCTTTTGGGCGTCGAGGGCTGGGACGTTGTTTAGGGCTGTGTCCATGTAACCTAGATTTGTGCGTTAGTTTTGGAAGTGTGCGGGGTAAATGCAGGGAATAGGGGAAGCGAACGTACCTGGAGAGATGCAGTTCACGCGGATGTGGTACTTGGCCCATTCGGCAGCCAGGGACTTTCCGAGTTGGATGACACCGGCCTTGGAGGCGTTGTAGCAGGATTGCTCTTGTGGGTAGTTGACGATGGAGCCGGACATGGAGGCGATGAAGATGATGGATCCTGGCTTGTTGGCTGCGATCATGTGCTTTCCGACGGCTTGGGCCATCAAGAAGGAACCGTTCAGGTTGATGTCAATGAGGCGTGCGAACTTCTTGGTGTCGTAGGTCTCGGCAGGCATATTGGAGCTGGAGAAAGTAGAAGTTAGCAAATATTTCGTCATTGGCAGATTCAGCTGATCTCGAAGTCATGGGGAAAACTTACTCAGCGATACCGGCAGAGTTGATCAGGACATCTGGGACACCGTAGGCCTTGACGATAGCAGCAATGGACTCGGTGATGGCGTTCTCGTCACGAACATCGACGTTGTAGAAAGCGACCGGGACGGAATCACCAGTCAACTTGTGAAGCTCAGCAACAGCCTCCTCTCCAGTTGCTGGGTTGGCATCCATGATGATGAGAGCCTTAGCACCAGCCTCGGCACAGGCTTGGGCCATTGAGTATCCAAGACCACGAGCACCACTGAAAAGATAGAAGTTAGCTGTTGTTCTACCGCCCTCTGTCAAGGGATTGTAAACGTGAATAATTCCTCTCGCAGAAGCTTTACGCTCGCGGAAACAGTGCATAACAGATCGGAGTAGCTTACCCAGTGACGACAACAACCTTGTCCATGAGAGAAAGCCTCTGCATGGTGCGAGGAAGCTGGTTGTAGACGGTCTTGTTCAAGGGAGCGCCCTCAACGGAGGTTTGGTCGACCTTGATGGTGGTACGCTCAATGTGGCCATCGGTGTAGGTAGCAGCAGAAACCTCTCCAGCAGCGACAACGTCAGGAACTGGCTCTCGAAGACGAGAAGCAGCTGTGAAAGCAGCGCGGGAGACTCTTGAGACGGTTGGGATTGCGGCGACGCGTGAAGCGCGAGCGGCGCGGACGATCTGTCGGGAGAACATCTGGTGGAATGTGTTTGCGGGTTGTAATTAAAAGTTGTAGAAGTATCGGAAGTTGTTATGGGTATCGAAGAAGAGAAGTGGTTGTGGTTGTGTGGGAAGGAAGTTGGGAAGGACGCGAGACGAGGACTTTTTATATCTGCGGAAAGGGTCGAGGCTGCGTGAATGCGAAAATGACGACGTTCCACTAGCACAATCGAAATTCACTTTTTGTATGACACAAAAAATTATCTCCTGATGCTCCGCTCGCTTTTATTTTTGAATGGACGCAGGAAAAATGGCTTCTAAGACCTGGGGAGGCTTTTGTGGTGTGGGGGAAAAGAGGGATTTTTCTGTTCACCACTGATCAGTTTATGCTCGTTTGATTTTGCAAGACAAGTGTCTTTGAACTTACCTGGGGAACTTCTAATGTTTCTAATGAGAAGAATGTCGATTTTATGAGCTGAAAGCAAAGTTGCTGAGAGCGCAAACAAGATTGGGTATATAGAATTGGTGATCGTTGTAGCAGTTGTACAAACAAAAAGCAGTCGTCGTCGGAATCCCAGCTCTTGGTCTTCCTATCAATCTCTTTTCGTCTATCTCTAAAACAAGCGTTGCAAAGAGCAAGAGTCTAGATTCTGAACAAACAAAGAAGGATGTCTATAATGATGAAGCAAGGACTTTTGGGGTGTGCGGGCGGGCGTCTATTATATCTAGTCAGACGGGACTTGGCCACCGTTTCGTATCCGTCACGAGGGGAGATCTTTTCGAATAAGCAAAAGGCTTTCTAAAAACAAACGCCGATCGGATGGTGGTGTTTCCTGGGAGATACGAAGGGACCTAGACTCGGAGATGGGCGGTGCGAGATATCTTTTCTCTGAAATACTGCGTGATGAAGAAGAAGTGAGCTGCTATGAAATGGGAATGGGGGGCAAGAGGTCAGGTTCTTTTCTAGAAAATTTCACAATAGGGTTCTGATAGCGGCCGTGGGTCCAGATTACAGAGCAGCAGGGGAGGTGGCCCTCGTTACAGGGACCCTCACTAAACAGGGAAGTGGAAGCAGGCCGCTGCCAGGGTAGCTGCACGGTAGCTCTGCTCTCCTTGACTAGCCGGTGCAGAAGTTCAACGCCCGTGCGCAGCGTGCAGCCAGGTGGCAGCCCAGCTTTAATTTTTAAATTATTATTATTATTATTTTAGATTTCTAGGGGCTTTTTGGTGGGATGAGGTGGGATCATCGGCCGGCTTTGGTGCGTGTGATGGGGTTTGATAGTGGGTAGTGAGTGGATAGTGCCACAGTGGGCGCTGAGCAATCCGCACAATCCACATTCCTCGACCGCCCCAGCCCAGCTCGCCACCAGATTGCCCACTATTGGCACGCTGGGTCCAGGATAGTGGTGCCGGGAAATAGTCTCTCTCGCCTACGGATTCGAATTCAGGGTTCATTTCTCGTAGGGTCTTCCTTAGAGCGGATTTCCAAGCTGCTTAGGGCTGGTGGGCTGTCTGAATTCAATCATGATTATCGAATGGAGGAAGACGTCGTGGGGGTTGCAGAAGATTGGCAGCTTCACTAGTGTTCTGGATGCAACGACATGAGAAGTACGAGGCGGTGTGTCGCGACGCACAGCATGGCTCTTCGTCCTTCCCTCCTCCCACTCTCTGCTCTCAGGTACGCAGGCACCATGTACCACCAGACCAAGAGATTACAGTAGCTATTGCTCATACGCTATGTACGAGTACGGGCACGGAGACGCCCTGAGCTTCGCGCTCTCGCTCGGTACGGCTCCGAGCTATTGATCAGCTGGACACCAGAGTTTGGTCGAGGGAGATTTGACTGTGAAATAGATAGCATGGGATAGGATGGGGAATTCGGAAATAGGTATCCTAGGGAATAATGTTTCTGGTAAGGACTGAGTACGTACTACTCCGTGCCATCCCATACCGTCCATGTACCATTGTCACACTCGGGAGGAGGAGATCAAACCCGTTGCTTGCAGCTCTGACAGACTTAGGCGAGCGAAGCATTTCTTGGACGGTAGCGAATATGTCTCACAACCCGCAACCGTGTTTGGTTTCCCCTCCGACGCTTTCTCCATCTTTAATTCTGGGGGGCTTCGAGCCAGAGAGCCAACGAGCAGCTCTCAAACGTACATGTGGAGCTATCCCCGGGCACGATTCAGTAGCCTCGTTGCTTGATCTGATATTTGGATTATGCGGATGCGCATGCCGCCCATGTGGAGTGCCATGGGCGATCTCTTGGACGAGATTCTTATTTCGAGGTCGGTCTCTGCTTGGCTTCTGTGAACTTCCTCTGGGTGTAATTCCGGAGTTACACTCCTTGACTCCAGGAGCTGCGACTACTGCTGTACGCTACACCACGGATGTCCGTCCGAGGGTGCAGTGACACATGGTCTGCTCATGGCAGCATGGCGGTGAGACTCAACCTCGAAGTCACCCCTTCCATCCTCCTCCTCAACAAAACCGTCTCTCCTCTCTTACAGGCAACAACCTCATCCCACGTCTGTCTCGTCCCTCCAACGGTGGATAATGAATAATGCGGGCGTGAAGGAAGCCGTGCATGCAGCGGATGGGGAACGAGAAACAACGACACAATCATCATCTGATGCCCATTCCCTCCTTTCTTTTTCCTCCAAGACACCCGCTTCTTCTCCTCATTCACGGTCAGACCATCATCATCTTATTTATATACGCGAGATTTTTCCTTTTTGCGGCTTAACATTCATTGTGTCATGTTCCGGCAGTGGGAGGAGATTTGGATTTTAACGCCACGGTGCCACCGTCTATTCTCGCTTGTGTAAGCGGCTTCTAGAAGGAAATGCTCTAAGTCCATGGGGGTCATGCAGCATTTCGTCTAAACCGTTTCCGGAGAAGACCTTCCTGGCATTGAAAATGTACCCAAATGGATCTGGTCTTCTTCGGGGCATATGTTCTTATCAATGCTTCTGTTTTCGGCGTGGCGATAATCGGTGATATTCAAGCTCTGCTTTCAGGATACTTGATTCATGTCGCCGACTACGAATATCATCACCTCATCAAGCATCTCTCTTTCACCCTCTCTCGTGCGGACCGAAAGCAAAAATAAATAAGCTCCCGCAACCAAAGTTCTTGGGTCCCAAATCTATCCTGTTTTCAGCCCGACTCCCAATCTAATTGATTAATTACCCAAACAGGACAGATCCCTCAAAGCCCCCCCCAAAAAATCCCTGACGATCCGGAGCTTGGCCCGATTTTTTTCTCAGCCCCCCCGGATAACCTCCAAGAAAGATTATTCTGAAACATCACTTCTGACTCGTGATCTGAAAGCCCTTCGTTCTTGGGATTTTTTGTTGCGAATCGCACTTCTTGCGAGATTATGCGCTGGTGTTTGAGTGCTGTTATGGGTTGTATTGGTGAGGGATTAGGGGAGAAGGCGAGATGAATAGAGTTTACTGATCGTGGTCAGTTGAGGTGGGATGAATGAAGGTTTTCGGGAGGATCCGAATGAAGTTTTCGAGATCTTTGAAAGTTAAACTGATTATGGAGTCGAGTCAAGTATCTCTGGGTCGTTCGAATTGCGCATGCTAGAGATGGAGATGGAGGCATGCAAGTCAATCGAGAGCTGCATTGCATGACTTTGGTCTTGCAGCTGCTGGTCGAAATGCCGACTCGTCAAGCAGCATTCTCAGTATCGTCGAGATTCAAGCAAGTGCAGTGGTGCTTTGGAAGAGATAATCCGCAAATGCGATTAAGTCGCTCCGCTGATCGAAGTGCAATAATAGCTCAAGATCTGTTTGTGTTAATTTCACTTCCCAATTTCTATCGTTCTTCTGCTGTCAACCACTTGATCGTTTCAATCACTCGCACCACCTTTCAATTGCACGCAATATATATTTCATCTCCAGAAGCCATCTCATGATAATAATGGAAGCTCAGTGCACAGCTCACATTCTATTTGTTCCTGCCACTTTTTCTGCTTTGGTCGTTCTGAATGCAGTTTCGCGGTCGCAATCGCCGCTTTCGTCTAAATTCTTCCTACGTACTGCATCGAACCAAATCAGAATTAATTTTTCGTTATATCGTGTGCAGACCCCACGTCAAGATGGACGAAAATCCCACAGTATCTATCGTTTCTCGACGAACACCTCTTCATCATGTCGAATCCACAACCCACCATAATGCCTCGGCGAGGGCTACCAGGGTATCCTGCTGCACCACTGCCCGGAATCACCACCTTCCCAATCATCAATCCAGACGGCAAAGCCTACGATGATTTCCTTGACTATTTTCGGCAACAAATGCCCCCCAATCGAAAAAAAGTTGTCTGGGATGACTTCCAAAACAGTTATTGGCCAGAAGTTAGACCCGAGGGATCCGTTCAGCTGTTCGATAATATGCTCACACATCCTGATGGTCACATTATCAGTGCCGAAACTGATCCTGTTCCCTTCCAAATTGTTGCAGGTCTCGAACAGGCACTCAAAGCTATGGACCCTGCAGATACCAACAACTTAGTTGCACGTCAAATCAAGGAAATCCTGTCCTACTGTAAGCATTCCAAGACCATAGTTTATGTCGTTCTCAGTTAGCAGACCAAGATGTGGCTCATGAATCAATTTGCTCTCGTGGTTCCTGCAATGTGTTTCAGCAAGTAAACGTCGGGGCTTTCACTAATCGTCGTTCTAGGGTATGGAGCCAACTCAATGAAGGCCCTTGATCGTTTCCTGGATGCTAGACAGTCTTTTCTCCGCCAGTGGCCAGAGGGTGACGGAAGAAACCTCTTAGATCCTTCAGTCAACGTTGACGAAGAAAGAGATCTCTACCTCGAATGGTATTTCCGAAGACTTTTCACCAGAGTCCTACACCTTCCAGGCTTGTTAACCTTCCGTCAGGATCCAGACAACCCTACCAATATGACCAGAGTCAACGATCTGGTATCAGTATTTTTGTCGAGCAAATTACTTTTAGAGCTTGAACATGAGAAAGTTGAATCTCTAGAATGGGTTGAGAGCGGAGAGGAATTTGATTGGGACCAGACTGATCCTCGACACAATTACATGATGTGGATCTATTTGTCTAGAGAGATTATCGACACAGCCCTGAAAAACGCATTCGATGCCACCAAAGTACCATTAGGACCCGTGATTGCCATGGCTGCTGCTGCAGCAGAAAGGGGAGAGCCTTTTGACGAAGAAACCATCGTTGACAACAATGTAAAGTTTGCTGGGCTTCCAATGCTGGAAAAAATTGGTCAGGTAAGTCGAGCTTGAAGAGGAAAATGAGCTTTGACTAACTCGCGGAGACTATGAATACCGCGCTCGACGAAAATCCTTTTGAACGCCTCCTTCTCCAGCTCCTCGACAAGGAAAACACATTCGAAAGTTCTCTGAGTGTTGAGCACGTGGAAGATAAACTTATCACAAAGCAGATCTCAGTCATAGACGAGGAAAACGTTGCTCGCGGTCCATTTAGCATGGATCGCGCCGAAGCGATTCGTGAAAAAATTGAACCGTCAATCTTGAAAATGATGCAAGATATTTCGTCTATCAATCGTCAAAGAAGGAATCATCGACTTTTCCGAGATTGGCATATGGGCCATAGGCCTTGGTAAGCTCTCTTCCTATCTCTGAAATCTCAGCGTTTGTCTCCTTGCAGTTGACAAGAGAAGCACTGTGCTACAAAACCTGTGATACCAGTTTTGTTGGAATTGCTAATAAGCATCCTTAGGATAAAATTGTTCCAGATTTATGACAGTAATCTCGCTGGGTTTACTTGGTTGGCTGGACCTATTCGAACATTTACCAACCATACGAATATCTCTCTTATCGACGATGATCCAATCGATGGAAACTGGCATCACCCGTCATCCTATAAGAACCTTGCGTTCCAGCTCTTCGATGTTGTCCCTGTGGATTTGGCATCCGAGAAGAATATTGACTACCTTCAAGAATGCAAGATATGCAAACTAGCGATGGTTGCAGAAGGCTCGAAACCCAAACGATTCAAGCCTACACACCCAAAAAGCAGATTTGCTAAATTCTATAACGAAAATTCTCCTCTGGCTCACACAGTCATGAGACTTCTCTGTGGCCATCATTTTCACGTAACCTGCATCATTGGATATTGGGACCTAGCATTCCAGTACACTCACACTTGCCCAGAATGCCAGATGACCGCTCCCCTGAACTGGGAGATTGTTGCACTACCTCCTCTCGATTATGCACCACCAACTCCCGACAATCCTCACCCAGGCAATACATTTGCACACAACACGTACGCTCACCATCGAGCTACACTCATGTTCGGGGCTCTCGAACAAACCATGACTAGCAAGAAGCTATATGATCTCCCAACCCAGAGAGATTTCACCAACGTGACCGGCCCCAAGGGCAGTCGTCCAAGGCCAGGAACACGCGAAGAAAAATTTAAAGCGGGACTGGATCGTATCGCTGCAGAGTATTGGGTAAGAGAGAATATGTGTAATTTGGCGTATGAAGACAATCCTGTTCGATGGGAAAGTCAGCGGTATCCTGCGGGCAAAAGGCCGTTTTTGGAAATGGATGATAACACTGTAAGTCAATATTACTCAGATTTGAAATGAGCATGTACTGATATAATTTCTGTAACAGGATTTAACACCTCAAAGAGGCGCGGTGTTCAATGCCATGACTTTGGCGACCGGTTCTGTTAATGTAGCCCCCATGGGATCTGGGCTCGCGGGTGCTCAAGCTCTTGGTACGTCTCTTTTTTCTTGGTACGTCTCTTCCAAACTAACAAATCTAGGCCGTACACTCGGTTCTCGGTACATGGCGTCTCAATATCAACCATTTCCCGATCTCCCAAACTACAATCCGGATGTCTATGATTATGATAGTGAGAGGATATTGCAGGGGACGAGGTTTCAGCCGGTGGTTGAGGCGGCCGTGATGAGGAAGAGGAGGAGGACGAGGGATACTGCTTTTAGGGCTGCGGCGAAGGCACAGGGGAACACTATTTAGTGAGGATGAGGAGCTTAGAGGGGAGAAGGGTAGAGGATTTGGTTTTGCGTTTATAGTAGTTAAAGTCCATGACTTAAAGTGGAAGCCGGAGGAAATGCATACAGTATTCCCCCAGAAAGTTTCCGGGATACTTTATACCCTTTATTTACTTACCAGTTTTAATCGTGTTCTCTGAAAGTCTTTCAGCAAATACAAATTATTAGCTCAAATGCATTTTCATATTTGATGTTCATGAAATAGCAATGAATCAAGCTCGATTTGGTCGCATACCTGAAGTACTTCGAATATCCTGGTTTTTTTTAGGGAGAAGACTATATGGTCTAGACCTTTTCTTGATCATTAACTCACGCAGCTATGCTACTCCATAATCTCACCGTCAATCTTCAGGCTGGCAGCTGAGTTAGATTGACTCAACCATCGTCTCTCTGCTCTTCCATCTTTCCCCTTTCCATCAAAATCCTCGCAATAGTCACCATCCAACCCAACCTCAAATCTTCCCCCTCCCCTCTCCCTCCACCTCTTTTGCCTCTCCCACCCCCGTCCCACTCTCCAACAACCCCCTCAAACCCCCAACCATCGCCCTACACTCCCCAAACGTCGCAAGTTGAACCGCCTCCGCCCACCCACACCACCGCGCCTCCGCGACCTCCTTTTCCTGGATCCGGAGCTCTTGGTTTCCTTGCACTAGGGCGGGGTAGTAGAGGACTTCCTTTCCTTCCTTTCTTCCTGGGGTGATGTATCTCTCTCTTAAGACAGTCTCTGTTCCCGTTTCATTGCTGGCGGCGGGGTTAGCACTAGGGTTGGAAGAGGGAAGAGGAGGGAGAGAGGAAAGGGCAGTGAAGAACTATAGAGCTAGAGCTCGTAGGAAAATGGGGTTGACTCAGACGTACGAACACAAAGGAATCAAATCACCGTGCGTGATCTTCAGGCCTGTTTCTTCAAACAACTCCCTAATTGCCGTAGCTTGATGGTCGGCGTCGAGCGGTTCGGGGTGGCCTTTGGGGAAACACCAGAATGTGTCAGACGAGGCGAGGGTTCGTTGGCGGATTAGGAGGAGGTGGGTGTTTGTTGTTGTGGGGGTGGGTGAGGTGGGTGAAGATGAAGAGGGAGAGGTTGAGGGGATCAGGCGGAGAGGAATGATGCCGTAGGAGCGGTCTGTTATTGGAGGGTTTGCGGGTGGAGACGACATTTTGTTTTGGGTATGTTGAGGGAGGGAGGGATGGAGAGGGAAATGGGAGATGAGGTGGATGAGATGGAGAGGTTGTCACGTGGATTGGAGGGGTTGGTTTGAAGATGGTGAGATTAGATGTTCTTTGTGTGAGAGGTTGAAGAGTTGGAGCGGGTTTCGTACAAATATTGCTGCTTGTAAGGAAGAGTGGGAGGAGTTGCTGTGTAAGTATGGAAGCAAGTGAATTTGGAGGGCATTTTTAAGAGGTTAATGTCCTTGAGGAAGTGGGAAAGAGGGGAAGAAATCTGGAATCGTTGAATATTTATTAGCCGTGCTCAAAGGAAGATTTATATCACTCAATGTCAGGCAACACGTAAAAGATTTACAAAACGTCACATGTCAAAAGTTCTTTGAAAAGGTAGACTTTTATTCAAATGTACAACCCCTAAGATCTTCTTCTTTCATATCTCAAGCTAACTCTGCCTAAAACTCCAAATGCCCTAGCTAACAACTCCTCCCTTCTTGTTTCTTCACCTAATCACCGAGATAGAGTAAGAATGGAGAAATTCGAGAAAGTGTACGCTGTAGCCGTGGCAAAACTCGCTGCAAGACTGGTATAAGATAGATCCGCAAATGAGAGATAACATGGAGGTACGTATGCTGTATGATTGATAGATTGTGGAGATATTTGGGGGGTGTTCTACTTCTTCATCTCAACGTAGTTGGCTGGGAAAATTCCAGTTCGAGTACCGATGATGCCAGTCCTATACTAATATCAGTTCTTGTTTTGGATGTTGAAATGAGCAATCATACCACCAATCGTTTGTACTCTCAGTCTTCTTTGTCACTGTGATAATATCACCCTTCTTGAAGCCCAAATCTCCAGGCTGATCTGCATCGAATGTAAACAATGCCACAGCCTCATTCGACCTCAAACTTCCAGTCTTGCTTTGGAACAGTGGTTTCGGTGCAGCAGGTCTGCCTGGTCCAATCTTACCACTTCCTGTTGGACTTCTAGGAGTATCAGAGAATGTATAATCATCGTCAAATCCACCTCGACCACGACCCGCTCCAAAACTGTTGATTCTTGATGAGCTACCAGTTGGTGTGCGGTCGTAGATATCGTCGGCCCAAGTACTCGCTCTCTTTGGCCTATCCTGGTATACGTAGTCGTTGTCCCCAGAGTTCACACTTCCTGTACGATCCCTCCTCACACCTTCTCCAAACGCACTTCCTCTTCTTCCTTCCCAGACAACATCGTCGTGTCTGTCATCGTAGACTGGAATATCGTTATAAGTCGCGTCATCACTAGCTCCGATACCAGCAAAGATTCTCGAGTTCAGGATATTCATCAGAGGTTGAGCAGCAGGTGGCGGTCGAACAGCTCCCGTCAATAACTCTGCAGCCGTGAATCGTCGTCCATAGAGCTTCTCATTGGCATCTCTTCTCTCAATGATCGCAGATCCTTCCAAACTCACACCAGCAAACAAACCCTTCGTCTTACTGTAACTGAAAATCCCCGCAACACCCTTCATGCTGGCAGCACCAGCCGCTTCAGCATTTCGTCCTACAGGTCCAGCAGCTATTGAAACATTGCCTCCCAATGTCAAAGATCCTGCTTGTGAGAATGTCCGTACCGCCGCTGCATCATTGAGAATGAACACAAAGTCTGTAAGTTCGAATCCAATTTGGCCACCAAATCCAGCTCCACCAGTGCCGATTGCTGAAGGAGCGCTCCAAGATCCGTCTGCGAGACGGGCCACGACTACTCCATTTCCATATCGAGCTGATCCGAGGAAGCCTGCTTTAATAACTGTGAGGATTGCCAGACCCTATGCCTTCCGGTTAATTGTGTTCTGTAAGGCTGAAGAGTGAGGGATAATTCTGCGAGGGTTCATACCTTTGCGTTTGCTAGAACTTGAGGAGGAATGATCTTGTCTGGTCCAAAGGCCTGTCGAGGGTCGACAAACGAAGCTAGAATCTTGCCGCACTTTTTACATTCCGCTGTTAAGGCTGTCAGTTGGGCTCTGTAATAGAGTTTCTTAGAGAAGATGCTTACACGCCATAGACGACGGGAGAGGATTGTGAATTCCCATAGTTGCGTATTTGTTCGGACCCTTCGGAAAGTTCGAGGAAGTTGAGTTTGCGAATGCGCTGAGCCGGAGCGAGTGGTTGAAATGTAGTGGGGTGTTGTACGAAGGAATCGAGGTTCGTTCCACGATCGCAGATCTGCCGTCTATGCTAGTTGTTGTGATGAGAAGCAAAAGCACTTGGATTCACAGCTCAGACGTCGTCTCCAAGAGCGATTCTCTGTCGAGGCAAAAATGCGACGAAGGATGGATGTTCGTTCATGATGCCGGTCGGCTTACTATCAATCAAATATGACGATGGCTCGCAAGCCACGCCTTGCACCAGCCACAATTGCCTTTCACCCAATCATAGGATTCACTTCAGAGTGGCTCAGCTCCACGCGTTCTGATTCTCTAAACTCCGGCTTGACATCTTGCCGCTACCTACGTGCGTACAATCCATTGCTTCACTTACAACTAATACTTTGTACATTCTACGAGGCTAGAAACGGGCTTGCAGACAAGCATAAGCATAAACACTCAACCCCACCGCAATCGCAAGAAGCAAATAAATTAAGCTCGGGCGCTTCAGCGCACCCGGTGCGAACAAAGACAACGTTGAAACAAGCCGACGCCCATCCAATCCACTTCCGCTGAATCCGGTCTCGAACACACACTTCTCCTCGAGAACCAAATATTCCACGAAGACGAGCATACCTTTGCGCAAGGCTACTTGAAAGACGGTTTGAAGGTCAAGAAATCAAGGAGGCAAGATGTCAGACGCATACGAACGAGAGCGCCAGAACAACTCACGGCTGTCGGAGCTGTCGGCGAAGGTTACAGCGTTGAGAGGAGTGACGGTCGATATTTACGATAATGTTAGGTCGCAAGATGTCATTGACAATACGGTACGTTTTTCTGCCCTCTCAGCTCTTGCGCCGAAGTAGAAAAGGAGGTGCCGAGATTGGTGCTGACAGCGAATAGTCTGATACCTTTTCCTCTATGAGCACAAGTTTGAAAGGGTCCGCAGGCAGGTTGGGACGAATGGCTGCGAGTGGAAATAAGGTTGCGATATTGAAGCTCTCAGGGATGATTGTGGGGGGAGTCCTATCCTTGTGGTTTATATGGGGACTTATCTTTTGAGATTGGGCTGGGAATAGGAGGTGAAGGCTTCCAGGCGTATATTACGAGGATGGATATTGTATTGTACGTGAACATACTGCAGCATAGCATTGGCGTTCGGGTGTGGAATAGGGAATTGAGTCGCTGGTCTCTGATCAGCACTTTGTCACAAATGTATCGAGGCACATGTTTTATTGTATGAACAGATGTGGATTGCTCGAATGTGTATTTTTCTCTAAATCTTCGCTGGCCCAATCTACTCCCACACATTCGAAAACAGATCCTCACTGGCCGCAAATCCAGTCGCAGGCTTAGATTGGGTTGTTCCAGCTCCAGGAGTGACAGGAGCCGCACTGCTCCATCCTCCGAAATCATCATCTGCAGCAACCTTTGGAGTTGCCCCTGCGGTATTGAACCCTCCTCCACCACCCGGGACGATACTCTGGTTCGCTAGCGATCCGCCTGAACCCCATCCAAAAGACCCAGAGCTTGTTTGTGGAGGAGGTGCCTTAGCAGCTGGAGGACTGGTCGTAGCAGAGCTCCATGCATCGTTAGATCCCCACGCGTCATGATTTCCCCAACCACTCATCTGTGCTGGAGGCGATTGAGGTTTGGGAGGAGCTAGCTGTGAGAGATTGAATACGGACGATTGTGGAGGCGGGGACGCAATGGTTTGCTTCGGGGGTACGGGAGGTTGAGGAGATGGGGCCGAGAAGTCGAAGAGGTCACTGAGGCCAGAGCTTGCATTTGTAGTCGAAACAGGGGTTGGCATGCCAGGTGCTGAGTCGAAAGCACCAAAGCCACTTGATGAGCTAAACCCTCTGCTTGGTTGCGGTGGTTGGGCAGGCTTCGCTGCTGGTTTTGTGTCGAAAAAACTGCCTCCGCTTAGAGGTGGGGGAGAGGTCTGAGAAGGTGCCCTCTGATGGCTAGAAATATTCCCTAGTCCTGAGAATGCGGAAGGCTTCTGCTGGGTCTGTGTAGGTGGCGACTTAGGCGCAGAGAAGCTTAAGCTGCTGAAAGCATCATTCATTCCACCAAAACTTGTCTGCGTAGGTGGGGGAGATTGCTGCATAGGCGATTGCATTCCACCGAACGAGCCTTGGGAAACATGAGAAGGCTGCTGTTGAGGCTGTGGTCGAGGAGCTGAGGCATATAGAGAGAGAATAGACTGCTTCAAGTCTGGCCGTGATTGGGTGCCTGGAGTCGCTGCAGCACTGGATGGTCGATTTGGTGGTGGAGCTTCTGTTCCAAAGAAGTCCAAGCCAAGTAGAGAATCAGCGGGCTTGGTCTGCTTAGGAGGAGCAGGCTCTGAATTTGGTGGAGGTCTTGTAGCTGTTGGTCCTGCTGTACTCGCTCGTGGAGGTGGTTGGCTATCGTCTGCAAATAGATCTGGCTGAGGAGCTCTTCTGATCTGGGAAGGACCCTGTGCTGCAGGAGATGCAGAAGCTCTCTGAGAGGTAGAACGCTCAATAGCTTGTTTCTCCTTCACTAGACTCAATGGAACATCATCGTCCCCTTCGGCATCGAGAGTCGATGGATCTGGCATAGGTCCCTCCATCACCCATCTTTTCGATTCGTATTTTGTCCTGATAAAGTTCTCAATCTTTGCCTCGGATGGTACATGCCCTGGTGCCAGCTTCGCTTCCCAGTATTTGTTCGCTCTTGAGTTGCCCCATTTCAATACACTTTGTAATTGTTCATCGGTCCAGGCGTCGAGATCGACGGACTTGACTCTGCTGATGTGCGTGCCCATTCCTCGATGTATACCAGAACATCTTATGCAGATGAAGATACCCAAGTTCCAGCTTGCCCATCTTGGATCTGGTAGTCATAATGTCAGTCTCAAGGACAATTAACAAGGACGAGAAAGGGTCGAGACTTACGCTTATTCCTTTTGCAATCCGCACACGTCTTGTTCCCCTCTAGTTTCAAGAGGCTCTTGATCGTCTGCGTGTTCTGCGCAGCGCGCTCTGCAGCTGGGTTCGGAGCCCTCCTCGACATGACGATTCTAGGTATGTAATCAGCAAGAACGAGGGTATTGGACAATGCGATGTTGTAAATAGAATACTAGGTCTGGTAATTCCAAAGGGAGCCTTGATTCCACATCACCAATTGTGGCTGTGTGGCTGGAAAGAATTTGGGGCGTGGAGCGAACGGGCCGACGCTAGGATTGTCGCCTTTACTGACGTCGTCGATTGGTGGGGAAAGGGACATTTGAAATCGTTCTGCAGCTGTATCTGTGCCACCATAAGAGTATTCCAAAGAGTTTCCTATCTGTTCAGCTGAAATCGTCTGTTCTCTACTTTCATCTCCTACAAATACTCCATGCGCTTCCCTACTTTTCCTAACATCATCCGCACATTCTACACTCTCAGCAACTACAGTCGTGTTTCATCGCAAGCTCAATACAAAGCTCTCAATAACTTCTCTCGAGTCACTGTCTACAAGTCAATGCCTACGTTCCCCTTCCTATCTAGTCTCTTCAGTTCCAGCAGCTCTTCCTCCGACATGTCTTATCCAGTCCAAAAGAGTGATGATGAGTGGCAAGCTGTTCTCTCCAAGGGTAAGCATTTCAGAAAGTATATCCATTTGTACACATCTAACGTAAGCTTAGAGCAATTCCGCGTCTTGAGAGAGAAAGGCACTGAAGCTCCTTTCGTTGGCAAATACGACAAGCATATGCCAGATACTGGTATCTACACCTGCGCTGCCTGCGACGCTCCTCTCTACAAAGCTTCACACAAATTCAAATCAGGATGTGGATGGCCAGCATACTTTGACAACATCCCAGGCGCTGTCACTCGCCACACCGATTCTACCCTTGGAATGTCGAGGACCGAGATTGTTTGCTCCAACTGCGGTGGACACTTGGGACATGTTTTCAAGGGCGAGGGATACGCAAATCCTACAGATGAGAGACATTGTGTAAACAGTGTCAGCATGAAGTTCTCACCGGAAGATGAAGTGGTCGATAAGGCGGATAGCAAGGTGTAAATGGATTAGGAGGGTTTGACGTCAAGGGGTGAAGCATGGAGAGCGGGTGCGCTGGAGGGATTGTGAATACAAGGCGATACAAGAATACACTTGAGGAGAGGAATGCAAAGATTTTTCATCTAATTTCTACCCTGTCATTCAGAGAAGTGTTTTGAATCCTGTTTTCGATTTCTTTATCTGAATTCATTGGCTGAAGAAACCGATCTTCAGTGATAGGTGCGCTGTCCTCTCTTCGAGGGGCACTTCCTCTCAAGAGAACGCCTTCTAGAATGCTCGATTCCCCAGTGGGAAGCATTATTTATCATTCTTTGAGATGCAAACGAGAGTGCAGCAATTTGTTCCATCCTAGCCGTCGGCAAGATGCTATCGCGTGCCAGGTCCCTTGCTGCGATCCTGAGTCTAAGTTTTGTTATTTCTTCCACGCCTTCTTCGAGCTGCTCCTCCCTTTCTCACCTCGTCTCCATGCTGAGAACTGTAAGTTCCTTTTTAGCAAACATGAGTTAGAAGGTACCTAAAAGGTGTCATCCACGCCGAGATACCGATGATACTGCAGAGATCTCCTCCCCCTCCCCCCCAAAATTCATGTGACCCACCACTCTCGGAGGACGCGCCTGAATACTGAGATAAGTTAACTAACCTGGGCATTAGAACATGGCGCTCACGGCGCTTGGATAAAATAGAGGCTATACAATCCAAGATCATCCAGCAGCTACAGGAAGAGGAGAAAGGTCGTTGATCTCGTTCTACTCGAACCACCAGATCGACAAATCGGAATGAGCTAGGAGGACTTTGAGATGTAGGTAAGGATAATGCGAGTTCCAGGGGGAAATTAGCAAGACCGAGAGGTGCTGTCGAGCCTTATTCCCCTTCAATAAATGCTGTTGAGCCAATTTTAGGAAAGAGCAAGTGATGTGTACAAAAATCAAGTAATCGCCATTTCCGTCGATCGCTACATCGACATATGATACATTCCAATTGCTTTGTTTCCTCAACACGCATCATCAAGGTCCACAATCATAATGGACTTCATTACCAATCTACCTGGCGTGGAAGTTGCCAGTTGTGTAGACATGCACTCTACCGGCGAGCCAATTCGCATCTTCCTCGATGGTCCAGACCTCCAAGGCACACTTGAAGAGCAACGTATCCAATTCCAAAAACAACACGATTGCTTCCGCAGTCAATTCCTTATGGAACCTCGTGGGCATCGAGACATGTACGGTGCATTGGTGCGCAAGCATACGGAACTTGTGGATGAGGGCTATGCGGATGTCGGAGTACTGTTCATGACCAACGCGGGATATCCTACAATGTGTGGGCATGCTGTTATTGCTCTTGGTAGGCTATTGGTCGACATACACGACGACGAAAACTTCCCAAATCGAAAAAGATTCACATACAAGCCCGATGAGCAGGTTATGATTATTCAACGTGAGTTTTCCCTGAGGTTTACTTTCCAATTTATGATTATTCGAGACATTGTTTCCTTCTTAAGATATCTTCGCTTTATTTCCGTATATCTTCCCTCATCTTCCCAAGAAGTTATACTGACTATGAAACTCTCTGCAGTACATGCTCCGTGTGGTGTTATCCCAATTGCAGTACCAACTACAGACAATGGCTCGAAGTCAGATCCAGAGCGTAGCGTCTCTTTTTTCTCTGTGCCTTCCTTCCCCACTGGGATAAATGTCAACATATCGATTCCAGAGAATTTGAGATGGCCAGAACTTGGTCAACGGACTGAAGTCAAGGCGGACATCAGTTACGGCGGTGCATTCTTCTGTATATTGGCAGACCGGGAACTTGGCTTCGGACCACATCTCGAGCGAGCCGATCGAGCAGCATTAGAAAATGCAACAAGAAATCTTAAATCTGCGATCATCACAAACAAAGAATTGCGAGTTCTATACTCTCATCCAAAATCGGAAGCGCTTAGTGTTCTTTACGGCATCTTAGTCATTGATTCCAAGGAACAGTGCATGATGGAGCTGGCTATTGAAACACGCGGTTGCGAGACTGGGCTCTGTTTCTTTGCCAATTCACAAATCGATCGTTCTCCTTGTGGAGGTGGAGTTGCTGCCCGCGTAGCTCTTGCTTGGCAAAAGAATGGAAGGACCGAGCCATGGACGTATCACTCCTTGGTCTCAAATGCCTTTGGGGGCGTGATGGGAGTTGGAGCCTTTATTGGGTTTCTTTGTCGCGGAAACATCTCTGAAGTTACTTTGAAGGATGGAAGGACTGTTCAAGCAGCTCCTGTACGAGTGTCAGGATTTGCTCATTACACTGGTGCACATTGTTTTGTTATGGAGAAAGGTGACACAATTGGTGAGAAGGGGTTCTCGATGTACAGTGGTAATGCATTTGTGGCACCCACTCGGGTCAAGAAGTAGTGCTAGCCTTAGAGTGAGTTTGGCTGGGGACTGTATGCTTTTCCAAAGTCTTATTTAATCGGGGAGGTTGAGAGTGATTCAATGGGTGTCACAAACACGGAACTTCAGTAAGGCAAAAACAGTATAAAGTAGTATAAATTCAAAAACTGACTATATTCATGAACAAACAAACCATGAGACATCACAAATTCCAAACAGCTATGGAGCTTGTAAGCTGCCCTGGCTATGCCAACAACTAGAACCAAGTCTTCAATCCATCCACCTCCAGAAGCTCATCTCTCCTCTGCTTCTTCTTTTTCTTCGGAGGGCCATCATCTTCTACATCAGCTTCCTCCTGCTCTTCCTCATCATCTTCATCTACGTAGACAATACTCCAATTCCACCTCTTTTCATCCGGTCTCCAACCATACTCAGCATATATTATCTCATCAGCGCGCCTCGTTGGCTTGTCAATCTTAACTCTCTTAAGCCAGAGATTTCGCTCTTTCTGGCAATCAGCTATGTATTCCACCAAGTCCTCTTGAGTTCTGCATCCCTCGGGCGGCGCTGGGAACGGCATATTACTTGGACTGATCCAAACCTGGTGCACGAAACTACGGGCGTGGCTGTCCTGGAGCATGATATCAGGCTGTTGAAAGCGGGTTGGATCGTTTGAGGCGATGGGTCCAGGACGAGCGGGGTGAAGGCGAGTAGTAGGACGGTCGAGAAGCCTGCTCTTGAGGACCCAGTTCCGATGTCTTTGAAATGGAGTCCCATCGTCTTCAGCTATTCGTGTTTGTTGGGCCCGTTGACGAATCTCTGCTTGCTGGGCTTCTATTGCCCTGCGCTGTTGATCACGAATGTTTGCTTGCTCGGCTTCTCTTGCCCGGAGCTTTCGGTCAAGAAGAAGCTTTGCTCGCTTAGCTTCTCTGGCTCGACTCTTTCGCTCAAGAATCTTTGCTTGCATAGCTTCTTTTCTTCGACGCTCCCGTTCAATCATCCTGGCTGACTCGGCTTTCCTTCGTGGACTCTCGGGGCGAGAAGTCTGATAGAGACGATTGGTCGGAGCTTGTGGACGCTTTTGTGTTCTTTTGGGTTCTTCTTCTTCCTGTTTGGAGTCTTCCTCAAACTCTGAGTGGCATGATTCGTAGACAGAGTCCTCTGAAGATTCAGAGTTGGCTGAATCGGGCAACTCAACAACGATGGTGGACTTTTCATCATCTTGCGGGTCATTGCTCTCTCGGAGCGCCTCTGGCGTAGGAAGCCGGCTTGGAGGGTCAGAGAAGGTTGAAGATTCCCGAGATGAAGTATTCAGAAGTGTTGGACCAAGCTCGGCGAGTGTTGATGACATTTGAGATGGGTCATCCAGCACGATTGGGTTGTTGATGGAATCTCCTGGAGAAGTCATGTTGACCGCGCTGTATTGCGCTTGTATTGGTCGCTAAATTTGTTGCCGAACAGTAGCTTTATTCAATTGAGGTGAAAGTGCGTTACAAGATGTGAAATATGAAATGTGTGTTGAAGAAATCATCAACTTATCTGGGTTACTGTTATCCTCTATATAGAATGTCAAATTGGCAAATGGACTGAATATTGCCATCTGGACTGTGGAGTTGTGATGGCGTCAATTTCGCTTCAAAAAGCGCTAGCGACTCTAACAGTTCACTTTCGAATTTTCACATATTCGAAAACATCACGATGCAGTTCTAGCCAGAAACAGATGTTAGGAAAGCATTTCATTGAGAAAATCAACGATGGCCACGTTCCTTTCTGGCGAAAGAATCGTGCCATAAGACCTCAATGAGCGCGTCGAATACATGCAGTGCAAAAGCCACGATGACCATTCCCCCTTCTTCCACATTACTTCGTATTATCCGCCATCATAACCAGGTCATCCGTGCAGAACCGTAATAACTGGTGACCCTCCACCATCCGCCCAGGTCGACCAGAATCCGAATTATCATTAGTTCGAGTAAGCGGTCAAGTAGACCCTGTCGACGAACTCGTTCTCGCGAGTGACATTCTCCTGCCAAAGGACCCATTGTTGCACCTTCTCGCCAGCAGCGCCACGAGTGGTCCACTCCCAGTAGTTGTAGCCGCTACGAGTGCCCTTGCGCGAAGATGTCTTCAATACATCCCGGCCCTTCTGCTCCCATTGTTGCTTCTTTGCCTCCCACAACTGGGCTTGAGATTTAGACCATGTTGTTGGATGTGGGTCAACGTATTTTGGGTCTACCCTACCGATGTAGATACGGACGGGAACGACCTTCGTAGCCAGCGGGTTGAAAACCATGCCCTTCTGCTCCCCCATCTGCTCGAGAGCTGCTGCTCTGGCGTTGTCCAGCATGTTTGCGTCGGACTCGTTTCCCTCGGAGGTTGTAGGCTTGGAAGAAGAAGCGGTGGCCTTATCTGACATGTTCGCGCCGGATTCGTTACCCTCGGAAGCCATAGTCTTGGAAGAAGAAGCGGTGGCCTTGTCTGACATGTTTGCGCCGGACTCGTTACCCTTGGAGGTGGTAGGCTTGGAAGAAGAAGCTGCGGCTGGATTGCGACCGCGCTTGGTTGGACGACGTGCACCCGCGACTTTGGCAATGGGAGGCGCAAGAGATTTCTTGACGGTTGTCTTGACGGGCAAGTCGCCGAGGGAGGGAGACTTGGTGTCTGGTACTTCGTTGTCGGGAGTTGCGATGTTCATGGATGCGGATCGAACTAGTCTGACTGTTCCGTTCTTGAAAGGATTCGCGGATGTGGATTCGGGGTTCGTAGAGTTGGGAGTTGCGCTTTGAGCGAGTGGCAGAGTCAAAGCTAGCGCCGCAGCACCTTGCGTAAGCGTTGGGACACGATCGCCAACGACACCATGAGCTGCACCCAACAGACCACTAGCAGGCTTTGTACCAGATCCACCAGCAACTACCTCTTGCCGAGCCTTGTTTGGACTCGGTTGAAGACTTTGACCATCGGCGAGAGGGGTAGCAGCATTATTGCAAGAGCTACCACTTGCCTCCATGTTTGCTCCGCTTGCTTGCTGCATACCGTATTCACTGAGAAGACCGCTCTGAAGCGCGTTCACGTGTTGGCTGCTTCGAGTTCCTGCACTAGAACCACCACCACCAGTATTCTTCTTTGAGGCTTTCTTGCGAGAATCTCTAAGGCCAGACGTATGGTTTGTATTTGCCAAGGATGAGGCTGGATTTAGGTTGGAAAATTGGAGCTCGTCAGTGCCGCTTGTGCTCTTCTTCACCTGACTAGCGTGACCGGAGTCGTAAGCAGTTGCCGTAGCTGCGATATTGTTAGTTCAGGCAATGGTTTAGAAGAAGAAGACGAATGGACCGCTCACCCATTGCAATGGCGAGGCTATTGGTACCAGCACCTTGAGAAACCCATCCAAGAGGGGGAGCGAGTACTGATCCTTGATGAATGTTACCACCAGGAGCAGAGAAATCAGCTGTGGCTTGTGCGAGAGATGTTTCTAGAGGAGTTGTATTGGCAAGGCTAAGAGTTGAAGTCTCCGAATTGACCTCGTCCCCTGAGCGTGATCCGTTATATGCCTTGATCGAGCGCTGGACCGCGTCAACAGGGTTGTCAGAGAATACGTAACCATCGCCGAACGTCCTATTAACGAATTGTTGAGCATTAGATCTCTCTAAGCCCATGTTCAACTGAGTCTCCACGTCCTGTGCGGCAGAGTCATTGATACCATGTTGAGTGATTGAGGTGGAAGCTCTAGATCTGGTGACAGGAGCTGTAGTATGCTCTAGATTCGCGCTCTGATAACTCTCGGGATCTGGACCAAACGTGGAAGAAACAGGTGGAGGCATGTTGACTGGAGGAGCAAGGTCAACGGGGGTTCTTTGGAGTCTTGTTCGACGGCAGCAGACTGAACAGGAAGAGCAAAGCCAATGAGCGCTTTAGATCGTCTTCGACTGGAGCGGAAATCAATGAATAAGAGGAGCAAAGACAAAAAGTATCTCTGATCCTAAGCAAGCGGATCGCGTTCTAATGTAGAAGTACGATGGTGACGGTTGTCGTTTGCGGTGTTGAGGAAGAAGACAAGGAAATTTTTCGAGGGTCTATCCCAATTTTGAAACTGCCGTACTGGTCTTAACGGACAGTAACGGTCTGCAGGTAGACAGAAAACCTTTTCTAGCTCAAAACTGCCGCTATGGTCTCTACGCACGACAGCGATAAAGCGGGACATAGTCTGAACACTCCCACAAAGGGCTAATTCTTGAATATTACCTTCTGGCTTTTGCATTCCTGCCCTATGCCCTACTTCTAAGCGCCAGATCACCGCTGAAGCAACGTGGGCGAAAGTAAATTAGATGAAACAACACGAAAATAGATAGGTATTTTCATATACGCCTTGTCGCCCTTCATGGAGTCTATTACATTTCTCTTCGAGGAGTTAAGATGCTATTCTACGCCAGATGCTCTGCGCGAGATGAGGTATTTAATAGAGTGATAGAAGATTTTCTTGAGTAATACATCAGGGTATAGGATAAAGGTCGAGCACAGTCTCTAAAACTATCCAATAGTACGTAGGAAATCGTCAACTGCTTCATATGCTCTATACCTTATATGAATTTAGAGGCCATCGCTCTGTTTATTCGCGCTCCCATCACTTCAAAGATTCTCGACAGGGACACACGCTGTCCAAAAACGTTCCTCACAAGTTGACCTTAGACGTGTCTCAAGATGTGAGATATTCATTCCTCCAGAACAATTCTGTGCTTTGAAGTCCTTGTAATAATTGCGTTGCGCTTTTCACTGCAGAGTTTCGCTACGCTAATTGGTCGACGAGGCGAGCCCCTTTCGACGGCAACGAAAGCGAGCGCATTACATAAGCCAGATTGAATGAAATGCCACACACGGTACCACAATTCACTTTGAAGAACAACACCGTGATTATATTGTTTAAAATTACAATATTATTTTTGTTTAGAGCTTCGCGAAGCAAATCAACCCTTCTAATCTTCAAAATGAATCTGAGCGCGTGATTCTGATAACCCTCCCGTGTTTGCTGCTTTGAGCAGGATCGCCGGGTAGGCTGGGTGTGATCATCGGGTAGCTTGATGAGACTCCTTTGAGTTCGTCCAGGTACTTAAGGTCCAGACCCTGCCTAGGCTATTGATGTTCGAGATCCAAGTTCAAGAGCTGTTTATCACTTCAACTCAAACTACTGCTAAGTTATCAAACTTACATCTGCGATGTTAATGATACTATAATTTGCAATTTGATGGCCGCATTTCGCATATGCTGCGGTGGACTCGATACGACCGGACTTTGAGCATCAGAAATCTCACAATGCCAGAATATCAGCCCAAAAACGGTAGAGAAAGAAGGCATATTTTGAACTTGCCTCGATGAGCTTAGGAATTTCAATTTACCCATAGCTCGCGAGGTCTGAAGTCTGACTCGAGCTTCAGCTGAGCATGCGGGGGAGACAGTTATGTCTGGGGCCAGGATGCCTGGGGGTTTGTAGATAGGTGGAGGGATCGTAGTATGTTTAAGTAGTTGGTGGCTAGTTAGGTGGCTATCTGCTAACCGCCGCATAGTATAGTATGCGTGCATAGACTCACTGGCAGTCGCAATGCATCGCAGGTGCAGGACGCCTTCTTAACAAGCGAACTCTCGCACAGAAATCCGAACGCAAGAATACCAACATCCGCTCGCCATCGTTTGGGTTGGACTTCGATGATGTGTCCTACAACCAGATCTCCAATCTCGGGTATGAAAAGTGCGCGAAGTGGTCGAACAGAGAGAACTTTGTTGGTCTTCTTCCAAGATGAAGGTCTGGAGACCGCGGTTTCCGCATGAGAGAGTGATGATATCACTGGGTCGAAGATAGCTCAAGATATATGCGTTTGAGAGCGATAATGTACTGCATTCTTCGAATAAAGATGACTTCAGTCCAGCGCCGTGGAAGAAAAGTGGAAAGCTGCCTTTTAAGCCGTTGTCGATATGGCATTGAGAAGAGAAAACATATTTTTGACGGGCGCTGCTGGAAGTGGTAAAACAGCTACTTTGAAGGAGATTCTCAGACGATTTGACACATCCTAGCCTGAATAGGACATGCAGCATGAAAACCAAGCGACACACTCCTCAGATTATCATTAGAGTATCTGGTATTTCGTGGAATCTTGTTTGTTTCAACGGCCACCGCTGGTCTTGACATCACAGACACAGACTTCCTTACTCTGAGACCGTCGTTTCGGTCTCGTAGCCTCTAATATTGAGCTTCCTGCCGCTTTGAAGATATCCGCAATAGTGATGTGATCCGGCGGCGGGTCATCCTGCTTCTTCAAATTCTCCATTGACGTACTAAGCTCCGCATTCGGATCGAAGAGGTCTCTTGCAGCTTTGTTTGGACTGGTTAAGCTCTCATCTTTCCACATTGCTATAATTGGTATGGTAGTCTGGTGAATCTGATGGGTTTTGCTTCATGGACTTGCCCAAGGCTCGGGAGGCAGTTCGACATGATTAAATGTGATATACGGAACAAGTTCTCTCGGAGGAAAAGCCACTGCTGCATTATGCTCCGAGTAAAGATGATCTTGACCTATGATATGTCAATTGGATTTCATGATTCAGACTATGAACTTCGTACTCTCCAGGACCCAAAAAGTCCTCCGAGCAACCTCGGCATTGACGTGGACGGCGGTTGCGCAGAGCGGGATGTTTATCACGCTTAATGTGGCGGTCGGGGGAGGGTAGCTGAGGAACGCGGCGGGGTCATATGGCACAGGGTTATGCGAGAGTTTCGGGCAAGCCAGGAGTTGTGCTCGTAACATCTGGCCCTGGTGCTATTTACTTTATTGCGCCTATGCAGGACGCCCTCTCTAATAGAGAACAATCTATTTAGATTGCGAATATATTGTTTTACTTCGCCTCATTGTAACCTCTTACCGTTGGGAGCCTAAGTATCCCGTATTTCAAACTTGTATACACGTATTCTCAGTGGTTGATGTTTTCTTCATACCTAGGCAAGCTCTTGAAGCTTCGAATAACTTCGAACCACTTTCCATCCAAAGTGAAGTGTCTTCGCGTATAATTTAGCTGCTTGCCTACCCCTCACTATATTGAAAAGAAACATGGTAGTAGGGCAAAGACTCAGAACTATTCTAGGATATCAAGAATGAAAATACAAAGCCAGGACAAAGGTGAATATCAGGTGTACTACGTGAAGACCTCTCCTCATTTTGATGATGTATTGCATGACTAAGGAGTTAGTCGAAAGTGCTTTGTTCCTTTCAATCCTTTCGTTGCATGTGTGCAAGTCATGTGAATTAAGTCTTACATATATACTAGTGACTTTGAAGTTTCGCCCCAAAAAGCATCTTAGGACCACTTTCGGTAAGACAGACACCATGCATTGAACACTAATCTCAACTCCTCTGGGTTTCAATCCCTGGTACCAGGCTCACAAGGCTGGACAGCTGCATTGTTGTCTCCGTCGTACCTGCTCGAAGACTTAGGAGACAGTCACGTTGCTTCGCCAAGTATCGAGTTGAGATTGAAGCCCAATTGCTGAAATCACATGCACATAGATTATGCTCTCAACGACTGTGATCACTCAGCATGATCGGGCGAAGAAGCTGCTTAGTAAAGACTCACCTTTGTTCCCCTTAGTGCAGCGTTCGCTTGCATGCACATAAAGATTCGTATCTTGAAGATATACCATAGGTATTGAGATGGAAACACTAAGAACTTATCTTCATACTTCACTAGGGTTGATCACATTGCATGTAGACAGGTGTGTAGGATGTGGAACTTTCATGAATTTCCATAATCAGCTCCTGGACTCCTACCAGAGCTCTCCTATGAGTACAAAAAGTAGGATTTACAAACCAGCATTCCACCTCGGGAGCACCAGTAAAACCTTGCCGCTTCTTGATGTGCATGCAAGGGAAAAGGTGTACTCCCATGAGCCGTTGCTCGATTCCAAGATTCGATTCCAACCATTCCAAGTTGATATTCCTTCCCCTCTTGGACTCGCACTGAGCCCGAGGGTACACACCGCATTGTGTTGTGTGTTTCAATCGTCGTCAAGTCTCAATTTCTTTCTGAACGAGAGTGGTGGTGATGATGCTTGCTCTCGACGTCGTTTTGTCGTGGTAGTTGTTTGATCTTCTTCGTCTTCTGTGAAGTAGATGTCTGCGTCCATCTTTTCCTGTTCTGTCTCGGTGTCCTGTTCGGACTCTTCTTCGATCTCAGGATCTTCGTGCTCCCGAGTTGGAATTTTGCGATTGTCGATTTGAACTCTGACAACTTTGGCGACATTGGTGGCTGAGCTGACTTGAGATAGAGGACTTGGCTTTCGTGGCCGGTAGGTGACGTTCCATTGGTTGTTGATCCGCTGGACTGCTGGTTTCGGTGCCGGTCCAGGAGCTGTTTCGACGTGTTTCTTGCCGAAGTAGATTTGGTGTTGTGGCGGGATACTGCTCATGACAGCTTGGAGGGGTTTTGGTTGAGAGAGTTCCTCCCTCATCCACCTTACAAATCGTTGTTTGTATGCCAGGGTCTCTTGGGCCGCTTTTTCTGACTTCTTGGTCCACTTTTCGATGTCCTTGACCTTTCCCTCCTCTTTGCTGGCTTCCGTGGGAATATATGGCCTTGAACGTCTGATTGCAGGGACGGTCCTTGGAGTTGATACCGTTCTTCTGTTTTTTTCTTCCAGGAGTTTGTTGAGATCGGCTCGGCTCTGAGAAAGCTTCGAATTTGGCGATTGAACAATTACTTGCGTAGGCGATGATGGCAGCGGAGTCCTCTTTGAAACTGGAAGTGGAACTATGAGAACTCAGTGACCTCTCCTTACGAGCACCTCGGATTAGACGAAGAATTACTCACCTCTCAAAGTTCCTGATTCGGCTCCAAGCTCTATTCTTCTTGCATTGAGTGACTCGAACAGATCTGGATCGGAAGGTTTTTGTTCGTCGATTTTGACCAGAAGCGAAGGTTCTGAGAAGCAAGCCAAGATTTTCTTCATGTCAAATGGCATTTTAAGCGGAATAGGAGCGATCTTGGCAATTTGCTTCAGAAGTTTGAAGTTTTTGTGATGGGCCACTTTGATCGATCCCTGTTGGTGCTGGCAGCCTTTAACTTTGAGCTTGCTGATCCTCCAAATTTGAGTGGTTGAGTCGGATTCGACAATTTGAGAGACCGAAATAGGCGCAGAGATTTTCTTTAGAGATTGAAGCTTGAAGTGTGTAGCCTCGGCGAGGGCGAGTTGGCGAGCCTTGACAGTGAATGAGGAAGCCATTGTGAATTAACCTTCGGCTAATCAGCACAAGCTTAGAACACCACGATCCATCCGCAACGCCAGCAGGAACTTTCCAGAATAACACTAAGTCCTCGACCAACACTACTTGGGAAAATATATCACACGGATCATCTTGAGCCACGTGTTGATGACCGATGAGTCCCAAAAAGGGCAAAGGACAGAGAAGCAGAAAATATAGCACGTGAGAGACTTACTTCTCGGCACACTTTGAATTGCTTCAAAATTCGAATTAAGCTCTGACGGTAGAGTGTCGAATTTGAGTCTGTGGGTGTCAATCAAGGAAAGTCTGTGTTTAAGAGGAGTTTCACTGACTTTCTGTAGATACTTTCGGTGTCGAAAGTCGATTTGGTTGTTTTTTTGAGTCGTTTTGACTTGTTGAGTGCTGTTTTTTTTGCTTAGTTTTGACTACAAAACAGCAATTAAACTTCGCGTCTCGACTTGAGCTCAGAACAGATGTAGAAAACACATTCAATTACAGGCTTTCACTTACAGTTTGAGCTTCTGAGCGTTGATTGTTGAGGGTTGCCGGTAGCGGTCGACTGTAGAAGCTGGGTTTCAGCGCAAAACTTTGACCTCTATGGTGGTTTTTACTGCACTTACAACTTTTTTTTGAGTCCAACGCTGTCTATTGAGAGAGCTGAGTTGATCGAATAAAGTATTGTTTCGATTGTTGTTGTGTTTGTTGGTTTTGATAACTTTGTGTGGTGATTTCAGAATATTTGTGTTGGGATGAAAAAAGAAAGAGAAATGCAAGGGGAATTTTGGGGTTTTATGTGTGAGAAATGCTAATGCTAGATCATCCGTGTGCGTTTCTGGATGGGTGATGCATTCTTTCATCAGTGACGGAGGTGTTGACGAGCCTCATCCCACGTGGTACAAAACTCAAATTTATGGAGAAACGCACTTGCCCACCGAATTGACCACCAGAAGCAAGAACATACCAACATCGGAACCCCAAGTGCCGTGGCAGTGTTAGGCATCGGAGCTGACCGCTTCCAATGTTGCTGTTCATCGTTCTAGGTCTGAAAAGAAAGTTGTATATATTGCACTAGACATTCCAGCTTTTCTCTTTCTAGAAGATGAATTACTGCACTGAATGCGTATCGAAAGTTGAAGAATGCCACGGAAAAACGATCGGTGGATTCAAACTTCAACGATCGAGGTATGCCATTCCCTTTTCCATACTTTTGGTTTTGAGGGAAAGGGGGTCATTCATGTGCATGGAGCAAATGGCAGGCGGAACAATAAACAAGGACAAGATCAGAACTGACGAGGCATATTCTGATACAAACAGAGCTATAGAGCATTCAAATATATACAATATTTTGGAGAGTGGTCATCAAGGGCTACAAGCCCTGATATCATAATGCAGAACGTGATCAAGAAGGAAAGAGATGTTGCCCGGCCAACGGCACTTGAGGAAGCTTGACGTCTTTCCCGCACATCAGAATTATGGAAAGTCATGTGTGGTTATAGCAATATTATTCGGATAAAGCAAGATATGCCAAGCCAACTAATCGCAATGACAGCCGCACCTGACAGACTCAGCTATACTCGTTACCCACCTGCATTATTCCCCAGCATCCATAGCACGTAACTTGAGCGAATAATGATTTCCGCGATATATCCACACACTTCTACATACCCAGACCAATTCTTCGCCAAGAAGTGTCCATGTCTTCACACAATTTGAGAAAGTCAGCATTCTCGAGGTTCTCGCAGATGAAATTATCAATCAGCCTCTGACGGTGCTCATCATCTGCTTCAGCCCAACCCGGAGTCTGCCAGAGCTCAATTGGCGGAGGTCGAGATTTATGCCTCGCAACGAATCCATCAATCGCTTGGAGATAGTCTTCTGGGGGCGAGCAGACACGATTTAGGTGAGTATCAGGCGTGGTCCTCGAAGGAGGTACCTCCTGCTCGGCGTCTTCGTGCTGACTGGTAGGCTTATCGGTCTGTGTACTTTGATCTACCATCTTCGGACGTTTGTTGCTCGACGGAGGTCGAATAGCCGGAGTCGCGGTACGCTTTCTCGGAGCAACTTTAGACACTAGCCCTAGTGGAGTCGACGATGGTCTTGTCAACTGGGCAGCGCTCTTGGCAGCAAGAGGTGACGGCTCGTCCGCGACAGCATCCGGCTCTGCGATGACGAGTTCATCAGCATTCAGTTGTATCTTTTTGGCAACATCGTCCACGGGCTTTGCTACAGGTGCTTTTCGCTGAGCAACACGCTTTTTAGGTGCAGGCTTCTTGACGGGAGTCGATAATTGTTCGCTATTAATATTTGGGCTCTTGGAAGGTGGAAGGATCACAGACGTGGATCTTGATACTTGAGTAGAATTAGACTGAGAGGACGATCTTGGCTTGCTTTTTCCTGCTGGATTGAGAAAGGGAAGTTCCGACCGTGGAGGTACAGACAGAGCAGACACAGGCCGATGGTCTAGTTGCAACGTGCTTGTTGTGGTTTGTGCTCCAGGCGTTGAAGCCGGCCGTCCAACGTCTCCAGGATTGTATGCCGTCAAGCCACTATACGCTTCGTGTCCATGCACAGTGGGAACACTTCCAATTGAAGTGAAGAACGGAGATGCTGAGAAAGGTTGAGAAGTATTTTCGGCTCTTTCTGGAAGATTCTGCTGTAGATTCTGTAGCTGATCCACATACAACGAGGTCTTCGGTTGTATGTCATGCTTGAAATGATCTGAAAATTGCGATGCAGGATAAGAGAGATGACGCGTCTGTACTCGATGTTAACAATAATTTGTATAAGCGTAAACTGGAAACTTACCTCCTTCTCCATTTGTGTTGGGTAAAGCACCGAAGCTTGAGTGGCGGGCTGTTGGAAAGAGTTGACTCGTGAGAGCGGAGAATTGGGAATCGAAGCTACAGGCGCGAACGAGGTAGAGAAGGGTCTAGTAATGCGAGTCATCTCATTCATCTGAGCTTTGCCCTCGGACACGGAAGATTCGGGTCTAGGAGGAATCTTGAACTCCTGCTTCAGAGGAGAACTGTTGTAGTGCGCAGGAAGGTCGATTGCGGAGGATGGTCGGAGTGAGGCAGCAGCAGCGCTCATGAGAGATGTGGCATTGGAGGGTGCAGGAGATGGAGGTAGTTGTGGGGCTGGTTTTGATATTTCCCTGTTGGTGATAGGAAGACCTAGATCCCTGAGAAAGGTGTAGGCTTTGTGGTAATCTTCATGGCTGCGGAACTTGACCTGTAGTCTGCGGACCTGATTGAAGTTAGCTCAAAATACGACGAAATGATGGATAGACCAAACAGCTGTCGCAGTCTTCGGATATCTCATTGCCAGGAACGGGCTTCTGATTGCCACCTCGACTGGATGCTCCGCTCCAGAAGCAGGATTGAATTGATTGCAGAATCGAACAAGGTCATGAAGGTCTTGTATTTCCTTAGGCAAGAGGTCAGGCTTCTGTTCACTGAGATGAAGTCCAAATTTGATACCATTTCTTCAGCTCCAGCTGTGATCTTCATGACCACGCGAGCTTCTTGCTCTCTGTCCGCACTAATAGATCGAACATTTCGAATAACAAAGGAAAGATCAGGACGTGTGGTGATGTGATTCCATGTGTACGTTTTAGTTCCATGAGGGCTGGTATTATAAGAGAATTTCGCGATGGAGAGTGAAATCCAGTCCGGATCTAATGCTTGGGAAGATACTTGATACATGACGAAATGGGGAGTTAGGTTAGTGACGAGTGTAGAATTAGTCCTTGATCAATGAAGAGTATAGCAATACAATCGATATCTTAATGGCGGTCTATCGAGATTGAGGTGTGTTGGTGGACAGAAGATGGAGAGAAGTGATTGAATTTCTGAAATAAACCTGGGGAACCACTAGTCTACATGCAGAATAGTTCAAAGTAATCCACGTGATAGACAACTCTAGAACCCGAAATTGACTTCTCAATGAAATCTGGAATGGAAAAATAATGAAGTAAATTCCTTATCATAGATAATGAGAAATCATTAACAAGCTTAATTTCGCTGAAAGAAGGGCCCCACTCTTTTGAAAGACTGTGACAGCGCTGATCTCTGTCCCGAGTCTCTGCGGCTGTTTCCACGTCACGTGACCATATTCCTGTATATATAGCTCTGAGACCCCCTTTTTGGGCTCTTTACCTTAGTATTCTAAGTGAAGACCGCTTCTGCCCTACATGCCGTTCCGTGTCCCGTCACATCCACGTCCCCGGCTCCACACACCCGGCTCCACACACTTGGCTCTACACACCTGGCTTCACACACCCGGCTTCACACACCTGGCTCTACTCACCAACACACCAATGGTGACTCCATGGAGTCTTTTAAAAGTTATTTAAGGAAGGCGGAGGACGGAGGCCGGAGGCCGGATTATATACCCTTCGTCTTCACGCTAATAAAATCCGTTTAAACAGTTTTAAATAAATTCACTATATATCGACTTTTTAAAAAAAATTATTAGAAATTTACTATTTTAGCTTGTATTATTAAACAAAAATAATAAAAATTCACTGACGTGTTTCAAATAATAATAAAACGAATTATAAAACGCTATTTCTTTTATTTTATAAATAGCTTAAAATATAAAACTACGTTAGCGATATTTCTATTACTTTTGTTAATATTTTAGTCGCTATCGAGACTTCGCACTTTCTTCGCGTTTGTTACTATAATCGCGATCAAAGACAATAATAGGAAACCTATAAACAAAATTTTCCCAGTAGAGCTATAATCCGAACCTATCTTCGTTATAGCAAACAACAAAATGTACACTCTGACCAAGCAACCAACTATGGTCCACACTAACTCCATGGGTCAAGTAAGCATCGTCACTCCAGCGTCGGACACGTTAGGTTCCCCAGTCTTCGATGTCACAGTCCGCAACAATTACAGAACGAACTAGGCTGTAGCGCTGAAAGAATCTGTCATACCTATCCAATGAAATGGAAGTGAAGGAGGGGAGTGTTTAACTTGGTTTCCATTGCCCATATGTAATGTACAGACTATTCATGTACATCTTGCAACATCCAGAGAGTGACTGGAGAATACTGTATTAGAATCTTTCCTGCATGGATATGGGCTAGCAGAGTTGGAAAGTAATTCAGTCCAGGGAGTGATACCTAAATTACGTGTTACATTGTCCCGAGATACCCACATTTGCAAGCATGTCAAGCAAATGATCGTGATGTTTCTTGTGAAAGTACGAGTGCTTACCTATCATCTTGAATCGCTTTCCCCAAGATAATGGATCAGCGTCTTTACCTAGTCACTATACACTCAGTAAAGCGACGAAGCCTTTCACTTGTAAATCTTGATCGAGATGGCGAGGCTGGCGCTAACGCTATTGGGACTGGTGTTGCCGTTCCGATCTGCAAGCTGACCTCGCGGCTCGCGATCAAAAAGCTTCAAAGCGCGTCGCATCACCAGCGAAAAGAACAGCAAAAAGAGAAACTTTGAATTGTCGCAACCAGCGCATGGAAATATATGCCGCATAGTGACAATGGCGCCTCCAAGACCGTCCAACCCTGTCGAATACAATGAATTCATGAAGAAGCTCGCGGCGTATCATGAGAAGAGAGGAACCTTGCTCGATCCCACTCCAAAGGTCGCTGGCAAATCGATCGATCTTCTCCAACTCTTCAACTACGTTGTCGCAGAAGGAGGGTACGACAAGATCAGTGGTATCAAGTTGGCATGGAGAAAGGTTGCTGCAGACTGGGGATTCCCAGCAAACAACATCGCACCTCCCGCATTCTCGCTGAAGTCGGTCTTCTACAAGAACCTTGCGGCGTACGAAATATCGACGATCCATGGCAAAGAACCGCCACCAAAAGAGATACTCGAGGACGTAACTGCGAAAGGTACGGGCCTAATGTCGCGGACCTTGGAGAACTACCGGCCTGCAGGTCGAGAGTCGGGCGCATTGGGCAATGAGAATTCAGACATATCTGGCGACGATGGCACACCCGCAAGAGAACGCAACGAAAGTGAAGAGGTACTGGGTTCTGGTGGTCGAGTTACTCGTGGTCTGCGACAAGCTCCCCCTCAGCGAATTCTATTCCAACCCGAGACTGGTTCATCGCGAGTAACTAGGAACGTTTCTGCTACATCCCACGCACCTTCTCCACAGCACAACAGTCACCAATATCATCAACAGCAACAACCTCGAGGCGCATCTACAACCAATAACCCGTCGTCAAACATGGAGAACATGTCTCTGGCCGTTGCAAATTATGAACCTCGACCTCACCATCCGTTAACTCTGCGTCCAATCGTCACACCTGGAAATAATCCTGCAGAATTTGCACGCCGTCAAAAGTTCCTGAATGATGCCGCAGCTGGAAAGCCATTGCCTTCGAAGCAAAGTGGAATTATGCTCCCTGGTAGTAAGTTTCTAATTTAATTTAGAGTGGTTAATTCATACTGATTGATATTCAGAATATTTCGATGGTCCAAACATCTATGTCCGCTGCTTGCAAGCCCTGCGCTCGGGCATTTTTTCCGAGCAAAACTATGCCTTACATCATTTGGTCAAGATATCGATGGAACGAGGAGACAAGTACCGATTCGAAGGTTTTCCTGGTTTGGCAGAAGCTCTTGTTGAGAAAGTCATGGAGGTAGCCTCGTTATTCTTCAAGGTTAATTGGCAGGTGGCATATACCGAGGAAGAAATGATGAGTGGCCCATACATGCTCAACGGCATTGATGGCACTCCTGATATTTTGCTAAGAATGGCAAAACACGCGAAGCTCTACGTTGACGACAATATCTACACTGCCGAATTCGCCGACAAGATGCTGCAAATCAATGAGGCTGCTCTCACATTGAGGAACATGGTCATGCTCGAGGATAATGCTTTGTACGTTTCGGACCTTGCACCTCTTCGGGATCTACTCAGCATTGTTCTCAATCTACCTGTGGTGGACAGCGTCGTTGAATTGAAGCATTATGCTCTCGACATCGCGGAACAGATTACCAAATACCTTCACTTCGACGAGACCGATCCACTCTATATTTCCCTCCTCGCACAACTGCAATCTGATGACAGAGGTGCTATCTTGACATCACTTCGGGCAATCAGCAGGATTTCCATGCAGCTCGAAGAGAATAATCTGTTGAAAGGTGTACCGGCTACCGCGATTCAAAATATCATCGACTGGACCCTGCTGAATGATGAGGATCTTGCCCATGCCTGCTTAGACTTCCTCTATCAATACACCGCTGTTGTCGACAACGTGGATTTTCTCCTTGCGAATGTTCAGGTAGAGCCTCTGGTTAACCAGCTGGTGCGCCTTTTGGCATATGGAGCTAGACACGCCGAGCGAGAATATGCTCTCACTCGAGATGGCCGAGTCCCCGCACCACAACGAATTGCGCCTCTTCCACGAGATCTCTTACCTCAGCTAATCAAGCTTGACGAACCGGAACGTAGCTCCCAATGGCTTCGGTGCCTATTCGAGGAAGATCCTGAAGAGTCCATTACGCAGATTGCTCTCTGGCAAGCATATCAAGCCTGCTTCACACCAACTGTCTCGGAGACGGGACATGCACTGCTTCCAGCAGCAGATTTCATCAAGAATGTCAGTACCACATTTGGTGATAAGGCTGCCGCCCAAGTCCAACCAGGCGTGGTCCAAAAATTTATCATCAAAGGCATCAGAATGCGCAGCGCTCCAGTCGGTCTCAATGGTGAGGAAGCTTTGGGATGTAAGTGGAAGATTAAGGAAAACTCCCCCGAGCTTTGCCGAGAATACTTTATGTCTCCAGAGGAGGTACACAAACATATCCTCAAGGCTCACTTGGGTGGGGTTGAGAAGGAAAATGGCCAGTGGGAAAATAAATTCGGCCGACAATATACTTGTCTCTGGACTGGTTGTACCAGATTCAAGACCGCTCCGGCAACCACTCTACTTCAGATGGCCAACCACATCAAAGTCCACCTCCCTCCAAAGCCTGTTGGACGTAAGGGAGTCGATGATGGTCCGCCCCCAATGAAGAAACTCAAGCCATCATACATCGTATCTGCACCAAGACAGGCATTCTCTTACCAAGTCACAGCGACTGACGATCGTCAAGATGCTGCCGGAATCCCGCTTAGCGCCGTCCTTGTCCTTCGCAATCTGGCACGAAATCTGTCCAAGACGGAGGCAGAAGAGGCTGCGTTGAAGAGTGAGGGTGGAGTTTCTTGGGTCGACCGCTTGTTCAAGCCAGTTGAGCAACGATTATTCGAGGTCATGACACATAACAAGAGCTTGGTAAGCGATCTAATAATATTTATGAGGTGCATTGCTGACTACTATTCAGACTCTGTATATGACCGATTTGCTCAGCGCTATTAAGGATGCATAGACGGGATGATATGGCGTATTTGGCTCTGGAAGGTTACTTACTCAAGCGTGATTTGGGAAGGAAAAATTTCGAGGCGCAAATGGAGTTTTGAATCGTGTAAGAATATGTCTAGATACCCGAAGCGGGAAGCAATGGTAATACGATGATTTTCACAATTTGAAGCAAGTATAGTGCACGATACGAGAGAAGTCTCTCTCAATTGGAGTGGTTTCTACTTTTATGATGTGGTATTCGGCTTCCTCTTCTCTGCCACTGTATTCAGCCTAGAATCATTAGTTGCTCGGTCGGCAGCCCTTCCGGTTCGTGGGAGAATCCATCAAAAGATACGAGGATCCTGGTACGGCGTACTTGAGCCGCGGGTTAATATCAAGCTGCAGAATTGGCAAGCCTCTAGTGTTCATACGGCGAAGTTGCATCAAGCGGAGGCTGACTTGGTTGTTCCCGTTCACTGCGCTCTTTGTATATCTCACTATGTTCGAGCGTTTCAAAAGTCCATTGTCTCCAATCTCGATCCCCATCTTCATCTTCTTCCTAAGCTACGCAACCTCAGCATTTGCCCTAACATGCCAAGTCGCAGGCGGTACATCCGACGACGCACCGGCTATCTCAGCCGCGCTTTCGAGTTGCAATAATGGCGGGACCGTAGTGCTTGATAAGACCTACACTATTGGCACTGTTCTCCAGGCCATGGCTTTGAATAATGTGGCTATTGAGCTATCGGGGATAATTAAGTTGAGCCCTGGTGAGATCTTCGACGTTTGGGGTAAGAAGGGGAGCTACAGCTAACCGGAGGAGATATATCGTATTGGAAGGCAAATGGCGTTAAGTTGACGTATCAATCTGCGTTTACAGCGTGGACGATTGGTGGGGAGGGGATTCATGTCTACGGTGGCGGCACTTTTAATGGGAGTGGTGATAGTTTGTCTCCCCCGCTCTTGGTGCTCGAAATTAGCTGACAGTTTTTAGCTTGGTATGCAGCTGGAGAAACGGGTCCAATTCCGTGGACTATCTATAACGCCCAGAATGTCCTGGTTGAGAATATCAATATGGTTCAATCGCCGTTTTGGCATAATTTCATTTATCAGAGCTCGAATGTTGAGTTTAATAATATTAATCTGAATTCGATTCAGACGGACGGGTCGCAGGCTCATAATACTGGTATGCTCTCTTTTCCCTCTTGCAAGAGCAGAGCTGATTTTTTTTTCCAAGATGGATGGGATATCTACCGCAGCACCAACATCTCAATAACAAATAGCCACATAGTCAATGGCGATGACTGCGTCTCCCTGAAACCAAACTCAACAAACGTCCTGGTCCAAAATCTCTATTGCCAAGGTTCGCACGGTATCTCCATGGGTTCCGTGGGCCAGTATGCTGGCGTCCAAGACATTATCGCCAACGTCCTAGTGAAGAACATCACAATGGTGAACGCCAAAAATGGAGCACGCATCAAAGCCTTCGGTGGCTCTTCTTCGGCTACTTCTACCACGGGAGGCGGAAATGGATATATCCAGAATATCACGTTTCAAGATTTCAGATGCGAGAAAGTTGGCTTGCCGATAGTGATAGATCAGTGCTATGAGACGTCGACGGCGAAGTGTAAGAAGTATCCGTCTAAGGTGTTAATTAATGATATTCATTATATTAATGTGACGGGCACGGGGACAAAGAGTAAGGAAGTTGTGAGTTTGGTTTGTTCGAATGTGTGTCAAGGGATTACGGCGACGGGGACGAAGTTGGTGGGCGCGAGTGGGAGTGCAGAGTATGTTTGTAGGAATATTGGGAGTGCGGGGAGTTTGGATTTTCAGTGTGAGAATGCGACGACGAGTGATAAAAGTAAGCGGGAAGAGTAAGCGGCCATTGCATGAAGATGTCAAGGTAGATTCTGGAGATATTGGGGACCCTCGAGATCGAAACAACTCCTCGGAGATGTGTAGACTGCAAACGAGCGTCATGCCGTTTCAGCTCCTCTGAATTCGTATATCTTGCTTCGATGGAAGTTCTTGCTTCTGATCTTAATTTTGCGCTGGAGATCCGTCATCATGTCCGAATTTTAATGCTTTTCATCTTCGTGTGCTAAATCAAACCAACTCGATATCGACTTCGGACATCATCTTTACAACCTCCCCTTTCATGAATCCGTATACGTACGCACTGTTAATGACTTCATATCCCTCACCATCCGACACCCTCCTCAGAACAAGCGGATACTTGCACCCGCGAAGGACAGCAACAACATCGCCGTACTTCGCACTCGAAGGACAAAGTCCCACAGTGTTCTTCATATCAATATCATAATTTGTTCCGGGGTAGCCAAGTGACCCTGAGCCTTTTTCAGAGGATAATTTGATTGAGCATAATCTACTTCCAGCTATATATCTCGCTGCATCATGAGGCACAGCAAAGGGCCACTCGGTTTCTGCTGGAAGCTCAGAATCGTAGATCAGCTTTTCGCAGTAAGAGCGAAACTTGTCAAAAGGACAAGTTATGCCGTATACCTGCTCCTGGAGAGCTGTTTTGACGATAGCGTCGTATAATGCCTCTAGAGCAGATTCCCAGTTTTCAGTATCGACTTTCGCAGCCTTGTCTGATTGTTTCTGGGGTGTTTTCCAACCGGAGATTAGAGGTTTCAACCAGTTCCGTGGCTTACGCTTCGATGCTGAAGGAACTTCCCAGGTAGATGTAACGAAATTCAACCAACTGCGAAAAGACATGGCGGCAAGGACTGGTTTGGATCTCTGGAACTCTTTTGATATAGTCGATATTTCGCCTATGATGAAGCCTCGTGAGCGTAAAACCATGTTATCAACGCGGAAAGATCCTTTAGTAGACAATGGACTAGATGCATCCCACCCATTAGTGTCGTAGTAGATAGTTCGACATCCCCTGCGGTAATGCTCCCAGTCCGGGGCCCACGACGGCGCTGAATGGGATCGATTAGACGCGTTGTGACAATCTAGCAAAATATCCAAGCGCTGGCTGCCTTCGATGATATGTTTTGCAACATTACGAAAAACTTCCGAGACTGGGTCAGTGTAACTGATAGGAAATTCGACACCAGGGACGGGTGTAGAGATCCCGAGCAGAGCGTAGACTTTGTCCCTCGGATCTTGACATTCTTGCATGTCGTAAGTGACTAAGTTGCGGAGTAGACTCATATCGTATGGCGGAAAATCAGTGCCAAGTTCCCTCCACCTTGTACGATGCCAAAGCAGTTCGGTTATTGTCCGTCCAGCAAGAACAATATCGTAGGCTAAGCTGTGGCCGAATTTGATTGGTTGTACATATATTTTTATGTAACGCAAAAGCGAGCTGATATATTCCAACGGTATTGACTTTAAATCGCATAGAAGAGGTGTCTCCAGCGGTAAGGAAACAACGATCTCCTGGACGATCCACGTGCGACTCCAATAAGTGTTCGTGAAAATCCGAATCACTCCATCCCAATGTGGCTTGAGCAAAGGGTCCACTAGCTTTGCTAATAGTAGGCTTTGTCTAGCTTCCAACTTAGTTTGTGGAAATAGACCCTGACTGGCGAGCTCTGTGACAAGGTCCATTCCTAGTGACATGTTGCCGGAATCAAGACCAAGCCACACCAGAACCTGCCTGGCTTGATGGTAAATACTCCTCATGGATTGGACTTGATGACCTCTTTCTACCTTATCGGATTGGTTGATGCATAAAGCATCAATCCAATAGGCAAAGGAGGGTCCATCATTAAGATGTGCCAAAGCATGTCGAAGGTTGGAAGTTGCATCGATTTCGTGACCGTTCACAAATACTCGAGCAAATGATTTAACTGCATTAGGTGGATTCCATTCATACGAAAGTGCTCGGTAACTTGGCCGAACGTCAAGTGTGGTGGTCTCTAACTCGCAATGTATGGTGGTAGCCTTGTCATGCGATGGTAGAATTCGAAGCAGTCGTATTTCATGCTTGCTAGGATCGAGGGGATGGTAAAGCGGAGGAAGATTGCCAAGTTGAGGGACTTCTTGTTGGTGATCCATCTCTTGCTACGAATGTAGAGTGTTGAAGCATGAATGATGATAACGACGAGGAGATATTTAGGCATCTGCAGCCTTGCTGCTTTTTTTCAGCTCCGCCACCACCACGATGCATCGGCGGACGAATCAGAGTAGATGCCTCGAGCGCCATGATCCAATATATCCTTGAAAAGTAATCGGGGACTGTTTGCGCAAAGCGCGAAGACAGATGGCAAGGCACTACCAAGTATACCGTACGAAGTCGAACAATGATGGAAACAAAAGTACGAGCGAAGTTAGTCGGTCCTGTATCTTGATTCTACAGGCCAGTTGGGGCTATCCCCGAAGCAGACATAGCGCCTCGGCTTCTGATAATATGCCGATCCCCAACCTCCCTAGTTTGTGAAACGTTCTGTCCTCTGCAAGGCTGAGAATGTCACCCACGTGTTCCACAATTCCAACCCATGTGGCTAATCCGAGTTGCCAGGTTAAATACCTGATCAGCGACCTCCTAAACATGACGTGCGTAAGTTATAAGTTCTCCTGCATGCGCTCTCCTTTTCATTATATGATTTATCCATACTGTTCATCTTATGTTTTTCACTGCATATCATATTACTCCGACTCAGTTGAAAATCTCCAGCCATGGCAAGGACCAGAAAGGCGGCGGCTAAGAAAGAACCTCCAAAGAAACCATCGTCGGGAGTATCAAAGAAGAAGGCGCCGACCAAGCATAAACCTGCTGCCAAGGGGAGAGGAAAGGGACGGGGAAAAGCAGCGACCAAGATTCCACCCTTTACTCTCACAGCTGCCACCAATACCTCCTCACCTGACTTCATTGTCCGTGGCACCAGCGAAAATGCTTTATTTTCTTTCACTGCCTACAGAGGAGAAGGGATGTGTCTCCTAGCCATGAATTGGAAGCAGGGCACTCCACCGGACAATTTCGTCGGCTTTGCCATCGAGTACATGGAACCCGGAGCCACCCAATTTTTTGCACTCCAAAACCGCATTGCATTCCCTAGTTCAAGTGGTCAGATCAACGCCAACACCCTATCAAGCCGCTTGTCACCATTCCAGAAGTTCCGCTGGACCCATTTCCCATCGAATGCTACGACACCAGGCTTGTACACTTACCGTGTAACCTCAGTCTTCATGGATGACAAGGGTGTACTAAGCTACGGAGACTTTCAGGAAGCTGCTATCGAGCTGGAAGCAGAGACCTATCCTGGAGAGCTGAATATTTGCTTCACACGTGGTTTCATTTCTTCCCAGGCTTTCGTTGACAAGTTTGGAACAAATGGCGGGGTGGGAACTATCCTTCCAACGAATGCAAACGCTGGTATTACCTTTACATCTACCGACCCGCAAGAAGAAACTGCCCTTGCCTGGATGGGGTTTGAAGCAAGAAGTGCCATCTTGAATACCTTGGATGCCGCCATCGCCGACACAACGGCCAATGTTCGTGTCTGTGCCTATGATTTCAACGATCCGGAGATTGTCTCTCGCCTTGAACAACTTAAAGGTCGGTTGAAGATTATCATCGACGACTCTGGTTCCCATAAGCCTGCCACTGCCGCGGAAACAAAAGCCGCAGCGATGCTGGTCAGCTCAGCAGGAGCCGATAACGTCCAACGCCAGCATATGGGCGACTTGCAACATAACAAATCGATAGTGGTCGATGGTGACCAAACCAAGATTGCCATTGGCGGCTCCACAAACTTCTCCTGGCGGGGCATCTATGTACAGAATAACAATACGGTAGTCCTCCAGGGTGAAACGCCAGTCCAGATCTTCAGTGATGCTTTTGATAATTTCTGGGCAAACCCCGATAATCCTAAAGGATTCGACGTTACAGCTTCTGCGGACTGGATTGACCTTGGCTTCACCAATGTCGAGGCTCAAGTCACATTTTCGCCTCACAGCACAAACAATGCCAAATTGCAACAAATTGCAGACGACATTTCCAGCACCCAATCCAGCTTATTCTACTCCCTTGCATTTCTCTACGAAACCAAAGGAGTAATTCGAGACGCCATCACAAAAGTAACAAGTGAGAATAACGTCTTCGTCTACGGCCTCTCCGACAAAACCGTCGGCGGCCTCAACATCCAACTCCCTAATGGCAACCCACCCATCGCCTACCCAGCGGCCCTCCTACAAGACGTCCCCCCACCATTCGACCAAGAAGCAACGGGCGGCAGCGGGACTCGTCTTCACCACAAATTCGTGGTCATTGACTTCAACCAGCCTACTGCTCGCGTTTACACTGGATCGTACAATTTCTCCGTTGCGGCCGATACTAAAAATGCGGAGAATCTGTTTGTGATTAAAGACCAGCGGGTGGCTACTAGTTATATGGTAGAGGCTGTTTCGATGTTTGATCATTATGCGTTTCGGGATTCGGAGAATAGTGCGACGGATGACAAGCCGCTTGAGTTGCAGGAGCCGCCCGCGAGTGGGTCGGGGGTTAAGCCGTGGTGGGATAAGTTTTGGAGTGATGCGCAGGAGGAGCGGGATCGTGAGTTGTTTGGACAATGAGGCGGTGTTGAGTTGGATCTGTACTTGTGGGAGGGAGAATACTGGCAATTTTCGAGGTGGCTTGGTCTATAGTGTAATACATCTGGTCAGCGGCAGCATCAAGTTGAAGAAGTGGAGTAATATAATCGAAGAAGCGGCAGCCATTCAAGTGATTGAGACAAGTTAGAATCTGATACCAAATTGCTCTAGGCCATTGACCAGGCAGCTTAGAGACAATCAAACTTTCAGGATGATGCGAGTGTAGGTATGCCATTCGAATGCTACCTGGTATCGAGACGCCGAACGCCATGCATATTATACACACTCAGATCCAACATCTTCGTCCACTATCTTCATGAAAGTCCCTGCTTTTGTCCTCCTTTCGCGGCCTGCAAATCTTCCAGCCTGCCTGAGATATCCGTCTGCTCACACACATCTGTACTTATCCGTCCAGCCAACCCTCATCTCCCCTCCCCAGAACTCAACGTAAACCCCTCCAACTGCCCATCCAACCACCGTCCCACCTCATCCGCCCGCCTCCTAATCCCCATAATCCCCGTCCTGCTACCCCCCACACTCCTCACACTCCCCGCCTCACTCGCAGCCGCACTCCCCACCCCGACCAAACTGCCTCCCTCCGTATACTCCTCGGCATTCCCCGCCGGCGGCGAAGACGGCGGACTCGCTGGCTGCGCACTCGGACTTAATGGCGCCCCAATCGCCACGAACAGCAGTCCGCACGCTAACTGTCTGATGACCATCACGCCGTGCGTGAGCTGGATGGTGATGGCGCTCAGCTCGCTTTCCGTCGCGGTGGCGGCGCTCGAGATCGTGGAGTCTGAGCCCCGCGGACTAGGATCGGGATGGTGTCGCGACGGGAGGGAAGTTGAGATGAGGGAGGGGAGGGAGGGTTGGTAGAGGGTCCAGAGGGAGCATGCGAGCGTGGCTTGGGTGCGGAGGGTGGAGGCGGGGAGGGGTGAGGAGCTGGTGAGAAGCTTGCCGGTGGGGGAGAGGAGGAGGAGGGTTGGGAGTTGTGGGGTTGTGTTTTGGGAGAGGAAGGTCGTGAGGCGTTTATTGAGGAGCATGGTTTGTGGTGTTGGGTCGAGGAAGGGGAGGGGTTGTGGGAAGATGCTGGGGATGGATGATTAGCTTTGTGATTAATCGTGGAATTGATAAGACGGGGAGATTGGCCGTTACTTACTAGGGCATCTAGAAGCTTTCGCAGACACGGTTGATGGGTTGAGATGGCAGTCACTGTTGATTCATGGTGAGTGACATCGAGTTGGTTGGCGGGGAAGCTTGGGGGTTGAGATGAGATGAGATGGAAAGAAAGTTCTTTGGCTGTCCGACATGTGCACTAACTGGGAAATTAATCCATCCGCCCATCACCATCGCCACCCGATACCGTATTGTACAACAACAGACAAGAGACCATGGGAGAACCTGTGATGTTCTTTTGGGCATTCCTTTGTGGACTCTGTATGCTGTTCTGCTCGGGCGTTTACCTGGGATACATAGGTTTTGAATTCAAGTTCTCGGTCAGAATAAACAGAAACAACAACGTAATACCAGCGCAAGAAGCCGCTATACCTCCTCTCGACGAGCACCCCGACAGCGCAAATAGCACAGAAAGCGCAAGCATCTTCGAGCAATTACTAGGCCAAGAGGACATCATACCTTCCTACGACGACTACCCCGACGGCGCATACGAAGCTGCAGACGAGCGAGAATTCAATTGAGGGGACTTGGATTGTTATGCCCTTGGCCCCCTTGCTGATCAACGATATATTGACCTACTTCCTATTCAAACTATCCCTGAAAGCCTGGACGGATTTCGAAGCTGGGCAGCTCATATTCAATGCCTGGATTGTCGTTTGCTACCTCTACTTCCTATTTCTCGAGCACGCAAGGCTGAGAAGGTGGGGCCGCGTATACCAAGTCTTGCAATTACAAGACGAAAGAGTCCGCAGAGGTATCATTCCAGGAGTACCAAAGTGGGACCAGATACGCACCATCACAATATTCGTACTCGGAGTCTTCATCTTCTGGTTTCTCTATTGAATCAACGCCTCGGCTTTATTTCAACGACCCGACCAGTCTCCACACGTCATACATCGCGAAAACGGCGGGGAAGCTTTTGAGCTTCACTCTTTCCCCCCCCCCTCTTACACAGTCAAGCAAAACATTCTACAATTATTTGATAAGATTCTATGCACTCTGTCCGCAGCTTACAAACAGCGTTCAGACTAAACTCCATTCGCCGCCACGTTCTTAATTCAGGTACGAATACTTATTGGGTGATGGAGCTACGAGGAGTGGGGTCGCTGACATTTGAGGACCTGGATAGGTAGCAAAACTTACGCAACCATGGCTACAGATCTGAAGACCTACAAGGTAAGAATCTTCTCTTGTTCTTTACGAGCTTCTAGCTTGGAAATACCCCTCTATGCGACGCGTTCAATTACTCCTGAGACATCATTCACTATTCCTTGAGGTCTAGTATAAATATACTAACGCCATTATGTAGTTCAATCACTCGATGTGCGAAGATCAACACCTTACCCACATTCGCAGATATGCTAATCTATGTCCAGGATTCGGGTGAAGGACCCAAAGGAATCTGGTATGTCGTAATTAAATCCTCTTCTCGCAGTCCTAATTCAAGCTTCAGTCAAATTCTACGAACACCTCGGCATGAAGATGATCAAGAAAATCGAGCAACCAGATGCCAAATTCGACCTCTACTTCATGGGCTACGATTCCCCCAAAGCTGTTTCGCACGGCAATGACTTCAGCGATCGTGAGGGCCTTATCGAATTGACACACAACTACGGCACCGAGAACGACCCGAATTATAAAGTCACCACTGGCAATGCTGAGCCACACAAGGGTTTCGGACATACATGTATCAGTGTTGATAATATTCAAGCTGCTTGCAAGAGAATCGAGGATGCAGGCTACAAATTCCAGAAGAAGTTGACTGATGGTCGGATGAGACACATTGCTTTTGCCCTTGATCCTGATGGATATTGGGTTGAGATTATCAGTCAAAATCCAATCGACAAGACCGAGAATATTACAACCACCGATTTGGCTACTTACAGAATGGTAGGTGCGTCCCACCGCTGGTGGACCCATGCTGATGAATACCAGAACCATACCATGATTCGAGTCAAGGACCACGAGAAGTCACTCAAGTTCTACCAAGATGTCTTTGGCATGACTCTCATGCGAACCAGCGAGAACAAGGACGCAAAGTTCAACCTCTACTTCCTCGGTTACCCAGGTAGCAAGGGTGTTTCTACAGAGTCTGTTAATGGTGTCAACCCAACTGCCGATCGTGAAGGTCTCCTGGAATTGACATGGAACTATGGCACTGAGTCGGATGCCAATTTCAAGTATCACAATGGCAACGACGAGCCTCAAGGATTTGGTCACATCTGTATGTATTGTTTGAAACTTTCAAGGATATTACTGACGAAAGGCAGGCGTCTCAGTTGATGATCTCGATGCTGCATGCAAGCGATTCGAAGACCAAGGTGTTAATTGGAAGAAGAGACTTACTGATGGTCGCATGAAGAACGTTGCATTCGTTTTGGACCCCGACAACTACTGGATTGAGGTTATTCAAAATGAGAAGTTGAAGAATCGCGCGAACTGGTAGTTGGTTGATGGATTATTGATGATTGTACGACAAAGGCAGGGAAAACAAAATCATGGATTTGATGCAATGGCTTTCGAACTTACAACTTAGCAGCAAAGAACGAGCTTCATTGCAACACAAAACCGAACTTGACTCGATATCCAGATTAAGCTGAAGTCAGCCACCTTCCTGAATCGGATTTGACATGATGCTTTTGCGTGGCGTTGTTTCGGATATCCCGCGATGTATTACATGATGTGCTTATGAAACAGTGCATGGAAACCAATAGGAAGTCCCGCTATAGCTGGAAGATGCCGAGTGGGATTGCTTGCATTAGTGTGCTTTTGGGGACGCGGGGTGAAGTTTCTCGCCGCCTTGTTGTCTGTCATCTGACAGGACATGCGAAGTCGGTCAGCAAGTGCTTACTAGTATATAGCTTGAGAACCATAAAATATGTGCTGTGCCACAAGTCAAGATGTATGGCTTACTGCAAGCCATCACAAGTACTTCATTCTTATCTTGGGGATGCACTTGGTGCTACCTTGATTGATCAGGACGAGAAGTATTGATCGTCAGGGGTAGCCTGCTATCTTGTGAATGTTCGACACAATGTCATTGTACTACCTGGTGTAATGTTGTGGTCTTGCTACTACCACCAACTACGCAGGTTAGTGCTGTTTGCTTTTCCGGACATCAGACTAGACTTATTGCTCAGATATGACTTCACATCTTCTCGGTGAAGATGTATTCAAAGCATTTCGATTAGCTTCATTTCTTCATATATCTTCACAGTGGTCTTGAATGAGCGGAGGTCTGAAATAGTGGCGGCAGCTTGCATTAGCGTTATGTGGGGGAAGTGCGGGGTAATCTGACGACCAACTCCAAAGGACAAATCAAGTCGAGCTGACAATCATATCACAATACACCCCACCATCTATTGCGACATCGCTTGATGTGGGATGAAGAAGTCTTCCTCGACTTCGATTCAATCTTCCTTTTTTCATTATATTCTGTTTCTGACTCGACATTCGCAGAGCTTTACAGCCTCCCACCGATACGACCACTCGCTCTTCTGAGAATTGTTACTTTCGCAGCTACCTTCCACCCAGCTCTACCATAAACATACACGAAATGGCACCTTCAGCAGTATCCTTCGAAGACTCAAGCAGTCCCTCGACGCCCGATCGTCCTAAAATCCTCATCCCCGAGAAAGTCTCAACAGACGGGCTCGCCCTCCTCTCTCCACACTTCGATATTCATCAACCGAAAGGCCTCTCGGCCGCAGACCTCCTCGCCATCATCCCTTCATACCACGCCCTCATAATCCGATCCGAAACAAAAGTCACAGCACCCGTCCTCGCAGCCGCAAAGAAATTGAAGATCGTGGCTAGAGCAGGAGTAGGAGTTGATAATGTAGACGTGGATGCCGCTACACAATATGGAATCATCGTGGTGAACAGTCCGAGTGGGAATATTGTTGCGGCAGCGGAACATACAATTGCCCTGCTCATGTCAGTTGCACGAAATGTGCCAGCAGGAGACAGGAGTCTTCGAAATGGCGGATGGGAAAGAAGCAAGCTAGTCGGCACAGAAGTTGGCGGGAAGACACTCTGCATAATCGGACTTGGCAAGGTCGGATTAAAAATCGCACGAATGGGCGTAGGACTAGGCATGAAAGTAATCGCCATGGACCCTTACGCCTCCCCGGAAATCGCAGCTTCAGCATCCGTCACTCTCGTCGGCACCCTCTCCGAACTGCTTCCCAAAGCAGATTTCCTCACAATCCACACCCCGTTGATCGCTTCCACGCTAGACATGATCAGCACGAAAGAATTCCAATCTATGAAGAAAACTGCCAAAGTCCTTAACGTAGCAAGAGGCGGCGTCTACAACGAACAAGCCCTCCTCGAAGCCCTGGACGCGGGCACCATCGCCGGCGCCGGTCTCGACGTCTTTACCAGCGAACCACCCGTCCCGGACTCAGCGGCCTCTCTTCTCTGCCGCCACGCTAAAGTCGTCGCGACGCCCCATCTGGGCGCAAGTACAGTCGAAGCGCAAGAAAACGTCTCGATAGACGTCTGCTCGCAAGTCCTGACCATCCTGCACGGCGGCCTGCCGACCGCGGCCGTCAACGCACCGCTCATCTTGCCGGAGGAGTACAGGAAGTTGCAACCATTCGTGAAATTGGTCGAGAAGATGGGGTCGCTGTACACGCAGCACTACAGTCATCCTTCCACGGCGGGCGGATCGGTAGGCGGGAAGACGTTCGATTTAATCTACGAGGGCGAACTGGCTGGGATTTCTAACACGAGGCCCTTGTTCGCTGCTCTGGTTAAGGGCCTCACGGAGAGTATCTCGGATAGCGGCGGTCGCGACGTGAATATCGTGAACGCGAACCTGATCGCGAAGCAGAAAGGGATCCGCATCAACGAGACGCACAACTCTGCCTCCCAAGACCTGGTGTATGCGAGTTTAGTGACGTTGAAAGCGGAGGAGAAGACTATCTCGGGGTATGTGAGCGGCAAGAGTATTTATATTAGCAGGCTAGATCGGTTTAGTGCTAATTTCGTGCCGGAGGGGACGTTGATCGTGTTGCATAATTATGATGAGCCGGGGAAGATTGGGGGTGTGGGGGGTATTTTGGGGAGGCATGGGATTAATGTTAAGTTTATGACGGTAGCGGCGTTGGAGAGTGAGAGTGGGAGTGGGAGTGGGACGCCGGGTGAGCGGGTGGGGGAGGGGGAGGAGAAGGGGCAGCATGAAGCGTTGATGATTCTGGGCGTTAAGGGGGTGGTGGGGAAGGAGGTCGAGAGGGAGTTGCAGATGGAAGAGGGGATTTTGGAGGTTTCGGTAGTGAGACTTTGAATTCCGTTTGCATTCTGGCGCATGGGATGGGGAACGTGGTGTTGCTCTCTGTAGAGTGCTTTTGTTTTGGGGCGAAGTCTGGGGTTCAACAGCAAAGGCTTCTTAGATTGGATTTGGGAATTGGGGTTTCTTGGCTTGGTTTAATTCAACAATAATAACAGCATAGGGTTATAGGTAAAATGCTAGACTGGGCAGATAATGATAGCTTAGGCACTCTTGGATCTGAATAGCAAGACAAATGTGACGAAGCGCTCACGTACACCTTCGTTGCGATCACTTTGCTCGCGAGTACGAGGATAAAGTAAATACCTCCAAGTTAGAGGATTTGAGGAGTCAGTTAGTAAAGCATTTTTGCAACTACACATGAGTAGAGTCTCCTCCTTATAGATTCATTGCTTGAATTGACTTGAAGTTCTCAACTCTTGAGGAGCAGGTATTTACCGCGGTTTAGGTTAGGTATGTAACTTGGTAAACGTTCGGGAATCAAAGTATGCTGGTAGAGTTTCGTGGTCAGATCTATTACTCTAGACAGCCAGAGTAGAATATCATTCAAGTAGTTCCGTTTAGAGCAAAAAGACATATCAGATGATGTGCAATTAGTATCCATTGGATAGACTAAAAGGGATTCAAAAGCAATCGCCGAAAGCTATGTAACATGCAGTAAACAGTAATTCAAAACTCTCCTAACTCAAGATGATCGATCCTCCGAAGCACCACCACTTCCACCAAGATCTAAAGATCTAAAACCAATCTGCTTCATGTACCACTCTGTTCCAATAGCATCGATTGCCTTACGGAGAAGGTTGATATCAATGGTCATCTTCTTGATCATTCGTCTCTCCTCAGTGATAACATCCTCGCACAACCATTTGACGAACTGAGTATGACGATCCAACATGCCGTTGACCTGCATCTCTCGCAAATAGTCCAATCCCTGCTCCAAGCGCGACTCCTTCAGCGCAGTCTCCGCAAACTTCCGAGCGTTCGCCTTGAGTTCTGCTTTGCGAGCCGACTTGCTCTTAGCTTGATCGAAGTTTTGTCCCTTTGTTTGAATGTCTGCTTTGGGAGCTGACTTGCTCTTAGCTTGATCGAAGTTTTGAGCCTTCGCCTTAAGGTCTGTCTTGCGAGCCAACATGTTCTTCACTAGATCCTCGGTGGTGGTGTTTCTGTGATCCTCTCCCTTATCCTTGAACCAAAACTTGGGGTCTGCTCCCAGTATATGTCTTGTTTCAGCTACGAGGTCGCCCTTCCAGACCATGCCTTCACCAGTTCCGATGATGCCGAATGTCTTTGCAAACGGGCACTCCTTCTCTACCTGCAGGGTAAGTTTCTTCATTGTCTCCTTGAAAGCAGCCGGCTTCGTAACATCAAGGGTTTCCATCCAGTATCCTGTTCTGGCGATGAGATTGTAGATACCGACATTTTCGTTGCTGATGGTGAAGAAGGTCTGATCGGGAACCCAGGAGTTGTTGATGGAGATGCTGATCACGACGAATTTGTTCTTCTCTAATTGCGCGAGGGCGACGCCTTTTTGTATCTTGGGGCCAACCCACTCGCCAGCAATAATGATCGGGTATTGGCTCTTAACCGATCCCTTGCCTTTGATGTCCTCGTATTTCGCAATGCATTGGTCTCGCAAGCTCAAGATCTGTTTCTTATGAGGAGTCATGGTCTTGACGAAGTCGTGGTTGTCATGCTCGAGGTCAAGGGCGCGATTGCGGGATTGGAAGAGGATCTGGTCGTTGGAATAGACAACGATATCGGCATGAGTACCGTGAAGCTTTACCGTGCCAACGAGTTTGACTTCATTGGGTGGTTTCTTGTTGAAGCGTCGTTGGTCCTTCTGATATTTCTTATAAGCGACTATAAAGCCAGCTGAGAAGTTGATCTTTGGGAACATGCTGGCTGTGACGAACGCCTGTGGACTCGAGGCAGTAGCTGGAAGAGCTGTAGAATCCATTTTGCAGGAAATTGAGTTGTTCTTGAGGTGACTTCGATGAAGGAGGGATCTAAAGACGAGTGTGAAAGTTTGAAGAGGGTATCTGTCAACGCGCAAGTGTTTTGCGAAGGAAAGGTAGGGAAGCTGCTGATCTCTTACTGTGCAAGACACGCAGGTATCGAAGGAGAGCGGAAGACAGTATTGTCGAAGTAGAATTCGTATGAAGACACGCTGCTGTCAAAGAAGAATCAAGATTGAATGCTTTTGAGAGACCTTGTGGTACAGTAAAGTTGCCAAAGGTAATCAGCGCGCAACTTGATTTGTATGGTTGCGTTGTTTATGGGAGGAAGAAAATTCGAAACAGAAAGTGGGCAACCTTATTTTTTCAGGCCGTCAATCAGGCCGTTACTGGTGGATGAGGCAGTGACAGACTAGGCAAGAGCAAGAAGGGAAGGCCCAACTGTCCATTGGACAGTCTTGCAACAATGGAGGTGAACAGGATTTGCATACGGTGCATCTACTATCTAAGATATTACATTATATGCTGTGGCAGCCCGAGAGATCACTGACGATTGCTTTACCGACGACCTCGTTCTTGAAAGTCGAGGTGAGGCAAGCTTGGGAGGCTTCTCTTCTCATTTGCACATTCCACAATTCTGCATGCTCGGCTCAAATAAGTTATATAACAGACCAGTTCTGTTTGGTGTATAATATACAGTCTATAACACGATATCAGTCTCACATCTTATGTCTGAGGCCTAGGATGGCAAAGGAAGCGGAGAAGAGCTGAAATAGATCAGAATTAAGGCTCCATATACGTCCTGTTCTTTGTTTGCCCTCAGACACAAGATCAAACAAAGTTAAATAATTTGGGACATGGAGTGCATGCCAAAATGTATAAACAAGCGTGCTTGGAGCGCATGATGAAAAATCTTACCTTGGAAATTGGAGGGATGCATCAACTTGTTGCCAGATTACGGCATTCCGATTCAATCATTGTGGAGAGGAAATGTTCCAAAAGCATACAATGATATCGAGCAATCTGATGTCCATAACTCATTGTCTTATCTACGGTCCCTCACATTGGCAGAACTTGCTCTTCACATGTCTCACCAATCGAATCTCCAACCACTAATTGTTCTACTGTTCTCAAACCTTCGTCTCTCCTACTAGAACGTCACCTTTCGAAATTTCAGAGTCATCGATTCCAGCAGCACCGGGGCCGTCAAAGCCAGATCCCTCGCCTACCAACACTCTCACTTCATCAGTACTGTGCTCCTTGACTTTGGTAAAGGCAACATAGAACGTGGTAAGCACGCTTCCCATCAAGATAGCCTATGTGCTGATATACATGCTTCTGTAGGAAATCTTAAGTCCGTCGAGACGCCAGACAACTGCTGCTGCTGCTGCTGCTGCTGCTGCTGCAGATTGGATCGACTTGTACCATCCGGAATAGTGAGATAGAGTTGCGGAGTTATTGGACAGCGAACCTATGAGCTAGTATGCGTAGGCTTGGAAACATCCATCGTAGAATGCGTAGAAGATGTAGATGGCGAGATAGGGGAAGTAGCGTGCTGACTCGGGTCTGGAGAAATTTCAGCAGCTGATAATTGTTTTGGGGTGATCACTTACACACCGATGAGTGGATCCGGACTAACTCCTCTCACTGCATCTTTGACAAAGACCCAACCTCCACCCCACATCGCGAGCGTCACTACAAGCACGTACACAATTCCAGTCTTTGCACGTGTTGCTCTGCCCACGTGTTTCGACTTGAATGGAAAGTCGAGAAATGTGCCCATGGTCCAGACACCAACCATATTGAAGAACATGGACCAGTGCCAATTGAATGAACGGGTCCTTGATGCAAAGTTAGGAACGTTGAAGTCATTTGTTTCTGATCATTGGTATGTTAGCTGGTATAGAACGATGTCTCAAGACAGAGTGGAGGGCAGGGGAAGGAATGTGATATCTGAAAGTAACAGGTGCCACCTACGGTACATGTAAAACCAATTGGAGGCCGCGAAGAAAGGGAACAAGGTGATAATCCACAAGTTCTGCTGAAGTACGTGATACATGCCCTTCACTTCAGACCTGGGGTTGAGTTAGCAATATTAAATAAGTGCTGCGAGTTTCACTTTCCTCCAGGTTGGCATCGGTGGCAAAACCACTTGAGTCCCATCTGTCCGAATCACTTTGTCTGATGGTATCAAAAGCAGCGGAATACAGCAGCCGCAAAGCATGATTACGATGAAAGCAATGTAGGAGCCATCATTCAAATTGCCGGCTTTCGAATTCCAATTGAGGCAGATGAGAATAATGGAACCGATGACCCCAGCCTTCTTGAAGATCGTCCAAAACACCGAAAATCATCTCCCCTTCATATCTTCCGTTGGGTAGCACATCGTCACAGCACCTTGAGCTGTCCATAGCTGGGAGTGGTCAGCCGTGGAAGACCGATCTTTGGCAAACAACTTACCATAGCTGCAGAGAGATCTTCCAAACATCCAGCCAATACAACCCATAGAGTTGCTTTATCACCGATATGTGCTGTAGTGAAGTATGCAGATGCCAGGCAAGCGTAGTCAAATACTCCAAACATAAGACAGATTTTGATTCCAACACGGTTGTATATTGTCCCGCCAAAGAACGCAAGAGCTGCGAAAGGTACAATTGATGTTAGCACAGAACTCAAGAGAGCAGCAGAACGTACTTGATATCTATTAAGGTCGCTAAAATTACAATCTCTATGCATTGTCTATAAGCTACCCAGGCGCTATCTACGCGCTGCCTATGCGCTACCTATAGGCTACCCACTTACTCTACCTTCCATTGACCCTACTCCTAACATCTAACCCTGACCCTAACTAACTCTAGCTTTGTGCTACGCGGTAAATAACCTTAACTACTAATTCTGCGTGGTAAGTGCCTGTGTAACGCGCTAAAGTCGCTAAAAAATACAGGGTTTAGGCGCAAACATAGCCTGCAAAAATGAAATGTGGCACAAGGACATAGTTTGTGTACGACCGTCCTTGTTGGGATTGCAACGTTACGAAATTAAACAACATATGTGTGGGGAAGTCCACTAAATCCCACACAATTAATAAGATAAACATGATCGATTAAAACATGATCTTGTTTGGCTCGTATCACCGGAGACTAGCCGATTTGCCGTATGCACATGAAGAGTGGGGGAAATGTCGAACCTGATAGTTGAGACACCATCCCTATTTTGGATTTTGAGAAAGTAAAGCTGCATATCAAGTTCTTTGGTATTTGTGTAACTTGGCAAATGTCCCAGAATGTGAACGACATTCAAGTTAGCCACAAGGGCTCGGAAAGAGTTAAGAACCAGGCCAACACCCGATCTCGCACCTCGCCTGTGGTCTAAACAACGAAGCCTGACTTGCTTGTTCCACGCGACTATAAGGACTTCTTCGACAACTTTGTCTCATTTTCGACGTGAACACCCCACAACTCCAACTTCGATTATATCAAGCAACCTCAGAAGAAGTAAGTCAAAGAGCCTGTCCTCTCTAGACAATCTAATCAATTTGAATAACACATCCTGACCAGCCTCCAGCGTCTCACTATGGCCGCTGCCACCCTCAGTCACCGATTGTCCATGATCTCTCTTACCAGCACCCAAGCAGGTCGTCGAGAGTTCACCCGTCTGGAAAAGCAAGCTGCTGCAGGCCATCTCACTCAAGTTTGGTCTGATCTCGAAGCCGATCTCCCTAAGCCTCTGGAGCATCGGTTCGTCGATTTGAAGAAGCGTCTTGTCCCCCCGGAGCAATATGAAGCACTTCAAGCAAGCTGGGACCGTCTTCGCATTGCCTTAAAGGAGAGAGCAGTTGAGATCGAGGCCGCTGGACCTGACGTGAGTTGCTAAACTGAAAGCGAAAAAAACGCGTGAAAGTAACGCGCTAAAATTGACAGTATATCCCAACTGTTCTATTCACCTCAATTGGCCCGGACGGCACCTTCCCAGAGGATATTGCTAAGTTGATCAAGTCTCGAGGATGTTGTGGTAAGTTTGAAGACCCTTTACTGCACCACTTCATGTCATGTCAAACGTCCCAACCTTTGCTGCACATTCGACGAGACCTATTGTCCCAAGATCCTTCGCGTCTTGACTCTTCCCGCCATAACTCTCCCCGTCCCGACTTTTCGCGTCTTGTTGTTGCGCGACCTAAGGCTGGACGTTGACACCACACATGTAAACGTGTCTCTCATCTTTCGACTGCTAACATATCTGACATAGTGATCCGTGGTGTCGTCAGTCGTGAGCAAGCTCTGAAGTGGAAGTCTGACTTGATGGACTATGTCCGAAAGCACCCCCTTATTGCTGGTCCCCCTTCTGCCCAGGACCCCCAAATCTGGAAGACTTATTGGACCAAGCCTCAACTTGAAGGTCGAACTCATCCAGACATGATCAAGGCTCAGGTTGCTATGAGCAAGCTGTACTCTTGTGATGAAGATACTGAGGTCGACGTTGGTAGTCAAGCCTTGTATGCTGATCGCTTCCGTATCCGATGGCCTGGTGATTCGGGAACTCTCCCTTACCACCTTGACAATGGTTCGATTGAGCGTTGGGAGGATGAGGAGAACAGCAAGACTTTCAGTGCTATCTGGGAGGGACGCTGGGAGGAGTATGATGCTTTCGATATGAATCATCGTACAGAGGCTTGTGTCGACTTGTACGGCGGTCCGGGTGCTTGCTCTGTCTTCCGTAGTCTTCAAGGTATGTGCCCACTTGGCTAGTTGAGAGCGAACTAACATGGATCTAGGATGGTTGAGCTTGGCTGACAATGGCCCAAAGTGTGGCACCATTGAACTTCTTCCTGATATCAAGCTCTCCACTGCTTATATCTTGCTCCGTCCCTTCTTCGATGCCAACAACAAGCTTGACATGGAGTCGACTTATTTCTACGGTGCTGATCCCGGATTTGGTCAAGTTGTCAAGGACACTTGGCACCCTGACCTCCAGTTGAGCAAGACCGTCGTTGCCGCTCCCAAGGCTGCTCCTGGTGACTATGTCTTCTGGCACTGTGATGTACGCATGGCTCTAATATCCCGAAAGTCATTCGCTAACTTCAATAGATGGTCCACAAGGTCGAAGAGAAGCATGAAGGTACCAAGGACTCCTCCGTCATGTACATTCCCATCGTTCCTCTCACTGCCTACAACATCTCCAACCTGGTTGAACAACGTAAGGCTTTCATCGAAGGCGTTCCACCACCGGACATGATTTCTCGTGATGGAGAGGAGTTGGAGAAGGAGCACGAGGATAGAGGTCTTGCTAAGGATATCTTGACTCTCGGGGGCAAGAGAATCTTTGGTCTTGCACCTTTCGATCTCACTGAGGATGGTATTACACGAGGCCAAATTGAGGTTCGTCGCTTGGCTAATGAGGCTTTGGGCTTCAATGACCTGGCTACGTACGACCGTCAATGAATGGGGATTGTACAGGCTTGCGAAGGACTTTGACATGGGAACTGGTGGAAAATACGTCTCGCGTTGCTTTTGATGAACCGGCCGCGCTTCAGTTATTGGCGTTACTCGTTTCTGGCCTCGTACGTCAGGAAATCCAAATAAAGTAATTACTTTCGCAAAATAAATTCCTTCACCAATGCAAGTTCTTTCAGAACGTATACGACCTTCTTTGGGACAACGGGGCTTCATTGTCCGCCTAGGACAAGGACGTTCGTTCCATGTCCTTCAAAGAAAGGTCAATCATGAGGTCATGTCATATTGTGAGGTCGAGGCTGCAGAATTGTAGAATTCCTTCTTGTTAGCCCAGTGTAACTCCCGAACAGGATCAACATAATGAGCTCCATTTCCCAGTATTGAAGTCTTCAAAGATCACTTTCATCTCAAGCTGATTCAATCATGAGCTTGCATCTTGAAGATTTCGCAATCAATGCTGGGTCTTACACAATGCTCTCCACAATACCTCAGAAAATCCGCTTTGTTGTCAACAGCCACCAGCATTGCCCTTGTTCTATTATCAACGCGATTCATTAAGTTGCTTAATAAACCTCACAATGGCTTTCAGAGTTGACAATGCCTTGTACCTTCTACTAAAGAAACCCTTTCTTCAGTCAATAAAGAGGCAATGTAGACAATGTCTTTTACAATATGTTATAAGTTATTCTGGTATATCTCTAACTCAAACTTTAGAACCTTCAATCACACCACAACAATACCATTGTATTAAACTACCGAAAACCTCCACATTACTCTCAACCAATACCACCAATGTCTTTACCAATATCTTTCGGAGTCGAATTCGAGTTCAATCTAGCATTTCTGAAGGACCCGGCTGGCAAGCCTCCTAGTGGGGAGTCTCGCATGTTGGTGTTTCCCCCGGACGGCTATGGGTCGGGCGCTTACGAGAATCGCCCCAGAAGGCATCTTGCAAAACTCCTCCATTCTGCTGGTTTTCCAGTCGACCTGCAAGACTTCAAAGGGAAGACAATGGACTTTTGGCAAATTGATGAAGACGCAACAGTTGACGCGCCAACGGAGGGAGACCCGGATTTTTACGCCGAGTACGAATATATCGATGTAGAGCTTAAGACCCCAGCACTAAAGTTCAACGAGAAGAGTATTCAAGATGTGCTCGCGGTCTGTGAGCTCATTAACAAAACCTATGTGATAAGCAACAACTCCAGTTCTGGTCTTCATGTCCACATAGGACATTTTGACGCGAGAAATGCCTTTCCCTTGGAGTATATGAAGAAATTCGTTTCTTTCATGTATATCTTCGACCCTCAGATATGTTCTATTCATCCCCTGCGTCGATTACATCATACTTGGGGAGGCAGTATGCGATCTATGGCTAGTGTCACCCAAGGATTCCAAGCACAATTTGGATATCGTCCTCTACCCGCTGAAATCATTCCATACTTTTTTGCAGCCCCGAATCTCGATACGCTGTTGGAATTTGCAATGGCTTTGGGCATGGGAAGAGCCAACAACGTCAATATGGCGGGCGTGAAGTTTGCCGCCCGCGCTAGTATATATAGGCTTAGCACTGGACAAGGCCATACCATTGAGTTTCGCCAGCATGCTGGCACGATGGAAGGGCTCAAAATTACAATGTGGATTCGAGTGTTGGCTGGCATGGTTAAATTCATCGAAGAGGTGAGTACCGCCAGCTTTCATCAACTTCTGATCCCTTTAATGCTGGCAGAGACATGGGAAAAGACTTACAACGGCAAAGATGACGAGAAAGAACAGAAACTCGGACCGATTCCTGCAGATGGTCTCTTTACCATCATCGATTTACTGGAACATATTGGCTTAACAGAAGAAGCACAGTACTACAACGATAAGTGGATGATACATAAGAGCGATGATCTGAAGGACAACCCATACTTCACACCACAAAAGACACAAGTGAGGTGGGAATTCATGGCAATTCATAGTCCAGACAGCGAGGAGTACAAGGACGGCATGAGGTTGAAAGATATCTGGAACATGATGAAATCGCTTGATCTGCAGAGCGAAATGACTAAGAGAGAGAAGCTTGTCTGGGATGAAAAGTCGGATTTCTGGCCAACGCATCGTATTACGTAGTAATGCCCTAAAGATAGAAGAACCAATAGAACGGCGCTGGTCGCTTGTTAATTAGATATATGAAGTTTCGTGAGATGACAAGTTTAGAGTAGACACATGTGAATTCAATTTTAGTTTACGTGTGACAAACATTTGGACAGGCTTTGACGGACTGATACACAAGAATCTAGCACTTTAATTTAAATGGTTCTTATATCGTAATTTCAAGTCCTACCTCCCAGCACGCCTGTGAACCTGACCAGATGAATCAAAAAGTATGCACAAACGAAGCAAAGCTGACAAACCAAATGACGCTCTTGTCTAAGTACTGACTACGTTAGGCTGCATTCACCCGATCATGTTGACATCCACCAAGAACTTTTCAATTGTTTGGCACGGAGACATGCAGACCAATTCTCTTTTAGTAGTGTAGCGGTGTGGCTAGTACACAGCATGGTTGACGCGTTACTATATTAGTTTAGCTTCGCGTGCGAGTAGCGCCATAGACTTTACAAGCAGTATAAGACGGCTTCCGTTCAGATCTTGTATCTTGCATCTTCATTTTGGCATCGCATCTTCATCTTTGACAAAGATATTTACCATTCCCACAAAGATGTCTAGGTCTGCGCAAACTACCCACCCCTCCAAGAGCATGCGGGAGTGGAAGTCAGAAGACAAAAAGGATGCATCCTATCTCGGCATCGGGTGTGATCGATGTCATAACATTTTGGGCTCTACCCTCAATGTAACACGAACCTCTGAGTGTGGGCACAAGATGCCATTCTACATGAATGGGGACGGAGCATCATCGGACTGGTACGTGGAATCATACCGCACTCAATTTTACATACCCAACGCAGAAAAAACAGACATTAGTGCTGAACTCTTCGGTTTAGGCTTCTTGCAGGGTTGATGAAACTTCCATTGCATATCCGCTCCTAGATGTATGAGCATCTTGCCTTTCCTGGAGTTCTAAAGGACATTCCGACTGTATGGCTCACATACGTAAACAGATTCGAGGCTCCCAACTACTCTTGGTACAAAGGAAAAGCCGGCATCACCATTCCAACGTTAGAGATCAAGGGAGGTGACTGGATGTCTACCGATGAGAATTGTTCTGCACACTTCGTCTGGCACTTTTGTCATGCACAAGGGTATGCCCAGAAGCTACATGACATGAGCCTCAACCATGTAGACTCGGCCCCGGAAGCTTTGGAAGACTTCTTACATTTTCTGGGTAACAGAATGGTAGTTGAGCTACATATCATGCCATGCTACTGGGAAAGAGCTGACCTAAGTTACGAGCTATGCGTAAGTTCAATCATCGACAAGAAAATCGGAACACGTTGCAGGACTAATTGAGGCATGAACAGACTCCATTGACATGGCTAAAGACACTCGAACCCTACCATCAATGTATCAAGCATCTTTCTCTGGACTATCTCGCTCTGTCTCTCTGCAACAAATTTGACGAACCTTCCACGGTCAATCAAACGTCCGATTTTGTCGAGCGCTGTGGATACGTGCACGAATGCCTAACAAATGTCGAATCTATGATATTGTGGCTTCACCTTAGCAAAGAACAAGTCGAGGTCGCATTAACTCGTCCTAATGAACAAGCTTGGGTCCGAGCTTGCAAATTGGTATCTGTAGAAAAGATGGAGGTCAAGTTGCGCGTATTCCAGGACTATGAAGTACGGCTGAAAGAACCTCGGCATCGTGGTCTGTATATTTGGGCTGAGTTTTGGGGAGGTAACTTGTTTCGGTCTCATCTCTGGGCTCCAGATGTAAAGAACATTGTGGGATTCGAAGATAAGGAAAGTGCAGCGAGGCTAAAGGAAATCTTCATGTCCAAATATCAGTGGGAGTCGACGAATGACATTCCGGAAAATCCTGGTCTGGAGAATTTGTTCAGCGATACAGGTATGGTATCAGAGGGTTCGAGCCCAGAAGCCATGCTTTGAGCATATGTGGTCAAGACTTCGGAAAGGATGATTACGGGGAGTAGCTGGCCTGAAGCACAACAAGCGCGAGGATTTCATGAATGGACTGCTACCAAATAGATTACTAGACGAAATCGTATCATGCTTGCCAGACTTATCGGAAGCGACTGCGTACCGTTGTGAGACCTGATCATGATACACATCTCGGAGAGGGTTTGATTTGCCGTATACCATTCTGTGCTTCATAGGCATGGCACGCTTGGAATACTTCGTTTCCCTCGTCAAAATGTCACGAAAAATATCGCAAAGTTTCATATCAAGTTCTTTAAGTCTTCACTTTAACCTCAGCTGCTGACATAGCCTCTGGAATTGTCATCGCCTAGCTAAAGGGGTAGGGGCGGCTCGTCTAAAAAGTAGTCCGTGCCTAATAATCCCGGCGACCGTAATACGGCATGAGCCTTGTGGGACGAAACATGTAAATCCTCTCTCTTGATATCTCCTCAGTCTGAATCGCAATTGTCTGGATGCATGACGCACCTGCTCGTATTACTCAATATATTAAGCGTTTATAGCCCTAGATGCCAAAATCTCCGATTGCCATTTGAACCATGGGTGATCTCAAGGACCCGACTCGAACCTGACAGGAAACGCCAGAAAACCCTCAGCCTTGCCTCGGACGTCCTCGAAGTCGAATAGAATCACCCAAGCACTGTCGAACAATGCTGAGGAGTCAATTGAACGATACTCTCCATCCCAATGTGGATATGAGGGACGGAGATGATATGATGGACGACGGCGGAACACCGCGACGACGACGAGCAGTCTCACGATCTCCTTCGAAAGCACGCTCACTATCAGATGGCGGACCTCCAACATTGTCACCATCCCCAAAGTTTCGAGAGCCAGAGAAGAGGAAATCAAAAGACGATAGTGCACTCGAGGCGAGTCCATCCACTCCGCGTCGTCCAGCCTTCCCGCGTGGCCTTTCTCTACAAATGCCGGCACGAGACCTGATGTCACCAAACACATCAGCATATATCAATCGTGTACCTTTATCACCCAAACTTGATCACTCGCAGACCTATGGCTCACCGTCTAGTGTGCTTCCGAGGCGGTCTCGAGGTTTAGACTTTTCTCGCGCGGCGACGAACCTTCATCATTCGACTCTAGCAGAGCAATCTTCGCCCGACTCCTCTCCAACCATAACAGGGCGGGCGATGAACATACCAAACAGGAAGAATGGTTTGCACTTCTCCAGCAACTCCGAATCCATGAACGCCTCCACTTCTTTGTGGTCGACTATGGCAAATGCGGAGCGCATGACAGTCTCCAGTTCTCTGGGAAGTGTGAACATGCTGGGTTCTGAATCATCAAGCAGTTCCTCGGACGACGATGACCTGATGGACGCAGACGATATCGATGACTCCATACTCACGACTCCACAAGTGAACAAACTCGCAGGCCCCTTTGCAGGTCCTCAGGCAAGCCCCGGAAATGCATGGACCACACAATCACCAGCAATGAGCAGTTTGATGAATTTCCAACGCGCTCGACTACGACATGGAAAGAGTAGAAAGAGTTCAAGTAGCGGAAGCGGTGCATCCATGGCCAGTCCAAGCTCGAAATCTCCTCCCATGCGCGGCGTCGACAATATGAATAGTGGATACTTTGGCAGGGAGCAGGCGGAGGGTCTACAAGCAAGGCGTGAGAGCATAAGCTGGGCGGCGAATCAACTACACATATCCGGCAGTGAGAGCGATGATGGTACGCTGAAGTCTACCCTAGAAAGTGTTGACCCTATCACACCAGGTCGAGATGGTCAGCGTGGTGTCATTCGAAGACCAGTGACCAGGAGGGGAAATATGCTGGTATGTATCTGCGGTCAGGTTATCAATCTCTACTGACAATTTATAGCCCAAGACCAAGGGGTTTGCGCGTATTCGAGCAGCACTTGCGGAGGAGAGCACACCAGTTGAGACAGAGGTTCGGCGAGAGGCAGAAGTTGTTCGACAAACTAGAGAGGCGGACATGGATATTGAACCAAGACACCCACCCCTTTCTACTACTACGACATCGCAATCTTCTCCCAGCCTTGGACCTACTACACAAGACTTGTTGGAAGGTATACCAGAAGATGAGATCATGTCGGATGCTACATCAGGGTTGTCAAGCAGCTTCAAGCAGCATGCCATGCGCAACTCCAAAGGCAAGGAGTTTTGGGAGACATTCAAGGATGAGAGAACTCCCCCTCCACCATTCCTACCTCGAGGTTCATCATCGGGAATCAGCGAAGATATATGCTTAGATTCACCATCTACATTGACGCCGCCTTTATTCCCAACCATGTCACAATCTACTACTTCCGATCACCAACCATCCTCACCTTCAAGATCCTCTACACCACAACCAGCTCCTGGTCCAACACCAGCAGAGATCACGAGGAAGGTGAACAATAAGCGTCGACGAGACGATGACTTCGATCCTACAAGCTTCAAGCGTAGAGCTGTCAGTCCAGGTATGAGTGTACATAACAGTCCTGTCATGCAAAGTCCCATGCAACGGGATCTTGCCCCATGGGGTAGTCGACCTCCCAGCAACGGAGATGCTAGCAAAATTGCTCCGAATGGAGGACCGAAGAGGGTGGGATTCCAGGGTATGGTGGATACCAATGATGGATTGATGAAGATGAGTATTGAGTGAGATCGTATTATGGTCTTGGTGGTCCTGTAAAATTGTTTGGTCTGAAAATATGGTGCATTTGCGAGGCGCTTTGAGTTTTGGGGTTGCGATGAATTAGGAGATACCAATACATATTTTATTTGCAGTCCCTTTTTCTCAAGTGGACTTTCATGAGGTAACATGTGAAATTGTTTCCGGTGTCATCCCGTATACGAGTCAACAAGCACGAAGATGCAAAAACCCTGAAAATGTATAAACAAGGGAGGTGCATTTGGATGTCACAATTGTGGATAGTCTGACCAAACCGAAAACCAATAAACAAAGCTGTATTTTAACAACCAATCGTCACGGTCAACGAATGAAAGCTCCAGCAACTCGAAGACATCCTCCTCTCAAAAGTATCCAACCCACACAGTTTTCCTCCTACCTCTCGAGGCTATTATTCCACCAAGGGTCTCAAACGTTTCAAAGGCACCAGATTTTGACGGGCCAGCCAGCTGCCACTTCACTGGCTCTCTTATCAGATCCCTCATTCTGACAATATATATCCCAGCACCTGCATATCCGCAGAGACGGAACACATATTGTTCTCGACGCAGAACGCCACTTTTGCGCTTTTAGCCAGGAACCAGGCAGCTTTGTCCGATGAACGCTCTATGTTAACCGGCAGGGTGCTGATTGTAGAGATGCAAATGTGCGATCAAAGCGACGGCATTTGGAAGGAGGGCGATGTATAAGTCCCGCTGTTGTTATCCATTGGACATGGGAAGAATGGGGATTTTAGTACTTGAGATGCGGGATACCCACTTGCTTTCTTTTGTGCAAGCTAGCAGATCTTCGTTTTGAGTTTGAAGTAGGAAGACTTTTTATGCTTGATTCTCAAGATGGATGGGTCTGTGCCTGATGTTAACAGAGGTGAGTGCTGGGAGCGCTAGTATTGATTTATTTGTACTGAAGTACCACAGGCGGATCTGCGCTTGGAGTGATTTGGACACTCGATGCGATTGCGATTCTCATAGTTGGTGCAAGATGTTACACGCAGAAGTTTGTGACGCGCCAATTCGGCTTGAGTGAGATCTTGGTGGTTATCTCTGTGGTAAGTACTCCTCTTCACAGAGACAATTCTTCGCTGATCGTCAAGTAGTGTGTCATTACTGGCATGGCGTCTCTCATCTCTGTACAATACCATTATGGCTGGGGACGACACTACGAAGATATTCCAACGGCAGAAGCTACACAAGCGTTGAAATACAATGCTATAGGACAATCGTTCGGTGTCATGGGCTCTACATTTGGTCGATTGTCATTCATCATCTTGATGCTGAAGCTGTTTGGTACCACCAAGGCTCGAAGGTGGTCGTTGTGGGGTCTGTTCTGGGCACAGTTGATCAGCAATGGTGTTGTGGTTGTTACACTTTATGTTCAATGCGATGATATTCGAGCTCTTTGGGACTTTACCATACAAACTCACTGCTGGCCGGAAGATGTACAGACTGTAAGTCGGATATTTTGAGAAGTGAAAAATGCTAATTGTGCTAGTACATTGGATATGCACATTCAGGATGGAACGGAGCGACGGATCTATTTCTGACATTCCTTCCAGCAACGATGCTTTGGACACTCAAGATGAATGTGAAAACGAAGATTGGTCTTTCGTTCTTGCTGAGTCTTAGTTTCTTGTAAGAAGTCCGACTCGGTCTAGGAGATCTGCTAATGAAGGTAGAGCATTTGTGGGAGTCATCATGAAAATTGTCTATCTCCGAGTTCTAGCTCACAGAGCAGATTATACATACAACACAGTTCCATTATTTACATGGGTAATGTAAGTGTTTCCAATTATTACCCCAAAAGCAGAGCAATTGACACATCTCCCAGTGTGGAAAGTACCCTCGTCGCAATCGCAAGCTCCGTCCCTCTCCTCCGACCCCTCTTCATCAAATTTATCCCAGGCTTTGCATCACAGCGATCAAGCTCTTACGTCCTCAATAAATACGACTTCAAAAACAAGCAGCCATCCTACGGCAGTGGTCGACAATTCAGCAAACTTGGCGAAAGCAGCAAGGGTTCGAGGAAAGAGAGCGATACTGGAAGTCAAGAGATTATTTTACCGATTCAAGACACACATGATGCTATTCTGAAAGAAGTCTCGTATTCGGTCAAGGTGTCGGATGTAGAGAAGGGGGATGCCAAGCATGGAAGGAGTGCGAGTGCGGTGGGACATATGGGGAAGGTGAGTCCGTGGGAGCAAAGTTGAGGTGGGGCAGTTGTGATGAAGGGAAAAACGCTGTACAATTACGTTGGATGTACGGAGTATGGGTATGATAGCAGGGACGTACATATCGCGGAGATGTTTTGCGGATAACACGATACCTGGAGTTCTGGGGAGTTCTAGCAATCGAAACAAGACCATCAACCACAGCTTGAGCATTGACCCCTTGAAATCGTCATTCCTCTTATTACCCACAATATAATTATCCGTCCCGCACTCAGAAGCGCAAGATAAGGCTCAATTATACTATGGTCCGTCCGCCCCTGCTGCACCTCGCTTAAAACTGGTATTCAACCGAGAGCCTGGTATCAATTGTGGACGCATATATGCAAGCTATCACCGATACCCCAGAGTGCGTATGCGACTCCTTTCACATCGGTGGAAAGAAAATCTTGCAAGAAGCCGGGGATCGGGTTGAACTGCTTCGCCTCTGCGGTGGACGGGTTTGGATGTACCTGCATATTCATGCGCTCATCTGTACTCCCTGAACTGTATTCGAAAGCAGAGCGCTTCCAAGTGGATTTAATGATGCTGAGTTATTTCATCAAGCAAGTTGGGAAAAGTTTTCCGAGTTTTCGACTTGATATCTCAAAAGTTTTTCCGGAAAGTTCTAAGTTGCAGTAACACAGCATCCGCGCCGCCTTGTCATCCACCCTTGTGACATTTCCAGCCACCGGATCTGTTCTCCAAGATCCCATTTATGAGGAGACACCTCTATCCTGGTACAATATTGCATCCAATCGCAACCCACGTGGTTCGAAGCTCACTATCAAAAGCCCCTGGACACATCTTGACCATATCCTTGCTGGTGGCGGGGAGGAACCAACATCCAATATCTCGGCCACTAATCCTCTAACAAGCACTATCCGTCAATCAAATTTACGTCTCCTTCCCGTTCCAGTGCATCGGGTCCGAGTCTGTTCATTGGATCCGAGATTCAACTTACCTTGATCAGCCTTCAAGTAGAGCACGGAACCTGCAGGAAGCACATTCTTCTCACGGCTGTTCCCTCTCACCTTCCCAAGAGCTGTTTCAACATTTCACCATGATGCAGCTAATTCTTTCATGGGTTTTACTTGCCATCTTGGCAATCGCACCTCGGGTTGGGAATGCTCTTCCTACTGTTGAGAGCTCCCTTGCGGTACGCACCCCTTCGCTACCTCTGACTGTCAACGTCCTCCATACCTTTGAGTTTCCATCTTGGTGTGAGAACCTCGCTGTCCAAGCCAATGGTCGCCTTTTGGTTTCTCGCCTCGATACACCAGAAGTTATTCAAGTCGACCCCACAGGAGTCCTGGCACCCACTACCGTGGCATCATGGAACGCATCAGAGTATATGGGATGTCTAGGTATCTCTGAAACTGTGGCAGGAGTCTTTTACGTCATCACATCCGCTTTTGTAAATGACATCTTTGTCAAGACAAGTGGCGTCAATTCGATATGGGAGATCAACATGAATACATTCAATGTCAGTTCAGCTGGCGTCGTCACTAGCAACGCTACTGTGTCCAAGCTGGTTGATATCGAGTCTGCGGACTTTCTGAATGGTATGATAACTCTGAATGCGTATCATATACTCGTGGGAGATGTCTACAATGGCTGGGTGTACAAAGTCAACACCATAACCGGACGATACTACATCGCTATCAACGACCCTCTCATGAAATTCGGCGCCAATGCTACAACGAACCTGGGTGTGAATGGTCTCAAGATTCACTCCCCTTACTTATACTGGACAAACACCGCAGTCGGATCTCTAAACCGCATCTTGATCAACGCCAAAGCGGAACCGTATGGCGTGTCCCAGGTAGTGACAGCGAATGTCCCAAAAGCGGATGACTTTATTTTCAAGAGCGATGGGACGGCATTCATTGCTCAGAACCAGGAGGATGAATTGAGTGTCTTGCTTTCTGGACAGAGTGTGGCGGAGGTGGTTGCTGGAAATAATATTAGTACGACGTTGGCTGGTGTGACGGCGGGGAAGTTTGGGAGACTGAGTACGGATGCGAATAGGTTATATTTGACGACCAGTGGAGGTGAGTATCTATTGACTTATTTGGTGAAATAGAAGACTAATTGTGATCTAGCTCTGGGATTGCCCATCAATGGGAGTGTTGTCGTTGCAGGTTCTGTTCTGTATATCGATACTACTGGATTTTGATATATAATATTTGTAATGTAACAATGCTTGGACGAAATATTTGCGAGCAGATGACTTGTGATACCATTGGTAGGGACCTCCTGTTCTACCTTCCCTTTGTCGTCAGAGCTCTCAGGGTTTTGAGGCTCCCAGCTCTTCACCGCATTTCATAGATTATAGAGCTCTAGCCACTATAACTCCAGCGCTTCAAATGCCCCGCGCCTCACGGTGCCAGCTCATTTTGCTTACTAATGATCGCCTATCATCAACTTCGTCCCATCTAGCATTTCTATTCTACAGCTTCGATAACAACATTTACAACTGCATCCGTTTGTTGTGAATGGCAATTCAACTCAATGGACTCACCAGCAGCACAGAAGGGACAAAAGAGAAAGCGCGACGACACAAAGCAGCGCACACCGAGAGCCTGTCTCCCATGGTATACTCCCTATCCTCATCACGATAAGACTAACAAGAATAGTCGACATCGAAAAGTCAAATGTAACGGCGCGAAGCCATGCTGTCGGAATTGCCTACGTCTGAAAGATCAATGCAAATGGAGTGAAGATGATCCTCCCGCAGACCCTCAAGACGGCGACATCCTTGAGAGTCTTGTGCCCAAAGACCAACATCGAGTTCTGATCCGTCTATTCTTTTCTGTTCCTCATCTTTCTTTCATTAGGCAAAGTATTCATCGACCTTCTTTTGAGGCTACGGATTGGGCAGACCTACCGTCTTTCTTGTTGGCGGCTATCTATTGTCTGAGCGCGTTGTACGTCTCGGATGCGGAATCAAAAGGATTGTTTAATGGAGAAATTGCTTTGGATTTGTCGAATCGGCTGGCTATGAGTGCTCAAAAGCACTCTCGTGATACGTCTGATCAACCAACTGGTGCGTTTCGAGACGATTTGCACTTCTTTCTGCTAACTATCATTGAGTCTCCTCAACACAAGCAAACCTTCTACTAGGCTTCAGAGAGTTACTTTGTCGAACTGGTTACAAGGCTTGGATGTACATCGGAACTGCCATCCGAATGAGTCAAGCACTGCGTCTTGGAAGAGAGTATCACCAACGACATTCTGCAAGGGAACAGGAGGTCCGAAGAAGGACGTTGTGGACTTGCTTCATTATGGATCGAATATCATCCGTCATCTGCTCTCGACCACAAACGCTATATACCACCAAGCTTCGTTGCTTCCTACCTTGTTCTGAAACCTCATTCTTCTTTGAGGAAGCGCCTCCTGGTCCAAGATTACTGCTCGATGCTGGTCCTGACCCCGAATGCCAAGAGATCTACCCCTTCTTCATCAAGGCGATCGAATTCTGGGGAATCATGGCAGATATTTTTGCGCTCGGCCTTATGGGACCTCCTTCAGCGCCATCGGACGAAGGGAGTAACTTCTACAAGACGGAGCAAGCCATCAAGGAATGGAAAGCAAATCTGCCATCCAGAATGCAATGGTCTATGAAGAATTACAAGACGCATCGCATGCTTGGTCAAGGTAGCATGTTTGTGGAGTTTCATTTCATCCTTAACCACGCTCTTTGCATTGCTCATCAAGAGTATCTTCCGGAATATGACGGCGATCCTGCATTTGATTCACCATCCTCGCCTGTGCCATCTGACGGCCGAAGTGTAGTCAAGACATGCCTTCATCATGCAGACGAGATTACGAAGATGGCTTCCCAGCTGTTTGGTGGTGATGAGACGGACCGCCAACTGCTACATGGTCCATTCACCGGACTTGCGTTGGAGACTGCGGCTTGCTGTCATTTATGGAAGATCTTTCGAATGGCCCAATCATCCGATCACGGTAACAGCAACCAGTCCACCACAGATCTTACTTTCATCTGCAAAACTCTGAAATCATGGGAAGGCTTATGGCCAATTGCAGGGGCATGGAGCGAGACCATCGAACTTCTTACTCGTCTTTATGAAGCGACTAATCCTCAAGGTGTCATAGACTTCGATTTGAATAAGTTGGACAAGCGAGAAGACAGGCAAGCAGATATAGCTATTGGAAGTGGACAACCAGATCCCAGAAATATCAATACCAGTCGAATGTTTGACAATGTTCGTCTTATCATTATGACTACCGCAGATCCATCAACTTTGAGGCACCATCAAACTCGACTACATATACAGAGTTTGTGGACGAGGATGTTTATGCAAGAGGAGATCAGTCCAGCAGCGCAGCTTCAGGTACCAGTGCCTCAAGCAATTCCTAATTCATACGTCGAAATATCGAACTTTGACGATATGTTGAACTTCATGGATGATTTTCAGGGATTCCCAACGTCGGAGTCTGTCACAGTCTCTAGTCAGTCTACAACAAATCAACAGCATCTTTCGCCAATCCCCTGAGAATATGTTAGTACGACTCATAAAGACATACTGAAAGCCTACCATGAGGCTTGGTAGCCTGCACCACCAGCGCCATAATTATGGATCACCATGGTCTTTCCCATACTCTCTCGTTCTAGTCTAGGGCCACCTTTCCGGCTAGCTATTCACGTGTCAGTATTTTCGGTGTCGAGCATGCGAAACTTACGTCTCAATCCGACTGCATGCTGAATGACTTTCAGGTCTTCTGGCTTCCCAAGCTCAGGAGCCAGAGCGCAACATCTCCTCTTGATATCTTCTGCGAACTCGAGATCCACTTCACCGTCCCATTCATTGTCAAAGCGGCAGCCACCAAGGATGACCCCGCCACCCGGATTTCGAGGAAAGACATATGTGGTATCTTTGTTGACTCGCTGGGGACTGCGGAAGTACATGCGTTCCATAGGTGTCTTAGGGTTTTCAACTAGCATGACTTGACCCTGGTGTCGTCAGCATGGCTTGCAGAGTTGGAATGGGATTACACACTCGGGTCGGATAGAGCAACTTATCCTCCACGCCTTTCAAGCTATACGAGCCGAGACCTGTGCAGTTGAACACAGCTTTCACATCCGAATCATTCGTCAATTCTCGAATATCAGTCACAGTCGTCCTCAGCATCTCCACCCCTTTCTTCAATGCTTCATTCTGCAACCTTCATATCATGTCAGCTATTTTCCTCCACCAGAACATACACCAAGCACTCACCAAGGAAGATACACCTGAACATTAACCACAAAACTCTTCGCCTCATACCCCAATTTCGCGCCCTCCCTCATCTCCTCCTTCTCCTTCAACCACCTCAGCCCCGCCATCCCCTCATACCAAACCTTCCCCGTTCCCTGACTCAAAATCCCCGCATCCTCTTTCTCACTATCATAGAACGCCCAAATCGGCATCCGTTTCACTCCACTCTCATTCCCCTTCCCATCAGCCAACTCCTCAAACTTCTTATAAGTAACCCGATCCCAATTCTCCTGTCGTCCATTGTCCGTCGCTACAGATAGCCAATTCGCTCCCGCCCAAGGGGAAGTGTAGTTTATGGACCGATCGCCCGGGAGGTGGGTGGCGAGGATCTGGATCCGAGCTAGTGGGTATCGAGCCGCGAGTTCGAGGGCGGTGGTTAAACCGACGACACCAGCGCCGAGGATTTTGAATGTCATTTTTTCGGATGAGAATTTTTGTTTTGGAGAATCCATGATGATGGGGACTTATAGATACTTCTTATACTTCTTATCAGGAGGCAACGAGGTCCTCTTCATTGCGGGGTTCTTCCTCCGGATGCGAGACAGAGGATGAGTTTCTTGATGACAATCTTGCTTCGAGCCAAGGCAGATTTGATGGATGTCCGTCTCCGAATGCTGTGAGGCTGTGGCAGGAGAGGGCGTTTTGTAGATTGGATGGTGGGTTGTGGTTGGGTCAAAGGTGGGGCCGGGTGAGCCGTGTTTGGCGAACGGATGTGCCGATCTTGAGGAGGAGGAGCGGACTTTGATGTCCTATTGAAAGATTGATATTCTTAGATTACGAGGTGAGTTTCGATTGGTCTTATGCTTTGTTACTATAAAAAGACTGGATGTAGAGGGATGGGAAGTGATGTGCTGAGTAGTCACGTGGCTAGAGCGGCTCTGAACTTGATACTCTTCTTTTCAAGCCTCCAAACAGTTATTACACTAAGTCTAATCAATACCTGAATAGCCTCTTGACATCCCGAGTTGCACCGTTCCTCAACATCCTTCGATTCAGCAATCCATAATAAATCCTCAACCCCACACAACCAACCGCCACAAAGAAAAGCAAGCCAGCATTTGTCCAATGGCCAGTTGGATATCCTCTCGTAGCTTGATCAGCTTTATAAATCCACACGCCAGCAATCTGACCAGGTGCTCCAACCGAAATATTGATCGCTATAGCAAGACCAACTGCCCCAGTCGTATGAAGGTTTGAAGAAAGCCAACCAAGCAGTGGCGGGATACAGGAAAAGGCACCAGAAGCAGCGACGATCAGACAACCATAACGAGAATGGTAAGCATGCGCCGGAAGACTCGCTGATGCCACGAACCCTGCTGCTCCAACAGTAGCCATTGCCGCAGAGTGAAGACCACGCGCGTTGAAGTGATCTGCCGAGAAAGAAACCAGGAGTGTAACCACATAAGCAACAGCGTACGGTGGTACAGTCATGAGCTGAGCAAGAAGATCCTTGTACCCCAGACCAGCAGTAATACTCGGCGTAAACAAAGACAAACTAGAAAACGGCGTCGAGATCCCAAAATACACAGCATAATGCGCATACAAGCGCCAATCCGTCAACGTATCTTTCGCTTGCGCCCACGTTAGACTTTCGTCGTGGCCATGCGAAGCCTCGAATTGTAAGCGGTTGATGGCAAGCGCTTTTTCTTCGGGGTTCAACCATTTTACTGTTTCTGGGTAGTCGGGGAGGAAGAAGAACACAAAGATCGAGGAGATGCAGGATGGGATTCCTTCGAGGATGAAGAGCCATCGCCAGGCGGAGAGGCCGGATACGCGGTTCATGTGGCCGACGCCGTAGGCTATTGCGCCTCCGAATGCGCCGGCTAGGGTAGCTGAGGCGAGGATGAAGGCGACTCGGATTGAACGCTCGTCTGTTCTATACCTGTAGCCACGATCTCGGATCAGTAAATGTGCGTTTCGGGGGTAGGGATGCATGTTCCTGGAGTGCATTCAGAGCACCAGCTCTAGAACATAACTTCCAGGAATTGGAAGTTAACTTCCAAGAACTTGAGACTTACCAGAAAGTCAAGTGATAGACGAGGCCAGGAAAGAGACCAGCTTCAAACATGCCCAAAATGAATCGAATAGCCGTCACACCAGCGAAATTGTGCGCACCACCCAGACCCATAGTAACAGCGCCCCATGAGAGCATCAGGAAAGCGATCCATTTGCTGGGACTTAGTTTCTTGAGCAGATAGTTTGACGGAACTTCAAAGACTGCATAAGCGACCAGGAAAACCATGAGCGCAATACTGGTTGTAGTCAGATGAGTTCTTTCAAACAAGACAGTTACTCACGTGTATTGGTAATCAGTCATATGCGTCGTCGAAAGTAGATCATTGTGACTAGAAGAATTCAATGTCTTGGCGTTTCCGATGTTTGAGCGGTCAAGGTAGCAGAGGAGATATATCGCAGCGCAAAGGGGCACGATTCGGAGGTCTTGTTTCCAGACGAGAGCTTTTTCTGCTTGGGTGCGCTCTGGTGGAGTTCCTACAACGTTCTCGGAGGTCTAAGAGCTGTTAAATATCTTCTGTATAATGAGAAGATGAACTTACCTCTTTCCTGGCTGCGATGTTCTCGTCTTCCGAGGCACCTTTCGGGGTTTCTATATCTGGGTATAGTTCTTTATTCATCGTAGCGATCTGGAGGACCTGATGCACTGAATTAATCTGACGGCAACTTCTCTAGAAAAGGAGAACCTGAGTTCAAGAATGAGATTTGTTGAAGCGGAAGGTTTTAGTTTGTGCGTAGGTGGTGGGGCATCCCACTTTCCCCGCACTTGATGGGATATTTTACGAAAAACTCATCTCATCACTTGTTCGAGATCCATCTTCAGATAGCAAGCAAGTGTTAAATTTCATCGCAGATTTTCCACTCTTGCGTCGACTGTTAAAGAATGGCTTTGCTATCACCTTCCTGCAAGCGCGTTGCGCTTCCGGAGCGAGGCACTTCCTCAATTTTCGTGAAATTCAAGAACAGGAATTGAAAGAGCTCTATATCCTCTCAGAAAAGTCATGCCGCAATATGGTTGAGCTTTCTCGCACCACACTGGAGGCCTGGCTTGGTAATACGAGGTTTGTACTCAAGACTTCGTGCTACTTCTACGAAATCATGCTTCCTGATTAATATCAAGCAATCAATTCCTTCTCTGGAGCTCGCGCAAAGTGTGGCATCTCTATGCGGCAAAACTTGGTCCCAAAACGAGGGATTCATCAAGAATGTTGATGGGAAAGTTTTCGGAAAGAAGACTCCGTGAGGCTGCCCCTGAGTCTGCTCTTTGGCCCCAACCACCCTGGTCAACGGTAGCCAGCCATTTCCAGCTTGTCTTCCGGCCCGTCCCTCGCTGGAAGCACCAATGAAAAACATTAAAATTCTTGGATGAGCCAATCTTGACGCTCAAGTGACATTCCCTTCTCTTTGCGGCTCAGCGAAGCTTCAGCAATTGGGTTGTCGGTGAGTTAATTGGAGCCGCACTCCCTTTTGAGCACCATTCATGCAGAGTTGCATACTTCGACGTGGGGCGAAATTATTGGGATTATTGGGTTTAAGATGGCAACCTTCATACAAGTTCATCATTCTCTTCGCAACTTCAGCGTCTATAGTCGCGATTTTAATAAGACGCATTGATCGACGATGCCACCTCTGAGTCCATCGAGTGAGTCAAGTGAAAGTTCGCAACACATCCAGGATTCTTCTGAGCAATATCTCTTGAGTGATTTGTCGCACGCAGCCTCGTCAAGCTCCAACCTAAGACCTGCAGCTGGGTTTGAAGAACCGACCTTTCCATCACCAACAATACAAAAGATCTCGAGTAAAGTAGAGACAAGAAACCAGTCAGTTCATTTGCCCTTCGTTCTGTGCTGAGATTGTAAGGTTGAGGAGTTCAACAGCCGCCCAAAGTCAGACAACCAGCACAGCCTCGTCGATGCAATTCAACCAAACGATGGCGAGAACGAACGAGAAGAAGAATCCAAGAAGGCCAACAACTGGCGGGTCCGCGGCTTTGCATCGAAAAAAGATCTGACACTTTGGTTTCCTCAAATCGGAGTGGATGAGCACGAAAGCTGGCGCATTTGGATGTCTAAACGCAGTCAAGCACTTCTCCTCCACACCATCACAGTCGCTGTTATTTTGATTGCGAATTTTGCTCTCACCGTCTTCGCACTTTCGCATTACACTCATTTCAACGGCGTTGGTACCATCTTCCAAGGTTCATGTACGACCGCCAAGCAATTGGATCGTTGGCTACACTTACTCATCAATCTTTTGGGAACTGGCATGCTCATGGCATCAAACTATTGCATGCAACTTCAAGCTGCACCGACACGAGCAAATATCGATAGAGCCCACGAGAATGATACATGGCTTGATATTGGAGTTCCAAGCTTGCGCAACTTTGCTTGGATTGGCAATTGGAGACGTGTTTCGTGGCTGCTTCTTGCTGCGAGCTCACTCCCTCTTCACTTGATGTTTGTATCTCTTTCTCACTTGAAAGAAGTTTCTGATTGCGTATAGATACAATTCTGCGGTCTTCACGTCCCTAGCATCAAGCGATTATACTGTTGCAGTTGTCAACAGTTATTTCCTTAATAGCACCTCGAGCTCATGGAACCTGACCGCTGCAGCCAGTCGTGGACTTGGAGATCCAGGTTTCAGTTGGGTTATCGACGGTCATCCAGGATTCGGGTGGAAGATACCGATACTCACTCCGGATGGTGTCATCTCAGGGATGCAACAGAATGCCACCAACACGAAGCTGTATACCCAAATGAATGTCTCTGACTGCTTCACGACATACAGCGATTATTTCATCGCTCTAGGTGATGTGATAATCGTCACCAAGAATGATACTCGCCATGTTCAGCAACAAATGAACGATACACTCCTAATCCTTGCGTCCATCATCCCCAATTCTGATGGGTGGGCAAAGAATCAATGGGCCATCGAAAATGGGACTCAGGCATCTACAAAATATAGGGCAAAACCTCCCAATGGTCCTGTACAGACATGGTATCTTGGTCCATCGTTCTATGAGGTTGACTACTGCCTCGTTCAGCTTCCATCTACCACCGCAGATCGATGCAGATTCGAATACTCGCCTCAAATCATGATCACAGTTTGTATCCTCAACCTCATCAAGACTAGTATAATGCTCGTCGTTTGGTGGCTGCGGAAGTACCAGTGGACATCGCGGAAGGATCACGAGAAGCATGTTCTGTATACTCTTGGCGATGCGATTCAATCTTTCGTTCGACACCCAGAACCCAAGACAGAGGACATGTGCCTGGCCGGCAAAAGCGATTTCATAAGACGAAGGACTCGAAAGACAAGATTCGTGAAGCCAGAGTTGGTGCTCTCAAAAGAGCCAAGGAAATGGAAACAACAAGAACGACACTGGGCATCCGCGGCCAGTGTCAGAAGATGGGTATTGTTGATTTCAATGTGAGCATAATATCTCAAATGTTTTCAAAGCTTATATCTCTAGTTGTCTCCTTGTTCTTATCGTGGCCTCTGCTTTACTGGGTATTGCCGTTCAAGCGCTGGCTGCCAGAGGATTCTCCACCAGCATCTCATCTTTGGCGAGTCTAGGTTTTGGTGCTTTGCAACCTTACACATATCTCAACATCGGCCTACCTCGAACCGATCCCGCCGGTCTCATCTCCAATATTTTGATTGCAAATTTCCCACAATTGGTTCTGTCCATCTTATACTTGTTCTACAATGCCATGATGAGTTGCTTTCTTGTTCAGTTGGAGTTCAGCCAGATGTATAGGAAACGAAAGCCGCTTCGAGTTTCGGAACCTGAAGGAATTCAACGTTCTAGCTACTTCATCTCGTTGCCCTTGAAATATGGCATACCGTTATATATCTCATCCGGTATCATGCATTGGTTAATATCGCAAAGTTTGTTCTTGGCTCGGATTACTGCTTTCTTTCCAGATGGAAGTGTTGACGACGGAAGTTCCTTTTCGACGTGTGGCTATAGTCCTATTGCCCTATTTACAAGTTAGTAGCGAACGTCTTTACATAGACTCCTTAGCTAACAATTCTGAACAGCCATACTCGTAGGTATCACACTTGTCATTGGAGTTGTAGCGCTCGGCTTTCGAAAGTACGAGGGGACTATGCCTTTGGTATCAACAAACAGCCTCGCGATCAGTGCTGCTTGTCATGCACTTCAAGAAGACAGGGGCAATGAAGGCCATCTATTACCAATGCAGTGGGGTGTAGTTTCGATGAAAAATGGTGTTGGGCATTGCACTTTCAGCACAGCGCATGATAACGACCAGCCTGATGAGAAGCATACATATGTATAATACTCCATTATACGGCTAGAACCGAATCTACCCCGCGTGATTTAGTTGCTCTCAAAAGTTTGACTCCCAACAGAAAATAAGGCTGCCGAAGAAGACGTCTCCTGAAGAGCAGAACGACACGCTAAAACACCCACTCATTGCAATAACGGAGCAATCCTTGTCTTCTCACTCGGGACAAATGCGGAGCTATTGTGACCCCGAAGTTGAAAGCTGACGCGGAAGCGAGTTAGTTTGCCAACTCCATGTTGTGTCACCACACGCAGGAGGGCGCTCGCAGGAGGGTTTGAGCTGACAAAGTCTCCGCTTAAGTTCTCGGAGCCTGTCAACATGCATAATAAATGGGTAACATTTGACACACAGCCTTACCTTGAATTCCACCAGCGTTATCTTCTACGCTTCTCTGAATTGCGATTCATTTTCACTTGACACACGTAAGATACTACGCAACCAAATAGCAGAACAAGTGATTTAATGAGTGTGATTTGCCTAAAATACTTCCAGGCGTACAGAGCCAGTTTTAATTAGACTAAGGGTTTAAACATAGAGTACGACTTCCAAGCTATGTGACATGCTTATTTAATCATATTCAATCTCTCACAATTCCCTGCTCCGTCGATTTTAACACAACTCGATCCACATAGGTGTACAAAAGCAGCGGAATTTATCAGCAGCCAGCAGAGAAGCGTCCGAGTCCAGCCGCCAGCGATACGAACTTGCAATTGGCCGCTTGTTAATCAGTCGTATGATGCCAAAAAGTGAGGCTGTCGACATACAGCAAGGAGTCCCATTCTCCCCACATGTAAGCTATTTCTGTCCCAGAACAGGTCGTTCTTCACGTCAGGTGCCACTCCTGCGTCTACCTAGCCCGATTAAAGTGTTACCGTAGATAGGAATTTCTACACGTTGCCAAAACTGGGCCTCTGACTCGCTGGTCGGTGTAAATCGCTGGGAGTGTAATAGCCATATCTCACAACATAAGCTTGCGGGTCGGCACGGGCCCTCCCTCCTACGTCTCGCTTCTGGGAAGTAGAATGATCCTCCAGCCATGAGGTAAGTGTTAAGTGAGCATGAAAGCCTTGCCATTTCCCATGTTCCCCTCTGTAGACGTTCTTCAGCCAGCACCCATTTCATATCTGCCCGACTCCACGCACTACATCTCAACCTATCACCCTTATCCAAATCTACTACTCACAATGGCCGAAGCTGTTTCGACACTTGAGGCTGATCGTGTGCCACAAGTTGACGATAGCGAAACGTACTGGCACGAAGCCACCAGCAAGAACGGGAAGAAGTACCGTATCAGAGTGCAAAAATCTGACTACCCTGATATGAGCGAGCAGGAAGTCAAAGAACTCTTCGGGGCTGCCTAGCAAAAGGCACCAGAGGAGCCTATTACCACCATTGCCGGGCTTGGAGACGACAAAACCCTTCGGGCTGGCGTTACTAGTTAGCATGAAGATCACGCATACCAGTGGTGACATCCCTATCTACTGGCCGTACACCGGAAACGAAGACTCCTGGAAGGCGACCGTCCAGCGTATCAAGGACAAATTCGACATCAAACAGTACTGCCTCTGCAAGAATTTTGGCGGCTGGTTCAACTACAAGTTGTGGATTGACATCACCGAGACGTGGAATTACGACTTCTACGACGAGACCGGGGACTCCTATAGGATCTGGACTCTCAGGAAAGGCGTCCACTCTGTTACTTACGATACTAAGAGTGATGTTGATGCTACTATTGTGAAGATGATTGCTTGGAGTTGAGTTGTGGGAAGGATAGGCCGCTAAAGTCTCGGACGCTGGGATCAAGGGTCGTGTGCGGACAGGTTCGAAGGCTTTGCGAAAGCCTAAGTTTATAGCTAGATTATCACAGAAATACACTCACTCAGTCGGGAATCATGAATCTATAAACACGATTAGTTTATAAACGAGCATGTGTTCTACTTCGGTTGCCTTTTTAACCCTATGAGACATCTCGCTTGGGAAAGGGGGAATTGACGAGCAGTCAAATAGGCCTAGACTTCGTTAGTTTATGTTCCAAAATTATTAGTCGAGTAGCTGTTCCAAGGGCCTAATGAGAAGCACACATATGCATAATGATTCAGTCATACCCCTAGAACCAAAGATAAACTGGATGTTGCGTGATTTTCTATTGTCGAATGCGTTTCCAATAAAAGCAAGGTTGTCGTCGAAGGTGGCTCATGAAGGGCGGATCATAACGCCAAACTACTTAGTCATTGCATCAAGTGAAAGAAAAAGAGGCCCGTGGCTTCTAATTTGGGGAGATGTAACGCCACCAAAGTGGAGTTTTTGGGGCCCCGAAAACGAAGGCTGAAGCATAAGCGAAGTAATTGGTCAATCGCATGTTGTGTCACGCTGCGCGGGAGAGGGCGCTCGCAGGAAGGCTTCAGCTGAGACCCTCAGCTCGAGCTCTGAGATCCCGCCAACTTACACAATAAATCAGTTCCAGTTAACATATAGCCTTATTGTCAATTCCATTTCAGCTCATTCCACACTTCAGTTCTTATTTCAACTCTTCAAACTCAAGATGCCATGCCATCCAAGAGCAAGACAAGTGATTAATGAGTCGGATCTGCCTAAAAGCCCGACTGGCGACGAACACCATACCTACTACATACACAACAATGGAGAAGTCTTCCGCGAAGAGAGTAATGCGAAAGTTACACCCCACCACGAGCATAGAGGAAGGAACCAAGAGGCGCCAGACGTACCTCATCCACAAGATGAATTTTGCGACGAAGATCGTATGACACTGATGTCAGTATCTGTCTTCTATATTATTTCAGGAACTAACAATAGTTATAGCCACCTTCCAAGCGAACAGATCGTGCCTCTCGAGGACCCTGATGAGGCGGAAATGCTGCATCAATCTTGGCCTAACAGCCTTTCTGATTCGCGAATGCCTCATTACCTGGTTGACAAACTCCATAACATATGCTCTAATTGCGATTGCAAAAAAGATATTTTATGGAAGAGTTTCCGCCGAGCTGAAAGCCACTTCGAAGCCTGCTTCAGGTACGCGGACGATAAAGATGACCATACTAAAAGATGCTTCTTGAAGTGTAAGCAACGTGTTTGTATGTTGAAGTGTGCTGACACGATCAGTGTATACTTTCAAAGTTCCATTCATCGCCAAGAGACCGCTTGTTCTATCGATGGTCTACCACATCCGAGCCGAAGGGAATTCATTCATCGCAGCAAGGAATGGACCTAGCACCAACAGGGAACACATGTTTTGTCTAATAGCCGGATTTAAAGTGTCGGATATGACTCAAATGATAACTCGCATCCTTTCCAGATGGCAAGATATTTCAGATGATCACTCGCACTCCGGCGCTGGCCTGACGCCAAAGCTATTCCTCGCTATTGTCATTTCTCAGTACGGGTTTATGAATTCCAAGGATGTTGTTAAGGCTGGTCTTAGCTTGAAGGGCAAATACGATATACAGCTTCAAGCATGCCTGAAAAGTCTGTGGGGTCTCTCGCCCGACTCGATCCAGAGGATACACGAGGACACAAAGAATATCCGGGACTTGAATAAAGTTTTGATCAACATGAATAGCAATCTCACGGGCACTCGTTCGATCATGCACTATCTTAGCGCGACTTCTGAGATTCTGATTGATCGTATCACAGCTTTTGAGACTTATGTGGAAAGTCGCCTGAACGAATGGGACGAGAATCCATGCGCTCGAGATTTAGTGCTTGGTCTACGGGACATGGATTCCTTCAAGGAGACGTTGAGAGATACGGATAAATTGCAGATCGTTCGGAAGAGCATGCAGCAATACATGGTTGATATCGATGCTTTGCATGAGCAAATCGATATCAACATCTCGATGGTAAGCTTTCCTATACATCTGCATATAGCAGTTGACTAACTTGTGATAGGTGGGCAATCTGATCGCCGAAAAGGACAGAGCAATCCAAATCCACATGGCGGAGCAAGGAAACAGGGATGGCTCCAACATGAAGATTATGGCAGGCCTTACTGCGGCTTTCCTGCCTGTGACTTTCATGGCGGTATCTACCCCACACATATTTCTGGCCCTCAAGACTAATTGATCATCACGTAGGTGCTTCTTACGACGCCGATGTTCAAATGGGATGCGCAGCCTGGGGAGTCGGTCGTTGTAAAACTGCCAACCAAGATCTACTGGTCTGCGTCTCTCTCGCTGAGTACGCTGTTTGCGATTTGTTTGGCTGCGCTTTGGAGGCATCGAACTTCGGAAGACGACAAGAGGCACGTGGCAGTGCAGGACGAGGGAGAATATGCATTGAAGGACCAAGGTGTTCAGACAGTTGGGACATCTCGAGGAAGTACGCCGAAAGAGCCCAAGCCTGTGGTGAAAGAGCGCTCGCCTTCCATTCTGGAAAAGGGTATTGCACCTCCGCGGTCAGTGGAACTTTGATCTCGATACAACAAGGCTTACTTCGCTTAACTCGAAAACTCGATCATGATTTGATTTCATCGTTGTCTTCAATCTTTCCATTTGGAACATACATTCAGTACGCTGCAGGCGATTATGGGTTCTGCTCCGGTTGGGTTTCTAACTTGAGACTCTCGCTTATGAAAAGGGGGAATTGACGAGCATGAGGCCTGGGCTGCTTTCGCCAGTTTACATTACTTAATTATCAATCAAATAGTTGTCCCAAGAGCGACTGTGTGCAAGTCAAGAAAGAAGTCCCTATCTCAACCAGTCAGAGGCCCATCACGTGCTGCCCCTCCATTGGCGAAACCAACCTTATCTCGCGGAGCCATCCCACTTTTCAATGTCGGCAACACAAAGTTTCCAATCCAAACCGGTGGATATCGCAAGTGCTCAGCCGTCGGCCAAGCTTCCGTAGGGACCTGGAGTGCTTGAGGCTCTACAGTATTTCTTATCTCTCGTGGCTTCGCGGAACTCCGTTTAGCCCCTCCTTTATCGAAAGGTTCCCTAGTGGGGATTTTTATCTCAGAGTTGCATTACTTCGGGCAAGTCGCGTCTTCCTTCTTTATCTTCACGCGTGTCAATTTTCTTTCTCGAAGTTCTACTTGAGACCAGACAATTAGTATCTCCAAACTCATACCCAAGTGACAACATTTCACAGCTTCAGCTCACAACATGGAGATCGGTGTCTTCATCCCAATTGGCAACAATGGGCAAGTTCCTCCCTCTCTCCTCTCATCCCACCAACTAATCCTCCCAGCTGGCTCATCTCAACCACCTCACCCCAATACATGCCCTCCTTCGAACTCAACAAGCAAATCATCCTCAAAGCCGAAAAATACAACCTGGACTTCGCCCTCTCCATGATCAAACTGCGTGGCTTCGGCGGAAAAACCGAGTTCTGGGACCACAACCTCGAATCCTTCACCCTGATGGCCGGTCTCGCAGCCGTAACCACAAAAATCAAACTCTTCGCCTCAACCGCTATCCTGACCCTACCTCCCGCCCTCGTGGCTCGCATGGCTACCACCATCGACAGCATTGCTCCAGGGAGATTTGGAATCAATATCGTGACTGGATGGCAAGAGGCAGAGTATAGTCAGATGAGCATTTGGCCCGGAAATGCGTACTTTGGGTACCGCTACGATTATGCAACTGAGTACGTACAAGTGATGAAAGAGCTGTGGGCCAATGGTGTTTCGAACTTTAAGGGAAAGCACTTTACCATGAACGATTGTAAGATGTCTCCTAAGCCTGCACACGATATCAAGATCGTGGCTGCAGGACAGAGTGGTCGAGGATTAGAATTCGCGTCTCAGTTTGCGGACTTCAATTTCGCTATGGGTGCCGGGATCAATACGCCTACTGCGATTGGGGCCTCGAACGAAAGGTTAGTGGAAGCGAGTAAGAAGGCGGGAAGGGAGTGCGGTGCCTATGTGCTGTTTATGGTTATTGCGGAGGAGACGGATGAGGAGGCGGAGGCGAAGTGGAAGTTGTATAAGGATGGAGCGGATGTGGATGCGTTGGCTTGGATGGCGGATCAGGGGAGTAAGGATACGAAGGCTGATGCTAATGCGACGGCTAAGAGTATCAACTTGCCTGAGGGGGCGGTGAACTTTAATCAGGGAACGCTGGTTGGAAGTTTTGAGAAGGTGGCGAGGATGTTGGATGAGATTGCGGAGATGCCGGGGACGAAGGGGATTATGTTGACTTTTGATGATTTCTTGATTGGGATGGATAAGTTTGGTGAGAAGATTCAGCCGTTGATGAAGTGTAGGTCGAAAGTCAACGGGGTAGCGTAAGTGTGTGAACTGGAATGAATGTTACAAAAAGTATAATTCGTGGCAATTGCTTCTCTTAGCACCAGAACGTAGCCTCTACTCCTCGCAAAGGCTGAGTACTTGGAACTCGTCTAGATTTGGGTGCTTCGGGTCTTCAAGGTTCAGAGTTTCGGGCCACAATTTTGTAGGGAGGACATGTTCAACAGCAAATCGTAGCTTGAAGGAGACATTGGCAAAACGAAATGGCACCTCATCAATTGGAATCCGGGGTAATGATGCTACATATTTATTATCTCCAGCTCAGAAGCTCGCTTACATCAAGCACCCAGACTCGGCTCAAACCTCATCATCTCGTTCAACATCTGCAAACTGAACCCATCCCCTTCACACAAGCTCAACATCCACTCCGCATCCATCTGTCCCATCTCACCATGCCTTCCCTCCCATCTCCCCTCAGCACTAGGACTGGTCTGTGCTTGTGGCATATATCCAAACACATCATTGTCACCTGCCTCACCATCCTGTAAAGTCGTAGTATAGGCGGTAATGATACCTCCGCGGGTAGTGGGCGTGGCGCCAGTAGTCTTAGGCGAGCCGCGGACGTAAGATTCTTGCGCCGCGCCTGTGAAGCCTGGGGAGAAAGTCGGGACGGTTCCGGACAATTCTCGGGTTGTTTGTTGAGGAGTGCGAGCCATTGAAGTTTGACGTGAGCTGGCTGATGGTTCTTGAGTTGGAGGAGCTGATGTTGGGGCAGGCGCTCGAGCGAGGAATTCCATGGTTGCTCCAATCACGTTTTCTAGGGCGTCGCGATACTTCTTGACGACTGGTGTACGCTCGGCCATGACAAAGAGGGCGGATGAACATGCTCGGAGGTCATTGGACACTGTGAAAGTCCAAAGAGTTGGTGAGAGGAAGAGACAATAGCTTAAAATGTTAGTGAGGACTTGTGAGATCGTAGAAGGCCACTTACCACATGGTCACTCCTGCGATGAAAGTGGAATGAAGAGCGATGAAGGAGTGCCCGTAAGAATCTCGCTGGTGCAAGCGCTTGAAGATCTGACAAATTTGACCTGATGCGTGAAGACAAAGAGCAACTCGCTGGTCAGTTGGTGGCAATATCATAAGGAACGGTTGAAGCAAAAGTCGAACAGCCTTGTAATAATGCATGTTCAGATAGTCTGATTCATATGGCGTGGATGGCGGCAAAGCTCGATGCCAGTCTTCCAGCAGCTTCAATGTCGGGCTGATCTTTGCGACTAGACTTGCAATTGGTTTATCAACTCGATAGATTGTGCATTGGATATGAGATTCAAGCCGCTTCAAGCGAATACATTGTATTCCCAGAGTAATGTTTGAGGAAGGTCGGGAGGCTTGGAAAGTTGGCGAAGGAGAAACAGCCAATGTCCGAGCAATCAAGCTATCATCCCGAACAGTATCATCGATTTCGAGGGGTAACGAAGCATCGATGTCTCTATCAGCAATGCTGTACGGTCTTCCAACGGAAACAGCGATCACCCGCTCCAAGAAATAAACGGTCCAGAATAAACGTCTCCTCAGTTGGCCTTCGTAAGGAGAGACATTGCCGTAATGTGCTTCTCGATGAAGTCCCAAATCGACACATGTCCTCATGGCCAATCCGATCATGTACCAGATCCCAGAATTCGACGGCGACCGAAGATTGTACAAGACCAGAAGAGTCATGGCTTCGACATTGTGGACGGAATGGGATTCCCGAGCAGCTGATATATATTGAAGAGCAGTCATGAAGAAGTTTTCCGGAGGAGTATAATCATACTGCTCTGTCAATTTCAACATAGTTGCCCCAATCGCATAGATCATGTAAATTTTGAACGTCCCATATTGATCCTTTGGACTCGAGTTGTTCTGCACAAATCGATTGGCATGTCTTTCCAGAATATCAGACCTATCCAAGAACGGATATCGAAGATGGAGTCTGGTAAAATATGCATCCAGTATTCGTCCTCCCATATCGTTATTCGGCGGAGAAGCAGAGTTCCTCTTTAGATCCGCAATACTGATTGGTTTTTGCTGTGTCTGGTTCACAGTTGCTGCAATAGCTTTGTTCCAGACTGTGGCTTGAACCATTTGTCCAAGATTTGTTGCCAATGAGAATCCAGACGAAGACCCAACATATGCCGCCTCTCCTCCAAGACTTAAGAACCCCACGATATCAGCGATATTGCTCCTCCGCTCCTCCTCCGAGTTCGTTGGCGACACCACATTCTTCTCGAATGGCACAGGATCGAGCTTCTCAGGTAGAAGAGCATTGGCATAAGCAGCAAGTTGTGATTCGAGGAAGGAGATTCGTTCCAGCAAAGCTTGATTCGGTCCGCTGTCTTCTGTCAGTAATTGCGCGTATTCTCAGGTCGCGTGCTTACGAATTATACTCTTCAATTGCCGACGGAGGTTGAATACATTGCTCTTTCGCATTGGCACAATTCGCACAAACAGGAAAGCCATGACATTTCTGTTTCCTCGTCCTGCATCTTTCACACGACTTCCGGGCGCGTTTGGAAGGTCGCGGATTCTCATCCATGCTCGCTGGGATTTCGAGGATGGGTATTTGCTTTTGCGAGGAGAGACATGGTGGGCATTTGCTCGTGTTTATTGTGGTGAAATCTGGGCGAGGATTTTGTGAGTGGAGACATGGGGATGTCGCGATAAGGTGGGATGAGTTGATAGGGAGTTCAAGGCGCTGATTTGCCCGTGGCGGGCGTTTTAGTGGCGCTGGATAGTGGGGTCGAACCCCTGAAGAGCATATGGTCTAGCCCCAATTCTCACGATGGAGTGTTCCGAGGATTAGCCAGAGAGTATATCTTCACGAAAGACAAACCTATCAGAACTGCTTGGATATAAGAAGGAAAAAGCTTGATTCCTTCAAAAACAACAAAAACATATGCTCCTAGTCGATAACAATTGCAATAGCTAAAATTAAGTCTGAGGAAGTAGCTACAAAAGTAGGGTGGAGAAAAAAAGCGATTTTTTTTCCCGTTCAAAATAACAGGCTAGAAATGGAATAGAAAAAATAAACAAAACATTCGGCTCGCTGCTCACCGTCGGAGACGATCGGGAGCTGCGAGCCAAATGCCCAAGCGCAAAGCATTGTCGTTTATTTTTGAAAGTCGTGACGACTTATCAACCATACGGCCAGCCGAGTGGTTGATGGCAGCACTTTTGCTTATTACAATCTATAAGTGTGTCTAGCAAGCGATAGCCATATGCGGGATCAGGCTACGCTAGTAGGTGAATCACTTTCAGTACTGGTGCCCCATGATTCTGATAACCGTGAGCTGGTTGCAGAAATGCATTGAGCTATATGATTCCTACCAACTCTAATACTCATCTTGCTTCTTTTCATTTCCAATAGACCATCCCATCCATCAGCCTCCTTGCTGTTCTATACACAATAACATCCTTCAATGTCCCATCTCCCGCAAAGTTCGCGCCCACTACAATCTTGCCACTTGAATGTCCCAAAGTGAATCCATCCCTGTCAGCATTTCTACCCTTCTCAGCCAATTGCTGAACAACCGATCCTTCAACTTTGGCAGCAGCAGCAATAGCCATTGCAACCGTAATGGGGACAGCTCTATGCGGTTGTCCCACAGATATCGCTCTTACCACCAAATCCACCTCTTCTTTGTCCATGTTATCTCCCGACAGAATTTGATGCGTGCTCGGTCTCGAGACCATGGCGATCTTCGGTACTGATCCAGTTGCTGATGCCGCGTCTTTGCTTAGACCCATCAGGACGGAAGCTTGTCTGCGAATAGAGTCTAATATTCTCAACAGCTCCGGTTGTTTCTCTATTGCGTCTGGAAGTGTAGTCCCATCGACTCCTAGCTCTTCTGCGGAGACGAAACAACAAGGATTCCCGCAGTCAACCAAGCTGACCTTGACGTCGTCGATAATGTCTGTGGAATTGCTAGTTGGCAAGAGCTTGCCTGTTCTGCTTCCAGCTGGGTTGATGAACGCGAGTTGGATTCTAGAAGCAGTGCCAGAAACTCCATCAATAGCGAAGTCTCCGTGTGCTTCAGCCTCGCCATCTACCACAGGGAAGGTAGAATGAATGATCTTGTTGGTGTTTGTATTTCGAATTCTGATGGTAGTATCACCATCTGAAGGTGATTCAACGAGACCAGAATCTATGGCGAAAGGTCCAACGGCACTGGTCATGTTCCCGCAATTGGAGGAATAGTCCACGTCGGTGTCTTTGATGCCAATCTGAAAACATTAGCAATATGAAGTATTGGTGAGGTGGAACTTACAGCAGCGAAAGTGTAATCCACATCTGCAATTTCAGAGTCGGCACACTTTCCAATTACACATATCTTGGAAAGACTCGAAAGTCCTCCTCCCATGCCATCCAGTTGTCGGCCATTGCTAGAATCATCAGCATGACTTATCTGCTGATCTGAAGGATATAGTATATACCTGTCAGGAGAGCCAATGGCACCCAAGAAGATGGGAGCCCAATCTTTACGATCTGGAGGCAAGTCTTCTTGCTTGAACATGATCGCACGTGATGTGCCGCCCCTGTAATACGCTGCTGGAGCTCTTTTCAGACGTTCGGAAGCTGTAGATACGATGCGATACTGCATATTTGTGTCTCTGCATTGTATTCGAGAACCTCTCAACAGGCTAAGAGACGATCTCGACAGCATTTTGAGCGTAATCACGTGCTTCTCGAATGGTATTCCACCGTTTCCATCTAAGTTCGTGCGATCAGAGGGAATATAGATTGCTCAGGATATTTCCAGGTTGGGATTGTTCTCGAAGCCACCGAGTCCCAGGCTTGACCATGCCTTCCACGTTGTACCCTCGCTGTTTGACGTTAATGGATGTTGAGGTTCCTCGCTTACTTCCGAAGACTGCGGATGGTTTCCGACGAATGACGCTAACCTATTTGGACCGGGAAAATCACGAGCAAGGCAGCTCTTTTTATGTACTTACAAAGTGAACAACGATTTTCAAGACGAATGTCTCGAAAGTTTTGTTGTGTCATGTTAGAGGCTTCAAATAAGAGAAATGGACAGTGGTATTGTACTTGCTTAAAGGCTACTCCTGAAGAGGAGATACATTTTCCAAGAGCCCCGACGTACCACCAAGATGATCTACTCCCCTTATAATCTCAGACAACAAATTTTCCTACTATATCCATATCCGTCTTTGAGTTTGAGCAGAGCCCTAAGCCCTGATCACGCCAATGAGTTAGCTGGATTTTGCTCGGGGCCCTCTTTCGGTCCCCTACGACCCCTTGCGGATCAGCCCATGGTTTCTCATTTTTCCAATACACCTGTAATTGCAGTACTCTGAATAAGTGCTCGTCTCTAAAGCACACATACCTAAACGTTGTGAAACCCATCAGGGAGCTTTTCTCCCTCGAACCAAGCGCGAGCAGTCTGAGCGAACAACGGTGGATCTTGCCTGTTCCAAGGATGCCTCATAAGAGGATGAGTTACCGCGATAGTCTGTGTATTATTCTCTTTCCCGATCTCCATAAGTTTCCGCGCATCCTCTAGACGATCACTTGATGGGAGAATCCCACTCTTTCCAGCGGCAACAATAAGAGTTCGTGCTGGCCAAGGAGAGGGCCATGTTCCAACTAATGCTGGAGCAATTTGGCGGCACAATTGCATCGAACATGGAGGCGAATTGCCAAGATCAGTTCCGTCCATAAGCCATTTTACTATAGGGCGGGGAATAAGTTTTTGAAGTCGACCATCTGCCCAAAAACCGTATGGAAAGAACGGCGTAAATTTTGTCTGTGGGTATTTGGCAAACCCTGACACAAAAGCAGTGTTGACTACTTGAGGGTAGGTTGTTATAAGTTCGATCGCAACGTTCGCGCCAAGGCTGTGGCCGACAACATGCGCGCTTCCATTGTGGGCGTGCTTGCGGATCAATCTATAGGTCAAAGTCTCCGAGTCAGTATACCCGATGTGGTACGAGTTAGAAGCCGCAATGACGTCTCAGGAGTATTACTGAAAAGACATTTCTGAAGAGTAAAACTCGCCAGATATCTAAGCTAGGGAAATGTGCTCGGAGGAATTGACTCACCTCTCTAGCAGACGAGATGAATATTCCGCAGAAAATGGAGTCACGTTTTGTGATTGGCCATGGCCAGGAAGATCGGGAATGAGCAGGTGATATGTGTCCGCAAGGTGCGGCACAACAAGATCCCAATTCAGCCCTGAGGTGCAAGCACCATGGATCAGAAGCACGGTAGACTTTCCCGATGGGTTATACTCGTTATAGTTAAGTAACACCTCATCGAGTCCATCGTCTGGAGGCGGTATTTCTGGGGGAGCGGGTTTTAGTGGAGGGAACATGGTCCACAAAAGCCAGAGCACGAAAAAGGATAGACTTGACATGTGCAACTTCGACTTGAATTGGGTAAGGGTTGAGATACCCGTGAAGATATGGAGTGAGTGGATTGCCCGAGTTGTGATCGCGGTACGTGTATCGAACACGACCATAGAACATCAAAGGTACCTAGCGGTTGAGGGCGGTTGAAAGCAGCTGATAGGGGCTGATAGCGCTCGATTTCGATGTGTGCTTTGGATAGTTCCTACTATGGTGGTGGTGGTGGTGGTGTTGGTGGCTGCTCTGACGGTCGCTGCCGTTGATGAAGCAGAAGTGAGGTTGTGAAGACGGGTGGGACTACGTTGAGCTGGAACATGGGGTTTGCACAATCGCAAGGTTTTCACCGTTGCTGCCTATTTTTCCAATTTTCAACAGAACGTAAACGATTTGTGTGGGATTATTACCAAGATCGATTGTAATTAAATCATAAATGAACTATTACTAGTTACTGGAAGGGAGTGTAGCTAGCTGGGCAGCCATAAATTTCCTTGTCCCGTGACACAGTCCCGTGACTTTCACTCATTACAAAAGCAGCTGTCATTTGGGCACCTTCTTGATCCCTTAGTTGGTTCTTCAATACGACGCTATTAGACTTAAAGTCTGACTGTTCGGGACAGGGATAACAAGAATGTAAATAGGCAACTTGAGTAGAGAGTGAGGCGATGGTGAGGAGCGCCTGAGTAAAGCAGCGTGAAAGATCAAGCCATAGTACCATATACCACCACCTCCTCCGCCTCGAATGCAGCATCCTGCCTTTCTCTTAATACTTGCCAATCGCGAAGTATTGAAAAGCCTTTAGGAAAACGATTTATCTTGACAGTCAGTTGTGCCTCTGAGTTTGGTGTCTTAGATGTATACACCCAGACCTCGCTCCCAGGTTTCCCAATCCAACATCGTTGACCGTTCTGAAGTTCCCAGTGGTTGGTACCTAGGCCAAGAACGCCGACATCACCTGGAACCAATACTCTGCAGACTGCTGTTGAGAGCAATGCTCCTTTACCAGTCCATATTGGCGCCTGGTTCTTTTTGCAGCTATGGCCTGGAGCTTCGAGGCATGTACGAGTCAGAGCTGCGAAGGTTGCACATGAAGGAGAATCTTGGAGAACCCGAGCCCAGAGATTTGATTTGTCGCATTTCAGTGATATTGCATGTGACAGGCTGGATTTGTCAGGCCATAGCATTCGAAGTCGCTTGCCTTCACGGTCAACTCCTGTGTCCTTCAGAACTTCGAGAAAAATCGTGATAACTTGGACAAGGCACTCCCTTTTGCTTCCTTTCAGCCCCGTGGTCCAGCTTATGTACTCATCGATTGACCCGCCGAAAGCTGTCCGGATGTCCGATTTGATTTCATCCCAGCCCGGAAGAGCGAGTTTATCAATGTAGAGGAACATAGGTTCCTCAATAAGTTCTCTCAACGGCGCCCTCCTTGCGACACCAGTGCAGAGACTAACTTACAATCCCCATGGTTGAAGAAGTATTCGGAAATCATGCACCAAACTCCACATTTCCAATACCGTCGTCTTTAGTGGACCCCCTTTAACCTTACTATACACATTGCCAACCTGGAGGCCAACGTATTGACCAGCTTGAAGTATCATTTGCCGTTCTGTCAAGCTCCAATGATTATTGCAAGTACCAAGAGCGTCAAGGTATGGTTCTGAAGATTTTCGACACTTCGCAGGATCCAACGGGCATGCTTTTTGTACAGAGATAGCTCCAGTGGTTAGTCTGTCCCAAATATTGAAGGTTGGTATTGTATCTGCGAGATCGTAAGAGCGCCCGAAGTGATATAAGGGGTGGAAGACGTGGCTCGCTTCGTTTGTAACATGGGTGATCGCACCACTTCCTATCAATACGGACTTGATCTTGTCGCCATAAGGCACTCCTAGCTCAGGATCAGATATGAGTACTCCTGGGCCCCAAGAATCGATGATATCTTCGATAGAACCCACAAACAATGATCCAGTAGCTTCTGCGGGTCTCTCTTGCTCTCCTCTCGATTTGACTGCATCGGAGCCGCTGATGGTAGGAGGTTTTAAAGGTAACTCGTCGAGCATCCGGAAGACAATCACTTTACCCCCAACAAGATCGCTCATGCAAGCTAGTTGCTTATATGAGAGTTCAATGGTTTCTTTTTCATATGTCCAGCATCGATATCCAGCATATCCCTGTAATATGAGCGTCTCAATGGGTTCCTTGAGAAAATGTGGATGGAAATCGCTAGTATGAGCTTGTGCGTATGATACTATAGCCACCGCGAGGAATTGACATGCAAGTACACACTCATGTAGTTGCAAGGAGATATTGCAACTTAAATCGACTGGAAACTGGGGGGTTTCTGAAGACAATAACCCGCTCAGTGAAGCTCTTCCCTTGACCCAGCACATGGAGAGCTTGCGATGAAGCTCTGAGTTGACTGAAAGTACAATATCATCATGTGCTTGTCCCGTTTCAATTTTTGACGTGTATGCGTGTTGTCTGTAAAGTTCTAGTGCTGTGACATGAAACGCCGCAACATCTTCTAACGCAATAGGTATCATACTGACTACTGCTTGATCCAAAACAGCTCGGTCGACGAGAACTGTAAGTTTGTCACAGCAGAGTCTGCTTTCTTGAAGTAGTCGTAGCGCTCTACATAGCCTCTGAGTCGTGTGTGATAAGAATGTTGTTAAATTCCAAGGTAACCACATTCTTTCGCTTAAGTTGGAAAGAGGATGGGGCCTGGTGGGTAAAGAATCATATTCAATTCGAACGCAAGACTCCTCAAAAGCCGCACGATGATCTCCGGCATTATGGAAAGTGGGATACACTCCGGCGACTCCACAGAGCTCAGCAACTTTTGCTCGGATGCTTTCGATTTTTGTCGAAGCTCAAGGAAGGCTGATACTCGGGGCTCCGATGAGGACCATTAGGGATAGAAAAAGAGTCTCTACAATTAGGGCTTTTGTGAACGTAATTAGATTGATGAAAATTCGGAAGAACATGTTTTCGAAATCCGAATTATGCTCTTCAAACTTCCAGGATTCGTGAAAATTGGAGGTTGTCCACGGTCCAGACTCTGTACTCTCGAGTAGCGAATCTAAAATCGCATCATCGCTATACCCCGCTTCTCTCAAATCAAGAAGCCAGTCAAATTTCCCTTGCGCAACTTTTCGATAATGGTTTTTGATAATATACCTCACAGCCCGCAAATCCTGTTTAGAGAGCAGCTTCGAGAGAATTTCGGGACCGGGTAAGCCGTTCTCAAGCTGAGAGGCGATCAAGATTTCCAAGCAATTTGCCTCTTGAGAATCAAGTGTAGTAAGAAAAGGCGTGGCACTGGCTTTTTGGATATTATCAGACTGATGTGAAGTCATGGAATGCCTCGCCATACTGCCTGGTGCGGTCTCGCGCTTCTTTCTCTTTTTGGACTTACCAAAGCCCCTGGAAGACATATGTGTGGAAAGATTTATATGTGGTTGACTAGGCTTAGGAGACTCTATCAAAGGCAAGGTTGGCCACTTTTGGTTTGTTTCCGTTTGTGGAGATGTATCGAACATCTCTGACCGAAGTAATGACGAAAACGCCCGGTTTGCTTCCTCGGCTGCAACGATTGTTAGAGACCACTATAATGATGCAGTAATCTGCGAGACTAACTTTTTGTGAAATGAAGCTCTTGGGAAGTTCGTGCCTTTCTTTTTGTTGAAGTTGCTGGTATAGCTTCGTCGTGAAGTAAGCTGAAGCTGGCTTGCAAATCTTGACCGTCCCGGTTTGGGATAAATCTGAAATGCCGGTAATTAGTATACTGCTTTAGTATATATCAATTTCTCACTTTCAAACATGGGATCGGAGTTCTTTAGGAGCATTTCATCGACACAGTTCCACTACTGAGCAGCCAACTTGCCTGATGGATGGCTACTTTCTTCACCGAGCTGACCAGAGTTTTGGTCCCTTAAATATGAGAAATATTCATACCTGTCGCCACACACTCTTCGGCGTTTCTCGCCTGGGTCTTCATCCATTGACGTATCTGAGGACTCTCCGCGGCGTCTGACTTTGCGGAACCCTCTGTCCAGGGCCTTGCGCAGACTGTTACCATCGACGGGGTAGGTAGAAGTTGATCTTTGATCCTTATTCGAATCAGCCACGGCCGGATCGTCCAGCAGCGAACTGCTATGAGAAATTGCTATCTCTGACCCATCCTGCTCGTCCAGCCGCGCAGCCTCAGACCCACGGTGCTGGGGCTCAGATCCTACTCCGGGGGTATGTTGCCAAGCTTCTGTCATTCTCCTATATCTCACAATAATTGACGGCGAAAATATAAAGTCATGCAGAAGAGGAACAGTCGGGAAGCTTTAATTCGGAAACGCAGAGATTGAAATGGAAAGAAGAAGCTTGAGCCGTGGTCGAGGCCCATTACTGAAAACAGGGGCAGAGTGTTGTCGGTAGGGTTTCATTGGCTACGGACGCGCTCCGTGAAAGTCGCTTTTTCAATGGGCATTTCCGTTCGGGCGCTAAAACAGCATTTCAATGCATGCTCAGGTTGACTTTACCGCCGGCCACTCGCTGGAACATAACGCCTTCTACCTGTAACGGCTGGTCTTCGGGTCACGTGCACCGCCTAGGGGTGTACTGACCTTACCGCGCAGCTGCGTGAGGTTAGATCCTCTCCTTTAGCTCGCTTCTCTCTTCTTCTTCTTTATCTTCTTTGTTTCTTTCGTATTAGGCCTATGGACTCGGCCCTTTTAGCCTAGCTATGCACTCCCATATACCTCTCGCTAGCATGTTATCGCTCGTGCCGTTATATTAAGGAGTTAAGTTCGTCCCCCGAATATGTAATCGTATAAACCCAACGACTTTTATATAATACAACTAAATATTAAATAAATTATTTTACTTACTAGAAGCGAGAGTGGGAACATGATTAAATAACTTAAGTAGAGTATAAGGCGAGGGTGAATAGAGCTTGAGCAGAGCGGCGAAGTTGATTAACAGTATTAGAAGCGAAATAAAGAAATGTTGTTTGAAACTTCCCACAAAGTTTCCTGCCAAACTCAGACAAGAGGTCAGGAGATCCATGCACGATCTTTCAAAGCAAGCAATGACCATGTTGCCCTGCCTCAATCATCGTCAAAGAACGGGTGAAATATCACGGTGGTACGATTGCTCAGCCGAGCGATATCAGCCCACTTCAACAATCTATATCAACAACCTTTCGACCCATTCATTTCAAAAAAAATCCTCCCAAACTCCCTCATATAGAGACTTATTCAAACACAAGTCATCAAAATGGCACCCAGCTCCATCTCCATGCAAAACATCTCCCGCCAAGAACTCTATACCTCCCTCCCAGCACGAATCCAATACCTGCACGCCTTCCTTGATTTCTCATCCCGCGACATCGATGCCCTGATTTCTGGCTCAAAGTATATCAAACAACTCATCCCAGCAGTAGTGAACATAGTCTACAAAAAGTTGTTGCAATACGATATCACCGCACGTGCCTTCACCACTCGAAGCACGAGCTACGAAGGTCCCATCGACGAAGTGGTTGAAGAAGATAGTCCACAGATCAAGCATCGGAAGATGTTTTTGACAGCGTATCTCAATCGGATTTGTAGTGATCCGAGTAAGATGGAGTTTTGGGAGTTTTTGGACAAAGTCGGGTATGTTTTCCTCTCTTCTCCCGCCACAAACACAAATTAACTGACGAACAACAGAATGATGCACACAGGAATCGGTAGAGTGCACCCATTGCACATCGAGTACATCCACATCGGTGTCTGTCTCTCATTCATCCAGGACGTGTTCACGGAAGCTATTCTTTCGCATCCGAGGATTTCGTTGAGTAGGAAGATTTCGATTGTGAAAGCGCTCGGGAAGGTAATTTGGATTCAGAATGATTTGTTTGCTAAGTGGTATGTTAGGGATGGGGAGGAATTTCGGGATGAGAAGGAGGAGGTTGTTATTGAGAAGGAGGGGTATCTTCATGGGGTGAAGATTTTGGATGGTGATGTTGAAGAAATGGGTGGAGGTGAGAAAGGGGCGAGTGATTGTGAAAGTGGTGAGAAGAAGCCGGGAGTGTGCCCGTTTACGGGCGTTGCGAGTGATTTGGATGGTCTGAAGGTCAGTGAGAGTCCAGCTAACGTTGACCCTCCTGTTTCGAATGGCGCATAAAATGGCAGATGATTGATATCTCGATGTTTGGTAAGTGGAGAACAGGCTGGGTCGGGGGTTGGAAATCTCAATTGTATCATAAACTCTACTTTCTGAACGTTTTCAAGGCCTCTCCCATAGGCATCCCATCTCTCAGCGCTTTCATCGTTTTGTCGTCGATCTCTTTCCTCTCGCTACAGAGGGCGACAACTTGCTCAACGAGTGAAGGAGGGACAACAACAACGCCGTCATGATCGCCGACTAGAATGTCTCCAGGATGAATCCACAGGTCGCCCTTGAATTGAAGAGGAATGTTGATCTCCGACGCTCGCGTGAAGGTGTTAGACCCCAGAATCGAGATTCCTCGAGCGTACAGCTTCGAATTGTCAGTGAGGGTCGTGGATGTGGAGGAGAACTCACTGGAAGGCCTAGCTCCTGGATTTCTTGTACGTCCCGGAATCTTCCATCAACGACAACACCGGCAGCACCTAAGGTCTTCGATCGAAGTCCCATGAGTCCACCGAAACAGGCAGAATACATGTCTTTCGGCTGTTGAATATACATGATCTTTCCATTTTCATTGGCATCTGCGAAGTGGATTGGTGATTTTGGACTTGACTGGTCCTTCGCATCAACCATCTGCACGAAGTCAGAATGTGACCGGCATGAAGCAGTATGCGAGATACACACCTTTACAGTGACAGCTTCTCCGATTGTAGCAGCAGACACTTTGCCACTCAAATGTCCCTGTCTTTCGGGACTCCACATTGAAATTCCGTCAAGAAAGCCGCCAAATGGATATTTTAGTTTGACTAAAGCATCACCAATCTTACGCGATCAGCAAACATGAAGTAAATACCCTGCCGACAAGTGCTCACTTACATCGCATGACGCAAAAGGACGAAGCGATTTGATTGCAGCAGAAGCCATGTCGTGAAATGAGATGTAAAATTCAGAAGAATGGATTCAGTGAAGTTTCATTTCAGAGAGTTCGAATGATCTCAAAAGCTAGACTACTTGGTCTCGAGAACCACTGCTTTGACTACATTTGAGGTATTTGTAGGATGCTGCATCGGAGGCCTTCCGCTAGGCGGTTCCAAGTCCTGCTGATGTAATTCGTTCTAAGCTAGATACGGCCTAGTATGTATCTCCAATTTTATTGCCGCACGCCGATACCGTCCTTCACCTTGACAACTTCGAGATCTCTAACATTGAGAAGAAGTTGTTGCATAAGGTTGGCCATGGAAGCCATAGAGTCGCCTACTGGATCCTCTTCTCCAACGCCCATGTCCGCACCCATTAAGCGGAAGCATCGACCTGGCCTTCATCGGACACAAATTGCCTGCCAACGATGTCGGCTAAGGAAAAACAAGGTAAAAGCCATCTGCCCTTGGGATTAGGATTGCTGACAAGTGTCAGTGTGATGGAAAGATCCCGAGCTGCACCACTTGTGAGAAAGCAGGGACACCATGTACTGTGGTTGACCGTCTCACGTACCGACAATACCCGAGGGGACATGTTGAAGATCTCGAGGCGCAGATCGTTTCTCTCAAAGAGGAAAATGACCAGCTTAGAGCCGAGCTTCAAATGTTCAGGCAAAGTGGAATATCAACTCCGTTGTCCCAAGAGGCTTCTGTTCAGGCTGTCCCAGCTGTCTCAGAGCATGATCTCGCCTCAAATATTGCTAGACTATCTCTCGAAGGATCCTCCGAGAAGAAGTATGTGGGAGAGTCAAGTGGAGTTCACTTTGGAAATATTGTGCAAGCACTTGTACCTCTCACAGACTACAAGAGAGCACCATCTTCGGGAAGGTTCCCACTTCGTGTCGAAAGGCCATCATCTGGGAGTTCACCAGCAATGAGTGATGGTGGATTTCATCCAAAGCCGGTCCCATCGCTGGAAATAGCCAATATGCTTCAAGTAGCATATTTTGAGACTAGATGGGCAAGCTTTCCATTGCTTCATAGGCCGACATTTATGGAGAAGCATTTCTCTCACGTGATGCAGCATGGAATGGCAGCCAATCATGCTTCACTATTCTTGGTCTACATGGTGTTTGCGATAGCGTCGATTGATCTGCAGCGTCAGAAGAAGGAGCTTGTTGGTGTGCATCTGGAATTCTTCAACACTGCAACTTCCATGTTCCTTGGAGGCCTGATGGCAGCAGATAATCTCGAGACGATCCAAGGGCTTTTGCTGATGACTATCTTTGCTATAAATGAGCCTCAAAGTATCAATGCTGTAAGAAAATCTACTCTCCTACTAGGCAGCGCTAAGAGTTTGTAGTGGATGGTCAATGGTCTAGCTATCCGTTTTGCCATCGATCTTGGTTTGCATAGAAAATCCTATTGTCCGACGAGAAGTCTTCTGCGGTCAGAGATGAAGAAAAGAATTTTTTGGTCAGCATACGCTTTGGACCGGAATATCTCGGTAGCCCTAGGCCGTCCATTCTGCATACAGGATCGGGAAATTAATGTGGATCTACCGCTTCAATTGACTGATCAACAGATTCTTGAGGAGTCTGCGCCAGAGGAAGCTTTCGCCCCAAGTATCTACGATATGTCTACCTTCAGACATATCGTCAGATTGAGGCAGATTCATTCTAAGATTCTTCGAAAATTCTACCCAGTCAATGCTTCCGAGCAGGATGGGACGCAATTTCAGGAGAGCAGGGACCAGATTCGTGCCGAACTGGAGCAATGGATGGTCTCCACTCCTCGGTATATATCACCAACAACAGCGACGTTTCAATCATTTGAGTGGTTTCAGATTGCATATAATCATGCTTTGATTTTACTTTATCGTCCTTCACCTGTGTGTCCTCAAGCCAATCTACAAGTTTTGCAGATTTGCGCAGACTCTTCTATAAATATGATTACTGGTTATCTCGCGCTTTACAGCAAGAATAAAATTACATATACGTGGATTGCTCTACATTCTGTCTTCATGGCGAGTGTTACGATGCTGTATACTCTGGTGGCGCCAGAGATTCGAAGAAGTACGACCCGAGCTGTTGTGAAATCCAACATAAACTCTTGCTTAAGTCTGTTCGAAGATATGGTGAGTGGGTTCTTGATCTGCGCGACTTGGCTGACAGGCATTCTAGGGCAAATTGTGGCCGGCGGCAGCGAGTCGCTCATACACCGTGATCGAAAGACTAGGCAGGACAACACTGAACCTTTTCGAAGATAGCACTATCTTGAACGATGGAAGAACGCAAGGCGCAGCGGGCAACAGATTTGGGGAGATCGATCAAGAATATATGGAATGGTTCGGGATGAAAGATCATATCGGGCCATTTTCGGACGAATTTTCGGACACCGCTCCGAGAATTAACGTTGAAGCGGATCCAGTAACTTCGCAGTCACTTCTGCAGGACCAAGCTTTCAACGGGATAATGGATATGGAGGGATTGTTTGACCTTGGCTTTGATATGTCACTGCCTTTGATGACGGATGTATGCGGCATGGGAGATGGCTTTGCTCAAGGGGACTATTCCGTTTAATTTCGACGCGGACATCAGTCAGAGGAAGGGTTCCGGCTCTCCGCGGTAGTTTTCGATGCAAGTGCCAACCAGTATCACAACACTGGGGATCCATATGTAAGGCGACGCAATTGCAGAAGTCTCTGTCGCGGCACTCCGAAAGAAAACAACGAAGACTTCCAGGACTTAAGTTGAGTTACTGGAATCAAGTTTTGAGGAGGGATGTTCTTGAGCATGAGAAATTTCAAGCTGATAGAAAGTCATTCACGTTGAAGTGTCGGGGAGACCAAGATGGCTCAGCGTTCTGAAGCATGATGCGTTTTCTGCCTTCAGATTATCTGACAGGAAAATGGCCTTAAGGGGTTTGCTCAGCACGTCATACCTGAGTTCGGCGTTGCTCGTGGCTACTGTAGCGATGGATGGGATATGATGTGGCAAAGAAAAAACTTACTCTCGGATTCGCTTGAGATAACAAGTACTTCCCAACATAACTGTTAATGTTTCTCGCATGAATTCTATCACTGTCTTCTGTCTGCCGGTCCACGTTTGCCTTCAGCAGCGTTTACGTGAGTCGCTCAGCCAATCCTTTTCGATCCAGTCACGTGTTATCGGATGCATCCGTCGAGAGGAGGATCGCCGTCAAGTCTGCTGTAGGCGAACTCTGAGACCGGAAGAAGGTCGTGGAGTCTGTTCGAGTCAATTGCAAATGTACTATTGATAATTTTATGCAGCTAGAAAGTGGTCCTGGCCAGGACCAGATAGAAGCGTTAGCACCTGTGTTCAACCTGGAACTTGTAAACGACAGACTCGTCAGAGTATATATACATAAGTTCTCTTGACCTCGTCGATACGATTCATATGATGTGTAGAACAGGTTCCTCGGGTTTGGGCAATGTTTGCTTTCTTGTCAGACGTACCCATCGAGAACTCAAATGTCCTGGAGCTTTCCGGTCATTGGCCACAGTCTCATCGAGGACCCCAGCTTCAAAGATCCCACTGAGTCGATATGACCCAGACTCATTCATAGACTACCAATCACTGGACACGAATATTAATGCTATTCGTGACAGGTAAGTATACTCCTAGAGCACGAACCTTAGGCTAACAATCACAGCCTACGACGTCCCTTGACATACGCCGAAAAGGTTCTTTACTCGCATATCGACAATGCAGATGAAGCAGACATTCGACGCGGAAATTCATACGTGAAACTTCGACCTACGAGAGTAGCTTTGCAGGATGCCACAGGCTCAATGGCTCTCATTCAATTCATGTCAGCGAGTATCGACACTGTCGCTGTTCCCACAAGCGTGCATTGTGACCATCAAGTTGTGGCAAAAGAAGGCCGCGATACGGATGTTGCTACTTCTAATCAGGTTAACGGAGAAGTGTATGACTTTCTGAAAAGTGTTTGTGCGAAATATAGTGCTGGGTTTTGGAAACCTGGAGCGGTTAGTCAATCTTTCTAAGTAGAGACCATGATATTGACGGATTGTAGGGCATCATTCATCAGACTGTTCTTGAGAATTATGCTTACCCTGGTGGCTTGATGATTGGGACCGACTCTCATACCCCTAATGCTGGCGGTCTTGCGATGGCTGCCATTGGTGTGGGAGGAGCAGATGCTGTTGATGTTATGGCGGGGCTCGCTTGGGAGATCAGTAAGCTCATCTTCAGTGAACCTTGACCTGCGTCTGATTCTTGATAGAAGCACCAAAGGTCATTGGCGTCCACCTCACTGGCTCGCTATCTAGATGGGCTTCTCCGAAGGGTATAAAATCCATCTGACTCTTCTGGCAGTGCTGACGAGAACAGATGTGATCTTGAAGCTAGCAGGTGAATTGACAGTCAGGGGTGGGACTGGCTCCATTATTGAGTATTTTGGTCCTGGAATAAACAGTCTCAGTTGTACAGGTATGGCCACAATATGCAATATGGGAGCAGAGACAGGCGCAACCACCTCAATCTTTCCCTACACAAACCAGATGGGACGCTATCTTGATGCCACCGGTCGGTCACACATTCGACGAGCTTCAGAAAGTAGAGCAAATAGACTTGCGGCCGATCCTGGAGCTGAGTACGATCGAGTCATCAGTATCGATCTGTCTTCACTAGAGCCACACATCAATGGCCCATTGACACCTGATCTAGCTACACCGAACTCTAAATTCAAAGAACTGGTTGGAAAGAATGATTGGCCCCGCAAGCTTAGTGCAGCTCTAATCGGATCCTGCACGAACTCATCCTTTCAAGACATGAGTAGGGCCGCTGACTTGACAAGGCAAGCACTCGATGCTGGGCTTAAACCTGCAGTGCCACTGCTCCTGTCACCTGGCAGTGAGCAGACTCGTCTGACTCTTGACCAAGCTGGAGTTCTTGAGACTTTCGATCAAGCAGGTGCAACGGTTCTTGCAAATGCTTGTGGGCCATGTTGTGGATCCTGGGAGCGAACAGATGTGAAGAAAGGAACTCCAAATTCTGTTGTCTCGTCGTACAATAGGAACTTCACAGGCCGACTAGATGCAAATCCTGCGACTTCGATTTTCCTCACGTCCCCAGAAATGGTTTTGGTTAAAGCATTTGGAGGGCGTATCGACTTCGATCCGGTCACTGACTCGATCACGGCTCCAGATGGAAAGGATTTCAAGTTCCAGCCACCAATCTCTGACATTCTTCCAGAAAATGGTTTCCAGAATGCTGATTATGTGTATACACCACCACCGTCTGAAAGGTCGGATCTCACAGTGGACATTGACCCCGCTTCGACTCGCTTGCAGCGACTCTCGCCATTTCCAGCTTGGAACAATGAAGATTTTGTGGATATGCCAATATTGATCAAAGTGGTGGGAAAGTGTACTACAGATCACATCACACCTTCGGGGAAATGGTTTGCATGGCGTAAGTTTAATGTTACACTCTAGAATTCTATACTGACGATACAGGTGGGCACCTCGAGAACATATCAAACAACACACTCATTGGTGCAACAAACGCAGCAAACAAGTCCATCAACAGTGTTAAAAATGTCTTCACTGGCACCTATAACACAGTCCCAGAAACGGCACGACATTACAAAGCCAGGAACCAAGATTGGGTCATTGTCGGAGACTCGAATTACGGCGAAGGCTCATCTAGAGAGCATGCCGCTCTTCAGCCTCGATATTTGAATGGTAAAGCAGTCGTCGCAAAATCATTTGCTAGGATTCACGAATCGAATCTCAAGAAACAGGGCATGTTGCCTCTCACATTCTCTTCCGAGGCAGATTACGATAGGATCGAGGAAGATGATCGGATTAGCCTTGTTGATTTGAAGAACCTTTCTTCGGGTCGCCAGGTCGACATGGTTGTGAAAAAGGAGAGTGGAGAGAAGTGGAGGACGAAGTTGCATCACACTTTCAATAAGGAACAGATTGAGTATTTCAAGGCCGGGAGTGCACTCAATTTGATGGGCAAGATGAAGAGAGGGGAGTTTGCTACAACGTAGCCTACACCATAGTTCGCGGTGTTTTATGAAGCTTTGGAGTTTGGTTACTTGCAATATTTTATCGGAAAGCATATTTCCTTCAATCATGGTCTCCTACTGCTCATCCGCATGAAAGCAAGAGGGTGGAAGAACACAGCAACTTGGACAATCCCTCCATGGTATCTGAAGAAGGGAAGGATATGACCGGGACACACAATTCCAATCTGGTAGTAACAATTAACTCTTTAGCAGTGTATATTGTGCATCGGATGGACATCGACGGTCAGAATACTAAGCTCCTGGAAAGTGGATATCGCGAGGCCCGGCTAGCGGATGCAACCGACGAGGCGACATAAATTTTGTCATCGTGACTCTACCCAACATACATGATTCAAAGATGTTGGCCAACACTATATATACTAGAATGGTGTTCTCAAGATCTGCTATTTTCAACTGCGCAACCAAACACCATCTTTTAAAATTACATGCAGAGAGAATTTCTTGTTTTGGCTTGACTTCAGCAAAATTCTTTCATCAAACGATGTCGTAAGTCGCTCTTTCAAATATCTGATATCTCTACCTGATGTACAACACAGTCAAAATGCAGAGTCCAGCACTTCCACCGAAGATTGGCGACTCCCACGAGGATCATGGGATACTCACGTGCACGTCTTTGACCCGAAATCTTATCCCTATTCGCCCAAGAGAGCTTACTCTCCTCGTGAAGCATCTTTCCAACAACTAACCAGCTTCGGAGAGTCGCTCACAACGGATAATTCTGTTCCAAACATGGTTCTCGTTCTACCAAGTCCGTATGGTAACTTGAACGAAAGTATTCTTGATCTACTTCGGAAGGGCGAGAGTGGCGGGAGGCTCAGGGGTATTGTTGTGTTGGAAAAAGAGCAGATGGTGAAGGAAAGTTTACTCGAGATGGATAAATTGGGAGTAAGAGGAGTGCGACTGAATATGGTTTCTTCTGGTGGATCTGTTACCGGCGAGGCTTTGAGAAAGGCTATGACTGAGACTGCATCTTTGATCAAGGATGCGGGGTTAGGTAGCAAGTGGTGGGTTCAGTTATTCATTCCGGGACACTTTTGGGATGGTATGTCAGTCCATCATGACGAGAATGGTCACTAACTTGAAGTAGAATTGGCTGATACCGTCAAGATCCTAGGGGTTAGAATCATCGCAGATCATCTTGGTGGGATGAAAGGGTCGTCAATGCTTCTAGAAGGAACTCCTGTGACATCCCAGCCCGGATTCAATGCGCTGATTGGTCTTGCATCAGCAAAACATTTGGTGGTCAAGATTTCTGGTTTTCCTCGAGCTTCTGAAAAAGAAGAGCAGGCGTATCCAGATCTTGAGAAAGTTGTGAGGAGATTTGCCGCTGAAGTTCCTGATCAATTGATCTGGGCTAGTGATTGGCCTCACACTGGTGAAGCGAAGGACAGGAAAGGACGAAGCTTAGATATTCCTGAGCCTTTTAGAGATATTGATGATACTGCGATCTTGAGAAGGATAAGAAGCTGGGTGAGCGATGGTGTATGGGAGAAGATGATGGTTAACACACCAGAAAAGATGTATATTTGAAAGATTTAGGATTTGCCGTTGTTTTTGGTAGACTTTGCATATAAGGTAGAATTATTGCATCACAAACGTATTCTTACGCTTAAGTGCAAGAAACTTTTGAATCCTAGTCCTGTCGAAAAGTTCAATAAATTGTGTTTGATCCGCCAGGGATATGAGAAGATGGGAAGTCTTTCAGTTCCTTGAAAGTTTGATTTGCTATTTTTGCCTATTTCACGTTCTTTCATCGTCCGTAGCAAAGCTCGAATGCCCCTTGCGCAGATACTAATTATCTCACACATCTTCCGAGTCTGTGTTATCTAGGTTGTTATCGCCCTCCACGTTTGCCACAGCGCCATAACGAAGAAGCAATTCACGAATCTCAGACCAATCTTCATGGCTTGAGAGTTCAAGCGGGCTCAGCCCACCGATATCATTGTACTGGGCTAAGACTGTTCCTTCTTCCCATTTTGAACCTCCATTAGTTGCCAGCCCATTTGGGTCTGCACCTGCTTCGAGTAAAGCTTGCACCCCGCGTCGATTACACTGTTTGGTCGCAACCTGAAGTAGTGTATGCGTGTTTCGAAGAGTTGACATTGAGCGTTAGTTTTATGATCTGTGACAAAGGACAGTCATTGTCGCAGCGTGGAGCCCAACAGTAGCTGTGGACACAAATTAACGAATAGAGAACAGGCCAAGGATCCAAAAACCGCACTCCGACGTCTATCAACCACCGAAACTGAGGCGTATGTGCATTCTCAAGTTGCGCAAATAGTTCAAAGATTGATCCTTGGAACATGTAGATTCTTTGATCACTTTCATCGTTGGAGGTTGAAACGATTATTTCGTCGATACTCAACTCTGCTTGCAGAATTTCTGGCATACTGAATTGTTCAATCAATCTTCTAGCCAATTGGCAAGATTGGTCTACAAGTAGCAAATTTGTGAGTATAGCAGCTTCTTTGGGTTTTGGAATAATTCGCCATTTAGATGTCCCAAAGTGGTCTATAATTACCGCTCCATTGTTAAGGAATGGATATAACCATATCCTCGCCACTCTCTTGAAGGACGAGACATAGGTTTTTGATTCATCCAGAAGGTCGAAACTCAAAGATACCAAATGGTCTTGCTTAGCCAAGTCGTCGCCTAGTGTCCACAAACAGAGGACCGACATCGCGATGCAATAAGTGTCTAAATGTTCGTCTCCTGCGATGAACACGTCGAAATCTTCACGGTCAGTGTGATCATGAGGACTTTTCCACAGATCAGTTGCATCAGCGTTCAGTACCCCATGCAATACAGTTCCAGTCAGTTGCATCTTCGTTTCATATTCTCTGAGAGCAAAAAAGGCAGCAGAGCTCTCCACTATCCTGCTGGAATTCAAAAATTCCCATATAGTGTAATGTGCAAAAGATACAGAGTTGATCGTGAAGTGCTTATTATTAATGTCCTCATAATCTTCCCTGAAGATTCTCTCCGCAGGTTCAACTATGATCAGGCACCCACATAGTTCTCGAAGGAGTGTTTCATCTAAGAAGTAGTCGTGTCCGGCTTGGCTCAAATAACATAAACTCCGTTCGACAGCCTGGAGCAGGATTGGAAGTGAGATGCTCTCGTTGCGTACCTCTTGATGATAATATATCCACTTCAATGTATACAGGACAACCATGCGATGTTCATCTGGGACCGATAAGAAGATGATTCGTTCATAAGTCTCGTCCAATGTCTTCGGGAGGTTCCCTAACGCCTTCTTGACAATATTGTTCTCTGGCCTCAGACGCTCGAGCACGTGTATCTGGCAAACTGCCCGACGAAACCTGTTCCATCAGCGCAGGCTCATTCTGTCTATAGCGTTGGGAAATAAACTCACATTCCCTTAGCTTTAGTTGAAACAACCTCCAGGACGTCATCAAGCAGGCTCCTTGGCCAATGCCTAAATCTCGAATTTGCATCCAGTCTAGCTTGGACGTATAGCTTGATGTCGGCATCAAGTAGAGGATTTGTCATAGACACCGGAGCGGAGATTGTTTCCATCACTTGTTCGATGTCAATGTATTGCCTACTGGTGGCCAGTAACTGAATTTTTCGAAACCTCGAATCCGTGGTTAAGTCCCGAAGAACCGCCAGCAAATCATCTCTTGGCATGCTCTCGTCAATGGCATCAATGACGAGATAGACACTGTCAAAAGCTTCAAGAACTCCTTCAAGGACGCGCAACAGATCTACCAGGCTTGGTTCTCGGCCTTGGTCGTATAGCTTGGTGAGGCAGGTCGGCACTGGCTTTGCTTGGCGACATAGTTGGCTTATTGTCCATCGAAGAAAAGGTCTTGCTTCTTCTTGATTGTGCCCGAAATAACAATAATAGTAAATCGAAGCACATTTCTTTGATGTGAATGTGCCACAGCGTTCCGTGATATTTTCGATCAAGTGACTCGCAAGTACTGTTTTCCCAGCTGCCGGAATCCCAGAGATCCAGACGCAGCGGGTCTTTCCTTCAAGCCAATTCTTCCACTCTGCGGAGCGCAGCATCCAATTTCCTGTACCAACCTCATACTGTTTACAGGCTCGGTAATGTAAGGAGGTTGGATCAGTGGATTGAAGCCATTGATAGATCTGATGACGTTGGCTATCTGTCATTTGAGTTCAGTGGGTCAGTTGCAGCAGTATCGGGGAACAATTTGTCTCACCTGAGAGAATAGCTTGAATGTTTGTTGTCTGATTCTTGATGTGTTTGATGTCGTGACTAAATTATATGTTAGAATCTCCAGATTTATACTGAGCTTTTCGGTTCGCATATCCGTCGGGCGAGCTGGCAATGTAGCTTGGTTACTCACGTAGATTCTGCCGTAAGAGCCAAACTGATAGTCATCTTAAGCCTGCCCAAGTCCTCCACCAGTTTCTTTGCCTTCTCTGCCTTCATGGGCCACATGAGATAAGCCAAAGAAGCCTTGACTTTCTGTCTTCTTCTTTTCCCTTTGCCTGGTGCTTGAGCATACATAGATGGGAAAAGTTCTTCAAGCTTAGTGATTGCATCCTGGCATCCTTGAATGGGACCACCCGTGCCCGATAAATTATCGAGCATTGTCGATTGCTTGTTATTGCATGAGACCAGAAACCCCACATTTTCCAAGACAGCCTTCATCATCGAAGTCTCGATCAAAATTGCTCGAATATCCGCGGGGCAATCGTGTACAGTCTCGACGTAGAACTTGCAGAGCCCGAAGACTCTGTCAGCAATCTGAACGATCGCGATAATGCTAGCGCCAAGCGCGATGGCTTCTGCCATTGTGGCTAGAATCTGTATTTGTCGGGTGTCTTGATACACTTGCGATGAGGTCGAAGGATGGGAACAATGTGAGGATATGAAAGTTGGTCTGAGAGGGTGTGACAATTCTTCTGGGGCTGTGTAAGGCTCTCGGGCATAGCCACATTGCCATACAACCCCGGCAAATGCATTGGCCTGACGCTGTGAAAAAGTTCCAAGGCTACAGTACATATGCAACGACGCTTCGTGGGGAGCCTCACTTTATCTTCCAGTGATGATTCAATTGACCAGGGTCATTTTAGCGCACTTCTTCTTTTTCCCTCTAGGGCGTTGGATCGATCATTGGAGGAAAGCTAAAAAGGTTGCCTTTGAGTTGATTAATAGTACAAAAGTATTCAACCGTTATTTTTCAGTCAAAAGCGCCAGAGTAGGGAGCCCGGTGTACTGACACGCCCTATAGTAACTTGGAAACATAGTGCAAAGGCTGTAAGATGTTCTACAGGTTCTAGTCTGTGTGAGGGTAGACCCCTGTATGTTCAGAGTCGTTAACGAAGCCCTGTGGCAAGCGTAGTTTTTAGGTCCCGAATGCGCTACAACTTATCGCCTGAGCTCGTTTATTAGAGGCACCACTTGGGAAAAGCGCGCTTTGAATCGCAGCCCAGTAAATGAACTTCTATCAAAAAGTAGCCCTGGACGGTTCTCAAACCTAATCTTTGCTCGTTGTACCCAAGGAAAATAGCTGAGCGATAGTTCTTTCAAGGCAGTCACAAGCGTGTCCGTCACGGAGTAATCGCCAAAAGCCTCGAGACCCGTCTTAATAGGTAGCCGTAGAAATTCAAGGAACTGAGCGCTGGTTCGAGCCTTCAACTGAAGTAGAGTCCCGGGATGACTATCCTGGTAGAGCGATGGAAGCGGTAGCAAATCGCTGGAAAGAGTTGCGAACTTCTGGCAGAAAGTGGACTTCAATTCAGTTGGTAGCTGTAGAACGAGATCAACGAGCTCCTTGCGAATAATTTGAACCGCTCTGGTTATCCTTGGTGGCATATCGTTGACGAGTGCGGCATTCAAAGCACTCTCCTAAACGCGGCCCTACACGATGTCGTGAAGACGAGTCAGTGGTGAATCCTCAACGCCATGACTAGTCAACCGAACGAACAGATCATGGGCTACGTTTTCGAGATGCTACAACCCAGTTTCAGCAAAGCTAAATGCTGCACCTGAGATAAGGTTTTTGATAGAACCAGCACCCATTTTGTTGGCGAGGCGGCTGGTCTCTCCAAGTTTGTTTGATGACAGCTCGTTGTGGGATGATGGAAGTGACTAAAGCCGCGTCAACTTCATCGAGTAACGTTGCGAGGCATTCAATTAATGTTTTGAGCTGAACTTCTTGTGGCGAGTAGTATTGCCCTCCCAGAAAAGCATGTAGATGTGGAATCGTACAGGGGAAAGAGATTGTTTTATTTCTAAAGCAAAGAGTTGGCTATTTAAGTTCAAGAATAGAGCGCTAGTGCAAGCTAGACTATTCTTTTTTTAAGTATTTCTGGTAAGGCGGAAATCCCACACTCCGAATCTAATAAGTCTGGAAAGTTCCAAGATTTAATGCATCGCCCTTGACAGCTCAGATCTCTTCTCCCAGTCCTGCACACAACAACAAATACTCAATCCGTCGTTAGTGCCCAACACTTACCAAGATGAAGTCCTACATGAGTCTCTACGAAGATTGCGATCGGTAGGCTCCCGTTCAATGCCTTTGGATCTCGATTGCTGATCACATGCAAGGCTACCAGAATACCGCGAATCGTGCTATAAATTCCTCATAGAAGGTTTCTCCGGCACCTTTGGTTATCTCATCCCTGCGACTGTTCAAAGCTTCTCATGGGGCAAGCATTGGGAGATCGACCACGACTAAAGAACAGTTCAACTTCATGGCGACACCTTGGAGAAGAGAAGAGATGCCCTCGATGAGACTCTGAAATTCTTAAGGGAGACAGGCACTTTCAGAGTTTTGAAAAAATGGACAGGAGAACGTTTCCCTATCTATGGCCCGAATCGCGAGCTCATTGTTGACCTTGAACGCTCAGCCGCCGGTCTCTTTGGCATTGTCACATATGGTGTTTAACTCATCGTCTATCGCGATGATACGGAATGTCTATCGATCTGGGTGGCTCGACGGTCACCAACGAAAACCCTCTACCCAAACAAGCTCGGTGTAATAGTTGGAGGTAGTCTGCCTGCCGGAGAGTTGCCAATCAATTGCTTGATTCGTGAGTCCCACGAAGAATCGGGCTTGTCCTCTGAGGTGGTCAGCAAACTTGCAAAGCCGGTTGGTACCATCAGCTACGTCACTTCTTCCGACACCAAGACCACCAGTGGCGGAGAGTCTGGACTTATTCGTGCAGAAGTACAATTCATTTACGATATGAAAGTTGGTCCAGAAATTGTGCCGATGCCCTACGACATGGAAGCCTCGTCTATTGATCTATTCACTATTGATGAGATCAAGAACGCGTTAGATGATGGCGAGTTTACACCTGCTAATGCATGTCTCATGCTGGATTTCTTTATTCGCCATGGTCTGACGACTTTTGAGAACGAGGAGAACTATACGCAGATCATAAGCCGATTGCATCGGTCTTCGGGAATGCAGACCTTTTGATTCGCTGTATGCTACTACGGGAGTCAGATGTTGCTCGGAATGTGTACGGTTGTTTTGCAACAGCAGACAAGGCTTTCAAAAGTGACAGGCAGGAAATTGACTTCAAAGTAGAGAACTACGGGACTGTGCACCACTCTCTTTGCTGTAATTCATACGCTACACTCATCTGTGATCCATTAACCTGGATGTATTTGAAGGCCAGTACCAATGGAACCTGGCAATAAAACACGTCCCTTTTGCCCCCTGCTATCCTGCAGCCCGGCAGCACTGCAGCTGCACCCTTATCGCCCAATAGACAATGCCGATTTGTTTCTATGGGTTAGTAAGCATGCCCTATATACCACTAACATAAGTCTCAAATTGTTGATCGTGCCTCTCTGTCGCTGCTTTCCTTGACGCCCTCTAAATTTTTCGCTCTTAGTATTTGTGGAACAAATTGCATCCCTCTCCGAAATTAAGAACTTGCTTCTCGTGTCTCATTTGTTGGGTTTCCGCCCATCATATTTTAAATTTTCTACGGTGCATTGCTTTGGTTGTTCTATTCTAGTCATGTCTCAACAAATCACCGCCGTCCTAGGCGGCATATATATGGATCTATTCGTCGAGACAGACAGAATCCCCAATATTAGCGAAAGCGCGACTGGAACATCACTTTCCAAGCACTGCGGAGGAAAGGCTGCCAATACTGCCGTTGCGGCCTACCGTGCCAGCCACAGAGACCCAAATGGGACAGACGACACACACATTTAACGCTATGTCTGTTACTGGAATGGAAGTTGCTAAGGGTACCATACGAGTATTTTTGAATAGTGCTGTTGGTAACGACGCTACTGGACGAAATGTACTGGATGAGATTGAGAGGAATGGTGTGGACATATCCCAAGTACAAATCTTTGATGGCCAAAAGAGTGGCACCTGTGTTGTCCTAGTCGAGACAAACACTGGTGCGAGTAGATTCATCGTATTCCAGGGAGCTACCAAGAGCTGGAAATTTCATGGCTCTGGCTCAGTGAACTTGATGGCAGGTGGCTCCCTCCCAGATCTCATCATCGCACATTTGTCAGTTCCTCACGATGAGTTACTTCAGGTTCTAGAAGCGGCCCATGAACAAGGTATAGAGACAATATTGGACCCGTCACCCATTGGGCGTCTAGATCCTTCTGTCTTCCCCAAAATTACGCATCTGGTCATGAATGAAAGCGAGACAGCCCTGCTTTCCGAATGTGGTATCCACGACTTGCACGACATGGTCTCTTGTAGAGTGGCTGCAGAATACTTCTTGTTATTAGGCGTCAAGAACGTGATAATTACCCTTGGTGCTAAAGGAGCTTATTTTGCAACCCATGTTGGAGAAAGAGGGGCCGTAGAAGCAGAGAAGAACTTGAAGATCAAGGACACAACAGGAGCAGGGTGAGACCTTTTTCACCATTATACACTCACATGCTCTGGCCAGTTTGAAGGATGCTCAAATCTATTTTTCTTCTACTAGGATGTTTCTCTTGGCTCTCACTTGCTGAAGTGAAGAAGATACTGATGAATAGCAGCCATACTTTTTCTTGGCACATATGCGGTTGAATATGTTCAACAGAAACAAAAAGGGAATTGGGATATTAAGAAGGCAGTCACCCGTGCTTGTCGAGCTGCAGCTCGCACTATTGAGAGTCTCGGAGCACAAGAATCCATTCCATGGGCGAATGAGATAGACTCGGAATAGTATGATGAAGTCACGGTTTATGTTGCAGTCATACTAGGGGGTAAATCACTTTGCCCACAAAGGCTAATCGTTCGTGAAACAAATTACACAACTACTTGTTCCACCTAGTGGATTCATCAGTTCCTTTCCAGTCCCTCTCGACATATCCAAGTTTCCTTTTCACCATGTCAATCGTTGCGCTATCGCCCGTATTCTTGCCAACACTGTCACTTATCTTGATAGCTGAATTACCCATAACGGAGCTCAGTTTGAAGACAATATTCAGAGGTAGAGATTTCTTGCCCTGGAATCAGAAGCAGAAGTATCAGCCGCTCAATCCGATTATGTTGAACTCTTTCCCTCATTTCTGAAGAAGCACATCAGAAATTCACTCACTGTACTCCGATGAATGAAATCATTCGTGAAGAAACCCCAAAGATGCACAAAGAGAAACCAGCTTCTTCCGCTAATCTCTTGTTCTCTAGGCACTGATCTATGTTCAAGGAGTCTGAGAATACCATTGTCTTCTCGTTGGCTGCGATGCACTCTCGGTCGTAAAATTCTCGCATACTCTTCAGAAAGGTAGCGGGGCAACCAGAATCATGCCTGACACCTGTAAAGACATTTGCGAATGATTTCTGCTCTTCGATCTCATTCTCAGTTCGCAGATTGTTCAATTTCAATCCGACGTCAAGGTGCTCCAGTTCTGTTACAGACCGTTGGAAAGATCTAAGGAATGTTGGAAGACCAAAGGTGTCTGGAAGAGCAATACCAAGAATACCTTCGCCGTAGCAATGGAGCCAACATGTCAAGGCAGTCTTAGTTGCATTTTCGTAGTCTCCCGATATTGCTGCAATGCCCATAATCCACTCGTGTGAAATAGTGCCAACTGGAGGGATTCCAAACTGCATGGCGCGTAAGATGTTACTTGTACCATACAGTCTACCTAGCAAGCCTCTTCTTTTGCCTTCTTCGGTTGCTCTAATTAATCCTCGTAAAACTAGGGTCTGGGTCACAGCATCTCTTCTCCTTCTCATTCCATATTCTGCAAAGACACACCCTGCCGCAAGTAGACGCATGCCTTTTTCATATGCATTTTCTTCTTGCTGATTGTGTGTTCAATCCGTCTCGGTAAACCGAAAGTAAGCTTCACTAATCAAGGCGAGTAGAGGGACTTCGTATAAAATCGTGATTGACCAAGGTCCATAAGCTTCAAGAGTGATCTCTCCTAAATCATCAAAATGCATACTACCACTTCCTTCTTCTAGCTTGAAGGCCACTCGAATCTGGTTGCGAGGGTCGAGGTGGAGATCTTTGAAGAAATTCAGGTACGATTGATTCAAGTATGGGCAATTCTCTTGGAGGAACAAAAGCTCATCTTCTGAGAGCACTAAACTACTTAATGCTACTTTATGTTATTCGCTTGCTTCTCAAAGCGATGAAGATGGAGTCCAAAGGCAAGTTGACTCACTCTGGATCTGCGCCTCAAGCCATTGGAACCCAGCTCTAGAAAGTTTCTGCCCTGGAGTTCTATTCTTGAAAGCGTATGTGACCTCTAAATTTTTGTAGTACATGAAGACGGCACATTGCATGGCTGTCCAGCGTCAGTTTCCACCACCATCAAGAGATTATCGTGAGGTATTTTTGGGGAAATATTAAATGCATGGAAAACTTTGTGGAAAGAGAATTTCTTCAAAGAAGGGACATACTGATTTTGCACAAATCGGTGTCGAGAAGTGACTCTACTACCATAGGGCAGGGTGACGAGTCCATAGTGGTATGTCAAATGATTAGTATATCGTCTGGGTGCAGCCTAGTAGTTGTACTAAAAGCAGCAAATGAATTGAGAGACGTTACATCGACAAAAACCAACATTTAGACCAATGTTAGGCGAAAGCATGACAAAATGGGCTGTGATCGGTGATTGGTGAAATTCAGTATTTCCGTAACATGTGCTGTTACGGCACAGTGCATACGCTTCAGGCTATATTGTGCATTGATCCAGCCTGATCCTGGAGGAGCTGAACCAGTAGATGAATTTCTTCGCAATGTTCTGCACCGACTTATTCACCAAATATTCCATTGGCCAATAGATTATTCTATTGGCCAAATTTTATCGTTTTATGAATGGATCAGCTATTTGGCCAAATATTTATTGTTTAATATTATGGAAGTTAGCATTCTTTTTTATTGACTTCAAAAGCCGGCTCCGGAAGCATAAATCGAGTACTTGCAAGCAAATCTATAAGCTTCTTGATATTTAGCATAATTAATCTATTTAGTTTGATGAGATAATAATGTGGTAGATGAAAATATAAGAGTGTTGCGTTAATATTTAATTGAATAATAAGTAGTAATAGTCATGGTGCGGGGTAAATGAGGGGTATTAATACAACACCCGAAACATTTTAAAAAAAAATAAACGTTTAAAAAGAGGATTAGGCACAAGTATTTCTCGTGCTTAGTACTTTAAAGGAGATTTATTATTAATTAATTCAATGAATAGGCTATTGCTAATGTTTTGGCATATTTGAAGTGTATTTAAAAAGTATATTTTTAAGCTATAATCGGTGGATTACATAGTAAAAGATTTTTAAACATAGAAATAATAGTATCCGAGTTTATTAAATTGTATTATTCAAGTAGATCTAGCGCAAAAAAGAGAGGGATCAAACATTAGGTCTAAAATATTAGTTTATTTTGGGCAGATTAATCTATTGATGAAACGCTTGATTTATTCGTTAATGCCGTTCTATTGGTCAAAAGGCCCTAAATTTGGCCAAAATGGGCATTCTGTTGGCCAATAGCTCATTTGGTGAATAGGTCGGTGCAGTTCAGATAGACATCGACTCCATCTGCACTACCATACCCTCTCTTTTGAACAATCAATGTATTCAGTTATCTGGGTTCTTTGAGACCAGGACCGCTTAAGTATTAAGCAGGCATGGTCTGTGTGGATTGGACTGTTATCTTCGTTCTCGGTGGCCCAGGAGTTGGGAAAGGCACCTAATGCAAAATGCTCACAGAGAAATACGAGCTCTCACACTTAAGCGTGGGTGACGTTTTACGCGCTGAAACGAAGAAACCTGGGAGCCAGTACGCGGAGGGGATTTTGGAAAATATGAGAGAAGGACGAGTTGGACCACCTTGGATCACGATAGCCCTATTGGGGGCTGCAATGCGAGAGAAACTTGACATATAAGCAAGGTCCACCTTCTTGATTGACGGTACGAGTGACACCCTATGAAATTCTCGCTACTTGTACACAGATTAAGTAAAGAACAACAGGTTTTCCACGAAAGATGGGCCAGGTGGATTTATTCGATTCAGAGATATGTCCACCAACTTTAGTGCTATTCCTAGACTGCCCTCGAGAGACTTTGCTCAAAAGACTTGCGAATCGTGCCCAAACATCCAGTCGCCTTGATGACGGTGAGGATATCGTGAAGAAGCGTCTCAAAACCTTCATGGAAATATCCATGCCTGTCATTCAGCACTACTTGGAAAAAGATCTAGTGTGTCGAATTGATGCATCCCACGAGATCTCTGTGGTATATAGAGGAATGCAAATGGCGTTGGAGAGACATCTTCAGAGTCGACTGGTGAAGACTCCAAATATTGGCGCAACAGAAGCTAGCGCGTTTCATCATGGAGTAGTGGATTCGAGACCAGGCGAGAAGGAGTTCGACAGCGTGCGAAATACCACGAGAACCTTCTTCTAAAGCACGTATCTGAAATCTACATTTTCTAGCTCAGTCTTGTCATGCATACCGAATCTCATTCCCTCCAGCTTCTCCTCGGTAGTCTGAAGTTCCCCGAATTGGCGATCCCGCTTCTTATTCTCCATGCTCATATACACTCGAAGCCCGATACCGCAGAGCAAAGCTGCACAGAAACACACTAAAATGATCGTGATGGCTAAGACATACTTTGGCGCATCTTGAGAGCGGAAGAAGAATGGACCTCCAATATTAGCTGCAGCGAAAATCATGAAGAGCATGATGTTTGTAGTAGCACGCTTTGTGTGACCAGAGATATTTTGGCCAATGATGGTCAGACAAAATGGCCACTGCACTGCTATCAGTATATCGGATATTAAGAGACGAAGGACCAACCTACAGTAACAGCATACGAGTTGATGAGCCAATAAGCTACAACACGACCGTATTTGTTCGTTCCAGTACCTTCAGTTCCATAGACAGCTCCAATTCCTGCTATCGCGGGAAGCAGAGGAACGATCATGCCCCAAGTCCTCAGATTGCCATGTTTCATGGAGAAGTATCCCCATACGATCATGCTTCCTGCACTTACAACGGACGAAGGCAGGCCAATCAAAAGAGTCTTGAAGCTGTCGAATCCAAAACCGGATACAACCAGAGATCCGAAGCTTGTCAATCCGCCATTCGGTAGCTGAGTGAAGAACACGAAAGCAAGGAGTAGCCAGGTCTTGGGATCTTTGACAGCGTGCCACATTTGGTAATACTTCCACTCGTATCCCTTCACACCCATCATGTTCTCCGCAACTCTCTGTACTGCAATAATCTTCTCTTCGTGGGACAGAAATTTGGCTTTGTTGGGAGTTTCTGGCATGAAAAACAACCAACCAAGACCGGTCAAGATACTGAGTAACCCAAGTACAAGGAAGATGTACATCCACGGTTTTAGAGCAGTATTGGTTATATGCCCTAGTCCGTATGAAAGAAGCGAGGCAACGATGGAGAAACTACCTTGCATGGCTGCCCAAAGCATTGTGCGAAGGACTTGTTCTCGACGGGTGTAGAACATGGAGGTATAGAGTACGAAGCCCGGGGACACAACAGACTCAGAGACGCCAAGCAAGAAACGGACAACCATGAGCCCGGCGAAGTTCTTCAGTCCAAGATGCCTGTGGGTTGTTAGTACTTAAATGATAACAAGCAAAAGATAAACTCACGCAAGCATCAGCGCTCCCCAAGCAATAACTGCGATGCTCAAAATCCTCGCAGTTTTGTACCGTTGAAGAAGATAATTTGCAGGATACTGAGCAGCCAAGTATCCGAAGTAAAACATACTGCTTGCCTAAGAGTATTGAGTTCCGTGGAGTCCTAGATCGTCCCGAAAGTTGAAGAGTACAGCCCATCCCATTGCCACTTTGTCTACATAATTGAGTCCGTATAGAATGCACACCAATGGCAGTAGATGCAGGTCAATCTTTCGTCGAACTGCTTCCGTAGCTTCAACGCTATAACTCGTCGATTCATTTTGAGCTTCTTCGAAAAGTTCGTAGCCTTCATCCGCGGTCTGGCCTTTGAGATCAGCATCGAGAGTGGTGTGGATTTGAGTGCGTGGCGCAGCTTCGATATTGTCAGTTTCGTTTCCCATCTTGTTTGAGCAAGTTCAGACGTCTGTCAGAGAATTGAAACCAGAGAGTCACGAAATTCAAAAATTAAGATACCTGGGCAGGTAATAATCAAATATACCGCCGTGTCTTCGGCCTAGTGTCCGTGTACGCCGCACCTGTACTCCACTTTCAATCACTTGGATGTTACAATGGAGATAAGCTTAACAAAACCAGGATTCTAATGCCAAAGCTAGTGACCCATGGTCGGTAAGATATCGTATAAATCTGAGAGTGGGATAACTCCACTACCAACTGCTACGTCTCGATCACCTAAACGGTGTGCTTCACCAGCGAACTACGGTCATCACTCGTTGGCAGATGGCCTAGGTACTCAATAACATTGTTGAAATTGAGACCGCCAAAGACTCAGTAACCTCTTGCTACATAGCTGTATTGATTTCAAGTTCAAAGGTCAAGCCCTTCCACTCTCACGAAAGTGGGATGTCCTTGTCCTGCCAAGTCGCCTCCTCGGAAAAGTGTTTCCGGGCAAGCATCTCTCTCTCACACACGATATTGTGAACGCCCGGTTTTTCCGTTCTCCCTTTCAGTCCGACTGCAAAATTGAGCGTCCCATTCTGCTCACCAAAATCCGAGATGCAAATCCCCGACATCGACACCGAGAAATGTCTCGGCTTCCTTTCAAAGCTGGTCCAGATCAAGAGCTACTCTGAAACCTCGGGAGAAATCGAAATCACAGACTTCATCTCCCAGAAAATGAAGGACATCAGCCTCGAAGCTGATGTCTACCCGTTTGCCAATGGCACGCGACAAAATGCCATCGGACGATGGAAAGGCAAGGACCCTTCAAAATCGAAAACCTTGCTCTTCAACGGCCACTTAGACACCAATCCCGTGACTGAAGGTTGGACCGTCGATCCCTGGGAAGGCAAGATTGACGAAGGTTTCATTTATGGGATTGGAGTTAGTAACATGAAAGCTGGCTGTGCAGCCTATTTTTGCGCTGTGGAAGATCTGAAGTCCGCTGGTTGGACACCGAAAGGAGATATCGTCTTGACCTTTGTCGTTGGAGAACTCCAAGGAGGAGTTGGGACAATGGCTGCCATAGAGCAAGGCAGAATGAATGCGGACTACTTCATCAACTGCGAGCCAAGTGATATCAGAGCTATCACTAAGCATGCTGAAGCTCTGATGTTCGAGGTTGATTTGCTTGGAGTCACGAGACATATGTCTGCTGCTGAAGAAGCTGCTGATTCGATCCTGGCTGCTTGTGCACTGATCCCCGAGCTCGACAAAATGACATTCAGTGGTGCGAAGAGTGAAGATCATAAGAGGTGCAATCGATGTTTGGTTGGCGTTGTTCATGGTGCGTTGGGAAAGAAACTCGAGGAGTGGAGGCCAAGTCAAGTTGCCGATGTATGCAGGTTAGCTGGAAGTGCTAGATACGCGCCTGGACAGACCAAAGAAGGTGTCATGAGAGATATCGAAGAGACCATCAGCAGGGTATTATCAGAGAAGTGTCCGGGAGTGAAATTTGAACTCAGGCAACGATTCGAGCCTACGATGCCAGCATTCGAGGTGTCAGCTGACTCAAGAATTGTCAAATCACTGAACAAGGGCTATCATGATGTAAGGGGAGAAGAGCAACCGACTGGAGTTTTGAAACCTACATGCTTCTACGGATCAGATGCTGGACATTTATACAAGCAGCTTGGCATGGAAGGCATTGTGTGCGGACCTGGTGGCAAGTACAACACGAGACCAGATGAGAAGGTCGACATTCCTGATTATCTAGACTGTATTAGAATGTTTATGAGAGTAATTGTAGACATCTGTAGTTGAATATCCCCTTTCACCTGACAGTGATTGTTAGCGCCTTGAAATTAGCGAACGACCCCTATCCTCTAAGCTGTGGCAAACACCCTTTTCTAGGCCCATCCTCGCTAAATTGCCAGCAATCCGTGCCCTGAATGGGCAAAATTGGGGCCTGGGATAACTCGCTTACGGGCTCGCCATACCCTAAAAAGTGTGTTCTGAAACACAGCTTAGGATATTAAGCCTCACCCCACTTTCGACAAGTTTATCACCACCTCAGCATCTCGAACCAATGCCACAACCAACATCACAAAATGCGTATCCCACTCGAGACTCTCCAAGATGCTGAAGCATTCATGCTTAAGCTCCCCGAAGCCGACCGAATACGCCGCTGTTCAAAACTCTACAGCGCTGAGCCTCATCTCTCAGGCGATCTTGCACACGCCGAACGAATCCGTGATCTCTGGATCAGCTATGGTATCTCGTCCAAATTAGTCCGATATGACGTCCTCCAGAATACTCCGACGTGCTCATCACTGTCACTTTATTCAGAAGATGGAAATGTCACTTTCGTAGCTGGGTTAGAAGAACCGGTAATTCCAGAAGACCCAACTTCTTCTCCTTCGAATGGTTTCCGTCCCTTCCACGGCTTCAGCGCCAATGGTAAGGTATGCGCTGAACTTGTCTATGCCAATTTTGGCACTATTGAGGATTTCAGACTTCTGGCAGCGAAGGGCATCTCGGTCAAAGACAAGATTGTGATATGCAAATACAGCAAGATATTTCGAGGGCTGAAAGTTCGTGCTGCGGAAAAGTATGGTGCTGCAGGGGTCATTATATATAGCGATCCACAAGAGGACGGAGAATGGACTCAGAAGAATGGCCATCTTCCGTATCCTGATGGACCGGCTCGCCATCCGTATAGTGTTCAAAGAGGAAGCGTGGATTACTTTTCGATCGCGGTTGGTGATCCGACGACGCCTGGGTATCCTAGTTTACCAGGGAAAGGGACGGAGAGGAAAGATCCCGGTGGAGCTATTCCTAAAATACCGTCGTTACCTATCTCTTATGCGGATGCTTTGCCATTTTTGAAGGCATTGAATGGACTTGGATGGAGCCCAGACGAGATCGGTGGAAGTGATGGTGATTGGAAGGGCGAGCTGGATGGAGTGGACTACTTTACTGGGCCAAGCAAGGTGGAGGTTACGCTTGAGAGTTATGGTAAGTTTAAGAGCTGGAATTTGCGCCCAGGCTGATTGGGCCTAGGTCATTATGAATACACACCGATTTACAACGTGATTGGTACCATTGAAGGCACTTCCGATGAGCTGATTGTTATGGGAAATCATCACGACTCGTGGTCTTGTGGTGCAGTTGATCCAGTCAGTGGAAGTGCTGCCATGAACGAACTTGTCCGAGGGCTTGGAAGACTTGTGGAAATGGGATGGAAGAATGAACGAACGATGCCAGTTAGCTTGTGCAATAGCATGGGTATCACCGCTGACAGCTGTGCAGTATCCTAGCTTCGTGGGATGACGAAGAGTACGGCCTGCTCGGCTCAACAGAGTGGGTAGAAGAAAATGCCAAAATGCTCTCCAAACATTGCGTTGCTTATCTCAACGTAGACGGCGCAACCAATGGCGGATCGATCTTTGGAGGTACAGGTAGTCCACTCCTTGGTTCCATTCTCCGATCAGTAGCAACACTTATCCCATCTCCGACCTCAAGCAACAAAACTGCCTATGATGACTGGCTAGCCTCTTATCAGCTCTCAAACCCAGACGCCAAAGTTCCACATCTCGAATTAATGGGAACCGGGAGTGATTACACTGCGTTCTTTGACCACCTGGGTATACCTAGTATGGACTTTCGCTTCAGTGGAAAGAGTAGTTCTGTTTTCCACTATCATTCTAATTATGATAGCTTTTATTGGATGGAGAAATTTGGCGATCCTGATTTCAAGAAACATACGATGATATCGCAAGCATGGGGCGTGCTTGCGGTTCGTCTTGCTAATAGCAAGATTCTTCCTTTCGAAGCTGCGGAATACGCTTCCACTCTGGAGAAATATGCATCAAGACTCAGCGCTCAGGATAAGCTGAAGCTTGATACGAAGCCACTTGAGGAAAGCATTTCGAGATTCAAGTCTGCGGCAAAGAAATTGGACGATTTGAATGCAAGTGTGTCTGCCAGACTCAACGATGATGATGGTCCAGTTTTCGAGCTTTCTAAGGACATTGCGAAAATAAACCAGAAACTTAGAAGCATTGAGCCTGGATTCATCATCGACGAGGGCTTACCGGGGAGGAAATGGTTCAAGCATATCGTCAGTTACCCTTCGGCCCCTTCATCGAGTTCTATGCTAACGAAGACAGGTCTTTGCTCCTGGACTGTGGCTGGGCTATGGAGGTGTAGTATTCCCTGGTATCCTTGAAGCACTAGATAGTGGAGACGAAAAGGAAGCACATAGATGGGTGTCCAAGATCGCGGCTGCTGTTGACGCGGTCACCAATTCACTGTGAGCCTTGAGTCAGGAATGTGAACTTTCTATTGATGCGAGTCTGGCTCATGGTTATTGCGCTGAACTTGAGGGCCCAACTTTCGGCATTGTGCCCTGCAATTTTAGCGACAGTTCTCTGTAGCTTTACCCACACCTTCTGACGAGAAGATGCTGTGAGAACGTAACCACGCTTCATGTATAATTCCACCCCACATTCGCAAGCCATCGCTCTAGATGTAAGTTTTCTTGACATTGGGCAGTGCAGCTATTCTAGTAGTGGTTGTCCACTAAGATGTCATTCAAAGTACGCTTTTCTAGCTTGTTGCACTGTTAAGCAAACTCTTTCAGGCACTAGATTTCAGCGCGTCTAGCGCACTTCGCGCAGCCAGCGCATGCATCGCATTTAGCGTCTAGCCCTATCCTTTAGCAAAGCGTAGTGCCCCAGGTCTGAAAATTGTGTGGATATCTAATTAGCCCCGTATGGGATTTGTGCAATTTTTAACGTTGACACTATTTTTGGAGTAGGCAGTTGCGAGAGTGTGTTGAACAGGAACTCTTGCTGCTTGACTTGTTCATCCCTTTGTTAGTTGCCAAGCATACAAAAACCTATGTCTCGAAACCGAGTGCATACTTTGCTTTGTCTCGGTATCTTCTGCCTCGCACTTGAAAATATGGAGGTACGATTTTGATCGTACTCAATTGCGGAGATCTTCCCATTTTTGCAAGTCAAGATTTGCCAGTCAGCCCTCAAGCTGCTGCCAGACTTACACTGCGTGCATCAGCTAAGCGAACCAGCGAAAAACTGTATTTTCAAGCTTTAGGGAGCTAAGCCTGAAATTTAAGGATCAATTCCCTAGATTTTAGCGATCATTCGCTAATTTACAGTGAGTTTTAGGCTGTGGGACATCTTGGTGTTCCTGCTTAGTAAGCCTTCGGAAAGTGCTGGCAGCAGCTTGGGGTTAATGCATTGCCGCGTGATTTACTCCTGAGTTAGATTTGGCGTTGTAGTTGTGAGATTCTCGGGAAGACAAGTGCATCAGTAAGTTATGCAATCCTTGCAGGAAATGAACTCGTAAGGTAGTCAGCATATAGGAACTTTCGTCGAGGAATTTGTTGAGACAATATATGATTGTACGGAGTATGAAAAACAACCGCGATTCCCCATTTTCAGATTCCTTGGCTTTCGAGAAAAACGCGCGAGGCTTGAGCAGCCTGCTCTGCCTCTTTTTCCCACCCCAAAAGCTCCCCGCAGAGCAAAATATCATGCGGTGCAAACGGCGTATCATGCAACTCAATCCTGTTTCCCCGAGACTCCTTCATCTTGTCCGCAAACGTGACAATTTCGTCGTGCAGAATTTCCCCACCTCCGACTTGTATAAAGATAGGACAGTTTGTAGAGAACACGTTCCTTGCAGGTGAAATGTAAGGATGTGATGATGACATCGATAGCGGGACAAACGATTCAACTCCCCATCTTGCGAGAGAGGACGTAATGTAGTCAGTTGCGCTGTTCTTGTTCCGATCAATGCTTTCCGGGTCGACTGATAGGTCTAGCCACGGACCCCAAAGTAACACAGCAGAAGGAAGAGGTAATTGATGACTATCGTTCTGGTCCGAGAGGTACCGTAACAGAGCTAGAGCCAAGTTTCCTCCTGCAGAATCACCAGAAACGACAATGCGCGAAGCAGGAATTCCTTGGTCTAGCAGATACTTGTAGGAAATCAATGCATCTTGAAGGGCAGCAGGAAATTGCCCGTTGTCATAGCAAGCGAGACGGTATTGAGGACAAAATACCATAGCGGAATGTGTTTTGACGAGGATGTCAGCACCGAAACCGCACTCAGATTGCCTTGCACCACCAAGGACGTAAGCTCCTCCATGAAAGTGCAGTATGACTTTCTTGTTCGAGTCTGATTCGACCGAATAGAGAGACGGGTACCATACACCTCCTACAGCGACTGGCTTGACCGTCGGACTTTCTGCGGCGCCATAAAAGAATTCCTGGAGGTCTTTTGTAACTTTTGGGGGGCTCATGATGACAAATCGTTCCTTCTCGTCCCTGGAATTGAGTGATTTAGGCGTGCGAAAATGGACGCTGGAAGCATATTTAAACCACAGCCTCAAGATGGCCCTCCCTATTGATAATCACTGTATGTTTCTTGCATCTTACAAAGTCAAGCCAAGCTCCCCAAGAGTTGCCACGGCTTTCAGATCAATCTCAAAATAAAAGGTAGTTGACATACCGAAAGCTTGGCGATAAGTCCATCGAGGATGCGGGCGACAGCGATTCGGGAGATAGTATAAAGCTATGCAAGGGAGACGTACGACGAGAGACAAGACGGTGAGCACAGTCCAGATGCCTTTGACAGGCTGGTGAATGAGAATGGAAGCCATAGTATGGAATCTGATTGCGGTTTTCGATACTGTGAACACCAGATGAGAGATATCATCGAACTGAGAAATCAGAGGAGAGACGAAAGATGCCAGAGAAGGAAGGGTATGAACTACTCGGCGGGATTTGAAAATGGTTCATTGCTGCAGCTGTCCAAAAGAATTCAATTATGTGGGCTCTAGATTTGGCGCGCTGCATATCATTCGCTCAACACCAACTGCCGTATGTAGCACGAAAGTCGTTTTCCCGGTATTCCAACATTCTCATTTTCACTGGTCAGGGAGCTCAATGGCACGGGATGGCGCGCCAACTGCTTGATTATCCTGTCTTTCTGAATAGTATTGATTTTTCCGAGAAATTATTCTGCTCCCTGGGCAGTGAGTGGTCTTTGAAAGGTAAACCTGCCAATCTATTTGTTGGCTCCAATTATTCAATACACTTCTGACATATCTACCTAGATGAGCTTAGAAGGGACAAGCCCACTTCAAACTTAGACAAGCCGGAGATCTCCCAACCTATTTGTACTGCCCTGCAAGTAGCTTTGGTAGAACTTCTGGGTAGCTGGAACGTGCACCCTACCGCTGTCGTAGGACACTCATCTGGTGAAATTGCAGCAGCATACTGTGCTGGCGCGCTCTCGCGAGAAGCTGCACTAACCATAGCATACTATCGCGGGATACATTGTGCTTTGCTATTGTCTAGCTCGCTGCAATGTGGAGCAATGCTAGCTGTCGGATTATCCGAAGCGGCTATTGCGCCATATTTTGCACGGGTCCCGATTGAATTCGGACAAATAGCAGTGGCCTGCATCAACAGCCCTCATAGCGTCACATTGTCAGGTTCGGAGCACGGTATCGACTTTGTGCATGGCATTCTGGAGCAAGACAAGATATTCTGTCGAAAGCCAAGGGTAAACCTTGCTTATCATTCTTCTTCCATGGTGCATGTCGTGCCCGGATATCTAGCTAGTCTCCAAAACGTACCTTTTCAACAACCTCCATTAGTCTCGAAGACTTCCAGAGCATCTATGTTCTCTACTGTAAGTGGAGAAGTCGTCCAGACTGAATACTTGGGTCGCGCAGAGTACTGGACACATAGCTTGACCTCGAAAGTCAAGTTCTCAGACGCTGTTGAAAAAATGCTTCTCGGAGAGTTTGAATCATCAACAGAACTTCATGATTGGGCTGAAGTCATCATGATTGAGATTGGTCCAAGCGCAGCTCTGAGCCGTTACACAAAGGAGATCTTGGCTGAACTTGATCTGAACAAGGCAAGCTACGACACTGCGCTCATGAAAGGGAGATCAGCATCACAGACCACTATGGAACTCGCAGGAAGACTCCACTACCGAGGGTATGGTGTCGATCTGGTGGCCGTGAATGCATCTACTTCTGAGGCGAAGTCTAAAATGCTTGTCAATCTCCCTGAGTACCAGTTCAACCACTCAAAGCAATACTGGCATGAAAGTCGACTTAGCAAAGGCTTCAGATTTCGTCGTCATGCTCGTCATAATCTGTTGAGGACACCTTCCTCCGATGTCAACGCACTCGAGCCCCAATGGAGGAATATCATTCGAATTCACGAGAACAAGTGGGTTCTCGAACACAAGGTATGTCTCCCAGAATGTTAGTGAAGAGCGTTGATCTAACCTAATTCTAGTTCAACGGGTCTCATATCTATCCTGCTGCTGGAATGATTGTCATGGCGGTGGAGGCCGTGCGCCAAGTCTCAGACCCTTTGCTTGTTCTGACGGGCTATAGGTTGAAAGATGTGAAATTTGTGAAAGCACTAGTAATTTCTCAGAGTTCTGAGAGCGTGGAGACACAAATAGTTCTCAGAAGTCGCAGTGATAGCATTGGCCCAAAACTTCGTGGGTACGAGTTCCAGATCTTCATGTGCTCTCGCGACGAATGGTCTGAAATTTGCCGTGGTTCTGTTAGAGCCGAATATGATCACGTGGACGGCGAGAAGCACGACATTGAACGATTCAAAAGTTCATTTGATGCGATCAGCAATAGCTGCACCGTGGCTGTCGACTCCAAGCAGCTGTATCACAACCTGGAGACTTATGGGTTTTGTTTCGGGCCGTCGTTCCAAACTCTTGAGGCAGTTAGATACAGCAAGACTGGTAAAGCCACTGCATCGATCAGCCTTCAAAAGTCGGCTTGTCAGGAAACTCAAGACCATGTCATTCATCCTACCGCTCTTGACGGTCTATTTCACCTCACCGCAGTGGCCGTCTCTCAGGGTGGGTCGGTCGCAATTCCTACTATGGTTCCAACCCAGCTCCGAGAATTATGGATTTCGAATTCGTTAGTGACAGGCATAGCCGAAGATAGACTTGAGGTCTGCTCAAGTCTTACGTTCAAAGGATATCGGGAGGGGGAGTTTGATCTACTTGCCGCTAATCCATATGACAATGAGCCTCGAATCATTGTCAAAGCGTATCGGGGAACGGCAATAACTGGCTTAGACATACCGGCTCCTTCGGACAGTACCGCCCAGCGACTTTGTTTCTATCTTGATTGAAAGCCAGATCTGGACATGATGGACAAGGAACAAATATCACGATATTGTGAAGCGAAAGGCGATGGGTCGGGAACACAGATTACGGACCAAATCGACGAGTTGGAGCTAGCCTGTCTCTATTTCATGAAAGAGACTATTCATTCTTTATCAGAATACAAAGTCAACGAAGCTAATTCGTACTTGCAACGATACCTCGCCTGGATGCAATACCAGTTGGAACGTGTCGACACAAGACTCATCTCGGAAGGCAACCCTTTGTTCCTTGCTGGTGTGGAGCATACGAATGAATATTTACGTGTTCTTGAAAATAGCGGGCCCGAAGGGAGGCTTTACATTACCGTAGGCAGCAACCTCATGTCCATACTCCAAGGCGACGTAGATCCCCTCGATTTACTCTTCCACGGCTCCTTTGCACATGATTTTTACCATAGCGACGCGTTTGCGGCGAACTATATGAAGCTAGCAGCCTACATTGATTTGCTTGCCTACGCAAACCCGAACTTGAGTGTCATCGAAGTCGGTGCTGGGACGGGAGCCGCTACGCGGCAAATCATGAAAGTGCTGTCATCCGAGACAGGAACGCCGAGGTATCGCGAATACACGTTCACGGACATCTCCTTAGGATTCTTTGAGGAAGCAAGGCAGACTTTCCATACCCAGACAGATTGGATGACCTTCAAAGTCTTGGACATCGAGAAAGATCCACTGGAGCAAAATTTTAAGGAAGCCGCTTACGACCTGGTCATTGCTGCGGGTGTTCTGCATGCCACTGCCAACTTGGATGTCACATTGCGGAACACCAGAAAACTTCTCACGCCCCATGGCAAGCTTATAATGTTCGAGCCATGCAACTTAACTTGCTTAAGGGTTCCCTTCGTGTTTGGATTGTTGCCCGGTTGGTGGCGTGCCACAGAAGAGAATCGAAATATGGGACCTCTGTTGTCAGAGGATGATTGGCATAAGACTCTACTAAGAAATGGATTCACGGGGATCGATTTCTGTCTAAGGGATAGCCAAGAACCGATAAAGCACACGTTTAGTGCTATTTTCTCGACAGCTTCCAACGACTACACTGCTCCAGCCGGCATTGCAAAAATAACCATTCTCGTTTCCGAACATTCCTCGCTGCAGAACGATCTTGCCCAAGGCTTCGACTCTCATATTAGCGCGCTACCAGGCACAACTTGTGAAATAAGTCATCTGCAAGACATTCAATCCAACATCAACCATTCCAGATTCTTTATTTCCTTACTTGAATTGGAACAATCAGTCTTCTTTGACCTCAATGACCAAGACTTTGTCAATTTCAAGTACATGGTTCAGAGGTCCAACAAGGTCCTATGGATAACTCATGGCGGAGGCGAGCATGCACTGAGACCGGAATCCGATATCATTCTGGGGCTCAGCAGATCTCTTCGTTCAGAAAAGAGTAATCTCAATTTCGTCACGTTAGCGCTGGAAGACATTTCATCGATTTCAACTGCGGTCAACAACGTGATGAAAGTGGTCAAGAAGACTCTACTCCCACTTGCCGAGTCAAACGAGTCAGAGTATATGGAGAGAAACGGATTGATGTGCCTTAGTCGGATCACAGAAGCTAATGATCTGAAATTCAATATCAACTCAAAAGCAATGACACGGAAACCTGAGATGAAGAAATTCGGCGGAAATAGCGGTCAAGGGCTAGAAGTGGCTATTGAGTCTATTGGATTACTGGATTCATTGTGCTTCGTCGAAGATTCCGAGTTTGAGCGGCCGTTAGACGCGAATGAGGTTGAGATTGAAGTCAAGGCCGCAGGCATTAACTTCAAAGATGTCATGGTTGCACTTGGTCAAGTTCCAGACACGCACATTGGTTTCGAATGTGCGGGATTGGTAGCTCGAGTTGGTCTGGATGCAGAACTGAAGGTCGGCGATCGTGTTTGTTGCATTGCCAGTGGGGCGCTCAAGACATACGCTCGAGCTGATATCGCGTTGGTCCATAAGATTCTAGATGACATGCCATATCAGCATGCCGCCGCCTTGCCAGTAGTATACTGCACAGCGTACTACGCACTATTCGATCTTGCGCATCTCAAGTCCCAAGAGTCCGTCTTGATTCATTCTGGAGCCGGCGGCGTCGGACAGGCCGCAATTCAGTTGGCGAGATCAGTCTATGCGAACATATTTGTAACCGTTGCCAACGATGAGAAGAAGGCCCTCTTGATGGATTTATACGACATTCCTGAAGATCACTTCTTTTCTAGTCGCAACACCTCCTTCTGCCAGGGAATCCACAGGATGACCGAAGGTAAAGGAGTCGATGTCGTTCTCAATTCTCTCTCTGGCGAAGGATTGAGCAGATCATGGGAATGTGTCGCTCCTTTCGGCAGATTCATAGAAATTGGGAAGATGGACATCATGTCCAATGAAAAGTTACCTATGCTTCCATTTTCCAAGAACCTGACGTTTGCATCAGTTGATCTTTCGATCATGGCTGTCCATGCAATACCACTTATGGCAGAGCTCCTCCGGAAGGTCTTGGCATTGGCAAGTGCACAGCCTGCTGTGATCACTGCTCCAACACCCCTTCATGTATATCCGATCTCTGAGATCGAAGCAGCGTTCAGGTATCTACAGAGCGGCAAGAATACTGGGAAAACGGTCGTTGAGGTACATGAACATGATGTAGTGCCGGTAAGCATGGAGATGTGCGTTCAATGAATCGGTTTGAACTAACGAAGCCGCAAGGTTCTACCCCGTAATCGACCTACGTGGCGATTCGATTGCGATTCGAGCTATATGATATCGGGAGGGCTCGGGGGTCTTGGTCGGAGTATGACACGCTGGATGGCAAGCCGGGGAGCCAAAAACATCATATTGCCCTCACGGTCGGGCCCTGTGAGTGCGCAGTCCTCGAAACTGCTCGCAGAGATGCATGCCATGGGGATTCGCATAGAAACACCGATTTGCGATATCAGCAACGAGATATCTGTAGTATCGATGCTAGCGGACTGTGAAAAATCCATGCCTCCAATCAAAGGATGCATCCAGGCCTCGATGGTCTTAAAGGTACTTGAATTCCATTTTTACCCTTTCGAGATGAAATCTCTGACCGTAATTAGGACAACATCTTTGAGAACATGACAACAAAAGACTTTAGAGCCGCCGTGCTACCCAAAGTCCAAGGAACATGGAATCTACACGCACATCTCCCAACAGGCCTTGACTTTTTTGTGCTCTGTCTTCAACAGGCGGTGTTCTTGGAAACCGGAGTCAGAGCAACTATGCTGCAGGAAATACGTATCAAGATGCCATTGCTCGTCACCGGGTTTCTCTGGGCCAGAAATGTGTTTCCCTCGACCTCGGAATGATACTGTCTGTGGGTTTTGCAGCAGAGCGAGTGCATGTTACCGAGTCACTAAAAGCAGCCGGCTATCAGGGCATTCGGGAGAGTGAGTTTCTGGGCATGCTGGACGAATTATGCAACCCGAGCCGCGATCTCCCCCTACTACTCAAATTTCAGGTCATCACTGGGTTGACGACGCCACAATCACTGAAGTCAAAAGGCATGGACGAAATGTTCTGGATGGAGCGACCAATTTTCCGTTTGTTACACAACTTTGAACGCTCGAAAATCAGCACGACAGCAAATGAGTTAAATGACAAATTCGACTACAAAACTTTGTTCCGACAAGGAGGAAAGTCTATAGAAGAACTGGGTTACCTTGTCACTCAATCTTTGATCATGAAGCTAGCGAAGGCAGTATCAATACCAGAGGCCGACATTGATGCAAGTAAACCAATATACGATTTTGGCGTTGATTCTCTCGTGGCAGTCGAGATTCGATATTGGATTCTGAAGGAGTTTCAAACTGAAGTTGCGATATTCAATATCTTGGGTAGCAAAAGTATTGAGGAGCTGGGCTTACTCGTGGCACGTAAAAGTCCGTTCCTGAAAGAGTCGATAACCGATCATCAAGAAGACTGAGGACCTGGAGGCATGTATTCCGTCCAGAGCGAGTGCGAATAGGAGAAAATTGCTTGTCAGATTAAGGAATTGTATCATGCAAAATGCCATTCAGAACTACGTTGTACAGATTGAAAAAAATGCTTCAAGCAGTATTTTTTTGATTCGCAAATAGTTGGTTGCAATATGCTTCACATACTGTTAAGTGTTGTGGTGGACTTTCCGTGCAGTTCACACTGGGGCTCTGCTTCTGGACAACAAGATGTTGTGGAGAAGTGGGGTGATCTCGACATCTCGACGTCCTTGCATCCTAAATCCCCCACTTCCTTCCCAATCAATCATTCACGATGCCCTGGTCATATCATCAATTGTCAACTCCATCATCAGCCACAAATTCCATCGCAATACAAACACGGAAGCCAAGGTTAACACGATTCTCGATGAGGAAGGTCTATGGTTGGATGCATGTCGCCCAGACTTGGCATTTTACACGTGCATTGGATAAATGGCGATAACGAAGCGGATGTCGCCAGTGCCAAAATGAGCTACGTTAAACCTGCAGGTCGTTCCTGAACTACCACCCGCGGTTTGGCAGTTGCTTCTTAAGCTTAAAAGAGTCCGAAGAGCCCCAGATTGCAACCATCAAGGTCCTCAACTTCACCAAGAATCGCTGTCGATCTTTCTCAAGATGAGATTCTCGATTCTTTGCGGTTTAGCCGCGTTCATCACCTCTGCAATTGCTTGCGATTCGTGTTACGGACCTGTAGATGAAGTCATTCATGAGCGTCTTGTTCGGCGTATGCAACCTGAAGCTCAAGCTGCTACGACTTCACCCAAGGGACCCTTGGAATGGGGCCAATTGAACTTCTTACATACGACTGACACTCATGGTTGGCTGGAAGGCCATCTGAAGGAGCAAAATTATGGTGCTGACTGGGGTGACTTTGTTTCCTTCTCGAGACATATGGTGCAGAAGGCAGGCAACCTCGCTGTTGATCTCCTTCTCATCGATACTGGTCAGTAATTTGGATGCCATTACCCCGCGCTCGAAATGTACCACGCCTGCGTCTATTGAGTGAACGCTAAAGTTCTGCCAGGTGATCTTCATGATGGAGCTGGATTGAGTGATGCTGCGCCACCTAACGGGGTCGTCTCAAATCCAATCTTCGATAATATCAACTACGATCTGCTCACCATTGGTAAGATGTCTGCAATTTGTAACGTATGTTCTGCTCACGAAATGATGACTAGGCAATCACGAACTTTACGTGACCGAGATTGCCTATGAGCAGTAAGTTAATGCTCAGATCTCGCATTCACTGTTGGCGTTCCTGACATGTCTCTAGTTTCTACAACTTCAGTCGAGTTTGGGGTGACAAGTATCTCACTAGCAATGTCCAAATTATCAACCCCGCTACAGGAAACTTCGAGTATATTGGCAAGCAGTACCGCTACTTCACCACTGATCATGGTGAGTCTTGTGATTAGATGACATGGAACATGACTAATTTCGACTCAGGTCTTCGTATCATGGCTTTCGGTGTTCTTTACAATTTTGGCGGCAATTCCAATGTTTCAAAGGTCATCAAGGCAGCCGACATGGTCAAGCAACAATGGTTCATCGATGCTGTCAATTACACTGAGCCCATCGACTTGTTCCTTGTCATTGGTCACAACCCGATTCGTCGCACTGATTCGTCTAGCACGTTTGGTCTCCTGCATGATACCATCAGAGCTATGAGACCTACAGTACCAATCCAAGCATTTGGTGGTCACAGCCATATCAGAGACTTTCAAGTTTACGATGATATGAGTACTGGTCTCGAATCTGGTTAGCCCACATTCTCTGGTCTGCGACTGCTGGCTAACCATGTATAGGCCGATACTGCGAGACTCTTGGCTGGCTTTCAATGTCTGGAATCCAGTCGGATACTTACACTGGTCTGATGAATCCTCGTGGAGTCCCTAATCCCACCAGAAAAGCCACAAATACATCGACAACAGGTCTGGTCTATTCTCGCAGATATCTTGACTGGAATCGATTGACATTCGAGTATCACGCGACCAACTCCCAAGACAGTACGTTTGATTATCACAGCGGCCTTCGCGTAACGACTGATATCACCGATGCACGCAAGGCCTTGAATCTGAGCGCTCTTTACGGCTGTGCACCAGCAACATATTGTCAATCCTGCCAGCCTTTCCTCGCATCTAGCAATATTTTCAGCCTTGTTCAGACCGCTTTAGGAGCCATCGTAGTCAATGCATCTCGTGCCACAATTCCACGGTATGTCATTGTTAATACCGGCAGTATCCGTTTCAATCTTGTCAAAGGCCCCTTCACCTACGACGATTCCTTCATTGTCAGCCCCTTCACTGATGCCTTTCAATACATCCCAAATGTTCCATACGCTCTTGCCCAAAACGTTATCAACAGTCTGAACGGAGCAACGTTGAATGATAAGCGCGAATTCCCAGGTGTCATGCCTCAAGTCAAATATTCTTGCATAGACCCCACCATCTCGCTCATCTCAGGATATACCGGAGAGTTGAAGTCTCATGGTGTCACACGTCGCCAAACAATCGTGACTCCAGGGTATACTACAACAGACGATTTCGGTACAGATGGAGACGATACTCCTCACTCCAAGATTCCGTCCTATTCTCAACCAAACTACGTCGCAGGAAATGCTTCTTTCCCTACTGACGGGACTACACCAGCCACTGTCGACGTCGTCTTCTTAGACTATTTTGCCAGCACGGTCGTGAGTGTTCTCAATGGCCTAGGAGGAACTTATACGACAGCGGATGTTAGCTACTATTTGCCTCCCAGCTTCACGACGCAGACATACTTGCCATTGTATGCCCAGCAGTATTGGCAGGCGAATGTTCCGAATTGTCCTGTCGGGCAGGGTGTAGGTTATCCTAACGGCAAGTAGCTAGTTCTAGGATAGCCTCGACTCAACTTAGCTAATGAGCACAAATCGAACAACTATTGCTCTGAAAATGCAAGCATTTCTGATCAAGGTAGACTTTGGAATGAAATGTGATTTCCCAAAATACGAGCTTTCAAAGACTTAGTAATCTGCCAAGCTCGCTTGCCCGATCAACCCCCCTATCCGCATTTCACCAATCATCGTACTGCTCTTCAGCCCACCTTCTTTGTCGAGCAACCCCTCACCTCCAGCAACCAATCGTACGGAGTCAGAGCTTGATGCAATATCTGCCGAAAGGTCTCATTCGGGCACCATTTCTCGGCCCGCCTGCTGCATCCACGTAGACGCATATGCATGAATCCGAGATGGTGCAGCAACGTTCGATATGAGGAGACAGACCAGACCCACATATGACCTCTCGAAGCAAAGAAGATGTTTTCCTAATTCCCCGCTTATAGTTTCATGCGTTTTTTTGTTGGATTTCAGAGCGCTGAATATCGTGATGGAAACCACGTTCGTGTCTGTGCTTCAGCAGCACTCCGTCATCTCGGCAGGATGTTTTATTCTGCTATTCTATGTGGCTCGTACAATCTATAGTGTATACTTCGGACCTCTAGCAAAATTTCCCGGGTCAAAACTCGCTGCTGCTACGCTATGGTATGAGTTCTATTACGACGTAATCTTGATGGGCTGCTATACATTCAAGATCCAAGAATGGCATAAAGAATACGGTACCTAGACCCCTCGCCCACTGAGTCTGCCTTCCTAAATGTCCGTTCCAGGTCCAATAATCCGCATCAGCCCCTACGAACTCCACATCGACGAACCAGAATACTACGAAGAACTCTACTCCCACCACAAACCCCGCGACAAATACCCCTTCTACGTCAACCAATTCGAGCTCCCCGGCTCGACCTTCGGCACCGTCTCCCACCGTCTCCACCGCCGCCGCCGCGCAGCCCTCAACCCCTTCTTCTCCAAGCAACAGATCAACCGGCTCCAACCCATGCTCACGCACATGATCTCCAAGCTCTGCAGCCGCATCGACGAGTTCGAAGAGTCGGGACAGCCAATGGGGATGAGACCCGTGTACATGTGTCTCACGACCGATATCGTGACGCTGTATGCGTTGAATCAGAGCTGGGGGTATTTGGATAGTGAGGATTTTGCGCCGCTGTGGGTGGAGACTATTAAGGCGGTTACGGTGGCTGGGGCGGTGATTAAGCAGTTTCCGTGGGTTTTGCCGTTGATGAGGATCTTGCCGAGGGGGGTGGTGAGGGTGATGGATCCGGGGATGATTATGTTGCTTGAGTGGCAGGAGGTTTGTACGCTCCGGTTTGAGGAATGGTTGAGCTGAGCTGAGCTAAGATATTAGAAAATACAAGCAAATACGCAAGCAGTGATCGATGGGAGGTATAAGACGACGCAGGAAGGAACTGAGTTGGGACTCGATAAAACGATCTTTCATGCGCTGCTAGAGTCTGATCTCCCGCCGGAAGATAAGTTGCATTCGAGATTGTGGCAGGAAGGTCAGGTTGTTGTTGGGGCGGGAGCTGATACGACGGCTAATGCGCTTACGGTTACGCATTTTCATATCTTGGATAACCCTGATGTGCAGAAGAGGTTGAGGGACGAGCTTGTAGCGGCGTTGCCTGATAAGTCTGCGTCGGTGGAGTTGAGGGTTGTTGAGCAGTTGCCGTACTTGGTATCATTCTCTTATTTGTTGTTTGTATTGATGCTTGCTGAGGTCCAATCAGAATGCAGTAATCCAAGAAGGATTCCGATTATCATACGGAGTCAGTACGCGCTTGCAGCGAATCCATCCGAAGGAAAGCATGAGGTTTCAAGATTACGAGATTCCCGCTGGTGTAAGTCGTCTTTCTCTCCAAAGGAAACTCAAGTGACAGAAACCGGATGTAGACACCAGTAGGCATGACCTCAGTCCTCATGCACACCAACCCCACCATCTTCCCCGACCCGCACGTCTTCCGCCCCGAACGCTGGCTAGAGAAACGACCTGAGGGAGCACCGCCTCTGGATCGCTACCTTGTGAACTTTTCCAAGGGCTCGAGGCAGTGTGTTGGGATTAAGTAAGTTCTGACCCATGTCCAAGATGAACGGGAGAGAGTTGATGGAAAGCAGTTTGGCGAAAGCGGAGATGTATCTCACGCTTGCGACGGTGTTTCGACGGTATGAGGGGCAGAAGTTGTTTGAGACGACGAGGAGAGATGTGGATTTGAAGCATGATTTGTTTTTGCCGAGTGCGGAGTTGGATAGTAAGGGTGTGAGGGTGGTTTTTAGTTAGGTGAGAGGAAATGTGGAGGTGTTGATATTTTGGTTGTGGGGTTCACATTCTTGAATCAGCTGTATGCACGGAGGATTGTCGTTCATGCTTGTCCCTAACATTTGAGTATTCCGAAAACTGGGCACAAAGTAAGCAGCTGCACACAGTCGCTCTACCTTTTAAAGGTAATGATGATGCATTGCTCTCTAACGCATACTTTCAATTCGTGAACCTCCCCGTTTTGCCATGGGGACTTATCGCGTTGGCCATGTTTACTGTCACCGCTGCCCTCGGACAGCCGGTGTCATGAAAATAGTGAAAGATACTTGTGGAGTGAATACGATTTTGGCCCAGGATACGCCCTTAGGTCAGGAATTCCATGTGATTGTCTATCCAGCAAAGAATTGGGTCTTGGATGTCATTTGGGGAGCGCAGAGGTCGTACTGACAGCTAGAATCTTGGTAGATAGGAGAGCTCAGAATATCAAAACTAAGCTTTTACAGCGTCAATTTGGTCTGATAGAGAATGGTGGACTAGGAACGTAGTGGGAAGATCTGAGCTCAGTGACTGTATGAAGAATATTCTCGCTACAGACATGCAGGAAGGTTCCTGAGATTGAGTAGAATTTGGCTGGTCATGGCATATTTGTAGTGAGTGGAATTGAGAACTGTGTTTGTACGTAATTTGCAGAGCCCTGGCTCAGCTTACTTTTGTCAAAATAAACTAAGCTTAACTAGCTGCATAGCTGTACATCATTCATCGTGCTTACTTTGTCCAGGCTGACTTCCACATCTGGCAGAGCAGTCGGCATGTGAGCCACTCTAGCGCGCTTTCCTCTTAAAGTAGACATCCCAATTTCTCTCCATCCAACATCAACATCAGCATCAACATCAGCGTCAGCATCGAATCCTCACAATAATCATGTCTGATCCATCCTCCAACGCTCCTCAGCGTACCGACCTGGTGCTCCCCGACGTAGATGTAGCTCAGCTCAAGTCACTATTCCCCAAGAATATGTTTGATCAGATGCAAGCCGACTACCAGCGCGAGCTAGAACCGTCTCATGATAGGAACAGACTCATGCCTCTGTATACAGAGAGACAGCGGCGAATGCTGGAGGCGCTCAAGAAGGGAGGCATCGATGCTCTTGCGAAAACAATATACTTGTTCGCCGCCATCGACCATGCACGATTGTCTCCTCCAGATGACGCGACTACATCACTCAGAGAGGATCGTGGACGTGATAACATCGATAGACCAGGTTAGTATCTGTTAATAGCATACCAAATCAAATCTAACTCGTTGTAGGTGTTCTTGAGATGGCTCAGAAACTCATCGACGATGAAGAGGGAGATATGCAGCTGCTGAAGCTACTCCATACCTCACACAAGGACGTCTTGGAAGCCATTATCCTAGGTCATGTTGGCTTTAGATGGAAGAACAACCCTGAGTTTGCCAAGCTCTTCTATCCTTCAGACAATTTGCCGGGACAATATATCGTAACCTTCTTAGTCTTTGGACAGAATCGCAGCCTCACAAAGAAGGAATGAATTGACGTTCGAGATAATGCTCAGCGGTAAGTTAACATCTACGAGATGCTACTGGTGCATGACTAACAAGTTTAGATATCTCGCATACAAGATTCGTGGCCCAGTCCTCCCAGACTCAGCCGCAGGAGAAGTCCTCACAACCGCAATTGATATGGATATGGCCACCATTGACAGGATGAAAGATAGGGACGAGGTGGAAAAGAGGTGCAGAAGTGGTGAGAGGGTGCTCAGCTTTGCTCGAGTAGACAGATGGATCGATATGCTCAGTCATCGCATCGATGACGAATTAGATCCCGTTGGAGATGATCGTCAGGTTCAAGCTCCATTGTACGTGGGATGCAGTCAGCACATAGGTTCGCAACTTATGTCCCATGATCCGCTTTTGGGCATGGGCAGCTCAGCGGTCGGTCTGCGCTTTCTATTCAGCTGCATCATGGCAAGTGGTATAAAACTCGAAATTATCAGACTTCCGATTTGGAAGATTTGGGACTCAGCTCAGCTACCTATCAAAAAAATCGGTCTCACGTACCTCGCTGGATCCATGGTATTTGATGGTGGCATTAATAGCATTGCCCCAGGTGGAACGTACATGGACGATGACCCTTTGAAGTTTGAGTTGACAACTTATCAGATCTTTGGTCAGAACGACTGGACATATCAGAATCTGAAAGAATCTAAGGAGCGCAGAATTCGCATGCACGAAGCACTAGACCTCTTTGAAGAGACTAGAGCCAACCCTAATCTGATCAAAGATAATCTCGAGGATCTGTCGAAGGAGTTCAACCAATTTATCAACTACTGCGAAACCGTCAAGTTCGGACTCAGCAGTAATGAACAAGCTATGAGGAGACGGCTCAAGGAAATGGAGGAGGAACGAGATGAGCTCTTGGAAACTCTAGCAGATCAGCAACTTCAGCTCAAGTTCCATAAGGGGTTTAATGATACGCTTCGTGAGAACGGTTTTGGAGACCTAGTATGATCCCACTCAGTTCATACCGCTCTTTCTTTGCTCAGTGCTGTTGCTACACTGCTCAGTGGGTTCAAGATGTACATAGCTACTTAGCAGTAATTGAAGCTGTCTAATTCACAGACTCGGTTCTCCATTGTGCTGTTCTCACCGGCGGCTTATTCAAAAATCTCGTCTGAATAACAGCCCCTATGTAGTTGAGTTTCTAACCGAAACGTGGGGCCGTAGGTAGGTAGCTAAATCATGTGGGGCATGTGGGGAATCACTCGGCTATAGCCGTGTAATCAAGGATCTAAAGGTCTGCTCGCTAAGTTAATAGGGGGGCGGATATGTGCTGGACAAGTCCAAGACATGTAGATGCACGCAATATCACTGCTGTCAAACGGTTATGCTTAGTTGGAAGGTATGCAATCTGAGGTGAAGATTGAGTCTGACTGTATTTCAAGTCCTTAATCTTTGTTGCTTGCGAGCTTCCTTAATTTTCTCAACGAATCCCAACAAGTCCTCGTACAACAAAGTCTCCACTGCTGAGCCACCTAATTTACCTATGATATTTACAATATTAACAAATATCCATCTGAGCAGCTGAAAGACCTTAAGGTTATAGAACGCCCATGCAACTCGGCATCGTCGAGTATCATTTCTCGAATCGTGGTAAGTGGTAGATGGCGGCGGTGGACTGAGCAGTGACGGATCCCAGCTATTCTGCGTATAATAAGCTTGAGGGCTAGCTTGCTCTTTCCTCCGTTGGGAGACCGGTCTGCGAGTTTCGAAAATCCATCGTCCTTTTCCAATGCCACCCTGAGCGAGGCCGATGCTATGCGTAGCTGATCGATTACGGCAGACCACTGACTGAGTTCTACGCGCGGTGCACAGTCGATACCAAGTTCTCTGAGCTGTTCTGGGTTTTGCTGAGACGCAAAGTCGAAAAAACATCCCTCCAACACGTCTTGAAGTAAACTAAAGAGATTGTGTTGTATCTTGAAAGGTAGCCGGGTGCCAGTATCGTCGCTATAGCTGAAGAGGTAACCTGTTGATCGGATTTCTGGGAAATGTCAGTGGCCGTGTTGATTACTGTGTGTCAAATACATGCCTCTTGGTGTGGTCTTGGTGTGGTCTTGGTGTGGACTTAACACCCAGTATCTGAGCAGCACTGGTCCAGGAGGATCCGGGGTCTTGCGGCGGTGGCAACAATGGAGGTGGGACGGGAAGGTTAGCACCGGGTGGACTGAATGCTTGCGGAAACTTTGCAATGTACTCGCGAGACAAAATCGCCGCGGTGGTGACATCTGAGCAATACTTTCTGAGCGACGATTCTGCACTGAGATGACCATTGACGCATAGCTTGCAGAGTGCTTGGACGATGCGAAGCTTACGCATGAGAGGAAGGCGATGCGCACGACTGCTGTGATGCTCTGCGACGATTGCGACGAATACCTGAGGATCCATTTGACTTTTCTCAAGCGGAGGGAGAACATCGTGATATGCCATGAAGACCGCCAAGCGCTCGAAATGTGTGCCTGAGTATTCATGAAGGAGTGGCGCTCCTTTGACGTCTGTTTTTAGAGACATGCTGAGTTTGTCTGTTGTTGGTTGTTGAGAAGGAAGTGTTTTCCCCTCTCGAATCGTGGTGGTTCTTTGTTTACTAATGCCCCAGGCAGATTTCGTCATGAAGGTGACAAAAACCACAACCCTTCGAGATCATCTAAGCCATCCTAACATCTTCACGCTCATACCGAAGGAATTTAGATTGCTGGCTGAGAACCATCCACAGCCCCAGTTTCAAAATAGTGTGTACTCATCTCATTAATCTATAGAGGCTCCTATTGAGGCTCAGCTGAGAATCTCATATTATGGCACGTAGTGCATCCTCCATGTGTAGTGATATACTGAACAGGTTCTATTCTCAGCATTTCCCCTAGGCCTCACGTCTTCGCAGCGAGTCTTCTAGAGCTGACCAAGCTTAGGGCTGCTGAGTCCCAGCACCATACAATGAGGTCGATCATTCTGTCTATCTCCTCTAATAACCCACCCTCAACTGCGATGCCAGGAGACACTCATCTCCGGACCCCACCCCTCACCCGAACTCCACTACCTCGTCAAGCCTCGCTTCCTCCCTTCTTCAACTTGGTCTTTGCGTGAACACGGGATATGCCAGAATGCAGAGGTAGCGGTTTGGATGCAAATGAAGGAGAACTCAATTTTTGTATATTCGGGGAGACAATGATTGCAGAAACATAAAGATCCAAGAACAAAGCTCGGCAGAACAAAGACAAGGCATGGCAAAGGAATGAGCAGAATTGTCAACGCAGCTTTGGGCTAAGGAGAGCAGAGAACGTGGTGGATAGCTTCGGGGGTGCAGCAGCCTATTCCTACCAGTGAATGGAAGATCAGCTTTGTAGTACGTCCAGAAGAAATAGTAGCAACTTGGCCGGAGGGCAAGAAGTAGAATAGCAGTCACTTTCTCTCAATTTTAATGCGTCAATTCGAACTTGTCACTCGAAAGGTAGTCCTAGGTAATTCCATGTTAGTCACTATACCGTGTTTAGAAGTTTTCTGCATCAAATGGATCACACCTTATCAACTCTTATCAAACTATAGCTTAGAGTTTGTTCCTGCCGTTTACTTAATGTGCACAGTGACCAAATTAGGAAAGGCTGCCCGGAGTTAGCGAGGCATTCTAGCACAAGGTTTACCTTCCCCAAATAGCTATCTCGGCACCCGACATCCAGAACCATAACCTGCAGCAGTGAACAGTCACTACAACTCCCACAACGCATACTGTCTCAATCTCCAACCATGCCCCAACTCAATCGAAGATTGGTCGAACGAGAACATCACTCAAGCAAAGAGAATCGTCGAAGGGGCTATCTCATATTACCATAGGATAAACAAGCTGGAACCCAGAGAGCCAGAGCAGATGGCACACGTATGGCTAGACAATATCGAGGTCCTAATCGATGCTATCCAGATGGTCGAAGCCGAGAAGGAAACCATCGAGAAGTACAAGCAAGAACACGCTACAAGCATGAAACAACTGGGCGTCAGGATGAAACTTATCAAAGCCTCTGCAGAGGTTTTTGATCAGTTGGAGCCCAATATGTTTGAAGATTGGCAAGACTTGGCTTTTCGAGTAGGTAACTTCTGTGTGTATACATCTGCAAGCTGACATGAGATTCAGATGAACGGTTTTGTCAATACTTTCAACGATATTATCGTCAAGAACTCCTCGGATCGGATGGCATTCCATGCTCGCAATCAGATGGCAGACATCGAACTAGAGGTGTTGAGACGGGGACACCTACTGAAGAAGAATAAGCTTGATCTAGATCGCATGCACGCCGCCGAGGCAGAAGCTGAAGCATTGAGCGAGGAGAACAAGAACCTGCGGAAGAGCACGTTCAACGAGGCGATCCGAGAGGGAGCAGCTCGCATGCGTACGCAGCGAGATCTCCGTCTTCACAAATCACAAGGGGTTTAGGGCAGAGATTTTGGCTTTAAAGGTTTAGGGTGGGGACCTAGGCCCCAAAGGTTGCGCAAAATGTTGAATTGCCGAAATGTATGAATATTGAGATACAAGATTACTTCAGTTTCTATGTAACTTTATACTAAAATCCAAGTACTTAGAAAAGCCTTGATTCAACCCATCTTATCCGCCTTCCAGGGCTAGAAGCATCTTCCACTAAGGCTGCGATTGACCCCCCTAAGCCTCCCACCCCTCCCGCTCTCCCATAGCGACATGGTGAATATTATCGATGAAACAATTGAAGATGCTTCAATTGATATCATTACTTGGGATCTTGCTGATGATCTGTGGAGCTTTCTGTTGCTTGAAGGTTCTGGCGGTTTGTGAATTGAGGGAGTGGATGTTGAATGCACATAAAGGGGGGCACAATGCTTCACAACCCGAGGTCGAGAAGAAAATGCTTTGAGATGCCCTAGCTGGATTGGAGACCAAAATCATTTGAAGTTGTCAACAAGGGAAGACACGTGATACTTATTTGAAAGGACTTCAACACATTGATCAGATACTAAAAGCGTTGCCAACTCATAAGATTCGGCTCCTTTTCTGTGTACACAACACGAGATATTATGCTTTCTTCAACTCCCCAAGCACTCCTTTAGCCCATTCCTCGTGACTCGTGGGCTTTCTCCCAATCAGCCACTCCAAAACATTCGGATTACCTTGCAATCCATGCCGATTGTAATACAGCAATAACCTCTCCAAACCATCCACCATTGCCGGATCTGCACCGTCTATCTTTCCGCCAAAGACTCTTGCCCCGAACATCGAAACAGAGGTTCCATACGGCTTTTGCTCTGCTTTAATTTCCCTTCCAAGCACGTCTCCAACTTTCTTGAGAACCTCATTATAGCTAAGAGGCTTTGTAGACACAATGTCGTACTTTGCGCGAAAGTGCTTTTCTTGCCCCTTGATCACGGTAAACGCAGCTTCTGCAAAATCTTGTAGCGAAAGGAAGGAGAATTTAATGTCAGGATTCCACATCGCTGGAAACACCAGAGCTCCTTCTCTGTTTTCTTCCATCTGTTTCAAGAACATGGGTATTGGAAGCACATCCATGAAATGAGTTGGACATAGAATCGTATACGGTAGCTCAGACTCCATCAGGTACTCTTCGACGTAGCGTTTGCAGTCATGGTTCATCAGCTTCCTCAATTGAGAATTGAGGACTGAGGAGTATATAAAGTGTTTGACTGATGGGGTGGATTTGGCTGCATCGATCATGTTGCATCCGATGGCTGTCTCGTGAGGATGGAGGGAGGGGCCGATGTGATATACGATGTTTGCGTCCTTGATAATTTCCTGGCATACTGATGGGTTTGTGAGCTCTGCCGTGCGAACATCAGCTTCTGGATATGACTTCTGGAGACGTTGTTGTGAGCTTGTAGAGTGCACTACTAAGCGAAGACGGTATGGATTCTTGGCAAGGAAGTAGATTAGTGGTGTGGCTTGCTTTCCTGAAGCGCAAGATATGACGACTATCTCTTTCGAAGACATCTTGTTGTGCTTTGTCTCTGCGATGAAGAGCGACTGTCGAACAATTGTGGGATGATATAGGGTTATTGGGCGTGGCACAGCGGAGAGTCGCATGAAGCTGACATCATACCCTATTGGTTAAGAACCCGAACTCTTATCCCCATGGACTTAAAACATGGAGTTAAGCCACTTAGCGATAGACTATGGAAATTCCTTTACGTTCCAATCTGCATAGCTGATACTCCTTTGAGTCTGAAAACGCAGGTAGAGGTTCTTCACGTGACCGCGAGCCGGAAGTTGCACTGGATTGTTTCAAGTTCATGGTGCTTCAACTTGTGGAGTTTCTGATGTAAGATCCTAGACAGAGTTGTGTTCCTAGCCAGTAATAGCTGGTAAGGGATGTCTAAAAGCTGCAGTATTGATTAGTAATCGAAAGTTGAGATCATCGCTTACGTACATTCGTTGCGAGAAGTCAATTGGTCGGATGTGATCCAACACCGATGACCAACACCGAGTCCGAGAATGTCGGCTTAACAACCCTTTCCCTTCCATTATGCCTCCTTAGACAGAAGCGACAAAGCCGACACAGTCGCTTTCCGAGCTGCCAGGCCCAGTTTACCCTACCATTGCTTTCTTCGCTATTGACGGGGCCATGGCTTCAAACGGACTTGGAGGTGTTCTTCCTCGACGTCGGAATGGCAGGCAACAAGGTGAGCTCACGCCCAAACCGTTAGTTGTATCGGGATTAAGACTTACTTGGACCCTTGCTTGCGAGCCTTGCCGTAAGTCGAAGGTTTCTTGCGATCATGCGCTACCTATCTGCGGGAGATGTCGAAAGAAGGTCACCGCAGGGTGCGTCTATCTGACAGCACCTATGACAAAGCAGGTCCCAGACACCAGAACTCTCTCCGAGCCTCTCATGGGCAACCCCCTGCCGCCTCCTACCGATACAAATACGTCTCCTGTTACGTCCAGTGTGTACAGAGACAGTTGCCCAAAGCCGAATCCTGAGTCAGGCCCATTTGTTAAGTCAGGAGGCTTCTTCGGTAGGTTGTCTGGACTCTGAATTTTACTTTAGTACACATCACGTTCAACATCGCGTTCCTCTTTTTGTTAGTCAGTTATGCTGTCCTCAATAATATGTCTGTTTATCTTGTCAATATTTTCTCAAGGGTGGGATATCCAACTGAATGCACCCAGGTCCCACAAACTTCTCGGCTGTCTTTCAGGAGCATAGCTCAAACCTTGGCGACGAAGACATACAAATCACAGCAGAATCGGAGGCATTTGGGGCTTCATATGAGAGCATCCAGTCCCAAACTTTCCTGATGCTGCCAGGAAATGAGCTACGGGGGTCTCCAAGAGTCGCTCTGGGCACCAAAGTGCTCGGTGCACTTCCCGATCAGCAAACCTGCAGGTTTCTTCTGAGCTGGTACCAAGAGAAGTGCCGTGGATATTGTTCACCCAAAGAGTCCCATGTCGCCTTGGCCAACTCTCTATGGATAACGTACACACGACAGCTCGCAGAACCACGACGTCTAGAGAGTCTCGAAGAGTTGTCATCGATTTTGTGCAAGAACGGCGAGTCAGGACTTGAAGAGTTTGAGGACTGGGATGGATGGTTTATATCATGTAGTGGCGCTAATTTGCGATGGGAGACCCTTGGTGGCGTCTTCGGTGCTCTCACGAGCGCGGTCTTGTCGTTGCCAGAACGTGATCCTTTCTTTTCTACACAGCTGGGTAAGAGGCGAAATAGGAAGGAATTTTCGATTGAGCTTAAGGACTGCGTGCAAACTTGCGTTACGTTGTCAAGTTATACGGATCTCATGAATGTTCCTATGGTTGAGTTGTTACTAACGAACTTGAGGCTTCAGACTGTGATTAGTGGGGACATCAGTAAGACTACACACACTCTAGTACCGTGCGGCACTTTTGACAAAATCTAGGCCTGGTGGTTTGGAGACAACTTGGAGACCTGGTGAGTGCCGTGACGGCTCTGGGACTTCATCGCCTCTCGCCTGGTGGGCCCATTACCTTCCTCTCTGAGATAAAGAAGCGTATATTCAACAGGACCTTTTATTTCAGTATGAGTAATTCTTTGCTCACGGGTAGACCGCCGCATTTAAGCCACCGCTTTTGTCACATCGAGCTTGCTCTTGATGTTAGTGATGAGGTGCTCATGAAAGGTGAGCAGGAGCTTCAGACGGCTATTGCCGCACTTGACTCCAATGGGTGGAATAGAGAGGGCAATATGTCTGGGAACTCTAGTACCCGGACCTTACGTTACTTGCGCCAATATTGAATGAGATTCTTGAACTGTTTCATGGAAGTCCTCAAGCTATTACAAGCGACGTTGTCAAGTAATAACTCCCTTCCATCGTGCTCTCTTGAGATGTTAACATCATAGCAGAGACTTGATGGCCAGAATTGAGCAAACTTACGACTCATTTCCTGATTACCTCAAATTCAAACTAGCAGATGTCTCGAACCCAGAGATTCCCGACCGTAAATTATGGACGCGTCTCACTCTCCGCCTCATGATGCTCGAGCACCGGTTGCTCATTGAACGTCTTGCATTCAAGCAGAATATCTTAGACGGACAATCTATGGTCGACTGCGCACGAGAAATGCTGGATCTTTCAGTCTTGATCTGGGTACAGCGTGACCGATTCATCGAACATCACCACAATTATGACTGGATGTTGATGTGCCGGGGCATTCCTGCCAGCGGCGTCCTCTGCGTCGAGTTGCTGAAGCAAACAAAACAGCCACAAGGCACTCGGATGCTCCACATACCGCGCTCAGAAGTGGTCCAAAATCTCTCCCTCCTCATCGGTTTCCTAGAATGGGTCAAACCTTCTGCTGGCAACTACCAGCTCTGTGCGAGGATAAAACACATTATTAAGAAGATTCTCGACCAAATCCTGAATCCAAATCAGCCTAGCTCTGCTCCTCCTGCGAGCCAGCAGCTGGCTACTGAATGGAATGGCTTTGATGATAGCATGCCGTATGATCCAATGGTAGATGTGGGATTTGATAATGGGATAGATGATTTGGACTGGCTGAATACAGTGGATTGGTCGAGGGGTCCTTGGGTGGATTTGCAAGACTTTTCGGGTACGATGTGGGATTGAAGAGCTGTGGGAGGAAAGGCTATTCCAGTCCAGAGCTCTCCAAAGTTGAGCAATGGGATATCAGCTATCAAATAGGAGCTCTGACATCCCGAAATGATTGTCTTGTTTTTAGTGAGAATCACCCATGAGGACTTTACACTGTCCATATTGAATATCAAGAGCACATAGTTCGCCATCATGCAACATAGTATGGATTATGAGTCCCTTTAGATAGTAAAATCGATTCTCTCAGCCAATTCTTCTTACATGTAAGCTGTTCGGGAGCGTGCTCCTCATTCGAGCGAACCTCAGAAAGGTCGGAAGTGAAAGAACACCAATGCAGGATAAGGAGATGCGCATACGCTGATGAGCGGCGGGCTTGACTTTGTCGCAGGTGTTGATAAGATTGATCGTACCCTGAATGTCGATCTCGGGCGTGCGTACGGCAGGCGCTTGAAAATGACAGGGGGTACGGACTTGTACTCCGAACTGAACTCCGACATGTAGTATAACTTCACACGCTCCAGAACATCAACAATGAATCTCAAAACACAATCCCAATTCATCTCGTTCACAGACTACAATATTCAACGAATTGTCTCGTCGTTGCAGCCCACTTTAGTAATCGCCCACAAGCTATACTTCGAAAGTCTTTACCAATCATGCATCTCGGCTATAATGTGGAGCCAGAATCCTTCTCCCAATACGAATGTGGAGGCGAGCAGGTACTCAGTCCTGTTGACTTGGACCTTTATCAGGTATGTTAAATCTACTCAAATGTCCATATACGAGACAATCAAAAGACTAACGATGATGTAAAGGAGATCCAGCAACCAACAATGATTAATTGGGAGACACCAGTAAAACATATGATGTTCGACGAGTGCTGGTTATGGCCAGATACTCCAGTATCTGTTTCTAGCTGTGATAGCTCATCACCTCGTGTATGCTGTGATTTCTTCACCTCATTCTAGCTCACGCAATTGAGAAAGAAGCTGTGTGCTAATTTAGAGCAGGACAACCAGCAACCTATGGCGATCTGGGAAGAATCGGCAAGAGCAGCCACTATTAGCAGACATGGGAGAGACTTACACCAAGACCCAATCTTGTTTCCATGGGAAGACTTGTTGCTCGACTTTGAGACAACTTCGAGTTCTCGACGGCCTGGAGGACGTCAAAGCGAGGTACGAGTCTCCAAATGTTGAAACAAAGCTTCATTGACCATTGCATACTTATTCATTGCAGAGACGAAAGCAACAGAACCGGGCCTCACAGCGCGCTTTTCGCGAGAGGCAGCGGACGCACGTTCAAGATCTTGAGGATCGACTTGCAGATCTTACAAAGCGGCATCGGGAACTTGAGCGAGCACACCAGCACCTCAACCAAAAATACCAAAGTCTTGCGAAAAGGTTCGAGAGCAACGAAGAGGTGGTAGATTCAGAGGTGTCGTTGTAGCTTATGATGCACTGAATTACATCAAGACCTAGTGGTCAGGTCAATGTTTTGTGCGTAGACTGGGGAACAAGGTAATGGAGTTAAGCGTCAAGTTCCTGGATTTTGGTTGAGATTCAATGGCTTTCTCGGTGATTTTGGAACGGCTGTCGTCGACACTTTGACTACAAACCATTCTGATGAAGAACTCCAGAAGTTTCAGTCTTTGAAGAATGCCTCTTTGATAAATGGTGAAGAACTGATCTGCATATACGTGATTTGGCTTTCAGGTTCGGAGTGGAAGAAGTGGCTCCCAACCAAATCATGACCTCACCACTGTCATGAAGCAGAGAGCGGCAGCAGTCGAAGTGAAGCAAGATCCACGTTTAGTTTTAAGGCATAGGTTCTAGCAGCACTAACAAATGCGACTAGCACTGCATCGAGAAGCAAGGCTACCGTTGAACAATCTTAACAACAGACCTGCCGGTACGTGCCAGTAAGAAAATGAAGTTGAGTTCGCAGACAGACGGGATCCATGAAGTAAAGTTATGAACTCAAGGCTGACAAGGGGCATAGATGCGTGCATTTAGAAGTAAACGGCATGAAGTTGCTAACACGATAAAATTGTTCGGCCTAAGCGACTGTACATTGCTCTCCAAAAATGTCCCAAACCTGCTCCGATAAGTTAGGTAGTCCGGAGGAAGGCTCTTGTTCTTATAGGTAAGCTTACACTTGTTGCATAACCCTCAATCTTTTTAGGCTGTTGGTCGTTAACCTTTGGCATTTGACTAAGAAGCCAGAAGCGCATATCGTACTGGCCCAGGCTCTGAAGCCCTGGACGCGCATTTAGACTTTCTCGGAGGTTATAGAAGACACGTGAAATCACCTTCATGCTTCAGCTTGCCTCTCTTCGCTTCACTTTCGTGTCAGCGCGACACCTTTCAAACGCAAACGCAATCTCTGCTATCACGTTTCGCAACAGAATTCTCACACACTGAATAGTCACTTGCGTTGTTACCTTTCTTATCCAAAAGAATAATTCGTCTTTCCACGAACTTTTCTTCACTCGACAACTACTCCTCAAGAACCCAATCGCTTTGCTCCCCACCGCAAATCGATTCGCTTTCTTGGCCGCTTCTACTACCTATTTGTCTCTGCGCTTATGATCGAACGATCTCTCCAGTCTATCGAGAGTTGAAGCGGCTGGCACATGCGCAGCCAAATCCAAAGCGAGCCAATGATAATGATATGGGAGGATTGCTCAGGGACCTGCCAGACAGCGACCTTGGTTCTGGGGCCGAAGGAGATGGGATACACCCCAAGGGATGGCCCCGAAGCTACACTCAGGATGAATTGATCCTGTTGACCTTCTTCGAGCACCAGGAACCTCGGCTTGACGGCAACGCGACTTCAGAGATCTCGACACACGGCATCAGATGGGATGGGGACAATGACTCACCGGTCCTGAACTCCAACGACCAGTGGCTCCCAGTTGGTGTCCGCACATCAGACGAATACTTGGCTGCAGCATGGTTTTACCTCTCATAAGCCCAGCCTACAATGTACCATATGTTCCCAATGGACATCAACCCGGGATATGTTGATCGATGCCTGCCATTAAAGTAAAGCGAGAATTCTCTCGCTTCTTATGACGGCATAAGAGCATGGCAGGGTGAGGAATGCGGCAAGTTCATCACGCAGCAACAACTTTCTAGATGGGGGCAGGAAGAATGCAACGCAATCTTGGCTGAGCTGCAATTGAGACATATTCGGAGAAATCTTCCTGCCTTTTCTTACTTCATTGGCAATCTCATTGTCTGTTGAGAGTTTAACAGCTTTGTCTGTTTGGCAACTAAGATCAAAGTCAAAGCACATCATGCGAGTCGGACACCAATTAGCCCCTTTTGTAGACCTGATGTGGACAGAATCGGGAAACATTCAGTAACATGCTACAGAATACAAGACTACTGCATCCTCTGGCCTACCATGATAAAGTCTCCTGAAGCGAACAACGCCAGAAGCCAAATTAACTTGTCTTCCCTCCTGGTGCCATTCTAATTCAAAATCCGTCCCTAAGCCATCAAGGAACGTAAAGCTGCTGAACCACAAACTCCGCTGCCGTCAGAGCATCCTGCGCATAATCCATATGGGCACCCAGCACCAGATCACCATGCGCACATATATCATCCCCAGTATGACAAAGCACCAACGTCTTGTAAGTTGGCACGCCTTGCACAGCGGAGCCGTAGTCTAGGTTGGAATTAGCACGTGGTCGAGGAGTGAAGGAAGTGAAACGCACATGGATCACCAAAGAGGACTGCAGAATCGACTTTTGCCATTGTAGCAGCAGGTAGTAGAGTCGCAGCTTTATGCACGACTTGGCTACCTTGTGAATAGCCCGAGATGCATAGCTTGGTACTTGGACAAGCAGTTAAGACTGCTGAAATGAGTGTAGCCCTACGACAGTCAGTCATGGTCTTCCCCTCGAAAGAGGTATCTCACATCAGCTCTGATCCAGGAATATCTCCACCCTCAAAAAACCCTGCAGTATCCGCAGCATAATCTACACCCTGAACAGCAACATTGTTCGTCCCAATAAGTGCTCTCAAGGTGTCAAAGAATGGTGGGCCGGCAAGAAATCCAACGTTCCCTGATTCTGCCGTTCCACGTGCGTATATGATCGTCACAGGCGCACATACTCCTGTGTACATCCCATTCTCATAATTTCCATAGTTTCCAAGTGTAGTCGGATCGGTAGCCAGTTGATGTTCAAAACTCCCGACGTTCTTGAATGTCTCGTTTGCGCTTGTGCCAATCGGAATACTTCTGGCTGTATTTAATAGAATTTCAGCAAGAGCGGTAGCAGCTGTTGTGTTCAAGGGAGCCGGTATGATAGTGGAAGAATTTAGAGCTTGTGGTGCTGGACGTGCAATTGCCAGCGTATACAAAGCAGTGACGATCATTAACGAATACATATCTATCAAGTGAGTATCAATGACGCAGCGCATAAGCCAACGAAGATCAATGTCGTAACCAACGAGGGCAAGTAATCATTATATGAAAAACTAGAATGAAACCCAGATGTCTATGTATCAGCTTACTACAATTAAGGCAGTTCGCAAGTTTTCGTCGGTATATGAAAGTGGAACCAGACTCCTGATTCTTGATTCTTTCGAGGTCATGCTTCATAAACATTTCACGAGCATCGAAGCTTTCCAGTGGCAGTTGAGCAATTCGGCGCATTGAAACAATCAGCTGGCTAAACAAGTAACGAATAGGAAGCAGTCCAACTCCTCGTGGTATGATGTTTCAAGCTCTCAGCGTATCTGCTCCAGATACTGCACAAGGATATGCGTGTTCGTACGAATGTCGTAGTTGACAACAAATCACAACAATGACACCACGCTTCCAGTGTTTGCCATATACGATGTTCGTGACGCATTGATTAAAGAGAGTGGATCTTTAGCAGGCTTTTCAGGTATAAGCTCGCCAAGCAGGTAGTTCTCGACCTGAAACAACCCGATTCAATATACTGATATTGGTTTGCAAGACTCGATTCGTAATGCACGTGACTGGCTAAATCGAAAGAGTCTTGGGGGTTTGTTTCAGGTCCTATTTCGCCCAACAACCCGGTGATATTAATTTGGATAAATCAGAAGCTGCTCTCCCAAGAGCAACCAACGAGAAATGCTGATCAGGGTTGAAAGACATCGAGAGATATTTCCACGTGGTGACTGCCCAGTGACACTCTCGAGAGTCAAGGCACCTCAGAGCAATAGTGCCAGCGTGATTGAGAGCCGATGAGATGTTTGCACGCATAAATGAGAGGGAAGGTTTTCGAATTGGGACCGGTTTCAGATGTACCTCGGTACCTATATTAGCACCGTCATGTGATGATGCGCAGATCAACCAAACATTACAGCTTCTCAAAATTCGAGTTCTCAAGCCGGTGCCCATGAGCTTCGGGGGTCACCTTGAGACGAGTGATTTAGTAAGCCATCCTCTCTTCTCCTTCACAATCAAATTTTATTATATTTTACATTTTCGTATAATTATCGGTAAAATCACGTGGGGCCCTTCTCCGTTTATAGCCTTTAAAATGCTTACCTAATGAGTGCGCGTGGCGCTAAGCTTAAAACTGTGTTTCCCGGGTCGGAACAATACATTAATCCGATGAAAATATAGTTTTGGGCTTAGCGCCAACTGCTGCTGCCTAAGGCTGCAGCCTGTAAAAGTCTCCATAGCTCGACCAGCTTTAAAACTAGCTTTAAAACAACGCGGCTCCGATTGCAAAGCTTAAAAATCACTATAATATAAAGACAATTAAGCTTTATCGATGCATATAATTTGCAGCTTTGTGCGACTGATAGAACTGCTGATTTTGTCGTCCAAAAGCATTGAATGTGGTGGTGCAAAGTCTAATCGCCTAAGGCACCCAAATTTTGCCTCGCCCCGACGTTCAAAAGCGAGAATTCACGAATAAGCCAATAATCGCTCGAGTTGCACAGGATTGATTAATTTAATAAAAAGAATTAAATTAATAAATAAATATTGTCACGGTTCTGGAGTCACGTGCTCGCTAAGTACTCACGTGACCGCTCACCTGTATATATGCTCTGCCTTCCGGCGCTTCTTTCCTTCCTTTCCTCTTTACCTTTAGATTCTAAGAGATAGCCTAATCGATTCCTCGTCTACGTACTTGAGTCCAACCGTGCTGTCACAAATATTATATATATATATTTTTGAATTATTATAAAGAATAAACATTTATTAACGCGTAATTGAGTAGTTAATGTGACGGCACGTACGAGAAAGCACAATGAAGGCGTCGTAGACTGCTCTATTCGAAGATACTAAGCTAAAGAAAGGAGAAGAGAGTCTCCCGGAGGGAGACGAAGGCTATTTATACATGATACGGGCACTGGTGGACCTATTCCACGTGCGTAGCATGTGACGAGTGGTTCAATGTTACGACTACGTGCACGTGAGCTCGCTGAGTCATCTCGGTGAGCTCTGGGTCACGTGGAGGAGCACTGAGGAGCGGACGGGGCTCCTAGGAACTCCTGCGCTCCGTCTCGGCCCACCACTGAGGGCAGTATATATAACTGGCACTTCTGCCATAGATAGGAGCTTCGTGCTCAACTTGATTAAGTTTTCCTAACTACAATATCATTGCCCTATCTCACTTCATTCACCATACCAACCCACGTGACCTTACCAGGGTAAGGAGAGAGTTGTGACATTCAACTCGTCACAGTTAAGCAAGCTGCGCTAATTATTCAGCTTTTATTATTAGTCTTGTTACTGTCACGGGTTAGATGCAATGAGTCAAAGCAAGAACCTGATTGTATTACAAGAAGAATTAACTAAAGAGAGAAGAGTTCTATTTTGTACGAGGAGCTCTTTTAAAAGGGGCTCTCGCTGGTTCGTAGAATGGCCCGCGCGCTTTGGCGTCGCGCAGTCATGTGCAGGCCCGCGTAGTCACGTGCAGGCTGCACTACGTAGTAGTGCAGCCAAATATCGGGTTCAACCCGTCACAGTTACGGATCACCTGAATCACTTGGTTGAGGATCACGTGATTACCTGGGTATGTGTTTTTAGCGCCAATTCCCTGGGGACGAATCAGGCTTAGAGCTTAAGCATGTTTCACTCTGGCGTATATAAGCTCTGGCTCTCCCACTCCCTTCTTCTTTCTTTACCTTTAGATTCTAATAGATAGCCAATCGAATCTTCGTCTACGTACTGAGCTCTCTACCGTCCTGTCACAAGTCTCGCATTTTACAGTTTCCTTATTCTCATTGTTCGTTCACATAATCTATTTCGAGATCTTCCCAGAACGGCGCTACCATGGCGACCAACGATGAAACCACTCGCATCCGATCCCAGATCGAGGCCCAGGAGTCACTCATCTCTAGCATATGCCGGATTGGAGGAGCCCCAAGCCTCTCTCTCGGAGTGATTCATGGCGGCAAGGAGATATATTCCAACCACTTCGGACATCGCGATATCCAAGCTGGCGAAGCGAGCGACGGCAATACGACCTATTTCGTCGGATCCATAACCAAAGCAATGGTATCAGCCTTGACGGGTATATACGTCGAGAAAGCCTTGTTAGATTGGACGACGCCGGTCTCTCACATTCTCCCAGAGCTTGTCGGGAAAATGGATGGCAGAGGGTCCGTTATGACACTGTCTGACCTGCTTTCTCACTGAGTTGGTATGTCGCGCAACGATGCACTCTGGCTGCAATCCACGGGGAACATTCTCCTCTCGAAATCAAGGGGTATTGATACTTGGTCTGCTCAACCCCTCGTGCGGGATTTCCGGACGGATTACTTGTACAACAACTTTGGATACGAGATCACCTGTCGAGTAATTGAGAAAGTGACTGGCAAGACCCTTGGCACGAATCTCAAGGAGCAGATCTATGAGCCCCTCGGCATGAGTCGCACATCTCTCAATGAGGCATTTCCAAGCGATTCAAACTTCGCCAAAGCATACTTCGCCTTAGATGACGGTTCTCCTTTCGAATTTCCAATTCCGACTATCTCAGACAAGACTTTCATGTCAGGTGCCGGCTCGGTACGCAGTTGCACGAATGACATGATGCTTTTCTACAAGAACTTCATGCACGCTACAAATGATCAGTTCGCAAAGAAGAGTACAAACACGGTTTGCTCCCCGTTCAAGCAGTTGCTTAACATTCTTCGACCGCACAACCAACTTACCACCCATCTCCCTCCGCGAGCAATCCTGCGCCTTGGGCTGGGCCCGCGCAGAGCTTCCAGGCACGCTTGGTGTCTTCAACTACAACAAGTATCTTGTGCCAGCCATGCCGGTCATAGGCCAAGCGGCGGCGTCTAGACTGGTGGTTTATCATGGTGGGAGCATGCAAGGTTTCACATCAGCGGTGTACCTCCTCCCAGAGACTGAGACTGCTATATTCGCCTTGCAGAATTTGACTGGGCTATGCGATCCTTGTGACTGGATGCCACAACTTCTGATCGAGACGATTTTCGGAGCCCCAAATATCAGAGTCGATTTTGAGCATCTTGCTAAAATCGCCGCTAAAACGGGTGCAGGCCTCGCAGACCGGATACAGAGTCAGTTAGAGCAAGCACGTGAGCCGGGTACCAAGCCCCGAGACCTTGTCACTTACGTTGGAAAATATTGGAATAGTCAAGAGTTTTTACATCAGTGTCTTTATTCAAGAGGATGGCGGTCTGTACATGTGCTTTCAAGATGTACAGAACGAGACCTACAGACTGCGGCACTATCATTATGATGTCTTTATATGGAACGAATCCCATAATGAAACAGCGAAGCGCGGGAGGTTCCAAACCCGTCCGGTTGTATCCTACGAAATCGGTTTCGAGTCGGCCGGTCAGACAGAGGATGGTAGGATTGATCGTCTGCGCTGGATCTTTGACGAGACTCACCCTACTCCTGGTACTTTCATACGAGAGACGGATGTTCATGGGAGAATATGACTTATGCCATACTCCGAGTGCTAGGGAAGATAAAGAAAGCGTATAGAGATCTCAACTGGTTCGAAGTACCAAGGTTCAGTTCACTCTGTTCAAGATGGTTTCAGATATGGAATTAAGCCTTAATGCTACCAAACGCTCATTACATGATGCGCGGCCCTCGAATGGAACTTTCCTTACCCGTTGCTCGTAGTCTCATTCCTTACCTCGTTAGTTATGAACATACAAGACTAGCTTATCAAAAAGAGAATAGTCTTTCTCGATGTCGGGATTCCTTTTCGTTCCCGTGATTCTCTCTTGGTATTGCCACGCTTCAGTGAGAAGGCGGGACGCTTCCATTGCCTCACCCAGATCCGACTTCACCAAGGAAAAATGGAACAGAGATCGGGCAAGCTCCCTGTCGGCATTGAAGGACTCATCGAAAATAGTGATAGCGTGCTGCAGGACGTTCCCTGCCGACTGGTGGTCTCCAGCTTCATGTAGGAGAACACCAACCTTGTGTAAGGACGTGCCTGTGATGTAGTGATCACCGCACAATTGAGTTCGTACCTTCAGTGTTCGAGTATGATACTGAAATGCCATCCTTCGCTCCTCAGCGCCTTCGATGCCTTTTTTCTGTGCGAGAGCCAGGTACGTGTTTCCAATTCCATACAAGAACAGCGCCCCCCGCTGGCTGTCCTCTTGTATCAACCCTCCGGCGAACTCATCCCCTTGTAAGAACTGGAGCCGCAGGGCTTCTTCTGGGCGTCCCATCATAATGAGCAGTCTGGATAGATTATGGCCGACATGGACTTGCCAATCCTTCCCAGCAGGACCAGGTATAGCGTTTGCGACCCGCAGTGCCTCGCTGAACAGCTGCTCACTCCGGGCGTAGTCCCCTAAGTCGGTGCGCGCACACCCAAGATCAGACAGTGCCGTTGCAAGCAGCCAGTCATTGGGTTCTGCACGCTTGCGGTAGCAATCCACAACTTGAGAGAACTTCTCTGCAGCGTGTGGAACCTGATCGCACTCCAAGCACACACAGCCATAGGCTGTAAGTAGCTTGGCGAAGAAAGGATCGCTGTCACCATTCCTGGCGCAAATACCCCGGGCTGTCTGAAGAAGAGGGAAAGTAAGCTCCGACATGCGTCGTTCGAAGAGGTACCACGATGCGTAGAAAAACAAGCGGATAACTCCCACTCGAGGCTTGATATATGGCGAGTCCCTGCAGCGAGTCTCCAGAGCAAGAACACGTGGAAGATACAACGAGCATTGAGGCCAAAGAGCGTTCATTCTGAAAGGATTGTCATTATTCACGGGCCAGGCTCCGAGTAGGACTTCAAGAGCGTCACCAAATAACTGATTCTGTTCATCTTCGTTCAGCTGGTGGAATACAGTCTCCTGAATCAACCTGTGGATAGACAAGCTTCGAGCGTTAGTCGTGGTATATCCAGCCGTCGCTCCGGTGTTCCCCTTGGTAACCAGTCCCCGCGAGATCAGCTCGTGTAGTGCATTGAAATATGGGAGTCCGCGGCGGAGGAAACTCAATACATCACTTTCCTTGGCACCTTCCCAGAGCAGTACTTCTGGGACTCCATCCGGGTCGAAATATGATAGAATTCGCAGAAGCTTCAGGCAATTCGTGCTTAATCTGGTGATTGAAACTTGCCAGACGGTGGCAAGGGAATGTTCATAGAACAAATTGGTAGTTGATACTTCCAGATCCCAAAGACCCTGGTTGGACTGTTGTGAAGCTGCATATAAATCTTCGAACTCCTCCAGGGTGCAGTCATGTTCCACGATGAAGCTCGACACATGGACAATCGCAAGCGGAAGATAACCTGAGAAGGAGGTCGAGTATTAGCAGAGTTTGGAATATCAAATGTTGGGCCGGGTTGTGCCGTACGAAGACCTACCTAATTCTTTAACAATTCTCCTTATCAGAGCAGGGTCGTGTGGATCGGTGAAGCCAGCTTCAGCGCGGCTAGTCAGCAGAGAAACGAAGCAGGTCTCCCCTTCCAGAGGAGAAAAAGGAGGTACGTGAATTCCAGCGCTTGCGACCCTTGCCGAAGCTGGGTCTCGACTGGTGATAATGATGCAACCTTGGTTGCCCGGGGGCCAGAAGGGCTTTAGCACACTCAAGTCGTCCGCGTTGTCGCATACAATGAGCCAGTGATCTTTAGTCTCGCCAAGCCAGGTCTTCAGCACCGTCGTCACTGCGTCGACATCTTTCTGTGAATCCTCTGGCTCCAGCTGTAAGCGTTTGGCGGCATTGACATATGATTACGCTAGCTTCTGGTGCGTGTCTGCTTGCATCCAGAAGACCGCAGGAAACTGCTCGAGGTGGTCATAGATATACTTCAGCGCAATCTGGGTTTTCCCTACTCCACCGAGACCAGAAATGGCGAAAGAAGATCGCTCATTCCTGGAAACAACCAGGTGAGCCTTGATCTTGTCAAGAATCTCTTGTCTTCCGTGAAAATGTGAGTTGGCGGAGTATGGAATGTCCCGACACGGCAGCTGAGATGTTGGCCTCGCCTGAATAGCCATTTGCGAAAGGAGAAAATGGATTTCCTTGTGTCGTTTGTTCTGGAGGATTGCATTCGCTGCAATAACCCTCTTCTGGACAACTTCCTTCTGTGTCTCGATATCTTTGAGGGCACGATTGATGGCGATCGGAGCCGGCAGGAGTCCAATGTGATGGGTCCCTAGAACATAGATTCAAATATTAGCACCCACAGACCCAAAGGCGCATGTATCAAAGCACAGACAGACTAAATACATGAAGAACAACCTTTAATTCTGTCCAGGATAGCCAAAAATAGATCAATGACTTTGCAATAGAATTGAATCATGGCAGTCTCCACATCAGCCATGTCTGGAAATACTTCTTCATAGTCGTTGAATTGGGGAATCGACGACGATATATCTTCGATAGCTTGCAGAAAAAGAGCTCTAGTCTCAGAATTGACGATTGATCGCTGTATGTTGCTGCCATTGGTAAGCAGCTCGTGGGCAATAGCCCAGACATAAGGGAAGCGGTGCGGACCTCATGAATCAGAGACACGCTAATCCAAACCACATTCGAAACTTCTGGAATTGAAGTGGTGAAGATGGCCAAAAGCTTTGTCAAGCGTTTGATACCCTCAATGGTGGCATTGGGAGTACTATTGTTCGCTGATGAAGGCGATTGTTGCCGCACCTTGGTTGATAGTGAGACGGCGATTTGACCTGGATCAGAGGGGGTGCATTTTGAAAATATTCTCGATCCTCAATACTCAATTTGCTTTGGTACTCCAAGAGAGCTTTCTCCCAGATCTTGTTATTAGCGGACGCCGCCATTCTCCTCCGAACACAGGCCCAGAACAAACCAGAAATATAATGGTCGTAAATTTTTGGGGATGAGTTGATCTGTTCAGTCAGGCTTGCTCAAGCGGTCAATGCACGCCTAAGGGTCAGTCTAACTCAGCCTTCGATCACGTGGGGCGGCCCCCTCCCCTCCCGGCTCTTCAATTCCGAAGCTTGCGGAGGACTATTCCCGGCTATTGTATAAGATTGCCTAAGGGTACTTACTTTAGGAATTGGGAAGTGGCACATGCGCGGGAAGGACCATGTTCACCTGGGACATATCTCGATAAGTGAGTGCGTAGAGTTTATGGTTTCACGGCATCGTGCAGCTGTACCTTCTGGATCGTAAACAGATGTTTCGAGCCAATTGGTGTGTGCAACTTAAGGGATGCATGCTGCACATCGACATCTTTTCTCCTGGGAGTTGCATGCCATGCGACACGAAAAAACATCTGCTACTCTAATCTACTCCAATAGCTGGAAGTTTACAGGCGGAAGCCCAACTTGCAGAGCCCAATCTACACTTTTCACCTTTCCCGACTCATCGCGTCGAAAAGTTAGAACAAACTGGTCCCAATCGAACCAATCAATCATTTCTCGCACAATCAATTCCTCCCGAGATATAGGCAGAAACCCAAGGGTGTCGTTAGAGTAGTGCTGAAGTCGATGATGCTGCGAGTTGCGATCGTTAAAGATGAGTATGAGGTATTCCTCCTTCGGCCCTTTGTTCTCTGCATCAGGCAGCCGAATGTCAAGACTCATTTTGAGGCTCTTGTTTTCGAACCGCCCCACAAAGTCATCGAGACGCGGATACTTACGGTGGCTTGCCTCCTCCCGATGGCGAGCATAGTCGCTTGCGAGGCGCTCGTATCGCTCGAACTCGAACTGGGCGCGGCGTCTCGAAGCCTCAGCGAAATCGACTTTTGGCTCCAGATCGAACATTGCTTGCATAATGGCCTGGCATGTCCAGTCCGGACCATCACCGAGTCCATAAGAGTTTCCAAGAGCGACAATAGCCGACCGCGTTTCAGGAGACAGGTAGAACGCCGAAAGGTACCCAGACTGGCCCCCATTGTGATAGAGCACAAGCCGAGATGGTGAAGCTCTTCCCATGACATTTTCCCGCAGAGGGCTGTTCAATGATATCATCCACAACTCAGTGGACGGAGTCATTGCCCTTGCAAAACCAAGTGCGTATGTGTTCTCATTTACTGACGATGTGGTGATGAGATTCCTGTGCGCCACGATGGTAGACACCTGTTTTAGTGGCGAGGACAGTTTTTCTTCCGAATAATTGGTATCGTTGTGTATTCCATCCAAGAGAGCCTTTGCCCACTTCATCATATCCGTAACAGACGACCTCACGCCACCTGCAGCTCCCATAACAGTATCATCTGAGACGTCAACCGGCTTAATTATGGAACGGTCATCGAGAACAACGTGCGGCTCCGCAAGGTTCTCATCAGGTAGCTTCTTGCGATTCGTTGTCGTCCGTTTCATCCCAAGTGGCTCGAAAACCCTGGCTCGTAAGAACTCATACCAAGGAAAACCGGTTTGTTGGTCAATGACCTTCCCGACAACAGCATATGCGTAGTTGTTGTAGTGGAATCCGCCTCGCAAGTCAGAGACAGGAGGAAGCTGGCTAACCACGTCCAGTAGATCTTCTCTTGCGATGATGGTGTGGCCCTCAACTCCGAGCCAGGTGTGCCAGTCCAGTGCCGTGTGATAGGGCATCCTGGATTGTCGCCTTCTGTCCAATGGCCGGGTCAATGTCGTTTCGGAATGGTATATACCACGGGAACGCACCGTTCCAGCTGAGTTTTCCTTCGTGGCAAGGATGCCACAAGCTGCTGCAATGAATGCCTTAGTTACAGACGCCAAGAGGTAATTGGTGTTGACATCCGCGGGAAGTTACTTCTGAGCATCTCGGAAGCCAGCACTGTGAGTGTAGATAACCTCATCTTGGTGGACGACGCCTATGGAAATGGACGCTGTAAGCGTGTGTTCCTGAATGGCCTCGAGTGTTGGCAATATGGCCTTGATTCTGTAGGAGCGCCATAAGTTAGCTTAGTAGTTCCTGAACTTGGAAGTCGACTATCCTCACCTTGACCGAACAGCATCGATTGACAAATCCAACGCCATTCTTCTTAAACAACCGGAACTGTCAAGAATCAAGAATCTGCTTTTTGATTCTTGTTTCTGCTTTATCTTTTTCCCTTGAGGATGTAAGAGAATGGGAATGAAGAGGAAGTGAGGAGTTAATTTCGTGGGCGATGAAAGTGTCGGGTATAGCAACCAAAGGTGAGAAAAGTGTGTAACCTCAGATTTATTGAGGCATTTCAACTGCCTCAAAGTCCATATTTAACACTAGTGTACCACCTAAAGCGCGTGCCTCCTCAGCAACGCCTGGCGTTTTCTTTATAACCTCTTAAATGCTCTAAAACCGCACTCGATATCAGTATAGTAGTCATATGGTAATAATGTAAGTGTTCTAATACTTCATAACGATGGGCTCAATTGTCATTTTTGGCTACTATGGTGCGCCCTTTTTGTAGCGTGGTACTGAGTGGTAGTGAATGCTCGTGGCCCGAACCGGCATATTGCATGTGCAGCTGAGACTAGTCGATTGTCTTGCCGCCCGCCACTGAAGTAAGAGAAGATATCCTTTCATTGACCCTTCCAAAAGCATACCGATAAAGCGGCTCGACCTTTTCGCACGCTTTACTACAGATAGTGATTCTCCTCTACCTAGCCTCTTAGCCACTTTATCATTACTCTATATCCTTTTTACCAATATCGACATCATCATGAAAGCCAGTATCGCATATATGAAGGGAGACGATGAGCTTTTGCGGTCGGAAAAGCCCTATCTATGTGTCTCTTGTTCCTTTCCTGAGTAATGGAACAAGTTTCACCAACACCAAGGCAAACGAGCATGACATGTCGATCATTAATATCCGTGGTAGGGAGAGAGATTTCGACCTTGACCGGAATGGCTTCACGTATGTTTCCTATGCCTCACAGGAACGACCTCCGGATACCATCAAGGGCCCGGACGACCCCTACGTCAAAGAGATGGCTGCGTTCCTGGAAAATCATCTTGGAGCAAGGTCTGTGACAGTCTATGATGGCAGCGTGAGTCAGAAAATTGTTCCTGCTTTTGCATATTACCGAATTTTATAACGATCCAGACCCGCAAAATTAGCAGTCCTGAGTTTCTCCAAGCATCTACTTACGCCCACATCGGTACGGATCAATCGTAGGGAGATCAAAGCCTGGTTTCTTGAACAGAGTAGCCCATCGTTAAATCAGGACGGCATCATTAGACGCTATGTTTTAGATTAGAGAATTGTCCTTATGATGCATCTGATTACTCTAGGAATCTTGGTCACAATGATAGAGCTGTTCGTGGTTTGGAATAATGTCGTTGGTGTGCACTATTTGGGATCTGCGGGCCAATTAATTCCATTCATAACTGGTGTAGCTGGTTTTGTAAGTATATGCTTACCTGAATATAACGAAAATTGATTACTAAATTTAAGATATGCTCTGAATCCAATTTGCGATTAATATTATTTATTGTCACGAACAAGCCAGAGTCAAGTCATCGTGTTAACTGGATAGAACACTAAGTACGGAGCTAAGAAGTTTCTAAGGGGTCGAGAGCTTATATACAGACCTTCATGGTTCTGTCCCCAATCTTAGAGGGGTAGATAGGGTTGTTTTCATTGCTGGAGGTAGTGGTGGAAGTTTTACTGCTGGCTTTGCTGTTGATCTGTTAAGAAATCTTGGAGATGATTCGGATACCACCATTGAGTTCATCTGGGTGATTCGGCATGCTGGTACCAATCACCCATCTCTTCTTGTACTCTGAGACCTGACTAGATTATAGAAATGCTCACCTGGTACGAATCGCAGCTCGCTGAACTCTCCTCTTCGCCAAGAGTAAAACTCTATCGCCACGTCACACATCATCCATCCACCTCAAAGTCCTCCATCGATGGAGGTTCACAATCTCCTCCTGAGAAAGCTCCGGTCCCGTTGGCCAACGAGATGGTTAACAATTTTCCAACGTCACCAACCTCCTTTTACGATCTTGAGAAAATTCTTCCTTCAGCCCAAGACCTTCCATCTTCTTACGAACGATACAGTCTTCTACCCGGTCGGCCCAACGTCTCAGGTCTGATTGGCTCCTATCTGGTGAATGCGCAAAAGAGCGAGAGATTGGCGGTCGTAGCTTGTGGGCCAAGTGCCCTGATGTTGGATATGAGAAAGACTGTAGCTGATAATATAAGCGTGGAAGGTCCGGCATTAGAGCTACATGGTGAGAGTTTTGGTTGGTAGAGTGAGGTGGGGTTCAAGTGAGTGAGAGAGGTCTCGATTTGAAGTAGATCGCTTTGATATAAGACAAAAAATTGATGACAACCAACAAGCGACCCAATTTGCTTCTTTGTCACTTTTTGAACCACACTACTATAGCTTTCCGAACGATCCATAAAACTAAGCAAGTTGAACACTCTAATAGTTCAGACAGAAGTTTGTCGATAATTACTACTGATTACATTCAATGGGATAAAGATCTGTAAGAAAATCATGAAAATAAACTCAAACCCTTTACAAATATCCCAATTGAAAACTCCACTTACATCCTCAAGTCTCGACTTCGGCTCTCCAAGCAGCTTCCTACAGTTATGTTCGTCAACGTACAATACATAATTTAAATACTTCACTAACATATATATTACCGAACTTTTTCCAAGACAACAACCGATAGAAACCTTTACAAGAAACCTTCGCATTACAGAAAAAAATGACGCAATACCTGCGACTATGACGTTGACTTTAACTTCGTGCTGTCAAACAATTTCCAATATTTTCTGCCTTGCGTCTTCAAACCATTTATCAATAGAATGATTCATAGGAATCTCAACTCCGCTCCGATACTTACTGCCATGTGACATAACTCCAATACGCTCAAAAGCTTCATCATTTGTATTAGATCGCTGCAAGATCAAAGAAAACATTCGATCAATCATCAGGGCCAAGACTTCTTTGTCCTTCATCTTCATCGTCTCATCTAACGTCATTTTTGCATCCAGGAATGTCAACTCCCGCTCTCCACTATATACACCATTAACCTTGACTAGATACCATGGTACCAGTTGTCTATCGCTTTGGGAGTAGTCAAGATCCTCTTGGTCACAAGTCAATTTCATTGCTATAACAGGACCGACAACTATGATGTGTCCTCGTGATACTGCACCCATGGGATCCGTGCTGGCGGGGATACACGTCGCTTCTATTAGGCGAGCCCAGACATGTGCTCCAGATACAGCATATTTGGGATTAATTTCCTTGACAAAAGTTACGCCACCCGGTGCTGATGCCCATGACCATGATGGAGCTATATAATCTGAAGTGGGAGTTTTTCCACTGCTAGCCGTCCATTTGAGCGACGCCACCAGACCTTGAGTCCAGTTACCAGCCAGGTAGGAGCCAAGTTCAGATGCAGTACGAAACTTCTGAGCCAGTGCAGAAAGGGCCGGTAGGCGATCCGTCTCTTTTGTCAAAAAGCGACTAGAATAACGCTCAATGATGCCCATCCACTTATATCTCTCACGGTGTTTTAAATCTTCTCCAGTAAACGAATTCTGGATCATTTCGAAAGCAGTCGCAGGCTCTCTAGACGCATTTCTGATGCCGCCGCAGAAACATTGTATGTCCTGTGAACATTCCCAGTCGACTTCGGCATTAGTGAAATATATTTTTCGGCGGGAGAGGATCTTTTCTTGAAAAGCCCAGGCGCGAGTAACAAGTGGGAAGTTTTGAAGCATCTTCTTCGACTCGCTCACTTCTTTCCAATCTGCCCAACCATGATCTACAGGCCATCGGACACGGATCTGGCTGCTGAGTCTCCAGGACAGCGTCGGAAAATGACCTTCGACCAGTGGTGCTCGATTTGTCCAGAGAAGCAACCACTGTCGCTGTCATTACCATATAGGGCGAAAATTGTGGCAAAAGCGCCATTGTAAATATCTCCCATTCTGGAAGATTGCAACTCCCAGTCCCTAACGCTGTCTTGGATAATACAAAGGGAATCGATCCAGAGATAGCGAAAGCCAAGCTTGCGAGTAATGACAATAGCATCTCGGAAAGTCTTTGGTAGCGATTTCCAGGGGATGTTGCTCTTCATTGCTTGAAGTGAAGCTTTCATGGTCTTTAGCGCAGTATTATTGACACCCCAGCAATGACTTAGACAAAGATATTCTCCGTGCTCAGGATTCTTGTTCTCTTGCAAATTCACAGAATATTTGGCGGCTTTGTACTCTATCGATAGTATCCTTAAGGGCAATACCATTTCTTTGCCGACCTTGCAAACATTGTGCTGGGTCGTGCAGCGTTCTAGATTCATTTTCAAGAAGTCGAAGCTCTCTGTCGAAGATGTAGGATACCTGAGCTCGAGCAAGTAAGGGATCGCTCTGCACTCCTCCCGGAAATCTAAAGAAATGAGCTTCACGGCCCGATTACATGTGAATTGGGGCTATACCTCTAGCATTAGCTGCAAATATTTCAGTACTAATCTCAAGCGCGCGAAAACTAAGGTCACCTGGCTGAAGCGACGTCCAGATAACCTTGAATATACCGTAAGCCGTGGCCCGGACCATGACGTTGTCTTCGCTAACAGGATGCCATGGAAACAAGGCATTGCTTTCTGCTTTGAGACGAATGCCATCGAAGATCGTTGCGCATAGCCAGCATCCAGACCCACTAGCTTGACGTAGCCGAGTGAACGACACACCCACACGTATATTCAAAGGGATGTCTGCTCTTTTCCCGGGGGAAACCCAATCAGGTAGATACCCCGAGTAGGGTTCTTGATATGGGGAGTCAGCCAAAGAAGAGTGATTGTTTTTCAGCGAACTATCACCATCGTAGTCGTCGTCGCCATCATGATTATCATCATCGCCGATGTTGATAGGTTCAAGTTTTTCTCCGTGTTCAGCAGAATTAACAATCTCAACTTGCTCTGCATCTTCGATCAAAGCACGATTTGATGATGAGAACGGGCTCGCCCTACGGGGTGATTGATACGGGGAGATTGCCGGCCCCGTGTAACAAGGAAGACGATGATGACATCGATCATGGAGAATAGAACAAACGCAGAGATGGTTCATAGCTGAACGTTAAGTGAGAGCCGAGCGTTGTCTTTTGTCCACTGCTTTATATAGTTGCGTATTCATTCAAGTGCGAGTTCTTGCAGCAGACTAAAAGCTTAGCAAATTAATGCATTCGCATGAGATAATGTTAAAAAACAGGATATATTGATGTGCCAAAAGTTGAAGAAGTGCTCACCGCCCTCGCTTATTTACACAAGGCAGAAACTGTAGTAATCATTAAAAGCGGCGAGCATTTCCTCAGCTTCGGTATGCCTAGGTATATATACCTATATATATATATGTAAGTTTTATCAAGTACGATGTTGGATATTAGAAAGACTATAGCTAATAATACAACATTTGAAAGTCTGGCATTAGAGCTACATGCTGAAAGTTTTGTTTGGTAAAGTTTGAGTTAGAATTCAACTAAAATGTAGGCGTCTCGATTTGAGATAGACTATTCTGATTTATTTTTAAGAAAATGATTAGACCCAAGTAACAAGTGACGATTACTCTTTTATCAGACCGTTGAGAGAAGATTTCATTATTTTGTCTCACCCTCCCAATCCTCACTGCACAACAAACTGCTCAGTATGCTCCTTATACAACACCGAACTATCCAAGACCTCCCCGGTCGCCGATCTAATGAAATCAACCTGCAAATGATTCGCATCTTGCAAGCTGACTGTCGCATAGCTGAAATCAGTCGCATAAGCAAAAGCGTTAAACGTCAAATTACTTCCAACCGAACTCAGCCCCTCAATATTCCCCGCTCCACCAGCCACAATATACATCGGTGCCTTCGGATTGTTCAGCCCAGCTGGATCAGCAACACTGTTATTCACAGGCATGAAGCGTTGAGAATTATGCACGTGACCGAAGATAGCCAAATCGACGCCGTACTTATAGAGCAAAGGCTCGAAAGCTGTCTGGCAGGGACCGCAGACGTTGCTGCTTCCTCCAGTAGAATACCAAGGCCGATGACCGCCAACGATGAGCCAAGGAGTAACAGTCCGGTCTACAGAAGCAAGATCTGCTTCGAGAAATTGGAGCTGTTGATTTGGAGCACCGAAAGGCCCACTATCCAGACCAGCCGATCCATCTGGCCCGTCAGGAGCATCTGTAAAGTCGGTCTCAGTGTCAAACATCGTAACATGAACCATGCCGTATTCAAACGAGTACCAGAACGGAGGTTTAGCGAGTTGTTGAGCTTTGTTGGCATTGATCATTGCGGTGCTGTTTGAAGATGTCGATGCGAAAGCTGTTGGCATGGTATTTCCGAATCTGTTCATGAAGTCTGTGAAGTTCTTTTGGCCGGTTGGGCAGAGGAAGGTGGTGTAGTCGATTTCTTCGCAGTCGGCTTCGTGGTTTCCGGGGCTGGCCATGTAGGCTTTGCGACCTGCGATGGGAGCGAGTTGGTCGTAGAATTGTTCGAGGATGGCTTCGTATGCGTTGACGCCGTCGAAGAGATTCTTTGGCTTCTCATACCTGGCGGGTTGTGAGCAGGTGATTTCTTGGAGGGTTACCAACGCCCGAGAAAGAGGAAGAAGCAAGAGCTCCACTCAAAGAATTGTAGATCATTTACAACCTCACTTACCAGTCATCAGCATAGGCAAAATCTCCAGGATGTACAACCAGCTCATAGTCATTGATATTGTCAGCAAGACGACCAATCGTGGTATGATTCAATGCTGGCTGAATGGTAGGAATGGTGTCTCGCTTGGTGGCATCCATCGAAATGGTATATCCATCCGCTCCATAAACTCCCAAATCAATGACAGCACTCATCTTGAATGCTGTCTTGTCACCAGCTACACGGGGACTGAAGAAGTGCTCGATGCTTGAATTGGTTGACACAATTTTATAGTAATAAGTGGTAGCTGGAGTCAAACCAGTAAGAACAACGGCATTTGACCAGGTCCGAGAAGTTGGATACGTGACTGATGTGGTCGAGCAGGCTTCCAGAGTAAGTGCATCACTGGAAGTACCATATTGAACACAAGGATTGCTCAATTGTTCATATGTATTCCAGCCAACTGAGATAGCTGGAGAGTATCAGCAAAATTCATTCTAGATTTGAGAATGGTAGACTTACCATTTGCGCCATTGATGGCGAGTCTCTGCTGCACAGGTGTTGTGAGATCACTCGGAATTGCGGGATAACTTGCTGAGGCTATGACGCATCCAATCAAGAATGGAAGTCCTTTGACGGAATTGAGGAGCAAATTCATGATGTAAAGCTCGAGTTTCGATCGCTTTCAATCTGAATAAAAACCTTGCAAAGAAGGACAATAAAGTCTAAGAAGTCAAGGTCCAACTCCAAGTATATACCTCACGAATCACCGCAATCCCAAAATAGCTGACGCACAATACTCCAACGTGCCGCGGGACTTCAATCCACTAGTACCTCATTGCCGCCGTCTAGAAGACATTGGACGGTGATGATGCATAACTCGTGGGGTATTGATTGGACGGTGTCAATTAAAGCGAACGCAAGAACGGGATGTTAAACTCTTTAAAAACAAGATCGTGGACCCTTGCCCCGGCTCTAATTCCAAGACGAGAAGGCGGGCTCGCTTAGCCATTTAGGCGAAAGGGGGGACGGCTGCATGTCATGCCGAGGTGATGGGAAACTTGATGCACGTGTTGTAGCTCGAGATTTGTGTGTCGAGACGTAGGGAGGATTTCAGGAGCTGACGTATGAGAGAGATTCCAGAATTATATCTTATTACTTGCGCCAAACATAATCTAAATCACGATTTCTAGCAATGGTCCTATCTCCAGAATGTGGTCAAGAACTAACCTACGTCGGCGGCTGAAGGCAGTGCAATCTTCTAGAACCGTTTGCCGCTCCCGTATTGCAGATCCTCCTGCCGCTGCGGCATGACCCGCCCAAGCTTTACGAGAATTTAATACCCCGGCCCTGGTTCACAGAAGCCGGACTGCCGCAAATGGAAGCTGGTATTTTTGAGCTTGAGATCGAGGAGGGTTGCCTTGTGACAGAAAGTAAGAGCTCCAGCATCGAAATGCAATTATTTCGATGAGCTTCACATTGTAAATACTTGCGCTACACCCCAGCCCACTTCATGATAATTTCGAGATCAAGACCCTTGGATCAATTATAAAAGAGATTCTACGCTAGGTAAAAATGAATGTGCGACAACATTTGAAGCTTTTGCTAAACTTTTCCTGCGAACCAAATCCAAAGCGCCTTCATATCTCATTACTCCATCATCAGATCCATCAACGCTAATTGTGCTCAAGACAACAAGAGTAATCATCAACGCAAATTCTCCGAAACCACAACATTCGGCATCTTCTTGACCGACATCTGAGACGGCGTATACGGCTCAGAAGTTGAAAGTCCTTGCGCATCGGCATACGACACATTACCTCTTGTTTCAGATCTTCTACGCCCAGCGAAGAAGCTATTGAAGCAATACCGTCAGTGATTCAATCTTCAAATAGAAGTGAGAAACTTACAAGCAACCAGCAATGACTCCAACCAAGAAAGGAACCCCAATACCAACACTCACACCAATGATGAGCTTATTGCTCACTCCTCCTATCTTCCCATCGATGACGCCTGTAATGCCGGTAGGAGTTGAGGTCGGATTGAATGATGTCGGTGTACCACTCGTGGAAGTCAAGGCCTTGACATTGGTGCCGAAGGCGATTGTATTCGCAACCGAGTTCTGAATCGTGGTTGGGAATGTTGCCGTCGATCCCGATGGTACAGAAGTAACAAGCGTGCTTGTAACAGTCTGTTTCGATGTCGTCTGCATTGAGATCGGACAATTAAGCAGACCAGTTGACAGACATTGCGTCGCCGTGTAAGTGTCCGACGTGGTGAGCGTCGTGGTTGTCAACCCAGTCGCTTGAGCAGCCCTCGCTGTCAATGCTGCGCTTGTCGCCGAGCTCAAAGCGCAGCGACTTGCAAGAGTTGTGTAGAAAACGGCAGTCGATGTGTTAGGTGTAGGTCCCCAAGAATAGTCGTTGAGTGCTAGTGTGGCGCCAGCTTGGGCTCCGATTGCCATGGAGTAGACTTCCTCAACGAGTACCTCGCATCCGGTGACATTTCCGGCTGGATTCGCAGTCACGTTTGTGATAAACTCGGCGACATTCATGTAGACACCAACTGCTGCTCCTGCACTGAAGGTGTCGAACTTGACACCATCAAGCTTGAATGGTGGTGCCGCAACGTTGAGGCCAGCTTGTATACCAACTTTGAGAAGGGCTGTCAATTGTACACCAGCACTTTCAATTGTCACAGGGAGAAATTCGAAATTGCCGCCGTTCCTATATTGCAGTCAGCGCAGTTGATATTTTGAAGACCTTGACTTACATAGTGATGCTCGAAACATTTTGGCTAAACAATGCCAGATCGATAGCGACACCGTCATTTAGCTTGATATGGAAACCACTGCTAATATCGATTGAGGAATCAACGCTGAGTATTAAATCAATACTGAAGATGATACCGAGACTCTCTTCGCCTGCAGAAACTCCAAGCGCCGTTTTTGACTTGTAGATGTTGACAGTATACGTTGCCTCGTCAGACAATGTCGTGTCAATATCCATATATAATTCCAGCCCATCGAATTGGAAAAGCAGCGTAGCTTGAGGAATATCTGGAATCTCCAAATCGAAATCGGTGTTGTTTGCCGTTGGGAATGTGAGGTCACTCTCGAATTTGGCGAAATTGAGGGAGGTGATATCAGACTCCAAATTATCAAAGTAGGTCTCGAAGTCATTGACAGTAACGTTGGTCACCGTGCCAATATCATACTCAACAGCAGACTTGAAACTTTCGAATGCTTGGGTAAGGTTGAAGTTGTCACTGATCGTCAATTGAGCTGTGGCTGTGCCTTTGATGTAGCAAGTCGTGCAGACGATATTAATTCCAGCAGTCACATCTGTGTTGCGTTTTGATTCACCAGATGCTTTGAGTTGGCTGGAAAAAAAATGAGTTAGAAGCTTCCTAAAATGGTGAGGAGAGATAACCATACAGGCTGAAAAGCGTAGCACCATTCCAACTCTTGTCTAGGGTTGTGCTGTTCTTGATGACTGTGTCTCGTTTGAACTTTGCGGTCGGGGTTCTCAAGCCAACCTCAGATGAAAGACCGACATTGCGAAGCTCAAGATTACTGTGCGACGAAGCGATACCCGCACGAACAAAACTCAGCGCGGCAATCAAGCCCAAAAACGATATATAACAATTGCAAAGCATTTCGCATGAATTATGCGTGTCAATCGCTTGAGACGAAAAGATGATATTGCGCTTCTCTTGTTCCAACGATTGGGGAACATCGCAGTATTTCTATCCCAGCGATCCCAACATCTTGGGCCCTATCTGAATTGAGCAGTTCGTCTGACATCTCCGGGAGTGACATGCCAGTTCGAAGTCAGCCTCATATTGTTCATATCGACGTGAAACCCCGATGCACCTTGCTAATTGTGGAAATGTAGGAGTACAGTGGCTCGTAGCAGGCGAAGTGCATGAAAATGTGGAAACACAACATGTTAAGCCTCCCTTGAGACCTACCCCAGCCATCCTTTCGAAGGATTGTAATTCCCACGCGTTTTTGGGGGCCGTAGCATGGAATCGCATCCTACAGCCTTGCGGTGGGTGGGGGACGGGATGCTCGTACAGGGAGGATTCGCTGATGAAACCTCGGACAGGATGTCTTTCTCCGCATGTTTACGGGATGCTGTCTTCTGTAGCTTCTTACTTTGGAAGTGCTCGGACGTCAATTCTGCATGCGCAAGGATATGAGACGGTTTGAACAGCGGAACAAATCCAACAATTTCGGCCCCCAACGCTTCCCGTTGCCCGAGAACTGTGAGAACTTCGGGATGAAGCTCACTCTGGAGTGTCGGGTGGCTACATCGCAACGACGGTAGCAACATATTTCTTCAGCGTTGTCTGAAGGCGACGACATGAATGTTGTGATACCTGATCCATCGGCTGGCAGGACGGGCGGAAGGATGCACAAATTGGGGCGTGGTACAATCAAACCAACTTGGCCAGAGTGGCACGCACCAGGTCGAGGAAGAAGTTGGTGAAGTCCGCAGTGTTGATGCAGCCAGCTGGCTCTGCACAATGCCAACCTCCAGATGATTTGATTCATAATTGCGGAATAAAATAGAGATTGTTCTATTTGTTTAAGAAGCCTCGGAACTAAAACAGAATAATAAATAGGTGTCACAACCTCGTGGTCCTGCTAGAATTGACTCTTGCTCGATAGAATTTTATAGCGATAGTGCTGGGTTCTATTATAAGTGATTCAGCCTCCAACTGCGGTTGGTAGACCGCAACGTTGGAGGACAGTAGCGTTGGATCAAAGCCGCTGAAGCAACATTCAGGGCTTTTCGCGAAAGCAAGGCCGACTCGAAATGACTAGAGCTATCACGACTTCTCACTCGCAGTATATCCTTTGAGATGATGGGCGAAGATGGACTGAATTGCTCGATTCTTCATTCAAGGGGCTCGGCTAAGCTAAGGGGTAGCAAGATTCTTCCAAGAACTACCTAGGTGAATAGCAAGCTGAAGCTGACAAATTGTGAATAGTACATGTAGAAAATGACTTCTCGCCATTTCAAACAATATCTCAAGAAAAATAGAATTCCTGGACAGAAACCAGAGGCAAATGTAACTTTGTATAACAGCTGATGAACTGATGGTGCTGTGGGCGAATCAACAATTTCAAAGCTCAGCAATCTTCCATATTTTTATCAGATATGAAACAAAAAATATAAATAAGTCCCTGATATTAAAAAAGCAAAAACCAGGAGAAAGGATTTTGATGCTCTGAGGCTTTTCTGCATGCTAGCTTCCTAACCAACATTCTGCAAAGCTGGTTTGCGTGCCATCAGTCAAAGCAGCCCGAGATTGCGAAGGCTGACAGACCGAACGAGAACATATTCGAACCATTGATTTGCACCATAAGAGCCGAATTTCGGCAAGTCAGTGTGCTTAGAAAGTTGACAGATTCTTGGTGGGATAAGACAAGATATCCAGATAACGATTCAACCCACTATCAATCCTAGTCTTCATTGGCCACCTCAAACCCACATCAAACATTTTGTTGCACGTCGCGGCGAGTGTAAGCACTTGGTCATCTAGCGGTATCGGAAACAATCCTAAAAGCACTCTAGTTCAGGCAAGTTTGTGGAGGTTGAGACATTTCCGGATTGTTTCCGGGTGAACATTTATGCGAGTCTTGCTTGGCATGACTTTCAGGCTGTGATATATGTCGCGGAATATAAAAAGGATCGGGCGCACGAATTACGAGAATATTCAAACTAGAAAACTGAAACATGAGAAGGCCTCTCATAGCAGATTTCGAAGGATTGTGTTGAGGCATCTGCTGATATGATGGCGGGGTAGGTGGTTCTGCTCGAGATCCTAGCGGAGTGAGAACATCCCAATTTTGCGTTTTATCTTTGTATTTTCGCTCAAGACCGAATCGTCTTGTTTAGAATCACTGTCTCTTGAAATTCTGCTCTGGTAATCCTATTCCATTAAATTCTCCAAGTGCTCAATGCGCAAATACAACTATTCACCAGGCTGCCACTGCGAGTTGTGGTGGCGGAGCTGGGGGTAAGCCATCATCACACATGGCCAATCAAGGCTTAATACCACGATCACGATGCATACTGCAATCCAGCCTGATTTTCAATCTGCTCTCTTTCCAAACAATCTCGCTCCTTGCGCGCTTTTTCAATATGGTGGACCCTCTATCTATTGCGTCCAGCGTCGTAAGCCTGAGCAGTGGATGTCTCCTCACAGTGAAGAGACTAATCGAAGTTGCTGGCAAGTTCAAAGATGCCCCCAAACTTATCCACAGCCTCTCCTCAGAAGCCAAAGTTATCGCAATCTCGCTGTCGCAACTTCACAACATCTTCGTCAGCGATGAACATTCAATTCTATCCCAAGCTCTTCTCACGCCAGACATTCGCACTGCTCTCGACATCGCACTTACAGGTTGTACGGTGACGCTGTCGTGTATCGAGGACGAGACCCGCAGCCTCGCGGCGAAACTTGAATCTGATCAAAAGATTAAATTCGCTGATCGAGCAAAGGTTGTTTGGAAAGATGATAGGTTCAAGGAGTTGCTGCAACAGCTACATAGACAGCATAATGTTATTGCTATTTTGCAACAAGGCTTTCAGATGTAGGACTCCCTCTGGACGATAGAACTAGCGTCTCTAACCATCAACAGGAAAATCCTCGCAGACATCGTTCCTCATCTTTGGTCCCATCACCCTGCATTCACCAGGGTTGCCGCTGACACCGAGTCTCTGCGCGGTCTATATCCTCAGATGAAAGGCGCAAAATCGTTTCTGGAATCAACCGAGGAAGGCGGAGGCGAGGAGGCGACATTCTCGATCGTCAGCGAACGGCAATTCGAGTTTGACGATATTGTAACAAACTCGCAGGCGTACCGTAGAGTAGTAGTTGCGGCCACGCAGACATTAAGAGCAACTCATAGTCGAATTGTCTCAGCTGAAGGAGTTTCCAAGGACACATCCGATGGACAGGCGAATAATAGCGACAGCAAGGTACTAGACTCAAACAGCGCTAATCAATCTCGCAAACTCGGTGGGTCCAGGTGGACGAATACTGTTGAAGAGAATTTGATACAAAAAGGATACTTTTTGCCCCCGTCGACAATTGACACCAGCAATTTCGTTCAGCAGCTTCGAGGATATGTTACTCACGTCGATGACATCGAGAAAAAGTTGCGTGATGCTGGTGAAGAATCGAGTGCATTGCGTGAGATGCTAAAGCAAAAGGGATCAGCGATTCAAGATTTAGAGTGGGATGTCCAACAACAATTTGGTGAAAGGAAAAAGATTTCTGGTACATTGTGTCAAACTCTTTACGACATGAAAAAAGTGGAAGCTGATTGTTGGAAATGGAAAGAGAAGTACACTCTCGTGCAGCTTGAAGTTCTGGGCTTAAAAGCTAAGGTGGATGAGATCAAAGAAAACTTTGTGCAGCAGAGAAAAGAATGGGGCCAGAAAAGACAAGAGTTGGAAGAGAAATTACTAAAACTCGGGAGCGAAAGAGATGAGTTCAAAAGTAATTGGCTATTTGAAAGCGAGAAAGTGGAAAAGCTAAGCAAAGAGATGGAGGAGGATGCTGACATGGCCCGCAAGGCACTTGAAAATAAAATATGGGAAGGTAAAACTTTGCAGATCGGATCGACGCTACTCATTCAACTTCAACCACCCATCAGTCTACAAAAAGCCAGCAATGGATCGCGTTTACTGCAGGCTTTCAAGTCACCCGAAGCGCCTGAAGGGCGGGTAACAAGATGGAATAGTAAGTTGCTATCAAATTAAGCTTATTCTAGCAGCACTGACTGCAAGTATAGACAGTCAAAAGAGATGGCTCTTTGTGGAAATATGTACCGACAAGTCTCAATTCAAGAAACCTACAGCGTCAGCCGTGAGGCCACCTCGAAGACCGTCATCTCCAGCACTTGAGCCAGAATCCGCTGAGGAAACGCTGTCCCCAGTCACCTCTGATTTCGATTCCGCAGTCACCTCTGATTCGATGGACTGGTAGGATTCAAGTACGATGATGAAGGATGATTCATTGATTCTACGGAAGGGCCTGGCCTTAAGGGCCAGTCGCTGACTAATATGGTGGTGGGCGAGGCAGGCGCGAGCCTATCTCCTAACATGGACAATGAGGTGGAACCTGAGATTGAATGGAAAAAGGTTGAGAGGAGGCCGATGCCTAGGAAGGGAAAGGACAGGCCCAGAAAGTAGGACTGAGGAGTGGGGGACCCAGACTGCACAGTTGTTACAGATATATCTACTTTCACAGCACGTTCTCCAGAAATTACAAAACGAGCCTCAATACTTCACACCCTAACCGCCCCTCCCCCATCCTGCCCTCCACCTCTCTCCTCACCCTTACTCTTAAACTCACACACCACCAAATCCTGCAACGGCCACGCAATCCAACTCTCCCACTCCGCCCCCAACGTCCGATGAACCGTCTGCAACAAACACCGACTCATCCCCGCCATGAACCAAAAATGATCAATCTTATTCAACAACAAGCAATAATGCGCCAACACCACCAGCGCCTCCGGTTTCTGCTGGCTCACCATGGCGATATAGCTATCCCTTACGCGAATCGGCCAGGAAAGCGTGGTGCCCACCTCGTCGATGGCTTGGTCGCGTAGAGAGAGGAAGGCGTGCACTTCGATTAGGAAGGTTAATGCTTCGTCCAAAGCGTCGGCTTCTTCTGCTTTGAGATGCGTGCGCGATTTATCCCAGAGGGCGGCGAGGGAGCGGAATTTGGAGTTACTGTCCGGGTCCGGGACAGCGGACCAACTTTCTTCGATTTGTAACAGGAGTAGAGATCTTAATGGTCCGTTCTTGAGCCACGTGCACGCGAGTTGCAGGAGGTTGTGGCAGCCTCGGAGGAGCGAGACCCATTCAACTGTCCCACCATCTGTTTTTGAGGAGTCGACGAAGAATAAATCGCCTGTTTGGCAGGATGATGACCAGGCGTATATAACGAGAAGAGTTGAGAACGCAAAACATGCGTCGCAGTTCTCGGGCGTGATACTTGGCATTGCGGTTCGAAATAAGATCACGCCGGCGGTGTGATGCAGGGTCGCGACTGGACACAGAGTACTTCGTCGCTCAACATATAATCGTCCGAGATGTATGGCTGAGAGGGCCAGGATACTGCGTAGCAGGAAGGCGTGCGAGAAGGCTATTTTTGGGACGACTTGTTGCCATAAGCGCTGTTGTTCGGGTAGGTTGCTGAGGGTGAGACTTGTTGTTGTGGTGAAGAAATGGAGCAATTCTAGGTTCTTGACTTCGAGTTCGAGGCCGGAATGGAGATTGGAAGATGTTGTCAGAGAGGGGGAGCCGCAAGTGGTCCCGTGGGAACTGGTTGAATGTTGGAGGAGGGAAGCGGATGTTGCGTTGGACGATGGCGACGAGTCTGGTGGGGTCGATCTGATGAATGAGCATTCGGTAGAGAATCTCGTGCAATGGTTGCAACTAGGTTTATGTTCATCGCACTGGAGGTTTGTTAGAAGGATTTTCGGGAGTATCTCGATGCAACGCAAGACAATCCATGTCCAGATGTCCAGAAAGGAACTGCTTGATTGGAGAACGAGGAATAAGCACAGACCTTGATCTTCCGTAGCTTGCATTGCTGACACCCTGTGCGACTCTTACGATGCGGTCGTCTGTGGCTTCCTGCAGAGTGCTCAACCATGGTTAGGGGTGTCAATCACATCCACCAAGTTGGTCGTCAAAAGCGCCAGCTGTTGATAGTTTTACGATGAACGATATACGACGAACGACGATGACCGTATTGAGGACACATGGCTCTATTCTGAGATTGAGCTTGTGGTCAATGTGATTGAATTGAGCCTAAGATATAAGACGTTTGAGATGTGGCGGCAAAATGAACACTGCGGAGTGACCAATAATTATCACTTGAATATTAGCTTACAAAGCTAGCGAAACAAAAGTTAAACAAATACCTTCTCAACATCTCGTCGAAAGAATAATCTTTCCTACATATACGAGTACCGCGTCCTCCGAGGCAATTTTCGAAAGTCATGCTGAATTCCTACTGTACAATGTATTGCGCAAGTGCACATCAATGCGAGCAACCCCAATACATCTGGCATGCAGGCAACAACTCCTTACTTCCACCAGTATTATAGCAATAAGGAGCTTGATCGAAATGCTGCACATCATACCAACGATTCGAGAATCCCCATCCCATGTTGTACCCCCCTAGAACTTCCTTGAAACCCATTACCCAGGGGAGTTCAGAGTCGAAGTTGTAATGAAGCCAGCGGTAAGGAACATTGTCATTGCCGCCGATGGGGACGCACTTTGTTCATGTGAGTCAGAGCTGTGATAGATATGGTGACGTGAATACTCACGTTATGGTCGTACAAATAAAACTCGGTCCAGTCTGGATTTCCTTCTGGCATGCGGTTGGTGAGGATACATTGATTGGCCTTCTCAGGATTGTTTTTATAACAGTAGGGAGGGCCAAAGCTCGGTTCGTAATTTACGCTTGGCCATGTTTGCCAGCGGCCGGTTTGTCGGGTCTCCACGGTGGTATTGGGTTCGAGTGCAAGTTCGAGTGAAGAGGTAGATGGAAGAGACGGGCGACAAATCGAAGTGGTGATGAGGATGAGGACAACGAGCAAGGTAGTGGTGTACTTCATGCTTGTGGATGATTCGATTAGCATTCAATTTTGAGGTCTTGCATACTAAGTTAGAACGAGGTGCTAAGCGTGGCGGCAGTTGCAGTTTTTAAAGTGGATCAAGGTAGAGTTACTATGTAGTGAATCAAGCTCTAAATTTTTGAGCCTGTGACTGGGCTCGAGGTGCCAAGTTTGGGTGAATTCAAATGGTTCTACGAGGTATTTTTACGGAGGGATTGCTCAAGGACGAGCAAATTTCGCCAGAATTCAAGTATACGAGAATAAGCAATTGAAACATGAAAGATGCTTGAACCGACAGCACGAAGAAGATAGGAAATGGCACATTATGAGGAGGAAAGACTCCAAAATGTTCAACTAATTGTGTTGAATCACACTAGTAGTTTAGAAGCAGCTAAATCCAAAAGCCATTGCAACAGCAGCCTTGACAAAATGACTCTTTAAACTGGTGCAAGCTCCAATACGATCAAATATACGATCGAGACTCAAGATGTTCTTCAATGTAGAGTGGTGTCTGCCATGTTCCCTCATTGTAAGTGGACGATCACGTGAGTCGTCAGTATATCCTCAACAACCTCGAGATTTGAGAAAAGAACGATATATGGAGTGATGCAGAGAATACAATTGTTTGGGTGGAACGCTATCATGGTATCTAAAAACTCTCTTCAAGGGCAAAAGATATCTCGGCCGTGTAAAGAAAGGGGTCAGAGCCGAGGCGAGACGTTCGCTTCCCCGCGTTATCTCGGATCTGGTCTAGTCTCCCCGTGTCAACCCTGTACAAGCTCCAACTCGATTTCTCCCAGACTGCAAGGTACAAAACTGACTCGTATGGTGAAGGACCAGCGGATATTGTAGGTACCAATGCTCCACGAAAATACGCTGAGCCGAATATAGCATGAAGGATCCAAGTTGAAACCAATCAAGAAGAAGGGACCATGAACGGTCAGCATGCTCACAAACACTTGCATGGAGACAAAACTACCTCTTAGAAGTTGTGCACTCATCTATAGCTTCACTTCAAAGCGGCCGAGCGTCATATAGACTAAGCCAAGCTGCAAAGATCTCAAAGAGGAAGGTATACCGACCAATGAATTCTTCATGTTGAAGATCTGGTCCCAAGAAAACCAAGATCTAGGATCATTACCAGCTATCAACTGGGGCAGAGCAGGGCTTCCATCTGTCCATCCTCCTGTCCATCCTCGCTACTCCTTCCTCCTCAGTTTGATATAGTCACGTGCTGTCGTGATTGCCATTTTAAGGTTGAGCTAAAGATCAACCCCGCAGATTACCCCACATCGACATGCTCACTGCGTAGAGCTGTCAGTCTTACTTCCACGATATTTGCGGATTGTTTCCGCCTCTCCGCTGCTCCGTTGTTCCTGATCACCGGTCTGCAAGGTGAAGTATAAGACACACAACATCCCTGCTCGTGTCATCTTGTGCAACCCGACCTCACCTCTACTTCCCCTCCAAAAATTTCAATTTTCCTTTTTCCTTTTTCCTCCAAACAATTCCAGCAGAACAGCAGAAATGGCCACCGCAGCTGTTCAGAGCATGCCTACGCGTGCAATTCCTTCATCCCAACGCGTTGAACCAGGATCAGTTAATCTACATGTTGCTGATTTCTCGAATATCAAGGTCGTGAAGCCAGAGGATATCGACAAGGCTACAGATGAATGGGTCAGCTCATTCAACAAAGTTATTCAAAGTTCAGACTTTGCGGGTCTCTCGGATCTCTTCCTCCCAGAAGCTTACTGGCGTGACCATCTCTGCCTATCATGGAACGCTCACACATTCAAGGATCCAGAGAGCATGAAAGAGTTCTTAAAGAAAGGGTGCAGGTTAAAGAATGTAGCTGTCGACCGAAGCAGTGACTTCCGAAGACCTACTATCACAGGATTCGATGGTCAAGGAAAGATCCAAGGTGTTCAGACATTCCTCACTACAGAGTCAGATGTCGGCAGGGGAATTGGTGTTGCGAGATTGGTTCAACATGATGGGAAGTTGAAGGCATTCACATTATTTACGTCTATGAGAGAATTGAAAAATCACGAGGAAGCTGTCTTTGGACGAAGACCAGAAGGTGTTGCTCATGGTGGACGACCAGGAAGAAAGAATTGGCAAGAACGTCGCATCGCAGAGGAGAATTGTGACGATGAGGATCCTGCTGTCTTGATTCTGGGTACGTACCCTCGTAAGAGTTTCACAAGATCCTCAAACTAATACTTCCTAGGTGCTGGTCAAGGTGGTTTAACACCCGCTGCGCGTCTGAAAATGCTCGGAGTCAAGACCCTGATCATCGATCGAAATGAACGTGTCGGAGACAATTGGAGACAACGATACCACCAACTCGTCCTGCACGATCCTGTCTGGTACGATCATATGCCCTACATCAACTTTCCACCCCATTGGCCAATCTTCACTCCAAAGGATAAGTTGGCAGAGTTCTTCGAGTCGTATGCAAAGCTCCTCGAACTCAATGTTTGGATGAGAACCACGATCAAGGACTCGAAATGGGATGAAGCGAAGAAACAATGGACAGTCACTCTCGAGCGCGAGAAAGAGCCAGGTGTTGTCGAGACTCGTGTCATCCATCCCAAGCACATCATTCAAGCCACAGGCCACTCTGGCGAGAAGAACTTCCCATCCCATATCCCTGGCATCAAAAACTTCAAGGGTGACAGACTCTGTCACTCGTCCGAATTCACAGGCGCTAAGATGAATGGCAACGGAAAGAAAGTTCTCGTCGTCGGATGCTGCAACTCAGGTCATGATATCTCGCAAGATTTCTACGAGAAGGGCTACGACGTGACAATGGTCCAACGTTCCTCAACCTGCGTCATCTCCTCCGAAGCAATCCTCAAAATCGGCTTAGCAGGCCTCTACGACGAGCAAGGCCCACCAGTTGAGGACGCAGATCTCGCATTCTGGAGTATCCCCTCACCTGTCCTCAAGAACATCCACCAAGACGTAACAGCAATCCAAAACAAGCACGATGCCAAACTCCTCGAAGGACTCGAAAAAGCCGGCTTCAAACTCGACGAAGGTCCCGATGGCGCCGGATTATTCATGAAATATTTCCAACGAGGAGGCGGATACTACATCGACGTCGGAGCCTCACAACTCATCATCGACGGCAAAATCAAGATGAAGCAAGGCCAAGAAATCGCCGAGATCCTGCCCAACGGCATGAAATTCGCAGACGGTTCCGAGCTTGAAGCAGACGAGATCATCTTCGCAACAGGATACAAGAACATGCGAACTCAAGCTCGAACCATCTTCGGCGACGAACTGGCTGATAAGGTGACCGATGTCTGGGGATTCGATGAGGAAGGAGAGATTAGGACGATATGGAGGAAGACGGGGCATCCGGGATTCTGGTTCTTTGGTGGGAATTTGGCGTTGTGTAGGTATTGGTCGAGGATGATTGCTTTGCAGATTAAGGCGCTTGAGGAGGGGATTTGCGAGTATAGTGATCGATAGGGGCGTGATGGATTTGAAGGGAAATGGATCGTGCTTAGATGTTGATTGCTTAGCCTGGCTTTGACAGCGAAGGATTTTATGAATGAAAATCGATGAAAATTACCTTTGTCTGAGCTGATTGTCAAAATTTCCATGATACGTTTGTCACAAGAAATCGTTTCATCTTCAGACCCCGCCGGCGTTAACGCTTTTATCCCCGCTACCCCGCTAACTTCCACATCCTCCACATCTTTCACATCCAGCCACTCACTTCTCATCCAAATAGATTTCTTCATCTCTTCTTAATCGTTAAAGCTAATGCCTACTTGCAGGTCAGCACGTTGCATCGTTCCTGCATACACACATCTTTTCTCCATCCTAGGAGACTAGGAAGAGGTCAGCAAGTTGCAGCTTTGAGCCTTTTAGCTTTCATGATCCAATGACCTTCTCCAATTTATTCAATTCCGAGCTTTGGGGTTCCTGGGATTGGGTCAGCATTCTGCATTCTCGAGACTTATTTATTCCCATTCATCCACACAAAATGCTTATTCGGAATATTTTCAGCTGTCTGCTTCTAAGCTAAGTAGAGTTGAGCAATTGCTGGGATGGGGTCGGCAGGTTGCAGAGTTGAGGCTCTTGGGTCTTGTTATCCAATGATATTTTCGAGTTTCTTCTTTTTCGAGATGTGGATGGTTGGGTTTGGGTCAGCATCTTGCATATCTAACCCTCTCACCTCGAGATATCTGAGCTAGGTATTCTTTTGAACGGGATTTAAAGCTGGCTTTACTAGGTTCTGGTCAGCGGGTTGCATGCTCGAAAACTATGGGATATACTTGGGTCTTTTTGGGGTTATTTATGTCAAGTTACTACTAGGATAAATGCTTTTGTCTCCTTTAGATGTTCATTTTAGATCGTCTGTTGATATGAAGTATATCCTGGACGATCTCTTTGAATTGAGAAGGGTCAGCAGGTTGCAGTTGATACTCTCATTCCACCGTCAAATCGTCATACAAAATAAGATCTATTTCCCCTCCTCTCTTCTCTTCTCTTCTCTTCTCTTCTCTTCTATATATCCCCTCCAGCTCCATTCCCTCCGTCCCCTCCCTCTACTTCTCGCCAACTCACCCCATCTCATCCCAACCCACATCTCCATTCTCGCCCACAATGTCCACAACCACCCCCCTCGTCTGGTTCATAACAGGCTGCAGCTCAGGAATCGGCCTCCACCTCGCCCTCCACGCCCTCCGCCACGGCCACCACGTAATAGCCACCTCTCGCTCCCCTTCTCCCTCCTCCCCCCCCCCCTCAGAACTCATAACCTCCCTCGGCGGCCACCATCTAACCCTCGACGTCTGCTCCCCGCTCCCTATCCTCGCTGAAAAAGTTAACGAAGCAATGAGTATCTACGGCCGGATCGACGTTCTGGTGAATAATGCTGGTTATGCGCTTTTGGGGGCTTTTGAGTGTATTAGGTACGTAGCGATGTAAAGGGCGGGGAGGAGGTAGGGTGGGGAGAGAGATGGGGAGGGTGAGGGAAGGAGAGATGGGGAGGGTGAGGGAAGGAGAGATGGGGGATGAGGGAGAGGAGGGCTGATGTGTTTAGTGATGAAGAAGCGAGGGCGCAGATGGAGACTAATTTCTTTGGGCCGCTGAGTCTTTGTCGATTGCTGTACGTCGCTTTTCTTTTGTATCCATTCTACTCTTCCGAAATCTTAGAGAGCTGTTCATCGGCTTCCACATCCCCACAGAAAGAGCCCAACACTGATTGCTTTACAGCGTCCCCCATTTCCGCCACCGCCGCACCGGAACAATCCTCCAAATCTCCTCCGCGGCCGGCCTCGAAGCCCGCGCCTCCCGCTCCCTCTACTCCGCCTCCAAATTCGCGCTCGAAGGCTTCTCCGAAGCGCTCTCCAACGAGATGCAACCCTTCAACGTGCGCGTCCTGTTGATCGAGCCCGGGGCTTTCAATTCCGAGTTCGCGGATAAGTGTGTGACGCCCGCGAAGGGGTGGGAGGAGGTCAGGGACGAGTATAGGGGTTCGGAGATGGAAAGGGTGATGGGGTTGGTGGAGGGGATGAGGGGTGGGAATATGAGGAATGATGTGGGGAAGGGGGTGCAGGCGATTTGGGACACGGTGATGGGGACCGGGGTGGCGGAGGGGATGGAAGCGTTTTTGAGGGTCCCGTTAGGGAGGGATGCGGCGGAGCGGTGGGAGGTGGTGGGGGAGTTGAGGAGGAGGACGTTGGAGGGGACGAGGAGGGTTTGGGAGAGTTGTGAGAGAGATTCTTGACGAGACTTGGGGACGATCGACGATCGACGATCAAAAGATTGAGGAAAGAGAGCCACGTGACGATGAACAAACTCCTTTTCAGAGACAGAAGCCATTGGATGTACTCTGAACTGTCGGACAATCTTGGCCAATCTTCACACTTCCTCACAGTCCTCTTGACTCTGAACTTCCCGTGATCCGTAACGTTTGTTGCACATCGCAACTTTGACAGGTTTCCTCATCCACCATGAACAAAACAAACAGCCAATCACCTCCCACTTCAAACACTTTGTTGCACATCGTGACATCTGTCACTGCTTCGTCATCGATGATCCCCCACACTTTGGAAACAGAAACATTAATGCCATGATTAAACATCCAGAAGAGGAAGAAACAAATGATGTTTCGATCATCAAGAAAATTCTCTGCTTTGATGGGCTCAAGCTGAAGGGGAGGTCCGCAAAACCGTCGGGGGGGCGATGTGCAACAAACATCGAGATTGTGTGGTAAGGAAACAGATATCAAGATGGAATTCACTAACCCAATCCAAAGGGTTTCGGCCCTCGGGCGAACGACATGCAACAAAAACTGCAAATGTACGGTAAGGAAACAGACATTGAAGACAAGATTCACCAGACTTAGAACACTGTACGAAGAAGAGAATTGCTCGCGCAGTTGTATATTCAAAACATGCACCAAAAAACAAACATCATTACCCAACAAGAGTGGAGCTCCAAAAACGCCCACCACAAACTCCAAATCAAACCTCAATCAAAGGCCCCGCACTAAGAACGCTCTCCCTGATATCATCCTTCCCTTTGTTCCGCTTAAACAAACTCCCCAGACTCTTCTTCTTTTTCTCCTTCGAGATCACGTCTTTGACGACACTTTCAATGTCATCCTTCTCTTTCCTGCTCTTTCGAGAACGACCAGTTTCGGATTCCGCAACTCTACTTTTTGGTTTCTCGCTGCGGCCAGTTTCGGATTCGGCGACGCGGCTGGAGGTTCGGATGGGGATGTCCCGTTTTCGGATCGTGGAATCGCTGCCGATTCTTCGGATCGTACGGTCACTCTTCACCGTTTGTCCATCATCACTTCCCGCTCTCCTGGACTTTCGTTCAGTCCTCACCGTCTCGCCAGCTACGCTTCGAGCTCTCTCTTCCTTTCTCCTTTCTTTGATACGTTCCTTCTTCTGTCTCGCAGCCTCTGGTGTAATGAACTCGCCATCCACGCTGGTAGAAACACTCTGAGCCTCCACCTCCGCAATTCCTCGTCTCCAGCTTTCGATACTGCCCATCTCAATGTTATCATAAACCAAAGCCTCCTCCATTTTGTTAGCCTCTTTCTTCGCTTCGTTGTCGGCTTGCAGGCGCTTGATGATCTTGTATCCCCCGAACATGACAATAGTAACACCAAGCGCGACGCCGCCAGCAATCAAGAACTGTGGACTTGCAAGCAAGCCAAAAATGACTGGAGAGCTAGCCTTCAACATTCCTAAAATGCTAGGACTCATATGCGTCAACAAATTCGAGAGCTCGGCAAGTGTGAGCGCTACAGCTGCCATGGCTTCAGGGTTCGCTTGCAGAGTTGAGATGATGGCTGTAGCAGAGTGTTGCAAACATTGTGCTTCAACAAGTAGAGTATCGAGTCGTGACATTGTGTTTTTCAGCTCCTCCTCCTTTGCAATTCTTTCTGAATGACCTGGTTGTAGATCTGGAGGCAATTTGCCGTATGCGAGATTCATATCGATATCTTTGTCATGGAAATCAGGATTCGACTGACTGCGAACAGGTGTGCGGGCGGTGAGTTGTGATTGGTATGGAGGAGGCATGGTGCCGCGAGAGAGTGCACTATCGGTTGGACCTATTGGCATATCGGTATGTCGTCGTGTGATACCTGGAACTGGTGCAAGCTCAGTGCCAGTTTCGACATAGGGATTCCTGTATCCGACGGGGGATTTAGGTCGTCGAGAGCCATGGTGCGAGCTTCGACTTCTGCGAGACGAGGCTACGCTGCCTTCAGAGACGTGGGAGAGGTTTCGTTCTGTGAGAGGTGGGCGGGATTTGGGGAATTCGGGGGTGTCTTCGAGGGCCTTTGGGGCTCGAGAGCGATGTGATCGATGCGAACGATGCGAACGTCTTGAGGATCCGTTTGATCGAACTTCGTCTCGAGCATCGATCAATCGTTGCGCATCTCTGTGCTTCACCCTGGCATAATGATCCGCTTTCAACTCTGCCTTCCTGTCCTGATATGCTTCTTTGGCCTCCTTGAAGATGTTGACCAAGTGCTTTCCCTGCTTGGGTTAGTACCGCTTCCAGCGAAGTGAGCGCCAAGTACTTACAGTACTGATGACTTTCCCAGACTTGTTTATGATCGTGACAGTTTCCATGAGCGGCATCTTGACGGTACTGTATTAAAATGATAGTAGAAGACCTGCTTCGATGGGTATATAGTCGTTAATCGTTCCTCGGCCCTCCGTCAAAATTGCGGTGAGGTCTGGGGGAAAATCGAGGCTCCGCACGCCAAATCGTCAAACAAAACCACCAGCAAAGGTATCCTGTCGCTTCACTCCAGAGATCCTTCGACTCTTGATCTCAAGGAACAAGAGAGGATGTAAAGAGAAGAGGAAGAGTTCTCGTCGAGCGCCCAAAGGTAAGGTGAGGCGGCAGGCGGTAGATTCTTTATCGCGATTGGTGCTATCGTCCAGGATCTGCAACCTCTCGCGGGAGCAAGGCAATCTGGCAATGCTTAAGTGGCTCCAAGTATACCCTCTGGACCTCCGACTACTGCAGTCAATCCCCGACTCCCGTCAAGTATCGAGGTCGCGGAATGCAGGAAAGAGGAGCCGTAGTCGGGTCCATATTGTTATAGGAATGCTGGAGAAACATCGTTCTTTGCTGGCGAGCGATGATTTGACCGCGGCTCACCGATAGGAAAAGCAGGAAGCAGCTGGACCAGGGTTGAGCTTGAAAAGAGCCTGGCCCGAGCAAAGGTTTCACTGGATGTGGCGAGTGATGCGCGGCCGAATTGGGGCGGTGCGCTCTGTGGCTGGAAGGAGAGCCAGTGATTTATGCGTAAGGAGAAAATCTGGGACAAGAAATGGTTTGGAAAGTGCATGTGATGATATTGGAAACGGATTAATTACCTCAATGGAGATTCAGACTGGAGATCTCCCCATGGTGCTTATTCTAGATCCTGTAAGAACTTTATGTTGGGCTGGAACACTACCACAGGGTTGATTATTGGACGGCATATAGAAGAGAGAAATATCTTCGTGACCCCGCGGTGTCAGATTGATCGCACAGCATAAATATGCAATGCTCGATGAATTCACAACATGTGGAAGCCTGCATGATGAAGAGCCTGAAGTGTGGCTTCGAGATGCAATTGATGTGGCTGAAGATGCTTTTTGTTTTCGAAGGATTTTCATCCGACATTTCTCTTCCGCCTTGGGCTTGAACGCATTGAAAAAAAAGACCGCATCAGCGAATGAGGAAATTTCACGAAAGAAATAGCGTCCAGCTCTCAATATGCACAGTGGACTATGATTTTCCACACAGAACATCACCTGCGAGATCTGGGACATCAGTACCAACCTTAGATCACTAGATCTCCCTTCCTTGCACATTCCAATATCGGAATGAGATTTGCTCGATGACTAAGATGGAAGGTCTGCTCAGGGCTAGTTTTCCCAGGCGTATCTACTACTTGTACCTAGGTGAGGAGAGGTCCAACGGAAGGAGGATGGTGGTTGGGGTCTTCTCAGTCAACACAAAATTCGATTGAAAGAGAAGCCATCAAAACCTTGTGAATCCTATGGCCAATACAATCCTACCCCTCTTTTGAATTTAACAGCAGTAATCAACAGATGCCTACTCAAAACCGCGCTCAATCCACGTGATGCCCCTAACAATACCTAGGTAACCTCTCGACGGTCCGCCGCGCGCTAGCTCCCGGCACTCATTGCGGAGATCTGAACCCCCATTCTTGAACCTCACTCTCCGTTATCAATCTCGGCCCTTGCCCGTTGAACCCCTTATCGTGTTGAAAAGCTTATTCCATCGGGATGTTACGTTTCTCGGGTTGAAGTGGGACGAGGAAGAAGATATATATCTTCGCTATTCCTAACGACCTCTGGTTTTAGTCTATCTTTTTTCCCAGAGCCAGAGAAGTAGACGAGGAGATCAAAATGACGTTCAAGCGGGTGAGAGAGTATATCACTCAGCCATATGAACATCCTGGTGAGGGGAGACTTGTGAGGAAACTTGGTGAGTGGCAATTCTGTTTCCCTTCTCGAGGATAAGTGTTGCTGATGAATAGGAATAGATTTCTTCATCTTGACGTTTTGTTGTTTGATGTATTTTACGAATTATCTGGATCGATCGAATCTGGCGAATGCGTATGTGAGTGGAATGAAAGAGGATTTGGGATTTGTGGGAAATCAGTATAATTTGATTAATACTGTTTTTACTGTGGGGTAAGTATCGTCTTCGAGTTCTGGGAGAGCTGCAAATCTTATGAAATATTCGACTAATTCTCTCTCCAGATATGTCGTCGGTCAAATCCCCTCCAACTTGGCTCTATACCATCTCAAACCCCGCATTTTCTTCCCCAGCATGATGATCGTCTGGGGCGCACTCACCATGATCACCGCATCTGCTCGTCACCCCCGCGACATCATGGTTATCCGCTTCTTCCAAGGTATCGCCGAGTCCAGCACTTTCGTCGGAACTCATTACATCCTCGGCTCCTGGTACACAGCCAGAGAATTGGGCAAGCGTTCTGGCATCTTCACCTCGTCCGGTCTAGCTGGTACCATGTTTGGTGGATTCCTCCAAACTGCGATTCATAGCTCTTTGAACGGCTAAAATGGACTTGCAGGCTGGAGATGGCTCTTCATCATCGACGGACTCATCACGATCCCAATCGCCATCTATGGCTTGGTCCTATTCCCCGACACGCCCAGCACGACAAAAGCCTTCTACCTCACCTCCGACGAACGAGCGCTTGCCATCTCCCGAGTCCCAGAAGTACCAGAACGGCAGCCTTGGAATTTAGCTTTCCTCAAACGCGTATTCGGAAGCTGGTACTGGTACGGATTCGTCATGCTCTGGATCATCGCCGGAGAAACAGAATCCTTCTCCTCGAACTCGCTTCTTGCTCTATGGATGAAGTCTACAAAAAGGTACTCGGTCTCTGAACTGAACAACTACCCTACTGGCGTCCCCGCTGTTGGTATCGCATCAACTCTATTCTGGGCCACTCTCACGGATTTCCTTGGAGGAAAGCGGTACCTTGTCGGGTATTGGATTGCCATCACGGGCATCGTCACATCAGCCATGATCTTGAATCCACATGCCGGCACTGCAAGTATCTTCGGGGCGTATTACTGGGCCGGAACGGTGTACGCTTGTCAAGCCACTTTCTTCGCTTGGGCCAACGATGCGATGAGGTGGGAAGAGGATAGTTTGAGAGCGGTGGTAATTGCTAGTATGAATTGTGGCAGCAATGCCGTGAATGCGTGGTGGGTTTGTTGTTCTATGCGGCGAATATGGTGCCGAAGTTCACTGTAAGTTTGTGTCCTGAAAGAAAAGGAGTGTATGCTGATTTGTGGATAGAAAGGTATGTATGCGATGATTGGGACGTCGATCGCGTTGGCGATCTGGACGAGTGGGTTGTTGTATCTCACAACGAGAGCAGAGAAGAAGAGGTTGGTCGAGGGACAAACTCAGGGATCAGATGAGAAGACCTTTGAGGTTGAGGCAAGTGGAGATGTGAAGATGTGAGAAGATGAAATCGGGCTCTTCAGATTAGGAAACGTTGTACGAATGGACTAGCTTAGGCTTGAATCGTATTGAAGTTGTCGAAGCACGATGAATAGAAAGATACCCGTATTTAGATAGCAAGAATCACAGTAGAAGCAACTCACATCCACGATCGCACTGCCGGAAGTGACAATAGCTGAAAAGCGAGTGCTGCTACCCTAGCTTGAAGCAGATCGTTAAACTAAACATTGGCTAGAAACACATAATCAATAATGAACCAAAGTCTGACTATCTATATACATACAAAAAGAAACCGCAAAAAGCATGAAACAAAAATTGACATTCTCAACCTCAGTCGCCCCGAAATACCTCACTATACTATAGTGTTCCACGTACCGATTTGTCTCCAAACCCGAATCTGGGTTCTCATTTTAGAGAATCTTTTTTTCGGCAGTAAGATCGTTTCGAAGGAGAAAATGGAACTGCTCTATATGCTGGCGCCACTATCATTTGATGAACTGGGGCTCCCTACTGGGGTGGGTAAAACTGTTTGGTAAGTACGGGCAGGCCAATGCGGGCTTCTTAGATCTATTAATGGGGAATCAGGATCCATCCACCTCAAGAGGTCGACTGATTGAACTGCTTCCTCCCAGATAAGTCTTAGCCTATGCTGCGCTTCATATTCTTCAGTGCCCCTAGTCAGCGTTGTCTCGTATTCCCATTTGGTATAAAATGGAGCAACTTGGTCACCATCGACTGGCGTACCATCGAGTTGGTATCGCACCGCGCCGTCCGGTCCATCAAGCCACACAAAGCCATGAGGCTGACATCGCTCTGGATAATCGTGCTGAAACATTTTATCTTGATAATAGTTGGCTTCTTCGTTCAGACCCAGGTGGCGAAGAAGATCAACGACAGTGAAGGTGCTTTCAGCAACGATTGGTCCATGGCGAGCTTCTCTCTCTGCATCCCTCCCATCTCCGCATTTTTGCCATTTCTCTCTGCTGCATATGGTTACCAAATCTGTGGACTCCTGCGCTGGAAGCTTTCGAACTGCATCCACGACACCCACAACTGTCCTGATCCACATAATTGCTCTGACTGGGTTTAGAGTCCCTTCATGCTGCCTAAACTCGATTGTTGGCTTCACTGGCTTTTCGTCGTTCGTTACAGACCCAATGACAGCGCCGCCAGCTACCCTTGCAAGATTTTGCCAATTGACATACTGTCGACTTGTCAGCAGGTCCAAACGTCAGTTTTGAAGCTACGAGCAGCCGTCGTGCAATACACAGAGAAGGATGTCATTCTAAGTATCTTCAAATTTTGGGACCCAGAACCCTGAGAGGAGATAGGAAAGTAGGTAATGAACGTACCATATATCTCTTGTTATCAGGAGCACTAACTCCATCTGTGATGTCCTGTATTGTAAGAGGCTCCCTGAGCTCGTAGACACCTATGATAGGAAGCGAACGGGTAGCTTCTTTCTTGAAGTCACGCTCCGCAATGCCGCTGTGAGTCCGCATTCCTTCCGCAAAAGTACTGTCGATTCTGTGTATTGGGTGTAGGGTGTTGAATTGGGGCTCAAATGCGTAAAAGAAGGCTGATTTCAATCAGCATTGAAATTATAGATATCAGAGAATAAAGGGAGGTCCCATACCTGCGAGACTAGCCACTACTTCTACTGGAAAGACGGTGTTGCCATCTCCAACATGAACATGTAGTGCAGTGTCATTATTGTTCTTGTATCTGTAGTTGGACCTGATGAATCTGCATACTTGGCTTACTTGCTCCAGGCTTTCAGGCGTGAATGGCAAGACTGGTGACACGATCTCGACACCAGCCCAAGTGAAGGGCGCATCTAGGACATCATCTGGGTTTCCAGCATACCGTCCGTCGACGGTCGCATCAGTGCAAACCTGCCAATGCGTGCTAGACCGTGCAGGGTCTATCGTGTCTGAGCAATATGCAGGAAAACCCGCAACAGACAGCGCTTCAGAAATGTGGATTCGTGCTGCTTGACCTACAAGATTCTGACTATCGTCATCCGATTCCACTGGCGTTGGACGTGTGCCTTTTGCTACATATTCGTCTGCTAATTCTTGCACTGCTGCATCGCTGGGTGTCTATATGGATCCTCACAATCAGTAAAGTTTTGCGCCGTGGACTAAAGCACATGTTGGGATTGAAAATACGGAGGACGTAAAAGCTAGCTCAGAATGGAAAAAGGACACTTACGAAAGCCATGGTGTAGCGTGGATTGGTACCCGGTGGAGCTCTCTGACCGGCCTTGAGGTGACCAACATATATCTCAAACTCCACCCCGAATGTCAGTGGTGCTTGTGCCATTTCTTCTATACTACTTGAGAGTTTACCGAGTCGGATTCCTGGGCTGCAGTCGTATGAAACCGTCAGGCAAGTTTAAGTAAAGTAGTGACTCGGATCCTCCTTTATTCTTGAAGGAATTGATCTTACCAATGTCACTAAACAAAAGCAGGGTAAGTTTCTTTGCTCCAAAAACCGCAACCGGATTGCATTATTGCTGCTTCATTGAAGTAGCGGCCGTCAATAAGACACTTGCCGTCACAAAGAGCCAAATCCCAACATGGGATAAAAAGCGAAATAAACTTCTTGCAAAACCATCGCTACCTTTATTCCGCCTGACCTCGAACCCAAAACTCCAATTTCCCTGTTCCAATCTATCAAAGTGTCTTCGCATCCAGCCACTCGCTCAAGTCATACTGTCTTCCTTCGCCATCGTACTTCTCTAATCCGCTGTGCTGACCAGGCTTCCAAACTCTCATGACAGCTTTACCATACTTATCAACCGTAGCACGAAACATGCCACCACAGTTGTAGTCGTCAACAACATTAGAGACTGCTGATTTCTTGTTGCCATTCTCGTCTGTGACCACCGTGAGCTCGATACCAATGATTCCGCCTTCACCTTCTCCAGTCTTTCTCCAGCGGCTCCCAGCGCTCTTGACCAAGTCTCCACCGGGACCAGATATCTCCGTGATGGCTTCCTGGAGTGATGTTTTGGCATTCGATTTTGCCCCACGATATCGAGCAATCGCTGATGCTGTTCGGACAGCATTGATTCTGAGGAACGAGTCTCCATTTCCAGTGCCTGACATGCCCGTTGATCTGAAGACCCTGTCTCCCTCTGCTAAAGTCCTTGGATCGAAATCAACTGCAGGTAGTGGGGAATAGGTGGTTGGGCTGGGGAAACAATCTGCGATCATCCCCTTCAAGGTTTCGCTAATTACCAAAGCTGGTCCTTGCTGATTCATAAGAGTTTCAGTGATCGAGGAAATATCTTCTTCCCATTCTTCTGCCCAGAATCCTGCACCAATTGTAGGTGTGTCTCCAATTCGTCCTGTCAACTTGTTTGTCATGCCTCCAGTGCTTGTAGCACAGCAAATCACACCCTCGGTATCAAGTGCAACAGCACCACATGTGCCTTGTGGAAAGAAGTGTTCTTCGTGCCACGTCGCATGGCCGAAGGTCTTCTCGTTCTCTAGGCCTTTGATATGCTCATCCCATCTTGCTTGGACAAAGAAGTAGCTTGGATCTACCATCTCCATGCCCCACTTCTCTGCCAACTTCTCGGCGCTATACTTATGTAGTTGTGAGTGACCTTGAGCACCAGAGCTGAGTGTTGAAGAGTCTTGTTCGAAAAGCATAGGTCCTCTGTGTTCTCCATTTCCACCTTCCAGATCATTCTCCCCATGCAAAAGCATTTCTCTAACAAACTTGATTGGGTTCTTAACATGTTGAAGACCCATAACTCCAACGCCCCTCTTCTTCTTTCCTTTCGAGACCATAATCGAGGCTTCAAGTTCGTTGACGCCATCTCTCGTAAAGACAGCTCCATGTCCAGAATTGAAAAGGTCGTGGTCCTCCAATAACGAGACGGCAAACGTGGCAGCATCTATTGCAGATGTGTAGGAAGCCGTAGATAGAGGAAACGAAGAGGGAGAGTTCAGGAATCGGTGAGATTCTGCGAGGATGGTAAGGAGCGCATCGTGGTACTTTGTGTATTTCGAAGGTGGGAGGTTGGAAGGTAGGATATTTCCAGCGCCGCCGTGGATAATAAGTCTAGGAGTAATGTTTTGATGAGATTGCTTGTATTCCATGATGGCGATTGAAGGTTTTCTAGGCTCTTTGTTCTTGCGTGGAAGAGAACTTGAGTTGATCTTCCTGTGGTAGCTCTTTCCCTGAACCGCAATCTCTTATCAGGTCGTTATCAAGGAGCTTGGCCTTATGGCCGCCTGAGGCCGCAGCAACATTTATTTCGATTTACTTGCTGCTTGAACTTCAAGAAGACAGCTTCGACATACTGCTCTGAAACTGTCCCAGCGGCCGTCAACTCTGGTTTGCCGGTAGCAAATCCGACGAAGAATGTCAGGAAACAAGAATAAAGAAGCGCCGCCGTTTCAAGTTCTTTGTTTCGAGACAGATATGATCCGCGGCTGTGGCTGCATCAGAGAACATACCTCCAATGCTACCTATCGTCTAGTGGCGTCATTTGCAGTGATTTTAGTCTCAACGGCAATGTTGTATTCTCCCTATACTTCTTGCAATAGCTCTACAGCCATGCCCCAGTTCAGTCAATTCCTCCTCTTACAGGACTGAGAGGGTAATCAGGAAAGAGACATACTCCTCAAGCCTATCCTTCGGCTGTTACTCCGTCAGTTAGAAAAATACAGCATGGGCCTTGAGTATGGTCAAGCCTGAGCAAGGCTTGGAACAGTGACACTGTAGCTCTGGTCTCAGGCTTGCCATCTCCTCTGGAACAACGCGAAAAATATTCTGCGAAACTGCCCAACTGAATAGATTCAGTAATGCAATGGTTCGAGAGAGACAACCAGCAAGAATATTGGACCTCAATATACTATCCAAGTCACGTGTTATCACCTCGATTCCCCTGAATGCCAAGCTGCCAAGCATTCATTCGCTAGAGAATAGCTTCAACTGCCTTTGAATGCTTTGCTAGACTACTCAACACCATGACCAATATCCGCGACAAAGAACTGCGGGGATAGAATAAGTGCTTTTGTGCGACGTCCCAGTATAGTCTTTGACCTCCAATTGAAAAGTGCTCAGTCAGTCTCGTGGTCGGAAACCTCAGACAAGCTCCGCGCCAAAAGCAAACCTGAGCTTGTCCAGCTGAAGTGTTTCCCAATTTGAGTGTCCATGCATATTTCGGATGGACGGACTCAAAATCTTGCAGGGATTAGGCGGGCAATGACGCTTTGCCGCGCAATCCAAGATTTCATCTAACAACTTGCAAGATTCGCAGTTCAGCTCAACAAGCTTCTAAAGCTTTAATCTTATGCATATGTCTATCATTTCATCACATCCAGCGAATAACGCCATTTCAATCAATCAATAAGGTCCACAGCTCTTATCTCAAGCTGACAGCGGGATCCTAAAAATGTCGCATGTGCAAGTGGGCACTGACAGGAAGCTACCATTCGTCCTTCACTTTACCCGAATCAGGGCCCAACCACATCTAGGCAGGCTTGAGAATCTAAGATAAGAAGCACTTAACATCACATTGCATCTCTTGACGCGATTGGCAAGGATTCTGATCAAGACAAGCTCAGCCCCCCTGCATGGTCACAAACAAGCTTTCTGCATAATCGACCCCACCATGGCCTGATAGCGGGGTATAAAGACATAGCTTGGCTCCCCTCGATTCCTCTCATCACACTCAACCCCAATCCAAACACCTCTACTACCAAGTGAGTAAATGTTACCTGCCGAACCGCTCCAAGTGAAACTGACTTTCAACTTCCGGCCACCAAAAACCAAACAACAGTCATCATGGGTCTCGGCGAAGATTTCAAGGACCTTGAGAACGATGCCACCGGACAGGGTGGAAATGATGGAGACAACAACGCCAACAACGCGTAAGCTTTAATGCCTCCTTTGGTGTGGCACGTATCTGACTACGAACAGCAATGGCTCCAACGATAAGACCGAAGACACCATGGTCGACTCTGGTATGTTTCCAACCCACATTTCACCTCATCAGCATCTGCAAGATCATCGACTAACTTGTTTGTACCCAGCTCTCGATCAATTCGCTTCCAAGGAGGGAATGCCTGCTGGACTCGACCCCGAAGTCAACAACCTCGTCAACGATGAGGTCAACAAATTTTAGATGATGGGCTGAGGTCTTGATACATGGGTCATGTTGTTCGCAACTTGGGTTAATTCATGTCTTGTTTTATTACCGAGATAGGTAGCTGTCTGTAATGGGATACAATGGATTCTACAAACACAACTTTTTTCCCAGTCCAGATCTGAAGTTCAAAGTGAGAATCCAAATCGTCATTGGATCACAGCTTATGAGATGAGACTCGAATCTATTCACCTACAGCACTCGATAGGTTTTTGGGCGATAAAGCATGCCTCATCCAATGCTTGGTTGGTCATCTCTGACTGTTCATTATCGTTCACAACAATTTATGATGGTCATTGTATATTTCAGCCCACAATCTAGCGGACACATGTACCAGAGCTTTACTCTGTTGTGGTGCATATAATTACCTTCACTGGAGGTATTCTTTCAAGTCAGTTCTGTGATTTAGTAGCGGGGTATATCTTCACGACTTCCGCTTGCGGACGCACGGTCACCTTAGGACGGAACACTGTCACATCTAAATCAGATGAAATAGCGTCACACTTTGAACCTTTTTTTCAACCCCTTCATGCGAAGCTTAAGGTACCTGAATTATGTGTACATAGACTGTTGGAAATACTCTAATTTGGTATGGTCAAGTTTTAGGTTTCGTCATCTTAAGTGGGTCCCAAATTACACGCTAAAACCCTATTTCTACTTCCAACTCCAAACAAAACCCATATATCCAAGGAATATATACAGAATTCCTCTTAAATCGTCACCGCAAATCTTCAACAAATGCCAAGCGCTCTCGATTATCGTCAACCACCCTTGCATACTCCAACAACAACCTCCAAACATACAACATCATATCATCACGTCGATACACCGACTCTGCCCAAACTCTCCCCTCTTCTGCAATGCGCTGAGCTTCCGCATCATGCCCATTCAAGAAGTAATCCATGATGCCATATATATCCATATACGAGCTGTCGAAAGGGACAAAGTGTACCCAAGGAATCATCCTGTCGTCGTGCCACTCTGCATAAATCGTTGCCTTCAACGGCATGCTCGTCGACAACAGAAATCCTCTCCAGCGAGCACTGAATGAATTGCCATCCACATCAGGCAGGTACTTGTATTTGTATTGCGTTTTCATCGGCACGCTTTGCATCACCTCCATGAAAGGATCCGTGTATTCGCATGTTTTGAGATACCCTTTGCCGGATGGCACGCGGGGAAAGCATTCAAGAATGTTGAATCCTACATCCGCGAAGCTCGAGAGCCATTGCCCAAGCTTCCCTTTCTGTTTTTTGAGCACCGAATAAGTTTCGGGCGGGATCAACTTGAAAGACGGCCCTCGAGACTCGTCGCCGGCCTCCATCGCGCTGACGGTTGTCCCGTTCATCATCTGCACCCAGCGGTGTCTGTGGAAGTGCCACCAATTGTCGACTTTGTTCCTGCCTCCAGACGCTGCACCGCGCCAAACCAAAGCATCCTTCTTCGCTGCCCATTTCACACCATGAGTTCTGCCTCCGCTATAGAACGGATCATCCGTCAAGTACATGGCCCCTGGGATCAGTATCTCGTTATTCTGGGGCAACTTTGAGCCTCCGAACATTGGCAACAACTCGTGAAGCGTCGACATGCTGACACTCTCGATGAATGTGCCATGCATGCCACGCAAATGGGGTTGGCGACAAGCGTCCTGCGAGGCCGTGAAGTTCTGCACGAAGCCTTTGTACGTGTATTCCATAGGTCCTGTGGGGTAATCAATGCTGTCATTGAAGGAGGCCAGCGACGAGATGTTGCGAGCAATGCTATCAGGTGGGCAAGCTGCGCGTGTATGGTCCCAGTACGTATTGGTCTCGCTATGGATCCAATTCGGCTCGTATGGCTCATTCGCCGCATCAACGTCTGACAATCCACTGTATTGGGAGATTGCATCGTCAGGATGGATTAATTTGCGCATCTTTTCTTCTGTTGCCACATAGCTGTCGATCTTCTCCCATGGTACCAGAATTCGCGTTTCGTCCATGACATTGACGACCATGTCTAGATCAGGCAGATGAGGTAACATCTCCTCGACTAGTGCCGTCCACAGCTGGATCCATGGTGGCCTCTTATCGTCGTCTGTAACCCACGAGGCCTTCCCGCTGCGTACATGTATCACCTGAGGCTGTGTGTGGGTTTGTACTCTCATGTCGTGCGGATCCAGGGCCCAGAACGGGTTGATATCATGATGAATGCGATCAAAAAACTCCTCGACAACAATAGCATCCTTCTTTTGAGCGGCCTTGAACCAGATATCGAAACCAGGTGGAGGATGTCGACCGCGACGTTCACGATAACGTGATGCAGCTTGTTCCAGAGTCACAGAGCGCTTCCCAAGCAATTGCTTAAAGCCGAAGCGCGCTTTTTTGATCAAATGGTCAATAGGATGATTGCTGACTTTGAGTGCGGGGTGTTCGAATTGGGAAGGGCTCAGATCTGGGGTGATGGGATTCAGTGAGTCTTGGCGAAGGAGGAATCCAAAGTAGACTATAAAAACCACGATGGCCGTGAGGGCTATATATCTCTGCCACCCTCGATACATGGCCAACTGCACGTAGGATGCGACTGGTTTGGCAGAATCAGGTCTCATCCTCTGGAACAAGTATTTCGACAGCAAAGGGGAAGCCTGATGTGACGCGAAATTTGGTTGCTTCCTGCGGCTAAAGCCACGCTGCCAACTTTATCGATACGGCGCAGCATAACGGTTTCAATTCGCTGGTAATCTTATTCCTTTCCTGGTAGCGAATAGTTCTTGGTCTTTGACGTTATGTCAGCATTACCCCTGTGAATACGTACATGCGTGGCTGTTCGCTTAGGTCTTTTACGAGATAAGGAGAAAGATCCCGCGTCACGTTTTGAATCCGTTTGCTTTTTGTTCTTGGCATTGCGTTATTAATCTTCTCAATTCTCGACTCATTGTCATCGAATGGCTCAATGGCTTTTGTTTGTATGCTGGACTGCATTTGCTTTTCAAGTACGAAGCGATTGTTTATATTGAGATTTCCAGAAAGACTCCTCTTCAAACCCTTGTTCTCTCCCCAACAGCACATCGACAATCACTGAGCTCAAATCAAGACGGCAGACTATCTCCTTCACTCCTCTGGCCGTACCCCTCACTCCGCCTCAAACGCTCCAACTTAGCAAGAATGAGATCCCGACCCCTCAGCATGAGCGCAGAAATCAAGCCCATTATTCCAATCCATATACCTATAATCCATAGCAGGCAACCCATCAATCCTCCAAGTCCCCGCAACATACAGACCACAAGCTTGGGTAACATGCTGCGAGCCAGTCGGCACACTCCCACCGAACACTTGCGCAGAATACTGATCCTTGTTGCAGACGAAAGCCACAGACGGGCTCTTGATAGAGTAGTAAGCTTGACCTCCATTGATGTTTGGCCCGCTACCGAGTTGGTTGCGGAGGTCATCGTTTGCTTGATCGCAGGTCGAGTGATCCATTCCGTTTCTGCAGCCGCACCAGGTCTGGCCGCGTTTGCCGATCTTGGCGGATGTGGATATGCCTCGCTCGGCCAGGCTGGTGGCGGCTGTGAGGGACATGTCGGGGACGAGCTCGTGGATTTTGTTGCCCTCGGCGTCGTAGTATGCGGTTTAAAAACCGTCTGCGGCTCCTTTGGGAATGGTGAAGGCCGCTGTCATGGCAGCGACGCCAAGGAGGAGAAGAGTGTTCGCTGCGAGCATGTTGAAGATTGATGAAGACGGGGTTGGTTGAGGTTGAGATTGAATGAAGAGATTGAAGTTGTGGATGATGAGTAATTGAGCTGGACTTACGTTAAGATTATATACTCAAGCAATGACGCTCAAGTCCATTATACGATCAAGTGATTTTGAGACCATTTGTGCTATAGCCGTCTGTCAAATTGTTCACAAAGTAACTGGCTACACTTTGCCTCATTCTTGATCTGAAGTAAGCACAGATTATGGAGAAAAGCGCAATATCTTGGAGCGACGACGCATGATCGATCGATAGTCAATATGGAGAAGATGGCGCAGAACATTATTTACGTGAATAAAAACTCGTACATAGTATGGGAAAAGACACCTGCAGAGCTATGTTTCTAAATGGACCCCAAGGTTTGATTGCGAAGCAGATTTGATGTGGTTTTCCAACAGTCTTACAATTTGAATTTTGAGCCGTGTCCGGTCTTCGATGTAATAGAGCCAGCCGAGCTGAAAGACTGCTCCTCAGCAGCGCCAAGAAGAAGCTCATCATTGAACCAATAATTAAATACTTTTCACCAGTCCAAAATATGCGGCTACTATAGACCTCAGAAGCAGCATCTGTCTTACATAGCCTAAATAAGTCATCCAATCAATACCCCAAGGCTGAACCCGAACTGCGTGCAACGTTCTTCCAGTCCCTCCAGGCCGCAAGTAACAATCTTCTTCGCGTTACTATAACTCAGAGTCTAAATTCACACAATGCCGTAAACTATTGGGTGCGTCGTGTTCAGTCCGCCGCAGTCAGCACCCAAACCATCTGATCTTAAACTTTAAATTCTGAACTCCGCCTCCAGAAATTCGGGTTGGGTGTTTATACAGATTACGGTAGAATAGGGTAATCTGGAGGTGTCAGATAATATCGCCTTACAACAGCAATAGCCGTGAAGCGAGGACTGGGAAGCGATTGTGGCCCGGGTTGTTGGTGAGGCGCAGTGTTTGTGGAAGATTTGAACAGGAGAGGCAGGAAGATGCTTAGCAACAGGCGATGTAGCGAATCATATAGTTATGTCTGTGAGATTTGGGGACCTGTAGCCCAATGTACGACCTCGAGTTCAATTATAGTTAAACGAGCACGTGGACGCACCACTTTTCTACACTTGCACCTCGATAGCTGATATAACCGAGGTTCGAATCCGAACTGACTGTAGCGAAACAATTCATTGATAATGTTACACGAGCCATAGAATAACCAACTCTCTCCTTCTCATCTCCTCCCCATCTGGCCCTTGAACCACCTGCAAACCAGAAAGTACCGTCCTTCGTCCCGCTTCATCCTGTGACATCGTGAAATCTTTAAGTACCTTCTCTTCGGGGACATGCTCCACATCATCATCCACACCCTCATCTTCCAGATCAATCAACCACTCCAACGCTTTTCCCACCACATAAGAATCCCAAAGTCCCTCTTTCCAAGGCCGCTCAAGCAGTAATTTCATCGCTTCCCGCTTCAGCCTCCGATGTCTGAACACAAACCCCACCGTCCTCAACCCCGTGATCAACCCTCCCTCAAATCCAAACCCTCCATCCGGTTCCCCTTCAGAATTGTCCCTCACCCTCTTCGCCAACTCCACAATCTCAGTCAACAACTCAGTATTATCACCATAAAACACACCCTCCCCAACCTGCATAGCATTCCTCCAAGCATACGCCGTCAGCAACTGAATCCTCAACGCCAAAACCCCCTTTTCGACTCCAACCCCACCCCTCCATAACTTTTCAAACGCCCTCTCCCACCGATCATACTCCATCCCCATCCTCATAGCTGCCTCCTCCGTCTCTTTCCTCATCTGAAACACCTCCGGACTCCGCAAACCTAGCGCCCCATTACTCTTCTGCTTCATCCACGCCGTCAAATGCAGGGCCCTCTGCCCGATCAAGATTAAATACGCTCTCGCCTCCTTCAAGTCTTGGAACGAAGCGGGCATCGTATCAATAGACATCTGTCCATAATACCGATACGCCTCGTGTAGTTCCGCCGAGCGCTCGTCGTGGCGACACATGGCTTCTGTTTCTAGTTCTGAGAAGGCGTGGATGAGTTCATCCTCGATAACTAAGGGGCGAGGCGACTTGATCGAGGATATTTTGGTGGTGAGATGGATTTGGGTGGATTGCCAGTCGGAGAGGAGACGCACGCCGGAGTAAATTTGCGTGGTGGCCGAGGAGATGTACCCATTGTAAGTCTCGAAGATGGCGAATAGGAGACAAGCGAGGAGGGTGGTGCGGAGGTGTGTGGGTTGGGGACGGAGCATTTGAGAGCGGAGGAGAGAGATGGAGAGGTGGTATTGGTGGAAGGCGAATTGGCGGCGGGAGAGTGAAGGGGAGGAGGAGGTAGGTTTGTTGATCAGGGCTCCGAGGGCGATGACTGCATGTCGGATGAGGGCTTCTGCTTGTGAGGTTTGCAGAATGAGGGTTTGCCATAGTTTTGTGGAGAAATGGCCGGAGATTCGAGGGGCGGTTTGGGTGCAGAATATGTTGAAGTAGCGGTATTCCTGTTCGTTTCTGAAGAGTTGACGGAAAAGTGCTGAGCTGAGGGGTTGTGTTCTTGAATTGAAATGTCCTTTTGGAAGTAAGGGTTTTGGACCCGCGGTTGTAGGGGCTTTTGGACATGGTTTTGAGTATCCATCACACTTGATACCGAATTTCTCGCACCGTTTGCAGGAAGGAGTGGTTTCGTCGCATCGTACTTTTCGGTGCTTACACGTGATGCATCCATTTCTGCTTCTGGAAATTACCGTTCGACGATGCTTCGTCCCTGCTTTTGGATCCTGAGTCATCTTGAAGATACGAGTTGAAAATGTGTGGGGGAATGCAGAGGGAAGTACAAGTTGAGATGAAATCGGACGTGGAACTGCACAAGCGATGATCTGCAGCAGGAGGCTGACATGTGGCGCAGCAAGGTTTAATTGGTTGACTCGTAAACATTGGCCAATAATAATGGAAATTGCCATAGCTAAGACTTTTGAATTATACGTGAGATATAAAATTGCATTGGAGCTCATTATTCTGCAATGGAGATGATAAGTTTTCTTCTCAACGACCGCAAGGATGTCGATCCCGACTTCGAATGAAATGATTTGAAACTTGTTAAAAATAAGATTTTTGATTTACGCAGACGAGGACGATGCAGCCCTAAATCAATAGGTTCTTGGCAGAACATCAAGAATCTCCCACAACCTCGTCTCAAGGCTTGTAAATATCATAGCTCCACACTGCAACCACCGTCTCTGAACCAACCTCATACGTGACAACAACCTCAGTCTTCCCGCTATTCACGATCGGCACGAAGGTCCAGATGATGCTTGTAGTCTCCGGAACGCGAACTCCAGGAGGATGTGGCGTATTTGCGACCATAGCTGATTTCAGATTCAGCAGAGTCTCGTCGTACTTGATAAACACTGGCCCGGAGATGACCTGCGTGACAGCGAAAGGGAGGGAGTCGTAGGCAGCGAAAGGGCCGTATTGGACAGTGTGTCCTGGTTCATCAGTTCCTGAGGTGGCGGCGGGTGCTGGTGCAGCTTCGTCTGGTGTGCCTTTGAACACGATCTCGACGGATATTCCCTCTGGATGATTTGAAGTTTTAATTGTAAGCCCGTTGGTGGGATAGGCCTAGGGAAGGTTGCGAGTCAGGATTTGACAACAGTGCTTTGGGAGTCTCGTGTCAGGAAGAAACTCACTGGGTTAGGGAGCACCATGGGAATATGGGACGATCTGGTATAGTCGAAATAAGTCGGAGGGTCTATGAGAGGACCAGTCCACCCTCCGAAGTCGAATAGCATGCCGCCGTACAAAGTTTGTTGAGTGAATCCGATGGAAGTAGTAGACTCCTGAGCATGCTTTCCAGATCCAGTGAGAGTAAGGATTTTCGTCTTGGAATTGTAGACAGCTGAGAGCTTGTCTGCTGGCATCAGCCCGTAGAATCCCATGATTGTTAAGTTTTGGTTGATGAAGGAAAGACTTAATCAGTGAAGGTTGTATGGAGTGAAAGTGCTGCGAACAAATGTTCAGGATCTTATATACCAGAAAGTATCCTGCTTCGGAATGCTGATGAAGCTAGAGGTATGTCCTGGCTCATCTTTTAGAGCACGTTTCCGACGCCATAGAATCTTCATGCTTTTATTTTGTGATTGTGGAGGGCAGGTGGAATGTGGAGAAGGTTTAATTGTACCAAATCAGGCTCATGCCGTGGAATGCATTGAACTACTCGGGGTCTTCCGCCGAAGCGAACGCCAAATGACCATTCATTGTCAGAAAATGTGCTGCATTTGGGAATGAATCTCGGATGAAATGGTACGATGGCGCAATAGAGAGATTTAGCTAGGGGATCAGCCCAGATTTCAGGCCAGGAATCGACCAAAAGCGTACCCGAGCTCAGGCTGCAAGGCACTTAGTCTCAGCAATGTTTTATTCAAAAGTCGTCCATAGTCTTAAAATCTACGCCTCTTAAGCCACGAATTTGAGCCCTTGCACTGCTTTGGAATGCTTGGTGGGGGAAAAGCTAATTGTTGGCTTTTAATAAATAAGAAATTCAGTTTTCCAATTATTGTATTCATTTAAAACTCCCACTCGAAAAAGCCAACGCACTAGGAGTAGTAAGCTTCAAACAAATGCAGACTAGCTCCATACTACAAGACATAACAACTACATTTAATAACTCATTAAATAAGTCTGTCTCTCTTTAGTGCTGGGAAAGGAGAGGTGGTGTAGAAATCAAGGTGCTAAATCTCTCTAATGCGAGTCAAGCAAAAGAATGAAGATTCTCTTGAGCATTCAATGTCTGATAATATGATGCAGAGTAAACAAAACAAATGAGATTCTGCACGAACCATGGCGAGAAAAAAGAACGTTGATATGTGTTACGTGACGCTGCAAGTGGAATACGAGCATTATGGTAGTTTGAAAAGGCTAGCCGGGTTGTACTGACACGAAATATCATTATAAATTACACTCTCCTTTGGAGCACATCTATTTATTAAACATTATAGGCGCCTTCTCATCATTTAGACCCAAATTCCCGAGATCCCAATTATGCTCGACAGTCGACATGATACTATAATGATTGAACGATGTATCATTCATGGTTCCCCGAAGCGACGAAGGAATAACATCACCGAGAAGAACAGAAAACACTCTGTTCCTACATATGTAACATTCGGTCTCGTCGAAAGCTGTTCACTGTCAGTTCGAAGCATATAATGAGAGAGGAATGTCCTACTCAGCATGATGAGAGTATTCTGCATGAACGTCGGATTTGAGAGAAGCGGTTCGAGGAAACGCTTTGTCCATGCTCCTGCGACCGTGACAGATGAGTCATGTCCATCATTTGCTGGGACATTGTCAGTAGACGGGAACAAAGGGGGTGCTGAATCTTACTCATGTTCGGAGTGATGAACATCCATTGAGGCAGAGTGTCTGCCTCCAAATCTCTATAGAACATTGTAAAATTCTTACTCTTGGCTAGACGATCTTCATTTGATGTGACAGAATCGTAACTCATCAGAGGACTGAACGCTGTCAGCACTTTGAGGTATTTCGCAGTAGCTTCACGGTGACTCACTTATGTTTCCGAACATAATCATTTGCTCCTGTCTTATGGTTCACCCAATTTCCTTCAAATCCCGAATATGGCATATCCTCTTGATACAAACCCCAACTCACGCCCCCATCTTCCAGTAAATCAACAATAGTCCGGACATCGGAATCAATTCTAAACATCCAATCTTCCCAAACCCAATGAGTATCACCACCCACAGATGCAACATAATTTGGCTGACTTGGATGGGTAATAGCATTATAATTGTTAAGAGTAATACCTTGCTTTGCAACCCATTGTAAAGAAGCTGTCCTTGTCAGATCTGACAGTACGGGTATTAGAATGAAGCTTACGGTCGCCGGCCGCCATGTCGATATCCGTGTTCTCCAACCAGATATTGATAAATCTATCAAACTGATTCCCTCTAATAGAGCTTACTGGGCTCAACGTTTTTGCGGTCGCGGCGGCAGCCGCAACAGCTGCTACGCCAGTTGAGGTATATTGTGTCTGCGCATCGGCAGTCATGGCGATGCCTACGACCAAGAGCCCTGTTGAGAAACGCATTTTTGATGATGATAATGGAGTCCTCACTCGAGGATCACCCGCTCCTTATAACGATCTCGAAGTTGACGGGCCCAAGATATATCATTTTCGGTGTACCATTGTGTGCTGGTCATCGGATGTATTTAGTGTAACGTCTATCCCTGCGTGCCGAAAAACCCTGTGTGCCGAAATTTTTTTATGGTTTGGGGTCTTAAATCTCCACCACGTAAATATATAAAGTTATAATCAGTTTGCCATCGTTCTTCAGCTATACATCTACAAGGATTCGGATTATAGTAAGAAATTACCATGGTTGTAGTGATTCTGTCGATCGACCCGTCGACGTCGTTGAAAGCCGCTTCAGCTATTCTCCCCTGCTCTACCATGACTACTGGCCTATCTCCGAGTTTCGGGACCACGGTACAAAAGTTCTACTAAGAGATAATATAGCTCTAAGATTTGAAGACACAAGGCACAAGGAAACCTGTATGCCGAGTTTATCCGGACAAAGGGGGAGGTACAAAAAGCTAAGCGAATTTATTACGCTTACATAATGTCGTATTATTTTATACATCATACTGAACTTATAAAGTGTGGCGTTCTTCTAGAAACTTCCATGAGCAGCCACGAGCCTGCCTTTCGCTCTGCCTTAAGCGCCGCTACATCGTTCCTATCCGCATCTCTATCACCGTAGTAAGTTACGAGCGACCGCGCCGCGCCTTGCAGAGGCCTTTCTGTCGGGAGTATGGCGCAGCAAGTGCCGCCAGCGTGCTAGCCATTTTGCCAATACCACCAAATCGGATAACTATGGCCATATTTTGGCTTATGCAGCCATGTGCTTACATGCTGATGCACGTTCTTCCTCACCACAAGATGCATAGAAAGACAATGCATGGCTCGCTCGAAATACCCAGACAGCCGCCATGATCTTCCGAAGTGGCTGGCCGCGATTGGCTGGCTGGCGCGCTGGAAACGATGATGCACGACGACACCATGCCGCGAGGCTGTCGTCCAGCTGAGCTGTAAGAGTACAACCTCGACCTACCCTGTACTCCCAACTCAACAAATGCATGCATATCGACCCTACGAGAACTATTCACTAACATTCTTTCGTTCAAAGATTCTCTCAGATCCTGTCTAAGTAATGCGCCTATTACAATACAACAACGATGGCGAGCTCAGCCTGACCAAGGACTTTATTGGCGACGAGATTCCCAAATATACTGTCCTTTCACACACATGGGGGGCGGATACAGAAGAGGTCACATATAGAGACCTGATAAATAGCACTGGGAAGAGCAAGGTTGGATACGAGAAGATTCGGTTTTGCGGAGGGCAAGCCAGACGTGATGACTTGCACAACTTCTGGGTAGATACTTGCTGTATCAACAAATCGAGCGACAGGGAGCTTTCGGAAGCTATTAACTCCATGTTTCGCTGGTATCGCAAAGCGGCCAAATGCTACGTATATCTGACAGATGTTTCGACAAATGATCAAATCGACCTGTCCTTACAGCCGTGGGAGGCAGCTTTTGGGAACAGTCGATGGTTTACCCGTGGTTGGACACTTCAAGAGCTTATCGCGCCGCTATCGGTCGAGTTCTTTTACTCGAACGGCAATCGACTCGGTGACAAGAAATCATTAGAGGGGCAGCTTCACAAGATAACGGGGATTCCAGTTTCCGCTCTTCAAAGCAGCCCTCTTTCTGAGTTCAGCTTCGACGAGCGAATATCATAGGCACAGCTTCGGGAGACTAAACGTGAAGAGGACAAGGCTTATTCCCTGCTAGGCATCTTCGACATCTCGATGCCAGTTATCTATGGCGAGGGGGAGGAGAACGCATTCCGTAGGCTGAACCGTGAATGGAAATATCGGCGCGATGAGCTACCGACTATCTCACAAGCTACGTCAAATTGCGACAAACCATCAACGACTTTCCCCTTCCAGTCGTCCGCCGCTACCTCTCGTCACGTCCTCCTATCTCCCGAAGCATCTACACATAATGGTTAATATACAACCTTCCTTTATTCAAGATTACAGGATGCTAACCAGTTGCTTATGACTAGACAACTCGATCAATAATTTACCCTACGCTCCAGAGGCGCCATTTAATACGTACTAAAGACAACACGAACCTCCCTGCCTCGACAACACCCGAATCGATATCCTTTACGAAATACATATGTGGGCTGAGGGACAAGATGACCGTTGTATCTTCTGGCTGAGTGGCTTAGCCGGCACCGGGAAGTCGACAATCGCCCGCACTATCGCTCGCAGATGCTTCGAGGAGACGTCGCTCGGAGCTAGCTTCTTCTTCTCGAGAGGCGGTGGAGAGATTAGCCATGCTGGCAAGTTCTTCACAAGCATTGCTAGACAGCTAGCGAACACCATCCCCTTACTCAATCAGCACATTTGCGACGCTATTACAGATAATAGCGATATTGCCAACTAGTCTCTACGGGACCAATGGCAACAGCTCGTCCTCCGTCCTCTATCGAAATTGGATGACAATAATCTCCGATCCTCGTACGTCGTCGTCATTGATGCGCTCGATGAGTGCGAGGGCGAGAATAATATCCGGATGATTCTGCAGCTCTTAGCTGAAGCGCAATCGTTACCGAGAGTCCGATTACGAATTTTTCTCACAAGCAGACCTGAGATTCCAGTCCGATATAGGCTTGGTCAGATACCAGACACGGAGCATCAGGACTTTGTTCTCCATAGTATATCGCCGGCGATTGTTGACCACGACATCTCTCTCTTCCTAGAATACAATCTAGGACTTATCGGACGGGAACTCTGGCTGCACGACGGCTGGCCGGGCAAGGAAATCGTTATGCGGATGGTCCACAATGCGAGTGGACTGTTCATCTGGGCTGCAACCGCCTGTCGATATATTCGTAAGGGGAAAAGATATGCAGCGAAACGGCTCGATACGATCCTTCACAATAGTGCTAGCACCCCCATAGGGCCGGAGAAGCGCCTCGACGAGATCTACACTACTGTCCTCCAGCAATCTGTAGTCCAGAATACACGGACGAGGAGAAAGGAGAATCGTATCAAATGCTACGACAAGTCCTTGGAAGTGCAGTTGTTCTTTTCTCGCCCCTTCCTATATACTCATTAAGCAAGATGCTCCGTGTCACAAAGGAGGATGTCAACCTGTCCCTGTTAGACCTGCACTCTGTCCTAGATATCCCAAAGGACCAAACTTGCCCTATCCGCCTCCACCACCCTTCATTTCGCGACTTTCTCCTCAACGAGGATAGGTGCAAGGATCCAAACTTCTGGGTAGACGAGAAGCAAGCACATCAGACGCTAGCTGATAGTTGCATACATTTAATGTCCCAGAAACTCAAGCAGGATGTTTGCGAATTGCAGGCTCCTGGGAGTCAAGCCGGCCAAGTTGAGAGCAGTTGGGTTGAGAGCTGTCTTCCGCCCGAAGTTCAATATGCATGCCTTTACTGGGTCCATCATCTGTAAAGGAGTGGCTCTCAGGTTCACGATGGCGAGGAAGCTCACCGGTTTCTGCAGGCTCATTTATTGCACTGGCTTGAGGCGCTTGGCTGGATGGGGAAGGCTTCAGAGGGTATCCAAGCAATATTGTCATTAGAGGATTATGTTTTGGTAAGCTATCTATTGTTTGATAAAAGTCTGATTAACTTATCTTCAGGTTAAGGACGGCCCTAATTTGCATGCATTTATCTATGATGCAAAGCGATTTGCCTTATATAACCGATCAGTGATTGAACAGGTACCTCTTCAACTATATTGCTCTGCTCTTGTCTTTGCGCCAGAAAATAGCATTATTCGAAAGAAGTTCAAGACTTGTATCCCAGATTGGATTCAGCAAGAACCAAAAGTGCAAGCACGTTGGAACGCAGCGCTGCAGACGCTCGAGGGCCACACTAGCTGGGTCACTTCAGTAGCTTTCTCCCCCGACGGTAAGCAAGTCGTGTCTGGATCACTTGATAAGACGGTGCGGCTCTGGGACGCGGCTATAGGAGTACCGCTGCAAACGCTCGAGGGCCATTCTAGCTGGGTCAATTCAGTGTCCTTCTCACCCGACGGCAAGCAGGTCGTCTCTGGCTTAAGCGATCGGACGGTGCGGCTCTGGGACGCGGCTACGGGAGCACCGCTCCAGACGCTCGAGGGCCACACTGACTCGGTCACATCTGTGGCCTTCTCATCCGACAGCAAGCAGGTGCCAATCTTACGAGTATCCAATCATTGGGTAGTGGAAGGCGATACGAATATTCTTTGGCTACCTCCCGATTATCGGAAAACTTGTTCAGCTACTTGGAACGGAAGTCTTGTTATAGGGCATTCATCTGGGAGAATTTCATTCTTTGCCTTTAAAAAGGGAGTAAAGCTTGTCATGTAAAATTCAAAAAATTTAGAAGGTCCTAGAGAACCATCTATTTATATACCATTTTATAATCGCCACTTGCCTTCTGGCATTTTCTAGAGGATTTGCCACTGTTAGCTCGGTATAGTCAGGCATATTAGATGATTAGTCTACGTAGGCCGAGTGGAAGCATGTATGCGGGGTGAGAGTGATCGTATTAGAGTTATTGTTCTGAGGTAAGTGGTAACCCGGGAAATGTATATTTCCCGGCTGCCTTAGGAACTAGGCATCCGTGCCTTCCGGCACACCACGTGACTGTAGCTGGACCTGTCACCTTGTCTACCAAGGCAGCACTTTAGGTGAATCATGTAATGAGTATAGCCTACTTCGACAACCACGAATCCATTGATCCTTTGTATCGATAATACAGTTGTCTCGATTGCTAAGCCTCAAGTGGTGTTTAACAAGAACTTGATCTGTTGATGGATGTGGCGCACAAGGCACCACACTGCCACCAGCCACTATTGACGTTCATACTTAAAGCTTTAAAAATTAAATTACGGCGTAAATATTATGGACGTGCGGGGTTGTTTCGCACTAAGCCCAAAAATTGTCAGCCGAGGTTCTGATCCGCGTGGCAACCTCACTTGAAGTTTGCCTGCCATAGCACTACATGGCTAATAACGATTTCATGTATAGTGTTGAGGCCTTAGACCTCGGATAAGACTCCTTTAGAAGTATTAAGGATAGTATAAGCTCGGTGGTAAAGCTGTGGTAAAGGAACTGTGACAGCCACGCACTCTGGACTAGGTATCAAGACGTACGCACTAATCTGTGAATAATAAACAAAGAACTAAAAGAATAGAAGAGTGCTGAGGCCAGATAAGCTGAATCCTCAGCATTAGCTCAAACACTAAATGAAACATCTCACGTGATATACCCGATGATATCACAGAACCGTGACAGGAACGCTATTATGCTATAAATTGAAACCCTTTGCAAATCAGGCGTAAGGGCGACGATATAAATGCGATTTTCTGATAAAAGGGGTTTAGGGTATCTAGGATTGGTTACGGAATATAACCTACGAAAAATTATAAGAGATGTTAAGGTGTGCACAGATTTTAAGATGCTTCAAGTCAAAGTACCTATCATTTTTTTCGGCACGCAGGGATGGACGTTACTACCCAATCACAATTCAGATGAAACAGCGTGAACCGAACACCAATGACAAGCCGAGGCGATGCCGTAGTACAAAACCGGGAAAGGCGCAGAATTATTCCTTGTCCTGGATGAAGAACCGAACAAGCATTTATGCATATAACAACTGCATATCAAGACTCCAAGACCATGGTCCTCAATATACTTCATGTCACTCACGAGTGTGCGATGACTTGGAATATAGATATGGCGTCAAGCAGCGTGTGACGCCGAGACCACACCCTCAAGGTACATTGCGCCGGACTGCAGCTGCAGCTGACGTACCTTCCTTCCCCTGCAGCTGAGAAGGCTGAGCTTGGGGGCAGAAGCCTTGATAGAAAGGTAAACCTCACCATCTTATCTCTCTTTTCTATTCATCCTATTTCCTTACCTCAAGCTTCACTCTTTCGCCATGACGAACAACGAACATCCAGAAGAGCACACGACAGAGCAGACCCCTCTGCTCGTCGATGGCCCAGCCGACGATTCCCACCACCTAGAAAGCTCCAACCTCATCAGATTTCGCAATGCCATAGGTATCAACGTCCAGTCAGCATCCAGCAATCCTCACGAACTTGAAAATGCCCGCAGAAAACCTAGCGGTCTCTATAGAGAGATCATTGGTATCCAACGCAGTCGCACCAGGCAATATTATATTTTCGAATACTTCTAGTATGCCTCCCCTCCTCTCTGCATCGCATACTGCTAACTGATTCTCCAGCTATGGAGCTCTTATCGTACAAATCCTTATTGGAGCAATTCTTGCTGCACTCGGATCTCTTTCCAACGTCCATCCCACCGTAATCACAACTTTTGGCGTCCTCAATACAGCCATAGCAGGTATATTGGCCTTGATGAAAGGCCAAGGTCTTCCCGATCGACTCCGAAAAGACGCATACGAAATGAAGAAAGTACAAGATTTCATCGAAGAGACGGATATCCGATTAGCCATCGAGGAGGATGTTCATCCCGGAGAGCTGAATGATATCGTCCAGAAGGTTTTCGACATGTATAATACAGCGAGGGATACTGCTGAGATGAATCATCCTACAAATTACGCACATCAAGTTGATGGGCCAGAAAATACAGGACGGGGTACGACGCAGTCCGTTGGACATGACGGGACGGAAGACGATAGTATGGGAATCAAGAGTGTGAATAGAATGGCGACAAACGTGACTACTGGGAGTAAAGGGAAGACGAAGTTTGTGATTGAATGAGCTTGATACTTGGCCTTGGAGTTTGGAGGATACCAATTGCTTTCGCTGGAGTTTGGAGAGACATTGAAGTCGTTTTGGGTGGTAGAGGATCGATTCAACCTAGAAGCATACATGTCTTAGATGAAATCAAGCTCTTTGGCCTGTGTCACTTGGTGCGATGTCCTCATGCGGTGGCCATCATGGAGATCGATCAAGTAAGCACTATCTATTTCTCCGGTGTGTTACTTGACAAGTGGCTGATACGGTGCATGCCGCTACAATAAATGCTGTGGAGTACGAGAAAGTCTGCAGTGGTTCGCATTAGTCAAGTCCTCCAGTTCTGAGTCTCGCCGACCGCTATCTCAGCTCTCAACATGTTTTCGTCGCCAGCGTGCTTTCCAATCCAGAACTCATACACTCCAGCTTCCGTCCCCTATCGACCAGTCTCATCCTTTCCATTTCGCAGGGTCTCTCGCCCGGACTGTCATAATTTTCGTCTCTTCTTCGCCAGGTAACAGTACTTTCGTCTTTTCGAAAGCTCTCAGCTCTTTCGTTCCATCTAAAGCGCTGGAGTACAATTATACAACTTCCGCGCCCGCAACTTCCCCAGCATTCTTTACCACAGTTTCAACCTCCCACCCATCCGGAATCTCAACGACCACGATATGAATAAATTCGAATGCCGTGTACCCCAAATTGTATCCGAACCACCACATTAGTGCTACGTTCTCTTGTTGGGTACCACCTATAGCCAATGGTGGTACCCTCATTATACTTGAGAAATCTCTTTGGCTCTTCTCAATTGATGGTCAGTGAGTCAGATCAACACCCAGTGGCGGGTTCGATATCAATCAATTCAATTATATAGTCGCTGACTTGCGCTTGAATGCGAGGGAAATAAAGCAGAGTAGTTCAGACTCATTCTCGAAATGCTGGATGTCACACTTTCAGAGTACGTGTAGCCATATCGGCCACTAGACAGATCCGAAAGACTGTCGACTAAGTCTTCACTTGAGTCTGAACTCCCGGTGTCTGCAGCTGCATCTTCACCCAATTCCCTGTCTATTGCGCAAGCCTGCTGCGTCGCCGATGGCCTGAGAATCTCATGGTGCTTGAGATCTACCCAATACGTCCGAAACATTTGTGCAGGCACCGGACTGTACACCATTTTATTGACTCGGATAGCTTCCGACATGCTGGCAACAGCTACGTTCGTGTAACCACCTCGATTGAAGACATCAAAGATATCAAGATAGAGAATGACCCAAGACTCATCACCTACGACAAGACCTGAGAACAATCTATCTGGGTATCTCCTGAATTTGTTTTGAAGGTCGTTGCCCCAGCCCTCCTTTTGAAAAGCAATGGCACGCTAGACTCGCTATCAGGTAGGTTGGTCGCCATGGATGGAGGGCGGCAGCGGGACCCTTGTGCAGAATATCGAGACGGGGGAGCACCTTCGTGAGGTATTTCACTATTGCTTGTTCGCTGAAGATTTTTGCAATGTGCTCGCGGCAGGCATGGTCCTGTTCATCGCACAGCCCTTTCCATTGAATCAGAGATTCACATAAAGACAATAGAAGCTGATGCTCTCCTTGACCATCTTTGTCACTTGCTTCGGCTGAGAGAACTTTGGCAAGTTCAAGTCGAGCTCTCCATCTTCGTGCTTTTGAGAAAGCTTGGATGATCCATTCCGCAACGTCATTTGCTGGCTCGGACCACCGGCACCGGCCTGAAGGTGAATGATCCTCGAATGTTTTCCAAACACATCTCAAGCGGTCTGGAAAAGACTGCTTGATAAGAAAAGCCGAGGCTGGTTGCAATGACTGAGTTTCCATCAACTTGAATTCGCTGTTCATCATAATTCTCGTTTCACGCTTGTTCAGTGTTGGATGCCGAAGAAGCGCTGAAAGGTTGGTCAAACACTCGTTCCATTCATCATTGCTCGAGTGTCCTTGCGCGACAGTTTCATAAATTGCTTTTAAGTACAAGCGAGCCACCTCACTTGGCTCACCAGTCAGGGTCAACTGACGGGCACGGTCGAGGGCGGAAATAGCTTGTGGAGATTTGGGAGCATCCCCTGAAAGGCTCGCGCACGCTTTCGAGCGTCGTAGTGCCCTGAATGCGGCGTTATGTTGTCCTGGCTCTATCTCTGCTGAAGTATGTACCTGCTCGTTTCGTTCAACAACCATTTTGAGTAATAGTTCAGATGGGTCCACATAAGCTCCTAGTTGTGCTTCAAGGATGGAATGTTGTGTATCTTCATGGTTTTCGATACTCAGGTGACCTTTTGAAGATCCTTCGATGATGTCTGAGGATTCTGGTCTCTCAAAGGTAGGAGGATCAAGTGGAATTGAAGACTCTCCCATATTGAAATGTACCGCCGCCAACGAGGGCGTACCATGACGAACAGCCAAATTGTCTCCGTGGAGTGTGTTGTCTTTATCAGAACCATCGTGTACAGTCGTGATACTGGTAATGGCCATTATTTAATGCTGTAGCACTTTAGAGATGTCGCTTAATTCTTGGTCGAGACACATCTCTTGAGATCCATTCGCACTGAATCTTTGGGGTGTACCTGGAATGGTGATACTTTGTGCAGCCTCTACCAGGGATTCGGATATCCCTGAACTACTTGACACACCGGACAAAATACTGCTCTCTATTGTCTGTTCTCCTGGCTCGTCGGGTATTCCTGTGCTATTTGATACTTCTGACATCTCTTCGATGACACGTGGTGTGTGGTAGGTGATATTTGGAGGTGTTTCTAATCCAGTGAGGAAATGTACACCAAAAGATTCAGGGGTCAATCATCTATACCTGGTTCTTGCATTTGCGTTGTTATAGCATCATCCCTTTTGCGTTTCTTGAAAGCATCCAATTTGTTTTGCGGTACTAGGAGACCACCTCTTTCAAAGCTGGTTTCTTTCCCTTCCTCGCGTTTCCTCTTTTCGGCTATCTTCGCCATAATGCCTATCTCCTTGGCGGGGATGTTCTTCTCGAAGCCCCACTCCTTAAGCTTCATTTTCCATTTCCTCGCACTGAAGGAACTCGTCAGCTTTTGCATTTCGATAGACCTGGTGAAGTTCAGACCTAGCGAAGAATCCGTGAACCGACTCTATATGCGTCATAACAGCGGTCAAATTCTTATCTTGGTCCATGTACATGAATCGAATCTCGTTCTTATTCACTTCCCACTTCACATTATTTCGATCTAATGTCGACATTTGCGAGCCTGTTTCTGAGCTAGTCATGTCGGACATCGCCGTTAACACCGAGCCTTGATCTGAGGCTGGAAGAGACAACGTTGAAGTACTAAAGCTGCTCTCCATGGTTTTGGTTGTGTATTGTAGTGAGAAGAGGTAGACTTGAGACTGCGTAAAGATACGATGAGAATTCAATCAAGCTGATGCCAATTCAGAACAGGAGAGAGTTGAGTCGAGCTTGATATTGGAAGAACGGTTGGTCGGACAGAATAAGCGGGCCACTCAGAAGTCTAACACAGGTGCAGATCGCAGTCTCAGCCACCTCAATCAATTGATCCAATGAGGTGCCGCAAGAAAAGTGCAAAAGCGCAGGGGTGCTACCGAATAAGGGCGCTGCTGGGCGTATGTCATCTTGTTTCCACGGGCACATTGATGGCCGAATACAATCCGGATCTTCAGTGGCGCGAGCGGCTGACCATAAATTGAAACTATACAAGGCAGACTCACTCAGAGCAAAAAAGAAGAAGAAAGGAAAAGAACACGTGAAATCACATTTGGGATACCGTTCTGAGCAGGTGAGTTAAGCGAGAAGCGAGGGGAGGTCCGAGGGGGAATTGCTACACATGACTTCGCAATCGCGAAATGGAGAGGAGCAACTAATGGGACAAAAAGACAGCAGAAAATGCCTCTTTGTCGAAGATATACGGAAGCATGCAAGTCTTGTATCGAAATATTGGCATGATGGCCACCAACCTCTTGCCGGCCGACTTCCCCATTCGTATTCTTGGTTCGTCCGAAGTCAAACGGTGTTTACCTAGCTCTGGATCTTCAGGTAATCGAAAATTCTATATTCTTGTAGCAACAAAGTTGAAGGAAACAAAAATATGTTCCAAGCCTCATCATCTTACTCAGACACTCGCCCAAGATTCTTACAAGACCTCACACTCAACACAAGCCTCCGGCTCCGTTCCCCTCCAAATCTTCTTAATCTTCAACCTATTCTTCTCCAACAACTCTCTCCATTGCCCCTCATTCCTCTCTAGACCCCCAATAGGAAACATCGAGAGATCCCGCACACATTCTTGCATGCTCACATCCGTATTCGGCAACACCAGATCCACCAACAACAACTTACTCCCCGGCTGCTCTTTCAGCAACGGAACAAGCTGCTGCAGAAACGAACTGCAATCTCCATCACTCCAGTCGTGAAAAATATGGCGGTAATGATACACATGCGCGCCTTTCACCGGTTGAGGCGTAAACATATCGTAAGCCATGTACTCGATTCCTTCCGGTGGAGCAGCGACGGCTTCGAACGTCGATGCGAGATCTTGGACTATAAACTTCCCTTTGATCTCAGGGCAAGTTCTCCGTACTTCAGCCATGATATGTCCCTGTCCACCCGCCACATCAACAATAGCTACCTCCCCATCTTTGATATCCATCTTCGCCAACTCCTCCGCGAACGGATAAGCGTTCGTTTCCAGGGACCCGGTATGAAGGGAACGCATCCCGTTCACCATGTTTAGAGCTCGTTCGGGGTGTGAACCGAGGTATGTCCATAGTTCCTCGCCGTTGGCCCATTTATAGGGTGATCCGGAGTCTTTGGATGGTGCTTTGTAGTTGCGGGTAGAGAGGTTGCGGGGGAGGGAGAGGATGGAAGGAAGGATTTCGGTGAAGACGAAGGAGGAGAAGGCGGCGTGGTCGGGATTTAGGTAGGGGGCTCCCAGGGGGGTAATTTTGTAACCTGGGCCGGGGACGTCGGAGAGGACGTTTGCGGCGACGAGTTGGCGGAAGATTCGAACTATGGGGTGTTAGATGGGCGTTGGGAGGGTGGATAGGGGACGTACTTATCATGACTTCGTCGGCACCGGTGGTGGAGATGATGTCTTTGAGGAGGAGTATTTTTCCGTCTTCGAACTTGCTCCATAGTCCCATCTGGGTTATGACTTCGATCGCTGCACTTTGGTTTACCTACGATCTTGTTACTTTTCTCGTTCAAGTATCAGAAATCGAGTGTACGTACCTGGAAGATTCGAGGCCAAACTTCAGTATTTGGTTCTTGCAAAGAGTAAAGTAATTTCGTAGCTTCAACTTGCAACTTTCGTCTCGCATCCTCTGTTCCTCGTCCACTCTCGGCTTTGAAAGCTTTGCTTGCTACATTTACATTCTCGACCAACTTGTCGATTTCTTCAGCTGATGCGTATGGAGCTGCCATGATTCTCGTTATTTTCAAAAATTCTTAGATATCGCAAAACTCTTAAAAGAATGCAGAGAAAAACAGCAGGGAATCAAGAACGTTATAAGTGATCCCAATATACTTTAGCTTCCCACCAATGTACGTGAACACAACACAAAGATAACCCTTCAAACAAGAATCACAAACAAGTGGGAAAAACCATTCCATCCATCAACCCTCAAACAAGCCACCTCCCAGCTTATCAGTCCAGTCCAGTCCAGTACCCCTATTCCTAGCCTCGCCTATCACTCGTCTAGTCTCGACCACCCTTCGCGTAGACGACCCGTCCCTAAATCCCGGTCTAGCTTCCCCTCCCCGAAAAAAAAAAGATCAGCACGGCCCTTGACCCTTGCCCCAGGATTCCGGGTCGAAGGATTCGGGCCCATGTATGGATGTGGGGGTAAAGTATTATTTGGAGGGAAGCGCGGGTATATTTCCTTTTGGAGCTGAGACCCTGGGGCTGGTTAGGTTGTGGGGCGAAGCGAGGCTAGTCTTTGCATAAGGAGAGGGCTAGACAAGTTGGAAGTTGGACTGCTGAGTTGGATTGTGCGACTTTTGCTTTTGATTTTGGGGGTTTTGGTGCGAGGAGAGAAAACGTGGGAGAGCGTGGAAGAGGGTTTCACACGACGGAGGGATTCACTTTGTCTCAGAAGCTCAGAAATGTAAGAATTTAGACAGACTTTAATTTCTGAATTTGGCGCTGATAGATGCTATGCGATGTACGTAGAATCCGGATATCTATACGGCAAACTGCATAACTTTTGTACAAAACTATATACAAGGATGAATCTCTAATGACACCTGTGTCTAACCCTCTATGAGCAGGAACATAGCTCATAATTCGTATCCGTCTTCGCGCGAACCTCGACGCCAGAATGACGGATTAACTTGACCATCAAACAAGCAGCCACAATAGACCTCATCGTCACTTCACTGTAACACGACTAGCTCGTCTCGACGAGTATTCCTTCACACCATACTCAACCTCAACCTTCACCTGAGACTCCTTCGGCGGCGTGATAATCCTCCTCTCACTACTCGCATCCCCGCTATCCCTCAAATCCATCTCATACGCCTCCACATGAGCATCCCTCTCCTTCGGATCAACCGTCGTAATCTGCGTCTGGCACAAGATACTCTCATCATCAGGCCGTAGTCTCGGTCTCCCACCCAATTTGCCAAAAGTCGAAGGTCGATCAGAATTCAAGTTTTCTCCATCGTTGTATTTATTATATTTCCCACCCGATGATCCAATGTTGCCGAAGACGCCTTTGAACAACGGTGCCATGGCGGGAACACACACAAATATTATGCCGAGGGAGGACTCGAGCACGGAGCAGAGCTCGGCAGGGGCCCAGTACCAGGTGAAATCGGCTGTGTTGATGATTGCGATGGCGTTTGTGACTTGACGGGAGATTGTGCCGCCGATGGCAAGGAGACCGAGACTGAACATTACAGCAAGAGATGCTGGAACCAAATTAGCTTTTGATGGCTAGGATGAGGAGTCGAGTTACCTTTCTTCTTCTTGTCCATCTGCAAGTGTTTGAGTACCGCAATCGGTGCAAGAGCCAACGCTAAGTCTGTGGCGATAAATAATGCAGCGTTGTAATAGTTGAATGCGAGAATGTTGACACAAGCTGGACCTCCGAAACCTCCATGAGAACCGGTCCAGACAATACTGATGGGTGAGCAGAGGAAAGCGGCCACGGTCTAAAAGTCGTCAGTACATTGGAAGCAAGACAATGAAGGCAGCTCACAATAGCAGATGAAAGACCTTGGCAGAAAACAAAGATCAATGCTACCCAGAGGATTTTTCGTTGGAATGGATTGACAGCGAGACGAAGATAAAGAGCGACAATACTGGCTTTGATGCAACCAAGACCGAAGAAGTAGGTGATCTGTGCAACCCAAGGCCACTGTTGAGAGTTAGCTGATGTTGGAGGAAGAAAGGTGTAGTCTTACCAAAACCATCTTGGTCAACACATCAGGAGCGTTAGGTAATGACATGATGTCTGCAACATGAAATCCAATACCAGACTCGAATTGTTCTTTGACTGCAACGATAGCTACGGTCTCAGCAATCTAATATCTTTAGCTTTGTTATGTAGTATTCGAAGTGAGATGTCGAACCCAAGCAGTGAGAATGAGGAGGTCATCTAGTCCTATTTTTCGAGAAACGAATAATCTAACATATGCTCTAAGAGGTATTAGCTTTGAAATATCAAGGTGCACAAAACCTCCTACCTTATCAAAATGGCAATAGTTGCAAGAGCAAAGAGAACGTAGCATCCGAGTCGCATACCAAGGCGATTCTGAGCGCTAGGCGGCATGTTCTGAACGGTAACTGAAGCCGTCATTGTGAAGTATAGACTCAAACAGCAAGTAGAAGAAGAGAAGACTTTCGAAGTACTGTAACAAGTCTCGAGATCTCAAAGAGAGAATCTTGAAGATTTATGAGAAGATGAAGCCCCTGATAAAGCACCGTTGTCGAGCAACGCAATCGGCTCACATTGCGCGTCTTGCGCAGTACCCTGTGAGTTGAAGCCGTAAAACGTGAAGTCAAGAGAAGTCGAGACGACCAATCATCACCATGTCAGCCATAATCGAACGACCAGCATCGGGGATAACACATCCCAAAACAGCGTACAGAAACTCAACATCCAGAAGCTAATCCAAGAATGCTCGCATGGAAAGTTCGTTTCATGAGACAGAAAAGCAACCCCCACCAAAAGATAGCCCTTGCTACCCTCGTCCGGCAGAAGCTTGAATGCGACCAACTCCCCCGTGGGATCGCCACAAGAAGCGGACTTGGTTCCAATTGGAGCTGGATGGAAGTCTAGATTCCGAGTAGCTTGGAGCCGGGAACGACCTGACCCTAAACTAACCCTTGTCTCCATTGCAACGGTGGCGGACAACAAGGATGTTGAGTACCAGCAACCGCAACGACCTAATGCAAGTTTGGATCCTATCACAAAAAGAAAATTGCTCGACACTTGATTTATCAGAGCAAGAAAGGCATTGTGCCTGACTAGGGAGAAATCCTTCGGGGAGAATGGTGGGATTTGCGAGAACGCCATGGAAAACGCCATTGGATCAGGATTGCAGAAGTGCATGACAGCCGCAAGGTTGTAGGGTGGCCAAAGCACATACAGCTTGAATGATTCGACTCGAGGGACATCGTGGTCGGTTTCCTAAGGCGAAAGCGTTGAAGAGGTCGACCTCAAAGAATGTCATTTCTTCCAGGAATTCAGGCTTGCTGGAGGAAGAAAAAGAAGGGCGATTGACGCAAGAGGCAATGGTGATTGTTCCACCTGGAGAAAGCAAAAGGTAGACGCGCAGGGTGCCAGAATCCCACTGGTCTGGATCAGCCACCAGTGACCTTTCAACTCGTGGGTGACAGAAAGTCATGCCTAAGGCAAACTTGTACGTCGACAAGTGAGTTCGGAAGGTGGGCATTCTCTTGCGACCAGTGTTTCTGACCTCCAAAACCTTGGGTAACTGTAGACAGGCTGCCTCTCCATTAGAGATATTGGCTATGGAGCAATATCGGATTCGAATTGAGAGCTTCATGATGATAATAATGGGCCATATTGCGCTTGAGGCCGACGCTGAAGCTTTCGTTAATACTATGGTTAAATCCTTCCAGAACCCATCGCAGTGGGGTTATATAGTAACCTCAGGGGAAGAAGACTTGAGGATGATGCTTAAAAAAGTGATTAATGCTGAATATGCTGGGGCATCTGCTAGTTGGAAAGTCAAATACCCTGAACGCAAGCAGGACTTCCAGAAAGTCTATGACAGCCAGCCTGGCAGTCAATATACCAAAGGCCCAAGCTATTAAGGCTTGTTCGTTTTGCCCTACAGTGACTCAGGCTTCTCCCAAAGTCCTCCAGCATCGTTTCACGACCTCCGGACGAATTGCCATGTCAGCTCCCTTTCTGTTGAAAACACTCAGGCACTTCACCCCGTCGATCATCGTACAGATAACTGTACACTTCCTCGTGGTCTTGGCGATTTCCCTAATCTCCCTGATTACACGAATCATGTTTATCAAATGTTCCTGATTACTAGCTTCCCACTTCTTAAGCTCCTCCCTCATATCCTTCATCTCCAGTTTCTCTGTCACAAGCCCCTCCTTATGACGGCCCACACACAGGTGTTTTGTCTGAGAAAACCACAATTGATCAAGCGTCTTGTTGATATTGAAGTTGAGCGTCGAGCAGGATTTGATCTCGGCAATTAGATCTGGATCGACATAATGACCGCGAGAGACAACGTGAACGAGCTTATAGGGCGGTCTAAGGACTGGTCTCGAAGGCTTTGGCGCAGGAGGATCGATCGCCAAGTGCTCTCTACTCCCATCTGCATTCAAGTACGCGTCGGCCTCGAATCTGACCAAACACTCCAAACCCCCAAGTTCATATCTCACAATTCGTTCATGATGTATACTATCCTCTAGTGTCGGTTCTCTAGCCGTAACACAATTCTCGAAAGCATGACCATAACCTGAATCTTGATGTCCATTTATCATCATAAGCCGAAATTCCTCCCATTGGTTGAAAAACATCGTGTTATTTATCATATCTACATCAATACGCCATTTTTCGGAACGATTTGAAGCAAAAGTGAGGAGTTTGCGAAGACTGTTGCGGTCGGTCACAAGATGTATGGAGGACATGTCAAAATTAGGATGTTGCTGGAGGAGCGACTCGAAGAGAGGATCGACTGCTGCTGCTGGAGATCGGGGTTTGGAGCGCGTAAGTTTGTCTCTTTGAAGTTGGACTGGGAGGGTTGGAGGTGTGAATTTTGGAGGGAGGCCTAAGGTTTGGTTAGCTCAAACTTCTCTTCCCTGTAATAGGGCGAGAAAGACCTGGGACATATATAGTTGGATGCTCGATGTCTTTCCAACTATACGAGGCAATGGACTCGTAGTTTCTGATCGCAACTGCTTCACAAGCTTCCTCTTGGACCTCAGAAAACTCATTGTAGATATTTTTAATAAGTTTATCGACTCCTTTCAGCATTCTATCGTCTCTTGACGGTCTTTGCCGTCCCTTGGTTAGGGTTTTCCTCTCGGTGGCATCGTGGTTGGTCTCTCTAGTTGGCCCACCTATCTGTGAGGTGCCTGAGCTTTGCTGCACATGGAGTGTGCTTGGTCTGATGCTCAGGATCGATTCTAAAATAGATCGGGTTGTCAGCTGCAAACCGGCAGGTAAAGTGAGGAAACTGACCGTTGAGAGACGTCATTCCAGCAGTGTCATGAATAAATCTACACTTCTCTCCGCAGAAGAATGAGGGCCGTGCCCGAACCACAATATTGCCTAAGGCCCAACTTAAGGCCCCAACTTCTTCTGCCTAAGGAGCGTCTGAACACCTGTGCACTGAGATAAAGCTTAGGTAAGAAACCCGCTTCACGGGAGAACACATGATAATCTTAAAGTAGCTAGATCAGGAGGTCCTGGCAGTTTCAAAAAGACCCCGCTAGTTCAAGGGATACGGACGGAAAAGGGGAGAGAGAGTTGGTAGACTCTAGCCACCGGATCAGAGAGAAATGTTCCTAGTGCGTCCTCGCGTGGAAAGATACAAGCTCCAACGGTCGTGCCGTGTTGAGGTTCGGTTACAATAGCGTTGGCTGATCTTATAGGTTTAAACGGGAGTGACAAGGAGCGGCACGGGGAAGTTGAGAGCATCAACGTTGGAGGCGAGCGGAAAATTCCCCGTAGTCGCTTTTGGTTAGTGGTAACCTTATCATACTACTAGACCACTTTCGGAGGGTCAAAGCGTATGGGATTGTGTTTGCGAGTTCGGAGTGACTTGGAGAGAAGTCGAGATTCCTCGGGTCACATCGTTTTCGGGTTGTGATTGTGATTGTGATGATGTTTGAAGCTACTATGGTCGGATTTGAGAAAGCTCAGGTGGAATTTCCAAAGAAGGAGATGGTATTCAGCAGCGTGAGAAGGATCGGGAAATGGTAATCTTACCAGTAACAAGAGCTGAAAGGTGACTGTTGAAACCCTGATGTGAGGCCATTCCCCAGCCCTAACGACCAAGGAGCAGATGCTTGTAAAGAAGAAGTATTTCATTATGATCGAATTACAAACCACCATTCGAGAACAAGCTGTTTTACTAGCAAACATGATCTCAGATTATGAAAGAACCGACGTCTTTTTGTCCACCAACTCCCAAATATTTCCACTAGCAACATAGAAGAAGAGCATGTAGAGTACAGCAGAGAAGTAGCCGACCTAGAAAGTCCGAAGATCTGTAGATGCCCTCCCACAACGCCAGCAGAAAACAAATAAAAGCAGCAAGGAAAACAATAGAGAATCTAACAAACTCTCACACTTAAACAGCGCCACCCACACCGATAGTATCTTCACTGCCTTCGATATTCATATCAACATCATCGCTGAGAGATCGTCGGCGGTCGTTGGCACATTGGGATCCCTCGTCGTCGTTCTCGTCTGCAAGATCACTGCGGTTTGCGGCATTGCCATTTGCAGGTTCGGATTGATCCTGCGTGAGCTGTACCACGAGTTGTTCAAGGCGATTGGCAAACCCGACTAGATTCTCCTTCTCGGTGCGGAGACTGCGACGCACTCTAGCTTTGGCGTCGTCCTCTTCCATAAGACTCCTACAGATTTCTTCTCCTAGTGGTTTGTCAGCATTGAACCGAGCTTTTGTGGGGATGTAAGTTGCATACCTTCTACTGAATTGATATGAAACTTATCTTCTAGATAAGTCTTGATGTCTGTCCATAGATTGACGAAGTATTCGTTGTGGATGGACAAGCAAACACTATCTACAAACCGCTTTGCAGCGGTATTGTAATATCCTCGTACATATGCAGCGACTCGTACCTCCTTGTCCAAATGATCGGCGGGAAGTGGATCGTCTTCCTTATTGGCATCCTTGTGGCCAACAATCTCACCCACTCTCTTGCTCACAATCTTTTCGCGTTCATCGGGTGCCATGTCAAGTGAAAGTCGCTTCTTCGGGTCGTCTCGAATCTGCTTTTCAACTTCAGCTTTAGCACGAACCTTTCTCCGAGCGAGCTGCAATCGCTTGTACTCTACAGACTCGACGGCTTGAAGCGACTCGTCATCGAGAGTCCAGGACTTATGCTGCTCCCTGCGAAGAAGTTTGTCCACATCACGTCGCAGTTCGGTTGTGTGCCTATCAATCAATTGATTCAAGTATTTCTGAGCGGTGCGATAGAGTTCCGTCTGCTCATAGACACCTAGGTGGATGATGAGTAGATCCTGCAGCTGCTTGCGAACCATTTCAACAGTCTTGTCGAGAAAGACTTTAAGAGGCGCAGGCCAGGGCTTGATGCTTTCCACACAAAGAGTACTTTGCGTCTTGGGGTCAACAAGACCAGCAAGACCAGAACGAGCGTGTTGATTGATCTTTTGGTGAATCCTCCCAACATCCGTGAAACCTTTACCCAAGTTTGCGAAGGACTCGAATACAGTGCCGACGAATGGATTTGATGCTACGGTACGACGAAGAGGTCTCATGACCGGAGGGTCGCGCGAGTCCAAATCTTCTCTCTTGGGTGTGCGGCCTGTAGATGGAGGTGGAGGGGTTTCGAAAGTAATACTGTGTTGAGGTGTGTGCGGCTCGTTTCCTCGTTGGCGTTTTGTGGCAGAAGCTGCGTCGACACCAGGACGCTTGCGACGGTTGGTGTGGTCAATGATAGGTTCTTCATCATCCTCAACGGAAAGGTCAATTTGAACTATCTCCGCGACTCCAACCATGGGTTTGATGTGCTTCATGAGACTGAACCAGTTTGCCGAGAGTGTGGACCATTCACTTTGGAAGCTTTCAATTGTGTCTAGAGAATCACCGTTCATCACCGTACGAGCATCATTACCAAAGTCGGAGAGAATCTTTCGGATGATGTTTCGAATATCCTTGTCGGGAAGATCAGGGCACTCCGAAAGAGCTCTGTCAACTCGACAAGCTTCCGCAGCAATCTTTTCTTGGATGCTTGGAATACTATTGCATGTTAGATGGCGTCAACACAAATTCTGCGACATACCTTTGTATAATGGAAGATGCGAGCTCGTAGGACAGAAAATCTTGAATTACTTCTGTTCCACAGCGGTTCCGGAACTTGCTCCATTCTCCTGTCCACAGAGGATCTGTGTCGAAGAACTCCTTTTCCAGGCGACGAGCTTGAGCAAGATAGTCGGGTCCTGGTGGAATCGAGGCTGCGTCTCCTGGTTGCCGAGTAACATAGTATCCGTGCCCAACAACGTGGTCTTTGCCTAGCAGGATCTTCTCGTACTCCAAGTGACGGGAATGAACATGATCTGGATTAGTGAGGACTGCGACAGTCCGGTGACTAGCCCCACAGTCTCGAATCACCTTTCCTGTGCTGCTGGTGGATGGGTCTGTCTTCATAGCTATGCAACAGACGATCAATGCGTTCGGTCGCTTGATGTATAATATGGCCAAGTTCTTGATGACGTTCGCAAGATATTGATCCTCGGGCTTTGCGGCAACGGCAAAGATACCTGGCAAATCATAGAATGACAACGCCGGCAAATCTGGACCCGATATGTCGATGGCAATCAGATTTGGAGAAAACTTTGCCTCGGCACGATCTCGTTCGGGCTCAAAGCCATTCGAGGTACGATGTCCTTGGCCAGGAATGAAAGCTGTGTAATCTTCGTCGTGATTGAGCAAGGCAAGCTGAGCCCACTTGATCGCCTCTTCGAGTTGAAATTTGTGGTCGAGAGTCATGAATTCCTTGATCTCCATTGGTTGCTCTACCCATGGTGGGAAAGGATTCCTCGAATTGACAGACTTGGTCGAGATAGACCTGGCCTTGGATTTCTCGTATCTCCAGTTTTGCTGAAGAGACACCTTACAAGTCCACTGGCCATCTGAGGACGCGGATGTCTTGATGTTTGCTGGGCATTTGGTACAAATACCTTGGTCTCGAGGAAGCTCAATTCCAGTCAACCGACTCATCAAAGACGATTTACCGGCACTTTGATCGCCAACCATAACAACCTCGGCGAGCTGAACGACATGGTCAAGAGAGAATTTTCGCAAGTCGCTTATAGTATCGATGCTTGCTTTCAGATGTCGTCCAACGAACTCAAAACCTAGAGGATCGTCCATTGTTTGTGATGGCGGAGGCATATTTCGAGACAACTGGCGCGATACTTGAAGTCGGGATGCGAGAAGTGAAGACGGGGAAATGTTGGATAGACTGATTGAAGCTAGTAGAGGTTAGACAAGTACCTGGATGTAATCGTTGTCGTATCTATGTCGACATACCTGAAGCTGAACGAGATCCCTCCCCTGATCTGAGCGAAGGCACGGGATACGACGGCAAACCGTGATTCGAACTGGTTGGTTGCGGGTCGTCTTCCTGATCGTCAGAATAACTGCCGCTGAGATCGACGAGTTCAATCTCTCTCTTCGGAGAAACACTCGCACTGTAATTTGATGGTCCAGGTGTTGCTAATCCACCAAAAGGAGCAACGATAGACTCACTTTTGACAGCTCGTCTTCCGGGAGCCATCTTGATGTATAAGTAGCAAGGCAAAGAGTATTGTCAAGCTGGCAGTGAAAGACAAATTAGCAGACGCAAGAAGGTTCGAGGTAGAAGAAGAAGATGTTGAGACACAGGGAAGGAGAAGGGGAGGGGACGAAGATGAATGAGAACGAACCTGAAAGGAGGGGTGGAATCTTTGGGCAAGGCTGTGGGGAATCGCTGAGCACCTTCAGGAAGAGGAGCTGCGATTGCGGCAGTTTATCAATCTTGAACAAAGATCGATCTTTCAGGGGAGGGGGCTTGGATTGAGGTTGGCAAGTGGAGGTTGCAAAAGAAAGGTTGTCGGAGGATTCGGATCGAAGTAGTAGGAAGCGGGCAGTTTAGCAGCCGGTTCGAGTGAATTCAGGTTAAGGTGTGAAAGGCAAGCAATTTCAAAAGCGAAAGGATTCTTGGAAGAAAAGCACCAAGAGTCAGAAACGCACGGGCACGCTTGCAATTTTGCAGCAGAATTATAAATAATCGACGAAGAATGCTTTCTTCCGAAGGTCTATGCCTTCGACTTTATAGACTCGGGAGGTCACCAAGACGAAGACTACCACGAATCATCACGTCCAATTCATTCCTCAGATTCTATCCTCTTCCCCCGGCTTGTCGCGTTGGAAATGGAGCGAACGCGTAAAGTGCATGCATATTGCATGATGGCTTTGGGAATGTGTAGCCAATTGAAATCTCATCGAGTCCTTGGCTGAGGTTGGTCGCCGCAGATCAAAAAATGAAGAAGTGGGGTTATGTCAATTGTTTGATGCGGCTCTCTGAACCAAGAACATGAAAAAGTACATTTTTGCGGGGAACACCACCAAAGAATACTCTTAAGTGTGCAAAAGTAAGAGAATAAAAGCAAACAAAAAACAGCGCAACGAGAAAGCGAGGAGCTGCAGAGGCAGGGGCGGTGTGTTTGGGGCGTCCCAGCCCCAGGAAAAAGAGAGCAAACAGCGATTCACAACTCTCTGCACAACACCAGCAAATTTGTATGTGAAGCCGTCACCGAGTGTGAATTCTATCACAATCGCTGTTCATCAGCGGGATCAGTTTCTTTTAGCCCATGCTTAGACCCCAGCTATCTTGAAAATCAAATGCCACACCCATACAATTCGACGATCAATCAAGGCAAATGTGACTCCTCATGCTGGACTTGGGGTTTCTGTGAATTGCTTTATCTCATTGCGACCGCGCATCGACGCGTTTGTTGGTCACAGAATGCCTTTTTCCAACTCTGAACATTGACACGTACCTATGTCGCATTAATGAAAGAATGAGAGAAGGAGATGGTGTATCAATTTTGATACCGACGATGCAAATTCTGGAATTTCACGATGCATTCATTTCATAGATGAGAGAAGGAAACCACGGAACAAGAACGGCCCGCTCCACGTGATGCTCTAACTGGCTTCGGATCCCTGTCAGGAGTACGAAGTCAAAAGTGTTTACTCAAAAGTGTCATTTTCCATTGAGGATCAACAACGAAGAAGCCCTTCAAAAAATATTCTGAGATGTCTTTACAAATTCCTCACCGAGAAAAGAACAAGGGCGCACATGGAGCTGCCACAAAAGCTGTGATTCTGGTTGGTTCAATAGCGATGTATTGCCAAAGAGGTGTTGACTGGGAATAGGTTGGTGGCCCTTCAAGAGGAACCCGCTTCAGACCACTATCCTTGGATCTGCCAAAGGTATGATCAATCCGCGCACCTTCTACAAGGAATTCCCTCCTAATCCAAAGTTTATAGCCTCTCTTCGAAGTTGCTGGACATCCTATTGTCTGGCACTGCCTCACCGCTATCGCAAAGGTACCCCACATTCAAGAGGTTTGCATGATCGGATACTACGACGAATCTGTCTTCCGCGACTTCATTAAGGATTCTTCAAAAGAATTCCCACAAATCAAGATCGTATACTTGCGAGAATACCAAGCTCTGGGGACTGCTGGAGGACTCTACCATTTCCGCGATGCTATTCTCAAAGGCAAACCTGAACGCTTCTTCGTCCTCAACGCAGATGTGTGCTGTTCCTTCCCATTGAATGATATGCTCAAGCTGTTTGAGGACAAGGATGCAGAGGCAGTTATTCTTGGTACCAGAGTCAGTGAGGATGCGGCTAGCAACTTCGGATGCATCGTATCAGACAGTCATACCCGTCGAGTTCTGCATTACGTCGAGAAGCCGGAATCCCACATATCGAACCTCATTAACTGCGGTGTCTACCTCTTCGCAACGGAATGCATCTTCCCTTCCATCCGCAGCGCAATCAAGAAGCGTACCGAACGTCCTCGACTCGTCTCCTACCCTTCTTCCGAAAACCTCGAGTCCTCCTTCTTCCAAGACGACGACGAGGAAACAAAGAATGAAGTTCTGAGATTGGAGCAGGATATCTTGAGTGACTTGGCAGACAGCAAGCAATTCTTCGTACACGAGACCAAGGATTTCTGGAGACAAATCAAGACTGCAGGTTCAGCTGTCCCAGCAAATGCTTTGTATCTGCAAAAGGCATTACAGACCGGCTCGAAAGAGTTGGCCAAGCCTTCAGCAAATATCCTTCAACCAGTCTTCATTCACCCTACCGCAACAGTGGACCCATCCGCTAAGCTTGGTCCAAATGTCTCAATTGGTCCCCGAGTCCATATTGGTGCTGGTGTCCGAATCAAGGAATCGATTGTCCTGGAGGATGTTGAGATCAAGCATGATGCATGCGTTCTGTATTCCATCATTGGATGGAATAGCAGAATTGGTGCATGGGCTCGTGTTGAGGGTACCCCTACACCCGTCAACAGTCACACTACATCCATCATCAAGAACGGTGTGAAGGTTCAGAGCATCACAATTCTTGGTAAGGAGTGTGGTGTTGGTGATGAGGTTCGTGTACAGAATTGCATTTGCCTGCCATTCAAGGAGTTGAAGAGGGTATGTTTGTCCTATTCCCTAGTGAAGAACATTACTAATAATTGCAGGATGTCACCAACGAAGTCATCATGTAAATTTCTAGAGCATGCGTCGATGGGACGGTAATACCGAGGCATAAATTTGGGTTTTTTGCGTTCTTTGTCACTTTTTTTGGTGCATATCATTACAAAAGTCCTTAGACCAAACTTTGCTCATACCCAATGAACTTCTGAATAATACAATCTTCAGTTGAATGTGCTTGCCCCTGAATACCTTGGTAGTCGGGGATGTTTCGGTTCGGCTTTTAGATAACGATAAAGATTTTAACCCCTCGGTGGGGTACCGATGATTTCTTCAACACGGCTTAGAAATCAAGACAGAGAATTGAAACTTCAAGACCCAATTCTTTTCATTAACTAGTGTTGATCTTAGAAATTTTTTCCATAATGGCATGTTGTTTCGCAATTACGTCGGATTGTTGTGGGTTAGTCTGGCCACGAGTTGTGACATCATGCAGGCTAAATAAACCTATAAATTCCGGATACTTCCTTTTGTTTACTCGACTATAACTGCAAATCACTTCCTCTCTCTTCAAATCCGGACAATTACCTTACCAAAATGTCTACACACCACGCCGTACCGGCCAAACACGGCCAAACCGAAAGCAAAAGCCTTCCCAACAAAGCTGCTCCAGGTGTAAGTACCAACATCCTCCTCCCTGAGAAAATCAACTAACACATCCAGATCTCCTACTTCACACCCGCTCAAACCCCACCCTCAGGAACAGCCCTCTCCCCTCAACCCTCCGGCGCCCCAATCCCCAAACTCTTCGCCCCCCTCAAGATCCGCGACCTCACTTTGCAAAACCGCATCTTCCTCTCTCCCCTCTGCCAATACTCCGCCCAAAACGGCCACCTGACGCCCTGGCACCTCTCTCACCTAGGCGGCATCATCAGTCGGGGACCCGGCCTCGCAATCATCGAAGCCACTGCCGTTGTGCCCGAGGGACGAATCACGCCTGAAGATAGCGGGATCTGGCTCGATTCCCACGTCGATGCTCCGTTTGGGCTCAAGACCGTTGTTGAGTTCGCGCATTCGCAGAATCAGAAGATTGCGATTCAACTTGCTCATGCGGGGAGAAAAGCTTCAACTGTTGCACCCTGGCTAAGTGCCGGTGCTGTAGCGGGCGAGGATGTGAATGGGTGGCCGAAGAACGTGAAGGCTCCGAGCGCGGTGCCGTATAACGAGGACCATGCGACGCCGATCGAGATGTCGGAGCGGGATATTGAGGATGTGAAGAAGGCGTGGGGAGAGGCTGTTAAGAGGGCTGTGAGGGCCGGATTTGATGTTATTGAGATCCATAACGCGCATGGGTATCTGTTGCACGAGTTCTTGAGCCCGGTGAGCAATAAGAGGACGGATCGGTATGGAGGCAGTTTCGAGAATCGGGTGCGGTTGACGTTGGAGATTGTTGAAGTGACGAGGAAGGCGATGCCGGAGGGGATGCCGCTGTTTTTGAGGTTGAGTGCGGATGATTGGCTAACGCATGATGGGTTTGAGGGCGAGTCGTGGACCGTGGAGGATTCGGCCAGCTTGGCTCCTCTGCTTGTCGAGCGGGGTGTAGATCTTTTGGATGTTTCGTCCGGAGGGGCTCATCCTGCGCAGAAGATTGTGGGGGGACCTGGGTACCAGGCTCCGTTTTCGAAGAAGATTAAGAAGGCGGTTGGGGATAAGATGTTGGTTACTGCAGTGGGCAGTATCAAGGGTGGAAAGCAAGCGGAGGCTATTTTGACTGGGAAGGGGAAGGAGGAGGATGCGAGGGGAGAGCAGGAATTGGATGCCATTGTCGTGGGGAGGATGTTCCAGAAGAATCCTGGGTTGGTGTGGACTTGGGCTGAGGATCTGGAGTGTCAGATCAATGTGGCTAATCAGATTCGATGGGGATTTGGCGGAAGGGCTGGAGGGAAACCTGTTAGCGGGTTGTCAGATTAGATAGAATAAGTTTCATAGATCATTGTAGACTTTTTATGATTTGAATCTAAAAACTAGTTTGTTCTTATGACATACACCAAGCTCGATTCTCGAGATTCAATTGTGCTTGGCGTATACTTCAAGGAGGGAAGTCAACAGTCAATTTGAGGCTGATTGGTCCAAAGACTAGTTGATAAAGCCGAAGCTATTAGTCTAATGGAATACGTACAAGAATACGTACAGAAGTGCTCACAGGAGTACGCACAATAGCATGTATAGGAGCAGGCATAGGAGCACGCAGAGGAGCACGCACTATTGTTGCGACGTGCAACAAAATAAAATACGCACTAGAATACGTACAGGAGTGCTCACAGAATTATAGACAGGAGTACGCACAAGAGCACGGATAAGAGCACAGATAGAAGCACGCACAGGAGCAGCACGCACAGGAGCACGGATAGGAGCACGCACAGGAGCATGGTCTCCCCTTGCGACGTGCAACAAAACTTTTCAAACCAGGTTCGCTCACCTTCTATACAGCCTGGCCAATCACACTTTCTTAGCAGAACCATTCCTAGCTAGCACTCTCTCCATCTTCGCCAAAGCCGCAAAAGCCTTTCCACTCGCTCTCATACTCGAATAGACAAGGACTACAACAATTAGCACCAACCCCCCTCATACTCCAGCGTACTTACTAGGAGGAACCACAATCCAAACCGCATTCAACCCAACATACAACCCCCAAAGCACCCGCCTCTCCGGCCTCGAATACGTGAGTCCATGCACGTATTCATCAAACCCATTCGTCGCATAATACAACACATCACCATACAGCTGCCCCGTCGAAACCAGCGTCTGCAACGCATTTCTCAACGGATGGTTCTTCAGAATGAGGAAAGCGAGCAAGAAAGAGAGGGGGCCGAAGATGAAGGCCGTGATGCTTTCCATGCAGAAGATGAAGGCGTTCTGGGTGAGGTAGCGGGAGTCGGAGAGGGAGTAGACTTTCCACATTTGGGAGAGGACGGTGGGCGATTGGTGGAGGGTGAGGAAGTTGAGGGTGTAGTGGCCTTCGATTAGGAGGTGGATGAATCCGCCTTGATCGTTTGTTAAGTGTACTTGGAAGTGGGATGGAAGGGGAAACATACACATGACGAACCAGAGTACGGTGAAGAAATCAGAGGTCGGAAGGGTGGGGTTAGTTTTTCTGATGAGGAGAATGGTGGTGGTGAGGATGATGATACATCCTGTTGCGAATACAGAGATGAGAAATAGAGGATCTTTGTCGTTGGCTAGATAGTTGATGAGTTTGATGTCGAGGGGATAGTAGGGATGAGAGGGAATGTTTGTTCCCTCGTGGGACATTTTGAAGTGCGGGGTAATGTGGGGTGTTTTCTGAAAGACGAGGAGAATAAGTTTGAGATGAAATCAATTCAAGTGTAAATGTACGGCGACAGGCGACAGGTATGTATGAAGTACAAGATGTGTGCGGTTGACTTAAAGTCATGCTGTAGGACGGTCGAAAGAAATGATCCGATCCGGATGTGCTTGTCCCGCTCGCCAAGTTTAAGCGACATTCAGGGGTTCATCCGAATCTCTATTAAGGTACGAAGGTAACATGTAGGAGAAGTATGGCCATCTGTGAAGGATACAATGGTGAAATGATGAGTTGAAAAGGTATAGTTGGATGGAACTGCGTTGCGATTAGGATAATCATTCATTAACTATTCCTGCCCCGGCCATTTGGGTCCAGATGAGCAGCTGACAATGGAGATGAATGTAACTACATGATAAACATATATCGGACAGCTCTTATACACCAACTGTGGTCATAGGGCATATCACCAAAGCTAGACACGATCTTATGTGTCGATGAGCGCATGGTCGCGCTGAGTGCGCTGAATGCGCTCAATGCGCCATTTGCGCTAGAATAACATAAAAAGTCCACAAGGAAACAAGAGATGGATGATGACTGTTGCAAGGAAGTCCTCTATCTTTAGTATGATTTATGATTTCTTACACTTAGTCTCGCAACGGACGCGAGGATTAAGGATCCGGAGTCGCTCCATGAGTTATGTTCTTCCTACCTTACAATCGTTGCCAATTGTCAAGAAGAGAAAGACTTGGAAGTACTTTTTCTCGCATTGTTATTTTGGAAAATATTTGAAGGGTTTGTCTGGCGATGCTTGTCTTTTCTCATAATGTTCCTTCCATATCTGTCTCAGCTTTCGCAAACGTCGCTTCCTGCTCAAGAGCGTTGACTCCTAAGCGTGCATATGCTTCTTGCCTTTTTTCTATCTCTCTCTTGCCATCGTTCTTCTTCATCGAGCACAGATCATGTCAGTAGTTCGAAGTAACACTGTCTCTGAACGCACCTCCATTACAAGGTTCTCGTTTCATAACAACTATATCGAAGCATCCTGCACGATTGTTAAACACGAGGAAACTGTTCAGGTCCAGCTACTCCCACGTCAAGCCAATCACCTCGCTCAACTCGGTGCGGCTCTGCATTTGTAGGTCCTTTCCTACCTCCGCATCTCCCTGGGAAATTAACGAGCGACTAATTGTTCGATATTAGGAGCACTATGTTGTGGGCATTCTTGGTCGAGAGTTTACCGCACATGTTCTGCGTTCTCGTCCGCCATTATTGGCAAATATGGTTCAGCGAATTGATCCACGCATTCTCTTTATTACTTGGCTGGCTTATACTCTATCGAGCTGCCTGTGGAAAGAAACTGTTCTCAACGAGAGTTAGGAGAACGATTCGACATGACCTGAAACTTCGAGCTTTCCAGTTGATCTTGACCATGTGGACAAGTCTATATTTGACAGGGTTTCAGGCTCGGGAAATGCTAAGGCAGGTCTACTACTGCGGCGAACGTGGGCGTAATTGCAAGCTCCCAGGTCAGATCTGGTACACCGCCGGTCCTGACGCGGAGGTTTGGACCACCTACTTGTGGAAGTTCATCATTATCCCTATCACGTTGAACCTTTTTGCAGGCATTAGACTGCTGGGCGATTGGCATAATAGTCGAGATCACATGGACAGCTTGACGATTTGATTTGATCGCGGAAGAATAATTGGTACGTCAGCATTTCCAGAGTGCCTTAGGAGACTGACAAAGCTCAGCAGATCCACTGGTCACTCGAATGGGAACTGCTGTATTTTGACGAGTTTCATGGAATTCAAATCCTGGGTCTTGAGGAGAGAAACGAAACGTCGATAGGAAAAGGACATCTGCATAGTGGGCGGGTATTCATAAGCTGCTCTTCCTTCCATGGGATATGGAAGGCAGATAAGGGAAGGCATTGCACCCAAGTAGCGTTACAACAACAGCAACAATTCATTGATAGCGTTTTCCAAACAATAGTCAGACAATACTGCAAACAAAGATCGTCCCTTCAGGCTCAGGTGTGACAACCACCTAACATTAATTCGGCATAAATGAGGACTACAATCAAGCGGAACTTGATCATATTAGACTTATCGCCTTACACGAATATGAGATTGTGGAAACGATATTTTCCAAGAGTTGATGTGGATGTGATAGCTCGGACCCCTTTCTGGTACAGGGATCCGCTGGAGAGCTGTATTATTGGGGTTCAGGGGTACGGCTCGTGAAAATATGCGCTGTCTCCCAGTTTTGATACAAGTCACGACTCGACGCGTTTATCTATCAACAGCTCTGCTTCAGATACATCGAGACCAATTTATCTTCATTCTTGTCTCAAGCTCAATTTGCACATGCAACATGGCGTCTCCACTCCGCCTTCGTCTATTGCAAGACATTGCCGAGATGCAAACGAACCATTACCCTGGAATCGCTCTCTACATCCAAGACGATGATATCTCGACAGGCTGCTTGATCCTGACCGTGAAAGGCTACGGCCCAATGCATTTAACTATTAATTTCAATTCAGATTATCCATTGACACCTCCAGTTATACGAATGGACTCCAAAGTCACGCATCCAAATATCAAAGAAGGGGGCATGTCTGTGCTTCGATTTTGGACACCAAGATGGACTATACGCCAGCTTATACGCTGAAGGGGATTGCTATTCAATTATTGAGTTTCTTTTCTAATGATAAGATCCAACAGGTAAGTATTTGCGACTTAGGTGGTGCTGCAATGCTGATTGTTGCTTGAGGTTGGAGGCGATTTCTTCTTCACGCTTGAGGACTTTCGGAACTTGCATGTGGAACAGAATGCGGGAATGCCACCTTATGAATGCGTAAAATGTGACTTCAGCACACACATTGAGACATCAATCTCCGACTCTGTTCAGGATCTCCAAAATCAGACAAAGTCTAATCAAATAATCGACACTTCCTCTCGACCTCCATGCATACAGGCCGCCAAGCTACCAGATGAGATGCTGCTCTCCGTTTTTGAATATCTGGAATCAGAAAATCTCCTTGCTTTCGCTGAAGCATGGCCGAAGATCGCAGATGTTATCGTCAAGTATAACGTGATTCGAACTCGCGAGCTTCATTGTTTCTGCTTGAAGCAGGACTACATGACATCGAAGCTGGGCGTGGGGATATCTTTGACGAAGGAAGAAAAGGGGAACAAGGCTCTTTTGGGATCTGAATTTGATCTTTTGTCTGAGGATGCTTTTGAGCTTGGTAAGTCCATGTGTTACGTCGTAGAAGGAGTTTCCTGTCAACTCACCACAGAATTCTCTGGTTAACAGGTTATTCAGGCATCAGACGGTCCGTACAAGGCCTTCCTTTCCGATTCTGGCTCCCACTTCCATTGTCCGAAAGCCACTGGGAGAGAGTCCGAGACGATGTAGATCCTGCACTGGCGATCATCGCGGATCGTGCCGGCTATGGAGACGTCGAGAATGTCTATGTACTCTTCAAGCTATTGAACGATGTAATAGTGAGACTGAGCAAAGAGACCGAAGAAACAACATACAGGTCTCCGATATACCCATACGAAGAGAAAGCCAAAAGCACTCTGAAGCACGCATCAGAAAAGGCAATCGAGTCATACTACCACATTTTCCATCTCTTGCTCTGCAAAGCCACCGGAGATCCATGGATCGTCGACTATGCCAATACCATCATCGACAGTTTCGAGAAAGGCGCAACATCACGAGACTACATCCAGAATCTAGGCCACTTCCTCATCGCGACACTCATCTCAGATCGTGAAGTATCAAAGAAGATGATTCAAAATATCATCACAGAAGCAGCGACTCGCAACGTCAATCGTGTGTTGCAAAAACATCCAGAATTGGCTTACCTGGAACCAACAACCGTCTCCAAGTACCGCCTCCAGAAGAGTTTTGAGGCGTCCAAAACTTCATACCGAATCCTCATGTTTCTGAACATCTTCCGACGAACTGCTGTCGGTACCCCTCGTAAAACCATCCAACAGCTTCGAGACTCAGCCTTCGCACGGCACGGTGCTCCTCCTCCAGGAGGCGCAAAGGAGCTCGCAGAAGATATCAAGCGCATCCATGCAATCGACAACTTTGGTCATTTCTTGTTGGTGATGGGTATGCCAATGATGCCCAAAGAATGGGTTTGTCAATTCCTCAGAGACAGGATGAAAGACGCCATAAGATTGGGATATTGCGGAATGTCACTAACCCAAGGACAAGCGATGACATTAAGGAGAGAGAAAGAACCAAACATTGCGGTGGCGCCAGGGATATTCTTCCTCAATCCGCCCAAACCAGAGAAAGATGGAGGATACAACTTTCGCGCAAAGCATGGCGGCAAAGGAAGAGGAAGGAAGTGAAGGATTTCAGGGGCACCAGGATCGTGATGCTAGCTAGTCGGCAAGCCTTGTCCATCCCCCAATCCTTCAGGTCACTGTCTCACTTCATCGAAACGAACGCGGCGAGAAAAAAGGGACTTGGACTAGCAGTGAATGCGTTACGAATGGTACGATGGGGGCCAGCTGATGGAGGGCTTGAAGTTTCAAAGATACTCTTCGCTATGAATATCTTTAACCCTGAGAGGTAGCGGGGGTAGCTGTTCTAATGACGCTAACGGATTAAAATCGTTGCTGACCAAACGAGACTCTGAAAGCGGAGGCAAGGGCGCTGGCGGTACGTCCTCGATATTTACAATGTAGCCTCCCCAATCTTTCGCGGGCCGTCGCCGGACTGTGACGAACTTTTCCTCTGATATCAAAATGCTGGTTTTAATGTGAAAAGGCAGCATTAGCCATTGAAGATCCAACTCTTTGTCGTGACCAAATACCGGTAGTCTCCTCTTCTGTACGGGCCCATTCTGAGGGCAAATCTTGCATTGGGGGGTCCTGATCGGCGCTTGCGATCCCACGTCTCGAAGTAGAGCGTAAATGTTGGGAATGCAGGCAATGGTCCTCCAGAAAATTCCATAGCATGCAAAAGGGACCTCTGATTCGACAGGGTATCCTGGCAGGATTGTATTGCATGCGATAACACCCAAACCGTAGAGTCTCACATCCGTCCATTTCAGTCAGGGAGTATTCCTTTGGTCCTGTAAGAAAGTACTGATCATAAGACGAATAATCTACTGTCGGTTTCTGACTGGTGTCGATGACAGCATTCACAAGCGTTAACGGCCAAGTCTGTAATTCTTGTGTGTTTGTCAAATCGACAATCAAAAGTAGTGGCCAGTGTAGTCGGATTATAGGCTGGCCAGGTGTACGCTGGAGCAGTATAGCTATGTAAAATACAGGTTGTGGCGATTGGCTTGTGGTTTCATATTGATATACGTCGATATTCGACGCTAGCTTTCCAACCAATGCAATACAAATATTGCTCCACACCCGCCGATGTATGTCATCGACGAACTCTTCTAGAGGAGTCTCTTTTGGATGGTCGAGACTTTTTCGTTTTCGACTGTTCCGTATCAAACTGCGTGATAAGTCTGGAGAAAGAACCTTGCTAAGGCCACCCAGATGTGCTCCTCTGGGATCAAGCGGTCCGTAGATAGGCCCGTTGTAGTCAATGGTTTGATTGTCTGCTTTAATATAGATACCGGAACGGTGAAGTGATGTGTCTTCTAACCAATTCTGTTGTATTCTCAGTATACTTCCTGCATTCCAAAACATTTCAACACTTTTGGCCAATAGCCCTGACTCTAGCCAGTCTCGAGGTACGTATCGAGTGGGGTCGTATATGTTGTGTAATTCTCTATCTCCTTCCCAGGCAAGAAGCGAAGAGTCATTAGAGCTATTCAATACCTCAATCTGTAAGCGCTTGAATGCATTAGATCCTTCACCGTAGAGAAGTGGCATTTGAACATTAAAGATACCAAGCAAACTGTACGCTTGGTCCTCGATTCGGGTCGTCTTTCTCATCGAAGCCCATGACATACGCTGAGCAGAGCTGAACTCGACTGTTCTGGAAGGATCTTTTAGGACCTTCTCATCAATATTCGTGATCTCAGACATGATCTGTGATAGTTCCCAGCGTGATCCGATCTCTTCCCAGTCAGCTGCAAGGAACACAACTTCCTGGGGCGCAATGAGTTCTTGCAAAGTCCACCCACGGGTGAACCACCTGCTCTTACGAAAAGACGAGTCGGCTAGAGCAGGAATCTCATCAGATTTGACGTCGCTCAGATAGACATAGCACACCCCAGCATTCTCATACCAATGGAACATAGAGTTGATCGCCTCAGACAGTTCTGCGCTGGATGATTTGTCGATACAGCAGGTATCGATCCATATCCAATCGTAACCCTCCATCCTAGCTTTTTCGCAGTGTCCTATGATCTTCTTGAACCCGTTCATTGAGCCCGCCGGCCCAGGAATCTTATTTTCTAACCATGGCTCTTCTTTATTGAAGCCGACCGGGAAAATAACGCTACTAGCTCTAAAGTCCGCAAAGGTCACTTCTTCCGTCTCCCAGGTATGTGATAGCATGGCATATATTTCGGAGTCGCTGCCCATGAACTCTTTGATTTCGAAAGTCCATGCGTTCAAGAGCCTCATGATTGCGCTTTTTCTTATCGATCCTTTCGTCTTTCCGTCCTTCAATCCAGTTCAGTGAGTTGAGGTCTTGATATCGATGTCAAGCAAAAATGGCAGACGCAATGCTTTTAGCCTTGTTAGTTATCTCCGCAGCCTTAAATTCTTCACCATGCTGACCTCGATCAAGATGAACTAGCACTCTGCCGGATTGGGAACAGTCTAGGGAGTTATTCGCTTGTGAGTGAGCTAATGTTGTTGTCTTTGGTGCTATATTGTTGGATTTCTGCGGGGTGATTTTAGGACGTCGTGTTGATACTATACGGTCATGTGGAGTGCACTAACCACATTGTTATCGAAACACGTTATCTTTATTTATATTAAGTTAGCTAGCTTGTCGAAGCCTTAAAATCAAGCTTTTCTTCATTTTAAAATTATATTGCAAAATTATATTCAAAGAATACCTAGGTATAAAATAAGTTTCGGGAGAATATTCACGTGAATATCACCTGACTCAGACTAGCGTATTTTGAGGAGTATGTCTTTAGGATTCTCCTCTACTTAGCTAAAGCATACACTTCCACCAAACTAAAATACTTGTACTAGTCCATCACAGTAATCTGCGTTATAATCTAATGCAAAGGCCCCTACTAAATTCGTGATATTAGCTAGTCGGCAAGCCTGCATGAATAACCAGGAGTAACCAAGGGTAGGGCTGAAGTGAGTACAGTAAGCTTTCCTAGATCTGAAATGAACCTCCGCCTTCGTATCGCTTTGGGAACGAAGTCTCCTCGCTAACCAAGCGCATGCCTTCCCCGCCTTACTCATCTCTTACGATGCACTTGTGGGCTGTGATCCCCTGATCTTCAAAAACGGTTTTCTCGTTCCTATTGGAGTCGGACTGACATGCAGCAAATTATGCATGCACGCTGCGGAGGAAACATCAGACGGAATCGATCTCGGTCAAGGCACATAATATTGAAAGGTTGCGGCACAGCAAGGAACCTTCTTCTTTTGGACGACTCTAGGAGCCTCATCCAGAGAACGTTGCAACTCATCGTGCCAATGCTCCATCACAAGCTTCACAAGCGGATCCCACGTGTTTCTGCCGCATGACTTTGGATCTAAGAATGGGGGTCGGCAGAGCAAGCATTTCATTCCTCACGAGACTTGTTGCAGAACTTCCTTGTCTGCAAGTCTTGCACTTCTCGAAGTAGAATGCGAAATTGTACGTTTTGAGTGTTTTCAGTTCTGACTTGCTTACCCCACAATGCGGGAGCCAGTCTGGTAGAACAAGTCCGCTATTGAAGCAAGTAAGATATCGAATCTCAAGTGAGAGCCAATAGGAAATAGTGACGAGGTTCTACAAGCTTTGCCTCTCATCATGTTCATTGCATAGCCCCCAAAGTCCCTGACCTGGCCATGAGGTGAGGCTTTCTTCTCACCTTCTGACTGAAGGAAGAAGGACCGAGCAAGTGCTCCCACCTAACAACATCAGATGAACAAGGTAAGCATATACATCCTTCCAATGTATGACAGGAAACCAATATATATAAATGAACGATCGCCGTCCCAAGAACCAAGAATCGATTCAACACACCCTTGACCACTCTTTACTTCTCAATCATGAAGCTCTCCACTAGTATCCTCAGCAGCGTGCTGTTCGCTTCTGCCGCTGTTGCCGCTCCTTCCACTCTAGCGGAAAGAGTTCAAGCACGAAAGGAACGTCGTGCCAATCCAGGCTCTTCTCACCTCCCTATCCCGGCTCCAGATTCCGCCGGATTCGCAACCGAGCCTGGAAATGCTACATTATAGTTAGTCACTTCCATTCCCACGTGCTTCCTCTTTCTATACTGAAACAAAAAAGCTACACCAACTGGTCAGGAGGCATCATCCAGTCACCACCATCCGGAACTACCTTCTTTGCCATCGATGGAAGTTTCGTCGTCCCAGAGCCCGCTCCTCCCGTCTCCGGAGCTGGCACGTGGTACGGAACCGCCTGGGTCGGCATCTACGACAACAACGCTATCCTGCAGTCAGGCGTCGACTGGGGCGTGACAGTCAGTAGCTCGGGTGCCTATTCGTACCAATACAACGCTTGGTGGGAATGGTATCCCAACGGCTGGACCGACTACAACCTCGTCGTCAACGCCGGAGACCAAATCTCCGTCCTCTGCGATGCTGGCTCGACATCTTCCGCAAACTGCTTGACAGTCAACCAGAACACTGGGGATCAAGTCAGTCAGACTTTGACTGCACCATCTTCTAGCTCGACGCTCCAAGCTACGTCGGCCGCTTGGATTGTCGAGGACTTCTCGTCTGGGGGGTTGGTGCCGTTTGCGAATTTCGGGACGGTCACGTTTACGGACTGCACTGCTGTTGCCGGAGTGAACTTTGCGAATGGGCAGAATTTGTATCCGAACTCGGGGACGGCTACTCCGGCTGATATTGTTGCGTCGAGTGGGTCTGTTATTACTGCTGTTACGTTCCCTGAAGATACGTCGAATATTGTGGAGGTTACTTATATTTAGAAGAAGACAGGGCTGGAGAAGTGTTCTCGACAAAGCTGGGCAATAATGAGGTGCGACAATCAGAGCAATGAATAGGTAATTTCTTGTAGATAATTCATCAATATTTCAGAGAGCTATATGAGCGATCCACTTATCGAGCCTCTTGATCTTCTCTTCTTTGAATTACGTGGCTTAGATACCAGGTATCACGCGCGAAAAGTAAAGCATAGGTCGAAAACACTAAAACCATACAGCATGGAGCGTACTCAAATGAGATCAAACAGGAGCAGATAATCCAAATGCAGACAACAGATCCAAGAGCCCAAATTCCCACTCCAACACATCAAGACACTCATCCTGATACCTCGATCACCGAACATGAACCCCGTCATCCCTCGAAACCCAACCCCGCACCTGCAATGCCATCGTGACCTACATCACAGTATGAATTTATAACAAAAACCCCATCTCCGCAACAAAGCGAGCATCGTGATGCGCACACTGCATCAAAATGTGGTAACAAAATCTTTCTTTCAGGAATGTGCGAAACTCCAGTCCCAGACTTGAACAAAGACCGATCACGTGGACGGATACTCTTAATCCACACTACCCCCGCTCTAGCATACTCGCTCCTAAAAGCTGCCTAGAGACTGCCACAACAAAGCATTAAAAGCTAGGCACGGAAGACACGGCGCCGCGTCACGAGACCGGCACTCTCAGCCCTCGTATCTCTTTGTACCATGACGCCCAGATGCAATTCCTGGCGTGGCTGGAGGCCCAACATAGCCGCAAAAGAACGTAATAGTGGGTATTTTCGCACCGTTGAGCCCCGGTGCGCAAGCCTTCTGATTTTTTTTTTGTTTTGGATACGTTGTCAAAGAAATGGGGCTGGCTGGGTTGATATATATGGAGACCCTCTTGCTCTTGGGGAGGAAAGTACAATCCATCCAATCTTCTATTTGCTTTCGTACACTTTGATCTTTCCTCGCGAGTCTTGAATAAAAGTCTTTCTTAAGTATTGGCATTTTCTTCTGATATCCCGGCGCATCATCTCTCATAATGTCGGAACATCCTTGGAGTCGGACACCTTTGATCGAATCCGCTGCTTTATCTAAAGTTGCAGGATGGTATGTCCTCCCATTCCACTCATGAATCATCCCTAACATAACACTCTTACAGTAGAATATTCCTCAAACTAGAGAACTTCCAGCCCTCAGGGTCATTCAAGTATCGCGGCATCAGCAACTTAATGCGGAGCGCAACACACGGAAAGCCATCATCAGAACTCACCAACCTCCATTACTACTGCTCATCTGGAGGAAATGCTGGAATTGCCTGTGCAACTGCTGCGAAATCAATGGGATATCCTGCTACTGTTGTCGTTCCTACAGCCACATCTGCTTTCATGGTTGCGAAGCTCCAGAATCTCGGTGCGGATGTTCATAGAGTTGGAGCTAGCTGGGTTGATGCCGATCGACATTTGAGGGAGAACTTGCTTTCCAAGAACCCGCACGGGTTTTACGTTCCACCTTTCGACAACCCAATCATCTGGGAAGGCGCCTCGACGATGCTGGAAGAAGTCTATGAGCAGATACCAGAGGATGGAGCGTTCGATGGTGTCGTTTGCAGCGTTGGAGGTGGTAGCTTGCTCACTGGCATCATGATGGCGATGGAGAGACATCCTCGCAAAGACGGCAAGGTTCCAAGAGTCCTGGCTGTGGAGACCCAGGGAGCCGACAGCTTGAACGCGAGTCTGAAAGGAAACAAGCATATCGCTTTACCGAAGATTACCAGCATAGCGACGTCCTTGGGCGTTGTGCGTGTTGCATCGAGAGCGTACGAGCTGGCTCAAAAGAGCAACGTTGACAGCATTGTGCTCAGCGACGCGGAAGCTGCGATGGCAGCAGTCAAGTTCGCTGAGGATGAAGACATGCTTGTCGAGATCTCGTGTGGAGCTGGATTGGCAACAGTGTACAACGGTGCTCTGAGAAAATCCATGAGCCAAGATCTGTCAGATGAGGAGTGGCGGGAGAAGAAGGTGGTAGTAGCAGTTTGCGGTGGCAGCGATGTGACAACAAGATTACTGGACGAGTACCGGGAAAGATTCTCGTCGTCAGTATCAAAGTCGTTCGTGAGCAGGAGGCGGGAATCGATATCCCATTCGGAGAGTCCTGTGAGTGCAAATCATGCGAAGGACTTCAAGATCCGGACACCGGCTAGGCGGCCAACCATCTGTGCGTAATAGTAATCTTAACAATAGCCTAAGAGCTTCTTCAAGACCATGTTCTCCATAACTCCCGTGATCTGAGGTCCTCGTGATGAGGTGGTTGTCGTCAATGATCTTAATGACCCCGAACTTGGCCCAGCAGTGTCTGAGCAGTGTGTCCCACTGCAGTAGGGCGAGAGGCGGCCTTGCGCCCTCGCTGAGGGGCAAGCAATGTGTATGGAAATGCCCTTTTTTGCGACGTGCAACAAGAATGTGAGGGTTACATGTCATTGGCTGCTAAAGTGGCTAAGGATGCACCAAGTGTGGGTGCTCTCGCGGGATTTGATACTTTCGGCAAATCAAGTTTGGAGGTCAGACGCCGAAACTTTAACCCTTGGCAAGTGTGACCTCAATTGGATGGTGAATCAATGACATTGGAACGTATACTATCCTCAAGAAGTTTCGTTGTAGAAGTATGTAGATCCAGGAGCACCGAATAAAGTCCAGTCATCGATTGTAAATGCCCAGTCTTCCGGAAGTTGATCGAACATAGACAGATCCATACTCTCCAGGTTGTCTTCAGGTCTGGTGAAGTTCTGAAACACTGTGGGATTCATGGGGATATTTGCGGTGCCGGTGCTGATCGGGGTGTCGAAAGTTCCTGGTCTTTGGGCTGTATCGGGCGCTGCTGTCGTAAGTTCTGGTTGACCATTCTTTTCCAGATTTACGGAGGTATCGACATGCAGGCGAGGCCTCTTGTTGGGAGACGCAGACATTGAGGCGTAGTCAAAAACCTTCCACATCAAAGTGGCATCATCTTCTGCCAATCCCACCCTTTCTGTTTCGACGGCGGGCAAGATGCCGTCGTAATCATCCTGTGAATAATAGAGAGTATGTCGGTGTCTTAGCCTAGCAGCAAGTTCTTCGACAACTCCAAGCTGAGAATAGATATTAGCACTCCAACGTTGATGACTGTCGCTGGATAAGCTGACGAGCCGATCATTGGGCCTTACCAATTCATGAATACTATCCCAGTATTGAGAAAGCTTTCGCAAGAACCGTATCGCATTCCGGAAGCTCAACCGAGCAGCAGCAGCAACATCTGCATGCTTCGAAAGAGTATGTTCAAGTTGGATAGTAGCAGCAATAGCAGTCAGGTACCCGATGAACGGGTCATACAACATCATTCCTGCTTCGTCCATCTCATCAAGAAAGCGGATGATCCATCGAGAATGGATCAGTGAGCTTTTGTATGATTTCTGTAAGAAACTGGGTGGCACTTTTCGGATGACATGCTTGAGCTTGATGAACATGATGAAGGGATGGTGTCTGTAAATTTCAGCAAGTTTCAGATCATACATTGGTAGTCTTGAGCACATACATGCAGCATTGTATTGACATGTATGTCAATTGAAAGCAAAGCCATGATGCGAAATATGGGCGCAGAAGGGGTTCATGAATTGCTCGACGAGGGAAGTTGACTTCACGATACCGGTGGGTCGAAAATTCTATGATTCAGTTAGCCTTGCTATATTGAGTGGTCTAGACAAAATACCGGGCTCAAAATCAGCAAACCTGTACTCGATAGTGGCAAGTTCAGAACCTGGCTGCCAAGGAGGCGTTGTGCTCTTACTCGTGGAACCAAAGACATATCGAATAGCATCATCCCACATAGTATAAACTCCAATTATGAGAGCCGCAATATCCTGATCCTCGTCTGGATGTTCAGCAGCTGCACGACCATTAGTAGCAATGATGGAAGTCGCAGCTTTCAGCGACCTCTCTCTTTCAGACTCGGGTTTGCGCAAGCGAAAATCTTTGTAGATGAGTACAGGTGATACTGCACGAGTACAACTAAAAGTGCGATCCAGCATGAACAAGGTCCATGTACATCGGACGGCTTCTTCTGAGCCTGCCTTTGGTTCCTCATCGCTGTCGATCAACAGGTATCCTGCGGATTGTGCTATGCGAATACCCAGGGATACTTGAGTGTGAGCTCGTTGGACACGTCCATCTAGATGAGTGAGTACCAAATCACCGCACCTAGTTGGGAACTTACCAGCGAAATCAACTTGTGCTAACAAACACAGACCTTGCAAGTAATGTAGGCCAGTATTTCCCTCTCCATACATATGAAGGAGATCGCGCCACGATTTCTCCGTCCAACATTCGATCCAGAATTTTGACTTCTCTCGATCAGCCCAGAACGGATGAGAAGAACAGCGAATAGTGAGGGCCAGCATCGGTTCGAGAACAACTGGGCTGAGGGGTTGATGTGCGCCAATCAGTGATTTCTGACACAGTAAGCTATACGGTTGACCATGAAAGTATTTGAAATATGTCATGATCCCGTCCTCTACTACATCCGGGGGCAATGTCTCGGTTCCTCCAAAATTTCTTGATTTTTGTGGCTGCACAGCTGGTACACTCTGCTGAGACTGAGACGCAAAGCCATTGGAGGAAGTTAGACCTAAACTGGATGGTACTCGTCCTAATGGCACATCGCTCACAGCGGGATTGAGAGCGGCAGCAGAGGCAGTCCTTGAAGACGGCGGAGCTCTTCTGTCCAACCTTTAGCACGTAGCACGTGACCATCCCATTCTTCTCAACACTCACTGCACAGAAGCCGCCAGTTCTTCCAATTTCTGTTCAATAGATCCAAATCTCCTTGAAACCTCCAGGTGGATTAGCTCAGATCCCCAGAACACCACAAGAGAAGGACCCTCACCTCATCCCCGTTCGGAGCCACGTTGTCCGCATCAAGCCTCTGACGTTTCCTCGGCGGAAGGTCCAAAGTCTCATAGCTACACACCTGGTCCAACCTCTTACAAATCGAACATTGCGGTTTCTCGCCTGGACATTTAGATTTCTTTCGTCTTGCAAATGTTGTCAGGACCGAGCTCGTTCACAGGGGGTATGAGGATTTACCTGCAATTGACACATGCTTGTCGTGTTCTCCTACTGGGATCGGTCATAATGTCACCTCTCCAATGCATATTTCGGATTTTTATGGTCTTCCATGTTTGAGGAATTTGAATGTCTGTCGGACGGGTAGAAATGAAAGTTTGTTTCGCTAGTCCTTGAAGGTGTAAGCGTTTCCCCGCAAAATCCCGCAAAAGGAAGGACGGCTGGTCACGTGGAGCGAGACAAAGTTGGACTTGTACGTTATTTTTTAGTTAAAGACAAGGTGTTCTTAAGTTGTTACTTTGAGCTCTAAGTTCCCCTATTAATCGAACTTCAACCAAACAAATCTAAATCATACCCTTCAATAAGTAGCCGGAAAGCCTCCCAACCGTCCCCCATCCACCACCACAATATTCCCACTCAAAAACGCCCCTCCCTTCCCCATAACATACAACGCCGTCCCCGCAAATTCTTCCTCACTGCCAGCCCTCTCCAGCGGAGTATTATCCTTACTCAATGCCCCTTCCTTCGTCGGCTCTCCCTGAAGCGCGTTCATCTCAGAAGGAAACTGGCCCGGCGCAATCCCATTAACCCTAATCTTGTAATCGCCAAAATAGTGGCGAGCACCTTGATCAAGTGTGTTGTTCCGGCCTTAGAAGCAGAGTACGAAACTCCCGTTGAAGGAATGCGGGAATAGCCTGCGATGGAGGTGGTGATAATGACATTAGACTTTTGAGAGATGTTGCCTTGTTTGTTTCCCGCGTCTAGGAGTTCGAGGAAAGCGAGAGCAGAGTAGAAGGCGCCTGAGACGTTGACGTGATATGACTGGGTGAAATCCTCAATGCTGGGCTCCCACATGGCGTCTTTGAATTCCTTGACGGTCGGCTTGCGGTCTTGTGGTAATGATGTCTTCTTCATTTCAATACCGATGATGCCGCTGTTTGCGAAGAGGACGTTGATGTAGCCCTGTTCCTTTTCGACTTGCGCGGCGATTGAGGATAGTGAGGATTTGGATGTGACGTCTCCCGGGAGTGGGATGATGCTGCCGTTGACGGCTTCAGAGGCGGCTTTCTTGAGGGGTTCTTCTCGTCGGCCTACGATGTAGACTGCTTTGGCTCCGTTTGCGTCTAATGCTTTTGCAACGCAGAGACCGAGGCCGGTACCACCTCCAGTGATGACGGCAACTATGCCTTTCACCCCGAAGAGATTGTTGATGTCAAAATTGGACATTTTGATTGATGGTGCGAACCTGGTTGGAAGTAAATTGTGAGGAAATCGAAAACAATGAATTAATATCTGGCAACAGAGAATTGATAATGTGAAGATGGTTAAGTACAGTATGAGAACAGAGATTGACGAAGACGCAATATGACGAAATCTACTTTTACAATAGCTAAGCGAGACACTTTATGATGCAGGTAGAATGTTATTCCACAAGCTTTAAAGGTAAAAAGCTCGTCCAAAAATTATGGGCATCCCACTCTACAAAGATCCCACATCTACCCATTCAATTTCCACAAACTTGGGCACAGGTGCAGCAAGTGGAATAAGCAAGACTTCGATGAATCCACTAAAATAATTAATAAGCCGAATGCATGAGTGCTCCACTCTTCACTACACCGCAACCTGTGATTCTTCCACAAGTAAGTGGTAGATTGTAAAACTTCCATATCTTCACTGGAACCTTGTCTCCTGCGAATAGCCTTTCCTCGGAACAGGTATGTAGAGTAGATTTCAAGTAGCATTACATCATGCTGTTCTACAAGACCACGGGCCGAGCCGTCGCTTGCAGGAACCTGGGGCTGCGAAACAAAGATATATAATAAGAAATGCTTCATGATATTTAGGACAGAGCTTTGCTAAAAGTCATCCCCTCGCTGGGGATATTTTAGTAACACTAAGGAAATAATGCTACTGATCAGCTATCTAAAGAGGGCGGAAAGTATTGTCTAGTTACCATAGACCTTATTTCAACACCGACAGAGAATTTTACAAGCTTCCTCCACCGGTTTCGAGACATTGAGGGCACAGGTTTAGAATAAGAGCCGTTGAGCTCCGCCACATCTGCAGCGCCACAAATATTTGAAGGCCGCAATGAATAGTGCCATCGTGAACTTCCTTTTTCTTCGTTCCTAAGGACAGGTCACTGTCTCACACATGCACACAGCCTCTCTTGTCGGCTTCGACAGTGAGAATCCCGCTGCTGGTCTCCGAATGTCGCGTCAGCCTTGCAGATGATGTGTACGTTAAGCCTCTGTGGTGAGATGACCTGTTTCTCGCCGAATCGTGGTGAGTTGTGAATGTGGAGGACAGCCTTATCATTTACATTTGGCATCTGAATCACAATTTCTAAAAGCAAATGCCACTACCTCGGTGTGCGTCCAAACCTCTGATTATGTATTTAATGAATAGAATCCCCATCTCTCCCAACGATTGTAGTCTGTTCCTTACAATTTCGTCTCGTTGTCGCTATCGCCATCATATCGCAGAGGGATCGTATTGTCGACATCCACCAATACTGTGACACCACTTGGTCCCACCATGCGCGGGGTGAACCTCCTTGCGCTTCTGGCAGTGGTGACTACTGTCGCAGCCGTAAACATGCATGTTGACTTCACTCAGGCATGCTGGACAGTCGTGAACGAGTCGATACAGCAGAATCCTTCCCTCGCAAACGAAACAACACTACAATGCGGACAATCATATTCCCCATCAACACCGCCAGCGCTGAATGTCAACATTTCCCTGCCTGTTTGTATCGAGAGATGGCCTGGCTGGCAGATGTCGGACGTTACAACGCTCAATCAATGGGTCGGCCCTCTTGTCGGTTTTCTCCTACCGGCACTCGTTTTCGTACTGGTCATACCTCGAAACTACAGGGTACCTCGAGGTGATCCATTTTTCAACAAACACATAATCGTCAGCGTCCTCTGGCTGATCTTTGCCTTTTGCTTGTTGATGTTGGACGTCCTGATATGGATCATGATGGTGTTTGGACTTGCCGGCCTAATTATCGTCGGAGCGATAGACGAGGGTTTGAAAGACCGGAGAATTCTGCGGAGTATCGAGAAAGCGGGAGAGCATGGGATCTACTCTCGAGCACAAGCAAGCTATGCACTTGCGGTAACGCTGGTGGGGACAATCAAGCCTCGTGAAGATCTGCACGATGTCCAACCGAACGGCCTTGTCGGCGATGTTATAGCGCAAATCTGCGACACACCAAACCTTATACATGCAAAGGAGAAATTGGGCCAACTACTTAACCAGCAAATGTCCTATGGTATTCAAATTGGGGCTCCGGTTGTCTTTTACCTTGGGCCGTATGTCTACTCACTGTTCGATGCAACGTCGAGACTAGGTGACAACGATACCGCTCATGCGATCGCGTTCGGTCTGTGGTATGGTTTGATTGTCCTGACAGCGACTTCATGTTGTTGCGTTGTTGGACTGAATGACCCTTCGTTGATCGAAGGTATATTTGATACTCATGTCGAAAAGCCACGGACGGTGAAGGCGTTCTTCTCTCCATACGAGTCACAGCATCGCTCTGTCTGGATATTCAACCGTCCTTGGTGTGCTCGAACCTGGGCAAATGCTAAGATCGTGCATGTTGGTAGTCCTGATAACGACAAGGCAATACATCCTAATGTCCGGAAGATCTTGAACTCCAAAGGACTCAGTGTACTTTCCTGCTTTTTGGCCATCTCGGCAATCTCTATCATCTGTGGTCTTGCCTTCTCAATCTCTTTCTTCACGCCCCGAATTGGCTTTGGCTGCCGGGCAACAACGATCCTATGCCATGGCGCCTCTCAGATCATCCTGATCATGTGTTGGTTTTATTACAACGAAGAGGATGAGAGAAAAACACAATTAATCAAATGGCCAGTATATATCCTTTCGGGCTTGTTGTTCATGTTCTCGGTCTTCATCGCCATTGGAGGTACCATCATGCAACTCTTGGGCGTGTATCGAAACTGTATCTGTAAAGCTGGATTGAGGTTCTGGTTCGATCAAGCGCCAGGTGTTGTCAACGGATACTCAGCAGGATCGAGATTATGGGTATCTGTGGATCAAGATAGGAACAGCTGGTATCTCTTATGTTGGAGTGTTTTGTATCTTGGGATGGGAAATTTCATGAGAATGAAAGCTAAGACGAGGGAGCAAATTGAAGCCTTGAGATAGGTGACACCTCACTGTTGAAATGTATCAGTCCTTTGCGAATATCCAACTTTGTTTGCAGGAAGAAGGCATTTTGATATGTCTCTCAAGCCCATGTGTGTTCGAATAGTGGACTCGTATTATTCGAAGGGCAAAAGACATCGCTGCGACGTTTGGAATCTTTGCTGACACTGATCATTTGGAAGAGAAAGTTGATGAATAGTAATCAAGGGCGTGCTGATGCGTGGTCCAAGCTTCAGCGCACTTGAATCCCGTTCCAGACCCCGCGTTTTACCTTTCGGGCAAACGTCTGACTCGACTGCACCATAATTTCTAAGCAATACACAGCACATCAGGCCTTCTAGCTCACTTACAATGCTTATATTACCACCAGCAAATGCTCTCCTTTGGTCCTCGACATTGTTCTCCAACGCAAGTTGACCATTGGAATTCGCGCCGACCACAGATTTCAGCATGGCGTTCTACGAAGCAGCAACACAATGGCATACAGGAGAGGAGGAAATGCACAAACTTCTGCGGGTCCCACAGATGGATAATCCTACCCAGCCATACCTCACCCCCCATGCTACGAATATTCTGATGCGGTCACCAATCATGGCTCTAGGTACGCTGGATTCTGAAGGGAGACCTTGGACGACACTCTGGGGTGGAGAATCAGGGTTCTCTCAACCAGTCGCACAGTCTATTATTGGCTTGAAGACTACAGTCAATCGAGAATTGGATCCGGTTGTGAGGATGTTATTGGGAGATGTTGCTGATGGGGAAGTATATCAAGAGAAGGGCGTTGGAAAGATGGTGAGCGCCTTGGCTATCGACCTTGAAAGCAGACGAAGAGTCAAGCTCTATGGTAGAATGGTCGCAGGAGCTCTCGCAGCTACAGAAGAGGGGCTCGGTGAGGTACAGATGGTTATCAAGATTGAGCAGAGTCTGGGTAAGCACTGTTCTTTTTTGACCTTAGACTGAGCTGACCAGACGTAGGAAATTGTCCCAAATATCTGAACAAGAAACACATTGTCCCTCACTTGCCGAATCCAAAACTTGTTGCCAGCAACCTCCCATTACCCCAATCTGCGATTAAACTCATCGAAAAGGCCGACTTGTTCTTCCTAAGCTCGTCCAACCACAAATCGGATATGGACACAAACCACCGCGGCGGCCCTCCAGGGTTTGTCAGGATACTTTCGAACAATGAGGACGGGTTGACACTTGTCTACCCTGAATACTCTGGAAATCGACTGTATCAAACGCTCGGGAACCTCAATACAACCCCGCAAGCAGGGCTAGTCTTCCCTGACTTCACCACAGGCGACGTCCTATATATCACTGGAAAGACAGAAATTTTGGCTGGCAGAGCTGCTACAGACTTGATCGCCCACACTAATCTTGCTGTGAAGATCAAAGTTGAAGCAGCAAGATTCGTGTCCGATGCTTTAGCATTCCGGGGTGTCGAGGGCGAATTTTCTCCCTATAATCCTCCAGTAAGGTTTCTTTCAAGTGAAAATCGACATGGCCTTGCCGGTGACAACAAGCAAATATTTGCTAAGCTTGTGAGCAAAGAAATAATCACTCCGACGGTTGGAAGATTTCGGTTCCACATTGCAGACCCAGCAAAAGCAACTCGGTGGAAGCCCGGTCAGTATGTCGCATTGAGCTTCGCGGATGAGCTTGATATTGGGTACAGTCATATGAGAGACGATGATCCAAAGACTCTAAATGATGATTTCCTTCGTACGTTTACTGTTTCTTCCCGACAAGAGGATTTGGCTGGTTATGACCAATTTGAAATTACTATCCGCAAAGTCGGACCAGTGACGAACCTTTTGTTCAGGCACAACGTTCGATCAGAACTAGAAATACCCCTGCAGGGCTTTGGGGGAGAGTTCTTCATCAAGCAAGATAACGAGAAGATTAGCTTCATTGCAGGTGGGGTCGGCATCACGCCTCTGCTCGCTCAAGCTCAAGATCTTGACTTGTCCCGACTGCAATTCTTTTGGACCATGAAAGGTGAAGATATCGCTTTTGCCAACGATACCTTTGAGCATATTCCAGGTTTGGCCAAGTCAACAAAGTTGTTTGTTACTGGCAAGATCAATGAGGAATCTGAGGCATGGAAGAAACTCTCGACATCGGGCGTACTTGCGGAGAGCAGGAGGATGGAGCGAGCTGACGTTTCCGACGACTCTATAAGCAGGTGGTATCTTTGCACCAGCCCACCCCTTCGCAGTACCTTGCTGGAATGGCTAGCTGGTAAGGCTGTACATTATGAGGACTTCAACTATTAAACACGAAAACTCACTGCAAGAAATGTTTTTTCGGTTTTGTGAAACATTACATATCTTGAGAATGTGGTAACATTCCAGTACTTCCGGCCTCCCCTATTTACGGACATCAAAACCCACCTTTCCTTCTCGTGTTGGAAACGGAGATCTCCCACGTCCTCAACGCGATCAGTACCAGTTCACAGTTTATAAGTCATGACGGCAAATATGAGCAATGGCATTCATCCGCGCTACGTGCCCCGCGATCAAAAAGAGGCCCAGACGTTAGCCTCCTCCATTCAAGTCCTTCGCGTCTCAGACAATAAACCGTTCCTCGCTGCAAAAATTCCGAGTATGTTATGCAAAGACGCAATCGAGACAGACGACGAGGGCGAACCAACCATCACGACCAATCTCGCATCAGCACTTCTTCCCGTTGCCGCCCTTCCAATATCACGGATTCTCAACCATCCAAACATTATCTCTCTCGTTGACATTGTTCACAAATCTGGTGAAGAAGGCAGTAACCAGAACTTTGGAGCCTTCAGCGACATCACAATCTGGGAAGACATGAATGCGGGCAGCTTAGCATATCTTCTTCCTCCCGTGAACAATTATCCCACATTCTCCGACGAAACTGCATGGCACAATCTCGCCGCTCAAAACTTTCGACGCTTCTCCCTTCCCGAATCTCTCTGCTGGCATGTTCTCAAATCCATGTGCAGAGCACTTCTATGGCTCCATTTCGGTATCAAGGAAACGCCTGGTATACCCGGAGAATACAGACCCCACGACGATGACTGGCAGCCGATTCTAATCATGGATGTCAGTCCGCCTCAAATCTGGTTCAAGAGAGCGAGATTTGGAGAAATGTATGGAGAGTGCAAGTTAGGTGGCTTTCAGTGGGCGAAGGTCACAGGTATGATTGGTGGCAGGATGGCGATGGCGAATATTAGATATGATGCGCCTAGGAGGAACCAGTACTACTGGGCCCCGGTATGTTCTTCTCTATCCTGCCTTTTCTTCATGCTAATGCAATACACAGGAGATATACAGGAATACCAACTCCTGGTCCCGCCCATCAGAGATCTGGTCTTTGGGTGCAACAATTTATACAATGATGACCGGTATCCCTCCCCCTCGTTTTCACGATTGGAATTGGCAAGTCTCGCGTATGTGCGATAAAGGGTTCTCACAGCCACTGCGAGAGATTGTGGGAGCGATGTTGAAGCATCATCCTGCGGATCGCCCCACGGCGCTAGACCTGGTGAATAAGGTCAATACTGAGTGGAAGATTTGGAGGTCAAACAGCGTGGAAGGGAGGAGAGTGGTGGATGTTGATGATAAGATCAAACTCAAGATGTCGCTGGGTCCCGGTGTAGGGCAGATGGGCTCGATGTAAGATGCACGGGTGTGAATCTTTCCAACGGGGAATTCTTATGGTATCATCATTCTAGTTCTTTTCAGACTTAAAACAACATTCTTTCCATCCCATCCCGTTTTCAACCCCACATTCCGCATCTTAAAATCCTTTCCTATCTCCTACTTAAAAACCTCAACCAACATCTCAACCATAGCAGTAATCGTCTCAGCACCCTGCCTCATAACCCCATCCATCGCCAAAAACGGATGCGGCATCCCCTTCATAATCCTCAAATCAACTTCTACCCCCGCTTTTCTCAATTTCCCCGCATACTCCTCCCCCTCCGTCCTCAACACATCCAATTCCCCCACCACCACCAGCGCTTTTGGCTGCTCCTCCCACCCACTCTCATAAAGCAACGGGCTAGCCTCCGGCTCCTTCCAGCTCTCCTCATCCGGTAAGTAATGATTCCTATACCACAACATCTTCAACGCTGGCAGCGCTGGTACGAATTCATTTTCTTTCCAGGAAGCATTGTTGGTTGTCAGAGCTGTATTATCAGTTACCGGCACGATGAGAAGCTGGGCTTTAAACCTCGGAACTAGAGACGGGGACGAAAGTGCTTTGTGGCACATGATAGCAGCTAGATTCCCGCCAGCTGACGAACCGCCTATTGCGGCTTTGGAGAGGTCTAAAGACAGCAGGAAGGAGCCGGTGGATTGGAGCCAGAGGAGGGATTCCCAGGAGTCGTGGACGGCTGCTGGGTAGGGATTTTCTGGGGCTAGTCTTTTGAGGGGTCAATATTTAGGGTTGAAAGGGAGGTAGGGGAAGTACCGGTAATCGACGGTAATGACAACGCAATTAGCTCTCTTGCACAGATTGGTACAAACCACGTTCTCAGTATCGATATTCCCCAGCACCCAGCCGCCGCCGTGATAATACATCATAACCGGCCATCCGTTTTCCGGTTTCTTGGTAGCGGGAGTGAAGACTCGGATCGGGATGTCGGGACCGCTGGTTTGTGTTCGGGGAACGAGGAAATCTTCTGTTTTTCCCACCGGGAGCTTCGGGCCCGCGCCGGGGATCAGAACGCCGGAGGTGCGGGAAGCGGAGACGGGTTGGAGGTGTACTTGTTGTTTGTCGATGAGGTGGGTGTTGTAGAAGGCTGCGTAGTCCGGGTCGAGTTTTGAGGTGATGGAGGCGTGGAGGGGGTATGGTGGTTGGGGACCGGAGGATCCCATTTTGGAAGGTTTGAGGGTATTCACAGATTTATAGGATATATTGACGAAAGTGGGGGACAAGAATAGGGGTTGTTATTTTGTATTTATAGGTAGGTAACTTTGAGGGGGAGTAATTTGTTCAGTTTATATGAAGTGGGAGAAAGGCTATTGTATGGAGCCACCAGGAACATTGGCAGGTAAAGTGGAGTAGAATAGCTAATGGGATGTAACCTTGAAAACAGCGACAGGAACCATGGTGCTGATCGAGCTACGCTGTGGATTGATGCACCTAGCCTCGAATATTTGAGCGCGGGGCAAGCAGAATTGAAGTGATTGAACCTGATGCCATGTTGTGTTGTGGCGATGAGGGGTTGGTGGAAGAGCCTCCTTGGTGGAGATGCGATGTCGGAGCTGACTCGCTTCGCTTCTTTCAGACCCTTTCACAAAGCGAAGATGATCGACAGGAAATAGACATTCTTGTCGAGCGTCTCCGCAATACCCCTTAATGGAGCGAGGGGTTAGCGGCCAGTCTTGTCGGAAGAAATCGCTACCCCTTTATGAAGCGGACGCAGTCGACGGTGAGGAGACATGAAGTGTCGGGAATGCGTGGTCTATACTTCGACCTTCAAGAAGCAAAAGCTATTGCAATCGAGGAACAAGTCCTCTTCACTAAAAGGCATACTGAGCAATTTCTTTGAACCGATTTATACCCTATAACTTTTGGCTCCAACTAGAATGATATCAATGCAATCAAACCCCCTTCATACCAGATGAAAGAGGCACGCTAAATTACTGAACATGATTGGAAGTACATTTTGATATCGACCAGCAATCTCCGAAGACAAGAGCTGGGAATCCACCTCTTTTGCCAACGTCTTTGTGCTCTATGTGTATATCGTAGGCACGATCCAAATTGGAATATGGTTCGCGCCCTGGTTGACGTTGCCATCAAACACAGCATAAACGAATCCTCCATCTTGATTCAGCACGAACTGAGCTGCTCCACCCTGGAAGCCGCAATTCTCCCAGACCAGCGTTGGAGGAATTGTCGGCGCCATTGTAAATGTTCTTGCTGTTAATCCAGCTTCGGGCAAGTATTCACTCAATGCGAAAGGTGCGTCCACTGCAGGTGATGTTGTGGTATACCAGCCGTAAACGAAAATCGGATCTTGGGCGACCAGTGTGCCGTCGACAAAAAAGGCTTCGATAGCGTTAACTACACTATTCGCTGCTGTGTAGGAGCCGTCTCGTTCTAGATATACGTTGCCTCCAAAGGGGGCAAGAGATCCTGGAGTCTGTTCCCAATAGAGTTGTAGTAAATATGTTGTATTCGCAGGGATATCATTGCCACTAAAACGTCAGTAATGTTATTAAGTATCCAGGGAGGAAGATACATACGGAGCATATCCAGTCGTCGAAGGCGGAGTGCAAGACGAGACAGCTGCAACCGTACCCGTTGGTACACTTGGGCTTGAGGCCGAAGGAGTTGGAGTCGGAGTCTGGAGTGGCAGCAATGTCAAAGTCACAACCCAGACAGTGTCTGATAGCGGAATCGGACCACTAAACCATGCGGACACCACACCATCACTCTCGTTGAGAGTCCAAGTAACATTCTCATTCTGAAATTGACAATTGTTCCATGCCAATGTCGGAGGTGAGGATCCAACAGTTGTAAACGTCCTCGCAATCGATTGAGAGCTGGATGAATATTGCTCTAATGCAAAAGGCATCGTGGCCTCGGATAGCTCCATTCCGTACCAGCCAACGCCAAATGCAGTGTCTAGAGCAAAGAGGACACCATCGTAGAAGAACACTTCGACAGCCAGATTGGTGTTGTCAACTACACCACCTTCTCTGGTAAGGTAGACAGGACTGTTGCCCAGATGTGCGATGATTTCGGGTGAGGTGACTGATATAACGTAGGTAGTGTTTGCAGGAATATTGGGAGCACTAGATTGATTAGCTGAGGATCAATCGAAAATGGGAACGCGATCGTATACCTTGGATATGATGTTGAAGAAGGAACGCAACCTGAGTTTGTGCCTGTAATCACTGGCGCCGTGGAGCTTGTTGTTGTAGGCTGAGCGGGTCCAGGGAGTGTAAGTGTATGAAATATAGTTGCAGTGGTTTTTAAAGACACCACCACAGTACTTGTTGAAGTTTTAGGAAGACCTATGGTTGTGGTTGATGTGATAGTCGTCTTCAGGCTTGTTGGAGCATTCGTGATATTTAAGGTGGTTGAACAAGCATCAACCCAAACGACTGTATTCGAAGGGAGGAAGGTTTGAACAGCACATGGATATTCGACCACCGTGTATACCGTACAATTTGGTTGTTGACGCTGAAAAAGATCTCCAAAGAGGTTGAACGCGCTGACCGCAGTGGCGCAAGAAAGGATGTGTAAAGACCGCATGGCGAATATAGATCAGATCTCAGCAGGAAAATGATGTGATTAGCTTAATGAGTGATAAGAGACAAAATAATAAAGTAGGGACAGTGTTGAGTTGAATTGTTCTTGATTCTGGTGGTGGGATATTTTTCGACTCTTATGAACGCGCGAGGGATGGCGGGCGCAGGAATGTAGAAGGCACAAAAGCTCCGAGGGGCGGGAGAATGTAAACACTTCAGCCTCTATTTTCATTCAGCGAGAACATTTGGGAGGGATCATCTCTTACCTTGGTAGACTCTGGCCATGTTTGGTCGAGAAGGCATTCCGAGGGTTGGGGCTGGGTAAGCCATGAAGATCATACCTTGTCCAGATATTGTGTAATAAATCCATTTGTGACATGACGATGGGATTGGAGAAATAAAATGGGTTTCGCTGTTCAGATGTTGTGTAAAAAATTGACGATGATGCTTGAATGTTGTTGCTGGATGAGTGATCGTCCTTCAAATCTCAAGCCCCACTATCCAGCTACCATTCCCAACCTCCTGCTTCTCGAACAATTCTTGCGATACCTTCACGAACTCACTTGACAGCGGGAAATTTTAGCTTCACGACGTAACGTTGATTCCGAGAATATACAGTCAATGCAGAAAGCTCTTCAAAGGTGGGGTTCGCCTAACGTGGGGGTCAGTATCAACAGCCTCCGAGCTCGTGCGCCTATATGCAAGTCATCTTCTTACTCTCCACATCACATCATCAACGTACGACCGGTCTCGACCTTCAAGCCGAAACTCAAATTCCATCGATTTGTCCATACCATGCCCAAAGAAGTCCAAACCATCGATGGCGGCAAAGCTTGGTATAAATGCAAACCTGGACCCATGGTTCTGGGTGAAGCACCGATATACCGCGCAAGTGATAACACTCTACATTGGGTTGATCCATTGAAGGAGCCTCCTGAGCTTCACATCCTACATGTCGATCCCGAAACCGGAAACCCAAAACGCGAAGCTCGAGTTTTGGTCCTCGAGGACTCGGTCACGGTTCAGTATTTCCGGAAGGACATACCCGGCAGCTACATTTGTGCTTATTATCAAGGAGTGGCCTTTATGGACGAGGAGACTGGAAAATTAGAGGTTGTGAAGGAGATTATTCCCAAGGAAGAGAGGGGAGAGAGGAGATTCAATGATGGAGGTGTTGATGCTAAGGGAAGATTTTGGTTGGCCGAGATTGACAAGAAGGTAAGCTCTTTGGGAAGGAATCTATGTCACAATGAGCAAAGTTAATTGAGACAGGCGATGATATATGGTGCTGGCAACCTTCCAGAGAGTTATGGGACGCCTCGAGGAAGATTATGGAGATACGACCCTGATGGAAGTTTGCATGAGATGGCGAGTGGCTTCGTATGTGGGAACGCAGTCGATTGGAGTCGAGACAACAAGATATTCTACATAAACGACAGTGTTGGACAGAAGGTTTACAGCTTTGATTTTGACCTCGAGAGCGGCTCGATCTCCAATAGGAAACTTCTTGTCGACATGGCGGGAACTGTAGGAGAACCAGACGGCATGGTCATCTCCACGGATGGCAGCCTCCACATTGCTGTTTATGGCACAAACACACTCAGTAAGTTTCCAAGCCGATTTCACGGAAGTTTTGATCTATACTGACACTGCTTTTGTAGTGGTATTCGACCCAGCTGGTAAACACTTGAAGAGTATAAAGTTCTCAGGGAAGAACTTGACGTGCCCAACATGGGGTGGTAAAGACCATGATATGCTCTTCATTACATCAGCGAGACAAGGGGCTGGGGATGATACTGGACTTGATGAAGGCGGCAATATTTTCAGTCACAAGGTTGGGGATGGAGTAAAGGGACTAGCAAAGAATGAGTTCGGAGGATAACATAGCTTGATTTGCGGATCAGAAAGCATCCAGACGTAGATCTGGGTGTCTGGACAGCTCTGAAAGCTGGAGACGTTGGTCATTACAACGTCTTGCAACATTCAGAGCCACGTAGAACTTGGCCGCCGGTAGAAAATACATACAAATCCAAGAACCTACCAAGTTCTTCCTCTACATTTAATGTCTCCCATGGTGTCTGTGAACGTCTGAACTTGGTGCGTGAAAAGTCAAGTCTACAAGAGCGCAATTGTAAAGTTTGAGTGTAAAGTTATTTGAACTTATGATGTACGTCGTCGGTTAGATAATTGAGATCTCTAGGAGTGCTAGGACTTTTGTGGTTATTTTGGGCAAGGTATCAGCAGAGAGTGAAGAGCGTGATGCAGTTTGGGAAGATTCGGTTCCAAATCTTGACTATTTTGAAGAGTTTGGGGATTGGGCTGCTCAGGGTCCGAAAATTGGTCCCAGGAAAAGCTAAAGAGCTGTTTTCAAGACAGAGACTGTTATTATCCGACCGGTTTCGGTGTTTTCAATGTCGCTGAGGGGTGTTGCGACTCTCGATCTCCTCAAAGTCCGAGGAAAGGGTCGCGGCTTAAGCGAGGCACACGAGAGGGGAAGAATCAGCTTTGTCAAAGAGCGTATTGTTGCCAGAAGTAGGGTTTGTACCTTGAGACTTGAAGATAGTGAAATTGCCAAAGGTAGACGGGGGATTCAAGAGAGTTTGAAGAGTTGAATGGGAGTTGGAAGTCTGTAACGAGATCAAACTAGAATTGTAGTCTTGGTAAACAAGCTGTTAAGGACATTGCCAGGAAACGACGCTAAGCCTTGGTAATTTTCTTCAAGGACTAGAGCCCGCCTAGATAATGCCTTCCTAAATTTTCTATCTGCGTCGCAAGCTCTCAGCTTTGGCAAAAGCTTGTAAGTCCTCTCGCTACTTTACTACAACGCACAACACTCTTCTCTTTGTAACAACTGAATTTTGCTGATCTTCCACTTCAGCTTAGATTCTTCTTCTACCAGTCTCTTCCTCTTCCAAGCACATCGCAGCTCTCGAGAGCACCGGACAATGGAGATCGTGCGCCCGAAACGCCGGATTCCGGCTTCCGGCTTCCACTGATGATGAAGAGAGCGATGTAGAGATGGTCGACGCAACAGACAACGACAATCTCTTGATGTCGAACGACTCGGGTGATGATGAGGATGAAGAAGAGTCAGAGTCCGACGACAGTCTTTCTGAACCAGAAGATGAGGGTAGCTGGCGCGAAGACTACGAGGAAGTCGACATGGAGTTCGACTCAGAGTCTGACATTGAGGAGAATACAACGGAATACGATGGGCCGGACTTCCTCGAAGGGCTTCCAAGCTTTGCAGAAAGTCCTGTGCAGTCGGACGAAGCTCTCGGAGAAGCTGCACGTACTTCAAGCAGAGCCCAAATGCACGTCGCACCATCCACTCTGGAGAACAGCTTACCGGAATCCAGAAACATTCAGAGACGCTGGGATAATGGAAACAAAAAGAGACACCTTCTCCCTAATCCTGCCAAGGCCAATACTAGCAGCCAATCCAGTAGCTCTTCTGACATTAGTCACAACGGCAAGAGCAAAAACCCTGAAACCGCGATCAAGAAGCACAACTTTGGTACCGCCAAAGCCTTGCCCTTCGTACATAGCTTGGTTCGTGTCCTCTCTCCAAGCACAGACTTCCCCAACTGATCAATGACAGGCCAAAAGATTTTATCCCATCAATCTCGATAAGATTACTGTTGGTGGTATAGGCGTGGAACATAAACCTATGGATCTACAAATATGGGCGGAAAATATGAAAGCCAAACTTGCGAAAGATGGAATCGTGTCTTTTGCCGGTGTCCCTGTTATCTGGCAGGACAAAGAAACTCGCAGGATCGGCTACGCATCAGTGATCGTTGACGATTTTTGGTACTTCCCGGGTGATTGTGTGCTACTTCATCCGGACGGTAAGAGCTTCTTGCCAATCGCAAAACATAACTTAGTAATACTTTCCAAGTCCAAAAGCGAAACCTCTCTCACAAAGTAAATAAGAATCTCCAAAGTAATGAAACACTTGCTTTGTTTTCTAAGATCATTTACATCTACCAAGATGAGGTTTGTCAAACCACATTCTTTGCTTGACGTGTTACTAATTTTGTTAGTTTGATAACCCGATAGCACACGTCCAATGGCTCGAGCACGGCTTGGCAATCTTTGGAGCCCTTGCTGGTCGTTCAGAGCTATTCGCCCTTATGGAATGCAGCGACGTACCCCTCGCTTCAATCAGAAAGCAAATCATAGTTTCCGTTCTGCAAAATGAGCGTCTCGATCCTACTTGGTACAAAGGCATATTGGAAGCAGACCTTCCTGATGATCAATACGTTGTGCGCCAACAATACAATCCGAAGACAGGGGCATTTACCAACATAGTCAATATGCTAAATTCCAGGGCAAAGACAACAGGGGAGCAGACATGTAGTTGCTGTGACCAGATTGCTATGAAATGCCTGGAGCAAAAGACCACTATTCTGGGAAATCACACAATCAATGGCAGACGCACTGTGTTTGCCGGAATTTGTCGTCGAGGCGTTAAATACTTCGTTGATGACTTCGTCTATATTTTCAAAGGTGCTTCGGAGATATACGAAATTGGGCAGATCACCAGTATCTACGCCCTCAATAAGTATAGCAAAAACTTCGGCGACAAAGAAATAGTGGAAAGTGGGTGGATCAAGCTTGAGGTTGACATTTTTGAGCGATACGACAAATTCCACGACGCTTGGTTCGATGAAGAAATGATGGAGAGAGTTCATATGGTCCGAGACGAACGACGCTTGTACAAGAGTAGCAAAACTCGGGTAATTTCTGCAGGCCACATAGATGCCAAGTGCACAGTGAAGCATCGCGACTGCTTTCCAACTATAGAAGACTTAAACCTATTCAAGGATGGTCCGGATTGCTTTTGGGCAAACAATCAGGTTCCGGATGATATCAATCCAGACGGCAGGATTTTGAAGAAGGAGCTTGTGCCACTGGAGCCGATCAAGAGTTCCCCACAAAGCAAAGAGGAGCTACAGAAGAGATTGGAGCTCGTATCGGAGTTCGAGAGCTGCGTTGACAAGCCAAGATGCCTCGTAAGTGTCCCTTTATCGAAAGATAACGCATATTGACAGCACAGGATATGTTCAGCGGCATAGGTGGACTTTCCTGGGGCATGGAAGCCAGCGGGTGCATGAAGGTGGTCAGTGCAGTGGAGGCTTCACCAGTAAGTACTATCAGCCAACTCGTGATTCAAGTACTTATGTTTGCAGGCTGCTTGCAAAACGTATAGGGCTCACTCTCCTAATGTGATAATGCATTGCGCGGACGCAAGTCTGCTTCTAGACCGGGCCGTCAGACGACAAATGGGAGAAAATCTTGCGCCTTTACTTGACCAAGACAGAATGACAGTGCCTGATCTTCCACTACCAGGTGAGATAGATATTATCGTGGGAGGTAAGTTCAGTACAATTTCAGCTTGGGATCAATACGCACGAGAGACTAACTCTGCACCAGGTCCACCCTGTCCAGGTTATTCGAATGCCAACAGACATCGGAAGGAGTCCGATCCAACGAACGCTCTTCTCGTGATGTACCTCGCGTACGCAGAATACTATCGTCCATCATATTTTCTGCTAGAAAATGTTGAAGGCTTGCTTTATCACAATGTAGGTGACGATATCGCAACATATGGACACCGTCGACTAACGTTTCACTTCAGCCTAATGGCCTTGCGAACGGAACAGTCAAGTAAGTACTTCATATCCATGCTCTTGAAGATACTAACGATTTCACGCTAGATTGATCCTTCGGGCTTTGACAGGAATGGGATATCAGGTACAATATGCTCTACTACAAGCGGCAGAGTATAATGTTCCTTCTACACGACCAAGAGTGTTTTTCTGGGCTTCCCTACCAGGGTATCCTTTGCCAAAGTTCCCGCGGCCGGATAACGTCTGGAAACATGGAAGTAGCCCACTTACCAACTGGTTCCGAGAACGTCGTGCTGCGCCCTTCAAGCCGTGTACCGCTGGTGATGTGGTCACGGATTTGCCGGCATTCGAATGGAAGAATCCACATTATATTGTACCGCAGACCGCAGACCAGAAGGCTATAGAGCAGATGCGGGAGGAAAAGTACACGCTCTACGATGTCGGGAAAGAACGGCATTATGTGGGACCAGACCACCAGCCATATAAGGAAGGGGGGCCTTTTTCCGAGTACCAGAGGAAGATGAGAAAAGGTTGTGGCGAACATGACCTTCGTAACCACGTCACTCGACGACCCGGAGCAACGACTGTCGAGCGGGTCTGCAATGTTCCGCTAGAACCTGGTGCAAACCACCAGGCTTTGCCAAGTGATTTGAAGCCACTTTCCCTGTCCAAGTCGCACGATACCACTGGCAAGGAGATGAAGCAATTTCCAAACAAATACGGTCGCCTAGACATGGAGCTGCCAACAAATGCGTGTATGACTACCATGGAGCCCTCAGGGCACAGCGGCAAAGTAAGTGCTCTTGAAATTCGAGAATATCTTCGATTCACTGGAGCTGACAACTTGATACAGATTCTACACCCAACACAACACCGAATTCTTAGCATCAGAGAGTATGCCAGAGCAATGAGCTTCCCGGATTCCTTCGTATTCAATTTCAAGGACGTTCGCGTTGACGATGCCATCTGCGGAATCGGAAATGCCGTACCTCCCAGTCTTAGCTATGCTCTTGGCCTGATGTTGCATGACGCATACGTTGGTTTGTATCATGAGTATCTACAACAGACAGTGAACGCAAATTTGACGCCAAGTGCTCAGCTTGGTACTCCGGACCAACCCATAGCCCTCGAGGATGATCTCTAGGCCCATAAGCACAGATCCGAGTAAACACGGGACATTCATCGCAAGCCACAAATGTGCACACAATCAAAAACTCCCCTGCACACGCACTCCTGTACAGTACTCTTTACGAAATTGATACTCTCAATTCCTCCCGAGAACGTCGCAAATCACGCATACAAAATCAAAACGCCCCAATACACGAACAACTGCACAATACTGTCGACGAAATTGCTACTCTCAATACTTTTCAAGACCATCGCAATAAGAGATGTCACTTGACGAGTGAGGTATGGGCAATCATGCACAGTTCCGAAGCCTGATTTTCTCGAAGATTTTCAATCCATGAGATTGCCGGAGATGGTAAGAACGATTTGGTCATCGCACTAGAAGTAAGCTGCAAAACAGACTTGCTTTTTCAAAAGGGTGATACAATGAAAATTACTGAAATCTCAACCTTGATTCAACGTGACCTGAAATCCAACTTGACTACAAACCAGAACTTCCCCAATAATCCCTGTTATCTTCTTCTCCAACGGCTTTGATAGGTAACAAAAGATGTCATGCCATTTCAAACAGCAGGGGGATTTCTGATCTTTTCCCGCTCATTTTCGGTCACCAGATGCTCTTGAAACCAAGTGACGGCTTGAATAAAAGCTTGTCTCTTGGCGAACACCTCAGCGTCGGTGGTGAATGCACGTCGGGCAGCAAACCCATGATGAACATGACTATACAGCGAAATTTGGTACGCCTGGTTGCTTGCTAGGAGACCCTCCTCAATTCCGTCCCTCTGCGCCTTATTTATTCGACTATCGTTATCTGCGAAGGCGACGCTAAGTGGTTTTTGGATTTTTAGGATTTGTGCTCTTTCGATTTCGGTAGGATGAGCAACGAAGCCAGCGTCAGCTTTATCTTCGGCAAGGAACTCTATCACCCATCGACCTCCAGCACAAATTCCTAGAATACAATTGGCATGCTTTTTCCTATGAACATATATCCATGGCAGTATTCGCCAAGAGATTTTACTTACCAACTAAACCAATCATCTCGCAGCTCTGCTGGTCAAGCCAATCCCCGGCATGGGCAAAGATGACTTTCTGTTGAGCTAGCGAGGGGTAGCGGTTTGTTCTTCGATTGGCTTAGGCAATGATCAGCATGTATCATATGTATAAGAGTTTGGCGACGCACGTGCGACATATGGTTCTCCTTCCCCTCGAACAAGATTTTCACTATTGACGACCACTACAAAATAGCCAGCCTTTGACTTGAGTTAGAAATGAAAGAGGTTTCATTGAGTTGACATGGACTGACCTCTGCGAATTGGTCTGCTCTGCAATTATCGTTAGTAAAACAATGGCCCAACCATCCTAACAAAAAGTGCACTCACAGAACTCTGCTATTGTGCCAGATTCCCTTGGCATCTGGGAAGTAGATGATGCCACACTGATTGGCGTATAACTCGTTTGGCCGGCATAAGTACCAGGGATTGCCATCAGGATCGAGTCCATCTGTTCCTTTGGGCGTTCCTCTGAGACGGAAACGTTAACGGGTTTTCGGCCTTAGGTACTGGAGGGAGTAGACTTACTCGCATTGATAACCTTTAGAGTTCCACGTCAGCTTTGTCGTATTATCACGGATGACAACGTACCAGCAAAAGGACAGGGTGCATTTGGCAGAAGGGTACTCATTATGAAGCAGTAAGTCGTGCAAAAGATGTAGATTCTCAGGATTCACAGACTTACTCCATAAAAAGAGATGTTTCCATGTTTGTATTCCCAGTAGGCAACGCAAGGAGAATTAAAGAGCATTCCAGACGTCTGCATTCCAATGAATGTCACGTGGGATATCTCAATTTCCGGGAGTGAAACCAATAGCTGTAGTAAAGAAGAACGGACACATGTCACTAAACTCATTTTATGAGTTCATATCCGAGTTGCGTTCGTTGTAAGAGGCAGCTCGCCGCATTATAGAACTGGAGATCCAAGAGGACACCATCGCTGAAGTGATACTTCAAAAATATAGCTTAAGCTAGGCCTAAAATGGGTAGGCTATGATTAAGCGAAAGCGGCCAACCTTAATTCCGACTTCTTCAAGCATTGGGAGTATCATCCAAACTATCAAATTGATACTCATATCGAATTGCATCAGCACACAAGGAGAAGGAGCCTTATGACGTACTTATGCAATCTGTGTCATGGTTGTTTCCGTTGAAAGGGGGTCTGCGTATCAGGAGAAGGAGATGAGCATGGATTCTGACCCGGTGTTACCAGCAGGAGAGAGGATAGACCACGAAGCTCGGCCAGATGGCGCAAGTCGAGGGCGAACACATTCTCATGGATTATCAAACCGTCACTTGGCTGTTCAAGAAGCGATGCAGTTACCATCGCCATCTCCATCCCTTTCGCCTTCACCTCGAAGTCACTCGCCATCTCTCGTCCTCACGGATGCGTTAGCCGAACATATAGGCACCATCTCATCTATCGCCCAGAGTCATAGACTCAGTGGATCTTTCGAGAAGGATCTTGGTGGCCCATTGCCTGGGGGGAAAGACGGAGCTGCTTTTACCTCACCGGCTCCTAATTCTAAGATACAACCACCACACGACTCAAAGCTTCACGACATCCCGGAGGAGCAAGTCAAAAGGCCGAGGAAATCTTCAACAGCGAAATCGAATGGAGACGTGTTGAAGCTCTCTGCTGCTGAGATGGAAGACCTGATGTCAGCACCAGAGTCATTACCCGTGACCTCACCGGCCAAATTACCCTCGCCATCTCATCAATCTCTGGCTCCAGCGCCTACAATAGATAGGAGAAGTTCTGATATTTCACCATCCTATAGCGAAACTCAATTTGAAAGACCTCGCAAAATCAGCGCTCCAGACTCCGTCACTCCTACGACTGATGGACACCTGGAACGCCGTGCTAGAGCTGAGACGACTTCGAACTCAACCTTGCGGCGACCCGGTGGTTCATCTCGTGCAATTTCAAGCCCAATGACTTCCAGTCACGGACAGAGTTATTACCAAAAGACTACTCCTGGACAGACATCGCCAAAGCGAAAGCCATTGGCATCAGGAATTCGTCCAGAACCATTAGACTTAAGTCACCTCTCATCTAAGGCTACTGGCAAATCTACAGGAACAGACTTGCCGTCACCGATACCCCAGTCCATCCCTTTACCGCCTATGTCTATACCTACTTATTTGCAACTGGAATTATCATCAACACGACCATCACCATTGTACATATATCGATCAGCCGCAAGCGAATTTCCATACGAATCATCAAAAGTCAAATTTGAGCGTTTATTAAACTTCTTGTTACTACCACCACAACTAGAGCAGGTTCTCTACTTTGGTACATTAGCCTGCCTTGATGCATGGTTGTACACATTTACGATTCTACCTCTCAGATTCTTCAAAGCTGCTTGGATCTTAATGCAGTGGTGGGGTCAAGTGCTTGACAGAGAGGCACGATTCATTATGGGATTCATTTATCATGGTACGGGAAGAATGTGGCATCGGTCGAGGGGCAGAAGAGAAAGCATGGATTCCATTGCTCGTTCTCGCAGCGCTTCTCGGGCAAGTCGTCCGTCGGCTTCAACTGCTCCTTCGTACCAATCGCAGTCGGGACGACCATTTGATGTTCCAGCTCCGAACGGCCAACCTCCGAATTTTGAACATTTAAAAGCTGAAATAGAGCGCAAGACGAAGCCAGGCTGGGGTCGTCGGCATCGAAGAACGAAGTCCCAGCCTTCCTCACTCTCTTCGTATCACAAAGCAGATCTATTGCAAGGCGCTGTTATCATCTGTAGCTGCATGATCTTGATGAAACTAGACGCCAGTCGGATGTATCACAGTATCAGAGGTCAAGCCGCCATCAAACTTTACGTTATTTTCAATGTGCTTGAGGTATTTTTACTTCCTTTACAAATATACCGACTGGCTAACCTTTCCAGGTCTTCGACAAGCTTCTCGCAGCACTAGGTCAAGACATCCTCGAATGTCTTTCCTCAAACGAGACACTAGAACGCGACATTGATGGACGAAGCAAAATCCTCCGTCCCATGGGCATGTTCATCCTAGCCCTAATCTATAATGTCGTCCACGCCGCCGCCTTATTCTACCAAGTCATCACTCTGAACGTCGCCGTAAATTCCTACTCCAACGCCCTGCTTACCCTCTTGATGTCCAACCAATTCGTGGAGATCAAATCTACTGTTTTCAAGAAGATAGAAAAAGATAACCTCTTCCAACTCACGTGTGCCGATATTGTGGAGCGGTTCCAACTCTGGCTTATGCTCATGATCATCGCGTTACGCAACATTGTTGAAGTCGGAGGTCTGAGTATGCTCGGTGGTGGAGCCGATGGAGATTTGATGCGAGATCCAACCGCGCCGTCAAGAAGCAATTCCATCATGCCCAACAGTTTCACTATCCTACCCAGCTGGTCGGGTGAAGTGCTGTCACCGTTTCTACTTGTGCTCGGCAGCGAGATGTTAGTAGATTGGATTAAGCATGCTTACACCTCGAAATTTAACAACGTTAAGCCTGCTGTCTATAATCGATACCTAGACGTCTTAGCCAAGGACTACTATACCAATGTACGTCTCCCTTCCCTTCTTCTCCTTCCCCTTTAATCTAACACACGCAGGCCTTCGTAAACCAAAACCTAATCAAACGCCTCGGCCTCCCCGTCATTCCCCTCTCCTGCCTCTTCATCCGCTCCGCCTTCCAAACCTACCACATGTTCCTCGCAACCCACCTCCCATCCCCGCTCCCCTCCCCCTCCCTCTCCACCTCCCTCTCCGTCGAATCCTCATCCCCCTCCACCACCGCCGCCCTCGACCACTTCGACACCATCATCCGGCGCGCGCTCGGCGGCTCCCCTTTACCCGGCCACTGGATGATCCCGGACACCGACTCCCTCCTCGCCGCCACGACCATGATAGTATTCTTCCTAGGTCTCTTCCTCGTTCTCCTCGCGCTGAAACTCGTGCTTGGGATGCTGCTTTTGAAGTTTGCCAGGAATCGGTATAAGAGCATGAAGAAACGGGAACACGAGTCACAGTCTAAGAATGGGGAGAAGGAGAATTATAATACGGAGGGGAAGAGGTTGGGGAGTTGGGGGATGACGGAGATGGATGAGGATAAGAAGAGGTGGATATTTGAGGATGATAAGGAGGCGTTGAGGGTGGGGAGGGAGAAGGAGGCGAAGTGGAGGGAGAAGAGTGAGAGGATGGGGTTGCAGGAGTTTGGGAAGATTAGTAGGTATGAGATGGTGAAGAGGATTTGGTGAGGTGTGGGAGATAGGTACTATCCATGTGCAATAATAGAATAGAAAGGCATTCAAGTCTGAACAAATGTCTAGTGCATCGAATTGCGCGAAGTGAAGACAGTCATTATTTTTCTAAATTGCTACACAGCCAATCTCACATAATCCAGATCATAGGATATCACCTCTTCAACGCCACGCTAGAAACACTTTCACTTTTCAACATTTTCACCTCCCCAACCCCCAATGCATCTAATGTCAACATCCCCAACTCCGCAACTCAGAAGATATGCTAGCAACTTCAATTTTATTTCCTCGGCAACTCCTTAAACACCTGTCTGAAAATTTCACGACTTTTGTACAAATTACTCACCCTCAGTCTCTCGTTGTCCAAGTGCGCGGAGTCGCTGGCCTGTCCGCAGGGTAGGTGTGCTGCTGGAGCATTGAACTCTTTCTCCAAGAATCTGATACTCGGGATCGAGCCTCCTTCTCTAATGTATAGTGGCTTGCGTCCTTTCTTCTTCGTTCCGTTTGTGTTGCCACTTTCTGCAGGCTTGTCTTCTGAAGTGTCTAAATCAAGAGCAGTCACAGCCAGCGAAGTATGATCGGAACCATTAGTCAGTGTCGTTGTGGTTGCTGGCGTGGGCTTGAGGCTTGGACTTATTGTTGGTTGCGACGAAAGCTTCGCTTGCTGCTTCAATCTTGGCGCAGACACACTTGAGCGTCGAGTCTCTCCAATAGGACCCCAGACATCCATGATTGCTGCTTCAAGAGTCTGGAAGATTTCATTGTCAGGATCGCCGAGCCAGGCATCAGCTTGATTATCGATTGTAATTGTCAGACGATTGTGGGTGTCGAGCCTAGCGAAAGCGTCTTCTAGGAAAGCGGTTAGAGACTTGATCACATCGTCGACTTCCTGGTTCGGCACGAGACGTAGTGATATCGCAGCGCTCGCATGAGACGAGACCAATGATCCATCTGGTCCCGACACTTTATATCGATGAACCGTCAAGTTTGGCTCTCGCCAACGGGCCATCAAAGATGCTTTGAGTGTCTCCGGTGGTCCATTTTCAGGATTACGCTTGATCAAAGTCTCAACAATATCGTCATAACGCGCCTCCTCGACCTCTGTGAGGGGTAGAATATCATCATAGAATCCCGGAATCTGAATTCGATTGTGGTGTCCTTTGAGTTTGGCGAGGATCGAGGTCAGATCGAACAGAGGTTCATCCATCATGAAACTTCCATCAACACCACTGTGGACATCGGGGTGCTTGCTATCAACCTTGACAGTGGCGTGCAAAACACCACGCAGTCCATATGTCAGACATGGTACATCATCATCGAGCCAGTAGCTGTTTGCGAGGATGATGTAGTCAACATCCCCAATGAGGTCCTTATGTCTGCGAATAGCTTCTTTGAAGCCTCGAGAGCCAGACTCTTCCTCGCCTTCAATCAAGAAGATAATGTCTGAATCCAACTCCTTCTCATGCACAAGATCAACAACACCATACAGTGCAGCCATGATAGGACCTTTGTTATCTGTTACACCTCTACCGTACAGGTATCCGTTGACTCCTTTCATTTCGAATGGGTCGATGATCCACTTGTTCTGCTTGTCATCTGCTGGGACAACATCATCTGCCAAAATTAGTAAAGATCCAAATCACAATTTCCAAAATACTCACAATGACCATAGAACAGAATCTTCTTTCGTTTTGCTGATGTAGCTGGATTGCCCTTGAATCTGGCGTAGACAACTGGATTGTGCTGATTTTCGGTATTCAACATCTCCGTCTGGGCACCATGTTTCTTGAACAGCGTTCGCAAGAAAGTGGCTCCACGACGACAATCCTCAGCATGTTCCGGTCTCGACGAGACAGTCTTGAACGATACAAACTCGCGAAGAGACTTTAGTAGATGATCTTCTTGTACATCAGGCTTGGTATATGTTCCCGAATGACATCCTGTAATATTCCATACGCATATCGAGTTGTCGTTGCCACCTGTAATGTAGAGCTGTTGCTTGTCGAACGTTGTTAGTGCCGAGGCTAGGATTCTACCCTCGTGTGCTCTCCATCGATTGACGCAATCGTACTTTCCGCTGAAGGAGGAAGTGGACTGGTATTTGCCATACTGAACTGTGGTGTATTTCTAGGATTTGTTAGATTGAGGTATATCGGCAGGACATGAGCTCTTACCCTCGCAAATCCAGTAGAGCTAGCCGTCCAGAGGTATCCCCATCCCATCTGCAGAGTCATAACATCCCCTCTGTGCGCCTTAATCACTCTCAGCTTCTGTTTGGTATCCAGATCCCAGAGCTCAATGACACCATCAAGTTTGCTGCTGTACAGAAACGAACCATCTACAGCCATAGACAACACTGACTCAGCATCGTCATCTCCAAGACAAGCAACCTCCCGTACTCCTTGAGTCTGGTCCTCGGAAAGCTTCCAGATCTTGATAGTTCCATCACCACCGCCTGATACTAGCACATCTTCATCTGAATCAATATGCCGTGTGACGCCCCTCACCATAAGCATACAATAGACGTATCCAAAATGGGCATAATGCATCATGTGTGCCTTGTCAATCTCCAGGATCTCTCCGCCATGAGCAGTTCGAGGATGCGGAGGCCGTGGTGTCGACGTACCACCCTTGGCTACTGAGTCGAAGAAGCGATGGTTTCGTCGGTCCGGATGGTTCGCAGGGTTCGGGGGAGGTCTCGTACTTGAATCTTTCAGACTGACCCATTGTATGCTTGTGTTCTGAGCTCCCAGGTATACCGTCTCGAATTGTGCAGAGTACGCAACGCTGAAGACATCCCCGACATCGTAAGTGCTGTATATATGGTATAATCGTTTGAGAGTAACAGGACACCATCCATTGACAATTGCATCCCCTGCACTGGAGAATAAGTGCTTGCCATCAGCAGACAGGAACAAACAGAGTACAGCTCGAGTATGGGCCTGAATCCGCAATACTAGCTCGAACGAAGCTAATGACCATACCAGAATCTCCCCATCCTGTGTGCCAGCATAGACAAATCGATCACTCACGGCGAGCGTGAGTATAGAGCTATCGTTCTGGAGGTGGTGTGCCAGCTCGGGTCTCTCCTTCAGGTGAGCGGCTGCTTCCGCAGAACTTCGGTCGGTGACTTCGTATGTCTCATCGTCGCTGGCTTCAGCTGTGGAGGAGTCAGTAGCTGTATTTGAGTTGTTTCTCTCATGTGCAGCTGCAGATGCAGATGTTCGTGGCCCAAAGATCGAAGCCATTTCTGCAAGGTTGAGTTGCATTTGAATCGCGTCTTTGGTTGGGCCTAGCTAGCGCCAATTGGAACTCTGAGAAAAAGATGGTGGTCATCCGGATCTTCTCTTTTGCATCTTCTGAGCCGCAACTTTTGCCCTCGTGGTTTTTCCATGTGCATCGCATCCCGTTCTCATGGCGTGGGGGTACGCAGGAACAAAGATCTTCGTGTATCAAAAATATGTTGGGTGTGGCTGCACTTACTTCTGGATTCCTGGCTCTCATCGCCATCGCTTGCTGACCAGAGGCTCGGCATCTGGTCTTCCTCGCTGGAACTGCTGGTCGTCTTCCACGAAGATATCGATTGAGAGCACATCGTATGTGACGTCGTTGTTGGCTGTCGACTAGCACAACAGTTCCACTGCTCCAAGTGGAAATCCTCCGCGTCACGAAGAATTAATGGATTGGAGAAAAGTGCCTCCATGATTAAAACCTAATCAGATTCGCAATATCTGTCAGTATGGCGTCAGAATGCTACTCATGGCACGTTCCTCCATGTGCCTATTTATCCCTCACGTTGGTAGAGGGAGACAAAGTCTGTGGTCAAGATTCAACATATGCACTATACCATCACCCCTACATACTCCTGCTTTTGCGTGCATCGCCTAGTCCGATAGTATTTGAGCAAGTGGCTGAAATCTTCGGAGTGCATTTCCTCAAACCCTCACTCTCTACATTGCTGGCTCTCTCTGATTTCGGAGGCTGGCTGGCTTCCTGTCTCGTGGATTCTGCAGGTCACACAGCAAAGCGATCGTACCATCCCGCTATCGGCGTTGAGACAGCTTGCACAAAGTTGTACAGTTGCATAGAAAAAGTAACCTAACCGTGCCTATCAGATGGGTCCAGGTACTTTAAGACATGACAAGCCGCTCCCGCCATGCTGAACTTGCGATTGACTCAGATAGCGCATCAAACATCTCATCTCTTTCTACTTGCTGGTACTGACTTTGACTATGAGTCTGAAGCAATCATGTTACTTTCTGATGTTAAAATAAACAAGTCTAGCGCCCAGGTGGTTTATCGTGCATCATTATATCAGAGTGTCTTGCCTTTTTTTCGTTTAACAAGTCACAGAGGCAAGATTCGTGCAGCAACAATCATGTGGCTCATCAAACTGTCTTTGCCGTTCATTATCGGCCAAGGGAATGTACTGAACACAATCGACCAAGCAGGTTCCATTTCCAATGGACAACATGATGGTCTTTTCTTACCTTGGGGATCCAGGCGAAACACTATGTCCGCTCGTATCATGGAGCTCGAAAATCAGCTACCAAGGACCCAGATTCCAGAAAATGCCAATCATGGCCATCAGGAAATTAGCCCTGCTCCCACGACTGAACAGGGCCAATCACGGGCGAGGGTTGATACATCCATCCAGCAAAATCCGAATCCCACAGCTTCTGCTGAAGCTACCCAGAGCAGACAGCCATGTAAGATTTCGAGATGGATGTCAAATGTAAAACGCAAGTCAACTGACAGCTCTCGAAACGAAACCACTGTTCCCTGCGCCAGAGGACGGAGACACTCTACTAGAAATACCGAGCGGCTTGGTAGTACGGCACCTGCAGCTCCCAATTCCAGCAGAATCAATTTTGCAGAAGAACGTCAGATTTACCACGGCGATGACGGGGTTGTCCAACATCAGCACGAAGAATCAGCTAACCCATTCAAGCCAAAAGTGGAAGAGGAACAAGCTTATACAGAAGAACAGGACTTTACCCATATCCCAGCGGAGACAGAAAGAAATCCGACACCGAGATCACAACCTACCGTAGCGACCCAGGGAGGTCCATCGACCCGAGCAGGTCCTTCAAGATCTACCAACATTGAGGACTCCTTTCTGGGAAACTTAGCAGGTGAGCATTTAGAAGACCAGCATTTTCACCGTATGGCAAATCTATACACCGAGCTCGGTCCCCGAGTATTTCATACCCAGACAGAAGTCATCTCATGACAGCGACAGAACAACAAAACCTGGAAGAGCCACATGGCTTCACTCAAAAAAGGCAAGGAAGGAAGGACTTCCCGTGGCGACTTAATGCATCTTTGCAATGACCTCGGTCACGACGAATTTAGACGCCTTAGAGACAGATTCTACAGAGGTGAGCAAGTTGAGCAAGTCGAGGAAGTTCAGGAAGCTGAAGGATCTGATGAGCAGCCTCCATTCCTCGTGGAAGATATCAATCCAGAGCGCCGCCTATCAATAATTAGTCGCACAAGCAACGCATCTGGAATACCACCGAGCGCTAGACAGAGCAGTTCAGGATCCACGGGCACTAGAATAGAGCCGAGTGACACGCCCACTGATCCTTCGGTAGATGAAGAGGTACCAAGACTAACCCTAGGTGAAATTCGAGACTTCACCACCCAGATACTTAGAGGAATTTCGATCATCATAGCTGAGTCGCGAGTCTCTGCCCAAATGACGGACTTTCAATTACAGCAGATATTGGCCTTGTTGAATCGTTTGGCCTATGAGGTTGAGGAGTAGTTCCGTATTGCGGGCACTTGTATTTTGAGGATTGGGAATGGGACTTGGGGTACGGGTTTCAGGGTGGATGTCTATCAGTATTGATGTTAAATTTTTAGAGCTGTTTAGATTCAATGCTATGATTTTGCTATCTTATGCTATGCCGTATAATCTATGCCTTCTTAGGCTATTCCAAAACCTTTCCTCTCCATCGTTGTTGTCATCAAAAAACATTGATCAATTATCGTCCGTTATCCTTCGACTTTCATTCTGGATGTCGTGACACACATCTTCCCCTTCTTCAAAGTGAAGTCTGGAAGCACGAGACTATCCAGTGTGAGGACAGACATTCTGTCCTTATCCCGCTTCCCAGACTCACACCCCTTTTCCCCTTGCCACCACTCTCAAAACTGAAAGATTCCACTCCCTTCCCAATCTCACCTATCAAACCTCCCCTCCATCTCCTCCGTAAACCCTCCCTGATCATGATCCTCATCCCTCCCCGGCCAAAGGATCTCCTTCCTCACCACCGCCCTCCCATGAGCCACCGCACAAACGACCCACGTCGCCACCAACAGCACCGTCATCGCGGTCCCCACCCACAAAATCCCCTCACTCATAACCGCATTCCCGATCTCAATTGTACAAATCGTGAACCCCACGTTCGGGAACACGAACGCCCACCACACGAGATGGAAACTCATGCCTTCCTTGGAGCGGACAGCGCCGTGGAGCACGGAGACGAAGGCGATGCTGAAGAACCAGAATGCGGTTGCCCAGAGGAAGAGCGCTATCCCGAGGGCGAGGACGCGGAATATGTCTGGGATTAGGCTTGGAGTTGTGATGTAAGAGATTGATGTATAGTCTGGGAATATACGGTATAGATGTTCTGAAATTCCAAGTAAGGCGAGACCAGTGAAACTCGGGGGTCCGACAGCGATGAACATTCCAGGGCGCGTGTTAGGAGAGGGTAAACCGGCAGTCATTAAGCGTCTCAGGTAGGGGCCGTACATAAAAGTCGCCATAAGCATACCGAGACCCTGGAACGTGATGCCTGCGACGAGAATAGGATACGCTGCGGAGACAGGCTGGGAGGAGCCCATGAGTGAGGCTAGAGTGCCACAGAGCATTATGGGGAAGACGGGGAGGATCCATTGGGGAGTCATGGATTGGATTGTGAGGGGCTTGCCGGTGAAGAGGAAGAAGTACTGGCCGACGGCTACGGAGAAGGTGAGGGCGGCGTAGGTCCAGAAGAGGACTTTGAGGGTTGTGACCAGCCAGGGCCCGGAGTGGGGGACGCCGTAGGATTGGATGTTGGAGATTACTGTTGATGAATTAGTGTGGGTTTTATAAGATATCGAGGAGCTGAGATGAGCTCTTGAAAGAGATATTCAGAACTCGGCTCCAGTTTGTAATTGAAAGTTGAGGGAGTTTTGACGTACTGTTGGAGATTGATATCCAAAATGTGGGAAAGAAGAGCGACTCGGTAGGGTGCGTGATGCATTTTGCAAGCGATTTTGGATATAAGATAAAACGGGTGCAAAGCGTAGCAGTAAACAGGATGAACAGAACGACTGTCAAGATGAAAAATATATCTCCAATCGCTATTAATCCATGAAACCGATGCGGTGTCCTCGCCAACAGCAAAGCAATTCCTCCGGTCGACATCGTACACGTATACCAAGCGAGCGTGAAATGGTGTATACGATCCCTCAACGTAAGATCGCCATGCAGCGTCGATTTACTCATCTGAAGGACGCCTCTCTGTCCCTCGAGCGAATTAGTTGAATACCTCCTCCTGGTCGTTCCTCTCCTCGAATTCGTTGGCGCAATAGGCGGCATATCGGGCATTGAATTTGATGTCGTGCTCCCTGTATCTTTGGATTTTTGTGTGGGAAGGTGAATTCCCTTTAAGATTTGTAAGACCTAGAACGTTAATCAGGAATTTGAGGTATAGCAAGATAGGTTGAGGTGTTTTCTGGCACACCGGCTTTTTTTCCGAGGTTGGTAACATCGTTGGATGTCATCAGTGGTTGACGTTAATATGGAGACGGACGGGCGCTAAATGCAAGACGGACGGAAACTAGAATGTGGATCGAAGCTATGAGATACAAGCGCGAGGCTGAATATTCTAGATCCTGAGATATATAGACGCATTTAAAGTTTGAGTGAAGCTCAGCAGGATCGCAGAATTTGTACGGTCGCCCAGCTTTTCTTATCTTGCATGAAGCTTCCGACTCCGGAACATCATGCCATCTACTATCTATGGATAGCATATTCACCAAGACATGAGATGAAAGAAGAAGGCAGAATTTTCGAAGGAGAAATATGCATCATTTTACGAGGTGCTAAGCCTTGAAAAGGTGTTCTAATTCTGGACATCACGGGTGATGATGCGAATGTCTCGTGATGGGTGACAAACCGAGATCGAAAACGAAGATGATCTCGGGCCGAAATTCCGTGAACAAAACTTTCTGTTTCTCAGGATTGTTATCTCTCTCATATACAGTAGGTAATTCAAGAAAGCACTCAAATCACGTTTTTAACAAGTTCTTGATACAGAAAAGAGGCACGGACTTGGATTGGCTGGGTCGAGGGGCATTGGATGACTGATGCGATGTGCAACAAATGGAATGTCTCCAATCACAGCTGCGAGCTTGGGTATTGTTGCACATCGAATTTGGAAAGTCCGCATACGTCGTCAATCACGGGACTTGATATTCGCTGCTGGGAATGGAAGATCGTCTCTTCTACCTAGCGATAAGATGATAAAGTTGAGACGATTTTTCGTCCGATGTTAATACTTGGACGATCCAAGCATTTTCTGTCAAGGACTTGAATCTTCAATACATATTCCAGTGAAAACCTGGAAGATATCGAGGTCCTAGTCACGAGCTTGGTAAAGGATCCAATCACAGCTTGTGAATTATTTTGTAGCATGTCGTAGCTATTGAGTAGTTATTGAGTTGAGTAACATTGAGTAGCCAGCAAACAACCACTCAAGTAATCCTCAGAGTACCAACCCAAACGTCCACTTTCCACTAAGTAAACGATTCACTCTCAGACTCTCTCCTTCATCCAATACTTAAACCACAACATCTGAGAAAAGAAATTGGACACTTCCCTCAAAATATATCCCTTATCACATGAGTTAGAAGATTCATCTCGGAGGCAGGTTCGTTAGAAGCTCCAATTAGGTTCGGCTCCGAAAATTTTGTTGCACGTCGCAACAGCGCATTTCGCGGGTTTTGCTGGGCGAAAGGTGCAAACTTCAGATATTCACCTCAACACATCAATATTTCTCCGCTCATGTATCAATAAATCGTACATTTCTCGATACTGATTGTTTGGAGAGAGTTTGAAGACTTCTTCAATCACTTATTACCTTTTCCACTTAACATTTACCGATATTCAGCAGCATTTTCGAGTAATGGGACATCACGATCACAGCACAGAAATGAAGACAGCAAATACAGGTAAGTCAAAAGACAAAGGCCATTGACAACTCGAACTCCTCGCTCATTCATGCTCGACTGGTATCTAATATACATACAAAGAACAACTACGTTCATTCATTCAGAAAAAGATCCTCCCATCTATCGTAATATCTTACAAGTTCCCCCTTCTCTCATCTTTTACGAACTACCAGCAGAAATACAATCATCCTCCTGATTTTGGCAATCCGCAAGATTGAACGCGCCCGCCGCAGCACCAGAGTTGAATGCATTAGCACAGGCGTTGAACTGGATATCGCAACTCCTCTGCACGGCAGCGGCTTCGTTGACGAACGTGTTGCCATTGACCTCGAACGGACGAGTGGAATCGCCCGAGTTGGTAATGGCTGGGGCGGCGATACCTCCTAGGGCAGAAGCATCAGCGATGAGGGATGCAGTTGAGGTGCTGAGTGCGGCTGAGGTGGTGGAGGATGGGATGACGGATGAGCAGGGGATGGAGGACGAGGCAACGTCTGCGACGGCCAGAGTGGAGGATGGAGCATCGACCCAGACTGTGCTTGTGACAAGAGCACATGTGGATTCGGTGGATGAGGCTAGGACGGCAGCAGGTGTTGTTTGAGCAGCAGATTCGCTAGTGACGACTGCTACAGCTTCTTGAGAAGTCGTCGCAGCGACGCTGGTAGTGATGGTAGCTTCTGAAATAACGGATCCGGTTACCGTGGCACTTGGAGGGACGGTGGCCGTCGCTGTGAGAGTCGCTGGCGAGGATGCAGATGTCTGAGTTGAGGCTGCTGATCCGCAAGATTCTTTTTGGGATGAACATTCTTCGAAAGAGAAGCCTGGCCCAGAAAAGCCAACACAGGTGTTGAATTGAGCAGTACAAGCGGCTCCTGCAGCTGAGACGATGTCTTCAAAGACTTCCTCGAGAACAACGAACGATTCGCCTTGCTTTCCGACCGAAGGAGGAAGGCCACCAAGAGAGAGGACGAATTCAAAGAAGGTCTCGATGACAACAACCTTTTGAATGATTGTGGTCTCGGTAGAGCTTGAAGCAGTTGAGACGACGTTGCCCTTGCCGGTCTTGTCAGACTTTGTTGTCGTGCTTGCTATAGAAACCGACGAAGTAGAAAGAGATGAGCTTGAGGTGGTGAGAGCATTTCCTTGGTTTCCGCCCTTTCCATTTGACTTTGTCGTGGTAGCAGCGACAGTGGTGTTGGAGAAGCGGAATGAGGAGACGTCCTTTCCTCCCTTTCCAGCCTTAGAGGATGTGGTAGAAGTAGACAACTCAGCGCTTGACGTGGAAGTAGTGTCCTTGTTTCCCTTTCCAGAATCTGTGGTCGTCGAAACCTCAGAGGCTGGCGTAGTGGTGTCCTTGCTCCCCTTCCCAGCCTTTGTGGTGGTTGAGGCTTCAGAGGTGGACGTGGTAGTATCCTTGCTCCCTTTTCCAGCATTGGTGGTAGTCGATGCTTCTGAGGTTGAGGTGCTTGAGTCAACCGAAGATGCACTGCTCTCGATAGCTCCTGGACCGGCGGCGACAGCACTGGCGGCCAAAGCAGCAGCGGCCAGTCCACCTGAGCCATCGTTAGATGCGGCATTTGCGGTAGTACCGCTTCCAATGACGGTGAATTTGGTGCAATCATCGGCAGTGCCACGCTGGGCAACAGGCATGATAACCGGTTGATGATTAGAAGCAGATGCCATAGTGCAAACTCTGTAATTTCCAGCAGGGAGACCACCAGTTACAGTAGCAGAGAGAAGACCCTTGCCATTTCCAGCATCGTTGATACCCTTGAAGAAGGCAAATTGAGTGGGGTCAAGAGCGACAGTGGGGTTGAGAGAAGCACCCATGTCTTGAACAGTAACGTGGGTGTGACCAACAACCTGGCCACCGGAGAGAAATTGAGGAGCGCTGAAGTAGGTGGCATCGGCATTGGTAAATGAACCGGCTACCAAATTGGACATTTGAACAGTGATGTTGAACGTGGTATCTGACTCAATATTTTTACTTCCAGCAAGAGGAAATGTGATCACGCTGGAGACCATTGCTGTCTTGGCAGGAAGATCACCCATGGCTAGAGAACGTTAGTCGCATAACAAATGTCAGAGCATACAACTTACGAATTCCATTGCAAGACCCGCCGACGATCTGAAGGCCATTGCTCAAGGTTTTCCCAGAGCAAAAGTTGATGAAGTTGTTTGTGGAAGTTTGTGACTTGGCTTGGTTGGCTTCATTGGCTCCAACTTGCTCACTTCCGTCAACGAAAGAACCACTTTGGATAGCATTGGCAGCCAATGTGGTAGCAGAAGCATCACTGCTGTCAGTCGCACGTCTATGAAGACCATGATGGTGTCGTGCATCGAGGACAGACCGGGACTCAATGAGACCGGCTGAGGCGAGTAGAATCAGGATGGATGGGGTGAACATTTCGAATGTATCTTCTTGTTGTTATTGTTGAGAAAGTAAGGTGTAAAAGTGTGTATGGTCCCGCCTGGTATAATGGTATAGTATGTAGCAAGAAGCAAAAAATGAACGACGCAGTCGGATGAAGAGAATGAACGATGAACAAAGGTCAACTAAAAGAATGTGACAGAGCGAGCACCAAAGAATGTAGGTCGAAAAGATCGATGAGGAGGGCATTCATGACTGGGCGCTGGCTCACATTATATCCTCTCCCTCATCGTGAGCTCACGTCGCAGAAGGAAATGAGATACGGCACAATTCGGCGTCAAGGCTTGGCAGCGATCATTGATCAAACATCGCGAAGGCCACTAGACTAACTTCCACGATCCATCGTGGCCCCCTCCTCAGCCTCGTTGCTTCATGTTCCCTATTCTACAGTTTCAAACAGGCGGAGTTAAACGCAGGAACACCGCCAGGAACGAGAATTAAAGTAAACTGGAAGCGAATAGAGGCTGCCTGCGGAAAACAGAGGTAGACCGGGGGAAGATTCAATGCGTCAAATTGATTAAGATATAGCCAGCACGGCCTCGCAGGGCAGGAATCTGCGACAGGAACGGTCTCTGATGAGGTTCAAACAGGAGAAGATATGATAATGGAAGATCTGTAACGATTTGCTCAGGGATTAACCTCTCGCTTCACAACTTAGCAACCCGAGTTGGGACGAAAGTTTGATCTCACCGCAATCGCATCAGCCACTCAAATTTGCGCGCATGAAGGAAACCGTATTGAACAACAGTAATCGTCATGCTGCAAAATCACTCAGCCTCGGTGGTGAATGCGCTCCACCAGATAGGAGACTGTAATCTTTTCATCTTCTTCATCTGATAAATGCGACGGATTTTCGTGAATGATGGGGAAGCGGTTGCGGTGCAAGCCAAGCGCCTAATCAGATGGCATGCCTGTGTCGAGTTTCATCCTTCAAAGTGCTGGCGGAAGACGAGACACTTCGGCCGCAGGGTTATCAGATGAAAATGATACGAGAAACCGACAAGAGATGAATAAGCTTTGCTGGGGAGCAAATCCATCCACAGACAAGCCTCGGTGATGCGAGATCTGCTACTTGGAGAACATTGGTGGAAAACAACGACGCAATCCAGGACCCTGAGTTTCGTTCTTCGGTTGGTGAGGCAGGTTGTAACGAAGGATCTCCAACCAGGAGCAAGCCAATCATTAGGTCACCATCGTGCCGAGGACCGAGAGATCAAGCTGGAGGTACGTTGAGCGTTTGATTTGAATCCAAAGGGGAACGAGTACGATGTGAAGGCTGGAAGTGAGGGAGAAGAAAAGGTGAACCTGGTGCGGACCTTCGAAACTATGCTCCACGTGATCTTATCGATAAGAATCCGATCCAGTCATGTGACTGCTGCTGCTAGTCCCTTTTAGCTTTAGTCTCAAAAAATGTTAGCTTGAACCGTCGCCTCAGGGTTGAATAGGGATCAAGACAGCAAAATCAACATCACGTCAACTCCCTCTACGTCTTTCCTTGAATCATCGAGTCGCTGCTATTCCATCGCTGCGAATCTACCCTCTCTCCGCATATCATCTCACATCGATATCGATCTGGTGGAGGCAGCAGCAAGGACTTGACAAGATCTTCACAAGCCATCATAGAAGATGGATCACACTCGCGACCCGTGTCCTTGGGTAGCATTGAACGATTTCGGAGGAGCTTTTTGTATGGGAGTATGTACCATCTGCCTGGGCTCGCCCACCTCCCCTGCGTCCTGCATCTGAGCTTGGTCTCCGAAGTCCCTAGCAATGGCGAAACACATCAGGCTGACAGATCTTGTGCACAGGCAATTGGAGGAGCAGTATGGCACGGTGTTAAGGGCTTTCGAAATTCACCATATGGAGAGAGACGGATCGGTGCCCTCACAGCTATCAAGGCGCGAGCACCTGTGTTAGGGGGCAACTTCGGAGTTTGGGGAGGACTTTTTTCAACTTTCGATTGTGCTGTGAAGGGTGTCAGGAAGAAGGAGGATCCATACAATGCTAGTATGTTTTACCAATAGCTGTCCTGGTACAAAGGGACATCTGCTGCTCGAGTGCTAACAATAGGCTAGTTATTGCAGGATTCTTCACTGGTGGAGCGTTGGCAATTAGAGGAGGATATAAGGCGGCAAGAAATTCGGCAATAGGATGTGCATGTCTCTTGGCCGTTATTGAAGGTGTAGGAATTGGGTTCCAGAGAATGATGGCAGAGAACACACGATTAGAAGTAATTCCATCTCTTGATCTGTTGAGAGACTTACTGACTTGTCAGGTACCACAACCTCCACCTGCAGAACCTGGCACTGCCATGGCTATTGCTCACTAAGCTCCCTTCGATAACGAAACTCGCGTCATCCGTTCCAAATGACTGCAATAATCAGAACTCTACTCTTCGGTCCTTAGCTAGGAACCCTGTATTCTTGTTGGACTACTCTTTTCATGCTACTGCATAGCTCGGCGGTGTATATCTAGAAGGGCTCGGCGTCGGCCGAGGTGGTGAATCGAATAATTGACGACAAAACTTTCTCCACGATCATGTTTCCAGAGATCTTTCGGTGGGGTGTGTCAGTCAAGATATTTCAAGGCCAAGAGTAATGGTCTTATACAAGCTCTATTTCCTGATTGAGATCATCTTCGGTCTCACACGCTATTTGTAACAAGACAACGTCCCCAGTGTGAGGCGCTATTTTGTTTCGCTCAATGTATAGTCAGTATACTTGTTGCCTTATCTTCCAAGTGCGAAGAAGGTGTGTACCAATTCATTGTATGCCTGTGATTACCCGTACATTTTTTTCACTGCTGAATGTCCGAATCTGCAGTTCTACATTTTACTGAAATCCTATGCCGTTCTGGCAGAGACATTCAAATATCAAGAGCTGCCATTTTGAGCGCGAGCACCGAATAAAGCTCCACCGTTTAGTATTTTCACTATCTATCTACTACCAATCAACGAACCTCACACCCTTCCCATTTTTCACTTGTCAAATTGAGTCTTCCCTCTTGCTAATCAGAACAATCCTTACATTGTTTTCTTCCTGATGCTGTCTCGCGTTATCCCCAGCAATAATGTTGTCAAATTTATCCGAAAGATTCGTAATCTTGAATGGGTGCATATTATATTCCTTTTTTACATTCGCAAATCTGAATTCTACTATATGTGTTCACTTAACTCCAACCCTCTCAACATTACCCATATAACTCTACTTCCACACAGCTAAATTCATACCTAACCTACCTAGGTACATGTGATGTCTCACGTTTCTTCAAATCGGATCAGTAATCCTCCGTCTACCGAGCTCTCCGTCCTCACTCCGTTCGACTCGGCATCTAAGTTACTCCTTCACCACATCTCATCATTTGTATTTGTTGTTGGCATGTCGCACTCTTTGAACCAATCAATAACATAGTCTGCGGTATCTAAATTGAGCAAAAGTGTTGTGATTGGTCAATTCGTCTAGTGCGGACTTGCTTATGAATACAAATAAAGTTGGATTACTTTACTCCGTTCTACACCTCGCAATGGTTGCTACGTCGGGGTTGCTTTGACAAGAGGATATAAAGTAGAGGTTCTGCCTCGCTCTTTATATATTGAATTGGATTTCTTCCATTCATTTCCTCATCTTTTGTGTTACCTTAAGCCTTACGGAACTCAAATCACCCCACTTCATCTTCCTCAATCCCAAGAGCTTCATCAACCACCCATAACCCCCTCATCTCTCTCAAAATGGTCCAAAACAAACAACTAATCTTCGCCTCCCACCCAACCGGCTTCCCCATTCCCGGCACCGACCTCAAACTGACCACCACAGAACTAGACATCAACTCCCCTCCTCCCGGCGGCCTAATCATCGCACCTAAATACGTCGGTTATGACCCATACATGCGTGGGCGCATGAGACCCGCAGGCGCACTCTACATCTCAGGCTTCCAACTCAACGAGCCGCTCTACAACTTCGCCATCTCCACCGTGATCTCCTCTTCTTGCCCGCGCTTCAAACCCGGCGACATTCTTCTCGGTTCGGCGCATTTCGCCCAATATCAAGTTATTGAAAAAGAGAAAGCCGAGAAGAGCGAGGCGGATGGCGGATTTGATATCCTGCAGAATCCACTAGGATTGGATCTTATGGTGTTTCTCGGACCGTTGGGGATGAGTGGACTTACAGCTTATTCCTCGTTCTACGAGATTGGCAAGCCGAAGAAGGGAGAGGTTATCTTTATTAGTGCGGCGAGTGGAGCTGTGGGGCAGGTGGTGGGACAGTTGGCGAAGAGGGAGGGGATGGTTGTTATTGGGAGCGCGGGCAGTGATGAGAAAGTTAAGTTTGTGGTTGAGGAGTTGGGATTTGATAAAGGGTTTAATTATAAGACGGAGAAGCCTGGGGAGGCGCTGAAGAGGGTGTTGGGCGAGTTGGGGAAGGATGGGTTAAATATCTATTATGATAATGTGGGTGGTGAGACGTTGGATGCAGCGTTGGGAGTGATGAGTACTTTTGGGCGGATTGGTGAGTTTTGTTTGCCTTGATATTTTAAGAGTGGAGGTGCTGACTGGGAATAGTTTCTTGTGGGAGTGTGTCACAAACGAGCAAGAAGCCAGAGGATACGTATGGGATCAAGAATATGCCTATGGTGACCGGAAAGAGACTTACGATTAGAGGCTTCATTGTCTTTGATCCCGATTTCGGACCAAAATACCATGACGAGCATCAGAAGAACGTGCAGAAATGGATCAAGGATGGGGAGATCCAAGTCAAGCTTAGTGTCACTGAGGGAATCGACAATGCTGCTGGAGGATTTGTGGGGATGTTGAAGGGGGAGAACTTTGGGAAGGCGTTGGTGAAGATTTGATCTTGAGTGAGAGTGAGCATTCAAGGTTCGCGGGGAGTCTGAACTCTTCCAGTGGCAAGAGCATCTGCAATGTAGCCAAGGACAGGAGAATTCATTTCACAGAGGCAAGAGTCACGAGAACATCAAGGATAGGAACATTCTGTGTGTTTAAGCAATTTTCGATTTTTTTGGGGTGGTCTTTACTGATCCATAGCCTCCAGCTTGTACTGACTGCGGTCAAGGAGACCACAGAACCAGTATAAGCATAAGCACAAGTGGGCCTAAGGATCAGATGTCCAGACCTTTTCTTATCTTTTTCTGATTTTTTTTTAGCTTTCTTTTCGTCCTCTCTCATAATCGCAGTACCGGCGGCTTATGGCGCTGTAGCCAGCTACAGACACAAGCCGACCCGACAATTAGCTGAGAGGACCAACCAAGGAAACAGCCCACTAAGGCTCAGAAATGATTGACCCAAGCAGCCAGATAACCACGTCCTGAAGCAATGAAACAGCCCATTCGACCAGGTCTACAAGAACAAGGACTAGAGAAAGGATCAAGATAACGACCGTGAGGATCAAAGTAAAGGCTCATTGGGCCAGGACTATGAAAAAGGAGAGAAGGAGAGGTGACAGTACCAGAATTCCAAGAAGGCCTAAGGCCTCGAAGAGAAGCGTGAAAGTGATTGGGGTGTTTTCCATACTTGTGGAGTGACTGTTGTTTGTTTGTTGGTTTAGTTGTGTTTTGGGTGGTTTTTTTTGTGTGTGTTTGCTTGTTTGAATAAGGATTTCGAAGAAGGAAGTGGTGGGACTATTTGTATTGAATGGGTTGTATTGTTTATAGACAACAATGAATTGTGTTGAACAAGGGCATGGTTGCTGTTTTTTGTTGGTCCGAAGGACAATGAGAAAGTCGGCGTAAGTGACGAGATGAATAATGAAGTGTTATCAAAGGCTCAAAGAACCATCTTTGTCAAAGACAGTCACAATGGCCGAAGTTCTCTCTTCGAGGAATACGAGACCTTGTGACGAGATCCAAATATCGCGTTCATAATAGGGAAATGCATGCTGATGACAGACAAGTTCGATATCATATTCGGCTCTTGACGATTTCATCTGGCGCAACTTGTAGGAACCGCCAACGGATTCCTAGCATGTCGATACAGCCACTGTCAGTAAACTTTAGCCCCTCTTCTGTGGCTCTCCTTTGTATCCCACTCAGTCTCTCTTGACCCTCGACACCAATCACTATTTCCACGATCCCTTCGCTCTTCTCTTGTTCACCAGGAATAAAGCTCATCGTAGCATTCGTAAACTCGATCTCTCCTTCTCGTTTCCCTTTGCTGACACCAAATATACCTTCCCATTGTTCTGCAGCAGCGCTTGTATCGCGGTCTCCAGGGGCTAATCTCAGAGCTACTGAAAGCAGATGTAAGCCGCTGTGTCGTTTCATTCCAGCAGAGTAGGCCGTGTATGCGGAGGGTGGTCCAGCAGCATGCCAAGGTGAGAAGCGCTCTAAGATCGGGTTTGGGTACGATGTAGAAGGGTGATGGGAATCGAGTTCTGGTATCACGCCGCCTGTCCATGTTCAATCAGCATTTTATAAGCACTGTAGTTTCGTGTGGGATGTTCGTGTACCTTTGATTCCCTTCGGATGATATTGTATACAGACACTTTCCTCCAATTCATGGCAGAATATGACCTTGGCAAGCTTGTGCTCTTCAATATATCGGTTCCGAGCATTCGCATCAAGTGTCTGCATGATGATCATGTACCCGCCATCGCCACGTTTCGAGAGCTGTCTCGATGCTGGAGTATCAGGTCTGAAGGGTGACACGACTTCGATGATATCGCCGCCAATTGGAACTGTAAGGGGATGTCAGTTACTTTGCATGCTTGGGACGTTGAGTTTCGTACCGAGGAAGTTCTTCAAGCCCCATTGTGCGACAGCTGGATCTTCGAATATGACTTCGGTACCGATCACTCTCGTCTATGCTCGATATGTTCAATGATCACTGTTCTTTGCCGTGCGTGAGTTGCATACCAGGAGCTGTCTGGCTCTATCCAGGTCCGCAGCTACAAGAGCTATTTGTCGAAGTCTGGTAGGAGAGGGGGCCATTGGCGTTTGCTTTCTCTGCGACGACATTTGCTTGAGCAAAGACCATTAAAGATGATTTCTCGACTTTCATTGTCATCATTGAGCTCCAAAGAGGGAGAATGCTGATGTCTGTCGGGAAAGCTTGTCCCTCGGCTGCTTAGTGATCGGCTTCCCCGCAAATGTTCGGTTGGGGCTTGCTGAATCTGACTGTACTGAAACCAGCTGAATGTTCTAAATCGCATCGTTGAAGAAGTTAGGTACAACTTATTTAGACCATTTCTTTTCATGATATATTAGTTTTCTGGCACAACATTCCTTAATATTTCACCTAGCCTCGCGCCTTCTTAAGCATGTCGTCCCAAAAATTCAATGACATTATCTTTGAGATATCAGGACAGATTGGTACGATCAAGGTTTGTGTCAGTCCTATATTACACATGCCCTATACTGAATTGTATCAGTTCAACCGTCCCAAAAGCCTCAATGCTTTCGGAGGAAATCTCATGGGCGAGACCGTAGCGGCAATCCGAGAGCTGAATGATCATCCAACTACTGTTTTCACCGTACTTACTGGCGAGGGACGATTCTTTTCCGCTGGTGCTGATGTTCGAGGTGAGATTCAGATAATCGTTCTCGTCTTTAATCAGTGCTCATCACGTGTGGATAGGGAGTGGACTTGACACTCAAGATACACATGCCAATGCAGCGGAGAAGAAGATAGCCTTTCTAGCACGGTTTGGAGCAGGTAGGAACCTTGTACCTACAGCGTCGAGCACCATGCTAAGTCATTCAGCAGCACTCGAATTACTCCGCTCGATAATTGACCACAAGAAGGTCTTCGTTTTAGCTTTAAACGGACCAGGAGTTGGTGGAGGCGCAGCGTGGTTCACTGGCATAGCTGACATAGTCCTCGCATCTTCGTCATGCTATCTACAAGTACCATTCTCAGCACTCGGGTTAGTACCTGAGAATGGCTCAGCCATCAACTTTTCTCAAAGTATGGGTGTACATCGAGCAAACGAGTTCTTAATGTTCGGACGAAAACTATCAGTGGAAGAATTAGAACAGTGGGGTATGGTAAACCGGATATTTCCCAAAGAAAACTTTCATCAAAGTGTCAAGGAGTACTTGGAGGAACAGTTGAGGGTCAATGATGGTAAGAGCATGATGGAGACGAAGAGGTTGCAAAATGCGCCGTTGAGAGATGGAAGGTTGATCGCTGTGGTCAACAGTGTAGATGCTTTAGCAGAGAGGTTTGTAGAAGGTGCGCCGATGAAGAGGTTTGAGATCAAGAAGAAAGAGCTTGAAGGTATGTTTCCTGGCCGATCTAAGATTTGAAGACGATGAAGCTTACCTAATTGGTGTCTAGAGAAATCCAAGAGCCGGACTTCAAAGATCTAAAAGAAATTATAAGAATATGATCCAAAAGGTCACAATCAAGATCATTATTGACATAACAAGCTGTGAACTGTGTTCCGTCGTATGAAGGCTGTGTTTTACAACAAATGAGAGCAGATCCTAAGGTCCAGTCTGTCCACATGGTGTCCGATAAAAGTGGCGTCGGGCTGAAGATTGTGTGATCTGCTCAATCAACCACGTCTTTTGTCTTTCAATCAATGTACTAAGGCGCCTTCATTGCACAACTTTTAAACGTGATTCAGAAAGAATCATTTTCCGGATAGTTCATAGAATTAAGAGTAGCCTAAGGCTGAAGGTGCGTTACTGTAGCCACATTAGGCATAGATGTCTTAAGTAAGCATGAATGTTGATCTCTAGGTGACCCACTGCGGATGCGGAGTTGCGGGGTTCTACTTCGTATCTTTGACAAACACTCTCCAAATCCGCCAACATCTTGTTGCTTTCTACTTCTACGTTTTCCTTCTGCGAAATGTGATGGCTCCCTACTTGCGGTGACCTCGTTCACATCTCTTCCATCCTCGGACGGATCGGCAGTTGCTATCTGCATGTGCTCAATTGACAGATTTGATGGACGATCTTCACCTGCTGGGGGAAAAGAACCGAGGCACCATGCAGTTGCAAGTTAGAAGGCACCGAAAACAAGCCTCGATCAATGGTTGCAAGCCTGGAGCTAGGCCTACCCGGTGCTCAAGGTCCAGTGACAAGCATGGTTGCGTGACGGCGCCATCTCTGGCTCTCGAGCTGAGGGGGAGCGTATTCGTACCTGACATCTCTCGGCCCTAAGTCTTGGATCTCTTTCAGTTCTCATCGCGAATGCCCGAACATTTGCTGTCGATAGCAGAGTGACGCTTACGATGGAATCTTCGCTCCTGTCCCCTCACACTTATACTGGCGGTAAAAGGAAGAAAATTACCTTCTTCACCAGCAGTGAATATGGCCAGGCCAATGTCATTCTGGCGGTCGTTTATGAATTGCTGCTTCTCCAAGCATATGAAATCGATATAGCTTCTTTTGCACCTCTCAAGAACCGCATTCAGGACATCAATGCCTTGGTCTCAAACAATTCTTCCCCAGCTAGATTCCATACTGTCACAGGACTATCCGCTCTGGAGGCACTCACCGCGAAGAAGGAGTTCATAGGTCCCTATCGTCCTGGGATAAGAGGAGCTTCGGATACTTATAGAGTCACCCTGCCTGCGATAGCCACGACCTGGGATGAAAATGACTACATGACGGGACTAGAAAGCTGCATCAACATTTTGCGCTCCATTTCGTCAGATCTCATTGTGGTCGATCCACTTATGAGCCAGGGCTTAGAAGCATGCAAAGCGCTGTCGCGAAATTACGTGGTACTAAGTCCGAATACTTTCCAGGAGATCTGCAAGAAGCAACAGCCACTGTTTACTCAGCTGTGTAGATGGCCAGCGTACGTAGCATACCCATGAAGTACTGTGTATTCAAGCTTCTTTGCTGATTTAGATAGTGTTTCTTCGGCCTTTCGGTATCCAGTACCGTGGTACCTTATTCCAGCGAATATCTATCTCAAGTTCCTGCTGTTGTGGATTCTGATTACGTCTCCAAAAGTAAAAGGTTTGATCAATTGGCGGCAATCGCGTGGGCTGCCCAAACTCCCTCCAGTCTTCAACATCTGGGAGAAAGAGAACAAGTACCTGGTAGTATCGGTCCCTGAAACCGAATATCCGTGTTATGTTCCCCCGAATGTCATTCCATGTGGTCCTATTCTTCTGCCTGTGCGGCCAGTTTCAGAACACGATCCGAAGCTTCAAGCTTGGCTGGAAGGCGCACCAACAATCATGATCAATCTTGGATCGCACATCCGAATGGATGATCAGATGGCACAGCAATTCGCCTCGGGTCTGAAAATCGTACTTCACCAGATGCCAGGTATCCAAATTCTGTGGAAGCTCAAAACCTCCGGCGGTCTCGCAGTTTCATCTGATGCCAAGACAACGAGTGGCTTTTCTGGCACGGGAATCAAAAAGGAGTCACTGGAAGCAATTGAACCGTGGATCTTGAGTGGCAGTGTGAAAGTACTTGAATGGCTTTCTGTTGATCCAATGGCAGTCTTGCAAAGTGGGAATATAGTCTGTTCGGTGCATCATGGCGGTTCCAACTCGTTCCATGAAGCGTTAAGGTCTGCTTTCCTTTATCTTCCATGAGGTTGAAATTGTGAGTTCTAACGATCGACAGTGCGGGTGTCCCTCAGGTCATTCTCCCATGTTGGCTCGATACTTTGGATTTTGCCAACCGAGTTGAATGGCTAGGCATAGGAGTCTATGGCAGCAGAAATGCTGCGCCTAGTGTGGAAGCTGACGAGTTGTCCCAAGCCCTCCTAAAAGCTCTTGGCAACGATCATGAAGCTACACGCATGAGGGAGAAGGCTAAGGAATTAGCCATGATAAGCGCCAGACCAGGAGGTCGCAGAAAAGCCTGCGAAGAGATTATCGGTATCCTTTTGAGTTCCTCAGAGGCTGTGTGAAGATAGTCGGATGCGCATAGCTGAGTTTTTGTGTTAAGTTGAAGATATCAAATATGCTTGGGACAGAGTGTTCCTTCTTTATTCATTTGATCACTTCTGCGTCCATTCTCTCAAAATTCCGGAATGCATTATCAATCATCCTCGAGAGCGCAAGAATTGTCAGAGACATCGTTCTTGACCCTGCTGATACCATCCTTCATTAAGTGCGTCGTCACCAGGAGATGAAAACAAGCTTTCTTTGTACAACATCGCGACATTGCACTACGAATCAGTTCATTTACACCAGCATCTCGAAACCCGGAGCCACGTTTCAACGGCACCCTTTCCGAGATACGGCGTTTTTGCTTGATGAAAACAACGGAGGCACACGTGCCAAGAAATCAATCTGGCTAAAACAACAACATACGGAAACACGGGCTGAGTAGGTTTAGCCGGATGTCAAGTATATTGAGACCACCAACTACGGTTATTCTCTGACAGATTCCAGATCATCAGGTCAGCCAAAATAGATTGGCGATGCCGAATCTTGGGGTAAATGTGCCGTGGGTTAAACGACAATCCGGGGTGCGTGATGGCGTTTTGGGGGCGCCTCGTTTTGTTCATGCAGAGAAGCGAAACCGAGGATTAGGATTGATGAATGAGGCAGGTAGTAATATCGCCGCAATCAAAAGTTGCATGAGATATCGTCAGTCTTGACATGGTCGTTCGGTAGCCCGGCGCGTGCCGGTCTATATAAGATATGCGGTGGTACACTACTTTCTTGTTCACCATCACCAGCTACACTCTCTTCACTTGGCCTGTCTTCTTCGTACCTTGTTTTCATCATGAAGTTTGTTACTCCTTTCTTGGCTTTGGCTACTGCCGTTCACGCACACTACAACTTCCCATCAATGATCTCAGGCACAACCACAACCCCAGCTTGGCAGTTTGTTCGACAATGGACTGGATATTACACCTTTGATCCAGTACAGAATGTTGCTTCTGAGGACATTAGATGTAATGTCAATGGCTCGACTGCGTTTGCACCAAACACCCTCTCTCTAGCTGCTGGCTCCACCGTGGGATTCTCAGCAAACCCAGATATCTACCACCCAGGTCCATTACTGGTGTACATGGCCAAAGTACCAGCTGGCAAGACTGCCGCAAACTTCGATGGAAGTGGAGCCGTCTGGTTTAAAATCTACGAAGAGGGCCCGACCTTCGGTGGCCAAGCCCTGACATGGCCAACAGATAGTAAGTTCCACCCCTTGCCATTGATTGGCTGTCACGACACTAATCGCACAATAGGTGCAACATCTGTATCCTTCAAGATTCCCGCAGCAACGCCCAGCGGCGATTACCTCCTCCGCGTTGAACACATCGGACTGCACGTCGCTCAGAGCTCAGGTGGAGCACAGTTCTACCTCTCTTGTGGTCAGATCACAGTCACTGGTGGCGGTTCAGGAACTCCTGGTCCACTGGTCTCATTTCCGGGAGCATACAAGGCGACAGATCCTGGAATTTTGATTAATGTTTATTACCCTGTGGTGAGTGATTGCGTGCAGACAAGTCGACACATGAACTTGTTCCTAACTGACATGACAACAGCCAACTAGCTATACCCCTCCCGGACCCGCTGTTTGGACCGGGTAACCAAATTTGGCGATGCTCAGGAAATCGAGAAGTAGATATCTAGATTGGCATGGCCAAGACTCAAGGCATTGTGGGTTACAGAAGCTTGTAGAGACTTTGGGAGGTTGCACCAGCCCTCGTTTCGGATGACCCGGAAAGTGTCGAGTAATGTTATCGTATTGTAATCTGTACTCGAATTCGTTTCACCTGTATATATCACCACATACCAGCACCACATACCAGACCAAACTTCGCTTTCTAACCATCCAGGCCTTCTTTTATACCTCCGTTGTCACATGCAAGAATTCACTATTTTTCGTGAATACTGCCAAGTCAGGCTGGCTATATAACGATTACATGGCGCACATCAGAGATCATTGGAACTTTTTTTTTTGAGAATAGCAAAGCATAGTTGGCGTCCTAGAGCTGAGGTGATAAAGCTATTATCGGTTCTTTCAAGGTGAATTTGGCTGGTTTGCTAGTGATGCTGAGCTGTTTTGAACAGATCATAGAACAAAAGAATGCTCCTTATTGTTGGCTGATTAGCCATGTCCACAGTCAAAGGATCTTTAACTCCCAGAGAGCAACTTAGCAAGTACTTGGACTAAAGGAAATACATGCAGTGGAAAAGATCCTTGGGTAGATCTTATTCTCACAACACAAAACTCCACTCACTTAGTATTAGTGTCCGATTCTTCATTTACGTTACTTCACTTCACTTCTATCACATCAAATCGTTCTACTGTATTCATCACATTGTTCCCAGTCAGCCATCATTTTCGAAGTATCATAAGTAAGTTTGAAAAAAGAAAATCTATTGCGTCTCATCACCTCGCTTCACGAGCATGATCCTCTCCCTCCGATCTCTTCATCTAGAAAGAGACCTCTCTCTATTCTCAAAAGTCCACTGCTACTAACAGCGCAAGACTGAATCTCAAAATATCTACACAGAATCGAAGCTCCCCATCAAGATCTTGCGCTTACAAGATCACGCACCCAGCGTTGGCAGCGTGCTGAAGATTGTTACCTCTTCTGACGCAGCGTCTGCATCGATGAACGCTCCGCCGATTGATGGGTCGGTAGTCATCGCATTCATTGATGTGTCCGCCGATGGAACGGACGTGCTCGCATCGTAGGATGCGGACCGAGGAGTGGCCGCAGCGGTAGGTTTTGCGGGCAATGCTACACATCTTTGTGGTTGGTGGGTTGGCTTTGTGGGTTGTTTTTGTGTGAGTGTAGGTAAGCTTTGTGAGTTTTGTGTGTGAAGGAGTAAGTTGAGTTGAGGGGAACATCATGGAAGGGAGAGCGTAGAAGTAGGCGGATGGAAATGGTTGTTCGCCTGTTCTGCCATCTTCGAGAATAGACTCGGCAAGTTTTGTTTCTCATTAAAACAGACAGGATCATCAGAGACTTCGAGGCAATGGAAGGAACAACTATCATAGAAATCACAGTAGTAAATCACGTGCGAGGTTCTGCAAAAAGGATTGGAGGGTTTGCGTCTTCATTCTATGTACATGTATCTAAGTCTCTCCATCGCTGGGCCCTCGTGAAAGAACAAAATGTAAATGTCAAGCAGCTGGCTGGGCCTGCTGAATCGGAACCACGTGGCCATCATGCCGAATATGCCTTCAAGGCCATGCATCCAGATGCTGTGAATGAGAAAATATGTACAATGTCCGTCTATTCAGTCGCTTCAACATGACTGAATCACAGCTTAAGCTACGAATTGACGAACATGGCGGGCTCGGCGGGCGCTCGATGCGGTACCATTCACGCCACAGGTTCCAAAGCCAGCCATGCAGCCAGCACCGCAATGTGCGTTAGTGTTACCACAGTAGCCCCACTGCGAGCAACAGGGTCCGTAGATTGACTGGCCAGCGCAGGTCTGGGAGCCTGAGCACTGTCCATCGACGGTTGGGGAGACTCCGGAAGAAGTAGAGCCAGTTGCTTGGGAGCTTGGTGCTGTGCCAGTGGATGCTGCTGAGGTTGCGAAGCCGATAGCACTTGAAGTAGCTGAGGAGCTAGGGACTATTGTGATCGAGATCGCTGAGGATGTGTTGGGCGTCGAACTGGATGAGGCTGGGGGGGCTGAGGACGCGGTGGGGGCAGTCGAGCCGGATGAGGCATCAGGAGCAACTGAGGTCGAACCTCCTGAACTCGCGGATCCTGTTCGACCTCCAATGCCGTTGACTGGGGTGCATGTGCCGCTAACGGCCCCTTCCTTTGTACCGCCTGTCGTGACGTCTGGACCTGGGTTTGGAATAATCACATCTGTTGTCTCGACTGTTGTGCAGCCGTTGTCAAGGTTCGCGACGAACAGGTCTGGTCGGTCTTTGAAAGCGGTCGCAGGGGCAGCGCCGGTGCCGCTGGCAATAGTAATTGATGCGCAGTTCATGTAAATTTCGCGGTTGCCAACGTTGTTATACCAAAGCCAGGCGAAGAGCGCAGAGCCAGTTGGGGCATCTGAAGGAATATCAAGCTTGAAGCTACCTGCAGCGAGAGGGCAGCCACCTTGGTATGTATGAATAACATACCAAGTCTTGCCAACGTCAGTGCTGAGGGCAGCTTGGCAGGATCCACCTCCATGAACAGCGGAGCCATCGAGTGTGAAGTTGACACTGCTTCCTTGAGTCCAAGTTGCAGTAGATGTACCTGCGGCGGTTCCCATATCGCTCTGATAACCTTTGCACGGGAACGCTGCATTTGTACCACCGACGGTAAGAGGGCTAGTCATGGAGTAGTCGATGGTGGTTGCAAAAGGGTTGTTTTTGTATCGGAGAGGCATTGGGTAGATCATCTCCATGTGACCAAAGACAGTTGAGGAGAGGAGGAGAGTTGCGAGGAGGAATCGGAATGTCGACATTTTGAGTTCGAGATTCAGGCCTGCTGAATGGTATGTTGTGTGGGTTTGAGTTGCGTGCAGCTGTAGTTTGAAAAGATTGTTTGTTTTGTGTCGTAAGAGCTTTCTTGTTTGCGTTTATGGAAAGAAAAGATCGAGGTTTCAGTCGTACAGAGGGATTATATATAGCGTAGATCGTTGATGAAAGTGTAAGAAGGAACAGGTCTTGTTATTGTGACAATAGACAATGACAGCGAACAATGAAGGTATTGTGTGAATGTTCCAGAACAATCCGAAGTATTGTGAATGGAAACGAAAAAGAAACTCGCGAAAAGACAATGGTATCGTCCTAGCGATTGTGCTCTTATTCACTTTCATTGTCCTGGGATGACATCAAGACTTAAGTCTTTGAGGTCGTCGAGGTCAAAGACAATGCGTGACCATCTGCAAAAGAGATATGCGATGTGATGTTTCAAGGACAAGGCACAACATTCGAGATGCTCTGGATTTATGGACCCTCCAATGTGAAGGGCCATGTTGGCAGAGCCGGTGCGGCCAACTTTAAATGGAATGATTGACTGAGAAGCTTCGGGGAAATGGTAGACTTTTTGAATCCCTGGTTCCATTGGGGCGCAGCACAAGTGAGCAACCTCCTGGGCATTCGGACGGTCGTCCGAAGTTGGCCTACATGTATTCGAAACATGTTCATGGGGCTCTGCCAGCAAATGCACAAAGTCGTAGGTTCGAAGAGATGGAATCGGTTGGGTTGAGGCTGTCGTGCAATGATGGCCAATCATCATCTCTGAAACGCCATCTTTTGAGCCCCTAGCGCCTCCATGCCCTTCGACTGGGTACAACCACCGCAGACGCAGAGTCAGGGTCTCCCGATCGGAGTCACGATGTGACAGCCTTCAACGAAGTTGGTGATAAAGTTGAGGATCAAAAGCTGAGAGGACCGGAGATGCAAGTGAATAGTCACGAAATGTTCCAGTCACGCTAGCGCTCGCTAAATTTCAGCTAGTGTCGCTAATTACCTGGGCTCATTCAGGGGCTGTTAAGGTCTTGACTACGCAGATAAACATGTTCAGTTGAATGTGTTGATTCATAGGCTGAAAGGTCGGTACTATGATCTCTAGAGCTTTCCAAAAATCTCAGTCTATCCTATTACACCAAAATCTTACCTTTGTTCCAATCTGCGAATTTCCTTTGTTCCAAATCCAGTCATTGTTCGGACGCCTGCCTGAATCTTCTTTCATTCACAATTTCTCACGACAAATTTATTAATTCGAGTTTTAGTTCATAAATATTACATTAATATACAAAATTCCGTTCATATCCTCCCCTTCGCTCTCGCCTCTTCCTGCATCCTCTCGAACCTCCTCGCCTTCCAAGCATCAACCTCTCTCTTCCACTCCGCCCTCCTCTTAACAATCTCCCCAACATCCAACTGCCTCTCTCTATCTCTCCTGACGACCGGATCCTTCCTCTTCGTTGCCCTACCCCAACCAAATTTCTCGCACATAGTTTTCCCTGCTGCGAGTGCCAGCACCGCTTTGCAGTTTTTACATTTATCTTTCTCAATCGCTACGTGGAATTCCATTCCCTCGCAGCGTATCCTTGGAGGCTCTCTTGGTAATGTCGAGGAGCCGAGGGGAGCGAGGACCCAGCCGTAGTACGGTCTTGGACAGGGCGATTCGTGGATTGTGAGGGTGGAGATGTGGCCGCATTGTTCGTGAAGCATGCGGACGTGGAGACAGGGGAAGATGGTTTCCGTTGCGGAGTAGAATGAGGACACTGTGAATATGCTGACGTTACAAGGAGTTGATGATCGTGTTGTTGTTGATATTATGGACATTCTGAATCTGGGGGTCTGATTTTCTGGTAAGGACAGGGTGTGTTTGTTATGTGGTCGCTTTTTTTGTTTCAAAGATCGAAAAAGGTAGAAAGAGCTCGAGGGAGGAGAAGTCACAATATCATTGTTGAGGGAATTGTTGTTCTTTGAGACAATGATAGCGTTCGCGCTAAGTTTTCTTTGAAAGATTCCTTGATTCACAAGACTGCTTCCTTGTTCAGATAGTCAAAGAGAGATGCTTATTCATTGACTCCCACTGAATCAACCAAGAGATTACAATCAATACTCTACTGTCCCTACCTATACTTTTCAAGAGAACAACACCATTCAAGCAAAGCAAAATGGAGATTCCAGCCCCATGTTCTCCCAACTTCTACACACTTGTTTCATCAAACAAAAATCAATAAACATTAACAACCCCAAAAATCATGTCATACCAAAGATCCACATCCACCCACCACGCTTCCCAATGCTGCGGCATCCAAATTGACTTCTACTCACACTGCGGCCATACCCTCACCCTAACCGACCACTCAACCACCTGCCCACACTCCAACCCCTTCCTCACCCCTCCCTCTCTAGCCCATCTCAGCCTGCCATCCAATACTCGTCCAGCACCCACCCAACCTACAATATCAACAAACCCAGAACCAAAATTCCACTGCAAAGACCTCCATCGCTACATCCGCTTCTTCCCCAACTCATGCACCTGCACTAACCCCCTCGACCCAGACCTCTACTCTTCAGTACCAGCTCGCTCAGATCCTGCTCATGATCATCTACCCAATCCTATCATCTACCATCGGAAAATGTACTGGCTGCATCAACTATTTCTCGAGAAGGAGAAAGTAAAGACTCTCCGGGGACAGGAGATGGAGAAATCTCTTACGCGACGCCGAACAAGGGAAGAAAACATGCGGGTGCCATGGGCGGAGAGGACGTTTGTTTTCGATCCCTCTGATCGCGTGGGAGATTTCTTCGAGCCTGTTGATGTCGAGAAGTTGAGAGGGAGGGAGAAGACTTGTGCGGTTTGTAGAGGGAAGGCGAGTGTGGAGAGGAGTAGGAGGTTGCCTTGTGGGTGTGTGTTGTGTTTGGAGTGTGTGGTGGGGTGGATGAGGGGGAGGAAGGATTGTCCGATTTGTGAGAAGGTGTTTAGGTTGGTTAAGGTGGGGAGTTTGAGGGGTGAGGAGGATGAGTGTGGATGTCGTGGTTGGGAAGATGATGGATGGGATGGGTATATATAGGTAAGCGAAGAGATGAATGAAGGCAACAATAGGCAGCTCAAGTTTAGTGATGTGAAATATAAAGCTTGTCGTATATCGAAGATAATTCTTGTCTCTATTCCGAGTGCCATACTCCTGTGCCATTAAAGTCCCATGTCTGCAATAATCCTTCTTGCTGCGATGTATCTTTGATCCTCCACAGTAACACCAACATAGGTAGTAGAGGCAGATCCATCTTCCATTTAGATCCGTGACCTAGAGAGCCGTGCTAACGGTGAGACCTGTGTCCACGCTTCATCAGAGTACGACCATTCTTGGTGCTGACTTGTCGTCCGTCGCTGAGGAAGTCGATCTCAGCCTTAAGATGATCTGACTCTCTACTTGCTTGCCCAGCATTGCTCTGCATAACTTTAACCCAAGCTCCTATCCCATTGAAGACGGCAGCATGCTGGGAAGCATATGTGACTCTCTCGTAGAGGTGACATTCGACGACGTGTTCTATTTTCGCAAGGGCTCCATGTATTGAAGTCGTTGTAGCGTAGTAGATGCATTGGCAGGAAAGGTTGATCTTTTGGGTTGTTGAAGGCATCGTCTTGTAGAAGATGAAATTGCTAAGTTGAGTTAGTACTAGGAAGATGATCTGACAATTAGTCTAGACTCACCAGTGAGGGGTAGTATACGAAGAATTGAGAGCTATCTAAATTGACGGGCTTCAAATGTGCAAGAAAGTCGCTCGTGGGCAAAGAAAGTGAAGCAAGTTCGAGGAGGAACTTCTTTCTACTATATAGCCAGGTGAGTCTGCTCGTTAATGGTCAAGAACAATGTGGTCAAAGCACACTTCGAGCATTTCCAAAAGTCCATCTTCCATAAACGCTTTACCGGCGTCCACCACCAACCGTTCAAGCACCCGTGAGATTCGTGTTGAATTGTTCAACTGAACGTGGAGAGCATATTGGCCGAACCCCCCACCACACAGGAACAGAGCCTCATCATGCCCCTCACCCCACTCTACTTCATTCGCACAACTTCGACATGCGAAAGATCCCTTGTCTTGAAATTTCTTCTTCTAGCAACCTTGGAATTCGTCTCCAATTAAATAATTAATTGGATGATAATTAGCATATGATTGCTTCGACATGTGGGGTTGTTCCTGTTGTGTGTTACTTAGTGCTGGCTGATGTAGCTAAGTCCCACCCGACTGAGGTGTAAGCGAGAGTCGAGATGCGTCTTTCGCAGAAAAGCAAGACACCCGCAGCATGGCACATTTCTTGCCAATGCGAATGCATATTTTTTCGAGTTGATTTCCAGCAGTTGTGTCTTGAAAAAGTCCAGATGTCCCAATACGGGAACTATGAACTATTGTCTCAGCGAAGCACCTGCACAGTCAAAAAAAAAAAACGTCCAAATGAAGGATAAATCGCTTGGTGGTTTTATGACGTGCTGCTCGGTTGGTTCAAATGACCTTGCGGCGCTTTCACATAAGTATCCCTATTCTCGGCTTCCCACGTTGGTCAGCGAACGAGTTGATGAACGACAATGCGACGCATAAGGCATAAGCGCAGTGGAAAAGCTTTATCCCAGATTCCTGATGGAGGAGGCCAGGAGGACGATCCTTTGCTTAACATCACCCAAGCATCCTTCTAGTTTGGTTCATGGTAGTCTCTATCAAAAGTGCTGGGTGAGAATGACGAGGCTGCATGCAGTGTGCGTTTGTTGGACATCCTTGCATGACTGCATATTGAAAAGGCTCGGAGTACCTATGGATAAGCGCCCTGTATGGCAAACGCGAGCCTTTTGCTCTTGTTCTAACGCGCAACGGCACACTAATAGCCGACTACGCTTCCCGGCCGACTCTTGGGTCCCTTTCCCCAGATTCGGGGAAAGCAAAGTGTTTAGTCAAAGCAAAAGTGTCTAATTCCGCACGGATTATTTTGGTGGTGTTCTTCACCAAAAAATCGGGCGCATTTTCAGATTTTTTTGATTTTGCCCGCCAAAATGCACTTTAAAAACACTCTAAAAATGGACTCTTTTAAATAGAATAATCCATCGTATTCCAAAAAAAAAAATCAAAATAAGTCAATGCAATTAGAATATACACTTATTATTATTATAAGAATTCAAAATTACTAAAATTTATTAATAATCAGCGGTAATACAAGTATTTGAAATCCAAGAAAATCGCGATTTTTAGCACTTTTTGGCATATTTTAGTGGTGAAATGATTGGACACTTTTGCTTTGACTAGACACTTTGCTTTCCCCGACTATAGGGTAAGGCCGCGACAGGAGTGCCGGGAAGCGTAGCCGGCTATGATCCCCAGATATAAGTGAGATGAGAAAATGTAAGTACTATAGGGAATCAAGTCTGATGATATGAAATATAGCTCGTCACATATGCTACGACTATTTTACCAAGTGCTTGTGATCCGTGTCCCTCAATGTCTTGTGCCCATTTTCCCACGTCTGCAATACTCCTCTCCCGACGTAGTGGACATGAGAAGTGGTCCATAGCAAGACCGACATATGCGCCCGAGCCATTTCCATGATCCAGTCTTCATATCCAAACCTCGAACCACTCTTACCCCGAAGAGCCGTGCTAGAGGTGCGCTCTTTGCGTACGCTTCACCTCAGCACGACGACTCTTGATTCTGGCCGGTTTCCCATTACTGAGAAAGTCGATCTCATCCATAAGACGGTCCGAATTTTCCCTTTCTTGCCCAACACCGCCGCTCATAGCTTCAGTCCAAGCTCCGATCCCATTGAAGACGGCAGCATGCTGCGCGGCGTATGTGACTCGATCATAGAAGTGGCACTCGGCAACATGTTGGGTCTTAGCGTGAGAATGGGTTACAGAAACTGCAGCATGAGAGATGCATCGACATGAGAAGTTTGTCTGGGGACTCATTGGAGGCATTGTGGTGTTGATACTGAGTATTTCTGCGTATTGTTAATGACTAATCGAGAATTATCAGAGATGATTGTGATACTCACCGAGGAAGTCGAACAGTAACCCAACTTAAGTTTGCTTAGGGTAGGAATCTTGGGCTCGGAAAGAAAATATGCAGACATTCGAGGGGCATCATTACCACAGCTTCGTATGTATAGGCCATGAATTTCCCACCGTGGTACATCCGTGTGTTACACATCGATAAAACACAGGATGAGGTTTTCAAAAGTCCAATTTCCAGAAAGCGTTACCCCTCTTCCAACTTCCAGGTCCGAAGGGCTGATTTCAGCCATAGCATCGTAAATCCTTTGGTACAGGGCGCATTCTCATCGACGTGTCCTAGTATATGCAAATGGCACCATCTTCAAAAGTCCAGAAACCTCTATGTGGCATTTGGGACTTTTGTCCCGGCAAGTAAGAGATCAAAGCTCATGTGTCCGCTCAGCCTCATGCTGACGAGGGTGGCAAAGCCGAGGGGGTGAGCCGTCGTTTTTGATTACCCTATTGATACTTTCATTTAGTCCCAGCTTTTAGGAGCAATCACCACCGGGTGCCGGAACCACAGGGCGAGGACTCATAATTCGGCTAATCCCAGAATGGAATTTGGGACTTTTGTCGAGCGTTGTTATTGGCTATGCCGAACGCAGCCTAAACTGACGCTTGTCCCAGAACAGGAATCTGGACTTTTGTCTGATCACCTGACTCCGTATGTGGCTGCATAGAGGCACATATGCAGCCTTGCTCCCTAAAAAAACATTTCAAGAAATGCTTACACTCCTGAATGCTTCAATTTCTTTCGTTCTTCTGGAGTACAATCCATCAAAACGAATCACTTTCATAATGCCGCCTTTCATTCCGTACGACCCATTGGGCCCGAGGACGAGTACCAAAATCTCGACCCATGAATGGGAAAAGCATCGTGAACTTCTAGAGACCCTCTATGAGAGTATGAAGTTACAAAAGATCAGGGAGAGCATGAAAGAGGAACATGGTTTCCAGGCAAGGTCTGTCTCTGTCGTGGTATTGATGATAACAAAACCAGGCTGAGGTGAAAATAGTGTCAGACAATATAAACAAAAATTCAAAGACTGGGGCCTGGCCAAGAATATTCCCAAAAGGGACATGAAGGTGATAGTTCGAAAAGAAGACGAGCGAAAAGCAGATGGAAAGCTGCGAACCAAAGCTTTTTGCCATGATCAAGAAGTCAGCGAGCAAAAGTTGAAGAGATTTCGGAGGGACAATCATAAAGCAGAAATGGTCATGAGTCCACCAGCAGGTAAGTGAGGCTTATAACAACTGGAAAGCAAGTCAACAAATGTGTTAAGTCGTATGCTAAAATGGAGTAGCCACCCCGACTTATATAACCGTTGCGACCCCTTCAAGTTGTGCTTCGGACTCAACAGAGGAATCTGTTGACCAGGATCCTTTAACGCAAGATGATTTATACAATGATATTCCGTTGAATCTGCAAGACCTTGCATTGATGCACCGAGAGATGGAAAACGATGTTAACATGGACCAACTAGACGAACTGGGCGGTCAAGAGCATCACCTCTGGGAATTCTGTGACGAGATCTGGACACTTGTCCTTAAGTATATTGAGTTCGACGATGTGTTCGCTCTAGGTCAGACATGCAAAAGACTTCACTCGCTGTTGCTGGATGACAGCGTCTGCGAAGCAATTCTCCAGGTATGTTTGCAATGCCATTTTTCTTTTGGCTGCGGTTCTCGAGGGATTGAACGAGTACTAAAGACTGTCAGAACACAATACCATATTCGAAAGAAGCACTGAAAGCTAGGAATCTTTCTCGAGGATATGCATCTGCCTTTTGGAGAGCTGCTAAGCGACGTGCGGCTTTTCGTGCAGGGGACCCATTTGCTGTTGTTAATCTCGGTTTCGCAAACTCGTTTTTGTATAATGAAGGCTTGCTCTGCTACCTCCTCGAAGATAGAATCCGGATCCTTGATCTCCACTCATCTGAATCAACTGAGACTGTGGTCAACATGGCTGACCTGCTAGATCAAAAAGTCTGGCGCGGCCCGGACCAAAATACAACCGTTGGACTCACACTTCTACATTACTCAAGTGGCGTTCTCTCCTGCTGCTATAAGCAAGCTTGGAACGAAAATGCATGGCTTATACTGATCAAGATCGAAACCGGACAAATCTTGGGGACTGTACGTCTTCATTCTACAGAGAAGCTCTTCGCTCGAAACAATGAAAGTATGCTCTATTATGGAACCCACTCAGGAAAAGATGGAGGGCCTGAAGGTCATTCCTGGGAGGTCAAATGTTTTGATCTCGTTACCAGATTCAGCTTTGAGACCAAGCTTGAATTCTTTGATGTCTCGAACGCAAACATCGGCTCCACTACCTGCTTCGAAATTTATGACGGGTACCTCTACGCGATCTCCAACCGATTGCCAGTGACTGGACCGAATTCTGAACTTGAAACCGAGCAAGACGAATGGTCATTCTATCGCTGTAGGAGATTCCCCACCGTATTTCCCACCAACCTCTTCTGTGAGAAGGCTACCGATCATATAACCTGGCCGAGAAATTATCAATGGGGTCCGACAGATACCCGGCGGACAACTCTCAATTTACGCAAAGACGAACACTCGGGAGCTTTGAAAATCGTCGAAACACGTATGGGATGGCTGGCTAGTATGCATCGAAGTCAGCGCATATGTTATATGACGGATCTTGCTTTCGTTATTCAGCATGGACTTCACCTCCCCAGATACCCCATCCCATATTCGGGATCAGCATTGGCCAAAGATATCTTCGAATTGAAGTGGCCCGTAGATGAATACTTCAAGCAACGCATCGCCTCGCTCGATCCGTTTTTAAGAGACAGTCGACCGCTTGATAAGAAGCTTAGAGAAGCTCATCGAATTACTCATCCAGAAACTTGGAAAGGCCCACCGCAAGAGATACAGCCCTGTAATGATCAGACTCCACACATGGCAAATAAATTCCAGATTCAATATTATGATAGCGCGTCTGGCACTTTTCTTGATATAATAGGCGACTACATACCCACGGAATCGCCCGCCAGAAGTCATCTTCATCTGCAAGCTCAAAGCAGACGATTCGGCCCACCAATACTTGATCGTGAGGGTCATTTGACACCACCATCGCGTGTTTCTTCAACGACCCTCAATAAAATTTTCATGCCAAGCACTATCAAATGGTGGCCTGAGTTTTATGATTCAGACCTTGACGTGATACGCAGGCTGCTGAATCCACCAGGTCAATTGAGTGACGTGAAAGGAATAGTAGATGAACGCTCTCTTGTCTACTCTGCCGGATCTAGAGACATCCCTGGTGCTCTCATCTTCATAAGCTTCGATCCAGCTATCAATCTTGCTGGGGTTGAGCCATGGAAGCCTCGGAGACAAAGTAAATACACTGCAGAAGCATACTTTAATGACGATAAAGCAACGAAATCTAGCGGTCTGATGAAGCCGCAAAGTCAACGTAGACATGATAGACCAGGGGAAGTCGTCGTTAATGAGACGGCCTCTTCCATACAACAAGGTACCACTACAAAAGATATGCCCGCTCCACACAAATGGTGTTGGAAGGAACGTGCCAGGTATCTGGACGTTGGACAAGGCTTCGACTTTGGACTGCGATAGTCCGAAAAAGGCAAAATGCTGTTCGCTATGGCGGCAATTAAGATAAACAATCCAGGATCAATACCACTCATCGCTTCCACTTCAAGTTCATGCTCAAGCCATGCGATCACGCTACCAAGAAAAACTCTAGCCTCTTGTCAGCAATGGTTAAGAAGTACATGCCAAACAAGAGAGACATTGAACGCCCATGTTCTTGGTATGAATCTTAGGACTGTGATGTAAAGCAAGATGCTGCAGCTGATGCATGCAATAGGGGTGAAGGGCATAATGAGCAGGCTTGATTGCCAAGGAAGTTGTGGCATGGAAAAATATTCGTTTTAACTTCAAAACTGTTGGAAATACGGTCCATATTAGGTGAGTCTGATGTCACGAGATCTCGCGTGACACTAGACTGAATGGGGATTAGCTCCATTCAAGCTCGAGTATATCCTCAAGCTCCTAGTCTTCTTAGCTCTTCAGTCAATCAACACTGATTCAACCTGCCTGCTTCCCTGCCCTCGTGATCCTTCTAGGTGATCATTACACCTGAAGGGGATACGAGTTAAAGAAAAACTTTATATTTATTATTTGTATTGTACAAACACCATCTTCCCAGACTCAGAGTAGACATCCTATCAACAATCAGGAGTGCAGAAAGCCACTCGGCGATACTGCTAGAAGAATATCTGCTTGCGAGTGCATCATCAAGGTAAGGGGGTTCCTCCGAACAGATTAATCAACAAATGAGAGAATCGCGGCAGACTACTTGAATCCCAAGAACCCGGTCGCGTCCACTGCAAATAGCGGCATCTCAGAAGACATCCCCAACAACAAGCCCTCACTCAAACAATCTCCAAGAACCTTGGAAGCTCGCTTCTGAGCTCGGCTCAACCCCCCTTTAATACTTTATCTCGGGAATGGTTGCCATCTCGGCATAGCTCCATTCAACTCGTCCTTCACTTCCACCGACAAAACCCAGCAAGCCCGTATCGGGAGGGGAAATGAGACACGGGAAGTAGAGATGTTGACGTCTTCGATTCGTCGGGACGTGATTACGGCAAACAGAACTCCCAAGAAACTGCAGATTTCGAAACGGTCAAATGCCATGTTGCTCCCCAACAGCTCGGCATGTCTCTACCAACATGGAAAAATCCGCGACACGCGACGTGAACACAGTCAGCCCGGAAGTGGAGTAACTTTACTTCTAAATGCCTTGTTTCAGATGGTTGTGATTGGGGAAGAAGATGACAGGAGGAAGAATGTTGATGTTGGGAAGCGAGGAAGGTGTCGTCATGGGCTTGGGGGGCGTGCCGACCATTTCTCCGGCCCCACAACAGTCTGGGGAAGAACGATCCTGATGACTAGCTAGAAATAATAGAAAAATATTAAATCGGAATATAAAAATCTGAGAATTAATTCAATATGAAAATGGCTCATATGGAATCATCTTTGGGACTCAGCAGATGACTCAAATCCCGGGCTCATCTGGAGTCATTTTGCAGTTGTGCATTGAAGGCAAAAAAATCTTCTGACTCACCCAGCTGCGCTCCGTGATCCCGCCGGCCTTTGATAAGAAGACCTCATGAAAAGGTAACGCAACAACACGCATCGCAACCTTTCAGCTTCTGACAAAGGCGAAACCCAAAGAAGAAGCTGCAACAAGTCACTCGCTCTTCCTCTTTGCCACGACTTTCCTGCCTAACCCTAATTATAACGTCAGCCTGTCTATCCTTCTCCATCTCCCCGTCCCTGGTCCCCGCCATTGCCCTCCACACGGCACTATCACAATTCGCGGCCAGGCTTCGCCGTCTCATATCAAGGCAGACAACAACAACAAAATCATGGAGAGCAACAACACAAATAGTAATAGTAACAGCCTTACATCACCGAACACAGGTCAGCAGTCATGTCCCATCTCTCACCGCCCCAACTCTCCTCCTCCCACACTTCATGCAGCGCAATGGAAACCAAGGTTGCAACGCATCGCACAGTCCGGCCGTGGCTGAAGGGACCGCGGTCATCTGCCTGTAACTTGCTCGGTTGACTGACTTTGATGCGCTGGCAGGACTTACGAGTGATGGCGACGGGGCGCGAAACCCAGGACATCCGCTGCACTCAGCAAGGATATGTCGTTACTTCAGTCGAACAGGTAAGATCACATTATTATTCTCCGAATTATTTATTTTATTCGAATTATTGCTATTCTTTTTGGAGCGTTTTGAATTTTTCAATTGGTGCGTTGGTGCGATATGCAAGATGTACGCCGATGTGTTGTGCAGCATGCTTCGTGAATCAAGTGATATTGAACCCGTCCAACACGAGCGTGGGGGTAATACGCTATTCTTGATCTTCCTCTCGAAGTGTTGAGAGCCTTCAAGATAGTTGAGTTGGCTTTGTCATGAGGAGGCGGCTTGCCACTAGACGTTGTACCACGTGATGATGAAACTGTGCAACTGCATTGGAGAGGACAGTCATCACACGATATCAGATGCTGATTGAGAGATAGGATCTTGTCGTGCCGGCACCTCGTGTCAGTATCTGCACGATGACACCCGATTACCTGGCAGTGCAATGAAGGGCAAGGAGGCAGAGCAGTCCGAGTCTTCCGTTGTAGGAGACGATGGAAAGACTCAGGACCGGAGACAGGCCGTTACGAAGCCTGTACCAGCTTCACGAGTTGTGCCTAAACCTGTGCCACAAGCACAAGCTCAGGATCCCCGAGAATTTCAATTGGGTCAGATTAGGAGGCGATTCTCACCAAAGGAGACGAATCAGCATGGAGGAGCTTTACTGAAGTTCAGCCTCGCACCATCAGATCCAGACTTCCCCTTTGAGATGTCAGCCTTGGATTGTCTACTCTCAGTACCTTCGAGTTACCCAAAGGATAAGCCTTCACTGAAGGTTGGCAACAAAGACATACCTCGTGGTTTTGCCATCAATGTTGAGCAGGGCTTTGAAGGTTTGGTTGAGGAGAAGCCTGATGCAACTCTGCTGGAGTTGATGAAGGCTCTTGACAAGAACCTGGAAACTTTTCTCTCCGCCCCGAAGGCAGATACAGTCAAGTTGGTTCCGAACAAGGACACTCGACATCTGTCTTCTACACCAAGTCGTGCAGTTGAGCCTATAATTGCTCCTAGGGTTGAGGTTGAGTCAACAAAGCCTCTTCCCACTAGCTCTACCAGTGCTCCAAAATCAGTGGAAAATTTCACTTCGCAGCAAAAATCCGAAGCCCTCAAGACCAGAGAAGCGGAGACTAGGCAGCTTGAGGCACGCATGGGTCGACTTCCACTGTACAAGAAGTCCGGAGATGGCATTGCATATACATTGCCACTTGAGCCCAGACGACGCAATGAGCTACCAGTGGTATTACAAGCTGTCAAAACTACTACGCTATTCGTTCCCTTGCTCTATCCACTGCAACCATGTCGAATTGGTTTTGAAGGCATCGATGGAGATGCCCCAAAATCAGTCGAGGCAGGTTTTCTCCAGAGAGCAACAGAACAAAAAGCCACATTGATGGCACAAGTCAACTATCTCGCATCGAATATGTATATTTTAGCCAAAAATCCATTGGCAACACCACCAGTCAAAGCACCAGAACCTATTGCTACAACAATCACTCAAGCACCAACTACTGAAGGACATCAAGATCCTGAGCGAAGTCACATCCAATACATTTCTCGACCACCAGAATGGGAAGTTATCGATCACGAAGATGTCTCTGACGCTGACACGGATGATCTCTACTCCTACGACACAGGAGACTCATCTGATCAAGGCGGAGGCGTAGAAGTTACCCATGAAGCAGAAGCAGGACCTGCTCAACCAGCTCCAAACCCAGAACGTGGAACGGCTATCTCATTCCCCTTCATCGAACTCTACGGCATCGAATTACTAGAAGTTGTCAACCTGAACATCACAGTCAAGTGCGAGCGCTGCAAAGAAACGACTGAGGTCAAGAGCCTCAAAACCGGTATCACCAAGTCAGAAAGCTGCAGAAAATGTGCCACTCCACTCAGCATCACCTTCCGCCGCGACCTGGTCCACGCCCACGCCGTCCGAGCCGGCTTCCTCGACCTCGAAGGCTGCATCGTAGGAGACATGCTCCCCAGCACCTTCCAACCCACCTGCTCCCAATGCTCAACACCGTATCCACTCCCAGGAATCGTCTCTGTTCGAGGTGAAACAACAACCAACGTCTGTCGGGAATGCCACCAAAAATTCACCTTCAGCATCCCCACCATCAAATTCCTCCGCATCTCCTCCTCCCACCTCCCCTCCTCGCTCCCCCCTCGCCGCAAGAAAGAAACCCTCGGCCTAGTCCCCGGCACCGAACTCCCCAAACGCGGCCGCTGTCGCCATTACGCTAAGTCTTACCGCTGGTTCCGCTTCAGCTGCTGCGCAAAGGTGTACGCGTGCGACAAGTGCCACGATGCGGAGGAGGAACATGTGCATGAGTGGGCGAATAGGATGGTGTGCGGGTGGTGTAGTCGGGAGCAGAATTATCGGCCGGAGGACTGCGGTGTTTGTCATGGGAATCTGACGGGGAAGAGGGGCGGGACGGCGTTTTGGGAGGGAGGGAAGGGGACGAGAGATCGGGTTAAGATGAGTAGGAAGGATCCAAGGAAGCATAGGAGGGTTGGTGGGGGTGGGGTGAAGAAGTCGTGAGTGAGGGAGGGAGAGAGGAGACGGTGAAGAGAGATAGGGGATGAAAGACTGCTTATGGATCGGGCCGCAGAATGGGCCAGAGATATTCATTCTTCCGATTCTTGTTTTGTGTCTGTCTCTTGTCACGATCAAGACTCTACTTCTCGATAACCGAGCAAACAAAGAAATAAATAAATACCAAAAACATCAAATAAAGATATGAAACAAGATATGCAAACCATTCTCCTGTCTCTCCCCCACGCCTCTTTCAAAAAAAGATACTGGGGTACACATATCAGAGTGGAGTTCTGCCTCCGCAATCCCAGAGCAAAAACTGCACGTGCTTGCTTCATCCTCACTGAAGATATACACAAACACGTGCTTCCCATCTCCCATCCCCCCTCTTCTCCTTCCCCTCTCCCTACCCCAAAGAAAAAAATGTTGACAAACACGGCTCTCACTTCCGCATCCCCGTAAATATTACAGATCATAAACTCCCTCTCCTCCTCTCTCTTCTCTCTCCCCTCTCCCGTTCTGAGGTGAGATCTGACCCTCCCTTCCTCCCTTCCTCCCTCCCTTTCTCTCTCTCTCTTACCCGCAGCTTCTGCAAGTGAGAACTTCTGGCAAACGCTCTCTCTCTCACTTCAGTTCAGTTCAATTCAGCAATATGCATGCATACATGCACAAACCCTCCCGAATCCGACTGAGCGAGCGAGCGAGCGGATATCTCTCCGACGACGCATGCGGGCGGAAAGACGAACGACAGATCGTAAAAAAACTAAAACTATAAGGCAAAGTAAGGCAGAAAAAGGGATAAGGCAAAGAAAGGGACAGAACGGGAGGCAACTCGCAGCAGATACTGCAACAATATTTCCTTTCGTTCAGCCTCGCGGTGTACAGTGAGTACAGTACAGCACAACACTTATGCAAGTAGCCTCCCGTGACGGACGGCAGAGAAAGTACAGTACAGTGCAGTACAGTACAGTATGCAGAACAAAATCCGAATTCCCGGTCATCGTCACATTCAATGTTGTGATACCTCGAATATGTTAATCCAAATAGGGGAAGCAAGCGGAAAGAAAAAGGTTACACCCTTCCGTCGGGGCGGTGCGTAGTGCGTTGATGCACCCCACGCTTTTAGGAGAGAATGGGGGTTACACGATGGGAGGGTTTTACTCCCACACTTTCCATTTCTGGGTGTGAACCTTACTAGGGTTGAAGCTGGGGTTGGAGTTGAGCAATAATCGAACGCAAGGAAATAAAATAATAAAAACAATATTCCATGAAAAAGAGGAGAAGGGAGGAAAGTCAAAACACCAACCTCCTGCTCCAGAAGCTCCACAATCCCAAGCGGATGGCACAGCATGTGGTTCCGGTGCACAGGCGCACCAATCAGCAGCCCGGCATCTGGGTCGTGGGCTTTCGTCTCCAGGGTCTGGGGTGTGATGTGTGAAGGAAGGGGGAATGTGGATGTGGATGTGGATGTGGATGTGGATGTGGGGTCTGATTAACTTCCCAATCCGGCGTGACGGGTTCGTTCTCTCCAAGATTCGGAGAGGTTAGTTAATTTGAATAGATTGCATGGATTGCTTTGAACGATGGGTTTGGGAAGTTGGAGTGCATGCATGGCAGGCTCGGAAAAGACTATGTTAGTGTCCTGGTTGTTGGTAGTGGTACGGAGATCCTCATCGGCCGGTGATTTTTGATTCCTCGCCCTCGAGAAGAGAAGAGAAGAGATGCAAGTAATACAGTATCTGACTCCCTCTGACCTGACTGTATGCCGACGGCGGCATGGACCGCACCGCACCGCACGCAAACACGCAATGCGCCGACCGACTATCATCAGCAAGCATTCATCCATCTAGACTTATCGCGACAGAAAAAGCAATCATGTACTCCCCACGCCGCTCGTGAATATCGAGGCGTAAGGCGTGCTTTTGGCACACGTGTGTGAAAGTCGCCTATCAGCACCAGACCCCAAAGATGGGGAGTCGGAAATCCGAGCCCACGTGGGGGTTAGGGTCGTTCTATCTAGAACCGATTGATTGAGTGTGTGGTCGAGATCTTTGCTTGATGGAGAAGGAGGTTGAGTGTTCTCCTCCTCGGAGAATAAAAGGATGAGGCACGAGGGCAGGTTGATCCTCTCGAGACCTGCGGTCACGCCGTCGTTGACTTTTTGTCGCCCCTCAACTACTCACTTGATAAGGGAGGAGAGAGATAAAGACGCCGAACTGGTGGGTGGACTGCTTATCTGTAGTGGTAGTGGTAATACTTATCGATATCGCCGAAGGCTTGTCTGTCTGCTGGGAAAAGAAAAGGACCAAGAGAGGAGGAGAAGGAGTGTAACGTGGGATTTTCGATTTTCCGACGACGACGACATCCCTGGATGTACGACCCGGGGAGGAGTTCATTTCCATTCCATTCCCAGAGAAGGAGGTGGTGGTGTGTTGGATGACAGGAAAAGAGAGAGAAAATAAATAATGAAATTGAGTTTAAGGCCAAAACCGATGCAGTGGTTGGATCCGGGGAAGTGGATTTGACAAGTGTGTTTGTTTGTTCGTTCGTTCGGGTCAGCGAATTGGATAAATGTACCTCAACGGCTGAATAAATGATCGTGAACCATTTACTTATACGTCTCTCTGTGCGACATTTGGCAATCAAACCGTGGATAGGATTGGTGAGCATGACTTGTTGAGTTTTGGATAACCATTTTCTTTTCGTGTCGTGTGAGGTGCTTTTGCTCTCTTTGATCAACGGTTGTCTCGAAAGGAAGGGCTGGCTGGCGAGCTGGAAAGACGGTCCTTCCTCCCGACAAGCCATCTAGTCTTCTGACGACTGACACGATGGCTAAGCTCTCTCCTCAAACGCCTTCCGTCGTCGAGAATTAATTCCTCCTCAATTAAACTCGAGGTCTTCCTTCCTTCCAAGGTAGTAACGATCTCGTGATGATGATAATGCCCGCGGTTGAAAGCGCCGGCAAAATTCATCTCCACAAACATGTGATCAGGTCTGAAGTCCCTTCGGTTCCAGGTTCTCGAACGGACAAACTTGATCCATCCACATGACAGCCTTCCGTCTTCCTCCTCCCCGACGGTCACGACTAGTAAGCATTTTCCGCTCCGCTCAGGCATGCGTCAATTAATCCAATGAATCCCATCGCATTCCAAACCCCTCTTTTTTACCCGGCTTTTTCTCGTCCAACCAACTCCGCAATTGAGCAAAACCCACCACTATTTATTTGCTCAATCGCATTTCGCACGAATGGGAGTCTCTCCATCCACTATTCTTGCAAAGAGGAGAAAAGAGGGCCAAAAAAGAGGAGAATCTGACAATTGTTACAAGCAAAACCCCGTTCCATCAAAACTAAATCGGCCCTCCTTCGGTAAAAGCCACATGGCGACAGTGCCTATTCCCCTGTCCAGAATCCAGACTCTCTTTGCCCCATCTTCCAACAATCGGTCCGGAACTCTGGACGCGAGCTGCATGGAAGTTCTAGCGTCAAACGCTAGAAGGGTGGGCTGCGGTCGGGTGAGGGTACACAGGATGCAGACGGCAGGGGTATGCAGGATTATTGGGTGGGCGAGCGGGCGGCTGTTTGGAAGAGGTGGGGTGGGGTGGACGAACGAGGGCCACATGTGAGTGGCGTACCTTGCAGCGGAAGTTCTGGCGATGCTTCCACGCGGCTGGGTGGATTGCGTTTGCTTAGCCTGAGCGTTGCGAATATTGCACCCGTATTGCCATATTCCTCGTCAGCTATTTTTCTGTTTTTGGATCCTTTTTTTTCTTTCTAGTTTTTCTCTTTGGTGCTGCTTGTGTACGAACGAGTTTGCGCAGTCTTTGGTAAATGAGGATTTTCACTGTTCGGTGACGACAGAGAGAGAAGAAAGAGGAATCACGGGTCGCAAGCTCAGGTTCCGCGGTACCTTTGCGCTCGTTGAGCAGGGGCTCGTCCTCTTCCGATTTCCCTGTTTAGGATATCTCCATCATTTCCCAGTGGGTTGGACCCTGCGTCGGCTCTCCGCGTGCGTTATGCCCTCTCAGCAGGGGTTGATGATTTTATTTTCTGATTTGAGAAGAGTTTGGTCCTCTGTAACGTGGTAAGCAGGGGAAGGGTCGTCGCCGTTGATTGCAAGCTTGCTTGCAAGGTGATAAGGGCAAGAGGTTCTTCTTCATTTCGGGAGGGGATCCCGCGAGGCGGACCGTTGTCTGGGGTGTCGGAGATGTGGAGGGTCTGAGGGTGAGCGAGAGAGTGTATCGCTGCATTAGGAAGGAATGAGATACCAAAGTGGATGTTAAGTAACTGCGTCGGAGATATTGGGTTTGATGCTCGAGGATCCAGTTCCTTGGGCTCGCTCGCGCGTTCTTGTTCCTGGTTTATTTCGTACCCAGAGATCTCGATAACTTGAATGAGTGTCTCGGGCATCATAACCCTATCGAGAAAGTGCTCGAGCAGAACAGAACTCAATCTTTCCACCCAAGTCAAAGCAACCAAAACTATTGCTGCCCACTCACCAATAACCCAAACCCAAACCAACACCCAAGATCTTCAAAGTCCTGCCCTGGCTACGGTCCGGCTCCCTTCCCCGAGACGAGAAACCAAACCTTCACAGACCAGACAAAGCCATGAACTATCCACCCCCTATCACACACCACAAATGTTTCATCGCTGACTCGCTAGAAACCTCTGCGAGAAGTGAAGTGAGGCTCGGATCGCTCCCGAGTAACGAAGATGAGACGGTGCCTGTCGGCATTTGGTGCTTCGTGTTATTTTCGATGATCGTCGCTCACTTTGGGTCGTTGGACGTTGGTCGAGATTCGAAGGATCTTCATGACTCGGGACTGTGTCTGGACGGGTGATGACTTTCCCGCCTCATCATCACATCACAGTAGTAGCATGCCCAAACCAAATGCATTCATTTTCTGTCCTCGAAATGTGGATGCGATTGGATATGTTCCTTCCTTCCATTCTGAATTACTGAACTCGGAAAAAGCTGAACATGCCTCCTTTCCACTCTCTCATTCTCACCTCAAAATACTCGAACCAGCGAACCTAATTGTCCACCTCGTCTCCTACCTAGCCGCCGGATCGCATTCCCCGCGCTTACGTTTACCAAACTTACCTGCCAGACTTCACTACCAATCCAATGTGCGGCCAGGGTACGGCAGTTCTGAAAGCTGCACCGCTGCACCGCTGCACCGCTGCACCGCTGTGATGGGCAAGCTGAGGGCTTGGTAAGGCGCACACGTGGAGGTAGGTATCTTTGTGCATGAACATCCAGTCACGGGTTGGTATGCTTTGGAGATTCGATTGATGCCTACCTACCTACCTACCTACCTTAGGCATAGAATAAATAATTCGTGATAAAAAGAAAGAATCACGACGAATTCTAGACTCTCTCGTGGGATGGATCGATCACCTGTCAACGATTCGGCCGAGTACAGTATTGTACGTGATTGTGACATGAGGTGATAGTGACAAGCGGTGATTCGAATGTGGGGCCCCCGAGGTAGTCTCGGGAATCTCTGTACTTGTACCCCAACTTTTCTCCGCGTGGAGGAGTGAGGGAGTGAGTGAGGCTGTCTGGTCATTCATTGTCATATGACACCGAACACAAACCATCACCAGGATACCCAAGTCGGTCGTGAAAGAGGATTCCACCTCGTCCGAATCAGGAACTAAAGGTTAGGATTTGCAAATATTAATAATTTGAGGATTAATTAATTATTTTCTGAAGTTAAAGAAAGAGGAGGAGATAATTCTTATTCGTCACAACCCCATCGAATGAATCCCAAGCGGTTACAAACACGCAGCACAAGCACATAATTCGTTAGCTTACCGCTTGCTGCTGACTTCGCCACCATGTATGTACTGTATGCACATTGAAGGTATTATTGGGGGCTGAACACCGCGACAAGGCTGAGTATCACTATTGTCCGCGTGATGGGACTCCTGTACCACAAATACGTGCCAATGAAGCCGCAAGGGTTTCGGGATCTTCAGCTTTGGATTAAATGGGAATGTGTGATTTGGCGAAGGGGTTTAAGTGCTGAGAATGAGCTTACGAAGGACGGTACTTAGGCTTTCTTTCTTTTCTCCATGCGGAGTAAATTCGTAATTACTTACTTGGACGGTACCTGAGTGCTTCATCACGAGTTCAGCTGCATGTACCGCCACACCAGGCTGAGTCCGAGCTGCGTGCTGGGCGTCAGATGATGGAGGGTTTGATGCGTTGGCAGAGGAGATCGGCGTGATGATGGTTCCCTTATCAATCGGTATGTAAGTATTGGCATTTCATTCACGGCTTCGTAATAGTTCTCGGGCGCTGTGATGTTGCCCAGATGATCTCTGTCGGAAATACCCCTAGGTCGGTGATCGTAGCGCTGCTATTTGAGTGTGAAATGCGAGATGGCGAATGTGATGCTTTGATTTGTTTCATGAGTTGTTCAATTCAATCACAACCCGTTCGCTGGGTCCCTTTCGCACGTACAGGTCGGTCGAGCACAGGGCGATTCTATGTTGCGTGTGACCATCTCGAAATGTTGCTCCCGAAATAAACATTTCCCTTTCCATCTTGGTGGTGCGGACCAATGAGAAAATTCAAAACAGGGGAATTATGTGATAGTGATTGAATAAAAGGAGGTAAGCGCGCGCGCACAACTCTCATGGCATAAAAAGTGGTATTATTTCTTTTCGAATTCTCGCTGTTTGATTGATGGATGTGCACAAAAAGCTGACACAATCTGGTCGAGCGGTACGGGTCGAGCCTCCACCGAGCACAGTCATGTGGTGATGCTTTCGTGGGGTAGGACGGGAGCCGTGGGGGGTCTATTTGATTTCTAGATCTTCCTTCGTGTTGAAAGAAGGAAGCAAAGGAATGAACTCATTCTTTATTCCTTTGCTCTAGACCTAAGAGATCAGATGCTGCAAAGCATGAGGATCGTGAGATGTTGCATTCTTAGTCGTCTGGGCCCAGATGCAAACTGGAATGTGGACGCTTTGTAACTGGTCAGAAAAGGTCGCCTTGCGATGAAATGATCGACGGCACGGGGACGGGGAAGCTAGTTCCAAAGTCCCGGAGCTGACTTGGTGGTGTTGGATGGTCATTTTGTGATAGCGAGGGCAAAATGCTGGATTTAGGAGATGAGAACTGAGCGAAAGCCAGATTTGGACCTTGGACCGCCTTCATGCAGTTATTTGCATTGTTGCCTTGCCTCGAAAGACCAATGCAGCTCGATTTGCTTTCTTTGTTGTTTGATGTAAGGATAGAGCACCAGGAGATGACCTGAATGCGCCGCAGAGAGACAGAATAATCTGATTCCAAGATGTCCACGAGGGGCTCCCGAATAGGCAGTCGGAATCTCCATCTCCATGCGCTGTGGTTGACCGGGTGTGGGGGTGAATACATTACGGAGTACAGGCCAGGACAGCACCTCATCTACGGCGCCGATACCATGAGTTGGGGTGGTTGGTGTCTCATGATGCGGCCTTCCAGAAGAAACACTGGCGTTTGGGGGCTTTCAGAGGCGCATCTTGTACCGAATTGGCCCCCCAGTGTAGGCCAACGAATTCGAGCCATCTGACATCGTGTGCGACGTCCCTGACTTTATCCATTGAAGGGTTTGGGATGATTGACACACCTCCTTTCTGGACAGCAGGAGAGGTAAGGATACAAGCCAATCCGGGGAAGTAGAGCCTCTCATTACTTACCAGCTGCGTCTAGGCATGTGGGCGTCGCAACCAGAGGGAGAGGAATGGTGATACGTCGCAATGACCCCATACTTGGTATTAGAGATCGACTCCTGTTACCGTGGATGCTATCGAAACACATTTGTTTTCTGGTCGGAAAGGCCATTCATTCACTCGCATCAGGATCTCCAACTGCGGAATCTTGATTTGGGGAGTCGTGTTACAGGATCGGAGTGTTTTGGGGCGTCCGAAAAACAGGATTCAGGTACGGAGAGTACCTCTCTATTGGTGAAATTCGTGACCGATTTTGCGACAAGGCTCAAATTCACAAAATGTAAAGTATTGCGCAAGATAAATTAAGTTTATACTTGATATTTATAATAAAAACGTAGAATAACTTTTTGATAAATCAGAATTAAAGTTTAATTAGAAATAAACTTTGTAGTAGTGTGCAATGTTGGAGTTGGTATAGGATATTTTGGTGTTCTCGGGTGCCAAAATCGGCAAGGAATTTCACAGATGGAGGAAAACCTCCATCGTGGCTCGTGGCATTCGTCCAAAGATGTTGGTAATTGCTTCCGATCCTCGGGAACTTACTGGTGACCCCGTCAATATATCGTTTGGTTTGCCCTTCCGTCATATTGAATAGAATTTGAGACAGTTGGTTCTCGTGGTCCAATATTCTTCTTGCAATACCATGCTTCTTCAACCTGTGTCGTCCGAACAGTTGGAAACTTTTGTTTTACATCATCGTGACAGCGTTCTAGGCTGAATAATCTCATCTTCCGACCGAGACATGGGGATCGTCATGATACGTGAGCCCAAGCCGGTTCCAGCTTGACGATGGATGAGGAGTGTAAAGTCCGGTACAGTACAGTAAACGCAAACGTAAACTCACACGACTCATCCCTTTACGGCACAGGCACGACTCGCTGAGGGGAAGGACGGACATGACAAGCCCATTTGAGGTTCATCATCAATTCATCATCCCTCAGTCATAGAAACAAACGACCAGGGTCCACGTCTGGGTGTGGTGTGTTGCTTGTTGGGTCTGCGGTGGCAGGTAAGCATCGCCGGGATTTCGAATTTGGCGTCGACGATGACCTCTTGCGCAGAGCGCAGGGCTCTTGATGCTGGTAGGATCCAAAGCTTCGGGATGCTGCCCTGCAAAGGGAGGTGTCATGGGGAAGGGCAAGAGGGGCCAAAAGGGGGAAGGCGTCTTTGGGTGTTCAGGAGGCGTGTGGACGTTGGAGGAGGAGAGGAGGAGAGGAGGAGAACGTCCAGGATCCGGGAGACATGGCTGTTTCCACATGGAACTTCCCCGGCACTGCTCACGACAGCCCTGGTAGCACCGAGGTGTAGCCATTGCTGCCCGTTTGGACTGAGAACTACTACCCCAAGCGGGTTAGCAGCATCAGATTGGTCCCGCTGGAGCTGCTAGTGGGCATTCCTAGTCTCTGCCCCTTGGGGCAATTGAGATCAGACTGCCGATTGGAATTGGAGAAGGCTGAGTGAGTGAGTTCATTCAGCCAGGCGTTTGACCGCCAGATGGCAGAAAGCAGGCAAAGCACATCATCAGCTGCACTCACACATCCTTTCCAGGTCACTCACTCACTGGCAGGTCACATCTAGACGCCAGACATTCTATCTCTGGCCGGCAGGCAGACTGCTGACTGAACAATTCTTCAGCGGAAGGATGGACTGCACGGTACAGTACAGTGCTTCATTACTTCATGGAAATTGCAGCGTGTTTCGAAGACGATACTGTAGCATTCCGACCATCAGCGCCCAAGCAGACCTCGTGCACGACCAGATGAAGCGGCCCAGGATCGCTGGCTTCCGCCGGCCTCAGCGCACATGACTGCCTCCCTCGGCCCACGAAGGCCACTGACCAGGTTTAGCAGCGGTACTGTCCCCTAGGAAAGCATCCTGTGATATCCTACTCCTACCTACTACAGTATCGGTCGTCGGCGCAGAGGAAGAAACAGTGGAGCAGGAGCACTGAGGCAAACGGGCGAACGTGAACGTGGAAATGCAACTTCCGACCCGCCTCGGGGCCTCCTGGATGGAGCTGGTGAGTGAGAGTGAGTGATGAGGTTTGAGTCAGGCAGTCAAGTCCTGGGAATGAGCCTGTAAGCCTGAGCCTGAGCCTGGTCTGGCTGAAGTGAAGTGAAGTGCAACAACCGCGGCGGTGGCAATCTACAGGAGCAGCAATTGAGGCACTGCATCCGAAGAGAACAGTTCTCGAACATCAAGATGATTAGGGCGGTATGAGAAGCGTGAGAACGAGCTTTCGCCTTGCGTATGCGTCTGCGTTTGCGTTTGCATGATTTGCGCATGAACATGATCGAGCATGATGATGAGCAAGAGAGCATGAGCATGAGCATGAGCATGAGCATGAGCATGAGCATGAGAGTGAGTATCGAAATACCACCGCCGCCAGACCGACCGAGTCGAGTCTTCCTCCATACAGTAAGTACAGTACAGTAGCAATACGAACGACTCCCTCAGAGTCGAACGAAGTTACTGTAAACTTCCGGATCACACACGCGGCGCTGAGAGCGAGCAGGTCAGTGAGTGATGAGGGATGAGTGATGAGTGACTGAATCGTGCTCTTCACTTCCCTTCACTCCCCTTCACTCCCCTTCACTCCCCTTCCCTCCAGCCACGGCGGATCCCCGAGCCCAAAAACGCGCCTCTCTCTTTTACCCCCATCTTTTGTCTTGCACCCCCCCGACCCACTCACAGCCCCGGTCTTTCACACGCTCTCCACCCGGGCCTCGAATCCCGAGCCAGGCCTCCAGCGGTGTCTCCATTGTCCAGCCCAAAGGGGTAGCATCTGAAAGCAGCCCCCTTTCGCCTAGTCGCGCCCACTCATATTACTTCTTTTGGCTAAGGTCGCCGCCCGCACAACAACGAAAAGCCCACGCCACGAGCAAAAGCAAATGGCCCCAAGACCCATGCGCTCCTTCCTCAATGTCCCACACATCGACGACTACTTACAGACGCGACATCCACCTCAAAGGAAAACCTCCCCTTCCTCTCCAAACACGACTGCATCCGAACCCAGACCAACCTTCACTTACTCTCCCCACAAAGCAGTGCAACTATTCTACAGCATCGCATCTCTCCGTCTCTGCTATCATCGCCGCATACGATCTATCATCTTGACTGCAGTCGCATCCGCAGTGTTAATGCATCTCGCCGCTGATATCGATTACGATACCGAATAGTCCCGATCCCGCATTCGATACCAGCACGCACCCTTCGGCGCAACCACGCAGACAAAGCAGTCGAACGCGCAACGAACTCTTAAAGCATTACTTCACCTTTTCTGCATCGCTCTGCGAGTCAATCGCGAGCATCCACCAACAGTCGTGTCTTCCCAATAACAACTGCTCGTGAGCGAGCTACAACATCTGACATCATGCCCTCAAGACTAGATGCGCCCGTCCTGACCGTGGACGTGGGCCTCATACACAAGGTCGACACTCGCAATGTCGAGAACCTGTTCAGCATGTGGACTGGTGAGCATTGTCCTCGCTGGCGTTTCACGGAATGCAGCACGTACTAACATATGCACAGTCTTCTCACGATGCGCGGGATCCCTCGAAGAAGGTCGAAGATTGGAGAACTTGAGCTGGAGATTATGGAACAGAGAAACCTTCTGCTGCGATCCAGTCTCAGAAGCCAACGCAACCACACCAGCGATCTCCATTGCGTCGAGAAGTTCAGAAGGTCGGTACTCAACAACAGAAGTACCCAGTCTCTCTGGCAGTCTCGACTCACTCGTCGACGAAGAAGCTCTCGAATTCGAATCAGACAACACCTCAGCTTCAACTTCAGCTCCCCTCGATATCTCACGCCCTCAGATCCTTCGACAAGACTCAGTACACAGCAGGAGTCGAGGTCGAGAACGTCACATTACACCTGATGATTTGGAGAAGATGGTTATCACAATAAAGGAGAAGAAGAATTTAGAGCCATTATATCTCACCCCACACTTCAATCTGGCACCACTCCCAGACAGGATTCCAGAACCCACAGCACCTCCAACCATTCCAGAAATCACCACATCTTCCATGGAGAGCGAGTCAACATCAGAAAATGCCTCTGAGCAGTCAGCACAACCAGCCTCAACAGATTCCGCTAGTGGTGCATCCATCAAGAGCACAACCAGTGTGGTCAGGGGTTTCTCACCATCACATGTCAGCTCCTCGTATCGATCGATCCCTCTTTTATCCGCCCCATCATCCATCCCCACTGCAGATCTTACCGACGCTCCTACATCCAAAGGTCCTCAACCAAAGAAAGGTCAAATGTTTGCTCTCGGTGGTTCCTCCGGTGAAGACTCCATGAGCGAGCAACCCAATTCGATCGATAGCAAGTTGGTACCTCAACAAAAGAAGAAGAACGCCATGTTCAGCTTCGGTGGATCCTCGAATGAAGATGAAAGTTCCCTTCCTCAGAAGATGTCATCACGCGGTGCACTTTCTGAAGGTCAATACCTCACGAAGAACAAGAAGCAAACTTCCTTCCGAGAAGAGGTCACGACGCGCACCATCAAGGAAGAACAACCATTCGACGACGACGTCTTCGAGACCGATGAGGACGAGATTGACGAGAGTGCCATTGATGATGATGACGACTCCTCGGATTGGGAAGACTCCATCGAAGACAGTGGCAACGCCAGCATCGATGAGAAGACTTTCTTCCAACGCGTCGACTCGAGACCCAACCTGACTTCGCGTCGCTCCTTGATCACGACTATGCTTCATCAGAATGACCGGGCGAACGCTCTCGCAAACGCTGCCGCGGCATCAAAATCCACCTCGGCTTTGCAGCGATCGCGTACCTCGTCACCAAATGGTCCATCTTTGGCTGCTTCCCCCGATTCCGATGATGCGGCTCCTCTCATGATGAAGAAGGGTCTGAAGCCCATTGCCGAGGTCCCTCGATCCGCAGCTCGACCAATCATTCAGACTACTACCAACATTACTCCTCATCAACAAGCTCTCTCTCCTCGCACTACCCGCCGAAACATGCTCGCATCAGAGCTCACCGTCAGTCTTCGTCAACACCTCCTCTGGGAACGCAAACAAAAGTCCCAAACCGCGAATGCAGTCCTGAAGCGCAGACACACAGCACACGATGTCGCGAACCTCAAGGAATACCCAGATAAACCATGCTTAAAGGATGATAGCGAGCCAACGAAGACCTGGAACGAAATCTTCAACAACGGGCTTGGCGAATACCATTCCCGAGGATGGTAATCATTCATAATTGTAATGATCGATCAACATACACAATATATACAATCGGCCCCACATACAATACACGAAGCCGTATATTGGCTTCACAGCCTCATCAGCATTTCTTGTCTCGATACTCTTGGCACAGAGGTCGACACAGGATACTCGGATACCACAGCATCAGCATTGGGATGGAATAATGTTTACTGCTCGCACCAGCATTTGATTTTCAGCGTCTTTTTTGCTTTCTTGTTTTCACATCATTGCGTGCGTGGAACGGCCTATACATTGGTGGCGTTTTGGCCTTGATCCACCACTTCCTTCCTCAATTGGGAAACTGGTACACAGGACAGGGCCACGGATCACGGAAAAGAAGTGAGGGTTTACGTTTGATACCGAGCTCGATCCGGTTCGTGGCAACATGACTGGCAGCTAATGAAATAGGGATACTAAGGCGTTTTCGGAAGATACCATGGTTTTGATCTTTTACCTTGCTTCAACGCGCCTATTTGGCGGTTTGTAAAACTGGTGTGTGCTACGATAGTGGAGTCGAGCTGGCTTGTGTTACCGAGCCTTGGGATCTGGATTTGTGATTGTCCCCATCATTATCAGATGAGTTGGACATGACAGAACCTGGAAAATGGTCCCAATAGGGCGAATGGATGACGCAGTCAGTAATTGCAGATCAAGCAAACAAGCATTTGGGATGGATGGTTACGCAAAACCTGGCCTGGTCTGGCCAGACAGGACAAAAAGGGATTACAGCGAGCGAGTTAGTTAGCAAGCATGCAGAGCGACCCTACCACACAAAATAAAAACATCCAAAAAGTTGTACACAAAACATCATCATTCATTCAAAGCCTTCCATTCCCAAACGTGACTATTTCATCTCCTTTCTTACTTCCACTGACTTACTTAGCTCCGACGCACCACACATCAAATACACATGCAGTGCCACGCCAAACCGCAAATTCGTTCATCAGCGTGAGCGCAGCCGCCGTCGCACACGTGCTACGCGTGGCGGGGGTCAGGAGCTTGGATTTTTGATTTTTTATTTTGATTTTTTGATTTTTTTTGTCTTGGACGGGTATTTGGGGGGGAGGTGGGGCGTGGTTGTGGCGCATGTTGTGTTACCTCTTAGTTGAGAAGAGGGACGGAGGGAAGGATGGGAGGGTTTGTGGTAGCTGCGGTATGAAAGGAAGGGTTTGTGCCTTGTGTCTTGTGTTCTTTGTGGTGGTAGTGGGAGGCGGATGTTGTGGGAGCTGGATGGGGAATACCCAGTTACCTGGCCTAGGGAGGTAACTGGCCTAGGGAGGGAGGGAGGGCTTGGTGGAGGGGAGTTGTGTTACCACATGCTTAGGTAGATGTTTGGATTAGGTTGGGGTGAGGCAGGGAGGGGTCACGTTTTATTGGGATTTGGATTTGAGATTTGGAACGGGGTTGTGGATTGGGAGACTTGTGATGTCAGGAGGTTAGAGAGGATCAGGAAGAGGGGAGGATGAGTGAGTTGGCTTGTGATTTCGGAGTCTCGTTGCTCAACTCAGCTCGATTGATGGGGATGGGGATGGGGATGAGGATGTGTTACAGAGCTTACTATGACAATGATCTTACTCGGTGTTCTCTAGGTCGCTATCTCGCTAGGTATCGAAACCAGGGCTGTGGATTGTTCACGCGTTATCAAAAGCCAGGGCAGGGGTAAAGATACATTGAGGCTATCCATCCATCCATCCAACAACCAAGAACGTGGACCTTGGCCTCCATACCTAGATATTACTCGGTAAGCAAGCAAGTAAGCACCGCACCCCATTCACCCGATCGCGAAAGTCTGCTTTCGGTGCTTTTACCAGAAGTTGGCAGCACATGGCACATTTCGTAATGATGAAGGAAGGCACGGATTCTGTGCCCAAACAGGAAAGAAAAATTGATATGGGCGTAAGATAATGTAAGCAACTTCACACCCTCTTCTTCTTCCCGGGGAAGAAGGGGAAGGGGGCTCCGCGGACCGTTGCGCTGCGGATGCAGATCATCATTCAATCGTTTCATTACATTTCTTTTACGCACGGCGGATGGCGATTTGACGAGCGGGTGCGTGGGCGGGATGGATGGGGAACGAGGTGGTGAATCGGAGGGGTGAGATGAGATGAGATGGTGGGGGGAGGGGTTTGGGGTCATTGCTATATGGGGGGTTTCGCGATGCGGCGCGGTGAGAGAAGGGTGAGGCGTATTGCCTTTGTTGGAGTCGTATTGCGAGGGGCGCGGATGGATTGGAGGGGATGGAGGGAGGGTGAGGCTGGTGATCGTGGGTTTGGATGATGATGCGGAGGAGAGGAGAGAGGATTGGGATGACTGTGTTTGGGGTTGTATGGAGATGGATGACAGTGCCACAACAGCTCGTAATCTGGACGAAATGAATGACTGCCGGTGTGTTTTTAGGTCTTTTTTGAGTTTGGGCTGATGTGAGAGCGTGGGATGTAAGTTTGTACATCTCGGACGCCTGTATGTCATGATGGAAGATGAGAATGAATGATTTGCTCGCGATGAATGATTCGGAAAAGAAAGAAAGTGCATAAAAATTATTTGTGGTTAGCATTATTGCTGAGTTGTGATAGTTTGCATAAATGCGGTGAGGCACAATTCGTGTGTGTCCATTGGTTGGGATGCGAACCGGTGGTGTTGAGGACTGCTTTCCCTTTTGGGATTATTTGGAAATATTTATTATTTCTAATTCTTTGCCAATTCTTTTTTTTTTTGGACCCCTTGAAATTTTCTCTTTCGAACAAGACTCGGGAATGGGAGCGAGATTGAGTGTGGCTGGTAAGCACTACATGACTCTACAGTATCGAGTCTGCAAATTTCTTCGGACTATACCGCCGCCACAAGGCTATTGTTTCGATTGTGGATATCTTTTCCACATGAAAATCACAAGGCTGATTCTTTTCATACGAGACTTTTCGAGACTCCTCTTTCAACGGCCCTTTTTATTTTCGTCCATATCCATAATAATAATCTCCACTACAAATCCAGAACTTCTTCCAACTCAACTTGATGCTCGCTTGACACAAGGGATCCAGTGTTTCGTCCAATTTTTCTCCGTCCGAGGTTTTCTGGGTTTCGTTTCTGCTTCTGGTTACGTTTCCAGGAGATGCAACTATGGTAAGGCTGCGGTAGGGGCACATGAGATAATGGGTGGCTTGCTTGCAGTGGATGCAAGGGAGGTTTGGGATTGGGAGGATGACTTGTCGTGAAGGGGGCGTTATTGGTGTACCCACCGCTGGCAGAGTTTTGGTTTCTAGGGGTCCTCTCCGCTGGGGTTGCAGTACCGCTGAAGGTGTTGTTACAGCTGCTGTAAGGCGCACAAATCGCTGTCGAGTACCTATTCTTCCACTTTAGCCTGAAGTCCCTTGTGGGAGGACAGGACTCGAGGAGGCTGCGCACGCGGGTGGTATAACGACTGGATGAAGATACGAAGGATGGGCGGTATGTGTCTTAATCCGCCTCTTTTCCAGTCATGAGAACTATTGAAGATAGTATTGAAAAGATAATAGGATGGCGCAGATAATAATGGCCCCGAGAGTATTATTTTCACAACGGTCCTATTCCGGGGAACTTCGGGAATCCCACCAACCCCTCACCGCAAGGCTGAACAGCCTCACCGCCAGTTCGAACTCTCCTCTTGGTCCCAGTGATCTCCAAGATTTTCACTCACACAGCAAGCACGAATGCAAGATAAACATCAGCCGCTGTGGACGCATGAACTTTGCTAGCTAGGAGCCATGTCACCGTGTACATGTTACATGTACCTATGTATCTCAGCATCGCACGACGACCACTCAATCCATTCCATAACCTTACCGCCCATTCATCAACCCGTCGATTCCTCGTTCTCCACCTCTCGCGGCAGTCGATCTGCCTCGTCTCTTGTTTTGACTCGAGTCCAGACCGATTGATCTTCGATACAAGGTGGAGCTTTTCTTTCTGCCTGATTACGGGGTCGGCGTCTGACGGCGGGCAGTTCGTTGGCCTGGCTGAATTACGGTCCTGAGCTGAGGAAACTGAGTTACCCAAGTGGGACTTCCGAGCGCCGCGCCAAAAGCTTGGTTCTTGTTTCTGGAGAACGATGACGACGAGGTGCAGACACGGGACCGGAAATGGGAAATAGTCGAATATTTGAGTTTTGTTTATTGTTTTAGAGGTTTAAATGTTTTGCTAAGGGCCGGTACGGGGTATTGTGGAAAATGAATGCTGGATTTTCTTCTTGTTGTTTTTGTTGTTGCTTGAATCAAGTTTGGGGATTGTGGATGAAATTTTTTGCGATGAGTTTACGAGTCAGACGACCACTTTATGTTTTTCTTGTTTATTTGTTTTTGCATACGAGTCACTCTGAACAGCAAGTTTTGCCCTCAAGTGAGGTAACGTCCGTCCCTACATAGCGAGACGCACCCCGTTACGAGACACTAAATTTAATTTCGCATTTCAACATTCGCTTCTGCAATTTTCAGCTTTATAATCTATGCTAGATGGTTCTCCCGACGTACTTCTACAGGATCCTCACATAGTAGATGAAACCTGGATGTCTTGGTCCTCGCCATCATCAGTTTGCTTATCGTAGGATTTAATGCCCAAGATTTACCCCCCTGCTGCATCGTCGACATCCCCAGCTATTCAAATTTCGGAGGCCTCATAGTGAAGCGTAATACCAGATAAATATTATATTAGACTTTAAGAACAATCAGTTTTGTGGATTTAGTATGCGAATCCGGCCGAGCAGGGAGAGAATAGCGTCTGATGCGCATCATGGGCTCTCTTTATAGCGGCGTATACTATGATGTATTGGGTGAGTGGAAGTTATGCCAAGCAAGTTGGCACAATCACGAAATACTCTACAGGCTCACGATGGTGGGCTGGCTGTGCTTGATTCTGGACCAGAAATTAAACGAGACATCTAAATAATCTATTATTCATATGAATGGGTATAATAGCAGAGTCGTGAAAAGAAGTCTTTGTAATTATGGCTTACCTAGCATTCAGCCTGAACATGTAACAAGAACTATCGTTGGTTCCGAGTTCAACATAGTGTCCTTTCAACGTTCTGCTCGAAATATTGAGAATTGCTTCAGATTGACACTTAATGGATGCTGAGTTCCCTTTAGGAGTGTCTTCCCAGCTTGCGGAGTATCCGCTTAAGAGACCTCGACTTTGTTTCTCCAATCGTTGTAAAACCATCCTAGGCTGCTTCTAACCTAGCAGACGCAACTTGCAATGCTTGAAGTCGATCTTCAAGCCGCCTACACCATTTCGAAGAAGGTCCTTGGACGGTTGTGTATCCAGCCAATGCCCGACTATACATTGCCTTTGCCAAGTCTTTCCGACCTGTCCGCGAGAAGAGGTCACCAAAAGCAAACATAGTTCTTAACGCTGGTAAATATGAGGGTAGGAGTTCAGGACCAATAGCGTGCTCGTAGCCTTGTAGCGCTCGATTGTACATCTCCTCAGCCTCAGCCAGCTTGCCTTGGTCGGCGTAGAGTTTGCCTAAGTTATGAACCGTATCGAGTATTAACCTGTG